ATGATCAATCCAGTTCCCAATGCACCACCAATGGCGATCATGGTAATATGACGTGCTTTTAAATCTTTATGGAGCTTTTTATCTTCATCGAGATAGGCTAGATGTGTTTCTCCACCATTTTCAGCAGTTATTTCTTTTTCGGAGTACCCTAAATTGTTTTTAATACTGCCATCAGAGGTAGACGCTTTTTGTTCACTCATTTTGAAGAAAAAATAAAGAGAAAGAGAAACCAGATAAAATTATTATCTTTGGAAACAAAAAAAACAAATTGATAGTAATTGTTGAGTTGAAGAAAATTTTACAAAAACATAATTTAAGGAAGACTGACAGTAATTTATAGTTGCAAATTGGCTGGAATATTGAAAAATATAACGTTTTTGATGTTGTTAACAATATTCAGATTAGATTAAGTTTTTTGAACGTCTTGAGTTTAAATATAAAGAAAAAAGCACTAAATTTTTTTGTTTGAATACATGCACTCAAGGATAAAAAATCAAAAGAAAAGCACCGTACAATAATTTTTGCATTTAGTAAACATTTTAAGATAAGAGGGTCCAAAAAGAGTATTGATAATTTAAACATTTTGTTGGTTACAAGCTGAAATCTCTACGGAATCCAGTCCCGAACAAAAACATGGACAGATCAAAAAACAGCACAAACAACACAAGCAAGACAAAGCCAATAAGAAATGAGAAAATAAAAGAAGATAAAGCAGAAGTCAATTGTAAACCCAATCTCCAACCAACGCTTACAGGTCGTGTGAGATGTGCAAATTGCAAATCTGGATAAAGGACAGTCATGAAAGTGTATAGTGAAGATGTTTTTCCGTTTGACAAGGCAAAGCACGCTGGTTCCAGCATCCACGCTTGGAAACAGTAGAATCTCAATATATCGTTGGAAAAAGAGCCTCTCGAACCAGAACTATAATATGCACTGCTATCAAATACAGCTGGAGCCTTATCTGAACGCTCCAGCGCCAAGCAAACAAGAAAGGACAAAAGCAGCCGAGACACTCAAAAGCTGCGCTTCGGCATCTGTACACGGCAGTTTTTCCGAGAGTCGCATCAGATCGCATTATGCATGCTGGTGCATATGCGTGTATTGGTACAGGCAGGTGCCGACACTACGGAAAAACCAAACACTACCAGCAGAGCGGGTCTGCCTTTTTTCAAACTAAAAAGCCTTTTACCTTTTCTTTTGAAACCAAAACGTTGCTAATCTCGACAATTTTCACTCGCCACAGCAAAGGTCTGGTTTTGTCTTTTGGTCTAGAATTACTGTCTTTTTGTAATGGTTGTATTAGTTTTGAAACTCAAAGCCTTGTTGTGTTTTTCGTTATATTACAAATGATTTATAATGGTTGCATAATAATTTACTGAGTATTTTCTGCTAAAATACTGAAGTCTTTATCACAACAAAAACAAACCATCCCTTTTCTACCGAGCGAAACAAACCAGTCTAAAATAAGCCAATTATATGATATCATCCACCGTAACGATGTCATTTTAAGATGCTGCAGTTTTCTCAGCCTCTTGAGTGTTTGAGATAATTGCCTTAATATAATGGTTTTTTATATCAATACCATTGATTGTTCTTTTGCTCGAAATATGAATTGTAACTCTGTTGAGTTTTCTCAATCACTAACAGAATAGCACGTTGCAGAACTAAATCTCCAACAAGAAAGAAATCATTTGCAATTACTTGGTGGAGTACAGTTAATACTTTAAAGTTGAAATATTTATCAATTTCTATATCGCTAAAAACACAGGAAAAAAAAAAGCTAACTAAAAGGCTGACTAAATGCTAAAAATTGAATAAAATCAAAAACAAAATACAATAGTGATGTAAGAATCTAATAAGAATCTATTAATTCTATGATTATCTACCAACCGAAATTCTCTTCATGATAGTTGACTTTTACACTAACTTCAGGTGTAATATTATTCTTAATCGAATATCTCACTGAATTATTAAATGGTTCTGGTCCACATGCAAGAATTGAAATTTCCTTGTTATCTTCAACAGATTCAAAAATATTTTTCTCGACAATTTCATTCAAATCTGGACGAGAATATTTTCTAGTGATTTTGTAATGAATTTCGTTAGTTGGAATATTGACCAATTCTTCGAATTTTATATCTTTACTTCCAGTGTATATAACATTAACAAAACAGTTTTTGGATACCAACCAGTCTAAATCTTTATGGAACCAGTTCAAGTTATTTAAATCATTGATTATCCAATAGAACTTGTCTGTATATGAATTATCGTAATAATCGTCATGATTATAAGTATTAATATCATCATTTTTGCTTGAACTAACTGTTGAAGTATCTGTTGAATTGTTGTTGTTGTTGTTGTTGTTGTTGCTATGAAGAGATTTTTCATTGAATTTATCTTCTAATGAATTTGAATCTCTATTTTTCAAAACCTCAACAAATGACGGATAAACTGCAGTAACGCCCAAACCACCAACAATTCCAACGAATTTTTTATTCTCAATTGCCTTTTTTCTGATACCAGTTGAATTGCCATATGGTCCTTCAATAATGATTTTCAATTTCAATGGTTCGTTTGCTTTCAAGTCGTTGAGTAATTTCAAAATGGATTTGGTTATACCATTTTTAGCTTTAAAGTAGATGATCAAATTACCCTTGTCTTCAATTGGAGACGAAACTAGTGAAAATGGATGGGATTGAAAAGAATAGAACCAATATGAGTTTGAAAGAAAATAGATATAGCTGTATGAACCTTGGTAGTATTTGAAGAACTTGGGTTTTTTAATTGACATTTTAATAACATTATCATCAAATCTATACAAATCAACTGTTTGAATTCCACCAGATAAACAAATTTTAACGATTCGAACAAACCTATCAAAACACCAAATGGCCACCATCGACCAAATCCATCCCAACCATCCTAGCGTATTGATATGAAAATACATTACGACAATGAAAAAGACATTTAAAATTTTATGTAACAACAAAAAGATTTCATAAATGTGATCTTTAAAGTATCTCAAACTTTGGAATAGTAAGATGGAACTAATAATCATTGCAGCAACACCATATTGGAAATAGGTGTCAGAAAACCAGGCTTGATAACCGCCATTTCTAACGCTATAAACGGTCCAAATAATTGCGTGAATAAATGCTAGAATCACCATGATGTAAGCAATGAATTTATGGTACAAATTAAAAGTTGAAAAGGATAGACCAGTTAGAGGAATGAAAGGATTGTTTCTAATACCAAAAAAGAAAATTAAAGGAAATAGAGAAATTGACATTAAATCAGTTCTGTAACTAATTAAAGTCATATTCATGTGCCATCTGTCATTAATGAAAGCATTTGGTAATTGCAAGTCATAACCAACACAACAGGAGATGATCACTTGGATTGCGAAAACAAATAGAATACAAAAATTTACAATGGAGGGAATCTTTGCATTTCTCAATACTTTTGTAAAGAGAAAGGAATTTGAATTGTTTTTGTTGACAATTAGAGGTAGTATAAGAAATTTTTTCAAATAGTTTGAGTTTAAAAACTTGATGTTTAAATATCTTTTGTTTAAATTGAATAAAGAAGATACAGCTAAAACAGCAGCCCAGTAGAAGACTAAACCCCAGCCAAACCACTGGGATCTTTGAACAGAAAAGCTAAAGTCTTTGAAACTTTGATCGTAGAAATCAAATTCAGACTGGTTGACGTTGACTGGATCAGTAACCAAATTGAAAGTGTCAATTGCTTCAATTGGGTCTCTAAGAAAAAGCGTAGCGTTTAGATAAAAGGACTTCATATCGTCCAAGGAGTAATCATAGCCAGCTTTCTGTTTGCAACGAGTAGCAACATGGGTCAAAGCATGGTCAATGGCTGCAGTTGAATTTGATTCTGAGTAGATGCAATTTGCGACAGAGCCTAACCAGTTGACATTAGCACAACGACACTTGTAGGCACTCATGCCATTGCCATGAGAGCCACAACCCCAATCATAGGTCTTGAGATAGTAGATACAGGCCGAAGCCAAAGTTGAGTCGACAACAACCAAAGAGTGAGAAATTGCTAGGAGACTGAGCAAAAAAGCAGCAAAAAGTAAACGAAATGGCAGTCTCATTGTGTTGTGTTGTGTTGTGTTATTCCAGGATACCTCTGGAAGAGAAGAAAGCTCAAAAGGAGCAGGAAATCAGGGCCATTTATATAATTCTGGCTAGATGTTTCAGGGCCAATACCAAAATCAAATCAGTAAAAAAGAACATACCTATTACAAATACGAGTGGATTTGCCTTGTTGTGGTTGTCAAATGGAAAGAGAGGAACATCTTCCAAGGAAACCAATTTCCCTGGTGCAGATTCAGCCAGGAAAAAGAGATCGAGCAAATATCGACTAAAGAAACACATCTGGAAAAAAAGAAAAACAGGGAACCCTCACGCGCCACACCCGCAGCACCGGGATTGCTGAGTCAGTACTGAGTCAGCACGCTAAGTAAGCACTGAGTAAGCACGCTGACTCAGCCCTTACTCAGATCACACGTGCATACTCGTGCTCGCAACCGTCTTCCAGAGCACAAATCTTCAAGGGTAGAAATAAAATTTCAGCCAAAGATTGTTTTGATCAAGAAACAATTGCACACATCTCTATCCCTCGCCAATTTCTTCTCCAACAATGGATGCCTTAGACCAAATTGTTTCTGACAAGTTTGGCTACAAACGACTGGAAAGATCCTTTAAGCTTGTTGATCCTTTGGCAGATTCCGGCTCCAGCTCCAGCCCTCACTACTTCAACTTGCTAGCTTGGGGCAATCTCACCAAGGTGTTTGCAGTTGCTGGTCTTTCCAAACTAGTCATAGCTTCCATTGAGGATCTATTCTCCAATTCAGCAAAGTTGGCTGTCTCGCCAGAAAATGTGTCAAATTCAGGTTCTGACAGCGATTTTAGTGATTCTGGTGACGAAGAAAACGATTTCTACTACTACAACGGCAGCAATGTTTTCAATGCTTCAAATATAAACCATTTGCTTTTTTCTTTAGACGAAAAATTCTTATACTATACAGTTCATAGTAAAATTTACTTGGTTAATACAATTCAAACTATCCAATCGTCTTCTTTCAATCCAACTTTGTTATTGGAGATTCAAAATGACCTGAGCACTGAAAACCCTTTAAGCATAACTGATTTCAAAATCAATCCCTTTAATTCAAACTACCTAACGTTTTTAACAAGCAATCATTCTTTATATTTCTTTGATTTGTCAACTAAAAAGCAATCTTTAATTCACTCTGATGTCTCATCCTTCACTTATAATTCTGTTTATGACAACGACAATTACAAATTCCAGCAATTATATATTGGTCTAAAAAATGGTAGTGTAGCACTTTCTGATGTCTCAGATCCTTCAAACTTTCTGATATTGAAAACTTTTTCAAATTCTGCAGCCCCAAACCACTTCTTTCCAATATCTTTAATCCCAATCAACAATGCAACCCTACTAGCTGTTTACGATATCAGCTCAAATCCAAACGATGACAACGACTCTGATTTACGGTACGAACACTATCTAATAAATACTCAAAACAATCAATTTTCTTCTTCTTATGATCTCTGCTATTATTCCGAAATTCCTAGATACGGTTATTACTACAATTGCAATTTATTCAATTACTCAAAATCTTCAAATCTTGATAATCTAATATTCTTCTCTTCTTCTGTATCATCCGACATTGCCTTACTCTCCTCAAAGAAAAACACCTATCATGTTGACTTTATACGTCCTGAAAATGATTACGAATTGGCAACTGTCCCATTTGATGATGAAAATGACACTGATTTATCCACAACTGGCTTTGCAATTAATTTAACCTCAACCGAACCTTCCTACAATATTTCTAAATCAATAGAAGGCGAATCAGGCCCTTTACCCTCGTTAGTATTACTATTAAACAATGGTGCTTTGATTTTTTATGATTTTTTTAATATAGATGCTATAAAATCTAATGATTATGATTTGAAAAATCCTTTATCTGTTTTACAGAATCATCTACAATTCATTTCTTCTAAATCATCTAAAAAAGTTGATCAAAATATTTCACTTGAGGATTCATTTTCTACTTTTAAATTGAATCAAGAATTAAATAATGCTAATAATAATAACACTAGTAATAATAACACTAATAATAATAATAATAATAATATTAATATTAATAATAAAGATAATCTTGTAAACGGTAATATACAAAATAACACAATCCCAAACAACAATTCAACTAACAATTCAAATAGCAACCCATTTGCTAAATATACTCTCCCTAATAACAATCATAATAACCAAAATTCTACCCTGTTATTTCAATCAGATTCAAATCCTTTTAGTACCGGAACTAAATCGTTGGTTTTCTCTCACAATAATGGCTTTGGAAATTTAAATAACAATACAAAAAATGCATTTGGTTCATCATCCGCATTTGGTTCTCCTTTTAGCACTCTTTCAAATGAAAACAAAACTTGGTCTTCAATTCCTAATAAAGACTTGTCCACTGCTGGTCCAACCTCATTTAATTTAAAATCACAAGGCCCCACATCTTTTGGATCAAATAATAATACTCCCTCTTTTGGTAATTCAGCTTTTGGCAATTCAACTTTCGGTAATTCGACTTTTGGAAAGTCAGCTTTTGGATCTTTTGGAAATAAACCTGTCATATCATCTAAAATTCCACTTCCAATTCATCCTGCCTCACCTGAAAAAATTAAAATAAACGGTTTTGCTTCATATGCTCAATCTTCCAAAGGGTTTTTATCTAAAGATAAGAATTCCACTCTCAATGGCAATACAAATGGTTCCTCTAACAACACCATCTTTCCTTCATCCCGTGTAAATTCTACAATGGATGATATAGTAACAAATGTTTTTAACAATAAAAAATTACCCATATCTTCTAATAATGGGTTTAATTACTCTTCTAACAATCAAAATACAAGAAAAGTCGAAAATAAAAATGAAGAAACCGATTCAAGTGATTTCTCAGTTTCAAATTCTGAAGAAGAACTTGAAGAATTAAATAAAACTTATATTGAAATTACAAAGAATCATTCACCAAGTTATCCACTTTTGAATGGCACTATTTTGAATCAGAACCCAGAAAATGATGATGAAAACAAATTAAATAATAATAAAATTGGGATTAGCAATGAGGTTTTTGTGAATAAATTAAAAATTGATTCAGATGATACTCAGCAAAAGAATGGAATATCTGAAAATGAATTGGAGCCCAATTCAGAACCTTTAAATGGCAAAACAGAAATAAATTCTTTAAATAAAAAAGAAAAAGAAAACGATAGCTTGAAAGATGAAAATAAATTAAGCGTGAATCTTAAACCTGATGATGATCAAAAGGTAATTATTCCAACGCAAAATAATATTTCACCAGAACCAAAAAATATTCTTTTCAATGGTGATATAAAAAGCACTGATACAAAACCTTTGGGGTTTTTGCAAACCAACAGTTTTAATGCTCCAAATCGTATTCAAAGTTTTGAGTCTAGTGATGATGAATATGAGGCAAGTAATAGTGATAGTGATCAAAATGAAACTAGTGAAAATGAACAATCTGAATTAGATTATGATACTGTAACCAAAAGTAGTGATCAAGAATTTAGAATAAAAAAGGAGGAAGATCAAGTTATTCCAAAATTTGAAAATTCGGTAAAACCATTAGATAAACAAGTTATTAAAAAAGAAAGTGATTTACAAGACTTAGTTGCAAGTGAGAACAATTCGTTAAAACTTAATACAGGTCGTCAACTTAAAAGTGTTTCAACAAAAGATAATTTTACGCAAACTGTAGAACCCAATTTGATTGATTCCAGTGTTCAAACTTTTAAAAATGAAAAAGATTTTTCAGTTCAAGCCTTTGAAAATCAGGAAAATTATTATGGTCCCTTTTTTGTTGCAAAAGATATTTTACCACATATTGAAATATCAAATGTCAAATATCCAAGATCCTTTACGGATAATATTTATATGAGGAAATTGGAAGAAATATTTTATGATTTGTCTGCTGAATTTAAAGTTTTAGAACAGAATTGCAAAAACATAGGAATATTTATTGAAAATAATAAATTTGCTGAAGCTGCTCATGGTGTTGATTTGTTTAAATATGAAGATCAATGGAGATTGAAAGAAGTTACTACTGTTAACAGAATGATTGATGAAAAAATTCAAACCACTCAGCCTATTTTAGGAAAGTACAAAAAACAGTTAAATCGGATTGAAGATTTTAAGAAAGATATAGTAAAAATTGATAAAAGAATGAAAGTTTTGGAAGGTTTCAAGTGTGAAGGCGAAAATTTTAAGGATTATGGATTAAGTTTAAATGAAAGAATTATTCAAAAAAAAATTAGGGATAAATTTTTTACAAATGAAAGATTAATCAAGGATATTGAAACTCAATTAATTGACTTGAAATTACAAAATGGAACTGGAATCATCAAAAATGATACTGGTAGAACGTTTGATCTAAAGAAAATTGTAAAACTAATTCTCCAAATTTCAAGGGACATCAAAATCAAAATTGGAGAAGTTGAAGAATTAAAAGCCCAGGTGGATTCTATAAAGTCGGAAAATAAAAAAAAAAGAATCAACCAAATAAATAATAGAAATAATGATAGTGAAATCAATGAAATAAAATTGCGAAATGATTTTAAAGACAATCTTTTTAAAATGTTCCAAAATAGAGATCCAGTAAAAGTTACATCTCATGCGATTATAAGAAGGAGAAAATGAATAGATGTAATTTATAGCTGATTTTTATTTTGTTTGCTTTGTTTAATTAGTTGACTCCTAAGTTGGTATGCTTTTAAAAAATAAAACATTTTTTTTTTGTTTATTTTATATGGTTTTATATTATATATGTTTATTTTTCATTGATTTTTTTATAAAAAAGAGAGCCCTTTAAATTGAATTATAATAATTGCTAATCTGTCTTTTTCTGTAATCAGAAAATAAGGATTCATTTTCATTTCTATCATTTTCATAGTTGTTATAATAATTAAGCCATTTTTCTAATAGCATTGTATCAGACTCCTGCAATCCTAAATACTCCTGTTGAATGTTATGGTTTTGTCTGTTTTTCAATATTGATCTGTTTGTTGTACCACATTTGAGATTTTTCCATGAATTTAGATGATCTGTTTTTTCATAAAAACTGGCTGAGGATCCACGAACATCGAATATGAGATCAGCTACATCGTGAATTTTAATTTTTGAGTAGGGCCGGTGATCTGGGGCTTGATTCTGAGCATTAAATTCAACAGCATTTGCATTGGTGGTTTCCAGTCTCAGTTTATCATTACGATCAGAAAACAACGGTTCGAAGAAGGAGGGATTTGTGAAAGCAACTTTTTGATCACAATCGGTATCATAAGAGTAATTGTTAGCTTTATTTTTTAGTGAGTAGCTAAGTAGCATGTCTTCGTTATTTGTAACAATTCCCTGGGTATAATTTGAGATTATTTTTGAGATAGTATCGTTGAAAGAACGAAAAACAGGAATTTTCACTGATATTTGAACAAAATTAGAATCATTAGCATCATGTAGATCACAGTCATGAAGCGATAGTCTCTTGGAGTTCAAAGTGTTTATCTTGTAAAATGCAGTTTTGACAATATTTGATACAGCTATTTACCTTTCAATGTTAATACTTAAGATCAGTGAATAAACATTATTGTTTAAATATAATTAGTTTGAAAAAGTACCAGTTATACCTTTAGTTGGTGATTTTCTAAAAAACGAATTATCATCAGAATTATAATCGTCATAATCATTGTCGATTTCCATGTTCATTTCATCGTCCTCTTCAAAACCAGAGGCATTCACACCATTGGATTCATTCTCTTTATTATCTAGTTTGTATTCGCATGAAAAGGTGTTATAGCCATTTTTTTTTGTAGTTTGGTCAAAATTAGCAAAATTAGCATTGATGTTTAAAAAATTTCGGCTGATTGAGAATTTTTTGTTCTTTGGTTCATTTAAATTCTTTGATTTGATAGGATGGGCAAAGTAATTTTTTCTGATTGACTTGACCTTTTCATTTATTTTTTTAATATGATGTTTTCTTTTAAATCTTTTATTTCTATTAGTTTTATTGCTATTGTTAATGCTATTTAGATTTATTTTTTTGCTGCCAGTGGATTTCACCCTTGTCATTGCTCAGTATTCAATTATTGTTGCAAATAGTGTAAAACTTCTGTGTACTTTTATACTCTCCCTCAACTTTTTTCTTTATCTTTTCTTCAATTTTTCTTTCTTTCTTTGTTTTGTCTGCTTTTTGTTTAATGAAATCTCTAGCCAATTATCCCAAAATCTAATGTAAATAAAAAGTAATCAACATGATTTTTCATCTAACAGAAAAATAGCAAAACCTTGAGCCAGAAGAATAGACAGAAAAGGCAACATCTCCTGAAGCAGCAGAAGCAGCAGAAGAAGAAATTTCTACACAAAAACCAGCGGCCACATTTCAGACGCTTCCGTTTTGAGACAGAGGCATGTTGTGAAAAAAATAAAAATTTATTTCTGGATGAAAAGTTCAAACTTCTTCGAATAATTCAACTACAGAAGACTTATTGTAATGGCCAGAAAGAAGTCCAATGCTAGAAAGCTTCGCGAGGCCCAGGAAAAGGCAAAGCTACAGTTCCAGCCCAAAGAAACAAAGGAAATTACTCTGTCTGACGGAAACAGTGTAGAAGAGAGAGCAGATCTCAAATCAAAGCTGAATTCGAATTCATATTCAGATTCAGAATTTGATTCCAGAAGTGAGAGTGAAAGCGACAGTGACAGTGAAGATGAAGATGAGTTTGGTGAGCTATTAACTGAGAACATTGAAACAGGCATCAACAAAGTGTTGAATGCCATTAAAACCAACGATAAATCAATATTTGATCCAGATGCAAAATTTTTTCAAGAAACCAAAGAAGATGAAATCAGTACCAAAAACCCTAAAGATAAACCAATATACTTGAAGGATTATCAGACTATGAATCTTTTAAAAGGAAACGCTAATGATGATGAATTTAAGTCAATTGACGGAAAGAAGACATTTGCCGAAAGTCAAGCAGAAGATAAGAAAAAATTAGTTGATGAGATAAAAAATTTCTTCAGTGAAGATAGTTCAAATGAAGACAAAGATAAAGACGAAGATGACGACGATGATAATGATGGATTTCTAGTCAAGAAAAAAAAAAGCGAACGTGCTAAAATACCTGAAATAATAACAAACAACTTACCAGATCCAGAAAAGGATCAAGAGAAATTTTTACAAGAATATTTTGACAAGCACGCCTGGATTCCTAAGAAATCGGACAAGAAAGTTAATTTGAATGATGGTGTAGAAGATGAAGAAGATGATGATGAGTTTGATGAAGCTGCAGAAAATTTTGAAAAAGCGTACAATTTTAGATTCGAAGATCCAAATGCAGCTGACATAGTTTCGTATTCAAGAAATCAATTAACAGTTCGAAGAAACAAATTGAATTCCAGAAAGAAACAAAGATTAAAAAAACATGAGATAGCTAAGGTTGAAAAAGCCAAAAAAGATGAGCAATTGCAAAAAAAGAAACAAAAAAAAATCAATCTTGTTGTTGATAGAATTAATGAAATCCAAAAGGAACTTGATGGAGATATTGACTCCGAAAAAATAATCAAAGTATTTGGAGATGCGTTACTAGATGAAGATTTTGACAATGAAGAATGGGATAAAAAAATGAATGAAATATATAATGATGAGTTCTATAAAGATGAAAATGTTGAAGATATAAAGGAAGATATTAACAAAGATTTAGATGAAGATGTAATAATGAGTGAAAATGATAATTACGATGATAAAGAAAATGAAGAAGATGATAAAGAAAGTGAAGAAGATGATAATAAAAATAAAGGCGAAGTCAAAAAAGGAAGCAAAAAGCACAAGTTAAAAGAAAAGAAAAGTAAAAAAAAACAAAAAGAAAAAATTAAGGTTGGAGCTGAAAAATTGGTTAATAAAAACAAATTAAAATTAATAGATGAAATTGATGAAGAAGAAGAAAAACTGAATAAAGATAGAAATAAAGATGGATCATTAAAGTTCAAGTATAAAGAAGTCGAGCCTGAAACATTTGGATTGAGCATAAGAGACATATGGGGAGCAGATGACGTAGATTTAAACGAATACATAAGTTTAAAGAAATTTGCACCTTATAGAAAGAAAGAATTGATTGATAAAGATAAGAAGAAAGTAACCAAACCAAGAAGATTAAGAGAATGGAGAAAAAAAACATTCAAAAGTGAGAAAGGGCCATATTATAAAAAAACAAAATAAGCTAAAATTGATGGTTAGAAATGAATGATTGAAAACAATTAAAAACAAAAATGAAATAAATTATCGATATATATTTACATTTTTCTTCTTTTTTTCCTTTTATTCTTTTTTTTTGAGGGCTATAATTGGATTCAGTTAAATTTTAAAATTATTTATTAGGAATTCAATTTCTTCATTTTCCATCAACTCTAATTCATTAATCTGTTGTTGTAGTATGTCTTGGTCTTCATGATGAATAGTATTATTCTTTATATTTTCTTGTATCGGTTTTTTATTAGAAAACTCTTCCCAGAATGAATCGTCATCAGAATCAGAAATAAAATCATCGTCATAAAAATCGTTATCATGGTTATCCTTATTGAAGTTATCGTTAATATATGCACTTTTGCTATTTATACTATTGCTATTTTCTGCCGTATCATTGTCATTTTCGTGATCATCAAAGGTATCTAATAAAATTCTTTGTCTTTCATTATCCTCGTCAGCTATTCTCTTAAGAAATTTTTGTTCAAGTTGATGATCTTTATCCAATATATCCTTTTCCATTTTTGTTAGACCGCCTCTTTTGTTCAATATAAATTGCTCTCTCTTTTCTTTTCTCAATTTTGTTGGGGACACATTCAAAACTTCGTTTCTGAATCGACTGATATTTGTGGAGGAAGTCTTCCTTATTGGAGACGAATTCAAAAATCTTCTTGGATTGGATCTTCTGTGATCATTATCAGCACCACTGTCATCATCATCTGTATCATAAAAACTCGAAAAATTGTAGGCTTTTCGTAAGGGAGAGGTCATGGGGTCTCTGAATGCCCTGATTCTCCTGGACTGCCTCTGCTCAATGTCAGTAAAAATATCTCTCTTGATCTTAGGCAACGCCATGACTGCAATTACTTCTATTGCATTTGCTGATAACAAAAGCTCATCTCCAACAGCAAAACTTTGAAACAACTTCAAAAAAAATAATAACGCGAAAACGCTGAGACCAGCTGGAGGGATCTTGTTAGAACCCCCAATGTGGGGTCTAGATTTTAGACCCTCATTGCAATGTTTGTACTAGAGTTTAATATATGCGTTGTATTGCAGTGGCATGCCTCATTGACTTTTTTGTGCTGGATATAACTGTTTCTTATCTTAAATTGATTGTGAAAGTGTTGATTCCTGAAGATAGATAATTGTAGACATGTAAAAACATTAGAGATGATGGTTTGAGCTTAGAAGAAAAGTAAATAAATTTAACAAACAAAAAAAAACATAAATGCATAAATGTTCATTAGAGATAGTTATAAACTATATATAATCACCAATCACAACATGATCTGACTGGAAATAAAAATAAACTATTTCTCGAAGGACAATTCAATCTCTTTGCTATTTAATATTTGAAAAAGTATATCCTTTTTGACTTTGTTTTTTTCAGAAATTCGTTTCATCCTAACAATAGATAAAACTATCAAGGCCAATACTTTAAACTTCTTTCTTGGTGGCTGTATTTTGGAGAAATTACAATCAATAACCAAAATATTTTCCAAGTTTGAATTTAGTTTTGAGCTTTCATTAAAGAATAACTCCAAAATTCCAGGTTTAAATAGTAAGTTTGTATTGATGTTATTATTGATTCCAACTTTGTTTATTGCATTTGAATATGAATTGTTGAATGGTAGCTTATTTTCTATTATTGAGTTTTCATCATTAGAATATAATACAGAATTCATAAATGAGTCCTCAAAATTATTTGATTCATTGATAGAATTGATTGGTGATTTAAATGTTGTTGATAATGATTTATTAATTAAAATTTGGGTTGTAGAATCAATCTTTTTTTCTGTTTCTATTTCTCTTTCTGTTACATTGTGATCATGTCTACTTTTATTATCGCCATTGGCTAAAATATTCAGTCTACTGACTAGATTTTCTGTTATTTCATAATTGTTACTTTGGTTATTAAAACTATTATCTAGCTGATAATTTTGGTACAGTTGATTTGCTTCATTAGCACTATTTAAAAATGATTGTTCATATTGTGTCAAGTTTAATTCTCTTTCCCATTGATCTTTCTCAATTTGATAATGATTGTCATCAATACCGGAACTTTGATTGTTATTATTATTTGGGATACAACTGTTCATTTTAAATAATCTTATTAACCAATTCATATGCGAATTTTTTAAAGAGTATAAATAGAAGTCATTTATATAAATTAACGAATTAAATTTTTTCAATAATCTATTATATTTATACTTAAAATAGTTATTTTCTTTAAATAATTTCAATGAGCTATTTTTAAGATTGGTTGAATAATCAATTAAATTATTATTGTCAGCTTCTAACTGATTTAACTTTTTATTTAATGTTTTAATTTGTAGGCTCAATTCAGCATTTTTAAATCGTAATTGGTTTTGTTCATTTGTAAAATTTAATGATGAGGTATTGTTGTTTTCTAGAAATTTGCTCCTTTCAAGCTGAAATACCTTTTTTTCGTCGTCTAAATTAGATTTTTCTAATACTAACTGAGTTTTCAAATTTTGTAAAGCAATTTTTTCTTTCTCTAAATCATTCAATAAATTATTTAAATTAGAATTACCTTTAATAATAGTATTTTTAGATTGCAAATTATTTTGAGAATTAATATTTGTTAATGAGTTGAATTTTTTGAATTTAAATGTATCCTCGTTTTCAGTAGTATATTCGTTTGTTAAGTTATTTGAATTGTTACGTAGTAAATTCTGACTTGTACTGGTGTTATTAATGTTATCTGTAATATCTATAGCATCATTTTTGTCCTTGTTAATCTTATTATCAATGCTGATGCTGTTATGACTGATATTGCCGTTATTTTTAGAAGTTTTCAAGCTTGGTCTAACTATCGAATTCAAATCAGAAGAAATACTTTTTTTCAAATTTCTTAAAAAGAAATTATTATCAGAATTTAAATGATTCAAATCCTTTCTAATTTCTTTCATAAAGCCATCCATAGAATTTGAATCATCAATATTTCCAACATTTTCCTTCCCTAGATAATTTAATTTGTTGTTGTAATTGTAATTAGTGGCATTGACATTAGCATTGTTTAACTTGGGAGTTGATGTGTTATTTGAATTTTTCAAAATGTTCAAAGCAGTATCATTAAAATCATTATTGGCACTACCACTATATTTATTGCTATTATTATTGTTGCCACTTTTTGGTTTATTTTTTATATTTTCATTCAAAGATAATTTTTCCAAATCCAATTTAGCTAATGTTTCTTTCAACCTTAAATTTTTCAAAAGCTGAGATTGATCCTGTGAATTATTGAGACTGTTCTGAAAAGAATAGCTAAAAGACAAAGAGGTGGGTGTGTCATAGGGATTTTTTATTCTTGTAGACTGGTTTTGCATCATGTTGAGCTGAAGTTATCAAACTATATCAGAGTCTGGACGTGATAAGCTGTTGATGAGGCCCAAAAGGTTTATTTATATTTGGTTGAATTGGGAAGAGGTCTGGGTTTGTGGCCGCTGGAAGTCCGCTGGTTCGGCCTTAACTATGTAATTTGGACGTTGCATGACCGCGGTGCCCTTTATGCGTCTATCTGCTTTTATTCGCAAATTGTATGTATATAGCTGTATTTGCACGCACCTAAAGTGGTCTATCCACACGGATGGATTTTATTGAGATTTGACAGATTTAACAGAAGAGAGCAAATAGTTCTTTTCTTGTTGATTATTGGTTTGGTAGACGTCCTATTTCTTGATTGATTAGCAGACTGGTTTAAAGGAGCTACTTACAGACAGGATACAGTACATGCATTTATGGGCGATGACTAGCTACCATTCTTCACACACAGCTTCACAGCATGATGCTCAATTGGATATGTTCAAGTGTCATTCTTGCAAGTTACCAATCAATATCCATCCAACGCTATTGAATTTATCTAATGCCCATCAAAATATTTTGCTAAATGGGTTGGCCAACAGTTATAGCGATAATGGGGATGACAGCGATAACCATCATTCCCTGTATTATTTTGGCCTAGAGTCCGATGATGATTCCACTACAAATCAAAATGAGATGGACCCTGAAATTTACAGTAATACCTTCAAATTACAAGATGATAGGTTTGAAACATTTACTCTTGCAATGGGTCATACATCTGAAAACTATTTGGAACAGCAAACGCTTAATATGGACAATTTTGAGATCAATAGTCCAATCCAAATCCATAATGCAAAAACCGGTCAAAATGATTCAAATTTATTAAGTACAAATTTTAATTCAAATAACTCTTTGATCAAGATTTTTAATAAACTATCTTTAAACTCGGATATTGATTACCCAATTTGCAATAATTGTTCCAAATCAATCATATCAAATTTTAATAATCAGTTGAGTGAATTAAACAGCGATAAATTATCATATATTAATTTTTATAGAACTTTAACCTCAAAAAATATGCACAATACAAATGATAATAATTATGATAACAATAATATTGAAAATGACGGTGGTCAAAGCAACTTTGATAATAAAATAAACCAAGTGATAAATGAATATGATGATTTGAATAATAAATACATTCAATTAATGAATGAATTACAAAACTATGAACTTCAAACCCAAAAAGTTGATAATGAGATTGCTAATATATTGGATCAATTATCAACATTAAACTCCGTAGAGTTGGATTTACTCAAGTTTAAAAACTTATTTTTCTTGAGAATATTAAATTCTTTTAATAAAAAGAATTTTATAAATCAAATTTTGCTAAATAAAAAAATGACTCTTAACAAGTTGATTAAAACAAACGTTTTTAATGATATTTTTAATATATCTCATAACAATTATAAATTTGCTGTTATTAATGGGTTTAGATTGGGCAATATCAAAAGCGACAAAGTCCAATGGTTTGAGATAAATTGTGCAATGGGTGAAGTTGTTCATTTGTTATATTTTATTATAAACTATTTAAATTTATCAACAGGTCCATATCTATTAAAGCCTCTAGGTTCATTTTCGGTGATTGAAATTGATAATGTTAATAATAATTCAAATGGCCATGCAAATACCAGTGATAACAATGAAATTTTAAGCTGTTATTCGTCTGGAAATTCTCAATTTGAAAGATTATTAATATATAAAAAATTTGACGCTAGTTTAGTTACAATATTACATATAATTTTGTTAATATTAAAAGAGCTTCAAAAGTTCAAGCCCAATTTTAATGGTAATATTAGGGGCAGTGCTAGTAATAGCAATGAGATTGATGAAAATGATGTCAATATTAATAATAATAATAGTAATAATAGTAACAATAGTTTTAATTTCCAAAACAAATTGCCATATAAAATCGAAATTTATGAAAGTAAGAAAAAACAAAACAAAATATCTAGCGGTGATCCAAGTTTTAACAATTTAAACAATTCAAATGAATTGGATTTCCGTTTTAATAGCCCATATCATTTAAGTGGAGAAATTGGAGGAATTAGTATTAAATTGGGATCAAAATTATATGATGAAGAATGGACAATGGGTTGCAAATTTTTATTGACTGATTTAAAATATATTCTTGCATGTGCAAGCAAAATAATATTGAATGGTAATTGAGTTGAATTAATTGTGTATTATGATTGTATTTAGTTTAATTATTTGATTGGTAAAGAGGTTAAATTTATATTTACAATGGAAAAGAAGTTGGGAAATGAGTGCAAAGAGACGACTAAATAGTTAAGAATTCTAGTTTATTAAGAATAAAAAAAAAAAATAAAAAATTGGTAGTATTCTAATTTTTGGGAATGTGATCAAATGCTTGATTGAATTTTTCTACAACTTGAACTATTTCAGTAAAAGTATTATATAATGGAGTTGGAGCGAATCTGATAACGTTTGGTCTTCTTTCATCACAAATTATTCCGTGGTTCCAGAGATAATTAAAGACTGATTTCATTATGTTATTTTTCGAGTTCAAAGGAAAAAATAATAGAGATAATTGACAGCCTCTTTGATCAGGATCGAATGGAGTTAGAATAGTGAATGAAGGGTAGTCTATTTCGTCTAAATGTGCTTTAGATGATTTGAAAAAGGATGGATCGATATAGTGTTGGGAGTCCCTTAATAAGTTTAATAAAAAGGATGATTGAAGTTTTGATTTTTCTACTAAGTTATGAAACCCAATTTGATTAAAGATTTCCAAAGAAGTCTTGAGGGAAACCACATCAATGACAGAGGGGTTACTTTGTCTAAAACCAAGAGCACCTGAAATTGGTTCGAATTTTTCAATCATTTGAAATCTTTTCGAGGCATCATTTCCCCACCAGCCTGCTAATCTTGGTAAATAGTCAGTATTGGGTTGATTTTTATCGTTGTTTTGATTGACTTTTGAGTATTTTTCATTGACATAAATACCGGCTATTGAACCAGGACCTGAGTTTAGATATTTATAAGAGCAAAAACAAGCGAAATCCACATCCCATTGATGTAGGTCTAGGGAGACATTACCTACACAGTGAGCCAAATCCCAGCCGATTTTAATGTCATAGTCGTGGGCGACTTTGGTAATGTTTTGAATATCGAAAAATTGGCCAGTATAGTATTGGATGCCGGGAAAGCAGATCAAAGCAATTTCGTCGTGTTTTTGAGTGATTAGATCAACAATATCGCTAGTGTTTAGATGGAACTCGTTTTTTTTTGGGGCAATTTGTAAAAGATAGTCTTCAGGATTTCCAGGTAAGTTGTGTAATCTAACTTGGTTTAAGAAAGCATAATAGTCCGAGGGAAAAGCGCCTTTTTCAAATAAGATTTTGTTCTTCTTGCCATTGGTTTCTGGTTTATAAAAAGCACATAGTAATGCGTTCAAATTGGAGGTCAAGGTGTTCATGACAGCAGTTTCGTTGGCTGTTGTACCCAACAAAGAGGTCAACAAATCAGGAAGAGTTAGGTCGATGTCCATCCAGTTGACTCCATCGGAACGAGGATGGTTGAAATGAGCATCAACAGCCCTCAGACTCCAGGCATCAAGCTCGTTGTTGATAGCATCTCTTGTTTTGCGAGGCATCAAGCCTAATGAGTTTCCACAGAAGTATATGCAGTCGCTGGAGGCCTCAGAGGCAGCGACAGGGCAGCCGAGAGAGCCCAAGGTGGGAACGTGAAAGAGGTGCTTGTGGATAGGATAGCTCTGGTCCCAACGAGCAGCTTTATCGAGCAGCTGGGAGAGGGAGAGTGAGGCCATGTTGGAGGTGGTTTTGTGTTGGAGGAGTTCTGGTTTTGGGTGCAGATATAATCGATGAAAATACGACGGCAGTTTCCGGATCGGGCCATGGAAGGTTTGCCTCTGTGGAAGAAAAGAAGCAGCTGGGTCTTCAGCTCCAACTGAACAGGCACTGGCTAGCAATTGGGTTCTGGCGTTGGTTCTGTGGGCAATTGGTCTTCTGTTGTTTGTGGCAGGCGTTTGTGTGGTACTGTGGTTTGTCGTCTTGTTCTGACAATGTCAAAGGTTCCCTTGACTCAGCTGGAAGATGTTCTGCGATTGACAAGCAACTTCGATTTCTTTGATTCAGCTGGCCTTGATCTGGGAAGCGAAGCTAGCAATGGTGCTGAAAATGACTTTGTAAACGATACCAGGGACTTTGCAACCGAAGACTGCTATGACGAGTCAGCTATTATCAGACCTCTCACTGGCTGTGGAATTGGCAGTGCAAACTTGACTGTGAATACCACTTTCAGCTCGAAAGTCTCTCCATCCTCAAACTCAATTGTCAGAGATATTTGCCATCCAGACATTGGCATTCTTGATAGCAACGAATTCATAAGCAATTCCATCAACTCCATGAGCAATTCCTGCTACAACTATTCGGTCAGCAACATCACCAACAACTCAATTGACACTCAAAACAACACAATATCCCCTGCAGTGTTGTTCATTGACAATACTGAAAATTTGGAGTTTTTGAAATCTTATAAATCAGGTAACGACTATTTCAAATCGTTTAAAAATGTCTATGATCTTCCAAACTTTAATCACAAAAATGTCCAGAGTAAACAATTGGCCAAACCCAATGATAAGCTCAATTCTTATCCCAATAAGAATAATCTCGACAATTCTGACAAAAAATTTGAATTTTTCAACCAAGAAAATGAAAGTTGCAATTACAACAACTACAATTATGACTACAGTTTTAACCATCATTACAATTGTAACTACAACTACAATTTTATAGATTATGGCTATATCAATGATGAAAACAACGATATTAATGAAAGTATCAACAACACTTTTGACAATACTGGATACACCTGCGATCTTACTGACATTAATAACTTGGATAATATTTTAAATGATACAAAACAATTATACTCAAGTGATTATTCTAATCCTTCTAGTGACATTGATGATGATCATAATGATGATTACAATGACAAGTTTAATTTTGGCGAACCAAATCAATTGGATGACTTTAAGAATAATGTATATTTTGAAATAAATTCATCTCCAATTAATCATAATTATAACGAAAAATATTACTATAATACTTCTTATAATACTACTACTACTACTACTACTACTAATAATAATAATAATAATAATAATAATAATAATAATAATAATAATAATAATAATAATAATACTGATAATACTGATATTGATATTGATATTGATATTGATAATAACTTTAGTAATAATAGAGACAATTATGATACTACAATTAAAAAAAACAAAAAGATTCTAAAGACTGGTAATCAAAATGATAAATCCATTAAAAATGACAATAAAAATGGAAATAGAAAAAGAAATAAAACTCAAAAATATAAAATAAAAAATAGAAATAACAATAAAAATAAACATAATAAAAATGACAACAAACAGGTTCATAATGGAAATGAAAATGAAAAGGAAAACGCAAATAATAATCGTAGTATTAAGGTTAAGAATGAAATTGAAATTGAAATTGAAAATTATAACTATAATTCTGATTGCAATAATGATTATAAAAACGTAAATCAAATTGATATGAAAGAAACTGAAATTAAAAATAAAATAGAGAAAATAGAGAACGAAACTGATTTTTTTGATGATGAGGAAAATAAGATTAAAAAAGATAATCATAATGAAACTGGGAATGAAAAAAAACACAAGAATAATAATAATAACAAAGAAGAAGTAAAAAAGAAAGGTGGAAAGAAAAAGAAAAGACAAATTGAAAATAAAAATACAACTCAACAAAGAGATGGAGTTGAAGAATCCTATTCTCGTATGCCATCAGCATATAGAACTAGATCTAAAATGGTATTGATGCATAATAAAGTTAAAACCCGTAAGATTCTCAATCAAAGTGACAAAGAGCATTTTAAGAATTATTTTGAAAGTTCTGATACCAACTCTAGCAGTGTTAATGAAAATGTAATTATCGAGAGATATTGTCATGGAAACTGTAAAAAAAAAAAATTAGAAAGCAAATTGGAAAGCAAATTGGAAAAAAAACTAGATAAAAATGAAAAACAAGAAATTTTGAACATGAGGGATTTAAACAGTGATAATATAATTGATAATATAAAAAAAAGAAAACGAGGACCAAAGGCAAAAAATAATTACTATAACGACAATTACAATTACAATGATGATGAGGACGATGATGATGATTTTTCTGATTACACAGGCGATATCAACAAATGCTACTCATTAAGTAATAAAAGAAAAAAATTAAAAAAGAACAGGGGACCCAGATCGAAAACAGGATGCTGGACATGCCGGTTAAGAAGAAAAAAGTGTCCAGAGGAGAAGCCAATTTGCTCGCAATGCACCAGGTTAGGATTGAGGTGCGATGGATACTCGGAAGAAAGACCAAAGTTCATGTACGATACAAAAGAACAGAAAAAGAGATTAAACGAAATCAAGGCGCACACAGGGAAGACCAGACGACTCGAAATCAAGCGAAGACATGAGGAGATGAGAAACAAGAAAAGCTGCCAGAGATAAGCAGTCTGAAACTGTTATTGCTATATTATATTTGCACAAGTTATATCACACTACTGCACTCGCTACTGACTGTCTCTTTGGGCGCATGTAGAACCGGCAAAAAGATGCCTTCAGCCAGATTCGAACTGACGATCTCCTCATTACTAGTGAGGTGCCTTACCAACTTGGCCATAAAGGCGCCCATGGTTTCCGGTGTTTCTCCGGAACTATGGCCCGGAGCTCGTGCATTTACCGGAACTAAGCAACCTGGAAATGAGCTGAAGAGCAGCTCTTTTCATCTCCTTCTTATTCCTCACAAGCAGCAGAGTCTGAGGTATGTGAGCTTCGCTGGCTGGTCTTCCAGCTGGAGAACGTGTTTTGTTGTTGTTTCTGCTTCTTTCTTCCTGGGCGATGTGCGATGCTGGATCTGGGCAAGAGGGCCCTGTGACGCTACTATCTAAACAGTTATCTCGACACTACTCAACAGTTATCTCTCGCTGGCATGCCATCGTGGGCAGAGCTGTGATCGTGAAACAGAAGGCTTGAAAATGAGAGCAGCAGTTGTTCTAAAAGACAGTACCAGAGTGTCTGTTGAAGGCTGTCCTTTTTTGTGTTTTACCTTTTTGCTTTTTTGCCCTGATATCTGACTTCTGCTAAAAGGTCTCCTGTGTTGTCTGCCTGAGTTTATCCTATTTCATGTTTTCTGATCCAGTCTGATCTGTTTTGATTCATCGTCTTTTTGTTTCTGATACATTGTTCTATTCTACTTTTTGTCTTTGATCTCTTTACTAACTTATCACAGCACCTAATCGTTATTTCAGCTATCGTCAGCCACAATTTCCCATTTAAGGTTTGCAGATCACAAGCCACAAATCAAAATCACAAATCAAAATCGCAATTCTGAATTTATCAACTCCTCAACTTTACCATCTTTGAAATACAAACACATATCTATATCCATTATCTATATCGATTTTCGTATCTACATTCACCATATATCCAATTTCAAACCAAAAAAATGTCCATCTCAAGAGGCAGATCCTCTTCAAAAATCGATTTACAAAACCTCAACAACAACCTATATGTGGCAAATATGTTTAATGATATTAACGACAACGATCCTCCAGAAATGAATAACGATCCTGTTTATTTCAGAAGTTCTCATAAGAAACTATACTCAAAAAAAAATCTACAATTCACCGCCAAATCAAAAGCACATCCTAAATCTGCTTCTTATGGAAAAAATCTAAACAAATTGTCTTTATTAACCGGTAATAACACCAATAATAACAACAATACTAATACTAGTCTTGCTCCTTTATCCAAAATCAAATCCCATGACCCTAACCTCTCAAACTTAATTTCTAGTAATGTCAACTCAAAAAGTAATTCAAGTATTGTATCAAACACAAATTCAAATTCAAATAACGATCTACTATTATACAGAGCTAGATCAAGATCAAAACCAAAATTCCATCTTACTACTAATAACCAAACATCTATTCTATTAAACAAAATCAATAACAATAACAGTAATTCCAACACTAATATTAATAGTTCAAACAACAACAACAACAATAATTCGCTGAACAACATTGTAAATAACCAATTGGTTAAAACTATTTTAAACTCAAAATACCCCAAAAAAAACAGTAAAAATAACATCAAAAAACTTTCTAATAATATAAATAATATCAACAATTTAAATATCAATAGACACAGCACAATAAGGCTAAAAAACAAACTCAAAAATGAGGCAAAAGAAAAAATTTTTCCAGCTTTTGATATTGGTTCCTTTAATGATCACCATGGCATTGATCATTCCGATAACAATTCAGATTATGAAGATTACGATTCTTCTAATGATTCATCAGCAGAATCTGATTCTCGGTATTCTATAGATACCGATAACAAAAGCACTAAAAGCACCAATTATTCAAATGCTAAAAGCGAATTAATTGAATCAATGCCTCACAATAATAATAATAATAATAATAATAATAATAATAATAATAATAATAATAATAATAATAATAATAATAATAATAATAATAATAATAATAATAATNAATAATAATAATAATAATAATAATAATAATAATAATAATAATAATAATAATAATAATAATAATAATAATAATAATAATAATAATAATAATAATAAGAATCATAACAGCAATGATCAAATTAAAATTAAACCCCAACAAAAAAACAGTTCTAATGATAATGATAAAAATACTATTCTTAATACTAAATCAAATAATCAAACAAGTGATTCTACACATGAAATTGATCAAACTTCTACAAAATCCTCAGACTCAACTAAAATAGTAACAATATCAAATTTATCCATTGCAAATGTTAACAAGAATCAAAATAAAAATCTAGTTGATATTAACAGCAAAATTTTAAATAAAAGCCCAATTAATAATACTAACAATATTAAAAATATTAAAAATACAATTGATGATATCAAAAATCAGAAAAGAGTAGATGAACAAACAAATAAGATAATCATCAACAATACAACTTCTGAAACTGAGAACAAAAATATTAAAATCCCGAAGAATGACCAAAACACTAACACCAAAGAAGCTAATATTAATAGTAATAAAAATCAAATCAATTTCAAAAACATCTCTGTTATTGTTGAACCAATGGAAAATAAAGCTAATATAAATCAAGATTTTATCAATAGCCTCGAAAACAATAACCTTATCGAAGGAACCAATAAGTCCGATGAAAAAAATAACACTATTGAACCTAAAGGCGTTCAAGAAATGAAAATTAAAGAAAATGGCACAAAGGAAAGTCAGATAAAGGAAAATCAAGATACAATAGAGGTAAAAATTGCTAAACCTACAACTTTCAAATCTCAGTCAACTGATGAGGCTAAAAAAATCATAATTAATAGAGATAACATCACAAAATCTGTTCCAACTAATGCTACTTTGAAAGGGCTTGCAAAAGCATCTACATCAGATCCTTTATTCAATAAAGAGAGATTAAATATCAACATGAATATTTCTCAGCAAATTACAAATAAAATTAACAACCAAATCAACCAACCTTCATCTCCTGTTTCAACAATTAATCTAATAAATTCTTTTTCTCCCAATTTCAAAACAGGCTCACTTCATTTAAACAATAATTCGTACAAAAATTTATCTTCAACCTCAAATGAGATTGCAAACGTTAATATAGAAGGTAAAAATGATGATGGTTCAGACAGAAACAAAATTACAATTGATGATAAAATAAATAAGAACAAATACAACACCAAAAATATCAATCAACTAAAGGATTCATTATTTGAGTCTTTTAATAATATTGCCGTTAATTATAGTTCTGATTCAAACAACAATAACTCTCTTAAACTTTCTAAAGAACGTAATAATAATGCTGATGTTAGCAGCAAAAATAGGTCACCACCTAAAAATTACCCATCAACTCCTGCAGCTTCTAAATTCAATTCAATTTTCAAGCTTGAAGCTTTTTTAACTAAAAAATCACCAGCTGTAACCTCTGGAATTACAAACGTCTCCAATGTTTCCAATGCTTCTAATACCTTACCCCTGTCAAGGAAAATAAATAGAATTGAGTCCCGTACTCAAATGAGATTGAATTTGCAAAGAATGTCAATGACAAATAAATCTACAGTCTCAATTCATGGTGTTCCAAGCAATTTCAATATTTCATCAATAACTGATAGTGACTCAAAAGATTTGCGGACTCTTCAGAAAAGACAGAATTATTCTATTGTTGATTTGGGATTAAACGAAACTGTGTTTTTAGGTTATTCAAAATTAAGGGCTTATGAAAATCCTTTGTTAAACTCATTAAACTTGTTAAATAAATTGGAAGAAAATTACAAAGACTTGGATATTGCAGATAAAATAGAAATTGATGGAGACAAGAGACGCAAAAGGCTATTAGAGAAGAAATTAGAGCGATTAAAAGATAAAGAACAACAAGATCATCAAGAAAGTGAACTGCTAGAGCCAGAAACGATGTCTCAAAAACTTCAAACAAAACAACAACAGCAACAATTGAAGCAAGCACGACTACAAGAACAGCAAGAGAACCAATTTAAGTTTTCTTCGTCTTCATCATCCCCTTTAAAAAGCATTGATAGAACTAAAAGCAGCTCCAGTAACGAATTTGATTCTGAGAATTATTTTAATCAAAGTTTATTGGCAATCAAAAATACTTATGATTTGTACGCCACTACCAGTAATGCGACTACCCATAAACATGATAAATTAAAACCTAATCCTTCATTGCAGTTAAGAAGAACAGCTTCACAGATATCGTTTTTTAATCCCAAAAAAACATATAAAGCTACTAAAAAACATGGTTACAATGAAGATTCACAGTTCATTGACGATATTTTGGAAGATGACTATAGTGATTTATTTGTAGCCTTCAATGATTTTAAAGATAAATATCTCAAAGGAGTTGGAGTCAATGTGGAGGCTGAATCACCTATGTCCTATGAAGAGTTGCAAGAATTGGTACCTACAAATCCAGTTAAAGACCTTTGTGCATCCCCTTTAGAATTTTATCAAAAACAACAGGCTGATAAAAATAGAAATAACAGCACAACCAGTTTAAGATCCAACATGAACAGAGCTTCTAATGTCCAACAACACAGAACTATGAATGCTGCCATGATGAATAGAGCTATGCAACAACAACAGAGGTCAAATAACCAAAACAACTACTATCAAACCAACAACAACTTATATGGTCCTAATGCTCCAAGAACTAGGGCAGTCGGAAATCGAATGAATCAGCAACAGCAACAGCAACAACAACAGCAACAGCAGCAACAACAACAACTTGCTCAATATCAACAAGGTGGAATGCAACAGCAACAACAACCGCAGCAGCAATTTCCGCCTTACCAACAAAATGGAATGCAACAACAAAGAATACTACGATTCCAAAGACAGTCCCAGCAACAGCAGATGCAGCGCATGCAACAGCAGCAACAGCAGCAACAGCAATTCCAGAATCAACAACCGCTGCAGATGCAAAGAATGGCTTCTCGATAGAATTTTGTATTTTGGATATATTATACGAACTTTATTTTTTCACGTTTCAACTTACATTATTTTTTTATGGCTTTTACTAATTATTAATGCTTAATTTGTTTTTTTAGTGTATAGTATTTTTTTATAGTTGAATAGAAATAAAGTATGTTATTTATAAATGTGGATATCTATATTAAGGATTGAAAATAAAAACATGAAAACAGAAAGACTTCACAACTATTTAAAACTCAAAATTCACCAGTATCAACCAGAACACATTTCACAAGCTTCGGGATTGTTGATTGAGCAAGCAATGACTTTCGAGTTATAGATGTTGACTTCTGTGTCTTTGCCAGTTCTGGTCGACTCACTGGAAGCTGGAGAAGCTGCCAGGCTCTCGTTTGTGGTGGAAACACTCCCAGACACAGACAAATTTGAAACATCTTTTTCCAATTCAGCAGCTGGTGCAGATGCAAAAAAAGCAGGCTCGCTAATTGCCATGCTTTTAGTAGGGCCCTGGGATTCAAACTTCTCAACGTACTTTTTGAATTTCAATTTGTGCAACTGAGCCTGGATATCGCCAGCAGTGGCAGCTTCCTTCTCGTCAATGGTAAACTGAATGGCAGCAGAGGCAGCTTGTGTTCTCAAATAGTACATTCCTGTTTTCAATCCTTTTTTCCAGCCGTAGAAGTGCATGCTTGTCAATTTCCCCATTGTTGGAGCCATTATGTGTATGTTTAGAGACTGAGATTGATCAATAAATGGAGATCTATCAGCAGCCATATCAATGATGGTCTTTTGGGATAATTCCCACACAGTCTTGTACAAGTCTTTGAGTTTTTGAGGAATGTTGGGAAGATGCTGAATGGAACCGTTATTGGCAATAATTGACTCCTTCATAGCATTTGACCAGATGCCCATAGCTACCAAATCCTTCAAGAGATAGGGATTGACAATTTGAAATTCACCGGCCAAAACACGACGAGAGTAAATGTTTGAGGTGTAAGGCTCAAAGCACTCATTGTATCCAAGAATTTGAGAAGTGGAAGCTGTTGGCATTGGAGCAACTAACAATGAATTACGCAAACCAAATTTTTTAATCTTTTGTTTTAGTTCATCAAAGTCCCATAATTGAGTGGGTTTTCTTCCCCACAAATCAAACTGCAAAAGACCCTTTGATGTAGGAGAACCCTCAAAGGTTTCATAAGGACCATCAATTGCAGCAAGTTCGGTCGAGGCCTCAACAGCAGCATGATATATTGTTTCAAAAATCTGGATATTTAACTTTTTGGCTTCAGGTGAATCAAAAGGCATTCTTAATATCATAAAAGTATCCGCTAAACCCTGGACACCAAGAGCAATTGGTCTATGTCTAAGATTTGATTTTTCAGCTTCTGGGACAGGATAATAGTTTCTATCAATAACTTTGTTAAGATTTTTAGTAAGAACTTTAGCAATTTCATGTAGCTTTCCAAAGTCATACCAGGAATTACTATCATCTTGAGAAATAAAAGCAGGCAAAGCAATTGATGCTAAATTACAAACTGCTACTTCATCAGGATCAGAATATTCGACAATTTCACAGCAAAGGTTGGATGATTTAATAACACCAAGATTTTTTTGATTGCTTTTTGCGTTACAACTGTCTTTATAAACCATAAATGGAGTACCGGTTTCAGTTTGGGCATCTAAAATGGCAGCCCATAATTTCTGGGCTTTGACAACTTTTCTTGTCTTACCTTGTTTTTCATATGATTCATATAGTTTTTCGAATTCGTCGCCATAACAATCACTCAATCCAAGAGCTTCATTTGGAGAAAATAGCGACCAGTCTTGATTTTTTTCGACTCTTTTCATGAACAAGTCAGGAATCCATAAAGCAGGAAATAGATCTCTTGCTCTAATTTCTTCTTTTCCATGATTTTTTCTAATGTCGATGAATTCGAAGATATCAGAGTGCCAAGGTTCAAGATAAATAGCAAAAGCACCAGGTCTTTTATTTCCACCTTGATCAACATATCTAGCAGTCATGTTATAAACTCTTAACATGGGAATGATACCATTTGAAGTACCATTAGTGCCAGCGATGTATGACCCAGTGGATCTGATGTTGTGAATATGTAAACCAATCCCACCAGCGTACTTTGAAATTACAGCCATTTGAGATAAAGTGTTGAAGATACCATCAATAGAATCGTCTTTCATAGCAACAAGAAAACATGAAGACATTTGAGGTCTTGGAGTACCTGCGTTGAATAAGGTGGGCGAGGCATGTGTAAAGTATTTTAGGGACATATAGTTATAAGTTTCTAAAACCTTTTCAATGTTATCACCATGGATACCAATAGACACTCTCATTATAAGATGTTGGGGTCTTTCTGCAACCTGACCGTTAATCCTTAAGAGATAGGATCTTTCTAAAGTTTTGAAACCAAAATAGTTGTAATTGAAATCTCTGTCATAAACAATGGAAGAATCCAACTCATCAGCATTGGCCATAACAATATCATAAGTGTCCTTTGAGATCATAGAAGCATTTAGGTTTGTTTTTGGATCAATATAATAATATAAGTCTGAAATAACTTGAGAAAATCTTTTCACAGTTTGCTTGTGCAAATTTGATATAGCAATTCTAGCAGCCAAAATAGCATAATCAGGATGAACAGTGGTCAAATAGGCAGCTGTTTCAGCAGCCAAGTTGTCTAATTCAACGGTAGTGACACCATTATAAACACCAGAAATAACTCTCTGGGTTATTTTAACAGCATCAACATGGTTGGCATCCAAACCATAACAGAGCCTCGATACTCTGGCAGTAATTTTATCAAAACGAACGCGTTCTTTTGATCCATTTCGTTTATAGACAAACATGGTGGGAATCAGGCAAGATTAAAGAAGGATAATTCGAAAAGTTGGAAGAAATTAGTTGAAGGAAATTAGTTGGAAGGATATAGTTGAAAATAGTATTAGTAATGCTAAAGGTATAATTTATGACGGATAAGTCGATAAATCTATAGTATAGTTGAAGTAAGGAGAAGTCAAGAAAAGAACCTCCTGATTTAAACGAAGAATAAGAGGATGTTGAGCAAAAGAGAAGCAGGAACTGAGAATTCAAAAGCAAAAGAAAAAAGATAAGAAGAATAATATCTTTAAATAGGAAACTATTGTTTTGGTGATAAATTCGTAATGATCTGAACGACGCGTAAACTTTTTGGGTTTTTGGAAAATTCCCAAAACGACAACACTGTTCACCCCGTCCATTTCTCACAGGGAAAGCGCGTGACTTGAAATCCAAAAATGGAAAGGCAGTGGGGGAGCTTTTCTGTCCGCTAACATGGTTGTGTTCGCCATGTTCGCGAGTCTCCTCGAGTTTTTTCAGTCTATGAGATTGTTGATTTTGTAGGTCACAAAGGTGTCAACCTTGTGGTTGGAGGTGCTGAAGCTTCGAAATCCCACTGTTTCTCCTCCGTTTTTGATTTCCTTGTCGTCGGAGTCGATCCACTCGCTGGGAATGTTTTTGGTGTTGGAGTTGGCATACACCAAGACGTTGAAGGTGTGAGGTCCTTCCAACACCGGCAAAAATGTAATGGAGGCAGTGATCTGTCTTATGATGGCCTGGATCTCCTGTTGTATTTCTTCCTTGCTTTTGTTTGTGTTGTTGACGTGTTCCTTATCTGGCATGGGTTCGTCCATTTCTTGATCAAGATTTTTGTTATTGAATATTTCAACATCGAATTCCCATCTCTCGACAGGCTCGTCGTTTGTTTTGTCTATAATTGCCACAATTAGCTTATTTATCTTCCCATTGTAAATCCACTTGTTCAATTGGCTCAATATCCTTCGAATGTAGGCCTTCACTTCTTCGTCGGTCGAAATTAGCATGTATAGTCCGTATTTCTTGACCATTTTAAAATCATCTGGGGGATATATTCCTCGTTGATACAAAATGGAGTTGATACTGTAATCAAAAAAATCTGACACAATTTTCGACGAGCCCTTCAATGCCAACTTGGATCGGGTTGGAGGGCTCTTCCCTTTGTTAGTATCACCAGCGCAACCACCATTGTTGTTGCTATTTCCAATTCCAATTGCCTTCATCTCCCTAGCAGTGCTATGAGTACCAATTTCTTCTTGCACCGAGAGACTCTTTTCTTTTTCATCAAACTTTTGTCTCCCAAAGGAAATCCGCTGATCGTTGTGCCAAATCCGGACAACGGACACTAACAGCCACGCTCAGCACATCCGTATCCGCATTCCCAATTGGGCTTTTTGCTTATACTACTTTGAAGCATTGTAAAATTGCTTTCGAAACACTTTTACTAATTTGTTGATCAAGAATTATCAAATATTATCAAATATCAAATATATTCGCTTTTATTATAGTATTATTTGTATTTGCTAGGTTTTCTATGGGTTTCCACACCTTTTATGCTCGCCAGTACTGTGTCAAACTGTGCAACCGATCAATCACCATTGGTAAAAATGCGTTGACACTATCATTAATCAAGTTTTGAAAATGTAAAATAGCTTCTTCATCATTCATTTCAAGACAAAACTTCTCTTTCACTTTTAGTATTGCTCTATTTTTATCAATCTTGATGTCAGGAATGTTGGCTTCAATCATTAATTCAAATAAATTCAATATCAAATTACTGTTCTTCCTTAATATTAAAAAACTTGTAAAACAATAATTCTTGAAAATCTTAAAATTTTCATGATTCAATCCTCCCATTCCTTCAACTAACTGAATTGGCAACTTCATTAACGGTGGGAATGGTTTAGGATCTTGTCCTAATATATACCCAAAATCTGCATGAAAAAATTGCCCATTCAACGATATTAACAAATTATCTAGATGTCTGTCACCAACTCCCAAAATATACGTTATCACACAATATCCTGCACAAGATTTAATATATCTATCCATAACATGACTCTTAACTTTCAACTCTTCATGCTCATCATAGTTATTTTCTTGGAAAAATTTTAAAATTGAATGATACTCACTCAATACTTTATCTAGCGTTAAATTTGGAACAAACTCAATTGACCCATCAATGGGATTAGTTGATAGTATTTTATACGGTTTTAAATTCAAATTCAAATTCTCATTTTTCAACAACTGATCCATTAATTTAATAATTTGAATAACTAATTGATCCTGTCTTAAATCATCTCCGATTTTAAACATCATTGAATATTTTTCTCCTACTTTACTTGTCTCAAAGGTTAACTTTAATGGTGATAATGATGATTTAAAAACCGTGGATTCCTCAGGTATGATTTTCACCAATCGAATTGACGGATCTAATGGCAAAATTAACTGTTTATCACTTTTATTATTAGCATTAAATAAAAAATACTTCATTTCATTTTTAATCAAGATGCTTCGTAGTTTTTCAATTTTCTTGGGTGTTTCTTTAATATTTTTAACTTCAAGACAAATATTTCGAATACATTCAATGAATTCAACCTGTTTTTTCAATTCTATTAAATTTGTCATATTTTCGTTATTATTATTATTATTATTATTATTATTATTATTATTATTATTATTAAGGTTATTATTATTAAGATTATTATTCAAATCATCTTCGTTAAAAATATTATTATTTTCTTCATTGATATCTGAATTATTCATTTTTTTATTGATATTATTATTTTTTTTTTGCAAATTTTGAATGTCTTTTAATCTTGTTAAAAATTGCTTTAATATTATTTGATATATTTTTTGTATTTTAAAAGGATTTTGATTATCTTCAATTTCAACCTTGACGTACCAATAGAAAAAATTTCCCAATCTGTTATTATTAATTGATCTTGTTATTAATAACTCTGCTAATGGAGATATTTTTTTATCATAATAAATACTTTGTTTATCATTTTTCTTCTTATTATTACCATTCATTTTTTTATTGTTAATGATATTAAAAGTACTATTATCTGTTATCGTCGAATTGTTTGATATGTGCCCAATTAAGTTTTCAGATGACAAATCACTGTTAATGGAATTAGGATTTATGACAATATCTGGGCATGTATTTGTAGTATTTTGGCTATTAGATAAGTCGATTATTGAATATTCGCTATTACTATTAATTATATCAGAGTCTGTTAAATTGTTATCATTATCATTGTGATTGTGATGATTGTGATTGTGGTTGTGATCGTGATCGTGATCGTGATCGTGATTGCGATCATGATCATTAAAATTATTGTTATTATTTGCAATTTCGTGATAATATAAATCGTCATCAAATTTTAAAGCTTGAACTAGTTGTAGTAGGTATAACTCCAATTCTTCATCGTTAGTTTTTTTTAGTCTATTAACAGCAAAATCCCTGATTAAATTGTTTTTTTTATAAAAGGGACCTAATAGTTCCAAGTCATCTTCGATTGGAATTTCTTCCCACTTGTTAATTAATTTGATTACTTGATTGATTTCATTTTGGTTATTCCAATTGATTGATTTTAGAAATTTCGTTAGAGATTTTTTATTTTTAGTTAAATAATAACGGAATTTATAGATTAAATTTCTTTCATTTGAAGACAATTTTTCTAAAGAGGAGTAGGATATAATTTTATTCAACTCATCTCTGATTAATAGAGTTGGTTTTAGTTCTTTATCCAATGGGTCATCCTTGTGAGACCTTGCTAAATTTGTAAATTTTAATTCTATTGGGTTATCTTTATATTGATCAGGGTCGTATATTTTAAAGGTTGAGTAATTTGAATTTGAGTTGAAAGAGTCGATATTGATCTTTGGGTTTGTTAAGTTTGAGTTTTTGTTTATATATTGGTTATTGATGTTGTAGTAGTTATTATTGTTGTTGATATTGTAATTATCGTAATCGTTTATATTGTCGTTGATTGCATTGTTAATGTCATTTGTTATGAATATGTTGTTGACGTTATTGTTGTTAAGAAAGTTGATATTGTTGATGTTATCGATGTTGTTAGTATTGTTTAGATTGTTTATGTTGTTTGAGTATATATTGTTATTTTGAGCTGGAGTGGGATTTGTTATTAGATAGTTTAAATTTATAACTTGTTTTAAATATTTGAAATTTGAAAAGATAACAGGGTTGTCAAATTTTATAAATTCGATTGAAAGAAAATATTGGTTTGATAAACTTTCAATTAAATTTTTATCTATGGACTGAATTTTGGTGAAAGTTAATTTATTGAGCCAATCTATGTTTACTAGTTCATTTTTTTCGAATTTTTTAAATTTTAGTTGCAATTGGTTTATTTGGTTATTGATTTCATTGTTGTTGTTATTGATATGTTGATTGATATTGTCAATAATATTTTTTTCTTTTGTGTTACTGACAATTTTATTTGTATTTGTATTTGTATTTGTATTTGTATTTGTATTTGTATTTGTATTTGTATTTGTATTTGTATTTGTATTTGTATTTGTATTTGTATTTGTCTTTGTCTTTGTCTTTGTCTTTGTCTTTGTATTTGTATTTGTATTTGTATTCGTATTGGTAATTTTATTGTTTTTTGGTAAATAAACTTTTAATCTTTGTTTACCAGTTTTTAGAGTGTTGTTATTTAAATTAAAAAGAGAGTATTGAGTGTACGCAAATAATTTTTCGACATTGTTTGAATATTCAAAAATATTTATAACGATTGTGGTATCTAAAGGCAATTGATTGAAATTTATTGGAAATTTCAACCATTGGTCCCAGTTTCTTACAGAAGTTTGGTTTTTTTTAATATTTTTTTTGAAATTTTTATTTGATTTGAGTTTAATTTGATTATTGGTTATGTTGATGTTGTTTAAGTTCTTGGAGGTGTTATTTGAGTTTGAATTGAAATTTTGGTTATTTACACCGAAATTGTTGTTGTTGTTGTTGTTTTTGTTATTATTACTATTGTTATTATTGTTGTTGTTGTTGATATCAGTGTTGTTTTTGTAGCTGAAATTAATATAGGGAGTGGATATGGGGATCGTCAAAGGATTATTAGAGCTGAATAGTTGGAATTTGATGAACAAGTCAGAGTTGGAGTATATGTTGGACAAGGTCTGAAAGATCTCAGGATTCAATATCTTTTCTGATTTCTTGATTATTGGCTTGGGACCCTGAAGCGAAACGACTTTTAGCTTGAAGGGTATCTCCAAGTCCTTGGAGAGATAGAAATTGGCAGTGTTTCTGTCCATGCTGGCAATATCTGTGTGCGAACGAGCAGTGGAAGAGCAGCCCAACCAGAGAAAGTGTGCAACTGGAAATGACTCACCTGTGGAGCATCAAAGCAGTGCTGGATAAAAAACAAACTGGTGAACAACAGTCGAACTGATAAGAAGCAGAAGAAGGAAGGAAAACAGCAAAAAGTGGCACAGGTCCAAAGCCACCAGTGTGGGTCTCGGTTCCTGCCGGCGGCTGCCTACACACACATGTGCATGACTTGCTGTTGTGTCGCATCGGCATGCAGCGTACCAAACAGGTAAGTCTCTCACGACGCACTTACACGCATTAGAACGCGCTTCAGCGCAGGGTACGCTGCTCCCGCTGTACTGGACTGCCGGAAGAGGAAGCTGTTCACGTGCCCAACGGGCTTTTGAGGGCGGCTTTTTCCCGATGCAGCGTCAGTTTTAGGAAAAGAGTCTCCAGAGGGTTTTTCAGCAGCTGCTGCACTGTTTGAGACTGTGTTGGGTCTCTGGATATCGTAGTAGAGGATATACAGAGCTATATTGCCCCAGCTGGAGACACTTCAACACAGAGCCCTCTAGAGACACTGTGCTGCTTCTCTTTCGCTCGCTTGCATCCTCTTTGGAAATGGCCCTGGACCAGAGCAACTCCACCTCTTTTCCTAGTTTTGATAGCACAAATGAGAGACACGATAGAGATATTCACACAGGTTTTGGTTTGAACACAATTGATGACAATAGTCTTTCCTTCAGCCCCTTTGCCAACAATAACAACAATAGCAACAACAATACCACCAACAATATCATCAACTATTCTACCAATGCAAATCCAACCAACTCACATTCTGTTAATTTTACTCAACCACTGGTTCAAAATGATGATCAAATGATAGATAGTTTTTTGCATGATCTTGATTTGGACTTGGATATTTATCTCAGTGATTTTAATCCTTCACTAGGCTCATCCTCTAATAATAACAATACTAATGTTGATCCGAAACAGGTCCAAATCCAAGAAAAATTTCAAAATCAAAGTCAAAATATCAATTCACTATTTCAGCCTCAATCCCAAGCTCAAGCTCAAGCACAACCTCAATCTTTCAATACTCTAAATAATAATTTTTCAGACATCAACACTAAAAATAACCAAACAAACAAGACAAATCAAAATGATCATCTAGACATTTTCACAAATGGCGACAATAATAATGCTGCCAATTTTAACACCAACTCTCATAATCTTAACAGCTCGAGCATGCCAAATATTCAAATTCTATCTGATTTAACTCAAATTCAAAACAACAAAAATAATATTAATACTATCAACAATTTCAATAACGATTTAAACGTCTTTTTAAACAACAATCCCAACAACAACAATTTTTACTCTCCAGTTATTGATTCTAACCATCTCAATAAAAACTTGAATAACAATTCAAACATGTTCTTCACTCCTCTAATTTCTCCCTCGATACCTTCAATCGACAACCAAACTACAAATAATTTCAATAATATCGGCAATTCTCAATTTAATTCAAGTATTAATGTGAATAATAACAACAATACCAATACCAATACTAATACCAATACTAATACCAATACTAATACTAATACTAATACTAATACTAATACTATGACTACTTCTACCCTAAATATCAACAATAATCAATTTAACAAAAGTCTCTTTCAAAACCAATCTCAAAATGTTTATCAAAATGTTAGCAACACAAATTTTCCAAACAATTTTGTTCAATTAACCTCTCCTGCTTTAAAAGCCTATAAATCTCCATTATACTATAATAATAATAACAACAACAACAACAATAACAATAACAATACAAATAACAACAATACAAACAACAACACTACTCAAAAATTCACTCACTCACATCAAAGAACTTTTCTGAACTCAAAATTTATCAATTCAAATAGTCTAGTCTCAAATTCAAATTCAACTTCTCCCGATAGTGCTCAAAGTTATAATTCAATTTCAACTAATCCAACTATAAATTCCATTCATTCTTTTAATTTCCCAATTTCAAATATAATCCCCAATAATATCAACAACTCCAACAATACCAACTCTAATAATAATGACATTTCTAACAACAACAATAATAATAATAATAATAATAATAATAATAATAATAATAATAATAATAATAATAATAATAATAATAATAATAATAATAATAATAATAATAATNATAATAATAATAATAATAATAATAATAATAATAATAATAATAATAATAATAATAATAATAATAATAATAATAATAATAATAATAATAATAATAATCACAAAAACAATTCAAACAAAATTCAACAACAACCTTCTCAGCCCTCTCAACCTTCTCAACCTTCTCAACCTTTGTTATTACCTGCTCCTTCTAAAAGGTCCTCCAAACAACTGCAAAGATCTATTTCATCAAATTTAATCACTCAGTCTTTGGGTTCTCCTTCAAGCTCCCCTGCTAATTCTTCTTCCACTCTAAATTCCACGCCAACTGGGAGAATATCAAAAAAAAATTCTCCTGTTATCAAACCCGGCACAAGACAATCTCCTAGAATTATTCCCTACCATAGAAGAAAATCTTCATTCACTGCATCTACTTTACAGCTTTTACCTGAATCTCAATATCAAGAAAATACAATGCTACCACCACCTCCAAACTCTTATGTTAAAAACATTTCAAATTCTCAAATTCATTATTCAAGTTTATCACCAAATATGTCCCAAAATTTAAACATTACTCCTGCTACAATAATGAATTTTAAAGATAAAAAAACTTTACAATCGAAAGACCTTTCCAGAAATTCAAGCACTTCAACCTCTCATCTAATGAACCAAAAGACTCAGCAAATTATTAAACCAATTCAGTCTCAACAAAATCCAGTTCAAATATTACCATCTAATATTAACTATATGCATCGTTCTTCTATTACTCAAAACTCTCCCATAATTTTGCCTCATTCTTCTTCAAGTACTTCTTTATCAAATCATTACAATTCTGAACTAAACTCTGATATAGACAATAATTTTAATAACCCAAAGACAATTACTACAAAAAATTCAACAAAAGTCAATATTAATTATTTAGAAACTGGTAGTACCAAAAGAAATTCACATAAACTTGCTGAACAAGGAAGAAGAAATAGAATGAACAATGCGATTATTGAATTAGGTGGGTTGATTCCCAAAGAATTGAGGGATTCTGTTCCAATTCCAAGTAAAGCAACCACTGTTGAATTAGCGTATCAATATATTCAAAATCTTTTGAAAGAAATAGAAGAGTTAAAGATGCAATCAAAACAAGACGAAAAATGCGATCGACTGGAAACAGTATTAGATCCTAAAATTAGTAGAACGGACGATGTTCATATAAATGACAAATTTAGTCACCAAGATAGTACAGTAGATGAAAATAATAAAGATAAAGATAATGAAGAAAATAAAGATATAAAAACCCAAAGTTCTGAAAACAAAGATAACTTTTTAGAAAATTTAGATAGTGATTCTGACAATGAAAACATCGAAGCAGATTCAAATAACAAAGTAGAGTCTGTATTCAAATCTGGGGATAAAAATGATAACAATATTGATGTTGAGCCTGAAGACTCAAAAGATTCTTTGTCTTTTGATACAAATGGGGGTGAAAACATTCAAAAAACTGCAGACTGGAAAGAAGCAAGTCCATCTACTCAAGATTAATCAATAAATCACAGAAGAATACTGCTTTATTTTTTTATACTTTTTTTTATTATGTAATTTATTTGTTTTAATTGGTTTTCGGTTTTTGATATGATGTTAATGGTGTTGATTAATGACAAAGTTTTTTGAAGGCATTATAATAGTATAAATAAAATATAGATAGTAGAGTGTAATTTTTAAATTTGTTCTATAAATGTAATATATCACTATATAATTAGATTTTGGGTAAATTCGAAAAAAAAACGATTAGAAAAGAAAAGCGATTTAGTAAAATTAAGTGTGTAGATAGTCATTTGAAAAAAAAATAGAAAAGAAAAAATAAAAAAAACTAAAAGAAACATTAAAAGTAAAACCAAATAATTTTTCTTAGTATAATAATTAGCAAAACTCCACCAAAATTAGAAAAAAGAAGCGATCAAAAAAATTAATAAAAAAAAATAATTATCCAAAGCAAAGTCAAAGAAGAGTAATTAAGTATAAGAAAAAAAAAATAATTAAAAAATAATTAAAAAATAATTAAAAAACATTGGAAAGATATTAATTTAATGACGAAAACTGAAAGAAAAAGATCTAAGTTTGACAGGAAAACAAATGATTACATCTAAGTGAAAATCAAAATAAAAAAAAAAAAATCTTTTTTTTGTTAAAGATTAATTCTTCAAGTTATACTCATATTCTTCAGTGGGATGATATTCTGGAGGTTTTCCTGTCCAAACTATATTTCCCTTTTCATCAAAATGAGCACCTTCATCAGTTATTGGGACTATTCCTTCAAAGTTTTTAATTTCATGCTTAGACAAACCCATTGGATCAGCAGGAATCCATAAATATGGAGGTTTTGCAGCCACAGCAGGATAATCATAAGCATGTTCATTATTAACCAATTGGTCATCATGATCAACACTTTTATAGATAGAGGGAATTGACTGTTTACAGAATTTGTAGGAGCAATAGATGTGAGGTTGAAAAAATCTAACAAATGGATTAGCATGGGGAATCTCCTCATCATCACCATCAGCTAATAGAGGAACTCTTGCAGTATCATCTATTTCGTGTGATTTTATGACGGAGAGATCTGAAAGTTGAGAAATTCTAGTTCTTGATGGAGTTAATGGAGAGGAAGTATTAAAATCCAGACCCTTTTGGTTGAGTTCGATTGTTTCATAGACGTCAGTTTTATCCGATGTATTGGAATAGTTACGACTTGTTCTAAAAGGATTAATTACTCCAGGTGGTAAATCACCGACAATAGAGGAGTTATTGTTTGCATCAGAAATTTCTTTATCAAAAGCAGTGCCTTCAACTTTTTCAATGGTGGGTTTTTCTTGTTCATGAGAATGATTTGGTGATTTTGGATGAAATGAAAAAGATGGAGTGTCGGAAACACCATCCAAGGGTCTCATCGTATCAACGGGGACAACAGTATTTAAATGGTCAAAGGCTCTGTTAAAAATGGAGTGAATAAAAGCAGTGACACCGATACAAATGGCTTGAAGAATAATTGGGCCCCAGGCACCACCAACAGCGAATAAACCCAAGAGACAAACTTGACCTAAATAGACACCAACCAAAGTTTGGTATAAAGCTCTTGGATAGTGCATGCCTCTGGAGTCAGGTCCTTCACCTTGAACATAACATAAACTGTGCAAATAGGCGATGTATAGCAAGCCAAAACCAAAAAAGCCAAATAATAGGATTATTGGAGAAATGATGGAATAGGCCATAATAATGACAGCTAAATTTGTATAAATTGGAAAAGTTGTGCCCCATTCTACTATTTCAAGAGAATTGAATCTGGTCCATTTATCTCTAACACTGCTATCGAATAGAAAACTAAAAGCGTAAAAGAATAAAAGACCTTTATAATTTAGTAATAATGCACCGGAAATGGTAAAGCCTTGTAAAACCACATAACTGATGTAAAAATTTGAGGATTTTGGTAAATTTTCTGCCAATAAACTCATTGAACTTGTGGGGTTGTCGATAATTTTAGTTACAACGGCAGTTGCAGAGGAAGAAATGGTTGTGACAAGGAAAACTTGAATGACTTGAAAACCGAAAAAGGATTGCTGAGTGTAATATTCAATGTGTTGAATAGTTGGAGAGCCAGATATTTTTGCCATGAATCTAATGAAAAAGGGTAGTAATAACATTAAAAGAGCTAACATGATGGTTGGTAATAAAGAAGTGATTAGGCCTAATAGAACATCTGGTAGATCGTAGATCCATCTTAGCCAGGTTAGTTTGTTTGTTAAAGAGGTTATATTTGATATCATACCAACGAAGGCGACAGGAAAAGCCCATAAAACAATGACTGCTATAATGGCAGCGGCGGCAGCAAGAGATCTAACTAATCTTTCATACCAGAACATTCTCATGTTTCTCCAGTAGATATCATCTGGAGAGATTCCAATGTAGCAAGGACCTAGGGATAAGGGAGTGTGGTGGGCAACAGATTGATAAGCTAATTGAGCTAGATATTGATTTTCGAATTCAACAAAAACTGAGTTCATTGGTTTAGCATTTTGATGGTTTAGTTGTAGATCTATGATTTCTTGGTTCAATTTTTTCAATTGAACTTTAGCATAGTTGATTGTGTCGACAGATTTGCCAAAAATGGGAAATAATTTATGAGTTGGTCTCTTATTCTGAGGAACATAGGTTACAATTTCGTCTATTGGTTGTAGGACAGTGTTTTTTTTATCAGCTTTGATTTTAGTTTTGACGGCAGATTTTAGCAATTTGTTCAAGGCAGATTCCAAATTGCGTGCTAAGGAATCTCTTTCTTCGACCTTATCACCTAGTTCGTGGTCAGCTCTTGTTATCCAGACCTTTCTAATGCCAGTGAATAGTTTTTTGAATTCGTCTTCATTGAGGTATTGTTTGGGAACTGATTGGAATAAGACGACTCTTGATGGTAGTCTTGTAGCGTAGTTTGGAGTTGATAGGATTACAGCTCTTAGATTTGTGTAGTAAATTAGTTCTCTGTAGATGACAAATAATAGAAAGCCATTGAATATCCACGAACAGACAATGTGGGCGTAGTACTTTGATGAGTTGTTGTTGTCAGAGTTGATGTTGGAAAAACTTAGTCTATCTAGGCCTTCGTTGCCATTACCGCCAGTGATGTTGATTGGGATTATGATTGGATAAACCAAGATCATTCCAGCTAGACAAAAAGCAGATATGAAGAACAAGTATCGTAGAAAGAAGTAGCCATCGATGCCTGCCTGTCTTATTATGAAGTTGTTCTTCTTTTTTAGTAGGATGATTAGCCATTGGTATACGCCAGGAGGCAAGGGCTCTGGTTTCTTTGATTTATCGACCAAATCGTAGGCAGATTTGGGCTGGTAGATTCTCTTGAACTTGATTCTCAAGAGTAGAAAGGCTAGTGTGAAAGCACCTAGCAATACTCCATTGAAGATGATGGAGGATATGACAGAGGCAGTAGATGTGTTTTTGGTGTCTTCAGTGGTTGACATGATTGGTTTGGTAAGTGGTGAACAATATGATTTCCTATTTCCGGAAGTGATAAATAATAAAAATTAAACAATAAAAATTAAACAATAAAAATTAAAGAATTAAAGAATTAAACAAAAAGCAGTTGCAAATGAAGGATGGTCTTTGAAAAGAGGTTGAACACCAGTAAAGAAGAAAAAGATGGATCAGGTTTTATGAAAACACAGAGGCCTGGATCAAGAGAGATTAAATAACCAGACGAGATGGCTGCTGGCAATGCAAAACAGTAAACACAAAATAGGAAGAAGCAACAGTTCTGGGGAGGACGATATAGTAGATATGTGGTAGCAGAATATGAGCTCTAGTTGGTGATTTGCTAAAAGTTACATAAAAGCTCAGCTTTGCAGCAGATGAAATTTGTTTCAAAAGGCAGATCTCAAAACTGCAGTGCTGACGATGGAGGTTCGAGGCGAGGCTGGTCTTGGGCTGTTGGTTGGTTTGGTTTGGTTTGCTCTGCTGAGTTCTTGAGTGTTCTGGGTTGTTCTGAGTTGTTTCGGCCTGTTCTGACCTGTTCTGACTTGTTCTGATCTGCTGTTGTTGGTTCTTTCTCGATCAACTCTCATTGAGATTAGATCTTAACTCTTTCATTCCTCTGTTTACCTTTTGATTGAAGGCAGGCTCCGCCGTAGTGGTTCTGCGGCACATGCTGGTCATGCGGCTACATACAGGGATACGCATTTCACCCAAGATGGTGGCGGGTAACCACCATCCAGTGCTACGGCTCCAAACCCGAATAGGAAACACTCTGTATTGTGCTGCTTTAGTTTTGCTTGCTGGTGCTGAGTTTGCTGGTGATGCTTCTGCTGGTGCTTCTGCTGCGATCGCTGCCTTCACTGCGCCGCCATGGCGAGATTGATGTCGATCTCGTTGGCCTCCTGTCTAGCTGCCTCTGCTGCCTCTGCTGCTGCTGCCTCTCGGATTGCCCGGTTTTTCGCCTTTTCTTCGCTTCGGCTGAACTTCACATCGTCTGGATTGAACCCAGCTTCTTTCGAGCCCCAGTACGCCCACTGGGGTGTTTCTGATATGTACTCCATTTCATCAAACTCCTGTCCCTTTTCTCGCAACAACTCGAAAAACCTCTTGTAGTCGATGTGAGTAAACCATTTCCCATCGATGCAGTATCTCTTTTGCGCAACCAATATACAGCACGAGTGGGCATGCTCTGCTGCGATGTCATAGTCCAATCCTTTTGCTCTCAATCCCTCATTAATGGCAATCACAAACCTCCTGCACTCTTCATAAAACGGAATATTTTGCATCGTCAACGGATTCCCATTCCCACTCGAACTTCCACAAAACGTAGCTCCTTTTATCTCGATCAACGATGGCTGTCCTCTTTCAATCAAATCAACATACCCATCCACTTCTCCCATATTGAATCCCTTCACCAACGTTAACCTGAAAACAGTTCTCTGCCTCTTTTGAACGCTATTGAGAATATCAAGACAGCTTATTAATCTCTCCCAAAAATCTTTAAACAATGGCCGATCCACTTTTTTTAAACTGCTCTTGGTCGACGCATCAATACTGACATACAATTGCGTCACTTTTTTCAAATTCCTCAATTGTTCAGGATGCTGTGCGTTGCAAACCAAAAACGATGAAATCTCTTTTTCGTGCAACATTCCCACAAATTCATTGATATATGGGTAAAAGATTGGTTCTCCAACTAATGAAAGTGCACAGTGCCTAACTCGAAAGGCTTCTTGGAATCTTTCCGGTTTCACACCTGGAACTCCTCGCATCTGCTTGATTTTCTTATAATGGCCCTCCAATGCTCCCTTTAGAATTAGCTCTGGCCCATCAACTTGCCATCTCCACGACGTCCCCACTGGATTGGTCCCATGTCTCCAGCAAAATACACACTTGTTTGAACACGATAACGATGGTGTAGTCTCCATACAAAGATGCGACTTGATCCCATAAAAAGCAAACTTGTAACACGATCCTCTCCCACGTAAGGCTGACTTGGTCCATCGACATATCTTAACTCCAGAATGCGTACCAACAATTGTATACCCTTGTTTGGTTAACGCTTTATATGTTGGCGAATCCTTTGATATCATTTCTTTAACTTCTGGCACAATTATATCCCTTGAATTTGAATTTAAATTTGAATTTGAATTGAAACTAAGATTATTTTGTACATCGGCTGATGAGGCACTATATTTACCCATGTCTTCAACATCAATCAAAGATTGATCCGTATTAGAACTATTGCTCTCATTATCACTAAATTCATTATTATTATATTCATCTTCACCATTTTCATAATCTGAATTACCATTATCATTATAATTACTTAAATTAATCTTACCGCTGGTACTTTCACTCTCATTACTATAACTCAATGGCTCCTCGGACAGTAAATTTTCCACCAAAAAATCAATCCATTCTTTGATTTTCGTATCGGTATCATACTTGATACAAAACTTGCTCAATGGGAAGATTCGATTTCCACCCAATTTGCTCAAAATTTGATCAACTTGAATGGCTTGATAACAAAACTTATCACCTCCATAATGCTCTTTATCCCCAATTCCAATAACACTGTACCCAATGATTTTTTTCCTCAACGGATACTTGTCAATCCTGAAATCATTCGCATTGTCGTTAATGGTTTGGATAAAATAATCAATAGGCGAATCCGTCTCATATGATGGCAACACCAATATATATATCAAATTCTTCAGCTTTTCCGGAACAGTAAAAAAATAATTGTCATAGTCATCAATATCAATATCAAGATTCAACAAAGTAGCCCTGTTTTTCAATGCCTTCGAATCATTAAGCTTATCGTAAAGATACTTCGCATTGCGTTGTGATGATCCAGTCAATGACGAATAAAAAATAACAATGTTGGAGTTCAAATAATCAATCGGCTGGTTGCTCTTCTCGCTCGATTTGACTGGAGGCCTGGCTTTGATCACCTTTGCAACTCGTTTTTTTTTGGTCCTTGGCTTTATCTGAACAGCTCGGACATCGCTATTAGCTACAAGCGTAGTGGGTTTCTCAATCACACCTTTCTCCAGCCCAATTTCCGAAACTGGTTTCTCCACAACAATTGGTGCTGGTTTTCCTATCTGGCTGTCGTTGTCGAGATGAGCAGTCTTCAAGCTCGCCCTTCCCACACAAAAGTACAAGACAACAGCCAACAAGCCAACAGTGAGTCTGCCACCTGTGCAGCAGTACAACCCAGACCCACCAACAACAACTAAATCGCAAAGCAAAGTAAAACGTTCCATCATTTCCTAAATATGTCTGGGTAAAACAATCAGAAGATAACGAGAATTTTTTTTTCTCTTGCTTTGACACTTCACGTGCTTTGTTCGAAGGCCAAATCAGCTCTGTTTTGAATGTCAGACTTAAAGCTCGTCCCCAACATTGCCACTAGAATGAAAATAGTAAAGCTACCATGGCTAGCTCACCAGGGTATGTTGTTTGTGCTTTGCTTGATCGTTGCAAAGAGTCTCCCGAGTCTTCTTACTGACACTACTTTGCTTCTGCTGTTTCTGCTGCGCTCACTATAGAAGAAACAAGGAAATTCGAAATCTACTCAATTAACGTGGCTCCAGATGGCTCAAGGCTAGCGTCTGGAGGGTTGGATGGAAAGATCAAAGTATGGTCTGTGGAACAGATAACAAACTTGAAGGAGAAGTACAATCTTCCAGCTGCCAACAACGACCAGCAGCAGCAACAGCTTGACAAATTCTATCCTCTAGCCAGCATGGCTCGCCATACAGGGGCTGTTACAGTAGTTCGTTTTTCTCCCTCTGGCAGATTTCTAGCTTCTGGTTCTGACGACAAAGTCATTCTTATCTGGGAAAAGTCTGACGACTCTGAGAACCAAAATCAACGATCTCAATTTGGTGAAGCAGAAACTGATACTGAACATTGGGTTGTCAGAAAGAGATTGATCGGTCACTCAAATGATATCGAGGATATTGCCTGGGCTCCTGATTCCTCATTTCTAATTTCTGTTGGTTTAGACAGATCAATTATAGTCTGGAATGGTTTCAATTTTGAAAAACTAAGGCGCTTTGATATCCATCAGTCTCATGTTAAAGGTGTTGCATTTGATCCGGCAAATAAGTACTTTGCTACAGCTTCTGACGATAGGTCTGTCATCATATTTAGATACCACAAATCAACCACAAACGACCAACTACAAAATATGAATTTTTCAATTGAAACGAAAATTAAAGCGCCATTTAAGGGTTCACCTCTAACCTCCTATTTCAGAAGATTGAGCTGGTCTCCAGATGGCGAACATATTGCTGTTCCAAACGCCACAAATGGCCCCTTAACAACTGTCGCAATCATTGAAAGAGGAAATTGGAACTCAGATATTAGTTTGATTGGCCACGACTTACCTTGTGAAGTTACTTCTTTTTCCCCTATTTTATTTAATGTCAGATCTTCAAAAAAATCAAAAAAAAAAAATGAACAGAAATTGTCAACAATTATCGCTACTGCTGGTCAGGATAAATCTTTGGCTATTTGGAATAGTGAAAGATCAAAGCCCTTGATTGTTGCAACTGACATTTCTTTTAAAACAATTACTGATTTAGCTTGGACTCTTGATGGTCAAACGCTATTTGTAAGTTCTTTGGATGGAACAATAACAGCCCTATTTTTTGAAAAAAATGAATTGGGTATCCCTGCTTCTTTGGAAACAATTAACAAACATTTGCATAGATTTGGTGTCGGAAGAGACTCTATGATTTTTCCCGAAAGTGTTGATCAACTAATATTAGAAGATCAATATAATAAAACTTTCAAAAAAAGCTTAAATCACAATAAACTATTAGACGAATCTCATATGAATAAATTAATGAATAAAAACACTTTAATACCAAACAACATCGGCTTAAATACCACCGCGAACAACTCTAACAATGTCAAAAATTTCAATCCAATAATTTCATCAAGTAAAAATGTCAATATATTAATACCAAGATCAAAAAAAAATAATAAAAAAATTATGCCAACTTTGAAAAAAGTTAATCATTTAGCTCCTAAAAAGATCATCGATCAAAAAATAATAATAACGAAAGATGGTAAAAAAAGAGTTTCTCCTACTTTAATATCTACCTCATCTTCCTTATCTAAATCCTTTTCCTCTGTTATTGCAACAAATATAAAGATTCAAAAACAATTGGAAAATTTATCCTACCCAAATTCAAAGCTACCCCGGTTTGGAGTACAGACGTATGTATCAGGCTTGAGAGAAAAAAATGACAATTCTGGTGAGGGCTTTGATAAAGAAGATGATGATGATAATGAAGAAATATTATCAACAACTACACAAAAGAAATCAAATAGTAGAAGGGGAAGTAGTGTTATAACAGACCTAAATTCTATTGCTAAAAAAAGAAAGACAATCGAAGACGAAGAATCTAGATATCCTTCTTATTTAAGAAACATCATCACTACTATGAATCATACAGTATTGTTTGATCATAAATCAAGTGGAATCACAAAATTTAAAGAAGTCGAAGTTAATGATAAAACTATTACAACTAATTTGAAAGTTTATCTTTCAAAAACTGATGTCAATAACTACAGGCCAAAATCCGTTTTGCAAGTAATTCATCCAAACCAAAATAAACCTGTATTGCCTAGAATTTTCAATTCTAAAAAAGTAGATGTTTTTGAAGATAATAGCGATATTCCAACTAAAATACTCATCAACAGTTTCAACTGTTCTGATAATTGCGAATTTTTTATTGAAGATAGAGTTATACAGGCGGTTTCAGTTGAATCCAAAGAATTATGGATTATTGCCACCTCAACGAATTCTTTGCATTTTATTTCTTTTACCGGAAGATTGATTTATCCAAAGATTCAGCTAAGAAATAATGAAGATCGTTCAATAAGTTTTATGAATTGTTTTAAAGATAAATATCTCGTTATTATCTTGAATATTGGAATAATTCATGTTTGGAATATACACTCATTTCAATCATTATATGATGGAGGAATCTCACTAGCACCTGTTTTAAATACTCCAATTTCCAAATTTCTCAGTAATAGTGATATTAGAAATAATAGTGGATTATTGGAAAACATAGATGAAACTGCTGATTTGAATAGTAGCGACGTAAAAAAGCAGACTATTTTTGATGCCACTCCTAGTATAAAGCATTTCAGCATTGAAGACGACGGAAAACCGTACGTTGCATTGGAAAATGGTGAGGTTTATATGTGGTCTACTGATATGGAAGTTTGGCTTAGGATTATTGATCCATGGTATTTGAAAAGTCTTTGCGAACAAGAAAAACTTGAAAATAATGAAGAAAAATTGAATAAAATACAATCCAACACATATATCAGTAACGATATAATTGGAATTTATCACAAAGCTGGAGTTGTTGGTAATGAAGATCTTGAAGAATTTCAAAATGAAAAAATTCCAAATCGAAATTCCGATAATTTAAAGAAAACTTTTACTAAAGCCGAAATGGTTAAAAATAATGAAATGCACGCTGCTATAAGTTTAACATATTTAGAGAATTATAAGATGGTAAATAATTATTTTAGTCACTTCAGAGGTAATGATATAACCATTGATAATGAGATTGGTAAAACAAAAAATCGATTTGGTAATATCATTGATACAATTCGTTCTTGAACCTTATGGTTTTTTCAGTAAAAGTTTTGTATAATTATATTGTTACGATTAAAAGAATATATAAATTGTAGAAGGGGCACTTTTTTGTATATTAAAAGTAATAAATATATACAGACAAAAAAAACTGCGTATAATTCAATCAGCTATTAAGAATTAAATTAGCCTAACAGTTAAATTATAAACCAATAAGGTGAACAATTGTTTTGCAAGAATGGAAAAAAATTAAAAAAAACTGGAATTTTGAGTGATTTTGTTTTATTGTTTAAATTTTGAAATAGAATAATGATAAATTATACAATGACGTCGCCATGATCAACTATTAATGCTGGTGAAAAATCTTCATCGCTTGGATATTTTGGATTTAATGGGGAATAAAGATAATAATTTTTTAAAGCGGCAACTGCAGCTCTAATTTTTGCTTCTTGTAAACTTGATGCATAACTTTCACCTAATTTTTCGGTTCCACTGAAAACACCAGCAACAAATACAGGACTTCTTGATAATCTTCCAGTTTCAGAAATCAACCTTGTTACTGGAGGCTCTAAGTTTTCTCTTTTACATAAAACAGACAATTCTCTTGTTGGCTGATTAAAAGCAAATAAACTGGAAACATCCAATTTTCTTGATAAAATGTGAGCATGAATAAATTTCTTGGTTTCAGATAAAGACTCTGTTGAAGCATAATAAACAGCCAATATACTTTTAACAGCTGAAGCCATAGCATTTCTTTCTGTTGTTGAGTTTTTTTTTGTATCAATCTGAATAAAATTTGAATCATTTTCTAACTGCTTGTGACGTTCCACATATCTTAGTTTTCCTAAATAATAAGATGAATCAACATCTCTCAAAGCTAAATCAATAGGCAAGGAGTTATCAGCTTCTATACCCCAAGAATTGGCAGCAACATCATGCAACACTTTGTCAGAAGTGTAGGCATCGACTGCGTTTTCAAGGATCTTTAGAGGCAATCTAGGATATTTTGTAATTAAATGTTCGGTGACATAATAATCTAATAAGCTCTCACCGAAATACGCCAAAGCAGAGTTGTCAGCATTCTTTGAGTATTGTGAGGTTCTTCCTTTGCATGTCAAGCATCTGGCCAAGGAGTAGAGTTCAAAGCTCTTAGGTAGCTCAAGTCTTCGATGTAAAGTAATTAACAAAGGAGAACGTAATGCAGTTTCTTTAAATTTTATTTGTTTCTCAACAATAAGTCTAGTCTGTTTATGAGATATTGGCTGAATTTTAGATGGCGCTGAATTAGAATTTTGGTTTTTAATCTCGCTGGCATGATTTTCTTTATGCTTTTGGTTTATTTCATTTATTTCGTTGACATGTTCTTCGGCAGCTTTGAGTGTATTGTTCTTTTCTGGTGTTATGGTCGAGTCTGCAATGAGCAAAAAAAAGATAAAATAGTAAAATATTAGTAAAACAATAGATTCAAAAATAATTAAAAGTCCTATTTTCAATTAGAAATCGATTTTATCCAAAAAAAACATACAATGTAAAGCAATAGAAGGAGATATTAAAAATCCATTTCCTGAAAGACTTTTCGATAAAAACGAGCAGGAAGTCCGTTTCAAAGAAGAAGATCTGAGCAAAAGTAGATTCATTGCAAAATTATTATTATTAGATTTTGAAAGATGTTGGAAATATTATAGCAATATGATATATACAAAGAAGCCAAACCAATATAACGCCCACCCTTCAGACAATTTACTGTTGGTGAGTGCTGATTCGTTTTATTTTTTTCATTTTCTAATTGAAAAAATTCAAAAAGCGCTGGAGAAAAATGCTACCCGGACCAATGCGTGTGCGCAGGAAAGTACAGTTAAACGCCTAAGGAAGCAGTGGCTGCAGGAATTTTTCGGACTGCCTTTTGGTATTTTCTATTATACTATATCTATTATGCTATATTAAGTTATATTATACTATTTTATACTACGTTATACTATGTTACAATTTATGCGACATCAAACACTTTGGTAAACTCATGCAGACTGATAAAATCCTGGATTAGAAAACTGGATGGCGACGAGTATTTCAATGCTGTTGTTACAACAGCACACCCATACTTCAACTGTATGTCTTTTAAAAGAGTTGATAATACAATAAATCGGGAGAAAAACCGAGCGTCTAGTGAAGGATTTGAGGCAAAAAGCTCGGAAGGGTCGTCTTCAAAAAACTGTAATTGCTGAATATTGTTATCGTTAATCATGGCATTAAAATCACTTTTAGCGCCATCAGTTGCGTTTAAAAAATATTCATTTTGACTATATTGAATTTTTTGGCTGTTTTGAGAGTCATTGCTTTCTTGATCATCTTGAATTTCATCATCGTCAGAATTATCAGAATCATAATCTCCATTGTATTGTTGATTGTATCGGTTATATTCATCAATGATTTCTTTAGTCTCTTTTCTTATTCTTGATTGGCAAGCTTTTTTATCAATTTGAGCCTTTTTGGTATTAGTGACTGCGTTTTCAGTTAAAGTATAGTCAGGGATATTGTTGTTATCTCTATTAATTGAGCTATTTGTTGACAGTATATCGCTGGCAGTAGTACTCGCATCTTCTTCTTCCTCGTCACTAGCATATTTTGAATTTAAATCCTGTAAAAAATTGTTAATTTCATCATCAATTATAAAATCATCTTTAAAACTGTTATAACAAAAAAAAGATGTATTATTTTCATTTTCTGACTCATCTTCATTCGTTTTGACTGTTTTTTGATCATCTTTTGAGCTTTTCTTTTTTCCAGAGGCGTCTCTGATTTTAATGAAAGTTTCAATTAAATATTCTTCTTCAGATAGATAATTGTCTTCAACAAGTTCTTTTAAATTTAAGTCATTCTTTATAGAGATATCAGTGCTATCATTTTGAACTATAGAATTATTTTCATTTTCATTTACATTTACATTTTTATTCTTATTCTTATTCTTATTCTTATTTTCTCTATCACTATCACTATCACTATCATCATCATCATCATCATCATCATCATCATTATAATTATCATTATCACTATCAATGTCAATGTCATTCAAATACTTATCATATTTGATTAGTAAATTGTTAATTTTATGAATTCGAAGTAATTCTTTCCAATAAAATACTGAAATGTTATCAAGTATAATTAATTTTATTTTGCTATTATTTTCATTAATACTATTCTTATTGCCATCGTCATTATAGTTTTCATTATCATGTAATAAATTCTTTAATACTAAAATTAATTCAAATAAGTTATCAAACTCATTTACTACTAATAGATTGCCAGCATCATTAGTTTTTTCTTGAATTAAAGTATTGCTTGTCCAGTCTAAAGAACAATCTAGAATTATTATAATTGGTTCATGATCGCTATTATTGTTGTCAATGATATTATTGGAATTAATTAGATGAATTAAATAGTTGAATTTTTTGGAAAGTGATTTGAAAATAAAATAATATGATTGGTATTTATAAATGTCTTTTGTAAATTTCAATTTTGTCTCATCAATCCCATCGTTTTCCTCAGTTTGACTGTTTTTATCAGTTTGATTTTTTCCAATTGCTTCATTCATTTTACCATCATCAGCATTCTTCTCATCGTTATTAATTTGGTGATGAAAAGTTGGATACTTGAGATTTCTCACCAAAAACTCAATTGGGAACTTCAAAATTGGGTAAAACGAGTAGGATAAGCTCAATTCATTTAAGAGCTGATTATCTTTCACCACAACCTTTTCAGCATCAATCTTATCTTTATCCAGCTTGCCATCGTTGTTGTTTTGATGGTCTTTGTCCCCAGCTTTGCCATAGAAGGGGATGACGATGGGCTGAGGCAAAGGGGCAGTTTCAGATACAAAAGGATCTGAGACCAAAGAAGCAAGGTAGGCAGCCATGGCCTGTTTCTTCCAGAGCTGCTTCTGCTTCTGGTGCTGTTTCTGTTTCTGTTTCTGTTTCTGTTTCTGCTTCTCCTTCTTCTCCCTCACAAACCCCTTCCACAAGAAACCGAATCTGTGACCGGTAATCCCTGCTGAAACTGCAACAAAACCTCCTTTTGGCGACTTGGCCAGAATTTTTGGGGCACAGACCCGAGCAATCGGCATGTGCTGTTCTCCGAACGTGATTAAGAAAAAATTTCATGACATTGCGTTTCAACTGAAGGAGCGAGAGAAAACCCTCGACCATCGCTGTATTTCTGTCATCCACCAACTAGTAGAAAGCGAGAAGAAGAACCAGCCAGGACAAGCACTAGACACTGCGACTCAGATACTGCAACTCAGACATCTTCACCATGAACAAATTTGAACTCGACTCCACTAGTGAAATAGCCAGACAGCTCAATGATATTATCATTGAAAAGGCAAAAAGCCTAAATATCACTGATTCCAAAGATTTGGCTGATTATATTATAATCCTCATTTCAAACAAAAAAAGCGTTGAAGAGATCTTTGAAGACTTGACCAGTATATTTGCTGACGAAATAGATATTAGTTTTGTTCGCAACATATTCGATTCGCTTGACTCCTTGGTGAATAAAAAGAGTCCGAACCAAAACCAACTAAATCAAAATGTCCAGCAGCAGCAACAACAGCAGCAGCAGCAACAGGTTCCAGAGCAGCCTATTAACAATCCCTTCCACCAATCAAACCAATTACAAGCCGATAACCAAAAACAAAGTGAAGATATTGATATTGAGTCTCAAGAAATTGGTAATTCTCCAACTGTTTTTAAAAATGATAACCAAAATAACCATCAAAACGACCATCAAAACAACAATCAAAACAACAATATAAACCCAAACAACAAATCGTTGCCTTCAATTCCACTTTTTGTCAATATCCCAACCGCTCCCAAGAAGGATCGTTATAATAACCATGGGTCTATTAACCGTCGTAATAATAGAGGAAACACTGGAATAAATAAAAACTATGGCCATCCTCGATATAACAATCGTAACAATTACAATAATAAAAGACTCAACTCTAACAACACGAATAATATTAGTAAGGTGTTATCACTAGTGGCACAAAATGGTTCTGATATCTTAAACACAACTTCTTCAGCACCATCTAATAACCCAAGTAATATTAACCCCAATAATATAAATAACGACTTAAATAACATCAACAACATTAACAATAATCATAATAGCAAAAAGAAAGGGCGTTGTCGTAACTTTCCTCATTGCAATTATAAAGATTGCATGTTTGCTCATCCAACTAAATTCTGCTTTGCCTTCCCAAACTGTCCGAACCCTCCTGGTTCTTGTAACTATTTGCATCCAGGAGAAGATGATAAATTAATACAAGAGTTTGAAAAAACAAAGAAAGAATCATTTGAAAAAAAGAAATTGAATCAAAATCTCAACAATAACAATAACAATCCTCTACTTCCCAATGGAATTGCTAACCCAAACAATCCTTTTGCTCCTATACTAATGAATCCTGCAGCCACAGCTGCCTTATTCCAAAAGTTTCCTCCAGCCAATGCCAATGAAGCACTCAATGCTTTGAATGGATTGAACACAATATTAGACGAAGAAAGGTCTCTCGATGCTTGCAAGTTTGGTTCGTCATGTCTTAATCCTCGTTGTAGATTCAGACACGCCTCTACCCCTGTTGTCTGTAGAGATGGTTTGGATTGTAAAAGAATTGATTGCTACTTTACTCATCCAATCAATCTGGACTGTCGTTTTGGTATCAACTGTAAAAACAAGTTTTGTCTTTTCAAGCATCCTGAAGGCAGAGATGATTTGGTTAACAAGCCTTTGGTCTGGAGAAAGGATGATCACAACAGTTCAACTCCAAATGCTGCAACTACTAAGATTAGCGAAAGAAGCTTTGCTGTTGCTGACGACGAAGTTATGGAAGATGCTCCTCCTCAAACTGCCTAGGCAGTGCTCTGGCGTAGATTTATCTATAGTATGAATTCAATTACTTTCTCGTTATCTTTTCTTTTGCATCTCTGACTGTTTCCAACATCAACAGCTGGGACGTCCTCCCACTTGCCTTTGTTGTTTGTATATTCACTAGTTTCTACTGATTTTTCACCCTCTGCTTCTCTTATACCACTGATTTAACAAAATGTACTTAAATTCTCTCTTCGAGTCCCTCGCAAATGTCTTAAATGTAGATTACGATTTGAAAGTTTCCTAGCGCAGAAACTGTGTTTTCCCACCTTTCCACTTTTCACTGAAGGGATTCAGGATTGTTTTTTATCATTTTTTGTTTTTTTTCTTCCAGAAATCTTCCCAGCAGTCTAGTGTTCCTCCCAACTCAATTGCAACTCACAACCCTCTACTGTTCCTGTTTGGACTTGCTGTTTATTTTAGAGCCACTGAAGTGTTGTTCATCACCAACACCTCGCTTGTCTCCAGCATTTTCTCCAAAAACCCGAAACCTGCACTATATCAATCCCACTTTTAACCTTTCTTGCTCCACCACTCAATCTCCAATCCGTCAAAACCTTCGTCCACTCAACGACTAATCAATCATATATTTAGAATCTGTATATTTGTCTACATACTTATCTACAAAACTGCCAGGTTGGGCGATTGATCGAATTTCCCATGGCTACTGACGCTTCAAATCATGAAGATAATACTTCGCCGGTGGACGAATCTATATTAGATGATTCTGCTACAACCCCTCCTACTTCCTCAAATTCAATCTCTGAAAACATTCATTCCAACAATCCTTCAAAAGGAAGTCCACAACTAGATGCTCTCATAGAGACCATTTCAGCTGATTCTGACTCACTCTCCGTTTCCAATGGCAAAATTTCTGTTCAAATTCCTTTGAAAGAAGAATCTGCCCATGCTGGCGCTATTGATAATGATGCTTCGGATGCTACTAAGGATGCTCCTAAGAATTCTCCAGATGTTCCCAGTGTTTCCGGCGTCCATAGCGTTGACTCCAAAGAATCAATTGACAAGGAAAGCACCCCTCAAAATCAAAAACTCCCTGAAAACTCTGACATTTCAAATGAAAAACAACCCTCTGAATCAATTGAAAATGGAAATGAAAATGAAAAACCAATTACTAATAATCTGTCTGGAAAATCAAATCCAAACGAAAAATCCGATCATGTCTCGTCTAGTAGACCTGAAAGACTTGAAGGACCTGAAAAATCTTATCGAACTGATAGAAACGAAAGAACTGCACCTTTTAATCCAAACGATAGATCGAGAAATGATAGATATGATAGAGACAGAAACAGAAATTCTACATCAAAACCCTATCATACTTCTCCAGTAAATGCTCCAACTGGACCACATTCAAACAAACCTGAAAATTCAGAAAACCCTGCAAACCCTGCAAACCCAGCTCTTGACAATAAAAATAAGGCACAAAAGGATTCCTTATCACGCATTGATCTCAATGTTTCTAACCCCAGAGGTCGTCCACCTCCACCTTCAACTTCTGCTTATCCTAGAGGTCCTCCTAAACGCCCTTATGGTCCTGGTCCTCCTGGTGGTCCTGGTGGCCAATTTCGAGGTCGACCATTTAACAGAGAAATGCCACCATCTTATATTCCTTTTAGAGAGGTTTCTGCTCCTCCTACTGAGTTAACTTCAAAAATTCAAGCTGCCATAATCAAACAAGTTGAGTTTTATTTTTCAGACGCAAATTTAAATTATGATCGTTATTTATTGAATGAAGTTCGTTCAAATGCTGAAGGTTGGGTTAAAATTGAATTGATTGCTAGTTGGAATAGAATGAAAAAATTCAGACCAGTTAAAAATATCGTTGATTCGATAAAAAAATCTACTGCTTTAGTTGTCAGTGACAACGATTTGATGATCAGACGTAAAACACCTTTTGTTGTAACCACTGAATCTTATGAAAAATCATATGCACATACTCTATATGTTGAAGGTTTTCCAACTTTGATTAAAAAAATGCAAATATTTCAATCAGATTTAGAATCTTATTTTGGTCAATTTGGCGAAGTTGCAATTATTAAAATCAGAAAAAAAAAATTCGATAAAAGTTTCTTAGGAAGTGTGTTTGTTGAATACAAAAATATGGAAACTATAGATAAACTAATTAAAACTCCAATAAAATTTGCTGGAAGAAAACTTTTAATTATGAAAAAATCAACTTGGGAAGAAATCCAGGCTAAAGATAGAAATATGGCAGGTAACCGAGGAGGCGCTTACGGTAGAGGTGGAGCAAGAGGCTCATTTTGTGGTGCTTCTCGTGGTGACATGAGAGGTGGTTTTGGCAACAGAGGTGGTTTTAGCAACAGAGGCGGTAGAGGTGGAATTACAAAACCTGGCCCAAGTATAAGAGGCCCACCTCCAAAAAGGGAAAATGTTAATGGTGCCAATGGTGTACATCGTCCACCACCACCACCACCACCACCTTCAGGTGCTGGTGATCAAGGTGTTAGAAGACGTGAACTTGGTCTTGGTGACTCCAAAGAATTTGTTGATACACCAAATAGAAGACCACCTTCTTGTAATAATATTCCAACAGGCCATCCTGCCCAAAATACCCAAGGGACCTCAAGAGAGACCCCAGTTAGAAATGGAAGTGTTAGGGGTCCTCCTCCAACTACTAGAGGCCCACCTCCCAGAGCCCCACCTCCAGGCAATAGAAGACCTCCTCTGCAAGGTAATAGAGGTCCACATCCAGGTCATCGAGTTCCACCTTTAGACAATAACAGAGGTCCACCTTCAATTCACAGAGGACCTCCAACTCATAGGGGACCACCTCCACAACCAGCAAGAGGTCCACCAACAGCAAGAGGTCCATCGCCCAGAAATCAAGAAAGATATCCAGCTCCTCAAGGTTATGATGCTCCAATCCCTAGAGGGCCTCCAACTCACAGAGGACCACCCCCAACTAATAGAGGACCACCACCTCCAACTAATAGAAGACCACCACCTTCAGTTGGTAGAGGACTACCGCCTCCAATTAGTAGAAGACCACCGCCTCCAGTTAGTAGAGGCCCACCCCAGAGTATTAGAGGTCCACCTTTATTAGACAGAGGACCCCAAGGTATTAGAGGTCCACCACTTAATAACAGAGGCCTTCCTCTCCGAGGCCCACCTCCAGCAAGATGATGATGACATATAACTTAAAAGCTTTTATATATATATTATCAATTTAATTGTATAATTGTTTTATTAGATCCAGTTTTCTAGCTCAGGAATTTTTTGCGAGTTTATAGTTTTGTTTAGTGAAGAGATGGCTAATTTTTCTCATGATAAGTGAGATAAAAATACAAATATAAATTGTTTTCGAGACGGTTTACTGATAAATAATATGCATTATTGGGTATTATTGGGTATTTTAGTTTATGCAGTCTTGATGGTTCTTTTATTTTTCGAGTTTGAAAGAGTCTTAAACGCCCATTTGGTGTTAATGATTATATATTGCTTCATTAGGCAAAACTGATTTGTGAACGGCTCTTAATTAAGAGTGTATACACCATGCAGCACAAATGTATTTTGATGAGTGATTATGTATAGCATTTTGGGGATGGGGTCTGGAGTTTAGGGGTCTGGAAATTTTAGACCCTCTTTGAACAAAACAGATAATCCAAATTTCTCTCTAATCGAGTGATAGTATATGAAACATTTATCAAAAACAGTATATGGTGATAATAACTGGAGTTTTGGAGCAGGATTCTTTTTCTAGTTAGTAGCCTTGCAAGATGGGTGTTCCAATGAAAGGTATGTTGTGGTTATTTTTATGCTTTCTATTTTATTCTGGCCTGAGGAACTATTGCATATTTCTAAAAAACAGTAGAATGGTCGATATATTTGATGAAATCAATGAAATTTTGATTCATCACTGTTTTTTAAAAGACAAAATTTAGTTTTTTATTTGGAGCTTTGGGATTAAATTACTAATATTAGTTTGCATCAGGTTTAACTCAATTTATATCTGATTTGAGAAATGCTAAGGCATTCGATGATCAAGATAGAAGGATCAATAGTGAGTTAGTTAACATTCAAAAGCAATTTGCTGCTGGTCACTTAACTGGGTATCAAAGAAAAAAATATGTTTGTAAATTGCTCTATATTTATTTAATGGGTCATAAGATTAATTTTGGATACATGGAATCAATCCAATTACTACCTTCAAAGATTTATTCAGAAAAAGAGATTGGCTATATGGCTATTTCTTTATTTTTAAATAAACATAATGAACTATTATCACTTATAGTCAATTCAATCAAAAACGATTTAAGCATATCAAACAACGATTTTAATTGTTTAGCATTACAATGTATCGCAACACTTGGAGAAGAAAATTGGTCAGATTTATTGTCTGATGATGTTTTCCAATTGTTAAGATCTCCAACTAATCCTTCTTTAGTTCGGAAAAAAGCTGCTTTGGCTTTATTAAAGTTATTAAAAGCTCAGCCAAATATCTTAATTGATCGTCAAGGCTGGATTCCAAGAATTGTTGCATGTATTGATGATCAAGATATTGGTTTTGTAACGTCAATAGCTTCTTTGGTTAGTTTTATTGCTTCCAAATTTCCTGATTCTGTTAGAATGTGTGTTCCTGCTGTTGCAAGGAGATTAAGTAAATTAGTTATTGAAAACCAATGTGCTGTGGCTTATAGGTACTATGATATACCAAATCCATGGTTGGTTGTAAAGCTCTTGGATTTAGTTAAAAATTTAATCAGTGATGGGTCGGTTTCTGATATTGATGCTGTTTCAATCAAAACTTTGAAAAATGTTGTAGCCAAAGCTATTGAAAAGGGAACCATGACATATAATACACAGCAATCAATGAATGCCCAATCTGCAATTTTATTTTCAGCTGTTTCGTTGGCTGCTCATCTTGATCCCTCCCCCGATGCTTTATCAAGTGCAATTGATGCATTGGGCTCCTTGGTAAGCTCAGCAGAGACAAATACACGATATTTAGCTTTGGATTCCTTGACAAAAATTACCGTTGTTGGTGGGTTTCCTGCTCAAAGTTCAATTAAAAGACATTCTGAATTAGTTTTAAAATCTTTGAAAGATAAAGATATTTCCGTTCGTCGTAAAGCATTGGAACTATTATATGCAATTTGTGATACAGATAATGTGGAAAAAGTTGTTGGTGAGTTGTTAAAATTTTTATCCACTGCAGATTATGCGTTAAGATCAGAGATTTCTGTTAAAATAGCTGTTTTAGCCGAAAAATTTTCCACAGATCCTCATTGGTATGTTAATACTTGTCTTAAATTAATTTCTATTGCAGGATCACAAGTTCCTGAAGAAGTCTGGGAAAGAATCACTCAAATTATTATAAATAATGAAACGCTTCAATCAATATCATGCAAGTCAATTATTAGATTTATAAAACAGGCAAATTGTCCAGATGCTTTAATAAAAATTGGTGCATATGTTTTAGGGGAATATGGACACTTGATACTGAACTCTCCAACTTATTCACCAAGAGAACAATTTGCGGTTTTATCAAATAAATATTACTATGTTAATTTAATAACAAGGTCGATGCTTTTAACGGCTTTTTTTAAAATGTTTAAAAATTATCAAAGTCTTGATCGGGTTTTGAAATTTGATATTTTAAAAATTTTTAAAAACGAACTAGTTAGTATCGATAGTGAAATCCAACAAAGAGCATTCGAATACTTGAAAATTATTGAGATTGGAAATAAAGATGGTGGAAATTTCCATCTTTTGAATGTTTTATGTGAAGAAGCTCCTCCGTTTCCTGAAAGAGTTTCACCATTATTATCTAGATTGGGAGGCAATTTCGAAATATTTGAAAAAAATAAAAAAGCTATTAGAAACATGACTGGAACATCAACAGGTAGCAGTAACAGTGGTTTTGCTAATAACAGTAATAGCAATACCATTAATAGTTTAAGCAACAATTTAAAAAATTTAAGGACGTCTTCCAATGGATCAATATTATTAGCCCCACCACCAACTAGTGAATTGATTCAACAAAGCACAAGTAATAGTTATGGAAGCTCAATCGGTCATAGCAATAATGGATCCAGTGTTCAATTGAATCCATTTAATGAAGAAGAAGATGAATCTTCAGATGAAGAAATAAATGACAGAAATAATATCAGTAATATAATATTGACACCTAATTGGGAAGAAGGATATTATCGAATAATAAATTTTGGACAGGGAGTGTTTTTCGAAAATTCATTATTTAAAATCCTTTATAGAACAATAAAAGATTCTAATGAACCAACAAGCAATAGAATCTCGTTGACATATGTGAATAAATCACCAATTCAAATTAGTGCATTAACATCTGAAATCAAATTGGTAAAGACCACTGATCCTTCATTTATTATTCATGCATTGGAGATCCCAGAGAGTGAGGTCCAGGTTAATAGTAAGACACTGTTTGAGTTTAAAGTTACAATCAGAAAACCAATTGAAATCAGTGAATCCCCATTGTTATTAATAAATTTTATTTCAGGAGGTTTTACTCAATTAAAATTAAAAGTTCCTATTACAATTATAAATTTTTTAAAAGCCACAGAGATCCCAAAAGAACAATTTTTCAATAGATGGAATCAAATTGGCGTTCTAGGAAAAGAAGGAGAGGACGAAAGAGTATTCAAAGCTAAAAAAACATATAATAGAATAGGTTTAAGAAGGATTTTGAATCGATTAGGATTTCAGGAAATTCAAGGAATTGAAAATACGAATGATAATAGCACTAGTAAGTTTGTTGGATCAAGTATCCTATATAGTAAATTAAAGGGAAATTTTGGTTGTTTGATTAGACTTGAAAGTGAAAATATTAGTGCATATGACACAGGATATGATATTGATGGAAGTAAATTCAAAATCACGATTAGAGTAACTAGCCCAGGCATTGCAAAAACAATCGGGGAGGTTCTTCAGAAATTACTTGAATTTGGTGCATAGTATTAGTGACATTTTATATTTATTATACGTTTTGATTTACTAATTATATAAAATTTTATTCAATTTACATGCAAATTTCCAAAAGAGATTTTTAGTTATATGTATTCTTATGTTTTTAGTTTATGTTTTATTTTATTGTTTCACCTAATGGTTATGATTAAAAGTTGTGTTCGTTCCAAATTAATTTTTTTTTGGACGTTGGCCAAATATATTGCTTCCAACTCTAATATAATTCGAGCCCTGTTTAATGGCTTGGTGGAAATCATTACTCATACCCATATTTAATTGCAACTTGAAGTCCAAACCTAAAGCCTTTTCGACTGAGTGTTTAACATCTGACAAATTTTGGAAATCCTGATTGATTTCATTATCGTTACTAGAAGTCGAATTTAAAAAAGAGCCAATTGTCATTAGACCTTTAAGTTGCAATTTTGGACACTCATTCTGAATAAATTTAGACAATTCCAAAACTGTTTCTAAATCATTAAATACAATTCCTGATTTTTGACTTTCTGAAGATGTGTTGATCTGAATAAACACATTAATAGTAGAGGAATCGGGAATATTTGCTCTGGTGTCATTCAATTTCTTAGCTTTCTTGATAGTGTCAATAGTTTCAACTGAGTACAAATTAGGAATCCTGGTGGATAAATCTTTGCACTTATTTGTTTGCAATGAACCAATAAAGTGCCAGTTGATATCTTTGGGCAATAATTTGGCCTTTTCAATTAGCTCTTGCACATAATTTTCGCCAAAATGACAAACGTTGTTGTACTTGTAGAGAGAATAAATGTCGCTGGCAGGCTTTAACTTGGAAACACAAACCAAGTGGACATCGTTGGAATCAATGTTACTTGCTGAGGTGACTTGAGTCATCTCCTTGAGAATTTGGGTGTAGTTCTCTCCGAGCTCAACCTGTCTGTCTGGGGTTGGTTCAGGATAGTCAGCAGCAGAAGAGGACATCTTTTGGACAGTGTAGCAGCGAGCTAGAACAATTCTTGGAGCAGCAGGACAGATCAAACAACGAAGCATCCAGTAAACACACCTCTTCTTCCCTCCTCTTCCAAAACAGCCCTTTTCTAGGTGAAGAACTGCATCCCAAACAGGAAATACCCGACACAGGCATCTCTGTTCTTTGCTGTTCAGAGCTCAGTGGATAAAGAGCCTTATTTGTGAGAAGAAGAGATTCGTGTGCTGGAACAATGGATTTATACACAATTGGCCATTTCTACGTTGACAAGCTAGTTGAGGATATCAACAATAGCACTGCAAATGTACACTCGTCGTTGAGTGCGTCGAATATCAATGTCTTGCTCCTAGACAACTTCACAAAATCAGTTATTTCTATGGTTGCAACTCAGTCTGATCTATTGGATAAAAACATTTTTTTGATTGATGTTTTGGAAAACAAAAGCAGAGACAACTTGAATCATTTGAACTGTTTAATTTTCTTAAATTTGAACAATGCCCAAACTTTGTCCAGCTTGATTGACGAAATTGTTAAACCAAACTACTCCAACTATAAAATCTATAACACAAATCTAATTCCTAAATCAGTCTTAGAGAAGCTTGCCAAATCTGATAAATTGTCGTTAATTTCAAAGATCTACGAGATTTTTTGGGACTATTTGATCATCAATAAAAATCTATTTTTAAGTAATCAAATCAACAACATCAGCAATCATAATTACAACATTTTCAAAAGCTCCTCAAAACTATCGTTAAACGACACCTTTTTAAATAACAATATCTTGAAAGATATCTCAAATTCAGTGTTATCAATACTATTATCTTTCAAAATTAAACCGGTCATCAAATTCGAATCAAATTCAAAAGTATCTTCAACTCTAGCTAATCATATCTTTTATCAAATCAACTCTTTAAATTCCAACTACTATTCTCTATTTAATGATAACAATTTAAAACAACAATCAAATAACAATATTACCAAAAAACCCTTATTGTTGATCTTAGACAGACGAAATGATCCAATATCCTCTTTAGTGTTACCTTGGACTTATCAGTCGATGATAATGGAATTGGTTGGCATCCATAATAATATAGTTAATTTGAGTTCCATATCCAGTTCTAAAAGCAACGAAATAAATCAATTTACTCTTAATGTAGAGTCTGATAATTTTTTCAAAGATTCAGTTTATCTTAATTTTGCTGATTTATCAGATAAAATCAGAGATTACGTTAACCTATACAAGCAAAAATCTCAACAAAATGACATCAACAAAAATTTTAATAATTCGAAAAACTCTGGAAATATGAACATCGATTCAATAACAAGTATCAAGAAATTCCTAGAAAATTTCCCAGAATTTAAAAAATTATCTTCAAATGTCAACAAACATATCTCAATAACTTCGGAATTGGACAAGAAAATTAATAACCAAAGATTATGGGATATCTCAGAATTAGAACAAATCTTGTCAGTGAATGAAAATGATTATAGTCTACATAAACATGACTTGAGTGATTTAAAACACCTATTATTGAATCTAGATCCAAGCAATAACAATGGTCAACTGCAACAAATTTCAAATAAAAAACCAATTTCAGACGATGCCAAAATTAGATTGGTCTGTTTATATGCTTTAAAATATGAGCTATATCCTCAAAATCAAACAAAATCTTTGATTAAGATTTTGAAAAGCCAAAATATTCCCTCCTCAAAAATCGATATAATTAAAAACCTATTAACATATTCTTCCTCGAGAAAAAGATTGAATGAGTTTAATGCTTCTCCTTTTACTACAATAAAATCAAACTCAACAAATCTATTTAAAAGTTTGTCCCTAATAAATAAAGGTGATAACGATACTGAGAATACTTCCGCGTTTATGCAACATATTCCAAGATTACAAAATGTATTATTAAACGCAATTGATAATAAACTATCTACAAAAAACTATCAAACTCTCGACCCTTACAATTCCTCAAATAACATATCTGAATCAATTTCTTCTTTTTCCAGCAACAATCCAACCATCAAATATACTCGAATAATTGTATATATGCTTGGTGGAGTGACTTACGAAGAAGCAAGAATTGTAAACCAACTCAATGAAAAAAATAGTAACAAGGGCATCAGTATTATTTTAGGAAGTGATAAGATTTTGAACACTAAAAAGTTTTTGAGTGACCTCGAACAAATGAGCGAAAGCGTCCCTGATGATCAAATAACTGAAAGCAATTTACAAGGCGCTGAATCAAGAGCAGCAAACAGGCGATTGCAGTTGGGATTAAACAGTAATACAAATCTTGACAGCATACTTTAATAATATCACCATTTAATTTGGTGGTATGTACTTTTTTTTAAATTCTGGTTTTTTATTTTATTTTATTTTTTGTATTATTCTACTTGTTATTTTAGTTTTTTTTTTTTTTCAGTTATAAAGCTTTATTAAAAATAAATCCATTGTCTTTTTGCTTGAATTTTCAAGCAATTGCAATTATACAATAACTACTAAAATCAGAACAGAATTATATTATTTGAAAATCATTAAAATTGAAAATGAATAAAAATATTCTGAAGAAAAAGTTAGTTAAAAATTATTTTTTTGTTTTCACAAAAACTGAAATGCAGAATTTTCGCTTTAAAATTATCTTTTTATTTTATTAATATATTGCTGAATGATATCAATAATTGCTGTGTTACTTGAACTTGTCCCATTTTCATTATAAAGTTGTAGTATTTCCTTTAGTCTGTTTAAATCTTTGTTTTTCACTGCTTCCTCACAGTAATTTCTAAAGTCGCCACATTTTAAATAATAATCTAATTTTTCTTGGTATGGAATATCATTCGATTTTTTGACAAATAATGCAGCAAACTTCTTATTTCCATATTTTAAACATTCGTTGACAATTGGTTTGTAACCAATAACTATCTTTCCTGAAGCTGATGAATTATTATTGACAAATGTTAATAAATCATTGAACTTTCTTTGTTTTGTTAATGTTTTCAATACCAACCATTGATATCTTAGTTCAGTTATTTTGAATTCTTTCAAGATTTTAAAAGTTTTATTATTAATTGAGCTAGAAGCATTTGATTGAAATTTATTGATTTTAATTAATTCCTCGATTGTTTGAATAACTGATAAATGATGAATTTTAAAATTAGGATGAATAGGCAACAAATCTTTCGTTAAATTTTCTTGAACTTGTATTAATTTTAATTCGCTTTGCAAATATTTCAAATCATCGATATAATTTCTGTTGTTACTATTTTTAAATTCATTATATGATTTGATGGCTTTATTAATTGATGATTTTTGTTGTTCAAATTTTTCTAGTTCACGATTTATAAGTTCATTATTAGCATTGGTAATGTTTGTTATAGTATTATTTAAATTATTTGTGTCCATTGCTGTACCGTTGTTAATACTAATTTCGCCGTTAATGCTAGTTGTTTTATTGCTTGTGTTACTCGATACAGTTGTTATGACACTTCCATAAGTTTTAGCATTATTCAAATTATTATGTAAAAGGTCTCGATCAATGTTTTCATTTTTCAAGCTTTCAATTATCTGAAAGTTTGCAATATTAATTCTATTATCAAAACTATAGTAATACTTTTTCAATAGTATTATTGAATCTTCTGGATTTAAATTTGCAAAATTTTTCTCTTTTAATAGCTTTTCAAGGTAATTCATTGCAATTTTTTTATTATTTATAATATTAAAAAACTCACCAATTCCACCTGAATTCGAGTTTAAATTTGAACTTTCATAATTTACGTTTGAAGGATTTTTCAATATTAGATACTTGTAATATAAAATTAACAAAACATACAAGATTAGTTCATAATTTAAACTTTCTTGAGCTTTTACCAAAGCTAGTTCGTCTTCTTCCATATTTAGTAATAAAGGAATCTTTTTACCTGATACTGGTTCGTAATTTAACAACATGATTGATAAATTTAATCTACCTTCTTGGTAGGCAATTTGAGAAATTTTTTCAAAAGAGATGTTTTTAATGACGGATAATTTGTTTAAAATTATTTTCAATAGAGATTTGTCGTCAACATTTGGAGAGTATTTGATTTTTAAACAAGCCCAATTAATATAAATTAAATCATTGGGCAAATTTAATTTTTCTGATATTTTCAAAGCTAAGAAAAATTGGTTTCTTTTGATTAATAAATTGTTAATTAAATTATCTTGAAAATTTAAACCGTTGCTTAAAATTAAATTAAACTGGTTAAAAGTTAAAAACATCCCAATGTTATGAGATCTAATTTGGTTTAAAATTTTCAATAATAATATTGATTCAATTAGAAAATCTGAGTTGTAAAATTCTAAAAAGGATTTTCCAAACGAAGCAGCTTTTAATAATTTTTTTTGCCAATACACATCGAATTCTTCGGTTGAACCTTTAATACAGCAGTTGATTGCATCAACTAGGCCATCTTTAATTATAGACAAGTTTTCCAAAGAAGTTGAGTTAAAAGAGGAGGAAGAGTTGGAAGAAATGGATGTTGTATCAATACTATCCAATAGGATTGAACTTGGAGAAGTTGAGCCAATTTTAAAAATGTTTACTGTTAAATCGGGAACTCTTGATAAGAATTCTAACTTTGAATTTGACAATATTCTTATTCCGTCGATTTCTGTATTTAGGAAAACTGGAGAATCGTAGTAAAAATTGATATAGGATGAAGAAGGGCCAATTAATTTGATCTCGTCATTAAATGATAATACTACAGCATCGTTTCCACACCATTGCAACTGTAAGGGTTTGTCATTATTGCTATCGGTATCGTTGCCATTGTCGTTATTCATGGCAGAAATATTGATTGTGTTGGTGATATTGTTATTATTATTATTTAATTCAAACTCTGATAATTTTCTTTGAAAATCTGAGGATATTATGTATACTTTGTTTGAGAGAGAAGAATATAGGGATAGAAATTCGGCATTAGGGGATATTGCAATAAAATCAAATGGACCTTCATTGAGAAATTTATTATTGATTGACTGATCGTCGATGGTATAAATAGTGTCATCTCTTGAGATTAAGATTTCTATATTCTTTGTTAAAGAAAAAGAAGGGGAGATGATATTCCAGGCGTGGATATTGAAATAAGAGGTATCGTTAAAGAATTGAGAAGAAGAGTCGTTTAATAAAGATTTTGCTGTTGTTGTAGTGGTGATTAAAGACTGGTTATCAATATTAGCAGCATTAATAGCACTAACTTTATTGTTTGCAGTATTGGCATTTGGATTAGAAATATTATTATTATTGCTGTTTTTGTCATTGAAAGAAGCTAGTAATCTGGGATATGGATTATTATAGTCGTTGACATGGATGAAGTTATTATTGTTTAGCCTTGCAACAAAACCGGTTGAGTAGTACTTTATATCATTTATGCCAATTTTGTCCGAATTAAAACCTAGACTAAATTCATTAAAATTGCCATTAAAGTCATAATAGTTTCTAAAAATTCCGTTTTCTAGTATTATTATTAAGTCCTCATTGATTGAAAAAAAGAAGTCTACAATTTTCCCATTAGCTACCTCGTTCCAATTGATGTTGAATAGTTTTGAACCAGATCCACTGAATATTTGTATCACATTCGAGCCACTGCTGGTGTTACTGGCATGAAGATCGGAGTTAAAATAACTGGTGCCAGAGATATTGTTGCTTTGAGTGTTGTCTTGGTTGAAATTGGTGAGAGTGGAAGTGATAGCATTGAGACTTGATCTGTTGAGCTGGTTGAGCTGATTAAGCTGGTTGATGGTGTTGTTGTGATTTTGAGTGGAAACAGTGGGCTGGCTCTTGGGATACAAGGCAATTGCAGTGGAAAAGGGAGCCACTGCCACAATGTAGTTAGATATGTTGATGTTGTTCCAGGAGAGCGAGTAGCATTCTCGGACTCTGTAGAAGACGTCCTTGAGTCTTTCCCAGCCTAGACAGCAGAAGAAACGTTAGTAAAAAGCACAAACATAAACAGGGGTCTTCAGATACACGAGCACATACCTAAACTTGGATTCGAAGCCATGGGCAGCAGTCAATGGGACAATGGACACTTTTGTAGCTCGTCTTCTGGTGCTGTGGCCCCATCGCGATTATATCTGCTTCCGCTTTGAGCCAATAGGAGCAGACACGTGCATATATAACCACTGGTGTGGTACATGCAGTAACATGCACTGTATTGCGCTGCATGCAGATGCAAAAAAGCGGGCCGAGCTGGGAATTGAACCCAGGGCCTCTCGCACCCAAAGCGAGAATCATACCACTAGACCACACGGCCGCAATCTCCATCAACGGAAGGGTCAAAAACAATACTTAATGCTAGTCACAGGGCTTTTGATGTTTTCATCCAGCTATTTTCTTATGCGACTTATTTCTCTGCTGGTACTGATATTGATATTGATACTGATACTGATATTAATATATCTGCTGCCTTGCAGGTCATACACTATTGTTTCTTGTTCCGGCTGTCTAAGTATGAGCTCCCAGTTTGCTTCTTGCTCTCCTGATCAATTGGTTGACCACATTTTGGAGGAGATTGTTTATAGTGGCTATTCAGGAATCACCATCGACCACCTTTGGGAGCTATCCTCCAACAAGCTCAACCGAAATCTATCGCCCTCTTTCAAGCAATTAATTTGGAAATGGCTCATTCAAGAAAACAATTTCGAGGTATTTCACACACTCACTAATAAAAACATACCCAAACATGATCTCAGTGTAATAAATATATCTAATTTGAATGTTTTGTTTTCAAAATTCGACAAAGATACTTTATTACTAAAGACCAATCAAAACTTCCAGTTTAAAACTCTAACAAATCAGGACCAAAATCAGACCTCAATAGGTCTTAATGCTTTTATCATCCTATGTGCTATAGCCAAATCCAGGCATCATGGTTTATTAGTAACTGATATTCCCAAAGTTACTGGCCAGGATAACCGTTGCTTGACTTCAAGAATCAATTCTTTATTAGACCAAGATTTAATTGTTAAAATACCTGTTTTACATGCAAAGAGATCTACTGGTTTATTGGTTTACAAAAAATTTATTGGTCTATATAAATACCATCAATCAATTATTAACAACAACATCACCAACCCCAATCAACTTGCTAATATCCATGATCACAAGCCTTCAACTGATAGCACAAATCCTTTTCTAAACCCGGAAAGCGCAAGAAAATTAATCCTAAACTCTGTTAAAAACGCTCCAAATAAATTGAGAAATGTCAAGGATTTGAAATCTCAATTGGCTCAAAATAATATCAAATACGATAAAAAAATCTTTAAAAGTGTCATAAATTACTTGGCTAATCATGGTTATATCAAAAAAGTTAAAGCCAAATTTTTCACCAACGGTAACCCCAATAATAACAATACTAACCATACTAACTCTAAAAATCCCACTCAAAATAATGTCAACTCAAGGAGCTTGCCTTGCTTATTATTTGTTAAAGATTATTCCCCAGCTAACGATCATCATTACACATCTAGCGATGATCCTTTTGACGACGACGACGATTCTGACTTTGATGACGATGATGAAAATCAAACTATTATCAACCAAAATGATACCACAGCCATTTCAAACACTACTTTAAATACTACAACAGATATTGAAAATGATAACGATAACGATAACGGTAACAATAATAATGACATTGATGTTACTAGCGAAATAAGTATCATTACCAAAACCATAAAATTCCCTCTAATTAATACAGTTTTTCCCGTTCAAAACCAACTATTTCAAATAATAGATTTATCTAAAAACATAGGCATTTCTACTCAACTAGTTCAAAAATTACTAGTTGGTCTAAATTATGCAAGAATATTTAATAAATTACTAGAAATCTTCTCCGATTCTTTTCCTGATTACAATTCAAATACCCCTTTTACAATCAACGATTTCTTTAAACTTACAAGAGGTTATGATTTTAACGGAAGAACAAAATTTTTCAGATACTTTACCAAAATTAACTACTCAATCTTAAACAATAATTTAAATCCTTTGAACTATAACCAAATTAATAAATCAGCTTTAATCTCTCAAAAATCATCCTACATTTCTTCTTCGATTTACGATATTCACCAACTACAATCTCAAAATAACACATTACTAGCAAAAGGGGTAGACCTAGTAAATGACCAATTCAATAACGTTTATATTTCATGGTACGGAATGGATAAAAATTTGCTTTCAAACAGAAAACTTCATTTTATGAAATTATTTTCTGATTCTCACAATACTGATACTATTAATACCAATAACGACAATAATATCAATAATAATATCAATAATCCCTTAATCAAAGATAAAATTTTAAAAACAAAATCCCTCAAAAGAGGTAGACCCAAGAAAATAACCCCATCTGATGATAGTCCCAAAATTAAAAGAAAAAGAGGTAGACCAAGAAAATCTGACACCAATGCCAAAAAATCCAAGTCTGTTTTAAACAATAATCAAAATAAAAATATATCGGCAACTGGTATAGATGCTAGTTCTCAATTAAACGTGTCTTCAATTGATATTGATGACACAATGGAATCGGTCTTACAAAACTCAATCAACGACAATATTCATAATGCTAATTTAGATAATATCACTCAGAATTATATACCCAATCAAATTCAAATTTATGACCAAAACCAAAATCAAAATTCCGTTGTAAATCTATTAATATCTCAAGATAATTCAATCCAAGATTTAAATAAAATTCATAATAACGAAAATAAAGATAACAACGATAACGAGATTGATATTCACGTCCAGGAAAATCAAATTGATGAAATGATCGATCCAGAAATTAATACATTAGCTCCTCAACAAATTAAACCTAGAGATATTTCAGCAGATAATAACGTTGATTACTTGGCTGTTGAAAGTTCCTCAAATCAAAACAATAACACTATTAATAATGATAATCATAATATCAGTATTAGTAATAATAGTAATAATGAAATGTTGTATAATGATGTTGTTTCACTATATAATACTATATCCAATAATAATGAAAATCTTTCCTATGATATCTCTAAAAATGAAGTGATTTTAATTTCAAATGATTCTTCTGATAATTCACAAAATAGTGTTTCAATAGTCACAAATGGAATTTCAAAAGAGACAATCATCAATATTGATAGTTCAGTTAGTGATAATTTTCCTCCACCTAGAAGAAGAGTGAGAGCTGTTCGAACATCTTTTTTAGCGACCAAACGTAGAAATACTTTATTAAACTTGATTAAAAATAACAAGGGGATGATTATTGTTAATAAATCAGTTATTGATTATCTATCTGAGAGTATAAAGGGTAAAAGTGCGGTTGATAGAAGAACTCTTCACAGAGATATAAAATATTTAGAAGAAGAAGGAAAAATTGCAGTTGAGAATTTTAAAGTTATTACTCAATCTAATGAATCATTTGATAAAAAAATAATCATGTTTTCAGAACTAAGAAATGATGTATCAAGGATTAATCAAATGAAAGAATTAGCTCAAATTGAGTATGATGAACAAAAAATTACCAAGAAATATCAGCTTAATACTGTTGATGCTAATGTTACTCTTTTCACCAAAGAAGGTGAAGATCAAGTGCGAATAAAGAAAGAGAAAGTCAAAAAAGTATTAAGTAAAGAAGAAAAGGAAAGGCTTTTCTTAGAAAGACTTGAAGCTAAAAGATTGGCTAAGTTAAAAAAAATCGAAGAAATGGAAATAAAGAAAAATGAGTCAAGGAAAACACAGACAGGGAATAATGGTGAATTTAGAATTGGCAATTCTATAAATTTGAACAATAGGAATCTAGATAATAACAACAGTGATAATGATGTTATTGTTATTGATGCTAGCATTGATAATAATAATAATAATAATAATAATAATAATAATAATAATAATAATAATAATAATAATAATGGTAATAATAATGGTAATAATAATGGTAATAGAAAGCAATTTGTTGTTAAAGTTGAAAATAAACGCCCCATAGATATTGGTAGTGATAAACAATTCAAGAGTCAAGTTAGAAAGAAAGCTAGATTCAATAAAACCAAAAATACGGATGATGATGATGGTAATGATGAAGAAGCAGAGGTTTCTAAAAAACTAAGTCTTGAAGGTAAAAAAAAAGTGAAATTTTCTCGAAGAAAAACGCTTTCATTAAGAACAGTTGCTAGTGATCCAAATATTATAAATAAAAGACGAACTCGAACCAAATTTGATTTTACTAAAACCGAAGCGATTACATTTTTCAGAGCAGTTACAATTACACGTACACTTTCACCTGCAGGAAAGATTTTGTGGGGAAAGATAGCTGATTATTTTGGAGATATTACGCCTGAACTTATTAAAAAAAAATGGCCTAAAATCCGAGGTGTGATTGGAGAGAAAGGTACTAAAAAAGCATTAATTGTTTGGGAAAGGATTTTATTTAATGCAATTAAAAATAGAGAGGTTTCTAGTAAGGATATTAGAGAAATGAATTTAGCGAAATTTATTGGAATATGGAAGAATGTTGAAGGAACTGAGTTACCAGGAATTGAGAAATTTGAATTTTTTAAAGAAATTGAGGATAATCTTAAGAAATATGTTTTCATTCCAGAGAATCGACATTCAAGTATGGTTGATGAATATTTTGCAGATCGGTCTATGATTCATCGATTAAATACGATAGTTAATAATTCATTTACGTACAAAGTTAATAATGGTTTGGGGAAAATAACCGAAATAAATGATAAAAAGAAAAAAAATAAGAGCAATTCTGGAAAAGAAAAAGAAAAAGAAGATGATAATGATAATGATAATGATTATGATTTAGATATTATTGATGAGACGGAAAAGAGGAAGATACTTGTTAAACAAACAATTAAGGCCATATTTGCTACAGATGCTAAAAATTATACAATTGAAGCATCTAAGAGAATTTTAAAAAGATTCAGCGAAAAAGAATGCACAGAAGCGATTAAAGATATGGATCAGAGAAAAGAAATTATATTTCAAATTAAACCTGGTTTACCCAATTTTGTGTTGACAAGTAAAGTTTTAAATCCCATTGACAGCTTGAAATTTGAGGAATCGTTTTTTCATGAGAGCAAATTGTTCAATCAATTGCTTTGTGAAGTTCTCAATTCGTCTCAGGGGTTGATTCTTTCCCCTGCTGTGACTAATGGAACAATGGCATGTTTGCTTGATTTGAGTGTTTTATTGAACAAGGTCAAGATGGTTCGAGTTGACAAACACGTAACGCCATTGTTGACTGACTACATTTCCAGGGCTATTGATCGAGAAAAGTTGGATTGCGATATTATCATTTGCAAGAACAAAGAACGAGCAGTTATGGAAAGAGATATCTTGCCGGTGGTGGCAGTTCCAATTGGCAAGCCCTGCTCGAGAATATGGATTGATGTTCAGGGGAACATCAACCGAAGCGTATGGGTAAGAGTATTGGTTGTTGTTGTGTCGTTGTTGTTGTTCAGGCCCGGAATATGGTTTAAAGTGTTGTTTGGCAAGATCGAGTTGTTGGTGACCAAAGAAGAGTTGAAGGAGGTTTTGGGATGGATGGTGCAGCGCAACTGTGTGAAAGAGCGAAAGCTCAATGGGGGCAGCTGCTACTGGCTCAAGCCTGGGTGGTTCGACATCCTTGGGTAGTGATATATGATATGTCAATGACAGCGATATGTAGTCTGTAATTACAATCTAAAAATGAAACAACAATAAAAATGGCTGAGCGTCATCTGACAGAAGCCGAAAAGGAGCAGGACTGGAGAGTGGTAAAGTGGGCGTCGCAAAGCTATAAATATCGCTGGACTTGAAACTTTTTGTTCTGCTTTGCAAGCTACTGAAGAACTGCTGACGATGAACTACTTGAGCGACAAGATCTCCAAGGTGGGAGGCTACAACAAGGTGGAAGGAAACAGTATCTACACCAGCAACACCAACGGATCAGATCCCTTTACTGAATCCTACGAGTTGAACCAGGACCCATTTAGCAACACCAGCTACAACACCAATCGCAATCGCCCCAACGACGACGATGACGACGACGATCCAGACAACTACATTGGCTTCAACAAAAAGCTCGTCAAGGTCAACGACAAGTTGGACTTGTACGCCAAAAACTTGAACATCATCAGAAAGTTGCAAAACGACTTGATTTTCGAGGTCGATGATGGCAAGAGGCACGAAGCAAACACAAAGTTGAACGAGATAATCAGCTTCAATGACAATCTAGAAAACCAGTTGAAATTGAATATCAAAGAATTGAGAGATTTATCCGTTGGCGATTTCATCAAGGTTAACCAAACAGAGAACATCAAGAGCAAATTTATGGATTTGATTAATAAATACCGTAAAAATGAGATGAGCTATTCAGAAAAAGTCAAAGATGATATCAGTAAACAATACAAGATTATAAAGCCTGATGCTACTCAACAAGAGATCTACAATTACGTTAATAACGCTGATGTTCAAGAACAAGGCCAGCAACAGGTCTTCAAGGATTTCTTGATAAATTCTACTAGAAAAGAAGAAAGCAAAAACATTTCGAGAAACGTTGAAAGCAGACATGAAGAAATTATAAAAATTGAGAAAAAAATGAACGAATTAACCAAATTATTCTCAGAAATGGAAAATTTAATCGTTGAACAAGATGATTTGATAAACGAGATCGATAATAACGTTGAAAAGGCCCAATTGAATATTGGTGGTGCCAACAGAGACTTGGAAAAGGCTGTTACTCATGGTCGTAAATCGAGAAAATGGAAACGATGGTGTATTTTCATCTTGGTGATAGTTATATTGTTAATTATAGCCGGTATAGCTTTTGGAATATACAAAGCAACCCAAAAGTAACTTTATTTTCATTTTTTTCAAATTCTTATTCTTATTCTTATTCTTGGTTCTTTTTTCATGTTTTTATATTCTTAATTGAACAATCGGTAACATTTTCACTCTAAAATTCTTGAATCTTTTTATATCTTTTTTAGGATTCAAAATCCAAAGTTTTGGTTCAACAATCACGTTTCGAACTGCGTTTCGAACTGCGTTTAAATTGCGTCTCATAGTGCGTTTCATAGTGCGCCAAAAAATATTGACGTTTTCCTGTTTTTGTCCGTTTTCTGTTTTTATCAACAATTGAATTCATTTCCTAATGCTCACTCAATTAATTTTCAGCTAATGTTCAATTGATTATCCAATTATCTTTCTCCATTTAAACTCGATCTTTGTTGCTACTGTTGCTTCTGCTGTTTGCTTTTCAACACACTATACGTATGTGGGATTCTAACAATGGTTCTAATGACTTGAGAGCAAAGCTCTTGAACAGAAAAAGAAAATATAAGTCCTATCAAAACAAACTTCAAAATGTTCTCGATACAAATATTAATGATAATGACATTAATAATAATTTTAACAACAAGGTTGATAATACCAATAATCATATAAATAAAATAAATGATATTGATAATCATTTTCATAACGATTTTAATCAAATTCCAACTCTATCAGATATTAATATAAAATCAAATATAAGATCTAATATAAGATCAAATTCAAGAATAAATAAACTCGATTCAAATTATAATTTAAATTACTTTTCAGATAATGATCAATTCTCTAATAATAATCAATTCTCTAATAATAATCAATTCTCTAATAATCGATTTTCGATGTTAAATTCAAATTCAAATCCAAAATATAACACAAATTTATTTTCAAAATCTAATATTTCAAATAAAAATGATTATAATAACGATAATTACGATCACAATCACAATCAAAATCAAAATCAAAATCAAAATCAAAATTTTACAAGAAAAATTAATAGAAATAGAAATAGAAATAGAAATAGAAATATAAATATAAATATAAATAGAAACAATAATAAAAAATTAAACAATTATCCTTTATCTTATAAAACTCATTTAACTTTTGATTTAGACAAACTACGAAAGAAAAATTATCAATTAAACAATGACTATCATAATCCTAATAATTATAATAATCATAATAATTATAGTAATTTTAATGATAACATTAATTATAGTGATAAAAATAATATTATTAATAGTCCATTGACGAGTATTCCCGGAACTGTTCCCGATTTTATAAAATCTCCTTCAAAGAACTATACTTTTCTTAACACCAATACTCAAAGAAATATTCATAATAATGATAAGAATAATGAAAATGATAATGATAATGGAAATGGAAATGAAAACCAAAACGAAAATGAAAACGAAAATTGGTTTTCATTATCAAATATAGCGTCAAAATTTAGTAATATATTCAATTCAAATAATACAAGTAATATAAATAATTTAAATAAAATAAATAAAAACTATACAAATTTAAATAAATTTCAAAACAAAAGAATTTTAAGATTACAAAAATTGAAAGATCTACAAAATCGGAAAAATAAAGTATTAAACGAAGTTAATAAAATATCTAATGAGTCTTATAATAACACCAATGATATAAATGATTATTTTAATAATCGAATACTTGATTTAAATAAGAGGACTCATAATATTAGTCATATAGCTGATTTAGATGATTTAAATGATTCAACTAATGAATTGAATGAAATTATTAATCAAAATGATAATATTGAGCATAATGATCATAATAATATTAAGAATAATGATTATAATAATGAAAAAATCAAAAATAAGAAAAACCAAAAAAGTTTAATAAAAAACTTTTTATCAACAATTTACAATAATAATAGTAACAATAATATCGAGAATAACGGAAATGGTATTAACAATGAAAATAATATCAATGAAGATAATATTAATGAAAATAATAATAGATTGAACAATTTAGATGATGACGAATTGAAAGAGTTATCGAAATTATCCAATGAAATCAATAATTGTGAAGAAGAAAATGTGATGAATTTGGACCATGGAATAATAAATTTAGAAGACAAAAAAATCACTAAAGATAAAATAAAGAAAAAATCAAAATCAAAGTCAAAATCAAAAGTGAAATCTAAATTTAAGTCTAAATCTAAATCTAAAAAGTCAAAATCAAAATCAAAATCAAAATCAGAATCAGAATCAGAATCAGAATCTAAAAGGGATAATCTTGTAAATGATAAATCTGAAAGAAGTTCGGCGGATGAATTGAGTATTTTCGAAAATTCAATTTTGAAAACATTAAGACAAAATAAAAAATCACAAAAACAAATGAATGAACAAGATTTGATGGAATTGGATGCTAAAGAACAAGAAATCAAGTTGAAAAATGAGGAAATTTCCAAATTGAATGAAAAAGTCAAAGATTTGGAGAATTCACTACATGATATAAAAAAGTATTTAGAAAATACCATCATCCAGAACCAAACAACTCTAAGCAAAAGTAATATTGATAGTTATAATCACAGTCAAAGTGAGGATCCAAATGACCAGCCAGGCCTATCTTCAGTGCCATCGTTAAAGAGTAACACCACTCATTCAAGCACAAACGACGGATTGCTCACTGACGACGAGACAAGCAAAAAAGGTATCGATGTTCAGTATATTCTTGGTGAAGAGCCTGGATTCAAGACTCCATTCATCATCAAGAGCCAGTACAATAAACTTGCAAAAACGATCCAGCACAACGAATTGAAGAGGAAAAACGCAGAGCCCAACCACACTTTCATGACAGAACATAGCATTGACATTCTCCCACAACCAGTAGACACACAGAGCAGTGCTGGAGATCAGAAAGAGGCTCTCGACGACGAGGAGTTCGACAAGACCGAGCACGACGATGCTCTCAGGCAGTTGGAGCGAACAGTGATGGGGTTGTCGCCCATCAAGATAGCTTTTCAGGCTGAAAAGTCCATAGGTCGCAGATTCTGATGGTATATTCTGTACTCTTCTTTTGCACTCTTCTTTTGTACTTGTTCGGACTCTCCGTAAATTCGTAACTTCGTAAATCGTCCTTTCTCGCTCAAAGCTTAATTCTAAAAATAGGCACTGGGCTTAAAGGGTTGGGAACCAGCAAAACGGTACTTGTGGCGCGCAACCCCTATCACTGGTTCCAGTCTCAGATGTACTGGGATGTGCTGAAATTCCACACTTGAAATACTCTCGAATATAACAAAATTCAGAGAAACAGTACAGGCTTTCAATATAAATAAGTACTTCTTTTCTTCTTTTCTTCTTTATCTGCTGCAGCCACCGCTGTGTTTGATTTTACACCATGTCTCTTGTCCTCTCAAGTCCCCAGGAAACCCTCCAGGAAAACTCTTTGGATCCAGTCGCCAGCTCTGGAATTGTTGTGCAGGATACCATTGTGGTGAGAGTCTCCTCCACCAGAACATTGCCTGTGTCCAGGGTCTTCAGTACAGTCTATATCACCTACTCAATCACTGAGTTGTCTGTCTTGACTGTTACGCCTGATGAAAATGGCTCCATTAGCAACCCAGGTAGTCTCGAGACTATTGCTGGCACCTCTGTCTACGCTGGCAGCTCTGCTGTATCGTTGATTGTGGGCCTTTCCAACTCCTCCACTCTGTTCTCTTCAAATTCTGCTTCCCAATCCCCAGAAACCTCAGAAAACGCAGCTTTCAATATCCATAGCCAAAATCATATATATCACTTTGCTGGTCATACACGACAGGATTCCAGCAGCGCTGCGAAGAAATTAAAACTTGGTTTATTATTTGTGGGAATTTTTGGCATTAGTTTGGTTTTATAATTTTTATTATTCATTGTTTATTATTCATTGGCCATTGGCCATTGGCTGCTCGGTATTTTTTTATCCTTGATTCTTTTATGTTTCATTTCCTAAAAAGTCGGTTTATTTTTGTTGACTCTTAAATTTGTATTAGTAGATTTCTATGATTTTTCTGGTTTTATTTACAACTCTTAGTTCTTTCTCTTTCTCCTTGGATATTTTAAATTTCTTGACTATTTTTTTGCTTTTTTTTCTTTATTTCACCACACTCTTGTGGTTTTGGACTTTGATTTCTTATTTTAGACGAAGCTCATTAATTATTTAGGACACTATCTTAAACTCAATCTATACTCTATATATAGTCTCTATGTAAACACGAAACAAGAAAAAATACATTTCTTTCATAAAAAATGTAGAGCAGCCGATTCAAAACTGCTTGATATATCCAGGTATCTGTAGTTTATCGTATTTATCATGAAATAAAACTTGCCTCGAGATTTGATAAATCGGTTCCAATTTATCCAATCTAGGTAATAAATTTCCAAATAAAACTTCCAACTTCAATTGTTTCAACTCAAAGGCTTTTTTGTCTTTGCTGCTATTATTATATCTTTCGATGTTATTTTTATCGTCTCCATCCCCATCTTTGATAGCTAAAATTAAGTAGAAAATCACTTCAAAGCCTTCAAAGCCTTCATGAATAATTACATCTTGAATCTTATCAATGGGAATAAACTTGTCTCTTTTGGTTATAGGCAAAAACCAAATCATGTTCTTCTTGAATGTCGTCGATTGAACTCCAATGTTTTTCAACACAAGCAACGATTCCTTCAACTCTCCCTCAAAGATAATACAGAACAAATAATTGTGTGTAAAGATAACACAAATCAGCACCAAACAGCCTTTTAAACCTAACTTGGCTTTAGCCAATTCTATTATACTGATATCATTGGTACTGTTTCCACTCGACTTTCTTGTTGCTGTTATTACAGAGCTATCCAAAACATATAAAACAAACAAAATACTAATCAAAATGCTAATCAAAATTGAGACAATCTTGAGAAACGTTGGTATTTGAGACCTCTTCACAATCGTAAATTGAACAGCATCTATTTCATTCACTTCCTTCACTGATTTATAATTTATTGCAGGCTTTATTATTAGTTCGTAGTTCTTTAATCCTCCCATTTTCAAACATTTGTTTTCTAATTTCCTTCTTTTACTTTTTAACTGATGAAAAAAAAAAATCAAAAAAACAAAAGAAACAAAAACACTGATTTAAACACTACTGTTTTCGTTTTGCAAATTTGATATCACTTTTCTGGTTTAGCCCACGACAAAAATATATATTAACAATAGAATAAACAATAGAATAGTAATACTAATATTAATTTAAATAAACTTATCTAGTCCCTTGATTGAAAAAAAATAATTATAATCATATACGAATTAAAATGAATAATATATTATAACTTAATTTACAATTAGAAAAAGAGAAGAGTTTTAAAAGCAAATAAAATATCTAAATCTATTATTAAATCTAATCAACTTCTTCAACAGTTGGCCCGTCTGCACGAGAAGCACCGGCGCCTGGAGCACCAGCACCTGGGAAGCCTCCAGCAGCTCCAGCACCAGGGAAGCCTCCAGCGCCTGGAAATCCTCCTGGAGCACCTCCTTCAGCACCAGCAGCACCACCGTTAGCACTGTAGAACTTCATCATGATGGGGTTGGCAACACCTTCCAATTCTTTTTGTTTGTCACCGAATTCCTCAGTGGTGGCAGTAGTGTTGTGGTCTAACCATGAAGTGGTTCCGTCAATGGCCTTTAAGAGAGTATCTTTGTCGGCGGCATCAATGGCTTCTTTGAATTTTTCTTCAGATAAAGTGTTCTTTAATGAATAAGCATATGATTCTAAACCGTTTCTAGCAGCAATTCTGGCTGTTTCTTTTTCATCATCTTCTTTGAATTTTTCAGCTTCGGAAACCATTCTTTCAATATCTTCTTTTGATAATCTACCTTTGTCGTTGGTAATGGTGATTTTGTTGGATTTACCGGTACCCTTTTCGACAGCAGAGACGTTTAAGATACCATTAGCATCAATATCAAAGGTGACTTCAATTTGTGGAACACCTCTTGGTGCTGGTGGAATACCCGATAATTCGAATTTACCTAATATATTGTTATCTTTGGTCTTAGCTCTTTCACCTTCAAAGACTTGAATCAAGACACCTGGTTGGTTGTCAGCATAAGTAGAGAAAGTTTCAGATTTCTTGGTTGGGATGGTTGAGTTTCTTGGAATCAATTTGGTCATAACACCACCGGCGGTCTCAATACCTAAGGATAATGGAGCAACATCTAATAATAATAAATCTTGGGTTTTGGAAGAAGTGTCACCAGACAAGATAGCAGCTTGAACAGCGGCACCATAAGCGACAGCTTCATCTGGGTTGATGGATCTGTTTGGCTCTTTACCGTTGAAGAAATCAGATACTAATTTCTGAACTTTTGGGATTCTTGTAGAACCACCGACTAAAACAATTTCGTGCACTTGAGATTTGTCTAATTTGGAATCTTTAAGAACTTTTTCAACTGGATCTAAAGTAGATCTGAATAAGTCACCACATAATTCTTCAAATCTGGCTCTAGTGATTGAAGTGTAGAAATCAATACCTTCAAATAAGGAATCAATTTCAATAGAAGTTTGAGCAGATGAGGATAAAGTTCTCTTGGCTCTTTCACAAGCAGTTCTCAATCTTCTCAAAGCTCTTTGGTTGGAAGATAGATCTTTTCTGTTTTTTCTTTTGAATTCAGCAATAAAGTGGTTAACTAATCTGTTATCAAAATCTTCACCACCTAAATGGGTATCACCGGCAGTAGCTTTGACCTCAAAGATACCATCTTCAATGGATAATAAGGAAACATCAAAGGTACCACCACCCAAATCGAAAATCAAAACGTTTCTTTCTTCTTCAACTTTTTTGTCTAAACCATAAGCAATGGCAGCAGCAGTTGGTTCATTGATAATACGCATAACGTTCAAACCACAAATCAAACCAGCATCTTTGGTAGCTTGTCTTTGAGAATCGTTGAAATAAGCTGGAACAGTGATGACAGCATCGTTGACTTTTACACCAAGGAAACTTTCAGCGGTTTCCTTCATTTTGGTCAAAATCATGGAAGAAATTTCTTCTGGAGTGAAAACTTTGGTTTCACCTTTGAATTCAACCTGAATTTGCGGTTTACTGGCTTTGTCAATAACTTTGAAAGGGAAATGCTTGATATCACCTTGAACTTCTGGATCGGAGAATTTTCTACCAATTAAACGTTTTGCGTCAAAAACAGTGTTGACTGGGTTCATAGCGGCTTGATTTTTAGCAGCATCACCAATCAAACGTTCTGAATCAGTGAAGGCAACGAAAGATGGAGTAGTTCTGTTACCTTGGTCATTTGCAATAATTTCAACACGATCGTTGGAGAAATGTGCGACACAAGAGTAGGTAGTACCTAAATCAATACCAATAGCTTTACTCATTTTGAGATGTTATTATATATATGGAAATTCTAGGGAATATGTTTATCAAAAGAAAACAGATAGAAAGGAATCTGGAAAAAAAAAGCTCCAAAGCAGAGGCAATTGACTTTTATAAATGAATCTGGCTGAAAAATTGCAAAATCTCAATTTTTTCAGTTTCCAATTGAAGAAATGTTCCATCTGCTTCCATCGTCTTCTTTCGCGAAAGACGGTTTGCGCCACGGCTGTGGGTCTTCTGCACGGAAAACACAGAAAAACAGCTCCTAACCTGCGGAAACCACCCACCAAGGTGGTCCTGAAACGCCCCTCACACAATCTGACGCACATCAGCGCGTGTCAGCGCAGTAAGCGTTGTGTGTGCATGTGATTGCATCGAAACACCTTGAGATACCGCACTGTGAAATCAGAAATGTAGGCTCTCGAAAAAGCACTGGAGGCAAAGGAAAAAGAGAAACTGAACCTATAACATAGACATTAGAATCTACCACGAAGATATGCTAAACAAAACAAAACAGAAATATAAAGACATAAAACAAACAAAAATGAAACATAAAACAAAAATAATGAACTAAAAGTAAATGAAGTTGAAAAAAAAAGGATTAAAGATATGAAATGTAGACAGACACCAGAAAGGACTAATAACGTTTAATAATAACAACAAGAAAAGAAGAAGAAAAAAGTGAAGTTTATAGTCTTTGTGAAATGCAAATCAAAATGGATGAAACCACCGATGGCGACGCTGATGATACTGAGAATAAGGATAGTGCCTGTGATTTGCGATCTATAATTGTGTTTGTAATGAGTGTCATCATTATGCATATGAGTATGGAAAGCAACAGAGCAAAACGAAGAACGAGAAAACAAAAACCCATAATCAAGTATAAAAAAAACCAAGAATGTATCAATTGAACTGTAAAAAAATATCATACACTGAATTTACACAACTAGCCTGAAAATCTCCCGAATTTCTGTTCCCACACTAATAGCTTTCTTGTTACTTCATCCATCATTTTCAAACTACCTTCATAATTCTTGAATAACTCATCATATGGATCTTTATTATCTTCGCTGAGATTATACTCGTCTGTATCTCTTTCTGTATACTTAATCAACTCTTTTCTCTCTTTTTGTTCTTCACTTAGTTCATACTGTGTCCTACCAATGAATTCTAAAATTGCGGCAACTCTTCTTCTCATCTCATTAATCGATATCTTCTGCAGTGGAATCCTGGGCACAACTGGTTTATCACTGTCATAATCGTTGATAATGCCGCCATTATTGTTACTGTTGTTATTTCCACTAGAACCATTGACTCCATTTTTGCTATGTATGATTTTCTTTTTTGTTATTTTTTTGATTGATCTCTTGCTTGCGTTTCCACGAGAAGATGGTGATTTATTTTTGGATAATGACTTGGAAGAATCATCATCATCTTGGTTACTGGATATTATTTTCAATGTCGTTGGATTTAATGTCGTTGTCCCATTTATGGAATTGTGCCTCTTTAATGGCGATCCCACTTTTGAATTGGGTCTTGGTGTAGAAGACATATGATTATTACTTGTTCCATTGCCAATATTGATACTATTATTATTACTGTGAGCGGTTGAATTACCATTGGGTTTTTTACTTCTTTTGGATCTAGTTGACCTTGTTGAGATTGGATGTATACCATTACTATCGTCATTTTTAATATCTGCTATGTTCTCTGCTATTGATTCTTTTATAATATCCTTTGATATTTTATATGTGCTGCCATCATCATCATCATAGTCGTACTCATCATAGTCGTCATAGGTGTATTGATTGGTTTCATTGGAGTCGTGATTGTAGCCATCGTTATCATCTGGATTATCATTAGAATTCGAATTTGAGGCAGTGTTAAAATTGGAGTTGGTGTTAGAATTTGGATTCTTTTGGTCTTGATTTTTTGATTTCTGATGATTCCTTTCTTTATTATTTTGGTTTTCCCTTTTTGTGTTGTTATTTTTTATTCTTTTTGATTTTCTTAGAGAAGATGAAACAGAGTCAGGTGAAGAGCTTTTTTCCTTTGGAGTTATTGATTTTGATTTTGAAGATGATAGGTTATTAGAGTGGTTTAAATTTGTTTTTGATCTTGTGGATCGTGTGGATCGTGTTGCTAATGAAATTGAAACTTCAAATTTCTTATCATGTTTGAAATCATTATCGATGTTATTGTCTTCTAAATCACTTTCATTCTGATGGTGATTATTATGAATATGGTCGTGTCTGTTATCCTCATCGTCATCGTCATCATCATCATCATCGTCGTCATCCCGATTGTAATTGTGATTATGGTTATGATGAGTGCTGTCTTTATTCTTTTGGATATCGTATTCTTGGTTGTTATTCTCAAGATCGTCACCAATCTCAGTGTCGTTGATATGGAGCAGATCATGTTCATTTTCAGTGTCATCGTGTTTAAATTTCAATTTTTTTGAGTTTCTGGATTTACTTCTAGTATTTTGATGAGAGTCATTGTCCATATCAATATCATTATCATTATCATTATCATTATCATTATCATTATCATTATGATCATCGGCGTCTTCATCGTTTGAGTGAGAATCTGAGTTTAAAATTTGAGTATGACGAGAAGTTTGTTGAGACTTTGATTTTTTTCTATATCTGCTTTTGCTTTTACTTCTCGTTGACTTGTTATGGGAGGATATAATCTTCGAGGATTCGTCGATGTCGAGATCAGAATTGGGCGAATTGGGTTTTATTTTGTCCCTTTTATCCTTGATTGAGGAGTTATTGGTATTGAATTTTTGAATGTTTCTTGATCTTCTTGATCTTCGTTTAGTTTGGGGAAGACTTAGGTCGATAGTTAGGCCACTTTCTTTGGCGCTTGCTTCAATTGCACGAAGATAAGACTCCTCTTCGCTTGAGTTTAGGGTCGTTCTTCCTCTTTTTCTTGAATTTGATTGAGAGTGATTTGGAATATTATTTGAGTTTGAGTTTGCAATAGAAGATTGATTTGCATTTGAATTTGAATTTGGATTTGGATTTGCAGTTGAATTTGAATTTTTAGATAATTTTAGTTTTTTTGAGTGTATAAGACTTTTATCATTATTAGTGGAGTTATTGGAGTTCGAATTATCTAGGTTATTTATAAGATTGTTTGAAATTTGACTTGATTTATCAGAATTGGATCTTTTGTTATACTTTCTCTTTGGAATCTGATTTGGTTGTATAAAGTCGTTTGGATGGTAGATGCCAAATTTGTTGCCAAAGGAGTCTGATTTGATTGTATGTAATTCTGGTCTACATTTCTCGCACCAATACTGGTCAGGAATCTTGCTTTTGTTCTTAATGCCAACACAGAAGCCATGTTGCCAGACTAGACATTTGTCACACTGGATAAACAAGCCAGAAGCATCAGACGAGTCCTCTTTACCACAGATGCACCTGGTTATTTCGTTAGAAGAGTACTCCTCCTCTTCTTCGAGATCTTCCTCTGGGTAGTGGTCGTCATCGTAGCTTTCTAGGTCTTCGTCTAACTTCATGGTGAACAACAAATGAAGAAAATAAAAAGAGAAGGAAAAAAAATTGCGAGAAAGGACGATTAATCGAAATTAAGAGGGAAAAAACAGATGAAAAGAAAATGAAGAAGATAAATAAGATAAATAAGATAAACGAGTTGGTGAAACAGAAATCAGCAAGGAAATGGAGAAAGGAATTCTAACGAGGAAAACAAGTAGTGGTGAGGAGTTGTGGAGGGTGGAGGTGTAACGAGTTGTATAACAAGCAAAAATGTATAAAAGAAACTGAATTGGAAAAGGATAAGAATAAAGGATATCTCTATGCTAAAAAGCTGAGGTTTTGCAGTGGAAATATTTCAGCTTGAATTGATCAGAGGTCGCTTTACCCGGCACCCGGAGAGACGCGGTAGAATGTGTGTGTATGCGTGTGTGCAGGAGAGAAGGAGCCACGGGTGTGGGTACTGTTTCTGCTGCTTTTGCTGCCTCTGCTGCTTCTGCTGCCTGTGTTGTCTCAGCAGGCCATTTTGCGCTTTTTGGTCTTGCCCACAGCATCATATACAAACACAGCCGAGAGAAGCTGCTCAATCTGCTCGTCGGGGTAGTGTTGCTGCTCCCAAAGCACCTGCAGTAGCTCCAAATACTGCTCTTTGCTCAACAGCATCTTCTGATCCTCGTCCATGTCTGAGTCCAATATATTGCTTCTGAAGTCCATGATGAGCTCTTCTGCCGATGGCATGCCGCCACGTCTTTTCAGGGCCGCCACTGCCTTTTCCACCAAAGACAGGCTCCTTTGGTGTTGCTTCTTTGCTTCTTCATCCAAGTAAACTGGACTCGATGGCATGTCAATTATTTCGCATTCTTCTCTATCATCTTTGCCATCTGTTTGACCATTGAATACCCCATTTTCATTGAAACCTCCCACTTGTTCTCCATTGATTTTTAATTCAGCACCACAATTGGTTTCCTTTTCAAAAAAACCCAAATTCTGCAAACCATCTTGCTTACCACAATCTTTCTCTTTCTCTTTCTCTTTCTCTTTCTTTTTCCTACTCTCCAAACTACTTACTTCTTTTTCGCTACTTATTAAATTATGCTCCCCTGAATCATATTCATTATATCTCCCTTCATTTCCTTCATTCTCTTCCTCAAATTCATTGTACAAATGGAAATTACCTTCACTTTCCAAAACTTCAAATTTATCTTCTAATTCTATGTCATTAATATTCCTTATACTGCTAGAAATAACTCCCCTGCCCACTTTATATATACTATTATATTGGCCAACTTTTTCTTCTTTATCAATCAAATCTGTAGTCATAGAAGGAGAAAGGAATCTATTGTTTAATGATCTGTAATACTTGTTCAATAATTTATTCAAATTTAGATCTCCACTTCTACCGGTTTTATCCATACGAGACTTGTTTGATATCTCAACATTATCACCATCAATCTTATTATCAGTAATTGAATCTCCTCTTTCATCTTTTCTTTCATCTTCACTCCTATCTCCATTTTCACTCTCATTTAGCTTTTTTTCTTCTTCTACATCACTATCCTCAGAACTCTCATAGTCACCAAACTTTTGATACACAATAGGTTTACTTACTGTTTCCTTTGGTGGTGGTGGTTCGTTTACTCCAAACAACCGCAATTTCTTTTTAATATTATTAACCACTAATTTGTCATCAATATCACATACTTTGCCAAAACTATTGAAACAAAACCTAACAATATTCTCCACTTTACCTTCAACATCCTCAATATCCTCATAATAATCATAATCATTATCATTATCATTATCATTATCATTATCATTATCACTATCATTTCCATATTCATACTCAATTTTATTATCAATTAATTGCTCTTTTTTGAAAATTCCCTTATCCATTTCATTTGAACTGCTTTTATTAATTGGCTTTTTGTTTAATGAAATATCTTCAATAAATGCAATATTAATCATAATCATTTCGATTTTATAATCATCAACCCTATCATCATCATCATTATACAATACTTTCAATAAACTTCTCTTACTAGGTTTTAATAACCAATCTTTTAAAATAGTTATTCTTTTAAATATAAATTTATTCCAATCGTAAACTGTAGAATTCTCATTATAATTATAATCATCATAATCATCATCATCATTATCATTATCATTATAATCACTTTTATCTTCTTGTTTTATTTCAAAATTATATCCATTTTCTCCCATTGAATAATTGATTACATCCATATCCAAATATATTTCATTTGGATCAAAAGAATTACTATAATTATAAAAAAAAAACTCACCCTTTTCATCCTCATCTTTTACTTGAACCTTTTCTGAAAACTCATTTTTAAGTTGAGAAAAATCAGTAACAGACTTACAATATTGAGAATCGATTTTAAAACTTTCGCTAATATCTGATTGAGATTCCTCACTGTTTTCATTATCCCCGAGTTTTGCATTCAAATCACTTGATTCTTTGGTATATTTTTCACTTTTCCTGTCTCTAATTTTTAAATCATCAATATTATACAAATCTAAATCAGCGACCAACCTGTCATTGGTTTGAATTGAATTGATATTATCACTATTACTATTACCATCTTTATTAATGATATTAAATTCATCATTATCAGATAAATCAACTAAATTCCCAAGAAATATAACTGTTGAATTATTATTTTTATTCAAAAAAATATCAATTTCATTGAAAAGAAAATAAATTGATTTCAACTTGTTTATCTTTTGTTTTCTTTTAATATTTAAAAGACTCGACCTAATATTGTTTTTTAATTTTTTTTTAATAGACAGAGAAAGAATGTTGTTATTGTTATTGTTATTGATATTACTTATAATATCATCAAACTCATCAGCAGAATTATCCAAATTAATCATTTGATCATTAATCTCAAATGCTTCCAGATTAAAATAATCATCAATCATTGAAGCAAAATCGTTGATTATGATTAATTTATTTTCATTTGAAACCGATAAATTAGGATTATTTAAATCTTGAAAGAAAATAATCAAGTCGAAAAAGTTGGAGACATGAGTTAGGTTTACATTTTCAAAGATTTTATTATAATCTTTTTCTGCTTCGTTGTCTTCATCAGTCTTGTTGTTATCATCTGGATCAATTTTACCTGGATCTTTACTATTGGGGAGTTTAATACCATTCAAGTAGTAATATAATTCGATGAGTCTGGTTGCAGGAAATGGGGAAGAGTAATAAAAATAAGATATTTTATTAGTGGCAGTGGTATTATTATTATTATTATTATTATTATAAGAAGAAGATGAAGAAGAAGACAAATAATTTGATATTAAATTTAAAGTAAAATGCAATTTTTCAAAAGAATTGAAATCATAAATTTGATATATTTTACCAGAAATCAAACCGAGATTTAAGATTGGATCTAGAGTTGAATCAATTTTTTTTGAATTTGTTGAAATTGATATCAAATGGTTTTTTTTATCAGTGAAATTTAGAATATCAGCCAAAGTAGTTGATTTAACATTTAAAATATTATTAGGTTCCAGATTTTGAGTTGAATCTTTATTTAAAGGATTGTTTGAGTCAATATCATCTTGTAGTATTGATAATAAAGGCTTTTCGAAATTATCCAAAATCGTTTTTTGATCTTCGATTGTGGGAGTGAATTGAGAGATTGGAGAAGTTGAGGATACAATTAAATCATTTTGAATTTTCATTATATTATTTTGAATTTAATTCAAAATATTACATTTGCATCTGGTATTCAGATCGACATCAATTGGTATTATATAGATAATAGTTCTATCTTTTTGAATCGAATCTGATAAAGATGAAAACAAAAGATACCTGAATAAGATTACTATAATAACAAAAATGATGGATTTGGTGATTTTGGTGATTTTAAAGAATTTAAAACTGGTTTGAATGAAAAATCGCATTTCGCGTTTGAATTTTCTTGTATCCACAACAGTGGTTCAATGGATTTACTGCATTAATATGTGTTAATTCGTAAATTGTGCATATTTGATTAGTAATAAACAGTGCACGTGTGTCATCAAAGTTAATTGTGGTTTTTGTTATCCCATTACGTATGTTTGCATAAATTTGCGTTATTATTGCTCCGGCTTCTTATCGAGTTCATCAAGAAGTTGATCAAAATACAAAATCTTAGTCCTTATTCTAATGCTGATATTAACACTGATATTAATACTTATGACAAAGAAGAATTATTTGTGTCTTCAAAGACATATTGTTACGATAAACAATTTTGAAATGTGTAATACGGACCAAACGGGTTGTTTTTCTTTTCAAAGGAGTTTACCAGAAAATGGAGGCAAATCAATAGATTAGTTAAAAAAGTTATGGAAGCAAAGGAAAAATAATATATAGTTAGAATTCTTTGAAAATATATAATTTATAACGAGGCTCATTATTTTATCAAAACAAAATTAAGTCTACAATACAATATATTCGATAAAAGATAAAAATGCTGATAAAGTTTACATTTTTTCTTGATTAGCAGTTGCTGATAACTGCAAGTTCGAAAATAGAAAAAGAGGATTTGCCAGTATAAGTAAAAATCAAAGTATTAGATCAGCATGGCATTTTATTGGCGATAACATTGAAAACAGAGAGGCAGATTTATTTGTGTTTAATAAAATTGGATGGTAAGATGCGATTTGTTGATTTATGAAAGAATGAATGGTGAAGTCAAATATATGTTTTTACTAGGCGATATTCTGTTATATCAGTGAAAAAAGGTTTTTCTTCAGTTCAGAAACCCCAATGAAAACACAATAGCAAAAGAAGCCTCTTACTTTTTTGCATGTATAAAAATGGAGCAGCGTATGTTTTTGACATACAGTGATATGTTGTTTTTGACCATGCTTTGAACTGCCAGAAGATCTTCAAAACAAGACTAAAAGGCTGATATCTTGCAATACCTGTTTCCAGCACCTTACTTCGGGATGCTAACCTCTTGTTCTGACTCCAAGCACAGTCCTTCCTCTCCAGCAACAGTCGTGAGACAACAATTACCAGCTGTTCCGATCCACTACCACGGTACTGATGTACATTGCGCATGTACATACATATGCACACCATTGCTGTCCACAGCGCTGGTACTGCTCTTTTGGGAAAGTGTTTTTCCTAAGAGGAAATGGGAAGAAAATCCCAAAGGAAAATCCAAAGCGTTCTGTAAATTTGAAGGATAAGAAAGCACATTCAGAGAAAGTCTAAAGGACATTTCGTGGACTCTACATTCTCAGCGCAGGCAATGAAGGAACAATAGCGAAGCCATGAACAACAGCTGGAAGCAGTAGCTTTAACATCCTCAGGAGCTGAGCTCTGTTTCAGCCCACCATTTGCTGCTCATCTGAATGCTCCTCTCTCCAGCTCGAGCTGTTTGTTATAAATATCCTGCTGTTGACGTACCTGCTGTTGGACACCATAACTGCGTTTTTGATCTAGGCAGAATTCAATCACAAGTTGATACTTATAACTCTGCGAAGCAGCCTTTGAGCCCACAGGCCATAAAGCTAAGAACCACAACTGCAATCTCACAAAAGGAAACTGCTTTGCTGATATATTCGTCTACTGCCATGCTTCACAACAACATAAACACCCTTCTTCTCATCTCTCTCACCTCAATCCACACTGCTGCCTCTCTCGAACTACAAAAGAGAGCATGTTCTGTTACTGATTCCACAAACTACTACAATGAATTGCAAAGCGCCCTAAACAATACCCTTTGTGTCTCTGATTCTGATTCCTACGAGACTGACTGTCTTTGCAATTATTCAAACTATCAATTTTGGAATTACTACTATACCTACTACTCATGCAACGATATATTCAACATCAATGATGTTAACGAATTCAAAGCCTCCTATTGTGGCTTTGAATCGACTGATTTGACAGACCAAGCAACAGCAACGCAATCATCTACTATACCATCTTCATCTTCACTAACATTTTCTTCATCTCTATCTTCTTCTCTATCCTCACCAGCTGAGACCGAAGTGCAAACTCACAAGTTTTGTTCAAACGAAGACTACGATTTTTACTACAACAAGTTTGAGTCAACTGTAAACAGCTCCAACTGTGGTTATGGAAGCAACGGTTCAATCTATATTGGTGCTTACTCATGTATTTGTGATCTCTCTGACGACCAATACTGGAATTCCTATTACAATGTCATTGTGTGTAGTACTGATAAATTCTCAAATGTCTCTCAAGTTAAAGATTCAATTTGTTCAAACTACACTGTCTCAAATTCAACTTTAGACGTCTACAACTCATCCTCAAATTCTTTAGGTTCCTGTTCTTTAACAGATTACAATACTTATTTGAATGATTACATTGATGCAGTCAACTCATCAGATTGTCTAACTGGCCTTTACGATGACGATTTACCTGTTTTCAAAACTAAATGTGTTTGTGATCTATCAAATGACGAGTTTTGGCATCAATATTACTCTTTAATAAATTGCGATAATAACTATGATTCTAAAAATTTCACTCTTTTCAAATCAAACATTTGTGGTTCTCAAAATATCTCAATCTCTTGTTCATCTTCTGAAACCCAATATCATTATTCCTTAATGATCAATCAACTTAACCAATCTAACTGCTACAGTATCGACTCGACTACCGGCTCTTATAACATAAACCTAGATTGTATCTGTAATTCAAATAATAACGAATTTTGGTATCACTATTTCGATTACTACTCCTGCATATCCTCTAATACTGATTTCCAATATGATGATTACGAATATTTCAAAGAGGATCAATGCGATTTAGAAATCACACAATCTTCAATAGAAGATTATTCTACTGAAGAATTTTCTTCTTCTTCCTCCTCCTCCTCCTCTTCTTTTTCTTTTTCTATAAAGTCTTTAAATTCTTCATCTACTTATTCTGATATAGAGAAAACTCTCACAAGAACGTTAACTGAAACACCATCCAATGGTGTTTCCCTAACTATCGAAACCCTTTCTTTTGCTCATTCTTCTTCTTCTGAAGACATTGCCTTTGCAAATACCTTCAAACTTCCAAATTCTTTAACAATAATATTTTCAACTTTCATATTATTGTTTATTTAATTCAATTTTCTTCAAAAAATAAAAATAAAAATAAATATAAAAAAAAAAAGGAAATCAATTAGATACTTCTAATTGTTTATGTATTTTAATATTTTTATACCTTCATCTCAATCTATTTCTCCTTCTCAATTTGCTACTTTTTATCAACAAAAATTTTAAATTTTATGTGTTTGCTTTTTCTTATTTGCTATTTTAAATTATCTTGCTCTTTTGAAATCTTTATTTTTTTAAAAAAATCTTTTCAAGTCATTTGCTGACTTTGATTGGATTTATGTACCAGTATCTTTTTGTCTTCTCTTTAACCTTCTTTTTATTAAAGAAAAATAACTGTTTTTAATGTACACTATTTCTAGATGTCTTTTCTCGCTTATTATTTGCCAAATTATCTTTAGATCAATTAAATGTAAATTGGTTGGCTTATTCTCTACAGTCTACAGTTATCTCTCTGTCTCAACTTGGTAAGAATATAGTTATAATTATAATTTTAGAAACGGTTTTTTTAAAAAGAAAAAAAAATTTCAATTATAAATTAGGAGTTTTAAAAAAGTAATTTAAAAAACAATTTAAATACAATACACAAAACACACAAAAAAAAAAGTAAAATTTTAAAAATCAACTAAAAAAAACAAACATTAATTGGTTAATGAATAGTTAAAATGAAATCATATTACATAAATATTGCTTAAAGGAAAAAAAAACAAAAAAAAACCAAGTTTAAACAAAGAAACTCCTTTGACATGTTTCCATGTTCATTTACTCTCTTCATCATGTATAAATCCACCCTGTTTACACAATGAGTAGAAAATTGAATCCTTATCCTTTAAAAGGTTTTCAGGACTATCAAACTCCTTTATTCTTCCTTGGTCAAGAGACACAATTCTGTCACTATCCATAATTGTGTTTAATCGATGTGCAATGGTTAAGATTGTTCGGTCTGAAAACTCCTTTCTTATAGTCTTTTGGACAATTTTATCTGTTTCAACGTCTACTGCTGCTGTAGCCTCATCTAAAACCAATATTTTTGATGGAATCAATAAAGCACGAGCTAAACAAACCAATTGACGTTGTCCGACTGATAAATTACTTCCACCTTCTGTCAATTTCACACTCAATCCCTCATTTGAATCACTCATACTCAAAATATGCTCTTTCAAATGTGACAATTCTAATGCTTTCCATATTTTTTCATCTGAAAATCTTCCTGTAGGATCCAAATTTTCTCTTACTGTGCCCTCAAAAACTTGAGCATCTTGTGGAATAATCGATAGTTTATGGCGCAAATCAGCCAATCCAATGTTAGGAACAGAGATATCATCAATAATTATATTACTCTTGGAATCAGCCTTTTCAATAATTCTAAACAAAGCAAGAGATAATGACGATTTACCTGCTCCAGTTCTTCCAACAATACCAACTTTCTCGCCAGCTTTGACTTTTAAATTAATATCTTTCAATACTAATTCTAAATCCTGTCTATATCTAGTTGAATAATTAACAAATTCAAGGCTTCCGTTACTTGGCCATTCTGAATTTGGTCTATTATTTGGAATAATCTCAGGAGCCTCACTTGGTAATTCTCCATATTCTTTGACTCTTTCAACCGAAACAATGTTGGTTTCAATATCAACAGTCATTCTTACCATCCAATTTAATGAACCAGTCACCTGTAATGCATAAGTTACAGAGATACCAAGTAAACCAGATGTCATATGGCCAGTTTTTAATGCAAAAACACAAAGAGCAGCAGAGCCAAAAATAATCAAAGAACCCAAAAACTCCAATCGAACCGCTAACCAACGATTTGCATTGTAAGTGGAAAAGTATGCTTTCATATTTTGATCGATTTTATTTTCATTCAAATAAATAAAACGATTTTGCTGACCATATCCTCTAATAGTGCTTGTACCACCAAGTGTTTCTTGAAAATGAGCAAAAATTGGAGACTTGGAGATAGACTCGATTCTTTTCAATTCTCTTGAAGTCTTGACATAGAATTGTTGATAATAATAATAAAGGAATAATAATGGAACAATAAGAAATATAAATTGCCAAGTGGTGGAGCAAATAACAAACAAAGTAAATAAAATTTTCACAAAATTTGTAAAAAATGACTGGAAAACTCTACCAAGAAACATATCAATTTTATCGATATCACTCGAAAATCTGTTCAAAATCCTTCCAACAGGTGTGGTTTCAAAAAATGACATTGGTGCTCTGAAAACAGAATCAACCATCTTATTGTGCAACACTTTAGCACCAGTAATAATACAGACAACCCACATGGTCCAGGTTTGAACAAAGGTGAATAAAGAAGAACCAATTCCCAAAGCAATATAAACCGCCAAATATTTCCCTACATTAGGATTGTATCCATATTTGGAGTTAACTTCTGCCCAGTATTTCAACCAATAATTACCAGCAACACTTAAAGCCATTGAAGATACCAAGAAGAACAACACATAAATAACACCAGCTGGATTACAAGCTTTAGCGTATTCAATATAGATGCTCCATTTGACTTTTCCTGTTTGACGCTGTTCCTCTCTAATATTCACAACTTGTTGATCAACATCAGAAGGGCCTGGAGTATTTTGTTCTTGATAATTGAAACTAGCAGTGCTTGCACGTCTTAGACTCATTGTTCCATCAATATCTTTTGAAATAATACTAATTGCGTCATTTGAGTCATTGCTACTATTAAAAGAAGATTCTCTATTGAGAACACTAACATTATCAGTAACATTTTTGGATCCAACAACAGTCTCATCTACACTTACATCAGTTTCAACACTAGAAGAATGTATGGCTGTAGCAGATGAATCAAGATCTGCAGGTTCGATTTCAATTTTTTCGTCTTTTTTAGATTTTTTTCCAAATTCCTTGATCAATTTTGCTAATAATGAAGAATCCTTCTTTGTAATTTCATTATAAGTTCCTTTCTCAACAACTTCCCCATCTTGCAACATGGTAATGTTGCTCGATAAACTGAGAACATTAATTGAATTAGTAGCCAAAACTTTGCATTTGTGTCTCAATAAACCATTGGGACCTAAAACATTATCAATTAAATGTTTACCAACATGTTCATCAACGGCAGATAAAGGATCATCTAGTAAATAAATATCTGCTCTTGAATAGACAGATCTGGCTAACGATAATCTAGCCTTTTGGCCACCAGATAAAGAAATACCCTTTTCACCTACTTCGGTTAAATCACCATCTGGTAATATAGCAAGATCCGAGCTTAGATCACAAGCACGAATAACTTTATTGTAAAAGTCTTTGTCATATCTGTGTCCAAAAAGAATATTTTCTTTAACAGTACCATTCATGATCCAAGAAACTTGTGGAACATAAGCAACCTTTCCATGAAGTTCTACTGAACCTTTTAATTTATAGATATCACCTAACAAGCATTGCAAGAAAGAAGATTTACCAGAACCAACTTTACCAACAATACAATGCAAGTCACCCTTTCTAGCAATAAAATTAAGATTTGATAAAGCTACTTTATATTCTGGTGTTTTTTGCCACAAGAAAGTAGCATTTTCAACTTTAACAGAAGTATCACCAAGTTTATTAGCTTTTGGTTTTCTTGTTACGGAATCAGGTTGCAATTCTTCGGAGATTAAAAAGGAAACCAATCTTTTTGTTGAAACCGAGGCCTCAACATAGGCATTAAGAACCATTGGAAGAATACTTAATGGGAAACCTAACAAGTTGAATAAAGATAAAGCAGGGAAAACTATGTCAGTAGTCAATGGAGCACCATGTGAAGTATATACAAAAACAGCAAAAGTTGAACATGAGACCAAGAAAGGAGCACAATTCCACATGAATAGGTTGATAGCTCTATATACACTGATTTTCTTTAAATTGGCTAGTTCTTGATCATTTCTAATATAAAATAACTTTTTCTTGTAGGGATTTTCCCAGCCATATAGTTTAAGAGATTTAATATTATTTAGCATTTCATTGACTAGTCTGACTCTTTTGTCTTTTGTTTTCATTTGGGATATTTGGAAATTTTTCAAGATTTTAACAATGTATGAGTTAAAGGGAATTAAGAGTAACATGACAAGGAAACCAACCCACATTGAGTTTCCTAAAATACTTCTAAGAGAAATTAAGCACAAGATGATTTGGTAAGGACCAGACCAAATCAATTGGCCGTATTCGTTGATGTCTTGTAATCTTTGAGAATCTACAGACATTAAATTGACAATGTCACCAGTAGATTTTGAGATTCTTGCTTGATTCGATAATTTTAGGGATTTCTTGTAAATGACACCAGTTAGTGATGTTTTGAATTTGGAGCCCATGCTATAGGAGATGTAGAAATATTGGTGCAAAAAGATGGTTTGAACTATAGAGACAATGAACATGGAAAATGCAATCATAAAACCTTTTGATATTGGGACACTTAGTTTCAAAGGATCATCTTGGTTGAGATAATCGTTGACAAAAGAGATTAATAGTTTCAATAAAAATGGTTGGACAAAAGATAGAGTATCTTGGGAAAACTTGAATAAAAAAGACCAAAATAGAGGTTTGCTAAAAGATATGAACAAGACTTTAATTAGAGAAGGGTTTTTCTTATTTTTGGCGACTTCAGCACTCCAGTTTTGGTTGAATTCATTTGATGTGTAATTGGTATCAAATTTTTGGGGCAAAGAGGACAAATCTGAAGGTAGAAGATAGTTCAAGTAGCCCTTTTTCATTAATGGAGACATCCAAGAGAAGGTTATCTTTGAAAATAAATCGGCATTATCAATGGGGTTCAATTGAGAATCGAGCAAATAGTCGTAAGGAGATTTTTGAATATTATTTTGAAACCATTGGTTTATTAGGATGATAATTGAGTTGAAGAGAATGAATATATTGATTATGAATATATATTTGTTATTGTTGTTGTTAAATTCCGGAGATTCTTTTAAATTTGATCTAAAATAAAAGCCCAAGACTTTTAAAAGAGATAGAAAAGATTGGAAAAACCAGTATAGTAATAAAATGGAAGCAGTCCTTTTTGAATATTTGTAATCGTAATACGATAAGATTGGGACAATAAAAAACAAAGAGAAGATTTGGAAATCTAATGACAAGTCGATGATATTATAATCCGAAGAGACTTGGTAGAATCGAAGAGACAATAGAAAAACATATTGTAAAAAAATTAAAAAGAATCTCAATACAATTTGAAAATTAAGTTTTCTTGCTATTGAATTATTCTGAAAATTTAACTGGTATTTTATTAGATTTACTAATTTGTGGGAACCAAATATTATTAGAGACACATTCAATAGATTGAAGAAAACACCATTTAAAAAACATGGAGTGAAATCAAAAAACTGATATGAAATTGGACCCCAGCTTTCTTGATCAGTGCAACTTAGACAATATGGCAAAGCAGAGAGATTGTTGTTAGGGCTGTAGATAATCATGCTGAAATGATGAGAACTAGAGCCTTCAAAAAAGCAGATTACTGACTAAAAAAAATAAAATTAGTGAGCAGCAAGCAAAAAGAAGAAAAAATATTGTTTAAATAATGAAATAAAGATAAAACCAAAAGATATTGAAACTGATTAATAGCAAAAAAGGTAGATTAGTAATGGAAATAAGAACCAAATTGGAAAGACGTTGCAGAGAAAAGACGAAAAGGCACAGGGCTCCGTCGCCGAGAAGCCGATCCGACACAATAACAACTCGGCCAAAAAGCTTGTGTTCGCTTGTTTTGCACGTGGTCCGTGCTGTTTCTGGTGGTTTTCGAACCCCTGCTGCTGTTTCTCGTATATATCCTGGTGCTGGTACTGCAATTGCTGCACCTCGTGCAGCAAACGGACGGTTATCGTACCGTGTCCGATCAGGTTCCGCAGAATTTGAACGAATCTACGGTTAGTCCGTTATGAGCAGGATCGTCGAGAAAGGGCCTTCAGGACCCAACCTCGGAGAAGCAGAGCGGGCCCTGATAAGAACGGGATTTCAGTGAGTGCGAGTGCCCTGCGTGCACACGTTCTGCGGGCAACAACACCGCTGTTGCGGAACATTCTTTGGCCGGTCCAATTAAACATAAGGTTTCCAGTGATGAAAAACTCTCATTCTCAAAATAAGACTATGAGGTAAAATCCAGAGAAGAACAGCGAAAGAATAAAAGCAAAGTTGCTGTAATTATTCAGACCCATGAACACTGCATGGACATTCGGTCGTCAACATCCCAATTCTCACTAAATACCACTAGGTTGAGGTGGTTTCTTCTGTCGCTGGTGGAAGTTCAAACCACTATCCTGAGAATTAGGTTGCCGTTTACTCAGATCTAAGTGAATAGGAAATCTTGGTGAGTTGATAGTGAAAACTGCCTTTGGTTTTTATTCAGGTGGAAGCACTTCTGGGAAAGCTGTTGCTGGAGGCAGAGATGTAGCGATGGGGTGTGGATTTTCTTTTTGGGTCCAGAAGAGCTCTGTAAAGGACTTAAAGGATTTAGTGCTCTTAGTGAGTGATTCAAAAACAAATGATAGGCTGTAAAATATTTGGGCATACAAAAAGACGGGTCTTTGGTGTTATATATAATTTCTGGTGTTGTTCTCTGTTCCTAACAAACTGGATGGTCTGGCTAGAACTGGACATGTTGTTGCACTTGAGCAAATAATAGCTCACTGCCAGCTATTCTGACTTTTTTACTGGAATAGGTATAGGAATCAATATGAGACCTACCTAAAAAGGAATTTGTTGCTTGTTGGATTGTGATTACGAAAGACGTAGTGATTCTACTCTTTTATACACCCTTACTTGAGGTCTTTTTGCTTTTCTTCAACACTCTTTAATATTCTTCCTTTTTTTTTCGGGTCATTTTTCTGTCAAATTTTGGTCTGGCGTTTTTGTGGGGTACGTTTTTTCAACACTATCCCTCTTTGGCTGGAACATTGTCTGGTGTACGGTCTTTCTAATGTATGGCCAAACACTCCATTTTCGGGAGATAATGGTCTCCGACATCTCGAAATCTTTCTCGTTATAACTCGAGAGAAATAAAATAAAAATTATAATTTTTATCAATAAACTCGAGGTATTATTATATTAATTGAAATATTATGAATATTATTATAAATATTATTATGAATATTATTATGATGGCCTTCTTGTAATTGACTATTATTAGGTTTGTTTTTCGTTGTTAAAGAATAGAGTCGATTTGTTGGATATATTGAATATTAATTAAATATGATTGGTCATAGGATAAGATACTGGTTACATTTTCGCTAATTAGTGGAGTTTGTGAAAACAAAAAAAAGCAAGTACAAAGCTATTGTCAATTTTTTTTTGTGCATTTTAAAATGTATAAAAATGAATAAAAGTTCGATTATTTTTCAATGGCTCAACTTCTCAACTTCCCTACTTCTTAACTATCAAAATTTATTAGCTTAATTCAATCAATTAACTTAATTCAATCTATCAACTCAATTCAACTCAATTAATCAATTAAAATGAAAGTCCTTGCTGTTTTATATAAAGCTGGCCAACACGCCAAAGATGAACCAAAACTTCTCGGCTGCATTGAAAATGAACTAGGTCTTCGTAAATGGTTAGAAGATCAAGGCCATACTTTGGTTACAACTGACGATAAAGAAGGTCCAGATTCAACTTTAGATCGAGAGCTTGTTGATGCTGACGTCTTAATTACTACACCATTTCATCCAGGTTATATCACCAGAGAGAGAATCGCTAAAGCTAAAAACTTGAAAATCTGTATTACAGCAGGTGTTGGATCGGATCACATTGACTTGACTGCTGCAAATGAAAGGAAGATTTCTGTATTGGAAGTTACAGGATCCAATGTTGTTTCTGTCGCTGAACATGTTGTTATGACTATTTTGGTTTTGGTTCGTAATTTTGTTCCGGCTAATAATCAAATCACCATTAGAAAAAAATGGAACGTTGCTGAAGTAGCCAAGGATTCATACGATGTTGAAGGAAAAGTCATTGCGACAGTTGGTGCAGGCAGAATTGGATATCGTGTTCTTGAAAGACTAGTCGCTTTCAATCCAAAGGAATTGTTGTACTTTGATTACCAACCTTTGTCCAAAGAGCTTGAAGAGAAAGTTGGAGCCAGAAGAGTGTTGGACCTCAAAGAAATGTTATCTCAAGCTGATGTGGTTACAATCAATTGCCCATTGCACGAGGGCACCAAGGGCCTATTTAACAAAGAATTGATCAGCCACATGAAGGATGGAGCGTGGTTGGTGAACACGGCTAGAGGTGCCATTTGTGTTGCCGAAGACGTTGCCGAAGCAGTTGAGACAGGAAAGCTCAGAGGTTATGGTGGCGATGTGTTTGCTCCACAACCAGCTCCAGAAAATCACCCATGGAGATCGATGAGAAACAAGTACGGCGGTGGGAATGCTATGACTCCTCATATCTCTGGTACATCTCTCGACGCGCAACAAAGATATGCAGATGGTGTTAAGAACATTTTGGCATCCTTCTTTTCCCAAAAGTACGATTACAGACCAGAGGATGTTATTGTCACCAACGGACACTATGCCACCAAGGCCTACGGTGAAGATAAAAAATAAAAACCGAAATGACCGCGATATAGTTTTACTTTTATTTTACTTATATACGAAATAGCGACGACGTTCAATGAAAAATACACAGATCAACTCATAAAACTTGCCACACCGGAAAAACTCCATGTGCTTTTTCCACTTTTTTCCAGGATGTAGCACCTGGAAACAGGAACCGTGTGTAAACCACATCACCGAGTGAGCTGTCCCAAATACACAGAATACACAGCGTTGTGCAAGAGAGTCGTGTGACCGTCCTTATTTGCGCTAGCGAACGCGGTTTCACGCGTTGGCGAACGCGACCAGACCGAGACGCATGTGGAATTTCTTACGTAAGAATCCGATTTGCAGAAGCGGCACGGATTGGGCCTGGAAACGTCGAGCGTTTGAAACATACAAAGAGCAGACAAAAACAGAGGACGAAAAGCGAGCCAAAAATAGGCTGCGATCTGGAGCATTCAATCGTTATCGCTGGTGATTAACCATTAGTCAGTCACTATTTGAATGTACAACGTTGCCAAAGTGCTTATTGTTTCACAGAAAAGCAAGGTCTCTCTTTCTTTTGAATTTCACATCTAGCCTCTACCAAGAAAGCTGGATTCCGAACTACGAGCAGCCCTCTGAGCGATAAAGCCCTAGAGTTTCCTATTCCGTCGAATGTAGGCTTTTTATTGTCCTTTGAACTGTGATGGAAATCAGAATCCAGAATCCAGTAAACCTACGACAAAGAACCACCTGAATTGATCTTGAACAATCCCAAATGTGGTTTCCGAGTAAAGGTTTACAAAATAAAGTCATCAATATTGATAGTTCACCTTATTTCTTTATCTAACTTCTCTTGCTGCCTGCCCAATGCCACTTTTCTCGAGGATGTTGAGTGGTCTGAAGGTGTGTACATTTCTGTCCTCAACATACCAAACTAATTCAAGAGGAATGGGCTCAATATTTCAGCAAAACTCCTCCAGCTGCCACTGGGCACTGATCTGATTCAGAGACAAAAGCAGCACTGCTGTCTGGCTGCTCTAATTGTTTTATCTGCTTCCAGTCGATTGAGGACCACCACTGCAGCCACAATCTCTCCAATCAACCTCGATGCTAGATCCTTTCCTGAATGGGCCTTAAACCACTAATTGCAGAGATTTTCGCACTCTGATCCTCAAGCTATTCGATTCTCTTATTCTCTTATTCTTTTGATTGTTCACTTTTATTCTTCCATTCTCTGGTCTTGTGTTGTGTTCTAGTTCTGTACCCTACTATTCTTCTACTCTTCTGCTTCTGTTTTCACTTGTATTCGAAGAAGAATGTTTTGAGAAGCGAAGAAATCTGCCTGATTTCGACTTTATCTTGTAAGACGATGCCAGCTACAGCCATTTCCATTCACTATCCATACAACTTGGGTAAATCTATTGTATTTAGATTCAAGTCACTACCAACCTAATTCGACCACTTTTTGTTTGTTATATATCCATATTTACCAATCATACTCATCTACTCTTTCATTTTTTTCTTTCTACCTTTTTCCTTTTCATATTTATATCTATTATTAACTTTTAATAAGCTTAAACTTTTTACTAGTATACCCAAACTAATAAAACAAAAACAAATCTTATTAACATGATATTATTCCAAAAATCTTCAACACATTTTTCCTACTTCACTTCTTCAATTCCTTATTATCTTGATTTGTCTCTTTTTTTTTTTCCTCTCTTCTCTTCTTTTCTTTTCTTTTCTTTTCTTTTCTTTTCTTTCTCTGATTTTCTAGATTTTGGAATTTGATTCTTACTTCAATATTTTCTTTCATTATATTATAACTTTTGCTGGCTATATCGAAAAAAATTCCTACTACCCTTTTTTTTTATCAATTATTTTGTATTTAACTATCAAACTTTCCACACTTTCTATAAATTTAATATCAATAAATTGATCTACACTTTCCAAATATTTTTTTTCATTTTACTCTTTATTTAAACTCTTTGGTTCTGTTACTTTTTTGGTTGTTACCTTTTGGAATTTTTTGGCTCCTTCATATCAATATATTATAAAGTTAATTTCTTTTTTGGTTCCATTTTTTTTAGAAATTATTTATTCAATCTAAAATAATATTTTATTAAAATTATTGAATATTATTAAATATCATAATTTTCATCATTCAAAAAAAGAAAAACAATATCTATTGTGTGTTTATTAAAAGATATAAAAGTAGAAAAAAAAACTTTCCATTTTTATCCCTTTATCATTATCTCTAAATAATTTTTTGTTAAAATTCATTCTCATTTTCATTTTCTTTTTTAATTTCTTTCTTTCATTTTCTGTTTTTTTGGTTTAAAATAAATAGGCTCTTGTCAATTTACTATATTCCCAAATTCAAATCATCTAATCATTAATTTACTCCTCTATTCAAAATGTACAGACCAAATTCTCCAACATTGTTTTCACCCGAAAATACTATATCAACTACTACCTCAAATACATTCTCAAACACTTTTTCAAGTACAATTTCAAATACAATTTCAAGTCCTTGCAAAAATATGAGACAAAATAGCAAAAAAAATCCAGATCTTCTAAAATCTTGGAATAAATCCAATTCAAACAACACAATCTCCTTTTCAAATTTTTCCTTTAAAAAATCAAAAAATGTTTACAATAATTCAGGTTCAAAAGACTCTGCCTTGATAACAACAAAATTCTCCTTATTCGATATGGAAAATAATGCTAATCTTAACAAACAAAAAAATAGCAGTCACTCAAACAACTCGATAACCAGAAAATTGCAAGAACATTTTCAAAGTCCTAAAAATACTCCCAAAAACACCCCTCAGAATAGCCCTCAACAAATCCAACACCAATATAATACTTCAGAATATAACTACAGTAATATTAATGGATTCTCAGATCAATACAGCGAGACTTGTACCAGTGATTATAATAGTGAATATAATAGTGACTATTTTTATAGAGATAACGATCAAATCAGCTACCAATATCAATCGCCTTATCAACTAAATTCCCAAAGATTTTCTCAACTTAAAGATTTTGACTATAATGAATATGATGAATACGATGAATATGATGAATATGATGAAGCCCTAAATTTGAAATCAATCCCTGAATCTCAAAGTGAAGAAACTAATAGTGATACTTTTATATTTGTGAATGAGGATCAAATTAGCGAGTCGACACAAGATTTAATGAAAAAAGATCAGCCAGTTGGAAATTTAATGGCCAACTCACTTGATAATGATAAGGAAGAAGATATTAAAACTGGTAGTTTTATGCAGCCTCATAACTTTTTAACAACTGTTGATTCGTCTGATATGCAATCATTAACTACTGTTATTATAGCACCTTTGCAACCAAAAAATTTTGAGAGTTTTCTCTTCTCCAAGAATAACACACAGACTAGTCACGTAACTAATAATAATGAACATAACGATGATAATAACGATATTATTAGCGCGAATTATGAATCTAATATTTCTTCTTCCATGTCTTCTAATGAAATAATTTTTTCAAGAAACAGCATTTCGAAATCAAGTATGAAACAAGGATCGAGCGATACAATGATATCCTCAGTGAACTCCATTTCGATATCCAATAGAAGTTCCAATTCTAATTCAAGTAATCAACTGAGTAAGTTGAGCGCATTGAATTCCAAAAGTTCAATTAAAAGGTATATTCCAAGATCTTTGACTGCTTTGTCATATTCGAAATCTTTAAAGTCATTAAAATCGTATAATGTGAATAATGTTAATAACTCGACATCGACATTTCATAATTCACGAAAATCGTCAATGTCAAACATTTCTTTTATGAATTCAGAGGTGGAGTTGGTAACTAACGGTGAAGTTAATAACGATTTAAATTCAATAGTGATGAGTCCGAAATCATCAATGAATAATAAAACTGCATCTCGTTTATCGATAAATAGTTCTATTTCTGTGCCATACAATATGAAAAATAGAAACAAGTCAATTTATGACTTTGTTGTTCTAGATTATAAAGGGGAACTTTTGCATTTAAACTACCTTCAAAATAAAGTTGTTCTTATTATTAATATTTCAAATATTGATAGTTTGGCATCGAGTAACCATCATTTTGCACAGCTAGAGCATCTTTATGAAAAATACAGTCATCTTGGATTTGAGATATTAGCATTTCCAACTAATCAATTTGACAAAGAAACTGGACAGGAATTGGGTGGTAGGCGCAAACAATATGTTAGCCAGTATGAAATCCAGCACAACCAACTCAGCAACGAGATCTTGAAAAAGATCAAGTATCCAGTTATGAGCTGTTGCAAAGTCAATGGCAAGAACCAATTGGAATTGTTTGACTGGTTAAAGTCTCAAAAGAAGGGAGTAATACGTATCAGAACTATCAAAATGAACTTTGAAAAATTTGTTGTTGATAAAGATGGCCATGTTGTTGAAAGATTCAGCTGTTTTACCAAACCAAGTAAATTGGAAAATCTCATCCAAACATTACTAAAAAAATAAGTTAATTTCACATTGGCTCGTTATCTTGTTTATCTTTTCATTTTTGTTTATTTTTTTTTTGTTTATTTTTTGTTGTTTTTGCTCTATTTTCCTCGTCGTTATTTTGCTATTTTTGTTTTAATTGCTTTTTGTTTCAATTGTTGTAAACGTCACTGTTATTGTTATATGTTCTATTTTTGTGTTTGTTTATTCTGTTTAAGTTGTTTGAGTTGTTCTCTTTAGTTTTATGTTGTTTTGGTGTGGTTGGATTGAATCACCAGCTGCATTTCCCATCAACTGTCATTTTGTTTTCTTGTGAAGCACAGCATCTCTGTGTTTGATTGTTTTCTAGCACCTTTACAGGTTTGTTTTCTATAATTCAGCAGTTAGTTCAATTCATTTGACAAGCGCTGAGACTCTATTAGTTAGTTAATCGATATTAATGTACACTTCGAGATTGCTCCTCTGTAGATCGCCAGTATAATCAGATCTGGGCTTTGAGCACAAAAGGCGCATTTGCACTCAGAGGCAAAACCACTCCAAGGCAAACAGTTTTGCAACTACAATTACGAGGCAACAGCAAAATGAAAGCTGAGGAGATTGAGGAAGAGTATAGAGCCATCACCTTTGTGCTGTAAGTTGTTTTCGTGTCTCTGCGATTGTGGACCAGCCTACTAATGTGTGTTAGAGCGAGCTTTTGGGACTATGGTGAATGGGCCAGACAGGAGTTGATAGAGGCGAGAGTGGTGAAGTACAGGTCGCTTTTGGAGGAGGACAAGAAGCTTATTCCCTGGTTCCAGGGCCATTTGAAGGCCCTAGAGTACTGCATCTCGAAGAACGAGATATTCTTCAGAAGAGTGGTCAGCAAAGTCGCGAGAGAATGGGTTCCTGAGAGCTTGTTGGACAAAGAGTTGTGGCAAAAGAGCACTGTTGTGGGTTTCGAGAGAGTGAAGTCTGTATTGCTTCAGTTGAACAGAGAATGGTCAGAGGCATCGCAAAAGGAGAGAGCAGAGAGCTTTGGCAAGATCTTGGGCTATTTGGATCAGAACTATAAGAACAAAAAGAGAAGACAGAATATGGATGTGTTGGTTCCAGGAGTGGGTTTGTCGAGATTGAGCCTAGATATCATCCAAAGGGGATTTAGGTGCCAAGGTAATGAGTTTTCCTATTTTATGTTGATTGTTTCAAATTATATCTTGAACTGTTCCAACATCAAAAATGAGTTTGAAATTTATCCTTTTCTTCATCGATTTTCGAACCAAATTTCACGAAAGTATCAAATCAGAAAGGTTCTAGTTCCAGATATCAACGCGTCAGAGGTTTTAAAAGACTTAAGAGAGATCCAAAAGATCGATGCTCAAAATTTAATGTCTATTTGCTCTGGCTCATTTATTGATCTATATGGGCCTAACTATGGAATTAAAGATTCAGACTTTTATGATAAATTCAAGGAAAGCAGTTTTGAATTTCGCGCAAGCAACGAGGAGAAATTTGATATCATTATAACATCCTTTTTCATTGATACATCGGCCAACATCTTTGAATATGTCAAGGCAATCAAATGGTCATTGAAACCTGATGGGGTTTGGATCAACTTCGGGCCATTACTATGGCATTACGAGCAAGAGGAAGACACATTCACAGTTGCTGAGTTCGAAGACTGCAAGAAAAACAAGCAGGTTCCCATGAAGGGACTCGAGTTGACCAGAGAGGACTTGCTCCAATGCATCAAAAGCATGGGTTTTGAATTCAAGGTCTATGAAAACAATGTAGAAACAACTTATGGAAACGATGGAGTGAACAGTGGAAAAGTGCTTGCTGAATGGGTTTACAGGTGTGAGTTTTGGGTGTGCAACAAAAAGAAGCCTGCAGCCTCAGACCTCCCTTTCTACAGATAGTCTGCCATCACAAACACCAGGAGCTGGTGCCTTTCCTGCCTGGAGCCTAGAAGATAAAGTGCCATCTGGGGATAAACAGCCCTCAACGGGTGTGCTTTAGTTGGTGGATGTTTCGAGACGTGGAAACTAGAAATGTTCAGAGATGTTCACAGCTGAATCTTAATTGGAGTTTGAAATAAAGATCAACGTTCCCCAGCTGTTGCTTCTTGTAAATCGTCCTCAGCTCAAGCACTGCGAACACTGCAATGCTGCTGCTCCAGCAGTTTTTCGATGGTGTGGTTCTCTGTGAGGTGCTCCTGCTATTGATGCAAATGCTGGTTCTACTCGATGTTGGTGGAAAAATTCTCGCTATGCTGTTTCTTCTCGAAGAAAGCAGCCAGTGGAACATTGCTGGTAGAGGTAGATCCAGACATTTCCCACGTATGTGAAGGCATTTTTAGCTTGTTTCTTCAATGTGAGCTTTCAAAAGAAAGGTCTTCTAAAAGAAAGAAAGGCGTGGAATCTAAATTTCAAAGGATAAAGTAAAAAACAATTCCCATTAAATTAGAAACAAAAAGAGAGATCTTGAAATGGAAAATGATTGGAAAATGAGTTAATTTTTTTCTATTTTATATATTCTTATTGAATATCAGCATTTCATAATAGTATTTTGTATTATTATTCCATTCTAGGTTAGCTTATTCCTATATATACCTACAGTTCTCCCAATTATTTATTTATAAATTAAAATACTATTTCGTAACCCCTTCCAACTTCCTCTAATTGAATTTATTAATTCTGCTATTTAAGATCCAGCTTTTAAAAGTTTTCCAGAAGAGAAGAAAGTACCAACCCCTTTTGCTGATCCTAAAACTAATATTGGATATTCCAAACTAGTCTTTGGATTATTTATTTACCCATTACCCACTACCTGTTTATTTATTTATTTATTTATTTATTTATTTATTTATTTATTTATTTTTTTATTTTTAATTTACCATTTATCATTTATTGTTGTTGGATAACCTGAAAAAAAAGTCATCTTAGTTTACTAACTTGACCTGCGAGTTCTCAACTGGATAATGAAAATTCTATATAATGCCTGAACAATCATCACTAAACTCCTTATATTCTGATATTACAGTGACAAGAAATTCATATTTTATTGACAGCAATTTTAAAAGGAAAATGCAAGCCCCACTAAAAGATAATTCTCAGTCTTGCTTAACTGCTCAATATAATTCAAGAAATACAATCAACATAATAGAGGCCAGAACTTTAAAAAATAGAGAAAATTCGTTGGGTGATAATGAGTTTTCTAATGAACATATTGGGGTGATGATGGCTCCAAAGAAAATACGAATAGACGATGATGATGATGACGATGATGATGATGATGACAATGATGATAATGGTAATGATCTTTACTCTGATTTGTTTTCTCATTCAACGTCGAGATTGATGTTTGATAGAAAAAAAAATAATAACGATGCATACAATACACTTACAAGTAATTTTATTGGGAAAAACAATACTACAAATGACAATGACAGTAATAAAGACAATGGAAATTATACTTATAATTACAATTATAACGATAATACTGTTTCTACCAATAACACCACAATTAATAGTAATGCAGATAATAATAATGCTGATAATAATAATAATAATAATAATAATAATAATAATAATAATAATAATGGTAATAATAATAAGGAAAATATTAAACTGATTGAAATTTTCAATTTTAATAAAATTGAAAACTTTGGAGATAATAAAAATGAAAACTGTAATAGCAATAACAACAGCAATAACAATATAAATTCTTTTAAACTACGAGTTCCACTATCACCAGGATATTCTACATCTCCTACGACGCCTATATCGATGGGGTCATCGACATCAAGGAGAAGAACAATATCCAATCATAAACCTACACCAAGTATATATTCAAGACAAAATTACCAATTTGATAAACCAATTAAAAAAATCTCCACCCCAATGCTAGTGAGCAGTACAAAAAAAATCATAAACTATTCTACAAATTATGAACATCGGTCATCAATTTCTATAATAAATAACACAATTGATAATATAAAAAATAACAGTTCTACAGAAGTTGATACAATTTCAAATTTCAATCAAATTGACTCTAATGTGATAAGTTTATTAACAAAATCTGCAAGCAAATTAAATCTAGATGATTTTAATGGCTCTATTATTAATCATAACCATAATCATAACAACAACAACAACAACAACAACAACAACAATAGTAATCATAATCATAGTCATAATCATAATCATAATCATAATCATAATCATAATCATAATCAAGACATAGATTATAATCATCATAGTCAAGATTCTAATGATCTTCTTTATAATTTTAATGAAAGTTTAAGTGAATTTAATAGTAAAAATGGCAGTTTTTTAAATTACAGTAGAAGTATCAAATCAAGTGCAAAATTGAGTATGATAAGCAGAGTATCATCATTTTTCAATAATTCATATTCATTATACGATTTTACAGTGGAGGATTGTTATGGAAATATCTTTGATTTTTCAAAGCTTGAGGATAAAGTCATACTAATAGTGAATATAACTATAATCGATGCATTTTTGGAAAAGATTTTCGAATTGCAAACATTATATGATAAATATAACAAAGATGGGTTGGAAATTATTGCTTTTCCTACAGACCAGTTTCTTTCACCATCGTTAACAAACCCACAAACACTGCCCAGTAATTCAGTGTCGAATTTCTGTCAAAAATATAATATAACGTTTCCTGTGATGGAAAAATGTAAAGTCAATGGTAAAAATCAAGTTGGTGTGTATAGATATTTGAAAGCTCAGAAAAAAGGCCCCTTGGGATTGAAATTGATCAAATGGAATTTTGAAAAATTTTTAATTGATAAAGATGGCGAGGTCTCTGGGAGATTCAGCTCGCTTTACAGGCTAAATAAGTTGGAGAAAAACATTAAAAGCTTGTTGTTTGATAAAAAAAAGCCTCGAAGCGTTTCAAGCAGAACATTGAATAAATATAGCAATTACTATTACTAATCCCAGTGGAACAAAACCATAAATGCATGCTCTCATCGTTCTCCCAGACTCCACTGGCCACAGCTGTGCTGGTGCTGGACCTGCTTCCTTTCACTCTGCTCGTGTTGAATAGACAGTTCCCCAGCTCTTCCCCAGCTCTTGCTCAACATTGCTCAACATTTCCCCAGCATTTTCGGCGAACTGCGCGATGTTCGGAAGCGGTACAAAAGAAGGATAGTGTGGTCTCGTGCATCAAAACAACGGACCGCTTCGGCACATTCCGGTCCACGTGCGCGGCGCTTTTCTAAGCCGGCACTGCGGCCGCGCAGGAGCTTTTTGACCGCGAGCGCTTACAATTTATGACCAGGCCTTTTAGGCAGTACACGCTTTGCTTTCTGCGTCCTGCATGCACAGCGTAGCCCACTTTATCAGGTATTTCCCGTTAAAAGAAGTCTGTTATCTGCATGTGTTCAGGTGTATGCATTGCATATGCAGATACTGATCGAGATCGAACGCAAAATGCTAATTAGCTTTGTATTGTTCTGCCTGCTAAAAATATTATCAAGAGTAATTTGACAACAATTTGACCGTAGTTGTTTAATGATTTGATAATTGACGGTCCTTGTCTGCTTTTAGTATCAAGATTGGTCATATTTTTAATGGTCGCATTGGTGTTCATTTCTGATGGATTTGTCTTATATTTTGCTCTTTCTGATGACTTTCTTCAAAAAGATCTTTTTTTTGCTCATCGCTTTTCAAATAAATCATCTGATAGAAACACCTGCTCGCTCTGTGCCCGTTCACCTACTTAAAGTGAGGTCCGGCAAATTTCATATCGTATGTGAATATTTAGTTATCAGCAAAAACAATATCTGATAGTCTCGTTTTTACAAGACTTCCAAGCGTAATCAGCAAAGCTGATTTGCTGATTACTTCGTAACAACTTCCCTCTTGGAAAGTCCAGCCCAGATTAAACTTCAGATTTGAAGAATTCCTGATAGCAAATTATTTTACTATGTGGTTCATCTTTTTTAGTAAGTTTTTTTCATCTCAATTTAGGTCCTACTGTGTTCAATTATAGTCAGAAGAACTGGATTTGGTATTGCACTGTTTTTTTTACCTTCTCTCTCCCTTTCACTTTATGGATTTTCAATGTGTTCACAACTCTAGTTCAGCTCTTTACTCAGGCTTTGATTCCCTTTTTTTTTCATTTAAATACAATTCAAATCACCCTGCTGGAAGTGTGTGTTTTCTTTTGGAATTTGCGATTTTGCTTGATTATATTGACTAACGAAATCAGGAAGATCAATTTTCCAATTCTCTCGCTTACCTCAGGCATTTTTCACTAAATACTCACCTGGCTTTGAAATTCTCACTAATATTTTATTCAATTACTACTCAACGCTCATTTATCAACAAACAAAGGCAAATATCAGTGAATTAACACACAAACAATAACAAACAATAAAAAACCATAAAAAACCAATAAAAAAAAATCATAAAACATTAAAAAGAAAAAATAAAATAAAATTTTTCTATTATAATTAATCTCACTTTCACCCATTTTGTCCAATTTCTTTTTGAACATCTCAGAACTAATGATATTTAATTCATCTTAGCTAAAGATGGAAAGTAAATTATTACGCTCTTCTAATTTATCATCCTCAAAAGCAGGTTTTAATTTTTATAATTTTAGAGATTTACCAAGAGAGGCCTTTATTTCTTCCTCTTCCTCAATTAAGATTCCCAGATTTCAGTTGTCTAACCCCAATACAAATTCAACTTCGAATTATGAAAATAAATTTCGAGATGATATAAAATTGCCGGAATACGCCGATGATAATAACCACAACCACACCGTTACCACAACCACTACTAATAATAATAACAATAGCAATAATAGTGACAAAATAATTTATTCTCCTAATTCTCAAGTCTCCATTTTATATCCAACAAATAGTAATGAAAGTTATCTTTCCGATACTTTTTCATTTGAAGTTGGCAATTCTGATAGCAATGAAATGAATTCAAATGACAAATCTTTTAATAATTATGACAACAATTACCAAACTTATATTAATAGTCAAAGCACTGTTAAAAATCTTTTTAACAACCATGGCAATCATGAGAATATGAATAATAAAGATAATAACAATCACAATCACAATAATAATTATTTTCATATTAATAATAACGATAATGAATCTATTTTCTCTTCAAATTCATTATCAACTTATACCAATGGGAAAAGGACCCAAAATTTTTACCCATTCTTTCCTAATAAATCAACCAGTAGAAATATAAATAAACTATCACTTGATATGAATAATATCTCAAACAATAAATCGGCTCAAAATTTATTAGATAATCAATCCTTGAATCCAAAAAAAAAGAAGAAAACTTTGGAAATTACAGAAAAAGTTTTTTCTCCAAACTCTACAACTTCAGCCTTCTCAAATAATAATAATAATAATAATAATAGTAATAATAATAGTAATAATAATAATAATAATAATAATGGTAAAATAGATTGCAAAAACTTTTATAGTCAACCAAATTCATCAACTTTTTCAAGTTTTTCGACTACTTATAACTATACTATTCCAGCTCAAGATGTCTTTGCAGGGGATTTGGTTCCAGTACTTACTCAGGATTCACATTTGATTACAAATGGATTAAAACCTTCCCCTTCTTCAAAAGAGGCAATTGGATCATATTTCTATCAATTAAAAGCTGAAGACTCGGCTGGAAACATCTTTGATTTTGCCAATTTGAGAAACCAAGTTGTTTTGGTTATCAACATCTCAGGTAACGCATATTCCAATCAAACCAGTCTCTCAAAGTACCATTTCACAGTGTTAGAAAAGTTGTACCAAAAATATCATTTAAACCCAATAACTGGCGAGCCCCAATTTGAGATCATTGCCTTTCCATGCGATCAGTTTTTTGCACCATTTTTAGCCTTGAAAAATACTGATAACGATGGGAATAAAGTTGAGAGTCCAGTTGAAGCCGATAGCCAGCTTAGAGAATATTTGGCTAAAAACTATAATATCACATTTCCATTGCTTCGCAGAATTAAGGTCAATGGGAAATATGCAAGCGATATATACAAGTTCTTGAAAAATGAGAAAAATGGTGTATTTGGAAAGTCAATCAAGTGGAATTTTGAAAAATTTGTCATTGACAAGTATGGAAATGTGATAAAAAGATCTACTTTTCTCAAGAATTTGAAGCTGATTGAGGACAAAATATTCAATTTAATCGAGGAAGACATTGTTATAGACAAATGCTATCCTCTTCCCGATGATTTTTTGTTATAGAACGATTTGTTAAAGGTAACATGGATTTTTTTAACGTTTTATTTGCTTATTTCCCATTTTGGAGTTGTTTTTGTATATTCTTTAGTTTTGTTTTGTTTTGTTTTGTTTTGTTTTGTTTTGGCTTTTGTTAATCTTTTGTTAATCTTTTGTTGTAATTTTATGTTTATCGCTGCTATTATTTATTGCTGTCTGGAGGGGTTTGGTTTTTGTAATATTTGGTGATAATCAAGGGTCTGTTGGACAAGTTCTGCTCCAATACATAGGCATAGTAAGTGCTGCTTTTTTCTTCGACGAGAAAGCTTTTTAGAACAGTTTGTAGTTTCTCACGTCGATCCCCTAGGCTGTATATCGACTCTCGTAATAAATCGCTTCGTCTGCAAACAGTGCCAGCAAAGGTCTTGTACAAAAGCTGGTCCACCAGCTACAGAACCTCTGGGCCCCAGATGCCAGGCTCAATAACGAGGTATGTTTCGATATGCTGGCCCAACGTTGATTGCAATGTTTTCATGTTTACGTTAGATCTCCAGCAGTCAATTTCACTCACCTTCCGTCAGATCTGGCGTTGCCTTTAACGTTTTGCTGAAACTCGAAATAATTATTGGGCTGGCGAAAAAGCATTAAACTTTTGTATTCCAGGGCCAGGCGACAACATTCAGCGACGCTCAAGCTGCTGCTCCAGCTGAAGGCTTTGCTTTTGGCTGTTCTTCTCTGCTGTTTAGGTTTTTGGTAATGGGCATTGGCCCAGAGGTGCGATTCCACTGCCGGTTTTTAGTTTAAGACTTCTGTTGAGATGCTCTAATTGCAATCCTTTAATCAAATATTTTTGCTGGAATTTTGGATTTTAAGGTCGAATATTGTTTCTTTTTTCATTCAAAATTTGAAACATTTAAAAATTTTGAGAAGCATGCAAAAGTGGTGGTCATAGTTGAGAATAGTCTTTTCTGCTAAAAGAAACAAAAACAAACTGAGGACATGTATTGAGGAAATTATGTTTTTAAAATAAATTTAAAATGAAAAATAGTGTTATGGGTATGAACTTTTTGTAATAAGGGCATCAGGTCTCAGTCAATTGTCTGGCTTTTTTCTGTTGAATTCTGTTGTGTTTTGCCTTTGAAATAGAATAATTCAATTAAATTCAAAAAATGATCAACAAAAGTGACTGAAATTTTGAATGTCAGATATTATTTGAGCTATTTTAATTCCAAAGGACAATATTCTAAAACAAGGGTTGTATCGCTGTTTCATCTTTTTTTGTTTTGATTGTCCTTTTGAATCAAGAAAAAATTTATTTTCCAGTTACAATTAGACAGTTAAAGTCATACTCAAAAAGAGGTCTTTTGTTTATGGTTTTTCTTGATGACTTTTATTGCAAATGAATTTTTTTTCCTCCCTCTTTGCAATATAAATGTCTATCTTGCTCATTGGACCATTTCAAGGTCATTGATTCAGTCAACAGACCAGAAAATCGTGGATTTTCTCCTTTGATTTTGGTGATTTTAGCTGTTTATTAATACACAAACTGATCTTTGGGGGCCATTAATGTGGAACTGAACTTCTGAAAAAGGGCATAGCTTATACTTGTTGTTAGAGCGAAGAGGAAAAAAATTATTTTGCACCTCTTTAGCTTTAGAATTTTTCAGAGCTTTTTTTCGACAACCCAAAGAAATACACTCAAAGGATTGATTCATTATTGCAGCAGTGGTTAAATCTAATTTAGCAAGGAGACACTTAGCACAGTTTTGGTGCTTGTATACTCAATTACAGGTTTCTACTTTTATTGCCTGTTTTCGGTTAGAAAACAGTTTGTATTTTTTTGGTGCTTTTTGTTTTTTTTTGAAATAGAATGCAACAATAATTGTAAATTATAATTTATAAAAAGTATCATCTTGGAGTAATTAAGAATACTAATATAAAAGACTATATAATATAGTTTGGCTGAAAGACAGATCAAATATTTAACAACAAAAAATAACACTATCTAAGGCTGATTGATGGCTCGGCCATTATTTTATGTTTTTTTTTTATTTGTATTTTTTTTTTCAAAAAATATAATAAAATATAATAAAAAATGATAAAAAATGATAAAAAATATTAAAAATATTAATCAAGACATACCATTTCCCAATAAAAAAACAGAAAATGAAAATTAACTCCCTTTATTCACCAAAGACAAAAAGAAAACAAAATAAAAACAAAGCAGAAAACTATTTTTAAAAAAATTTTGAAATATGCAAAATGACATGAACATATTAGTTGAGAAACAAAAAAAGAAATAAAGAAATAATGAAATAATGAAATAATGAAATAATGAAATTCGTCAACAAAAAATGATCAATAATGAAATAAAAAGGCATAAAAACAACAACAACAATAATAATAATAATAATAATAATAATAATAATAATAATTTTAAAAAAAAGAAACTTGAAGTGTGCTTTTAGCATTAGACATATAATCTGAAATATTATTTAGTTTATTAAAAAATTTATACTCATATTGTTTCTACCATTGCTTTGCTTGTTTAAGTTGGGGGACATTGAAGTAGATCTGGTAAGAGTGTGAGAAGTATGAGAGTGAGAGTGAGGATGTTGAAGAGGATATCCATTTGGATGTGTTTGGGAATGGGAAGAACGAAACATATGGTTATCATCATACATCAAAGTGTTTTCATCGATATTTGACAATGACATTGGGGATTTGTGAGAGTAATCAAATGCACTTGATAAGGCTGGAGAGCTTTGTTGTTTCTTGACTTTTCTGTTATACCTGCTCTCAGGGTTTTTATGTGCTCTCTCAACATGAGCAGATAGCAAATCTGTTCTACTGAAAGTATTAAGACAAGTGTTGCACCTGTATCCTTTATCACCATGGACAGTATCTTCGTGTCTTGTACATTCATTTTGACTTGAAAACCCGATAATATTGTGGAAACATTTTTTGTGTTTACATTTAAAGGGCCTGTTAACATTGTAGGTATCCAAATGAGCTGCGAAATCAAGAACATTAACGAAAGTGTCTTTGCAATGGTTACAGCTGAACTTTCCTCTTTTTTTATAAGTTTTAAGTAATTCACAGAGATCAGGACTCTCTACTATAGCACTGTAGTACATTCCACGGCTCGAGGGGTTTTGGATAGGAAAATTTTGTTTAAACTGATTTGAAGGTATCATTGAAATTGGAGATGATAGTGAAGAAGACACTGAGGCAGAAGAAGCAGAGGCCATTTTCAAGTTGGCTATTGAAGCTCGTTTATTTAGTTTTGGAGTGCTCATATTCATCATTGAAGAGCGATATTTTAATTTGCTTGGAGGTTGTTGAGGAATTTGAACATTTTGAGAAGGCATATAACTTGGAATTGTCATTGGCATTTTCATCTGTCCCTGGGACATTTGAAGATAGTAATTTGGATTATTCATGTCAGAATTTTCTTGGTGTTGAGAATTAGAATGAGATTGGGATTGGAAGTTGTATTGGTTTTTGGTATACATATAGAAGTTTGAAGATGTGATTCAATGGGATGATTTTAAGATGATTAAGATGATTTTAAGATGATTTTGAGATGATTTTGAGATGTGATTTAATGAGATGATTTGAAGATATGATTTGATTAAATTGAGTGAAATTTAGAGAAATTGGAAAGAAAAAGAAAAATTTATAATATAATATGGTGATAGTTTGATATGATTTGGTATGATTTGGATGAGTTGATGTATTAAAATAAATAGTTGTATTATACTGTTCTATTTTATATTTTTTATAATGTTTATGTGATTAGTAAAAATTATTGATAAAAGTTTAAAGAATTAGAAAAAAAGTGATAACAAAAAATTTAAAAATTAAATCCTGATAGTGTAAAATTAATTGAATGAATAAATCAGTAAATAAATAAATGAGCAAATAGGTAAATAAATTAATTAGTAAATTAATTTATCAATCAAAAACAAAAATTAAATAAGATTATTTATGAAGGAAATTGATGTGATAATAAATAATAAATTGGTGATTTAAATTTTTAGATAGTTTAGATAGTTTAGATAATTAGTTAGTAAGAATTATTTAATAATAATAATTTTTTGTTTAGAAAATAAATTAAAAATTAAAAACTAAATATTAAATATTAAATATTAAATATTAAATATTAAATACTAAAAAAAATGAAAAAGGTTTCTGATTGAAATGAGTAAAGAAATAAAAAAAAAGTAACTCATGAATCTTTACGAAATGAATATGAAATGATAATGAGTTGTTAATGTAAAATAATTAAATAATCAACTAACTAATAAAGTGAGTAGGATATAAATAATATGATGATTTAGATGATGATTTTTTTTTGTATTTGAAATATATTAAATTATAACGTAGAAGTGACTCGTTACTTTTAATTAAGTTTTCTCTTCAAATTTGGCAAAATATCTATTCAGTGTTCTAAAATTTTGAAAAGAGATTTAAAAATATTGGAATAAAGTTAGTTAGTAGATATGGGAAAGAAGAATATCTGAAAGAAGAAAGTGAAAATAATAGATTTGATAAAGAAAGGGAATAGAGAAGATAAAGGACGAGAAAAAAAAAGAGAAAAGAGAAAAAAAAAAACTAAATTGTGGTAAATTGTGATGTTTTTATGTATTTGTGAGACTGGAAGAATTGATTTGACTCTAAGAGATTGAAATTTTAATCATATCAAAGATAAAATGTTTAAAAAAATGTTTGAAAAGAAAAAAAGTCTAAAGAAAACAAATAAAAACCTCAAATTCCATATAAATTAAATTATATTAAATAAAATTGGTAAAATTGTAAGACGACTCTGATTGTGATATACAGGTTATAAAGTTAAGCAGTGGACTTCGGGATAAATAGTTTTTGGTTTTGAATTTATTCTTATTCTTGGATTTTTAAATTAACTCGCTTAATGTAATAGCGGCTGTAAGTTAGAGTTTATTATTTATACATACTCTAGGCTAACATATGTTTTTATGTTAAATTTGGTATAAGAAATGAAAAACCCCAAAGCCATGAACATTTAATAAAGGAATTCAAGAATTGAAAAGTTTTTAAAAAAATTGGGGAAATTTTGGAAAAATAAGAATCAGGAGAATAGATACCATGTTAAGCAAGATGAACTAAATCAAAACGATAAAAGAATACTGGAAAAAATTGACCGATTTCATCAGAAAAGGCTAATGTTGAACAGTTGGGCTGGGATGAACATTTAATGAAGCTATTTTGAATCTAATCCTTAAAACGAGCATTATTCAATTACAACGCCAGATTAAACAATCCAAAGAAAAACGGTTGAGCCCAAATGCATATTAAATACAGAAATTCGATTTGCTATCAAGTCACCATCGTTGAAGCAACACAGAAAACCCTCAATCCAAGTCTGTGGTCTCAGCAAAAACAGGAGAACATTCACCATCCCCAGATTGTGTTTCTGGGGCCTGAATCAAACAATAACATTGTTCTTTGATATCTTTTTTGATACCCTTCTTTGATACCTTTCTTTGATACCTTTCTTTGATACTCCTCTTTGAGACCTTTCTTTAAGACCGTTCTTTAATACCAAAAACCGAGCCGGAAGAAAGCCAACTGTGCGTATATGCACCTCCACACCCATCCATGCGTCCCAGGCGTTTCTGACCCAATCGCACGTCTGGACACAAAGGCAGAGGAAGTTGAGGAGTGTGGAGAAAAAGAAGAAGAAGAAGAAGAAAAAGAAGCAGAAGCAGAAGAAGAAGAATATTCGAGTGAAGTGGTACTGGCTTTCTTGAGCTGCTTTTGTTGAAGCACTTTTCGTGGAACATAAGTCTAATTCCACCAATTAATGCACGTTAATTATTAGCTGGTTCTTTTTAAGATTAGAATTATTCAGATTTATTTAGAATTGTAGAACTGTATGGGTATTTGAAAATTGGTAACTAAAAAACGATGAAATACATGGGCTTGGAAGCAATTTGTCCTTAACCTTTTCTCCATTCTATCCATGGTACACTACCAACTAACAGAAATTAACAGTGACTTTTCAGTTAATTGCTTCACTAAATCATCTATTTCACTCCATCTGATGAAATTATTTGATTATTTGAAAAACATAGATCGATCTTATGCTTTGTTTGAAAAGTTTCACACTAGACTGACAAATTAACTTTGGGATCATTTGGTTCAAATCACAAATACTAAATTTCACATTTTCGCCAATTATAAGAAGTCAAAAATTGTAAATCAAAAAATGAAAATTGAAAATTGAAAACCAAAATCCCAAATCCCAAATCTCACAAGATTTATCAAATAAATGATTGGACTAAATAAACAAAAAAAAAAAGAAAACCAAAGGTAATTCAATCTACACAAATGCAAAAAAAAAATGTTAATGAAAAGTTAAGCAAATCAGTAAAATTATATCATAAATATAATTTCAATACTAACTATTCAATTTATATCTGAATTATCTCCTATAACTTCCTAACTCTCTAAGGTATTAAAAATCTAAGCAAGAAGTTTGAGATAAAATGCTTTGTTAGCTCACTCACTTAAAGTGTCATAATACACAATCAATTTCATAATCGACTAAATTTTAGCAATTAAGCTGATACAAAGTTGTGATAACATCATCTATTGATTCTAATACCTTGATTCAATTTTGCAGTTATCTAATTTGTTTATTTGTTTTATTTATTATCTATTTTATTTATTTATTTATTTCATCTATTCATAACTTGGATATATTTATTCGCTCATCTTCACAAATGAAATAGAAATTAAATATAAATGGAACTTTTCAAAACCACCCAAACTGTCTGAACTGTTTGTTCAGATTTGTTTTGTTTTATTTAATTTTTATTTAAACACAACTTTCATGTTTATTTTGTTGATTTCACCTCAAGAGCCTCACACCTACAGTAATCACAAAGAATAAAAGGTTTTCTTGCGCTTGCCTTGCTAATTTTCAACAGCAGAATACTCCCTAAATATAAACAATAATTATTACATACAAATTGTAAAAGTTATCCAGATTATAGCCCATATTTGTTTAGTATATCATATCATGAAATCATTTTTAGATATCCCTTTATATAATTCTATTTCTATGTTACTATTTTTTTATTTTTTTGTTTTTTCATTTTTATTTTCGTTTTGGATCTAATTTTCAGCAAATTTCCTCACTATTACCTGGTATTATGATAAATTATAATATAATTAAAATCCTTCACATAATTGATAATATTGATAACATTAATCTTGATAAACAAGACTATTCAAATTGAATTTTTTTAGTTGATATACTAACAAATATATCATCTTATATTAACAGAATCGAAAAACTTTAAATATAAACAAAACAAATATTTGACTCAGTTATTCCTTATTTGAAGTTATTTCATTATTTTTATTCAACTTTATAACAATTCTGTAAAGTTATATTTTAATCTGATATAATTTCTATTTTTTGTAAAATTAAAAAGATTTTTCAAAGAGAGATTTAATATAAAACAATCTTTTTAATAAATTGCTTTACAATATTTAAAATTCGTAAACTAATAATTTTAGATTAGATTAGATCAAATCAGATCAAATTAAATCAAATCGAATTCAATCAAACTAAATCTGATATTTAAACTGGATGAATTGGATAAATAAATATAAATAAAAGACAAAATAAAAGACAAAATAAATAAAAAATACTATTACTATAAAAATATTTTATGTAATATATAAAACAAATTGATATAATTCAATATAACCTAATTTAATACTTGTTTTATATTTAAATTGACAAATTATAAATATTGTGAAATAATGATGTAGAAAAAAAACATTTCGAGATAAATATTTGATCTATGAGCTAATTTTATTAAATTTTTACTTATTGCCAAAAAATTTGACTACATTTGAGTTCCTGAATTGTGATTTGATTTTATATTTCTTAATAATTCAATTCAATTAATTCGGCATATTTTTTATTTCTTGATTTTTTTCATTTCTTAATTTTTCATTCATTTTCATTTTTATTTTTATTTTTATTTTTATTTTACATTATAAAAGAGTCAAAAAGTGGAAAACAAATATCGATCTGTAACAATACAAAGTATCAATTATGAATATTTATAAAATGAAAATGAATTGAGATTGAAATAAAATTATAAAATGTCAAGTTAGATAAAAAATAAAAAATAAAGGGGAGAAAAAAAAGAAGAGAAAAAGAACAAAACTAACAAAAGCAGGTTTTATATAGGTTTCGATATTCATTTCTAGAAGTATTTTACTGGATTTGGTAACAGCCTTAGTTGAAGTTCATAGAAGAAGTTAAAAAAAAAGAAAAAAAAATGATATCTATTGTGGTAGGTTGGGTGATTTAGTTTTTGATTAACTTTTTAAATAATTGAGAAAGGTTAATAAAGTGAAAAAAAAAAACTTGTTAAAAACGAAGACTGCAAAAACAATTAACAGCATAAAGATAAATAAATACAAACATTAGCGATAAAAATATTATTTGATTTGAATATTCAATAAGAAACTTAATAAAATATCAAATTTTATATGAAATGCAATATAATAATTTGGAATAGAGATCATCATTTGAAACATTAATTGTTTTACTGAGCAATAAAACAACAGAAAGATTGATATAAAAGAATGATAATTATTATGATAATTATTATGGTAATCAAACATTCGTTAAAAAATGTGTGATATCGTCGAATCAAAACGAGCTTGATTTATATGGATTAGTCGGTTCATGATACGAGGAAGACAAAAAATAATATCCCCTTTATGGTATGAATGAATGGAAGATCGATTTGTTGATTTTGAATGGCTTTATTACAAGTAATTTTAAATTGTGAATTTAGCAGTATTGTGATATTTTTTTTACAAAGATATTAAAATCGAAAATCACAATAAAACCCAATAATCAAGAATGATTATGTTTACGAAACAAATCTTAATGAAAATAGGATTAAAAAGAAATTGTAGAAAAGAAAAATAAGCCATCAGATATCAAAATGACAATATATACTAATGCGTGAAGCGAAATAAAAAAAATAACGCAAAATTGATTAAATAAATATTATTTAACAAGACCCAATGGTTGAAATCTAAACAATAATTGTAAATTCTGGTTCTTGTATTGCTATTGCAATTACAATTACCAATAAGAACACTTACCAAATACTCCACAGAAAAAGCAGAAAGCAGAAAACAGAAGTCAACAGTTTTGGATCAGGGGTAGGTTCCCGAAAACCGACTTGTGGTGAAAAGGCTCCAGCGCCCCCCCCNAAAAAAAAAAAAAAAAAAACTAACCTCAGACGAACAGCAAAAGCAGCATAAGCAGAAAAGACAGCAAAAGAACCAGCACCAACAAAACAAAGACCAAAAACACCAAAACCTCCAAAGGCAGCACACCCCAGAGCCCGGAAAAACACCACAGCTGCAGCTGCAAGTCAGACGCGGCAATGCACAAACCTGCACAAGTCAATCTCTAGATCTGCTTTGAGAGTGAAGAGCCCTACTCGTATTTTGCCCAGAGCCCTAGCAGGGGCCTGAGTATATATGTAGGCATTATTGCTGTTGCAGCTGTAACTGTGGGATAGAGAGAAGAGCTCGAGAATAGAAATCTTGCATTCGTAATTTCTACCAATGGCCAGCGGCATTTTCTTTCTCTCCCCAATTCTGCTTGTTTCTCTTCTTTATTTCCCCAGCAGACAACTTTTCAGTGGTGTATTTAAGGCTTTGCACACCACTGGAAAGGATTCTTCTGCCCCATGACCCAGCAGCAGAATCTCCTGTTTCGTCTCTGCATTGTTTCAAAAATGGCAACAACGATGTGCCGCCGGTACCCTTTTCTTCTAAAGTCAGTTTGGATGCCAATCCAACTCTTAGAGTTTTAACAGAGCCAGGTTTACTTAATGAGCCACCATTTTGGGACAATCTTGCTTGAAGGATAATATATCTTGTAACAATTTGAATATGTTTGTCTCTAAACGCTTTAAGCATGGCAACACAGGCATCATAGGACAATGCTAGCTCTGGATGATTTTTAGAGTTTTCCAATACGACCGATTGGATGATATTGATTTTTGATAAATCTTCTAAAAATCTTCGATGTGGCCCTGGCATATACTTTCTCATTTCAATTATAAAATTGTTACCATCATCTTTTTGATTCTTGTTTGCAATAGGTTTTGGTGGCAATGATTTTGATAACGAATGGTTGTTATATGAGGGTCTCTTACCAGTGGGATGGTGTTCGACATTTAATATAATATCTAGAGCTTGGATTAAGGTTGATTGAGCATTTGAGCCACCAGCATATGATCTTATATCTGGCTTTGTATCGGTACCATAGTTTAATCCATCTTTGTTCAAGCCAAATTCTTTCATATTTTTCCAGCCTGCTAAAAATGGTCGAATTCTAAAATAAAAAGTATGTGGATCGCACATTTCAAGCATTTTCATTAAGATTGAACCTAATTTATCAATTGATTCAGCTAATTTTTGTAAACAGTAAATCAAATTTTTAAAGTCATGAGCTTTGGCACATCTAATCGCATTTAATCCATCACTTAAACAATGTCCACCTTTAATCTCAAATATAACACTGACCAAATAAAACCAACTTTCGTCAATCGACCCACTAAATGTATTAATTGTACAAATGTCATCGATGTCTAAATCATCCTTGATTACATTTTTATCACTAGCATTGATATCTTTAATAATTGGCTTGAAGTTCCACAAACAAACGCTAGCATACGTTGCAACTGGTGGTAATTCTAGAACATTCGAAATCTTAACAAAGGGAACTGATATTTGCTGTGGTAAAGTATCAACTGGGTTTTCATTAAATGCCCAAACATAAGCATGAGTTAAAAATGCTAGAATAGTGTAAGCTCGTCTGAATTCTCTTGTGTTTGATAGATATTCAGTTGATAGAACTGGTAGTTTGTTGTCAATGATTTTTCGGATTTTTTTGGATAAAATCAATGAAGGCAAATTATCCATCAAATTTTCCCAGGGCTGGTAATAGTCTTGTGACAATCTTTCCAATGGATATTCATTTGGTATAAACCCAGTTTGCGGAGAAATATTATAGTCTTCCAATTTCGGAATTTTGAAAAATGAACCAGAATCCATGAAGACAATAATTTTAAATTTTTTGCTATTGTAGTATTAAGGTTTTTCTGAACCAAGTGAACCCAACAAACTATTTTGAAACTAAACAAGACAAAATTAAAAAAAGCACGAATAAAACAGAAAAAAACCCAAAATATTTAGTCCACTAGACAAAGTGACAATAACCCACCACTGATGTAAAAATAATAAAAAATGATATAACTCTGTTCCTTAAAGAAAAAAAATAAATATTAAACTTGAGAATAACCAACAAGTGAATGCTAAAATCTGATTTACTATATGAATAAATACCTAATAGTATTTAATACTTTTAATATAGTAATATAATATGATAACCGATAACCGATAATAACAATGATTATTGACTATTCTTTTAATAAGATAAAGTGGATTTTGTGAATGGTGAATAAATTTTGAATATCAAAACAAAAAAGAAGTGAAAAAAATCGAGAGCTAAATATCAAAATATAAATATAATCAAATTATTGAAATACTCATAATCTCAGAAATCGCATCATAAATTCTGATAAAATATCCTGATGAGCAAGAAAAATCGGCCGTCCAATCAAAACCCAATCGATGACCCGAGTTTGTGCGCACGGAACACCTCCAACACAAAAACAAGGGTGCGTGCGGCCGCTGTTGCTGACTAATTAAACACGTGATCAATTAACGGGTGCAACTAACCGAAAGCCACTAAAGGCACCACAATGACCGCTTATCTACGTCCCGTGACACAGTAATGTATATACCGGTTATGCAGGTATTGCTGACTAATTGGTTGCATAATACTGCGCGTTTGCTTTCCTTTTAAAGCCGTATATTGCCTCTGAATACCGTGAGTACCCTTGCCGAAACCGTTTGGGAGATGAGTCACGGTGATCCGGCACCGGCCGTGCTTCGAAGCGTTGAAAAATCCTCTGAATTTTTCAGATTTGGAGCTGTATAAAGTGTAAGGCACTTCCCATGCTCTTTCTCAATTACAACTTGCAACCAGGTCCCAATTAGCTTCTTACAATTCTACTATCGCTTACAACTGGCTTCTTCCAGAGTAACACTGCGCTCATTTATTGTCCCCTACCTTTTTTCCCCTTAAGATGACACTTTCTCATTCTACTGAAAAACCCTTTGCAAAAGATTTATCTTATTTGTTATCAACTGAGGCTAGATCCCGTAATGAGTCTCCTTTGAAATCTGCTTTCAAATACTACAGTCAGCCAGATCTTGTTTTCTTGGGTGGTGGTTTGCCATTGGCTACCTATTTTCCATTCAATAAAGTTGTTGCTGAAACTGCTTTACCACCTTTCCAAAATGGTATTGGCTACGTTCCAACTACTAAAGCTGAGACCAATGTGGTCAAAATTGAAAAAAGACTTGATCCAAATTCTGATGTAAAAGATATTCCTCTAGCAAGATCGCTACAATATGGTTTCACAGAAGGTCAACCCGAGCTAGTAGCTTTCTTAAAAGAACATACACAGCTTGTTACAAATATTCCTTACCAAGATTGGACTTTAATGGCCAACACTGGCAGCACTCAAGCTTGGGATAACGTTCTTAGAAATTTTTGTAATAAGGGTGATTCTGTCTTGGTCGAAGAGTTTACTTTCTCCTCAGCTTTAGAAGCTGCAAATGCTCAATCACTCCACACTATTCCAGTTAAAATGGATGGTTTTGGTATTATCCCAGAGGAGTTGGCCAAATTGCTAGACAGTTGGAACCCAGACACTCCCAAACCAAAATTAATCTATATTATTCCCACGGGTCAAAATCCAACTGGGTCTTCATTATCGTATGAAAGACGAAAAGAAATTTATAAAATTATCCAAAAACACGATTTGATCTTAATAGAAGATGAGCCTTATTATTTCTTGCAAATGGACGTCTATACTAGAGATTTACAAAAAAGAGAACAACAAAGAAATATGACTGTTTCGCATGAAGAATTTATCAACTCATTGATCCCTACTTTCTTATCTTTAGATGTTGATGGTAGAGTTATAAGATTTGATTCTGCTTCGAAAACATTAGCTCCTGGTTCAAGATTGGGTTGGTTCATTGGTCAAAAACGATTATTGGAAAGGTTCATTAGAATCCAAGAAGTGTCTGCTCAAGCACCATGTGGATTCACTTCTTCGATTATTAACGGTACATTGCAAAGATGGGGCCAAAAGGGATTTCTTGACTGGTTAATTGGTATAAGAAAAGTTTACTCTCACAATAGAAATGTTACAATTGATGCATTAAATGATTACATGCCATTGGAGGTTGTGGATTTCATACCACCAATTGCTGGGATGTTTTTCACTTTTAATATCGATGCGACCAAGCATCCTAAATTTGCGAGTGAATTCAATAGTGAGCCATTGAAAGTGGAAAATGCTATTTATGAAAGAGCGTTAAAGCAGGGATGTTTGATGATTCCTGGAAGTTGGTTTGTAAGCAAAGGCAACACTAGTCCACCTCAACGATATATTCTTGATAATGATGTTCAAAACCCCAAGATTTTCTTTAGAGGCACTTATGCGGCGGTTCCAATGGATGAGTTGGTCAAGGGTATAAAACGATTTGCCGAAGCTATTAAATTAGAATTTGAGTTGTGATTTATTTTTATTTTTATTTTTCTTTAGTAAAAAGTTAATTCTATTAAATATTATCTAATAAATACTATCTAATAAAATGTGGTTTAAAAAGTTGTATTAATTATTAAAGAAAGGTAGTATGAGGTAGGGTATAAGATATTGTACAATTTAAGTGAAAATGAAAATGAAAATAAAAGCAAAAGTAAAAGTAATTGATAAAAATCTTGAGAAACAATGAAATTGGCTTTCTCTTACAAGTTTTTTTTTTTCTTTTTTTCTTTTCATATTTTTTTATAAATGATTTTTGACAGATGCACCAATTTTGGTAATTCTATAGCCAAACCATTTCAAAGCAAATGGGAAGAAAAGATTGTTGACGACGATCCAGGCTACTAAGACGCCGATATTTTTAGCCATTTCGCCCTTCCAGGTGTTTAAGAATATTACTTTAGTTAATTCAGCCGAGTTGTAAACTGGAAATGCATAGCCGTATTTGAAGATAGCAGGACATAAAACGATGGGGGAGAAGGCAGGTGCTACGTTGATGATTACCCAAAGCAAGACCCAGAAGCCTACCATGGGAGGGAAAAGAGGAATGAAAAAACAGGCAGCATTTTCATTTGCACCACCAACGGCAGCCATTGTTAGGTATGTTAGCATCCAGTAGATGACAAAGCCAGCGTTTCCAAAGGCCTTTGTCATTGGTATTTGAAAGGCAGCAGAGACTGCACAATAGGCTAGGGAAAGAAACAAGTAGGTCAATTGGGCCGATAGTATTCTGTAGAGGATGTATTTTGGAAAGAGATTTTGTCTCATTCTTCTGGCAGCATAGACGTGGGTTCTCATGAAAAAGAGAACCTGGAAAAAGGTTAAGATGACAACAAAGATTAAACCGACTTGCAAAGGAGCGATCATGACTGGGTTTGTGAAGGGCAAATTGTCGATATAAGTTGGCAATGGGATGTTTGATAGTAATTGGGGAGCATTGTTTATGAGAGAGATTTTTTCATTTGAGGTTAGAAACTGAGATATGATTGGGGTATAAACCGCCGAGTAAATTTTGCTGGATAGAGCGTTTCCAAAGAGTTTCAAGGCTGGGACAATTAGCGAGGACATTGCATTGGGATCTCTTGCAGATTCATATATTATTTGGAATAGAGGAGCTGAGATATCATTTGGGTTGAAGTTGGCAGTTGTGTTTGGGTTTTTGAAAGCGTGGTAGATTGAAAAGGTGGCATTTGCTGGGATATAAACAGCAGCCCAGAATTTTCTGTGGTGGACCAAAGAATTGATTTTTGATTCAATAGCAGTGGAATCAGAAGAAGAGATGCTGTATTTTTGGGCAAATTGGAGATGGTTGTAGATGTGCCATTTTCCGATGGAGCGAAAGTTTTCAGTTTGAGTCAAAGATCGAGTTAGGTTTCCTAACAATGGAGGGAGAGAAGCGACCTGCAGATCGTTATCAACAAGCAACAAAGTGAGGTTTTTCATGTGGCTGCGACGGTTGTAGAGAGAGCCCCAGTATATGGAGAATACTGAGAAGATGATAAGCAGCAAAACAAGCCAAACCACAGCAAAGTCTTTGGCAATCATCTTCCAGACGTTTCGAGACTCGTCGAGATTTAAACATAAGATATTTACAAGAATAACATCGCCAAGCGAGGGAGTTGTATGTGGTATATTTTGTTTCTCAGTTGATTTTGAATCGAGGATCATGCCCAGGTTTTCAATGTTGTTTTCGATGTTGTTTTCGACGCTGTTTGGGTAGTTATGGTTTATGGGTGCATTGTTTGGGGGATTTGATTTGATGGTGATCGATGAGTCCGGTGAAGAGTGTTTGTTTTGGATGGTTTCGAGCATTAGCAAGAGAGCTTTAAGGAGAAAGTGGGCAAAAAGGCAGAGATGAGTTAGCAGAGAAGAACACAATTGAAACAGACTGGACAAGTTCAAGCAGCACCTCAAGCCAAAAATTTTGAGTAACTGGTGGTTCGAGATATTTATATCAGTGACGGATAAATATGCGGATGAACATACCCGATATCCTTAGCCGAGCCGTCGCGCTCAACTCAAAATAAAATGAACCCAAAGTGAAATGAACCCCAACAGCTCCAACGAACTGCTGCCTCTGGTGAAGAAGTAGCGTCGTTTGGAGCAGCGAAAGAGGTCGTGAGACTAGGTTCTGGATGCAGCGACGACGAAAAAACAGCTGCTCGCTGCAAACACAGCTGGAGGCAATGTCGCCAAAAGCTGCTGTCTGAAGCCCCAGCTCCTACAGCCTCAACACCAGCAGGACAATTCTTTTGGTGCTAAAGTGCTCCTATGGTTGATCGCTAGCAGAGATCAAACCTAAACCACCGAAGTTTGCACTGCTGCAGAACGAGAAGGACCCTACGAGATGCACTGCCTGGCAAGAGTGTTGTGTTTCCAGATGTGTTTCCAGTGCTGTTCGTGCTGTTTCCAGTGCACCAGCAGAAGCACAGACTGTTCTGGCTCCGGACTGGCTGGGTGAAGATGGTTTAGAGCATGATAGGTAATGTTCAGCAACCTCTGTGCAGAGGAGCTCTTGCAGCATAGTTGGCGAGCAACCTTCCAGATGTGTTTGCAGGTTTTGCTGGAACTGTAGGAGGCCTGGGGCCTGTTGGTAGGGCAGACTGCTGTTCGCTGCCAGAACCCAGACCAAGGTTCTACTCAGCAGAGGCAGCAGCTTCTCGACGTCGCAGCTGCTTCCACAGCAAAAGCAGCTTCCGTAGCAAGAGCAGCTCCAGCTAGACGAAGAGTCAGCAGCCCCAGTCACTGCTTCTCCTACACTTCTCACACAACTAAAACTACTCCCATCTGGAAACCACCTCCATGCCTTCATTGGCTGGTTTCCCACTTTGTAGAACATGTTGAGCCTTATTTGCATTGCTGTTTCTATTATTACTGTTCTTGTCTCTGTATTTATCACCTATCCCATCCCAATTAGACTCTCTGTTTTCTTTTTGCTCTATTGGCTTTCTAAACGACCCACGAAGAGGTTATTTCTCGCATCTCTAAAAGCTTGGTGTCTAACTTTCTAAATGCCATATGCTTCCGTAAACTAATGTCCTTACCTTATATATATAACTTTAGATTCAATTCAGCAAATACCCTCTACTTTCTTTTCTCCTACTTTTTTTTCCTTTCTTCTTCAGCAAAACGCCCTCTCTTGATTTCCATCGCCTCCCACTCATTACCACAGCTCAAATCCCATCACAATTTGATTGAAATCCTTTGGGTTCTGCTGCAAATCCCACATTCTTGTTGAAATACCAATCAACCTTAATGCTTCACCATAGTTTTCACTTCTTTTTTCCCTCTTTCACTTATCACTCATAATAAAGAAACAGAAACAGAAACAGAAACAGAAACAGAAAAAGGAAAAGGAAAAGGAAAAGGAAAAGGAAAAGGAAAAGAAAACAAATGGCTTCTTCTCTTACCTCAAATAAAAAACCTGCTCTTTCTCTAAAGAGCTTCAGGATTAACACAAACTTTTCCACTGACAACCCTGAAAAAAATCTAATCAACTTATCCCACCACTATCTCCAAAACAACTCCAATATCAACATCAACACCAACATCGCTCCCGATAAACTAGCCCCCCACCATCCCGAACTATCCTCTTTACTATACAGAGATATCAACGGCCTAAAAATTGGCCAGGTCTATCGTTATCAAATCACCTTCAAAAGATTGAAATTCACCCCAACATCAAAGATAAATCAGCTATTTGTCAGAATTAAAAACATCGAATCCTCCATAAAAACTTCCCTAAACCTTCTAGGCCCCTTCACTCTCTACATTGATCTCCTCCCCTACAATTACTATCTCAAAAACATCCTTCCAATTCCCACTGACAAATCGTTCCTCCAATTCAAGTCAAACTTAAACCCAGGAAAATCTTTCAATCTCGTTTTAAACCTAAACCAAAACTCTCTCGTTAAAGACGATGGAAACATCGAAGAATACAACTGGCAACTAAACATCTTGTCTCAAAATCTCCTACAATCAAGCATCGCTACAAACTTCGATCTTCTTATCGGCTTGAATCCATCCCACCTAAAAAATATTCACCACAATAACGACTTGGATACCTACACAACCAATAAAATCATATCGAAAAATCTAAATTCGCTTTTCTACTCTCTCAATATTAAAAGCTACAACACAAACAAGATCTGGTCAAGTCCTCCCCCAATCCCAGACAACCAAGACATCCATCTTATCATACTAACTCATGGCGTTTACTCCAACGTTGGTGCTGATATGCTATATCTAAAGGACAAAATTGAACAACATAATTACGATTTCGTCAAAAAAAAATTCAAAGACAACATCATAGTAAGAGGTTATCAAGGCAACGTTTGCAAAACTGATAAGGGTATTCAATTTCTTGGAAAAAACTTAGCTAACTACATCTTTAAATTAATCAACAGCCCTAAATACCCTTATTCCAAAAACATTAAAAGAATCTCCTTCATTGGTCATTCCCTAGGTGGTCCAATCCAATCGTTCGCAATATACTATCTCCTAAACAATAAAGCATATTACCAGGGCAAAAATTCTAATAAAAGACACTTGAACGATTTAATTCCAGTTAACTTTATTGCTTTAGCCTCCCCATTCATGGGTGTGTTTTGCGAATTTGGAAATCTTATTAAGTTTGGCTTAAATATAGGCTTCTTGGGTAGAACTGGTAAAGATTTAACTTTAAGCCATACTTATTTCAAATTTTCAATCAAATCTGATGATAAAAAAAAAATCACTCCCCTTTCCAACGATCAAAATCCCCCCAACAATAGTAACTCTAATGAAAAGGAAAAAAAGAAATTCCAGCTTTTAAAAGAGAAAAAAAGACAGTTCAAACTCATCTCAAAACCAATATTAGAATTGATTCCAGAAGATACAAGATTTCATTTCTACTTGAGAAAATTCAAAAACAGATGTCTTTATGCTAATATCGTCAATGACGGTATAGTTCCATTAAATACATCCGCGTTATTGTATCTTGATTACAAAAGTTTAATGAACATCAACAACATTCAAAAGCAAAATCAAAAAAGAATTGAAAACAACCAAAACGAAACTGAAACTGAAAACGAAACTGAAAATGAAAATGAAAATAAAAATGAAAATGAAAATAAAAATGAAAATGAAAATAAAAATGATTTTGGAAAAAAGAAAAAAAGGAGACCCCAATTTCGCAGAAACCATACTTTATACTCTCTAAAACGAAATCCATCCAGAAAGGTCACTGCTATTCCCCAAGAAAAAACTAAAAATCCCATACTTTACTCAAAACTAAAAAGTAATAAAAATCTTGTGACAAACAAGTATTTTAATACAAATAAAAGTTCAGTCAATCAAATGCCAAATGATACCAACAATACACCAACTTCTGAATCTTCCAATACATCTAATCCACCTGCAGAAGCTAATCTACTTACAAAATCTGATCCACCTGTATCTTTCACTTCTTTACGTCTTCACTCAAATAAAAAGGACTCAAATGCTAATTTCGATGTCAACTCTAATAATGCAGCTTACCTCAAAATAACCCCCTCTACGACTGTAAATTCAGTGAGCCCCAGATCCAATTTATCTTCACCAAATAAACTGAATCATTTAAATAACTCAAACGGTTTGAAATTGTTTGATAAGAATACTGGTCAAAGAGCCAGTGATTTTGAAGGAAATCTATTACCATACAAATCGCACTCAAGTTATTCTTCTTTTCCTGTGCTGCATTTGAATTCTGCACCAAATAGTATAATGGGTACAGGTACAGGCACAAATGGTACAATACAACATAATAATACAAACGCCAGTCAAAAAAGTTCTCGTCCTAAGATGAGAAGAAGATTATCTAAAAGAGAAAAAAAAATTCACCGTTTAACAACTGTTCCTGTATCTACTCCTGATAATTCAGCAATGTCGACTGTATCTAGTGCTGAGCAAAGCTCATTAATGAAGTTAGACAATAAATTGAATAACAGTTCATCGACACTGTTGGAAGAAAATAATTTTAATAATCAAGATCAATCAAAATCAATTCGAATAAGAGAAGATAATGATAATGATAATAATGAATCTATTTATATCCCTGAGAAGCCATCGTCCGTATACTCATTTTACAACGTGTTAATAGCACCAGAACCCACAGTAGAGTTTTTTGAAACATATCTCAAACGTTTTGTCAAAGAAAATACTCTGGATGAAGATGACGATGAAGAGCAGATGGATAGAACTCGGATTCAAAGAAAAATCAACAGAGGAACCTTGAACGTGTATGATGATTATCAAAGTAGTGCAATTGTTCACGATAAAATATACTCCTATGATCTATTGCCCAAACCCGTTTATAACAGAGTAAGCAGACACAAGTACAAAGAAAGAAATAAGCATCACAGATACCTAAAAATTGAGGAGCAGGATAAGAAAAGCACAAAGGACACTTCAGAGACAATAAAAACAAACGCAAATTCTGACAATAACCATTTGAGTGCCATTGTGGAGATCTCAAGTTTCAGCGATAGAACACACCAGAGAAATGCTTCCATTGACAACACATTGAGGAATGTCAATACAGAGGAAACTAGCTATACATTGCGAGTGCCTATGGCTCTATCAAGGCTGCAAAACGATTTGAATTCTTTAGTAAGCAGCGTTAGTAATGACTCCATCAACAATCTTCTTAGTTATGATTCACTTTGTCATTATGAGACAATGAACACTATTGACTCAGCAAAAACAGACGACAGAAAGGAAGGGGATACTTTCGAAATAGAAGACAACCCATTTTACTACAAAAGCAAGAAAATCAAAAAGCTAACTCGGTTGTTCAGGCTGAACAAAAAGGACCAGCAGGAAGAGAGAATTGCCAGACTATACCAGTATGACACCACCTGGAGAAAGGTGTTGGTGAAGCTCAAGCCTGATGCACACAACAACATCATCGTTAGAAGACGATTCGTTAATTCCTATGGCTGGGAGGTGGTCGACCATATGGTCAAGAACTTTTTCTAGTTTTTACTTTGTTTTATTTTATTTTATTTCATTTCATTTCATTTCATTTTATTTTATTTTATTTTATTTTATTTTATATATACTGTATTTTTGCCATATTTTATTTCTATACTATAATAGACAGTTCTTAGAATGTAAACCACCAGGCCAATAGCTGTGCAAAGCATTGAAAACGTCTTCTCTTCTTTGCTTCTCTTAGCACATAACTGATAAGAAGTGGATACGGCGGCAAGGCGAAAAGTGCCCTTGAGCTGAAAGACGCTTGGAAAGTTGCCAGTTATATTAAGAGCAGACCAGCTTGTGTTTGATACCTCTTCTCTATTCCATTTCCACAAGACATACGTTGTGAAGAGAGCTGCTGTTGCTGATGCCCTCTAAGAAATCAAAGAAAGGTCGATCCACTGGCATTACTGTGCCCATCTCCAAACAGAGAAAGACCCAGTCCACCAACGAGTATATCGATGAGTTGTCGTCCAGGTTCCCTGACGAAAGCCAGGCCAAAGAACTGGCCCAGGAGAACAAGAACAAGAAGACAGCCAACAACTTCGAGGTCTCCTCCCCCTTTGCCTTTTTCTTTGGCTTTCTTGCCCCCTTGTTGGAGCTCTTTACTGCTGACAAGTACTGTCAGTTGTCGGTTTTGGCCTTGATAACCTTCTTGACCAGTGTCAACAAGAAGTACGAGGATTTCTTTCTTCTTTCAAATGAAAACTTCTACAACTTGCTTGTTATGCTCTTCTCTTTGGTGGTTTGTCTTGCCATCAACTTCCATGTCAGCAAGAAGAAATTGAGACTAGAATTGCAAGCTGAGGCTGAAAATGACGAAAAGATTGAATTGACTACTGAGCAAATCAGATCTCTATTGCCTGATTTCAATTTGGTCTACTTGGTTTTACTTCCTATCCTTATATGCATTGTTTTGAACAAGCAGGAATACTTGATAATCAACTTGTCCTATTGTTTCATGTACTTGAACCTTTCCCTTCTCCCCAAGACTTTTATAACACTATATTTGCTACAGTCCGATAAAACCAATGAATTATTGATATTCCACCCTAATGATCCTGCTTTAAACACTCCTTCAAATTCAAACCCAAAGGTCCTAATTTTTCACATGGTTATTCCTGTTACCCACGAGCTAATCTCGAGTTTTATTTCATACATTGTCCAAAACTCGTTATCAAAGGTCGAAATCAATTTTTTTGCTTCTTTGTTCTTGAATTTGATTCTAATGGATATTAAATATGTGACCTACTATCGATTTGAAAACGCTTATAAATTCGATTTTTCTTTGGTTTTATTGCAAAAGTTAATCTTTTCCTTAATAGGCTCTGTCTTATTATGTTTACCAGTTTACAAATTCTATAAAAAAATTCGTAACAATAATAATAATTCTGAAAAGAAGATCTTATCTGTTTACTCAAAAATCTTGGTTTTTCTAATTTATATCGTTTTTGTCTCATCGTTTTATGCTCTAACAAATTACCAATTAATCACCTATTTACCAAACACAAACATTTATATCCGCTATTTTGAAGGCTCCGAAGCTGCAAAGACCGAATTAACTTCATTAACTTGGCTATACTACTATATTTTTACAAATAAAGTAAGAGTGAAAATCTTATTCTATTGGGTTACTTTAACTATTCTTTCAATACCTTTTATTATGTTTATCATTTATAAAATGAACTTGCTATCATTAAATAACAATAATAATAATAATAATAATGACAATGACAATGGCAATGAGAAAACAAAATCTCTTACATCTTCTTCATTAAACTTCAAAAGAAAAATCTGGCATTTTCTCATTTTTTTAATCATAATCCCCACTTACAACATCGATGTCAATTTTATTAAAATTGCATTATCCGGAATGATCATAATTTTCATAATTCTTGAATTGTTAAGAATTGTTAAATTACCACCCTATGGCGAATTTTTAAATGATCTACTATATAATTTTACTGATTATCGTGATCGAAAGGGCCCGGTTATTATATCTTATATATTTTTATTAATCGGTGTTTCATTGCCTTTGTATTTAGATAACTCAATTTCTGGAATTATTACTTTAAGTATTGGTGATTCATTTGCTAGTCTTGCTGGTAAAAAATTTGGTGAAATCAAATGGTTTAATTCAAATAAAACAGTTGAAGGCACTATTTCATATATTTTCAGTTGTTTCTTTGTTTTAGTATTATTAAAACAATGTAACTTAGTAAGCGAACTACAAGACAAATCAATCAATTGCTTGTTTTTAAGTGCAACATTAAGTGGATTAGCTGAAGCAATTTCTGATTTAAATGATAATATATTAACACCAGCTATAATGTTTATCGTTCAAAAAGTCGTTGATTAATTTGAGAAGAAAAAAAACAATCATAAAATAATTCGGTTATACTATCTTCTTTTTTTCAATTCATTATTTAGATTAAATAAACACCGTTAATGAGAAAAGCAATTAAATATAATGGATAATAGAACCCCAAAAAATAAAAATAAAAATAAAAATAAAAATAAAAAATTCAAATTCAAATTCAAATTCAAATTGCAATTAAAGTGAGACTAAAGATAATCTTAAAATACCAAGAAAAACACATTTAGATAATTATAAAATAATACAATAATACTATAAAAAAAAAGCAAGCATAATCACCAAAAGAAAAAGAAAATACAAAAAAAAACAATCGTCTTATTAAAAAAACCTAGGATTTAAACATTAGAGACATTAGACACACAGGTTGGGACTTCTTTATCATTGGTGTCATTTGAAGGAGTTAAAGCAACATTTGAAGAAGAAGAAGAAGGAAAAGCAAGAACGCTTTTTGGTAATCTATCAGGTTTATAAAATCTAAGATCAATTCTCCATAAAATGTATAAAACATTGACGATTACTTCTAGGACGCCAAACATGATATACATGACAACAGGTCTAAAAATCCAACTTTGATTTCCGACTTTTTGATCGATAAAACAAGAAACACATCTGAAAATTGAACTAATTAATAATAAGATAGTAGTTAAAGTGATAAGGAAGATGCTATGATTATGTTTCAAGACTGGAGATTCTTCTAAACCTAAATCGGGCATACCAGCAGCATCTTCAATTTTAGTATAATGATGTAAAGAAGAGGGAATAACTCTAACGACATTTTTCTTGAAATCAAAATTAGGGTTATTGATAAAGACCTTCTCGGCTTGTAATATTGAATTCTTTTTAACAAAATAGTTGAGGTTAAAGCTTTCAATCCACCAAGGTTGATAAATTAAGAAGTTTTGGTTCGATGTGCCAGGCTTATAGATATAAGCCAAGGCAATCAAGATGGAAGCAGAGCAAGAAAATAAAACAGCAAATAAGGAGGCTACTCTAGCAACGTTTTTGCACATGGTGAAATGTTTTTCGCTCAAGTAATAAAGAACAATGACAGAATCAGCGACTATGGCCATGACTACAATACCGATAACGATAGTGTAAATGGATAACATTAGGGTCCAAAAGGGTTTTGAGCTACCAACTTTGGGATGTCTCCAAGTGAAAATTCTTTGAGAAAAGGCTAGATTTAAAGCAGCTAGAATGATTGAAGGAATGACAATTAGAATTGAAGAAGCCAAACCGATTTCGACTTTCAAAGTGTCATTTGCCCAAATGGCTCTTAATAGGAAACCAAGAAATCTTAAAAGGGAATAAAAGAATAGAGCTAGGGAATAATAAAATTTATGAGCTCTTGAGTAGTTTTTAATAAAGATGAATAAATGGAGAAGGCCTATTAAAGCAAAGACAGCAGCAAAGATTGAAGAAGGGATTATGTCTTTATTACCATGAGCATAACTACCAAAGATAGCACGTTGTTGACTTAAAGCATATTGTGAAACATAATCTGGGATTTGGCCATTGAACATTTTAGTGGCTTGTTCTACCAATAGTTTTGAACCAGTGCCTGGAGCAGCACCATTGGTCATTGAACTAATGATTGTTTGCAAGGAGTTTTGACTCATAATAATGAAGAAAAAGAGATTTCTAGGGGTTTCTCAGAGGGTTATCTGAAGGGATCAGAAGGATTTTGAAATGCAGGTGAAACTTAAGATAATAAAGAAAAGAAAACCAATAGTAAAATGCAACCACAAAAAAAAAAATAAGAAAGAAAAACAAAACCAAATTGGAAGGGTTTTTTGAAATATTTATAAGAAAATGAAATCAAAATTCATCACCAGATACAATTGCTCAATGTGAGAGGGAAAAGTATTTACTTTTTGTTTTTTTGTGTTTTGTTTTTTATTTTTTGTTTTTAATTTTGTTGTTTTTTTGATGAAATTTGGTTATAAACATATTTTGTGTGTGATAATTATAACATCACTATTGAAAAGAGAATGGTGAATTGAAAAAATTTAAAAGGTTAAATATATACGAATTTACACCTGTTAAAAAAAAGAAGCAATTTTAGAGAATAGCAAACATTTGTGCATTTTATTCGAAATCAGTATTACATTTGTATTACATTATTATTGAAATAAGCATTGAATAATTGCTAAAATTGAAGAAATTGGATTTTTGATTGGTCCTGAGAGCAATAATCAGGATAAACCATCTATAATTCGGTCTCCAAGAGTGGGAGAAAAGAGAGAATCACGGAAAAACTTTAGCGTGAGGATAACGGCGTTAGCATGTGATTACTCCCCTGAGGTTGTGGGACGGATCAAGTCATGGGGACGAAAAATTGTTGGGGAAATTACTCAAAAGTATAAAGAAAAAAAAAGTAGAAAACATTGGAGGGGCCATTTTAGAGCATAATAAAGAAATGACTTTATCCGATAAATTTGGAATAGGCTGGATGAAAAACGAGAGGAAAGAGAGGTGTTGGTGAAGCATTAGTGAATACGCAAGTAGCTGAAGGAATAAAAAGAGAGAAAATTGTTGAATTTTTTTATTGTTGAAGATGCACTCAGAGAATCAGACATCGTCACCACTGTCGCTCTGATGAGCATGGCAGGAGATTGGGTACGAAAAATGATTTCACTCAATCAGCTCGACCAGCTTCAAACACTGCAAGCGATAAGAACTCCATGGACCCTGTGTGGACTCCGAAAAGCACCAGAAAGAAACTTCGGCTTGTGGATTCTGACACAATTTCTGAATCCAGTAAAGTGGAAGAGCATGCATCCGGCTGCACCACAAGGCAACGCATTCCACCGCACCAGGTTGCAAAAATCACACAATATGCAGCTGGATCCATAATGATGGCGTAGACATATTGAGACCAGTGCGGTGGAAATGCGTCCCGATCGGGAAATGCGTTTGAAAAAGATGACGCGTCGAAGTATAGAGGAGGAGGAGTTTCGCGTCACTGGCAGCCAATCAGCGCGCGCGCCTGGAGCTGTCACATTTTTCAGTTTTGGAAAATGCCAACAAGAAGTTGGGCAACAAGAGGTTGAGCAGCGAGAAGTAGGACAGTAGACAAAAGACAGTTGACGAGGAGCAATTGAGGTGCGAGAAACAGCTGCTTCTGCTTTGTTCTGTTGAAATTGTGCAGCTGGATTTGCAACGAGAGGTTTTGCTTCCAGGAAGCTGTTTCTGGCTGTTTGTTTTTTTGTTTTGGATGCTTCCTGCTTCTAATTCAGAAACCACTGAGATTTCCAGCCGAATATAAACACAGTTTGTGAGGTTTCTGCAGTTGTGGGCCTGTTTGTTGTTCCTGCCCAGATTGTTATCTCTGCTTCTTCTTTGTATTGCACCTTTGCGCTCGATCCTCTTTCCACCTCCATCAGCTATCTCCCTCTTCCTATTGATTGTTTTCTATTCGTCATTTCAGGAAAAAAACTTCAAAAAGCCAAAGTTGGGACACACTCAGATCAAAATTCAGAAATTTTAAAAATTAAAAGTACCACTTAAAATTTTATTTTCATCCTCTCTTTTTTCTTTCAATCTTTCTTTTTTCAATATCTTTTCTATTCTCTTTCTTTTCCTTTCTTTTCTTTTCTATTCTTTTTTACTTCTCTTTTTCTTTTTTATCGTTGTCGTTATCTTCTTTCTTCTTTATCTTTTCTATCCATTCTAATTACTCTTTTTATTTTTTATTCTCTACAAACTAATCAAAACCAAATCAAGGACAATTTCTATCTCAAATTTCAGTTACACCTCCATATATCAAAATCTACACTACTCTATCTCTACACAATAATATCACACTTCGTTATACTACCCTATATTAATGATATAACCTTCTTCCATACTACTAACATGAATTCATCTTTCTTGCTCTCCAATCCTGCTTCATCTCCCACAAAAAATGTTTCTTCTACTACCACCACTTCATCTTCCCTTTCCCCTTCCCCTTCAACTCAACTCTTCACCAGCAATAAACCTTCCATCAACAACCAACTCAACAACAACAACAACATCGACATCAACATCAACATCAAAAATAAACCCCAATCAACCAAATTGGATAAGAACCACTTTCTTTCTCCTGCCAATAACTCTGCTGCTGCTCTAAAAGCTGGCTCTCCAAACACTTCATCTCCTATAATGAAAATTTCTCCAAACGGTAACATCTCCATCAATAAATCAAGATATAATAACAATACTAATATCAGCAATGATAACAAGACTCCATCTTCTCTATCTAAATCCACAGATAATACTCCCCTTTCTACTCCCCTTTCTAATCCTCTTTCGAATTCAATTTCAAAAGGTCGTTTCTTATCTTTCAATCTAACCCCAACATCAAAGAATTCGTCCTCAACAAAGCATTCATCCTCCAAATACAATAAAAATGATTATGAATATAAAAACAAAAATAAATATAAATATAAATACAAAAATAAATATAAAAATAAAAATGCTTTCAACAACCCAATCAATGACTCGATTATCATTGAAAACTTAATCCAAAATAATACATCTTCCTTACCTCTACCAAAATCAATCCTAAATCAGGATTTACCCCCAAACATAAATCCAATTGATCTACTATCCTCTCCCTCTTTTAAATTCAATATCGATAGCCAAAATCAAAATCAAAATCAAAATCAAAATCAAAATCAAAATCAAAATCATACAAATCACTCTAATTTCAATTTCAATTCCAATTCCAATTCCAATTCTAATTCCAATTTTGATTCCAATTCAAACTCCAATTCTAATCCCACTACTAATTCCAACACTCATACTATCGCTAACAAATACTCAAACAACAACAGCAATAACAATAACATCAACAATCATTTGATCAACTCTTCTTCTATTTATCCTTCTTCTCCTTACTCTTCTTCCCCCTACAAAATTAACAATTATAATAATTTTTCTTCTTCCTGCTTCTCATCAATAATACAATCTTCTCCAATGCATTACGCCCACTATTTTAGTCACAATAAATCTCAAATTAATACAAACAACACAAAACTTTGTATTAAAAATCATACCAACAACTATATCACTAATTTCGATGATGATTTGGAATCATATAATAATAAATTCAATATTCTATCAAATAAATTCAACGAAAATACAAATTCAACTATTGAAAATGATCTAATTCAATTGGCTGTCAAAAAAATTCAATACCAAAATAAAAATAATAACTCAATTCATTCAAATCATTTAAAAAGGAAAAATCAACCTGAATTGGATTTTGATTTTGATTTTTATCAAAATATCAATAACAATAACAATAACAATAACAATAACGATAATAACAATACCAATAATAATACTAGCCCCGCTAATAATATCAATTACATAAACTATATCAACAATTCAAATAATTACAACACTTATAACACAGTTAATAGAAAATTTCCTTCAAAAAGACTAAAATCAACTGCTTTTTCTTTGCCTCTATTATCTCCACCACTGATTTTCGATGATACTAAAAGAGTAAGCAAAAATTATTATAATAATATCGATAATTCTAATTCTAAGAAATCAATTAAAAAAATCAATTCTAAAAACAATAACCCTCATATTTATACTCATAATAATAATAATAATAATAATAATAATAATAATAACAATCATAATAATCATAAGACAGACTGCAAAATTAGTAGATTTGATAATAATAAACTAAACTACTTATCATCTCCAACCCCAAGTAATCGTCGTCACCATTTAAAAAACTACGCTCAAAGTTCTCCCACAAAGAAACCAAAATCTACACCATTATCAATTCTTGATAACTATAACTACAACTATTATAATAACGGTAACTATGATGGTTTTGATAATGAATTTAATAACAACAGTATCAAAATTTCTAATGTAAATGAAAATAAAAAAAATAGCAAACACCATATCAGTTTAGATATTGACTCTGCAGGTAAAGCTATTATAAGAAAAGTCGATAAGTTTGGCAAAGAAAGTTATGAGTATAATATGAACTATCTCGAAGCAGAAGATGAAGAAGAAAAAGAAAATATTGATCAAATTATTAAAAATTCATTTAATGATTATTCTTTATTGAATTCTATTAAAAAAACAAGAGTTTTTTCTCCGGATAACAATGAAATAAGAAAAACTAATATTAACGATGCTTTTTCAAATGATTCACCAACAAACAAGTATTCTACACTTCCAAGAATCAAAAATAAAATTATTAACAGCATCATTGACGACGATGATGATGATGATGATGATGATGATGTCAATAATATAAACAATATTAACACTATTTCCAATATTTCCGATACCAATAATTTTAGTAATATCAACAATATTAGCAATATAAACAATGACAATAGAAATCTTAATCCCGATAATATTTTTAGTCGAAATAATGTGCATGAATTAAATTATATGAATGGGAATGATAACTATTACCTAGCATTGAAAATGGGAATCGATCCATTATTAACCTCCTCAACAGCTGATCCTTTACTATCTGATGGTGATGAACATAATATGGATAATCTAATCTACTTTGAGAATAGTATTAATAATCTCAATAAACTTAATGACAATATGAACAATATAGATAATATAAATAACATTAATGACATTGATGATATTAACAATATTAATGATGAAATTGATGATGAAAATAACAATAAAAATAATAATCACACCAATAATAATGACGATGACGATGACAATACTATTGATAATATGGAAAACGACAGCGAGGAATTTGATCAAGACGTAGCTCATAAAATTGAGATTCCAGTTTCATCGGATTCAACAATTATCGAAGGAAATGAATCAGTAGTCGAAAACAGTCATCTCATCAAAAACATGTGTATGAAAGATATTTTAAAATCTGGCAGCCTTCAAAACTGTATCAATATCAATATGAACAGTCTTCCAATCAAAGCAGTTTATGCACTGTCTGAAGATGAAGACGACGATGAGGATGATGCCAGAAATGCATTAATGAAAACATTTGGCAACTACACAAAATGTTATTAACAAAGTTCTTTTTCTGGCCACTGTACTTTTTTCTAAACTTTTACTTTTTCTGTATTTTTTCTGTATTTTTTCTGTATTCTTTTGATTTTGTTTCCTGAGATTGTTGTTGGGGGTTTCTTATTTTGCGCAAAGTGTCTATTTTGTTGTCTTGCCTGTTTTACTATCTATATATCATGAAAATCGTACCTTACTTCAAGCCGTTTCTCCAAATTCAAAAAATCTCTTTTACAAAAAAGAAAAAAAGAAAAAACCATAAAGATGGTTCTGTTCCATAAAGGTGGTAACGCTCCGTAAAAATGGTTGCGCTCCATTGCATTGGAAATATCAGATCACGTGCTCTATGAAGTTTGTTTTTTTCGGATTTTGGCTTGTTGGGCTGAAATTTGAAAACGGTTCGTTCACCAAACTAATGAGTATTTATTTTATCAATTGATCAAAGTGTGCTGCCCACCAACACTATGAGCTTTCAAACAATAAAATTCTATTTGAAAGGCTTCTTAGCTACCAATATATTCTTTTTAAGCGCTGCTTATGGCGTTTTTGCTTCGTCTTTTTTGTTCTTAATAGGAAAGTCTCACTTGAGTCAATATACCACTGCCAGATTTTTTTATTATTTGTTCAGCAAAGTGTTGGGTATTGACATAGTCGTTAGAAATGAGCAGATGTTGACTCAAAATCTACCTGGAATATTAGTTTGCAATCATCAATCTACTTTGGATATTTTAGTATTAGGTAAAGTTTTACCCAAAGGGTGTACCGTCACCGCCAAAAAGTCTTTGAAATATATTCCATTTTTAGGATGGTTTATGGTATTATCTGGAACATTTTTTCTTGATAGAAAAAACAAAGATAAATCTATAAATACTTTAAATAATGCAGTAAAGAATTTGGAATCTAAAAAAAGATCATTGTGGTTATTTCCTGAAGGCACAAGATCATATTCTAATACCCCTACTTTACTACCTTTTAAGAAAGGAGCCTTTCATTTAGCTGTTGATTCTCAATTGCCCATATTTCCAGTTTCAGTCTCCAATACTTCAAACATTTTAAATTTCAAGAAAAAGATCTTCAAAAAGGGTACAGTTTATATTGATATCTTAGATCCAATTCCGACAAAGGGCTTGACTAAAAGTGATGTTACTAATCTATGTGAAGAATCAAGAAATAAAATGTTTGAAGATATTAAACATTTAGGCTACTCAAAAACAAAGGGTTCCAATGAAACTAATAATAGCGATTTAAATAATCAAATACCTCCAAATGAGTCAATATCTGCTGATAATTCACCTAGTTCTTCCAGCTCTTCGACTTCTTTAAAAGTCAATGCTACAGAAGTGACCCCGTTAATACGAAACCAGAGAATTTGGTAGTTTCGATCCATTTTTTCAATTTGTTTTATAGAAAATTGTTATAAATTCAATAAAAACTGCCGGAAATTTATGTTTTGTCGACTTATTCTTCAATCTATTGTTCTCGATTAAACACAATAAGCTTGCATATAAAAGCAGCTACATGCATATACCTTATATGTGTTTCTTTCTGCTTTTTGATTGGCCCATGGTCACAATAATAGAAATCAGCCCTATTTCTATTTTTTTGAAATTTTAGCAATTGCTTGATTTTAGAATAGCTTTCAAGTCTTTAGAAAAAGCTCATTTTTCTGATTTAATTATAAATCTACATCTTTAGAAAACAAGTTAGTCAGGTAAGATTTTAAGAGTTAAAGTAACCAATTTTGGAGACAACTAATTCAATTACGTTGATACTCTCTTTCATACTTGAGATAGACTTATTTTATAGTTTCTCTCCAAAGCTTTGCTCGAATTATACAGAATAAAGCCCGATAAAGCATATATTTTTTTTTTTGTAGAAACTATTTTATGAAGACTGTTTCAAACAGTTCATTCTATTATGGGGTTTATGAAAATAAAAACTTCTATTAAGTTATTATAAAATTATTGAATTTTTTTTGTTGAATTTCAGTAATTTTCATCTTACTATTAATCGTTCTAGTGCCAATCTATAAAAACTGTATTAAAAACCTAGGTTCTTTAAATAGCATAATTTTCCAACGAAATTAAATTACGTTCAGACTGCTTTTGTCTTTAACGTTCAATCCATTCTCCAATATCAGAATTATTTCAAAAAGACTATATTTTTTCAATAAAAATTGTTAGTTAGATTCTCATCAGAAAAAAAAAAAGAAAAAAAAAAAAATAGTTAAAGAGGTAAAATTATCTTATCCTGTGCTTACGAATCAATAACAAAATCGGTTTCTGGAATTGTTTTCAAATGCTCATTAGCATCAGAAGAAATAAGAATTGTTCCACAACCTGCATTTGCTCCTGCTCTCATATCATCCAATGAGTCACCAACCATTATCAAGTTTTTAGGATTTATGCCCCATTTCTCAGCGATATGAAGAATGGGTTTTGGTGATGGTTTAGGAGGAAAAAAATCTCTTGTAATAATTGGTTCATTCAATTTAGTATCATTTAGAAATTTTGATTTGAAATGAATAACTGGAGTCTTTAGTTTATTATTGTTAAGGAAATGAAATGTTAGTAGTGTGAATGAATGGGAGAAAAAAAAATAAGAATTTGCTAAACATACCATATTATTTCTCGTACAAATTGTCTTTTTTATATCATTTTTATCTAAAAATTTCATTAGTTCAAACAACCCATTTTGAGGTTTCTAATAACAATAGTAATAATAATAAAATTAGTATATTTTTCTATAATTGATATTTTAACATTAATAGAAAAAAAAGAAAAAAATAACTTCATACCATTTCATTCATTGCTTTTTCTTCAATTTTGAAGATTTTGTAATGACTCTCGAATTTAACATTTTCGTCAGCAATAGAGTTTAAATGGTCTATAATATCAATTTTCTTGGTAATATTTAAAGCATCTCTCATTTCCTCTTCGGATAATAAATATTAGTTAATTGTTTTTTCTTTCTTTTGGATCAATAGTTTAAAAATGAGTTGCTTTTTTTTTCGAAACATACGAAACATCCAAGTTTGAGCTACACATAATGTTCCATCCATATCAAAAACGATACCTTTGATTTGATAATCATTTTCTTTGACAGGATTAAGAATTAATCTTCTAGAATAATTTGAACTCATCTTGGTTTGAAAAATGTTATTAAGTAATGGTCTTAAAATCATTAAATTCAATATGTTTTTTTCAAAAAAGTGGAAGAAAAACCGGTATAATGATGAATTATTTGTTGATTCAAAAAACATAAATTTAAAGAGAATTCGTGATTCACGACTTTTCGTAACATTGAGTCAAAATCAATTTCTGCCTGATTAGAAGAAGAAAACTTTATTTATATCAGGAAAGCTGTCATATCAGGAGTTTTGAGAAAAAATTGTGCAAATATCATCTAAGTAATAGTTAAGGCGAAATAATTTATTAAAGGAAATAGCTATATAGCCAAGAAATTATTGGAGAATTCCAGAGAATCAGGAAAAAAAAAATACATAGTAAGCTCATTACACCATAATAGCAACATAAATATCATTAAAACACCATTAATTTCAAGATATTCAAACAAAACAAAAAATAAAAAAACTGGGAGAAAACTAGGAAAAAAGATTGACAGAAAATATTGAACTTAGACCAGTTAAACAATAGTTTCACCAGAATTTCTTGCAGTTTCAGGTTCAATAGGTTTGTTGGAGGCAGGAGCAACTGCTGGAGAAGTTGCTGGAGCAGTGCTAGATTTTCTACCACTATGAATAAATAAGAGTGGAATGACAGCAAAAGTGAGAACATCCAAGACACCATAGAATGCTTGTTCGGAATCTGGCTCAATCACATTACCACCTTCAGAAAGAGCCCATGCAATTGGATAAAGAATCCAAAGCAAGAAAACAAGACCAGCTCCAATCTTTGACAAAAATGGTGAAGATAGCTTACCATAAACACGATGAGAAACTAAAAAGATTGAAAACAATTGTGCAATAATAGCAAAAGTGAAATAACCCCATTTGTAAGAAGATTCAATTAATGCACCGATTAACAAGCTGATAACAAAGATATCAGCCGATAAGACAATCAAGATCCAAGAGGATAACGCATGAACACCAAAAGAATTTGTTTTATTGTTAGAAGAAAAGGCAATTGCTAGTAATAGAGCAGGCCAAGCAAAAAACCAACCAATGTATCTCGCGTAAAAAATTTGACGAATATTACCACCACTGCTAACTGTAACATGGTTGAATTCAGTTGCAATACCAGTCCAACCAAGATTCGAGGCCATAGTGAAGTAAGCATAGGTCATTGAAAGGGTAGCAATTAAGGGAGAAACGTAGAATAATGCTTGAGAAAGATTGTTCTTATGATGACGAAAATAAAAAAAAATATGAATCAAAGAAACCACTCCAAAAATTGAAAAGGCTGTCCAAAGCCAACTAGAACCATCATTGGTGATATGGATATCAAGACCAGTTGGTTGATTGACATCAACAGCCCTATTCCCACGGGCATAAATCTCAACAATACTAACCATGTCGATTAATTGAGTTTGTAATAAATTGATTGGTGTAAGAAGAGAGCTAAAAATATAACAATTGAGTGCAAATTGTAAAATCAATTGACTGGTTGTGACAATTTGTAGGATGATGGATGATAGTGATAATCAATTGTTGAATTGCTAAAGGAAGGGATTTCTTTAACTATTTATAATAAAAATTGGTTACTAATGGTGTGCATAGTAAAACTTAAGATCAGGAAAATAAAGCAAGCCAAAAACCAGTTCCAATTTATTCATAAAGGCCATTGGCAGACAAACAAAATGCAAAAATGAACTTGTCTAAACTTACACCAAATCTCTCAACGGTGATTATAATCAATCACATAGAAACTGTCTTTTATTGTCGGAAGTTTGAGTTATTAGTAGCTCAATAATCCCATTTTGTATGACTTACATCACAACCAAAAACGACAGAAAACAGGATCACATACAATAAAATAGCATTAATAATACAAATAGTTTCATTGTCGAGATTATTAATCTGTTTTAAGCTTAAAACACTGAATGATCATTTATGTGACAACTCTCCCATGAACCACACTAGCAAAACCCAGTGCACATCAGCAATTCATCATGCAATTCTACCTATATCTGACCAATTCATTCCTTATTCTCCTCAATATTGCTCAGATCCTAAGACTATGTGGGCTCAACGTAGAATTAAGAAGGTTGATTCTTTGCTTTTTATGACTGCCCGTTCCTCCCTATACTTAAGCGCATTCCGACGGAAAAGCACCTGACCGCCGCCAGATCCGGGCCGGGCAGAGGAGAGCACTGAGAAAAGTCGGCAGCTTCTTCCTGTGCTTCTTCTGCTTCCTCAAAGGCTGGTTTTGAGAAGCAGACTGGGACTTTGCACACTACTGTTTTACTGATTTGCGTTGTTTGTGTGGGCGACTCAGAGCTGACGATATAGTGTTTTAAAGATGGGAATATTGGCGTGGTCTTCAAAACCCGAAGAAAATAAGGATTCTCTTCCTTTGAGATCAAACAGAAAGATCTGCTGGGAAAGTCGAGATGGCTTCAATAAATGTTTGGATAAAATAGAAGTGATAAACCCTCTTGATCCAGCAAACAAAAAGATAATCGAGAAAAACTGCTCTGCTGAAGACAAAAGGTTTCAACAGGATTGTGCTACTAGTTGGGTAAAGTATTTCAAGGAAAAGAGGATTGTTGATATCAAAAAAGCGAAGATTCAAAAAGAAATCGATGAAAACAGAGCCACTCAACTTCCTTTTACAATAGGCTAAATTGTTTTATTGTCGAGTCAATAATCCAAAAAAGATTACTGCTCTTTTTCAAAAAAATAAAAATAGTGTTTTTCAATTTCATAAAATGTGTATATGGTCCTTGTATATACGGTACAATCAATTAACAATATGGTTTTTGTATTTAGTGTGGATATTTTTAATAAAAGTCTTGACATTTCAAATAGTTTTGTGAGTTATTTAATATAATATTATATTAGAAACCTTTATATTCACTTCTAAAACAAATACTTTGATAATATATAAAAATAATGAACAGAAAGCTATCACCAACATCAATAAGGTAGAAATATTTAATTGAACTCAAGAGATAAGTTTGCTTGATTGCATTCAAAATGTGAATTCTTGTCATAATTAAAAAACATACATGATCTGAATAGCTTGTTTCCTGTGATTAAAATCAAAACATGTCATAGTTTTACATATACGCAACATTCAGATATTTTATCAATCAAATCAACAAATTATTCTTGTTTAGTTTGGGAGTTCTATTCTATCAAGCTAGGTTCAAGATAAGTTGCTAGAAAACTGTATAATCTCTAGATATAATTGCTATTACTTCTTCCCTTTCTTGTCTTTTGCACAGATAATTCTACAGAGGTGTTTATGTATTTATACAAAATGAGTGGGCCAATTTGTTGACAGTAGCTGTGGTCTGTGGTGAAACAAAGAGAGTTTCACATCCACAAGATTCCCATCCTCCCAGCATCTGAGAAGTAGCCCAATTCAAGTTCGTGCCCTTGAAAAAACATCCGCCGGGTAACACGGCCAAATGATATATAAGGCTTTTTTTCTTCTTTCCTTTCAGTCTTCTTTTCTCTTTTTTTTCTTTGTCGACGTACTTCAGTAAGTAGCTCCCTATATGGTTTAGCCATCTTTCCAATCTACAGCATCCACTATAGCTGTGTTGCATTGCAATGTCAAGGAGCCGAAGATCAACTAACAAATTCAACAGTAGGATCATTTCTATAGGTAATGTCTCTCTTTGACTCTTCAAAAGAGCCACTGAATCCAACTTGGTTGATGAGATAGTCCCATTGTACCCATTGAATGAGAATCAAATTAGTTTGTCTGTGATCCTTAGCTGGTCCGGTCATCTATTTTAGCATTTGCCTTTCGTTTGCAGAGATGTTCACTGGTTAATGTCTTGAGAAAGGAGCGATGATTTCGATCCAATGTTGCATGCTTTTTCGAAAGACGCGATACTTGGATGGGTATTGATGGCAGTCTGACAAGTTTTAAATAAAAAGAGATTTAATTTGCCAGTTTCATTCTTTACTGTAGGCCCAATTGTAGTTTATATTTTACTCTTGTAAAATTTTGTCATTTGAAGTTGGAAAAAATAATTTAAAGCGCATGTTTATGCATGAAACTGTTGTGGTGGTAGATTTTATTATTATAGTCTCTTAAAACGAACATTGATATGTTTGAATGATTCAGATTGGTTGAAATTGAAATTTGAAAATACTTGACCACAAAAAATATTTTAAAGACATTTTGCAAATGTCCTAGTTAAGGTCTGGCACTTTACAATAAAGAGAACATGTTAGCATTAACAATTAAAGCCATACAATCTCATTGAATATTGTTTAATTGAAATTTTTAAGTAGAATTTTAAGAAAACCAGGGGTTTAGTAAAACAATCAACTTGAAAATACTAAAATTAAATTGCAATAAAATAGAAATAATAAAAACATTGGCCAAATTATTGATTATGTTAATGGTTATGTTAATGATTAACCTTTTTAAAAGATTTAAAACTTTTGATTCTCTTGGGTTATTTCTAGTTTAAAAGGTTTGATTTATAAAAAGTAACCTATGTTGTTCTAAATTTTACACGGTTTGGGATATTCAAAGACTGTGACAATGTTTTTAAAGATAATATTTAATTTAATGGTGAAATGTCTCTTTTTAATGTTTAGAATTTTGATTACTTAGCTGAAAATAAAATATCAGAATATTGAAGATTGTGCCAAAGGAATAACTGTTTTTTTTTTTTTTTAAAAAATAGTTACTAAGAGCCCACTTTGTTGGGGTTTTTGCACGGTGTTATTTATTATATCTATATACAAGAGTGAATACTATCTTTGTATTCTACCGTAGATATGAGGAAACCTAATAAATAGGAAGAAAACTCACATCAAAGACAGGAGTGTGAAATCTGAAAAGATATATGCTGTTGTCAAATTATCTCATGAATTCCCATGCATAGGAGACGAATATAATGAGCTTGCAAATTAAAAATAACTGTAAAATATCAAAAATACATAAAAACTTAATCAGACAGATTATTTTCTATTTGATATAGAAACGTCTATTTGGATAAAACAGTGATAAGCCTGGCTAGCGTAATGGTTAACGCGTCTGACTTCTAACAACTGTTAAGTGTTAAGTCATCAGAAGATTGTGGGTTCGACTCCCACGTCGGGTGTTTGATTTGTTTTTTTGTTACTCAGACATGTGAAAGAATAACTCCAGAAAAGGTAACTAAGTTTTGATAATGTGTATTTAAATGTTTACATAGTACATGGAATTATCGATTATTTATTGTAGAATAGTTTTCCAACTCGATCATTTCGTCCCTGAGAATCTCTGCAAACTCGTGGGTGTTATCTAAATAAAGATGATGTCCCGCGTTTTTGACAATTTTCACGTTTGCTGTAATTGTTCGACCAGACTCATTGACCACTTTGTTATTAAGCAACTTCATTGCTTCGAATCCTCCACGAACATCCATCCAGTCGTTTTCGCCATAGATCCATGTGGTATCGCATGTCAAGTATTTGATTCTGTTCTCTTTGAAATCAATTAATGGACATCTTGGAACTCCTCCAGCACTTAAAACATGGTTTAAAATGTATTCCCCTGATCCTTTTGAATTGAATATGATATAGGCATATTTGTGTAGTAGATTTTTTTCTTCCTCATTATCTAAATTATCAAACCTTCTTGAGCTCCATCCACTCACAAGATACGAACCCAATGGCCCAAAATATCTAACCAAGCTAAAAGGTGAATAATTTTGATTCCATAACATGTCATAGTATTTTGGAATATCTGGTAATTTACTTGGTTTAATTATTCCTGCTGGGCTGACCATCAAGATTTTTCGAAATTTATTGGGATATTTCATATTGAAAACAGAGATTAAATAACCTCCCAATGAATGAGCACATATTAATATATTTTCCGAGTTATTTAATTTTCTTAATTTTCTCCAATTTTCCAATGAATCGACAAAAAAATCCTCGCTATTAGATAAATTTGAACATCGAAATTCAGGTCGAGAAGAGACACCATATCCTAATAAATCAATTGCATGAAGACACCAATTCGAATTTTCAAAGCTTAAAAAACTTTGAAAATTCTTAAGAAAAAAACCAATTCCTCCACCATATCCATGTAAGAAGATTAAATGATTTAAATTTGGATCATTAGATTGCTTACCCTTTGGGTAGATTACAAATTCATTAATATAATTTTGATAGGTTATATTTCTGTGAAATTTTTCATCTTCACTAAAATCATTATTGAAAAATTGTTCATCATTTTCCGATATTTTTATTACATTATTATTTTTATCTAAATTAATTGGAATTTTCAAAATTTTCGACTCAAAAAGTTCATTTGCATGTGGATAACAATCTAATAACGATAATAAATCATCTTGAACTTTATAAGCTTCATTTCGAATTTTAAAATCTTCAAAGGATTCTTTAAAACTTAATGGAAAAGTATTAGATAAAAGCTTTGATAATGGAACACCTGAAGGTGCAGTTGATAGTTTATATTGCGATTGTTTTGAATTAATACTTATAGTTGGATCGATATTCTGATTTTGATTTTTAATTTCAGTTTTCTTGTTTAATCGGTAATCTTTGATTAAATTATCAATTTGTTTTGAAAAATCTTTTAAATTGAAATTATTTGAAGAGGGAAGTTTTGGAGAAGTTGATTCTGAAGAATCTGTTGAATAGTTTTTTTTTGCAAATATATTATAAAAACTAAATGAATTATGAAAAATAACATTTGGTTTGGATAAAATTGTATTCAATATTACTAAACTCATTTCTTTTTGAATGATTTTTCATAAGACTAAAAAAAAAAATTAAATATTTCGAAATTAGGTATATCCATAATTTAGGATAAGTGAGGGACGAACAACTTGGAGATGGTTTGATAAAAAAAAAAAGAAATCAACACTAAAATAAATGAGAAAGGATTTCAAATAAACAGGTGAATAAGTATAGATATAAATCCAGTGATTAAGAAAAAAATATTTTAAGATAAAATGAACTCACTTTTGCTGAAATTAAGCTCTGTTTTTCAAAATTTTTATTCAACAATTTAACATGATCCCATCAAACGCTCAAACCTTATTGGCTGGGAAAGCTCAACCAACAGGTATTTTTTTAATGTTTATGGGTGAAATTTAAGCAGATTGAATGGTGGACTTTGAAGAAAATAAGAATTCAAGTATTATATATTAAATTAGAATACTAAAAACGAGAAAGGGAAATAGAGCATATATATAAACCATACTATAAAAAAAAAGTTGTATCTTTAATAAACACCTAACAGAAACAAAAGAATACGTAACTTCTGAACTGAATAAAGCAAATAATATTAATAAAAAAAACAAGAAGCAAAATGGGCATAAAGATAATGAAAAAAAGTTGAAACAAAAACAAAAGTATATATATATATTTTTTGATTGTTTCAAGGTTTTTATTGGATTTTTTGATTTTAAATTTTTTTTAAAAAAAAAGTTGGGTTTAAAAAAAAAATAGATTAATTACTATTGTAAACATCCTCGATTTCAGCTTTACAACTATCAACAATTGCCTTTCTTTGTAATTTATGAGCGGCAGAAAGCATGTTATTTTCAGGAGTCCATTCTTCATCGACTAAAACAACACCTATGATTAATTCAATACCAGCCAAACCTAAGGAGGAACCAGTTTTAATTAAATCTTTTGTAATAGCGTTTTTCAATTTTTTATCATGAACCACGGAATGAAATTCAACATCATCTTCAGATTCATACAAACCTAATTCAACGGCCAATTTCTTTAATTGAGGTTCATTTGGAACAACCAAAGCAATGGGCTTAACTTTTGTTTGATCAGCATAACAGCAGATGTTAGCCACAAGTGAATTGGTTCTATAAGTTGATTCAAGTTTTTCTAGAGCAATGTATTCACCATTTGCAGTTTTAACTAGATTTTTTTTACGGTCAATGACCTTCAATTGGCCAGTTTTAGTCCATTCAGCAATATCACCAGTACAAAACCAACCATCTTCCGTGAATGATTCCTTGTTTTCTTTATCGTTGTTTAAATAACCTGGAGTAACGGGGGCACCTGAGATAAGAACTTCACCTTGGTCGTCTTTAGCGAAATAGCCCAATTCAGGAACATCTCTTAGTTTGACGGTAATTGAACCAGTTAACATGCCTGCGACATCGTATTCAAAGGCAAAAGGAGCAAGGACACAGGTTTGAGCAACAGTTTCAGTGAGTCCGTAACCGATTAAGAGGGGGGCGATTAGGTTACTGATAAAAATCTGAGTTTCAACCGAGATTGGAGAACCACCATTCAAAATTTGTCTCAATTGACCACCAGTAGCAGCTTTGATTTTTTTAAAGATGACGTCGAAGATACCAGATAATGGGATGTGATTATTTTTCATGAATAGTTTGCTCTTGTATGCAGTCCAGAAGATCTTTTGAGACAAAGGTGGCAATTTTTTGATTTGAACGAGAATACCCTTTCTGATGGCCTCCCAAACAGCAGCAACAGCGACCATGACAGTTGGTTTGAATTCCTTCAAGTCTCCCTGACAATTTCTTAGGGATAGGTCTGTTAGAGTTTTAACGCCACCATAACCAAGGATACCGCCCCACCAGAAGGAAATAATTTCAAACATTAGTTCAAAGATGTGGGCAAGAGGTAGGAAAGCAATGATTCTATCTTTATCGTTAATTTGGTTTCTGTCCATAATGATTGATAAACCACCAATACCAGCTAATATGTTGCAGTGGGTGAGGATGACACCCTTTGGAACGCCAGTTGAGCCTGAGGTGTACATAACACAGGCAACGTCCTGTGGTTTTGGTGGGTTTGGAGGAATTGAGTCGAAGTTGTCTTTGCCCAATTGGATGACTTGGTCGTAGGTTATGAATTGGATGTCAGGTCTTAGTTCTTGGATTTTTTGTTTGGCGTCATTTGGGATTGAGAAAAATTTTCCATTTTGTCTTTTATCGTTTGGGTCGATTGGCTCATCATGTATTATGTATCTGACGTTCTTAGCGACCTTTAGAGGGTTGATTAGTTTTGGGAAGAGTAGGTTATTTATGAAGATAGCCGAAGATTCAGTTTCGATTAGGGAGTGGATTAAACCTTCTTCACCAAGAGTATCATAAGCGGTTACGATTGGGATGGCTTGAGCGTTTGCAGCAAAGAAAGTTTGTAGCCATTTTTGAGAGGTTGTGGCGAAAATGTGAAGTTTTTCTTGACCATTTGGCTGGATGCCTAGTTTAACCAAACCCTTTGAGTAGTTGTGGATGATTTCATTTAATTGAGTTTTGGTGATGTAGTTGTAGGAGCCCAATTCGTAGTATAACCAAGTTTTTTCGACTTGAGTGTCTTTTCCATTGTTTTTTTTAGTGACGAATTTTTTCTCTTCGTGGATGTCAATTAAAGTTCTCCAGCCCATGCAATTGTTGTTTGGATTTCTGCTTAAACATTCTTGAATTAAATCGTATAAAGTGACAGCCTTTGAATCCAAGGGCTTGATGACAGGACCATCAGGAACTCTAAAATTTCTACGAGGAGCAGTTTCGCCAGGTCTGGCTTCACCGACAATAACATTGGCTTGTTTTACCATTTTGAAGAGAGGAAGGTAGGTGGAGGGAAAGTGGCAAATAAGAAGAAAGTAAGGAGAGGATAATTGAAGATGGGGAAGATCGACAGTGAGAAATTAAGAAAAATAGAAGAAAAAGAGAAGTAAGACGAGTTGAAGAGATGAGGGTGGTTATAACAGTGCTGACGGCTCTGACCAGGATTGAGATAAATATAGTTGAGTTTATATATGAGAGGGAAGAGCAGAAAACAAATGATCAATACTGAGGAGATAATCCAGTAAGAGAGAAGAAGATTAAAGAATAGATGATGGATATTTAAATAGAGAGATGGGATATGATGTGATTAATATATGCTGGGAGAAGAGTGAAGCAATTGATAAGAGAGATTTGAGACAGCAGAGCAAGAGAGCCAGGACAAAAAACAGAAAGAGGGATAAGTAGGACCTGGAGCTAAAACAAGAAAGCAGACGAAATAGGAGAATGATATCAAAACAATTGCCCAGCAGCACCAGCAGCAGGGACTATTGCTGAGCTCTGCTCCACGACAGGAGCCTCCCCAGCCCAACATAACAGCCTGCTGCCCATGCTGCGTCTGGCGTTGCCGGCGCTGGCGCTGGAGCTCGCTCCCAACGTCCGCCCCGGTGCACACGGATCTCGTGCCTGTTGCCATACTGAACTCGCGGATAGACACCACGGGTCGAATTGTTGGGCTGCTGGTTGTGCAAGCTATCCGTGAGATGATCTCCCGCACTTGGCGATTTACAGTTGTTGGTTCCCGCTCCACGTCACGGGATCTAACAGCGCTAACAATCCCCACACTCGCAGACGCCACCGCCACCGCGGTCTCATGTTGGCCCGTGATATGCACACTTTCTGCACGTGCAAGAAGAAGGCCACCCGGCTCAGGGCTTGTTTTATTTTTAACGTGCCGAAGTCAAAAGCAAGAGTTTGTTCCCAACTCTGAGATCACTTTGCTTCCAATTGCTGTGGTTCTTCTGCCCAAACTCTAAGCAAACCTCTAAGCAAACCTCTCTGAAACCTCTGCTATCTTTAACCATTTCACCTTATTGCCTTATCATGTTTTGGTCGTTTTTTTCTCAAAGCTTCCAGCTCACTCTGTATTTTCGCTGACCCTCCAATTTTCTCTCATCCAACACACACACCAATGTTCGTCGCTCGCCGCCCAAAGCTTTCTGGATTTTGGCTGTATCGGAGATAATCACCTCACCTGTTCAGACGATATCTCCCAGTACTGTCTCGCATGCAGGTATAAATAGAATGCTGAGAAAGGTCAAAAAGGGAAGCTGATTCTATTTTGATCTCTTAAATCACTTTCATTTCCCTTTTAAGCCGAATGTAAACACTCTTTCACTTCAACTTCACATTGTCCATAACGTCTCTCTTAATGACTTCTGATAATAAAGGGTTGGTCCTTTTTCGACAAACTAATTGAATGGAAATTTCATTACTTTGCACTTTACAGAAAAAATGATTGAAAAACTATAAAAGTCGTATTTTAAAAATAATCTTTCTAAAAATATATAAATATTTCCTTTTTCTCGTTATTTATTCAATCTGTTTTATTTTCTTTCGTTTTTTCGTTTTTTTTTCTTTTCTTCCATATTTGTTCCTTCTTTTTATCTTCTATATATTAAAATCTACATTTTATACTATACACAATTCATATACTGTCGCTATCTAATAGTATTATCTTTCGCTATCCTCGCACATCCGACTATATCCTCTCTCACTGATTTACATTGTATCAATCCTCCTCTCTATAACAATAAACTATCGCAATTACCGTTCAAAATGCTATCTAATATTCTTTCGCTCTTTGTTTTGTCCTCCGTTTTAAAAGTCGCTCTTGCTGATGATTCTGATTCCTTCTACTTGTTCTCAATTGCAACTGGAACTAATCTAAACTTCGAGCAAATTGTTATCAAAGATGATGCTTTACTTATTCAAATCCCTAGAACCAGTGATTTCGACTCCTCATTGACAAATTTCGAAGGTTACATCAACACCAAAGGTCAAATAATTGTTTCTTCTGATGGTGATTCATATCTTGAATTCGATGATGAAAAATTGAAAACAACCGATTCTGATGGCTCGTCTCCCTTTTCAATCTCAAATAACGTAATTCAATTCGATGGTGACTCCTCTTTCAAAGCTTGTCCAAATGATGATGATAAATCAACTTATTCAATCTACTCTAAAGACCATGACTGTGATGACTCGGTTGATATTGTATTAAGAACTGGTAATGTTGCTCTTTCTCAACCAGTAAATCAATACTCTCCATCCGATGTTAGTGAATCCTCATCTTCCTCAAGAGCATCTTCCTCTTCCTCTTCCTCTTCTTCTTCCTCTTCCTCATCATCATCCTCTTCCTCATCATCATCCTCTTTTTCATCATCTACGGCCTCATCCACCTCATCGTCATCTTTAGAAGCTTCCTCTTCAGCTTCTCCTTCTTCTTCAGCCCCCGTATCATCTTCATCCACTGTTCTTTCATCATCCTCAGCTGTTCCATCCTCCTCAGATTCTTCTTCGGCTGCCCCATCATCCTCCGCCGCTGCTTCCTCTTTCATTTCTTCTTTCATTTCTTCATCTACCTTGGAAACCAAATATGTTCCTGCATCCACTGTTCCAGTAGATGATGAAGAAGAAGAATCTTCTCTCTCATCCTCTACTGTTGTCCCCGCTCTCGAACAAAGTAATAATGCCATCTCAAACATTAACCTTTCAATCAATTCTTTCATCATCATCTTCTCTTTAGTCTTTACCTTTCTCTTGATGTCAATTTAATCTATTAACTAATTATTAATTCTTTATTTACCTACTTACCTACCTACTTTTATTTTTATCTTTCATTCTCATTCTTATTTCTTTCCTTTACCTTATATTCTCACTTCCCTGTTATTCTTAATTTCTTTTTATCACATTTTATTAAAATTTTTTTCTTTTTTTTTTTCGTATCTAGACACATTCCTTTGGTTGACGGTTATAATTATTTCTTCAAAATTACAAAAAGTTGAACTGGTCTTACTGGTCTTATTGGCATTGATTTTATAAATTCACTTAAAAAAAGCAAAAAAAACAACAAAAAAACAACAAAAAAAAATTAAATAGTTTTGATTTCTTTTCTTTCTAATTCACTTTATCTCACTTACCTCTACTTTTCTTTTTTTTTCTTTTTATTTTACTCTTATATATCATCTTTTATAAGTACTTTCTATAGGGTTGTTATAATTTATATCATATTTGAATTATTTCTATTTATAATTTGCCGATAATTTTAGAAGAAAACTCAAAAAAATAAGGCTTCTGCAGGCTAATGCAAAAATGCAGACAATACTGTGAGACCCCAGAGACGGTTCTTGAAAATAAACCTTATTTTCTTTTTTTTTCTTTTAAACTTTAACCCATTACAAATCTCACTTTTCCATCCTCATGAGCATTTTTCGCGATTACTTATTTCTATTATTGAGAATGACGATCTGATAATAATGTCATTACCCAAAGAGGTTTTCGAATTGTTATTGGACCAGTATAAACAAGACGAATCCAATTCTAGCTCAAGCTCAAGCTCAAGCTCAGGTTCAACTCTTGACTCAAAACTAAATTCATCTCTTAGCATTAATAATTCAAAGAAAAATAAATCAGTCGAAAATAAAAGGGATTCAAAGAAGAAAATTACATCGACTGGAAATGTTAATTCCAACAAGACTGAAAGGTCTGCTCACAAAAACTCCAAAAGCTCAAAACAACCAGTGAGAAATGAGAAATCCAATAAAAGCAAAGGAAAAGGAAAAGAAAAAGAAGAAGAAAAGATTATTGATTTAGATAATAGCACTATTAACGACCAAAATTGCAATGAAAATCAGTTAATTGATTCTACCTTGGCAGAAGCCTCAAAAAATTTACTGAATTTTAACAATAAAGAGAATTTTTCAAATATAAACAAATTGAAAAAAAATGAAAATGTCTCTAAAATAATCACAATTAATCCCTTGCAAAAAAAACAATTATCTGAAAACTTACAAAAAATGGATGATTATATAATTGTATCCAGTGATTCAGATGATAATTTTATTGATGAATTTAATGAAGAGCCAGTTCAATTTGATGAAGTTTCCTGGGAAAAAAATTATTCAAATGATAGTAAAAATAAAAATATTAATCTCAATTTAAGTGAAAAAAATAACGTAAATGTTATCATTGAAGATGCTTCTAATCAAAATACATATAAAAACAAATCTAATAAAATTCTTAATAATAACGATAATGAAGAGAGTGATGACGATGATAGTGACGATGAGCTTGAAGATTTATTGAATTTTGATTCCGATAATAAAAATCTGTTCTTGGACGTTTTCAAAAATATAAATACAGATTCATCAAAGCCAGATGAAGAGGTTTTGAATGTTACTATTAAGAAAAATTTAAATGAAAGCAATAAGAAAAAAAATAGGAAATTTTTAATAATTTCTAAAGAAGAAAGAGATTTTAGGAAAAAAATCCATATACTATATCTAGTTTGTATGATAATCCATGGGAAAATTAGAAATAAATGGATAAATGATCCAATGTTATTAAATTTTCTATTGGCTAATTTTATTACAAAGAAAGTGCTTACTGAATTGCATCCTCATAAATTTTCAAATAAAAAACAACTAAATGGATTATATTCTCGGAAATTTTTAGATGGTTTAAAACGGTTGATGTTATTTTGGTCAAATATTTTTAAAGTGAGTAATTATAATTCAGGGATATTTAAAAAAAAATGGAGCGAAATATTGAGTAATGATTTCCCATCAGAATCAATTGATTTTAATAAATTTGTTGATTATATATTGAGACTTAATGCTGGTAGAGATATTGCAGTACAAGGGTTTGTTGCGTTATTAAGAGCGGCGGATGTTAATGCAAGACTAGTATTTTCCTTGCAACCACCAGATTTTACAAGTATATCTAAAACAAATTTAGATTTAAATTTAGAAATGGAAACAGATAGTTTGAACAAAAGAAAGAGGCTGGGTTTATCTCCAGTTAATTCTCGGAAAAAGAGTCGTGCAAATGTTGAGTTGGAGAGACCAAAGACGTCTATTGAAATAAAATTGAATGAAATATCTAGGAAAAATGGAAATTTTAAGAAATTAAAGAAAAAGAAGACTCCATTATTAAGACCATTGAATCCATATTTATCACCATATCCTGTATTTTGGGCCGAGGCATGGAATCCGTATATTAAAAAATGGATAACGATTGATCCAGTACACTTTAAAATTGTTGAAAACATTGTTAGAAAATCCAAATTAGAACCACCATTAAATGATGTTAGAAATCAATTAACATATGTGATTGGTTTTGATAAATTTGGAAATATAAAGGATATTACTAGAAGATATGCAAGCAATTATCTATCGAAAACCAGAAGAAAAAGAATTGATAGGGTTGATAACTGGAGTTTATGGTATAAAAAAATGTTGGAAAAGTTATCTAAAAAAAGCAACAACAAGAAAAGTAAATTAGAAAAAGAAATAGATTTTTTAGAGGATTTGGAGTTTAAAAAAAGAGATATTAACGAAGGTATGCCTAATAGTTATCAGGATTTTAAAAATCATCCAGTGTATGCTTTAGAAGAACAATTGAAGCAAAATGAAATATTATATCCTAAAAAAGCTTGTGGGACAATAAAATTAAAAGGTAAAAACAAATTGTTAAAAGTTTATCGAAGAGAAAATGTTCAAAAACTAAAATCTGTTAGAGCTTGGTTTATTAGTGGACGGATATTAAAGGTAGGAGCACGAACATTGCGAATTAGAAAGGCTAAGCCTATGAAATTACGAGGGAAAAATTTTACAAGAGACTTTGATGAAGAAAATGAGGATGTTAGATTATATGCTGAGTTTCAAACCGAATTGTATAAACCTCCACCGGTAAAGGATGGAAAGGTTCCAAAAACCGAGTATGGGAAAATTGAGGTTTTTCAGAAATCAATGATTCCAGAAGGAGGTGCATTGATAAGGGAAAAATTTGCTGCAAGAGCTGCAAAGATTATCGGTGTTGATTATGCATTAGCAGTTGAGGGATTTGAGTTTTCTGGAAGAAGCGTAACTTCAAAAATTCCAGGCATAGTTGTTGCAGAAGAATACAAAGAAGCAGTATTATTAGTCTGTGATCAACTTTGTCAAGAGCAAATTGAGCAAGAAAGAAATGATATTGAAATGATTGCATTGAATGCTTGGAAAATATTAATAAATAGCTTGGTTGTGGAAGATAGATTAAACAGAGAGCATGGGGAAATCATTGAGGACAAAAAAACAATAAATTCAAAAGATATTATGGAATCTGATTTAAAAGATAATATAGAAAATGAGTTAGAAAGAGAATTAGAGGAAAAGTTAAAACAGAATAAAGAAGCTGCAGATAGTATTGGGCCAGGAGGATTTGAGTCAGGAGGATTTGAACCGGGTGGTTTTTTTGCTGCAAACTCTGAATACGTCGATGAAAATGTGTATCAAAATAATTCTGAAAAATTGGATGCAGAATCAGACTCGTTTGACAAAGTTGAGGTTGATGAAGATGCTAGTGCTGGGTTTATAAAGAACGATTTAGTTGAAGTTTCTGAAAATGAAGACCTCAAAGAGGATTGCAAAAAACCAGACAATGAAGACAATAAAGACAATGAAGACAATAAAGACAATGAAGACAATAAAGACAATGAAGACAATAAAGATAATGAAGACAAAGATGAGCTGTACAAAAACGACGGGAACCAAGATTGGTCTAACAAAGAAGTGCTAACACAGCAACTGGAAAACTCCGAGGAGAATGCAGCAGAGGAAGCAAGTTTTGCTGCTGGAGACGACGATGAGCTCTATGCGGATTCCGACTTTGAGTACAGTGACTGAAAGACCCGCAGCAGTGGTTTCGCTTCTCCGAATTTAAGGTTTTATAGCCACGGAAGGCCCGCGGCGGAAAAGGCGCTGAAGATGAGGAAGTAATTCGCTGGGCCTGAAGCTGTTTCTGCTTCTTTGCTGTCGAAACAACTTTCGCAACACCGGCAACAGGGCTGTTTGGCTCTTCGACAACAAGAGGGTTGTTCTGAATGGTTGAATGGTATAAATACTCAGCGAATTTCCTTGATGTTGTCTGTTGCATTTTTTTTCTTCACTACTATTCACTCACAATAGATATTCATACTAGACATTTTGATTTTATATTTTAGATATGTCATTGCAAGCTATTCCATTGAATGATGCTCCCTTTGGTGCAATTATCAAATTGCCTGAAAATGTTAGCGATCCCTCTAAATTAAGTGAAGAGGATTTCAAATTGCTTGAGAACGCTTTGCACACTTATTTGGTCATTGTTATTCCTGATCAACAAAAGTTATCACCCAAATCTCAGTTCGAGTTAACAACAATGTTTGATGATACTTGTTCCAAAACAAGCAACAATTACGGTCATGGTAAAACATTCAGACATGAAAATTCAGTTTTGAGAAAAGATGGTACAACTATTCCAAATCAACCGCAAGTTCAGGTCATTGGTAATGGTTATTGGAAAAATCATTATGGCTTAGATGATTTCAAATTGACCCAACCTTCTCATAAGACCTTTCATAAAGACACTTTATCAGATGATGAGTTAACAAATAAACAAACCAGATTTTACAGATGGCATATTGACTCAGCTTTATACGAATTATCTCCTCCAAAATGCACCACTTTATTGGGTATTCATGTTCCAAATTCAGATGAAAAGCAAAAGATCGTCTATCATGATTCCAAAGACGAATTGCAAATAACAAAAGGTGCCACTGCATTTTTGAGTGGAAAGACTGCTTTTGATTTATTGTCCCCAGAAGACAAGGAATTTGCATTAAATTCAACTGTCGTATATGCTCCTCATCCTTACATTTTCATTTCAAAGGCCAAGTCTACTTCTGATGGTATCACAATGGTTAGTGAAAACAAAGAAAGATCATTTGATGAATTACCTGAATGGGAGGAATCTAAGATTAAAAAATTGCCCATGGTTTGGACAAATCCAACAACTGGGAACCATCATTTGCAATTCCATGGATCTTGTGCTTATAAAATAATTAACAACAAAACTGGCGAAGAAATACCAATGGAAGAGGCAAGAAATTTATTGCAAAGATTTTACAGACCTGCTATTTCTCCTCAAAACATTTACTGCCATTCGTGGAACGAAGGCGATTTGGTTATTTTTTACAATAGAGGTGTCTCGCATTCAGTAACTGGAGAGTTTGACGAAACAGAAAAGAGATTGATGCACCAATGCAACATTGCTTCTGGAGAAGATCCAATATGCGTTAATTAGACAGTTATATAATAATATTCCCTAGTTAAGTGTTTCTTTTAATACATTTCCTTTATATTCTCTATAATATAAACTCCAAGCGGACCATTTCTATGGATGTAGGACGTAGTTTTAGATGCAAGCCCTCTTTTTTGCTCGCCTTTCTAATTGAAATTCAGCTGCAGATAATTAGGAAATCATATTTGTTAAACCTTCCATTAATCATTGCCAATTTTACCTTCTAATTTAAATATTACATGTCATTGGGCGAGATTAAAACCATAATCCCTTATTAGCTTGCTACTACAAAGAATACTACAACAGAAAAAAAGCCAGTTCAAAGTGTCTTCCTCACAATTTGATTCTTCAAATTTGATTTCATATCAAAGACCAAAAAGATTAAAAATGTCAAATGAACTAAACAAAAGAGATAGCTCGATTTTGCCCTTTTTTAATCAAAGTGGCCCATTCACTGATGAGCTATTTGAACCTGATGCTGACGACATTTTGTCTAGATTATCCAGCTCTAAAATCTTAGTGCTTGGTGCTGGCGGTTTAGGCTGCGAAATCTTAAAAAACCTTTCATTATCCGGATTTAAACAAATTCATATTATTGATATGGATACAATTGATATTTCCAATCTTAATAGACAGTTTTTATTCAGAAATACTGATATTGGCGAATATAAAGCTGAAACTGCTGCTAATTTTATTAAAAAAAGAATCAAAAATGTGCTGGTAACTCCACATAATTGTCGGATTCAAGATAAAAACCTTGATTTTTATAAACAGTTCAGTTTGATAATTTGTGGCTTGGACAGTATTGAAGCAAGAAGATGGATAAACAAAACAGTTTTCAGCCTAATTGATCCAGAGGATGATGAAAGCATAATACCAATCATCGATGGTGGAACCGAGGGTTTTAGAGGTCAAACTAGATTCATTATCCCTACAATGACCTCTTGTTATGAATGCAACTTGGATTTGTTAGGCACAAAGAAAACATATCCAGTTTGTACAATAGCAAATACTCCAAGAATACCAGAACATTGTATTGAATGGGCAAGTTTATTAGAATGGCCAAAATATTTCCCTGATAGGAAATACAACACTGATAATCAAGACGATATCGATTGGATATATGAAAAAGCACTAGAAAGATCAAAAGTATTTAATATAAACAATATTACAAAATCTTTAACTTTGGGTGTAATTAAAAACATCATTCCTTCCATTGCTTCAACAAATGCTGTAGTTGCAGCCGCTTGTTGCAATGAAGCCTTTAAATTCATCACTGATTGCAATCCCATTTTAGAGTATTACATGAGTTATTCTGGCGATCTGGAAATTTTTGCTCATGTATTCAAACCAGAACAAAATCAAGATTGTTCAATCTGCGGATCCAAATATGAAAGGGTCTCAGTCAAAAGATGGTTTAAACTAAAAGATTTAATAACTTATTTAATCCAAAAACTGGATTTGAATTTGGAAAACCCCTCGTTAATCTCTTCTGATAATAATAAAGATTTATATCTTACTTTTCCTCCTCAGCTAGAAGAAATTACTAGAATAAATTTGAATAAACCAATTACTGAATTAATTGATGATAATGAATTGCTTATTGTAACTGATTCGAACTTGTCCAAGGCTATGAAATTGCATGTTCTGTTTGATGATAATTGATGATTAGTTTTCTTGATGATAACCGTATTATAGATTTCTCTGCTAAGGTTCTATAGATAAATTAATGTTGCATTGCAATACGCTACATTGCAGTGTTAAAATATATTATATGTATAAAAAAGATTATAAACCCAAAAACAAAAAAAAAATTAAAAAATAAAGCAGTAATTAAGCAGTTAATGTCCATAGAAATTTTTAAAAACGTTAAATAGAAAAATAAAAGCATCAAAAGATAAAATTAAACCCAAGAAAATACAAAAACATAAACAGATAGAAGAAAAACAAAAAAGTCAATATAAAAACATAGTTAGAAATAAAAAATATTATTGTGGATATCAGAGATGGAAACTGTCTATAGCACTATCAATATCCTGAAAAAGGTTGATCCAACCAGAATCCGAATCAGTAGCTTTGTGATTAGCAGGAGAAATATTGTTAGAAACATTATCATTTTCATACAACGACAAACTCTTATCAACATCCATATTAGAGTTCGAGTCAGAAGTATCTTCACTTGAGTGACTTTGCTCAATTCCATACTCAGCGAAGACTCCTAGATCCACAGTGTGATTGTCATTGAAGTCAGTTTTTTCTGCATCGGTTAAACTTCGATGTATTTGTAAATGATGTTGTTTTGATTTGCTTTCAAAATTATTATCTGAGTCATCTTCGTCTGAATCTTCGTCTGGATCTTCTTCTGAATCTTCGTCTGAATCGTCATCATCGAAGGAAATGCTAAATGAGCTGCAGATTACTTCCATTAGGCTATCCCAAGAATGAACAAAAACAACTCTTTTGGCCAAATCTGTATTTCTTTTTATAGAGGACATTTCACTTTCATTCTTTATGCTGGGAAGCTCCAAGACAAGTTCTTGATGATCTTTGTTAAAGTTTGGAAGGCTATGTATCTGTTGAGTTGATAAATATAATATATTTAAATCACTACTAGCTTCATTTGATACTATTTCTTGGTTATATAATGTGTTAATGTCAAACTTTTTCAAAATTGAGTGATTTATTATCCCCAAATTATCCAAAAACTTATTATTAATATTGTTATTGACCAACAATGGGCCATCACAATAGTATGAATTAAAGTCGTTAAACGTCTCAATAATATAGATATTTTTAATTTTCAAAGATAGTGCTCTTAGTATGTTTAGTAAACTTATTTGCAGGTCTTTTGATAAATCAATTTCTGTATTGAAAATAAAAATTAAATTTGAAGGTTTTTTAGTAGCTTTATTAACATTTGTTATTGAGTTAATTTTAAAAGATTTCTGAGTGGTTTCATTAGAGGAATTTTCACTTAATGAACCTGAAAGAAAAATGTTATTATTAAGAAAGACATTTTCATTTTCAGTTTTACTATCATCAAAAACATTGTGATCGAAAATATCATTGTCAAATATATTATTTTCAAAACTATCTTTAGTGTTATTTTTATTATCAATTTCATGAATATTATCATTAATATCATTAATATCGCTATTATCATTGTTATCATTATTATCATTATTATCATTATTATCATGAAAATCATTAACAAGTTCAAGAGTGGTACTATTATTAAAATCTGGTTGCAAAGCCATGTTGACAGATTTGTTTTCAGGTTCATGAACATTGAACTCTTCTTGGATTGGAGAAGGACCTTCATTAACAACATTTAAAGTGGTTGTTATGACTTCAGAAGGAAAAACAAATTCACTATCACATAAAGCAGCACCCCATTTTTCAAGAACATTTTTAACATCATCATGAGATAGATAGACTGAACAAACTTCTTTATTGTTGATATCCCACTTTAAAGTTTTTGAGGTTGGTGTTTCAACAGTTGGGGAATTATTTCCACAATCATTGTCTTTGAATTGAATAATTTTGAATTTGTTATAATTTAAATTTATAATTATCAAGACTTCTGAAAATAAATACAAAATTCTTTGAGTAAAACGATTGCTATTATTAATTGAAATTGATAGCTGGTCTGCCAATCTCAAGGTGCCAAAATTGTCAAAATCTGAGTCTTTCAATAAAATCTTTCTGTTTGGTGCATTAGTGTTTAATTTTGAGATTAAATGCAAGATTAGTTTATCTCTTAAATAAGATGGGGGGATTCTATTGTAATAAGTAGATTTGTTGATTGATGAGTTTAGTGAGTTGGCGTAAAAACTGGACAAACTCATGGTTGAATCACGAAGATTTCTTTGATTTCCATAAAATGAATCCATGGTATTTCTAGAAGACATTTGAGGTGGAGATGGTGATCTTGAGGCTGATGATACTATTGAGGAAACAGCAGAAATAGAAGAACCTCTTGAGAGTTTCTTCTCATGGCCTTTTCTACCTCTTGAGTTCGAATTTGTAGAAGAATTTGAAGAAAGTGAGTATCTGATTTCGGACAGTAGAAGTAGATTATTGTTACTATTATTGTTATTGTTGTCATTATTGGAAGAAGGAGGAATTTGTTTTTGTTGGGAACTCATGTTTTTGGTATTATATGAGTCAATTGGATGATTTTGTTTAGTATTTTGATTATAAAATTGATTTCTGGATAAATTGTGAGTGGAATTGGTAGTTTTATTGTTATGATTATAATCAGAAAACATGTTTGCAAAAGAAGGAGTTGGTTCATATAAAAGATATAAAGTGACAAAATGGTCAATGAATTGATCCAATTTTGGTATAGCTTTGAGGTTACATACTGGACAATCAGGAAAAATTAGATCATATTTGTGGATATTAATGTGGCTAATGTTATTGATGATATTGATGTTACTCGAGTTTCTGGATTTTTTATCTTCTACAAAGATTTTTAGACAAGTTTCATGAGAAGAACAATTACATTTTAATTTGATGATTTTTTCGATTTGATGATTATTATTACTGTTGTTGGTGTTATTTAGAGTTATATCTAGATCTTCATTACAAAAATTGCATACTAGGCTATTATTACTCAGGTTTGAATTTCTGTTTAAAGAGTCCAAGTTTTTTTTCTTTCTGAGAGAATTATTCGTATAAATATAAGGTCTAACTTTTGGAGGAGATAGGTGAATTGATTTTTCTTTATTTGGGTAGATTGAAAAGTCTATGAAATTTATTGTTGTTGCAGAATTCAAGGAGGAAGATCTTAAATGTTTTGACTTTTTCAATTGCTTTGATTGTTTTGGTGGTTTTGATGGCTTTGGAGGTTTTGGAGATTTTGATGGTTTTAGTGATTTTAGTGGTTTTGAAGATTTTAGGGATTTAGGCGATTTTGAAGATGATAAGGATAAAGAGGAGTTTGAAGTTGAGTGAGAAGAGTATTTCATTAGTTTTGAGCTATAGTTGTTATTTACATTGAGGTTATTGTTATTGATATTATTAATGCTGTTGATATTGGTGTTGATATTTCCCTGAGAATGAGAACGAGAATGGAACTTCTTTGCAAAGGGTTTTGGCGAACCATTTGGAATATTTGATATGTTTGACATGTTTGGAATACTTGATATATTAGAATATGAGGACTTGTTTGAAATGGAATTATTTGTGATGGTTGAGTTGCTTGAATAGTTTGGGTAATTTGGAGATTGCAAGAGCAAGGTTGAATTTGAACTTGAAGAAGTAGCAGACAACGAAGGATTTTCAAAGCCAAAATCTGGAGCCTGAAGATGGTTCAACAGTTGATTCTGGTGGTGTCTCTGGATTTGTTGTCGGACCTCTTTTGGTAGCTGGGGTAGTTCTTTTGTGGAGGTGAATTTCAAGAGCAATTTTTTGTTTGAGTTGCTAGGATTACTAGAATTGCCAGAGCTGCTAGAAGAAGCGAACCTTGAAGGTAGTCTCCATTTCAAAGAGGAATCAGAGGACTCAAGACTCATGGCTGGTGGTGTTGTAAATATGAGCAGGACTGGGGCAAAGAGAAGAAAAGGAGCCTGGGAGCAGTGGTGTATGGGGAGGAGGAAGAAGAGAAGCAGCTGGAGGGAGTCTTTATCTAGGAGTGTTTCTGAAGAACTCTCTGAGGAGTTTCGCCAGCAGCAGCTCTCGGGACGTGTCGTTCTTTCTGCTGCTGCTTCGGCTGTCTCCGGTGCTGCGTGTGCTTCTTGCTGACACCAGAGAAGCTGCTTTTGTACCCGCGTGTGTGTGCGTGTACATGCATTAGGACAGCCGAAACCGCTTCTGTGGAGGCACACACACGCGGGGCTTTTATCTGAAACACACCGCAAATCTTATTCTCCAGATCCACATCTCTGGCACGCAGTGTCCAGGATTCAGGCATTTGGGCTGGAGACGTTTTCTTTTTGTGTCAGAACTGCTTTTGGACCTGAATACCTCTGATAAGAACAATACGCTGCAGCTCGTGTTTTCTATTAATAATTGCTGCTTCTCCATCTATTTATAGAAAGTTTGTGTGCAAACTTGAGGTAATCTGTTTTTGATGGTCGTTTCTCAGTGCTGATTTTTACACGGGTTCGAAGTTCCCGTAATAATCAGAACGCCACTCACGCACCTATTGTGTTTTCCTGGATCATCACGCACTTTTCCCGTTTCGCGTCATTTTTCCATCCAACAATAGAAAAACAATATCACGAATAATCCACCATCTTGATTTTAACTTTTATCAATTTCTCCATTTCCTATTCCACCAAAAGATATATTTTTTCGGATCTATTTTCAATGTCTGCTCCAAACTCTCCTGAAAAAAATTTGAACCTTTTGTCAAACGAAGTTGATACAAGTACACAACCTAACAATGATGATAGTGTTAACGATATAATCAGCAGTGTTCAGGATAACGAGCAAAATGAAGATCAGAATGAATACCAGAATAAAGACCAGGACCAGTCCTTTCAACTAAATTTAAATGACAATGCTGAAAGCAACTTGGAAAATCAACAAGAAAACAAAACATCATTTGCAATTGATTCACAGCCCAACTCACCAATTCAACCTCCATTTTCGCCTTATCTTTCAATCTCTTCTTCATCTTCTTCATCAAACAAATCATTTATTCAGATAGATCAAAATGATCTAAAGCCAGATCCTGATACTTCCAATAAATACACTCTCTCAATTTCTCCCTCTCCTTCTCCTCTTCCAACACCTGCTTTTTTATCAACAGATCCAATTCAAAATCAGACTACAGATTTACCCAATAAAAAGAGAAAAATTGATGAAATTAATAATAATAATAATAATAATGACACTACTACTAATAACGATAACAATAATACTGCTACCATAACTTATACAAAGACTATAAATATACCTAAGGAAAATGAAAATGAAAATGAAAATAATAAAGTTATTAATAATGAGGTTAATGACTTTAATGAAAATAATACAGATGAAGAAAATGATACTTACGCTTCTGACGACTATTTAACAAAACACTCAAGCCAAATTAAATGGCCTCCATCTTTTATAAATTACTGGCTAGACCTATTAAATTTACGAATTAAACAAATGAAACTAAATACAACTCCAGATGATTTCAATTCTACTTTGCAGCTCATTCAATTGAAAACAAACGAAATTGGTTTTAATATAAACAACTTATTTTTGCATGAAAATGAACCAAATGATATTAAAATCCTACAAAATCTAATCAACACATTCTCTCAAAAACCACATTTCAAAAATCTAAACTTGGAAAACCTTAAACTTCAAGATCTAAATCAACTCCTCTTGGAATACAACCACGATCACAAAATTTGGTTAAAAGTATATCAATTAAAAGGTTTAAAATACAACACTTCTCTCTACAAATTCGAATTGAACCTAGAATCTTTGGAAAATGAATCAACCATAAATAAAAAATTAACCGGCGAATACATCGTCAAATTACAAAGTCTAATTAAAATCAAACACATCTGTTCAAAAAAAACAAGTTTAATCTATAAATTCCACAACCTAATTTATACGGAAGTTACAAAAGATTTTAAAAATAAAAACAATAGCATTATTACTAATAGCCAATCAGCTAAAAAGCAAAAAATTCAAGAAAATTCAAACTCATCTAATCAACAACCAACCCAAGATCAATTGGATAACAACAAAGAAAAATTAAGAAACAAAGCATTAGAAAAGCAAAGAATCAAAAAAGAAAAACTTGAGAAAGAAAAACTTGAGAATGAAAAAATCGAAAGAGAAAGAATTGAAAATGAAAAACAATATCAACAAACTCAGAGACAAGAAGAAAGAAACAATGCCAATCTTAGTACAAATGACCAAAACTTGAATCGAAATGTTGAAGAATTGGAAGAAAATGACTCTGAAAGTGATTTCAGCAATCAACTAGCTAACAATACTTATCAACCATCTTTAAGAAGAAGAACTCAAAGACAAAACTCAAACATCCATTATGAAGAAAAAGATCGGGAAATTGAAGTCATCGATATTGATATTGATGATGATGAATCAAAACCTGTTCAATACGAACCAATATATTCACCACCTTATGTTGCGCCTACTAGAGGTAAGACTAGATCCAAAGCCAGAGGAAAAACTAAAGGTGGCAGAAGTAGAGGAAGAGGAAGACGAACTTATATCAAATATAGTCGTGAACCCTTTGAAACAGAGGAACCACCATCAAACAGAGCACAGGAAAATTTAAATAATGGCTATCAGCCTCAAAGTTATTCAACAAACGTCCCAAATACTGATCCTAATGATTATACGATTGGAAATAAAAGCACTGGTAATTCTAATTATAACCAACCAGCCGATAACAATTTTATAAATGATTCAAATGCAAACCAATATAATAATGATAATATGCAAGCAGCATCCCCCACTGACATCCCTAAGCTTACAACCACAATTCTCGACTCACAAGAGAATAAAGCTAATGATGCTTCAATCGACAAAAAGGAATTGCTCACCCAGATAATAAAAGAAAGACTCAAAATGGAAGAAAAAGTTATCGACGTGTATCTCGACTTTGTAACGGATATATTCATCAATGGTAAAATCAATAAAGAGGAATATTTGAAAGCTTTCAGATATGGAACCATCTACAAAGAAGTCTCAAGAGACGAAAAATTATTATATTACAGAAGTTTTGTGAAGCTTTTCCAAAAGAATGAATCGGCTGGAGTTAGATTCCTCCAGTCTTTGTAAGATAACTTGCTGGTGTCTGGGCTCTGTCTGTTTTTTGCCTTTGGCTTTGTATCTCGCAGCCACAACACTGTATGCTTGTTTTGTTGTTCATATCCCAATGGTTTGCACATCTCAGTAGTTTGTACAAAAATTTCCTCAGTTTCTTCAGTCTCGAAAACAATACGCGAAATTTTCGACCGACGCGCATTTTTTCGATTAAATAAAAGCCTCAAAGAAAGAGAAACAACTTTCTTAAAAGTAACATTTTGCCTGCTGTGGTTGCTGTATTCTACTCTTTCTTCAATTCAATTGACAATGACTGTTATCACACCCAAAAGACTGAAAGCCACAGACAGATTGAAGGCCTCTGGCAAAAAGGGCTCTTTATCTTCCACCAAAAAGCAACAGAACATCTTTAGCTTTTTCTCCAAACTCCCTACTCAGTCAGCTTCTCTGCTTATTAAACCTCCAAAAGACTCAACTAACCAAAACTCGTCTTTGAAAGTCAGTACCAATACTTCAAATAGCCACAATTCTCTTAAACCAAAAAATTGCAGAAAAACTGCCTTGAATCAGCTATCTTCACCTATCAAACACGAAAAAGTCCTGTCTGAAGCAAAGCCAAAGTCGACTCATCAGTCTGCTTCGGATTCAAGTAATAAAGAAAGCAAAAATTCAGGCTCTATAGATGATACATCTTCCTCAATGTTTGTTGACTCAATTGTTGATGGTGATTTTGATCATAACTCTACCTCAAACAACAATACATCATTAGCAATACATCCTCTGCTTCCTTCCGGTTCACCACCTATAGAAGATGGTAAGCCAGGCCTACTGCCTTCTTCCTTAAGCTCCAAAAGACGTTTGAAGCGTAAGATCAATTATTCAGAACTAGACGATGAAGACGAGGATGTTCCCTTGCAGCGATTACCTAATAAAAAATTAAGGAATAAAAAAATTATTGATTCTGATGATGAGGGAGAGGAGGAATTTATTCCAGAGCCTATAGACGAAGATGATGATGAAATTGAACAAGAAAAAGACAAATTTCTTTCCAAAAACATAGACAATGATTTTGCAAGTGACGATCTTGGTGATGATGATTTGGATGATGTCTTTGTTAGTATAACAACTCCTAAAACAAAAATAAAAAATAAAAATAAATCCAAAAATAAACTCAAAAATATTCACGATGACGATGATAAGGACTCAATTGATTTTTCTGAGAAATTCAAAGCTTCATCAACTTACAAACCTACTTCAAATAAAGTTTCATTAACTATAAAGCAAAAGAACTCAAAACAAAGGTCACCTACAAAATCTTTTCAAAAGGATAATGAGGAAAGATACAAATGGCTTGTTAATATTCGTGATGCAGAGAAAAGAGAACCAACTCATCCAGACTATGACCCAAGAACACTCTATGTTCCTTCTTCTGCCTGGACAAAGTTTACTGCATTCGAAAAACAATATTGGGAAATCAAATCTAAAATGTATGATTGTATAGTCTTTTTCAAAAAAGGAAAATTTTTTGAATTGTATGAAAAGGATGCTTTACTAGGTCACAACTTGTTTGATTTGAAATTGGCTGGAAATGGGAGAGCAAATATGCAATTAGCTGGTGTTCCTGAAATGTCTTTTGATTATTGGGCCAGTGAGTTTATTTCTAAAGGCTATAAAGTTGCAAAAGTTGATCAGATGGAAACATTATTAGCAAAGGAAATTCGTGAAAGCACAAAGAAGAAAAAGGAAGATAAAGTAATAAGAAGAGAGTTAAGTTGTATACTAACTGGGGGAACATTAACTGAAGATTCAATGATTAAAGATGACATGGCTACATATTGTCTTGCAATTAGACAAGAAGAAAAAATGGATGGTTCAAATTTGTTTGGTATTTCTTTTGTTGATACTGCTACAAGTAAGATGAGAATACTAGAATTTAATGATGATAGCGAATGTACAAATTTGGAAACTTTTATTAATCAAATAAAACCAAAAGAAATTATAGCTCCCAAAGGAAATTTATCATCGTTGGCTATTAGAATTATCAAGTTTAATTGTGCAGAAAATAGTATTTGGAATTATGTTAAGGACGAAGACGAATTCTGGGATGCAGATAGAACTATGGAGGAGATATCTCACGCAAATTATTTTAATGACGAAAACATCAATAATCAGAAAAATTGGCCCAAAGATTTAATTAAATATTCCGAGAAAAAGCAACTTGGGTTTTCGTCCTTTGGTGCATTGGTTTGGTATTTAAAATCCTTAAAATTAGATAGTGATTTGATTTCAATTGGAAATATCAAAGAATATAACATCTTTGATAATAGTAATTCGTCACTTATTTTGGATGGCCAAACTTTGCAAAATTTGGAAATATTTAAAAATTCTTTTGACGGAAGTGATAAGGGCACGTTATTCAAGTTTATTAGTAGGTCAATTACACCATTTGGAAAGAGAATGTTAAGAAGCTGGATATGTCATCCACTTTTAAATATCAGTGATATTAATGAAAGATTAGATGCTGTTGAGGCTATGATGAATGATGGAAACTTGCAATCTATCATTACTACACATTTAAAATCCTTGCCTGATTTGGAAAGATTACTTTCTCGAGTTTATTCTGGGAGGTTACCTGTAAAAGATTTTGTCAAAACGATTGAGGGGCTTGAAACCATTCAGCTGATGGTAAATGAATTGATCAGCGAGTATAATTCTGTTGAAGCACTTCCTGGATCACTTTCCGGTATATTTAGTCAAATACCAAAAGAATTAGAGTTTTGCATAAAAAGTTGGGACAATACTTTTGACAGAGAAGAAGCTAAAACAAATGGCGTTTTGATTCCAGAGAAGGGTGTAGAGATTGATTTTGATGAGTCTGTTGAAAAGATGAAGAAACTTGAGAATGATTTGAATAAATGTTTGAGATCATACAAAAAGAATTTTAAGTGTCAAGAGTTTTGTTTTAAGGACTCGGGAAAAGAAATATTTTTAATTGAAGTACCAAGCAGGTATATTAAAAAGATTCCTAGAGATTGGCTTCAGATGGGTTCAACATCAAAAGTAAAAAGATATTGGTCTCCAGAAGTTAGAGACTTAGTCCGAGAATTGCTAGAAACTCGTGAGCTTCATAAGGATATTGTTAATAATTTGAAAAAGAAAACATATTCAAGATTTTCTAAAGACTATGCTTTATGGTTAAAAGCCGTAAAAGCAATTGCAAAAGTTGATTGTATATTGGCACTCTGTTTAACTTCTGAATCTTTGGGCGAAACTGCTTGCAGACCTATCTTCATTGCAGACAATGAACATGGTAGTTTGAATTTCACCGAATTGAGACACCCATGTTTTATGGCAGGTAATACAGGTGCTAAGGAGTTCATTCCCAACGATATTCAGTTGGGAGGAAAATCAGAAGCTAAGATTGGTTTATTGACTGGTGCAAATGCAGCTGGTAAATCAACGATTTTACGAATGACTTGTATTGCTGTGATCTTAGCTCAATTAGGATGTTGGGTTTCTTCATCGTCTGCAAAGTTGACTCCCATTGACAGAATTATGACAAGATTAGGAGCTAATGATAATATCATGCAAGGAAAGTCGACATTTTTGGTTGAGTTATCAGAAACTAAAAAAATGATTGAATTTGCAACACCAAGATCATTATTGGTTTTGGATGAATTAGGAAGGGGTGGGTCTTCTTCTGATGGTTTTGCAATTGCAGAATCCATTCTTTATCATATTGCTACTCATATTCAGTCCTTGGGTTTTTTTGCCACTCATTATGGAAGTTTAGGTCTTTCATTTAAAAACCATCCATCAATAAAACCACTAAGAATGAAGATATTAGTTGATAAAAATTCTAGAAATATAACCTTTTTGTATAAATTAGAAAAAGGTGCTGCTGAAGGCTCTTTTGGTATGCATGTTGCTTCTATGTGCGGTATTAATGAGAAAATTATTGAATGTGCCGAAGCTGCTGCGAAAAATTTAGAACACACATCCCGAATCAAAAAATCCAATGAGTTGGCCAAGTTATCAGAAACTGGTATTCCTTTGGGTCTACAGTCAGACTTTTCGTGGTTGTTAAAAGGTGAATTTAATAATGAAAAAAATCATATTGGGGAAGGAGTGGTTCTTTACAATGAACCAGTTAAGAGCCATGTCATAAAAAGTATGATTTCTATGATTGAAGGATTATAAGTGTTTTTTTTTTAAAAATTATTTTTGAATTATTTTTGAATTATTTTTGAATTATTTTTGAGTTTTAAATTAAAAATTTTATTTTATTATATTAAAATTTTATTTTTGTTAATAGAATAAGAAAAACAACAAAAAAGAATCGTGGTATCGATTATATATTACAAACTATAAGAAATAAAGGAAAATAAAATAAAGGAAAATAAAATAAAGCAAAAACATTACAAAAACCATAGCACCATCAAAAAATATTTAATCAAAATTTAAGCATATTCTTAACATATTCTCAGCAAAATGGAAGAGTTATAGACAAAAGATTCTTTTTTTTTTAGAACAAATTAAATTGGAATGGGCGATCCCGTTTTTTCTGCTTTTACTTTCCTTCTCTTTAGTTTTCCAAGATATTTGCGGTATGAAGGATCATTTGGTTGTTGTGAATTTGCATCGTCAGAAAACCTTGCTACTTTTTCGTTTGAGAAATCTTCAACATAGTGCCAAATTTTTTGAGAGTTTGTTTTTCGTTTTTCTCTTGACAAACCAATAGCATCATCAGTTACCATTTTAGTTGTAAGAAGTTCTTGAACCCAAGTTGTTTCTAAACTGGGGGAGGAATCAGAAGAGGAGCTGGATATGGTTCTTCTAATTCTTTCAGGATCATCTATTGGAGTAAAATCTGGTTTAAACTGTTTTGGAAGATTGTTTTTTTTAATGATATTTTTAGGAGTGATTTTTTTATTTGGCATTGGAACTCGGATAAGAATTTTATTTGAATTAATTTTTTCAATCCCCTTTTTTGGAATTGGGGTATTTAAAGATGATTCATTTTCCGAATCAGTTAGTTCTATGGATTGATGGATTTGATCACTATCATTGTCGTCCTCATTATCAAAACTGTCGTTTGAAGGATGAAAAACCGGGAAGTGAGAAAAATTATTAAATGAGTTATCAGGATGATTTAAAAGACCAACATTTTGCATTAAATTTTTAACATTGATAAAGGCAGCATCTGAAATACATTCGCATTTATGACTTTTTAAACCGATATCAAACCAGGTATCAGTTGCAAAATTTACGCTTTCAGCTAGATTGTAGCCATAGTTAAAACCTGAGTGGTAACCATAAGGATAGGTGATAATAAATTCTTTTTCATAATGGCGAACTTTGTTAACGGGGATGTTTTTTTTGCGTAATAAAGTTGGAGAGACTAGAAAGGTTTTATGGCGTAAAAATTCTTTACAGGATTTATATTCAATTGGATATAATTCTTTCATTAGGTTATAGAAGGATTCTTGATGATCTTGGGGGATTGAATACCATTGTTTGGGTGCACCAAAATGTATGTAGTTAATTGAGTATAAATCTTGGTCTTCTAAATGCCATGAAAAGGTTGATTTCCATAAACCAGCATAGAGATAAGGATCGTTGATGCCTGATAGTGTTGAATCTAGGTAATTCAAAAAGTTGGGCAAATTTGATATGTTCCAAGTATTGAATTTATCAGGAGAAGGGAACAAAGAGCCAGGACAGTCAGCACCATACATTGGATTTCCACCATAGGATAAAGATTTCCAGTAGTTATTTTCTAAAAAGTCTAGTTTTTCATCATCAAACTCTGAGGTATCTATATTATAATTTGATAGGTTTTGAATTGCATTTTCATTTTTATTCTTGTTTTTAGTGACCTTTTTAGTGACCTTTTTAGTATTTGAATTTCTTTGAGATCTTGAAATTGGAGGTAGATAGTTTTTTTGGTATTCTCTTTTCCAATCGTAAATAGTGTAAGATTTTGATTTTTGAATATTGATTTGGTTAAAGCAACCATGGTTTAGTTTCGAAATGTGTTGGACTATTGGGTTTTTGATTTTGATTTTGGCAGTCAACCTTTCTTCATCATAGAGATTTAAGTTATCAATTAAATCTAACCATTCCTTCGGCGGGATAATTTTAACAATACCCGATTGCATTCCAAATCTATCGATGGATTTGATATAGCCATAAAAGTCTTTAAATTGGTCGAAAGTTGGTTTGAAAATGGGGATTCCATCTGAGTAGTGATCAGGATTAGAGTCTTTGATTTGAGTGTTCTTCAAATGATCTAAAGAACCATAATCAATTGGCTTTTGGGGGTTAATGTTATCAATTTGAGATTTTTTGGAGTTGGTCAATAAAGTGGCATTAATATTTTGATATTTCTCTCCATCACTATCACTGTGGCTTTCATCTTCACTGATTTCGAAAAAATTGTCGGACAGCTCTAGGAATGTTTTAGGAATTGTCTTGAGATTCTTGTATTCCTTAGCGTTTTTATGGAGACTTAGTTTTTCATCATCTTGGTCGACATGAGATTGGGGGAGCAACTCCAACATGGTCACAAAAATACCAAAGTCCAATACAAAAAAGAAGAAAACAGAGACAGAACTATGCCAAATGGACACTATTCTTGAGAGTTATATATATATCAACAAAACGCAGAGAAACACCAAAAAACAGGCTCAAATCTCCAGTAAACAACAAAACTCTTGCACAGAAAACAAGAAGCAGCATTACGATAATCCTCTGAGCCTCTTCGTTGCTTCCAGAATTTCGAATCACCTGAATGGGTCCGTATGCATGTTTGCGCGCTTCAACGCTTATTATGTGGTGTGTGCATATAACGGAATGGTCCAGCGGTGTGGGTGCGATCTGCAGCCGATTTTTGGAATTTTCAGTGTTTTGGATTGAGATCAATCAGTTTCAACATGAAGCTGGGTGCCATCGATGGGATGAACATGCCATATCCAACTCCTTTACCGAGACAGACCAAGGCTTCTACAGTGAGAAGGGGTAGACGATTCAAGAGAGTGGTGTTTTCGTCTGATCTTGCAACCAGTGACAGAGGCAGCGAGATAGAGAATCAGCTTAACTCTTCCTCAAACGACGTCCAGCAGATTGAGGGTGATGAACTCAGTAAAGACAGTAAGGACTTCAATGATGATTCAGACACCGATGATGACGATGATACTATTGACTCCATAGTATCTGTCAAAAGCTCTCAAATTGCGATAAAAAGCTCCATTTCAGACAAAACAAAGGTTTATGGAAGTTTTAAACACACAAACAGAAAAAGGCGAATTGTAACTACAAGTAGTAGTCCTACAAAGTCCTTTGATTCATGCAACAGTTTTACCAATTGCAACTCAAATCCAACTCATTTTGCTCCTAAAAGAAAATCTTTCAAAAGGGTAAAAAGAAATTTCTTCACTTTAGACAGCGATCCAAATATTACAGACGATGATCAAATTAAAGATAATATCAACAATCGGGAAAACTACACCAATATGGAAGCTGATGTTGATAATCAGAATGACAAAAATACTAGTTATACTAATGATTCAGACACTTTATCTGACACTGAATCAGACCCTGAATTGGACTCCGATTTGCCAGATAATAACGATAGTGAAATTGAAATAATAGATGTGAATTTACAGCACGAATTGGCGAGAAATCCACCTCGATTTAAAAGTCAAAGTGAAATCAATCGATCAGTCAATTACTCTAAATTAATATCTAGAAGGTCTGCAACTTTGGATTTATCACATTCTTTAAAGTCTTCATTAGACCCAAGAAATTTACTACTATCAAAGTCTTTTACCAATTCATTATACAATTTGCCTAGTTCAAAACTGAAACTAAACTCAACATTAAACTCAATGTCAAAGTCTTTTGGTGAATTGAATTCTTCATCTTATATCACCTCTCCGACATCTTCCTTAATATCCTGCACTTCACCCTCTCAAAGTTATAAAAAAATTTCCAATTTAAATACTTCTTTAAAAGAATTGCATTCAAATACTTTTTCAAATACATTTCAAAATAAATTTAATAATTCAACTGATAGTGGGAACGAAATAATAATTAACAACGCAATAACTTCAACATATAACAATAGAAGTAATAAAATAAGTCAAAACATAAATAAAAATAAAAATATAAATAAAAATAGAAGTGAAACTTTGGAAAATGAGGCTTCACGTAATAATGAAGATTTATGGATTAATAAATACCAACCACAAAATCTATCTCAACTAGCCTTACATGCAAGAAAACTAAAAGACGTAAAAGAAGTTTTATATAAAATGATTGAACGTAATAGTTCAATCAATCATAATAAATTCAATTCTGATGTTAGAATTTTAATATTAACTGGTCCCTCAGGTTCTTCAAAAAGCACTGCAATAAAATTACTAGTTGATGATTATTTTAAAAAAAAATATTGTTCTTCTGATAATAATTTATTTTCTTTTAAAAATTCACTTCAAAAAATCAATACAAATTCACTATCATATTTATCAAACTCTTTTAATTTAAACTACAACCTAATCGAAAACTCTACAATCAAGCCACCGAATCTTTTAATTTCATCATCATATAATGTTTTGGATGATGCTAATAATAAAAATGATATGAATTTAATCGAGTGGGAAAACCCATTGAAATCCAATATGAAGTCATTTCCAGAATTTTTAAATTCGATAAAATATAGAGTTAATAACAATCTATCCGTCATCTTAATTGAGGATTTACCAAATATATTTCATAAACAAACCAGAGAAATTTTTCAAAATTCTTTGATCCAATGGTTAAATATAGATTCTAACCAAAACTTACCACCAATAATAATTTCAATATCTGAATTTACCTTTAATGATAGCGATGATATTAACATGAATTACAGCAGCAATAATAACAATAATCACAGTGTGTATTTATCAAATAATTTTTTGGATATCAATATAAACTATAATATTGAAACTATATTTGGTAAGGAAATATTAAATTCAAGTAAAGTTAAAGTTATTAAATTTAATCCTGTTAATAAGACTTTAATAACCAAGACATTAAATGGAATAATTAAGAATGAGAAAATGATTTTTCAGAAGATTCCCAGAAAGGAATTAATTGATAAACTCAATGAAATAACAAAAATTGGTGATATACAAAATTGTATTTCATATTTACAATTTTGGTCAATTTGGAAATCTAAAAATTTGAAATATGGAAACCAATTGAAAATTAATAAGAATAAAAATAAAAATAAAGATAATAAGTATAGTTATGATGATGAAGATTATGATAATTATGAATATTTAAAATTTGGAAAAGAAAATGAGGTCAATCTATTTCACCTTGTTGGGAAAATTGTTTATGGGTCAAAAGAAATTAAAGAAAATTTCAAATTAAATGAAGATGAGATCTTTCAGGAAAATTGTAAACATGTGCTACACAAGTTGCCAGCAAATAAGTTGCTATTGGTTTTATTGTTAATTTTAGAGAATTATTTAAATAATCTAAATGAGTTGGAAGTTGATTCAACGTTGTTTAAATTAATTGATAATTTATCGATTTCAAATATTTTATTAAACAGGAGAGTTATAAGGGAGACAATGGAAATATTTGTTCGAAGTACGAGATTGAATTGTTCAAAACTTGGAGAGAAATATATTGAGATATTTAATAGTAATCAGCATAAAAGGTTTAATGAATTTGATTTGCTAAAATTTACAAGGGAATGGAAGGTTTTAAAAAAACAAAAAACGGTTTATCAAGAAATTCGGAATTTTCAAGTTTATAAGTTTTACAATGGATTAAATGTGAATAAAAAATATCTTGATGAAAATAAAAGTAGTAAAAGTGGTAAAGATGAATATGATGAAAATGAGAGGTTTTTTTTGTCATATCAAAAGTCAATTAAATTTTCGAGGTCATTGATAAAGTTTAATGATATAAATTTATACCATGGATTTTATGAAGCGATAATAAATGAGAGAAAGTTGTTTAAATTAAAATCAATGAAGTCATTTTATGATAGTAAGTATAAATGTAGTAATGTTTGCAGTGGTGGTGGTAGTGGAAATAGAGATAGAAATGGAGTTAAAAGTGATAAAATTCGGAAAGAATTGAATGAATTACAATTCATGTTAAATGATAAATATTTATTATTGAATCGATTAGGAGGCAGGTTTTCTGAGATTAATACGGATAATAATAAGATGATTGATGAAGAATTGGATGGGTTTAATCAAGAGAATTTGAATGATTTGTTGAGTGAACGAGATAGAAATTATGATGTTGACTATTTGACATATTTGAATGAGTTATGTGAGAGTTCATCTGGGTCTGAGTTTGAAGAAGATCCGATAGTTGATTCGAATGAGGAGGAGGATGAAGGTAATGGAAAGGAGATTAGCGTTGAAGGATTTAGTAGCGAGGGAGAGATATCTAGTGATTCAGAGCTTGATAACATTTAGTTTTGTAGTATATAAGGGGTTTTAAAGAGATTGTTTTTTTGTTTTTCTTTTTTAATGTTTTTTCTTTTTTGGTTAGTGATGATTATTAAAATGCTATATATTAAAGTGAGGATTAAAGATTAAAGAATAAAGAGAGAAGAGAGAAGAAAAAAAAAAGAGATAACACATGGATATAAGATATAGGGTGATATAGAGTAGAGTAATATAGAGTAATATATATAGAATTAAGATTTATTTGAGATTATATTTTTAAAGAAATCTGGGTCTTCTTCTAAGGTTTCTTTAATGATATCCAAACCACCTTGGAATTCGCCATTTATGTATAGTTGTGGGTAAGTTGGCCAATCGGAAAAGACTTTCAAACCTTGTCTTACACTGTCGTCTTTGAGGATATCAAAGAAACCAAAACGGACTTTGTTTTCTCTGAGAATTGCAACGACTTGTCTGGAAAAGCCACATTTGGGTTGGGAAGGAGTGCCCTTCATGAATAGCATTACTTGGGCTGCACAGGTTATTTTTTTTAATCTTTGGTTTAATTCATCTTGAGTTTCTTGTTTTATTGAGGGAGTTGGAAGAGGAGCTGGTTGTTGTTGTTGTTGTTGTTGTTGAGGTTGAGGTTGAGGTTGAGACTGAGACTGAGACTGAGGTTGGGATGGGGGAGTTGAAATTGAAGAGTCTTTTGAAGATGATTCTTTTGGAGATGGCTGTTTAGATGGATCTTTTGGATTTTCGTTGGAAGAGTCTTGAGAAGAGTAAAAGTTCAAGGTGCTAGCAAACTGTTTTGGATCAGCGCCAGACAATTCTTTCAAGATGGTTCCATTTTTGATAAAAACAAAATGGGGGACGGATTGGACTTCGAATAATTCAGCGATATCGGGCAAGTTGTCAGCATCAATTGAGATGAAGGACACATTAGGGTTAGCGTCAGCTAGAGTGATGAAGACTTTGTTCATTTGGATGCAAGGAGCAGCCCATTTGGCAGAGAAATAGAGGGATAGGAGTTTATCCTTTGGGGTTGAGTTTGTTATGTCAGTGAATTGAGATTCAGACTCTATAGTGGTAACAGACATTGTGGGAGCAAATAAGAAAGTGAAGGAGGAGGGCAAAGAGGCAATTAGGATAATTAGAAGGGAGAAGTTAGCAGGCGATAGTTGGAGATAAAAAAACGAGAGAGAATGGAGGATTGTTTTTTCTTTTATACTCAGAAGAGAGGGTTCAAATATGGGTGATTAGTAACGCAGCGCTTTTCGCTGGACGAGAGATTCACGTCACGGCACGTGCGTGTGTGACGGGAGTACCAGTGCTGTGGGATGGTAGGAGAGGGTGCAAGCAGCAGCAGAGCGTGTGTGCGTGCAGGTCCACAGTGGTGGAGCGGTGTGGAGCTAGGAAGGGAAGGGAGAGGCGAGTTTGAGAAGGAGGTTTTGGGCAAAGCCACTGTCGTAGATGTTGTCGATGTTGTCGATGGATGTGACAGGACGAGTGCGGGAGGAGATGGGAATTGAGTGGTGGTCGAGTTTGTTGAGAGGGCGTAGTGTGGAAGCAGACCTTTGGTAGTAGGTGTTGTTTTCCGAGTTGTAGTAGAGGAGATGTGCTTGGACGAGAGACTGGACGTTGGCCCATTTTTTGTACTCGCTGGCGTTGATGCCCAAGTAGATGTTGTTGAGCATCTGGTAGAGAAAAATGAAGAGGAACCAGGCGAGAAAGAAGCAGACGATGAGCAAGATGCCGGCTACTTCATTTTGCTTGTTTGAGACAACCAAGAAGACGAGGAGCTTGTAGTTGAGTGGACTGTGGGCGACATGAGCGTAAGCTGCGGAATTGGCAGAATAGGCCTGACGTAGGAAGAGGAAGTTGAAGTAGACCGACAAGCACAGAATGGCGGCCAAATTGAGGATGAAGACGAGAAAGTACTTGTAGTTGTAGTAGCCCACGCAGTTGTTGATCCAGTAGCAGTGGTGGTCGAAGTCCAAGACGCAGCGGTCGCAGTGTTTGCAGTGGAGCATCCGAGGGAGCGTGGGGAGGAGGCACTTGGAGCAGAGGGCGAGGGTAGGATCGTGGTAGTGCTGGCGGAAGTAAATCAACTCGTTGGGCGGGAAGAGAGCCTGGTAGGCGCGATGATGGCGCTGCTGGTGGAGGGGGCAGCTGGGGCTCTTTGCACAGAGGACGAGGAACAAGAGGCAGTTGTTGGTGAGCACCACAGAAAGCACTGCGTTGAGGACGACGCTGTGCGAGCAGCCGAGCGAGGGGTACACGCCGCCAAAGAACATCGCGCAGCAGCCCGAGAAGAGCCCCACAAAGCATGCCGGAAGCACGTGCAGCACACAGGAGGCCATGGTGGTGGTGGTGGTGGTGCTTCTGCTGCCGGTGGTGTCTGTGCTTCTTCTGCGGACGCTCGGCCGGGTGACGTGCACGTGACCATCCGTCTGGCTGGTGCGTGTCCTCCAGAGAAGAAGAGGCACCAGAGGCACCAGAAGCACCACCCTCTGCTGCCTGCCCACTGCATTTTGCTGTCTTTTGTCTGCCTGCCGAGTTGTGCTGTGTACAGAAGCTGACGAAGAAAGTGATGTTGCATTATTGCCTGAATCAGCTATTCAACACTATCCACTGACCAACAACAGTCAAGAATACCATAACAAACCTCCTAGCGATAGTTTAGAGCTATTCTACAGTCCTCAGATCATTGTTCTGCTTCCCACCTTCATCTCACTCCTGCTGCCATAGCTGTTGCTATCCTTTTCGTTTCCGTTTTCCTTTTCCTGTTCTTTCCACCTCTTTTTCACCCTCTTTCTGTTCTCTTTCCATTCGCAAAGACTATACTATATCTCTCTGATCTTATCGTCGAATTGATCTGAAAATTATGAGAACTTTCGCCAATAAGTCTGCCTCTGGTAATAATACTACCAATTCAAACAACAACAGCAATCCTACCACAACAACAACAACCACTAAAAACTCCTATACTAACCCTCTCAATACAAATCCCATCACTGGTTCTAACAACTCTCAAAATATAAATACTTTCTCTAAAAATGTCTCAAATAACAATAACAACACAAATACTATAAACAGCAACACAAACTATAGAAGACAAAATTACCACCACCACCACCACCACTCCTCATCGAGAAATAACAGCCTAACAACCAACAACCCAAACAATACAAACAACTCTATCTCAAACCCTAACTCAATTCAAAACTCCCTTAATCGTCGTAATAACCAATTTAACAATAACAGCAATTATCAAAATATACAAAATCCAAATCAAAACTCTAATTCAACAAACACAAACTACTCTTCATCCAATCCCACCATCACTACTACCACATCCTCCTCCTCCTTCTTCTTGCCTAACAACACCTTTCCTTATTTCAACAACAACGACTTCAACATAAATGATCTCAACGACCACGACCTCCAACACATGAACGACCGCACAAACTACCTCTACTTTAAAAGTCAAAACTGCTTATCCATCGCAACTGTATCCTCTGGCGCAAGATATAAAGGCACCCTAGCCGTAATCAACCCATCTTCTTTACCTCTAGACATTGTCCTCAAAAAACCTGTCCAAATCGATCCAATTATCAACTCCTCCACTTCCTCCTCTTCCCTTAACGACTCCTTCATTAATGACTTGCCCGAAATCCTAATCATTCAATCAAAGGATTTAATGGACTTGCAGATTTTAAATGTAAATTTATCAAATTCGAATGATGTTATCACTGATAATAAATTGAAATTAGATCAAAATGATGTTAAACAAAAATTAATTCCAAAAGAGCTTAAAGATACTAAAGAGATTAAAGACACTAAAGACACTAAAGATACTAAAGATACTAAAGATATTAAAGATATTAAAGATATTAAAGATATTAAAGATATTAAAGAAATTAAAGAAATTAAAGAAATTAAAGAAATTAAAGAGATTAAAGACACTAAAGACAATAAAGACACTAAAGAGCTTAAAGACAATAAACAAATCACATTACCTGAAACATCTCTCGATAAATCGGAAAAAAAAACAGAAATCAAAAAACAACCCTCTTCATCAACTAATACCTCTTCTTCCTACAAAAAACATTCCTCCTTAATCTCCTCCCTACCTTCCTCTATCCCCCAAAGACCAATTCTTTCTAACAACTTTTCCAACAAATTTACCCCAAATTACGAAAAATCAAAATCAATGTTCAAAACTGATCTAGACATTTCAAAGAACATCAAATACAAAGAACGCGAACTCCAGCAATGGGTTCCCGACAACAGCAACGTCAACCTAGACCTAGAACTAGAATCTGAATCCTCCGGAATTATTCCCTCTTCTCAAAAATGGAACCAGTTCCTCACAAATGAAATCAAGTTCGGTATACGTCCAAGCTATAATGAAAACTTTTACACAACCGCAATCTCAACCGATGCTCCTGACTTCAAACAAAGATACGAATTTGCTCAGAAAATAGAAAAAGAAATCAAAAGCCAATCTCACAATAACAACCCCATCATTGCTGAAGATAGAGGCATCATCTTAGACAACATTGACTTGGATGAGGAAGACAAGTACTCCGGTGTTGATAGAAGAGGTGATGAATTAATGGCAACTTTGAAAATGGGTCACTCTCTTGGTAATACAAACAGTTTACCGTCAAATCTAATCAAAAAAGACTCATCTAAATACATCCCTCCAAAACAAAGAAATGAAATTCACAATCTAGATCCCGCCATTATTTCTTCAATGAAAGCTAATTCCATCAATAGAAATAACACTAATGTTAATAATAATAACAACTCAAAAGAAAATGCCCAGTTTAATACTTTAATATCAAAATTATCTCTTGCTCCAGAAAACAAAAATATAACCCCAGAAATCACAGAAATCGCAGAAATCACAGAAACTGCAGAACCTCCAAAAATAAACGATTCTGAAATTGTTAATCAACTCAAAAATGAAACAAAAGATGAAAAAGATATAAAAATCGAATCTTTGAAAGAAAAAAACATTGAAAATTTTCTATCAACATCTACAGTGTCTAAAGATACTCAATTGGTGGAAGAAAAACTAGAAATCATTAAAAATCCAACTGCAACAAACTCTGTTGTTTCTCTTTCTCAAGAAAACATTGATGCTGTTAAAATTTCCAGTTCTTCCTCTCCTTCATTAATAGAGACCGGTAAAAATAAGAAAAACGAAAAACCAATTAATAATGATAAATCTGTTAAACCGTTTTTGAAAGATTTGCCAAAGAGTTTACCAAAATCAATTCCATCCAAACCTGAAATTAAACATAATGAACACATTACTCAGATAAAGGCTGCAGTCTCAAGTGGACACAATTCATTAAACTATTTCAGAAATTCTTCTCATAGAAATTACTCTAATATTCATGGACATACTTTTAGAAATTTTTCGAATGAATCACTGAGAATCAATGCACAATCCGAAATTAATTCATTGAAAGAATTTGCTGCCACATTTAAAGTTCCACAAAAATTTCCAACAGATTTATTGCCTATATTATCCAAGGACAAAAATAAACAAGAAGAGATTATTAAAAAACAAATATCGGTTGGAAAATTATCCAGTTTTGCAAAGCCAATAACAAGTGATACTACGTCTGCAAGTATTTCAAGTGCTACAAGTGTTACTAACACTAATAGTAGTAGTTCCAATACTGCTTCTAATACTGCTTCTAATACTACTGTCAATGTTGTTACTAATAACAATAGTAATCAAAATTCGAATGTAAATCATAACACATCATCTAATACGATAATCAAACCTGATGTAAAATTGCCTGCCAAACCAAAGACATTGGGAACTACCAATAATAATAGTAATAATAGTAATAATAGTAATAATAGTAATAATAGTAATAATGGTAATAATAGTATTGTTTCTAATAACTCTAACAATGCTACTTCTAATACTAGTAATACAAATGCTAATAATGTTAATGTTAGTAATTCTGATAATGCCATTAATGCCATTAATGTTAATAATAATGCTAATGCTAATGTTAATGTTAATGTTAATGCTAATGCTAATGCTAATAATAATAACAACAACAACAATAATAATAATAATAATAATAATAATAATAATAATAGTAATAGTAATAGTAATATATCCTCTCCAGCAGTAAAACATATAAATAAATTCGGAAGAAAGGCAGATTTAAACCGACCAATTAAACTTAATCCAGCAGCAGCATCATTTACACCATCTACACCTCATTCATCACCAATGAACAATTTTAATATGATTTCACCTAATCAACCACATCAAAATCTTTCATCGCCAAATAACCGCGGAATGCATTATAGTAAAAGAAATATGAATATGAATGCGCATTTTTTCGGAAACAAAAATATAAAGTATGATCCAAATCGATCAAAAAATCTCAATGAAGATTTCAATTTGTTTATTGATGCGAAAAAGAATCATGGAGACGATTCTGGTCCAGTAATAGTTGAAAGGGCTTATGCTACTAATCCCACATGGGCGGAGACGTTGGAAAAATCGCATATATCATTATTTCCACCAAAGGAATCAGTGATTGCGCAGCATAAAAACCGATATATTTCCAATTACAACAATGGAAATAATCATCATCATAATCGTCATGCTGATAGTATACCAAATATGAATTCTAATATGTCGCCAATAATTACACCACAAATGGTGCCAATAATAAGAGGAGGTCCACCATACGATGGAGGCATGGGTGCACAGTATGGACCTATACCAATCAACTCGTTTGTGTCGCCAGGATACTCAGGATACGAAAGTTTTCCAGTTGGGGCAGTGCCGGTTTACAATAACATGAGAGGTGGAATGCCACCATATGGGTTTATGTCTACAATGCCCAATATGATGCCAATGGTGACAGATGGAGCCTTTATGCGTTATATGCCACAGAATGGATATATGCCAGGCCCTGGTTATAATTATGGGGGCAATATGAGAGGAAATGGGCCAGGATCCAACATGTCTCCTCAATCAGGATACTCAAAATACAATTAAAAGATAAGATAAGACAAGACAAGACGGATAAGATAAGATAAGATCAGATACTTTAGGCTGACAAAAAATAGAACATCAAAACGAAAAAACCTATTAAAAATGATGGGATATTGTTTACTTTACAGAGAAAGAAATGTGTTTTTTTTTTTTGATTGATTTCTCGGACTGGATGCTCTTTTCTATTGACAGTAAATAACACAACAGCCAACGCCATGATTAACGTACATACTTAGATAACTAGTGAAAAGAGCAATACTCAATAAACGCAAAATTTAAATAAAGTTCCGCCCACTCAAAAAAGTGAGCCTGAGAAAGTAGACTTGAGAAAGCGAACCTGAGAAACTCAGTAGAGAAGGCAATCCACCACAAACAGTACAAAATGCAGCAGAAGTCGAGCCAGTATCTTCGTAAGTGTTTCGAGGAAGGTGTTTGCACCAGCACAGTGTGCTTTTGAGAGCCAGAAGTACTAACACGCTGTGGCAGAGAGAGTGAATCAGAACACAGAAACCATCATCAACCGATTTTCCAACATCATCAAACTATGCTCGGTACGTATGGAGTGCCCCAGAGAAGAGAAGGACATCGAACATCGAACATCGACTAACACCAGCACCAGAACCAAGTGATCTCGATGGAGGACGATGAGTACGACCACGACTACATGGAGGATCGTCCTGAGAACAAGTCCCAGGAGATGGTCTTGACTGATCTTTTGCAGATGGAAACCGACAGCACCACCATCATCCGGATGATTGAGGAGCTCTTGACGATAACTAGGGCGTTAAAGGAGTCGTGGATCTTGAACCAATTGCCCAACTCAGTGGAGGATGGACTCGAGAAGAGGCAGAGCAACGAGAGCTCCATCTGCACCAACCTTGACGCCAGGCTCAACGAGTTGCTTTCTAGGATCTGTGAGGTGGAGGACAGCTACACCACCATGGACAACTACGTGCTCTTCAGGGAGAACTCCAGCTAGATTACGCCAGGGCACTTCAGCTACTTCAACAGCTACTTCACTTCCATCACACTCCAATGCTTCACTCATAGGCAGCAAGTCACCGCCTATTTTGTGGCCAAAACAGCATGCGCAGATGGGAGATATCTATCATTTACCACGTGGTACATGTGACTTTGTGTGGATAATTGCCGTGTAGTACCCGCAGTATCAGTATGGGTTGAGCACTTCTGGCCACATTTGAGCGTGTCTGCATTAGGAGCGCCACTGCCTCTGAGCTTACCGCAGCTCAGTAAAAGCTCCTTTTTCTCTTTTGAGCTGGAGGATATAATGCTCTTCCTCTTTCTTTCACTGTTCAGAGATAATTGCTGCTAACCACCTAGACAATCACACTCAAAATGGCTTTGGAAGATCTTATTCGTATGTCTGCGCTGCTTTTATTTTCTTCTTGTTTTTCCTGTTTTTATAACACTAAAAAAACAAAAAAACCCTTACTAACAATTGATGATCCTATCAATCATAAACAGTTCAAACTACTGATGAAGCTCAGATGACCGATAACTGGGAGGACATCCTAGAAGTCTGTGATCTTGTTAATAATGATCCAACCGATGGTCCTGAAATCGCTATCAAAACTTTAGGCAAGAGATTCATGATAAATAATGCAAATATCTTATTACGATCAATAACTTTATTGCAGGCTCTATCCGAGAATTGTGGTTCAAAAATGAAGTTTCAAGCTGCTTCAAAAAACTTCACAAACTTATTATACGATAATATTATATCAAACAAAAAGATTCATATTACTATTAAACAAGAATTAATCTCTGTTTTAACCCAATTATCACACTCTTTTAAAAATGATCCCTCGTTGCGTTTAGTCGATGATTTATTAAAAAAAATCAAAAAAAAGCACCCTGAGTTATTCCCAAATAACAACGCCAACTCTGCTTATGCTCCTTCTTCTTCTGATGGTCCCTCGTTACCTCAAAAGGATCAAATGCAAGAAGCCGATAAAGCTCTAGAAGATGATGAATTAAAAAAAGTCTTGGAACTATCTCTCAAAGAGTATAATCAAGAACAAAGCTGGAGAACTAGTTATACTAAATTTCAAAAACCTGTTGAATCAATCAAAAAATCAAATGATGAATCGAATTTAAATAATCAATTCAAAGACCTATTTATAAATGACAAATCCCAATCCCAATCTCAATCTCAATCCCAATTGCAACCAAAAATTGAACCGGATTTTACAAATGATCCATTTTCTAAACCTCAACATCAACATCAATCTGAACCTAAACCCGAACCTGAACCTGAACCTGAACCTCAACTACTAGTACAAGATCTGTCGGTTTCTGAAATAAAAGCTGAAAATACTGAACCCTTATCTCCAGCTGTAATCACCCGTGTTAAAGCGCTCTACGATTTAATTTCTGTCGAACCAGACGAATTATCCTTTAAAAAGGGCGATACAATCATCGTATTGGAATCAGTTTATAAAGACTGGTGGAGAGGTTCATTGAATGGCCAAATCGGTATATTCCCATTAAATTACGTCTCGCCAATCAAGGATCCTTCCCCCGAAGAATTGTTAAAAGAAAACAAAATTGAATCAGATATTCTAAAACAATCTTCTAATATTGAAAGACTATTAATTAGATTAACAACCATCAACAATGAATCGGAAAATAACCAACTCTCTCAACAGGAATTTATCAAACTAATTAACGATCAGAGCCTCACTGATTTATTTAACAATCTAATCTCTGTTCGTCCCAAATTAGGTAAATTGATTGAAAAATACTCCGAAAGAAAAGATGGTTTGCTTCAATTAAATGAAAAACTAATGGAAAGTGAAAGAATTTATAATGATTTAATGGATGATGCAATTAATCAATTTAAAACACCTGCTTCAAAGAAATCAATGACCTCAGGCCAAATTTATTCACAGTATACTGGTTTTGGTCAGCCACAACAACCACCATCTCAACTACCACTTCAACCACTATCCCAAAAATTACAGAGTGACCCTTATAGTGTTAATAACTCAGGGCCAACTCACATTCAACCTCAGGGAACATCAGTAAATAACCCATTCAACTATTATCTAGGAAACACACAACAACCAAATCAACCAAATCAACCAAATAATTATAAATTTCAATATCCTTCAAATGTTGCGGGCTCATCTAACTCTACTGGCGGCAGTATCTCTAATCCATATCAACAAAATTCTCAACCATCACAATCGCCACCACAAACCCAACCTCAACCACCAAATCCCATTACTATGAATAGTACTGGAGGATTCCAAAGTCTTCTACCAAACGTTAATCCTAATTCTACTGGTGGACGTCCAGGAAATCACCCAAATACAATAAATGTTCTACCGAATACAACTGGAGGATATCAAGGCCCTGGTCCTAACCAACAATCACAACCACAACAGCAACAGCAACAGCAACAGCAACCACCACTACAACAACAACATTTTATTGATCCTCACACATCTGGTGGATATACACGTCCTCAGAATGCACCTCCTGGTTATAACCCAGAATATCAAAATCCAGCACAAACCATTAAGCCAGTTGCTACTGGATACAATGCAGGATACCAACCACCAAGTCAAGACCAACAATCTAACTTATCACTTGGACCAACACCAGCACCATTGGCTCCACAACACACTTTTAAACCATATCCAGACATGAACCAATTTGAAATCAGTAATCCATTAAAGGAAAACAATGCTGGCGGTTCTACAACTCTACAAACTACTCTGCCAGCTCAACAAGGAAATGGCAGAAAGGGAAGTGCACCATATCCAACCGACGTCAGTAAGTTTTTTTAGGTAAATTGGAACTCATTAATTCCTTTTTTTCTTATTTTTCTTATTTTTCCATTTTATCTGTCGATGAACTCTATAGTAATAGAATTAGTTCCCAAATAGTCATTTCCGTTATTTAATTAGTTTAGGTTAGTCAGTTCAATAAATCAATGCTTAGATCAATACAGTTTGTAATGTAGACACAGACATGCAGTTGTAACATTCTTTAATGTTCATGTTGAGTGTAATCTTCTTCAGATCATTTCAAAAGACAATTGGCAAGAACATTACATGAATCATAAACTCAAAACCGCAGATAAGGGACCGGCTAGTAAGACACTGTCTCCCAGCCCCAACTGCCGGCATCCGCTTCCGGAGACAGGCGCTGGAGACCCCAAAGCACCCAAAGCAGAGGTTTTTGCTGCCTGTGGTGCAAAGAAGCCAGATCCGGTGGTGTGATGCGCTTCCAGGCGCTCCTCCAGCGTGGTCTGCCCATGGAGACGCGCACAGACCCCTGCGCACAGACCCCTGTGCACGTCCCACAGCGTGCACATGCACCAATGCATGTGAGACACAAAGCGTGCGCTGTGCAGTGCGTCCCGAATCAGACTGCTGTAGGCTGGATGCAGGATGTGTCTGTCCCGGATCCGCCATGTTTGCGCAGGGAGCGAGGGCGCTGGGGAGAGGTCTGTGTTCCATCCCAGAGAAGCGAGCAATAAGCTTGCGAGTAACATTGGATGTTGATAACCTTTTCAGAGCGATCTTCCAACAGTCAAAGCTATTAAAGCTATTGTGGAACACAGCAGCAAGAATACGACATTTAAAATTCCCTACGACTCAAAGAAAAGGATCATATTTCTTTCTGATAATACCGGAGTGCAATACTGTTTGATTACTGGGCTTTTTCAAGAGACAGAATTTTCAATGATATATTAGCTCTTCTCTCACTTATCTTCCAGCTGTTCATTACTGTTTCTATGCTGCTCTTTATTTGAGCCAAGTTTTGTGCAAATTACTTATTATCATAGGTTATCCCATAGACTATCACAGACTATATCACAGACTATATCACAAATTATACCACAGATTATATTTGTAAATTATCCAATTATACTATTCTCATAGAAAAATTGATATCTCACAATGACTGATATGATGTCTGAGCAGGAGTACGTTCTTTGCCATAATATAATAACTACAAAGATAAAGTCTTTGAATCATATGCTTCATCTGTATGTGTATTAACTCCATTAATCTTTAATTATCTTCTTTTTTTTCTATTAGATAAGCTAATATTAACAACCAGCTCAATTTTTTTTATTTTTATTTGTTTTTACCATTGATTTTAGACAGCATGGTGGAGTTTATTTTATGAATGTGATATATCTATCAAAAGAACATATCAAGATTTTAAACAATAATTTTCCTCTAATTTCAAAAAAACTCTTGAAATTGGGTTTGAAATTAGGTACTTTACTTAACTATCCCATCAATAATAATAATTTAAAATTTTTCTTGGAAAACTTTTTAAATGTCCTAAATCAATTTAATTCTCTTTTAATCAAAAATCAAAATTATCTCAATGTAAATACAAATACTAATAACAATTCAATCTCTTTAAACCATACCAATAGTTATTCTAATTTGAATTCAAATTCAAATTCAAATTCAACCTCTTCCAATTCAAATAAATATAAACCTAATATTTATAATCATAATAGTAACAATAACTATAACTATAATTATCATTATCATCACAATAATAACAATGCTACTAATTCCCATTCAAATCATTCAACTAGAACTAATAGCGTCAATCTAAACATTATTCAACTATCAAACAATAATACAATCGATAACATTTTTTCTTTTATAACCTTGTTAAAAATCCTTATAAAAGTATTTATAAAAATCAATTTTCATATAAATGATCTATATAAAGATTCACCTATTCAATTTAATCAAAATAATCAAAATAATCAAAATAATCAAAATAATCAAAATAATGTCAACTATCAATTAAACTCAAACTCGATAAATCCTAATTTCAATTCCCAAAATCAATCCCAATCTCAATCTCAACAAAATCTGCTAAATACTTCAAACTACAATAATAACTCAAATTATAATCATACCCCAACTACAGCAACCGCCAGCTCTACCACTCTCAATTCAAACTCCTTAAATTCTTACAATTCAAGCTCGGCGCTATCTTCTTTTAAATCTTATAATGAAAATCCTCACAATGAAAAGGATGCTTATAATCAATTCAATCAATTTAACCAATTTAGCCAACTGAACCAATTTAACCAACCAAAAATTGATATCAAAAATATGATTACTTATAAATTATTAAATGAAATTGATAAAAAATTAAACACAAATTTAATATCCCCTGTCATTTCAATTATAAAACAAATTAGTAACAAATTAATGAACGAACAAATGGTTTCAATTGCTAATATTTTGAACGATTTTTAAGTATCCCAATTATTATTCTTATTATTCTCACTTATTTTATTATTATTTTGTTTGAGCTTTAATTTATTCATATAGACTTATACCATTTACTATTTACCACTTTTTCTTCTATTATTGGTTTTATTTTTTAGTTATTTTTTTTATTTTTGTTATTTGTTGTTGTTGTTTGTTGTTGTTTTTTTGTTTTTTTTGTTTTGTTTTAGTTTTATCATCAATTTATAGTACATTTGTCAAGGAACTACAACAAACCATTACTTAATAAATAATCATTAATTTTTTTATTTTTGTTTTCACTCATAAATGAATAAGATATATATATATGTGTATAAGTATATAAATTTAAATATTGTGCTGTGTAAATTGAACCAAATCAAAGTAAATCATCTCCATATTCTATCAGCTATTTTGGACCATAATAGATTTGCAAATCTTCTTCCTAACATTTTCCCAACTAATGGTAATACAATAAAATTAACCAAAGCATGCAATTGATTCAAGCTTTCCTCCCATTGTACTTGAGAATCATCGTCTTCTGTGAAATATGTTAATGTATCATTATTACCTTCTGTTTTAAAACCTCGCTCTTCAATATTATTATCTTCACTGTTGTCATTATTAATTTCATTGATTTTATCTAAATCGCTTTTATGAAGACCTTTTTTCTGTTGATTATCAAAACTAGAATTTAATTTCAAATTGATATCATTTGGTTCAGATTGTTCAGGAAGTTTTAACTTGATCGATGGAACACTGTTAGAAATATCACCCTTTTGATTTTGATTATTCAAATTTAAAGCTGGGCCCAAACCTGAGATTGGGTTGGAATCTGAATCTAAACTTGAGTTTAATGGTTTTGGTGAATCAAGCGTTTCGTTCTTAATATCGTCTTTAATACTGCTTTTGAGGTTATCCCCAAATAGACTTATCGACTCATACTCATCTTTTATTATCCTTGAAATCGAGATGTCTTCATTATCATTGTAATCGCTGACACTCATTTTCATCTTGCCATCTTTCTCGTTGCTAGGAGTCGTTTCATTGATAATACTACCACTGGCATTGCTATCATACTCATCATCCTCATTTAGGGGGTCGTTAGAGAGAAACTTTGGGGTGTTGGGGTTAGAAACAGTAGACATATCTTCAGTAGACTCAGTATTCTCTCTCTTCTCGCAATCCACAGAACTTTTTTGCTGTTGTTGTTTGCAAATCCACAACCAATAACTTCATCTGTTCCAGCTGGAGAAACGCACCAATTCAATTTCAATCAATTGAGTTCCAAACCATGCGCCATAATCAACACAGCCACACTGGACACCCGCCGCATACAAAAGAAGACCACCAGTGTGGAACACTTCTCAAAACGGACACTGAATATAATGACTTTGGAGACAGCTTTGCAGGTATATTTTGCTGGCTTTGGAGTGTCTGTTTTGAATTTGCAATTTCAAAAGACAATTCGCAGGAATTGGTGGTTGTGTTTGTTGGTTGCAATGGTGGAAAATCGTTGTATTGGCTGGTGTCGAGAAGCTCAATGGCCGCTTTTTTAATCTGGCTCTATTTCGCTCCCAGTTAGAGATCTTCAACCAAACTCTATTAGTAACGCTAAACAAGCGTTAGAGGCAATAAGATTTGTGCTCAAAATTCTTTCCATCGTTTTAAATGTTGATTTATTGTTTTACTGTTCAATTTAAATAGGCAAAAATTGCGATTTCTATAATCTCGTTTACAAGTTGAGATATTTTGTTAATTCTCTGTCTGAATTACAAATTTTGGTTTTATCATATATCAGCGCTAAACTTATAATTTGAATAAATTTTATATATATAAAAGGGTTCCTTGATCTGTTGAACACTAAAATTCAATCAATAATTTGTTTAATTTGGAGTTGCTAATAAACCTATTGAAATAAAACTAGAAATCATCTAAAATAATATAAAATAAATTCTAAATTAATATCTACAAAAATAAAATAAATAAATAAAATAAAATAAAGTAAAGTAAAGTAAAGTAAATTTAAATAAAAAACATATAAAAAGGAAAGCAAGTAAAATAACCAGGCAATGAAAACAAATCAAAAACTGAAATAAAACATTTTTAAACAAAACAGCATTACAAAAAAACTTTCAACCACTAAAAATAAAATAAAAAATAAAAAGAAAACCCTAAAATCATTCATAAACATTACTTAATATTTTCAAATAATCATTATAATCTTTCCTAAAATAATTTTGTTGATTCTGGAGTTGGCATTGATAATGTTGACTTACTTCTCATTCTTTCCTTTGGCGTTTGTTCATTAACTTTTCTGAAATTGTTGCTGTTAACCGTATTTTCATTAAATTGTTCTTGATTTAAAATATCATTTTCAATAAACGCTGGGCTTCCTAATTCATTTTCTACATTTTCATCAATGGTCGAGGGGATTAACGATGTTCCTTGCAATCTAGTTTTGATTGCAGCATTTAATCTTGAATGTGTAGCAATTGATGGTTTTTCGATCCTAGCTCCAGTTCTATTAATCCCATTGGTTCCGCTGATTCCATTGAACCCCCCACCGTTAATCTGAGCATGTAATAATCTCATGGCAGGATTATTCAATGGTTGAGGTACAGTATTTCCATAAAGCATTGGAGGATATCTAAATTGGGGTTGAATTGGTTGAAAAAACATTGGCTGCTGTTGCTGCTGCTGCTGCTGCTGTTGTTGTTGTTGAATCTGTTGTACCTGCTGTTGTGCTTGTGTTTGTTGAGTCTGTTGAACTTGCTGCGTTTGTTGTAATTGTTGTGCTTGTTGTTGCTGTTGTTGTTGAGCTTGTTGAGCTTGTTGTTGGATTAACAATAAAGTAGCCAATTGATTATTTGGATCATTAAGGTTTCCATAAATGTTAGGCAAACCCATATTAAGATAAGGAAATAAAGCTGCATTGTTGGATTGTCCATTTAGTCCAGTATTTGCTGCATTTGCTGCAGTTAAATAAGAAAAGGCTAATGGATTTGAATATGGATCTTGAATTCCTATTTCTCCAGTTAAACATTGACCTAAAAATGGATAGTTATATGAGTCTTGATTCAAAATTTGAGAAGCATGTGTTTGAGCCTGGATTTGAGCTTGAGCCTGGGCTTGAACTTGTGCTTGCGCTTGAGCCTGAATTTGGGCTTGAACTTGAGCTTGAACTTGAGACTGTAGTTGTGCCTGATTTAAAGCCTGTGCTTGTGCTTGCGCTTGAGCCTGAGCTTGTGCTGCTGCTAAAACTGCTTCTAAGGAAAAATCATTTACGGATTTTTGGCCTGTTAAATTCAAACTATCTAATTCGGCAAAAGAAGAATCTTGATTGTCAATAGAAGTACCAGATATAGACGTAGTTTTAATTTTCTCAGGTGGAGTATTTTGAGGTGTTGTTTTTTCTTTATTCTGCAATGAAAGATAAGTGTCATTTTCATTATTTTTAAGAATTTCGTTGTTATTTTGAGTGATATTAGTGTTGATATTGGGAGTGTTGTGGATTGAATTAAGCTTATTAGCAGGATCATTATTGTAAATGTTATTGTCAATGGTATTATGATTGTCATTATTTCTAGAGATGTTGCTGGTAAAAACAGTTGTATCATTGTTAACACGACTAAGGTTGTTATTGATGTTGTTGATAGTACTGATATTGCTGTTGGTGGTAATTGGGTTACGGTGGGATAGAGGAAGAGGCGGTGGTGGCATTGAAGGAAGAAAAGGAGAAGATTGATTAATCAAATAATCTTCAGTTAAAAAGTCATTTGAATTTGTTGGAGGATTGAAAAAAATGGATGGATCAAAGTTGGAGGGAATTTGGTTGTCGATGATTTCGTTGATGTAATCATTTTTGGAAATATAATCTAAAGGAAATTCATCATCGAATTCTTGATTTTCATAAGCGTCAAAGGATTGATTTAAATCGGATAGAGGATTTATATAATTGCTGTTGTTGTCGTTATTGTTGCTGCTGTTGTTGTTGTTATAAAAATCGATGTTTGGATTATTTACGGGGCCAGCTAGATTGATTGTTGTTTGATAAGTAGTTTGTTGAGTGGAAGGCAGAGTTGAAAGTTTATTGTTATCATCTTCATCATTTTCATCATGTTGAAAGGCTTTTAGGGTTCTCTTTTTAGCATCTATGTGATTATTCAACTGGTCAAAGAGAGATTTTGATTCATCATATTTGAAAGATAAAGCAGGTTCATAGGAGGATTTAGTTGTTGGGTTTTGGCCAGTGAATTCTCTTTTTAGGTCTCTTTCTAGGGCATCAGCAAACAATTTATCATGAGGAACATTGAACCAGAAAAAGACTTTTTGTTTTTTCTGTGTTCTTAGACAAGAATTCTTGTAAAGAAATTGCAAGAAATCGGATTTGGGAGGTTGAAGAATTGCGTCAGTGTCACATTTGAGGTTTCTTAAGTCAGAAAAGACACCTTCTTCGAATTTTTTACGATCAGTGACTTGCCTACCAAATTGTTCAAACCTATAGACTAGACATTTGACAATGTCAGTACCGGTGATATAGTATAATTCATTCCAATAGACACAAGAGATGAAACCTTCATCGTGGTTTAAGTAGTATCTTCTGATTATTTGGTATTGTTGCCAATTTGCAGGGGCAGTTAAGAGGAAGAATTTTAGGTCATCAGTTAGCCTTATTCTTTGTTCGATAGACTGTATTGAGTCTTTTGGATCTAAGGAAGATGATGGATGATTTGGATTTGAGACTACTTTATTATTTGAGATATTGTTTTGATTTGAAATATTATTTTTATTTGAAATATTATTTTGATTTAAATCAGTTTCTTTTAGATCTAAATTTTGAGATTTGTTATGAGACAGAAAGGATTGATTTGTTGAGGGAGAAACCAATTTCAATGTTGAATTTGGAATTGATTGGGAGGAAGAGGAAAAGGAAGAAGAGGATTCCGATTTAATTGTTGTAGTGGTTGATATTGGAGACATTAGTAAAATTCATTTGATTGCTGAGTAGAATGAAGATAAAAGAAATTGAATTGAAGGGTAGATACGGTAGAATACACGGAACTTGTACAAGATAGAGATAAAATAGAGATAAAATAGAGATAAAATAGAGATAAAATAGATAGAATAGAGTGGAATGGAATAGAATAGAATAGAATGAAAGATTAGATATTAATAGAGATGATTGAAAAGGTGTATTAGAGAATAGCGAGATAGACGAGAAAAGAGAGAATTCAGATTTTTGGGAGGGTTTTGGTAGATAAGATCTGGTATAGTATAGAGAGTGATGGTGTCAAAAAGATAGAGGTGGACTTGGAAATTGGATTGATTTGAATTGATTTGGATTGATTTGAATTGATTGGATGGTGAAAAGAAGAGGATCAAGATAATAAGGAGTGAATATAAGGAATGAATATTATTTGAGAGAGTGCTAGAGACAAAGTAGGAAAAATAATTGGTGTTGTTTATTTTATTTGAAGAGATTTGTAGAGGAAAAAAGAAAGAAAAAAGAAAAGAATTTTAAAAAAAGCAAATATAATTTTTTTTATATTTACTGGATTTGAATAAAAAGAGAGGGAAATAGACTTTAAACAATAATATTGATAGAAGAATTAAGATTGAAAAGAATCAAAAGATGAATTTAAATTCCTTTTTCTTAACAAAATGCAAATTGAAAGTGCTATGGACTGTGAAGAATATAACGAGAGCTATTTTTAAGCAATGGAGACGAACAATAAATGGTATTGTTTGTGATTTTTCGGGCGGGCAAAGAATGTCCAGAGCCGGCGCGGGCACTGCTCTTCCGCCCCGATAGCACAGACCTCCCGCGCGCGTGGTCCGCTCGCACCCTCGTACACGGACAGTCGCGTGATCGCAGAGGCGCACCCTGTCCGGACACAGCAGGTCTGTGGCCAATACGCAGCGACGAAACCACAAAAGCTGTGAGGGTTCTCGGGGGCAAGTCCGGATAGGACAGGCGAGAATTCTGGGGCAGCAGATTTGGAAAATGCAGTCCCACAGTCGGAAAAAAAGCAGCAGAAACAGCTCGAGGCCTCTCCTAGTGGAAAAACCAGAACTGTTTTTCTCTTCTCCGGCGGTTTGAACCAGGGCCCTCTCGCGGCACGCTGCAAAAGCGCGGTGTTTCAGAATGAGCCCAGCTGTTTCAGACTCCAAAGCTGAAACAGCCAATTCCCCAGCGAAACCAGCAGCACGGATCAGGCTGTGTACGGCCTTCTGCTCACGTAATCATTCACGTGAGAGGTATGGTAATTACACGTCACGGGTGCAGTTTCCAGACCGTCGGTGTGATTTTCTGATCACAGTTTGGAGAAAACGTAGAGAAATCTTAAAAAATTTGCAGGAGTATAAAAGCACCGGTTTTCGCACTTTTCGAAAAGTTGCCTGCAATTTTTTTCCTATTACTTTTTGTTCGTACGTGGGAGATTTTTATCCTGCGATTTGATTACATGCTTTTTGGCTAGCATCTTGACTATTTTCCAAAAAAAAATCCTTCTCTCCAAATATTCTACGCCCTGAATTTGTTGCAATGTGTCTCTCTTCCATCTCAATCGACTATTTGCTTACTCGTTGATATTCAACTGTTGTCAATGATTACAACGCTGTCTTTGCTGCGATCTGTTGTTAGCAACCTTCTGGAACACATTCTACTTTTATCTTATCTAAGATTTTTCCCGAAACAATAAAAATGTCTTATCTAAACTTAATATTTTTTGACACATTATTTCGGCTAGTTCAATTGTCCAGTATCATATCATTTTCCATAATTAACTAGACCGATATGTTTTACACAGCTGATCCAGGTCGTTGAACTTGTCTTGTTGATTTGGTTTTACTGTTGGCAACGTTATGTTTTGTTGTTGATAAGGTCTCTGCCAACAAGTCCAAGTGTTCATTAAGGAAGTGTTCATTAAGAGGGTCTTCATTAAGAGGGTCTTCATCAAGGGTCTTGTATTGTTTTTGGCATCAACCTGTTTTCACTCTCGTTGCATCAGGCAACCAGCGTCTGGATAAACTGCTTGCTGAGCTCTCCGAGATTCTGTTTTTGTTGGTTGAATATTGCAGTGCTGCTGCCTCCCTTGATATTTGCACCCTGATGTCTCTGGTTGAAACGAACTAGTCAATAGCCATCTGATTGTATTTTTTCTCTTGTCCTGCCACCACTGGTGTTTGCAGCATTCCTGTGGTTGCCAATGTGTCGACAGTGTCTGTTTCTGGGTGCGTTGTGACTGCTATTCCAGCCCCAGCTGCTCACTGCGCTGCTTGCTGCTCAGCTCAGCTCCAGCTTCATCTCTGCCTCCTATATAGTCTGCCAATCAACGTCTCTGGCCCCACCTCTGCCTCTCGCCCTGCCTCTGCTTCCTCTGTAGTCCTCAAATCCTCTCCAATCACAGCTTCTTGATTGGCTGTAACTTCCATCACGCGTGTTTCTCCCAGCTGCTTCGCACTTGAACCACCTCTGCTTCTTTTCCAGCTTCCTCCCGTTCACCTCTAAAAATTTTCTCTTTTTTCCCTCCTCCTCTTTTTCCTCTGTCCTTATCCAACTCGTCCTTCAACAACCACCAATTACTTCTTCCTCCACTTTTCTCTCCCAAACGTTGCTCTTCTCTTCTTTCCTACTCTTATAATCCCCATTTGAAACAATTTCCCAATTCAAATCATCCTACAAGTTATCCACCAACGCGTGCTTTTCAACCTCTCACTTGCGTCTGTAGTGATTGACTTTCTATCGACTTTCTTTGCCCACTGAGCTGTCTTCGCTATCATCCTCACACAATATTGAATTATAATCTTCATTCTTCAAATCAGAGCCATCATCTTCTTCTTCAAATCCCACTTTTTTTCTTCTTTCCTCTATCTTTCTTTCTTCCTCCCATTCTCTTTATCTTTCTTCTGCTTTTTTCGCTACTATCCATCTCAATTTTTCACCTTGGAAAGTAGACAAAAGCTTAAACCTATTTCAACAGCTATTTGTTTTTTGTTAATTCAATTAATCTATTATTTCTTAACGATTTAATATTTTTTTTCCTTCCCTCCTCCCTTTGGGTAAAACTTTCTCTCATCGTTTTACTCAATTTTAACTAACAAAAAAAAAAAAAATACAATCAAACCATCCCGATCCATCATCCAATACATTCACCAAACCTATTCTCAATTTATTTTAAATAAAGATAAGATAAGATAAGATAAAAACTTAATTTGGTTGTTTTTTTCTCTTTTCTCTTCTTTTCATTTTAATATTCTCGTCCTTTTTACTCATTCAATCCATCATCCAAACTAACAATACTAATCTGCTTCACCCATTTACCTAATCATATCAAAAACAACGTCTTTCATACCAAAACAACATCCCTCCTCCTCTTCTTCCCTCCTCACATCTCACATCTCTCACACTCTTATGATTACAACAACTGATATACCTCAGGAAGCATATGATCATCCTGATCTATATGGATTGAGAAGATCATCCAGAGCCCACGCTCCTCCTCATCGCTATGAAGAAAACAACGAGTCCGATGACGACGACGACGACGACAACGTCCAAACCTTTGGAAGAAGAAGACCCAAGAAAAAATTATCCTATAATGACGACGACGACGACGACGACGACGCTGACGCTGACGACGCCGACAACGACGACATCCCCACCGACGACGAATCCGTTTACGATGATTGTTCAATAAATAACAATACCCCAGATTACCTCGATCACCAAAATCAACACTACGATATAAATTCAAAATCTATGCAAATTCCTCCTTATAATGATGATGATCCTGACCAAAGTATGTCCTATGATCACTCGGATCATCTGGTCCAAAATAGCAACAACAATAATACTAATAACAATAACAATAACAATAACAATAATCATCACGATAATCATGATGATAACGATAACGATAATGATAATGATGAAAATAATAACAACACCAATAACAATACCAATAACAACACCGATGATAACAATACAGATATTAACACGGATGACAATATAGATGATAACAACTCAAACTCAAACAACAATTCAAACAACAACAGTGATGATAACAATAATAACAACAACTATAAACAGAACGGCGACTCAAATGATTACTTTGATGACGACGACGACGATGATGATGATGACGATTATTCTTCTCGGTCCAAAAAACGTAAACTGAAAAAGAAATCCTCCAAAATCAAAAAATCAAAATCTACAAAGAAAACTCAAGAAGTTTCTGAACTAAGATTCTCAAGCAGAAACAACAACAAAATAATAAATTACGCTATAGAAGATGACGAAAATGAATTCCTAGAATCTGATGATGATCAGCCTCCTCCTCCTCCTCCTCTAAACCCTCAACAAAATGGCTACTCAGACTACTACTACTACAATAATGATACCACAAATACCCAAGATATAGATGTTCCCAGTGTCGACCAAATAATGAACCATAAAGTAATACTATCCGATGATGAAAACGATGATGACGATGAAGTAGAACAAGCTGAAATAACCCTAGAAAACAATACTGATGGAATCAAAACTGAACATCCCTCCGATAACGAAACAGCCCCTTCCACTCCACTCGATGATACAAACAGCATTGATAACACTAATACTGATAACATTAATACTCTTAATACTCTTAATACTCTTAATACTCTTAATAATCTAAAAATCACTAACGACGATAATATTAATAAAATTAATCTAGACGGAGATCAAAAGCTAAAATTACAAGAAAGATTGAAACTCAAAAAGGATAAAAGAATTCAAAAAGAAAACGAAATTGGCATGGAATTGGACAAAATAAGAGACAATTACAAATTCCTAGTTAAATGGACCGGAAAATCTCATCTACACAATACTTGGGAAACTTTTGTTTCTTTGAAGGGTTTAAAAGGTATCAAAAAACTTGACAACTACATCAGATCCTTTATAATAGAAGCTTTTGAAATTAAACATGATCCAACCGTAACTAGAGAAACTTTGGAACTAATAAACCTAGATAACGAAAGAAAATTAGGCGAAATAAATGAATATAAACACATTGAAAGAATCGTTGATTCTCAAAGAATTTACGTTGACAATACTGAAACTCAACTACAATATCTCGTTAAATGGAGAAGACTAAATTATGAAGACTGTACTTGGGAAAATGCTGATGAAATTGTTAAAATCTCTCCCGATAAAGTTAAAAGATTTCAAGCAAGAGTTAAATCAAAAATCTTACCAGCATATTCAGCAAATTACGGCTTGTCAAGACCAAGATTTGAAAAATTAGTAGCTCAACCTCTTTTTATTAAAAATGGAATTCTCAGAGATTTCCAACTTACCGGTTTGAACTGGATGGCATTTCTTTGGTCAAGAAATGAAAATGGTATTTTGGCAGATGAAATGGGTCTTGGAAAAACTGTTCAAACCGTTGGCTTTATAAGTTGGCTTGTTTTTAGTAGAAGACAATATGGTCCTCATTTAGTCGTTGTTCCTCTATCAACAATGCCATCATGGCAAGAAACTTTTGATAAGTGGGCTCCTGATTTGAACTGTATTTGTTATATTGGAAATGCAAATTCAAGAAAAACAATAAGAGAAAACGAATGGTACTCCAGTAAAAAAAAGGCAAAGTTTAATGTTTTGTTAACAACTTATGAATTTATCTTAAAAGATAGACCTCAGCTTGGAGCACTAAAATGGCAATTTCTAGCTGTTGACGAAGCTCATCGATTAAAAAACGCTGAGAGTTCTTTGTATGAGGCCTTGCGCTCTTTCAAAGTTTCCAACAGATTGCTTATTACTGGTACTCCTCTTCAAAATAATATTAAGGAGTTGGCCGCTTTAGTAAACTTTTTGATGCCTGGAGAGTTTTCAATTGACCAAGAGATAGATTTTGACACACCAAATGCAGAACAAGAAACTTTTATTAGGGACTTGCATAAAAGATTACAACCATACATTTTAAGAAGATTAAAAAAGGATGTCGAGAAATCCTTACCATCTAAAACAGAAAGAATTCTTAGAGTTGAATTGTCGGATTTGCAAGCTCATTATTATAAAAACATATTAACAAAAAATTATACTGCTTTAAACGCAGGCTCTAAAGGTTCTCAGATATCTTTGTTAAATATTATGGCAGAATTGAAAAAGGCTTCTAATCATCCTTATTTATTTGACAATGCTGAGCAACAAGTTTTAGAAAAAGTAGGCATGCCTTCTCGAGAAAATATTTTTAGAGGATTAATTATGTCTAGTGGAAAAATGGTTTTGTTAGACAAGTTGTTAACTAGACTTAAAAAAGATGGCCATAGAGTTTTAGTTTTTAGTCAGATGGTTAGAATGTTGGACATTCTAGGAGACTATTTAGTGATAAAAGGCTATCAATTTCAAAGATTAGATGGTACTGTTCCGGCTTTTCAACGTCGTATTGCAATTGATCATTTTAATGCACCTGGATCTAAGGATTTTTTATTTTTGTTATCTACAAGAGCTGGTGGTTTAGGTATTAATTTGATGACTGCAGATACTGTTATTATATTTGATTCTGATTGGAATCCTCAAGCTGATTTACAAGCTATGGCAAGAGCTCATAGAATTGGTCAAAAAAATCATGTTATGGTTTATAGATTTGTTAGTAAAGATACAGTTGAAGAACAAGTTCTTGAAAAAGCGAGAAAAAAAATGATATTAGAATATGCAATTATATCTTTAGGTGTAACCGATAATGGTACTAACAAAAAAAATAAAACCGAACCTTCGGCTGGAGAATTGAGTGAAATTTTGAAATTCGGTGCTGGTAATATGTTTAAGTCTGAAGGAAATCAAAAGAAATTGGAAGACTTGAATTTAGATGATGTTTTAAATCATGCTGAAGACCATATTACGACTCCAGATTTAGGAGAATCTAATTTAGGTGGTGAAGAATTCTTAAGGCAATTTGAAGTCACAGATTATAAAGCAAACGTTGAATGGGATGATATCATCCCTGAAGAAGAATTGCAAAAAATTAAAGAAGAAGAAAAGAAAAGAAAAGATGAAATCTTTTTACAAGAACAAATAGAAATGTCTTCCAGAAGAACTGCAGCTCTTACTAAAATTCAAAACATTTATAATGAAGATGAAGATTCTGGCGATGAAAGAAAAGCTAGATTAAAAAAAAGAAAAGCTGAAAATAATAATTTCCTTGCAGAAAAAGAAGTAAGAACATTATACAAGTCTATACTTAAACTTGGGGACTTATCAGATTCCTGGGATCAACTTATTGACGATGGAATATTAGTTGGAAAAACTAAAGAAATATGGATTAATACTTATAATGATTTAATGGCGAGATCTAAAGCCTTAGTAGATGAAGAAGAAGAACGCCGTGAAAAGGCCTTGCAAGAATTAAAAAGACAAGCACTTGAACAAAAAGAAAGAGAAGCTAAAGGCGGTCCTCAAAGTGAACAAAGTCCTGCTTTATGGGCACTAAAAAGAAAAGAAAGAAAGGCAATTTTGTTTGATTTTAGAGGTGTTAAAAATTTAAATGCCGAATTGATTTTATCACGACCAGAAGATATGGCGGTAATTAAAAGTGCAGTTCCAAAAGCAGATCCATTAAAATATAAAATGGTCAGAAATCCTAAACCTGTTCATGGATGGACTTGTGAATGGCTGAAAAAAGACGATGAACATTTATTGGTTGGGATTTATCAATTTGGATTTGGATCTTGGCCTCAAATTCGAGATGATCCATTTTTAGAATTAGGAAACAAAATATATTTAAACAATGAAACTTTGACAAAAGAATTAAAAAAACCCAATGGAGAAATAATATCAAAGACAATTAAGAAAGTTCCTGGATCTGTGCATTTAGTACGTAGAGTTGATTATTTATTAAGTTTGTTGAAAGGTAAAGAAGATGAGTCAGTATCTTTACCTGCCTCAGTGATGGATAAGAAAAGAATGAGAAAACCAAGAAATGATTTTGAACTCAATGGTAAACCACCATATAAGAAAAAGAAGGCTGATGGAGTTATGGGAATAAGATCACCAGGAATGCCTAATAAGAATGGCAATGGAAATAAGATGCATCCTGAATATAGGAGACGCTCTATTTCCAAACCAGGACATGATGATATGGATGAAAATCATTGTAAGGTTGTTATGTTCCCAGTTCGTAAGTCTTTAAAGAAATTGAAAAAAGGTGGTGAAGGACTTGATCGTAAAGAATGGGCCAAAGTATTAAAACGAGAGTTGATTAAAGTTGGAGATCATATTGAAAAACAAATTCTTGATGAACATATAAGAAAAGGCGTTGAGAAGGCCAGGTTTAGAAAACATTTATGGTTATTTTCAGCTTATTTCTGGCCCATTAAAGTCGACAGTACAAAGATAATGAAGATGTATTCGAAATTAAAATCAGCCAGTACCACTGCTCCTAATAATAATACGACTACAAATAGCAATAATATTAATATTAATACTAGTGCTAGTACTACCGTTACTGATGTCTAAATAAACAGCATATTTATTATATCAATTTATGATATTTTCCTTCATTATTTGTTTTTTTAATTATTTTCTTTTTAATTGTTATTTTGTTAATATAAATTGGTCTAACATTGGTTTCTTTTTTTCCTTTTTTATAATTCTAATTTTATTTTGTTAATTTTAATTTATTTTTGTTAGATATACAACTTGTATAAAATCATTATAAAATGTTTTTCTCTTCATTTATTATTCATCTATTTATTTATTTATTATTATTTTTTTTTTTCTTTAAATATTGTTTAAATTAGTTTTCCCTACATAAATCATCACATTTTGATATATTTTAATGAAATAAAATTACATAATGAAACATTATCTTTGAAATTTCCTCTATTAGATAGGCATTAAAATCACTAGGAGACAACAGTATAAATAGGGCAAAAAAAAATTAAAAGCATTGCTAAATAAAATAAAAATGAATTAAAACTAAGATAAAAAAGAGTAATAAAAAAAAACAAAAAAAAACCCAAGATAAAATGAAATAATTATGATTTTTCTGTAGCATATTTTCTGGTCCATTCTTTTGCAGTTTCGATTGCAGTATTTTCATTTTTTTTCCATTCTTCGGCTACATCATTAGCCAAAGGATCATCAGGGTTTGGGCTAGCTAACAATGCTTGAATTGACAATAAAAGAGTTCTGATTTGCAAAGCAGGAGACCAATTTGATTTTAATACATCCAAACAGATACGACCCAATCTGTCAATATTTGGATGATAAATTTTCGTTAAAAAACGAACTTTTGGTGCCATCATTGGGTAATCATCAGGCAAAAATAGCTCTAATTTAAACAAGCCTCCTTCATATGGGGATTGAGTTGGACCCTCGATTAAAACATCAAAGTATCTAAGGTTGTCATCATGAGGAATAGCAGAAATCCCTGGAACTGGATCAGATACCAATCTTTCGGTTTCCTTTGGTGATCAATGGGAATGTTAGTTTTGCCTCTTGAAGGTGGTCCAGATTACCAAGTGGAATTGAGAGGATTAGGGGAGATTGAAAGAGTGCATACCTTGATGATTCTTCTGGGTAATGACATTGTGTGCTATGGACAGTATTGAAAAGCAGTTAACAAAGAGAAGCAACAGATAGAAGAACAGCTCTCCAGCACCAGCTTCACAGCGATAAGACGACTCTGCTGGTTCTGGTTCTGATGAAGCTCTTTGGGCTCTCCTTTCTAGGGCTCTCTTCAGGGCTCTCCTTTCTGGGGCTATTGCACGAGCTTCATCTTTCCAAAGAGAGCAAATAGCTTGCTTCTTCTGCTTCCTCTGCTTCCTCTTCCTGTGCTGACCGACAATGATTCTGAAAACAACTAATGGACGAGTGTCTGCTGCCATCTTCGGCGGCTTGATAGGCTGTTTTGTGGCTCTTTACTTCTCAGACCAGCAGTTTGTATGTGTCTCTGTGCCTTTTGTTCTTCGAGCTGCTGCTAACTCTTTGTTTGTTGATAGGTAAAATTCACTCCAGCTGAGCGAGACGAAAGTGGCGAATATAAAAAGAAGCCTTTCAAGGTCACCTTTGTGGATGTAACCCCAGCTTCGTTATCTCCTGAAGCCGAAAGACGATTGGAAAGACTAGAGAATGCAAGAAAGACATACAAGGAGGGCTTCCAGAGTCCCACCAGCTCTGATGATTCAAATAGATCCTTATAATCAGTATTAGAGCTATTGTAAATATATATGGTTGTTAACTGGTTATATCTCATTAACATGGAAATAAAATCTATATATTGGTATTTCTAAAAAGAGAAAAATCGTGCTAAATATATATTTTGTGTTTTCGGCATCAAGGAAAAGGCAGACTCGAAAAATAAAGTGAAAAACAAAACACAGCAAAATACTAGCCAATTTATTCGACTTTGTTTTCTATGACTTTTGTTGAACAAGTTTGATAGCATCGTTAATACTGTATTGAAGATAGTCATTATTCTCTAGTAGTTTGAGAATACTACCGTTATCCAATTGCAAAAACATGTTTATCAATACTTCAATATTGTCTTCCATTGCATTACCATTTAAATGTTGAGAAACCCTAAATAATAAATCTTTCGTCAAAATTTCCTTTTGTTTTTCCAGTGTGCAATTTTTTAATATTTCTCGGCGAGCAATATTTATATCTTCTAAATTAATTTGACAAAGTTGATTAAAATTTTGCGCATAATGAGGTGAAGAAAAGTAATTTGGGTAATGATAATGAACAAAAGAACTCTTTGGATTCTTATTAAGCAAAGGAGCATGTTGATGATAGTGATTTGGATGATATTGAAATTTTTGTAATGAAAAATTAGTATTAAAATTTTGGGCATCTAATTTGATTTTTGGTTTTGAATCACTACTTGATCTAGTTTGAGCGAAACTGACATAAATTGGTTTATTTAAAACAATTTGTTGATTCATTTCTTTTACGGCTTTTACAGAATACTCAAACTTTTTGTAACAAACAAATCCATAACCCTTTGATACATTATTAATATCAACAAAGACTTTAGAAGAAACAATCTCACCAAATGGACAAAATAAATCCTTGAAAAACTCATCATCAATTGATTTATCTATATTTTTCACAAATAAATTATTGTTTTTATATAAATCAATATTTAAATTATTTTTAAAAATATTTGTATTTGTATTTGTATTTGAATTTGAATTTAAACTTGAATCTATTTTGGTTTGGGGTTTGGGGTTTGAAATCAGTTTTGTATTATTAAAGGCGTTTATTGGTTGTTCGGTTAATTTGTTGTTGTTATTATTATTATTATTATTATTATTATTATTATTATTATTATTATTATTATTATTATTATTATTATTATTATTATTATTATTATTATTATTATTNTATTATTATTATTATTATTATTATTATTATTATTATTATTATTATTATTATTATTATTATTATTATTATTATTATTATTATTATTATTATTATTAATTAAATCATTTAATGAATTTTGATATTGATTCATAAAATTCAAGTTATCTTTATAATTTTCTAAAGACTTGGATTGAAAATTTTGTTTTGGAATTAATTTCTTTAAATATTCGATTCTTTCCTTTTTCTTTTGAGCAGGTCCAACAAATAAATTTTTACCATGAAATTCCATGTTATTTAAAAATTTTATAGCATTTTTTGCATCACTTAAATTTTGAAAATTAACAAAACCAAAACCTTTATATTTTTCCAAATGAATTGAAGTTATTTTACCAAATGGTTTGAATAGTTTTTCAAATTGATATTCAGTCACATTTATATCAATGTTTTTAACATAAAGATTTGAGTTTTCATTTAGATGTTCGTAATCATTATTATTATTATTATTATTATTATTATTATTATTATTATTATTATTATTATTATTATTATTATTATTATTTGAAATAAGATTTGAGTTAATATTGCTATAATTTTTAATCGATCTTTGGTTTTTAGGAATATGATAATTAACATAAATTTTTTTATTATTTAATAGAATTCCATTAGTTGAATTAATAGCATTTTTAGCCGAATCAATTGAATCGTATTGAACAAAACCAAAACCTTTTGAGATTGAATTTTCATCTAAAACTATTTTGCAAGATATTATATTACCAAAAGCGCTAAAGGTATTAAAAAAAGTCTTATTATCAATATCTTGATGTAAATTTTTAACAAAAATATTAGCATTTGAATTTAACTTTGAATTCAAATTTTTTTCAGCAAACATTATCCGGATAGGTTTTGAATTTTTATTCATTAAGTTTGTCAAGTTTAAATTTTTCAACGCTGACCTTGAATGCTTTGAAAATTGATAATTAATATAAGCATAACCTAATGAGTTTTTCGTTGAAGAGTCCCTACAAACTTTTACTAAAGTCAATGGTCCGATTTTTGAAAAAATAGGAAACAAGATAGCTTCAGTTATCGATGAATCTAAATCGCCAACATATAATGATAAGTTTTTCTCGCTATCATTTTTTTTATCATTATCATTATTTTGCATATCATCACCAGAATCAAAGTCAACACCATAGGCGCTATCACCGCTAGTACTGTTTTTGTCACTATCATCTTCATCATTTGTAGAAGAATTGGGTTTTAAAGCTTTATCTGAATTGGATTTCAAGGCTTTATCCGAATTACGATTAGATATCTTCTTTTGAGAATTGGCGGTATTAGCATCAATATCATCGATTGAATCCTCTGAGTTTATGGAAACCAAATCAAGAGAATTGGAGGATTGATTATCAGAAGACGAGTTGGAATCACTGAGCATTGATTTTGAAATTAATAATGAAAGAGACATTGTTTGAATTAAAATTGATATTAATTATGATTATGATTTTAATAAAAATCAAACATGAGAAAAACAACCTCTGCCCATCTTTAAATACCATTTGAAGAGCCAGTTGCTTTTGTGTATAGAAACTCTGTTTGAATTAGGATGCCACTTCAACAGCCCAGATCAAGGAACGAGCAGCTCCACCAAACACAGCAAAACCAGCAGAGGAAACAGAAACAGCACTTTCCTTCACCTCACACAATCACACCCAAGAACCAAAACAGTGGACCCGTACCTCAAACATGAAAGATACAGATCTTTGCAGTGAGCTGCGCAATGCATTAGGTGATATGTTATCTAATATTTTTTGCAACCGTAAAAATGGATTACACGTAGGTATGCAGCTGTACGCGCTAGTATGCCTCCTTTGAATGATACACGTTGTAAACTTTGAGCTTGTGTTCAAACCACCTGTGGCCATCTATTTTTGCCATACTATTTTTACCATGCTATTTTATTGCCTGAAAGATTAGCTCTTTGTGAAGAACTACTTAACACTTCACACTTTTCTTCGAGTTCTTGGTTTTTATTGGTTTTATATAAAGGTCGTCTATATATCCTCTGTTTTATAATTGAACTTGCCAAACAGTTATTCTTCAATTGCCACTTTTCACTCCTGTTACTCTTTCTACTCTTGTTATTGATTTCGGTATCCTTCATCTAATCTCAAATCCAGACTATCACAATGACAACTGGAACTACTAAAGCTATTATTCTTGTTGGTGGTGACACTCGTGGTACCAGATTCAGACCCTTATCATTAGATGTTCCCAAACCTTTATTTCCAATCGCTGGCAAGCCATTACTAGCTCATATCATCGAGTCATTGTCCGAACTTCCATCCTTAAAGGAAATATTTTTAATTGGGTTTTATGAAGAATCTATTTTCAAGGATTTTCTATCTGAAATTAAGAGATCCTATCCAAATATAATTATCAAATACCTTAGAGAATATAAGGCAATGGGTACAGCTGGTGGTTTATTTCATTTTAGAGACGAAATTAAAAGAAATTCTCCTGATAATTTTTTTGTTATCCATGCTGATATCATTTGTAATTTCCCATTTAAAGAAATTTTGGAATTCTATAATGACAAAAATAACTACTATAACGATTTAGACTGTAAAACTGTTATTATGGGTATTTCAAAATTACCTCAAAATAATGAGAAATCTGCTGAAAATTTCGGTACTATCGTCTCCGATTTGGATGATAAAGTTGTTCATTATGTTGAAAAACCTGAATCAAAAGTTTCAAATTTAATTAATGGTGGTATTTATCTATTTGATAGTAAATACATTATCAATAAAATTGCAAAACAAAAATTGAAAAAAGAAGTTCTCAGTAATGATGATTATCATGCAGAATTTGTTGATTCAGATGTTGTTTCTTTAGAACATGATATTCTTTCAAATCTACCCGATGATGAATCCTTTTTTGTTTATAAAACAAAATCTTATTGGAGACAAGTTAAAAATCCCGGAAGTGCTTTAATCGCTAATGAATTGCGTTTACAAGACGCTTATCAAAAGCAAAAATCCTTCAAGACTATTCCAAGTTCTTCAAATATCATTCAACCAGTTTTCATTGATCCTTCTACAGTTGTTTCAAAAACTGCTAAAATTGGTCCATTTGTTTCAATTGGTCCAAACACTTTTATCGCAGATGGTGTTAGAATTAAAAATTCAATCATTTTAGATGGTGTTAACGTTAAGCCAAATGCCTGTATTTTAAATTCAATCATTTCAAATAATTCAACCATAGGTAAATGGGCAAGAATCGAAGGTACAAAAATTCATGTCGATGATCTATTAACTTATATTGAACAAAATGGTGTCAAATTTAATAAAGCTTGTATTTTAAGTAGTGACAGTCACGTTAATGATGATATTTATGTTAAAAACTGTGTTGTCTTGCCAAACAAATCGATTAAGTCTGATGTTAAATATGAGGTGGTTATGTAATAGTTTTAGAATTTTTTAGATTTTAAAAAAAATCAGTGTTTGATGATGTTCAATGTTAGATATTAGATATACTAGTTTTCCTTTCTGGTTTATTATTATTATTAATTTTTTGTTTTATTTTGTTTTTAATTCTATCAGTTTTCTCAACTTTATTTTTTTTTTTTTTATTAATATTTAATTTTTGTTTAACTGTTTCTTCAAAATTTATTCTGAATTTATTTTAATTTTATAATTTTAATATTTTATGTTTATTAATTTTAGTTTTTATACACGTGCAAAGTGAAAACTGATCAGGAATCAGGATAACCAGTCTTTTTTTTGTTATATTCATTATTCAATCACTAATGAATCATACCTCAAAACAAGTAAATAATAATAATAATAATAATAATAATAACAGTAATAATAATAACAAAAACAAGAAAAATCACAGAAAAAGAAAAAAAATAGATTTAAACTCATATTATGATACTCTAGAAGATTATAATAATTTTCCAAGTATAAAATTTCCTAAAATTCATAATAATAAAGAGAAACAAGTCGAAAAAAACAAGTCCTTTTCTCAAAATTCAAAAAATACTAAAGATGAAATAATAATTAAAGAAACCACAAATGAATCGGCTCAATTGATTAAAGTAAAAATAAAGCCTTGCTGTTCTTTAGAAAATCAAGCTATTATATCAAAAATGGCCTCTGGGAATTATTTAAGTGGAAGCTATGATACAGAAGATCAATTGAATAATTCAAGAAAGTTTGAAGCAATTGAGGTTAATGAATTACTTTTAAAAAGGCTTGGATTTAATTAAGACAAATAATACGGTAATACCATCTCGATAAGAATGGTACTATATCTATTGACAACAGTAGGTCTTCAAGTCTTTGGAAAAATCATATTTGCTATTTTTTTATTATTTTTATTTTTATGTAAGTTTAGAAACAAAAAAAATAATTTAATTACAGTTATTTCATATAACATTACATTGTTAGTATTTATAGACTGGTTATACGCTATTTCGAAGCCTCTGGATAATTGAATAACTATTATCGATTTTGCAATACATCATAATCAATGTAGCATCTAATTAAATAGTAAATTTATTGTAAGATTCTCAATTACTTTAGGACATTAATGATACCCTAAAAAAATTTCTTTTTCACTTGTTAAGTTTTTAAGCTGCAAGCTATTTGTGAATTAACAAAGTTTTCATTTCAATTATTGGAGAAAATCACAGAAATCAAACCAAAATAAGATTTACCTATGCAGGTCATACGCAAGTATCTGCTGATAAAAATATTTGTGCAGCAACCGAAAACAATACCTATAGGGCTGTGATGATTATTGTATCTCATTTAGAGCCCTTATTATAAACACGTGATTTGTTACTGGTATCTGTATATTTGGTTTGAAAAGTCATGTGCTGCACTTGAAAAACCAAATTTGTTTCCTTCCATATTGCTTCATTTCTTGGTTGAATTTTTGAATTAACTTGTAAAAGTTAAACTTATTCAAAATAGTCACAAATATATAAAATTATCAAGATAGTCGATTGAAGGCAACACCCCGTTCTTCCACGTAAATTCCGACTAGTTTTATTTAAAGTAACTAATTTTTCATTTACTCAATTCAAACAATTAATTTGAAAATGTCTGCTCCAGCTCCAGCTACAGCTCCAGGTCAAGCTCCAGGCCAAGGTGGCCCACAAAGAGGAAGAGGTTTCGGAGGACCAAGAGGTGGTCGTCGTGGTGGACCAAGAAGAGGTAGAAGAGATACCGAAGAAAAAGGATGGCAACCAGTCACCAAGCTAGGTAGATTAGTTAAAAGTGGAAAAATCACTTCCATTGAACAAATCTACCAACACGCTTTACCAATTAAAGAATATCAAATTGTTGACACCTTGTTACCAGACTTAAAGGACAGTGTTATGCAAATGAAATCAGTTCAAAAACAAACCAGAGCTGGTCAAAGAACTAGATCCAAAGCTGTTGTTGTCATTGGTGATGGTAATGGCCACGTTGGTTTAGGTATCAAAACCGCTAAAGAAGCTGCTACTGCCATTAGAGCTGCTATCATTATTGCCAAATTATCTATTATTCCAATCAGAAGAGGTTATTGGGGTTCCAATTTAGGTACACCACATTCATTAGCTGCCAAGACTTCAGGTAAATGTGGTTCCGTTAATGTTAGATTAATTCCAGCACCAAGAGGTTCTGGTATTGTTGCCTCACCAGCTGTTAAGAAATTATTGCAATTGGCCGGTGTTGAAGATGTTTATACTTCATCTTCAGGTTCTACTAGAACCAAAGAAAACACCTTAAAGGCATGTTTCGCTGCCATCGGTAACACCTACGGTTTCTTAACACCAAACTTATGGAAGGAAACCAAATTAGAACCATCGCCATTAGAAGTTTATGCTGATGAAGCTCTTGACAAAAAATTATAAATTTAATACTTATATTTTTATGTAATAATAGTTTATTTTAATTTAATTTAATTGATTATTAAATAAGGGTTTTTTTTATTGAATAAAACTAATTATTTGAATAAATGAGAAAATTATTTTGAATTATTATCAGATTGTAATAATAAGATTATGAAATATGAAATTAGAATTTAAATAAAAATAAAAAGTTAGATATCTATAAATATATGATAAATATATGATAATAAAAGTTAATTTCAGTTCAATTTTGAAACTAAAGTTTAAAATATGTAACTATGAATAAAAAGAAACAAAAAATAAAAAAACAGAAACAAAAAAAAGATTTGTGATAAGCATCTTATTAATAATTCAATGAAAAAAAAAAAAGTTCTAGCCAATTAAAAAATACAAAAAACTTATGAAAAGTAGAAAAGAGAAAGAGCAAAAAAAAAAAAAAAATATGTACACATCAAAAAAAAAATTACATTCAAAATATAAGAATTTCATGCTGTTTTTTTTTTATGTTTATTTTAAATCAATTAAGGGAAATTGAATTAAAAATGAATATTTAATATTTTTTTTCCTGTCTTTTTTCTTTCTCTAGTTTAAAATAGGTAATTGATTAGTTTTTTGATTCAATTGATAGAGATTTCTTTGCGGCTCTAACAATAGTTTCCTTATCTGGGAAGGCAAAATCTTCTAATTCTTTAGCATAGGGAGTAGGAACTTCACAACCAGTGACTCTTTCAACAGGGGCATCTAAATAATCGAAAGCTTCACTTTCCATAATTTGAGCACAGATTTCGGAACCTACACCAAAAGCTGGGAAACCTGCTTCAACAGTAATGATGTGGTTAGTCTTTTTAATTGATTGAATGATAGCTGGAATATCCATTGGTTTAATCGATCTTAGGTTGATGACTTCGGCGTCTACATCATATTTTTGTTTGAGGATTTCAGCGGCTTCAAGAGAAAATTGAACATTTCTTGAGTGAGAAACAATGGTTATATCTTTTCCTTCTCTTTCAATTTTTGATTTACCGAATGGTAAGAGGAAATCGGTAGATAGTTCCTCTTCAGACAAGTCAAAGGATTCACCATAAGACAATTCATTCTCCAAGAAAATGACAGGATTTGGATCTCTAATGGAAGCCTTGATCAAACCTCTATAGTCAGCAGCACTGTATGGGGATACAACTTTCAAACCTGGAATTGAACCATACCAAGCAGCATAACATTGGGAATGTTGAGCAGCAACACCAGCGGCAGCACCATTGGGACCTCTAAAGGTTACATTACAAGGCTGTTTACCACCAGACATATAAAATGTTTTAGCGGCAGAATTAATAATTTGATCAATTGCTTGCATGGCGAAATTAAAAGTCATAAATTCACAAATTGGTTTCAAGCCAGCTAAAGCAGCACCGACACATAAACCAGTGAAACCCATTTCAGTGATTGGGGTATCGATTATTCTTTTATCGCCGAATCTATCAAGTAAACCTCTTGAGATCTTGTAAGCACCGTTATAAACAGCGACTTCTTCACCCATCAAAAAGACTTCCTTATCGGCTTCTAATTCCTCAGCCATTGCAGAGTTCAAAGCATCTCTGACGGTGATTCTTGTGAGACCTGAAGTAGTTGAGTTTTCTCTTACTGGGAACATCATTTTTTGAGATTGGATGACTGAGGCCTTTTTAATTGCGCTAAGAGTAGCAGCATTTCTGGCGTTGTTTGTTAGGAGAGAGGACAAGGAGGATTTAGCGATATGAGAAGCCATTGGAGATGCAAGAGGAATATGTAGAGTGGAAGTGGTGAATATGGTGAACAAGACGACAATGAGCAGAGAGTGCAAGAAATAAATAACCAATTGGTGGATAAATGAACTGTAGAGTTGGTGAAAAGATGAAGAGGTAGATAAATCGAAGAGAGTTGAAGATAATCTCTCAACAACCAGATATCAACAAAAGTGCAAGTGGAGTGGAGTTGGGATCAGCCCTCGCCACAACAAAGGGGGTTTATCCGGCCATCGCTCGCGCACCGTCAAACGGGACGTTCTCTGATAGAGCGCTGTTTTGTGCCAAATAACCCTATGCAAGTGGGATAAGCGGGTATCCCAGCGGACCCGCCATCAGATGACGGAAAAGACCCACGCAGATTCGCTGTTTCTGACAAGACCGGCGTGGACCGGAAATCGCGGGCCGATAGCCGGATAAGGTATAAGAGAGAATAAAAGATATAATAAAGACAATAGCAAGCTCGCCAGCTCTGTCAGTTGAGATCGCACACAACCTGTGCAGCATATCTCTTTGCGATGAGCTTCATTGTTTCTGGCTCAATTGCAATTCCATTCAAGTGCAAGCTTGCCAACGAGAGGATTTCGCTGTACTTTGTGTTGCTTTCGCGTCTGAAGAACTCAAGAAGTCCAAACCCACTAATCAAATTATGTGACAAGTCCAACACTCTCAAATTTCTAAAGACCTTTGATTCCTTGGTTGTATCACAGCGTTTGTCATCCTCACTTGTTTTAGTTTTCTCATTTCGAATCTCGACCAAACTCGATCTGAAAACCTTTAATGTGTAATCACTGAACCCAACTGATTTATTTAGATATAGTTCGCTTAGATCAGGTATTATTTTTAAAAACTTGGTGAAATCAAAGTATTCTCGCTCATTATCTCTACCAAAGGGATTGCTTTTGAATATTAAATTGGAACAATTTCCGATGATTAATTTTCTTAAATTTCTTTTTGATTTATTTAGCAATAAGAGTAAGTTTTTAAATGAGATATTGGATCCTGTTATATCCAAGACCTTAAGATCATTGAGATTATAATGGGTGAAATTCAATATTATTTCCAAATTAAGCGGCTCATTTATAAATCCTCTATTATTCTCGATATCATTTTGGCTTAAGATGCCATTATGCCTTGAGATGCCGTTAGTTTGTAGATTATCATTAGCATGAGTATTATTAGTAATAGTAGGAGTAGTAGTGGTAGTAGTAGTGATGGTGGTGGTGGTTGCGCTGAATGAAAGTGATTTATCAAATGGTTCTTGTCGAAATATTAAAACTTCTAAATTTTTGGGTCTTTTTTCATTGTCAATAAAAAGATAAAATAGGAAAATTTCTAAATTTATTGATTTGTTTCCCTCAAATTGCATCCTTTTTAAATTCGGAAATTTAAACAAGTTTCGAAATATCTTTCGGTATTTGTTTGAGCTTAGGTAATCAATTACTTCGCTAGAGTTTTCGGCATAATTTGAATAGGTATTAATATTCAAACTGCCGAAATTGAAAAATGGGTTAAATTGGATATCTTCTTGAATTTCATTATCGTTTTCGTTATCATTATCATTATCATTATCATTATCATTATTATTATTATTATTATTATTATTATTATTATTATTATTATTATTATTATTATTATTGTTATTATTATCATTATTATTATTATCATTATTATTATTATCATTATTATTATTATCATTATTATCATCATTATTGTTATCATAATCACGATCATGATTATGATTACGATCGTGATTATGATTGGTATTAAGAATATTTTCTAATATTTGTAATATGACATTTGATGAATGTAAATCATTGGTTAATAGATTTGTCGAAACTTTAAAATCTGCACCAGCTATAGTCAATGATTCTAAATCGGGCAAGTGGTTTTCATTCAAGAATAACTGGTAAAGAGAGAACAAGTATTTTTCATAAAAGATCTTACAATTAGATAGAATTGATATGTTTTTAAGCCCTTGCAAACAATCTGTTGTTGTATTAATATCTCGTTGGTATTGTAATATACTTGATTTATACTTTTTAAAATTACTAAAGGATATTTGCTCATGAGTTATCCCATTGACTGGTATGATTTCCAAGTTGGTCAAATTAGGAAATAGCCTTAATATGTGTATTTCCATATACGGCACGACGTTAATTTTTAATCTTAAATTTTTCAAGGTCTGAAAAATGTCTTGGGTATGATTATTGTTGTTTCTAATTTTGATTTTGACTTTTGTGAAGATATCGATTAATTGGAATAAATCAATCTCAAATAAAGATAGATCTAGAGAGGTTAGGAAATAGTTGTAAAAATTGAATAGAGCAAAGATAATCTTTTTTTCGTCATTTGAATTTAGTTTGATAATTTTAAGAAAGTTGATTGATTTTTTGATTTTGATTCTTTGGTAGATTTTGTTTAAAAAGGAATTTAAGGTTTTAAGTTGATTGTAATTGAAATTTTTAGGTAAATCGAGATTTGAGTAGAAATGGTTAAAAAGAATTAAAACATTGTACCATTTTTTCGAAACTAGGAAACAATTTCTAATTATGAATTTGTAATGAAAATGATTAAATATTTTTGAAATTATAGGAATGGGCAATCTTTCTACTGGATCAAATGAGATGATCGGGACAATGCTATGGGATTTGTTATCAATTTTAAGTTTGTTACTTGTAGCTGGTTTTAGTTTCAATCTTTTGTGAGAATAATCTGAAATTATTAGTTTTCTTTTAAATTGAGTGGCATTGATTTTATTGTTATTCTCCTGAATCAAATTATAGACGAAAGTTCTTTGAGATTTTAAATCTTGAAATAGTTTTTCTGAAATTTGAACATTTATATTGTTATTGGAGTTAACGTTGTTGGCCAAATTAAAATTGTAGGTCTTTTTGCAGTCATTGATGAGGTTAATGGCGTAATTTAGGACTTTATATGAAGAGAGATAATCGTTTTGAGATACTAAAAGTGTCGAATATTTTAAATAGGCCTTGCATAACAAAGGCTCTATTAAAAGCAATTTTTTGATATCGTTAATCGATTTGTCAATATGGCCGAGTTTTTGATAAGTGGAGCTCTTGTAGTAATATAGATTTGATAATTTGGGATGAACTAGTTGGAAGGTGATCTTTGTCGTTGTCAAGTTTTTGATATTGATGTTGTTATTGTTATTGTTTTGCTTGGAAAGATTGGTGTTTTGAGAGTAATTGTAGACAGTAAAGGAGTTCTCGGTGGTGGACAAACCATACTGTCTTCTGACTGCAACAATCTCTTCTTCGGATAAGGACTTGATTACGGAGATGGAAACAGCAAAGAGTTTCAAGGCCTTTTTGAAATTGCAGCTCTTGAAGTGGACAATGCCTTCGTTGTAGTAGGCCTGAACTAATTGTTTGGTGGACCCCAGATCTTCAACCATTGGAGATATTACTGGAGAAAACAAAAGAGAAAACATCCCACTGGTTATATACCAATAGATCACATATGCCTTTCCCGCTTTGGTGTGTTTGCGTCCGTTTTCTGGTAAAAAAAAACAACAGATCCTCACAAGTGGTACCAATGCCCTTCGCGTGCCCTCGAAACAAGAAACCACGTGTGGTACTGCTTTCCGACGTACCGGGTAACCCCTGGAAATTTTTCGTTTTGTAGGGAGGAGCAGAGATTGGAGGAGAAGGGAAAGCGAAAGAGGTGTTTTAGGGCCCACATCAGACAGAAATGCTTATGAATTGGGGGCGATTGCTGCCAGTGGCTGTGAGCTCGCTTGTTGCTTCTTCCGCACGCTCAGTAGGTTTGCTGTCTGTGCTTCTCATAAGGGCCTTCTCGGGCACTGCCTGTCCACACGCAAAGACCAAAGCTCAGAGAAAGATCAAATCAAAGGCCATTGCTGATGCCAATAAGCTAAATCGATTTAAAGCAGAGTCGATACAGTATGACATCGATCCCATTTTGGGCAAGCCTGGGAATAAGTTTATTGCGAGAATAATGGCTGCCATCAACGAGCCGTATGCTTTGTCCATGGGCTACGAGAGAAAAGAAGTTGAAAAGCTATTGTATGGGGCTCAAGAAAGCATTTTGAGTGTCAACTCAAACACTCCCTTGTTTTTGTCCAAAAGTCAAAAGCCTCCAAAGAATAATAATAAGAAAATCACCATATCTCATTCAATCCAGAGGATTTCCGACAGTCTTATAACAAAAGAAGATATCCTCGCAGAAGAGGAAAACAAAAGACAGGCTATATCGAGAATCTTGAACATCAAAAACACATCTACTCCTGATTTGAAAAAACTAGCCATAAATTTGGCTGTCGACGAATTCAAGAGAGCAGATGGCGATACTGGCTCAAGTGAAGTCCAGGCTGCTGTTCTAACTATAAAAATTATATTCAAATACAACCATATGAAAAAATTCAAAAACGATTTTGCAAACATAAGAGGTCTAGGCCAATTGGTCCAGGAAAGACAGAAAACCTTGAAATACTTGAAGAAAAACAACCCTGAGCAATACTTTTATGTGATTGAAAAACTAGGCTTGACTGACAGGGCTGTCACCACCGAATTCAATCTAAGCAAGGAGTACATGCAAAACTTCAAGATCTATGGCGACAGGGTCTTGGTCAAGAGAAGTAACAAGGAAATCCAAAGACAACGTAAGATTGATAAGAAGTTGAAGAAGCACTCGCTTCGTCTCGCCTTGATCGAGAAACACAGCTAGCCAGCCAACTGGTCTGCTGAGATGCTAAGTAGCCCGATATAGCTCAACACCATGTATATATCTTTCTATAATCTCTAACCGATTACATTCCTTCAGTCTGTGACTGGCCAACCACTCTGGCCTCGACCTGTAACCATTTTCTCATCTTCTGTCTTAATTGGCCCACCTCAAGTCCATTTTTAAGTCCCCAAAAAGAATGCGATCGGTACGAATTTTCGTGTGTGATACGATCCAACGAGAGTTTATCTGCTCTCTTTATAAATATCCAATCTCCCAGCAAAAAAACAGAAGCAAAACATAATTAGAAAACACACCATCTCTCTTTCACTTCTCTCTACCTGCTTTTGATTCCTGTTTCTATTCTCGTATTGCTCTTCTTTCAATCTTTTCTTACCCCATCATGGCCTTCACAACCGAAATAGTCCAACGCCTATCTGAATATTCTCAAATCGCTCTTTTCCACTTGTCGAATCTCTCGACAATACAAATCGCTGCAATTCTTATACTACTACCCATTTTCCTAAATGTCTTATCTCAGTTCTTATACTCTCTAAGAAAAGATAGAGCTCCCCTAGTGTTCTACTGGATTCCATGGTTTGGTTCTGCTGTTGGTTATGGTATGAATCCCTATACGTTTTTCGATGAGTGTCAAAAGAAATATGGCGACATCTTCGCTTTTATGCTATTAGGCAGAATTATGACTGTCTACTTGGGTCCAAATGGCCATGAGTTTGTTCTTAATGCCAAAGGTTCCGATGTTTCTGCTGAAGAAGCTTATAAACACCTAACTACTCCAGTTTTCGGAAAGGGTGTCATCTACGACTGTCCCAATTCAAAATTAATGGAACAAAAAAAATTCGTTAAAAATTCTTTAACAAAGGACTCCTTCAGATCTTACGTCCCCAAAATTAAAGAAGAAGTTTATGACTATTTATCTACAAGTAAAAATTACTCAATTGGATCAGGCAAAATCAATGGAATCGCTAACGTTATGGAAACTCAACCTGAAATGACCATTTTAACTGCTTGCAGATCCTTATTGGGTGATGAAATGAGAAAAAAATTCGATGTATCATTTGCTGACTTATATTCTGATTTAGATAAGGGTTTTACCCCAATTAATTTTGTATTTCCTTGGTTGCCATTTTTATCCATCTATAAAAAAAGAGACAACGCCCAAAAATCTATTGCAAAGACTTACATGTCCTTGATCACCGATAGAAGAAAGAGAAACGATATCCAAGATAGAGACTTAATCGACACTCTTATGAAATCCTCAACCTACAAAGATGGCAAAAAGATGACTGACCAAGAAATTGCCCACTTATTAATTGGTGTCTTAATGGGTGGTCAACATACCAGTGCTGCAACTTCTGCCTGGTTTTTATTGCATTTAGCTGATCAACCAGAATTGCAAGAAGAATTACTAAAAGAACAAAAAAGAGTCTTGCAAGGGAGAAATTTTAAAGATGGTTTAACTTACGACGATCTATCGGAAATGTCTTTACTAAACAACGTCATTAGAGAAACTCTTAGATTACATATTCCTTTGCATTCAATTTTTAGAAAAGTTACTAAACCCTTGGTGGTTCCAAACACCTCATTTGTTGTTCCAAAGGGTCATTTTGTTTTAGTCTCTCCAGGTTACACTCAATTAAACGACAAGTATTTTCCAAATGCCAACAAATTTGATCCCCACAGATGGGATGTCAATAAATCTTCATCAAAGGAGGCCTCAACCACTGTTGACTACGGATTCGGTGCTGTTTCTAAAGGTGTTTCTAGTCCATACTTGCCATTTGGTGGAGGAAGACACAGATGCATTGGTGAACAATTTGCATACATGCAATTGGGTACCCTTTTAAGTGTCTATGTCAGAGAATTAAAATGGAGATTACCAAATGGCGTTGAAAAGATCTCAGAACCTGACTATCAAAGTATGGTTACTTTGCCTTTGAGTCCTTCTTTGATTTACTGGGAAAGAAGGGAAAATAGGGATGATTAGTTTGATTTTAATTTTTTTTTAAATATCATTTCTATTCCCATTCCCATTCCCATTCCCATTCTTATTGCCACTACTATTGCTACTACTATTTACTATTCACTTATTCCTTATTAACTTCATATTCGACTTATACTTTTTCTATCTACTCTGTTTATTTCAACTATATATGTCTGTTATAATATACTTCAAGTAAATCTGCAAACATCTTTCCCCATCTCAGTTTTGGCGATAACAGAAAAAGTCAATTCTGAGCATGAGGCGATTGGTGCAAAAAACAATAGTAGCTTGCATCTTTTTCGTTGGCTCAATAGAATGAATTAAACTCCCTCAAGGAGAACCAGTCTATTGCAATAGATTTGTTGTTTATTTGTTTATTTGCCTAGCAATACAAGATGAGCAGTGGGATTGGAATAAAGCTTATGGCTGTCTTGCTAAGACAGATATCTAAGCCAATAGCAGTAAGTTGAATTACGCTAGTCAGACAGAGATGTTGATGGCAAATCTGAGAAAAGTAGGTTATTAACAGTGATTTAATTCCATTTAACTTAGAATCGTTTACAAGTAGTTGCATTGAAAAGCGATTTATTCAAAAGAATTTGTATGAATCTCTCACAAAAGGTTCATTCAACAGATGTAAAACTTCGTATGAAATTATTGGGTGAAAAGCATTCGTTAAACTCGACTCACAGTACAGTTCGACCATTGAATGAGAAAAAGGCCATCGAAAACGCAGCATATTTATTGTCAGAAGGTTTCATATTTAGTATTGCAGGCAGTTTGATATTGTTTGAAGCCTATAGAACAAGAAGAAAGGAATTAAACAGAAGAGAGAGCGTTAGCGACGATATCAAAGCGCTACAGGATGAGATTAATTATATAAAGAAAAAATTGGATGAGCATAATGTGGAATTGGATGATTATAAATTGCCCGAAGGTTTATATCCATTGGTTTTAAAAATCAATGATATTGAAAATCCTAAAAAAAAGAGAAATAATTCAAATGTTAAAAAAATACAAGAACAAAAAAAACAAACAGAACAAACAGAACAAACAGAACAAATAAAACAGGAAATTGTTCAGAGTTCTGAAGTTTTACAAGCCATTTCCAAAAAAGATATCAATGAAAATATTAGTGATAAAGATATTAGTGATGTTTCACTTTTAAACCCAAATTTAAGCCATTAATATAAAGAGTAAACCATTAAATTACATGAATATAATATTTATTAAAGTGTGAGATTAATATATGTACTATAGAAATGAAGAGAAGAGAAAAAATATAATTAAAAAACTAGTTAATAAAAATTAAATAACAAATCAAATCAAATCAATAAGAATAAGAATCAGAATTGGAGTAAAAATTAAACAAAAAAAATTAAACAGAATAGTAAAAGAAAAATTGTATATAGAAGTTGAGACAAGTTAGAAAACTTATAGACAAATAAATAAAGAAAATAAGATAAAATAGTAATGAAAAAACATGATAAAACACATAATAGATTTATTAGAATGATATTAAAGAATTAAAAAAAAAAAAATAAATGCCTAAATTACTAAGTCTTGATATTTGAATTTCCGAGATCAATTTATAAAACAAAAATATTAGATTCTGAGATATTTAAGGATAAAATTGAAGATTTAACAACTTTGTTAAAACCCTCAGGACCGCAGATTAGTACTTTTATACTGCCATCGCCACTAATGGTTGTATCGTCATTATTATTTGTATCAATTAAAGTGTCTAATTGTAAAGATTGTATTAACCAATTTTTTTCTAAATCAAAATTAAATTTTCCAAAGGAATATTTCAAATTGAAATTTTTTCTCAAGAATTGAACGTTATCGATTTCATCTTTTAAATAAAGATTATTTGCTGAAGTTGAATAGTGCAAGAGATTTAAATTCAAAGTTACTGGAGATTCTATAATGACTCTTAACATTGGAGTTATACCAGTTCCACCAGAAATCATTAATAGCCTTGATTTTGAAATTTCATCTGGGTCATCATAAACAGAAGGCAAAAAGGTTGGAGGCAATTTGCCTACAGGACCTTTAAATGAAACAGTTTGATGGATTTGCAAAGATGCGAAAATTTTAGAGATTTTGCCTTCAGGATAGGATTTAATCAATAGATCAAATTCGCCCTTTTCATATTTTGAAGAAATTGGAGTATAGTAACGAAAATAATCTTGGTATTTTACTTCTTTATTGCTACCGCCAATTTCATTGTCATTATCATCATCTTCAATTGGTAGGTTAAATTTGCACATCAAGTTATAGCACAAGGGAATGTCAATGGATTCATCTGGATCATTTAGCTTGAATTTGTAAATTGCAGTGTCCTTGGTAATAATGGTTTTATCTATGAGTTCAAACTTGTTGAACTTGCTGATGGATAGCAAATCCTTCTGTCTGAAGTACTCCATAAGAAACCTGTAGGCCAACAAGCTTGAACACAAGCCCAAAGCACCAAGCGTAACATAGACATTCCAAAAGAAAATCGAGCCAAAGAGAATGAAAAAACAAGGCAAATAGATGCCATGCAATGGAGTGTCCTCAGCTCTTTCTTTCTTCTCAGTAGTTTTTACCATTATCACCTTCACGCGTGGAGTGTTTTCAAGCTAGCTGCTGTTTCTTGTGTTTATATATCAGTGAACAGCAAAACCAATTGCTCAAAGAGATTTGTTGGTCACAGCTCAAAAAAACAGCTCCAAAAAACAACTCGAAAACTGAAAAATTGACCCAAAAAGCAAGTCGCCAGATCGACGGGTCCTATGCGAGATGCTGTATATGTGCATGGTGCAGCACTGCACGTATCTGTATGTTCCACAAACGTGTTCCCAAAACCCGAATAAATATCAACTCCTTTGAAGAGTGGACGAGAAGCTCTTTATCAAGCTCCACAAGCTCCATTTGTTCTTGCTGTGGTCGAGTCCCAATATCTTGCTGTCTGCTGTTGTTGGTATTGTTTATTCTGGCTGTTTGCTGCTACTGCTAAAGAAACATTTCTGCGTTTTTGCTGCTCGCCATCTTGGTCTTCTCGCAGCTGTTTAATTGACACCTCCACTGCTGCTCAGCGAACAGGAAAATGCCTGATACTCAAAAGAGAAGAATATGGTTCAGAAGAGAGCTCTTTGATGAGCCTGCGACGTCGATATTGGTTGGAAACTCAGTGTTGGTGGACGATTTGAAATCTCTAATTTTGAAGAAATATCCAACCAGTTGGGAAATATCTTACGATCCATCTGATTTGAGCATCTATCAAATTGCTGACAACAATCCCAACAGTAAATCATTTTCTGCTTCATCGTCGATTCCTCAAGTCACTCCTCCAAATATTAAAAAATCTTCAACAAGCACTCTAATTCTATCTAAAATTACAAGCCATCTAGGTTTTCATTCAAACTCAAGTTCCAATTCCAATTCTAACTCAAACACAAATTCCAATTCTAATTCTAATTTCAACTCAAATACAAATTTATCAAATATCAACAACTCAAACAGAAACAGCTCTGACAATTTAAATTCAATAAATTTTTCTTCCATATTTAAAAAAAAAACTCTTTTGGATCCTGACCTTAATTTGTGGGATTTTTTACAAAAGAATTATCCCAATGGTATGACTTCAAAGGATTCATTCTTAATATCAATAAATAATGTTAACATTAACATTCAAAATGCCTCAAAAGATGATTATGCAATTAAGCAAAAACATCAATCCCAATCTCAATCTCAGTCTCAATCACAATCACAATCACAAATTCGTTCTCAAAATCACTCGCAAATTATGTTGAAATCCCCATCACAAACACAGTTAAACACTAACCTTTCTATAACATCAGCAACACCTTTACCTTCCAATCCTTCCTCAAATTTATCAAAATTAAAAAAACATAATCCTTTGAAAAACAAATCAATTAAATCAAAACAAAAACTTCAACAAAATAAAAGGAAATCTTTGAACGAAAATCTTAATATTATTGCCGACAACAATAATAACAACAATAATATGGAAAATGATAATAGCTTTTTAAGAATCTCTTCGGTGTCTTCAAATATTTCAACAACATCCTCCGATCTTCCAACTAACCTCGTTTCAATTAAAAGCAATTCTTCTAAAAGAAATTCTTCTAATTCAAAAATTGACTCTCTTTCATCTTCTTTCAAACATTTATCAATGTCTAGCTCTAAACCATCAATGCCCTCAAGATCAAAACAATCTTCAAAATCCCTTTCAAATCTTCATAACATTCAATCCTTTTCAAATAATAATTCTTCTGTACAATCAAAGAACGTTAATACTAATAATACTAATGATACTAATAATACTAATAATACTAATAATACTAATAATACTAATAATACTAATACTAATAACAAATTTATTAGTACTACTACTACTACTACTACTACTACTACTAATAATAATAATAATAATAATAATAATAATAATAATAATAATAATAATAATAATAATAATAATAATAATAATAATAATAATAATAATAATAATANTAATAATAATAATAATAATAATAATAATAATAATAATAATAATAATAATAATAATAATAATAATAATAATAATAATAATAATAATAATAATAATAAAATTGACAATAAAACCATTGATACTACGAAAACAAAAAACAAAGCTGCCATTAATGAAGATTCTTTAATTCAAAATGATACATCAAGGATTGATGAAACTTTTATTTCCAAAAATGATGATTCTCAAAATCAAATCTATGACCTTCAAATACAAAATTACAGCCCGGGTATACCCTTTCACACTTCAAGTTCAACTGGTGGAAGCATTTTAAATAATCGTTTGACTAAAACAATGACAAATTCGAGCACTATAACTGTTGGGGGAAGAAAAAGAAAACCAAGAGTTAGAGCAAGATCAAATCAAATCGACAGTTTTAATAATAATAAAACTAAAATACCCACCATGGATGAAAATTTAGAATTATACTTATCTAAAACTGTATCTTCATCTAATAACTATATTAAAAATAAGAATACCAATAGTCTATCGATTAATACCGATAAATCATTTCATTTAAAAAGTTCCTCTACTTCTTCATTGCTGAAGAATAAAAATTTTGAAAAACCACCTCCTATTTCCGAATCAAAAGAAAAACAATTATCCATTAGCAGCTCGTCACCAGTTTTTAATACTGGTGATCATCTTTACAAATCTCTTTCAAATACTAGTGCTCATACAGCTAATTTATCTAGCTCTTTTATTAAAAAAGACAATTCATCCTATGTTGAAACTTACCAAAACATTTCGTTTTATTATGATAGAAATATAAAAGTAATCCCTCGAGTTCGTGTCTTGGTGGTTGAAGATAATATTATCAATTCCAGAATTTTAAAGAAATTTTTATATACACACGATATACCTCACAAAATTGTGACTAATGGTTTTGATGCTGTGCTGGAATTTCGTAAAGGTGGATATCATCTTATATTTATGGATTTACAATTACCAAAACTTAGTGGAATTTCGGCTACAAAAAGAATACGTTCTTTAGAAGAAAAAAATGGAATTGCATATATCAAAAAGCCAATAAAATCCTTTTCACTGTCTCATTCTCATAATAATTCTATCGATTCTTCAAATATCACAAACACAAACACAAACACGAATACAAATATACATTCTGGAAATGAGAACAAGAATAAAAGCGTGCTCAGTAAAGTAGAAATTTTGGATAAGGATAAATTTCCTAACCCTGTTGTTATTGTTGCATTAACTGCTAATTCTAACACTGATGATAGAAGAGAAGCATTAGGAGCAGGCTGTAATGACTATTTATTGAAACCTTTGAATTTTTTCTGGTTGAGAAATAAAATTGTGGAATGGGGTTGTATGCAAGCACTTATCAATTTTAATAACTGGAAGTTTGATGAAGAGGGTAGGATTAGTCGTGCAACACCTATATTTGGTAAAATCATGACTTGAGATTCTTTTTATCTTCAACGGGTTATACATAATTATAGCTAATTATTGATTTTTTTTTTGGTTATAGAGGTGACTTTATTTCATTTTATGCTATATTATTTCTTTTCATTTTTTATTTTTCTATTTTATATATTATTTTCAATTCTCTTTGCTTTTTATTTCAATAATCTATTACTTTAGAGCTAGATATTTTGAGAATATTAATTCTGAAAACTTTTATCTTTTTATTCTATTTGATTTTGATTAATTTTATAAGTTTAATCTTTTTTTATTTTTTTTTTGAATTATTTTAGTAAGATCAATGATCAAAATTTCTTAATATAAAGTATAAAAATTCTAAATAGTTATGGAAATAAATATAATGATGGACTAAATAAAATGTTATACTCAAGAATTCTTGTTTCATTCAAAAGAAAAAACGAAGGTGTATCAGTAAATAAGTAAATAAGTAAATAAGTAAATAAGTAAATAAGTAAATAAGTAAATAAGTAAATAAGTAAATAAGTAAATAAGTAAATAAAAATAAATAAGTAAGTAATTCAATAATTCGATAAGATGATAAATCAATAAAACCAAAAATTGGGTAAATTCCAAAAAAATAATAAAAAATCAATAAAAAAACGCCAAAAACAAAAAACTGAAATTGAAAAGTGAAACATTAAACCATAAAAATTTATAAATATCAGTCGATCTAAAATATCATAATCTATTGTATCATAAGTGGTCATTATAGATATAACGTAAAAAAAAAGAATAAGAGAAAAAATATCAAAAAATCTGAAAGAATTGGTAGGGATAAGATTAGATAATGGCATAGGCACTTGCATAGCTAACACTACTATCAGAAAAACTTCTAACATGACTGCTTTGTCTGTAACCAAGGAAATTAAATAAAGGTCCTTTACTATTAAGTGAAATTTTATTAGCACTTTTATAGTTTTCAATTGCTTTCAATATAATTGCAATTGGCTTTTGACCACAAATGGTATTTCCAGTCAATTTAATATATTGTTTCCAATCATTGTAAGCGCCCTTTGACAAAACCTTCATAGCTTCTCTATCTAGAAATTCAATGCTTTTGTAAATTGGAATAGAAGGTTCCAAGTAGCTTAAGTAATTTCTAGTGGATAATTCTTTTAGATTTTTTAAGGATTTTGTTGGGGAGTAAATAGTGTAATCGAATCTGGAGCCCCAATGGCAAAAATCACTACTAATAATGAACGAAGTTTCCTCATCACTAATATATTTTGATAGGATTTTTGCAATTTTAAGTTCTGTTGAATCATCCAAGGAGCAAACCATAATGGGGATAATCTTTGGGATACCTTGGGGCAAATCCTTTGCCATTTTGTAAATATAGGGAGCATGTAATTCAAACGAATGTTCTTCTTCATCATTTTCAAAGCTCATTTTTCTAATGATTTTGCTAGAGGATTCATTTAAAGTTAATTGATCAATGATTTCTGTATCTACTGGCAAATTCCCCATTGGAGTCTCATAGTAATCAAATTTAGTAGTTAGAACATAGTTTTTGAAATAGACGTAATGAGAGGGGCCTAAGATGAAGATTCTTTTGACCTTTGAAGTATCCCAACTCTTGTAGGCTTCAGCTAGAGTGGAGCCAGAATAAGTGTATCCAGCATGAGGACCTATGATAACTCTGGCACCAATAGTGCTTTGGTCAAAGGCTGTTGAAGCTAGAAACTTGTCTAGTTGGGCATTTAATCTTGAACCACTGCCAATATACCACGATCCGGCATGGGAAGCAGGACGAACCAGGGGCATTTTCGTTGCAAGAGATTACGAGATAACAGGGAAGAAACACCAGACAGTGCACAGAAAAGACAACAGGCTGGAGGTTTGAAGAAGTTGCACAGTGCAGAGAACTATCTCGACATGAAATAGAAAGCCAGGAGAGCAAGCTCAAGTTAAAGCAGAGGTCGTTCTTTATATTGCTGCGGTTTTTCCGTTGCGATGGACTAAGTTTTGGAGACTCGAGAGAATTCCTCCGGAGTTTGACAGAGAAGTAGCTAGAAAAGTGGCATTTACTGGCATTTACTTTGCTTTACAAGAGTTCTGGGGTATATTAAAAGGGTGGTTGGAATAGATGTGGGCATTAATGGTGCTGGGTGGAAAGGGCCCAGAAAAACACTGGTCATGACAGAGATAGCACAAGCAGAAGAGAAAGAAGTATATGAAAATGAACCAGAAAAAGGGAAAGGCTAAGCTACAGAGATCTAAAAAACAGTCAAAGTATTATATTTGGCAATTTTATAGTGGAGTTTAAATATTGCGTTATGGATATTTAAATAGAAAAACCAGGTATCGTGGGCTGGGGTGTTTTATTCTGCCTCAGAGTCTTCATCACCAGAAACTTCTTGTGCTTTTCTTTCTTCATTTTCCATTAGAGCCTTCAACTCTGCGTCGTCGTTGGCAGTAACAGCCTTTGGACTCATTTTGACTCTACACTCACCATCGAATTTCTCAATTTCTCGTCCGATGGCCTGAATTGCTTGTTCTAATAGTTGGATACCTTTATCTTTATCGAGACTTTGGGTGGATAAAACGTATAGAGGAGCAGCGATCAATTTAGCTTTGATTTTAATATGCTCCGTAGATAAAAGCTCTCCAGCTTTCAAAGCTTTTTTTATGGCTTCGATACCTTCGATGTGGAAACAAGAGACTTCAATATCAGCTCTGATTTTGGTGGCTTGGGGAGTTAATCTTCTTGAGACATAAGTCTTCAATTCTTCTAATAAATCATTGGAGGGAGGGGTGATACTTTCAAATACTTTTGGATTTGTAATTGATAATTTGAAGGCATCGTAAGCACTGCCGTATTTTCGACTTAAGGGCCAACCAATTGTTTTATATAATGTTTCTAAAGGAACATTGAACTTTTCAGCACAATGACGCAAAATTGAATGAACAGCTTTCCCTTTGGAATATCTTTCTTCACATTCGGCAGCATCCTCAGGAGAGACACTACTCTTACTCAAGTCAATATAGCCCTTTTCTTTATCAACTCTTAATACTGCTAACACTTCATTTTTGCCAACTCTGATTAATTTTTGGACAGAACGAATACGACGTCTTGTTAATTCAGATAGCAAGACCATACCCTCAAGGTTATCGTATTCTAATAATTTAACGTATGCACCCATATCTTCAATTTGCTGGACATTCACCATTACAATGTCGCCAATTTCTGGGAATTTTCTTTCATAAAATCTGCAATTTGTAACACTCATTTTGGTTAATAATATTGGTTGCAATTGTGGGCGTTGAAGCTAAAATAGTTGATATTCCTGATGATATAAATTGAAATCAGATGGAATTAGATATTATATATATTATATGGCTGTGATTAACAGACACTGGAATTTCTAAATTTGTGTGGTGAAACAGGGAGATGTATGTGCTTTGAACCAGAAACCCAGTCTTTGATGGAGCAGACCAAATAAACGTAATGAACAGGCACAGTAATGCTTTTCTTAATACAATGTAAAATGCTGAAGATTGTTCTCCTATTGTGATTCCTGTGTTAATGACTAAACCTCTATTTCAAATCAAACTCATTCTTATTTTCACCTATTTTTTTCTGCTGAAAATTGCAACTTGAAAAAATTACAAACGCTGGTTCCTGTATTTACTCTTAGCAGGCTGTACTTTACGCAGAATCTATCACGTGAGCTTAGATGACTAAGCATCACGCAATTGCACTTTTGGAAGACATGTGAAAAGCGCGTCTGTGACGGCGGTCGTATTTCAGATGCAGAAGCAGCAAAAGCAGCAAAAGCAGCAGAGGAAGTGGAGGAAAAGCATTCTGGTTCTCTGCAGCAGCTCAAAGATACCTCAGGATGTACGACTGCCGTGCTGATTTCTTGCCCAACTCCTCCTTTTTCTTCTTCATCTCAACTATAAATGCTGTTGGGCTGGCTTCGGGATGATTGGTGGGGTCAAGCTTGGACACTGCTTCTCCTTCAATGCTGTTGCTGTTGCTGTTGCTTCCACTGCCATTTTGGGGTTCCTCGGTTTCGCTAAGTTGGGTCATTTGCAGCATCTGGTTCATTGCTCTTTTGTTGCTGTCCCACGCAAATGTCTTTAATTTCTCGTACTCGGCTGCCTCTCCATTCAAATGCCTTACAAATAGATTGTTGTTGTTGATGTATCCTGTATTCACATCTCTGATAGATCTTGTTTTGGGATTATATGATAATTCAATATCCTCGTTTTCGTTGTATTTTTGCGGCTTCGAATTGACTCCGTAAAGATAACTTGCTTTATCCTCCAAGATCCTTATAATTTTTTCTCCTGATGCCTTCTCACTATCGATTTTTGATTTAAAATCATTCTCTAGTAGTCCCAACTCTTGTAACTCAATTTCCTCATCCGAACTTGAATTAAAATACAGCTCTGTATTTTCTATAAAGCTATCATCGTTTGGTTCACCATCATATTTCTCAATTGATCTAATCAATCTATCAATTTCTTCCAATTTGAGTTTCTCCTTTTTCTTAATATCATTCTCTTCCCATGTTTTCAATTCACTTTCCCAATTGCTTATATCATATCCATACCACCGATCCCTCCTTGAATCATAATTATCTTTTTTATTACTATTGTAATTATCTGCCTCTTCTTTTCTTATCCTTATTATATTCTTTTTTTCTTTTCTGGGCTTTTTGTTGTTGGGTATATTGTGATTAGTAGTATTAAAAATAAGATCATCAGCATCATTATCCTCCTCCTCCTTCTCTTTTTCTCGAAAATTGATATTAATCTTATTTGGCCTCTCAAGACAATCCTTTTTTATATGATTTACTGAACCGCAATTCGTACAATAAACCCCATTCTTAGAATTAAATCTCTTGTTTCTTTTATTTTTATTAAATTTTTCAGTTTTACTGTTTCTCTTATTTTTATTTTTATTTCGATTTTTATCAAATTCTACTATATTCTCATCAACAATCTCCTCAAATAAATCATTAATTCCAAATCCGTGCTTAGATATTGCAAAATTCTTAGGTTTCAGTGTTGGGTCGTTTCGCTGATGAGCTAAATAATCCTTCTTTTCTTTATTGCCATCATCATCATCGCCACCAAGATTTTTGCTATAATTATCCTCATCAATGGTGTCGTTATCGTTTTCATTATTACTCTCTTTATACCAAGGAGCGACGGATATAAATTTAGGTATATACTGATTTCTGCCGCCACTTTGATTGGTTTTCCCCTGTTTCCTGAAATTATTGGTTCTTGGTGGCACCATTCTAAACGCTATTCTTACTAACTTACTAATCTAGTATGAATTTATAATTTATAACTAACGTTGTATTATTATATATCAAAAAATAAAAAAAAAATTAATAATACCGATTTTATCTTTATAGAAATTTATTGAAATGAGAAACACATGCATGATTCAACTAAAACCATCCCTGTGGATCTTCACACTCCATAGAATCAACTTACAAAATATTGAAAACTACAAATTTTGTCTGATTTTATATTGCCTGCACAATTTTAAAGCTTCTTCAAGTTCTTTAATAGCTGTATCAACATCGTCGTAGTTTAGTGCACTGATTGCAAACTTTGAATACTTTTGTGCTGTAGTGATCAATTCATCATCATCCATTAGCTGTTTTATCTGTTCTGCAGAATATTCAACTTTCTTACTATTCTTATTATTAACATGAATATCTTCTAACTTGTCATTGGAAAAATCATCATCATCACTATCTATAAAAGTAGGCAACTTTGCTTTTGGAAATGCAGAAGGTTTGGGGAATTCAATGTCATCAAGCTTTGGTGATAAGGGCACATCAGACAATGAAAAATCTCTTTTGGGAGATGATGGAACTTTTGGTAAGGAGAAAATTTTGTCATCATTATCATTATCTTCATTATATTCATTAGTATTCCTATTGTTGTTCTCATCTTTATTATCTTTATCATCTTTATCATCGTCACCATCACCATCACTCAAATACTCTAAAGAATTCTTTATGGTATCGTTGATTTCATCATTCGAAATTGGTCTAATATTAACTAACATACTTTGAAACTCTTCAAAAAACGATTCATCATTTGGATTTAAATTTTGTTTATAAATTTTTAAAATCTTTATTGCAATTATTTTACAATATTTAATTTTGAAAACGATTTCGTCATCCATCATTAATGGAAATTCTTTATTTAAATCATTTTCAATATCAAAATTATTATTATTATTATTATTATTATTATTATTATTATTATTATTATTATTTTCGTTATAATCACTGTTTTTTAAAACCATTGAATCTGGAAACAACTTTTTAGCAATTTCTAAAAATGTTGAAGAAGCTAATAAAGACTGAGGTGTAGCCCTAGTTATGCTTTTGTTATCAATTTGTTTAATACATGAATTTAAAATATTATCAGCAAATTGTAAAATGAAATTTTTACTCAATACATCACTTGATAGGATTTTGTTCTCTGATGGAGGTTCATTATTAAATAAATCATCGTCATCGTCATCGTCATCATTTTCTTCTTCTACTTCTTTATCACCTTCATCATTTATCTCACCTTCTTTGTTTTCGTCTACTTTATTTCTTTTTATTTTGATCTGATCTTCTATCCATTCAGTCATTTTGTCTTGATCATTTTTATTAGCACTTTCCAAATTTTCATCTTCTAATTCAATTAATTCAACTTTGTTTTTCTGAATTTGTTTTTTTTTTTTATTTTCTCTAGCCTGTTTTTTTATTTTCTTTAAATTTTCCCTGAATTGAAGGTTCTGTTGCTCATCAATTTCGCTTTGTTTAATAATATTTAATTTTTCCTTTTCTAAAAATTCTAATAATAAAATAGTTAATTTTTCAACATTCTTAAAATCAGAAGTGCCCAAATTATAATTATTGTTTGATTCGTTATTTGGTTCGTTTGAAGGGGTATCTTCGTTGCTGTAGCTGGTTATTATGGAGATCAACTCTTGGGTAGAATACAACCCACAGAAATAGGATATCAATTTCTTGTTGAACCTGTATAGCTCATCAGCCTTTTGCAAAGTGTTCTTGATATGCTTCAATGAACCTGGCAATGGAACAGACAAATAAGGAGCAGCAGCACTGGACATTTTGGTAATGATTTTAGAATGTGGTAGTGTTGGGGAAAGAAGCTGTTGCTGCAGTTTCTGCTGTTTTTGGTGAAGAAACTGAACAGGGGCCAGAGATGCGGATGAATTGGTCAGCAATGACAAATATTCCCAATGCGGAAACTAAAAGCGAATCTGATTCAAACATCCTTTTCATGGTCGACTTTTGTATTCGAACAATAAAGTGATGTTGTTTCCATCGCTTATGAAAATCACAATATTTCACTGTCTGTACAGTTTACTTTTAAAATAATTCCCATTAAAAATGAAAATTGACTTGAGAATCTCTGATTGATTTTGAATAAAATTTAAATCTTTGAAACTGCTATAGAAATTGTAAACTTAGCATAAAATATTTTTTTGAGCAGGATATTTTCTATACATGTTTTGGTTTAAAATATTGATGAAAGTATGTTTAAAATACACGAAGAAATTCTGGCCAATAATATATGTAAATATATGTACATCTAAGATTGTTTTTTTTTCATGTCAAAAAACTGAATCTTATTTTTTTCCAGAAATGATATTTTTGCTTTGCGATGTGCACATTGGAAAAACTTAAGTGTTTTTTCTCATTGACTACTCAATTCAAGACAATTGATTTGGACTTGTTATTTGGATTTACGATTATGACAGTTAAATGTCATTTGCACTAGAATTACTAATAAGATTGGTTATAACGGTAAATCTAGCCTTTGAAGAGTTAACAGTAAGTGAGTTTTGAACTTCAAAACAGTTTAAATTACTATCCGAACAGTTTTTGTATTATATGGATAAATTAATTAAAACATCTTAAATCAAAAATAAAATAATTTTTCATTGAAAAAAGTTGACTACAAAAGCTGATAATAAAAGCTTGTGTGGGATTGTTATAAAGACTATTAATTATCCTTGACACGTTTGTTGTTATTTATAATGATAGACAATTATTGTTCTTAAAATTCGCAATTGTAATACTTTAGAGTTTAATTTTTTTTACAGATTTTAAATCAAGCCAATTTTTTTGAATGTTTTAACTGGCGTTATTCATGAAATTACTAGTAAATTTGTCATACCTATTTATTTTTTGAATATAGCCCATACTATGTTAATTAGGCTGTATATTTCTAGCAAAATTTCATGTTAAACATATAAATTTGAAAATCGATCAAAATCCAGATATTTTCAAATTTCAATTTCAACCAATCTGAATCATTCAAACATATCAATGTTCGTTTTAAGAGACTATAATAATAAAATCTACCACCACAACAGTTTCATGCATAAACATGCGCTTTAAATTATTTTTTCCAACTTCAAATGACAAAATTTTACAAGAGTAAAATATAAACTACAATTGGGCCTACAGTAAAGAATGAAACTGGCAAATTAAATCTCTTTTTATTTAAAACTTGTCAGACTGCCATCAATACCCATCCAAGTATCGCGTCTTTCGAAAAAGCATGCAACATTGGATCGAAATCATCGCTCCTTTCTCAAGACATTAACCAGTGAACATCTCTGCAAACGAAAGGCAAATGCTAAAATAGATGACCGGACCAGCTAAGGATCACAGACAAACTAATTTGATTCTCATTCAATGGGTACAATGGGACTATCTCATCAACCAAGTTGGATTCAGTGGCTCTTTTGAAGAGTCAAAGAGAGACATTACCTATAGAAATGATCCTACTGTTGAATTTGTTAGTTGATCTTCGGCTCCTTGACATTGCAATGCAACACAGCTATAGTGGATGCTGTAGATTGGAAAGATGGCTAAACCATATAGGGAGCTACTTACTGAAGTACGTCGACAAAGAAAAAAAAGAGAAAAGAAGACTGAAAGGAAAGAAGAAAAAAAGCCTTATATATCATTTGGCCGTGTTACCCGGCGGATGTTTTTTCAAGGGCACGAACTTGAATTGGGCTACTTCTCAGATGCTGGGAGGATGGGAATCTTGTGGATGTGAAACTCTCTTTGTTTCACCACAGACCACAGCTACTGTCAACAAATTGGCCCACTCATTTTGTATAAATACATAAACACCTCTGTAGAATTATCTGTGCAAAAGACAAGAAAGGGAAGAAGTAATAGCAATTATATCTATAGTAGAGAAATATCGATTATATGAATCAAGTACGGAAACCATTAGAATTACAAAATCAAAAGTTTCATATTAATATCTGGATAACATATAAGCAAAATCACCAAAACCATAATCTATTATCAAATGTTTTAATAAATAACAGAAATGATGATGATTTGAGGTGTTGATATTTTGCCCAATCCAGCATTCGAATTTTTGTATTAAAATACAACTATATGCGGCAATATGCACAAAACTATTTTAACGATTCAAATTTCGAAACCCCTTTCGGAGATCCGAAGGTTTACGTCTCAAAAGACCTCAAAGAAGACCCCTCGGTTTTTCCGAACCGACACCAAACTGAACAGCTTTTTCAAAGCCATTATTATCAAATTATCAACTTTCTTTCATTAACGCCAATACTAATCATCAAGTGTCACATACTCCAGATATTTACAAGAAATGATTGATGGGAAATATTTTACAAAGGTCAAAGCCACAGATCTAAGGGTTGAGCTAACTCAAGCAGATAAAAAGTTGAAAAGCTCAGTCAATAAAAAAAAGATTATTATGAAAAAAATCATTGCTAATATTTCACTAAATAATAATGAAATGATAAGTTTAATTCCTGAAGTTTTAAGATTATTTGAAATAAATGATTTGCAATTAAAAAAAATGTGCACTTTTTATATACTAAATTACTATACATATAATGAAGAGCTAGTAATGAAGGCCTTACCGATATTTATTGATGATTTAAATTGCACAAATCCTTTGTTGAGAGCTTTATCGATTAAAACCATGTCTTCAATCTCAATAGAAAATTATGCTCAGAGAGTTATTCCATATATCAAAAAGGCTTTGAATGACACTGATCCATATGTTAGAAAAACCTCTTGTTTTGCTGTTGCAAAATTATTTCAACACAACTCAAGTCTCGTTCAACAGGAAAATTTGATTGAAAAATTAAACACTCTCTTAAATTCAGACTCAAATTCAATAGTAGTATCAAGTGCATTAGCTGCTTTAAACGATATAACCGAACATTCAACCACTTTGCAATTAACTATTGATAAAGCTCATGCGTTTAGTTTAATGAAAAATTTATCGAAATGTAACGAATGGTCTCAAGTCAATATTTTAAATTCAATATTATCCTTTACTCCACAATCTTCAAGTGATGCAATAAATTTAATTGAAAATATTATTCCGGTTTTACAACATGAAAATACTTCAATTGTGCTCAATGGAATTAAAGCAATAGTCTATTTATCTAATTATGTGAAATCTCCTCAAGATACTGTACCAACATTACCCAAAAAGATTGGCAATTCTTTAGTTTTCTTATTAACAAAGCCCCCTGAATTACAATTTTTAATCTTGCGAAATGTTATCTTATTGTTACTATCAAAGCCTTCCTTAATATCATTAGATGTTACAATGTTTTTCTGTAAATTCAACGATCCAATATATGTCAAAGATACAAAATTGGAAATCATATATCTTTTAGCTAATTTAGAAAACTTACAAATTGTTTTAAGAGAATTGGAAGAATATGCTACTGAAATCGATACCCAAATGGCTAGAAAGGCAATCAGGGCCATTGGAAATCTATCAATCAAGTTAGAAGAGGCATCTATACCATCTTCGCAGGTCTTAGCTGATTTGATTTCTAGTGGTGTTCCACATATTGTTCAAGAATGTGTCATAGTGGTTAAAAATATTTTTCGAAAATACCCAGGCAGATTTAATGATTTAATTTTACCTGCTTTAATTGATAAAATTGATTTGATTGAAGAAGCGGAGTCTAAATCAGCAATGATTTGGATATTAGGTGAATATTGTGAATTTATTGATAATTCGACTTCTTATCTCGATGATTTTGCTTTTGGTTTTGATGAGGATAGTTTGGATGTCAAACTATCAATGTTAACTGCATGTATTAAACTATATCTTAAATCTGAATCTTATCCTAGCAGATTTGCTAATAACAGTAATAATGGCAGTAGTACCAGTCTTAATGGTAATAATAGTGAGTCAAAAGAACAAAAAATATTATTAAAAATTTTGAAATCCGCAACTGAGAATACAGATAATCCAGATCTCAGAGATAGAGCACTTTATTATTGGAGATTATTATCGTCACAAGGTAAATTCCCTGGAACTGGAAACAGAATAATGTTGAAAACTTTACCGCAGATATCTGCTGATCAAGATAAATTAGATCCAATAATATTGGAAGAACTAGAGTTAAATATTGGTACTTTGGCTAGTATTTATCTCAAACCTGTGACTCAAGTTTTTAGGTTATCCAAGCAGAAATTACTAAATGATAGTCCTGCTTTACAGAAATCATATAACATACAACTAGATTTAAAAAATAAAAAAACCTTACAAATTCAAGATAAAAATCCATTTTCTCAGCAAAATTTAGTTGATATAACTGAAGAAGATAATGAATCTAATAATGAGTTTAATCTCGGTAATGGAAATTCAAGAGTAACTGTTGTTAGTCCAAAGGATAAGAAATTTCCTAAAAATGCATATACAACATATTTGTATCCAGATGGGAGGAAAACTGATCAAAATGGAATTGATTTAATCTCACCAACGGTTCCAAATGGACCTGGAAGTGAAACACGTTTTGCTTCAGACGACCAATACGACACACAAGAGATTTCAAATTCAAGGAAAAGTATGGAACCTTTGCAAAGAGGTCAATTGGATAACTTTGAAAATATTTCTGTCAGCAAAAGGCATTTTGGAAGAAAGAAAACCACGAAGAGCGGAAATTTTCTTCATAAAAATAAGTATAAATAAGTTATAATCAATAGAATTTCCAAGGTTATTAGTCTTTTAGTTTTCTATTGTCCATGCATTTATTTAAGATTATTTTGAAAATATTACATATTGAATTTGTTTTTTTGCTTCAATAGACTTTTTTTTTGTTATTCCTATATCCAACAAGATTATCACTATTTTTCACTTTCATTTATTGTTTAAATAAAATTATTCCACCACTTTGTTGCTATTAAATTAGCTTTTATTTTGTCATAGTTGACTTAATCATCCACAACAGTCAGCAGTGTGTCAATTAAAGATCTTTATAAAGCAAATCATTTGAAATTCATTTGAAATTCTGTAACGGACTAGCAATTACAAAGAAAGAAAACTCCAACAAAAAGCCAATTCAGCAAGCAAAAATATAGAAAATCCGGGTAACTGTGTGTATTTTCTAGTATTGCGAATCTTATTATATCATAGCTGCAGAATTAGGAAAGTCTAATGGAAAGTGGCAGAATCCAAAAATGCTGACAGAGGAAAAAGAAAATGGTATAAAAAGAACATGAATTATTTAATTTTTCTGATTAGATTTCTACAATAACTAACAAATACTGCTATTAACATCTTTGATATACTGAATCATCAATTTATCAAACTACGTACTCCTATCACAAATCTACTACTTATTAAATATGTCTGGTATATTTTCTAATCAATTTTGGAATTTCGTCGATTCTCTTGACAGAGATTTGAATCAATTGCAAATTGCCATGCTGAATGCAGGTTTTACTCGTCCAAAGGGTGTTAAAAATACCAAAAATCCCGTTGATAACAATCCTGCTGTTATTACTGATTCAGCTAAAGAAAAATCATTGTCTGAAAAGGGTAAAAGCACACTATCAAAAATGTACAACAACTATGTTACAACACAAATTGAATTGGGCCCACCCATTGACTTGTTGGATAGACCAGAAGTTTATGAATTGCATGTTTCATTAGCTGGGGCTGAAAAGGATCAAATTCATATTGATTTTGACAGCGACGATAACGAGATCAAAATTTACGGTGAAATTGAAACGCATAAGGAAGTGGAAAAAGAAAATTACAAGTTCCAAGAGAGAAGAACTGGATCATTTACCAGAACAGTGTCCTTACCAATTGATGAAAAATTGGACGAAGATAAAATTACCTCATCATATAAAAATGGTGTTTTAACGGTTTTTCTTCCAAAATTGGGCAAGAAAGAAAAAAAAAGTGTCAGGAAGCTAGAAATTTCTTAAGTAACTATACCATATTGAAAACCAGCATAAGCACCAAAACAATTTTCTCTTCATACTTATTTCTTTAAGCCAATAAAAATGCATGACGATTACCTTTTAATATTACACTGTAGACCCTCGATATATCTCGCATATTCATGCGTTATACCGCGCACGAAATTGGGATCCCACCTCCACGATTCCCTAAGAAAATCGAAACAGTGACAAAAGTGTTTTTGACCCAGAAGATGAGTGGCCTGAAGAAGAAAGAAAGCTGATTAACAACTGGGTGGTTGATTTCTCTTGGGTTGAAACATCTTTTGGCTAACAAAAGACTGAAATATTCACAGCTGAATTTGTTAGAAATGTGTTAATCGTAACATGATTATTCATAGCCGAATAATGTGAAGTTGGCCAACTTAGTTTATCTGAATGCCCCCAAAATAATTGTTGAAAAAGAGAAATAAGCGAAAAAGAAAAAAAGAAAAAAAAAAGCAAATCGTATGAAAATCGTATAAAAACCAAAGAAAAGTTGGGTACGATTTTAGATTACCTAATAAATATAAAACAATCCTGCGTTTTGCGAGTAATTATCTGCGTTTTACTCTTTTAAGATCTAAGTCCATTGAATGATAATAAGTTTATGAATTGCATTCACATGAATCTGGATCATAAAAGAGACCCATTACATGTTATTACATTTAGAGTATTTGGTATCTATTGGCCAATGGTTTTGCGATGGCAAAAAGTTTGAACTTTCTGGAGATATTCGCGAGAAACCAAACTGAAGATCGATGACTTAGAGAACATTGATACCATTTGCCAGAGTTCCCTGAACCCACAGATGGCCTGGCGAGGTTTTCGATAATCTAGTTTACACAAACCACCACCGATACCTCAATTACCATTGCAATAGTTGCAAGGACATTATTTTGCTGATAAATATCACCCTTTTTTGTTTTTTATTTAGCCTGAAAACAAGAAGTGCGATTTAAATAGCTTTTATTCACCGCCCCAATCGCAATAATTCAGAATTAGTAATTGAGTTTCAAACTTTGTAATTCGACACATATGGGATATTTCTAAGAGATGAAATGCTCGATACAAAATATGAATCATAAATTCCTGGTGCATTTCGTGTTGTTTATATTTGTTTTTTGTTTCTTTTGAGGTGTTGGTGGGTGCGAATTACCACTCGATTGGGTGATTTTGGTATTGCTATTATTTATTTTTCACGTTATTTAATTATATTTTATTTCTTTTCGTGTTGGCGACGTTCGCTAACTGTTCTTATCGAGCATTTTTCTCCTGCCGAACACTGGACCTCCATACATTTTGCTTGAGTTTTCAGCAAAAGAACATCAAATAAAGAACGATACATCGAAAAATAATAAAAAACTTTCGCAATGTTTTTATATTTCTCTTCTAAGTTCCCAAATTAAATTCAGATTGTCTCATTAATGTCTATAAACTGTCTTTGATCTTGTAAATATATTGTGGTCTTGTTTTTACGTTTTTTTTAATATATATTCATCTAAATTTCTCTTGTCTTTCTCTTCCACTTATCTTTTTATTTATTCTTTCTTCAACTCTCTATCTCACTATTCAAACTTCTTTATCTGTTTTACTAAATTACTTCGGCTAGTTATTTCATTACACTTATCTATTTTAATTTACTATCTACTTTACTCGAACTACTTCTTTCACTTCATCACATCTCAACCTTAACAACCCTAATATACTTATTCATATACACATTTACTTAAATAATATTCCTTTAATACCCTCTGTATTTTAATTTCAAGATGTCTATTAATCAAATCCAATCAACTGAAGAATTAACTTCTGCTTTAAAAGCTGCTTCTTTGCTCAAGGAATCCAAGGCTAATGGTGATTCTAAACCAACTGACCAATATGAATTAACTAAATTCTCTTTATCTTCTCATAAAGAATTTCTTAACAAGCATAAGGTTCATCGTCACCAAATTAAAGAAGCCGAATCACAAGAGCCTTTATTGATGGAAAATAAGCGTCGTTTTGTTTTGTTTCCAATCAAGTACCATGAAATTTGGCAAATGTATAAAAAAGCTGAGGCTTCGTTCTGGACTGCTGAAGAAATTGATTTGGGTAAAGATTTGCATGACTGGAACAATAGATTGAATTCAAATGAAAAATTTTTCATTTCAAGAGTCTTAGCATTTTTCGCTGCTTCTGATGGTATTGTTAATGAAAATTTGGTTGAAAATTTTTCTGCTGAAGTTCAAATCCCCGAAGCAAAATGTTTCTATGGTTTCCAAATCATGATGGAAAATATTCATTCCGAAACCTATTCATTATTAATCGACACCTATATCAAGGATCCAAAAGAATCTGAATATTTATTCAATGCCATCGAAACTATTCCATGTATCAAACAAAAAGCTGGATGGGCTCTTAGATGGATAAATGATGACACTGCCTTGTATGCTGAAAGATTGGTTGCCTTTGCAGCTGTTGAGGGTATTTTCTTTTCAGGTTCTTTTGCTTCAATCTTTTGGTTAAAAAAAAGAGGTTTAATGCCTGGCTTAACCTTCTCAAATGAATTGATTTGCAGAGACGAAGGTCTTCATACTGATTTTGCCTGTCTTTTATTCTCTCATTTGGTCAATAAACCTGACCCAACAATTGTTGAAAAGATTATTACTGAAGCAGTTGAGATTGAAAAAGAATATTTCACTGATGCTTTACCTGCCTCCTTATTAGGTATGAACTGTAAATTAATGTGTCAATATGTTGAATTTGTTGCTGATAGATTGTTAGTTGCTCTCGGTAATAAAAAATTCTATAATGCAACTAATCCATTTGATTTTATGGAAAATATTTCTCTTGCCGGTAAAACCAATTTCTTTGAAAAGAGAGTCTCTGATTATCAAAAAGCTGGCGTTATGGCTTCAACTAATAATCAACCCTCAAATCAAGATCTCTTTAACTTTGATGAGGACTTTTAGTTTCCCTATTGGGCTTACCAAAATGATAAATTTGACTATCAAATCAACTTTTTAGACTAACTTATAAATATTATTGGTCTTGTTTACTTATTTCCCTATTTATTTATTCACTTACTCTATTTATTTACAAATTATTTGGCTTGTGTTATGAATTTTCTAGATTTATACCAATCACCTATAAATCATGGTTATTTTTCTGTTTTTGTTTGTTTTTTTTTTGTTTTTTTTTGTATACTATATAAGAAATGGATTACTTTAAACATTAGATTTATAAATAAACGTATTTTTTTCTGTCAATTCATATCAAACCAGCAGCTGAATTATCTATTTTTTCCTTTATGCTGGCTTTCTTTATTAGATTAAATGCTCTACATTACCGTATCGTCCAATTGGTCCAATTGTTATATTCTGATCAAGTAAACTTAACCAATTTACAATTTTCTTTAAAAATAGGAAAAAGATAAAATTCAGCTTCTCAATAACTATCAAAACTGGTAAGATAACTTTTTTATGCTTGTGGAAACCAACAGCCTACGAGATGAATTTGTCGTTATACAGAGCATCAGAACTGGAAACAAAAAAGAAATTGGTTCTGCTTTGGCCAATAATGGAAAAGTTATTAAAACAATAGATTGTGACAACACGCTAATGGCTGTCTGCTTGTTTCTTTCTGCTAAAATCCGGATAATCTCAATGGTAACACACTAAGTTGGTTTAGTTGTTCCATTCCTTCTATACATCTGGTTTTGGTTGACTGTTATTGAGATATCAATGGGCAACCCAATCTTTTTGCATTTCGGAAAGCACAGATGCTTCCACTGCAGCTACCTTTCTCGCTAACACCTCTTGCCAGAAGCAGTAAATACGTATCAATCAGGCTCGACCCCAGAGCAAATCATTCTGAACCAGATAAGCTTTCGTTGCGTTGGTTAACTGGTGAACTGAGAGAGTTGAGAACAGTTATCATCGATTATTACTCCTTCCGATAAAAAACCACCGCTCCGGGTCCTGAAATTTATTTGAAAGGTAAACAAACCTCTCTTCAGAGCTTCCTCCAAAGAGAGAAGAGCTCTATTGGGAACTTGGTGAAGAGCTTCGTGAAGAACTTCGTGCTTATGTGTTGAAGGGGTCTGGTTTGGCTGTTATTTTCCTATTCAACGAGATCCAACTGCATTTTCAGCTTCAATTCGCTTGGGTGATGCTATTCTCGTTTGTGCCTTACTTTTATGTCCTGATGTGTCATCTGAATCACCATCTCATATCTTCATCTTTTGCAAACAACTGTTTCAATTTCAAATCGATCCAGCTGCTTTATGTCGTTGTTTACTTTTGCTATTTCTCAGATTGGGCTCAATGTTGATTCCAGTAACTAGTTGGAGGCTCTCAAATTACAAATTTCCAAATTGATCCAAATCGATATCTTTAATACTCAAATGTACCTCCATTACATTTCCTATTGTCCTGAAAATTGAATCATTTTGAAAACCCATTTCAACTATTAGGGAAATAGTCTCAAAAGGACTAAAGAGCTAAAACTACTATCCCTTTTATCAACTTGAATTAAGAATTGGATATATTAAATGAATTTAAATATTAATTCACTTTTTGTTATTGTTATTCTGACTGCATTTCAATTATATTTCAATTATACATTTTAATTATTTCTTGTTATTTTTGTGTATATTTGCTTATTATTGCTTAGATTTTATAGTGTATCATTAATTTTTGTTTCAGAAATCTACATATATAAAGAACTGCAAATCTATTCATTTTTTTTTTGTCTCAGATTATACACTCATTATAATAATTATCAAAATAAATATAATAATCATAATAACAACAATCATTTTCAGATAAATCATTTGTTTTACTTTATTCTATTTTAATTTATTTCTTTTCACTTCAATTTAATATATCTTTGTTTTACTTTGTTGGTCTTCAAAAATGAGCTTCTTATCAATCCCACACATTTCTCAAAATAATAATAATTATCAAATGAATAACATCGATAATAATTTTAGTTCCATCAATTCCTTGAAAACTATTTCTCCTCAAAACTCCTATGATAAAAATAATAATAAAAAATTTGTTCTACCTCCTTTATCAACAATTTTGATTCAGCCAAATAAAGGTAAAACTGATTTATTTTCCAATAAGATAACACATAACAATCATGAATCACATATAAAGATAACAGATAATAACAATACTAATAATATCAATAACACTGATAAGATTAATGAATATAGTAACAATAATAACCATAATAATAATCATAATCATAACAACAATAATAATAACCATAACAATAACAACAATTTTGCCAATGATTATAATAATGAATTATATGATGGTTATAATGTTAATCATCGTCAACCAAATTACTTCCACTCAAATTTACCCAGTTTTTCTTCAACTTTTAATTTAGTCTCACCACATGCAACATCATCTAATGAAAGATCAAGCTCAATTTCTTATGGAAAAGATTTACAACCATTCACTCCAGTTTCTTCATCGTTTCCATCAGTTTACAGAGACACCTTTTATGAATCGGATAATTCAACATCGTTGCAACAAAACCATAGATACTCAATTGACTTTCAAAACAATATTCCAAGAAATGAAAGTTTTAATAATATCGTCTCTGGAAATAAACCTTCAAATACAACTGTTTTTGAGGCAAAAAAACCTACAAAGAAAAGCAATACCTTGAAAAATAATGATTTGAATAAAAAAAAACAGAAAAAAAAGGAACCAATGACTTATGCCTTTATCTCACATAGTATTGATACATATCCTTCAAAAGAACCTGAAATAGATAATGCTCAATTGGCTAGAACTAAACGTAGAAGAACAACTCTAAATGAATTAAATATATTACAACAGGAGTTTGAGGTTGGAAAAACCCCAAACAAATTAAGAAGAATCCAAATCGCCGAAAAAGTTGGAATGACTGAAAAAACAGTTCAGATTTGGTTTCAAAATAAGAGACAAAACTTGAAAAAGGCAAAACTTAGATTGAAAATTAAAAAACCAAATCAACATAAAAAGCCTAATAATTTATTGAATAAAGCTGAATCAATTGAAAAAAATCCTGAAATTAATTCTATAAATCACAAAATTTCAAATTTAAGGTCTTCTTCTCCGTTAAAGGAATTGGACAGAAACAAAATCAATTTAAGTTATATAGGGGTTGAAACTCCAACTGAAAAAGAACCAAAAGACAATTATAATGGGGTTTCCTATGACTCTAACAGCTCGATTGCAAACACACTATATGATCCAATTTTATTTTCGAATTCAAATAACAACAATAGTTTATATGGTGGACAAGCAAAAGCAAAAGCAAAAAGCATTGAGATATATCAAGATTCACAAAATAATTTATCTCCTACTAATTTAACTTTTCGTTTGAAAGAACTAGATATTGATTCATATGAACATTTAGAGATGGAGGTGACAAAAAATGGTGATAATCAGTAGGTGATCTGATTTTAATGACACTTGAAACATTTGGACATTTAACAATGGAGATTTGATTTTTTTTTGAGATGATCACAGATTAATAATTAAACTCTTTTTCATTTTGACATTCACAATTCACAAATGATCATTAATTATAACCTAGTATCTTTTTGTTTGTTTCTTTTTTTGCTTTTGAAAATGGTTTATGGATAACGAATAACCTGGAATTTGATAATCCAGAAATAATTAATATGCTTTTTTGGTTAAATTAATAAATTTTTATAAATAGTTTGCATTATGTATTTATTTAAAAATAATATTTGGGTATTTTAATTAAAAACCTTTATTATGCATGTAGACGCGTATTGATTCTTATATCTGCATACTGCTTTAGGAAATTCTAAATAAAGATAAAGAAATGTCAAACTACAAAACAGAAATATAAAACAATAAAAGAAAAATTGGGTAGTTACAGTGGTCGAGTGGTTAAGGAAGCGTTCTCCTATAAGTAATTATCAGAAGCAATTTCATCAAATTCATCTGATGAAATCTTGAGAGTAACGTAAGGTTTATCCTCCACAGGTTCGAATCCTGTCTGTAACGAAGGGTTCTATTTGTTTTGAGATTACAATTTAATACATAAAACGTAATTCAAAAGACAAAAATGTACAATGATACCAAAGGAAAGAGATAGAGCCAGGATTCTCGCAACCCATTAGTACTTAATATGGAAGGATTAAAATCTGATATTATTGTAAAAGTGGTAGTAGACAAATAAACAGAGAGTATAATTTAAATCTAAGTATTTTCTAAAAATTTGTACCAGTGCTGAAGTTCATCCTCTAAAAGTGCAGATTTTGTTATTGTAGAATTCTTTAAGCTAAGAATGTTAGTTTTAAATCATTAAAAATTAATTTGAAACTCTAGCAGCCACATTTCTATAATTATATTTTGGGGTTTCATCATCAATAGCATTTTGGAATTTAATTTTTAGTTGACTCAATGCAATGACCAAAGTGTTAGTGTCAAGTATATTTATATTGCGTATGGGTGTCTATCCATTTAGTCCAAGTGCATTTCCAACAATGGTTGCTCTGATAAACCTTTACTTTTTGAAACAAATATATCAATGCTCATTACAATCTACTTTTCTCAAAAAAATTGCCCATTTATAGGAAAAAAAATAATGTATTTGATGAACAGAGCCAAAAGAAGCAAACGCTCCCAGATAGCTGGATCAGTTCCTCAGATGCATGTTTATGCACAATTCCTGTGTTTTAGACCCAATCTGTGGATTTGGAGTTTTTGAAGAGCTTTTCAATGCTCATCACTGGATTATCACAAAGATATTCAATGGAAAACAAACGAAAAAGATCCTTTGAGAGCCAGAGACCATCCAGGCCCAGCAAGAAATTGGATTTGGCAGAAGGAGTTTGGCCAGAATCTTTTCGAGAGCTAGAATTGATTTATTTTCATTTAAATACCTTTTACACTTTTCTCTCTGCAAAAAAGAATACCGTAACTAGTTTTGATACTGTGAAGGTCCCTGCTGAAAAACAAATCAAAAGAAAACTAACCCATATTGATGTTTGCAAATTGATAGCATTATTGCCAAATCACACTCTGTTTCGTTATGTTGATAAAAGTCAATTATCATTACTAGAGGAGAAGCAATTTGACAACCACGGATTTGTTCAAAAAGAATCTGATATTTTCAAATTAGAAGATTTAGAAGATGAAGACGAAGCAAAAAATCAGGTTCTATTGTTTGAGTTCACCGATAGCACACCAAATCAGAAAAAAGTTAAAAGCTCGTTTTATTCAAACACTCCAATATACACTACTGAGCAAATAAAGAGATTAATTGATAAAAGAAAAAAACTTTTCGAAGAGGCTGTTAACCGATTTTTAGAGAAATGTTCCAAAGATGAAGATCCTATGGAACGTTTAACTGAAAATGCTAAGATTCATTTGCCTAAATTAAATACATTTATTGACCCAATTCAAGCAATGCTAGAAAATCAAAACGAAAACGAGCAATCAAATAGTTTAGATGAGAGATGTTCTATTCCGGAAATGATCGATCTTTTGAAAAAATCAAGTTTTTATAAGCATCAGATTGTTTCTAATGGAGAATTTCACTTTCCAGAAAGAACTCCAATGTATTCATCATTGAATTTTGAATTATCACCAAAGTTGATCAAAGCTCTCCACGATGTGAAATCTGTTAGAGAATTTTATTCGCATCAAGCTAAAGCAATAAATGCTATTCATCAAGAGAAAAATGTTATTATAACTACTAGTACATCCAGTGGAAAGAGTTTAATATATCAAATACCTGTTTTAAATAATTTGATTGAATCAAAAAAAGAAACGAAAGATTTGGAGACTGCGATTTACATTTTTCCAACCAAAGCATTAGCACAAGACCAAAAGAGATCATTATCTGAATTAATAGAAGCCATCCCAAGTTTAGCAAGAAATATTTTAGTTGAAACCTTTGATGGTGATACTCCGAAAAATAAACGGTCTTATATTAGAGAAAATGCTCATATCATTTTCACAAATCCAGATACTATTCATTGGTCTATTTTGCCTAATAATGAAAATTGGAGCTCATTTTTAAAAAGACTAAAGTATATAGTAGTGGATGAATTGCATATTTATAATGGTTTATTTGGTTCGCATGTTGGATTAGTGATGCGAAGACTAATTCGGATATGCAATTATATCGGAAACAATAATATTATATTTATATCATGTTCAGCTACTTTAAAAACCCCAATAAAACATATGTCAACTCTTTTTGGGTTAAGTGAATCAAAGGATTCAATTTGTCATATTTCAAAAGATGGATCACCATCTGGTGAAAAGTATTTAATAGCTTGGAATCCCATATTAGTTAATAAAAACAATCATGAACATAAACGAGAATCATTTATTGTTGAATCTGCTAGGATATTAATTGAATTAGTGAAGAATAATTTTAGAGTGATAAGCTTTTGTGTTGTAAGAGAAGTATGTGAATTATTAATGAAGGAAGTTAGATATCAGCTTAAAGAAATAAATAGATCTGACTTGATCGAGAAGATTATGGCATATCGTGGAGGATATTCTGCATCCGATAGACGAGAAATTGAATTTCAAATGTTTAATCAAAATTTAAAGGCAATTATTGCAACAAATGCTCTTGAGTTGGGTATAGATATTGGGTCATTAGATGTTGTATTAAACTGTGGATTTCCTATATCTCTTGCAAATTTCAAGCAGCAAAGTGGTAGAGCTGGAAGAAGAAACAAAGATTCAATGACATTATTTGTTGGTAGTAATGATCCTGTTAATCAATTTTACATGAAAGATCCCAACAAATTGATCAGTAATAATTATCAGGAATTGGTGTTAGATTTTAAAAATTTAGTAATTTTAGAGTCACATATTCAATGTGCAGCATTTGAATTGCCAATTAACATTGAAACAGATTCCAGGATTTTCTTTGGAGAGGAATTTTTAGAAAAAATTTGTGAAAAGAGTTTACGAAAGGATGATTATGGATACAATACAAGTGAAAAATATTTACCTTGGCCAAGTTCTTTTGTTAATTTAAGAGGGGATTTTGAGGATAAATTTGCAGTAGTTGATGTAACCAATGGACGGAATATAGTTATTGAAGAAATTGAAAAAACTAGAACTACATTTACGTTGTATGATGGAGGGATTTTTATCCATCAGGGCTTGCCATATTTAATCAAGGAGTTTAACCCTGAAGAGTTTTATGCCAAAGTGATTCGGGTTAATGTTGATTGGAGAACAAACCAAAGAGATTACACAGATGTTGATCCGATAGAAGTTGAAAAGGCAATAAAGGCAGATTGTCCAATTTATTTTGGTAAGGTCAAGATCACGATGGTTGTATTTGGGTTTTTCAAAGTTGATAAGAAAAATCGAATTTTAGATGCAGTACAAGTTACTAATCCTCCAGTTATTATTGATACAAAGGGGTTTTGGATAAATGTTCCAAAGGAAGCTATCTCGATGGTAAGAAAAAAGGAGTTATCATTAGCAGGTGGAATTCATGGAGCGCAGCATTGCATTGCTAATTTGTTTCCATTGATTATTTTTAGTGGAAAAGATGATATATTTAGTGAGTGCAAAGCACCAGAGAAAGAATTTGCAAACAGGCAAACTAGTCGACAACGACCAGCCAGGTTAATATTTTGTGATTTTAAAGGTGGAGTATACGGGAGTGGATTGTGTGAGAAGGCATTTGAGAATATTGAGGAAATATTGGAGGAATCGTTAAAGAGAATTATTGAATGTGATTGCGAGTATGGATGTCCCGAGTGCATTGCTTCAGGGTCGTGTAAAGAGAGTTCGTTAGTTTTGTCGAAACCCGCAGCAGTTATAATTCTTTCAGTGATTTGTGGATACGAAATTGATTTGGATTCCATACCCAAGGGACCAGAGATCAATATGCCGTTAATTAAGACTGAGACTATAGTTGCCAGTGGAGATATAATTAAGAGGAATAAAAAGTTTGAGGTTGTTGAGCCTAAAAAGGATTGCAGAATAATGAAGATGAATAAAGGGAAGATTGTTTATAAGAGGAATAAAAAAGAAAGTGAGATAGTAGGCAATGGATTTGGAAGTGATGAGTTTGAAAGTGATCCATTTGGAGACGATGATGATGATGAATTTTTTTGAAAAATAAATATTGAAATAGTAAAAGAATAATGAATAAAATCTGGGGTAATTGTTATTGTAGGAAACGGTTTGAGTTGCCCAAAGAGGAATAGTGATGAGAAATAAAGTTTAAAGAAGGTTCTCCACAATACTAGGAGGGATCAAATGCTTATTTAACACAATAAGATTCTTTTGCAAGCAATTGTGTATAAATATCCAGAAAGGTAATATATATCTAGAGAGATAGAAGTAAGAGAGAGGGAAAATTGAAGTAAACTAAAACAAGGTGACGATGAAGGAGAAATTGTTTACGAAGATTAAGAAAACAACAAAGGCAGTGTTTCCAAGGAGCTCACGTTTATCGACACTTTCATCAGAGGATGTGTTATCAATTGTTTATAATGAGTTTGAAAGCACTTTGAGCTGTGATGATATTGTTTGCAATAAAAACAGTGATAGTGATAAAGTTGTATACAATTTGGTTTTTTTACATGGAACTGGAATGAATAAAGAGATTTGGAACTACCATATAGAGAAGATATTTGAGTATTGTTTGGTAAAAAAAACAGAGATTAATTGGAAACTCGGTAAAGTTATTAGTGTGGATATGGTTAATCATTGCGATTCATATTTATTGAACCGGGATAAATTGGGAGTTGAGTATAATTGGATCGATGGATCAAAAGACGTTATTAAGATAATGAAGGAAGAAAAGTTGTATATGAAGGAAGAAAAGAGGAAACGAGTGAAGAATATTTTGATTGGACATTCGTTGGGAGGATTTCAGGTATTGATGATTGGGTTTTTGGAACCAAATTTAGTTGATTCAATATTATCTATTGATCCAGTTATTTATACTGATGGAAATAATGAAAGGACAATAAAGAGGTTTAGCACCTTATACTCCAGTATTCTTAAGAGCGAATTTAAGAATCTAAAGGAATGCAAGGAATATTTTTACAAAAAATCAATTTTCAAAGATTTTCATCCAAGAATTCTCGAGGATTATATGAAATCGGAAATCAATTATGTGGAGAAGAATGGAGAAAGAAGAATCGAATTGAAAAGTAATGTGAAACAACAAATGGCTACATATATGTCGGTCTTTAAGGTTATCAAGACTGGGATGAGGATTTTAGAGTTAATATCCAAGGAAATCGAGGTTGTGCACATAATTGGAACCAAAGCGAGGTGGAACGACCAAAGGGCCTACAAATACATCAGAGAGAAGATACAAAACTGCCAAAAAGTTGACATCGAAAACGCCAAACACCTTTTGAACTGTGAGGAGCCAGATCGCATGGTGACGCTTATCGTGCAGCAATTGCACCGCCGGGCGCAGGAGAAACAGACCCAGAGACGCGGGTCGGACTCAGAAACGAGGGCAGCTCTCTTTGAAAGCGAGTTCCAAAGGCACATCGAGGACCGGTTGAGCCGTCGGTCGACAAAGCTCTAGCGCCACGCAGCCGGCAAGGTCGGAGGAGTGTCCAGCAGGCTTTCGGCACGCCCGGCTTTTATTTACACGTGACTACGGACCGTATAAGAGCCGTCCACCGCTTGGGCGCGTGCGCTGGCTTGTGTTGCCTCTGGTCCATCTGCTTCCTGTGCTGCCTGTGCTGTCTCTGCTGCCTCTGGTGACTGTGCTTCTCTCGCCACTCTTCCTCTGCTATCTTTGCTACTGCTTGTTCAAACGAGCTTTATTTGCCTGCTCTTTAACCCCTACTGCGACTGTCATTTGCACTGCACATTCTGCTATTTCTATCCCCAGTGTGGATCACCTTGGTCCTTTCATCTGCTCATTCTGCTTATCCAGCTCATTCTGCTTCCTCTGCTTCCCCTGCTTTCTCTGTTTATCCAGATTGTACAGTCTATACAACCTATCCAGCTTACCTAGCCCGCCAACCTGTTTCTTGTGCCAGTTCCTACGCTGCCAGATATATCCAGTAGTTAGCAATCACACCTAGTCTTGCTCCATACTGCCAAAGCGAACTCCTCTTTCTCGTTTTTGATTTTCTGTGAAGCTGTTAATTACTGATCAACCATCCCTCTTTTATTCAATTAATTATTTCTCTATCCAGACAATCAATCTATCTATTCTTCCTCTACCTCTCTGTCAATCCTTGTTCTGTTCTTTGATTGCACCTAACTACCCATTCCCCAAGAATAGTCTTTTTTTAGTATCTGGAGTCAAAAAAATTCTAAAAAAAACTCAAAAAAAAAATCAAAAAAAATCAAACAAACTCTCAATCCATCAACCAACAAATCAATCAATCCATCAACCAACAAATCAATCAATCCATCCATCAATCAATCAATCAAGTGGTAGTCTGTTCTATTTCTCTTGAATAACTAATATTCTAATTAGTTATTCTATTACTCTACTTTACTTCATCCCATCTTATTCTATTCCAAGTTAATCTTAGTTTAGTTTTCGTTGATTGTATTGTTTTATTTTTATTTTTATTTTTATTTTTATTTTTATTTTTATTTAATATTTATCTTTTTATCTGGAATATTAAATACTAAAACACATTCAATCATATTGTATCCAATCAAACCATATCATTTTATATCATATCATATCATTTTATTTCAATCCTTATTTCCTTTATTGATCTTTCTTTCCTTTTATTGATCTTTCTTTCCTTTTATTTTTATTTTTATTTTTATTTTTATTTCTATTTCTATTTTTTGGGGGGGGGTTTTATTTTCCTGTCATTTTTTATTTGCAATTCATCTTTCAAAAATGTCATCATCTAATAACAATAGCAATAACAATGCCCAAAATAGCTCCTCAAACAGATTACAAATCCCCGGTTTAAACCCTAACCAAAACCAACAAACATTAAACCCAAACAAAAATAAAAGAAATCATCTACACATCGCTCACAGAAGATCTCCAAGTGATCTAACCACTTTAATGATCGAACAATTGGCGCTACAAAAACAATTGGAACTAGTTCAACAGCAACAACAACAAATCATTCAACAACAAGCGGTTCAACAAAATTACATCTTAAGCCAACAACAACAAATTAACAATAACAGTAATAGCAATATTAACAACATTCACAACAATTCCTCTATAAGCTCAAATCAAATCCAAAATCAATCTCCAGTTCAAATCCAAATCCAAAACCCAAACCAAAACCAAAATCAAATTCAAAATCAAAATATCAACCAAAACAAAAAAAGATCTCACAGAAGATCTCAATCCTCTTCTATAATGGGTTCAATGGGCTCAATGGGTTCTTTTAGTATCCCAAATTCTTCTTTAAACGTTCCTCCAATTCATCAATTATCTTCAAACCATAAACAATCTTCTTCTTTTTCCAAAAATCTCCCAAATAACAATAACAATAACAACAATAGTAATAATAACAATAATAATAATAACAATAACAACAACAATTCAATCAACTTTCAACAGCCACAACAACCCTTTTCTCTTTTACCACCATCTCCTTCATCTCATCAACGTCAAAAAAGTGGCCATGTTAGAAGACGCTCATTAGGTGTGACTGAAGCTAAAAAAGCTGCACAAATTGTTCAAAACCAAAGAAGTGTTTCTGGCGTTAATAGCAACATAAATTCTCCTGCAAGAATCAAAGAATTAACCGATGAATCTGAAATCGATAATAACTCGGCTATTCTACCTCCTCCAGGCTTTCAATTTCCTCCAAAGAACCACTCTCCTTCTCCCTCTAATAACAACAACAATTTATCTAATAATAGCTCAAATAAATTCATAAATAACCAAAAAGCATTTCAATTCCCTCCTATAAACTCTTCTATTACAAATGACTCTCTATTACCTCCTCAACCAATGTTTGCCGGAAATTCCCATCAAAGATCAACTTCAAACTCTTCTGATTCAACTGGTCGTACCCCAACTCATAGCCGTAATAATAGTTCCCTTCATGAAAGAAAGCCTTCTGGCCATTTTAGAAATAATAGCAGAAATTATGACAATTCAAATATCAATTCAAATTGGAGATCTCAACAACAGCCAAGATTATCTAATTCTCAATCCTTAGGTAACTTGAAATCTTCTAATAACAATAACAATAACAGTAACAGTAACAATAACATTAATAATAATAATAATAATAATAATAATAATAATAATAATAATAATAATAATACTTTAAATAATCTTAGCGTAAATCTAAATAATAATCTCACTCCAGAATATGCTAATACCCTTGAAACTTCCAATTTTGTTCCTGGCCATAGAGGCAAATCTTCTTTTAGCGGTTCTTTTTCCTCAATTTCTTCTTTCCAAAATTTTCAAATTTCAAATTTCCCAAACCAAAATCAATTTGTTTCAAATGTCACAAACCAAAATGCTTCTGGCCCCCAAAGAAAATCTTTATTTGCTCCCTATTTACCTCAAAATTTCTTACCCGAACTAATTAATAACGGAAGATTAGTAACTGGTACTTTGCGTGTAAATAAAAAAAATAGATCTGATGCTTATGTTTCCACAGATGGTTTATTAGATGCTGATATTTATATTTGTGGATCAAAGGACCGTAATAGAGCTTTAGAAGGTGATTTGGTAGCTGTTGAATTACTTGTTGTCGATGAAGTTTGGAACAGTAAAAAAGAAAAAGAAGAAAAAAGAAAAAGAAAAGATTTTGGTATATCCAATAGCATTCCAGGCGATGACTTACATAATGATGCAAGTACTACTGGTGCTTCATTAAATAGTAACGACATCTCTATTGATTCAATGGATACAAATTCAACAACTAACGGCGGCTCAATCTCTGGAACTACTATTGATAACTTATCTGGTGTTCCAAGACCATTAAAAAGAAGAGGTTCTCTTAAACAAAGACCAACTCAAAAGAAGAATGATGATGTTGAAGTTGAGGGACAATCATTATTATTAGTTGAAGAAGAAGAAATTAATGACAATTATAAGCCTTTATTTGCAGGTCATGTCGTTGCTGTCATCGATCGTATTCCTAGTCAATTATTTGCAGGTACTCTTGGTTTAGTTCGTCCTTCTCAACAATCTAAAGATAATTCCAATCTTATTAATAAACCTCCTAAAATTGTTTGGTTCAAACCAACAGATAAAAAAGTTCCATTGATTGCTATTCCAACTGAACAAGCACCTAAAGATTTTGTTCCAAATCATGAAAAATATTCAGAAAAACTATTTGTTGCTTCAATTAAACGTTGGCCAATTACTTCATTGCATCCATTTGGTACTTTGGTAAGTCAATTAGGATCTATTGATGATCCAAGAACTGAAATCAAATCTATCTTAAGAGATAACAATTTTCTTTGCGATGAATTTCCGGATGTTGGAGAACGTTCAGGTCCCAAAGATCTTGTATTATTCAATGATCTACCAAAGTTGGAAGACGAATTAAAGAATCCTGAAAGAAAAAGATTTGAACATGAATATGTTATTGGTTTAACACCGACTGGTGAAATTTCAGATAGTGCCATTCATATTGAAAGATTAGATGATGATAAAATTGAAATCGGTATTCATGTTGCCGATGTCACACATTTTGTTAGAGCTGGAACCCTTCTAGATAAGAAAATTAAAAAGAGAAATGTTTCAGTTCATTTAATTCAAAATGTAGTCAAGAATTTATTACCTCCAAAGATTAATGAATTAATTAGTTTCAATGAGGGGCAAGAATCGTTAGCATTATCGACCATTTTTCAAATTGATACTAATAGTTTTGAAATTGATGATGTTTGGATCGGAGAAAGTGTTATTGATCCAAAACAAGTGATTACATATGATGAAATCGATAACATATTATCGAGTAATGAACTTGATGAAGAAATTTCATCAGCCACTTCTGATTATATTAAAACTTTATCATTTATCTCTAAAGAATTTAGACGTCAAAGATTAAGAAACAATCGATTAGAAAATACTCCGGTATTAACGTTGCTTGATCAATTTGACGAAGAAAAAATCCGATTAGATTTAAACATTTTTAATAATAACTTGGCATATTCAATAATTGATGAAATCAATCATAAAGTGAATGCTACAGTTGCTCAAAAGATCTATGCACAATTGGGGGACAAGGCATTTTTAAGAAGAAACCCAATTCCTACATTATCTAAATTTGAAACATTTTTAAGAAGAGTTTCAGCATTAGGGATCAAACTCGATGCTACTACATCAGATACACTACAAAATAGTATTTTAGATATTGGTGATGATACTAGTAGAAAATGTGTTGAAACCCTTTTAAGTAAATGTATGAATAGAGGAAAATACTATATTGCAGGAAAAGTTGATTCCGATATGTATGGACATTATTATTTCAATTTGCCATTGTATACACATTTTACAGCCCCTTCAAAGAGATATGCTGATTTGATTGTCCACAGACAAGTTAAAGCTGTATTAAGAGGAGAAAGTGATTTTAAAGAAGAAATTGAGTCACTAAGAATGACAGCGGAATATTGTAACTTTAAGAAAGATTGCTCAAAGAGTGCACAAGATCAGTCAGTTCATTTATTGTTAAGCCAGACTATTAATTCCATGAGTGAAAAAACCGGACAATTATTATGCATGGGTACCGTTTTGCAAGTTTATGAGTCATCATTTGATGTTTTAATTCCTGAATTGGGTATTGAAAAGCGAGTGCATGGAGATCAACTTCCATTGATTAAAGCTGAATTTGACAAGGAGAAGAAAGTTTTGGAGCTTTATTGGGAAAAGGGAGTTGATTCAGCTACATTTATTCCACAAGATGAGCAACAACCATTGTCATACCGTACATCTATTAAAAACAAGTTTAGAACTTCTACATTGGAAGCTGCATCATATCAAAAGAAGACCAAATTATCAAAGAGACAAATTGGATCGGAGGAATTGATTGAAAAACTATCGAAATTGAATTTATCAGTTCCAAAGATTCGATTGCCAGATGAATCGCTTGGAGGCAGCTGCAAGGATTTGTCAGCATCTCAAAGTTTACCAAACTCGCCAACTAGATCAGATATAGCCAATGGTAAGCCACAAAGGGTTGTGTCTGGATCTGAGGTTCTTCGTAAGAGTTCATCAGGTATATTTGATGAAGAGGGTCTCAATAGTAGTGGTTATATCAACAGTGTAGTTGAATCAGTGAATGAGGAAAATAATAATAGTAATAATAGTAATGATAATAATAATGAAGGTATTATTGTTGAGGGACCATTAAAGCCATATTTAAAGAATGTTATCACCAAAATAGATGGTGGATATTATATTCAAGAAATCCATGAATTGAAGCAAGTACCAATTTTGTTGAGAGCTGAAATTGGTATGGCACTACCATGTTTAACAGTTCGTGCAGTAAACCCTTTTGCTTATACTAAATAAGGAGAGTATATTGGATCTAAGCTAAAAGTTAATAGTTTTTTATTTTATGATGTTATTTTTTCACCTTTCTCATCATCTGCATTTAATTAATTTTGAATTTATTATTTTTTTTTTATGTAATGAATATTAATTTGATGTTTGCTATTGTTATCAAGTATTCTTTGTTGTTCTTATTATTTTTATTAAGCCAAACAGGTAAAAATTATAATTTCTATAAATTATTTTAATTGAAGATTAAAGAAGAATACTAATAATGGAATCATATTTTTGTTGTTTACTTTTGTTTATTTTTGTCTACTTATTTTCTTATATCTTATATCTTATTTCTTATTTTCTCTTATTGTTTCTTATTGTTTTTTGTTTTCTGATCAGCCTAACCTAAATTATTTAAACGTACATAATCTTTAATAATATCGACAATATTAGTGGTACCATTAGAGCATAAAGTGATGGCAGCAAAGCAGCACAGAGAACAGCACCGGGAAGAGGAAGTGGTGCCTGCGGTGTCTGCGGCTGCTACCGAACAGCGGAAACAAGCGTTGGCAACGGTTTGCGAACACGCGAACACACGAGCGCGCAGAAAAGATTGGCGGGCCGATGCAAATCCGCTACGGATGCTCTGCGAGGTGCCGGATTTGCACAGCATCCGACGGCGAGAACGCAGCCGGACACGGTTCTGCCGTTCAACTGTATGTTTTGATTTGGGAGGTGTGGTGGGAGTGCTCATCGAACGCGGACATGACGCGTTTTGTTGGTTCGGCTAATCAAGCTTTTCAGTTGGAAGCTGTTTTTGTTTACATTTATCCCGATTAGGCAAGCTGATTGTTTTTGAGGCCTAAACAAGAGTAGAAAGAAGTAAGAGGATAAATGATTTAGAAGAGCTATTGAAGAGTATTGAAGAGTATTGAAGAGCTACTGGAGTGAGACTTTGGAGCGACAGCGAGCATAGCTAAAGAGGCTCTGAGAGAGAGCTGAGGAGGACGAATTGGGAGCGACGTAAACAGGCAGCTCCAACAGGACCAGAGATCTGAAATGTATTGTTTGCTTCTTGTACAGCATTTTGTTATTGAGGCTTGATACCATAACTGGCAGTGCTAAAAAATATTTAGCAAAGAATTTAATAATAATTATATAATTATATAACTACAGTAGCATATCTTTTTTGTTGATCCTTGACAAGTTTTGTGAAAGACAGCGATGAAGGCGTTTTTAACTGTCACTTCATTTTCCTTCAGAGAACCAAGTGCAGTACAGTTTCTGACAACTTTGAATTCTCTTTGTTCTCTTTTCCTAAATTTTGGTGGATCTTTAGGATTATCATCGATGTTTTGATGTTTTGATGGGTTTTTTCAGTTGTTGCATGTCCCTTCAACCAACTCCAGTGAAATCATCGAATTTTAGCAAAAAAACTAGTAGAAAATGTTAATTAGATTTATATCAAAATTCATATTAAATTTCATAATAAGATTTCTCGCAAAATTGCAAAAATTCTTCACATCCAGGAAAACAAATCAGTGTGGATGAAATTTTTTCTCATTTCTTTTCCATTACAATTCCTTTTAATCCAGTTCCTCATCATTTTGGTACATTTTCATACGAGAAAAGAAAACTGTAAAACGAAAAAAGTGAAAAAAGTGAAAAAAAAACGATTCGTATCTTCTGATTTCTGAAAGCACTGCAGTTAATCATAAACATCAGCCAATTCCAACAAACTGCAGACGATAACCAGTAGCCAATGACCATTGCTGTGCAGTTAATGAGTTGATGGGCTCCTGCTCCAGCTGCTCCTGCTGCTCCTGCTGCTCCTGCTCCAGAACTGCCTTCAGAAGCTGTGCATTCTGCTCCAGAGAGAGAATTTGAAACACCTCGACTCCTTTAGCTGGAGAATTGCTTCCTTTCGTGTTCATCTTCCTTCCACCTCCAAAGCAGCTCCTAATATTCCCCCATATATATATACAGATATATATATATCTGTATATATATATCTTCCTCCAGCTTCCTTTTCTTCTTCTTCTTCTGCTGATTCTCCAGCATCGCTTTTAAGACATCTCTCTGTTCACATTTCTCGTTTTGACTTTGGGAGCAAACTTTATCGATCCAAATCAAAACTTTCTTGTTCTTGTTTTCTATTTACCATTGGAGCTTCATTCACTAATAGCACTTCCACATCCTCCAAACCATTCCACTCACCATACTCAGCATATTTTTTTCTTCTCTTTAACCATCTTCTTAAAGCTTAAAGCATACTCTTCCAATCTACTACGCTTTTCCCAATTTTCCTGAATTATGCTGTTTTTTGAAAAATTCCCCCAAAAAGAATAATTATATTAGCACTCCTGCCTCTACCTTATATTTATTCACTTTTGCTCATATTTATTCATCTTTATTCATCTTTATTCACATCCACTCACACCTGCTCGTATTTACTCATATCTGTTTATATTTATTCATATTTGTTCATACTTTTTCTGGCCTTCTTTATACTTAATCTCTTTTATTATTCATCTGAAGACTGGAATTTCAGATTTCTTATTTAACTCATCATAATTACATTCATTCAGATCTTTTTCTTGTTATTTCATTTATTCGTCAATTAACTACTTAACTATTTAATTAATTAAACAATTAAACAATTAAACAATTGACTGATCAATCAATTGATCATCGTCTATTGTCTATTGTTCATCGTTTTCTGTCAAATCATCTTAGAAACCCAGTTTACAATATTATTACAATCCTATAGACTAATCTCATCTAATCTCATCCAATCAACCCCATCTCATCTTATACTTTCTCACACTATACTATACTAAACTATACTAAACTATACTAAACTACACTGAACTATACTACATCATCATCTCTCAAATCTAATCGTATCTTCACCACCTCAAAATGCCTCCAGGAAAATCAAGAATATACTCTGCTGATCAATTTCAGCTATCTGAACAATTGGGAAAGGGTTCCTTTGGCGTCGTCTATAAAGGATTGGATTTACTATCAAACACTCCTGTAGCTGTCAAGCAAATAGATTTAGAATCCTGCGATGAAGACATTGACGAGATCCAGAAAGAAATAACAATCCTATCCAACTGCAACTTTCCCCAAATCACAAAATACTATGGCTCCTTCGTCAAGGGCTTTAAACTATGGATCATAATGGAACTACTAGATGCTGGGTCCTGTTTAGACTTGCTAATTCCCCAACCCTTCTCTGAGCCTTATATCGCCATCCTCTGTCGAGACCTACTAAAGGCTTTGAACTACCTACACGAATCTGGAAAGATCCACAGAGACCTCAAAGCTGCCAACGTCCTCGTCAACAACTTTGGCCAGGTCAAAATAGCTGACTTTGGTGTTGCCACTCAATTGACCAACAACTTGAGCAGAAGAAACACCTTCGTGGGCACTCCCTTCTGGATGCCCCCCGAAGTCATCTTGCAACAGGATTACAACTACAAAGCTGATATCTGGTCCTTGGGCATAACTGCAATCGAATTCGCCTTGGGAAAACCTCCACTAGCAAACCTCCACCCAATGAAAGTCTTGTTTCTAATTCCTGACAATCCTCCTCCAACTCTACCTAGAAATAAAAACTATTCCCCAGAATTTCAAAACTTTGTTAAACTATGTTTGCATAAAAACCCAAGAGACAGACCAACTGCGAAACAGTTGCTAAGACACAAATTTATTAAAAACGCCGGTGATAATAAACTACTAATCAACCTTATCAACATCAGAAAAGACTGGGAATCAAAAAATAGAGATTACAATAAAATCTCAAAAAAAATCTACGAGCCAACCATTATTAGCGACGATCCAAATAATCCAATTTCTAATATAGCCTTTGATTTCGATACCATCAAACTATCCGATGACACTCAATCCATCTCTTCGATCAATGGCCATTCAACTTTAGTGAGACATCAAATTCAAATACAAACCCCATCATCTTCTTCTCCCCCTGATAGCAGTAGAGCTAGCTCAAATTCAAACTCCTCTCGTGAAACTAATTACTCAAAGGCATCCTCAGATTCGACAGCTCCTTCTTCTATATACTCCCCAGGCGAACACTCTCCTTCTTCAATTTATGCGGATTTTGCAAATAACAACCCTCATTTAAACAGCCCATTTATAGCTTATGATGACTCCAATAAAGAAAATAGCATAATCACTGAAAGTGTATTTGAAGATAATTCCTTAGTTTATCACTCTAAATCTAATTTGAATTCCTCTCAAATCAAAAAAATTGATAATAATAATAATAATAACAATAACAATAACAATAACAATAACAGCGATAATAATAATAATAATAATAATAATAATAATAATAATAATAACAACAATTTGCAAATATCTAAAGAATTCTCGAAAATCTTAAATGATTGCTCATCTAAACTACAATTCGCTCCAATAAGCAGCAAATCAAGAACAACAATTCTTAAACAACTCAACGGTCTGCCAAATAATGATTCAGACCAAAATATTTCCTATAAAAAGAAGAATCACCAATCAAGATTTAAATTAAATGCCTCTCAAGCTATAAAACTTAACAGATTAATTAACGATCTAAAAGATTTTCTCATCGATGATGATCAATCTCCTCTTGAAACGGTTCGTTCAAATAATAACAATCTTCAACAAAATTCTCCCTTTGATGATAAATTAAATACAACTAATTCATCAATTTTATCCAGCTCCACTGAAATAAACAATACTTACTCATCACAACCTAAAGACTCTGAAGTCCTATTCAAATTTCTCAAAACAATGATAAAGAGCATTGACAAAAATCCTAATCTTTCCAATTTGATTCTTCCCAAACATTTGTCTTCATCTTCTAATGAATCAGTAAATAATACTTTATATGATGCAAAAGATTATAGAAAAAGAGATGATGTTGAAGAATTGCTTTTAAGTAGATGGGCCGAAGGTGTTCTTGATAGATGGAAAGAATAATTTGAAAAATTCAAAAAAAAATTTAAAAATTTTTTAAAACCCTTAGAAAAAAAAATACAAGTCAAAAAGTCATTTGACTTTTTTAATATTTAATTTTTATTATTTTTATTTTTTGTTATTTTATTTTGCTAACAATCGCTACAATTTTTTTTATTTAACAGGTAATTCGCGTGTTTGATTTTGGAACAATAAGGTGTGTTTAACTGTTTTTTATTTTCTTCATACATTCATTTCCTTTTATTCTCACCGGTAAACTCTTTTTTTTCCTTTTTTTTCTGTCTATCTTCTTATCATGATTAGACCCTGGATAGTTTGTTGTTTTTTTTATTTAATTTTTATCTTCTTTTGAATCAAATTTTGATTTTTTTTATTGATTATTGAAAAAAAAAAGAAAAAAAACAATCGAAAGGTGGTTCTTTTCATTATTTGAAAATATTTCTCATTTTATTGCTAAAATTTTTCTTTTCGTTTTCTTTTTGAAATTTTTTTAATCTTCTAATTCAAAATTTATTTTGAAATTATCTTCTTATCATTCTTCATTTATATAGTCTACTATTTTTTTTTATATATATTATATTTAGTTTCAACCAAATAAAAATTAACTTTTCACAAATCACAAAAACTACCAATATCTTGGGAAACTGCTATCAATTTCTTCAGACCAGTCTTTGAGCCCGCCAATAATATCCCAAACTTCAGTCAATTTGAACCTATCTTTTAAGAGTTTTGTTGCCAAACGAGAGTCATTTCCAAAACGACAAATGCAATAAATCTTTTTGTGAATCAAATCTTCATTGGTTATCTGCTGGTTTCCTGAATTATCACGGCTGGAACTGTTAATCTTTTCAGCCAATTGATCTATAGAAATCATGCTATTGAGAACTTCCAAAGGAATGTGGATCGAACCCTTGAGATTGCTGATATTCCAATGTACATTGGGTCTCACATCTAATAGAAGATGGTCAATCTTGTTCTGAATAATGTTTTTATTGTAATCACTCACTGAAATTCTCTCTTCAGGTCCCACAACATCATAGTCAGGATGCCCACAAAATAAATTGTAATCAAGTAATCCACTTTGAATTGTATCCTTTGAAATCAGTGGATTTTCACCACACACTTCACAGTTTAACTTTTTCCCCCTCATTTTAAATGTTCTTAGTGACTGAGACACAGCAGAATAACCACTGTAAATTGTTAAAAATGGCTTGAAATTTTCCAACGTATAACTGTTAGCCAACACCTTTATAGCTTCAACTGCCATCATTGTTCCAACTAATCCAATACAAGGTCCTATTACTCCACCATCCTGACAAGAAGTAACACTATTTGCTGGAGGAGGCTTTGGATAAAAACACCTATAACATGGGCCACTGTTTTTAAAATTCAAAACAGATAACTGACCTTCTGTTTTTAATCCAGATCCAGATACTATGGTTTTTCCTAAAAGAACAGAAGCATCGTTTATCAAATATCTAAGCATTGGAGTATCGGTGCAATCCAAAATTAGATCATATTTCTCAATGACCTCGAAGGCATTGAAATTGGTTAAAAATTCACGATACGTTATTAAATTCACATTTGGATTTAAGGAAGATAAATAGCTTTTGGCAGAATCCACTTTGAAGTTTCCCACTTGATCAGTAGAGTGTAGAACCTGGCGATGCAAATTTGTGATATCAACAGTATCATAGTCAATGATGCCAATTGTACCTACTCCTGACGCAGTTAAATACAATAGAGCAGGGCATCCAAGACCACCAGCACCAACAACTAAAACCTTTGAATTTTTCAAAGCGATTTGGGAATCAACACCACCAAACTCAGGAACTAGCATTTGTCTTCCATATCTGCGAAATTCTTCTAAAGATAGTTGATTAGCAGTGGAAGACCTCTCAATTATTGATTTTTTCAAATTTTCATTTTCTTTTCTTAGTTCTAATAGCTCTTTCCTGATTTCCTCTGGTATTTCGGTCGATTTGGTCATTTTTTTATCCTCTAAGTTCTCTTCAAAACTGGAATTGAAACAATTTTGAGATGCTTTCAGATAAAATTTTAACGGATCCAGAAAGTTGGATTTGGAATCCTGTTTGCGGTTTGAAAATCTAGCAATAAGATTGGAAACGAAGTTAGTTTGAGCATAGTTCAAACACGCTTTCAAACAAATCATGTGTTGGGATCCCAAACAGCGGTTGAGTTCCAAACAGGATTTCTTTGCTCAAACATCACAAAGAGGAAATAGTTGATAATAAAGTTCAAGTACAAATCAATTATTTCCACTATTTAACTTGATTAAAAATAAAAATAAAATTATTCGATTTTTGGCCACTTCAATTTTATGCATGCAATTAACATTAATTGGGGATAATGAAAGGACTATCGAACTGGAACATTAAACTGTAGTTCAAATTTCGTTTTCTCAAAGACTAATGAAATTAGAGAAGCAGAAATAAACACCAAGTTGTTAGAAGATATGCTAAAAATACAGGCAATTTCATTTTATTCGGGAGACTTGATACAATTGCAGGATAATCGCCTATATTTCGTTCATATTATTTAAAATTCAAATCAGTCTGCAGCAGCCTTAGCTATGTTGGTAATTTCATCAATTTCTTATTAATGATAAAAGGATTTTAATTCAATTTGCATTATCTGATCATGATTGACAGGGGACGTGAGTCGTTTTAGCTCTAAATCCTCAAAATCTCATTTTTAATACTGAAATCCAAATCTTCAACTTTTGAAAATCATAAAACTCTGAATGTATTTTGTTGTTGAATGAACCTGAAATTATCGGGTTAATTTAGGTCTTATAATGGTACCAGTAATCTTCCCAAAAAAATGAAAATATCCGTTTTTTATGTTAAATTGATGAGGGCACAAATGAAAGAAAACTTGTTCTTAAATCATATAATTTTACTTAATTCAAAAATCAAAGGATAGTTTTCAGCAGAAATAATTATTTTATGGTTTATGGTTTATGGTTTCTTATAGAACTTGATAAAAATATGCTATAACTGTGTTTTGTCGGTGTGGCATTTGGATAATGATTTGATTTGATTTCCACATTGTGATGTCAAGGCTATTATGAGAACAAATCGGAACACTATCTTTAAACAAAATGTCACAGATAATAAAAGTAAAAAGAAATTGATATGCAGAGTTTTTGAATATATTGATACTGATTTTGAATTATTAAAAAATAAAACCATGAAAATGATAAAACTATTAATGAAATAATAATACATACATAAATTATTTTTTTTTTTCTTTTTTTCTTTTTGACTACCTTTAGTACCGAAGAAAATATAAGATATGGAATTTATTGATTGGTTCGGATATCGAAAAGAATAGCAATTACATTTATTTCTGTTGGTTGATATCCCGTAGAGTTTTGTCAGTGGTTTAGATTACGGCTGGTTATGGCCTGCTTGTGAAACAAGAGCAAACTGGATAATTTATTTCAAGCAATTTTCTCAATGGATATCAAGCCGAGTTTATTCACTGGATAAAAGAACAATTTTTTTATATTTTCTTGAACAATATCAGTGATTTATCTACTGTATTCATTAAAATAGGTTTTAATGTAGTGAATTGATTTGTTAAAACTAAAAAAACGACTTAAAGATAATGCCAGGATTATCCTGTTATCGTTGTGTATGAGTTAATTTGCTTAATGGCGTTTTTATTCAAACAAAGAACAATTTTTAGTTGAACAATTGCTATATTAATGATTTCAAAAAGAAACAAAAAATCACAAAAAGATTTTAATCAGGAAATAAATACATTATTTTGGAAATAGATGTTTTTTTGGTCATGGAATTTTGAAACTAAACCATATTAATTGTCTATAGCCTATATTTTTTTTTGTATTTATTCCATTTTAAAGAGTTTAAAGAATTTAGCGTTATAGATTATAAAATGCTCAAAATTATTTTAAATACATTAAACCTTTCAAATTAAAAATCTGATACAAAATGTTGTATGTTTTAAATAAGCTAGAATTATATTTCTCAACTACAAAAGTACATTGAAAAACTATTACAAAGTAACTTTCCTATGAAATTGATTGAAATATACCCAAAATACCCTAAATATAAAAACTAAGAACGATAAAAGAAAAATAAAAAAAAAAAGTATCTAGTTGTCTTTCTAACAAAGAGCATCACAACAGTAACATAAACACAAAGCAGCTAAACAGGCAGCTAAACAACTACTGGAATCACTAGATGGAGGCTTTTTCTGAACATAAACTGGCTGACCATAGCTTTGAGGTGGTGGTTGACCTCCATAATGCCTGTTTTGTGTAGCATATTGTTGATTATACTGCTGAGGTGCTGGAGGTCGATTGTAATATTGGCTACTAGTGTTGCCTTGTTGAGAGGAAGCTGGATACTGGGGAAGACCAGCTCTATTGTAATCGTCTTGAGGAGACTATTTTCCAAATATTTATATCTGTTAGTATTTTAAATATCAGTTTATTATCACAATGCGCTCGTTTCTGTTAAAAATACTTACATAGTGATGTTTTTCACTCATTGCTATAATTTATAATAACAAATAATAACAAACAACAATAATTCTATTGCGCCTGTTATATTTATACAACATCAAAGACGAGGCCATGTATTTTTGATCTATATATTGTTACATTTGTTCAATTGATGACAACCAACATGACTATTGCTTTTAGCAAATAGATTAATTTGTCGTTTGCTATTCATGAATCTGTGATATATCGTAGTATTATGCGTATGCACATGGAATGTATATATATGTGTAAAGCAGTATATAGCTGTAAATCAAACGTATTCCCGCGTTTTCAAACATTTTGAAGATTTTTTTTTTTTTTCATCTTCAAAATTTATTTTCAAAGAAAGAAAAGTTTGAAAGAAAAACAATTTCAAAAATTTATCCAACAAAATACAAAAGATCTGATAATAAATGGATACCTCAACATTGAACTTATCTTCTTTAAAAGACAAGGTTTCCTTGAAGTTAAACAAGCTGGGGGTCAATGCTTTAAAACCACAGAAAAATAAGAAAAAAGAACAAAACTCAAAGAATATTAATAAAGCTAAAAAGAACTCAGAACAAAAAAAAATTGAGAATAAAAAAACAGAGCAAAAAATTCAGGGAAAAAAAAATAACAATAAAAGTTTTGACAATAACAATAGAGGTTTTGACAATAGCTATAAACCAAGAAATTTTCAAAGCTCAAAATCAGCAAATAATGAAAAAAAATTTGGTGATAAAAATAACAAAGAATCAGCAAATGATATTCGACAGGAAAAATCAAAGAGGTCTTTCATAAGCGAGCAAATTAAAAGTTCTTTAAATATTCCTCTAAATGAATTGATGTTTCCAAAAGGTTCGGAGTGGTATAATGCTGAAATTGAATTACCTGATTACAATTCTGATAATAGTAATCCATCAAAGGAGCTCATTACCAACTTATATCTTAAAGCAAAAGAATTAACGGAAATAGACAATCAGACATACTATAATGAATTTACAAAATCATCTTCTCAAAAAAAATTCTTTGCAGATATTATGAAGAGTGGTACTCTCAATGATAAAATTTCTTCATTAACGTTGATGGTTCAAGAGTCGCCTGTTCATAATATGAAATCACTAACCACATTGATAGGCTATTGTTCTAAAAAATCGAGAAATGCTGCCGTTGAAAGTATTAATTCGTTGAAGGATTTACTAATAAACTGTCTATTGCCAAATACTAGAAAATTACAATATTTCAAAAATCAACCATTAAGTGAATCTCTTAGCAACCAACAATTGATTTTATTTTATTTTGAAGATTATTTGAAAAAAAGTTATTTTGAATTGATGGGTTTCTTTGAAAGATTATTAAACGATCCAGTTCTTTTTGTTAGAATGAACATTATTTCAACCGTATTTGATTTGTTAAAAGCTAAACCTGAACAAGAAGCCAATTTATTAAAATTGGGTATTAATAAATTAGGTGATACAGAAAAGAAAGTCTCAGCAAAGACTTCCTTTGAAATATTGAAGTTAGAACAACAACATCCTGCTATGAAACAAATTATTATTAATTCTGTTATTGATTCATTAAGCAAATCAACTACTGATTATCATACGAAATATTACTCTATTTTAACTCTTAATCAAACAATTTTGACTAATAAAGAACCGGAGTTAGCTAATTCGTTAGTGAAAATTTATTTTGCTTTATTTGAACAATTATTATACGATTATCAAAAAGAGAAAGATGTTGAAGATGAAAACAGCAAAATTCTTGGAAAAATAGACGATAATAATTCAAGACATAAAAATAGAAAGCATGTCAAAAGAGGTAAAAAGGGAGGAAAATCGGTTAAAGTTCAAGAAAAAACAGAAAATGAAATACTTGAAGAGAAAAACAGTAAATTGTTTTCAGCATTGTTGTCAGGATTAAATAGATCATTTCCATTTTGTCAGTTATCGGTTGAAATTTTTGATAAACATATTGAAACATTATATAAGATATCACATTCAGCAGTTAATTTTAACTCTACACTTCAAGCATTAGTTTTAATCTATCATATTTGTTCAACAAGGGATTTAAAACTTGACAGATATTACAAGGTGTTATATGAAACATTACTACATCCAAAGTTGGTTAATTATTCCAAACAAACACTTTATTTAAATTTATTGTATAAATCGTTAAAGAATGATAAAAACAAGTCAAGGGTGATATCATTTGTTAAAAGGATTTTGCAAGTTTGTTTCAATTGGTTAAATTATGGGGCAGTGACTGGAATGTTATTTTTATTGATGGAGTTATCCAAATCTATACCTGAAATAGAAGATATTCTTATCAATGGGTATAAAAAAGGAGAAAATAAAAAGGAGAATGGAACTGAAAATGAAAATGATGAAAAGGATAAACCAAGAGATGATATTTACGATGCATTTAAAAGAGATCCAAGGTTTTCCAATGGTGATAAAGCAGGATTATGGGAATTGAGTGAGTTTGTGAATCATTATCATCCATCTGTTAGGTTATATGCCTCATCATTTTTGAAAGGAGAAAAGCAGATGAAGCCGGAATTGAATTTGTTTACATTGAGTCATTTTCTCGATAGATTTGTTTACAAGAATCCCAAACAGAAAAGTGTTGGTAAAAGTCAATCGATTATGCAACCAATTGGTGGATTTCAATCTGGGTCATTATTGGCTAAGGAATATGTGGGTGAAAGTAATACGAAAACTGGAGAAAAACCGGCCAATATTGAAAATTGGCTAGTTAAAAAAATTGAAGAGATTAAACCAGATGAAAAGTTCTTTTATGAGTATTTTAAGATTAAACAAGCTGCAGAACCAGTTAAAAATGGTAAAAAAAAGAAAAAGGAGGAAGATGATGAAGATGATGAAGATAAAAAGGAAGAAGTTGATGAGGATGGTTTGAATGATGGCGATGTTTGGAAAGCATTGGTTTCATCGCATCCAGATATCGACGGAGATGGTGTAAGTGATTTTGATGATTTTGATGACTTTGACGACTTTGATGAAAAAGATTTTATTTCAGATGGTGATGCAGAAGAGGGTGAAAATATCGAAGAAGAAGAGTCTGAAAATGAAAGTGAAAGTGAAGATGAAGAACATAAGTTTAAGACATCACACTTGAAAACCATTGGGTTTGATGAATTTGAAACTTCTGAAAAAAAAGAAGATGACAGTCAAGAAGAAGAAGAAGAAGAAGAAGAAGAAAAAGAAGAAGAAGATGATGATGATGATGATGATGATGATGAAGATGATAATGAATATGGCAGTCAAGAAGATGGCAATGAAGATGATGAGAGTGATTTCGAAGAATTTGAAAAGGGATTCATGGAAATAGATTCAGAAGATGAAGTATCTACAGATTACTCCGACTTTGAGGATCAAGAAGAAGAAAAAGAAGCACTAGCTAGAGCAGTGAGCCAAAAAAAGAGAAGTCTTGGTGACAAAAAGTCTAAAGAAGCAAATGAACGAAAAAGCAAGAAAAGAAAGATCAAAGACCTTCCCATATTTGCTTCTGCAGACGATTACGCTGAATACTTGCAATCGGATGACGAATAGGCAGGGCTTTGTTTATACTTGTTTGTATGAAATAAATTACAAAATTAGACAGCAGAGGCAGCATGAGCAGCACGTGCGGTTCGGCCGTTTTGACTGCGACAACGGAGACCACAGGGGCGGGTCAGAGCCTGAGATGGCTCGATCGGGAATGGAATTTGCTAGAACGGCATGAGAAATTTTTTGGTTTCTCTTTCTAAAAGGCGGTTTGGGAGGGAGGAAGCGCGGGGGGTCGAAGATAAATGAGTGTTTATTGTGTTTCGACAGGGAGTATGACAGAATTGTTTGTCAGCACACCGTTTATCACCTGAGCAACCCTGTGTAACTAGGATCCCAGACCGAGTTTTACAGTTTATCGATTGCCACATACAATTTCTTAACACATCTAGTCTGTAATGAAAAGGAGATTATAAATTTATTGGTGTAGAAAATACTTTGTATACTTTGTATCTTATTTATACTATTACTCTGTATTGATTAATATTTAACAAATTAATTTAATCCACTGTTTATTTTCTAATTATTTTTGTCATCAACCAATAGAAGTTATATCATAGCATATTATATTATAGGAAATGTCGTTAAAGCGTATTAATAAGGAATTAACTGACATAGGAAGGTATGTGTCAAGTGTAGTATTGATGAATTGTTAGATTATCTAGCAATAAGAAGTAATAAGGAAAAAGAAGAGATAAAATCATGAGTGCGAGTGAGCGAGCGAGCGAATGAAAGAATTAAATACTAATTTGTTTCTGTTTTTGTTTTTGTTTTTGTTTTTGTTAACTATAGAGATCCACCCTCATCATGTTCTGCTGGACCAGTTGGAGACGATTTATATCATTGGCAAGCATCAATTTTAGGGCCAGTTGATTCACCATATGCTGGAGGAGTATTTTTCTTATCGATTCATTTTCCAACTGATTATCCATTCAAACCACCAAAGATCCAATTTACGACAAAGATTTACCATCCCAATATTAATTCAAATGGTAATATTTGTTTAGATATTTTAAAAGACCAATGGTCACCAGCGTTGACAATTTCCAAAGTTTTGTTGTCGATTTGTTCGTTGTTGACTGATGCTAATCCAGACGATCCATTAGTTCCAGAAATTGCACATTTGTATAAATCTGATAGATCTAAATATGAGGCTACAGCTAAAGAATGGACCAAGAAATATGCTACATAAACTAGATAGGGTTAAATAATAATATCGTTATGATAATTCGTATAATTAAAATAATAATTTAATTAATATCTTTTTTTTTCCAAATCATTAAAATCATTATCACATTGTGATTAATGTAGATTGTTTTTGTTTTTTTTGTTTTTTTTCCGTTAATGATTGATTATTGTAGATATTTGACAATGGTTAATGGCTGGTGATTTTTCAACTGAAGTCTGTCGCTTGTTGTTTGCCGTCTGACAATTGGTAATTGATAATTGTAAATTAATATCAGTAGGTGAACATGGGATAATTAGAATATTGTATTAAATTGTAGTTATATATAAATATGGGTGTGTATGTATCTATATAAATGGATAAATGTATTTGTTTTTATAACTATTTATGGCCATAATTAGAGATGAAGAGTAGTTCTCATTTTTTTGTGTTCTCATACAAATTGAATTTCTTAAAATCATATCTATAAAAAAAGGACAGAAAATCAACATAACATGAAGTGTCACGTGGGATATGTAGCAATAATACAGTGTTGGCAAGAAGCAGGAAAAAAGAAAACACAAAAAAAAAGGAAAAAGAAAAAGGAGGAAAAAAAAAGAAAAATAGAGAGAGAAATACGATATGAGAGAACCATAAATAAAACAAACATGTATTCGTACTATATTTATATATAATTTGCGGATATTCTTGACAATAGGTAAAAGCGCGAGATGTTGTTATCGGAAGAAGATGTTCAAAAGAGGTAACGCATAGTGTGCATAGCAATAGACCAGCAAGAAATCCACAACAGCGGCTCAGCAGAAGTGGTTGAAAAAAGATAGGAGAGTAATAATAACCTAGTACTGGGGAATAAATGGACACGTGCATTTTCATATTATCAGCAATAGGAGAAAGTTTATCTTTAATTAAAAAGTTAATGGGAATGAACATACAGAATCAAGAATTTGGGTGAAAAACGAAAAAAAAAGGGAAGGTCATTAGTAATAATAAGAATCGGAAAGAAACAATGATAATTTTGTGGATTGCAGAATTTGTTGATAAATTCAATTGTTAACAAGTGGATATTGATAATCAAAATAATTGAAAACAAAAGAAAATAGGAATAAAACAGTAGTAAAATAATAATAAAGATAATAAACGGAGTCTGAAAAGAAAGACTGCAAATAAAATGGTATTAAATAATAAGTAAATACAAGCACCCGATAATACTTTAATCATACCTTAATACTTGAGTAGTTTAAATCTCTGATGCAGCAATTATAAATCTAAATTATGTAGAGGGAGCTTTTTAAGATTTATTTTCAATTACGAATTTTTTATATGGGGCATTTAAAAACAAAATAAAACAAAAATGCAAAAAATGACAAATGTTTAAAAGTTGTGAAAAGTGTAAAAAGTGTAAAAAGTGTAAAACCAGAAAAAGTATAAAAAGTGGATAAAGCACATGAAAGGAATCCAAAACAAATGATATAGTTAGAGGTTAGTGTGGGAGATTGAGGGAGGCAGCGAATGGTGGGCCAGAAAAACAAGATAGAAAAAGATAAGTAAAAGAATTGGATCACTATGTGGTTTCCAAGAGCAGGCAATTAAACAAACCAGATTGTACAAGCGATTGGGAATTGGGAAGACTGTGGAAGATTGCCAGAGACTGGGATTGGAACAATAAGCCGTTGTCGGTGTATTTTGTGACAAGAGTGCAGCATCCGCAACAATAGAACAGAAACGATCGCAGTCTATTCGGAAGCACTGTCACCATGAATTGCCAATTGGAGATACATAGAGATACAATTGGAAATACAGCTGGGGCAGCCCTAGAGCGTTTCGGGTGGCGCAAAGAACAGCGGTGGCATTGGTTGTTGCTGTTCTTGTTTGTGGCGAACACCCAGCAGATATTGCCAAAAAGAGCACAGAAACACCGCCATTGCCGCTTTGGGCTATTGTGTGCTCCCTGTTGATGCCCACACAACAGCAGACAATGTTCGAGAGATGGTCTGTGAATGATTTATTGCTTTTCTCTTCCCTTTGCTTTGATCAAGCAATTTGCTCAGAAATTGGCAACCTGGCTGGGATCTAAGCTTGACACTGAATTTTTGCAAAAGAGAAGAACGAGCATATAAACACGCTAAGTTCTTTATTCAGCACCGAGATAATGATGAGCAGGTGTGTTCATTTGGAGCTGCGCAGCCTTTTGTTTGCAACAATCCACAAAGTCGAGTGGGCCAGTGACAAACCTTCCGGGTGGGAGCCGGGCAACCGTGCAACACTGCAGCGTGAACAGCGTCGGTGCTCGCCTGGAAACGCCGATGCATGCCTGTATCTACATGTGTGCACAGCTACACGCTTGCCAAGACGCAGTTGCAAGCAAAAGTCGTGACGCAACCTCTTTTGACCTGATCATTGCGTGGAACCAGGCCCAGGGATCCAATGGCTTTACGAATCTCTTTCCGGTTTAGCTTCGCGCTGCTTTTTGCAATAAAAAACCGCTTCTTTTTCCTTCAACAATTCCTTACCCTTTTTTTCCAATTTTCTGCGCTTTATAAAAGAATACTTTTCATTTAATCGAATAATTTCACTCTATTTTAACTATCGTCCAAAGAAATTAATCTTCAAAAGACATCCAAATTTTAGCTTGATATCCAAATAACTCTATAACTCTATAGCTAGGCAGCTCAGCAACTCAGAGACTCAAAAAAAAAGCAAAAAAGCAAAAAAAAACATAAAACAAAACAAAAGAATATTCACAATAACATAACCATCAACCAAAGTAAAAAGATTAAACCCATCTCAACAAAATCAACCCAATACTCATATTGTTTTAAAGAATACAATCTCTTTCAACAACAGTCTCCATATATTCTACTCGCTTCCTAATTTAATTTACATTGGATTTACATTGGATTTACATTGGATTTAAATTTAATTCAAATTCAGTTTAAATTCAGTTCAAATACATCTTCATTTTCCAAATTCTATTTCTTTTCACTCGATTCACTAAATTTATCTTCAATTTAATCATTACTTTCAACCTAATCTCCTGCTAAAACTTAGCTAAAGTTCCAACTTTTAACTTATACCATTCCAATTTCTCTCTTACTATTTTTCTATCCTTCTCTTTTACCACTTAGTATTCCACAAGTGTGTTTGAGAAAATATTGATTTAATAAAATAACTAAAAAAAAATATAAAGGATATATTAAAACAGGCCCTCTATATTATATTCCTAGTATATTAGTAAATCATAATCCTTCATTTTATCTTTTTCAATCTGCTAATCCTTTATTATTTAATATTTATTATTTTACTAATTGTTATTTAATATTTATTATTTAAAAGTTATTATTTTAATCATTAATTGTCTCTATATTTCATCTCAACAAAATTTTATTAAAATTTTAATAAAATTTTGTTCAATTTAATTAAATTAATTTCAAATTTACTAAAAATTAAAATTTTTTATCCTTAGTCAAATAAAAAGAATCTCATTAAACTCATAACTTATTTCCTTTTTATTCCTTCTTTCTCCATTTTATATTTCATTCACTTCACTTTATTTTAATTTATTTTAATTTATTTTATCTCATTTTTATTTTATATTATATACATATCATTCATAATCATAATCATAATATTCTCTCTAATATCCTACTAATCAATACCAACACTAATGAACCAAATTGATGATTTTGGTTACAGTTTTGCTGATGCTGAAAAACTGCTTGAACATCTCAACAATAACAATAATAATAATAATTTAAACAATCTCAATAATATCAATACCATCAACAATATCAACAATATCACAAACATCAACAACATAAACCCAAATAGCAACTCATCTTCCACAAACAAAAATAATAGTCTAGTCTCAGAATCTTCCTCTCTTACTCCCTCTGACTTTGACGATTATTCCTTGTCTTACAAATCTTCCATCTCTTCTGACAATATCAATCAATGGTCAAACTCTGACATCCTCAAAAATAACTACACTACCTCTGCCAACAACAATCTTCCCAATCTCAATCTCAATAACCTCAATCTTAACGCCATCACCTCTCTCAACGCCATCGACTTTAACTCCCTAAATAACTTCAACATCTCCCAAATGAATAACAACAACCTACTCAACCCAAATGATAAAAACAACAACATCATCAACAACAACAACAACATCAACATCAACAACATCAACAACAACAACAATAACATCGAGCAAAATAAAAACCACTTTAACGACTTTTTAAATCTCGATTACGATATCAACTTAAACGCCCTCTCCAATGATTTCGATTTAAACGCTGCAACTCCTCCTCCAATGCTCAATCACAATAACTTAATCAACAACACTTCAAACAACATTAACACTATCTCAAATATTGCTGCTCTCAATAACAATATTCACCACTCTACTGATATCAACATCAATGATCTTACGTTTTTCAATAACAACCACAATAACAACCTAAATTCCAACTTATTCATGGCTTCTCCTTCTTCTATCAGCAGCATCATATCTCCCAAATCAAATCCTCTGCAATTTCCAACAAACATTGATATTCCTCCCTCCTCAAATATCATTAATTTTAACAACAACAATACCTCTCCCCTAATGAACAACTTGCCAGTTAAACAAGAAATCTCTCAACAATCAAACACTAACAACATTATTTCTGACTCTTTATCATCTCCTGAAAATCTAAATTCCCTCTTGAATAATAACCTATCTTCTTTAAGCATTCTGAACAATGAAAATGATAATAATAATAACAATAATAACAATAATAATAGTGATGATAATAGTAATAATAGTAATAATAAAAATAATAATAATAATAATAGTGAAAACAGCTCAACTCCAACTTTAATCAACAACGATATTTCTCAGGAAACTTTGAATAACAATAACGTTAACGCTGCTAACAACGTTAACAACCTCTCCAATTCCCCCAGCTCTATTAGCAGCATTAAATCTGACCAAATCAGAAATGACAAGTCAATCAATTCAGATCAAAATAAATCAGCAACGGGCAAGGTAACTAAACCTAAAAAGGATAGATCGTCTCACAATATGATTGAAAAAAAATACAGAACAAATATCAATGCAAAAATTATTGCCTTGAGAGATGCTGTCCCTGCTTTAAGAGTTACTGCTCTTGGTGCTGACGAAGTAACCTTAGCTGAATTGGATGGTTTAACTCCCGCTAATAAGCTAAACAAAGCATCCGTCTTAACCAAAGCAACTGAATATATCAAACACTTGGAAAGAAAAAATAAAATGCTAACTAATGAAAATATGAACCTAAGACACTTTATCTCCAATGGCACTGTAATACAAACTCTACCGCCAAATCACTCAACTGTTCAACCTCCTCATCAACAAATGTTTTTCCACTCTCAAAACAACAACCAAATTCCAATACAACAAATCCATATTCCCTCACCCCCAATCATTATTGCTCAAAGTCAACCAAACCAAACCCAACAAATCAATCAATCAATCAATAATAATCCAAATAACCCTAATAACAACATGCAAAACACCATGCAAAATAACATTCAAAACAACATACAAAACAACATACAAAGTAACATGCAAAATAACAGTCCTATCATGAGTAACTCTGGTCAAACGACTCCAAATAGCTATATGATATCAAATAACAATATTAATCTAAGTAATCTTCCAAACAAATTACTTATGGGCGGTATGGCCACTGTTATTGGTGGAGGATTGTTTAATAATGATGGCAATGACTTTAGAGGACTTGGTGCATTCCCAATTATTAATACCCCTCTTTTTGCTAAATTTTTTAGCATGCTTAAATTTTTTATGATTGGTTACTCATTTTTCATTATTCTCTTACCATATGTCGAGAAATTTTTAAATAACGATGATAAAGATGAAAAATCTCTAAAGCAAGTCGAAGCTCAATCCAACTTATCAGTTGTTGATTCGAAAGCTTATATCCAAGACTTACATGTTTGGATCGACGCATTGAGAGATTTCATCACTTGCAACATTTTAAAAATTGAACCAATGGTTGAAGATGAAGCTGAAATTTTGAAATTGCTAAACCAGTTGGATAACCTTTTCCTTAATTCCTTATCAACTCCATCCACCGAAAACTCAATTGAATCAAATTTAATTTTGATTTATTTCAAATTATTAAATTGTAATAAATACAAAAATTTGAGAGTTTGCTTATATCAAATCCTACTTGGAAAGGTTATTTTTATCCAGTATCCATTTTTAAGTCAATTTTTAGGAATTAATTTTAATATTAAACAAAATTTAAAAATCATTGAAAAGAAATTTTTAAATAAAAAGACTACTAATAATGATATCAAACCATTGTTAAAGGAATTACCGTTTTTAGTCAAATCAAAGACATTATTTCAAAGACTATTTAATAACTATCACAAATTGGATATTAATACCAATTGCTGTAATGGAATTCATGATGATAGCTTTGAAATTGTTGCTAAAGACAGCATAATTAAAAGCGATCTAATATTGTTTGTTAGAGGAATTCGCGCAAACGAAGTGTTAAGAGAAATACTCATAGAGTATTTATCTAGCAAATTTGGAGAAGAACATGCTGAGTATGATAGTGATGATGAAAACGAGGAGCCAATTAAGTTGGAAGATATAATACAACGAGTTGAATTTATCGATGAGTTGGCACCTGAAAAGAGTATTGTGAGTCTTCGAATTAAATTATTTAAATCCAGTTTAAATACAGATTACACTCAAGAAATCATGTCATTAATTCAAAATGAACTCTGTGAAATGAAGAATAGTGTTGAATTAAATGACAATAAAGGTTGTTTTAAACAGATTGGAAATTTTAGTAAACATGAAAAAAATTTGAAGTTTGAAATGAGAAATTTTGATAATACGATGACAGAATCCGATATGGAAGAAATATTTGAAGAAGATGAAGATATATATTTTGATAATGATAATGATAATAATAATGATGATGATGATGATGACGATAATAATGGAAATTCTATTATATTGAACAAGTTTTGCAATGGTTTAAATAATTTTAATTTCAAGAATAGTGAGAAAATGATTTCATCAGATATTTTAATTTCACTAACATCATCATTGATAATAAAATTTTCTAAAGAGAAACAAATTGAAGAAGCCATTGAATTGATAAAGTATTTATTAGAGCATATTTATAATTCTAAAAAAGATGTAAGAAACGGCCATGAATATAATAATAATAATGAATATAATGAATATAATTTTTCACTACTTTCATTTGTTTCAATAGTTATTGCATTGGAAAAGATTTCTGAAGCTCAAGATAACGATGATAGTTTAAGTGCAGCAAATTATTTTGCATTGGAAGATTTGATTGGGTCACTTAGAATGTGCATTGGAAATAATAATGATAGATATAATAATGATATCGGAGAATTACAGTTGTCGATTAAGACCGAGATATGTGAGGAATTAGTAAACCTAGGAAAAAAATTCAGTGGTATAGATTTGAGTGTTGAAGCCTTTTGAAATCTATTAATAATATAATGTTTTTTTTTTGTTTAATTAACTTTGTGATCATTACATTATTTTTTATTACTTTTTTTAATCATTTTTTTTTTTGTTTATTATTGTTACTCCTTATTTTTTTTGATCTCAAAATTTAATTTTTCAAAAGAATTTGTTAAGATGTTACGATACTATCCCTAGTTTTGTCTATTTTTTTTATAATTTTTATAATTCTTTTTAAAATTTTAAAATTTTTTAAATTACATTGATTCTGAACTGTTTTTTTTATTTGTTTTTTATTTATTTATTTTCATTATATTTTCATTTTTTTGTCATTTTATTTATTTATAAAAAGATTTTTAAATAATTTTAGCAATTATATATTACTACTACTATAAAAATTTTAATATTCATATACATTAATAAATTGTTCTATAAGATGTGTTCTGTAGTATATACTCTTAGGGTTTTCTATTCTCATATTGTTCTATTCTGAGAGATGAAAGTGCAAAGGGCGGAAGGTTGATTGATGATCATGGAAAGGGGCTGCGAAAACCAGCAGCACGGGTCGCGTCGGCAGGACTCAGAAGCAAGGGTGTCGACGCGGTGGGTGTTGCCGCATTTGGCACCCACCTTGCTTAACAGGAACATGCAATCAAGGTGCGCTGCTGTTCACTGCAGCCGAGATCAGCCAAGCATTGCTAGCACGGTGAGCAGAACGAAGGATGATCAAGACCAGACTTATACCTGTCTTAACGGGTCCTCTTTGTTTGTTAAAGTGGTAGCGAGCGATGGGAAGTTGTTGTTGGTCAGGGATTGAGAGTGTTTGAAGTTGAACACTGGAGCCTATCAGCGACAATCAGCGAGAGACTAGAACCGAGAAGATTAGCAGCGAAGCTCACTGACAGAGAAGACGGTTGGTGGAAAAGTCAAAACGGTTTCAACCTCATACAACATTGAAAACAAGATAATCGTTTTTAAAACAGGAGCAAAATGGAGAAGGGAAGGGAAAGCATGTGAGCAAAAAGATGGTAAAGGGAGAGGATTAGTCCTGGTGGTATTGTTTGGTTTGGATGTGTGGGCAGAAGACCTGGAGATGGGACTGCGAGTATAGATTGCTAGTGGTGATGAATATGAAACACAATCAGCGAGCAGGACGAGTAGCACGAGTTGGATGAAGCTCCTAATTGGTACGCAGAGAAGCGGTGCAGCATAGCTGGGAGGAAAATACAGAAAGGTGGAAAAATCGAGATGAGCATAACCCAACTAAGACAAGAGAGTGACCGATTGGGACAACAGATCGGCTTACAAGAGTCGAGCGGAGCTTGAGACGAAAAAGCAGACTCTGCCCAGCGAGCGCGAAACCCGATTGAGCTGCGTGCGGACGGGGCCTTGCAGCGGAGAGCGGCCAGGTCTGCCGGGTAGCAGAGGTTTGCGGTGCCTTGGACGCGTAGCCAGATGGCGATTGGCAGGCCAGGCAGGGCGTAAGTCCGGAGAGCACGGGTGTGAGGCCGACGAAGGCAGCAGACAGCGGTGTGCGCAGGCAACACTCGGCGTGCTGCGGCGCACTGGGTTATTAATAGCAGAACGAGCCCAACGGGAAGCGGAGGGGGCCCGCGGAGGAGGCCGCGCCCGGCCGGCGTGCGCACGGGAGGTCGGGCGCGAGGCCCGTGGTGCTTGTGGTGCTCGCGGAACAGATATATACCCTCCATACCCTCCACTTGCTCTCTTCTGAGTCGCAACCACAGCTCGTCCCTCTCAGACTCCATCATCTCAGCGTTTGCATCGGCTTCTGCTTCCACCCTTGTCTTCTCTGCTCCTGCTTTCAGATCTTCTTCAACTCACTTCTCTCCTTCCTTCCTGCTTCCAGCTCTTTCATGATCAATCAGATTTTCTCTAATTAACCACCTCTTGTCTCCTAATAACTAACTTTTATACACTCTTTTAATCTACAAAAGCTTTTTATTATCCTCCTCTCTTCTGCTCCAACCCAAGGAACTCACTCTTTTATACTCCTTCATCTCTCTTGCAATCTAAAACCCTCTACTCTCGTTAATCTCCCACCAATTTCTCGTCATTATATTGCCCAATCCACTCCTTAATTAAAATTTTCACTCTCCCTTAACCCTTCGCCATTTACCAACTACAGCCCACTCAATAGATACCTTTATCTCTACAGCTCTATATTTCTACAATACTTTACTTTCACTACTCTACTCTCATCGTTTTCCTCTAGTTTTGTTCTTAATTCGTGCCCCTGTTTTTTACCCTCTTCTCTCTAACATCCCCAATACTCTCCTTTAATGTCTACTCTCACACAATCTCAGCCACAAGCTCATCTCTTTCCTCCAGAGGTCTACAGCCCTCTCTCAACCACCTCCCTCGATATCCACGACACCATCAACACAACTACAACCACCCCTGATATCTCTGCCCTATCCTCTTCTAATAACGTAAACAACATCCAAAGCAAAATCCAAAATCTAGACCTCGTCAACAACAAATTGTCCACCTCAACTTCTCCCAATTCATCCGTCGACAACACTTCTCTTTCCTCCAACACCAATGACTCCTCCAAGAAAAGCAACCTTCCCATGATCGTCGATATCTCTGTGTCCGATGATGGAAGACAGGTCTTTCAAGTCCATGAAACCTCTGTTTCCGTTAGAAAAGTCATGCCAACCTCTAACTTTCCCCAAGACGAATCAGAAAACGACCATATCATCAACTCCTCCATCTCAAACAACCTATCCGACCTAAACGATACCAACAACTCCCTCAACAACAACGAAGAAACTGACAACGAAGTATCCTCGCCAGATATCGACTACTCAAGGAAAAGACCCTTTGAAGAAATGAACCTATTGTCTTCCAACAACCTACTCAATTTCAATCCTTCTTCCTACAACAACAACAACAACTCAAATTTTAACAGCTTGAATAACATCAACATCAACAATTTCAACAACTTGAACAATCTAAACTCTCTTAACAACATGAACATGAACATGAACATGAACATGAATATGAACATCAGCAACATCAACAACTTGCCAATTCACGCTCCTATTCCCGTTCAATCCTCCTTCTTAACCAATAAACACTTTAAATGCAATCCATCCTCACAAATCTCCTCTACTTCTGCCAACATTCAAAATCAACAACAACAACAACAACAACAACAACAACAACAGCAACAATCATACTCCCTACAAGGTATCTCAACCTTTGTCCCCAAAATCGCCACTTCAACCAGATTAAGAAACATCGACGACGATGAAACTGAAGTCTGGGGCCCAGATGTAGAATCCGCCTTTGAAGAAGCCCTCAAAATCATCCCCAAAAATGGCCTCAGCAAAATCAAAGTCAGCGGAAGATCTTGTGGTAGAAACGAATTGATCTCAGACTACATTCTCCAAAAAACAAGAAAAATTAGAACAAGAAAACAAGTCTCTTCCCACATTCAAGTCATTAAAAATTTGAAAAAAAACTCAAAACTAATTGATCTCATCAACAACGGTCCCCAAGACCCAGAATCCCTCAAAAAATTTGAAGAAGTCTTTTCCGAAATAACATTTCAAAAATCCATAGGTGAAAACAGAATGATCCAAAACCAATCCTCAATTCACTACAGAAAATCTCCAAGAAGAAGAATCTCAGGTAACAACTCAAAGGACGTCTGTGAAGTCCTACTAAAAGACTTCAGAATGAACTTTCTCCAATTCGACGAACCCTCTCAATCTCACACCTACTCAAACCTCAAATCTAAAGAATTCGACACTCCCCTAAAAATTAAATCAAACGCAAACATCTCCTCAAGATTCCCAGGTTTATTCGACCTAACAAACAATAATGTCCCAGTTATACATGGTATGGTTAAAGTCGTTTTGCCAAAAAACAAAGACACCACTTCCACCATCTCCACTACTTCTACTACTTCCACTACCTCAAATAACAACAATAACGTCAATTCAAATAGCTCCTCCGAAAATAACAGCACTGACTCCAACAATAACGCTGTTGAAGATTTCTTGTCCGGCGGTAAATACGAAACTAACCTCAGTCTTGAATTAAAAGGCCTCTCTGTCAACGAAACAAACTGGTCTGTTTTAACTGTCATCTACTCCTTTGGCCACGAAGTCGTAAGACTAACTGACGCTGTTGAAGTCAAAAACAGCAAACTCGTTAATGGCGTTAAAAATGCTGTCTTGGGTCTCAAATTTGCTCCAGAATTTTGGTCTGCCTTCTTCGGTAGCGTTGACAAAAACAACGTCCAATCTGTTGACGAAGACGCTTTGGATAAACAAAAAGACGTTGCAACTAGAGCCATCACCATAAAACAAATTCTTTTCAAAAATGACCTAGAATTTCCAAATGGAAGCAACATTTTAAGAAAAAATATTAGAACCGTCCTATTATGGGAATTCTCAAGAGTCACCAATTCAGACGACGCTTTAACCGTTATAAGAAGAATCCACTTGCCAAATCACCATCTCGGTAACCCAGTCATGAACTCAGGTTTACCTTCTTTCCAACCAGATTTAATAAGTAAATATCAACAATCTCCACTAGATATCAACAACGTTACAAACACAACTTGCTTTTCTCCTGGCTCGGTTTCCCCAATCGCAGACATGAACCCCTCTGCTTTCAGTAATTTTATTGCAACTAACGAACAATCAAACAAATTTAATAACTCAAACTTTGCAAAATTTCAATCAATGGGTGAAATATACAACACCAACACTAACAACAATAGCTCAAATCCTAATTCAAACCCTAACCCTAACCACAATTCAAATCCTAACAATACCTCCTCAAACAATAGTGTTTCTCCCTTACCTTATGCTTTCAAAGCAAACCTAATGAGACCAAATATGGTGGTTCCAAATCCAAACCCAGCTTTCCTTAACCCAGCTACTGGCATGAAACCTCTACAAAGAAGAATGTTTTCTGAACCAGCCATATCCTCGAATACCCAATTTGATTACCCAAATAATTTTGCAGCCGTTAATGATTTGAGCTTTAATCTAAATAATGATGATATTACTTTATTTAATGCAGCAAACTTGGCTTCCAGTAATCCTTTGATAGGTTTACAATCAACCTCTCCAATACCTTCTGCTAACTCAACAACTTCTACCAATAGCTTTTCCTCCGTATTCTCAAATACTTCTAATAATTCAATATTATCAACTGCAACAATGAATCCAGCTCTAATGATGTCTCCAGCTTTAAACAATGGTTTACCTAACGAGTCTCTTACAAAACAGAATATTTTTAAACAAGAAGAAGATTTTCCAAACATATGGTAATCAAAAAAAATAAAAAAAAAAATAAAAAAATATAAAAAAATAAAAATTAAAAATTTTATTATTCTGTAGTCCATTGTTTAGGGTCCTGTTGTAGACTCCTAATTTAGCATTTGCTGTTTCAATTCTTGTTGTTGTTTTATTTGTTTATATTTATTTATTAGTTTAAATTTGTATTAGTTGTTGGTACTGGTATTGAAAAATTCTAATAAAAAGAATTTATCTTTTTGTTTTAGAATGATCTATGCCTTTTAATTTCTTTCATGTTCTAAATAAATTTCAATTCCCATTTCATCATTTAGATCTCTTATTTTTGAGACTCATCATTAATAATTCCTTTCCCTTTTACCAAATACATCTCAAAATAATCCTTTCTATTATTTTTTTTTCACAACTCCATATTTTGATTACCTTTGTTATTTTGTTTATGTCATTATACATTACTCATAATTCATATCTACTTTTTATATATTGTGTTTCTTTTTATACATACACTCTTTTAATATCTTTTTTGTCTTTGTTTAATTTAATTTTTTTTCTTCTTTGGTTTGTCATCTGTTGATATAATAATAAGAACAAACCATTAAACATTTCACTTCACTTCCTTTTTTGGGCCATTTATTTTATAATTATTTTTTTTTATATATATATTTAATATTTTTCATATTTACTTCTTTTTCTTGTTTTAAGATTTATATTATTATTTTTTGAATTTTCATTATTTTAACAGATAATGAATTTAAGTTTTTGATTAATATTATTTGTTTTGTTTTGTTTGAATTTTTTTTTTCAAATTTTTTTTTATAATTATTTTTTTGGTTTTTATAAATATTTTCAAATTTTGTTAGTTTTAGTTATTTAATCTCAAAAAATAAGTTTTAAAAGTAAAACTCCATCAACGTAAAAGAAATCTAATCAGAAAGACTTTGATAATTTGAGATAAAGTTTTTCTCGGGTTTGATTTTATCGAACATCAACAAAAACGAGCGAGTGATAATAAATCTAAGGAACAAGTAGTATGCATGTTAAGACCTATTTATTAGAAATAGAATTAGACGTATAATTAAGCTATCATAAAAGGTTGTTTAGAGAAAATATCAGAAAGTAATAGAAAATTCAAAAGAAAAAATAATGAAATGAAGATATCTGAAGGGCTCGCACAATACTACAGTTGGATCAATCTTTACCACCATTTAAAGTAAATTAAAGACCTTTACCATAATTGCCAGATTTGTAAAAATCAAAGATAATTTGAACAATATTTTCCAAAGCAGCCAACCAAGCTAATAATTGAGCCATAACTTTTGCTTGATCTTCACCTAATTTCTTAAAGAAGTCGCTTCTGTATGGACATGCTTTCATAGCCAATTTGAAAACTGGTCTAACGAACATATTATGATATTTAACCAAAGTTTTGTTATAAGCACTAGTAAAGGTTTCGGTCATTTCCTTTGAGGGATTGTCAACAGTTTCCCTCATGGCTTGAGCAGTGAATTGCAAACCTCTTGATAACCATAATAAACCTTGGGTAGCTGTTTTGTCCTTTCCTGCTTTTTCAGCTAAAACGATATCTTGTAAAGTGGTGGCAGATGAAGGATTTTTCAACAAGAAGTCTCTAATTTTTTTGACATTACCGGTCATATCACTCTGAACAACATTGAAAGCAGTAGAGCCCAATAAATCAAATAACTTGATTAAATCTTCAGTTGCAAGCAAAAATTCAGAGGTGTCAATCTTATTTGAATTAACTGGAACTTCAGTGAACGATTTTTTACCGTCAAAAAAGGTGGACATTTTGCAAAAAAAATTGGTGTAACGAATGGACAATTCAAGAAATAAGCGAGCCTTGAGAAATAACTAGTTTGCAGCAAATCTAGTAAGGAGTTGGAGGATATTTATACGAAAGAACCAACAGTTTGAATTATCTTTGGTGGTGAAGATAAATATATCTCAAATACTACTACGTGTAAAGAGGAATTCCGCAGCTAAGGACATACTCTGGCCCATATGTCCCGAAAAGTAAAGGGATGTCCATAGAAAACGAAACAAATATTGAAAAGATGTCATACGCAATGGCCCGTATGTGGAGGGAAAAACTGGGCAGGGACGTGAAAAACAGACCAGTTCGAAATGGTTGTAGCAATGGAAATGAGGACAGAGAAACAAACAATAAGCGAGAATTGTCTGGATAATGCTGTTTGGATGGCATCTTATTGTTAGCTGAAAGTGGAATGGTGTTGGAGATGAGAAAAAAGAATGTTGTTGGGATAGAAAGAGCTTTAGAAATCAGAGAACAGTAATTTTCAATTGTTACCATAGATAATAAAATTATAAATTACAGACATATATAAATGCATTTTACTATGAATGATTAATTTAATCTTTAAGTAAAGCTTCTCTCTTTTCTTCGATACGTTTTTGTCTTCTTTCACGAGCAGCTTTGTTTCTTAATCTTCTGGCTTCAGCTTCTTCCTTTAAGGATTTTTCACGAGCAGCTTCAGCCTTAGCTTGGATGATGTGTTCAACCAATGAACGTTTGTGTTTGAAAGTATTACCTTTAGCAGCTTTGTATAAAGAGTGGTATAAGTGACGATCGATTTTACCAGCAGCTCTGTATTTGGCTAATAAACGACGTAAAACTCTTAATCTTCTCATCCATAAGACTTCGGTTGGCATTCTTGCTTCTCTGGTACCTTTTCTCTTACCATAACCAGTGTGACGACCAGCACGTTTTGATTCAGCTAAGGCTCTAGCTCTGGAACGAGAGTGGATTCTAGCTGGTTTCTTGACAATGATACCATTTTTGTATAATTTTCTAATCGCTTGACGAGAATCGGAGACAGCAATTTCGGAAATTTCAGATGGATCTAACCAAATTTTTCTCTTGCCGACACCGAGAACAGAGGCAGCAAGTCTTTTTTGAGTCGTTAAATTTGGCCTATTGAAATAAAAAAATAAAATTAAAGTAGTTAGTATAAAAGCATTTTTTTAAAAAAAAAATATTAAATCTCAATTAGCAATATCAATTGTATAAATATGTTATATAAAAATATCAATTATAATAACTAGTTATAATAATCGGGTTTAGTAATAGTAATTAATATTTTTTTTTTTTTTTTTTGTAAATATTTATTAAATGTGTTAATTTTATTGAAATTTGAACTGGTTTAAAAATGTAGTTGTCAATTTTTCAATCACCGATTTTTCTTAAAGGAACAATTTTTATTGTAAAATTCATGTGAGAGAGATTTTTTTTTTTTCTTTTATAATTTTCAAATTAATCAAGTTGGTATTAAGAATAATAGTGTTATGTTAATAATGATTTATTAAATTGAGGAAAAACAATCAAATGAAATTGTTTGTTATAAGTTAAAGTGATTTGGATGGTGTTCTACAAAAGGTAGAGAAATGTAAATTAAGATCATTTTTCAAGAAACAAATATGATTTATAGAATATGACATTAGAATTGAATATAGAGAAAGACGAGATATTTGGAAAAAACAAGTATTTAATTTTGATTTTGGTTTTAATTCTAATTCTGATTCGGTTTTTATTTTTATGTTTATTTGTTTTTATAGAAATGATTTAAATGGTGTATTTCTATTATTAAATGATTTCATATATAATGAAACGAGAGATAATATAAATTGATATGGCATATTGTATAATGTAACGGAGAATATAATAAAGTGGGGGAGGTAATGATAGGTTGGCACTCACATTTTTTTAATTTTTTTTTGATAATCCTCTCCTATCGATAATAAATCTTGCTTTGGATAAATGAACAGAAGTTATCTTGTTGATTTAAAGGACGATTTAGAGATGTAATATAACTACAATTTTTTTCAGAATACAAGGAGAAGTTGGTGGTGGAAGCGTGATTTGATGATGGAAGGAGTAGGGCTGTGGAAGGGTATGAGGATTGAGAAAAGCGGATTGGGAAGGGAAGTCACAGTGTGTTGTATGGGAATGAAGATCATGTGAGATGATTCAAAATTGGAGAAAGTTGTAGATGCGGAATAAATCAGAATGGTAAGATAACTACTTGTTAGAGCCCTGAGATAATACATGTGATTGATTTTTTTTTAGTTGTTGATTTTTAATCATTGAAATAATTTCAAAACTAATAGATGATGATTTAAAAAATAGGTGGGAAATCGCAAAATTGAATACAGCAGTATAGGGAGATAAGATAGGCATAATGGCACATTCGCTACGTTCTAAATCCAAATTAAAGTCTAAATCTCTAAAGAGAAAGTCAGTGTTTCAAAAATACGACGATGAAAAGAGAAAACAGATTTCGGAAAAATTAAAAGAAAATATTGAAAAACAGCAAAAAGTAAAAGAGTATGGTAATGATGGTAATAGAGACGAAGATATGGTGGTTGAGCACCCTGAAGAGAAGAAGATTTCAACGAGTGGATGGAGAGATGCAAGACATCTTAATTATAAGAAGATAAATAAGAAATTCAAATTGAATCGTACTCATTTTAAAAAATAGAAGCACAATAATGTAAATTAGTATGGTTTATTTTTGATTCTCTTTTTGTTTGTTTTAATTCTCGTTGGGCATAAAATTGATTTTATTTTATAGATTCTAGTTGGCATTTCTGTTTATTTTTTTGTTTATCTTTTTTTCATATTCAAATTGTAGTATTTTACTATAATCCAGCAGTCGAACTTAAGAAAGATGCACTGTAGAAGCCAAAGGGGTTGGGCTGAAGGTTAAGTTGAGAGGAGCTGGAGAAACTTGAAATAGGGAGCTTGATAGCGAGTAGTGGTTGCAATCAAGGCAGCCAGAGCAAATAAGGCAACGAAGGAACTGGCGATAGTGGAAGCAACTTTATCAGCTCATCCAGCTCACGCACTTGCTTTTCCGGCGACACTCAACTGGCTATCGTGAGAGAGACGAAGCATATCCATAAACAATACTCACTTTTATTCGCACTTGTTCACCTGTTATTCACTTGAGATGTTGCTGAGAACTCCTCCAAGGAAGTGTAACTTGGAGGCTTGGAAGGCTGCAGCAGCGTCCGGCGTGGGCAGCCAAACCGCGCCATCGGCTGGACAGTGGAAATTGATGGCGTTTAGGGCCAGGGTCTGGGGTCTGCTGCTGCTGAATCTGTCGCCACTGCTGCTGCTGCTGCTGCTGCTGCGTTGGAGCGGCTCTCGTAAGGCAACCAAACAGCCGCCGCTGTCGGAACGCAGGGGGTCGACTGCCCTCCGTCAGAATCCGCCAAGATCCGTTGCCAGACCCAAGCCCGAACAAGACTTCTGCAAGATCCACTGCGCGCCCAGCAAACCACAGAGACGGCTTTCGCTGCTATCTCTATCTGCACGAGCTTCGGCGCAAGGCCGTGAGAGCGCTGCAGGCCTGCAGGTGTCAAGCAAGTGCCCGCCTCGGGCTGCTTCATGCTGCCTTTTCTGTTTCTAGATCACGACCTTCTTCTGTTGCCTTTATTTCTTCTGCTGCTTCTGCTTCTTCTGCTGTGCTGGACAGAGTCTCTTTTGCTGTTTGGGCCAGGCTTGTTCTTGCAGAGGGCTTTTCGGCAGGCAATTTGTCTCCAGCACTGGGTTCCAGAACAGCCTTTACTCTTTTCTCTTTTGCTTTAGTCTTTGTGTTGGTTTTTGCTTTAGGTTCAGGAATTGCCCATCATTTCTGATTGCATTTTAAACACTCATCTTCCTTATAATCCAATTTTAACTATCGCTACCCATACTTTCAATGATCCTATTAGGCTTCTCTTATTCTGTTACCTGCTTCCCTTTCCTATTAATCAATTATTATTTTTCATTTGATTATCTGCCGTACAAACCAATTTAACCTTTTCACATCTTTCCTTACAAAAAAGTAATGATTGTTAAATTATTTCTTAAATTATCATAAATCTTGTTTCTTATTTGCTTATTTTAATAGCAGGCAATGGTGGTTGTAGCCATATACAAGAGATCTCTTTTTCCTTTTTTTGCCTTTTTCTTTATTTCCTTCTCTTTCTTTTTTTTTTTGTTCATAAAATATCAATTACAATTATAATTTTAATCTAACATCATCGTTTATATTATTATCTTAATATCATCATTCTGTTATTATTCTTGATTTTTTTTTTCCCTTTTTGTTTTTTTTTGATTCCTTAGCATTTTGTATTATTTTACTGCCTCTTTAGTCATTTTCACATCCTTTTATTAAACTTCATTTTATTTCATATCCTTATTTCAGCTTTTCATAATTTTGCCTCTTTGTTTTCATATGAACTTTTTATATGTATATATATAAGAGATGATAATTCATAAAGATAATGATGATAATGAAGAAGCCATTAAAAATACGAATATTAACATTATTGAGGATAACAGTGATATAAACAGTGATATAAATAATAATATCAATAATAATAATAATAATAATAATAATAATAATAATAATAATAATAATAATAATAATAATAATAATACTGGTCAAAATTTATCAATCTCCAATTCTTCCTCTTTTAAATCTCCCATTTTTAATACCCAGTTTAACAGTCCAGTACAAATCATGTCTCAAAATGAAATTCATTCCATTTTTTTTGACACTTCGTCAGCTTCAATTAACCACAATATTGACAATAACAATAACAATAACAATAACAATAACAATAACAATAACAGTAACAGTAACATTGATATTGACAATGATAATGATAACGACAATGATTTATTATTCAGAAAAAATCTGTTTAATGAATCAAGTCCAAAAATTGACGAAAATATACTAAACTCGCTAACTTTCTCTCTAAATAATATAAATAATATAAATAATCAACTTCACATCCAAAATGACAATGATGATGATAATGATAATGATAGTGATCTTACTTACTCAAATTATTCTCACAACTTCTCTAATATACATCTGCCTGACACTTCTAATGATTACCCAAAGACACCATCCCAATTATTCTACTCCGAACCTTTAACTCCTAATGATATTCATCCAATTATACCTTGTTTCTCATATTATAATTACAATGATCATCACAATAATGATCATCATAATAACCATAGTAATGATCATCATAACAATCAAAATAACCATTATAATCACAATATTCATGATGATAGAAAAGTAACCTTTCCTTCGATTAAAATGGAACAGTTCAACCCTAAAAGTGCTTTATTCATTCCTATAATGCCCTCTAAAATTGGTGACGAAGATGAAGATGCTTATAATAATAACAATGATAATGATGACTGTATTTTAGATTTCACTTTACAATCTCCATCAAAATGTAAACCAACTCAAAATAAAAATAAAAATAAAAATAAAAATACAAATCAAAAATCAAAATCAAAACCAAAACCAAAATTAAGGTCAAAATCAAACTCAAAACCAAATTCAAAAAAATTTAATACCATCAATAAATCAAAAAAAAACTCAAAAAGGATTCAATCTTAAAACAAACAAATTAATGACGATACTATAGATCTCAATTTCAATTTCAATTCTTAATCATTTAATCAATTAATTAACTACTTGTTTAAATTATCTATTTCATTTACTGTATTTCTTAAATATAATCTTTTTCATTATATTTCTTATTGCTTTTTCATTTCTATATTCTGTGATATTACTAATCTACAATCTATATTATTCAACACTATCTAATATCTAAAAGAGATTTTACAAACTGAAAAGGTTGGAATACGGTTTTCTCTACTTTATCTATTTGCTTTTTCTCTCTACCTTTAATTCTTCACTCAATTTTGTATTATGTTTATATATAATATGTATATAATCTCTATTAATGAATACTACTATTTTCTTTTTTCTTTTTTTCTTATTTTTTCTTTTTTCTTTTTTTCTTATTTTTTCTTTTATTTTTTATTTTTTATTTTTTATTTTTTATTTTTTATTTTTTATTTTTTATGTTTTATTTTTTATTTTGCAATAAATATGGATGGATAAATTAATGGCTCAATTTGTTTTGACTTTCCTTTCCAAGTCAAAAAATTCGGATTACTATAATCATTTGGAAATCGTTTCAAAATCACTTTAAATCACTTGAAATCATTTCAAATCACTTGAAATAAATTATATTAAAATTAACCAAGGCGGTTAATTGAATACAAATATCGATTATTCTTTTAACATGAGTCAAAATAGAACCGATAGAATGATTAGAACATATACAAGCATTGGGTGAAATATCCAACACTGGTTATGATTTAATAATAGGTGATATCTCATAATGTCATAGTCATATAGTCATATAATCACATAGTCTCTGGCAGTATTTGGTTATTTTCTAATCCTTTAGCAATCCTTTAATAATGTTATTTATTCAAGTTGTGGCTAACATTGAAATGCTCCGCTTGGTACTAATTGGGTAATTTTTGTAAAGCTTACAACAGGCGGTGAGAATGAGAGTAAATAAAGAAGATCGAGAAGAGCAACCAAGTGGATTTGAGGCAGGCAGAATATAGCAGAGTAGAGTAGAGTAGAGGAAGTTATAGCTGGTGATGATTGAAACTAAAAAGTTGTTAATATGGTTCATATGAAGATAAAAAAGATAATCTCTAGATCGTCACTCATACTAGCAGCCCTAGTGTTTTTTGGGCTTTGTATTATCGACTTGATAGACATTATCGTCAACTCAAAGACATCAGATGGAACTACAGCGTTAAATACGTTTGTCATATTGGCGTCGTGCATCATATTTATATTGTTGACGTTGTTTCTAATTAGCTATCGGTTGTTCAATTTGAGGCAGTTGTTTCAAGATATTCCCAAGAGATACATTCCAATAAGCGAGGGAGATTTACCAGCTTATGTGTTGGAAAAGATCAATGACACATTGGATACCAGTCAAGAGGTTTATAATCTGATCATCAAGCCAGAGAAAACGATACAAAACGATGGGGTGTCAAATCCATTGGTTAATAACATTTACTTGGAAGATAGTGCAGAGATAATAACAGATGTGGTACCCAAGAGTTTAGTTTATGAAGATGTAATAAAATCGATTGGGGACCGATTTAAATTCAAAGAACTAATCAAAGATTGCAATAAGAAAAACAAGAAAAAGAAGAATAATAATAATATTAATGAAGAAATATTTGAGAAATTGAAGAATCTATCATTTCGAGAAATATTGTTATACATCAATGATAACGATGATAACAATGATAATGGGAATGATAAGAGAGTGAATGAAAAAATAATTAAAGAATTGATTGAAAATTATGAAAGATTGAGATTTTCTAATAAACCAATTAGTCAAAGAGATTTTTTGAGATTTTTAGAATTATTAGTTGACTTTTCAAAGATTAACAGTATTTTCTATAAAATATCAAACTACAAAAATACCGAAGCATATGGTGGCCATGATGGTGATAATAACGATAACGATAACGATAACGATAATAATAATAATAATAATAATAATAATAATAATAATAATAATGATAATGATAACGATAATGATAATGGTAATAACAATAGTAATCGTGGCAATTTTGGCAGCAATAGCTACAGCTTGCTCAATCCCTATGGCGACAATCAGATGGAGACCAGCTCGTCGTTGGTGCTCTCAGACTCGCTCATGACGACATACTCCAGCGACTGTCCCATCAACAGCCCCAACAACACTCAGGCGACCTTCAGCAAGATCTTCTCCAAACCAGGCTCCACCCTCAGAAACCTCTCGCTCCCCAGATTCGCCACACACAGCCGCGCCACAGAGCCTGATGGCAGTGACGCGCCACGACCAAGCACCAGTACGACACGCATACACGTGCCCACCGCCACGCGTCGCACACGCAGTCTGCAGACCTCTAGCATGCAGACCCTGAATCTCCAGGAGACCCTCGAGAGCACCGACTCCGAGGACGTGGACGTGGCAACGTACTTCCCGCACCTTGCCGCGCACTAGCACGTGTGCTTAGCTCAGCGCTATAACTAGAGGACCAATCAGCGAGCGGCGTTTGGGTCTGTGCTGCAACAGGCGGCGGGGTGCGCAGAGGCCGTTTTAAGTTGTGCGCCAGAACTCAGGAGTAGTGAAAAAAAAAGATATATAAGAAGCCCAAGCAATGACTTTTTTTTTGCATTCGCTTTCTCTCAACTCCACGATAGGATAAGCTGATCTTCCTCTCTCTCTCTGGTGTCCTGCCTGTGCTGTCTATATAATGCAGACTTACCACTGTTTCTCTTGCAACTCCAGTGTGTTCTAATCCTCCCTCTGTCTGCTCTCGCCAATTCCCTGAGCCTCTATACTATACAATCTTATTCACTTCTCTGTTCTTATTCTTTATTGTGAAATTCTAAACTTTATTTTTCTGTCTTTCGATTTTGATCTTTTATTCATAACTCTCCACTCAATTAATCCTGTATCCTCATATATTTGTCTTTCTCTCCTACCATCTTATCGCCATTAACCACACACCCAAACTACAACTCTGCATTCCCAAATCAAAACCACAAAATAATGTCAAGGCTTGATCGTTTAGTCCTATTGCTAGATACCGGTTCTTCAAACTTTATAAGAAACACTGCAGCTGATCAATTGGCTGATACCTCAAAGAACCATCCAGACGAGATCATAAATATCCTCGAAAGAGTCTATCCATACTTGAAATCAAAAAAATGGGATACAAGAAAGGCTGCCGCAAGAGCTTTCGGTGGAATTGTATCCAATGCTGAAATATGGGATCCGAATAAAGACGATGACAACAATGATCATGATGCTGAATTCAATCCTAAAAATGAAGTCAAAGATGAAGATATAGATCACGACAAAGATATCAAAATGTCTGATGACCAAAACCAAGATCCAGAAATTAAAAAAGAACAGCTACCACATTCCAAAATAAAAGTCGATCCAGAAATTAAATCAGAAATTAAATCAGAAATTGACATCGAACAAGAAGATTTGAAAAAATTCCTTATTTCTCAAAAATCAAGCGTCAATAATTTTAACGATGACTATATAACTTTCGACAAATTTATATTATCTGATATCTTTAAAAACGGCAAAACTTTAAACAAAGGCGATAATTCAATCCATCAAATCAAGTTGTTTAAACCTGATGATAATTTTGAAAAATTAAAATCACAAAAATTATCTTTAAATGCAAGACTAGGTATTAATGTAGATTCAAGTTTATACATCAAATATAATCAATTTAATATTAATAACAACACTACCAATAACAACAACACTATCAATATTAACACTACCAACAATAATAACAACTATAACAATGACAACACCAACGCTAACACTGCCAACACTAATACTACCAACATTAATACTACCAACACTAACACTAATATCATTAATACGAAAAATAACTATTCAAAAATCAATAATTATAATCAAATGTCTAATTCTAACAGCCCGATTAATCTGATCAATCAAAAGTTTATTCCAAGAAGAGACTTTTCAAAAGACTCCATAAAGGACTCCATAAAGGATCCCATAAAATATCAAAACAACATCCCTAGACCTTCTCATAAATCAAAATCAAAATCTTCAACTAGACTAGAAGCAATGGCAAGAAGAAGAGCCAAAGTTAATGCCAAAAATAATTCAAACTCTTCAACTCCTGTAGATTTATCTCAATCCTCATTTTCAAGAGAATTGGCCCAAAATAATAAAAATAACAGCAATAACAACAATAACAATACAAATATCATTAATAATAATAATAATGATACGAACGATAATGTTAACACTAATAATAATAATAATAATAATAATAATAATAATAATAATAATAATAATAATAATAATAATAATAATAATAATAATAATAATAATAATAATAATAATNATAATAATAATAATAATAATAATAATAATAATAATAATAATAATAATAATAATAATAATAATAATAATAATAATAATAATAATAATAATAATAATGATAATGATAATGATAATAGCAACCAGAACAATATTAATAATAATGATAATCAAATAAATAACAACCATTTGAATAATCTTCCTAATAATAATCCTAATAATAATCCTAATAATAATCCTGATAATAATCCTGATAATAATCCTGATAATAATCTTCCCAACAATAACGATATTAATGAAAAAATTAAATCAATCAAAATCACTTCCCAAGCAGGCGGAGATAAATTGGTCCTTGAATCAAAATCCTTAGACCCATCCTTAGATTCTTCCTTCATATCAAGAGAATCGAAATACTCAAAATTTATTTGGCTATTCCAGGGGGTCTTTGAATCTTTATTATTCAACCTATTCGATCAAAGCTGGGAAATAAGACATGGTGCAGCTCTAGGCTTAACTGAATTAATCAAAAAACATGCAAAATCTGTTGGTAGAATTAAAGGAAAATCAAAAGCTGAAAATGATGAAAAAAACTTACTAATTCTACAAGATCTAAGTTGCAGAATACTAATACTATTTGCTTTAGATCGTTTTGGTGATTATGTCTCTGACAGTGTGGTTGCTCCAGTAAGAGAATCTTCTGCTCAAATTCTTGCTACTTTACTAATTCATTTAAAGGATAATGACGACTTGACTTTAAAAATCTTCAATTCTTTAATCTCTCTCATTTTACAAGATCCTTATCAAACTGGCTTGAAATACCCATGTTGGGATGCTAGCCATGGGGGTATGCTAGGCTTGAAATATTTTGTAAATGTTAGAACTGATATACTATTTAAAAAACCTGAACTCTTTCTTGATAAAATCTTGAGAACCGTATTATATGGCTTGAAAGAATCCGATGATGACGTTCAATCTGTCGCTGCTTCTACTTTGATCCCCATCGTATCTGAATTTTTAAAATTAAAACCCTATTCCATCAAATCCTTATTACCTGTCATATGGGATTGTTTAACAAATTTAAAAGATGATCTATCTTCTTCAATTGGTTCGGTAATGGATTTATTAGCTAAACTTTGCTTAGACGAAAGAGTCCTAAATTATATGGAAAGCTACTCTGATAATGAATATCTAAAATTTGAACATTTAATACCTAGGTTATATCCCTTTTTAAGACATTCAATCACTAATGTAAGAAAATCTGTCTTGAACACTCTCATCTCTTTTTTAAAAATTTCTCATACTGATATTAATGAAAATAAAAAATTTAAATCATGGATAAATGGGAAATTATTAAGACTTTTATTTCAAAATATTCTAGTTGAACAAAATATCGAAGTCTTGAAATTATCAGTAAATGTTTATAACACTGCTTTAACTGAAATTCAAAAACTTGATACTAATAATTCGGGTCAATATATTGAATCCTTCTTTAACCAACACGCAGAATCTTTATTATCTTTACTTATGACTCCCATTGGTATTCCAAGGAATCATTATCAAATGGATACATCTTTAATAATGAGGCCATCGGGCATTATGTTTTCTGCTTCATTATCAAAATCTTTTCAAAATCCATCAAACAATAAAAATAATATTTTAAATCCTACAGATTTAAATGGAGGTGTTGTTCCGATAAAAAGAGGTAGAAAAAGAAAAGCATCACCTCCAGATTCAAATGTTCCTGTTCCAAATAAATGCGATAACCATATTAATATTGATGCACCAATATTCAATGGTGATATAATACTACTTGGTGAAGATATATTTATAAAGACAAGAGTCGAAGCCGCAATAGCGTTTGCTAATACACTTTCATATTATTCTTTAAAATCCACCTTTTTAAACAATATTCTCCTGAAATTAGCTAAACAGTATATGAAATCTGGATATTCAAGTCCTAAAATATTAACCGGTGTAATAATCCAAGAATATTGTTTGTTTTTGAAAAAAAGAAAATTGCCGAATAATTACTCGAATTTGAAGCAATTATTTTTATTAAACTTTATAAAAGTTTTGCAAACACCTTCGGTAGAATTGCCATTTTTTACGGAATTAGTACCAAGATTAAAAACTTTAAGAATGCATTGCATTTCTTTATTTAATATTTTTATTGAAATTGGTAAAATTAGTCCAAGTAAAATGCCTATAATTCCAGTTGTTGTGCAAGGTGAAAAAGAAGCCGGAGCAAATGCTTTTTCGATTGAAGCTGCAGAAAAATTTGCCAATCAAACATATAATAAACTTTACAAATCTTTAAGTCCAATGTACAGAATTCAAGTATTCAAGATTTTGGAAGAGAAAAAATTCTTAATATTGTCAACTATAGAAGATTGCAAAAAAATATTAAATCAGCGTAACATTGGAGTGTTAGCCTCATATGCTGCTGCTGCATTAAAAGCTGAAGAATCATTGCCCAAGAAACTAAACCCCTTCATAAGGTCGCTTATGGATAGTGTCAAAACAGAAGAACATGAACTATTTCAAGAAAGAGCTGCAGAAGCAGTTGCCAATTTGGCCAATAGTTTGCAAATGGCAGGCAAAACTAATGTCTCTGATAAAATTCTTAAAAACTTATCTGCATTTTTGTGCTGCGATACTTCAGAAGTTCCAGAATTTGAACCAAACAAACTATTTACAGAAAACATTCTTTCTTTGCGTAAAGAAGAAGCAATTGTTGATCCTTCTGATATTGCAGAGCATGAGAAAGCAGTATATGCTGCAAAAGTGAAACGTCAAGGTGCTAGGTTTACCTTGGATAAGTTGTTGCAAATGTATGGTTCTGAACTATTTGTTAAATCACCTAAATTGAAAGAAATTATATTACTATCCTTGGAAAATTTGGACAGGGAATCTACTGATCCAGTCTTTCAAAATGAGAAAACTTGCCAATCAATAATTGATTCCTTTGGAATAATAAGGTCTTTATTACCCAATCTTCATCCTGACATAATCCAAAACGATATATTAACTGTATTGCCTCAGATTTTGAGGGGCTTAAAGGCAAAATTTTCCGTTTTCAGATATGCTGCTTCTAAATGTTTTGCTACCTTGTGTTCCTCTATACCTTCTAAAGTTGTGCCATTTCTTGTCAAATCAGTTTTACCATTGCTCAAAAATTCTAGAGAAGTTAAAGATAGACAGGGTGCTATAGAATGTATATACCACTTATCAACCACCATGGGTTCTGACATATTGCCTTATGTTGTTTTCTTAATTGTGCCTGTGCTTGGTAGAATGAGTGATTCAAATAATGATATTCGTTTGTTGGCCACAACGACTTTTGCGTCTCTCATTAAACTTGTTCCATTGGAAGCAGGCATACCAGATCCTCCAGATTTGCCTGATGATATTTTAAAAGGGCGTGAAAGAGAAAGAGAGTTCATTCAGCAAATGATGGACCCAACAAAAATAAAGCCATTTGAATTACCAGTTTCTATAAATGCCAGTTTAAGGCATTATCAACAAGAAGGTTTGAACTGGTTATATTTTCTTAATAAGTATCATTTGCATGGTATTTTATGTGATGATATGGGTCTCGGTAAAACATTGCAAACGATATGTGTTGTAGCAAGTGATCATCATATGAGAGCTGAAAAATTTCAAGAGACTGGAAAAGAAGAATACAGAAGATTGCCATCATTGGTTGTGTGTCCTCCATCTGTTATGGGCCATTGGGAACAAGAAATAAAACAATATGCGCCATTTTTGACTGTTTTAGTTTACGCTGGAAATCCTCAAATGAGAGCTGCTTTGAAAGGTCAAATTGATAACTTTGATGTAGTTGTTACTTCTTATGATGTTACTCGTAATGATACCTCAGTTATATCTGCTCATAGTTTTAATTATTGTGTGTTGGATGAAGGCCATATAATTAAAAATGCAAATTCAAAATTAACAAAATCGGTTAAAGCAATTAGTGCAGATCACAGATTAATTTTATCAGGTACTCCTATACAGAATAATGTTTTAGAATTATGGTCATTGTTTGATTTTTTAATGCCTGGCTTTTTGGGAACTGAAAAATTATTTCAAGAGAAATTTGCAAAACCAATTAGTGCTAGTCGTAATAGTAAGACATCTTCAAAAGAACAGGAAAAGGGTGCTCTTGCACTAGAGGCGTTGCACAAACAGGTGTTACCATTTATGCTCCGTCGTCTCAAGTCGGAAGTGCTTTCTGATTTACCTCCCAAAATTATTCAAGATCGTTATTGTGAACTCAGTGATTTGCAAAAACGATTATATAAGGATTTTTCAACCAAGCAAAAATCACTTGTTGAAGAAGGTATAAAGCAAGCTTCTGAGCAGGAAGACACTAAAAAGACACATATTTTTGAAGCATTACAATATTTGAGAAAGTTGTGCAATCATCCTCGATTAGTTTTAACACCCAAACATCCAAACTACTTAGAGATTGGTCAATATTTAAACAATAAGAAAATGGATATAAATGACATTAGACATGCTCCTAAATTGCTAGATTTGCAGAATCTATTGTTAGAATGTGGTATTGGAACTAATGTTACATCATTGAGTCCAACAAAAAATCAGCAGCAACAAGATATTATATCTGATGGAGTTATAAGTCAACATCGGGCATTGATTTTTTGTCAACTTAAAGACATGCTTGATATGGTTGAAAATGAGCTACTACGTAAACATATGCCTTCTGTTACATTCATGAGATTGGATGGAGGAACAGATCCCAGAGAAAGGCAAAGTATTGTTCAGAAATTCAATTCAGATCCATCAATTGACGTGCTATTGTTGACCACAAGAGTCGGTGGTTTGGGGTTGAATTTAACCGGTGCAGATACTGTTATATTTGTTGAGCATGATTGGAATCCAATGAATGATTTGCAAGCCATGGATCGTGCTCATAGGTTGGGTCAAAAGAAAGCTGTTAATGTGTTTCGATTGATAACGAAAAATACTCTTGAGGAGAAAATCATGTCTTTACAAAAATTCAAAGTGAATGTTGCATCGGCGATTGTGAATCAACAGAATACTAGTTTGACGTCGATGGACACAAATCAGTTGCTTTCGTTATTTGATGTTGAAGAATCAGCGACCGGAACTTCAGCAGAATCTATCAACGAAAAGGATGTAGCATCAAAAACAGTGAATGAAATGGCTCTTGGAACACAAGCCAATGCTGTTATGGGTGATTTGGTTGAGCTCTGGGACGAAGCCCAGTATGAAGAAGCATATAATCTTGACTCCTTTATCAAGACGCTTCGATAATGCCTTCAAAGACGTTTAGAAAGTTCAAGACATATTCTTTGGTCGTTTTTTTTATAACTAATTATTTTAACTCTTGTTTCATTTTTTGTTTCATTTTTTGTTTCATTTCTTTTTTGTTTTCGGATTTGTGTTTATTTTTTTGTTGTTGTTGTTGATTTTGTAATGTTAGCGTTAGTATTATTCATATATGTGAAGTTATACATTTGATACATAGGTCATAAAAGTTATATATATTATTTATTGTAAATTAGTCAACATCAGCTTGAAATTGAGGTATTGGTTTGCATCGCTTTCTCGTAATTGAGAGCTGCTTAGTTTGTCGTTTTCCAAATCAAAATCATCTGGAACATTGTCTTCATATTCCAGATTGTCACTTATGAGATTCACTACATGAATTTTCAAGGGATGGAAATTGATTTCAGCTCTTTGATTGTTGATGAAAGTGCCTGCTTTTTCTGTTTCTTTTGTTAATATTAGGGAATCAATGTTTTCAAGTGCCAAAGTTGGTCCACAAATATCGTTTAATTCGAATACTTTTACGTCTACTTTTTTATTTGGGTTTGATTTCAATTTGGATAGGAAATAGGCAATGTTATCCTTTCGAAGCTGGTAGGGTTCTAAAAAATTGAAGTATTTTTTTGAGCTCAAGAGATCTTTGGAAGAGAGACCAACTACTATGGATTTTGAGGACAAAAAAGAACAGGTTGATAATAAGATTTTATGGCCATCATGAAGATGGTCGAATGTTCCACCAACACAGGTTGTTTTAAAATGGTTTTCGAGCAAAGTGTCATGATCTCTTAGATGAGTAGAAGACTTGATTCTTACGTTATCCAAAGAGAAGATGAGCAGGTTTGCATTGAAGATGTTGTGTAGATTTGAGTTATAGATATAATCATCAGCACTCATGAAGGAGGTGGAGGTGGAGGTGGAGCTGTTGTTGCTTTTTGTGGGGGTTGTTTGGATTTTGTTTGTGTTGTGATGGTGGTTTGAGTCTCGGGTGTCTTTGGATTGTTCGTTTTCCTCATTTAATACACTGTCATTTAATTTTTTTTTGTTTTGGTAGTTTTGGTAGTGGATTAGATAAATCGAGTGGAAAAAGTAGTTTGTAATGAGTATGTTATCAGATATAATGAGATTCCAGTTGTAGAGATTTGTGTTTCTTAGGTTGAGGTTACTGAGATTGAATAGGACAGTCGTGAATATTTTTGGTTTGATTAAGAGAGAGTAATCTGATTGGAAGAATCTTCTTTTTTTTTTGAATTCAGCAATAAACTGGTTTATTTTTTTTTCGATGATGTTTCTTGATAGGTTGTAGAACTTTGATAGGTAAATTTGCAAGATATTGACGTTGTTGATTTTGGGTAGGATTAGGAAGTCTAGGTATTTGATGTTGTAGTTCATGATGTTGTTTTTGAAGTAGTTGCTTAGGATTTTTTCATTGTAGTTGTTTAGTAGGAATTTGTGATTTTGGAGCAAGAGTTTGAAGTTTTGTTGGTTGGCAGATAAGATGTAAGAGACAGTTTTTTCGATAAGCGATTGGTAGGCCAAGGGGTTTGAAGGGTTGTTTATTAGAATGAGAGGTTTGTAGTCTTTAGTTTCAGCAGGATTTACGATCATGATGGCAAGGTGAGGGTTAGATGAGTTATTGAGAACTAAGTGGTATAATAAGTGGATATTGTTATGTGTATTATATATATATATATGTATAATTGATTTGGATTAAATAATAATATGTCATAGTCAAATTGCTAAGCAAAATTAAGTTTAGCGAGGGATGAGATTTGCTTTTTTTTTTTCAATTTTTTCATTTTATGGGGTAATTCTTGCAATAATTGTGATTAATTTCGATTAATTTTGATTGGTTTTGATTGATTGATTCGAAACTACAGAGAATGGAGAGATAATAGCATTAAATATCGATTGTAATTTTATTTACCATATTATATAAGATAAGAAATAGGAATATAGAGATAATTAGATAGTATGTTTGAATGAGGATCAGATGAGATGGAGATAAACTTTGTATAAGATGGGATATATAAATGAGGAAAAAAAAAAGGACAGAGAAAAGAAAAAAGATAATTACATAAAATAAAAAAAAATAAAGAAGATAAAGAAGAAAAATTTAAAGAACAAGTGAAAAAGAACAAACAAAAAAAAACAACTGGTTATTGAATGAGTGAGATGTTTTTATGGTTTAATCAAAGGATAAGGTCTTTTTGATTTCAGCAATTGCTTTACCTGGATTAAGACCCTTTGGACAGGTTCTTGTGCAATTCAAGATGGTGTGACATCTATAAAGAGACATTGAGTTTTGTAGCATTTGTTTTCTAACAAGAGTGGCTTCGTCTCTGGAGTCAATCAACCATCTATATGCTTGCATTAGAACAGCAGGACCGAGGTATTCTTGTTGATTCCACCAATAGGAAGGACAGGAGGTGGAACAGCAGGCACACAATATACATTCATATAAACCATCTAATTTTTTTCTGTCGGAGATTGATTGTAAGTTTTCCTTACCATCTTCGGGGATTTCTTTTTTCTTTTGCAAGTAAGGTTGAATTGACTTATACTGTTTGTAGAAATGGGTCAAATCAGGCACTAAATCTCTAACGACAAACATGTGAGGCAAAGGATAGATTTTTGTTTCCTTTTTGGGGTCTTTATTTATTCTACAAAGACAGGCAAGGGTGTTTCTGCCCTCAATGTTCATGGCACAGGAACCACAGATACCTTCTCTGCAGGATCTTCTGAAAGTAAGGGTAGCGTCTTGTTCATTCTTAATTTTCAAAAGAGCATCCAAGATCATAGGACCACATTGGTTCAAGTCGATTTGGTAGGTCTTCAACTGGGGTTTGATTTGAGGAGTGTCGGGAGACCATCTGTAGATTTTGAAGGTCTTTAAGACGACGGGTTTGTCAGCAACAGTAGCCAAATTTCTGAAGATGTTTTTGGAGATGAGGTGGGAATTGGAGGACAAGCCCAAGAGTTGGTTTTTAAACATGACGAAGAGGATTAGTAATGACCAGAGATGGAGTGGTAGAGGAAGAAGGGCGTGGGTGGGAGTAGATATAGAGGATAGAGAGCAGAGGAAGCAGGAGAAAGAAGAAGAAAGAGAACAAAAAGAGCAAACAAGTGCAGTAATCAATAAATATCACTATCCAGGAGAGAGCTTCCCCAGCTGACCGTCGAGCAGATTTTAAATGCGTCGCTTCCTATTAGTAAGTCGGCGGGAGCCTGTTTCCAGCGCTGTGGGCCGCCCAGCGTAAGCAGCTTCGCGCGCACTGCGATTGGTCTGCTCTGGCCGCGGGGCTATCTTCGTGCTCGCACCCGAGCTGTGCGCTCTCGCCCGTCCCGACCTGCTCCGGCCGCGCGCGCTTCCCTGGCCCCGGCCGCCGGAGCCAAGGCCTGACTCAGCGCTGACTCATCAGCACGTGAAAGCACACGTGCAAAATGACCACGTGCTGGCTTGCGTGCTCACGTGATGTTACCGGGTAGCCTTTGCTCAGGAGAGTTTCAGCGCTTAGCCCAGCGTCTATTTCTGGTGTTTCTGGTGTTTCTGGTGCCTTTGCTTCCTCTTTTGCTTCATCTTTTGCTTCCTCCTCTGCTTCCTTGTCTGCTCCACCATGTCTGATTCCCACGATGTCCATCTTGTCCACTTGAAGAATGCTCTCACTACGATGTACTCCAATGCTGACGAGCTCTCCAAGAAGAATGCCTTTCAGTTTCTAGAAAATTTTCAGAAGTCCTTTGAGGCCTGGAACCTCGTCAACTTGATCTTGCAAAACGACAACATCAACGCCTATTCAATTGAGACCAGGCTCTTTGCTGCTCAGACACTCAGATCTAAGATCATCTACGACCTCACCCAAATGGCTCCTTCAAACGCATCCAATTTCGAAAACTTGCTGCAATTGAAAAATTTCATCCTCACTTCCTTGCTTTTCTATTCCTCCCCCAACTTCAATTCAAAACTCATAAGAACACAACTAAACCTTTCTCTCATCAATCTCTGTTTGCAGTACTTGTCCTGGGAAAACCCCATCGATGAAATCATATCCTTCTTCTCCTCCAACACCCAACAACTTGCCAATTCCATCCCAAATGATCCCAACAGCAGCAGCAACAACAACAACAATCTATTGGAATTCCTAAAAATCCTACCAGAAGAGGTCTCTTCCAAAAACAAAACCCCTCTTACCGATGACGAATTCACTAAACGTTCTAATCTCTTGATCACCTCTCAAACTGATAAAATTTTCACCTTCCTTATATCTTCAATCAACAATATTCAATCCACCCCATCTCTTCAAAACACAGCCATAATCCAAAATATTAAATTGCTACTAGAATGTCTTTCCTCCTGGATTAAAGAATTCCCAATACAAGTCATCCTAGAAAATAACTCCATAATATCTTTCATTTTCAATTCCATAAATATTGCTGAAACTTTCGAAATCTCCATCGATTGTCTTTGCTCAATTCTAAACGAATCAAAGGATCTAATAGTATACGATACAACAACAAACGCCATCAATACAAACAATCAGCCAATCTACTCTCTCTACAACAGCATACTCTCTCAACTACAACCTCTCCTTTTTAATAACTTTGACGACTATGATATTGTCAATAATCTAACAAGACTATTTGTTGAAGCTGCCGAATCTTGGCACATTTTAATTGTCTCAGATCCTCAAACTTTCAACCCTCTAATCCAACTACTATTAAAATGCTCAACCTACGAAGATCTAGACATAGTAAAATACACCTTCTATTTCTGGTTTCTTTTAAAACAAACCCTAATCTCTCAAAAATTTAAAAACTCGAAAATCTACTTTAAAGACTCTTACTTGAATCTAATCCAAATTATCCTAAAACACCTACAATATCCAAATCCAGATGATGACAACGATGACGATAACACCACCACCACAACTACCAATACCACTACCAGCGCAACCGCCACCACCCATAATAACTCAAACTTATCAACTTTAAATAACGCTCCTACTTCTTCATCATCCAAAAACGAAAACAACAACATGGACACAAGACATTTATTTGATGACTTGGAACAAGAAGACAAGTTCAAAGAATTTAGATACGACATGGGTGATGTTCTAAAAGACTGCGTACTCATTGTTGGCACAAAGGACGCTTTATCCATCCCTCTACAACAACTATCCGATTTCCTATCCTCCTACAATAACTCCCCAAACAAATCTTACTACAACTGGCAACCAGTAGAAGCTAGCTTTTTTGCCTTAAGATCAATGGCCCAAGAAATCCATCTATCTGAAAACACAATCCTACCCCAAATTATGCAAATCGCGATTAATTTACCAAAGGAAAACCTAAAAATTAGATACGCTATAACTTTATTCTTTGGTAGATACACAGAATGGACTTCAAGGCATAATGAATATCTAGAACTACAACTAAACTATATTATAAACAACTTTCAATCTCAAGATTCTCAAAATAACTTACCCTTAATTAGTGCCTCCTCTCATTCTTTAATGTACTTTTGCCAGGATTGCTCAAAATTATTAATCCCCTTTTTACCAAATTTATACCAGTTTTACTCAAACGTTAAAAACAATATAGACCTCTCAAGTCTTTATGAACTAACTGATGGAATCGCTCACATAATCAACAAACAAGATGAAATTGAACAATTTGAAAATTCAAAATTATTCCTAGAACCAATCTTATCCGTCTTGAATAACTACAACCTTTGCTTTCAATCAAAGGACTTTTCAAATATATCTGGCGTCTCAAATGAAAAGGATTTATCAATCAAAATCGCTGATGAAATTGAAATCATCTCAATCTTTATCAGTCTAATTAAACCAAAAAATTTAACCGCAGACTCAAATCAAATCTCAAATCTAATCATCCAATTCATTTGGCCAATTGTTAAAGACTTGCTAAATAATTTTGGTTCCTATTCTCCCGTCAGTGAAAGGGGCTTGAAATTCATTAAATTATCACTACAAACTTATACAACTTATCTCCTACCAATCTTAAGTGATATCATCAACATATTATCAATTGGCTTTCAAAAATATCAATATGGCTGCTATATATGGCTAACTGGTGTTGTTATTAGAGAATTCAGCGATGAATATATCACTGATGACATTAAAAAAATCGTCACTTACTTTGCATTTCAACAATCATTAACTTTTTTCGAATTTTTCAGTCAAAAGACATCCTTAATGATTCCTAGTAACAATTTTATACCAACCTTACCCTCCGATAAATTATCGGCTTTGGTTGATATATCTGATAATATTGAAGACTTTTACAGAATGTTAGATGAATTCTTAACGTTTTATCCTTTTGAATTTATTAGATCTTCTGAAGTCGTTTATAAATCTTTAGAAGTGGCTTTATATTCTTTAAACTCTGATAAATTCGAATGTGGTGCAGCCGTTTTGCATTATTTAGTCGATTTGTTTTCTTGGGGCTTTGAATATCCTCCAATATCATATTTTGATGAAGTCCCTAATGATATTAGACAATTAATCTTTGATATCTTGATGTCTAATTCAAATAATGTCCAACAAAATTATGCATTCAAATTCTTAACAAGATTGATTTTTGGATTAATTTATAATTTCCCATTGGACTGTCAACCTGATGTTTATGATTTGATCAATAAATTACTACATTTATCATTTATTTCAAATAAAACAGATAATAGACAAGTTATTTATACTTGGTTTACGAATTTACTTGATTTTTTTCCAGAAGGTAGTGTTTCCGAACCTGAAAAGGTTAAATTACTTTCATCAATCACAAATTGCTTAAATTCAAAGGATTTTCGAAACGTCAAAAACAGTATCACTGATTTTATCAGTTATTATATTAGAAAAAATGTCAAACCAAGAACCACATTTGGCAACAGCGATGATGGTTTATTTAATTAATTCAAATTACAATACAATTTCAATACAATTTCAATACTAATCACTAATATTTCGGAATCAAAACATTGTTTATGGTTTCTGCTTTTCTTTTCTTTTTTCTTTGTTTGGTTTTCATTATTTTTATACATAGTTATCTTTATAGGTACTTACTTTGACGTTTGAATGCAAGCTGTTATAAATTGAACTGTTTTAATTATAACAACCAATTCATTTTTTTAATAAAATTGCAGTTATTTTTATATTCGGGTTTTAAATATTGAATTCTCTCCATGTGGTACTTCAATAGCTATTCAGACTCCTATTTGTTCACATCTTTGGTAAGTGTTTGAAATAAATGTAGAATATTTAAAAGAATAATAGAAGAAATAATTCAAAGGATGTTTTCAGATTGAAATAAATTAAAGGTAATATAATTATAATCCAAGAGCATTATTACAGTATAATAGACTTTTTTACATTTAGGTTAAAGTTGTTTATTAATGAATAAAATGAAAGTTTTGGAACAGTTAAGCAATGTTGATAGAATATATTTTATTTTTAACATAAAATACTTTGATTTAAGTTATAAAGATATCAAGATATCAAGTTACAAAGTTTGAATATTTAATCTCTATTTAAAATTTCAGGTTTAACTTTAAGAATTTGAGCAGCAGCGTCGATGATGGATTGTTCAAGTGTTATGAATTTAATTCCAGTTAAAGCGAGAGTAACAGAAATATCATAAGTTGGACCAGTGTTTAATATAGCTTGAGTCTGGGACGGATCACCAACAGCAATTTTACCTTTTGCTTGAGGAAAGTTATCATTTATCAAATCCAAAATTAATTGATCGCCATAAATACCGGCAATCGACAATAGTCTTTGGCCATCAGTTTCAGGTTTTTCTAAAGCAATCATATGGACTTCAGCAATATCACGAACATCAGTACCCAAAAATGACATTGTTTTATAGGATTCATATTCTGGGGTATATTTACTTTGTAACAAGACGTTGACTTTATTTGCAGACACATTTAACACCGGTTTTTTAGCATCCGAATCAAACAATTGAGGACCAATGACCAAAGGAGGCAAAACAGTGGTAACTTTAAACGAGGGCTTTTCTTCTTCAACAAATTTCCAGACAGTCTTTTCAGCAAGTTTTTTAGAACACCTATAAGCGTTCATTGGATCTTTTATTTGGTCGACTTCAATGGGATTCCAGCATTTTTCGGTAAGAACATGGGATTTATCTTCCAATTTGTCCATGTCTAAAACGGCAGCTAAAGATGAGGTGATAACCACCTTTTTAACATTTGGAGCGTACTCTTTGACAGCCTTGAGAATGTTTGCAGTTCCATTAATAGCCGGTTTCAAGAGGGCTTCTTCATAGGTAGTAGTAAAACCAAAGGAGAAGGGGGATGCAGTATGGAGAACATAGTCTAATTGAGGGCCACGTTTTTTGATCACACCGTCAAATGCATTTTCGACAGCTATATCTTCAACGATTTCAAACGTCAAGTCAAAGGATTTGGTTTCAGGATATTTTTCATGAAGGTTCTTGAGAATCTGCTCTCCCTTTTCAGTGGAACGAACTGTCCCAATGACTGAATAACCTCTTTTCAAGGCATGGTCGAGGATGTGGAGAGCAATGTATCCCGAAGCACCGGTGAGCAAAACAGTTCCTGCCATTGTGGAAAGCAAAATGAGAGCGAATTGGGATCGAGCTGAGGTTGGGTCGAAGATGGTGCTGAAGAAGAGGAAGAAGAAGCAGAGGCAGATCGAGCAGCATTTATACTCTTCGGTAGCGTTCCACTACTGTGGGTCTCAAAGGCGGCAGTTTCCCAAAGCGACAAAATTTCCGACGCGGGAGGCGTCTCAGTCGGCTCGTGTTCGGTTGCCGAAACGAATCTTTCGTTGAGATAATAAAATATAATTATGAGACAATAAGATGAGTAAAACAATTAAAGATGGTGGATACTGGGCAAAAGCAGAAGCATCAACTGCTCGAAGTGCTGAGAGAAATATGAGAGAAAACTGTATTGAAATCCTCAATGAATAACCTTGAAAAGACAGAAAAGTAGTTTTTGTGGGGTGGTTGAGTACTCAAATGTCTGGAAGCCTTAGTGTATAGTTTGTCGACTTTTGATGAGGATGAGCCCATTGCTAGTGTAAATCTGGCTAGCTTAGCCAACCTGGGATACTTCGATCCATTTGTCTGCCAAAACTGCAATAGTTTGTCTTCTATTGTATCAACATAAAAAGTCTGACCTGTTTCCCGAAATCTATTGCCCCATCGCAGGTAACCAAAATTCTGTTCACTATGGACAAGACGTTTATAAGACTTCAATTCTTTGTCAAAATCAGCATTTGAAGGATACACAATAGTTTGCAACATTTCTTGTAGATGTAAAGAATCTTCTAATAAATCTGAACTGCAATCATGTGTGTCTTCATACTCTACTATTTTAAATCTGTGCATCATGCAATTAATATAGTTTTCTGCTTTTTTTTCTTCTTCTTTTCTTAGCTTCCAACATTCTCCTGGGTGTAGATAAAACGCAACCAACAAGAATTGATTTCTTTCAACCATTTTAAAATACTCTTTCAATTGTCTTTGTGTGGTCTTCAATGCAAGCTTTAATTCTATATCTTGAGAAGAACTAAATACCGAATCACCAAGCTCTCCCTTATTTATAGTAGCCTCAATTCGACTTACAAACATGTTAAAAATTCCATAAATCGAATGAAAACTAGAACTGTTATCGGATAAGGCTTCAATAACCCCACTAAAGTCTTTCAATATTCCCGAGATAAACTCAGCAGCTTTCCAGTCATTTTCTTGTAAACCAATTGGTGGTTCAGAAGGAAAATACTGGTTATATTCTATAATAGCAGATTTCATATTTAAAATTCTCTCAAGCATCTTATAAGTTGAATTCCAATCAGTTGAAACTTCCAAGAATAAATCATCATTTTTTAAGTAAAATTTCTTTTGAACATATTCAAAATTCTTTTTCCCACTTTCAGTTTTAATTGACTTGATTAATGCACGAAATTTATTCAAGAAAAAGGGCTTTGTTTCAATTGGAAAATGTTTATATTGGTCAATATTATTGTTATGACAATATAAATTGTATGCTTTTTCTTCAACATTGCAAATATTATTAAGTTCTTTCATAAAGTGATCAGCCGTTAATCTAAATATATAATCGTGTGATCGGTTCATAAATGAGGTCGTCCAAAATTCTTTGAAATATTCTCTATAAGAAAGAACAGAATTTAATTTCTCATAAAGAGTTGGTCGATGACAAGTTATTGCCATTACTTTGGAATCAATTCCATAGTCTGAAGCACAATAATGAATAGCTTGAACTAATGATTTTGCATCGCCATTAGGAACAATCTTAAAATCAAGTAATACCTCTTTCAGCTCAAACTTTTCAGTACAGAACTTCACAAAGATTGCAGCAACTGAATCTCCATCATTATTTGGTCGACAATCAAAGGTTAACATAAAAGATACCTCTTTCTTTAAAATTTTAATTAATTCAAGTTTGTATGAAATTGCTACTTCATGAACAATTAAAGGAATCAGTCCTTTTTTACCTTTGCAAAGAGGAGTAACAAATATACTTGATAATATTTCCGGAGAAAAACCTTCAAATAATGAATCAGGCAAGGCATTTATTGATACAAAAATTGCAAATGATTTATAAGTTTTTGCTAATTCTTCTTTTTCTTCTGGCAGATATTTTTTGGTTTTTTTAACTCTTCTAGAGCTATTAGTTTCGTTATGGGTGTTTGCATTGTTTGAAATAGTGGGCTCGATTCCATTTGTTATATTATTTGAACCATTCAAAATAATTGAACTATTTGCAGTATTTGAATTATCTGGTTCATTTAAGATATTTATACTATTCAAAACAGTTGAATTATTAGGATCATTCAGTTTTTTTCGTTTTTTTCTATTTTTTTGATTATCTCGGGTATTTTGATTATTTTGATTATTTTGATTATTTTGATTATTTTGATTATTTTGATTATCTGAATTGTTTAAGTTACTTGGGTTATTTAAATTACTTGGATTATTTGATTCATTTGATTCATTTGACTCATTGAAATTGTGCAATTGAATAAATGTGGTTCTATCAATATTGTGAAGTTTCTGCAAGTGTCTAATAAAAGGGGTAGTCGTTTTATTCTTGTTGAGAGAAATATTAATTCCACATTGAAGACACTCAAGTATATTATCATCAAGAATTTTAAAATAATTATAAATAAACGATTTTTGATATGAATAAGGATGCAAATATTTAATAGCTTGATCGTCTCGTTTAAACTCTTTTGCAACTTTTCCCTCATTTTGCAGTTGTATATCTTGAAGATTTGACTGCTCCGGCACTTGGGTGATGTCCATTTCGTGTTTCAACAATTTCAATAAATGGTTATCTATAATTCAGCTTAAACCCAACTCAAAGAAACATATAAACTCAAACAGCTATTTTTTAGTTTGTTCGAGATTTCAATATCAATCCAAATAATTGATTGAAGTATGTTTGATTGAAAAATCGCGTGCTAAAATTAAACAAACAAAAAGTTTTTAGTAGTTGTTCAAACTGGTGCTATTATGTCAGCACCAGTACTTTTCCGCCTCATTATTGCTGGAGCTACAGTGGTAAAGCGGCTTGAAGTTTGTATGTGTTGGTTTTCGAGCTGTTTCGAACCAAACCGGTGTAATTTTATCTTTCGTTCAAGAGATTCCACAAAATTAATCAGTATATCTATTAAATAAAACAAAACATAAGAAACCGTAGGCCAATCAGACTATATATATGATTAATGAGCATAACACATGTTGAAGTGGAGCTGTAATTTCTTCTAGTGATTCGTTAGCAGTTGATTGAATAGGATATTGCAAACTTTTCAAATCTCATCACGTGGGTTGCGAATCTCTTGGTGATTTGGTTGGATTCGCAGAATTTTTAGCAAGCAAAACACTAGTTTGAGCGCACATTTATCTGTGTTTGAAAACTGGCCAAACCCAGACTCAAATGTTCGAACTTGTCGAGTGCCGAATTAATGTTGAGTTACTTTTAAAACTACTAAAGTAAAAAGAATAGACTATAAAAACCAAAAAAATTAATGAGCCATGTAAGGCATGATGATATCGCAAAAAACACAATAAAAACTAAAACAAAGAAGTATCAATAAAAAGAAATTTCAGAAAAAAATAAAAAAATCGCCAAATCACAATTGTCCATGTTTCATATTGACACTAAAAAGACAAACGAAGTGAAGTAAAATAATAATAATAATAATAAAATAAAACGAAAGAATAAAAATCAAAAATTAAAAAAAATTAGTTGAGTGAAAGTAAAGGAAAAATTCAAAAATTAATAATAAAATTTAAAGAAAGTAATCAAAACCTTATTTGTTTCAGGGAGTATTAAAAGAGATAATTCGATGGTGCTAAACCAACTGATTTATCTTTCAAAAGTTCTACTTCCCACCAACCATCTTCTTGCATGAATAAGACAAGCATTATGTCCTTTCTTTTAAATGATACCTCTTCTGCTAATTGAGCTTGATATGTAAATTTTGCTCTGACGTGTTTTATAACTGGTCTTCCAGTTGACGATACTGCGGGTAAACCATCGGGCAATGATTTTCTGGAATGTGCAGCATTAGCAGATTTGGAACGATGGTGGTGATGCTGATGAGTTTGGGAGGGTTCAGTTTTAATGATTGGATTCATAGAACCATTTGCTGGATTGAAACTATTAATGCCGGTTGGTGAATTTTGAAGACTATTTTGTCCATTTTGCCTATTTTGAAAATTTTGAGGTGATTGCATATTTTGCATTGGGTGTGTTTGGACTGGTGATTGTTGTTGATATTGATTCAACATATTTGGATTTGATTTGGATTGAGTGATTTGATGCGTCATGTTTATATTTTGATTTGAATGGCCTGGATCCATCATTGCCATGTTTGGATTGGTCTGAGAACCTGCAATTCCATTTGGTTGAGTCATCATTTGCCTTTGGTTTTGTAATTTTTGTAATTGCTGAATTCTTAAAAATTGCTGTTGTTGAGGATCTTCAACTTTTACTTGAGGACTTTGTTGTTGTTGGAACTGTTGCTGAAATTGTTGTTGTCTTTGTTGTCGCTGTTGCTGAAACTGTTGTGGTGATGGAGATCTTGAAGGTGGTTTTCTTTGGTATTGTTGAGTTTTTCCTAAATTTTGGGGTTGTTGAGCTTGTTGAGCTTGTTGAGATTGCATTTTTTGCATTTGAATTTGTTGCATCTGTTGAACCTTTTGCGCTTGCTGCATTTGTTGAATGTGTTTCATTTGTTGCAATTGTTGATATTGCAATCTAAATTGTTGTTGTTCTTCTTCTTTTAGAACTTGATTTTGCATTGAATTTCTATTTTGAATTGAATCTAATTTTGGAGAAGTTTTTGCATTATCGATGGTATTATTGATGATGTTATCGATTGTATTATCGATTTTATTATTAATATTGTTATTTACATTATTTTGTGAAGGGTTCTTGAAAATGGAAGTACTCTTTGTATAACTAAAATTATTTCGCTCATCACTATCATCATCATCAATCGGTGGAGGCTTTTTTTGAGATGTTTTAAAAGACTTCTGTTGTCTTAAAGTCTTCATGTCACCATTTCCACCTATTTTTAAATCAGCCAATGCAGCCTTCAATGCATCAGTTTCACCCAATTCATCTAGATTAACTTTGGATTCACTATTTGTCATTTTAGGTTGATCGATTTTTGAAATTGGACTTGGACTTCGATTGTAGTTATTGTTATTAAAACTGTGGTTAATACTATTATCTCTCATATGAAGCGATGGGGATGAGACAGATTTTAGTTTGAAATCGCCCTTTAGAGTGCTTACCGAGGAGTTCATTGAGTTTTCGCCATTAGTGTTATTGTGGTGATTGTTACTGTGATGATTATGATAATTGTTGTTTTTGTTGTTGTTATTTGTTGCAAAGCTTGGGTTTGGTCTCATGTTACTAACAGAGATTGAGGATTGTATTCTATTAGAGTTCCAAGATAGAGGACGATTATTACGAGAGGAGGACCATGTCTTGTGTTTATATTTTGTGTTCAAATTGTGATTTAGGTTATGATTTGGGTTGTTGTTTAGATTATTTGATTCTGAATAACTTGAGTTTGAGGTGTTTGATGTGTTTGAGATCGAAATTGGGTTTGAATTTGTTGAGGAGGATAGAGTAGATGATTGAGAGCCATTTGATTGTAGAGAAGGAATATAATTTGAGTCATTAGAGTTGATAATTTTATTGTTGTTATTGTTGTTGTTGAGATTGTAATGGATGACGGTTTGATCAATCTCTTCTGAGTTGATAGAAGATTTGGACATATTATGGTAGTTGTTGTTAGGCTGGGGTATAATTGGAGAGGGAGAGGGAGAAGAAGAGGAAGGAGAAGGAGAAGAAGCAGGAGAGAAGTTTAAACGATTTGAATTTGGAGGAGGTAGCATTGTAGCTTTGTTTAAGATTAAAGGAGAATTTGATCGTTTATCCTTTTTATCATATATTACGTTGTTGGTATTGTTGTTGTTGTTAAAGTAATTTTCTGTTGTATGATTGTTGTTAATTGATATGGAGAAATCTGGAGAGAAGTATTCATTGCCAGTTGCATTTAGGTTGATGAAATTGGATATATCGTTGATTGGGCTTGAGTTTTCTATTGATAACCTTATGGTTTCACAGGATTTTGAGTCGTTGACACAAGTTTCGGAGATGCTATTGATAAAGATCCATAGGTTGTTTTTGATGAAGTTGAATTTGCTGATTTCTAGGTTTTGTAGATCGTTGCAAGAAGATTGCCAAATGGAGATGAAGTTGTCTATGATTGATTTGTATTGGATATTTAGGGATATTAGCGAGTCAGGAGAAGGAGAAGAGGGAGGTGAGGGAGAGTTTGATTTGTTGTTGTTGTTGTTGTTGTTTAAAAGATTTTGGATGGATATTTGAAGGTTGTTTTTCGAGTTTAGAATTGAGAAAATTTTTGATTTTATTGTCAATTGATTTTTAAGCAAGTTGTTTTGAAAGTTGATGAGAGGTTTTAGGAAATTGTTTAAGATTTTTATGGATTGGTCAAGATGAGAGTTTGAGATTTTAGAGGTTTCTAGTTTTAGGATATCGAGAGTTTCTTTTAAGGAAGGATAACAAAACAGGTTATCATTGTTGTTATTTTGGTTGTTAATATTGTTATTATTGTTATTGTTATTGTTATTGTTATTGTTATTGTTATTGTTATTGTTATTGTTATTATTATTATTATTATTATCTTGGTTATCGTGGATATTTTGATTATTTTGATTATAATTAAAATATTTGTTTGATAGGACTAGTAATTTTTTAGAATAGTCTTCTTCAATTTTGATTTTTTCTTTATAAAACAAAATCAAGTCATCGAAGACTATATTATTAGAGATGTGGTCGAATAGGACTTGAACACCTTTATCATCTTTGCCCCAGAAGTTATTACAAAAGTTATCATCGATGGCTATTGAAGCGTCTACCATTTTAGTAGATTATTAGGGTAGAATATGCTTGAGATGGGATGAGATGAGTGGAAAGAGAAGAATAAATCAAATCAAATCAAATAAAACACTGATTAAAAGGACGAGATCAAGACCGAAAAAAGAGAAAAGCAAGAGAAGCAAAAAAAAGGTGTAATGGTAATTAGTCTTGGTTATTGCTTGTGTTGGTATTCTGTTGTGAGCATCAAACAATGGAATTGAATATGAACAATGGAGGACAAGAAGATGAAGGTGTGTTTGGATAAAGAGAGCATACAGAGGTAAATAGAGCAAAAGATAAATAGAATAAAGTAAATAAACCCAAAGAAGAAAAGAAGAAAAGGAAACAAAACAAAAGTGAAATTTGTGTGTTGATGGAAGGGGGAAGTGTGGGAGAGCCAGCCCAGAGCCAGCAAAAGACAGCAGAGGAAGCAACAGCACTCAGAGAAAAGAAAGCAGCGGCAGCAGAAGCCATAACCAGAACAGCAGCGGAAGCAGAGGCAGCAGAGGCAGCACCAGCCACAGCTGTGTTTACATTTTTCTTGTTCGAGAAACAGTCCACGTCGGTGGGTTCGGTGATCCGCGGCAGATTGCAGTATTTTGCAGCAAGAGTGCAGCAAGAGTGCAGCAGGACGCGCGATTCCGTGGTCAAGCCGGTTAAGGTGTGAGAGGGTTAGTCTCAAGATTGAGAGTTCGATCCTCGCTGGGGTTGGATGCTCTCTTTCTCAGCGTTTTGGATTGATTGGAATTGGTTGTTTTGGCGGTTATCGCGAGAGAACCGCGGATTTGCCGCGGCTGCGGAGGCAAACCAGAAAGTTAAAAAGAGATGGGATGTTGGAGAATGAGATGGGATATATAAAGGAGAGAGCAACTCCTGAGCGAGCAGCTAGAGAAGAAGGAGATACAGGTTTTTGTTTGCCACAGTTAGCAGTATCTACAATCGTCTAGGAAAATGAGTGGAAATCCAATTGCTGAGGACCCCGAGATCGAGGCTACCAAAATGTACATTAGCTACAATAATGTGCACGAGTTGTGCCAGAAGAGCTCTGTGTTGATCAAGAAGTTCAAGCCGGATTTGATGATTGCCATCGGTGGAGGAGGATTCATTCCTGCGAGAATCCTCAGGTCGTTTTTGAAAGAGCCTGGCAAGCCCAACGTGCGAATCATGGCCATCATTCTCTCGCTCTATGAAGACTTGGACAGCGTTAGTACCACCGCTGAGACTACGGGATTAAAAGTGATTAGGAACCAGTGGATCGACTACAACAACGACAGCAGCTCCAAGGTCGCAGACAACAACTTCTCGTTGGTGGGAAAGAGAATCTTGATTGTGGACGAGGTGGACGATACCAGAACCACGTTGCACTACGCGTTGAACGAGTTGATGAAGGACGCGCAGAAGCAGTGCAAGGAAAGAGGCATAAGCTACGAGAGCAGCAACACAGAGTTTGGCATCTTTGTGTTGCACGACAAGATCAAGCCCAAGAAGGTGCAGCTTCCAGAGAGGTTGATGAGCAGTGGTAACTACATCTGCGCCAAAAGGGTGCCTGACGTGTGGATTGCGTATCCCTGGGAGTCCACCGACATTGCTTCCCACACCGAAAGAGCCATCGAGCAAGGCAACGACATATAGGTGTTTCACTAGACTCCAGCATCATCCAGCAGCAGTGCTTTTTTTGTTTCTTTTGCTTCCTTTGCTTCCTCTTCTCTAGCTCCAAGACACCACGGTCACCTGACAGCCCAGCAGAGTTGCTACCCAGCGTCGTGCCGGTTGCACAAACTAGCACGCGCGTGCGACTTGTGTAGTGCACGTGTGCACCCTATCAGTATGCATGCGTCTCGCTGCAACAGGGCTGAGTCAGCGCTGCGTCAGCGGTCCGCCGTGGTGGACGACGCAGGAAAAATTTTAACAGGAGAATTGTTTTTGTATCTGTTTGAGAGAGTTTTCTGAGAGTGAGTGTTGGTAGCGTTGTTAGCATTGTATTGTTAGCATTGTTAGTATTGTTAGTATTGGTAATATCACTGTTCTTACTCTATCTCGTCTCCATCTCCACCAGCCCTTACACTACTCTCCATCTTCTCCATCTTCTCTCTCTGCCTCAATTCCCTCTTCTTTCTCTTTCTCTTTACCACACTCTTCTCCCTCACCTCTTTGTCTTTCTTTTCTTTCTTCTTCCTCTCTTCTTCCTCTCTTTCTCCTTCCTGATCATGGAAAAGGCTATCCTACAATACCTCAATGACACTTTAAGTCCTATCCTCCAAACAAGAAGAGATGCTGAAAAAAACCTCAACAGCTTCCTAGGTCAAGATGGCTTTTTGAACTTCTGTTTATCCTTATCACTTAACCACGACCTAGATACCTCAATTAAAAAAGCTGCCTTGATTTTTTTCAAAAACAACCTCAACAACGAAAAAATTTCACACAACGAAAAATCTCAAATCAAATCAAATCTAATCCAAATTCTATTGCTATCAAACCAATCCATTCTCCAAAACATCTCAATAAAAAATACTTCATCCATTTCCTCCTCAATCAACGACCAGCTTTTCCTCATCGACTCAATTCAACTCCTACTAACCAACGACTTCAATCTCAAACAAAACAAAAACTCCACAAATTCTCAGCTCCTCTTCTCCTGGTTAAACAATCTAATCGAAACTTCCATCCAATTGCTAAACAATACTCACGACAAACTAGACTCAAAAATATTAACTGCCTTTCAAATCTTGAAGCAAATTTCAAAGTTTTTCAAAGACAATTTGCTCACTCTAACAAACCCAACAAACTCAACAACAAACTTGAATAAATCCTCAATCAAACAAAAAAACTTGATTCAAATTTGGCAGGATTTTAATTCTTCCATTTTACCTGTTCTATTAAACTTTTCTTCTCATTATCTTAATAATATCAACAATATCAACAATATCAACAATATCAATAATATCAATGATGATGAAATCAACTTGAATTGTCAGTTCTTATACTACATAATCAAAATATTCAAATACAATACCTACAATAACCTACCTTACTGTATTCTATCCTCAAACTCAAACTCAAACTCAAATGACTTTCAATTCTTTGATAAATGGTTGTCTCTCCACATCAACTTAATTCAACTAAACTACCTTCACAAAAATATTTCCAATAACAATAAAGATGATACCAATAATCACAATGAAAATGGAAATGAAAATGAAAATGAAAATGAAAATGATATTTACTCAAACCCTTCATTTCAAAAAAACTATAAAATCAAATTAAAAAAATGGTCTCTACACAATCTATCAAGATTATTATCAAACTTCAACTCAATTTCTTTCAAATTATCAAATACCCACAACATTCACAATACTCCAAACACTCAAATCACTCAAATCACTCAAATCACTCAAATCAACCAAAATACTCACACCAACCTCATCATATACAAAGACATCATCTCCCATTTTAACCAAAACTTATTAAACAACATCCAAATCATCCTACTCCAATCAATCAACTTTTCCAATCCCACCTTGATCTTCAATTCTCACCAATCCATCCTATACTATCTGATCCAGTTCTTCACAAACATAATCTCAAACCAATCCGCCTTTAACTTCTTACTACAAGATAACAAACTATCCATCCTACTAAACTACCTAATCTTTCCCTTAATCTCAAATTTCCCAATCGACGACACAATCAAAAACAATCCCAACCTAAATCCCTCAAAAATATCCCAAATCCTACAAAATCACAACCAAAATCATAATCATAATCAAAACAAAAACAAAATTCAAATTCAAAACAAAAACGAAAACGAAAACAAAAACGAAATAAAAAATATAAACAAAAATATAGACAACAACCCCATCCTATCTTCCTCAATCGAAATCTTAGACACCTTCCAAGACTCTCAAAAGGATTACTTTAATAAATACTTTTCTTTTGACAACTTTAACGATGAATTAAATGCTAGATCTGCCTCTTTAAATTTCCTCTCCAAATTAATCACCCTCAAATTTTTCGATTCAATCAACCTCTTATTCGAATTATTAGACCAAATCTTCTCCAAAAGAAAATCCTTTCTTGAAAACCAAAACCAAAATCAATTGGATCAAAATCTAAACCTAAACAACATCATCACAATGAATAAAAAAAATAACCAACTAGACCCAATCATCAACCACAACTTGCTATCAAACTCAATTCAATTTGACCAAAATTTCGACATCTCCTCAATATCCTCGTATGATGAATTGCAAATGGTTTTCCAAATGGATGCTGGCTTACAGCTATTAAACCAAATCATCAACTTTATCCTAAATCCTACTAAAAATAAATCAAAAAATAACAACGATAACCTACTACAAAAATTCCAATCCATCATCGAACAAATCGTCCAAAATTATATAATCCCAGAACTATACTTGCTAAAATTTAAATCCCTAAACTCAAGAGCCCTTGAAATCATATCAACTTTAGACTTTAAATTCAACGATTCCTCTCTCTTATCAAAAATCTTTGATCCAATCTTGAAATTAATCCTATATACCCAAAACTATGATACCATATTAAATAAACAGAAAATTAGTTCCATCTCAAATAACCTCAACAACAAAATCAACTCGGTAATCGACAACATCCCAAGTGATAAATTACTCATTTTAAATTCAATAAATGAAGATTTTTTCCTTCAGTTTTTTAATGACCATGATAATAACAATAAAAATAATAATCTATTATCTGCATCAGACTCAGACCAAATTAATAATGAAATTAACGACCCAAATTTAATTATCAAACTCGAATTCTTAAATTGCTTAAAAACCTTATTAATTAATCCCGAAATAATAAATTATTTACAACCATATCTACCCAATTTAATTGACCAATTATTTCTTTTAATTAATAATTATGACTTTGATTTATTAACTGATATTTTGGAAAAATTCGTCGATGCTTGTTCATCAAATATTAATGAAACACCCTTTTTAATTAAACTATCTCTAAAATTATCAATAAATCTTTACAAAAATTTAATCCAATTAGTTAACATTTCTCAAAATCAAAATCAAAATGGCTCATCAAATAATAATAAAAAAAATTCAATTAAAGCTGCTGACACTAATAAAGAATTTATTTGTTTTGGCCTAATTAATAATTTATCCTACATTATTAATGCCAACCATAACAATAAATACTTGATCATTAAAATTTGGGAGATTTGTAATGTTAATTTCAAAATCGTCATTAATCATTCCATTATAACCTTTTTAGAGGAAACTCTAGATTTAATCGGCGAATTTATGCTAATCTTTGATAACTTTTACCTACCAAATATTGAAGAGGAATTACTAAAAAATTTAATGGAAAATTTCATCACTTTTGATTATATTTCTTATTTTGAATGTTTTGTTGGTTTGATGGAAAATTATATTTTATTAGGTTTTAATCAAAGACTTAATAAAAAATTTATTAAAAATTTAAATCTTCAACTAATAAATTCAAAAACTTATGAAGAATCTCAACAATGTAATAATATTATCTCTTTTTATACTGATTATTTTGCTGAAAAAAATTCAAATATCTATTCAATAGTCTCCAATTCAGAAGATTCAAATAATTTATCCAAGAAAATTTTAACATCAGTTATTCAAACAAATTTTATGAATATTTCAAACTCTATATTTCTGAAAAATATTCCTCCAATGACTTATAGTATCTCTCTATTTAGTGACTTTGTATTATTACTAAATAATATTGAAACTACTTTTAATCTTGAAAATAATAATAATGTTTTAAGTTCAAGAGGAGATGATGAAGAGGTCTTTAAAATGAGTGAATTGAAAAATGATTCAACTAATTCAATGATTACAAATATTTTGAACGATGTATCATTAGGTTTCGCTAATTTATTTGAGTCATTTATAATGAGGGATGAAAATCAATTTAAACCTGTAATTGATTTTGAAAGCTTGGAATCCGATGAAGAGTTTTCATGTTTTTATTCAAGCTTCTACAAATTGATTTTGTGTTGTCTTGTTTATAAGCCTTTGTTGACGTTAAAAACATTGGCAGAATTCTTTGATAATTTCAAAGACGATATTATTGATGATTCCAAAGACAGTGAGGAGCTTGAATTAATGCTAGATTTTGTTAAAGGATTTCATTGGAAATTTTTAATCAATGTTTGGCTTGTTAGAGGTAATGAATATTCGGTTTGTGAAAACTTTAATAAGAGCCTTTTTAACCTTAAGTTGCAAATATTTTTGATTATAAAATTTTTGAAAAATGTTCCATTAATATACGAACATAATCAATTTTTTTTACCATCTTCAGATAATATTGATGATGAGTTTAAATTATTTATTGATTTATTGTTTTTCAAATTGATAGATTTATTTTACATCTTTCTAAGAAGAATTTATGAAAATGGGGATGGAAATAATACAGATGAAGAAGATGAAGAAGAAATAAGTGATGATGTTTATGCAAACAGTTTATCAAAAGATAACTATCGATTGGAATTTCTTCGTTTTGGATCACCAGTTTCATCATTAAGTGTGAATGGATCAAGTACGCCAAATGACAACGATGAAGAAATCGTTAGCAATGATATTAGAGTGAATGTTATCAAAGAGTTTGATAATTTATTGAATGAGTTGCCGAAAAAAGATCAATCTAAATTTATGGAAGTTATTAATGGAAAAGAGAACTTTAACGATTTGTTGAATTATTATATGAATAATCATAATTCTCTTGAGATTTTATTTTTGTAAATTTGGTTGATTTTTTTTTTTATTTTTTATATCTTTTCTGCTTTTTCAAATTTAGTTTTTTTGATGTTGTTTTTTTCTGCTCCTTTTAATTTGATAATAATATCCTATTATATACAATTATATATTTGTTATTTTTTGAAAATTTGAATGATCACTGATTTTTTAGTTATTAATTTTTTTACTTTTTTTTTGATTCGATAACTTGATACCCTTATTTTTTTTGTTTTTCAATATTTGAAAATTTAGAAAATAATTTTTTTGCTATACTATTTTTTTTTATTTAAATAAGATATTAAATAAGATTATTAAGAAGTGAAAACGCAATACAAATAAAAGCTGATAAAGTGAGAGCAATAAGAACAGTAAGAATATTATATAGAGTATCAAATAGAATATTAAAATAAGTGGACTGGTTAGACGATAGTGTCACCAAAAGCACATTTAGCAATAGCTAAACCAGCACCAACTGTGTCAATTACATTCACGTCATTTCTGGCCAACGAAGGATTAACCTCAACGATATCGAGAGCAGCTAGATTACCAGTCTCAGCAACAGCTTCAGCGATAAACAAACCTTCTCTTAGAGTCAAACCACCTCTCACAGGAGTTCCAGTTGCAGGAACATACAAGGGATCAATTGCATCAACATCGTAGGATAAGTGAATTGGTCTGTCATTGTGAGGGTTGATTTTTCTCAAAGCCATTTGAACGACGTTGTTAATACCATATTTATCGACGTGGTACATTGAGTAAGCAGCGATATTCAATTCTCTAAGGATTTTTTTCTCGCCATCATCAACGTCTCTTAGACCAATATAAGCGATTCTGCCTGGGCTCAAGCACTTGGGGATCCATTTTAAATGGGGAGGATAAGAATGAGAGTCCAAGCCCATAAGAAACGAGATTGGACAGCCATGCAAATTGCCAGATGATGTTGTTAAGGGAGTATTGATATCAGCATGAGCATCGATCCAAAGCAAACATGAATCAGGGTATTTGTGGAAAACACCAGCAACAGTGCCAATGGCAATAGAGTGATCACCGCCTATAGTTATTGGAAAATTGTTTGATAAGGCAGCATTTTTAACAGAGTTGTAGATTTTGTTGGTTGCATCGGAGACTAATTTTGGTTTTTTGCAGTTTTTGTAAACGTCCTTGATTTTGGAATATTCTTGGTAGTCAAAGTTCTTTAATGGATCATCTAAGGAAATGTCCCAGCCTAGGGATTCCAATTCAGATTGTAGATTTGCAGCTAGTAGATGGGAGGGACCATGTTCAACACCAGGCTTGTCTTGACCACCAGAAAATGGGGCTGAAATGATGGTTGCACTTTTGTTTGGGTAAAATTTGTATGGCACTTTTTTGGAAGGAAAGTGGAAAGTGGAAAGTGAAAAGTGAAAGACAAATGTTAATAAATATATGAAGTTTTTGAATGTGAAAAACCAAACAAAAAAAAGATCAGTACATACTATCGGATACAGTCATTCTTGGTTAGTTTTGAAAAATCGATAAAGATTGTGGTATATATAGACAATATATATAGTGTTTGTAATATTTTTGGCAATTCAAATGTAGCAAGATCCAGGGATAGTGAAGATGAAAAAAGGAAGATAAAACAAAAAACAAAAAAAGAAAAAGCAAAGGGAAATCCAGGAGGTTTAAATATTGCTGAAAGCTGGCGGAACAGAGAAATTTGAGGCATAAAAGACAAGGAGATGCCTTTTTCCAGTCTGCTAAATTATGACTAAATTCATTGGTAAATTCAGAAAATTACTGTCTGTTTGGGACCTAGATTAGCAGTTCTCGCTGAAGAAGTAACTTAGGGGAAAGATAGTGGTGAAGAAGCAAGTAAAAAGAAATGGGGGAATTTAGGAGCAAAGGATGCAGGCGTGGCCTGGCCAGTCATCTGGGTGACGAAGAGTCATCGCCTGGCCAGCAGAACTGGAGGAGAAGCAGCAGACTAAACAGGCCCAAAAACATGCTCCAGCTCGAGAAGCTCGTCCTCCAGATCTGTGATGGTGGGTGATTATATCGATCGAGCACAGAATATACAAGACGCACACTGCGGTACGATGCTGCAAACTGCGGCAGGAACACGCACACTCCCCGGCGGCGGGCTAACCGCTAAGCGAAGGACGTGGCGAGCGCCAGCGCGACGGGCGGCGAAAGAGGCTGTTCGGCAGAGGCGAGTAGAAGGAACTAGAGATAACTAGATAAAGCAATTAGAGATAACTGGATAGACCAACTAGATAGAGATACATAGACACAAGGGTCAGTCAGAACTGGTTCTGCTGGTTCTGGAACTTCATCCGGGACTTCAAAAAGAGCTCTTCTTGCTTCTTCAACAACTCTTCCTCGCTCATTCCCGTGTTTTGTAGCTTGTGGTGCTTCCTTTCCCTGCCCTTCAAGTTCTCCTTGTGCTTCGAGAGAAGGTTCTTGATAGGCTCGATGTAGTCGTTATAATCCAAGAGGTCGAGGGCCTTCAATACATGGTCACTGGCAATCGTCTTTTTGGCTTCTTTTTCTGCAATCTCGTTTGATTCCGCTGCCAATATCATCAAGAATTCAATGCAACACTCTATTATCACTTCCCTTGCTTCTTTGGAAAATGACAAGTCGTTGGGCAAGATCTCCCCAATTATTTTTTGAACAGTTGCTAATCAATATTCTCAGATGTTAGTATCTCAATATATTCACAAGAATCAAAAAACAAAACAAAAGAATTTATGAAATATTCATATCTTCTAATCCTAATTGTATTATTCTTACTTTTACTTACCCTTTGGAAGTGACAACTCTTCACTTGCAGCATTAGTTGTATAATCTGACATTGTATTATTATTGACTTTTATTGATTTTAAGATGTTTATATTTGTGTTTATGTTTATGTTTATATTTATTTATTTGTTTATTTGTTTATTTGCTTATTTGAAAGTTATATTTGATGCTGATTTTGAGTAAAATTTCTCTTCACTTGCTTCGGATCCAATTTCTTGTTTTTATACCCACAATTTTTTTTTTGGTGCGTGTTTCGATGCAGGTCCCATAAACCTGGATCATGATTATGTAATCATACAGTTTGAACAGTTATATTCATTATAAAAATCGTTGAATTAAACAATTAGAAAATTTAAGAAGTTTAAGAAAAATTTAAGGAAATTTAAGGAAACTAAACAAAAGAATAACTAAAAAAATTCAGTCAATTTATTTTCTTTTCTTTTCTTTTATTGTCGTTTAACTGGCCTCAGCTATATCATCGTCTTCTTGATCTTTTAATTCTTGAATAATCTTCCCAGTTTCTTCATCACTATAAATTCTAAATCCTTCATCTTTAGTAACACTAGCTAACTGTGCATTATTACTGTCCAATTTTTCTTCCATCACCTGTTTTAATATCTTCAAAATCAACAACTCGGCATCCTTTAATGTCAATGACTTGTGATATTCATTATTCAATTCAGCTTGGGCTCCCTCGCTACCGGCACCTATAGCCTTTGCATCATATCTATAAAACGTTCCTGATGGATCAGCATGATACAATTGTGGTCCATTTATATCATCGTATCCCGCAATCAACAATGCTACCCCAAATGGTCTCGACATTAATCTCTCTTCTCCGTCAACTCCCTCTCCAAATCTTAATGCCAAATCGCATACAGATTGTGTCAATGTTTCAACTTGAATCTTTTCATCATAATATAAATTATGGTTTAACGATGCCACCCTAGCATGATCAATCATCGATCTTGCATCTGCTGTCAACCCTGACATTGCACATCCTATATGGTTATCAATTTCAACAATTTTTTCAATCGATGACGATTCTAATAATGGCGAGGTAACTCGTTTTTCAACTCCCAATATAACACCTTCAGATGTAGCAATTCCAATTGCTGTGGATCCTAACTTTTAATTAATTCCACTAATTAGTACTTCCATAATCAATCAACTAACAGAAAATCAACAACAAAAAAATAAAAAAAATAAAATACTCACTTTAATAGCTTGCAACGAATATTCAACTTGAAATAAACGTCCCTCGGGAGAAAATGTGCTAACACCTCGATCGTATTCACTTCTGGTTAAAAACATTCTCACTAAATCAATTACACAAGTATCTCCCTATCAATTGCACTATCAATTCTCCTTTAGTTTCCAATCATTCAAGAAGTGGCAATATAATCTTGAAATCTTTCAGCTTCTTCCTCCACGCACGTGAACTATATATCACGTGAACATATTGTCAGTATATATCTGCATTTAACGCATAAAAGAACGCATAGTCCATATCTGCGGCTTTGTTTTTAATTTTTCTTTCTTTGGGTTTGGAAATTTTTTTTTTAAACTGAAAATTTTCAGTTTTTTTTGCTATTTTATCTACTTCTGCTGTTTCTGCCGAATTTATATACCTTATATGGATCTCGATTCATTCTCTTATTGTACATAATTGCTTACCTTTTTTTCTTTTTGTTTTTTCATTTCATAAAAAATTAGATAAAATGTCATTCTCTCCTATAGTGGATTCCTCTTTTAATCCTGATGGTTCTTTGATAGCTTCTGCAATAATAGCTCTCGATGCTCACAACATTCATATCCAATCAACTTCTTCTTCTGATTTTCGTAATATAGATATATCTTTTCCATTGGATAAAGGTCTAAAATTCACCTGTTTTTCTTGGGGCTACTTGAATCCAGATTTCCATAATATAGAATCTCAAGTTTTATTCATCGGCTTAAATAATGGTTCAATTTTAATTTATTCTCCAATTCAAAATCAACTAATTGAAACTTTAAATAATTTATCAAGCTATTCAATAATCTCTTGTTACTACTCAAAGTTATCAAATTCCTTATGGTCAATTGATTTGTCTGACGACTTGATCGAATTCAACTTATCAAATTTTCAAAAAATTTCAAACTATAAAATTTCAGATTTTTTAAATCAAATCGATAATTTAAATAACAGCATCACTAATAATATCTCAAATTTTAATGAAAATACAAAACTAACCAACATCAAATTAATCTCCTACCAAGAAAAGCCTCATCTTTTATTATCCTCAAATTCGGTTTATCTTATCGACTTATCCTCAAAGAAAGTAGTAAGCCATTTTTCTAATCATATCAATCCAATAATTGTTTTAAATTATAAAAATGATGATCACATTATTACAACTGCAATTGACGATAGGTTCATTAACATTTACTCATTATCAGAAAATTCAATCAAAAAAGTTTTAGTTACTCAATCAAATGTCGTCTCAATATCTTTTAATGACAATACTTTAATAGCAGTCACGCAAGAAGGTTTAATAGAAGTATTTGACAATCCATTTAACAGTAAATTGGTTAAACCCAATGAAGATTCTTTAAATAGTGATAATCCAAATAATCTCATTAATTCAACTGGAAGAAGGAAAAGACATCAAAATAATAAATCAAACTCTGCAGTTGCTAAAATTAAATTACAAAGACCTGCATCTCAACTAAAAATTGTAGAAAATGAATTAAAAATTTTAAATGCCTTTTTAACTTTTGATAAACAAATCTTGTATAGTTGGTTGGAAAATGCCACTATATTTCACTTTGATAAATTGTCTTTAATAAATCAGGATTCAAAATCCGTAATAACAGGGGATATAAATATCGTTAAATCAAAAGCCTCGTCATTTTCACAAGACAAAACAAAAAAAAATCTTTCCAGTTCTCATGGTGATGATATCGCTGCCTCAAAACAGTATAGAGAAACCACTGTACATATAGCAAGTGGTGATAATCTAAAAGATATAGAAATTGATGAGACTGAAAATTTGACTTTAGCCGATAAATTAAATTCTCTAAATATTTCAAAGGATATATCTGATTTTCAACAACAAATTCAAGAGAAAAAGATTTTAAAAGCAACTACTGGTTCTTTGACAGTAGTACTAACTCAAGCTTTGAAAACAAATGATCATTCTCTTTTAGAGTCAATATTAAATATTGATAATGAACAAAACATCAAGACTACAATATTAAGGTTAAATTCTTCTTTGGTTATAATACTATTGAATAAATTATCAGAAAGATTAGCAAGACTTTCGAATACTTCTCAAACTAAGAATAAAAGATTGATTATTTGGATCAAGTGGGTTTTAATAATTCATGGCAGTTATTTGATAAGGCTAAATTTTACCGGTGGAAATGGTTCATTACTTAGGGATTTATCTCAATTGAATTTCATTCTCGGAAAAAAAGCAGCAAATTTAAACAAATTATTAATTTTAAGATCAAAATTAGATTTAATTTTAGAACAAATTTCGATTAAAAAAGAAATTCTTAGTGAGTTTCAACAACAGAATTATTTCAGTCAAGAAGGTGAGGAAAATGAATCTGATGTTGAATATAATGAAGCACTTGATGACGCCCATTTAATTGACAATGGTGAAGAAGATTACATATCGGAAGATGATGAAGAATCTGATGATTATTACAGCGAAGATGAATCCGATGTTGATATGGAGGAAGAAGAAGATGATGATGATTATATTGATGTAATGGCTTCTGAGGAAGATAATGATAATGTGATATCGTTAATGGATGATCAAGTTGAAGAAAGTGATGAGGAAGGAACCAGTGATGTTGAAATTGGAATTAATAAAAAGAATTTTGTTTTTGAAGATGACGACAAACAAGAACAAAAAGAATTACTGAAAAAACTTGATTTCTTGAGAAAAAAAGAAAAAAAGTAATAACTTTTTTTAAAAGAGCTTTATAGATTTGAATTTACTCGACTTAATAAACGATTTTTGGTTAAAATACTCCAATTACCGTATTGTGATTATTTTTATTTTTAATATTTTTCAAAAGAAACAACCTTGAAACTATTTAGCAAAGTATTATATGATAAAAAAAATTATCAATATATACACAAAAACTTTTAGCTACATTAATACAAAAAAAATTTAAATTACTGAGTTTTAAAAAATAAAATTAACTTGAAAAAAAAAAATCTATTTGAAAAAAAATATTATTAGGCTTTCTTTGAAGGGTTGAGTATAAACATTGATTTAAGCACCAAACTCCATGGTACAACAATTAATAATTCTTGACTATGATCTGAATCAGCATCTTTTTCACTTAATGAATCTCTCGCTATTAAAAATGCTCTCAATAAAAATAAAAAAAAACTTGCGCCAAAAAACATTGATCCACAAAATATAGCAGGATTGACATAAGCAGTTGGATTGACGTAATTGTTTGATTCATTAACAGGTCCTCTTAATACTAAACCAATGACTGGAGAAACAATACCTAAAATACCAATTGCAATCCAGTGCATACCATAACAAACACCAGTTTTTCTCAAACCAACAGTTCTAGGTATAATACTACCTAAGGCTGGCCAAATAAAACCCATTAAACCACCAATAAAAAAACCAAAAGCCAAATCAGTAGCATAATTTCTGCAAGAAATCCACATTGCAAAACACAAAATAGAAGAAGTGAAATAAACAAGACATGTAACAGTAGCAGGTCCAAATCTATCAGAAGCAATTCCAAAAATTGGCCTCAATACTAAGGCTCCTAAAGATACTATGGCAGCTACTACAGAACCTTGGTGAGCAGAATAACCAAGAGATTTAGTAAAATCTGATATACTGTATTGAACAATAACAAATGCCAAAAGAACAAAAAAAATCCAGCAAAAATTGATCCAAAAGCCTTTATTTTTCAAAATTAATGAATCTATTGGTTTAAATTCAGGATGAATTTTATCAGATCTATCCTTTAATAAAACGATCGATATCATTGTCAAAACAAGACAAATTATTGCCTGTGATCTTAATGCCCATTGCACATTTTTGGACACCATTATTTCATTCATTGCTAAAGCAAACAAAATTCCTCCCGTACCAGCACCACCGGAAACAAGACCCATAGCTAGAGTTCTCTTTTTCTTAAACCATTGCGATATTAAATGAATTGAAGGGACAAAAGTGAAAGCTAGTCCAAGCCCCTGAAGTGCACCCTGAGTTAAGTAGAGCTGCCATAGGTCTACAGAAAAACTTGCGAGCATCATAGCAGCAAATTCAAAAGTAGCACCAACACACATCATTTGTTTGAAACCGAAAAAGCCCACAAGAAAGGTGATTATTGGTGCAATCATTAAACCCAAGCCAAAAGCCAAACCACCAATCCAGGCATAATCAATTTTTGTTGCATTTTCAAATAAATCCTCATTTAGATAGTGAGCAAGATAAACAGCAAAGCCAGAGTTAGCACCCCAAGTCACCATAAAAATCGAATGAAGTGCAAAGACAATAACCCAGCCATAACCACCATCGGGAATATCAAACGAGGGTTTGGTAATTGGAGAGTTTTTTTCGAGATCATTGGAAATTGTTTTTTCTTTGATTATTTCTTCCACAGTCGAGATTTTTGATTTCGAGTCCATCGTGCCAAATGAAATTAAAACACTGAGGAATTTATTTCTTCTATCTTATTGTATTCTCTAAATAGGTTTCAAGAAGCAGGCACATTAGTAATAAGAAATTATCGAACTGTGTTTTCATGAATCATTTATCCGACAGGTTAAAACCTGGGTAAAGATGGAAGTAGCAAAGAGTTTCCGAAAGGTTTTTCTGAAAATAAAATTATTTTAGGAAATCATTCTTCCTAATAATAGAGGTTTTAGAAAATATTTCATGCAGCATGCAACCTTTATGATGCAGTTTATGCTGGTATATACATATGGATACTGTTTTATATTCAACTTTACGGGCTGAAATTACACGTGATATGATCGGATTTTGCTTTAAATTTTTTTTTTTTTTTGTTTCTTGAGAATATCTGATTCGTTAGATAATTCAATCCATATTGAATAAAAGTTTGATCAATTTTTCGGTTTTAGTAATGTCTGTAAAACCAAATACAAACGTATGTTTTATTTCATCTAATTAACAGAGAAAAATCAGCATGCAATTAATTGAATAAAAGTTACTGACTAAAATATTTGAACTAGAACAATCCTTCAAAAAATCAAGAAAAAGAAACGAAAACAGAAAAAGAAGAAAAAAAACAGCCTGAATCCAAAAAATTGAATTACACATTATGTATTCCTTCAACAGTTATATCTGAAGGAAATGTTAAATCTCTTAAAGAAATCACACAAATAGCTTATCAAATTGCAAAAAATTGTACAATTTACGATGTTAGTGAAATTGTGGTTCTAGATATTCCAGAAATTCACCTAAAAAATAAACCCAATGAAGATCTAAAACAAGATACAATTAAGATCAAGTTTGAAGATAATGGAAATAATTATAATGAAAAAAGCTTCAAGAAAACAGGCAAAAATTATTCTGAAAATAGTTTGTTATTAGCTAGTTTGCTACAATTTTTTATAACTCCACCATATTTAGTTAAATCGACATTCAAAGCAGATATGATCAAGAACTTTAAATACGCGAAGACTTTTCCAAAACTATCCACGTTGCCATTTATGAATAATAAGATAGCAAATGCTGATGGTAATGAATATCGTGAGGGATTAACATTAAATAAAAAAATTTCAGCAGACAAAAAAGTGGTCAAAAGGAAACATATACCTGGAGAAAAAGTTCGAAAAAATAAAAAAAAAAATAAGGAAGCTATATTAACAAAATATGTTAATATTGGAAAATCAAAAGCTTTAACATTAATTGATCAAGAAGTTCCAATTAATGTTCGAGTAACGGTTAATTTAAAGACATCAAAGGTAGTTTCACCGATTGAAGCATATGGTAATTCCAAAATCGGAGCCAATCTATCATTTGGATATCATGTTAGAATCTCTACTAATTTCATTTCGATTTTTGTTGAAACACCATTTGCTAATGGATATTCAAGTTCGATTTATGTTCAAAGTGGTGATTATTATTCGGATGTCAGTTCTAAAACCGCAAAATTTCCCAGGATGTTGAATATAGATGAGAAATTGATATTAGAAAGAGATAAAAAAGAAGAATTCAATTTGTTGTTGGTGTATGGGAAATTAACGGATTATGATAAGGCGTTTCAACAAAGTAAAAGTGAATTGGAGGCAGTAAATAATTTAACAGAGATGTTCGATGGGAAATTGGGAATAAAAAAGAGCAATATAAGAATTGAAGATGCGATACTAATATCACTAGCGAGAATTGATTTTATAGCTAATAGGTAGGAAGCTCTGTAAGCTATGTAAGCTATTTAGCAGCTGTTTTTTTTGGAAATCAGTAAACATAATCTTTAGTTCTAAATTAAAAAAAAAAAAGCAAGCCAGAACAATAGACATTGAGATTTTTTGGTAAAAAAATCAAATACACCATACTGCAGACTAAACTGGTTAATATCTAATGGATTGAATGGAGGCATTCTCCTCCTTCGCTCCTTCGGAGAGAGCTGATCGCTTGTGAATTAGATTTATGATTTACAAATTCTGCAAAATAGAACTTTAGCTAAGTGGAATCAAATTCAAAGAGAAAGCAGTGCAAAAAGATCAAAAAACAATGAAGGTTTGTTTTTGCTGTGGGAAGCAGGAGGTTGTTCGTTAGGCGATGTTCGTTAGGGTTTGTAGGGAGAGAAAAAAATTGAGTGAAAAAAAATAACAAATAGTTAAATAAGAGAAAAGAAAACAATAATTGCAAACAAAATGGTTTGTTTGTTTGTTGTGTTTTTTTTTGTTTTTTTGGTTCAGAAATTGTATTCTGTAAATGAGTTGGAAATAATTTGATATGAGGAAAGCGTTTAGATTATAGTTGATAAATGAAATCATTAAATAATAATAGATAAAAATTGTCTCGGACTTTATGATGCAATTGAAGAAATGGTCATAAATTTTGAACTAGATTGGATGGAATTAGGTAACTATAATAAATATTTTTTTTGATTGTAATAATGGTTGTAATAGTGATAACAAATAACAGAATCAAGTGGAAATTATTAATCAAGATGAAACTGAATGGCTCAAGTAGTGTTCAACTCAAAAAACAGTCTACAACGAAATTTCATGCTGAGAAAGAAAAATAAGGAAGAAAAAGAAAAAGAAAAAAAAAAAGAAAAGGAAAAAGAAAGAGAAGATGAAATTAAAGTGATGTTGAAAAAGCAAGTTCTCATTTCAAAATTAAATAATAAGATTTAGTCGTTAGATGTTATGAATTTATCAGTGTAATTTATTTCAGATGAGAATGATCTTGTTTTTTAAAGAAAGACAGACAAAAAAAGGCTCGAAATAGCAAATAAAGAGCAAATAATTTGTGAGTTTTTGTTTTGTTTTCTTTCTTTGGTGTTCATATTGATTGATTTATTTGGATATGATATTAAAATAAGCAGCTTTTTTTGTTTATTAGTGAATAGCAAGTTGCTGGTTCATGAGCGTTTTGGTTTTAAATGATTTACTTTTTTTTGATTTTTTTTTAATTTGGCTTGAATAAGTGAATTAATAATTGTTGTTTATAAAGTCAAAATTAGCCGAATGTAATGAAAAAGCAAAAATAAAGCAATAAGAGAAAGAAAAAAGAAAGAAAAAGAAAAAGAAAAAAAACTCACCCACACAATAAATAATCTTATCTTAAGTTTAAACTAACAAAAAAGAAAAGCAAAATATGAATTGAATATGATTGTGATTATGATTTATGAATCAAGTTATAGATTTTTAATCATTTTAAATTTTTTTTTCTAATGATTTAGTTTTAGTTTTGGTTTTGGGATCAAATGGGTTATCAAACAAAAGTGTGTATTTGGAAGAAAGTTATGAGAATAATAATAGTCTATTATGTATTATGTAGATTTAATTATGAAGATATATAGAACAAGGAAATTATAATTATGATTGTAATGATGATAATAAATGTTATAAAAAATGATAATGAAATTGATTATTAATATAGATAATATACATATATAAAATATAAATGAGAAATAAAAATAGAAATAAAAAGTAAAATAAGACAAAAAAAAAATATATAAAAAAAACAGAAAAAAGCACACACGATTAAAAGATTATTCTAGAAGAATCCACTAAAAAATGCAAAACTATCATCATTACTTCATAGTTAACTAAAATATAAGATCAGAGATAAAGTGTTATTAGATAAAATAAGAGGGAAAAAAAGGGCAAAAGCTGGTAAAGATATAGGAAAGTTTTTAGGATAAAAACAATTTGACTTGATTTGTTTTGATTGTAATTATTAAAACGATGTAGGTGGCTTATTTACGAAACATTAAAGATTGCCTTATTCCATAAGCAAAATCACCTCTAACTAAACATTGGTTTGAACAAATATCATGGCCACATATACAAGTAGGATCGAATTTTGTGCTTAAATAATGAGAGTTGCTTAGGTTGTCTCTTGTATCGAAATGTTTTCTGTGACAACGACAGCAGGTCCAGTAATGGATCTTTTGAGATTCACTGTAGACGTAGGTAGACATCTTTGAGAGAGAGGATGTAGCAATGGGATAGAAAAAAGATAAATGACAGAATATGAACGAGGTATAAGAATGAGAATGAGAATGACGAAAGCTAATCAGGCAGACAAAGGAGAGTGAGAAGGATATAGTATAGTGCAGGTGATGCTGTAATGCTGTTGGGAGACTGGAAACATGAAGATGGAAAAGCAAGAGCAGAGCAGAGTATTTATACTGTTGAGCGAGCAATTGATTGCAAAGAGAAAACAGTCCAAGACCAAAAAGGAAACCCAATATAAAAGCGATTATAAAAGCGATTATATCAGCTCTGTGCCGAACAGCTCGTTCCTGTTTGCGAGCGCTGCGTACGTGCATGGCTTAGCGAACGCTATTGTTGGGAAGATATAATTAGCACTGGTAGAAAAGGCAACTCCAAAAGCCGGAAAGAGCTGGAAAGAGCTGGAGACTGCAAGAGGAAGAATCAGCAGACAGAGTAGAAAAAAGCAAAAACAGAGGACAGAGAAGCTCAGGGTAGAGACAGGACTGGTGGTTCTGCTGGGCAATGCCCATTCTCCAGTTGCTCGCTTTGGATCAGTGTTGCGAGATCATCGCTATCAACGGCTGGAAGAACTGTTATGACCAGATCCGTTGGAGGTGGAAGATTTGTTGAATTCATGTCCAACACATCTTCATACCAAAGCACATCGTCGTAATTTAATGCTCTTTCGTGAAGACAGCTTATTCATTGCTCTTTTTTTGCGCTTGCGTTTGCGTTTGAGCTACCTGCCCAAAGCTTCTTTTGACTATCTCTTGAGTCTCTATTATCGATTAGCTCATTCGTTTCTCGATTGCTATCCACTGACAAAAGGCACCAGGTTCTCTGTTTCGAGCTCTCTCGTTGTCATTCTGTTGGTGGGCACCAACAGAGGCTCTAGTGCTGTTTCCTGTGTTTCCCGTGCTTCCTGCGCTTCCTGTGCTGGGCCTCGCTCAACGCTAAGCTTGATATTACCAGAATGTTGGCTGTGGATTAGCACAACTTTGCGAAGCTTCTCAGTGACATGACTGGAAATGGCGAGTGATAGCCTGTTTTTCCTTTGGTACTGCTCAATTCATTACTCATGTATCCATACAAAATTACCTGTAAATAGCGAAAATTCTTTTACTTCCTTATCGGGTTCTCATTAGTTTCACTTATTTTCTAAAATCTTCACCCTATTACTGCTACTATTACTATTTCATTTCATAAAATGGGCTTTATTCTAATTATTGATTGATTGATGTTTACAAATCATATGAAATCATCTGATTGTTATTACAATTTTTTTTATTCGATCAATTTTTTTTATTTTTTTTTGCTTTGTTACAATTTTTATAAATTTCTTAAAACGAACAACTTCTGATGTCTTAGATTATTGTGTTAGTTTTCTAATTGTTGATTTTTTTAGGTAATTTTAATTCAATTTCTCTTTCTCACCTTCTTCTTTTGATTTAATTTGAACCAGTTCTTGAACCAAATTCTGAACCAGCTTTTGACTGTTTAAGTTCGATTATCCATGTTCAATTATCCATGTTCAATGTTCGTTAATATTTCTTTCCATCAATCAAAAAAGAATTAAAAAAACAGTTTTTCTTTCGTTTTATTTTTAGAACAATAGAAAATTAAAAAATAATCAATCGAGAATTAGAAAGAGAATTCTACGGCCTCTTTTTAATACCCTGTTCATCCCTCGCAATATCCAAAGGGCTTAAAGGCTTCATCAAAACGTTCATTGATATTGAAAAACCATATTTTATTTATATTTCATTTTAATTTCACCGATATTTCACTCGCATTTCATCCTCTCCCGTCTTCCCTTTTAATACAACCTTATATGCCTATTCCTTTATCATCTAAAAATAACATTTCCTCTAATTGCCATTATATTTTTATTCCATCAACAATTACACACAAATCACACAAATCACACAACTGAAAAACAGTTTACCGATATTCTATTTCCATCCTATTTCTATCTTTACACTTTATTTTATTTTTAACTCCTTTATAAACCTCAAAAAGGATACACTTGAAGAGCTCGATAATTTTTTCCATTTTAAACTCCATAATGTGGTTTACACTGTTATAATTAGCTGGCTGTTTCAATAAAACGGTTTACTCAAACGTTTCCGTAAACCGTTTTTATGAAACCCCATTCTAAATCGAAAATTGAGTCAAACTAAATTCGATTTTTTGAATTTGCAATCAATTTTTCTCGACTTTTTACTTTTTTACTTTTTTACTCTTCTTCTATTTACTAATAATTCATCGAATTATAAATATTATCTGATTCATCCATTGTACAAATCACTTGAAATATCTCCTTTGAATAATTAATTGTTTCATCACTATACGAATTCTCCAACCCATTTAATAAATTCAAATCATTTTCTATTATTATATCTTGATTAATCTCGTCAACATTCTCTATCCCATTAATCTCCCGGCTTCTTTTTTCTAAATTATCATTAAATAAATATCCTTTATAACCACACTTATATCGAACTTCTTTTAAAAATTCACCATATTCCCCAAATAATCTAATCGATGATGAATAAACAATTCTTGACAATATAATTAATAGCTCATGATTTGCCCCCTTTGAAATTAAATTAATTATATATTTTTCCTCATTACTATTATCACATGATTTGCTCATTTTATAACTTTTTTGCCAAATCATATATATAATCTTTACTAATTTTGAAACTATTTCAATTCTTAACTCAATTAAGCTAAATCTTGGATCACTGATAATTAAGCTTTGATAATATGCTGTAATCATCACAATTTGATTAAATAAACTCGGATTGTTTATTAATGACGAATATTGTAAATCAATTTCCATCATATAATTCTCGATCAATTCAATTATTCGAATTTTTAAATTTAATAATTGAATTAAATGGTTTTCTTCAAATCTTCTTCCCTTTTTTTTATCATCTTTCCAATATTTTTCCAATTCTTTAAGTTTTTCAGATGGCAATGGAACAATAATTAATCCCGAAAACGATTCATTAATATTATTTAAACTATTTAGATTATAATTATATTCATCATTGAATTTATTGCTATTATCATTACCATTATTTTCATAATTTTTATCCATATCATAATCATTATCAGTCACAATATTTTCTTTATTTTGATTTGCATCTACTTCTTGATCATAATTATAATATACATCTTTATCATCATTGTGCGAGTTATCGACTATACTCACCCCACCAAATAATTCAGAGATTTCATCATTAATGACAAGATCTTCTAAGATTTTTATATTATCATTATTTCCAATTATTCTATTTAGACTATAATACATGTAGTTATAGTTTATATTAAATTCAGTATTTAAAAGCTTTAAAAGGTAATTTAAAATTTTGAAGTCAGCTTTTCTATTTTGATAATGATTATGATTGTGATTTTGATTATTATCAATAAATTTGAAATTAAAAAAGGAAAATCTTGTTAATGAATAAAATAGCGATTCAATTATATTGAAAAATGGATTCAAAGGTAAAGACTTATGTGAGATTGAATCTGAATCTGAATTAAGATTAAAATTGAAATTAAATAAATCATATTTTATAAAATTTTTCCAAATTTTAAAAATATATAAATCATTATCAAAAACTAATAAAAATTTTAATAAAGTCTCTAAATTATCAAATAAATATAGAAAAATAATTTTTTGTAAATGAAGAGTTTGAGTATTCATATATTTTTTATAATTTTTAAGAAAATCTTCATGTTTATTAAAATTTATATTATTGGTTTTGTTTTTGTTATTTGCAATTGAATCAGTATCGGGATTATTAAGAGATTCGTTATTTTCCGAGTTAATTGAATCGGATATTATTTGATGGTCACTGCCATTAACGTTATATCCAAGTAACTTTTTATAAAAAATAATTAAATTAGTAATTAATTTCAACGTTTGTTCGAATACCGATTTCAAAGAGTTTAGTTGATTAATGGAATCGTTATTGTTAATTTTATTAGTTGCAGAAGTATTATTAATATCAATATTGTTAATATTATTATTATTAATGTTAATATCATTAAAATAATCAGATAAAAAATTGAAAATAAAATTTATAATTGATAAAAGAAAAGAAACAGATAAATATAACCTTTTATCAAAAACTAAAGATTCAATCAAGTTTAATAAAAATTTCAAGAAAATATTTATAAATTGAATTAGTTGGGTAACATTATCATTAATATTATTATTAATATCATCATTGGTGTTATTAATGTTTTTAGGATTTAAATAATAATTCAAAAAATTTAGTAAAAAATCCAATATGGAAGAATTAAATTTTTTTAAATAAATTTTATTATTAAAATTGTAATTAAATGATAGACCTATTTTTGATAAGAATTTTGAAACTTTGAAAGAGTTTGATAAGTTTAAATTGAATAATTGAGATTTAAATAATTCAATTAAATTATTTGATGAATAATCCAACGATAAATTATTCAAGGGCAATGAAATGGCGTATAAATAGTTAAGGCTATTTAATTTACTTTTATTGTTATCATCGTTATTGTTGTTTTTGTTAAACTCGATATCTAATTCGTTATCAGAAAAGAGATCACCAAGAAAATTTAAATCGTTTTTTTGTTGATTCAATTGAGGTTTCTTCTCGTTAACTGCTTGAGGGATATGACTTGTGGCGGAAGAATTTATCAAAACCTTTCTTTTTTTATTGTTAAGAGTGTTGTTAATCGATAAATTCCTTGTGGTAGCCTGATACAATCTCTTATCTTCCTCTAGAATTTTTATCAAATTTTTCATTTTAATTATTTCCTGGTCTTTAATCGAGAGCAAGTTGGCAGTTTCAGATTTCAAATTGTTTATAATGTCGTTCTTAAGATTTAAATCAGTCTCGTAGTTAGCTTTTAAAACAGCCAATTCACCCTTTGCAGTAAACAATTGGTTCTTGTAATGGTTGATCTTCTCTTTATCAATGTCTTCATCAGTGCCACTAGCATCGTTGGTTTCATCAACATCATCGTCGATAACTAAAATGCTCGGGTCCTGGGTATATGCTGGGGGCCTCAAAGTTGCCTCGATGTACAAGCTGTCGTCGTCGTCAAAATCATCAGCGTCATGCTCAAAGTCAGACATGTGCAGCAGAAGCAGCCGAAGAAGAAACAGCACCAAAATCACCAAAATCAGCACAAGCACCAAAATCAGCAGAAGGAGAAATAGAGAAGTGACAGCGCTTATTTTCATCGGCGCACGGATCATATCCTCACTATGGAAGCAATTCAAAGCCCGCGGAAGGACGGATTTAGCTCTGAAAAATTTTAAAGGTTTCTATGAAAAGTTGAAAAGGAAACCGAATATATTGATGGAGATCTCTCTTCGGTTTGAATGTTCATCAGAGAATTGCTGGTCATTGGTTCATTGGCTGTTGCATTTTTACTGTCTCAATATTTTACTTCAACAACTCAATTACAAGTCTGGTTGCAACTGAAACCAGCTGGGTTAGATGTCGCCAAAGAGCCCGATATCGCGAGATCACAGTAAGACACCTAGAATTTCTTCCAAAGAATCACAAACATTTGCCTGATATCCATTTGGAACCACCATCATTCTATTTAATCTGCTACAGTGTTTACGCAGGAATAGCCACTTGTATGACCAAGCAATGTTCACTGCCAAATTTAACAGGTCTTTGTTTAAACTAAAGAATTGTTCCAATTTAAAAGGCAGGATAAAAGCAACATTTCCCTTTGATTATACCATCTATTATTTATGCAGTGTAAATTCATACCACACTTCTTCTCCTAATTACAGTGATCAAAAAGAAACTACTGGAAGCCATTCCAACGAAAATCGAGATGGCAGAAATACTATCACTCCATCTTTCCATAACATTAACCATAATAGAAAATATAAAAACAACACCAAAGCCAAAGTCCCCCAGTCTAAGTTTAACGATGACCTGAGAGATGATAATTTTTTTATTTTCAATGAAATTAAAAAACTTCGAATGCTGACTCCCAATGAAAAACAAGATGAAATATCTAATATGAATCCTAAATTTCCTGTTACCAAACAAAAAGCTCTAGTCAGAAGAACTTTTTACAAAAACTCGGGATATATAAGTTGGGAAAAGATAATCTTTATAATGAAGTCACATTACGATTTTCTTCGTAAAAATAAAAATCCCCTTAAAATTGTGTCTAGTGATGTCTTATCAGAAATACTTTTATTTCATAAAATATCATACAAATTATTACTGACAAGGTTTAAAAATTTTGATTCATTATTATTTTTAATGACTTATAAATATTTAATTAAGTTTTTTGAAGAAAGTTTTAGAATATTTCACAATCCTAGATTAAAATATCAAATTAGTTCTTCCGCTAAAAATAATTTATTATCATATCTAATTTTGAGCAAAATTTCCAACAACAGTTTATCCGTTAAAGATCTTTATTTTAAATGCTTAATCTATTTAACTCAAAAGAATTTAACGGAATTTGAATCTTTTATAAATGATATCTTAAATTCGAAAAGAGGTCTTATTTTAAATTTTCATAGAAAGATTTTCATTTTTATTAAATCTTTAGATTCTTTAAATTACGGCTATATCCAAGAACAAAACCCAATTCGTGAAATAATGGAAAAAGGTGATTACAATCACTTAGGTGTATTTAATAATTCTCATTTGTTCCCCAAATTTATTGACCCCGGTGATATAAATTTTAATTATACTGAAAAGAACAACAAATTTTTTTTAAACAATCCTAATTTAAATAAGTTACAATTGCTACTCAAATTATGGATTCAAATTTATGTCAAATTTCATAAAAGGTACGAACTTGAGTATGGTGCCAAGTATAAAGATTTGTATATTCACTATGAGAATTCTATATTATTTAAAAGATTTTTAAATATAGATTTGAATATTCACCATGAAAAATATTTTAAGCTTGATCAAAAGTTTAAAGAAACGATACGTATGCAATTTTATGATAGTTTATTCAATCCAGTTTTTTACGCTTTTCAACCAAATACATATTACACTTTTACAAGAAGTTTGGGTGAAGTATTAAAAAACGAAAAAATAGAAGATATTAAAGTTGTTTTAGAAAGTTTAAAATTGCCAATTGGTTCGACTTATTATTCAATATTATTATCTTTATTGCTAAGCTATTATTCCAATTATAGCAAGGATCATGTAAAAACTTTGGAAATTTGGAATCTTAAAACTCCAGATATATTGATTGAAACTGATTTGAGTTGCATTTTAAAATCTTTATATTTTCTAAGAGAATACAAATTGCTATTAAGCATTTCAAAAGACTATCCAAAATTATATCATCAATCTCAAACAACTTGGATTATTAAAGCCTGTATTGCCTCGCAGAAATTTAATGCATTAAATAGAAACATTGTGCTGTTAAGTAAGAAAACGGATTCTTTATCATATTCTCATTACTTATTTATAATGAATTATTTTGCTTCAATTGGTGAGGTCAAATTAGTAGAAAACATTTTCGATAGTTTAAGCAATCAACCAGCTAGCAACAATATCCACACTTGGGTTCCATTATTAAAAGTTAATTTAAAAAATGGTGATTATACTACGGTTTTAAAGTGGTTTGAATTATGTAAAGAAAGAAAAATTCCCAATATTAGAATAGCATTGCCATATGCAATCACAGCATTGGGTCATTTAAGTGCTTTGTCAACAGTTGTTGAAACAGTTGAAATTATACTCAAACAATCAGAAGAAACAAAATCTCCACTTAATTCGAATATATTTCTTCATGCAATACAGTGTTGCAGATTTGAAGAAGAGTGGAAGGTTGCTGAAATTATTTTTCAAAAATATTTAAAACATGGGAATAAACCCGATCCTTTATTGATTGCAGCTATGATGAGTTCATATTCTCGTTGTGGAAAATTTAATCAAGCATTAAAAATATTTGAGTTGTATAATAATAAAATTAGCTATACTGTTTCTGTGTATAATGTTCTTTTACAAGTTTGTCTAAGAACCAAGAGGTATAATTACATTCCAAAAATTAATTTTGCGATGCAAAAAAAAGGTATCTTTCCAAATTCTAGATGGTATGTTTTAATAATTAAATATTATTGTTCTATTTTTCAGTTTGGTAAAGCTGAAGATATTTTAAACTATTTGCTTAAAACGAAGAAACAAAATGGGTTTATAAGTCATTTTCATTATAATGTTTTAATGTCCGGATATCTTCAAAAGGCCTATTATCAAAAAGTTATTAAAATCTTTCAAAATATGATAATAAATGAGATTAATCCATCAATTGCTTCATATCGATTATTGTTGAAAAGTATATTACAAATCCATGTACCCACAATTGAAGGACCCAGTAACACGGCGATTATTCTTGTCAAGGCATTGATTGCATCAAGAGGTAGACAAACATTGAGGTTTAAAAAGGAAGAATTGGTGACGATTTTGAACGTATTTATTAAAGGATCAGTGAAATATGCTTCCGAAGCGTCGAAGAATTTACTTAATAAGTTTATTAAAAGCGAGAATATTGGAACACAGGAGGTTATTCAGGATCCGTATTTATTGAGTAATTTAGTGATGATTATGGGAGAAAAGAAAAAGCATATGGAAGTGGCTATTTTTTTCGATCATTTGTTGAAGGTTGCCAAGAAGGAGATTGATAATGAGAGTGTGTTTTCAAAGAAAGCGTCATTTAGGGCATTATTTGAGAAATTGTTTCGGTATAAAATTTTCCAGCTTATTGATTCCAATGCGTATCGGGAAGGTATAAATGTGTATCAGTTTTTGGAAAGAGGCCGATTTACATTGAGCAATAGGAATTTGAATATGTATGGAATATTTTTGTTAAGAAGTGAAAACACATTTGATGAAGGATTGGAGTTTATTGAGAATAGTTTAATGGACGGGTATATTAAGATCGATAGATATAAAAAGAAGCTTTATATGATGGAATTTGAGGCTATTAAAAATTCCAAGGGAAATTCTGAAAGTGAAAAGAAACTAAAGAAATCGAAGAAATCAAAGAAAGAGGAATTTAAGTTTGATATTACAAAGGATACTAGGAAATTTGATTTTGATATTATTTTGAATCATTTAACGGAGCCATCATTGCGAAGCGCTGAGTTGATGGTCAAACGATTTATTGAGATTCAAGCGAAAATGCAGAAAGAGTCTGTTCATAGTTCTGAAAGCGAAATTGAAGAGTTGGTATTGAAAAAGATTTCCGAGAGTTATCCGAAGTTTTATAAGGCGCTACGGTTAGAAAATGTTTATTCGTATCGACCAGATCTTGTGGAGAAATTGACGTTGAAGAGAAGACGGTATAGAGCAAAGCTTGATTATGTGTTGAAGGTGCGATATGCTAGAAGAATAAAGAAGTGGATGATGGGTCGTAAAGATAGGTTAGAAATGGTGAAGAAGTATCAAAAGAGTGATCGAGACGAAAAACGGATCATGTTGCTTATTAACGAGGGGATATTTCAGGATGATGAAAACTTTCGGGTTGCTGAAAACCAGCGGATCAAGTCTATTTTCCATAAATTGCAATTGAAGCATAAAAAGACTACAAAGAAGAAATTGAAGGAGCATTTAATGGCTAGTGTGCAGAGAAATAAGATGAAACAAAGGGAAATGGTGGAAAAGAGAAGAAAGATTTTAAAAGAGAAAGTAATGGAGGAAAATAAAAGAAAAGCAGAAGAAAAGGAAAGAAAAGCAGAAAAAAAGAAAAAAAATGCAGAAAAAATGCAAAGAAGAAAAGAAAAAATGGAAGAAAAGGAAAAGGAAAAGGAAAAAGAAAAGGAAAAAGAAAAAGAAAAAAAAGTGATATAATAAAAAAACCAAATAAATCAACAAACACAGATCAGAAATGAATATAAATGATTCAAATGATTAGAAGTGATTAGAAGTGATTAGATTGAATGTGTATATATATGAAGAATCTTGTTTGAAATATTAAGACAAGAAAATTAGTTTGTTTAAAATTTGTAAATATAGTTTTTGTCAATAGATAAATTTTATTTTTTTTTTTATTTTTATTTTATTTTATTTTATTTTATTTTATTTTATTTTATTTTATTTTATTTTACTTTCATATTTCTGTTATTAGCATTATTTTTTGATTCAGTTTCTGCCAAAAGTTTAATTTAATTAATATATTGTTTTAAAAATAAAGGGTATAAAAGTTATAAATAAATATGTAAATAAATATGTAAATGTGTAAATACTGTTCAAAAATTGAATTAAAAACATTGAGCTTATATAAGTATTGTAACTAATTAGGCAAGTAGGTACGGAAATAAAGCCGGGTAAATATCACATGATTATCTGAAAAGGTAATCGAATATTTTATCACACATGCCTTTTTTCACTAATTTTATATTAGAAACATGTTATTGAAAGTTATACAGAATCAGAATGTTCTTTTTTTTCATTGTTTATTGTTTTGGTTAGTATTGAGTTCTTTAGCGTAGTAATTGGAAATGAATTCTGCTATGTATTTGGATTAAGAATGGTAGTGAACAAATTTGAAGATTGGAAACGCGAAGGAAAAGAAAAAGTCACGAGTGGCCAGCGTGAATATAATTGGTATAAACAGTGTAGTGTAAAGTGTAGGGCAACTAATATAAGAATAATATAAGAATAAAATAAGAAATGCTAAGTGAAAAACGAGAAGTGAAAAGTGAAAATTGAAAAGTGAAAATTGAAAAGTGAAAAGCGAAAAATGAAAAGCGATAAACACATTAGGTGATGGAATTAAAAGAGAGCTGGAAAGGAAGTTTTAGATAGATTTGAATAGTAGATGGCATTTTGATAAATTTATTCGATAAAGTAGGTACATATAGATAAAGAAACATGTTGAACATGTTGGCGCTGCTTGGGAACGATAGGAAGAAAACAAGAGAGAAAGTGCAAATGCAATAGAGGGATCCTATTTGACGATAAACTATCTCTGAGCGAGAAAACAAAGGACGAGAGAGTGTAATTGGCAAATGGTGAAGCAGAGCAAATGGGTAGTGCGAAAGATAGTAGAGATAAAGCAGAGGACGTGGCGAGGTAGATCAGTAGGCTGAAGAAGCGATAGCAGATAAAGATGGAAACAATAGGGCTACACACGTTGTGCACATTATCGAAGTAAGACAGCCTTGGGACGAAAAGTTTCAGAAGGTTTCAGAAAGCTCCAAGAGTTGAACGGTTGGCAAAACAAAACAAGGTTTGGGAAAAGGAGCTAAAAGCCGAAGTTGCAGTGGAAAGATTGGGCCAAGCCATGGTGACATGGTGATTACGGTTTGCACCAAGCAATGGTTGGAGGATCAAGAGGATGGAAAGAGAGGAGCATGGGTAGGGCTCAGATAGAGATGAACGAGCATTGTTGAAGAACGCGAGTGGTCATAATGGCTGTAGTGGTAATTGCAATCACCTTACTCGCTGGGCAGCCTGGGATTTCTAAACTGGGTGATAGATGAGTCATGGAGGATGGCTTTCAGTAGATGAATAATGGCTACTGGAATAATAGCTACTGGAGTAATGGCATAGCTCCTGGCTTTGCAGCGGTAGCTTGGTAGCTGCATCGCTTTTCAGTCTCTAAGCAGCATAGAATACAGCTAAATAATAAGTATTTATTAGGTATTGAATAGGTATTTAATAAGTGTCTAATACGCATTGAATACGTATTATATAATATTGAATCACCATCACTGATTGCTTCGCTCGACAAGCTCTGAAAGCCCCAGCTGTGCGCCGGTTTGAGTGTGCTGAATGATGAAGAATAAGGAATGCCTGTTGCTTTTTTGTAGTTGTTTTATTTCTCTTTCTATTGTAGTTATATCTACCTCTACGTAGCCCTCCCAAACCAGCCAATTACCATCCTCCTCTTCTGCTCTACTTCTCTCTTATTTATTACCTTCAACATCGTACTAAATAATATTTCTAAGACACCAAGTCGAAAACTCCACAATTAACTTCTCCCTTAACTCTTCACTCTTCACTATCTCCCACATATCCTGGTTATCGTTATTTTTCTTACTCCATTCACTTTTTCTGCTTATAACCTCCTAGGCTCGCCTGGTCTGGCTTTGGTTCTGTCTTTTCTCGTTTGTTTGTTTTTTGTTTTCGCTATCCTAATCGTATTCCATTTCTATATCTCCTACACTCTCACCTCAATGGTAGATCCAGTCATCCAAAGGAAAAGAAGTTCCACCATCAGTAAACTAGGAAAGCTCTTCCACTCTCACACTTCTCTCTCCAACCAGCAAAATCCTCCTCAACATTCTGTCCAACAAAAAAAAGAAATCTTCTCCAACTTCCTCTCCCCAAAATCTTCTCCAAATCCCTCGCCAACACTCTCCCCAAAGACCTCTCTTACCTCAAAGAAAAACTCTCTAATTTCTAATCCAGCAACAAAACCCATTCCAAAGGCTGTCAATAGATCTCCCAATGCTAACTCGATTTTAAACTCCTTTTCCAATTCTCTATCAACGTCTATTTCCCCATTATCATTAAAACCACCTTCCAACAAAAACAACACCACCACCACTGCCAAATCTAACAATAAATCACTAAAATCAAAACTACTCAATCACGATCGTAAAACCTCAAGCCCACTACCAAATAATTCTTCTTCAACTAATCTGAATCTGAATCTAAATCTAAATTCAAAATCCCTACTATCAATCAACTCAAAAAGAAAATCCTCTTTCTCAAAATCTTCCGCCTTTTCTTTATCAAGTCTTAAAAGTAATCCCAATAATAGCCATAACCATTCCCATAATAACACTAATAATATCCACTCCAATAACCAAAATACAAAAGCTTATACCCACTTTTCATTAAACTCTTCATCTTCCTCTCTCTCTTCTTCTGATGAAAGCTTTTACCATGGAAAAATCTTATCCACAAACAAAAACTCAAGCTCCTCTTCTTCCTCCTCCAAATCTCGCTTGAATTCAATCTCAAATCAAATCTCTTCTTCAAATTTAAATTCAATTGTTCCCACTAAAAGACACTCGAGCTTGAAACTATTTCAAAAGAAAGAATCAACTTCCCACAATACAAAAGATACAATCAATAACAATAACAATAACAATAACAATAACAATAACAATAATAATAATAATAATAATAACAATATTCAAATCAAATCAAAATCATCAAAACTGAAACCTTCTTCTCCTTCTAAAAATTCAACTTCCTTCACTTCTTTTTCCTTTTCTTCAACTTCAACTTCAACTTCAACTTCAACTTCACCTTCAAATCTAAATTCAAATTCAAATTCAAATTCAAATTCAAATCCAAATCCAAATCCAATTACCTCTTCAACTCAAAAAAACTCCCTCCTAAATGATCCAGTACCGAAAAATAAAACCTCAATCAACGCCAATTCATCCTCTCACTCAACCTCTCCTCCTCCTCCACCTCTATCTACACCCATCAACTCTTCAAACTCAAGATTTCAACTATTCGAAGATGGCTCTCATATCCATCGCCTAAAAAATACAAAAGGTCAAGAAAAAGTTGGTAGTCTTATCAAAGACTTGCTCGGCGCTAAAAAACTCAGAGACGAAGCTGTTAGCGCCATCTTTGCCGATGAAAACGACACTGAAATCAAAAACGAAATCAAAAACGAATCAAAAAACAAAAAAAAACATAATCCTCCTCTGCTAATAACTGGCCTATTAAATGAAGTAAGAAAAAGTGGTGCCGGCGTTAACAACATCAACATCGACAACCTCGATAACTTGGTCACCAATAAAATCGATTCAAGATCCTTTGTCGAAAAATATGGCAAATGCCAACAAGTCATCGGTAAAGGTGCTTTTGGTACTGTTAGAATCTCTCATAAAGAAATCAAAATCGGCAACTTCAAACATAAAAACATGTATGCAGTTAAAGAATTCAAAAGAAAAGAAAACGAACTATCCTCATCCTATAAACAAAAAATCGCTTGCGAATTTAGTATATCCTCTCTATTACAACATATTAACATCATTCATACTCTAGATTTGCTACAAAATGCAAAAGGCGATTATTTTGAAGTCATGGAATTTTGTAATGGCGGTGATTTGTTTTCTTTAATCATCACTGCAGGAAAATTAGAGTACATCGAAGCTGACTGCTTTTTTAAACAACTAATGAGAGGTGTTTCCTATATGCATGATATGGGTGTTACTCATAGAGACTTAAAACCAGAAAACTTGCTACTAACATCAAATGGCTGTTTAAAGATATCCGATTTTGGTAATGGTGAATGCTTTAGATTAGCATGGGAAAAGGAAATCCATTTAAGTACCGGAATCTCAGGATCAAGTCCATATATTGCCCCAGAAGAATTTATTTACGAAGAATATGACCCAAGACCTGTCGATATTTGGTCTTGTGGTGTCATTTATATGGCAATGAGAACTGGTAGACAGCTATGGAAAATCGCCAAAAATGACGATGAATTTTATCAAAAATACCTAAAAGGTAGAAAGGATGAAGCAGGTTACGAACCAATTGAAAATATTAAAAGAGCCAGATGCAGAAATGTCATTTATTCTATATTAGATCCTGTTCCATCCAGAAGAATCACAGCTAAAAAGGCACTAAACTCTGAATGGGGCAGAGAAATCAAATGCTGTCGTGCAGCAGAGGTGCCATCTTAAGGGACTGAAAAGTCTTAGAAAAGGAAAAAAAAGCAATTAAATTAAATTAAATTTTATAAACATAAAGATGAACCAATAAATTATATTATAAACATATTATGTTCTTCATTCAAGTACTTCATTTAACTATATCATTCACCGAGAAATAGCTTTTAATTACTCGTTCTATTTTTATCTTCGTTTCCAAGCTATATTACCAACTATTTTTTTTTTTCAATCTAGATTCTTATCTTTTTTCTAACATTAATTCACTTTTTTGTGTTATCATTTTCATTCTTATTATCATCATTATTTACATTTTATTTTTGTTTTCTTTTTTTTGTTTGTTTTATTCTTTTCCTATTCTAGTATTCATTAGCTGGTCTCTATGGCTGGTTACTATTTTTGTTTTGTGATGTGGCATTAACTCAATACACAAATAATAAATTACCCACACTGTAGAAGCAGAAGCAGCAAAAGCAGCAAAAGAAGCAAAAAACCACTGCAGCGGATCTGGTCGGGTAACCCGTCTCAAACCTTTTTTTTTTCCTAAATAAAAATACTTTCCTCATCTTTACTTGTTTTTTTATTACAATTTATTGCAAACTACTTCAAATATTCATTATTTTAATCTAAAATTCTTGAGTTTTTAGATTTATTTTGTTTTAGTAGGTCTTTTGTAATATTTTCAAAACTATTTGCTCTGAATTTAGCTTTTTTTCTTAGCTTCTACGCTCAATTTTATGTCTTTTTAACTACTTTATTAGTTTCAGTATTTCAGTTATGGTTGATATGATTGATGAAGAGGTTCCATTTGCTTCATTCCCTTCAAGAAAGAGAATCAGAATTGAGAGTGACGATGAAGATGAAACCTACCGTGACCAAGAACATCTTCAGCACTCTCAAACCAACGGAATCACTGATGAAAATAGCAAAAATGGAATTTCAAATGACTATTCAGACAACTATTCAAATGGTTATTCAAATGGAAATGCTATCACTAATTCTAGTATTGATTCGCTCAAGTCTGAAAATGAAAGCTTGGAAGATATGACATTCAGCTCATTTAATAGTTCTGTAAATTTGAAATCAAAAGTTAATGGTACAAAATCAAAATCAAAAACTTCAACTCCAAGACAACCTAGAAAAAAAGTTGCAAAAATTGTTGATGACGAAGATGACGATGAAGATTATCAAAACGATAATGAAAAACATGAATTTAAGTCAGAAGATGACAGTTCTACAGATAATTTAAAGAAAAAGAAAATAAAAGATGAAGATGAATATGAATATGAAGAAACTCCAAAGAAAAAAACTCAAGCTAAGGCCAAATCAAAGAAAAAAGATCTGGAAAATGGGAAACCAAAATCAAAATCAAAATCAAAAGTGAAAAAAGAATCTGATGATAAGAAAACATTAACAAAATTACAAAAAGAAGAGGCCAAAAGAATCAAAGAAGAAGAAAAGAAAAAAAAATTAGAAGAAAAAGAAAAAAACACTTACAAATGGTGGGAAAATGAGGAAGAAGGAGATAAAGATGGTGAAATCAAATGGCAAACTTTAGAGCATAATGGTGTAATGTTTCCACCAGAATATGAACCTTTACCAAGTAATGTTAAATTATATTATGATGGAAAACCTGTGGATTTACCTCCAAAAGTTGAAGAAGTTGCCGGGTTCTTTGCAGCATTGATAGAAACTGAGTATGGTAAAAATCCTATTTTTCAAAAAAATTTCTTTAGAGATTTTAAAGATCTTATAAAAAAACACAATTCAAAAAACCCTGATGATAAAATTTCGATTGAATCGTTTGATAAATGTGATTTCACAAAAATATTTAATTATTTTGAAGCAGAAAAGGAAAGAAAAAAGGCGTTACCAAACAGTGTTAAAAAGCAACAAAGAGATGAAAAAAACAAATTAGCAGAACCCTTTAAGTTTTGTTTTGTTGATGGCAGAAAAGAGCAAGTTGGAAATTTTACAATTGAACCTCCAGGTTTATTTAGAGGTCGTGGATCTCATCCCAAAACTGGTACATTGAAAAAAAGAGTGTTCCCCGAAGAAATTACAATAAATATTGGCAAGGAGGCCAAAGTTCCTGAACCACCAACTGGACATAAATGGGCAGAAGTCAGAAATGATAATACAGTTACTTGGTTAGCAACATGGAAAGAAAACGTTTTAGGACAGAATAAATATGTTAGATTTGCTGCAAATTCGTCATTTAAAGGAATGAGTGATTTGAAAAAATATAATAAATGTAGAGAATTAAAAAACCATATTGAAAAAATTCGATTAGATTATAATAAAAATCTTAAATCTAAGGTCATGCAGGAAAGACAAATTGCAGTTGCTATATATTTCATTGATAAGTTGGCATTAAGAGCCGGTGGTGAAAAGAATACTGAAGATTTAGCCGATACAGTTGGATGTTGCTCGTTAAGATATGAACATGTTACATTGGAGCCACCAAATTATGTCATATTTGATTTTTTAGGTAAGGACTCTGTTCCATACCATCAAAAAGTTGAAGTTGATGCTCAAGTTTTCAAAAACATTCGAATTTTTAAAAGACCACCAAAGAAGTCTGGTGATAAATTGTTTGATAGAATTGATCCAACAATTTTAAATAATTTTTTGCAGAATAATTATATGAAGGGATTAACTGCAAAAGTTATTCGTACTTATAATGCTTCGAATACAATGCAGGAACAATTAGATTTGATGGAAAAAAAAGGGAATTTTAAAGGATCAATTGAAGAAAAAATTGTTGCATTTAGAGCAGCTAATAAAGAAGTTGCAATATTATGTAACCATCAAAAGGGAATTACAAAGAATTTTGATGAAACTCTTCAAAAGTTTCATGATAAGATTGAAGAAATGAAATGGCAAAAGATGAGAACAAGCAAAATGCTAAATCAAATTGATGAAAAATTTAAAGCTAAGAAATTGGGATTTACAAAAAATAAAATTAAAGTGATCCATAAGAGGATAATTGATAGAGAAAAGGAAAAAATAATAAAAAAATTTGACAAAGAAAATGAGAGCTTGAAATTTGAAAACAAGAAACTATTACCTAAAAGTGAGTTAAAAGAGAGATTAACCAAGATCGTTGAGCTTGAAAGCTTTTATAAAGAAGAATATGAAACAGGGAAAGTTTCAGTTGGATTAAGTAGTAATGTTACTGTATTGCAGAATCAATTAAAGAAGTTTGATACTAGAATCAAAAATGCTGCATTGCAACTACAGGATAAAGAGGACAATAAGAATGTTGCACTTAATACGTCTATTATGAATTATATAGACCCGAGGTTATGTGTGATGTTTTGCAAAAGATATAAAGTGCCTATTGAGAAAATTTTTTCTAAAACAATTCGAGATAGATTTACTTGGGCTATACATAATGCGGATGAGAACTGGAGGTTTTAATAAGACAATTAGAGTACAGGAGACTTTTAGTTTTAATAGAAAATGATTATAAATTGGTTAACTTCTATGCCTTATGTAAATTTATAAAAAATTTATATTTATGTTTATACTGATATATAAGTTTATATCAAACAGCAAAATTTGAACGTTGAATAAACATAGAAACGGATATTAGTTGGCTTTGCTACAGAATTGGAGAACTGAGGCCAATTAAGGTTTTGCTAACGGATCTTAGTTTTTTTGTTAAATTATTCATCATCAAAGAGATGTCAAACAGTGAAATAAACTGGAGAAATAGAGAAAATACGGAAAGGATATAGAGATATATAAAATATATAATAAAATCGTATCCGAATGATAGAGAACAAGAATATTCCAGCTACTGAGTTATATCAGAGGAAATTTGAGCTGAAAATAAGTGATGGTATTGATTCTGCTGATTTAGTTGACAATGATATTGAAATGGATAAAGAGATAGAAAATGATAACAAGAACGTTGATATCAATAATATAAATAACGATAACAATGAAAATTCTAATATCAATAACAACCCTGATATCAATAACAACTCAAGCAGAAATACCAGTATTATTACTGGCAATAATAACAGTGTTAATGGTAATGGCATTGATAATCACAATCAGCTCAACGCTACAAATGGCAACAACAGAGTTGGGCCAAATCCTTTTGAATTTCAATTCATCAAAAAAGACAAAAACACTTCTAGAGACAAAAAGAAGCAAGAACTAGAAGATGATAGAAGAGGAAAGAACAAGCCAAAGAAGACAAGTTCTACTTCGCAGCTGCAAAGCCAGCAAAACAAGGTAAAAGAGAGGGAAGAAAGAGGGAGGTCGAAAGTGAAGGTGGTGAACAGCAGCCACAACGGTAGCAGTGAAGGCGATCCACAGCACAGCAGCAAAGACAGCACAGGAAGCACCAGCCAGGGTATATCCGAGGCCGAGGAGGAGCAGGAAATGATACGGTTGTTTGGAATCAGCCACTTCACGTCCACAAAAGGAAAAAAGGTCGAGGGTACCGACGGTAGTCTTGTCAGCACCAACAAGACCTCGAGTTTCCGTCAGTACATGAACCGGGAAAGCGGTTTCAACAGACCGTTGTCACCCCCCGGAAGAAGCACCAAGAAACGTAGGAAAAATTAACCGAATACACGCTCAAGTTTCGGGGACACACCGGGTTTGGCGCTCCTTCGTTTTTCGGGTCTGAGCTGCTTTCGCGTCGTTCTTCAGCTTCTCTTCGTTGAGCTGATTTTTTTACTGCGCTACTTTTTTCTTGTAGGCGATGATGACAAGATCAAAGACAAACAGCAGGAAAATACAGTCCACTTTCAACTTCAAAACGAACGACGATGGATCAGTGATAATCGGCAATAATTGTGCTTTGGACTCCACCATAAAGCTCTTCCCCATAAGTAACAGATTGAATATCGAGCAAATCATCGATTTAGATGATGGAATCAATAACAGTTCTGATATTGATGCTGATCTCAACCTTGGAGATAATGCTGATTTGTCTGATGATTATGACTCCAAGATATTGGATCTTGAATCCAAGATACTAAATTCGAATACTAATATCAAAAAGATAACTTCTTTGGACTTTCTCAATCTATCAAAACAAAAATTTTTAGATGATAAGAAAACTGTCAAAAAGAAAAATCAGAAAAACAGTGCAACTAATACTAGTGGAACTAACACCAAGAAAAAATATAAATTTAAAAATAAATCTTTTATTGTATCACTTAAATTTACAAGCATAACACATCGAAATTTAATTCAGAAAATGGTTAGTAATAGTGAAAATCCGTTTTTTTCAAGAGGAAATATTGATTATTTATCTATTTTACACAATCCTCCAGAGATAATTGATCTTGATAATGATAGAAATATAAATAATTCATTTGTTGTCACTTTAAAATTCAAATCGAGAAAATTTATTAATAGATTTTCTTCAATTATTGAAGCTGATGAGAATCCTTTTCTTACAAGAGGAAATATCACTCATGATGAAACTATCTTGGATGAAGATAAAGGTGATGATAGAGATAGCGATTTTGAATTAATAACCGATTTACCAAATCAGAATACAAAACCCGGTAAACAGAAAACTTATAAAAACCCTTTTTTCGCTTCAGTTGCTGAAAAGGCTAAAATTTATGAATCAATATCATCATCAACTTGTAATTCTACTGATAATTTAATTTTGCAAAACAAAAATTTAAGAAGGAATTTTAAAGAGAAAAAAATAATTCATACAAGATTACCAACAAGAGAAGAATTTTTGGTTTATGATAATTCTTATTACAAGGAATCTTATAAATGCCAATTTAAGAAAAAATTTGATGATTTAAATATTAAATTGAAACCTACTAGCCAAAGAAATAAAAGAAAAAACTTGATTTATCGAAATTTATTAGATGGTATAAATGGCAATGATTATGAAAAGTTAATCAATATCAATAGCAGCACGAAAAAACCCGGATATAAATATTCTTTTAAAACAATAACAAATGCGAAACTAATAAATAGGATAGAACAGGAAAAATCTCTATATGATTCCATTAATAAATCACAAGTCTTTGAAAAATTCAGATATTATTTAATTAAAAACTCTTCTTTACCAAATTATGAAAGATTTCGGAATAATTTAAATAGTTTATTGAAAACTCAATTATGGCAAAACTTTTTTGCTCCTAAAAATTCAAATCAATTAATTTTTGATAAAAAGTTATCACTGAATATATTAACTTGGTTAAAAACATCTTTTATAAAGTTGAAGAAAAAGGAAATAAATGATAGATTCCCAATTGAGAAGAAAAAAAAAATAAAATATAAAAGATGCTCAAAATATGATGATCGGTATGATTCTGATGATGATCTAGATGGATTCATCGTTAATGATTATGAAATTGAGTATAATTATACTAAAAACGATTTAAATTATAGTTTGAATAATGATAATGTTAATAATATTTCAGATGATGACGATGATGATAATTATGGTGATAGTAGTAATTCAAGCAAACCCTTTATTCCACTAATGATATTATCTGGTGAGTCTGGAAGTGGCAAAACAGCATCACTTTATGCAATCATGAATGAATTATGCGGGTATGTTCATGAAATTAATACTAATCAATCGAGATCAAAGAAAGATATGATTAATTTATTAAAAGAGCTTTCTACCACACATAGCATTCATAATAAGAATCAGAAAAATACGAAAAATACAAAAAATACGAAAAATAATTTTTTTGGTATTAATGTTAATAGTGATAATAACATTGTTGATAACAATGATAAAATTGAGAAAAATCATTTTCAAAATGGGATAATTTTATTTGAAAATGTAGATATACTATTTCAAGATTTTGATAAGGGATTTTGGAGTTCATTAAAATTTGCTTTAAACATTAGTAGAAAGCCGATAGTTTTGACATGTGAGGATTATAGCAAGATACCGAATGAGTTTCTTAAAATAGCAGAAAGAGAAAATTCGTGGATTCATTTTGATGAAGACTGTATTGATAAAAATGAGTTGAAAATGTATCTTTGGTTGTGTTGTATGTCGAGTGAACGATGCAGGATATCCAAGGGTGTCATCAATGAGATTATTAATAGAAATGGATGTAATTTGAAACGATGTCTTAATGAGCTTCAATGGTTGTGTATAAATCCAATAACAAAGGGAATTTCAAGTAAAATTGGTAATACTAGTAACGGTGGCAGCAATAGTAGTGTAGAAGACACTAATGTTATCGATCTTGATCTTGATGAAGATGATGAAGATGATGAAGATGGAAGTGAATATAAAGAATCTAAGAATATAGATAGAGAATTTGAAAAAAAAAATAAAATGATTGAAAATGAAGAAAGTTTCTTCCATATTCAGGATAATGATATAAAAATGGAGTTTAAAGGATCAAATGATTTGGATTTTGTTGTTACCATTGATATTGATAAGAATAATATTATTGGAAATGAAGAAGGAGAAGATGATGGTGTGACATATGTTTCAAGCTTAGAGGAAGAAACTGAAGAGCTTATTAAGATTTCTAAAGAATTTGATAATAGATCAATGTGTGATATGATATCAAATAATACTAGATCATCGATCAAACATTATGATGTAAACCAGCAATACTTGGTCTACCAGAACAAACTATGCAAGGATAATACAAACAATAAAGAGAGAGAAAAATATAAGAAGGAAAGAAATAGTAAGAATAATAGAAGTAATAAAAACAATAAAAACAATGACAAGGTGACTACGCAGTTGGATTTTGATCTATATCTTAATGACGATTTTGAAACCGATAAAATAATAGTAAACAATTATGAAAGATATTTGAGCGAGGCAAACTACTTGAGCATCCATCCGTTGCCATTTGAATTGGACATTGGAGAAGAGTTGCTAAAGACAATGAAGGTGGGACCTGATAAGGAAGATAAGCGAGAAAATTTGCTGAAAAATAAGATCATATCTGATGTGAAGGAGTACCTTGGCCATCGGCTTAAAAAAAAGATTCTGAAGCTGAGATACACTAGGACGCTGGGCGAGAGCGAAGCCAATGAGTACGAAGAAATCCGAGACTCAGATTGCATCAATATCTTGAGCTGGAACAAGATCATCTTGGAGATGTCACCTATGGTCAGAGAAATAGCCCGAAACGAATGGGCAATAAGAGTAAACACAACCCATCCAGCTTACGCAGCAAGAGACGTAACAATGAACGAGATGGTGCAGCATATGCACTTTGGCCACGATGGGAAGGAAGTGCTCCAGACATTTCTTCCCCAGAACAGGCCCTAGTTTTGGCAGCACCAACAGGAACAAAAGCAGCAGCACCGGAAGCACATGCCGAGCCGGGGCTGCTGGCGCCAGCAGTGTGGGTCCTTGCCTCGTCTAACGAAAACGGACGACGATATAATCAAACGCTGAGACACAAACATGGCCAACTACCCACTGAACCCAACTGAACCCAAACACCATAGACCAGACACAGCGCAAGCAAAGGCCTTGTTGTTCTGTGGGCTCATGGCCCGGTGTAGGACTTACCTTCTGGAAACATGAAATCGGGTACTGATATTGTCGTGAATGCTTAATCGAGTGTTCCTGCTGCGTTAACCGATGTTTATCTCCAGATCGTTTAGCTGGATGGGTGAAATGTGATCACTTGGTACTACCTCTGATACTGGATAATGTAATTACACTGAAGTGGGTGGTTTAACTTTTTTCTGGATGCTTCGCACTTCCTTCAATTCGAATCATTATTAAAGGCCTATTTTTCACTTCTTTTAGTCCTCTTTGGATTTTCTTGTCTTCTCAAAAACACTGCCCACATCGTTCTCCTCTTATCTTCACAATCAATTTACTGTCCTTACTCTGTATCAATCTAACCATGTTCCTTAGATCTGTGCTTTCGGTGTTGTGCCTATCGTTGGCAAAGGTATTTGCTGATTCAAGTGATCTTTACATATATTCTGATTCCGATTCTGATTCCTTAGTCTTAGGTGTCGTTAATAACGCTTTGGTCCTAGGCTCTGACATCGATTCAATAACTGTTATAATTAAAGACGATGGTTCTGCTGCAATCAAAAATTCCAATGCTTATCTTGCTGTCAACAGTGATAACCAATTAACTCTTTCTGGATCACCTTCATCGACAGGTTTTTACATTTCTGACTCCTCTCTTTTTTACAACACATATGGCTCTTTTTATATCTGTCAGCTAGATGACTATTATGCAATCTATTCTGATGATGATGGAATATGTTCAGATCCCACTTCTGTTAAATTGGTACCAAAATCTTCTTCCGGCTCGACAATCTCTTCATACACTCCAGATGACAGTTTTGCTACTACAATTACCTCTACTGCAATTGCCTCCACCACAGCTATTGTTGTACCTACTGCTAGCGACGACGATGATGATAACAGTGAGAGCATAACAACACAAACTCTTTATTCTACAAGAACTGTCGATGGTTCAGTTGTTCCTGTTTCTACCATCACTGGCGGTGTCTCTACTTTAATTTCCTCGAGTTATGTTACTTCAACTCTTACCACAACTCTTTTAGTTCCTGTCACTTCAACCTTCACTTCAAAGGGCAAGGATACTCTTCTTGTTGTTACCACTTATACTGAAACTGTTGAAACCACTTCATGTGTCACATATCTTGAAACTTCTATGATTGTTTCAACTGTCTCTACTGAAACTATTACTCGTAAATCATGTCTTGAAGGTGATTGTTTAAGAGTGAAAACTTCCACTTACATCGCTGTTGTTGATCCTACTAGCTCACCACTGTTCTCAAGTTTTAACACTTCATCTTCATCCAAATCCCTGTCCAAGTCTTCCACCAAGTCTTCCTCCTCAATTAAACCATCATCAACTTATTCAAACTCCTCATCAAGCGATTGCTCTTGCAGCTTTACTGAAACTGAACTTGTTATCGTCGCTCCATCCGGATTTTCTATTGAATTTGAAACAACTGATGATCAATTTACCTTTACTACAACTTCTAAAAGTACTTCTGAGGGATTTTTTGCTACAAAGACAACTACAACTGGATCTGGGTTTTTCGTTGATTCCACTGATGCATCTGATTCTAATGATTCTAACGATTCTAGCGATTCAACTGATTCAACACAGTCCGGTGTGTTTTTTGATATTGAAACTCAATCTGGTGAAAGTGGTTATTTATTTACAACTTTACAAACCTCTGCTAGATCTACTTCGGGTGCCTTGGATCTGGATTCAACTACTACTGCTCAAGGTTTTGTTGCTTTTGAAGACTCTGCTTTATCCTTATCAAAATCTTCATTCCTATACTTATTAGTTTTCATTCCCTTGATGCTTTTTTAAATTAATTTGATATAACTGAATCAAATTAATTTTATTTTTAAATCTTTCAATCTTCCATTTTTTCAACTTTTTTGTATTAATTTAATTATTCTTTTTCTAATCTGGTTTTGTGAATAAATTTAAAAACGGTTTAACAATTTTTTTTACTGTTTGGTCAAGGTTTTTCTCTTTCTTATCTCAATTACTTTTATTCTTCTATTCTTTAATATTTAAAGTCTTACTGTTACAGCATCAATTATCAAAGAAAATTTTTTAAAAAAAGTTAAAAAAAACAACTAATTTATTTCTATTTCAAGTTAATTTAAAATAATTTTCAAACTATTCTTGGGTTAAAACAGTACAAAATCAAGTCAATTCCTGGTAATATTGAGTTGAGAAATCAATACTATATTTTTATTAGTTCCTAATAATTCAATCCATTTCTCCTCTATTTCTCAGGCACTTGATACTTGAATTTCCTTTATTTTTCCTTTTCCAATTCCCTTCAATAACATTTATCATTAAAATGGCTTCTCAATTAATACGCTCATCTATAACTAAATCATTGGTCATTAAAATGGTTTCACAATTAATATTTTCATTTACAATTAAATTACTTAAGAACATATATCATCATACTTAATTCTAATTTTTATGTTAAATAAACTATTGTTTAACCAAATGAATTTATGTTAGCTCAAATCCATCCATCCCAAATATTACTTTGCTATTTAACATTAATTTTGCATTAGAAATATTATATTTAAAAATTGTTATTTTTCTTTAATTGAATTGTTTTACTTTTTATTTTAATATATTCAAATGGAAACATTAATTCGGTCATTTATTCGGAACAGTTATTTTGGTCAAAACTTTAACATTTACGTATTTTTATTTATTATGGTTTATTCTTGCATTTATTTATTTTCTTTTACAAACTTATTTTTTTTTAAATCTTAAAAAAAATACTCTTAACTAAACAATTTAAATATAAAGTGTTTAACATTCTTTCCAATAATTGTAGAACTATTTTAAACGTACCCTATTAGAAAATAACAGTATTCGTTGTTTTTCATTTGCTTATTAATCTTTAAAAATATATAAATTGGCTTTAGAAGATATTTGAGTACTATCAAAATACTTTTCAATACTTATCCGTTAAACAAGATTTACTTTATGATATGCAATTTTAGGAAAAAACTAAGATTCTTCAGATTCTCAACAAACGCTTTTATTTCTTAATTTATGGAATAAAATAGAACTATTTACATCAAATTATTTATAGACTATAATAAATCAAAAAAATTGACTTTTGTACTTGTCTTTTAATAATCTATACTGATAATTTAGCATCAACAGTTGAGGGATTCTTCTTTAAATTCTTTTGAGCCTTTTGATAAAGATTTTTAGATACACCATTATACTCATCAATGATTTGGTCTGCATCTGGGAAAGCATTCTTATGAGTTCCAAGCAATTTATCAACTGCATTATTTGAAACATTTTTGTAGTTTTGATCAATAAACATAGAAACACCAGAATTTAAAGTAACATCTAGTTGCTGCTCTAAATTAAAACGTTGATTTCTTTGAGCCGGGATTTCAAAAGCTTTTTCGATTTTTTCTTTCAATTTTTCCTCTGTTATAACAAAATCTTTCGATTTGTAATAAAGTTCTAATAATCTTTCAGCCTGGTTCTCTTTTTTTATTAGCAAAGAATTATTGTAATTGGCTTTTTTCTTCATCATTAGTATTTTTTTCTCGTCTTCTGTTCTTCTTCTAACTAATGGACCTTTCAAAAAACTAGAAATGGTTGGTAAGGTTAAAGAGTTTTTCTTAACAAAAACTTGATTCTTCATGTCTAATTTTCTCTGCTCTTTTCTTTTTTGCTGTAAAAGCACTTCTTTTTGCTTCTCGGCCTCTATTTTTTGAAGAATTTTTTGCTCCTCATTTGTATAAGCTTCTAATAAGTAATCTCTTCTTGTTTTGGCTTTTTTCAATTTAACCTGTTGAACTTTTGGAAAACTTCTAAATTGTTTGGAGTTGAAATCGATTTTTTTTTTAGGATTCTTAATAGTATTAGCAATTAATTTTTTGACAGGAGTATATTTAGGTAAGATCAAATTTCTTGTCGAGTTTTTTGGGTGAGGAACATCTTTGGCATAACCAGTGTCTGGAATCTCCTGTCTCTTGGGATGAATAATTGAGTGCTTAAAAATCTTGCGAGCCTCTGGCAATACACCACTAGGTTTGAAACCATATTTAACCAACTTGTTAACCATCTCTGCAAATAACCAACACTGATTGCACCAGCCAATGAAGCATTTCCTTCAGCAGCTGAAAAAAAATGATAAAATCAACTTTGATTTCACGTGACTTAACGTGACCATATAAGTGTTAACGCACTTTTTCACGCGATTATCATCCAGTTCTCACGCAATTTTAACGGGTGTGGATTAGAAGAAATTGAAGATTATGTGATAAGGATATAAGATCACAATGATTTGGAGATAATTTTTGTTTTTTGTTTTTTGGTTGAATTTAGAAATTAGAAGTAATAATGTTTTCATCGTTAGTCGCTAGAAGATCATCTTCTATTGCTGTATTGTTTGTTAGGAATGAACGATTTTTCAGTTCTTTTTATCGGGCTAGATATGCTAAATCAGTTTTTAATAGTGATTTGAATTTCAATAATAATTTTGGAAATAATTATATGCCAAATATTGTTTATTTGAATAAAAACAATGATTTTTTACCAATAGATGATATAAATCCTATTGAATTTAGAGAAGAGTTGATAAATACGAGTGCTGATTTAGGCTCTTCATCTTCTGTTGAAGAAGATAACAAAAATACTAATCAAAGTGATATTTATACACAATTACCAGATGATTCTCAGTTTATTACGCAACATTACAATGAGTTAAAGATTTTTAAAAGTCATTTAGTGAAAAACTATAACAAAAAATTTCAGGATTTTAAAGCAAGTGAATTATTAAAAGAGTTGATTTTTTTCATTAATAGTAATATTGAGCAATCAAATAAGGCAAATGGTACGATAGAGGAGTTCAATGTGAGAACCTTTAAAAAATTTTATAACAATATTAAAATTACATTAAGATTGAATGGTAATTATACGTTTACATTAGATTTATTACTACAAAACAAGGAAATTTTCGATAATATTAATAAAAAAATTCAAGATAGCAAAAAATAAATAGTAAAGATATTATTCTTATTTTGGTTCATATTTTTATAGGTATTTTGATATAAGTGTTTATAAAATTTTCAATATTTTTTTTTTTTCGATTAAATAATTTTTTTAGTATTCAATTGACAATAAATAGATAATAGAACAAGATATAAAATCAAACTTACACAGGTAGGGCTTTAAAAAGAAATTATAGGGCTTTAGCGATTTACAGATCTCAATATGAAATTGAGGAAATTGGGGGAAATTAAGAGAAACCTTTTATTTTAGTTATTATGATTTTGTTTTTCAATCTTTATTTTTTGAAAGATGAATTCTAAATTGATTTTAAAAGAGTTTATTGATTCAAATGTGTTATTTAAACTAATTTATAAGACCAATGTCATGAATAATCAGTTGTTAGTAAAAAATATATTGATATTAGATTCCTCATTTAACCCACCGCATAAAGCACATTTATCGTTAATTAACAATTCAATAAACTATTATAATACAAAGATCCATAAGGAAAAGATTGAAAATGAGGTCCTATTATTATTTTCTACCAATAATGCTGATAAGAAATTTGATAATACAATTGAGGATTTTTCAAATAGATTGAATATGGTTAAATTATTTGCGGATTATATTAATGTCTACAGTGGAAATAATGTTAGAATTGGGTTAACAAAAAATGCTAAATTCATCAATAAATATAATAGTATAAAAGAGGAGTTTTCTAGCTTGAAAACTGATATTAATAAGTTTATCTTTTTAATGGGATTTGATACGTTAATCAGAGTTTTTGATTCCAAATATTATAAGCCCTTGACAGTAGAAGAATCTTTAGATGAGTTTATTAGAAATTCCAGATTATTTGTTTTAACAAGGAAAATGAATGAAAATGATAGAGATAGTTATGGGTTACAAACTGGGTATTTAGATAGGATTTCTAGGACCGAGAAAATCATTCCAATTGATTGGTTAAGCCATATAGATTTGATAGAAAACAGTGAAAAGGAAATGACAAGTGTGTCTTCATCGGATATCAGAAAGAGAATTGGGTTGAATGAGGACGATTGGCAATTCCATGTGGTTGATTCCATCAGAGATTACATTATTGAAAGAGGATTGTATAGAGGTAGATAGTAGAATAGGAAAATAGAATTGGATAATATACTTGTAGGCAGATAAAGCCAGTCTATATCCGTCGGGCGGGAGTAGCTTTTCGAGCCTTTTGAAAGCAGTTTTTTGTATGTGCCGAAAGAAGCAGGATGTCGCGTGCTTAGTCAGTGCTTACCCTGCGGCGGAAACCAGCGAGAATCTGGAGAAAGCTGGAGAAAGCTGGAGAAAAAAAATTGCAGTTTTATGAACAGGGGGTTTAATAATATCACAAATGTTTTTGAATGAATTTTCTCCATTTGAAAAAAAAATAACTGTGTAACAGAAGGAAAAACTCGAAAGAAGAGGAGAAATTGAAGTTATGAATAGGATTGTTGATTACCGCACAAGGCTTTCATAGGATGGAAAAGCTCTCCACTGATTAATATGAGGTAAAAAGAAATAAAGTGAGACAAATTGGTAAAGAAAAAAAAAATAAAACAGAAATTAAATTTATTGAGTTGCTTCTTTTTCGCAACAGTTTTTGGCCGCGATAATCTGGATGATGATTACAAAAAGGGAAGAATAAGGAAGGAGTTAAAAAGCGCACTATATTTGTACTTGACGATAATTTTTTTTCAGAAAGTGATCATTTATAATTCAGTTAGTGAAATTAATGGGATATTTAGGATTATTTGGAATTCTTTTTCTGTTTTGCTAAGTTTTAAATCTTATAAGTACATATAAAAGTTAGGCTATATTTCTTTATTCGAATTGAACTTGTTTTCTTATTGATTTGGATTGGATTGCAATTTTTTTTTATTTTTCTTTTGAAAAGACAGCAAATTAAGAACAAATATTGTGTATAATATAATCAGAGAAAATGAACACAGATACTAGGCGTAAGTTTTAAATAAATCAAGCATTAAGTGAAAGGAAAAAGATAGAATAGAGTTGATAATAATGAAACAATCAAGAATTTCAGCAAAACAAAATGTAATCAAAAACAATTTTTTTTTTCTATTTGCAATTCTAATTAGACTTAAAAATTAGGATATTATTCTAATATATTTTAAATCCTTTTTTTTTATTTAATTTAATTAATATAGCACTTCCATTCGTTTATCAATTTGGATCAGGAGCAATTGCAGGGATCTCTGAGATCTTATTATTATATCCATTAGATGTTGTGAAAACTCGTATTCAATTACAAATTGGAAAACCTCAAATTGGGGCCAGTAGTACATATTATACAGGAATTATTGATTGTTTTACAAAGATTGTTAGAAATGAGGGCCCAACTAAATTATATCGTGGAATCACTGCCCCAGTATTAATGGAGGCGCCAAAGAGAGCAGTTAAATTTGCAGCCAATGACTCCTGGGGACAATTTTACAGAAAGCAATTTGGCGTTAAAGAAATGAATCAATCGTTATCTATATTGACAGGAGCAAGTGCCGGTGCTACAGAAGCATTTGTTGTGGTGCCATTTGAATTGGTCAAAATCCGATTACAAGATAAAAATTCAGCAGGCAAGTATAAAGGAATGATCGATGTTATTACCAAAGTAGTTAAGACAGAAGGTTTATTGGCAATGTACAATGGGTTAGAGTCAACATTATGGAGACATATCGCATGGAATTCGGGTTATTTTGGATGTATTTATCAAGTTAAATCGTTGTTGCCAAAACCTCAAAACTCAACAGAAAAAACTGCAAACGATTTGATTTCCGGTGCTATTGGTGGAACAGTTGGTACTATATTCAATACACCATTCGATGTTGTTAAGAGCAGAATCCAAAATACAGTAAAAGTGGCAGGCGTCACACCCAAATATAACTGGACCTTCCCAGCAGTGGCCACTATCTACAAGGAAGAAGGGTTTGCAGCATTGTATAAGGGTTTCTTGCCCAAGGTATTGAGGTTGGGTCCAGGAGGCGGTGTTCTATTGGTTGTGTTCTCGCAATGCATGGACTTCTTTAGAACCATCCACTACAAAGACCAATGATTTGGTGATTGCTGCTCTTTATAGAAAAGCTGGATAGATCAATAAAGCGTAATCCCATTCTGGAGAACACTGCAGTTGCACGCGGCTCCGCGTCTCTTCGCAGAGACCGAAGGCGAGTAGCGATTCCGATATAGGCAAGTGGGAAACCGGCGCGCTCCCACAAAAGAGCAGTCGACGCCGGGTGGAGCAAGAAAAAGACGCGGAAACTTGTGCTGCTTGGGCCGGCCGAACGTCCTGGGGTCTGATACGAAATGCCGCCTCCATCCCGATCGCGCGCTCCCGGTCGGTCAGGCCTCGCGCTGTCTGAGACCGGTCTGTTTGCGGGATACTGCCCACAGAGATGCCTCCTATGGCTCTGCATCAGCGTGCAAAGAGTGCAAAGAGGGAAACACAACAGTCATGGCAGTCATAACAGTCGCAGCACAGAGCGGCCAAAACACCCATAACAACCAAAAAGTTAAAATGGGCCCGGTTGCTTCTTATCAGTTTCCTCCTGGGCCGGCGCCAGTGCTGTGGTTCTGGTCTGGATATAATTGCTATCTTTCCAAAGTTACCACATCGGGCAATATTAAGGTTATTTTTCGTGCATTACTATGTGAAATTTCGTCCTTTGTCGATAACCGGTCCCAAACATCAAAATATATTTCAATGTATTAACTTCAATGCAATCCAAAATCAAGCTCAAGACAGTCAAAAAGAAAATTTTTCTGCTTTTTCCTTAATAATTGTGTCGAATATATCTTGATAATTTGCTATATTTACTAATAACAATTCAAAACAATGAAACTGTAATTCATTCACAATAGGTAACATATATCCTATTTTCTTTCCATCTCTCTCTGACTTTAATCTAGCTCCATTACAACCATCTTCTTTAGGGTTTCCCAAGCTTCAAATTTTTTAAAATTTCATATATAAGTTATAATTATTACTAATTTAATTATATCCTTTTTCATTATTTAGTATCATAATCTCTTATTCCCAAATATATTCTCAACTAAATACCACTTTATATAATATAAACTGGATTATTTTTTTTTTCATCTCTCCATCATTTCAGTTTTAACACTCAAAATCAAAAATGAAAATTGATAATAGACGTAAGTTCACTCATTATTCATTATTCATTATTCATTATTCTTTATTCATTACTCATTACTCATTACTCATTATTCCTTATACTCAATATTCTTTTATGACTCTATTTAAAATTTTTATTGTCTCATTAAATTTTTTCTTATTTCAATTTTCACAAATTTATAATTTCAAACTTGGTCATCATTATAAACACACCCTTTAAACAACAGTTACTAACTTTCTCAATTTTAGCTATCCCTTTTTACTACCAATTCCTATCCGGTGCAATTGCTGGCATAACTGAAGTATCAATAAACTATCCTCTCGACGTAGTCAAAACTCGTCTTCAATTACAAATTGGCTCAAAGGCAACCGCTGCTCTTAATAATACTCCTCACTATAACGGTGTTTTTGACTGTTTATCCAAAATCCTCAAACATGAAGGAATAAGAAGACTATATCGTGGGATTTCGGCTCCAATCTTAATGGAAGCTCCAAAAAGAGCTGTTAAATTCGGTGGTAATGAAAGATGGGGAATCTTCTATAGAAATTTATTCAAAGTAGATGAAATGTCCCAGGCTTTATCCATACTAACCGGTGCAAGTGCTGGTCTAACTGAAGCTTGTGTCATAGTCCCCTTTGAATATTGCAAAATTCAATTACAAGATAAAACAAAACATTCTCAATACACCAATATTCTAGATGTCGTTAAAAAGACCATCAAAAATCATGGAATCCTAAGATTATATACCGGTTTAGAAGCAACAATGTGGAAACACTCCTCTTGGAACGCTGCTTATTTCGGTAGTGTCTTTCAAATTAGAGCTTTATTACCAAAACCAAAAAATTCAACTGAAAAGACTATCAATGATCTAATAGCTGGTGGTGTCGGTGGCATTATGGGCACAACTGTTTCAACTCCCTTTGATGTTGTAAAAAGTAGAGTCCAAAGTCAACCACATACCCCAGGTCTCCCATTGAAATACATTTGGAATTGGCAATCTGTTATCCTCATACATAAACAAGAAGGTTTCAATGCCTTATTTAAAGGTTATGCCCCAAAATTATTGAGATATGCCCCAGGTGGTGGTATTCTATTGGTTGTATTCTCCGAATGCATGGATTTCTTTAGAAAATTTCATTATAGCGATCAAGATAATGATCAAAAACTTGTAAATAAATTTACCTAGATTCAATCGTCAGATTATCTAATAATTAATAATTAATATCCAATTTAAAATTATAACAACAGAGCAACAAAACAAAAGCACCAAATCAAATCAAATCAAATGAAAATTTATAGACCTTTTTTCATCTCCTTTTTAGTTCATTGTTCTTTTTTTATTAGTGGTTCATATTTTATTCATACATATATTTATATACAAATCTGTTTTATATACCTTTTTTTGTGTGTTTGTTTGTTTGTTTTTTATTTTAATTTTAATTTTATTCTCATTTTTTTTTTCATTCAAGCAAATCATTTTGATTTTGATTTTGATTTTGATTTTGATTTTGATTTTGATTTTGATTTTGATTTTGATTTTGATTTTGATTTTGATTTTGATTTTGATCTTCACCTTCCTGATTTTTCATGCTAATTTTCATGTAATGAATTTATCAATTATATCCATTGTATATACTACATATTAATTAATCTTAATCATTATAAGCTTTCATAAAATATATAATATTTCAATTTATTTAAAGAATTTCATATATTCCAATCCCAATTTTATTAATATACCCCATATCCAAATGGTCAAGATCTAAATGAAAATAATCCCTCCATGTTTCATTAAACTCAAAACTACTACTAAATTGATATTTCTTCAAAACTGTTTCATATGACATAATTGGACTAACAAATAATAATCTAAAGTCTTTAGACTCATCTGTTTTATTATTATCAGCAATAGTATTTCTGATATTGACTTCATTTTTGATTTTCAATATTGAATCAAAAATTTTATCAATTTTTTCTAATTCCATGCTCATTATATCAATTAACACATTTTTCTTGGAATTTTCAATCAAATTTAAATAGTCAAACTTTAAAATTTCTTCCAAGTTATCAATGTATGCATCATTATTTTTATCAAAAATTAAATCATCATATTTTAAAACATTCAAACTTTTATCTCCCAATAACCAATCTGGAGGTGAATATGTCCTCCACCAAATGCTTATAATTGGTATATTACGTTCTAGCTCTAAATGAGTTTCATGAAGATAATTTAATGCTGTTATTACTCCTCCCTGATGGAATATTCCCATTAATACACCAAAAAGTATATTAAATAAATACCATACATTAATAATAACATTTAATAATTTGTTTTTAGGGTATTTAATTTTTTTACTTTTTGTACTATTTTTTTGAATTTTTTTTTCAATAAATGAATCAAAATTTAAAGCTGAAATCATTAATGGGAAAATTGGAACCAAAAACCTTGCCTCTTGATGTGGAATTATCGATAAAATTAATAGACTTGAAAGTATAGTCAAATATATGACTTTTGTCTTCTCAAAACGATCTTTATCAAAATCTGAAGTCTTATTTTTTAAAATGAGAAATTTCAAAAATTGATAAAAATTTGAAATAAAAATAAAATAAAAGGGTCCCAATAAATGTATCGAGTTTACTGTTATATGAGTAAACTTGTTATGTAGTCCATGCTGTGAAAGATTTGAAGAATTAATGTTATAAATTATATTGTTTAGTGGAGTAATAATTAAATTCTTATTTAATATTTCTTTGTCAATATAAGTTATAATTGGTGATAACTTCCCCGATTGAAGAGCATAATTTTTAAGTAGTGAAAAATACTTAAAATTCAAATACTGGTTATCAGGAATAAAAAAATCAAAAGACTTATTTATCAATTGATAAATTGGGGCGATATTATAGTGTATGGATCTATCACTCAATTGATTTTCCAATGAAAGAAAACTATCTGTATCAATTTTAATAAACCAAAATGTCGTTATTATAAGAGTTAGAGTGAAAACCAAAAAAGATGTGAACTTCTTGAACACAATAAAAAATTTCAATAAATAATATAAATTGAATAAAATAAAAGCAGGAAAAGTTATCCTATTAAATATACCAATTGGTATTAAAACAGCTAAAACAATAAGATGAAGATAGTAATTTGATACTTTTTTTTTTAGAAGTATAAAATTTGAGCTAGTCTTTAATTTTTCATAAATATCAATTTGAATTTTTAAGTAATTCAAAATAACAAGGCATGGTAATAATATCAAAGTTTCTAAACTATTCGAAAAGGAATGAGACTGATAAATCCAAATAACGTAGGACGAATATGTAAATAAAATTATTTTCAAGTTGTTTTTGAGTTGAAATTCGTGTTTTTGCTTATTTTTTGAATCTTCAGCCTTTGGTTTTTGTTGATCAAATTCTGTATTTGTATATTCAAAGAATAAAGATAATTTGATCAACGAGTAATCAATTATAATCCATGATAAAAGCATAAACCATATTCTGAATAGATATAAAATTTTCAATGGATTTGACAAAGTAATATTATATTTTTCATCTAAGAAATTTAAAATTTTAAAAATTGGAGAATAGAATAAATAAAGAGGCACAAAACTTCTAGCAGGATTTGGTGAAGTGAATTCCCAGGGCAATGAAGAATTATTGTGATTCATATGTATGATTGACAAAACCTGAAAGTTTTGAAAATGTTCATCAGGATGAATATATGAATTTTGTAGAGCAAAGAAAACCCGAAAGACGATAGAGAGCAAGAGCAATGTTATTAGTTTCTGGGACATTTCAAAGCGACCATCTAGAAAAATTACAACGATTATAATAAATATAATGCTTAAGATAGCAATGCTTTAATTGAATAATACAGAGATGTTGGTCAAGCGAGAAAGAAATAAAGAAATAAAAAGAAGAGTGGTGAAGAAAAAAGATGAAGATCAAACCTTAAACGCTCATCTCAGCGCTTAACAGAAAATGGTAAATAGTGAGAGTAAAAGAGTAGAAAAGACAAAGGAGGAAATGAGACAGAAGAGTACATTATGATTAATCTTTGATCTATGAAATGAAAAACTATAGATGAGAAAAAAACTAGAAGTTACGATATAAGAAATAAAAGAATATAGTTTGTGGAATCATTTATAGAAGTCGAATTTATCAACATCACTACCAGTCTTTACTTGACTTGTGTAGGCTTCTTCAAGATCATTTTGCAATATAACGTATCTGTTTTTTCTGACAGCTCTCAAGCCGGCTTCTTGCATGATGGCAGCAATAACAGCACCACTAAGGGGATCATTTCTAACGATTAAACTATCCAAGTCGCATTCTGGAGCAAGACTCATTTTAGACGCAATTGTTTGGAAGATTAGTCTTCTTTCTCTTCTATCTTTCAAACTTGGAAATTCGATTTTTCTATCCAATCTACCAGGTCTCAATAAAGCAGGATCTAAAGTATCAGCTCTATTTGTGGCCATTATGACTTTTACATTGGAAGTTTGGTCAAACCCATCCATTTGATTTAATAATTCTAGCAAGATTCTTTGAACTTCTCTATCGGCACCAGTTTGAGCATCAAATCTTTTTGTTGCAATTGCATCAATTTCATCAATAAAGATAATAGAAGGTGAGTTTTCTTTAGCTAGTCTAAAGACATCTCTTACCATTCTTGGACCTTCACCAAGATATTTTTGAACAAATTCAGAGCCAACAACTCTTATGAAAGAAGCAGTTGAGCTATTAGCAACAGCCTTAACTAGCATTGTCTTTCCTGTACCTGGAGGACCATATAATAAGACACCTCTTGGAGGATCAATACCAATTTGCTTATAAAGTTCAGCTTGAGTTAATGGTAATTCAACGGCTTCTCTAATCTCTTGTTTTTGCATATCCAAACCACCAACATCATTATAAGTGACATCGGGCTTTTCATCTTTCCCTAATAAAGCAATTGAAGAGTCAGCTTCAGGTGGTAGGATATCAACCAAGGCGTTTGAGTGACGGTGTAAAGCAACAGATGATGAAGGTTTTAATAATTCTCTATTTAAAGTCGATAATATTTTGACAACGTAATTTGATCCAGTGGTCGAAGACACAATACCAGTTTGAAAATCAATTGGTTCCAAAAACTGACCAATAACTAAAGGAACCGATTGAATTCTTTTTACCTCTTCTTGAGCTCTAATCAATTCTCTTTTAAGAAATTTGGATTCATCTTTAATATAGACTTCTTGCAATGACAATAATTCCAACTGCTTTTGCAATTTTTTCAAAGTCAAGTAAACATCCTGTTGGTACTGTTGCTGGTACTGTTGCTGTTGTGAGGATGTGTTTACTGGCAAATTGGACTTGTCATTTATTATTGGTGGATTTATCGAATTTGTTGTGATACCAAGTTCTTCCATGGTTGTATGTGTGTCAAATAGCAGGGACTTTCAAGAGATAGAGCAATTGTAGGTGTAGAGCTGAGGTGGATGTGCTTTGGGTGAAACAAACTCTGTTTCTGCTGCTTCTTGCGAGGTATCTGAAAGTGAAGAAAGAAACGAATCTGGTGCCACCCAACATCACTTCAGAGTTCAGCGCTTTTTCAAACCCGCGGATCACTACGTATATACACGGAATACAATACGGAATAACATCCGTTGTGCTAAACTCCAACACGGGTGATTCCAAATCCGTGCTTGCGCTTCAACCGGATTTTCGGACTTTTTCAGATAATCACATGATACTGATTACGTAACGACCACTCTTTATTTACCTTTACCTTTAACTATTCACCTATTGGCTAACTGGATTTTGATGTTGAGCTGATAGAAGCTAACGAGAATATCTGTTGTTTTAGGTGGTTTTTTTGGGTGAAATATTAGTCTTTTTGAATCATATATCGAGTGGTCTATCACATATCGAGTGGTCTATCACAATAAACAAATATAGCTGCATTTTGAAAGCCACATTTTGAAAAGATGTTTCCAATTAGACGTATATTAAAAGTGCCAACTTCAGCTACTTGTTACTCAGTTAATCCACTCTTACCTAAAAGGTTTTTCAATAATTCATCAACTTTAAGATATTCAGAGCCCAAAGATGCTCATGGACATGACGATGTTCATGGACATGAAAGTGGGCATCATGACGATCATCACCATGACGATCATCATCATCATGAAGAATTTTCTGAAGCAGAAACTGTTTTCCAGCCATATGTTTTAAGATTTCTTGGAGTAACTGCACTTATTTCGGGTTTAATTTATACTAATAATCAATTTAAAAAGACCCATGGGGGATTATCATTAATATCATATTACATACCTGACAGTTATACACCTGAAAGAGCAATTGCTGAAGAAATGCAATTTTTGAAAGACATTGGTGAAGATCCAGGTTATTCATTTAGACAATATTATAGTGTGAATAATAATGAATTTAAGACTGAGATTGGAAGAGAACGTTTTCTTAACTCAGGCAGTGCATTGAATCATACTCCAGGTGAATTATTGGATATTGATAATTTATCACCAAGGAAAAACATCAAATATTTTTAATATAAAGTTAATATTAAAGCTAAAATTAATAAATATAATTACTTTTAAATATTCAATTATTCAATAAATTATTTTCAAAAGTTCCTAACTAATGTCTTTTTTATATTTTTATTTGTTTTAATTCTTTTTTCATTTATCTCTTTTTTTTTTTTTTTTGCCTTCTACCATATGATATTATATTCTAACCTATTTTATTTTATTTTATTTTATTTTGTTTTATTCAATCATATAAATTCCAGATATTTTACATTTTTCATATATATTCCCAATATTAAATTATAAAGTTACTAAGTTATTGAGTTATAAAAATATTATATTATTTATTTGGTATATAAGTATAAAAAGCAATAGTAAAAGTCAAAAACAAGTATAAAAATAAAAATAAATATAAATATAAATATAAATATAAAAATAAAACTAGATAAACTATATATTAATAGAATATATATTTATTTTCATTGAAATCGAACCAGAATGCAAAACAAACCAAAATTATTAATTAACTAATAAAAAAAAATGAAAATGAATATGAGCAAAGTAACCACAATTAGAAAAAAAAACACAAAGAAATCACAATTGTTAAAAAAAAGTTTTATAAAAATATAAATAAAAAAATAATCTTAATTTGATTTATTATTCACAAATGAGAGTTAATAATAATTAAATACAATTTTGATTTGATCTGAATCGGGATTACTATTTAAAAATCAGGAAAATGAATATATACATATGGATTATGATTTGAATTGAATTAAATGTAGTTAAAGAGAGATTGCAAATAAGAAACAAGTGCAAAGGTAATTGCTATTGATAATTTGCCTCAAGTCTTATTCTTGAACCTACTGTTATGAGCAAATTTGGAGGATAATTTGTTTGCATTTTTTGTAGTTGATCCCTTTGCTATGATAAAATCAGTAATAATGTAAATAGCAGGGCCTAAAGCTATGAGACCATTGGAAATTGGTTTCATTGTTATATACATGTTGATATATTATGAACAGAAAGTGTTTTTGTTTTTTTAAAATGATTATTATTGACAATAATTAATTTCAAATGATTATTAATATACAGTAAATAGGATAATTGATAGTGTATTATACTCGATATAATGAAAGTTCTATTCTAATATATTCTTTTCAATTTTATTGTATTGTGATGAAAATATGATCAAAATCATATATCCCTTTAAAATTCCTTGAAAAGATTGTGATCAAACTATTGGATAAAGTTCTGATTTGATAAAAAAATTTTTAGTCAAGGGGGAATTACCCGGGAGTGAAAAAGCAAAGAAAAGCTGAAACAAAAGCTGGTAAAGCAACCAATGAAGTTGCAAATCTGTGGGGTTTTGGATGAAGATAAAAGCCGAATCGTCTTTGGTGGACCAGTTTTGGAATAAAGGATTTGATTGGCAAAAAAGTAGCTCGTATTTTTGATATCTACGAGGCACTGCATGGCCAGGCAGATATTTGAGCTGACAACATCAATAACAATAAGTGATTTAATATTATTATATATTTATTAAAATGTATTATATCAACAAATATATGAAGTGATTTTGTGTTTACAGTATTATTCAGTTTGTAGAATTTTTTGTTGTGTGTGTTAATGAAATTTAAAATTTGAGCTTTTTTTTTTGCTCAGCGCTCCCAGTGGCTGCATAACAAAAACCTATTTTATATTGATAAAATAATATTTTAAGAGGATTCAAAAATAATTACAAATTAAATTAAAACAAACAATAAAATTAATGGGAAATAGACAATTAGAAAATAGAATATGTGCCAATTGAAGATTGCACAAACTACTGATACGACTGGTTATAAAATAATTCTAAATAGGTTTTGACTCTTGCGACTATTGTATGAGTTGGTTGGGTGGTTGACTTAATATATATAGTTTTTGGTAAAAATTTAATGAAAATCGAGCAAGAAATTGGCAAGATTCTAGAGAAAACCAGAATAGATTAAAACAAAAAGTAAAATGTGAATTTTATTGGAGCAATATAATTAAGAATTTATTGATTGGACTCAGAATTAAATCAAATAGAAAAGACCAAATAGTATGGGAGGTAGATCAGTCCACCTAATACCGATTTCCTATGAGTTTACTATGGTATTTTAAGATTGCACATTGGTGAATGCAGTTGCAATTTGTTTATAGTTGCTTGATTAGGTTTGTTTATAATTTGAGATAACCACAGAAGATAAACCAATTAGAGCGAAGGCTTAAAACGCAGGTATCTTTTGTTGTTAAAAAGATGAATAATATAACCAACAGCAATAATACTACATAATACTCAATAATACCCAACCATAGTAAATAACAGTCAATAATAGTCAATAATAAGCAATTATTAACAGCAAGATTGATATAGGAGGGCTAGCATTGTAGCAACAGTCTCAGCAAACAGGACGTCAGGTGACTCTGAGCGTGACACGCATTTTCCGAGAGTCCCATTTTTGAAAATAGTTGGTATGGACGAAAATGATGAAAGTATACGTAACGGGTCAAAAGGTGGTAGAGTTTTAGAAACGGCTGATTTGATTTGTGGAACGAAATGTAGCGCAAGGGACAAAACTCAGTACGCATTGCCCCAGGACAACGCGCCTTGGTGAAAGCAAAAAATATCCGCCAAAAGCTGAAGGTGGGCTTCGGACTCGCCAGTATTGCGGTCAGATGATAAACGGATGACCGCTCAGTGTAGCAAATGCTCACCATTTTCAGGAATAGCTCTGTGTGACACACGTTGGTGCGTGTGCCGAAAGCTAGGGGATGGGAGTGCAGCAACCTGTTTAACCAGGACAGAACCAGTGCTGCAGTCCAGATGGCAACCACAGTAGCCACCTGGGCAGCATCAGGTGTGCTTGAGCCCGCACTGCGATGGCACAGGGTGATTAGTCAGGGATTGGTCAGGCGAGCAAGATGGAAGATTCCAGCACAGGCCACACGAGGGAAAACAAGGATTTATGGCGCTTTGGTCAAATCCCATTAGCGCAGAGGGTGTTGACCAAAAACACAACGAAACAGCGAAAAACGAAGAAATGAACAGGAAATTGAAAATTGATTTCTGTCAGCGCTTTTTCTCTCTTTTCTTGTTTTTCTGTTTTTCCCTTCTCTTTTCCTTTTCCTTTCCTTTTCTCACTTTTTTTCTCTTTATATTTCTTTCTTATATCTTTACTTTTCCTTTATATCTGCTCTACTTGGATACTTCACCTGGGTTCAATTCAATTCAAGCAAATATATTTTCATCTTTTAATCTAGTTTTTTGTTCTTATAGTATAAGTGATTAATTAAATCATTCTAATCGTTCCACTCCAAACCAATTCAATGTAAGTCCACTTTCTTTCACTCACTATGGTATTGTATATTGCAAGTTTTTATATTATATAATATTTCATAGTATTTTAAACTATTATACCATGCTCTACTATACAATATCACTCTCATAGGTAAGATTATAATAGTATAATTGATTCTCTTCTCTTTATTTCTTGGTTGATTTTCTTTGTTTATTTTTATCTTCTCTATCCGCTCAATTCTCGTTTTCCCTATTGAAAAGAATGAAAAAAACAAACATTTTCCAGAAACTTAACAGCACAGCGTTTAATAAACCTTTCTACTAATATCAAGATATATCAAGATATTGCGAGTTATAATCTCATATTATTTTCCACATTAAAATAATTATCTTATAACTACAAAACAATATCAAATCCCATCATAAATAATCACTTTCTGCCCTATAAAACTTGTCTTTCAATATTCTGCACGTTTTTAGTATAATCAAACAACTGAGAAACTAAAAGGTAACTATTATTTCAACCATTTTTTTCATTCTTTTCAATTTTCCAGGTTTTTTTCATTTCTTTTCACTCTTTTTTTTCTTTTAACTCCTTTTTTTTCCTTCTAATAACTTAATAACAATTGAATATTCTGCCAATATTCCCCTTGTATTCCGTTTCCTATCATTTCAAAGAAAAATTCTCATAAACGCTCTCCAAAAACTCCCTTTTTCATCACTATACTTCAAACGAAACCAACAATAAGTCAAGCTATGATTTCAAGTTACTTATTTGAATTCTTAGAAAAGAATGCTATTTATTTATTCTATAATAATTGTAGAATCATATTATATGCTTTATTTGCTTACTTTGAAACTACTTTCAAGGGTAATCAATTTTTTTTGGGCTTTTATTCAATTGTTATTATGTTATTATGTTATTATGTTATTATGTTATCATGTTAAAACAGAATCAATTATATCTCTAATCTACTAATTTATACTATACCTTATTACCAATCTATAAACTATCCCTTTTTTTAAGTGCTTTTAAAACTAACTTCTTTTCTTCACTTTCTTATAGAATATCGCCAAAAATGCCTTTATCTCGTGAAGATTCCGTTTACCTTGCCAAATTAGCTGAACAAGCTGAACGTTATGAAGAAATGGTTGAAAATATGAAAGCCGTTGCTTCTTCTGGTCAAGAATTATCTGTTGAAGAAAGAAACTTATTATCCGTTGCTTATAAAAACGTTATTGGTGCTCGTCGTGCTTCTTGGAGAATCGTTTCTTCAATTGAACAGAAAGAAGAATCAAAAGGTAATGAACTCCAAGTTAACTTGATCAGGGATTATCGCTCCAAAATTGAAACTGAATTAACTAAAATTTGTGACGATATCTTATCTGTTTTATCAAAACATTTAATTCCTTCTGCTCAAACAGGTGAAAGCAAAGTATTCTACTATAAGATGAAAGGTGACTACCATCGTTACTTGGCTGAATTTGCTGTCAACGACAAACGTAAAGAAGCTGCTGATTTATCTCTAGAAGCTTACAAATCTGCTTCCGATGTTGCTGTAACTGAATTACCTCCCACTCATCCCATTAGATTAGGATTGGCTCTTAATTTCTCTGTCTTTTACTACGAAATTCTTAATGCTCCTGACAGAGCTTGTCACTTAGCTAAACAAGCCTTTGATGATGCTATCGCTGAATTGGATACTTTATCTGAAGAATCTTACAAAGACTCAACTCTTATTATGCAATTGTTGCGTGATAACTTGACTTTATGGACTTCTGATATGTCGGAAAACCCAGATGATGCTCCAATTCAAGAAGACAAAAGACAAGACGAATAGATTAATTTAAATTGATTAAAATTCTCATTTTTAAATAAATGCTTAAATAAATAAATAAAAAAGATATTGATGAAATTATAATAATCGAGTAATATTAATAATAATAATAAAAATAATAATTTAAATAACAATAATAATAATAATTCCAAGAATAATTGCAATAATAATTCCAAGAATAATTCCAAGAATAGTTTTAATAATAATTTCAAACTTGCTTTGTTCTGTTTTCCTTTTTTGTTTATTTTGAAACTTATAAATTAATTCCTAATTTTATATAGCAAAATATAAATTTTTCAATTTTCATAATAATTTAATTGGAAATTTATTCAAAAAAGAAATTCAATTCAAAATCAATGACTAATCAAAAATACTAAGGTTTTATTATTATTTTGTCTTTATCTTATTTTATCTTATTTTATTTTATCTTATTTTATTCTTATTTTTATTTTTGTTTTGTTTTTATTATACTATCTTGTTTTTTCCCTATTTTCCCTTATCCTTTCTTATTTATTTTATTTTATCTTATTCAATGATTAATTAATTTACTAATTTAAATTTATTTTATTATTTTACTTTACTATTTTACTTTATTACTTTCCTACTTCAATACCATTATTATTCAATAAAAAGCAAAAAAATTGAAAAACTTTTAAAAATTTTTTGAAAAAAAAAGAAATGTAATTATCAAATTATATTTATGTCATTATTTTTTTTTATTCTATCTTATTTGTTTATTTTTAGTTATTTTTGTTTGAACTGAATTCAATCATTTTTTTTTTTAAATATATATTTTCATTTTATTTTATCTTTACCTTATCTATCTTATTTTGATTTATCTTTAAAAAATTTATTACTATTAATATATTTTGTTTGATATTTTTTTTTAATCCTTATCTTTCTTGGATAATTATATTTTTGTTTATATTTTAAAGATTCTTTGAAGATTTTTTGTTTGAGTTTTTAGCTTTAATTTATATTAATTATAGTAATAGTTTTTATATTATTTTAATAATTGATTATTTATTTATTAAAAGCTACAAAAAAACCACTACAAAAACATGTAAAAAAAATAAAAAAGATCTATTTATTTAAGATTACAAGCACTAATTAAAGGATGGATAGTGAATCAACGATGAGTAATCTTTTCCAGTTTACCCATTTATCATACTAATTTCTTAGCGTATTATTGTATTATTGTATTATTGTATTATTGTATTAATATATTGATTGATTGTAAATTTGATTAACGAGCTTCAAATTGAACCATTCTTCTTGTTCTTGCTTTATAAAGAATTCTATGACCACATTCTTTGCATCTAACAGGTTCATTTTTACCTAAAGTAAAAGGAACAGCACAAGAAGCACAGACATATTTGATTCCGTAGTTTTTGAAACTAGAAACACCAGCAGCAGCAGCAGCTAAATTTGATTGAGTTGGGGGAACAAAACCTTCTCTATTCATTTTGATTAGTAATTTTATTGGTTGATGGCAAAAATTGGAGCTCGATATGTGGAATCAAAAAAATGGAAAATAAAAGATTAAAAAATAAAGTAAAAAAAAAGCTGTAAACCACGTGCATTGGAGATTTTATTTCGATGATTTGCAATATATCATAGTATTATTTTTGAAATTAATTTTAATTTTTAACATAATAGATGGTTAATAAGAGCAATAAAAAATTGAAAATAATATGGAGGATATTAATGAAACTGAGGTGCCAGCAATTTGCGAGAAATGTTTGGGTAGTAATCCATTCATCAATATGATTAAAGAGAAAGAAGGCAAACAATGTAAATTATGTACCAGACCTTATACTAGTTTTGGATGGATGAGTATTAATGAAACTGTTAATAGTAATAACAGTAAAGTGAGGAAGAAGAATTATTTGACTACAAAGTTTTGTTTGACTTGCGCCAGACAAAGAAACTGTTGTCAAGTTTGTATGTTAGATTTAACATATGGAATACCATTACATTTAAGAGATGCAGCATTTCGAATGTCTGGGGTTAAGAATAAATTTAATGTGAATTATTCGAAGAATGAGGTTACAAAGCGATATATAGCGCAAGAGGAAGACAAGAAGTATTTAAAATTGAAGTATAATAAAGAGAATAAAGACCAGCTATTAATTAAAAACGACTCTGAATTTGAGGGAAAAGAAGAAGAAGGATTGAATCAAAATGAGAATGATAATGAGGAAAAAGCTAAAAAGATGGCAAAGGAAATACTAGAGAAATTGGCTCAAAATCAAAGAAGGATTAATAATAGCAGCAAAGTTAATCATAGTCACCAAAGATATGAGAGCAAGAAGACTAATTACAATGGAGATACTATGAACAATAATTACAATAATTTGAATTCAGTTGATATAAGTAAACTTATATCAAGATTACCATTTAATGGAAACTTAAAGGTTCCCAAAGATGAAACAATCAAATCGTTTTTCTTATTTGGTATTAATGATGAGTTGCCACAATACACTATAAAAGAGTTTTTTGAAGACTTAATAATCAAACATAGATCGAATAATGAGGGTAATCGTAATAAGTTGGCGAAAAATGAAAATATAGTATCTACGATAATAGTAAAGCATCAGTCAAGATGTGGGTTTATATCGTTTGATAAGAGAGAAAATGCTGAACTATTGTCTCGAATAATTGATAAGCCGAGAGAATTGAAAGGGCCTGGGATTGTGTTGATCAAGAACAATCCCATAAGAATAAGCTGGAGCAAGATTAAAAACCTTGGAAACGACAGCATACAGCAGCGAAAGATTGCTATGATTGTTCGAAAGCAAATGAAGCTTCTAGCTCAGAAGGATAGAGAGTTTAAGGAACACGGAAACAATGCAAATGCTGGCGTGAGCAGTGATGGAGGTTCTAGTGTGGTGCGAGCTCCTCCTGGAGCAGACAAGATAAAATACAAAGCAGTACAAACTGGATTTGAAGCCTGATGGCCTGTGATATAATGTTTCGGTTTATGTATTGTAATTATAATTGTAATTGTAACTGTACTATAGCGGCGAGTGTTGGAGTATAGCGCATTTAAAGCCACAGAAAACGCCGGCGTGAAGAGGCGCATGCGTTTGAGAAAACACAGCACAAACAGCACAGACACAAAGAAAGTGCATACTACCCACTTCCACCAAAGACACTCAAAGACACACCATTTACAGCACAAGATGGACTCTCTTGACTCACCTCGTTCTACTGATCTCTCTGGGGCCTTTAAGATCACGAACTTGATTGTTGCTCTCTTTTCTGTACGTTGATTGATGCTGATGTGCTACACAGAACTGGCTACTAACAAACGCTTTCATTCTAGACATTATGTGGTCTCTCTGAGTTATTCCAAGGATTGTGAGTTGAACTGATTCCAAAGTGCTTTACTTGAGCTGAATTGTAGCATTCCATTTACTAACACAATTACAGAACTGGTGTATGTTAACGACTTTATTTTGTGCCTTATTCACAGACAATTTTTCTAGGTCTACTAACGCTTACCGGCAGTTTATTTTGGGACTTTATGCAATTGCATTCGGGTTATTGGTTGGCTATCTTGGTAAGCATAGAATAGTTATTTACAATTCATTCCTGTACAAGTTCAATTGCAAATACTAACCTACTTGTTTCAGAATTTAATGTTCCTCCTCAAGTGATCAACTACGCTTCATTTTTATTCTCCTTTATTGGAAGAGGGTTTTGTATGTATATTTTTAATGTTTCTCTGCGTTCTGCTTTTTTTGACGACTACAAAACAGCTCAATTACTAACAGTGCTGTTATTTTCCTAGTTTATCTTTTGATTGGTACAATTGTTGGTCATGATCACTTTCTTAAGGTCTTCCCCGGCTTCATCATCGCGTTGGTTGGAATTGGCTACATTGTGTTGGAATTCATCCCAACCATCATGCCTCCTGAGAACATGAGAAGTGAGGGCACCCTCAACGTCGATGACGACGATGTCATCTAAGTACTCCGACCGTAATACACACCACAGCACTTCCACTACCTCTCTCTCTCCGTCTCCTACTTGCCCAAAAGGGAACACGATATAATCAAAACAGCCTCGTCACGTGTATTCCTTACACTTGTTCATCTCTATCTTTCTTTCTTTCTTTCTTTGTAGCTATGAGTAGAAAGCCATTGTCCGATAGCGAATCGCTTTCTCTGCCATTGCTTTTTTTTGTTTGTATATGAATATTTACCACAATGAACACTCAAGAATCTATTTTCCGTATGTGCTTCTATCTCAATCCAATCAGTATCTTGATTCTTGGTGACATCTTGAATCCATATGATACGCTTTGATCTGTTTTTAATTCGGCCTTCATTTGATCCAAATCTCTCATATGTATTCAATGATTACCATTACTAACCTTTTACATTTATAGGCTCTGCGGATATGTCTTTAATCCAAATCTACGTTGCAGCTGAAATAGTTCGAGACGTTATTGCAGCGTTTGGCTCTATGAGCAACGTTCAGTTCAGAGACTTGAATAAAAATATAAGCTCATTTCAAAGAAACTATGTCAACGAAATTAGAAGATTTGATAATACTCAAAGACAATTACGTTATCTATACAAAATAATCAACGATCAACATCTAGCAATAAACTTAAATTATCAATTAATTGATAGTAATATCAACCTCAACAATAATAATGAAAGCGAAAACAACAACGAAAATGAAATTCAAAATGAATCTATAATTGGAAATATTTACGATCCAATAGACTTCGATCCAACAACTCAAAACAAAATCCAATATTCCCCCCCTTTAAAATCCTCCAAAATTGATCAACTTATTGAACTAATCTCTCATTATGAACTGAAAATTAATGATCTATCAACTAATTTGCGAAATCTATCTCAAAAGAAATACAACCTAATTGAAAATAGACACGTACTATTAATTTCAAATAATTTTTTCTCTCGTCAAAGTCAATTAAACCAAAATAATAATATCGATAACAGATTCTCTATTGATAGCTCACATCATGATAATTCTCCTCTTTTAGTAGAAGAACAATCAATTCATTTGGATTTTCCTACAAATCATATTCCTAATAATGACTCAAATATAATCGAAAACGCTATAATAAATTCAAATCCATTACCTGCCATAGACTTCATAATCGGCACTATAGAAAGAGACAAAATAGATAAAGTCCAAACAATTCTTTGGAGAACTCTTAGAGGTAACTTGTTTTTTAATCATATACCTATAGATGATCCAATAGTTGATGAATCCACAAACGAAAATATTCTAAAAGATGTCTTTATAATCTACACTCATGGTAAAAATTTGATCAATATTACAAAAAAAGTACTAATATCTTTAAACGCCAAAGTTTTCAACATCAACAATAATTACCAAAATGATTTTAACGACAATAATTATCAAAATGACCTAAACACTCTTAATAGCAAATTAGATGATTTAAATCAAGTTCTTGATCAGACTCAACAAACCTTAAACTTGGAATTATCCCTAATATCTGATAAAATCTACTATTGGTCAATCTTAATTAAAATGGAGAAATCAATTTTTATAACAATGAATAAATTTGATTTTGATAATTCAAGACATACTCTAATTGCTGAGGGTTGGGTACCAACTTATGATATCCAATTACTTAAAAATGCCCTAAGAGATATAACTGATAGAGCTTCTCTATCTAACATGGATCCAATAAACACTTCTCAAACTGTCGCAGTGGTAAATGTTTTAAAAACAAATAGAACTCCTCCAACTTTTCATAAAACAAACAAATTTACACAGGTTTTTCAAAATTTATGCGATTCTTATGGAATTGCAACATATAGAGAAGTTAACCCTGGATTGCCAACAATAGCAACTTTTCCTTTTATATTTGCTTTAATGTTTGGTGATCTTGGCCACGGTTTTATATTAATGTTAGTCGGTTTATATCTTATTATAAATGAATTGAAATTTTCAAAAATTAAAAAAGATGATATGTTTGATATGATATATTCTGGTAGATATTTAATTTTTTTAATGGGTGTTTTTTCAATGTTCACTGGCTTGGTTTATAATGATATCTTTTCAATTCCAATGACTCTTTTTAAATCTGGCTGGGAATGGCCAAAGGATTTTAATCCAGGTGATTCAATTGAAGCAACACAAAATCCCAACCATCCCGTTTATTTTCTTGGAATCGATTCTGCCTGGCATGGTACTGATAATGCTTTACTATTCTTAAATTCTTATAAAATGAAATTATCCATATTAATCGGTTTTATTCATATGCTTTATTCATTATGTTTTTCTTGCGTTAATTATAAATTTTTCAATTCAAAGATTGATTTGATAGGTAATTTTATTCCAAGTATTTTATTCATGTCAAGTATATTTGGTTATCTCTGCATAACAATTGTCTATAAATGGTGTGTTGACTGGTATAAAATTAATAAGCCTCCACCAAGTCTATTAAATATGCTAATTAACATGTTTTTATCTCCAGGTACAATTGATGAAGAATTGTATCCTGGTCAGGCTTTTGTTCAAGTTTTCCTATTGCTTGTTGCATTAATATGTGTTCCTTGGTTATTGCTATATAAACCAATGGCGTTGAGAAGCAAGCACAACGCCGCTGTTAATTCCGGCTATACCTCTTTGCATGAAGCAGAACTTGAGGATTTTAGTAACAGAATACAGGATAATATAAGTGTTAGCAACAGTCAATTTGTTATTGTTGATTATGAAGATAACTCGGATGGAGAAGTAGATGTGGATTATAGAATTAATACTGAAATAACAACCGGTTTATCGGAAGAAAGTCAGCAAAAAAATTTTGATTTTGGTGATATAATGATTCATCAAGTTATTCATACAATTGAATTCTGTTTAAATTGCGTTTCTCATACTGCCTCATACCTTCGTTTATGGGCTTTATCATTGGCTCATTCACAATTATCAACTGTCTTATGGGGAATGACTATAAGCAGTGCATTCAGTGTTTCTAAAACAAGTTTTGGGACTGTGATTTTTGCGTTTTTCATGTTTGCAATGTGGTTTGTATTGAGTGTTTGTGTATTAGTTATAATGGAAGGTACTTCAGCAATGTTACACGCTTTAAGATTGCATTGGATTGAATCAATGTCAAAATTTTTCCAAGGAGAAGGTTACGCTTATGAACCTTTTTCATTTAAACAAGTTATAGAGGATGGTGATGATGATATATAAATTTTTGTTTTTATTTGTTTTATTTTCAATTTGATAAAAGATATTCTTGTATTTTTAAGGTTTTTGGTATTTTGTAGTAATAATATTGAATAAAATATGATTTTAATTAGTTGAAAAAAATTCGGTTTAATAAAAGAACATCATAAAAATAAAAATAAAAATAAAAATGAAAATAAAAATGAAAATAAAAACTAAAGAATAAAATTACAATTCTCAAATAAAAAGTTCAAAAATCCAATAAAATAAGTGTAGTTGATATATGCAATACAAATTAATTTCTAATTCTTTGAGTTTTAGAAGTAAACACTAAATTTAAAATAATTTATAATACTTTTACTGTTTAATTATTTTTTATCTTTCTTCTTTTTATCTTTCTTGTCTTTTTTATCTTTTTTATCTTTTTTGTCTTTTTTGTCTTTCTTTGGGATCTTTACAGGTACTTCATTTTTGATATCTTCATCATCGTCTTCATCTATCTTTCTCTTTTTGCTTTTCTTTTCCTTTTTCTCTTTCTTGTCTTTTTTCTCTTTTTTTGCAACTACTTTTTCCTCAAAATCTTCATTTATAGCTACTTCTTCATTGTCCTCTTTCTTTAAAAGTAACTCATCCTTGTCCTCTTCATCATCGTTATCTTCATCTTTCTTTTTACTTTTCTTCTCCTTTTTATCTTTCTTTTCCTTCTTTTCCTTCTTCTCTTTCTTTTCCTTCTTTTCTTTTTTCTCTTTCTTTTCTTTTTTCTCTTTCTTTTCTTTTTTCTCTTTCTTTTCTTTTTTCTCTTTCTTTGTATTTTCTTTTATTGCTACACTTTCATCATCACTCTCATCATCCGAGTCTACTTCTTTCATAGAAACATCTGGTAAAGCATCAGCATCAACGTTATAAGCTCTGGCTTCGGTTATATTAAATTTTGGATCATTTTTGTTGATTTTTGTTGAGGTTTTTAAATCCCTCCCTTCTAAAATGCTCAATCTTTCTTCAACTTTAGATCTAACCTGAATACCCAAGTCACCATTATCATCTCTTTCCTCAGCTAAAGCATCGTATCTTAATGCAAGAGAAGCTTTTGCTGCCAACACTCTAGCAATTTTACCCTTATTTTTACCGGTTGCTTGACCAACTAAAGAGGCATGATAAATCAAACCATATTTTGGTGTATCATGCTTTGTTTTTAAAGCTCTGAATAAGGCTTTTTCAGAACCAAGAATTTGAACAGTTGAAGCAGGGGCCTTGGCCAAAGAAATTAAAGAACCAGCGTGAGCTATTAACCTGGCGCCAACCAATTCACCAAGTAAAGCAGTTAAATTTGGAGCGATTGCTTTCATTCTTGATGTAAGATAATTAGATAATTGTTCTCTGTAAGCAGAAAATTCAACAATTTGGTTTGCTAAGGCAGTAATATTTAATAAATCAATATCAGTAATTTCGGTACCCATCGAAACTTCGGCAGCAGATTTGACTCTTTCTTCTATTTCTTCAGGTAAGATATCAGCAAAGTCAGTTTCAAAACAATTAGATCTTATACCCATTTTTATGATAATTCTTGAATACGCAACAGAATCAGTAACAATTTTAGCTAATTCTGGAAAGTGCCACCCATACCATTCTTTACATCTCATTGCATATACATTTATTTCTTTATCTAAATCATCCAACAAAGCAATTGCTTGAACAATCATAGTATCAACTTTATCAGCAGAAAACTTAAGTTTATGACGACCAATTGAATGAGATAAACCTAAGGACATTTTCGAAAGATCTTGATCGGTTAAGCCAGGTAATAAATCAGGTAAGTATTCTCTAATTGCCCTATATAAATCCAAGGAAGCAGCATCAGATATCAATGATAAATTCAAACCTAATTTGTTGATAGCATTAGCTAACTTGGTATCAGAAACAACTAGTGTTGCTTTTTTAGAAGAAGTGCATTCTTTCAATAACTTTTCTAATTGAGGAGAAACTTTTCCTTCTATAATCGAATTCGATTCTTCTAAAGCATTTGCAGCAGAATCAAATTTAGAAAAAGCAGCAATTTTAAATTGTGAGGCAACTTTTTGAGAGGAATTTAAATCCTGTACAAGAGTTGTACTTTTGTAAATTTTTTTATCAGAAGATTTTAATAGAGCATAACCGGCAGCAGTTTCTGTTAACACAAAAGACATCTTGAAATACAGTTAAATTTTGAATTATTAAACCAAAATAACTGAAATCACACAAGATATAAGATTATGGTATACCTCCAACACTAAAGAATATCAAGAAATCAATTTTTTCTAGCTCAAATTGAGATTGGATTTTTCAGTCTGAAAAATTTTTGCACAGCGAAAAAAAAGATTGAAAAATCTCAAATAGATCATGTGATACAAAACGTGAGCTTATATAATAATAATAATCAAATTTAGTGTTCAGTTAATATGCAAAACAATGTATGAATAATTAATTCAACTTTATGGTTTGCATTTCAAGTTTTAAAAAAGTTTAAATGTTGATATGCAAGTCTGAATATCAAAATGCTTATTAAGTCTTAATTTTGAACAGTGTGTGTTCACCTTAAAGAAGGGAAATATTATTGTCAAATATATCTTTTTCATTTTCTCTCTCTCTAATATTGTTGTTTTCAAAAGGGAAAACATAAATTTTTGTTAATTTGAGAAGAAATGTTAATTGTAATTTTCCATTTAGGTTGTTAATCTGCGAATTGAGATATTAATTAATCAACAAATTCAGATCAATAACCAATTATCTTTAATTGATGATTTAGATAAAATTTTAGTGATTTGAGAATTTCTAAATTTTATTATTGGTTTGATCTATTTTATAGGACTAAACACTAAACTAACCTTTTAATCGCTATTTGTTTTTTTATTTTGGGCATTTTTATGTTGAATTCAATGATGGCCTAAATTAAATATTCTTGCAAATTTTTCTATTATCGGATTATTTTCTCTTGTATTTTACTTGTATCATTAGGCTTAGTACACATAAAAACCAAAAAAATAAACAAGTTTATTCATTTAATCATTTTCTCATCTGGTATAATCGTAATTAGACAATGAGTTTATTTAGCTTGTTTCTAATAACAATCCTATCTACTTTAGCTAACAATGCACAAGCTGAAACACACACATGGTACTTTGAAGTTACCTATGTTGATGCAAATCCTGATGGCCGTTTTAATAGAACTGTTGTTGGGTTTAACAATACTTGGCCATTGCCAACTTTAGAGGTCGATAAAGGAGATAGGGTTCAGCTTTATTTGATCAATGGTTTAGGGAATCAAAATACCTCCACATTTTCATGGCTTATTTCAAAATGGTTCAAATCAAATGGATGGACCAGAAATGGTTACACAATGTACAATTGTTCCGGGTCAAACAATGTTATATAACTTTTCCGTTGGTAACCAAGTTGGTGCTTATTGGTATCATTCACACACAAAAGGACAATACGGCGATGGCATAAGAGCAGCATTTATTATTCACGATTCTGATTTTCCATATGATTACGATGAGGAAACAGTTATAACGGTTAGTGAGTGGTATCATGATGATTCTGCAACTCTTGATAGATCTTTTTTAAACCTTTATAATCCCATAGAAGCTGAGCCAATTCCACAAAATCTTTTATTTAACGATACAAGAAATGATTCTTGGGTTTTCGAGCCAGGAAAGACATACTTGGCACATATCATTAACATTGGTGCATTTGTTTCTCAATATCTGTATATTGAAAACCATACAATGACTGTTATTGCTGTTGATGGTATTTATGTTCAACCAAGTGAAACTGAAATGATATATATTACTGTTGCTCAAAGATATTCAGTTCTTATTCGGGCTAAAAATTCTACAGATAAAAACTATGCCTTTATTTAAAAATTTGATGATGATATGTTGGACATTATGCCATTTGATTTATTATTAAATGCAACCAATTATATGGTTTATGATGAAAATGAATTGCCAGGTGAATACTATGTTGATTCAATTGACGATTTTCTTGATGATTTTTATTTGCAGCCCTTAAAAGAGGAAGAAATTTATGACGATTACGATTTTGAAACTACTGTTGATGTTGTGATGGATAATCTTGGAGATGGCATTAACTATGCGTTTTTCAATAATATTACTTATGTCAAACCCAAAGTTCCAACTTTAATTACTGCAAACTTTGAAGATAAATCAGATCTGATTGCTTTCAATGGGTCGAATCATGGAGGTTGGCCAGAATATCCAATGAGAAGAGACACTATTTATGTGAGACCACAGTCATATTTTGTTATTAGATTTAGAGCTGATAACCCAGGTGTTTGGTATTTCCATTGCCATATTGAATGGCATTTAAGTCAGGGTTTAGCATTAACAATAATTGAGGCACCATTGGAAATACAGAAAAATGAAAATCAGCAATTGACAGAAAACTATGCTAGCATTTGCGAAGCAGCAGGTATTAGTCTTGTTGGAAATGCAGCTAGTAATTCGGAAGATTTTCTTGATTTAAGTGATGAGGATGTTCAACCCAAACCACTACCAGGTGGATTTACTGCTAGAGGTATTGTTGCCTTGGTATTTTCATGCGTTACTGGTGTTTTGGGTATTTTCATGATTAGCGTTTATGGTTTATCTGATATTAAAAACATTGAGGAAAAAGTTGCAAATGGGCTTGATCTTAATTTCCTTTTTGAAGAAGGAACAACAACAACAGAGGCTTCTTCAACTGGCGAGGGAACCAACCCCAAAGGCAATCTTTCTTAATTTTTTATAAATATTCAAAGAAATAATATTTATTTTTGCTTTTAGTTTATTAGTGTTATTGCCGATTCATTTAGTAGCTTGCTTAATAGTTTAATATAACGATTCTATTGATATTAATAATGTTCATTCATAATTATAGTATTATTAGTATACAGGTATATAAGATCTTTTGATTTTTTTTCTTCTTTTATTGTTTGGAATCGCGAGCAAAATACCTTTTTCTGAATATTAAACAATTCTTTTTTAACAGAAGTATTTTATTGAGAGAGAAAAAATGCAAAAGAGAAAAAGTAATCATCGGAAGACAAAATATAATATAAATTATCAATATTAAAGGCATAAATGTGTCGAAAAAAAAAAATACAAAAAGCAAATATTAATTAATTTGGATATTCACAACATTTGTTGATTTTGAATCAAATTGCAATTAAAATAATTGTTTTATTTATAATTTAATCGACTTGATCTACATTTAAATTTTTGTTTTCAGCTTTTTTAGCATCAGATTCCGCTGTATTCAATTGTTTCTTAGCAGTCTCTAGCTTTTCAATTTCTTTTCTTTCCAATTCAGCAGCTTCTAATTTTGCAGCCCTAACATACTCGGCTCTTCTTTGCCTTTGTTTGATTTCAAGATCTCTTTTTTCTAATTCTTCAATCCACAAACGTTCTCTGATTTTGGCCTTTTCGGCTAGTAATTCTTCTCTGGATCTGGTGGTTTGTTTAGATTTATTTTCATAAAGAATACCACCAGCAACTAGAACAACTATGGTGAAAGCTTGAAAACCAACTCTGTATCTGAACCACTTTTGAGCAGCAGCTCTATTACCATTTCTAACAGCTTTTGCTGCTAATGTTACAGCACCACATGTTAATAAAATACCACCAGTGACCAATGGCTCCTCTTTAAGATGCTTTAAAAACTTTTGGCCAAAACTCAATGGACTGGAAAAACAATATAATAGGCAATTGTTAGTACCAAGACTCGATCCTTGTCCCAGCAAGGGAAAAAAACGATTGATCTCCAACTTACGTTACGGTTTTGTCCAAGGAATCGAAACTGGAGGGCAAATCAGACATGATGAAGGACGTGTAAAAGCGCTAACAGGAAATAACAAATGTAAAAAACGTTTACACTCAATGTTCCCATTGAAATCGAATATATTTCAGCCAACCGAAGAGAATATGCTCTTTGGTGCTTAAATAGCAGAAGGGGCATTACAAAGAGAGGCGGTCACATGCCCCGGCTTTTGAAGGGCTTCGGACCTCTGCTGCCAAAGGCGGTTTTGGTGCTTCTGCAGGGTGTGTGTTATTATATCATTAGGAGCTGGAAACGCTGGGAGTGGGTATAAAACAGGAAGAACAAAACAAAAATCTAGAGATAAAAAATACAAGTGACAAAAAAGAATTAGAAATTAAAGGATCTTGAGAAGATCCTTAGAGGAAGGTTAGAAAGACAAAAAATAAAAAACAATCTATTTCTTTTTGATTAGATGGCACCTTTTTTTGATTTGGATAAAGAAATTTGTTATATAACTGAAATAGCCGTTGATTTGGGCTGTTTTTTCTTGTTCGTTGGCATCCGAACTCGGAACAGGCGTGATACTCTTGTTTTGTTCAGCATCACCAAGATGTTTAAGGATTTCGTTTGTTCTTAGCGTGCAGCTTTGTAGGAATTTTGGATCATTGACTGTCTTGTCGATTAGTGATGTATCCAAACAGTTCAACTCATCAACAGGAATACTGAATCCATAATCACTAATAAACTGTTGTATATCTAGCAATAAATTTTCATATGTTCTATCAGCTTTAGATCTATTATCCTTACTGACCTCCTTAACAATTCCAAGATAAGTTAGCTTGGCTCTTGCTAAACGGTTTTCAAGGTACTCTATCTTATTATCAAGCTCATTTGTAGAGACATCAAGATCTCTAAGTCGTATTTTTAAAACACGATATTCATACTTTAGCTTGGCGTACAAAGTTTCGATTTCATTTAGTTTTTTCAAAAACTTATTGTTATTTAGCTTTAGGTTTAAATCGATATCCGAATTCAATGACTTGATTAATTCAGTAAGTTCCAAAAACCTTGATGTGCATTTTAAATATAGATCATTTAATTTTAGTTCAAATCTTTTGAATTCATTGTGATATTTATTCGAAAGTTCTAAATTGTTAATTTTATTTTGAATCGCTAATCTGGAAATAAATTCAATTGAAGAATCAAAGGGATAATCCCATTGATTGACTTTTAAATTTTCTTCTATTTCACTAAATGATTTAATGTCACTAGTGTCATTTTCATTATTTGTACGCTTTCTTTTGAATAATAATTTATTTATGTAAGCATGATCGTATTCTATTTGAATAGCATTAATTTCCCTTCTAATAAATGGAAATGACGATCTTCGAGTTAATTCTATGACAAAGTCTTTATTGATTTCATCCTCGAGTTTTGTATAAGTAGCTTGTTCATTTTCATATTCGCTTTCAGACGGGCTTTCGTTTTTAGCTTCATTTTTTGATTCACTTTTATTATTACCTTTATCATCCAAACCAATCTTAATAATCCTAATGTCATTTTTAGATGATTTATCTTCGTCACTATTACTATTATTTATTTCTGAGGAGATACTCACATTGCAATCATTTTTATCAACTTTTAAATCATTCACTAACGATTCATTACAGTATTCACAATCATCATAATAAGTTTGATTATAGTTGATGTCAAGTGCGGTAGATTTAGCTCTATTATGAAATTTTTCTTTTATCAATTTCTTGCCTTTAGATTTAATTGAATTTAAATTCGAAATTCCTTCAGAGTATGAGGAACTGGGATTGTGATTTATTTCATTTGGAACACTGTTATTGAAATGATGATGGTGTTGATGATGATTTAGATGAATATTATACTGATTAGAACTTGAATTCAAATTAGACTTTTCATTTTGATTTATCGTATTATTTGCAGGTAAAGTGAAAAAAATGGTTTCTACCTGATTAAATACTGAAGAATCAAAATCATAATCTGAACCGGCTCCATACCATAGATGTTTTAATCTTTTTCCTTGAATTATATACAAAAATTTATTAATATCAAGAAATACCAAGTCATCAAATGAGTTTAAATCATTTAAACAAAAATTTGAAAAAGATTTTGATTCAGATTTAGATTTATCGGATTTTGTCTTATCATTTTTGATAGAAAGACTCAAGTTTAAGCTTGAAGAAGATTTTGAATGATTATGACTTGGTGAGATATTTGGGGATGGAAAAGTATTTATGCTGATATTGTTATTGCTATTATTGTTTAACAGTGAATTTGAATCGGACGATGGCTGGATATTTGACGGGCTTATATTTGAAGGAGATAAATTATTATTTATTGGAATAGAATTTGAGGTAATTGAGGAGTTGGGAGGAGAATTGATAATTAAAGAAGTAACAGTGGAAATTTTGATGTTAGGGGGCTGAAAAGGTTTAAAATCAGAATTTGAGGGAAGTTGCATTGAATTATTTGAAGTTGAAATGTTATTTTTTAGTTTGCTCAAATTTTTTTTAGTTAAATCGATATAATTTAGGTTTAATTTTGAAGACACGATGTGATTTTTTAAGAATTTTTTAAATTTGATATCATTGTTAAATTTGGAATTGCTTAGAGATATTATATTTATAATAGTATCATTATCTAGGTAATTAGTTTGAGGTAATTTATGTATTTTTTGAAATTGATAAATAATGTTGATGAAATTGAGAACATCAAAGGGATCCTTTTTAAGGAACTTGTTATCGTTTGATTTTGATATTAGAACAAACAATCTCAAGTAAATGTTTATAGTAAAGCTTAGAATTGCAGGGATGGATAGTTGGTAATTAATCTGATTTGAAATGATCTTTTGGTAATTTAACTTTTTTTTAATTAATTCATTTTTAAAGTAAACTGAGCCAAAAAGATTCCACCAATTTTTTATGGCCAATTCAGTTTTTTCACAAATTAAGGAGTCTTGAATGTAGATTGAAGGTAGTAGTTGTAAGTAATATAAAGAGATTTTGAGAAAAAAAATTAAAAGTCTAACTGATTTATCTATAGTAATGGTTTTATTATTTTTGTTCAGATTTTTATTGTTTTGAAGATGAGTGATATAGTTGTTATTGTTTATTGGGGTGTGATCATTTGAGGTGGGATTGGAGGTATTAATTGAGTTGTTTAATTCATTTTCGCTTGATTTGGTGTTTGTATTGTTGTTTATTTTAAACATTTGATTGAATTTCAAGATGGAAGCAGAAGAAGGGTTATTGTGAATCAAAGCAGATCTTGAGCCGCAACTCAATTTTTTAAGATTAAAATTGGTTATAAATTGGTTATAAATTAAAAACAAGTCCTTCGAGTTGATTAGGTTGTTATTGATCTTTAGAAGGTTTAAGTTTAGGTTGTTATCATCATTGAAAAAAAAGGATAAATTTGCGATGTAAAGATAGGCTAAGTTATTATAATTGAATTTTTTAGTTATTTGGAACTGTTTCAATTCATTGATATAGTTGGTTAAATTTTTGGATAATTTCAATAAACGTTTATTAAATTTGACAAAGATTGAAATAATTTTGTCATTGGGATTTCCAGTATAAGTTGTGATTAGAGTGCCTATTTTTCTGTAGTATAGCCATTGTTCAATTAAATAGGATTCAAAACCCTGAATTTGAAGTTCATAATGGTTTATAAAAAAGCTGTAGTTTTTAGATAAATCGCTTAGTTCATTTTTAAAATAGTTAAAAGCGTTTATGTCAGGAAAAATTATGGAGACATAGTCATCTTCATTAATAGAGGGTATATCAGATGGAATGGATAATTTTATATTGTCATCTTTGGTGTCCTTAGTATAGCTGTTGTCTTTGTCTTTGTCTTTGGCTTTTTCTATATTGCGTTGGAGATCATTTTGTGTGTCATTATCTATGCTAGAGAAAGAAAACATTCTATAGGAAAGCGATTACAAAAAATAGTTTGCGATAGTAAAGATGTGAAAAAAAGGTGAATATTGAGTGGAGAATGGGAACGAGAAGAGCTGATGAGATGGTGAGAAGAGATGAGGAAAAACGAGTTGCCTTTTAAAGTATTTTAGACCAAAGCAAAATATAGAAGTAATGGAGAGAACTTCATTTTATGCTGTTTTTAAGTAATACAATGATTTATAAAGAGAGGTGATGGAGGAGTCTGTTGGGGGTGTTTTGATCCTCCTTTAACAATCTCTAAAAATGAAGTTGCTCTAAGATAGTCAAAGTTAGGCAGATTGGAAACTTGGTGATGGCGAAGAGAGCCAGTATTTATACAGTTTATGCGTTCTTCTCAGGCAGAATTAAGCGCCGGCTCAACATTAGCCCAAGCCACACGTGAGAGCCGGGCCGCGACTACGTTGCCCCAGCAGAGCTCCACAAAGCGCGAGATAAGCTGAAGCAAGTCAAGGGCGGGCCAGACCTGCTGTTTGTGCTGCACAGAAAGCATCGTTATCTCAATGGGTTATTTATAGCACACAACATCAATATTGTTGTATTACATCTGCTACCTCTTATCTCTTGTCACTATATCTTTGTTTTTCCCCTACGAAACATGCTCGTGAACACCAACTTCCAAGAAACAGCCACAGCCAATTCTCTGCCAAAGTCGGAATCAGTCGTGTTCTCGCTTACCAATTCCCTAGCAATCAAAAATGCTCTTAGCAAAAACAAAAAAAAACTGGTAGCTAGAAACATCGATCCACAATAGAGAGCAGGATTCTGGTACGCAGCAGGATTGTAGCTGTTCTCGTCCACCGGTCCTCTTAGCGCCAACCCAATGATGGGGGATATGATTCCTATGCTGCCAATACAGATCCAGTGCATTCCGAAGGCAACCCCCATTTTGGGCAACCCCACAACTCTGGGCACAATAGTTCCCAAAGAGCCCCAGATGTAGCCCATAAGACCGCCGATGAGGATGGAGAAGAAGAGTGATGTTGCAAAGTTGCGACACAAGACCCACATCACATAGCACAACACGCAGCACAAAAAGTACACAATCCCGCCCACTGTGACGGTGCCAAACCGGTCGGCCAACGTGCCCAAGAGAGGCCTGAAAACAAATGCCCCCAACGCTACCATCGCAGAGTTGATCGAGCCTTGTTTTGCGCTGTATCCAAGCGACCTGGTGAAGTCCGAAATGGCGTACTGCACTACCACATACCCTAGAATCACAAACGTTATCCACGCCGTATTGATCCAGAAACCCTTGCTGCACAAAATGGCTCTGTCGATGGCCCTGAACTCAGCTTGAATCCTGTCTCTTCGGTCCCTTAAAATCGAAATAGAAACAATAATTAGCACAAAACAGATAATGCCCTGTGATCGCAACGCCCACCGAACACCTTTGCTTCTCATGATCCTGTCCATCACCAATGCAAAGAAGATGCCTCCCAATCCAGAGCCACTGGCCGCAATTCCTGCTGCTAACGTCCTCTTCTTCTTGAAATAGTGCGATATAATAGGCATTGATGGCACATATGTAAACGCTAGCCCAAAGCCCTGGACAACACCCTGAGTGAGATAGAGCTGCCACAACTTGGTAGCAAAACTTGCGAGGAGCATTGCAGTGAGACCCAATAATGCCCCCATCAGCATTGTTATTTTGAATCCAAATAGCCCATTCAAATAGGTTATGAGAGGTGCAATCATCAACCCCGATCCAAACGCCAATCCTCCAATGACAGCGTAATCTATCTTTGTTCCTCCTTCAAAGGTATCCTCGCTCAAGTAATGTGCCAAATACACTGCAAAGCCAGCGTTGGCTCCCCATGTAACAACCGAGATCAAAAAAATTGCTCCAACAATCACCCATCCGTATCCACCATCCGGTACTTCAAACGATTCTTCTTTCTTATTGGTATCATTATTATCCTTAGCATTTTTGAGTTGTTGTTCTAAATCTTCTTTAACTTCATGGTCATTCGAATTATTATTATCTAAATCCAAAGTATTAATCCTTGTAAGGTTACTCTTCACACACTTCATTTTTTTTTCAATTGAATAAGATATTTTGATTCCAAATATTTAAAAGAGCAACTCAAACCTTTAAAATACCATATTTCTTTTATTCTGACCTGAAGGCTGTTTATTTTCTCACTTTTTTGAGATTTTTGTGTCTGTGAAATACTATTATAATTATAAAATGAAAAAAAAAGGGAATTTCAACTGTTTTTTTTCCATCATTAATAATCAGCTTTCGATGTTACTCATTTTGCTAATTCTCTTCTCTAATTGTTTCAAATCCGGTTTTAGGTCCGCTTCCGCGTCCTGTTTAGGAAATAATCCTTTATTCAAAGTTACAATAAAAAGTCAGTACAAAACTCATTAGAAATTCGATGTCCACCGTTCAACTTGGAATTCTCGTTTCTGATTGGCCAATTTCCTTTTGCTGCTCTTACAAATACATATACCATTATACATCATTATATCGTATATATATACATATACATATATATATATATTTATATTATATAATTGACTAATCTTCTAAATTAATCCCCCTCAATTGGTTCTCAATCTCAAATAACGAGTCAGACAAATCTTTTGAAGCACCTTTAATCAAATTATCCTCGTTTTCAATATACTTGTTAACCAAATCCAACTCTTTCAAATTAACGTTATTTCCATTCCCAGGCTTATTGATTCTTTTATTATACTCCAATTCATCTCTAATAAATACAAATTGCTTCTTTAAACTTTTCTTCCGTTGTTCTAATGATTTACTTATCTTGCTATCGAACAATTCCAACTCTTTAAACCATTGTTCCTCTTTTTTATTAATTGGTAAATTAACCTTTAAATTTCTAGTGTTTTTAATGATTTTTTCAATTCTTGAATCAATTCTCTCTTGTCTTTCTAAAATACTACTAATCCTCTTATCATTCTCATTTTCCTTGTCTTCATATTTGTTATTAATTCGATTGAGATTTTCAACTTTATAATTAATTTCATTCAACTTGACCAACTCGTTTTCAAATTCTTTCTTTTGCAATTCTAAATTCATTCGTAAATTCATTTCAAATTTATAAAAATTCAAAATTCTTGCATAAAACTCATTCGAAATTATCCCAATGATCTTCAACAATTGTTCATTTCGATTTTCATCTTCAAAATTATCAATATCCTTAGGATTCAGCTTCAAATTTAATCTCTGGTTCAAATTTAATTGGACATTCGCATTATTATTCAACTCACTGATAATATTCTTCTGTCTATTGATCAAATTTTGAATCAAATTCAATTCCTCGTTAGGTCTATTAACTAAAATAGTTTCATATCCCTTTTTCTTATGCTCTTCATTAACTTTATCCTTTATTTTTTCACTCTCGTCAATTTCATCCAATTCATTCGCCATTTTCTCTAAATTTAATAAATTGTCATCGTCATTGAAATCATAATTTTCCTGATAATATTTCTCATCGATTTCATTCTCATCATCGTCTATTTTAAAGACATCAACTTTAGAATTTATAATTGATAAAACATAATTATCTCCATTATTATCATTTAATATATTAATACCATCAAATTTAAAGCGTTTACCAAAACTATTATCAAATTCGTTTATAAGAAGTAGATCAATATAGTTTTGTGTTAAATAGTCATGATAACTATTGGAATTTAGAAATTTATCCAAAAATTCTAAATTATTATCAACAATCGAATCATTTAATATTTTACCTAGTTTATAGAAATCAAATTTAATAATTCCATTATTGTAAATAACGAAAAACAAACATGGGATATTATCGTTAGGTTCAATTAATAATAATTCTCCATTTCCATTATATTCATCACCATATGGTAACTTAATACATGAAATTACAGTCAAATTTGAAAATTCAAAATTGTTAATATTATAATCATAATTATAATCGTGATTGCTTGTGGTAACAATACCATCGCCTTTGAAATCATAAACCAGTGTAGATTGATTTAGATCGTTGTTGTTATTATTATTATAACCCAATAATTTTTGTCCATTATTAGTGTTATCATCGCTTTTATCTTCAATATTATCAACAATTTCATATTCAAAATTAAAGCTAAAACCGTTTTTTCTATTATTATCGTCAGTTTTAATTTCCACAATACTGATTTCATTACTAAAATTATCAATATCTTGATCAATGCTTTCAGCATGATTATTGATCTTAATAATATCGTGGCTGCCGTTATTAAAATTATTATCAATATAGCTATAATTATAGTTTTTATAGTTTTTATTTTTATTATGGAGATTCCATTGCATTATATTATTATTGCTTGGAAATACAATCAATATAGAAGAGTTATTAAAAGAAATTACCAATAAATTAATTGTGCCCGAATTGACAGAGATTATATTATTTGAATAAACTTCGTTTAATGATTCTGGCAAGGGATTAAATTTTAAAGGGCCAATTAAATTCAAATTTGAAATTTTGTACAAGTTATTAGAGAGTGGATATAAAATGTATAATTTTTCCAGGGAGTTGCTATGGTTATATTGAAAAGCTGGATTTGGAACATTGATTTGGTTAATTAGATGATTTAGCCAGATAAATTGATTATTGATCATAGTAACAAGTGAATTGCTATTTTTATTGTTATTGTTATTGGAGTTTAATTTTTTTGAATTAAATTTTAAATCATTTAACAAATTTAATAAGAATTTTTTCGAGATTGATAAAATCCTTGGATAAAATGGAAATAAAGAGTATATTTTGCCATCTTGATTTAAAATATATAAGGATAGATTTGATATTGGATTATCATTCGAGTTAAAATTTGAACCAAAAGTTATTGAAATTGGATTTTTGATTTTATTTAATAAATTATAAGATTCAAATGGATAGTCATTTGACAAATTTAAATCAAAAGTTCTAATAATGGAATCTGATGATAAGATGATTAGATTGGAATCATTTAGTGAGATTGGATTCCAAATTACATTTAAAATTTTCAAGTTGATATTATTATTGGTAGTATTGTAATAAATTGAATTTGCAATTGAAAAGTAGTCAACGTTAATTAGATTTTTGGAATCATCATTTAAAAATGAAGATAAAATTGAAAATCTAGGCAAAGAAATGATATAAACCTGATTTTCGCCAATTGCAGCTAAAAAAGTAGCCGAGTTATTGATTAATAAAGAACTTATAACAAAATCGATTTTTGGCAAATTTAATAATTTATAAGTTTTATTGGGTTTGGTATCAATACCATTATCGTTGTCCATAATGGTGTATCTGATAGTGTTTTCATAGGCAATGAACAACTCGTTACCATTTCTGGAGGCGATACTGTTTGAATTAACTAATTTGGGACCAGATTGAAGGTTTCCAACACCAGAAGCTGTGGACTGACTAGATTTAAGACCAAAGAAATTTGCACTGGTATCCAACTTCTTGAAAACGGGATGAGCCAAAAGAGATTGGGCAAATAAATTGGACATGTTGCAGATATACTAGCAAATATACTTGGATGGGATTGAATATCACCAGACACAGAGAAATGTGATAAAGATCAGTTGTTGAACAACAAAGAAAAGAATACAAATTCAAGATGATAGAATTCCCTAGCTTCAATTTATACTTATCACCAGACAAAAAGTAAAGCTAAAAATTTGCCCACTTGAAAAGCTGTATCACGTGATATATATCAAACCCGGCAATATTGTGGATAGTGTCTGTGGCTGTGCAAAAGACAGGCAGAACGGAAAATGAAACGGATTTAAATCCGCTATGTTACACTCTGCAGATGATCGTATATGCGTTTATCTGTATGGTTGCATAATTATGCTGATAAGCGCATTGTTATACCGTTAAATGCACATCCACAAACACGGATACCCCGTGTTTTGGCTGGTGCCACTTTGAGGGAAGGCCTTCAAAAAGGATATAAAGCAAGATATAAAGAGATAAAGCGATAACTTGAATTGTTTTCTGTTTTACCTGCTATCTATCTTTGTTTTATTATTCTTTTGTTCCAGCACTGTTACCTTGACGTTTCTGCCTTTGCAATTATTGGTTTGAATCCATCACTTCTGCTGTTGTTTTATTTCTCATTATCTTCTCAAAGCTCCCGACTGTCTTGTTTTTAACTCTTCTCGGCTACCTTCCAGCTTAATTGGACCTCATCTCTCTAACTATTGTTCAACTCTTCCCACAATCATCCCTTAATCTACTCTTTTGGCTGCAAAATATCTGTTTTATTCTTTAACTTCATTACATCTATAATATCTATCCCTCTCTCCTCTCGCATTTTCTCATATCCAATATCTCATATCCCACTTATCTCACACTTTCTCTTACCATTCTGCCTTCAAAATGTTTGGTTTAATGTTTGATCTCTTAAGGTAAGTTATTTTATTGTTTTCTATCCAAATTTATATTTATATTTATATTTAAATCATATTTACTAACTATTTTGTTTAAATTTTACTCCCTCTGATATTTTCTTTTAAAATTTCCTATTTTATCTTATCTTGCTTTCATTTTTAGTTTTGCAATCTCAATTTTATTCCCAATCTATGCCTCATTTAAAGCTTTGAAAATCAACGATCCGTTATTATTAAAACACTGGTTGATTTATTGGATGATTTTTATAATTTTCCAATTTGTTACTAATTTTTTTAATGTTTTCTTACAGTTTATACCCTTTTACAAGTTTATAAAATTTTATACTCATCTTTGGTTGATCCTACCACAAACAAAAGGTTCGATTTATTTATTTAACTTTTATTTAAATCCACTTTTATACCAAAATGATCAAAAAATTGATTTATTCTTAAATAACTTGCAGAAAAACCTTAGATTAAATTTATTCAATTTAAAAAAATTCTTTATTGATTTAATTAGTTTAAATCTAAATCTAAATTTATTAAATTATATTAATACAGACAATACAGATAATACAGATAATCAATATCAAAACAATCAATACAAAAATAAAAATAATGGTAATAACAATAACAATAATAATAATTCAAAAACTATAAATGATAGAAACTCAAATTTAAATTTATCCAATTCATATATTCTCTCTCTATTAGACCAGTTCAAAGATCCGTTATATAACAGTACTAATAATAGTACTAGCACCACTCCTTATCCTTCTTTTTCTTCTTCAGTTCCTTCCTTGATAAACCCATATGCTAATAACTCTTCACAAAATGATAGTAATCCTAACTTGTCAAATTCTTCTTTTTTGCAAAGCTTCCTTTCTACTCTTCCAAAAAGCAAGTTAGCATTAAGTGGGCAATTTGATAATCCAGATAGTCTGAATAATAAGAGAAATAACCAAGAGTTTTTCAATCTCTTGTCTTCAGGCTTTGATTTTGTTAGAAAAGATGAAGTACCAAATCCGCCTTCAACTCTTCAAAACAACCCATCTTGGTTTAAAAATTCATGGTTTTCGTCTTCGAGAAACAGTATTAATTCCAATAAGGAGAAAAACAGCTAATTTTATACTAATTATTATACCATTCAATTGATCTGCTCAAACCATTTTTTTTTCATTTCATGTTTTATCTTATTTTAAAGATTTTTTACTTTTTTTTTTTTTTTAATTCTAAAAGTATTTCAAATACTTTTGGTTTTGTTTATGTGGTTAATTGATTAATTAATTTATAAATTTAGTTATCTAATATTATTTTTTATAAATTGAATATCCTTTATTGTTATCTCCGATTTTTTATGTTGCATTTTCAATTCTTGATGGTCTCTGTTTTTCCTTTATTATTATTCAACATTTTATGAAGTTATGTTTTTATTTTCTTACTTTTACTTTTACTTTACTTTACTTTTTACTTTACTTTCCCCTTTATTGATTTATAGTTTATTTTCCTTTTTACTCTGTCCTAGTTATATTAGAGGTATTTCAACATATATCTTTTTGATTTAAAAGTTTCTTCGTTATTTTTTATTTCTTTCCCTTTTCGTTTTATAATTACTTTGCTTTCCCACTTAAATGAATATATGAAATTATATACAAACTTAAATTTATTGAATCTTGATATCTATCTAAATATATCAAAATAAATACACAAATAAAATGATGGAAAGTGATAAAAATATGTAAGAAAACCAGGAAAGGTATTGTAAAATTGTTTAAATGAAATCCAATTTGTTTTTTGATTTGAGATAGTTTTCAATAATTTTCTTTTCTCTCTCAAGTTTATGGTATTCTTCAGCCTTTTCCACTTTATTCTGTAATCTTCTTTTAGCAAATTTAGGCACAAATGGTTGGCTCTTGATATAGTCAGGGAGATGAATCATCCCTCCAAATGATTTGATGGGTTTGGCCAAATCGCTTCTCGTTCTCCCTATAACTTCATCGTTGTAATTTCTCATGACTTGAGCATACTCAATCATCATTTTTTCTTGATCGTCAATCTCATTATTCTCTTCAAATGTTTGTTCTGGCCAAATGAAGGGGTCCTCCATTTCGATGGTCATCTTCTTGATTTGACTGGCCCTGTAACGTGGAGTACCTGGGTGTCCTTTGTAAACACCTGGGGATAGTTGCACTGTAACATTTAACGCTCTCAATCCATAAACATGATACAAGTAGTCTCTCAAATCCAATCTATTGAAAGCTTTTGGCACAATAAATTTGGCCTGGTATGGGGTATGTTTGGCGTTGGGTCTCAACAAGATCACACGAGCCTTGGGAAAATAGACCTGCTTCTCACCTACTTTGAAATGGGGCAAGTCTTTCCTAATGGCATCCTCTTTCCTCTTCAACAAGATGTCACTAAAGGTCTGGGTTTTGATCTCTTCGATGGGTTTGGCTTTCGCAGCAGCTGCAGCCTTTTTAGTTTGTTTGATAAACCATCTTCGCTTGAACTTTGTAAGGTTCTCCACAATCAGGGTATTTACACGGGGCATTGCAAAACACTAAAACACCAGTCTCACACACAAATATCACACCTCCAGCAGCAGAATCAGCAGAAACAGCACTTGCAGCAGAATCAGCTCGACCTGGTTCGAAGCCTCCAGCGATGTTGGGGAGCTCAGAAATTTTAGCGAATTTTCGCGGCCGGGTAAAGCGCGGTACTGAAAAATTGAAGGCTCACGAAGCGCCTTTCCACTCTTCGCCAGCTTCTCTTGTTACTTCTGAGGACTGTTTTGGTGGCGCGTCTTCTGATTGTGCTGCTTAGGTTGAGTTGGTTTACCACTGGGTGTTTATAGGCAGCGATGGATGGTATGTTTTGTGTCTTGCCCCTGGCTTTGATCCGTTTCAATTCGTCTCCGGGCGCCCTGGGTTGTTTGTAATGGCCCTCAACAAGCTCATATTAACATCTATTGTTTTTTTTATTTTTTTTGCTCAAGAATATGACGACTATATGGAAGATCCTTATGGATACGATGATGAGGATCAGCAGATAACCTCCGAAGATTGTTGGACTGTGATATCTTCTTTCTTCAACAAGAAAGGTTTGGTGTCCCAGCAAATTGATTCCTTCAATGATTTCGTCAACACTGCAATTCAAGAAATCGTCAATGAAGACTCTAATTTGATTCTTGATCAAACTGCTCAGCATGTCACTGCTGACGACAATATAAACAAAAGATATATCATATCCTTTGGAAAAATTAAAATTTCTCTACCAAGAATAACTGAAAGTGACGGTGTGGACCACACAATGTATCCTCAAGAAGCTAGATTACGTAATCTAACATATTCCTCACCTCTTTTCATTGATATCACTGAGAAAAAAATTGTGTCTAACGATGACGATCCAAAGGCAGAATGGGTCGATAAAGATGAAGCAACCACTGCCCAGATATTTATTGGAAGAGTTCCCATGATGTTGAGATCCACCTTTTGTGTTTTAAGAGATCTAACAACTTCTGATTTATATGGTTTAAAAGAATGTCCCTATGACATGGGTGGTTATTTCATTATCAATGGTTCCGAAAAGGTTTTAATTGCCCAGGAAAGATCGGCTGCGAATATCGTTCAAGTCTTTAAAAAATCTGTCCCATCGCCTGTATCTCATGTTGCTGAAATCAGATCCGCTTTGGAACAGGGTTCAAGATTAATCAGTAATCTAGAGATCAAATTAATGCGTTCAGGCGATAAGACTTTTGGTGGTAGAACTTTAAAGGCTGTCCTACCATACATAAATCAAGACATTCCTGTTGCTATTGTATTTAGAGCATTGGGTGTAGTTCCTGATGGTGATATTATTGAACACATATGCTATGATGAAACTGATTGGCAAATGTTAGAAATGCTAAAACCTTGCATTGATGAAGCATTTTCCGTTCAAGATACCCAAGTTGCTTTGAATTTCATTGGTACAAGAGGTAGATCCTTGGGTGCAAGAAAGGAAAAGCGTATTCAATATGCCAAAGATATTCTCCAAAGAGAACTACTACCTCATATCACTCAATTAGAAGGTTACGAGTCCCGTAAGGCCTTTTTCCTCGGCTATATGATTCACCGATTGTTATTATGTGCATTAGAGAGAAAAGAAGCAGACGATAGAGATCATTTTGGTAAAAAGAGATTAGATTTGGCAGGTCCTTTACTCGCAAAACTATTCAGAATCTTGTTTAGAAATCTCACAAAGGATATATTCCGTTATTTACAAAAATGTATTGAATCAAATAAAGCATTCAATTTGAAAATGGCCATCAAATCCGGTATTATAACAGAAGGTTTGAAATACTCGTTAGCTACAGGTAACTGGGGTGAACAAAAGAAAGCAATGTCCTCCAAAGCTGGTGTTTCGCAGGTTTTAAACCGTTACACATACTCATCAACACTTTCCCATTTAAGAAGAACTAATACCCCCATCGGAAGAGATGGAAAAATCGCTAAACCACGTCAATTACACAATACACACTGGGGATTAGTATGTCCAGCAGAGACTCCAGAGGGTCAAGCATGTGGATTGGTCAAAAATCTATCACTAATGTCTGTTATATCTGTTGGTAGCCCCAGTAGTATAATTCTTGAATATTTAGAAGAATTCGGATTGGAGCCTTTAGAAAGTTTTGTGCCTCATGAACAAAAAGATACAACTAAAATATTTGTTAATGGTGTTTGGGTTGGTATTCATCCATCACCATCAGATGTTGTTAGCCAAATGAGGTTATTAAGAAGAAGTGCTGATATATCATCTGAAGTTTCGATTATCCGAGATATTCGAGAAAAGGAATTTAAAATAGTTACCGATGCAGGCAGGGTTTGCAGACCATTATTTGTGGTTGAAAACGACCCAGACAGTGATGATTTTGGTAGATTAAAATTCAAAAAAGAGCATACAGATAAACTAAGAAGATCAGATGCCGGAGATCTAGATGAAGATGAAAGAGATGAATTATTTACATGGCAAAGTTTATTGCAACAAGGGATTATAGAATACGTTGATGCTGAAGAAGAAGAAACAATTATGATTGCAATGACACCGGAAGATTTGGAACAAACCAGAATTGGCGCTGAATTGAACTCTGAATCAGTTGATGCTGCCAAACGTATTCGACAACGAAATAATTTCCATGTTCATACTTGGACACATTGTGAGATTCATCCAGCTATGATTTTGGGTGTCGCAGCCAGTATTATCCCATTTCCAGATCATAATCAATCACCACGTAATACATATCAATCAGCTATGGGTAAACAAGCTATGGGAGTGTTTTTAACCAATTATAATGTTCGTATGGATACAATGGCGAATATTTTATATTATCCACAAAAGCCACTTGCGACTACAAGATCAATGGAGTATTTGAAATTTCGAGAATTGCCAGCGGGACAAAATGCCATTGTAGCGATTGCATGTTATTCGGGGTATAACCAAGAAGATTCGATGATTATGAATCAATCATCTATTGATAGAGGGTTGTTTCGATCCTTATTTTTCCGATCATATACAGACCAAGAAAGAAGAAAGGGGATGTCATTGGTTGAAGAATTTGAAAAGCCATTAAGAAGCAATACATTGAGATTGAAACATGGAACGTATGAGAAGATTGATGAAGATGGGTTGATTGCGCCAGGTATAAGAGTGTCTGGAGAGGATATAATTATTGGTAAGACTACGCCTATATCGCCAGATAATGAAGAATTGGGTAGAAAGACGCAATTTCATACCAAGAGAGATGCGTCTATGCCATTAAGAAGTACTGAAAATGGTATAGTTGATCAAGTTGTTTTAACTACTAACCATGAGGGGTTGAAATTTGTTAAGGTTCGGATGAGAACCACAAAAGTTCCACAAATTGGAGACAAGTTTGCATCACGTCATGGACAAAAGGGTACAATTGGTATAACCTATCGACATGAGGATATGCCATTTTCAAGAGAAGGAATTGTGCCAGATTTAATTATAAATCCGCATGCTATTCCATCGCGTATGACAGTTGCACATTTAATTGAATGTTTGTTGTCGAAAGTGTGTGCATTGATGGGAACCGAGGGAGACGCTACGCCATTTAATGATGATATAACGGTTGATGCAATTTCGGACATTTTGTATACGTTTGGGTATCAATCCAGAGGATTTGAAGTATTGTACAATGGACACACAGGAAAGAAATTAATGGCGCAAGTATTCTTTGGGCCCACGTATTATCAGCGATTGAGACATATGGTTGATGATAAGATACATGCTAGGGCTAGGGGGCCATTACAAAATCTAACTAGACAACCAGCCGAAGGTAGATCAAGAGATGGAGGGTTAAGATTTGGAGAGATGGAAAGAGATTGCATGATTGCTCATGGAACAGCAGCGTTTTTAAAGGAAAGATTGATGGAGGCATCAGATGCGTTTAGGGTGCATGTGTGTGGTATTTGTGGATTGATGTCAGTTATTGCCAATTTAAAGAAGAACCAGTTTGAGTGTAGAAGCTGTAAAAACAAGACCAATATTTATCAAATTCAAATACCATATGCGGCCAAATTGTTATTTCAAGAGTTAATGGCAATGAATATAACACCTAGGTTATATACTGAACATAGTAAGCTAAGTGTTCGATAAGATGTATTGAGAAAGTGTAATATATAAAATATAAAATATAAAATATAAGGTGACTAAGATGATTAAATAGACAAAGAAAGACAATAATAAACTGATATGAAAATAAGATGATATAATAATATGATAATATAATATAATATAATTATATAAAATTAGGAGAAAAAAAGAGAATATATATAAATATATATAAATATATGAATATATATAATGAAGAATAAAAACACAAAGACATGAAAGAAAAAATTGATAAATATTAAGAATGTAATTGAGCAATGATATAGTGATATGAGACAATAAAATAGTGATATAATGATATAGTAATATAATACAAGTAAAATTTGAAAAACATTATAGCGATAATTATAATTAATGATTAGTGCTGATCAAGATTGAATATTTTTAGTTATTATAGTTATTTTGGTTAATATTATCATGGTTATTATTTTGGCTACCATTGTTAGTGTTGTTATTACTGTTATTATTGTTACTGTTATTATTGTTACTGTTATTATTGTTACTGTTATTATTGTTACTGTTATTATTGTTATTATTATTATTATTATTATTATTATTATTATTATTGTAGATATCGTAATAATAGGTATTGATGTTGAAATCTTGTAATTCGCCAAATCTATCAAAGTCATCTTTGTCATCAAACCATTTGTTCAATTCGTTGGAAAAATCCAAATCAGGAATATACTGGTCTTGCTGGCCAATAAAGTCAGAATTCAACCTGTAGATGACCAAACTCGGGTGAACGTAGCTGCTGAAATGTAGCACAGAAGTGGCAGGATCCAAGTTGTGGGACTTGATTCGTTTGTAGGAGTAGTTGTGGAGGTTGTTGACGTTGTCTGGAGAGATGTCGATGTTGCGACTGGAGTCCATGCTGGCGTTGGTGGTCGCAGTGCTGGTGGTGGTGGTGGACAAGGGCAGGGCGTAGGAGGAGCTGGGACTGGAACAGGCCATGCAGGAGTTGGAGACACAGGAGCGAGACATGGAGGAAGAGCAGTAGTCTTATATGTGAACAAGGCAGCTGGACAAGCTGTTGGTGGGCGATGGTGTTGGGGCTATCTCTGCTGCTTCTTCAGCTGGTTCTTCAGCTATCTCAAAACTATCAGAGCTGAGATCCCAATCACCGACTGCCGCATCGGGCAATATCCTCTCGCGGAGAAAACATCCGGGCGCTAAGAGATAAAGACAGAGATATAGATGATATACAGATTAGATGATATAAAGATAGAAGATAATGATATACAATGCTAGATACCAGATAGTAAATACAAAGCGCAACCACCCAGCCCAATTATGTACAGCAGCCCCTGGCCAACTAGCCCCTGCCTGCCTCCTTCTCTGTCTTCTCTGTCTGCTCGTTCTGCTGATCCTTCTCTTGCCTCTTGAGAAGCTTCCTCACCTCAGGCTGCTCGTCATAGAACGCAATCAAGTTCTGCTTGTAAGGGTGCTCGTTTCCATCAAACACCTTTAATCGGTTCAATCTGATCTTTCGCAACGAGTTCTTAGGCAACATTCGGCTCACTGCCTTCACCAACACCTCTCCGAAGCCCTTGTCCTGGCTCACCTTCTCCATTGTAAACTTCTTCAAGTTTCCTGGACGTGTGCTGTGTCTGTAGTACAACTTTTGCTTGAACTTGTTGCCTGTGACCTCCAAATCAACGCAGTTTGTCGCAACAACATAGTCGCCACAGTCGTTTCCCCCAGTGTATATAGGCTTGTGTTTGCCCATCAATGTCACCGCTATATCGGTGGCTATTCTGCCCAAGGGTCGATCTGCCTTCGACACATTGATATGGTGCCAGACCCTGGCATACGCTAACCCAGTCTGTCCTCCAAAACATATTAGTATACGTCCCCCCGATACACCTGGATGTCGCTACTGCTTCCACAGAATACTCACTTTGCCGATTTTCGCTGACATTTTGCTTCTCCTTCTATTGTTTGCTCACTTTGGCCCAAACTCTTCTCGCTTCGATTCGCTTTCCTTCTTTTCATCTCAATTTTTCACTCTTCACCGGGTAACCCCTCCTTCCATTTCCAATACTTCCCTTCTCGGATCTGTTGATTATATTCAATAATCCCACAACGCTTATCTTAATACCATCCATCACATTCATAACACTACCCAATTTCAAACAACCTAAATTTGGTTCAAAAATGTTCTTCATAGTATGTCTGCTTTCTCTTTCTCTCCCATCCACACCTTCTCTCCACGATCTTTATTAACCTTTTCTCTTTAAAGAAAGACCTAACCTTAAACTTGGCTTTGCACCCTTCATATTTTGGTCCACAAATGAACCAATACTTGCGTGAAAAACTATTAACCGACGTTGAAGGCACCTGTTCTGGTCAAATTGGCTACATTGTTTGCGTTCTAGACTGCATGAAAATCGACATAGGAAAGGGTAAAGTAATTCCTGGTTCAGGTTCCGCTGAATTTAAAGTCAAATACAGAGCTGTCGTTTGGAAACCATTCAAAGGCGAAGTGGTGGACGCTGTCGTTGCTTCTGTTTCCTCCCAGGGCTTTAAAGCCAGTGCTGGTCCTTTCACAATCTTTGTCTCCAAAAAAACAATCCCAGATAATATGACCTACAACCCAAATGCTAACCCTCCTGCCTTCTCATCCGATGACCAACATATAGAAAAGGGTTCAAAAGTAAGATTGAAAATTATGGGTACAAGATCTGATGTTCATGAAATCCATGCTGTGGGCAGTATCACTGAAGAAAACCTTGGTTCAATATGATTCTTCATTTCTACCATTTCAACTTCAATTTCAATTTCAATTTTTCACAATTTTCCACAATTTTCCACAACTTTCCACCAACCAATTCTAACTAATTTTGTATTTTATTTTACTCTACTCTTTATCTTAACCTATTTCCACTTTCTTTTATTTGTATTTCCTTATTTATAAATGCATAATTAAAATAAAAATCTATATAAACTTATTACCAATTAACTAAATACCTAATTAATCAAACTAATTATTAGATTTTAAAATTCAAAAAAAAAATCAACTTCTTGGGCCACATCTTCTAAATTATCAACAGAATAATACCTCGTCAACTTTAATATCAACTTTAAACAATCCGGAAACTCATGGTTCAAATTATTCAAAAAAATTATCTTAACAATAGGCGAAATATAATAAATCAACTCATTAATATTTTTCTCTTTATTATTCAATCCCATTAAATAATTCACTATTTTATCAATTATCATAAAAATCATACTCTCCTTGAAATTATCATCCTTTTTAATCTCTTGAATTATTTTTCGTCCTATCAAATATCGCTTACTTTCCTCTTCTTCTTCTTCTTCTTCTTCTTCTTTTTCTTTTTCTTTTTTGTTTTCTTTTTTACTTAAATAATCTTCATATTTAACATTGAAATCCCTCTTTATCACTCGAACAAAATTCAAACTCAACATCTTTATAAACCTCACACTATCCTTTTCTATCTCACTCAAATAAATATCAATCAACTCCTCAATAATCTCAAATATTTGTAAATCAATCTCTTCATCGATCTTACTCGCAAACTCAATTAGTTTACTTAGAAAAAAAAATATCCTCTTTCCAATATATTCTCGAATTTTATCATTTTTCAAAATTAATGAATGTAAAACTAGTATAGCCTGAAACATTAAAGCTATCTCCTCATTATTTTTGAACGTATAATTTTCCATTTCCATTTCCATATCCATATCCATATCCATATCCATATCTTTATATTTATATTTATGATTATCACTTCCACTGAATTTACTATTAACAATATTGCAAATCTTTCCAAAATTTCTCAATTCCTTTGAAAAGATCTCCTCAATGCATTTGTTCACTTTCATAATATTACAATACTCTTTAATCTCAATCGCCGAATAACTCTTTAAAACTTGTAATGTTCTTGCTTTTAAAAAATTAAATCTAGAATCAACATATGGTATTATCCAATTTTCAATCAATTCTCCAATTTTGTACATCTCAAATTCAGGTTCAACTAAAATTTCTGAAATTGAATCAAACATAATCAAAACACAATCTATATCTTCTGCCTCTTCAAATCTTTCAATTTCATTCTCTTTATTATTGATTTCCATAAGCTTCCTTTGTTCTTTTTGTTCTTTTTGTTCTTTTTGTTCTTTTTGTTCTTTTTGTTCTTTTTGTTCTTTTAAATTTGTTTCAATAAACTCATAAATCTTCTTTATAAATATCTTTGATTTACTATTAGCCAACGCCACTAATAATGTTTTGGCTGAATAAGTTGGAGAATAATAAAAATGATCAAATCGAATGTAAAAATTATTATCAGTTAAATCCCTTTTTTTTTCATTATATCTATACGAATTCTTTAAAAAACTATCCTCGCTATATCGATCTGTCTTTAATGATTCAAAAATAAACTTTTGAATAATATCATCGATTTTTAATTCTAAAAATCCCCTGATTCTTTCATTATCAATCAACTCGATCATACTTAAAACAATCGAGTGCAAACTCTTGTCCGATATGAATTTTTTTTTGTCTTCATTTTCATAGTACTTTTCAAGCAATTTAGAATATCTATCGACAATTTCAGGAAAATAAACGTTCATAAATATGTGCTGGAAATTTGGAATGGAATTTAGAAACAAGTTAGAATTAAAACTGCTAAATAATAAATAGATATTGTGAAAGGCATAATCGGTGTATATTATCCAATGGTTTAAAATCTCAACATAGGGAGGAGTTTTAAAGTTTTTCTCGAGTGATAGGCGAGAAATGTCGCTAAAATAATTAAATTCTTCATTCTTTCTTATGATATTCAAATTAAACAACGTCCATGAATTTAGAGTCGTTTCAGAATACAAAGATAAGGAATTATATGATGTGATATATGATAAGCATCTGGTTAGAAGAGTCAATATTTCGCTGTTCTCGAGTGAAAAACAGCTTTCCTGGGGTTTTATTTCATTGTTGTTAAATTTGGATAGTTTAAGGGGGATATTCAAGTCATTTAGTATTGTTTGCGCTATGTTTATTAGCTGAGGAAATAATAGAACAAAAGAGTTTGTTAGTTGTTGTTTTTGGTCTTTGTTTATTATTTTTAAGTTGAAATTATTTAGTACATGGTCAAAGCTTTTTAAGCAGACAAAAATAAGATTTTCATCAAAATTGTTATTAAAGTTGTTATTGTTTATATTGAAGATTTCAATTAGGATATTGATGAAAAATAGTATATCATCAAAAGAACGTTTCAAGTCAAAGATTATTGATAAATTCGAAAACAAGTATTTTTTCAAGTTTTGATTTAGTTCATTATTTTTGATTAAATTCATTTCAGCTAGATCAGTTAAATAATGATGTTTCAACCAATTTTTTTCAGATGAGAGTATACCCAATTGATTTGGTAAAATAGAGTTATTATTATTATTATTATTATTATTATTATGAGTGGAAGTGGAAGTGGAAGTGGAAGTGGAAGTGGGAGCACTGTTATTATAATTCCAAAATTGATTGAAATGATGGAATAAGAAACGAGAAATTTTGAATTTCAATTGATGGTTATGAATATTTTTATTTTTGAGGATATTAATACAATTAGACAGAAACCCAGGAATGAATCTGATATTACCTAGTTTTTTATTTTGATTAAGATCGAAGATTTTAATAATCAAGTCATTTAAATTTATTTGATCAACCATTTTATATTATACTATGTTATATTATTGTATTTTATTATGTTATTATTTTTTTTTGATTAAAATTGTAATTATATTATAAATTATATTATAAATTATATTATAAATTATATTATAAATTATATTTTGAATTATATTTTGAATCAATAAATGCTAATGAAATTTTTATGAAACTTTTGAGATTTTTTTTTTTTTTAGATTTTTGGATAAAATTTAAAACTAATTTAAAACATAACACTTTTATTGTAGATAAATATATGTAAATTTTGAAACAAGTAAGCAAGTCAAAGAAAAGAAAACTCTAATGAGACTTGATAATTTAAAAGAAGGTGTTTCTTTTAAATGAAATTGTGTAATAAATTTTGTTATTTTTATATCAAAAATCTAGAATAATTTAATTTCAAAAAGCAAAAGCAAATGAAAACAAATTAAAACAAATAAAAATTTAATTTTGAATTAAATTTGGGGTTATAATAGCTTTGCTGATCTTGAAGTTTATATATATATATATATATATATATATATATATAATTTTATATAATTTTATATATATTAGGAATCTTAATATTTTTAATAATCCTAAAAAACTTTAAAAAAACTTTGAAATCTTTGAAATCTTTTGAAATCTTAAATTTTGAAATGACTTTTAAATGAGATTGAATTTCAAAATAAAATTAAATTTTAGATTTGATTTCTGTTGTAAAAGGATATAATTTTAATAAAATTTAACAGAAATTCATAAAAATGAATAAAAATTAACGAATCTTTTTTAATAAAATTTTTTAAATTATGGAAATAAAATTTAGGTACAGGTTACTTATATACGGTTTTGCTTATCAATTAAATAAAACAGTGTAAAGTAAAAAAAGAATAAAAAAAAAATAGTAAATTAAAAACAAAAATTATTTCAAGAGTTAAAAAATTTTGAATTAAGAGTGAAGCCCAATAGGCTGAAGAAGAAAGAAAAAGAAGAAAAGAAAAACAAATTCAAGTGATAACCAATTTTTAATTGAATGATCAAAAAAATACAAATTAATACAAGGTAACACTAAAAAGTATTGAGTAGTACTGGTAAATTTAGCAATAAAATTAATAATATCATTAATGATGTGATTGGAAATTTCCAATGAAGAGTGATTTGAATCAAATTTGCAAGTGAAGTTGAATTTGATTAGGCTTGTAAATATTCATTTCCTAACACCTGAATTTCATTTTTGCTTTTTTCTTTGCAAGCGAAGAAAGGAAGAGATTTCAAAGACAAATAATTGGTTTAGGGTAAAATGGAAAAAAAAAGAGGATTTGAATCTTGCGAAAAGAGTTGAGAATGGGATTATCTGAAGCAAAAAATAAATGCAACTGAATTAGAATGGATAATAATATCTCGCAGGCAATATAAGAGTTTGAAACTTTTGGGAAAAGTATGGAAACTTATTGGGAAACAATAAAAAGGTTCAAATTATCGGTATTAATAAATGTATTAAAAGGGATTCACTTACAAAATGTGGTTTGATTATGATGAATCGAGATAATATTTTCAAGCACGTATGTTGATATAAATCAAAACCCGTAAATCGATAGGTTGAAACAGCAGCAATTACGTCTTTGAAAGCAGCAAAACATTTCCACTAAACTAGCTGCTGCACCAGAGGAAGTAGCGAAAAAGAGCCAAAGCAACTGGGTTGTTTTGAGGAATAAGAGCTGCTGTCTTCGGAAGACTGTTTCAAATTGGCTGGATGAGACAGTTATGAAGCAGCTGGAGCTGGAGATGGTTCTGGAGATGCAGCAGCAGTAGCACCATCTCCATCTCCAGCTCCTCCAGCTCCTCTAGCTCCCCCAGCACAGACTACAAAAAATAGAACATCTTGTCGACGATCTAGACCCAAGCAGGAAACCCCAGCCAGAGATTTCCTGCTGTGGACTTTGGAGCTGTTCTCCACCAACTGCTTGTCCACTATTCTGTTCTCGTCCAGCGTTTCTAGAATTCTATTCTGTAAGAGAGTAAGAGTAAGAGGGCCTTCAGGGCTTCCTTAACTTCTCCTGCTTGCTTTGAGTAGTCCGATCAGGTATGCAATAATAAAAACCATCCACATTTCATTTCAGCACTGGCTGTTTGCCCTGTTCGTGATATTATTTTGCGTTATTATTTGTGATACTCTTGCCCTTACTATGCTGTGTTGCGATTTGTTTGTTTCATCTACTGTTTTACGGCTCGTTTCCTGGCCTGCAAAGCTGTGTTTAGTATGGGCTTATTGTGGGCTATTGGCATACTCCCAGCATGCAATTGGGATACAGCTCTAATCCAACCTACAGCCCATTCCACTCTCCAGATCGCTTATTTGCCTGGGGCTTTAGCATTTTAAGTTAGTTGACGTTTTTCTATCAACTCAGTACTTGGTATCGAGCCCAATCCTCTTCTGTTTCTGGCTGCTGGGAAGGGAAATTTCCTCTTCAACGTACTTCTTTCCTGGCCTCTGATTGGCTGGGAATTTGATTTCTATGCTTCGATTTCAACTTTCAAATCCCCATTTTCTCTTTTGCAGCTCTTTTAATCTTTCCTCTAACTTAGGTGCTAAATGCTGCTACCAGAGCACGATCTTCTCCTGTCCTGCCAATCTTATTCTCATCATTCCCTACTACTGACTGCAATGATTCATATATTGCATATTCTATGAAATGCGTCAATCGTATATTACGTATCTCTGGCAAAAAACCAGTCAATCGTGTTAATCGCTGTGCTATCGTCTACTTTCATACAACCGACACATACTGATTGATGTCTCTCACAATCTCAATGGTTTCATGGGGATTTGCTACCCACGCTGTGCAGGCCACCAATCTGGCCTTGAAATCGTTTGCGTTGATAGAAGCAAACTGGTCTCCAACATGCAATGTTTCAAATGTTTCAATTCCACCAAGGTAACTTTGTAAAGACTTCACCCCAACGCTTTTGTCTCCAATATCAATCCACACATCATTCCCACCATTGAATGCGCAAAATTTTATTCTCTTTGCACTTTCGCAGTTTTCCAATTTTTTTTGGCAAGTTAAAACGATTTCCTCCAACTGTTCTCTGGACAATGCTCTGGAATATTTCTGGATGATTCCCACTGCTTTCTTCTTGCATATAATCTTGCTTTTGTCTCCAATCTCCAATTTGGAACTCACGTTAATCAATGTCTTCTCTGCGATGTTCAAAAACTCTGCGATATCGCTTGTAGTCCAGCTTTTTGCCTCTTCAGTCTCCCATTTTTCCTTATCAATCCACTCCAATTTGTTTGCCAACAGTTCATTGAATCGAAATAGATAATTGCATTCCCCTCCAACAACAAAAAAATTCCTCTTTTGCTCCAATGAAAGATCCAAACATTCGTCAATCGAATCAATTAGCCCCTTTAGTCGCTCATAGTATCTATTTCCTTCACTTTCTGAGTATCCTGCGGCTGTAACAACTCCCACCATCAAATTCCTCTTCAACAACCCAAGTATTGGCCCAATCACATCTGAATCATCCAAAATTGACATTCCATCCTCGTATAATGTAACATCTCCATCGAATGTAACCAATTTCAATGAATACTTACCAGACTCATCTCTTCTTGTTACCTCTAACACCTGCGCTGTGTTCAATATACATCTGATGTCGTTAAAACTGGGTGCAACGTAATTTCTCTTGGAAATCGATCTCTTTTTATCCTCAATATAAAACGCTTCAACCAATGGCAACACTGTGAAAAACCCCCCAACGTTTGGTAAAAACTGTCGTAGCCTGGAAAATGCTACTGTATTACTACCACGACTCTTAATATCATCGATAATCAACTTTTCAATATCTCCAAAGATCTCAGCATATCGACTTCGAGCAACTTCGCTGTTTTCTTCTCCTGTCATTGTCTCATCTTTCATATTATGTAGAACAAATGCTCCGAGCAATAGTGTTTTAATCCACTCGATAAATTCATCTCTACGATGGTTCTTCAAATGATCTTTTCTCAATAATTATGTATTCAATAATTAGTATCTTATTCCGATAGTTACTATCACAATTATCATCATAATCATCATCACCATCATCATTTAAAAATCAACTATAAATATTTTGCTATAACATACAATCAATACGATATCTTGTTTATTTTTTAGTTAGTATCAACATAAAATAAATAAATAAGAAATGCTCGCTATATAATATGATCTTGAACATACTTTGATGACATTGCTAAATCCTAAAATTAAGATGTAAATATTAGTTAGGCTGAAAATATCAATCTGGGAGAAGTATTTCTCATTTATATTATCACACATAATTCCTCTGCATTTTTGTTTACGTTTTTCTCATAAACAGAAATTACACTTTTAGATTGCTATTCACAATTGGTGACTAATATTTACTTTTTTATTTTGATATTGGCAATCACAAAAATACAAAAACAAGTTTGAATTCTTAAATATATGAATATATGAGTATATAAATCATATATGATTATCAGGATATCAAATCTGAGGTTATCACATTACACTTTGCTTTTTTTGACGATAACATGATGTCAAATTTCATGAAATCGATAAAAATGAAGAAAAAGAGAGCACTTGTGTACCAGATAAAATTAATATTCTCTTAATAATCGATCTTTGGTATGGAGGGCTAGATGAAAAAAATGAATTATAGAAAAAAAACCAAGTTTTCTCATTTTATAAGCTGGTCATAGACAAATATAAATATGATTATCAATAAACACAGAAAAATGATTTTAAACAACTCTGCAATCCATAAAAGAGCAAGTGAAAAAAAAAAAATTATCTACTTTACTTTATTTTATTCCATTTAATTTCAATTCAATTCATTTTATTTGATGTGGCCAGAATAATGATATTTATTTCAATTAAGATATACACTACCATAAAGTGTGACATATAAATAAAAAAAACTGGGGTTCAATTTGAAAATGATCAAAAGAAAACAACAATAAAAACATTTAAGGGATATTCTGATCATTAAAAAGTCAAATCTAGTTAATTATTTTAACGTTATTAATATGTAAGACCACTGGCAAACTAAAATATATACATCAAAATAATCAGTCATGGTTCTTTCGGATGTACCGAATGACTAGTGAAAAGCAGTCAGTTGATTTGATTTCAAGTAAAATTGATTATTATAAAACTACTCAAAGATTGTTTTGTATATCAAAAGGTATAATAAAAACAAGAAGTTCAATTATTTAAGCCATAGGTTCTTTAAAAGTTCAAGAATATAATAGTGACAATTAAAAGAGTTAGAATAGGGTCTAATATGGAAGTTATTTAAAAAAAAACAAAAAACAAAAAACATTAAAAGCAAATGAAAAGAAAACTTTTAAAATAATGAAGTAATTAAGATAATATAAAGAGCTGTAATAATGAAGTGAAAACAGAAACAAAAATCTTTAAAACAATGCGCGAGTATGTGGTGGATCAATTTTGAATAAGACTAGTCAAAAATATAGCCAAAGTTCTCAACAAAAAACTCTAAAAGATTGGAAAAATAAATCTGTTTTATTGCAATTAATGAAATTTCTATCAAATCTGATTTCAAAATAAAATAAAACAACCATTGAAGAAATCAGAATAAAAACTTGGATAAATCTTTAAAAAATGGAACAAAATAAAATTCATAATATTTAAACTTTTGATTTTGATATAAGGATGTTTTTTAAATTTTTTTTGATGAGATTAGCATATCATGTACAGAGTATTTAAGATTTTCTATAAAAATTGTTGAAAGTTTTAAAATTTTGATTTTAAACAAATTATTTTTGATGCACATATTGTGGAAAACACCAATGTAGACAAAAATTAAACATGACTTTAATATTTCATTTTTAAATAACATTGAAAACCGATAAAAGAATTTTTTCAAAGGATTATCAATTTGATTATGTTTTTGATCGATGAGAAAACATAAAAATGCAAAGAAAAAAAAAAGCCAACAAAATGCGCATTTGTATTGTTTTCTACCACCGTTTTGTGTTATTTATAAGCAAATCTCAAAGCAGATGGAAGCTGTCACAAACAAAACAAAGAAAATATGCAAGATTTATGTCTCATACGTCATCGATGCCCAAGGTCTTAAATAGAGTTTACGGTCTTAGAGTTTACAATATCGCGCCTATATTCCAAAACAAGCAATTAAAATATCTCCAAACAAACGCAACATTTACTCTGAGTAGCACGTGATCAAAGAACTCAATTGATCTGTTTGGCTCGTTTTATGAAGGGGATGGAGATCGAGTAGCAGACTCTAGGCTGAAAGAACAATGTTTAAAAGGATTTTCAGTAAATTATTGCGTAAGTATTGGGCTTCTTGTATTCAATATCATATATATGTTGTTTTAATGGTTCCAAATACATTGCAACAATCCGAATTATGCCAATCATCTAACATTTAATTTTATTTTTTCTAAAGCCCCTGAACATGGAACAGTTCAGGAAATAATCAACTTCAATCACCCCAATGAGATAAACAAAGTTTTGACTCGATGTGATCAAGAGCTTGGTGGGTTTTCTACAGTGAATCTCGACATTGTTCCAAATCCTGATGATTCCAAGACAAATGTAGCACATTTCCATGGTTATTTGAATCTTGATACACCGCCAAATAGACCAGACATCACACATTCTGGGTATGCAATGTGGAGAATAAAAGATCAAGAACGGACATTTTTCAATAAAGATAGATATTTGGATTGGAGTGCTTATAACCAAGTGGCGTTAAGAGTTAAAGGTGATCATAGAAAGTATTTGATCAACATACAAGCAGATGCTCCAAAGGATACCGATATTTTTCAACATCGTCTTTTCTTAAATAATCCCAATGAGTGGGAAACGGTTATGGTTCCGTTAAATCATTTTGTAATGACCAACTACGGTATCTTTAGAGATCAAGATTGCTTGAACACTTCAATGATCAAAACCATTGGAATTGGTATACTAGACAAACAATTTGGCCCATATTCTTTATATGTTGATTGGATTAAAGTGATGTGTGGAGATAACGTTCACAAGACATTTGTTGAATCAAGAATGGAGAGTTCTAACAAAAAATTGACCAAAGAAGAACAAAAAAAGATATTAGAAGAAGAACAAAAAAAGATATTCGAAGAAGAACAAAAAAAATTCCCAAATTCAATCGAAGGTTAATAACAATTTATTTGAATTATATATAATATAATAAAACCGTTCTTTCAGTCAGTGAATAGCAAGCAGTAAACTTTCACTATAATTTCATCACCAATCAGTTTTGATTTTCTCAATCTACAATGATTAAATAAACCTTGTACCGATTCATACAGAAATTTGCTTTTAGTCACATATAAAATCAATCGCGTGTTTATAAATAGGGCTCCAAAGGCTACTTCCAAATGTGGTGTTTGCATTCAAACTGCGTCACAAAGTGCTGCAATTTCTCTGCTGCACCCCAAAAAACCAAACTCAAAGCGCTCTTTCTTTCATGGTCAAGCGAACGGTCTCGTTCCATCCAACACTCGACCGCAGAGCCCTAGTGCTAGCTATTTTCATGAGCTCGTTCTGCATGTCAATTTTCATGGTGTTAGTGAAAGAACTATACTTATAAAAAGTGGATTAAAAGTCTTAACAGCTTCTTCACAATATTAAGAAAACATCAACTCAAGAAGATAATATATAATTCAAAATGGCTAGAGGACCGTAAGTGATCATTTCACACTACAATACTATCAACTAAATATTAATTTGATGAAGGAAATAATTCATTATTTATCTATTTGATATAATTAAACTTCATCATAAAAAGAGCAAAAAAAAAAAGAAGAAAAATTGGAAATTTGGAATATTGAAATTAATTACGATAATTAAAATTTTGGATTTATAATTTATACATGGGTTTACCAGATTTTTAATTTTGAAAAAATGTTGAAAATATTATTTACAAAATGAGATTCTAATGGAAACAAGTTGATTTATAAGAATTTTCTGAATAATTGAATTGCATTCTTAAACATCAATAAACAATAAGTAGATTTATTTAATTGAATCAACAGAGCTATTAATTAAACATTAATTTTACAAAAGCGTTTGAAAAAAAATAAAATTTCGGCTTCACAAAAATTAATTCTTACAATTGTTTATTTTAAACTGATTTAACAATTTTCATTGTTCAATTTGATTTAATTCTGTAATGAAAAAGTCATTTAATAGAAAAATGTGACCAATTATATTCATTTTATTTAATTTTGTTCATCAAATCAAGTATTTTCCATGATTTAAAATAAATCAATTTGATTTCTGCAGTTGAAAGTTTAATTTATACATCTTTTTTTGATAGAAAAAATTGAATCGTCAATTACTAACTAAATATAAATTTTAATACAGAAAGAAACATCTTAAAAGACTTGCAGCTCCAAACCATTGGATGTTGGACAAATTAAGTGGTACTTATGCTCCACGTCCATCCCAAGGTCCACACAAATTAGGTGAATCTTTACCATTGGTTGTTTTCTTAAGAAACAGATTAAAATACGCTTTAAATGGTCGTGAAGTCAAAGCTATTTTAATGCAACGTCATGTTAAAGTTGATGGCAAAGTCAGAACTGACACCACCTTCCCAGCTGGTTTCATGGATGTCATTAGTTTAAATGCTACCAACGAAAACTTCCGTTTAGTTTACGATGTTAAAGGTAGATTTGCTGTTCACCGTATCAGTGATGATGAAGCTTCTTACAAATTAGCTAAAGTCAAAAAAGTCCAATTAGGTAAAAAAGGTATCCCATACGTTGTTACCCACGATGGCAGAACCATTCGTTACCCAGATCCATCTGTTAGAGTTAACGACACTGTCAAAATTAACTTGGCTACTGGAAAAATTGACGACTTCTTAAAATTCGATACTGGTAAATTAATTATGGTCACTGGTGGTCGTAACATGGGAAGAGTTGGTGTTATCACTCACCGTGAAAGACATGAAGGTGGTTTCGATATAGTTCACATTAAAGATTCTTTAGATAATACTTTTGCTACTCGTTTAACCAACGTTTTTATCATTGGTGATGCTGGAAAGCCATGGATCTCATTACCAAAAGGAAAGGGTATCAAATTAACTATTGCTGAAGAACGTGATCGTCGTCGTGCTCAACAAGATTTATAAATAAAATGATTTCATTTTTTTAATGTTATGTTTTATTTAATTAATATTATATTATTGTATTAAATATGTAAAAAAAATTCATAAAATCATAAATCTCCCTAGAACTCTATAACTACGACCAATTTTCATGCTATTAGTTTTGCTGCGTTCCCCTAGTAGTTCTTTCTCATGCCCCTTCGTTCTTCTTATAATCATGATCTCTATAGCTCGCATCGCTGTTGGTAATTGGACGACATTTATCTACCTCTTTGAATACACTTTAAAGCAGACTCTGATTTGGGGTTCCCTGCTTACCCTGTCCTCTCATCACTGCGCTAACGCGTACTAAACGCCACGGCGGGTAACGGCACATGCACATGTTCAAATCAGCTGCTATGTTAAACTTGTCCCTAATCTGCTGCGATTTCAACCTTTTTTATTGTGGAATCGCCTTGAATGAATCACTTTCTCAATTACCCAAGATCTGTTCGTTCACCACTCTGCGATTTCACTGATAAATGGCTTCATCAATACCTTACGATCCTGACGACTTTGACAACAATCCATTTGCAGAACCACAGATCTCGATCTTAAACAACGAGGCTAATTCCCCTGCTTCCTCTTCTCAAGCACCTTCAACAGACTCTCCAAATGGCCCACTGAATAACTCTTCAATTGAGCAGCAAAATCCACCTCTAGCTTCTCCATCGGATCAAAACGAGCAACAAGCTCAGAAAGCACAAAACCAAACCTTAGATCAGCCCCCAGGTTCAAAGCAGCCAAAACTGGCTGATAACCAACAAGACAATCTAAAAAACAGAAAGTCAAACTTATCTCTTTTGCCTGAGAGACGCTCAAAAAAATACAAAATCAGATTGCTGATAACTGCTATTGAAAGAGTTGGTAGAAAAGACCCAATCATAAAATTTGATGCTTATACTAACTTGCCCAACTTCAGAGGCACCTCTTTTAAGGATATTCGAAGGACTCACAACGAACTAGTAAAATTCTTTACTTATTTAAATGGTGCAAATCCTGAATGTTTTGTGCCTGCAGTGCCTCCTTCTTCCACAAGCTCTGGAATCGGATCAGACGAAAACGACGTCAAAGTCAAGCAAAATCTACAAGAATGGTTTGATAGAATTACCTCCAACCCAATTCTTATAAGAAACGAAGAATTTATCTTTTTCATAGAATCAGATTTTGGCTATTCTCCGGTCAACAAGGGAAGACCTCCTGCCACAGGTTTAAAAAGGAAAACTCTTAAACAACTACAACCTCCATATGATGAAGTAACTGAATTAGCCGAATTCAGACCTTTGATAAAACAAATTTATTTAAATTCTCAAACTTTGCATCATAAACTTGAAAAATTATCAAAAGCAAGAAAAACCTTGGGTTTATACGAAAATGAGCTAGGCAACAGAATCATGGAGCTATCTAGTCTTGAACCCACACACCCAGGAATGGCTAATATGTGGCAGAAGTTTGGAAAGACAATTGTAGTTAAAGGCGATATTGAAAGTGTTAAAGCTACAACAGAAATGGCCTCCTTGGGAGACGGCTTGAATCTAATTATTAATGATTCCTATGTTATTAAAGAAGCCTTGACTAACAGACATTTGTTAATGAGAGAACTTATAAATGCTCAAGCAAACACTAAAAGTAAACATGCACAAGCTGCAAAAATCCGTTCCAGAACAGAAATTAATCCGTTAAAAGTAGACGAAGCTTTGCAACAATTGACTGATGCGACTAAATTCGAAGAAGACTTGACTATCAAAATAAAAAGAATATCTGGAAATATGTTAATTGAAAAACAACAGTATCTTCAACATTTTGACAAATCAATTAAAAAGTATATTAGTGAATATACAAGAAAAATAATTGAAAGTGAAAGGAAAACTTTAGCTGTATTTGAAAAAATTAGAAGTGATGTGAGAAATGTTGATGAAAATGGGGGTTTGAGTCGATTAGGCAGAGAAGCTTACCCAAGACATAAAACTGTTTCTGTACAAAGCCAAGGTCCTGAAGGTGATAGCTGGAGTGGTGACAGAAAAACTAGAGCTGTTGTACCTGGACAAAATGCTCTTCAAGAGGATATAAAAGACTTTTCAAAGCCAAACCAAGTGCATAGAGCAAGTACAGCAAGTACTTTAGATTCTGAAGAAAATACTATTGATGCCCGTAATGCTGCTTCACTTTTAGGAGGATCAACTTTTTAATTAAATTAATGGTTAATCTTGTTTATTATTTTTATTATTTTTATATTTTATATTTTATATTTTATTTTTTATTTTTCATTTTTCATTTTTCATTTTTTTTTCGTTTTTAGTTCTACGTTTTAAGCTTTTCAAAAGATTTTTTCACTAAATTTAATTTCTGTTTTATAGTTGTTGTTTTATTATAAGACATATTGAATAATGAATTAAAACAACCAGAAATCATTTACAATATTTTTTTTTTTTTTAAGAATCAAAAGTTAATATTATTTAAAATTCTAGTACAAATGAGTTAATGAATTGAAGGATGCATAGAGAAAAAAAAAGGGGCACAAAATGTTTTATATAATAATAAAATGAACGTAAAGTAAAGTAAATATAATTAAAATAGATTCGGATAACAAATAAAAATTAAAAAATCAAAAATTAAAAATGACCATAGATTTTTTCCCGAAGAACATAGCTTTCATTGTAATGATCAATTTCTTCCCAATTACCAACAATATCATCTTTTCCTTTAACAACACCAGGTAGTGTTCTTCCTTGTCCATATCTTTTCCAGATTTTTTTAGCTTCTTCATCAGTACCTAAATCTTTGTAAGTAAATTCAATTTGATTTGCTTCTAAAATGCCTGCCAATCTATTGGTTCTGGGTATCATTAAGAAGCCACCACCAGCTAATGAGGTGAATATGTTGACAGTTTCTAACTTTGAAACGCCACTTGTGGTTTTTGTATTTTGAGTATACTTGGGCTTAGGTTGAGCTTCTTCAATTTTTTTTGTATTTATAAGAATTGGAATCTTTGGTTTTGGAGTAGGTTTATTAGCTCCACGAACTTCTTTCATGGCGTCAGAAGATAATTTATCTTCGCCCAATAATGCTTCTAACTCGGCGATTTCTTCTGGAGACAAGTCTTCATTGAATAGACTATCAATGGAAGCTTTTCTTTCAAGTTTTAATGACTTTGATTTATCGGGTGATTTTGGAGAGCTAATGATAATAGTGCTTTGTTTATCGGAAGCATCTTTACCACGAGATTTTTCATCAATTGTTTCAACAGATGGCTTTGGTTCAATTTTTTCACTCTTTTTTTTGTTGGAGTCAATTAAATTTTTTTCATCTTTTTGAGATTTTATAGAAGAATTTGAATTAATTGACAAAGTAGAAACTTTTTTGACAATATTTTCTGAAGAAATAGGAGTAGGTTTAATAACAAATTTGGAAGAATTTTCCTTCATAAACTTAATTTGTGAAGTAGTTACTGCATCTGAGTCTAATAAGGCCTCTAGCTCTTTGATTTCATCTTCTGTCAAGCTTACGTCAAGTTCTGAGTCTTTGGTTAGGATTGATGAGGTGTCCATAGAGTCTTTTGATATTTTTAGTGATTGCTCGTTTGTAGGTTTATTCGAAGATGGATAATTGATGGTGAGTTCTGGTTTATCAGTATTAAATTTTGTATTTGTTTTTGTAACAGGGTTAGTGTTATTAGTGTCTGTATCATTAGTGTTTGTATCATCAGTATTTTTGTTTGTGTCAGTATTTTTATTAGGATTAGAAATAGTAGAAGATTGAACTTCATTTGATAAGGTTTCTTTGGTCTTTAGACTTTCATCGAGCTTATCTGTACCTTGAATTGTTGGATCAGATTCCTCAGTCAAATCAAAGATTTTTTGGGATGATGGATCGTTATGTAAAGATTTTGTCTCGAATTCATCTGTCAAATCAATAACTATTTTTTCTTTTTTTTCTTTTTTTTCTTTTTGTTGTTGATTAACATTTTCTATAATTTGATCATCAAGTTCTTTTTTGATTTCAATAACTTCCTCTTTAACCTGGTTATTCTTTTCTTGATTCATTTCTTGATTCATTTCTTTAAGTTGATCAGTAGTTTTTTCTATGTTTTTCTCTTTGGATTCCTTTTTAATTTCAAATTTTTTGTTGTCATTATCATTATAATTATCATCGTTATCATCGTTATCATCTAGTGTGATGATTAATTTTTGCTTAGGTAATTTCCTTTCAATTGGGAGGGTTTGTGTATCATTTGAGGTTTCAAGCGATGAGTTTGATAAGTCGAGTAATTGTGAATTATTTTTGTGTTGGCTTTGAACGTCATCATTAGTTAGATCGATGATTTCATGTGTTGAATCATTGTGAGATTTTTGGTTAGAGATTTCAGGTGTTAGATTGTTATCGTTATCGCTATCGTGGGCATTGATAAAGTCGTCTATATCGATGATTTCGATTTTTTTTTGTTGATTGTCTGTGGAGTCTTTTGGCATTTGGTGGGAGGAGTTGTTGGGCAGTGGATTTGTATCATGGGGAGTGGGTATGGGGATTGAAGAGATGGAAATAGAAGATTGAAGAGGGTTTGGAAGTGAGGAAATGGCAGTTCCCATGGTTTCTTTTTTGGGAGAGGAAGCAGGGAGATTGGATGAAACAGCAAGAAGACTATGATTTGATGGGTGGTTGGATAAAGTTTGCAGAGAGTGTCTCAGGGCATTTTGCAGATTGCGATCAGAATTTTTTTCAGGAGTTGGGGCGGGAAAATCAGGAGGAGGAGGACCATTTTCGGGAAGCAGGATTTGGTTGTTATCGAGAACAGTGAGAGCAGTGTTGATGAGTTCCTGGATGCTGCCAACACCAGAGTCATTGTCGTTCAAGGTGGTTTTGGAGAGGTCGATCTGGTTTGAAGGAGACTCGAGGATAGGCAAAAGTTTTGAATTTTGAATGTCATTGGCGCTGGCAGAGTTGGTATTGTCGGTTGAAATGGTGTGGGTATTATTTGATTGATTGGTGGATTGTTTAATGTTTGGTTCTTTAATAGTTGATTCTTTGGTAGTTAATTCTTTATTGATCAATTCTTTATTAGTTGATTGATTTTTATTAATGTCATTTGAATGATTTTTGGGGGAGTCAATATGATTGGAAACATCGATTTGGGGTCTTGTCTTTGGAACCGATAATTTGATATTGCCATAATCGTCAAAAGACAAGTTTCGTAGGTCGTCGCTATCGATAATGTCGTTGTTGTTGTCGTTTGAGATAATTATATCTGTTGACATGTTCATATAGGTGAAGGAGTTTGCGGATAAAGTAGAATCGTCGATCTCAGTTAATAATAAGGGATTTGATTTTGATCTGATCATCTTTGGTGGTAATGGAGGTAAAGAGGTGAGATTATCGGTGGTGTTTAGACTGTTGATGTTTTTAATGTCTTTTAATGGGAGATCAGGTAGTTTGGGGATGGGATGAGATCTGTTGGTTTTTGAATAATTTTCATTATGTTTAGTTTTATCAGTGTTATTACTGTTATCATTTGAAACAATTGTATGCGATCTGGATAGTTTGCCTAGGGAGGCCTTCGCAGAAACAGATCTTCTTTTGAATTTGCTGACTTTCAAATTGTTCGAGGAAGTACTGGCACCAATTGTATTGTAGCGAGAGATTCTTCTGGTTTTACGGATTTTTGATTTTCGAATTCGTGGGGCTTTTAAAGTGTCAACAACAGGTGAAGAAGAATTGGCCATTTTGTCTCTGTCTCTGTCTCGTTTTGAATTAAACGCTGAGGAGGAGGAAGCGTTGGGGTCTGTGGTGTTGGACTGGCTGCCATGATTATAACTTCCAGATGAAAAATTTCGCTTACTTATATTGTTTCTGCTGGATAAGGAATTGGAGCCATGAGATTGGCCTGTGTTGGGATGGTCGTTGTTTCCAAACAAACTCAGAAGAAACTTTTTGAAGAAGCCATCGCTGCCCATTTTCGAGAATATTGGTTGAGTTGAGGTGGAGATGCTGGCTGTGGACTGAAAAGTGCAAGAGATGAGGGAGGTTAGCTGTGCTTTGAAAAGGAATATGGAAAGAGGTTGGTCTGCAACAAAGGACCAGCTCTAGAAGTGATGGTAGCAAAAAGAAAATAGAAGAACGATTCAAAAACACTTTCAACACAAAACAAGAAACAGCACAAGCACCACAAGCACCAAAACCACCGGCATCATTCTGCTCGCCCGCTACATTCTTCGCGCCCATCGCGCCGCCCACTCTCGCGGGGTTGCGCCCACCGCACAGCGTCGGGCCCGTGCAACTGACGCGCTAGCTCCCGGTTGTGAAGGGCTCCTCGCGCACGTCCCAGCGCATAAACAGCTCAAACCGCAGAAGCAGCTCAAATGGTCAAAGGCATAAATTATATCAAATCAAATCAAATCAAATCAGGTCGTAGATTAAAAAAAACAGACAGTAGCGCAATCATTCCAACAGTTTTTCTATAAAAGGCTTATAATTTATCGTAGTAGTTTTCATATCCTGGGACTTCTGTCTTAAGACCACGTCTTTTTCTGGTATTCTGAGCAATAACACCAGCTTTGGTAGTTGGGTCAGTTGGATCGTCGTTGAGGGTGGTCCAGTGGTCAAACACCATTTGTGGGAAAGCTTGACCTGCAGTAGCTTGACGTAAATCAGCAGTGAAACCAAACGATTCACTGACTGGCAAGTAGGCCTTGACAGTGAACAATGGAGTACCTGGTCTTTGTTCTTCAGAAACAACTTGACCTCTCTTTTTGTTAAGAACCGAGTAAATACCACCAATAGCGTTTTCTGGACATTGGATTTCAACTAAAAAGACTGGTTCTTGGATTCTTGGTTCAGCCAACAAGAAAGCAGCGTATGTGGCTCTTCTCATGGTTGGGATAATTTGACCACCGCCTCTGTGGATAGCATCAGCATGCAACGTAACATCCAAAATGTTGATTCTGACTGCTCTCATGTTTTCATCCATAACTGGTCCTTCTTTACTAGCCCAGGCAAAACCAGCAACAACTGAATCTTTAATTTCGTGCAAGTATTGAACAGCCTTGGTTTGATCAACAACTGTGTTTGGTCCATTACCTTCAGGTCCAAAACACCAGATCTTTCTGGCGTCGGTGACGTCCCATCCGTAATCATCTGCCATTATTCTGGCTCTCTTCTTGAAATCATCCTTTGGTGAAATCTTACCTTCTTCAATGGCCAATGCGGTTTCTTCAGTCATTGGAGTAGCCTTTAAGTATAATCTGTTATGTTTGTTTGGTGATTTAGATAAAGCAACCATTGACGATTCAGCAGTAACTGTTTCTTTGTATGTAACAACTGGTGGAGATTTCTTTAATGGAACACCGGCGTGATCGTTTTCCAAATCGGATAAACAAATTTCCAAATGCAATTCACCAGTACCGGCAACAACATGTTCACCAGAATCTGAAATAAAGGTCAAAACACATGGATCGGACTTGGATAATCTCTTTAAACCTTCAACTAATTTTGGTAAATCCGAAGCATTCTTAACTTCAACAGCGACTTGCACAACTGGTGAAACTGAGAATTTCATAACCTTCAAGTTGGCGGCTGTTTCAGAGGTGGTCAAGGTACCTGATTTCAACAAAAATTGATCAATACCAACTAAACCAACAATGTTACCGGCTGGAACATCATCAATTGGTTCCACAAATCTTCCCATCATTAAAACGGTTCTTTGAATAGCCTTGATGAACAAATCATCTTTCTTACCAACAACATAGTTTGGTCCTTGGATTCTGACTTTTTGTCCAGATTTAACGGTACCGGCAAAGACTCTACCAAAGGCATAAAATCTACCTTTATCAGATGTTGGCACCATCTTGGAGACATACAACATAAGATCGGCTTTTGGATCACAGTTTTTAATAGCAACACAAGCATCGTCAGTGGATGGACCTTCATAAAGAGTGTCGGCTCTGTAGAATTGAGCAGTAACTGGGGATGGTAAATGTAAAACAATCATTTCTAATAGAGCATCGGCAGCTGGCAAGAATTTTCTCATAACAACTTTTAATAAGGCTTTACCTTCTAAATCTTTTTCATCACCCTTCAATTGAATATCTAATTTGGTTAATAAAACTGGAATTTCGTCCTTTTTAAAATTCATAATGGCAGAAAATAATCTGAAAATTGGATCCAAAACAAATATGTTAAAGGCTCTTTCTAATGATCTACCCTTGGCATCTTTGTCCTTAGAAGTCCATTTCTTGGTCTTTGGGTTAAAATAAGAATCACCCCAAAGACGTTTCATCATTTTGCTCTTGTCAACACCGAATTTTTTACCATATCTGGAAGCAAATTGACGAATAGTAAAGGCCCATCCATGTAAACCAGAACCAAAGGCAACAGTACCGTTTTCTGGGTAAACTTGAACATCACCCAAGGCTTCATCAACATAAGTAGAAATAATAACATTAACAGATTCAATGGTTCTGGAAAAAGATTGATATAAATCTTCTTTGGTAACTTGCAATTCTAATAAGGCACGGTCAACTTTGTTAATAATAACAACTGGTTTAATTCTTTCACCTAAAGATTGACGCAAAACGGTTTCAGTTTGGACACAGACACCTTCAATACAATCAACAACAACTAAAGCACCATCAGTAACACGTAAAGCAGCAGTGACTTCGGAGGAGAAATCAACGTGACCTGGGGAATCAATCAAATTAATTAAAAACTTATTACCGTCAGTCTTTTGTTTAATTTCTTTACAATCTTCATCAGTCATTTCAGAATATAATGAGATGGCAGTGGATTTGATAGTAATACCTCTTTCTTGTTCATCCTTTCTGGTATCGGTAAAACGAGCTTCACCAGCTTTAGCAGCAGAAATAATACCAGCTCTTTGAACCAAAGAATCAGTCAAAGTGGATTTACCATGATCAACATGGGCAATAACGGACATGTTACGAACATTGGTGACCTTGTCCATAAGAGCACGCATTTGCTATAGAAATAATAAATAAGTTAGTATTAATTAATCTGGTAATTTTAAATCTTCTATTACAATAGTTTCATCAATTGATTTGGAAAGAAAATGGCATTTCCAAAGACAATAAAAACTGGAAATGTTTCAAACCAATTGCTAAACTTATTAACCGTATGAAAAAATACGATATCGTAGAGGAGAAATTATAAAGCATACCTCAACAGTGAAATTAACTAGATACAACAAGTTAGTAATCGATTCATTCACAAATGAACGAGAATTGCAAAAATTCCACAGTTTTTTGTGTTTTTTTTTCAGATCAACAATAATACCAATGAGCTACGTATTATCTATGAACAGCAATAGTAGAACAAACATACCCATTGTGAATAAATATTTTAATTAGTGATTATTGAATATATTATTTGTTAATGTATTTAACTTTGATTATATATTACAAAAACTCTTGCCAAAAGTTAATTAATATAACGAAGAAAAAAAGAGAAAAAGAGGAAGATTTAACTAGGTAAAAGTAAGAAAAAATTTTCGCTCAATTTAAGTGAATTTTTTTGTTTTTTATATTTGGAGAAGAAACAAACTGGCGACAATTTTTTTCAGAAAGTGTCCAGAAGCAGAATTGAGTTTGCACTGTTGGCCCATATAAAACATGCGCGGCCTTCGGACTGCTGTTGCAGGGTCACAGTACACTCCAGCACACACGCGTATATTCCAGAACTCACGTGTAATACACTGCCAATGCAGTGAGAATAGGTGGTAACCGCATGAGATTGCGTGTGCGTGCGTGTTGTTGTTTTTACTGGAAGAGGAAGGAATTAGAACTATGTAATGGTGAACAAGAAAAAGAGAAAGAAAGCAGTGAACATAAAGTGGTTGAGAGTGTGGGCTATTAGTTCTCGGTTCCAAAGACCTTAAAGTTCACAAGAATTTTGAAGTATTCGTTCATCAACTCGCCAACGCCGTTGTGGTTGGTGGCATATTTGGCTTGGATTTGGTTTTGGATCTTGACCAACCCTTCCTCTCCAACGGTTTCCTTCAACGAGCTGAGGATGAGTGGGTTGAACTCCTTGTACCACCTGTGATTCCATACAGCAAGCTTGACGCTCGAGTCGATTATCTTGTCTGTAAGAATGCTTTGTGCTTTGGTAATTTGCGAGAGTGATGTTTTAATACTTTGAATTTGCAAGCTGTTTTCATTTTCTGTGTCTCGTGAGCTGATCAATCTTTGGTACTTGAGTTGCAAATTAAAGCTTTCTTTGTTCAATTTCTTCTTTTCATTTTGATAATAATTTAGTAATTTCTTGGTACTCTTGATCGAAAATCTACCTGCTAGGGCATTGGAGAACGCTGTTGATGCTTCTTTGTAATTGTGCAATCTATAAGCAACCATACCTAATAGTTCCCATTCTAAAGTGTTTTTCTTGTATAGCATTCTTTGAGCTTGAAAATGAACAAATTCGGCTTGCCACATTTTATATGTTTTCAAGTCTTCGTAAAGTAGCATGAATAATTTATCTAGCCATCTTTCACATAATCTTTTCTTTTTAAACGCTTCGATGATGTTACTTTCTTCATCCAAGCTGATTCTGGTATTATTTGACGTACTTGTTTTCAATCCATTACCATTACCATTACCATTACCATTACCATTACCATTTTCTAATTTAACAGAATTACTGTTATCACTCAATGGATTCTTGTCTTCATTGCTTAACTTGTGATTTATATCACTACTGACACTTTTTCTTGAATTAACTTTGCTAAGTTCATTATCAATATCATTTTCGTTAACATGTTCACTAACATTTTCTAATAAGCTGTTGTTGCTTATGCTGGTAAGATTATTTTTGAATTGTTTTGATAATTTTCTCGTGTGGGAAAAACTTGTTCTTGAATTATTGCTAGATAAATTTGAAGTGGAGACTAGTTTATCCTTTCTATATTCCTCTTCCATAACAAAAACTTTTGCTCTGTATTTTAGTAGCTGTTCCCAGCCTGTTCTATGAGCAATTTCTGTTAAGAGGCTATATGCTTTAGCAAAAGTTGAACTGAGGTTTGTTGCAGGTAGGTTCAATAAAGAAGGATCAATTGATTCATGTTCAATTGCAACATCTTGAGAGTTTAGTGATGTGACTTCTTCAAGGGTAACATCATTTGGCAATGGCAAATGCATGAATTCAGGGGAAGTTGATACGACTCTTTTAAGTCTAAATTCTTGTTTATGTGGTATTATTGGACATGAGTTTAGTGTTAATAAAGCATTTTCATAGTCACCTAGTTCTGTGTAAACTTTGACTAAAGCTGCCCAGGGCTTGAATTCAGATGGAGAAGCCTTGACAGCATGAGTAGCACAGGATAAAGCAAAATCGTATCTTTTTTTTTCTAAACAATAATTGGCTTGAATGATTAATAAATTTGAATCTCTTGGTCTCTCCTGAATACCATCATATAAAACTTGGACCGCATTTATTTCGTCATTTTTCTTCAATAGGATCTCTGAGATTAGTTTTATTACACTTGGTTCTCTATCTAATAGTCTATAGCAGATTTCTAGACCTTTGTCATATGAGTTGGTCAATTCAATTGCTTTTAAAAAAGTATCAACTAGATAATTTGATACGTAGGTTGGAACTTGAGTTTCGACATCACAACCTAGTTTGGGACCTTGGAAAAATAAGACTTCAAAACCCTTTAAGAACAAATCTAAAGATTGGATATTATCAAAGGGGTTTAGATGTCTACACTCAACAACTGGGTTGATATCATCGTCGTCGTCAATTGAGGATAAAAGAGACCTCATAACTGAACTAACATAGGTTTCTAGCCAAACCAATTCACTTTCTTGAATTCTTTCATTTTTGGTGTCTAAGATCAAAGTGTTTGATTTTCCGGGGTAGTGAATATTGACCCTGATATCACATTTGGAAAAAGCGTTATAACACGAATAAGTTGCAGATAGGATTTTCCAATTTTTAAATTTTCCAAACCACAATTGTTGGCTGTCGCCACCAATAATCATGGAAATTGAATTTAAATGAGCAGCAATTGATGCGGAATTCGAAGTGTCAACACCAGTGTAGTATAAAAAGGTGCTGATTTCATTTTTGGATGATTTTGAGTTTTTTGAGGAATTGGGAATGTGTTTGACTAATTGAACGAGATCTGGTGGACCTAAGTCGTTGATTTGTTTCAATCTATTGAGTCTTTCGTCTAGACACTGGCCTGGAGATATTTCTTTAACTCTGTTGGAACATGGAAGCACGAACAAAAGGGCAATCACAGTCTACGTCAAGAACAGGAAGTATTGTTTTGACAGTGAGTGATTGCAAAAAGATGGGCAGGAAGCTGTTAGTAGGGCGCTGGAGGCAACAGAAAAACACCAGAAAAACATACTCAGGAATTGAAGCCTGGGAGGTGAGAGCCATGGCGTCTGTTGGAGGTCGCTGCTGGTGCCAGAGAAAGAGAGGCCTGTGCTGGATCTGCTGCCGCTGCTGCTTTGAACAAGTTTCCTGTTTCCACACAGCCCCCGGAAGTTTGCACGTGGATTCCGACCGACTGGTGTTTTTCAGCGGTAGTGCTTTTGGTGTTGGTGGTGCTTTTGGTGTTGGTGGTGCCTGTGGTGGTGAGACAATGATCTATCCTGCTGTGGTGGTGGCCTTTGGGGCAAAGCTTTTGTTGCTCAGCTGGTTGAACAGCTTCTCCAGCGATGTGTTGGACAACTTTGTTGAGCTCTCGACACCCATTACCAGCTTCAAGTCGTTAAGAGAAGGGTTGTTCTTGCTCAACAGCAATGGCAACAGCACTGGTCTGTTCAGGATAAGCAACGATTTGAACATCTACGATGGGGGGAATGTTCATATTCCTCCTATTTTACTTCATTTGTTGAAGCACTTTGATACTCTCCCATGGTTGAATTTCATCTACTGTGTGCTTGATTCCCTCATGGTGTTGATGTTCATCAACATCAACTTGAAATTCAAGCAGCACTGTATCAATTTCTACTCGAAAATATACAAAAAATTGATCTTTCTAAACACTGATAATAACAATATTTACAATCCAAATTTGCTTTCAACAAATAGCACCCGATTCAATCTGATCTTGATTCTAATATACTGTTTCAATCCGTTGAACTTGGTCTCATTATTATCAAAATCTTCGATTATCTTTTCGAATTTCTTTTTAACTTTATCCATATATTCAATAGTCAATTTAAGCAGCTATGAAAGTCTAAGCCTTATAATTTCAACCATTTCTTTATCGATTTCAGCTTATCTCTCGTACAACACTTTATTCTTGATTATACCCTTATTGTCAATTTTCGGTACAAAAAAATTCAAAACTCTTTTCATCTTCTTGCTATCATGCTCTTCATTACTACTAATATCGTACTATCTTAACCAGTGCAATCTCAATTTCTTGGATTCAACTTACGGCATGATTATACTATTCAAAAAGATCCAGCCAAATATTGGATTATGGTGGTATTTCTTTATCGAAATCTTTAAATTTTTCAATGATTTCTTTATTGGCGTATTCAACATCTACAATTTCATCTTCATAATCCCAATAACAATCAGATTCTCCAAAGACAAAGAAAATAAAATTGAAAAAATTTACTCATTTATCTTAATATTTGGTATTATAACCCTAACTAAAAGTTACTTGACAATAATCGATTTCAATTTCGTCTTAAATCTATTAGCAATCTTGCTCTTAAACATCCCGTTATTAATCAATTACTTGAAATTTCCAATAGTCTCAATCTTAATCATAATACATTCAATTATTCTAAGTCCGATTTTCTATTATCTATGGATCTTTAATGGCAGCGGTAATTCTAATTTCTTTTATGCAATAAATCTAGTCTTTTCAATTGGTTTTACGAGCATTTTAACTGATTTAGTTTGGAGTTACTTATCCTTAGAATACTTGATTGAAAACAAATTGGATTCAAAAGACGAGTTCACTTCATTTGATCAAGTTAAATATCGATTAATCCAATATTAAAAAAACAAAAAAAAAACAACATCAAGACATCAAAATGCATCCCATGTTTCCTAATTACACACCACCCTAATATATTATACAAGTAAAAGCTTATAAACACCAGTATATAGCTATAGTAAACTTGATACATGCCCAATTTTTTTTCAACTTTCTTACTTTAAAATAATAATGAAACCGATTATTATTACTCTAAATGATCAATTTTGTAATTGTAAATTGTAAAAGTACTGTTTTCAGAAATTACATCGACTCAAAAAATTTGACACAAAAACTTTAAATAAAGATTCTATCTAAAATAAGTTCAAAATCGATGAAAATTTCCATGCTGCTATTCTCTCTTCAAATAACAATGATAACTAAAATAATGATTAAAATAGTTATATAATCAACGGTTATACCGATAATGCTGAAAGATTAAAATCAACTTGATAAAATGAAATAATATACTACGTTTTTTTTATCTCTTGTAGACAGTTCTACTTCTTGGTCTGCCTAATGGCTTTGAAATGTTGTTATTATTATTATTTTTGTTGTTGTTGTTGTTTTTATTATTATTAACATTGATGGTATTGCTATTGGTGCTATTATGAATTTTATTAAGGCCTCTATTAGTAAATCTTTTATTACCATAAATTCTTTTTTGAAGTAATTCATTTCTTTCTTGTTCTTTTTTTAGTTTCAATTTTTTTTGTAATTGTTCTTTTTGTTCTTTTAGGGCTTTCTCGTTGAGTAGAGTATTATGATAATTGTTTAGTTCGTTAAATTTTTGTAAATTTTCATTATAATTAAACGAATCGATTGATTTTCCTTGCCATTTTCTATTGTTAATACCGCTAACGCTATTGATATTGTTGTTGTTGTTATTTGACAATAATAATTTGTCAATATGAATCATTTGATTTAAAATATCAGACCAGTAATCAATCAATTTATTACTGCTTTGTAAATTATCCTGTATTTTATTGAAATTGTATTCTGTGACAGTCATTGATTCGATCAAATTCTCAGTGAATTCATTGACCAACTTGAGCTGAATCAACTCTTTGTTTAGTTTATTTTGGTATCTCGAGCTGTACTCGTACTTTTGCATTATCGATTTAACATCGTGTTTGTTTTGATTTTGATTTTGATTTTCAATCTCAATGTCATTAGAATTAGTTTTTTCATCATAGTGGGCGTCGCGATTGGAAGCCAGGTTCTGCTGGTCCTGGCCCTCGTTGTCGTCCAGCTGAACAGAATCAGTGGGTGGAGCACTATTCTCGATGGTGTCGTACTTGGTGCTTTTTTCGAGCTCACTGATGGTGTTTTTCAAGTTCCTGATCTGGACCTCCAAGTCCTGTGTTCTGGAGTACTCTTCGCCTATCAAGTCAGACATTTCTGTTGCATTTGCCTCTTGTGCAGAACCTCTTTGGAAGAGGCTCTTCTGCCCCAGAGAAGAAGAGAAGCTGTATCTTCTGCGAGAAGCACGTGCGTTTTTTCTTCCTGTGGTACTTTCGCTGTGAGGAACGAGCTTCTTGACGACTTTTAGCTGGAACTGCGTCGTGTGGAAGAGAGGATTCTGATGGCAATGGAGCAGCCTGTGCAGGAGGATGTGCTTCCCACCAGATGGGAGGTGGAACTAGAGGTATGGCAGTAATTTTGTGCTACATTGCATGGTGTCGTTTCTTTTGGTTGCCCAAACTAATACTTTTTGATTACGGTTTATCAGTTTGTGCAATCGTTGGCCAATTTGAATTATCTCAATTATCTAGCACAGAATAAGTATCTTGATGATCTCAGGTTCATGTCGTATTTGAATTACTTGTACAATTACTGGTCCTTGCCATCAAATGCAAAGTTTTTGATTTATCCAAACTGCTTACAAATTCTACATTTGCTTTTATTCTCAAAGGATGATTATTTCAAGAACCATATAGTTCAAAGAGAATTTGCTGACACTTTTATGAACCAAATGGTTGAGAATTGGCAAAAGGACAAGATATGAAAGTGTGTATACTTTTCTTTGTTTTGCGGACAGTTGTGAATTGAAATTATATATAAAATAATATAAAATAATATAAAATAATATAAAATAATATAAAATAATATGATATAAATGATATCTTTGCTATGAATTAGATAATAATCTTTCATTTTGAGAATTGATATTGCTAATTGAATTGAAATTCTCGTATTTATTCAGTTTTATTTCTCTTCGTAATTCATCAGCCAATTTGATGTCAATCCCATTTTCGAATATTTTTCTGATATTTTCCAACGCTAGGCCGGTTGCATCAGGATAGTAATTGTATATTCCAAACCATCCAAGAAAACAAATTAGGGAAAACAATAGACATGTAAAGCTTGGATTGGTGTATTTGATTAGAGATAGATAAGTGGAGGAGATTAAAGTATTGCAAATCCAGTTTGAGCTGCTGATTAGAGTTGAACCGATACTTCGAGCTTCGACTGGCAAAAACTCAACGCTTGTCCAGGGAACAGTGCCTAAACCAGAAGCATAGGAGCCAACAAATGTGATTATGGATATTAGTAGGATAACGTATTTGTAGTGGTCATTATCGATGTCGAGATTGTTATATTCGTCTGATTTTAGAGATAGATAGACTACTGAAGCCACAAACAAGGAGATTGACATTATCCATACAGTGTATAGTAGTAGTTTTCTTCTTCCTATTATATCAATTAGGAAAATTGGAATGAAGCTGAAAAAAAAGTTACTTCCGGCAATGAAAATGGAAATCAAAATTGGATCATTGAAACCAGTTTTCTTGAAGATTGTAGCCGAGTAATACATGAATGCATTGAACCCACATAGTTGTTGGAAACTCATTAACGAGATTCCTACTAGTAACGCTCTTCTTGTGCTGAGTATTTTGAAAGTTCTGTCATACCAGTTTTTCTTGGAAAGATTTTTGTTTCTTGAAACGTCATTTTGGATTAGTACAATTTTGTCGTGGTACTGGCTTTCTTTGGCGTGAGGAAATAGTTTTTTTAGTGACAATTCAGCCTTTTTCAATTGACCAGTTGAAATCAAAAACCTTGGTGATTCTGGCATGAATTTTGAGATGAGTAGAAAAACCAAGGGGGGTAGCCCAGAGATTAAGAATAGCCATCTCCAGTTATTGTTGATGTTTTTCAAGTGGTTTGAAACTAGATAAGCTAAGAACTGGCCCCCAGTGGTCGACAACGAATTCAATGCGATTAGCAATCCTCTTATCTTTGATGGAGACAATTCAGAGATGTAAATTGGAACCGAAACAGAAGCCAAACCAATAGCAACACCAGCGATGAATCGTCCAATAACCAAAAGCAAAACAGAGGTTGCCAACGACATTTCAATGGCTGCTAAGATGAAAACAAGGCAGCATAGGACGATGGTCAATTTTCTGCCAAATCGCTTGATATCAGAGGTCAACCCAGCAGCTATTGAGCCAAGCAAGGCACCAACAGAAGTTATAGAGGTAATTAACTCTTTGTCCCAGGAGCTCAACTCTCTGCCCAAGTCGTTGTCGATAAGCACCAAGCAGCCTGAGATGACACCGGTGTCGTAGCCAAAGAGGAGGCCACCAACAGTGGAGCAGACAATGACCAAGATGCCAAAGATGCCTATGGGGGTGTCCTCGATGGTGTCGTAGTTGTAGGAGGAGCTCAAGGAGAACAACGAAGCAGTCGACTGGCGACGAGGGTCGTGGGCATTGGGATCGATGCTGGGGCCTGTGTGGGCGTAGATGGAGTGGTTGGCGTTGAAGGGAAGTCTATTGGGGGCAGGCGAGTAGTCGAACGAGGCTCTGGAGGGGGTTCTGGCGATGGCAGCCATGGAGAAAGAAGCTGGAGAAGCACAGGCAGCACAGGCAGCACAGTGATGGAGTGCTGAGATAAGCCCAGCGCTCGGCCGACAGAAACTGAAGCTGAGAAAAACCTCTTCTTCCTCTGTTGCTTCTGGAGTACTGCGAAGATGAACAGCTTGCTACGTTCCCACATCTCGTTAGTGTCGCTTTGCTGCCTCAGAAACACCTCCAGAAGCTGGACCAGGGGCTCGTTGCCGTCACTGCTCTTCCAGCACAGGCACTACGCCAGACCCAGCAGAGCCATCTCTCTTCCCAAGGCCTCGCCCAAGATCAGCTTGCCTACCTTCATATCAGTGGCCAACCTAGCCAATCTCTTGAACGTCAGATACGCCAGTCTCCAGCGCTCCTTGAAGAGCTTGGGCTTTTCTGCCAATGAAACCAAAGCTGACTACATATTGGACCGAGAGACGTCCTCCTTGGTCGCCAATGAGTTTGGCTTCGAGGTCGCTGAAGGCTTCAGCGAAACCTCTTCTTCCTTTATGGATCTCAGGCCCTCTCCTCCCTGCCATGATCCCAAAAAATTGAAACCAAGGCCTCCAATAGTTACCATAATGGGTCATGTCGACCATGGAAAGACAACTATCTTGGACTACTTGAGGAAATCCTCCATAGTGGCATCCGAACATGGTGGTATCACTCAGCACATAGGTGCTTTCTCATTCAAGACCCCACAATCCAAAAAGATGATTACCTTCTTGGACACCCCAGGACATGCTGCTTTTCTTAAAATGAGAGAAAGAGGTGCCAACATCACTGACATTGCTGTGTTGGTCGTCGCTGCCGACGATTCTGTCATGCCCCAAACAAAGGAAGCCATCAAGCATTGTATAAATGCAAAGGCAAACATGATAGTGGCAATAAACAAATGTGACAAAGCTGATGCCAATCCAGAAAGAGTAATACAAGATCTAGCCAACAACTCTGTCAACGTTGAATCATTCGGTGGTGAAACACAGGTCATTGAGGTATCCGGTCTAACTGGCTTGAATATGGACAAACTAGAAGAAGCCATCATAACTCTTTCTGAAATTATGGACTTGAAAGCTGAAACTAAGGGCCTACCTGCCGAAGCTACAATTGTCGAATCTCAAGTCAAAAAGGGTTTGGGAAACGTTGCAACTTTAATAGTAAACCGGGGCAATTTGGTCAGAGGTGATATACTAGTCTGTGGAAAGACTTGGTGCAAGATTAAAACAATGAAAAATGAATATGGCAAAACAATCAAATCGGTTACTCCCTCAATGCCTGCTGAAATCACTGGCTGGAAGGACTTGCCTGAAGCAGGGGATATCTGTATCCAGGCTAAATCCGAATCTATTGCTAAAACCATCGTCTCAAACAGAATAACAGAAGCCACTAAATTGAAAGATCAGGAATTGGTCACACAGACAAATATTCAAAGGCTAGAGCATTCAAAAGAACACGATGAAAATAAAAGAATCGACAAAAGATTGTTAAAACTATCAAGATACTCTTCTGCTACAAATAAAGTTAAAGACGAAAAACACGATGAAACAAAAATCGTGCCCTTTATTATTAAAACAGATGTCAGTGGCTCTGAAGAAGCTGTTCTTCAAAGTATCTCTGGGATAGGTAACGATGAGGTCCAATCTCAAATTATTCACAGTGATGTTGGTCAACCAAACCATAGCGATTTGGATAGAGCTGAAATTTCTGGTGCTCAAATACTTTGTTTTAATACTCATATTCCAAAAGATATTGCTCATGAGGCATTTATTCGAAAAATTAAGATATCAGAATACACAATTATTTACCGATTAATTGAAGATGTTACTGATACCCTATCTTCCTACTTGAAACCAAAAATCGAGACAACAGTCAAGGGCCACTCTACTATTCTACAAGTGTTTGATTATACCCTTAAGAAAAATAAAAAAATTAAAGTTGCAGGTTGTAAAGTTGAAAATGGTGTTATGAAAAAAAATGTCCCAGTTAGAGTTCGCAGGCTCGATAGAATCATCTATAAAGGCAAGTTGACCAGCTTAAAACATTTGAAAGAAGAAGTTAGAGAAATTAAAAAAGGGAATGAATGTGGTATGTCTTTTGAAAATTGGGAAGATTTCAAAGCTGGTGATATCGTTGAAGTCTATGAAGAAAAAGAAATTCGTAGATTTTTGTAATCAATATTCTAAAAATTTATTTTGTATATATGCCAGTATTAAGAAAAAGTTTCTTTGTAAATAACTAAATATTATGTATTATAATTGGCTCAAATTTGTGCTATTTCTCTTTTTTATTTTTTTGGTTATTTTTTTGGTTATTTTTTTGGTTTTTTAAGTGGTTCGTTTTTATAAATTATCCATTAATTGTCCTTAATAAAATAGAGATACGCCTAAATTTTATAGATTCATTAAAAAGTAAAAAGAAAATAACTAATAATGCAGACCTAAAATCAAAATATTGTAATAAAAAAACATCTTTAAAAAAAAACAATTCATCATCAAAAAAAGTAAAAAATAAAAATAAAGAAAAATAAGCAAATTAAAAGCAAATAACCAAAATAGACTAAAAAAACAAACAAACAGAAAAACACACAAACAAACAAACAAACAAAAATAAACTTGTAAACTAAATAACAAAACAACATCTATAATAAAAAAAAAAGAAAAGAATTTATGAAAAAAACTCAAAAAATAAAACAAAGTAATCTTCTAACTAAAATCATATATTTCCATTGTTGGGCTTTTGCAGTAAATCAGTTGAGCTAATGATTTTGTCAATACTAGGCGTATTTAAACTATTGGCATTATCTTTAACTGATATATTTTGAAAATCATTTTCCAAATTCACAGCTGAATTAGAACGAGAGCTGTTATTTGCACTAACAAAACTGTTAACAATAAAACTTGACTTTGTTGGACTTTTGGGTTCAGCTGATCTACTTCTACTTCTTAATCTTTTTTTTAACCAACTTTTCTTAGGGCTTGTATTCACATCAAGCAGGTATCTTTCCTTTTCTTTATCTGAAGAACGGGTCCATCTGGAATGTCTAGAATTTTTACCATCTTTTGGGTCTTTAAATTCTTTTGAATCATTCTCTTTTGGATCTAAAGGTAAAGGCAAATTGCTATTTGAGTTTCTAATTTTATTTAAATCTAAATGAGGAAGATGAATTTTGAAACCGGGAGATTTAGGAGAAACACTCAATTGGGATGTATCTTCTTTGGAATTAAAATAATTGTCATTGTTTCTTAAGCCAGATGACAATGGTGTGCTTATGCTACTTCTTGAAGCAAATTTAATATTTTTAGAATCGTTCTGAGACTGATATTCATCCTCACAACCAGATAAAGAGTCGTAATCAGTAATGTTATCATTATCAGATTGAACAGAATTAAAATCATTTGTGATTCGAAGTGAGGACAAATTATTGTTATTTGGATTTTTATGATTAATTCCACCTCGGAGAACAGAAGAGGATAGCTGAACTGAAGATAAACTTTTGCTATGCTTTCTTTTAGTTACTTTTGAAGACAGTAAAGTTAGAGATAGAGCTTCTGTGGAAGAAGAGACTTGAGAGTCAGCCAGAGTAGAATTTAAACTTAAAGGTAAAGTTTTGATTTTAACTATAGGCTTTGGAAAAAACAGGTCGTTTTCATTTGAATTTTTTGAATCATGGATATTATTAGCTGAATTAGAATTAGAATTGGAATTAGAATTAAAAGTGACAGTACCGTTATCAGTAATATCGGCATTATTATTGGTATTATTATTGATATTATTATTGATATTATTATTATTATTGGTATTAGTATTGGTAGTATCATTGTTGGATAAAGCAGATTGTTTTGCTTGAGGTAATAATCTATAAGAGTATTCAATTAAAAATTCAACAATTGCTTGTGATAAAGCGTATTCTTGTGGAGCCATATCATGAGAAGGATGAGATAAAATAGAAGGTTGAAAAATGGCAGATAAATTTTTAGCAGGCATACGATTATTTTTGGAATGAGCGTCAAAGATTGCTAATAAGTCTAGGATATAGAATAATAGTTGTTTTGATAAAGTTGGTAAATTTTTGACTAGGACTTCGTATTCTTTTAGAGCACTTTCGATATCTTTAACTAATTTTTTATGTCTTCTTATTCTTTTTTTTCTTTTTTCTTCTTGTAATTTTTTTTCTTCTTCTTGTTTTTCTAGGTCAATTAGACTTTGGATTGTTGGTTGAGGTTGTAGGGATTGTAGTTGGGATGGAGAAGTGGGTTGGTTAATTTTTTGGAGTTGTTGTTTTTGCGAATGATCATTGTTATTTTTATTGTCAACAAATTCAAAATCGAATTGAGGAGTTTTATTTGAGGGTGAGATTTGATTTTGATTAGTATCAAGTACTTTAAAACTATTATTATTATTATTAATATTATTAATATCATTATTATTAACATTATTATTATTATTATTATTATTATTATTATTATTATTATTAGTAGTAGTAGTAGTATTAGTATTAGTAGTAGTAGTAGTAGTAGTAGTAGTACTGGTACTACTAGTAGTGTTATTATTAGAAGTGTTGTTGTTTGGTTGAATTCTAGAAGATAACTTTGGTTGAATTGGAACAGAAATTAAGTTTTGTTGAGCTGGATTATCCATTCTGTGTTTGATGTATCTTAAAATTCTTGGTCTTGAGCTCAAGGGTAATCTGAAAGAGTCATAGCTATCCAAGGGAATTAGAGGTTCAGGTAGGGAGTTTAAATATCTCCTCAAGAGAGAGGCAGCATCGTGAACAGTGTATCCATTCCAATCCAATTTTTTGCCATAGTCAGGAGGAGTATTGAAGATCAATTGCAAAGATTTGACCCTTTTGGCAGAACCTCCCAATCTATAGATACCTTCAACATCTAGACCATTTAGTTTGAGGAAATTTCCACATTTAGCAACAACAATGGGGATTTTGCCATATTCTAGTAGTTCATTGGGATTATTTGAAGCGACAGAAATCTTTGCAGGAGCTATTTGAATTGATCGTTCAAGGGTTACGCCAAATACGTTTTGTTGGTTTAAAAGATTGTTGTCGTTGTTTATGTTTTTGGAAATGTAGTTATTGATGTTCAAGTTTGTATTATTAGTTTTATGATTTAAAATGTTGTTGTTGTTGTTGAGAATGTTGTTATTAGCCAAGAAGGAATCTCTCTTTGAACGAATTAATTTTTCGCTTGATTTGTTAATTAGAGAGCTTTGAGAAGTTGAGGGATAGATATCATGGGGACGCACATTGTTGGAGGATCTAGAGGCATAGAAGAATTTTGGTCTTGAGGAATTCAAGGACAGGTCAGCAGTGAGATTTGAATTTGTTTTGGTGTTGGTACTTGTGTTGGTGTTGACTATATTAATGTTGAGACTGTTGTTGACTTTCAAATTGTTTGAATCCAAAGACTGAGGTACGTCGTGTTCAAATTTGCTGTTATTGCTATTGTCGTGGTGATCGTCATTAGTTAGCTTTTTGATGGAAGCCCATAGTGAGCTTCTCACAGAAGGATCGCCAGAGCCCATTTTGAATTTGGTAAAAATTAGATAAAAACGGATGGATATGGTAAATTGCAATGAAAAAGGATGATTAAATAGAAAGATGAGATAGGATTATGAAACAGGATTATGAAATAGGATTATGAAATAGGTATGCTGTGGGATGAACAAAGAAATGATGTAGTGGTAAGAATTTCACAAACTCGCTCAGAAATTGCAAGCTCCTGAAATTGAAAAAAAGTAAGCAAGTATTATTGTGAGCTCTGAGAGTTCTAAATGTACTTGGGGTAAAAGCACTGAATAAATATGGAACTAATACGAATATGACAAGCAGTAGGAAAAAAACAAGTGTAAAGAAAAAGATAGGTAGGGAGAAAGATAAAGAAAAAAACAAAAACAAGGCTGGCGTGCAGTGGGAGAGATTGCAGACACAGAGAGTAGGCAGCAAAAGAAGCGATGGAAGTTCTGGTGCAAGAGAAACAAGAAGCTGGATGAGAGACGAGAGCTGGAGAAGAAGCTGAAGAAGCTGGAGAAGCGATAAGATAAGAACAATAGAAGAAGAACCAACGCTGAAATTTGCTCATTTGTGTCAAGTCCCAGACCCCGCAGCAGGCCCCGTGGGGCTAGACCCAGATTTTAGACCCCAGATTTTAGACCCCAGATTACAGACCCCAGTGGCATCCGTGTATGTGGCTTTTGTTGCGCGAAATGACGCATTTGCGTGTATATGTCACGCACAAACGCGTACATCTGCATTGTGCTGCTGCTTTTATGTGTTTGTGCTGGGCATCGCAGAAGGTGGAAATGGAAATGAGTTTGGTGAGTTTGGTGAGTTTGGTGGAAATCAAACCAAAATCCTTTGAGGAAAGTGCGATCAACTTTTCACCAGGTAATAGACCTGTTCTTTTCTGAATTTTAAACTGCATTTTCAATGAATGACACTGGGCTTAGTTGCACTAAAGTCGTTGTTTGATATGATATCGCAATGGCTAAAGCTGGTATCAGTCACTGAGCAAATGACTCCAATTTAGCCATGATTTGAAGGTCAAACACAACTCTGGATTTATTGACTTTTTTGTGGAGGGTCTTTGAAGCTAATTGAATCCATCTGTAATGACTTTTAACATCATTATTTGCAGTTTTATCTGCTATTATGAATTCTTGTTAAAGACCTAGCACAATACATCATCCAGACTTATGATTTCTTGTGTTTATTAGAATTTAAAACAGTGCCCAATGAGTTTTAGTGTCTATCCCACAAAAGATCTATCAGCAAACATGATAAACAAAAACAAAAGAATGGATCAAAACCCTCTGAATCTATATTCTAATCATCTATTGCCGAGTTTTGTTTCAAATTTATCATTGCTCCGCATAACTTTTCAATACAAAAAGGGGAGGTTGAGGAGCTGAATAGTGGAATACTTGAATATGATTATATTAATTTAGCAGGCTCGCTAAATTATGACTTTTCGTATCCTGCACTTGTTATTGATTTTATTCTTCAATGAATACCAATAAATTATTTGCTCTGCTTATTATCAACTAAACCAACTCTATTTCAACACTTTTTTCACGTTTACTTTTTCTCTTCGTTTCCATCAAATGTATTGTAATATCTCATCAAATCTACTAGAACAGTAAAAATAATTACTATTGTTCGCTGTTTCTAATGATTTGAAAGTAACTATCTCATTTACTAAATATAGATTCTAACAGAACTGGCTATTACGGAAAAATTGAGAATTGAAATTCAAAAAAATTAAAAATCTTATAAACAAAAACAATCTTCTGTATCGTATATAATTATATTTAAAAAAATATCCAAAGACAAATCACAATATCCATCCTATAAAAATAAAAGTAAAAATAAAAATAAAAGTAAAAATAAAAATAAAAATAAAAGTAAAAGTAAAAGTAAAAATAAAAGTAAAAGTAAAAATAGAAATAAAAAAACCATACTATCAGAGTTAATAAAATAAAATAAAATAAAATGAAATTTAATGTAATGTAATGTAACGTCAAAATGTGGTACCAAAATCTTAGATTCAGATTCATATTGGTTGAAACCAATTTTACACTATCAATTTAAACGTCGCCACTTTTACCATATGATTGATAATCCCTAGCCATCTAACTGTTTCATCGAAATCATTATCTTCAATCGCTTCGTTCAACCCAGGAAATACCATTCCTTTGTAACCAGTATATCTCCCAGCGGCAAAAACAATGTGTCTAAACCAAGGTCTATTATTCAACCCCTTTTGATAAACAAATGATCGTTCAAGGTATTTCAATTTGAGATTGATTAATCGAATCTTGAATAAAATAATTTCCTTTTCAAAAGGAGGAACCTTATCATCATCAATAATTTTATCCAATTTATCTTGTAACTCAACTGCTTTCTTATGAATAACTTCAGAAACCACTCGAAAATTATTAAAAGTTTTATAAGTTTGGTTAATTAAATCGTATAAAGTATATTCAAAATTGAAATCTAAATCTGTAGGTAAATGATCTAGTTTAGTAAAATCATAATTTGGATGTAAATTATAAAAACCAGATTCCTGGAGTAAATCATTTTTCAATTGATTTGATATTTCATTTTCATCAATGTTATGATTGTGGTTATGATTGTGCTTATGATTGTGCTTATGATTGTGCTTGTGGTTATGATCGTGGTTATGATCGTGGTTATCATTACGATTATCATTATGGTTATCATTACGATTATCATTGTATTGCTTATAATATTCTTTAATGTATTTTGAGATAAATTTGTAAAAAGATTTAATACCATAAAAAGCGTTTGAATAATAATTGTGATAATTTTCAATTAGATTATTTTTCCATCTATTGAATCGATTTTGGTAATCTAAAGAAATCTCATTCCAATCAAAATTTTCCAATTCATTAATCAACTCATTTAGTGAAGTTTTATTTGTAATTGGCTGATCTATCCATTTAATTGGAATATTATCCACAGATTTATTGAAATAATTTGAAATTTGATAGGAATTTTCAATCAAGTTGAATTTCAACACTTGAGATTGAGATAGCTTTAAAATAATAAGACCTAAATATTTGGCTATAGTATTATGATAAACAAAATTTTTGTCCCCAAACTTTTCCATCCAATGAAACGAATCATAATTTGAATGATAATGATATATTGGATCATCGTCTCTTGGTTTGAAACCCAAATCGACCGAGGGAATACCTAGATGTTCAAGAAAGACTGTATAATCACTGCCAGAACCCAAATATCCAATTTTACCATTATTCTTGTGTTTAATGAAATCATTTAGAGTACCACCTTTGGGATAATCAACAAAATTGGCAATTTCCTTTAACAAGTCAAATAATATCGGCGAAGCAGCCAAGTTCAAATGAGTTCCAGCGGTTGCAACATCAAGATTCAAATATGCTACAATTTTTTTTTTCAATAAAGTAGGATACATTTCGCCAAATTCAGTTGAGCCTAGTAAACCGTATTCTTCACCATCCCAAGACGCAAAGACTATGGTTCTTAAGGGTTTAAAATTATAATTTTGTTTTAAATAGTTTAGAGATTTGATGATCTGAAACATCACAGCAGTACCGGAATTTGGATCGCCAGCACCACCTTTGATCCAGGCATCTCTATGATTACCTATGAGGATGATTTCATTTTTAAGGATACCAGGAAATTCGCCATAGATGTTGTAAATTGGAGTAAAATTGTAAGATTGATTGTTGAATAAATTTAGTTTGAAATCCGGGTTGGGGCCTATTGAGTAATCGTAACCAGAATCATACAAGTCGCCTAACCAGTTTTTAAAAGAGTTGTTTTTTTTAGGGTTGAGACCATGGCCATTTAGTTTTTTCAATATCGGCAAGACTTGAGAATAGGAGATGGGTAACGAGGGAATGGAGGGAATAGAGTTGTAGGGTGAGGATCTTTTAATGTTCTTACCCTTTGATGGATAACCAGGAGTAGTTGGGTCACCAGGCTGAATTGATAAGAATTGAACAGAGCCTCTTTGAATATAAGAGGGGTTTCTAGCAGGACCTTGAGGGTAAGGTTTGTAACCATTTTTAATTGTTATAATGTTTCCATCGTCAATTGGATCGTTGTAGAGGATAACAGCAGACGCATTGAAAGATTGAGCAAACTTAACTTTCAAGCCTCTGAAGATTTTACCATATCTGCAAATGACTATTTTATTGTGAATCTCGATGTTATTTTTGAGCAAAAGATTGAAATCATCAATAGTGCCATAATTAGCGTAAACAAAATCAGAAGTTACGTTTCCATTGGCCGAGTAGCCATGAAACGCTGGAATTAAATCGGAATAATTTTGGTTAATTTGGTTAATATTATTGATGATATCAGGGGCATCGTAAGTTGTTGGATCTTCTTTAATTTTGTCTTCAGTTAGGTTTGGTTGATAGAGAGGAGATAAGTCTGAATCTAGTAAAGTTAAAGAATTGTTGACTGGATAATTTAAATATACGCTATATTGATCGATTTTGGAAAGGAGGTTGTGATCATTGAAGAAATTTAGAGTATAGTTGATAAGATTGTGGTTTTGGCCAGCCAAATGTGACTCATTAGTGAAAAAGTGAGAATACTCTCTGATATTTACATTGTCGTCGTCACCCAAGTAGGACAAGTATAGACCTTTCAACTGGTTGAAGTCTCTGACTGGGTTATTGTCGTTATGATGATTCTTGTTGTGGTTGCGACGCTGCTTAGTAATGAAGTTGTTTAGGTTCAAATAGTTATACAAGTCGCTGTAGTCATTTTTGACCGATTTAAGAAAGGGGAGATTGATGAAGAACTTTTTATTAAGATACTTGAGATCAGAATTGTCGCAACCGTAGCTGGCATCGAGGTCGAGCCCATAGTTGTTTAAGTGGAAGAAGCTGATGTTCAAATAAACAAAGTAGCCAAAGAAAGCCAAGATGATAAAGCGCCAAAAGGAGCTACTGGCCCAGTGAACCTTCTGCCTTCTTTTAACAGCGAGCAAGGGCCTGGTGGGGTCGTCGAGCAGCAGAGGAGCCATTGTTGAGCACTGTTTCTGCCTCTTCCTTCTCTTCCTTCATCACTTCCTCCATCTTAACCTCTTCGCACTGCACGTGCCCGGAATTATATCGTCTTCCGAATGCGGTTACACGCTTACCCGGCCACGCGTGACCGTTGCGCACCGCCACAGCCGTTGCGCGCCACGGGGCCTGTGGCCTGTGCTTCCTCTGCTGTCTGTGCTGGATGAGGTGTTGCTACCTGTGCTGTGTGTGGGGTCTGTGCTGCCTCTGCTTCCCGGCGGCGGGCCCCGTGCGCTGGGTCTGGTGTGTGTCGGTGTGTGTCCCCCACTGTCTGTTTCCTGTGTCCCTGCCCTTTTTCTCTCTTTTTTTTCCCTTTTTGGTGCTGATTTCATTTCGTCTTACCATCAATTCTCTTCATCCCTCTCCATCTCTACACCCTCACAATGACCATCAGAAAAAAGCTCAAACGAAAGGCTTCTGCCTCTAACAACGTCTGCAACTCTTCCACTGCTGCTGCTACTGACCAGTCGAGAAAGAAATTGAAACTGTCCATGAAAATGAAAAAGAAACATACTTCTCAATTTAAGATTAATTCCAACAATAAGAAAAGCATATCTAAAAAAATCAAGACTAAAAGTGTGCCCAAAAACATTTCTAAAAACATACTCAACAATAAATTGAACTACACCATAATGAAAGACTACTATTCTTCAGATTCTGATGAAAACTACGATCACGATTACGACCATGATTACAATTACGATTATAATCACAACAATTACAACTACAGCCATTACAATAACTATAAAAGCAATAATATCTTCGACAATAGCCTGTTTTCAAACATGGTGGATTCTGACACAGATTACTCGTCAAATGACGAATCAACTCAAAATGACTTTATCAATTTAAATACCAACATCGTCAATAGCAGCATTATCAACAATATCAACAATATTGCTACCAATAATACTCCCACTAACCCCAGTTTTAATACTAATACGAGTACTACTACGAGTGCTAGTACTACTAATACTAATACTAATACTAATACAACTAACAATACCATTGCCAATAATACTGATGCTAATGCAAATAACAACAATACTGATCCCAATGCTGATAATGACAATTCCCTACTAATAAATGACGAAAAAGATGCTATAAATCTCATCAACAATCAAGTCTTATTTAACCTCTTCTTAACCACTCTATCTCCTCTCACCACTACAAATACCACCAATAATAATGCAAATATTAACAATACTTCCAATATACCAATAACAAATAACAACTACAACGATATCTTTGAAGACGATGTGTCTCTTTCTGAATATGACTACGATCACATATGACAAATATCTCGTCTCAATTTATCGGCTTGTTAACTAATTTATGATCCTTTACCTTCTTCATATTCGTTTTCTTATTTAGTCTCATTTATTTTGATATTCATACTTATACTCACTTATTATCATATTCTCATTTAATTCTCAATTTTATTGTTAATTATCTTTCCCATCCAGCATAAATGTTATCTCCACTGATCTTCCTAATTCATTAACAATACTAATGTTTTTAATATCATCATTTTCATTGATTTATCAATCTTTCAATTCCATTTTGTTTTCTTTTTTTATTTGTTTGTTTCCTTCTTTCTCTCTCTATCTCTCTATCTCTCTTTTTTTTTCCTCTTTTTGAAATAAAATTTATCTTGGTTTAGGATCCTTTATTGTTATTTTTATATTATTATCACTGGTATTGTCTCTCATTGTCCTTATCAGTTTCCTTTTTTTACTTAATAATTTACGTTTTTATATGTTAATATATATACCCCCCTTTATTTCTATTTCTATTTCTTTATATTTATATTTATATCTATATCTATTTCCATATTTATATATTTATAAATCAACTTATCTCTTGTCTCTTATTTCTTATTTCTTATTTCTTATTTCTTATTTCTTATTTCTTATTCTCAAAACCCTGTCTTTCAACCTCTTTGGCTCTCTTTATCGCTTTCTCTGGATCCAAATAATAATAATCCCCAACTCTGTTCAAGTCCTTATCAAACTCATAAACTAATGGTATCCCATTGGGTATGTTAATCTTCTCAATATCCTCATCACTCACTTGATCCTCGCTGATTATCTTAATTAACGACCGAACTGTTGATCCATGACAAACAATCAACACTGTCTTTCCAATCTTCATTTCTTTCAACACAATCTTCTCATAAAATGGCTTAACTCTCTCAATAACCATCTTTAACGACTCTCCTCTTGGTAATTCCAAAATTCCTTCTCTCTCTTTGGCTTCAAATTCTTCTTTCTCTTCAGTTAGCTTGAAATCCTCTTTATATTTGTACCGATCATCCACACTTTTTTCGAATTCCTCCTTCTCAACTAATGGTGGACACCCATTGATATTTCGTCTGTAGTATAAATATTTCTTCTCTCCAACTTGCTGTAATATCTTGGTCTTATCTTCTCCTTGAAACTTCCCATAATGTCTCTCATTCAATCGCCATGTCCTGTAAACATCAATATATAACCGATTAATCTCTTTGCAAATTATCGATCCAGTTAAACACGATCGACTTAATTTAGATGTAATCAACAAATCTGGTTTCAATTTGGCTTTATTGATTAATCTCCCAGCATTTCGAGCTTCCTCTTCTCCCTTTTTGGTCAATAAAACATCAATCCATCCACAAAATTTATTCACTTTGTTCCATTCACTTTGTCCATGTCGAACTATGATCAATTGGTGTTTAATCAATCTATCCTGTCCCATTTTATAGCTGTTTCTAATCATTTATGTTATCTCTTGTTGATTACTTGATTTTCTTTTTGGTTTTTTCTCAATTTATCACTGGTAATACAATTAGTCAACAAAAAAAAGGGCAAAGGATATATGCTCATCAAGTGCTTTGCAACTTGTTTCCACTTTTTGGTCTTTAAGGTTTTCGGAATAATTTAAATTTCCAATCTAAAGCAAACAAAAGGATAAAAAACGTTTACATTGTGTGGGTTGTAATTTGTTGCTACATTGTGCTGTGAAAAAAGTGTGAAATGTTTATACTTTTCAAGCAAAACCAGGTCTATTGTGATAACAGAAACAGAACTTATTAAACAAATGTATATATACAGTTTATAAGCAACAGCTGACATTTTACGACCTAGTAATTAGATTATTAGACAGAATTCCTGTTCCTTATACAGAAGGAAGAAAAAAATAATATTTATAAAATAATTTGTAAGAGAAAACCGATAAATAAGATGGTGTAAAAGTTATAAAAAGAGAAAGAATGTCTATACAACAAGGTCCAACAAAATTTGATAGTTGCATAGGTAAACTTATCAAGAATCACACAATACGATTTTCAAACATATAACTCAGAGCAGGCCTAGTGCTATCAAGAACAGGTTGGCTGTCATGTTCATTAAAAACAGAAGCAATTTCATAATCACTATCATTATCACTTTTATTTTTACTTTCATTTGAGTTACTAATCAAGTTACTATTTTGATTATCATTAACATTTTGGTTAGCATTTTCATTATCATGAGTTGCATCGTCTTTTTTACCATCTTTTTTACCATCTTTTAGCTCTTTGTAATCGATTTCAAAAAAAGAATTGACACTATAATTGCATGTCTCTTGAATTTTATTATCAAGACTTTCACTTAACAATTCAGTTGTATCATTAGCTTCTACAGATGAAAGAATTTCTGTGTCAGATTCATTTGGCATATCAAATTCATCCAGCGTTTCAGATTTATTTGGCATATTAGATTTATTTAGAATATTAGATTTATTTAGAATATCAGATTCATTTGGCGTATTAGATTTATTTGGTGGTATAGCGGTGGCATTGGGAGTTTTTTCAGCGGTTAATTGATTTGAATTTTCAGAAGAATTTTGATTCAACTTTTCAACTGATTTTTGTAACTTTAATACTTTGGTATTTATATCGGTTGGTGTAATTTTGGGAATAATGATTGATAAAAAGCCATGAGGTAACCAATTGATAGAGATATTTTTTTCGTTAATTTCTTGGTTATTCGGAAATTTAAAGGATCTTTCAAATAAGCCGAAATCTATTTCTGAGGCAGTTAAATATTTGTGGATATCGTGTTTTTTGTACATTGAGCCTTTGATAGATAATTCTCTGTTTGATCTTACAAAAGTTAGTAATAATTGAGTGCTTGATTTTGGCGAGATATTGTTAATGTCGTTATTTTTGTTGTTGATAGTTTGAGAATTGACATCGGTTTTATCGTCTATGTCAAGAGTAATTGTGTTTTTATTGTTTTCGTCATAAATAAGGCCAGGTATTGAGAGGATGATTTTGTATTCGTTTGGTTTGTCGTATATGTCGACTTTAGGACTAAAGGGTTGTAGTTTATTAAATGAGGGTTGTGAGATTTTGATTGCGGAAGTGGGTTTCTTTGAAGGAAGATGAGAAAGACCTGAAAAATTGATTATTTGTGGTTGAAATTGCTTGGGTGATTTTTTTTGTTTTTTTCTTTTGCAGATGTATTTTGAATTATTGTTGTTTTTGGTATTTTGATAAAGGGATGAAGACTGTTTATGTAGTTTTGCTTCCAGAAGATCCTTAAGGAGGTCTTTATTATTATTATTATTATTATTATTATTATTATTATTATTATTATTATCATTATCATTATCATTATCATTATCATTATCATTATCATTATCATTATCATTATTCAAATTGAAATCTGGCTTGGAATAATTTAAAGAGGAATTTAAAAGATGAGAATAAGAAGGATAATAAAAAGAACTGGAATAAGATGAGTCGTAATCATTTGATGGGGGAGTATTACACATATAATCAGGATACGAATAAATTCGGCAATTTTTTAAGCCTTTGTACTTTCGATTCCTTTGATTGTTCTTGTAGTAGTTGTGATTTTGGACATTATAGTTAAAACCATGGTCCGGAACCTTTGACATATAGTTATTGTAGTTTTGGGGGTCGCTGATAGAAGAGTAATACTTGGTGTTACTAACAACAAACAACGAAGAAGCATCGTAAGAAAAGTCTGAGCTGTATCCAAGCTGAGCTGTATCCAAGCTTTTTGTGTTGTTTGGAAAGGAGCAGTGAATGTTATCAATGTCCTTGAAGGCATTGCTGTCCCTGTTGGTGGAGATTATGTTGAAGCGAGAGGCGTATTTGGAGATGGCAGGAACATTGGTTCTCGCTAGGTAGAAAGAGGATGAAGGCCCAAGGCTGTCATTTGCATTGAAAGGTACATAATCCATCGTTATTGCAATTAATATGAGAAAAACATCAGAGAGAGACACTTCTTTTATACGTTTTTGATTATTTCTTCATTGAGTTTTAAACAAATAACCACAAGGACTGTCCACTTCAAGAATATGGACGGCTGAAACAAAGTTTGAGAAGTTCCGAAAACTGCGTCATGATGCATGTTCCGACTCACATCCGCAACCAAATCCATAGGCGCGTCTCTCCCGCATTTTATCTGAGTTTCAACCGTGCTGCTTCTGCTGCTTTTGCCGCCGATTCTGTCTTGGATCTGAGACACACGCGAAGACACCCACAGCCAGGTCCCTGTTCTCCAGACTCTTCAGACTGTTCCTGCCTCGTCCACAATGGCCTTCTCATGGCTCGCTAATGGCTCTCTCTGCTTCCAAACCCCCTCAGGCTCCTCAGGCTCCTCTGTCTCTCGCTAGCTTGAGCTGCTCCTTCAGCATCACCAACACCCTCCTTCTGATGCTGGCCCACTCCTGGTGCTGGCTGGACCTGCACTTCTTCGTCGACTGTTGCTCGGTGCTCTTCTTCCTTGCTGTCGACACTGGCCCCATCCCTCTCAAGCTCCTGCTTTGCCTCCTGCTCCTGCTTCTCTTGCTTCTTCCCATCACCAGCCAGTTTGTCCTGGCTGCCCTCCCCATCTTCTCCTGGTTGGCGTTGTTCAACTCCTCCTCCTCCATCTCGCCCTCCTACAGACCCAAGATCCAGGTTTCGGTTTTGCCTTCTATCGAATCCATCCTTTATGGCGATGACTTGAGTAACTCTCTTTCGGTTCACAAGAGCTCTTTGTTGGATGTGTTGGCTTGGATGCCTTATGGTCTTATTCATTTCGTTGCGCCTTTCTTGGTTGCTATTCTCATCTTCATCAAATGTCCACCAAAGTCACTAAGAGTTTATGCCTTTTCCTTTGGCTACATGAACCTTACTGGTGTCTTGATCCAACTTTTGTTTCCATGTGCTCCTCCCTGGTACAAGAATCTCTATGGTCTCAATCCTGCTAACTACTCTATCAATGGAAGCCCAGCTGGTCTCACCAGAATAGATGCTCTCTTCAACCTGAACCTCTACTCCTCCAGCTTCCAAAAGTCTCCAATGGTCTTTGGTGCCTTCCCTTCCCTTCACTCTGCCTGTGCTGTCAATTTAGCTCTTTTCCTTAACCACATCTTTCCCAACCACTCTATCTACTGGTGCTCCTATGTCCTATGGATATGGTGGTCTACAATGTACCTTAATCACCATTACTTTGTCGATTTAATTGGTGGCGCTATACTAAGTTTTCTCTTTTATTACTTTTCTACTCTTTTTCTAATGCCTGTTATTAACCACAACATTCCCTCAAGGTGGCACTACCACAAAATCATCTATCCATCCCTATCAAATTTATTCTGATCTATTCCACATTGTCCTGGAATTTCTTCTTATAAACTTATCAACTATAATCTCTTAAACTTATCTGCTCATAAACTTATCAACGTATCAACGTATCAACTTTTATCAACTTTTATCAACTTTTATCAACTTTTATCAACTTATCAACTTATCAACGTATCAACCATAAACTTATTGCTTCATCATTTCTTGTTCCATCATAGCATACTCTATCCTATCAATGTTATCAGAAACATCAAAAATACACCAAAATATGGGGTTGAATAATCTTAAATCTAAGTTGTTGTTTGCATATGTTAATTAAGGCACTTGGAATTTCATTTACCTTTAAAATGTTGACAAAACGTTTTTTTTCACTTCTTTTTACTTCACATTTTTTTTTTCTTTCCTTTCCTTTCCTTTTCTTTTCTTTTTATTTACCTGGATAGTTTGCTGATGTTCAATTATCAATCTAATCTGTCAAATTCTTTTAGGTTATTCTTCTTAACTCCTTTTACTATTTACTGTTTACAATTTACAATTTACCTTATACAATTTACCTCTTAACACCGCTTCATCTATATACACACAAAACACAGATTATTTATTTATTTATTTATTTATTTATTATTTATTATTTATTACTTTATTACTAAATTATTATGCAATTTTATTAAAATTTACTGTCAACACTATATAGAATAAAATAAAATAAAATAAAATAAAAAAAAAAAAATTATAAAATATAGGTTATAATACAAATGCTTCATAATAGGAAATTTAAAGGAGATAAAACTAAAAAAACTAAAGAAAAGGGGGGGTAAAGAAAAAAAAAAAAGAAAATAATTATTGAAACATCATTGCGATAAAAATTCTCTAATAAACGCTCTAGCATTCTTACAATTAGATGTAACTTTTAAAACATCTTCATCGTATTGTTCTTCTTCAATAATGTGCTTCTCTTGATCTGATTGAATATTCCCAATCAAATCTCTTTCATTGATTTCTTTATCAAATTTTTCAATTTTAAATGCTGACTTAATTACCTCTTCTTGGTCATTTTTATTAACAATATATGGCAAACCTTCAACCACTAATTGATTCAAATTTCGAAAATCTGGAAATTGTAAAATTGAATTTGTCAATTGTTTGATATAATGTAAATTAAATGTTAAATATTCATTATTTAAAACTTCCTCATTCAACTCATTAAATGAATCAGAGTTAAAATACTTGGACTCATGCTTATTAATATCAAGATAATATTTATAATTCAAATTAAACGATTTATCTTGATAAACCTCATTGTAATATGAATTCTCATTGTTTAAACTCGTATTGATTTTATTAATATTTTTTGAAATTCCTGTATCGGTGAATTTATCAAACAAATTTTTGTAAAAATTCAAAAACTCGTTATTTTTTATGTATTTAATTTGTTTTCTTTGATTAATCTCGTCCAATTCATCGTAGTTTTCGTTATCATTAGGCTGATTATTTTGGGCTAAAAGCCTTCTTTGTCTCATTAATCGGAGTCTATTTCTCAAGATTGATTGAGATAAAATACCATTACGAAATACATCTTTAAAATAACCTTTGGTGTTGTTATCGTTATTTTTATCATCGACATTATCATATTTGTTGCAGTTGTCATTGCATGCACAATCGTTTAATTCGCAGTTTGATTGGTTTTTATTGTTATTGTTATTATTATTATTATTAGCATTGATTTCATCTTTGATTAGAAACTTTTCAATTTTTTTCAAGAAATTTAAACAAGATTGGCATTGGCAGTAGTTGATTTGCTTTTCATTTAACAATTTTAATTTTTCTTGAAAGGAAATGTTTTTATGTAAAATGGAAACATATTCAATCATTAGATATTGAAACATGTACCTTGAAAAGTAACCGTTAAGATAAAAATACTTTAATTTTGATATGTTTAGAGTGTGATTTTGGCGATTTTTGAAGAAGTTGTTCAAACAGTTGATAATTTCTCCAAAAATGGACTGATTGTTAGTAGTAGTAGTAGTAGTAGTAGTAGTAGTAGTAGTGGCGGCGGTGGTGGTTTGATAAATGAGATTGTTTGTGTTAAAGTCTAGAATGGGATTTGGGTTACTAAAATATAGGGAAATCAAGTGAATATTTGGCAAGTATTCAAAGGAAAATTGGAAGATTTTGTTGATTAGATTTGAATTTGAAATTTGAATACCTCTCATGTGAAATTCTTCTAAATTTGTGAAAATATATTTGTTATTGTTGTTGTTGTTAGTGGTGGTATCATTTTTCAATAGGAGAGTGAATAAATTGTCATAATAGTTGGTATCATGAACGAAAAAGCTGAGTTTTTTAATGGAGGGATAGCTAATGAAGGATTTAATGAAATTTGATTTTGATAAGATTGAAGAGTAAAGAGAGTTTTTGTTTGAATTTGAATTTGAATTTGAATTTGGGTTTACAATTGTATTTTGGATATGTTGTTCAATATCGAACGGTTCATTATTATTAGCTGTGGTAAGATTTGTATTTGGATTATTGTCATCGTTTTCGTTTTCGTTTTCGTTTTCATTTTCATTAATGTTGATAATGTTACTGTCATCAAAGAATACACTGATTGAGATATTATCGTTCTTTTTGTTCAAGATTCTGTGAAGGTCTAGTAACTTTAGGGTGTTTTCATAGTATAAGGGGGATTCGATGATGGGGATACCAAAGATGTTAACATTTTTCAAGTTCTTGTAATCAAAGTAGGAGGAGTGGATTGAGTTGTAGATATTTAGGGATTTGTTGAAATTGGACAAGTAATTCTGGTCGATTAAGATTGAATTTGAGTAAAGTAAGAAATTTTTCAAAATTTCCGGCAACTGGATATTATTATTATTATTATTATTATTGGTGGTGGTGATGAAAAAATTGAACAACTTTTTAAAGATTAGTTGTGATTTTGAGTTTGAGAATTGGATCTCAGACAAGTTGAAGGAGTTTAACAAGATTTTGAATAGAATGATTTTTGATAGTTGGACGTAGAATTTGATTAGATTGCCATCGTAGAGGAGATCAAAGTCGATGTTGATTGATATTTTTTTGATATAGGTGAATAGTTTTTTGTTTTTCGATAGGGAGGATATAAGGCTGAGAAGAATAGATTTGAACTGGTTCAATCTGTTGAGCTCGTAGTTTTTGAACAAATCATTATAAGAAGGAGAAAAAGAGGGAGAAATGTTGTCGTTGTTGGAGGTATTGTTGTTGAAAATTGGAGAGTTTGTTAATCTTTTCTGGTTGTTATTGACGTTATTCAAGAAAAGCTCGGAGTAATAGGACGTTGATTTGTAGATGATTGGGAAATAGGTCCAATGGTTTGTGAAATTGTTGTGGTTGTGGTTATCATTTGAAGGGAAGAGTAGTTTGAAGTCTTGAATATGGATGTTTTTGTAGAGCTTTTGGTTTGATATCTGATTAAAGAACCTGTTTGTCTTTGATAAACTGATTAGATCAGACTGGTTTAGGTTGTTGATTATCAAGATCAAAAGATGGTAGGGCAAGACAAGTTCAATACTTTTGTGAGCAAGCATTTTATTTTTATTTTTTTGGCAACAAGAGCAGCAGAAGCAGAAGCAGAAGCAGAAGCAGAAGCAGAAGCAGAAGCAGATGGGGGAATAAAGGTATAATATAAGAGAGAGAACGATACGATGAGACTACAAAAGCTTACAAAAGAGAGAAGAAGAAGAGAAAAAAGGTTTGAAGAGACGAAACAAAAGGGAGGGAATTTTGTTGAATTTATATTAAATCACAAAAGATAAAAGAGAAAATATTCCATTATATGCTCTACCCAGCTGGCTATAAATAGGAAGAGTTGCAATTGATATCAGGGCAGATTAAGCGTAACGAGATTTAATCATTTCCATCGCTGTTCACACAGCACCAGTAAAGTTGGCAATGGATTTATCGTTAAAAGTGTTAAAGTATTAAAAGTAAAAGTGAAAAGTTTATCGCAGTTAGACTTTTTCAGTGTGAATAATAGGATTGCAGTCGCAAAAGAGGTCTAAAGCACTCCTTTGAATGTTTTCGCCCTTAATTCCATCGTGGGCATTGGAAAGAGGCAGATCAGTAAGGGCATATTCCAGAATATAATCAATTTGATCAATAAGTGGGAACTAAGTTGGAGCTAAGGTGCAAGTAGGTTGCGACAACATTGAGCAAAGGCTGGAAACGAAAGGACTTCCAACGACAAGTTACAACACCACTCCAAGGTTGCAGCATCGTCAGACACTGCAAGACACTTCCAGACAGAGGACAGAGAGCGAGGGCTGCTGGAGCCTGGATTAATAATTGCTGGGCTGCTGTTGGCCAGCTCAGGCAGCACAGACAGCAACAGAACAGACTCTGGCTGGAGCATTAGTAATGCAAGGGCTGCGATTCGCCAGTAGGTCGTGGGATAAAATGTGTATCAGAGTATATGGGGAACAGAGAAAAAGAAGTGAATATAGTGTGGTTGTGTTTTCAGGATTTTCGTGCTTTTGTGTTTTTTTTGTTTTAGTCTTTTGTCGTTATTCGAGCAGCAAACCTAATGTGGTGTGTTGTGAGTATTACCAGCATAAACAGCCCTGGAGATAGTCAATATCTAGCAAAGAGGAAAGAGGAAAGAGAAGAGAAGAAGAAAAGAGAAGAGAAAAAGAAAAAATGAGAAATATTAGAGTTGGATTTATCTATAAACCAACCAACGCAAAATGTTAATTGAGACGACAATTTAGAAAGTGTCCATTAATTTTACTGAACCTGAAAACCATCGAAGAGAAACTAAAAAGAAAAATAAAAACATACAAAGATATGAGGAAATATGGGGAAACATAAGGAAATAAATGATGAGAAAAGTGAAAAAATAAAGAGATAGAGAAATAAAGAATGATTTATAAATGAGATTAATGAATTTGGATAAAGTTAAATGAGTATGAGTAAGTATGAGTGAGATTGGACGAGACTGGACGAGACTAGAGAAGTTTGGGGGAGTTTGGAAGGAGAAATGAATTCAAACGTATTCAACATGTTCTTTAGCATACTTCATAGCTTCAGAGGCATCGATGGCACTTAGACCATGTTTCACACGAAGGTGTCTGCTTAAAGCATCATTTCTGCTAAAAGTTTTTGGGGGATGTATGGGTTTAACTTTATTCTTTGAGGTTTTTGAGTTTGGAATTAAGGTAGTGTTAGTGTAGTGATTATCATTGTTAGTGCAAGTAGTAGTGTAAGTAGTGTAGTTGTTATTGTCATTGTCATTTTCATTTTCGTTATCGTCATCGTTATCATTATCATTATCGTTTACGTTGATACTGATATTGACATTGCTGCTCTTTTTTAGAATTTGGTTCAAGTAGGATTTGTATTCTTGTTCACAGAGATAGCATCTGAAGATTTTTCTTTTTTCAGCATGAATGGTGTCTTGGTGTCTAATCAAATCGTAAGGTCTTGAGAAGCATTTCAAACATTCTTTGCCAGTCAATGGGTTTTTCAAGTGGCACTGGTGTTCTGTGTTCATGGAGGAAAGAGTATTTATGACCGATGAGTTTGATCTTGATTTGGAGTGGATAATTGAGTTGGAAGCGAGAATGTTTGAAGAGGAGGGAAGAGACTTGGATATTGGGTTTGAGTTATTTGTTAAGGGAGCAGAAGATGAACGACGGTTTTTTCTTTGATTTTTCGAATTGGGTTTGTTTTGCTTTGAGATAGGAAAAGCGTTGATAAAGGGAGAGGAGGGAGAGGATGGGGAAGAAATGGATCTCAAAGACGAGTTATTTTTGTTGTTGTTCTTTTTCCTGTTGCCAAAGGATGGAGAAAACTCGTTGTCGTAAAAGGAAGAGGAGGAGTAGTCAGAGATTGAAGAGACCGAGGAATGAGAATGGGAGTAGGAATGGTTTGAGGATGAGTTTATGGATTTGATGGAGTTTGTGTCATTGAAATCTGATATATTTGCATTGGATAGATTATCGTTAATAGAACTGTCGAATGAGATATCTAAATTGGAAGTATTTAAGAAATGAAAAGCTGAGTTTTCATCATTATCATTATCATCATCATCATCATCTTCTTCTTCTTCTTCTTCTTCTTCATTACCATTTTTATTATTAGCAGTCGTAGTATTGTTGCTGACATTTATATAGTTGTCAAAATCAATTGAATTATTTTCGATATTTATATCATTTGAGTTATTTATGTTATTTATGTTATTTATGTTATTTATGTTATTTTTGATTTCATTATCAATGTGGGTGTCAATATCCATGTCAATGTCGATATCGTCGTCGTCGTCATCACTGAAATCGTCATTTATATCTAGATTGTAATCTGGATCGGAAATGTTCATGTAGAGAGACAAGTCATTGTTGATGTTGATGTTGTTGATGTTGTTGAGGTTGTCGTTGTAATTGAAGTCGTAAGTGTGGTCGTAGTCGATATCACAGATGTTTAATTTGAAATTGGAGTCGGTTGGAGGGGTTAGAGGTTTCAAAAAGCTCAAATTGAGATCGGAGCTGTTGAGGTTGTTGATGTCGTTGTGGTTGAAGAGGGTTTTTGCGTAGCTGTCTGGATCAGCGTATTCGTTGAATATGTGGTACTTTTTGGCGAGGGAATTATTTGTGAAAGGAGTAAGAAGCTGGTCGTGGTACCGGTTGTGGTTTTGCTGGAGCTGATAAGCGTTGTAGGAGTTGTAGGAGTTGGTGAAGGTGGAGGGGGAGTGGGCGTGTGTGAAGGGAGAGCTGGGGATGTTGAAGTAATTGAAGTGAGTCGAGTCGACAGTGTCAGAGCTAGCAAAGACAGGCAGGCTGGAGGTGGTGGAGGTGGTGGTGGGATTGCTGGAGGAGTCCAGGATGTCGAGGGTGGGATGGAAGGGCGAGGAGGCAGCAGGAGGAGCTATAGAGGACAGAGAGAAGCAGAGGTCGTCGTCTTTGGCGTCAGGTCTGTTGTAGAAGGTGGCAGAACTCATGGTGGTGAGAAGATGGGAAAGAAAGAGAAAGAAGAAAGAGGGAGATAGAGGAAGGGTATTTATACTTTCTGAGCTGGGAAATAAGGTTCAGGGAAGGATTAATAATCTGGAGCGTGGAGGGTGTGGAAAGAGAAGGGGGAGGAGGAAGAGAAGAGAGAAGAGAGAAGAGAGAAGAGAGAAGAGAAGAGAGAAGAGAGAAGAGAACACACACAGAGTAAGAAGAGAATGGAGACAGAGACTGGACACAGACTGTGCTGGCTGTGCTTCTCGAGCTGTTTCAGCTGGGTTTGACGTGAGATTGCGAGAGGTCTCAGAGCGATGGTGGTGAGAAGTAGCAGGAGCTGATAGTCTCCACCAGATGGTCAAGAGATTCAAGAGGTGCTGCTCAAGAGGTGTTCAACAGATGCTGCTCAACAGCCCACTACTTGGTTATCAGCTACAGCAGCTCCAGGCTATCAGAGCCCTCGCTGATTGGTGTTTGAAGGTCTTGCGAGTGATTGCTATTCCTTTACTTATCGCTGTTATCTCTTATCTCCCCATTACTCAACACTCAACACTCAAGTGTATTGCTATATAATGCCTCTCTTTCCACAGCAGTCCCAACACAGTTCCAGAGCACTTCCACAACAGCTTCAAACCACTTTCAGCTCCTCTGTGTGTTTTTGAGACATGCAAACTTTATCCACTCATTTCAGCCCAATATTCCAGTGTCTCTAAGCAACTCTAAACACTTTCAAACGATTTTACCTCTTTCTGAACTCTTATTACTGAAATTAGATGTGATCTCACTATCAAGGCTCTCAACACTGCTCGCTTCATTTACTTCATTAGCCTGAGTGGTTTCATACCTTATTATCCCTTGTTCAAGATCCACCTCAAGATTATCAATCTCACTATCAACAACACCATTACTATTACCATCAGTATTACTATTGTGATTATCACTCTCGCCTTTAGGCTTTTTTCGATGAAATTTAAGATTTCTAGAGTTGGTTATCACTCGACTCAACACCCTTCTCATTCCTCCACTCAAATATAACTCCTCCAATTTCTTTTCATCCAGATCCATGTCCAAATTCTCATTCTCATTCTCATTCTCATTCTCATTCTCATTGCCATTACCATTGCCATTTGAAGTGTTGTTCCTATCACTACTACCACTTTCATCTCTTTTGAAAAATGCTGAGGCTATTGTTCGCTCTCTTGCTAATGGCTCTCCCATCCCATACACAGGAAACACTCCTGTTGGTGATCTCGTTAAATTGGACGAACCATGCATAGACCTTCTCGTATTCAATCTCATTACAGAGTAATCGTCCTTTTCACCATTGCTAGCCATCCGAACAACTCTGCTATCCACACCCAACTCAGGCTGTTCATCCTTCATCTCAAACTTTGGCAACTCCAACGACTCGCTATCCCTCTCAACCACATACAAGTGCAAATAAAATGGTATCAATAGCCCAAACACAACTCCCCCAATTATATTCCCAATCGATCCCGAAATCAACACGTTCACAACATACTTTTGAATCTTCACAGAATAATCCACCATTTCATTCCCATCCCCATCCTCATCCTTATTATAATAGTAGTAGTAGTAATTAAACAACCCCATTGGACACAAAAACATATCAGCAACTGAATGCGTAAACCCCATCGAAACAAACGTGAAAACCGGCAACACCATCATCATCAACCTCACATGGATAGGCTTGCACATAATTTGCAAATATATCGCTATCGAAACATAAAAGTTCCCTGCAATTCCCTTGATAAGATTCTCACCGAAACTCGACGATATCTTATCCTCCAAAATCTGAATCGACCCAGCAATCATCATCTCACTCGACGTCACTTTACTCAACTTGCAAATGAAAAAACAAATAAACAAATTGCTCACTAAATTAAACACCCAGCTCACCCCCAAACTGATTACCAAATCAATCACTGAAATCGCCTTTCTCAACAACCCAACCGAAAAAAATAAAATGTTAGAATTAAATAAATCAACCCCCATCAACACAACATAAAATAACCCTATCGGATAAACTAGTCCTTGCATCAAATGAACCATCCCCGGATTCTCCTTGTAAAGCTCAGCATTGTTCGACTGAACCATCAAATGCAACATTCCCCCAGTCGAAAAAAGTGCTCCTCCAATAATAGAACTAATTATCAACGTTATCAACTTCATTCGGCTCTTTTTCATTGCTGTTGCAACCAATGCCAAAGCTGCCTCATGAGGTGATAAATAATACGTATCACCACTCATTATCTATTACCAAAGAAAAAACCAAAAAAGCTAAAAAAGAAAGAAAAAGAAAGAAAATCTATCAATCAGTCAATCAATCAATTAATTCGGAATATTATTATAATTATTGTAATAATTATCGTAATATTTACTTTTATTACTGAATACTACTAGTGAATATGAATAAATATGAATATTGCTTTACTAAAACTCCGATTCTTCTTCTCCAGTTTGTTTGAAACTGTTTAATATATATTATTTTTGCATATTTATCTTGCTAATATAGTCTCATTTCACCACTCTTTGATTCAAATGACTCTCAATTAAAATTCAATCCAATTTTATAGATTCTATTTCAATCTATTCGTGATTGCTTTCTCACATTATACCGATAATCATATCGAGGCCTTCCTCAAATCAATCGGGTTTTCGCGCCCATATCCACCCTCACTGCCCTACGGCACGCTCTTAGACAGCCCCCCTCCACTTACTACTCTAACACTGGCCTGCTTGCAGAGGGTCCTGTTCAACGGCTCTGCCTTCCTGCACAAGACACTCTGAAATGGATATATTCTTCGTTCTGAGCGCTTTCTGACCAAAAGGATCTTTTATCCAAATGGGAAAAAATAAGCGTTCGGCTGCCGAAGGTGTGGAAAAAAACGGAAAACATCTGAACTGAACTGAACTGAAGAACCCATGATTTAAAAAGAAAAAAAATGAAATAAATATAAAGCTACAGCTTTTGTTTTTATTTTATTTTTCAATATCAAGTTATAATATTAAACACCAGCTGATAGGATACAAATCTATAGAATACAAATCAAAGAAGACAAAAGAACGTAAAGATATTTAGAATTGAATATATAATAGCAATCACACCGACATGGCTTAACCACCGAAACCATATAATGTTCTTCCTTGTCTTTTCAATGCATACACAACATCTAATGAAGTGACTGTCTTTCTCTTTGCGTGCTCAGTATAGGTAACAGCGTCTCTGATAACATTTTCCAAAAACGATTTAAGAACGTTCCTAACTTCTTCGTAAATCAAAGCTGAGATACGTTTGACACCACCTCTTCTGGCTAATCTTCTGATAGCAGGTTTAGTAATGCCTTGAATGTTGTCTCTAAGAATCTTTCTATGACGTTTGGCTCCTCCTTTTCCAAGACCTTTTCCTCCTTTTCCACGACCAGACATGATTATAAGTTATAGGTTATTTGTAATGAGTAGTAATGAGTAGTAATAATAATGAATAATGAGTTGTAATAGTAGTTGTTTACGGGTACGAATAATTGTGGTAGAGCTTCTCTCCTAACACAACCTCAGCAGAAATCGAGCTATTTATAAACTCTCTCTTCGCTCTGCTGCCGCTCCCAGAAAACACTGCAATTTAAATGTGCTGAGATATACACCACCTGCGAAACATTTCAGCACTAACATAACGCGCCTTTCTGTTTACTTTTTCATGAGGCGTAAACAAACAAACACACAGCTGCCCTTCACCAACACAATATAAATTATCCTCTTTTCCTCCACTGCTTATCTCGTTCCTTCTACTCATCACACTCGATTATCATTCTACAAGTATCTAATCCTCATCTGTCTCACAATGGCTCGTACTAAACAAACCGCAAGAAAGTCTACTGGTGGTAAGGCCCCAAGAAAACAATTAGCCTCCAAGGCTGCCAGAAAATCTGCTCCATCTACCGGTGGTGTCAAGAAACCCCACAGATATAAGCCAGGTACCGTTGCTTTAAGAGAAATCAGAAGATTCCAAAAATCCACTGAATTGTTGATCAGAAAATTGCCTTTCCAAAGATTAGTCAGAGAAATTGCTCAGGATTTCAAGACTGACTTGAGATTCCAAAGTTCTGCTATTGGTGCTCTCCAAGAATCTGTTGAAGCCTACTTGGTCTCCTTGTTTGAAGACACCAACTTATGTGCTATCCACGCCAAAAGAGTCACCATCCAAAAGAAAGATATCCAATTGGCCAGAAGATTAAGAGGCGAACGTTCTTAAGCTGTTTTCTTAAGCTGTATCTACTTTTCATATCTCTATAACTCTGCTTACTCCCTTTAATTTTTCTTTGTATTATAAATATTCTTTCTCTTCTTACTATCTACCGTAGACCTATATTGCACTCCTTTAAAATGCACGCAACATAATCACTTTAGGTTGCGCTCGGAAAATCGGCACCGAATAACCTTGTGGAACTGCTTTTTTCTTTATCTCTCCATCTTTTCTACCACTACCTGCTGCCTCTTTCTCTTCTGTCTCTTTGATCTCTGTCCCACCTTCTTGTCTTTTCTGTTTCTCTCTCTTAATTGTCCTAATGGCCTATAATACCACCAACCCTTACAGAATCAACTACTCAGATACTATTGATTCCAACTCAGACTCCAATCTACTATCTTCTGAAGATTACATTGTTGATAATAATAATAATAATAACAATTATGATACCATTATGTGGTTCAAAGCAACAATATCCTCTCAGAATGATGGAATTGAAATAATCGATCAACACTTTTCAATTAATGATAAAGTATATGACAATGCTTATTTTGATGATCCTGTTTCTTATAACAAAAAATCCTTTTTTTCTTATTTAAATTTTTGTAATTCCATTGCTATTAATGATATTGAAAACGGCTATAATGATAATGATAATGATAATAATAATAATGATAATGATAATGAAAATTTGATTAAAAAATCTCTTAAAAATTTACCCATTCCAGATTTTATACCTTATCATGATATATTATGGGCAGATTCAATCAATAAAAACAATAACAATATTAATAATAATAATAACAAAAATAATAATGATAATAGTACTTACATGAAGATTAAACTAACCTATTTACGTTTGTATAAGAAACATTTATATCCATCTCATATACACCTTTTATTTGATGATAATATCAATTGCAATAATAATAAAAGTCATTTTAATTCAAAAATAATCAACTATAAAGATAGTTCTAAAAACACAATCACCGAAATCACTTCTTCATCTTCTTTAGATAATGCTACAACTAGTCTTGATCAATTTGATAATAATGATAATACAAGAGGTTTAATCTCCCAAATCTTAAATCTATCCTATAAGGATACCTTTAAAATGGAGAAATCTATACTAATATTAATCAACCCTCATGGTGGTAAGGGCTCTGCGTTGGATATGTTTAACAAATTTAGTAAACCCATTTTGGATTCAATTCCCTGTATAAATTACAAAGTTTTTAAAACCAATTACTATAAACATGCCACAGATATAATTAAAAACTTTGAGCATGACGAGTTATTGAAATTTGATATAATTTGCTGTGCTTCAGGAGACGGAATTCCTTATGAAGTAATTAATGGGTTATATAACAGAGATGATAAAATTGAATGTTTTCAAAATTTGGTCATAACTCAGTTACCTTGTGGTTCGGGCAATGGAATGTCGATATCCTGTCACCATACTAATAATCTTTCATTTGCGACTTTATCATTGGTTAAATCCCCATATGTTATATCTGATTTAATGGCATGTACACAATTAATCAATGATAACCATAGCTATAATGACGATGGTGACGAAGAAGTTACTTTATCATTTTTATCACAAAATTACGGAATAATCGCGTACGGAGATATTGGTACAGAGTGGTTAAGGTGGTGTGGGCCATTAAGATTTGATATAGGAGTTTTGATTCAAGTTATTAAAAAATCCAAATATCCCTGTGATTTATATTTGAATTATTTTATTAATAATGACCGAGAAGAAATTAAAGAGCATTTCCAATTGAACTACGATAGCAATAGCAATAGCAATAGCAATAGGAATAGGAATAGGAATAACAACTCGGAATTAACATTGACTGATGATTCATTTAATTTGAAATTTCCTAAATTGAATAAACCGTTAAATAATAATGATGGTTGGGAGTCATTAATTAATTACGACTTGAACAACCTTGGAATCTTATATACTGGAAAAATGCCTTACATGTCAAATAATGTACCATTTTTCCCAACATGTTTACCGGATGATGGATTAATTGATTTTGTTTACATGAACAGCAACTTGTCGTTTGTTAAGAAAGCTGGATTTTTGTTGGACATTGAAAACGGTTCATCATTGATAAATGAACATGTTAATTACTCAAAAATTAAAGGTTTTAGATTGATCCCAAAAAACGTTGATAAAGATTATTATCTCAGTGTGGATGGAGAGAGTTATTCCGTAAAGCCAATCCAGGTAGAAGTGTTGCTGAAGATCTGCAAAATCTTGCTCAAAGATGGGTGCTTTGCCAAAACACCTATTGGTTGAAACAGAGACAGCAAAAGCAACAGAAGCAGTAGAAACGCTTCAAATACCTCACACTGTATAGACTGTATAGACTGTATAGAACAATTCACTAGACTCTTTTTGTGTCGTTTTCGTTATTTTTGTTTTTGGTCCATTTTTGGTAAATTATTTTCGTTATTTCCGCAAGGAGCCGGAAGCTTCGGCTCTTCTCCGGCAACTTTATCGCAATAGCCCCGAAGGTGCTGGAACCAACCCAACAAGCGATACAAAAGAACTCTTTATTGCTTCTTCTTTTTCTGCTTTTTCTGTTTCTTTTGCTGTTCGTGCCCGGTTGTGTTATGTGAATCAAAGAGCAGGCTTGAAACTTATATATACTGGGTTTTTTCTTACTGTTTTTACTTCCACCATCAATCTAGCAAGCAGAAAATGTTGCCCTTTGCAATCGAATATCCTACACAACCCTTCAAAAGTTACTGGGGCAAGCCAACATCATCGATAGAATTTTGTGAAGAAAATAATGTTATATCTCCATACATTGCAGAGTTCATCAACACTCTTACCAATTCGCTTTATATCGCAGTCTCGATCTACTCCATGTACTCCACCCACAAGAATAAGCTAGAAAAGAGGTTCCAGTTGACTTTTTTCCTATTTTGCGTAGTTGGAATCGGTTCATGGTTATTTCATATGACTCTTCTATATCACTATCAATTATTGGATGAATTACCCATGGTATATGCCACTTGTGTTCCATTTTGGTCGTTATATTCAAGTAACATGACCCTTCGAAATAGAAAATGGTTTGCTGGTACACTTGTTTCAGTATTGGTTGTGTTGACGCTTATTTATATTGAATTGAGAAATTCGATCTACCAACAAGTCGCTTACGCTTTGCTCAATGTGTTGGTTGTTTACAAGTCATATCAGTTAACCAAAAAAGTCGACCGATTGAAATACCAGAAGCAATGGAACCATTTGTACAGATCAATGATGATCGGTGTCTGGACATTCAACTTGGGGTTTTTGTGCTGGAATCTTGATAACATCTATTGCGATTTTTTCATCGAGCTTCGTAGACAGGTTGGTTTGCCCTATGGAATGCTAATAGAAGGCCATGGATGGTGGCACATTTTCACCGGCATTGGTGTCTACAACTTTGTTATCTTCTTGGAGTTTCTCAGATGCTTTGAGATAGGCGTCCAGGATCAGTACGCGTTGATCTGGCACTGCAAGTGCTTGCCTGAGGTTGTGCTCAAGACCAATGTGCCCCAGCAAATGAACAAAAGCAAGAGCTGCTAAGACCCAAAGTCCCATCATAGACACTCATATATATTTCTCTCCTTCTCTTATCTCTAATAAATACGTCCTCGAAAGCACCACGCCGATGGCGACGCTGCATAGAAATGCGCCCCAAAGTGTGGATGTCTGTGGCCAATCAGCGTGGCGGATTAGTCACCCGTCAATGTCGTGCAAAATTGGATCATTTTGAGACCATGCTCAAACACTTATCGTTGCTGTATTGGAACCATATATATCCATCTCCTTTATCTCACGTCCTTGTCTTTATCTGTCGTGCTTGTTCTTCCACTTCTTCTTAAACATGATCAGAATACCCTCCACAGATATTCCTGAAAACTCCTACTCGCTCGTATTTCTTCATGGTCTTGGTGACGAGGGAAATGGTTGGACATTTCTCAAAAACTCCTTCTACGCTCACAATATAACAAACATCAACTTCATATTTCCTGATGCTCCTCAGTCTCCCCTATCTCTAAATTTCGACTTGGACATAACTTCTTGGTACGACTTGAAGTCAATCGAAAACGTGTTTTTTGATGAAGACGTAAATGGCATACTAAACTCCATTAACTTTTTAATATCGTTGATCAACTCAGAGATTCGAAACTTCAACGTCAAACCTGAAAATATCTTTATCGGTGGCTTCTCTCAGGGCTGCGCTTTAAGCATCTTAACTAACTTGTTATTAAATTTCAAAATTGGTGGAGTCATCGCTCTTAGTGGTTACATCCCAATTATCAACACCATATGGGACATCCTTGAAATTAAAAGAATAAAATTTTTAAATTATTTGAAAAATTACCAATTGAATTTAAATTTGCAACAACATTTATTCAGTAACACTACCAGTGCTAATAACCCCATTAATACTAATAACAATACTACTACTCCTACTCCTACTCCTACTGATACTAATACTCCTGCTAATGCTCCTACTCTTACTAATAACATTAACAATAATAATGACTCTACCTCTTTTGACTCAAATGACATAAACACTTACCCGTTCATGGAATCAGATCAACAAATCAAATCAATTCTTAAAAATTATTCAAATCGCTTTAATTTAAACAATAACCAATTATTCCAACTTTTAAGTATCCCCATCAAAAGACCCTTTGATTATGCTCTTCCTTCATCCGATGAATCAAATAACAGCAACAAAAATAATTCAAATAATCCTCATTTACTAAATTTACTCATTCAAAATTTTAATACTCCTATTTTTTTAGCTCATGGTAAAAAGGATAATGCAATCAAATTCAAATTATCAAAACGTTCTAATTTTATATTAAAAGAAGACTTTAAATTACCAATTGTAAATTACTCAGTTTATAAAAACCTAAACCATAGTGCCAACGATCAAGAAATTAACGATATTATTCAATTTGTTAAATTATTAACAACTAATCAATGACATTAACAACTAATCAATGATAAAAAAAAAAAAGCAACTAAAGACTAAAAAATTCACATTTTCACATTTTACTTTAATTTACTCATTTCATTAATCTTTTATCCGGTTGTTTTTAAGTTAGATTATTATTTTCATTGTTTTTCATTGTTGACTTTTGTTGTTGTTTTTTTCTTATTCTCTTTACCATTGACAGGTTTTACTATATTTTATTGATACTTTTTTTTTTCTTTCTCTTTTGTGTTCAATTTTAGTTACTACTCACATCAATACTCTTATTTATATTTATACTTACATAACACTATTCATTTATTAATTCAAATTTTAAATAACATTCATCATACATCGGTCTACTTGTATAACTGTCTGCCATACTCATCATAACTTCATCTGTCTTTAATCCTTCAGATTTCTTCAAATCAATCCCACAGTTGGTTCTAAACTTCTCACTTTCATACCCCATTAAAACATCTCCATTGGTCTCGTTTTTGTTCAAAACATAACACCATTTCTTGTCAATACTTGTCTTAAAATTAAAATAAATCGACGCCAAACATAACTTGATCTCTGTAATAGCCAAATTCATCCCCAAACACATTTTAATTCCTTGTCCAAATGGGAACATGTATTTTTTCATATTAAATATCCTTTTCCTAAACTCTTCCTCTGTCTCATTATCAAACTTTATCCATCTCTCGGGTATAAATTTATTTGGATTGGGAAATATTCTAAAATCTCGATGGGTTGACCAAGGTTGTAATGAAACAATCGTTCCCTTGGGTATATGAACTTTTATTTCCTCTTTTTTCTCATTGTTTAAGTTGACATAATAATCATCGCAATCAACACTTCTTGGTTCAGAGCCTGGAATTGCTGCATGTAATCTAAACGCCTCATCGATAACTGCATTTAAATATGATAATTTGTCAATATCGCTAATCTTTAATGTTGGCAATTTAGGCTTAGAAGAAGAAGAAAAAGAAGAGCTCTGTTCAAAACTATTTAATAATTCATTTCTCAATTTTAATTGAATTTCCTCATTAATTGGTCTCGATAATTGCCAGGCAATATAGCTTAATGTTATTCCAGTGGTTTCATGACCAGCAGCAATATGATCGCTTAATTCACTTGCCGAGGTTAAACCTCTAATATCATTTTGATATAATTTTGAGATCACAGATGTTATGCCAGATTCAGCATTATCATTAAAGATTAATGAATCTTTATTTTTATCAAGATAATTAATCTTCTCTATTAACCAACTTCTAATCAATTTAGAATTGTTAATAATTTCATTTGAAGCAGCAAAATTCCATAATCCTGGCAATAGAGTTGTATAAAACCACATAGATGATTGCTGTCTATAACCTTTTAGTATCACTTCTCTTTGTTGTTCATTTTCCAAAAGATTAGAATTGACTGTAGAGCCTAGCTCATAAAACGTTATAACATCCATAGCTAAAGCATTGAATAAAGAATAAACGTTTATAGATAGTTTTTCATTACTATTAATATCAGCCAGAATTAATTTAATTAATTGCAACATTTTGCTATTTAAAAACTTTATACTCGAAGGCTGATAAATTGCAGATTTTGAGTACAAATTTGTCAATTTCTTTTTAATAGATAAATGATATTTATTATCAATTGAAGAAAACATATTTGGTTTATCATAATTCTGAAAATTAGAATAAAAATCCGATCTTGGTAAATTTTTTTTAATATAAAATAATTTAATATAATCTGGGTCATTAAATGATAACTCATTTGGAGCAACTTGAACTATGGGTCCGAATTTCAAATGAAGTTTGTCGATTAGCTCATTTCTTTGTTCCAATCTTTGTGAATTGTAAATAGGAATTTTCGATAGTTTAAAACTAATCGGTCCTGGTATTTTCCTCAATGGGTTGAGATATAATGGATAAATACAGTAAGAATAAAGAAAATAGAAAAAGATTAAAGCCAAACCAGAAACGAATGGATATTCAACAAGAACACTCATTTTTTCCTTTGAGATAGAGCAGTTGAAAAAAAAAAAAAAAAAAAAAAAAGCCACAAGCATAAACCTATATCCTTATATATTCTCATCAACCAACTGAGAAGTCATCAAAAAAAGGAAAATTTCCGATTGGCGTAAAGACTGGAGAAGATAAGACATTTTCTTATTGCTTGTCTTTTCGCCAAAACATACAGGGGTCTGCAAGAGAGCTTTAAAAACGTGCTTACAGAAGATACTTGAAACCCCTACCCTCGGATGTTGAGTAGTATATGCATGTTAATGCATAAATAACTCTATTAGATTAAAATGATAAAAATGGTTTGTTTATTTTGGATTTAATATGAAAGAATATTAATTTTCAGAAACATTAAATATTTGAGCTTGATCATTATTAAAAAATAAAATGCTTTTACCAATAGATGTTTCAAAAGACATTCAAATTGTCAATATTTTTAAAAAACTTTATTATTAAAGAATAAGCAAAAAAAATAGATTTTGTTTGCACTAAATGTTGTACGAATTAAATTTTGCAATTGTATACAATCAAGAGATAACATAATTAAGTTCTTGATAAACATATAAAAATAATTATGTACAAAGATAATCAATTCGACTAGCTTATAATTTCTCTTTGCATTACCTTTTTGGTTAGATGTGCAAAAATAAAATTTTAATATCTGTTGATTATAGTTTTAACGAATAAATTTGCATTTGAAATATCGAACTATGAGGTATTAATTGAGGCATTGCATACTTTTTTTATTCGTGGTTTACAGAAATGTTCATAAACTTCAAATTATTTTTAAGTCAAGAATGGGAGATCAATTTTTAGTCTTTAATTGTTTAATTATTGGCACAATAAACGTATATTTAGTTTTAAATTTTGAAAACGAAAGTTAATAGTAAATAAATAAATAAATAAAGTAAAACAGTTTTTAATTTTTTTTTTATTCATTTTTAGTTTTTAAAGTCTTAATTTCTTCTTTTAACTCAAACACTAGATCGGTTAAATCTTCGATTTTTTTATAAAGGGCATATTGTTGCCAACCTACACCAGAATCCTCACCCTTTTCGATTGGAGGAACAAGATTTTGAACTTTCTTTTTAAAGCTTTTAAAGTCGATTAAAAATTCCGGGTCAGAACTTTCTGCCAAATTTTGAGCTCTTAAACCTCTTGCAATTCTGTTTTGAGCATCCTGTAAATCTTCATCGCCACTATAATAACCGTCTTGAAGGTCCCATTCATAGTCATATTCGTTGGCGTCATCACAAGTTTTCTTGAATCTATTATATTGAACTCTTTTAGCATCTTTGACTTCTCTAAAAGAAATGTATAATAGAAAAGGAGAATACAAGAAACTCATTAAAGTGTCATTGATATATTTATAGTTTCTTTTATCTAGAAACCAGCCCAAGGGGATAACAGCGATTTCGATTAAGTTTAATGGAGGAACAAAAACGTTTTCATCGGGGGCTCTGATGTATCTTAATGTTTTATGAGCGACAATTGCCATAAATTCATCCAAAGCATTATCATAAATATCTTGATAGGCAGTATTGTATAATGCAACCAAGATGTTTAATAGGATAACGGCAACAACAAAGGCATAAATTGAGTAGAGTAAATTACCAAAGGGAGGAGTGAATTGATCTAAAACATCAAATTCACCACCGTCAATAACTGTTCGTAGCATTACACCAACAACCAAATCTGTTACGTCTCTTTTCCCATCAGCAGTATCTAAACCAATAAAACCTTGCAAGAAACCTGCAATTACAATTACAAGTAAAAAGAAAAATAAAGCGGATTCCTTCATCATGACTTTTAAGACAACAATCATGACACCAACGAATTTCTGAGCATCCAAGTATAGTAGCAATCTTGACCAGATAAGAGGGGAAACACAGGATAATATGTAGTAACTAAATTCATCATATTTATCACGCAATTCGGAAGTATCCTTTGATAATCCATAGCATCTTATAACGAACCAGATTATTATGAGGATGTACATGAAATCGTTAAATACATTCCAAAAGCCAATGTAGTAATAACCAACGTGGTACAATTTTGTTATTTCATCTAGAATTAGGCCGGCAGTAAAGATAATAAATAAGGTCTCAAAAGCAGTCATTGAGTTTGAGCCAACATGAGAATTGATAACAAAAGTGAATATAAGCAAATAGACCAAAGAGAAGAAAATCTCCAAGATATATTGGTACAATGGGGATTTAATTCTGTCGGGATTGAAATGTTTTAAGAAACTTGTTGAGCTAATGTCTTTGTATAGTTCGTAAGACGAGGGATCGTTTTCGCTTTGAACAATCCAACCTCTCCACAACCATTTCATGCAGCGCTGATAACCCGAAGAGCCTATGATGATTGTAGAATGTTGATCAACAGCCAATTCAAGAGCATTTAAAGGCACAGAGTCACGGTCGTTTAAAGTTATTCTATATCTCTTGCAGAGCATATTAATGAACAAGTATTTCTCGTCTTCTTCGTTCTCAATAATCAACTTTGCTAGTTGTTGAGAAGCAATTAGTCGGGACTGGTACAATTCAGCATCGTGTAGTTCAGTCAAAGATAGCTTGTAGTTCCACCAGCAAATTTTCAACAAGCAAAAAATCAAGGGAGCCCTATATTTTCTAGAAGATGAGTTTGGTGCACCATCTCCTTTTCCCCCAGCAGCTTCTAAAACCAAACGAACAGCTTTCTGGTTTATGATTCTGGAGTCTGGACAGGTAAGCAAATCAGGTTCATATTGGATCTGGATAATCTGGTCGATGACATATTTAACGTTGAGCGCAATTCTCAAGACCTGGCGAGGAGAAGGCACAGGAAACTCAGTGCTTTCAACGTCATCAATCAAGGACGAATACGGAACCTCTATATCCATCTCAGCAACAGCAGTAGCCAAAAAATTGTTGTTGTGGAATAGGCGAAATTGTTGATATTTAAAGTAATATTAGCAATTTCAGATAGCCACTAATGAAACGAGGACCAGAGGTGGGGGTGGCTGCTGCAGGAGTCGACCTGTAGAGAAATGCAGAGAAACGCGTCTTCAGACGCACCAGGTAACAGTCAATTTCTGCTCTCCAAAGTGCCCTTAGATCACGTGGTCCAAGGGTTATCTTCAGGACCGCGGCAAAGGGTGCGTAGATATGAGACCGGTGCGCAGCAAAGGGCACGGTCACAAAGAGCCAATCGCCGGAGAGATTTGCAGGAGGCGCTCGTTTTCTGAAGAGAAAAGGCGCTCAACTGCCAATTGAGCAGAGAATCAACAACCAACAACACCAATTCACCAGCTTGTGCACCTGGATCTTCAAAGTCTTCAAGAAGTGGCCTCTACACACCTCGTTGGTATTTGAGCTGTATCACAACTAGCTAGATTTGTTTCGAGACTCGACTACAGTCCTTCTGGTTATCTTCCTTTGCATCCTTATTTGGCTTCGCTCTTCAGTTTAGCTTTCTTATTTTGCCAACTACAAACAGAAAGCTACCACTTCCGAAATTTCTGGATTGATACACTGGTTATATTTCGATTCTTGTCCCAGCTATTTCTCTGTTTACAACGTTGAAACAGCACTTTATTTCTCATTGTTTCCAACTGGTTTCTTGGATCCTAGATCTGAAAAACATACTCTGAAAAAAACACCGGTTTTCAAAGAAAAATTCTTTAAAAAAAAAAGAAAAAATCAATAGACTAATATAAACCATCAAAGAACTTGCCAGGGAAGGTTTTTACCAAAAGGATTTATATCAATTAAGACTTGGAACACATTTTTTGAATTTTAGCAAACAGATCAATTTAATTCTACAGGTTTCAATTTATTCATCACTTGCCATTCACAATTTATATTTCACTTCACTTCCTTTCATTAAAAAATAACCACTTTTATAATTTGCTTTTTAGGATTTCAAGGAAAATAACAGAGCAAATCACCTTTTTGGTATTTTTATTTGTTTTTATTTCGATATATATGAACCATTAAACAATTTCAAAAATGCAGAATAATAAAGATTCAAAATACATAACTGGTGATAATATTCATTTTGGTTATGCCGATTTTAATAACAGTCAGCAAAGCAATCAACAAAATCAGCAAAATCAGCCAAATAGCCAGTCAATACCAACTCAAAACCAATCTTCAAAATCAAAAAAAAAGAAAAGAAAGAAATCAAAAAATAAAAAACAATCACAATCACAATCACAACCTCAAAATCAAAATAACAACACAGATGATTATCCTTCATCAAGAATCATCTCTCAAGATTCCAATGGGGATATTTTAGTTCGTGAAATGCTCGTAAATAATAACGCTTCAAATGTTCAGAATAATCAAAATCAAAACCAAAATCAAAGTCAAGTTCAAAACCAAAACCAAAATCAAAGTCAAGTTCAAAACCAAAACCAAAATTCTAAAAAATCAAAGAAAAAAAAGAAATCTTCAAACATCTGGGATATGGATTCTGCTAAAGAACTAGAATTGGCTAAATCTTTTTGGTATGAACTAGCTCCCGAAGAGAAAAAAAAATTAACAAATATCAATAAAGAAATCATCATTGAAACTCTAAGCAATGAAAAACATCATAAAGATAAATGTAGATGTTGTGGAAGAGATTCTGATATAATACAAGAGGAATTGGATTTTTTTATTGATACCTGGTATTCCGGTGCAAATAATTTGAACCAAATTCAAAATCAGAACTACAACAACACTAACCGAAACAATTACAATAATCAAAATTATAACTACAACAATGACAAAAATATAAATCAGAATCGAAATCTTAACCAAAATCAAAATCAAAATCAAATTCAAAATCAAAATCAAAATCAGATCCAGATCCAGAATCAAAATCAAATCCAGGATCAAAATCAAAATCAAATCCAATTCAACCATAACAATAACTCTTTTAATCAACAAAATATTAAAACCAACAATAAACAGAAACAATTTCAACAACATCCTGAACAGTTACTTCAGGAAAAACACTTTCTAGAACGTTTGAATTACCAACCGCTAACACCACAAGCTGCTCAAAAATTACCTCAGATCGAGAAACATATACAGCAGCTGATGCAAAACGAAAAAAATAAAGGCAGAATTCCTGAACATATTCAAAAACTTTTTAAACCTGGAACTAGTCTACTTGATAACGAAAACGTCAATGTCAAATTTAATACTTTAAAAATAACTAAAAGTGCACTTGGCGATGCCTTTAACGAAAAACAACGACAAAAACAGCAACAGTCACCCAACCAACCTCAACCTCAATCACAGCAATTACATCTGAATCAACAACAACAACTACAAATCCAAAATCAAATGCAGAATCTGGCTCAGATCCAAAATCAAATACAAATGCAAAACCAGTTGCATATGCAGAATCAAATACAAAACCCGAATCAAACACAAAATTCTAACCAAGTTCAGATGAACATGAATCGTATGAATACACAGGGAATAAATGCCTCCTCATATCGGGGTAAAATATCAGGGAGAGAGTTTTTTCAAACGTTTTTTCCTGATGAACAAGTGGCTTTAAAAAAAGTCGCAGAAGATTTGGTCGAAGAAGATGGCAAAAAATTTATGCAAATTCTAGAAAAAATAACCGATTCTTCAAATATATCCAAACGGGTTAGAGAAAACTTTTCAAATACAGATAATTCGAAGAATTTTTTACCAAGAAAGACCAATTCAGTTAATAACAACAATATTGATAATAATCAAAATAATAATCAAAATAATAATCAAAATAATGAAAATTCTTCTGAGTTTAGAAATGAAAAAAATATGGATTATGACAAAAGGAATAGCCAAATCGGTTTGAACGAGGGAAGAATCGCTAAACCAGCAGAAAACGATACTTCTAATTCAGGTGTATATGATAGTGAAGGCTCAATAGAGTGCAATTGTGATCATCATCACCATCACCATCACCATGATCATGATGTCTATGAAGAAGACGATTATGAGGAAGATGATGATGAAGAAACTGAAGACCATCATCATAGCCATCATAATCATATTGACATGGAAGAGCATTCTGAACAGCATTATATGTGTTCTCATAGAAGTCAGGGTGTTGATCATTCCTTGGGTTTACCGGAAGACGAATATGATGTGGATGAAGACGAAGATGACGAAGACGAAGACGATGAAAATGAAGAAGATGAAGACGAAGACGATGAAGATGATGATGAAGATGATGATGAAGATGAAGATGAAGATGAAGATGAAGATGAAGATGATGATAATGGTAATAATGAAGGAAATTATCATGCAGGACCGGGTCGGTCAAGTAATAATAAAAGTAAAAAACAAAACCAGCCAACAGCCAGTCAAATAGAAAGAGATAACCAATTAAAATATGAAGAAGGTAGAAAATTGGTTCAATTAATAATCTCCAAAGTTTTTAAAGAACGATTATTTAAGGCATTTCGTCAAAAAGTGGCCGAAGATCGTCAGAATCAGTTTGTTAAAGAGCTAGAAGAAGAAGAGAAAAAGAAGAAATTGAGAGAAGAAAAGAAAAAACAGGAAAAAGAAAAGAAAAAAAAAATAAAACAGGAAAGAAAACAAGCAATTGAAGAAGAAAGACTTAAAAGAGAAGCTGCAAGAGCTGAAGAAATAAGAAAAAGAGAAGAAGAGTTGAAACGGAGAACTTTAGAAGGTAGAAAGAGAAAAGAATTGGAGCGTCAAAAGAAAGAAGAAGAAAGAAGAAAGATGATTGAAAAAAGACAAGAAAATGAAAGATTAAGAAAAGAAAGAGAAGAAAAGAAAAGAAAAGAAGCAGAGGAAAAAGCTCGAAAAGAAATGGAGGCTAAGAAAAAGAAAATGGAAGAAGAGAGAATTTTAAAGTTAAAGAAGGAAAAAGAAGAAAAAAAAGAAATAGAGAGATTAAAACGAGAAGAAGAAAGATTAAAAAGAGAAAAAGAGAAAAAAGAGGAAGAAGAGAGAAAAATTAGACAAGAACAAAAAAGAAAAGAACGAGAAAGGAAAGAGCAAGAGAGAAAAGAACGGGAAAAAAAAGACCAAGAAAGAAAAGACCGAGAAAGAAAAGAGCAAGAAAAACTTCGAAGAGAAAATGAAAGAAAAGAACAAGAAAAACTTCGAAAAATTGAGGAAGAATCTAAAAAAATTGAAAGATTAAAATTGAGACAAAGTTTAGATGCAAATGCAGATGAAGGTCAAAAACCCAAACTGAATGAAGCCAAAATAGAAAGTGCAAACACATTAGAACATCTTAATTTTAATGGACTTGATATTGGTGATAAAAATGAGTATAAAAATAGTGAAAATAATCCAAATATGGAAGAAAGTTTAAATGTAATTAATAATTTATCACAGCCAGGAACAAGTTCATCAATTTTGTATTCCAATCTAGGGAAATTTAATCAGAGCTTGCCAAATTATCTTAATTTTCCGATTAATTCCAATTCGATTCTTACAGCAAATAGTGGATTTGGAAATACATTTGACAATTCTAATTCTGGATTTTTGAATAGTAATATTGGAACTCCGCAGGTTAATACGAATAATGTGAACAATATTTTAAGTCCTACTGGTTCTACTCTTTCACCTGTGGGATTTGTACCAAGTAATAAAGGCACACCGTTACCATTTTCGAATTTAAATTTGAATACTAGTGGTGCAGCTACTAATAATATGAGTACTATTAACAATGGTAATGTTTCAATGGGGCAATTTTCCAATGCAACGTTATTAAATGGGAATTTGAATACTGGATCGCCATTATTAACACAACTTGGATTGAATAAAGGAGCAGGACATTTGGGAAGCAATCAAATTGGGACCAATAATATTAATAAGATTGATTTAATATGGGGAAATGGAACTCCGATTTCTGGTAATACTAATTTTAATACTAATTTTAATAATACTGGACACTTTGATTCTATGAATAGTATATTGACACAGTATTCTTTAAATAATAATTTGGGTAACAACATTGCAGTTACAGGAGGAAGTGTTTCGCAAGGGTCTACAATAAATAATGATTCTAGTTCTACATTTTCTGGATTTAGTGAAAATAACCAAGCCAATGTCGTGAATGGAAGTTTAGGTAGTAATACCAATCATACACCAATTGATAATCACAGCAGTTTATTTTTTGGAAATTCGGGTGGTAATAATGGAAACAATGGAAATAATGGATTGAGCCATATGGGCAGTAACCTTAGCTTGAATAATAATAATAACAACAACAACAATAATAATGGGAATATTAATGGGAATATTAATAGTAATATCAATAGTAATAACAATGTTGGTGGGATATTAGGAAGAAGTCTTAATACACCGACGTTGGGTGGAGTTTCACTAAGTGCATCGAATTCTTTGGGAAGTAGCACTCTTGGAGGCAATAGTTTTGTTGGGAGTGGGCTAAACAATGCATTGGGGGGAAACATTCTCAATGGAAACAATATTAGTAACACATTGGGTGGAAATACACTTGGTGCATTAGGAGCTAACACACTCGGTAATAATTTAAGTGGTAATGGGCTAGGTGGTAATACGTTGGGCAGTAGCCTAGGGGGCAACACACTAGGAAACAGCCTCGGCGGCAATCTCAACAGTAACCTTTTGGGCAATAGTGGTTTAGGTGGTGGCACACTTGGAGGAAATCTATTGGGAGGAAGTAGTTTGGGTGGAACCAATGTGTGGAGCAGCGGGTTCAACGGTGGACTAAATTCGTCGGTGTGGGATAATTCAGTGAGCAACAACAGCTCTTTAAGCAACAGCATGTTGGGAAGCAGTTCGATAAATACTGATGGCGATGGTGGATTGTGGCCAGCAGGTGTGGCCAGCACAAACACCAGCAGCGAAAAGGAAATCATCTCACAAAAGATCTACGAGGCGTACGAGTTGCTCAAAAGGAACAACCAGATGGAAGGAGGATGGGTTGGAACGCAGTTGCTCTTCCAGACAACGAGGTCTTTGTTGATCTCGACCCCTGTCAACAACTTGACGTTGAGCGCCTTCACAACGTTAGTGATCTTGAACCAAAACAGCGAGTACCAGTTCAGCTACCACCCAGAAAACGGGCCCATCACCCACATCAAGGTCGACGTCAGGCCCCCAGGCCCTGCGTACACAGAGCCCCAGTAAAAAGACGTTTTTAGCCTACGTAGCCAATGCTTTCTGCTTCTTCTGCTTCTTCTGCTGCTTGTGCTTCCGCGCACGTGTCAAACCACCGCGGTGGTCTCTTGTAACGGTACCCCACTGCGGCAGTCTGCACGTCTGCGCACGGCGCGAGCTATAAATAAGTGCGTTGGGCGTATTTTTAGCAGGCCGGTCTGGGTTCTGGGACTGGTGCGTGTGGTGCGTGTGGTGCGTGTGTTGTTTCTGGTGCTTGTGGTGCTTGTGGTGCTTGTGGTGCTGTTGACGTGTGGTGTGCTAGGGCTGGTGCTGCGTGTGCGTCCTCTGCGTTCTCTGGGTGTTCCGGGGCTGTTTCCGGTGGTGGGCCGGCTTGTTCTTTCACCGACCCAACGTCTCTCACGTCTCACATCTCACTTGAATCTTTGGCTCTAGCATTTAGTATTTAGCATTTCTCTATCTGCTATTAGGTTTTATTATTATATTGCAAATATCTATATTTAAACTTATATCCTTAATTCTATTCTCTTGGTTATTTTTAAATCACTGCTAGTTTAATAATACCGTTTTATTTTCCACTGCTACTGCAATTATTGTTCTTTTCTTCTCTCTCTCTTTCTTTTTTCTTCCATCATCCATAATTTCAGTCCATATAACCTACATCGCTCCATATTATATTATATTATATTATATCCCTTTTTTGCCCTTTTTCTTCCATCTCAACAATTCTCTCCTTATTTTCTACACCAACTCAAATCAGCTTAAATCAACACAGCCTAACACACTTCAGCCCTGATCAATTCACCTTACATCTACATCTCAATCTCTACTCATCTCTTCTTTCACCATCCTTTATCTGTCTTCACCCAGCTCCAACCAACTTTAATTTCCTCCAGCCAACTCTAATTCCTTTCAATCACCTTCCATCATGTCCAACACCCAGGAAAATGCTATAAGAAGAAAAATCGTCATCGTTGGTGACGGTGCATGTGGTAAAACCTCGTTGCTCTACGTCTTCACCCTAGGCAAATTTCCCACTGAATATCATCCAACTGTCTTTGAAAATTACGTAACTGACTGTCGAGTCGATGGCAAAGCCGTTCAATTAGCATTATGGGATACTGCTGGTCAAGAGGAATACGAAAGACTAAGACCCTTGTCCTACTCAAAGGCCCATGTTGTCTTGATAGGTTTCGCAATCGATGTTCCCGATTCCCTAGAAAACGCAGGCACAAAATGGTACGAAGAAGTCACTGCTAACTGTAGAGGCGTCCCCATAATACTCGTGGGCCTCAAAAAGGATCTCAGGCTCAGCGAAAAGGACTACAGATACGTTCAATACAGACAAGGCGAAATAGTAGCAAGAAACATAGGTGCAAGAAGATACATCGAGTGCAGTGCTTTAACTGGCGAAGGTGTCGATGATGTCTTTGAAATTGCAACAAGAACAAGCTTGATAGTAACGCATACTCAAAACAACCGTTGCTGCTCTATTTTATAGTCCTCATCTTCACCAGCATATCCACATCCTCATAATCAAAAATACTCTTCTCTAAAATTAAAAAAAAAAAAAGAATATCAAAAAAACGCATTCAAAAAAAAATTTAAAAAAATTTAAAAAAAATCAAAAAATTAAAAAAAAATCTAACAAAGTCTAAGAAAATCTAAGAAAATTTAAGAAAATCTCTTATTTATTTGGCATTTTTTTCTTATATCCCGATTTTTTACTATTATTTTGTTTTCTCAACATCAGTTTATCTTCCTTTTATTTTTGTTTTCATAAATTCTCTAAAACACTGCTTTCTTTATGTTATCTCTCTCTCTCGTTATTGTTTGTTTTTTTTACCTCCGCTTTGATTTTTTTTCTCTTTTCTTACCACTTTTTTGTCTTCATTGAACAATTATTAGATATCTATTTTTATTTTACCTGACTTGCCTCATTTACTTTGACCTTTAAAACAATATATCCTATCCAATTTACTTCTCTATATCTGTTTTTTTTTCCTCTATTTTCCCATGTTTTTTTGTTTTTTTATTTTATTTTACTTTAATTTTTATTTTGTTTCTTGGTTACAAAGGTCATAAAGGGTTTATTCGCTCCTTTGTTAGTTTTTTTCAATGACTATCGTTACTATCGCCATTTATCTCCTCCCAATCTAATCTAATTTAATATAGTCTAATCTAATCAATTTTCCTGTTTACTCTCTATTGTTCTCATTAATCCTTCATTCGTTGGATTTGGTTTACATATACTAAGTATCAATCATTGTACAATTGTCTCTCCTTTATCTCTTTCCACCACTATTTTCTCTCTTTTTTCTATACTCAATCTCCTATTTATCTAAATCGAATTGTCTATTAATAAATAATTTACCAAAATAATTAATAACCCAATTAATATCATAATTATTAACTCAATTCAACCAAACTTGTTTTCTTAGGTACACAAATTACACGTTCTACCTGTAAAATTCAGTACCCACAAAATCTCATCTTTCCCATAAACTACAGGTGTTTCTTCATACAAACACATGTTCTCTCAATATAAACCCCTTATGTAATCGCCTACTACCTCAAACAAACTGCCAAATTTAAACTTCTCTTTTTTTTTCCACTGTTTTTTTTCTAAACAGTTCAAATTTTTCACTTTTTTTTTTCACCTTTTAAAAAGGATCAAGTTTTCAATCAAAAAAAAAAAAATTTTCTCTCTCTTTTTCTCTTTCTTAACTCTTAAAGTAAATCAATTTCAAAAGATTTAATACTTTATCTTAAGTTCTTACTATATTATTATTATTATTATAATTATAATTTTTTTTTTTCAATTTAACTCGCTATTATCTTGAATAATAATACAATATACCTCTAATATAATATAATATTTAATATAATAATTTGAAAAAAAATGGCTGAAGGTGTCTTTCCAGGTGCTATTGGTATCGATTTAGGTACCACCTATTCTTGTGTTGCTACTTACGACTCAGCTGTCGAAATTATAGCTAACGAACAAGGTAATCGTGTTACTCCATCTTTTGTTGCTTTCACCTCTGAAGAACGTTTAATTGGTGATGCCGCCAAAAATCAAGCTGCTTTAAATCCTGCCAATACCATTTTTGATGCTAAACGTTTAATCGGTCGTCGTTTTGATGAACCTTCTGTTCAAAAAGATATTAAAACATGGCCCTTCAAAATTATTGACAGCAACGGCTCTCCTCTAGTTCAAGTTGAATACTTGGGTGAAACTAAAACTTTCTCTCCACAGGAAATTTCCTCCATGGTTTTGACAAAAATGAAAGAAATTGCTGAAGCTAAAATCGGTAAAAAAGTTGAAAAGGCTGTCATCACTGTCCCAGCTTACTTCAACGACGCTCAACGTCAAGCTACCAAAGATGCTGGTGCCATTTCCGGCTTAAACGTTTTGCGTATTATCAATGAACCAACCGCTGCTGCCATTGCTTACGGTTTAGGTGCCGGTAAATCTGAAAAGGAAAGACATGTCTTGATTTTCGATTTGGGTGGTGGTACCTTTGATGTCTCCTTATTGCAAATCGCTGGTGGTGTTTTCACTGTCAAGGCTACTGCCGGTGATACTCATTTAGGTGGTCAAGATTTTGACACAAACTTACTTGATTACTTTCAAAAGGACTTCAAGAAGAAAACTGGCTTGGATATCTCCAAGGATTCAAGAGCTTTACGTCGTTTAAGAACTGCTTGTGAACGTGCTAAACGTACTTTATCTTCTGTTGCTCAAACTACTGTTGAAGTCGACTCCTTATTCGACGGTGAAGATTTCTCTGCTAACATCACTCGTGCTAGATTTGAAGATATTAACTCTGTCTTATTCAAATCTACCATCGATCCAGTTTCTCAAGTTTTGAAAGATGCTAAAGTCCAAAAATCTGAAGTTGATGAAATTGTCTTGGTTGGTGGTTCCACTCGTATTCCAAAAGTCCAAAAATTGTTATCCGATTTCTTTGATGGTAAACAATTGGAAAAATCTATTAACCCTGATGAAGCTGTTGCCTATGGTGCTGCTGTTCAAGGTGCTATCTTAACCGGTCAATCCACCTCCGAAGAAACCAAAGATTTATTATTGTTGGATGTTTGTCCATTATCTTTAGGTGTTGCCATGGAAGGTAACATTTTTGCTCCAGTTGTTCCAAGAAACACCACTGTACCAACCATCAAACGTAGAACTTTCACCACCGTTGCTGACCACCAGACTACTGTTCAATTCCCAGTCTACCAAGGTGAACGTGTTAACTGTGCTGAAAACACCTTGTTAGGTGAATTCGACTTGAAAAACATCCCACCATTACCAGCTGGAGAACCAGTCTTAGAAGCTATTTTTGAAGTTGATGCTAACGGTATCTTAAAAGTTACTGCTGTTGAAAAATCAACCGGTAGATCTGCTAACATTACAATTTCTAATGCTGTTGGAAGATTATCAAGTGATGATATCGAAAAGATGATTAACGATGCTGAAAAATTCAAATCATCCGATGAAACCTTTGCCAAACGTCACGAAGCCAAACAAAGATTAGAATCTTATGTTGCCTCAATTGAAACCACCATCACTGACCCAGTCTTGTCCTCTAAAATGAAACGTGGTGCTAAGAACAGAGTTGAATCTGCCTTGTCTGACGCCCTAGCTGCTTTAGAATTAGAAGACTCTTCTGCTGATGATTTACGTAGGGCTGAGTTAAGTCTTAAACGTGTTGTTACTAAAGCTATGTCTTCCCGTTAAGTTTAAAGTCTGGACCTTTTTTTTTATTGTTTAATCCAATTGCAAGAAATTTTTAATTGTTTATAATTTATGAATCTTATTTACTTGAGTTACTATTCGGGTTAAATGCCAAAAATAAAATCGGTTTTTAATTTTTTTTTATTAAGTTTTTCCTTTTTTTTATTTGTTTTTATACTTTATTTGTATCTCTATCCCAAAAAAAAAGTATAAATCTATTGCATGTAGTATATTTTCTTATTTCTACAAATTACTAAAAATAAATGAAAAAAAATTTTAAAGATGTCTATATCAAAACTGAATAATCATACAAGTTAAAAACAGAAGTAAAAAAAAAAAAAAAAGCCCATGCATGCAGTATGTAGTTAGTTTTCTTATCTTATCTTTGACACAATCATTGTTGAAAGAAATCCTCCTCTTCTAATGTATTTATCTCGTTTATTGTCTGAATCACTGAGTCTTCACCATAATTTATTCCATATGAATTAAGTATAGGCAATTTTTTTGAGCTGAATCCATTTATAATCGCCAATCTTTGTTTTTCCCCAAGCCTGGAAATTGGAAATTTGTCCTCTGAAACAAATGTAACTATATCCAACATTAAATGGTTACTGTTCAAAACCTTTGAGAATATAACTGGCACAAGAGATGCTTGATATTTATTTCTTCTTGTGGCACATACTGCCACTGTATATCCATCACATCTAAAGACGCAGGATAGAGAAACATCAGGATGACATGTTTCAATAGAATGCTCAATATCCGTTACAAAATGGTGAAGACCCAAAACATCAATTGTATTTGCAATGCTTCCTAAAACAAACAAAACTTGTATGATCATTGTAGATCCATCATTAGCTGTCTGAGGAACATTGTGTATGAAACCCAAATCACCAGTTCTGAGATAAGTGAAATCATTTATTGGGTTCTTGATTTTGCAATTGAATTGTTCTTCTACAATTCTATCACCCCCTAGTCTTTTTCCGTTTGTGGCACCAATGGCATTGCATTCAGAATAAACCCATATTTCACCATATTCTCCAACTTTGCAAATCTCTAAAGTTTCGGGATTCACAATAGCGACTTGGGTGCAAGAAAAAATACACCCAGAATCCTGAATTTTTATTGCGCTTGGTACTGTTGAGGGATTAACAATCGAAACATATCCCTGCCTTAATGCAACTGGATCCAAAAAAAGCTCTATAGGGTCCATGTTTAAATATGATCGACATGAAATCATAGGATTGAACAAGTGTGAGTAAACATTATTTAAAGCAAATGATGATAAGTTAGTCTGAGCAAAATGTAGTATAGTGTTCTTCATCAAGTTGTGTTTAGGTCTTTCATCAAAGCAAACCATCAAGTTTTTCAAATTTCCTAAATTTAAAGATTTTGATATCTGGGGTACTCTTAAAACATGCGACAACATTTGTGGTGTAACCAAAACATCTTTTACTTTAAAATTTTGAGCTGCACTAAAGAAAAAATAAGGAGATCTATAATAATCAGATGGCAAAAACAAATATGTTGAGCAGCCCAAATAAACTCCAATCAAAACACTCTGTAGTAATCCAAGACCAGAAACATGTCTAGCACAGGCAAGAATTGAACTTGAACTAGTTAATTTACATGTTTCTTTAAACACTTTACACATGGAAATTATAGTAATGTGATTGTATTTTATTCCAACTCTGGTATTATCAGGCAACCAATGTAAACAAATTAAAGAAACAGTTTTTTCGTTTCTAAAATCTGCTTTCTTTTGAAATTCAAACAACTTAGATCTGATAGTTGTTGGTGAAACACTCTTATATTTGGTTGTGTTTTTAATTTTGGGCAATTTGGTTGTGAAAGTTAATTTCTTGAGTTCCTTAGAAACCATTTTTAATTTGAATATTTGTTCCACATCGGTATTAACAAAAATCATACCTATTTTAAAATCTTTAATCACTTCAATGAATGCTTTTGCATCTTCAGAAATTATATTTGAGTCTAATGGCATCATTGGGATTGGAACAATTCCAGTTAAAAAACATGCAAACAATGTGATAGCAAAATCGTCTGAAATATTGTACATTAAGATAACACAATCTCCTGGCTGGAGAGTTGTCTTGAATAAAATATAGTGGCAAACAGATACAACTCTTTGATCAAATTTTCTCCAACTGCAATCTCTTGTCCTATGAGTGTCATTAATTGTACCAAAAGCCAAATAATCAGGGTTATTTAAAACTCTCCATTTTAATATATCAACTAAAGTTTTAAAATCTGTCAAGGGGGCGTTAGTTCTATCATCAATAGAAACTTTGCATATATCAATTCCAGTAAATTGAAGTTCTGAGTTCATTAAAACATTCGATCTCAATTGACAGGAATATGGAGACCATATTCCACCTGTAATATCAAGACCGTAGGGAATGTTTGTTATAGACTTTGCAATATTAAATTTGACGTATTTTGCCTTTAAAGCAGCATGAACAAACCTTGTCTGGCACAGTTTATTGGCCACTTCTTTTTGACCATTTTTATAAATTCTTGGAAGATAATTGGGTGCTGCTATTAGCAAGCAATAAAGTCTGACATTGTGGTATTTTTCTACCAATTTTAAAGTTTTTTCGGCTAGTAAGTCTAATTCTTCATAGTTTATCTTTACAAGTGCTCCAGATGAGGTTATTTGATCTGCAGCAAGTTTTGTCTCTATGACTGCCACAGGCAAACTTTCATCATTAATGGAAATATTGAAAATTGAACATTCGGAAATAAATGGTAATTTTCTGAACAAAGTGTAGGAGATGTGTTCAACATAATGGTATCTATATCCATTATCATCAAAGCCTTCGATTTTTGGAATTGGAGGATTTGTACTTGCACTAGAACCGGTCGTATCATTTCTATTAAGGTTTGATGCTTTCAGACTTGTGCTGTTTTCTCTTCTAGTTCCATAATAATTTTTGGTAGAAAGCGAAGGAAATTGTAATATACCTAATTCTGGGTTGCCTGATTTTTCCATTAATAATTTTTTATCTATCCAAGTTACTTTTTGTCTAAATCTATCTTCATAAAGTCCCAAGACATAAACTTTGCCGTTATAAATAAAGCCCAATAAGCCTGTTCTTAGAAATTCCAAATCTAAAGGACCTTCATAATCATTACATTTTGCCAAAAAGATATTTTGAGAATCATTTTGAGAATCCCAAAAGCCGCCAGGCAAACAGGGACTATCAACCCAAATTTCACCTACTTCTAGAACACCGGCTAAAAATCTTGTTTCTGGGTTGACCACGACCAAAGTTGTATCAGGTAGAGGAAAGCCAAAAGAAGTTATTCTAAGATATTTTGAATCAAAATTTGTTAATTGAGGAGGAGGTTTGTCACTAACAATTTCAACGGTGTTTGTTGTTAAAGAATTTTTATCAATTAACACCTCAGCGATAACAGAGGAAGAATTGTAGTCTATATTATTAGCGCCATCTTCATCTGGTGTTATTGGTTTATGAAAGATGCAGCCCAATTTGTTTTCATTTCCAATCCAATCTCTCATTGATATGATCATTCCACCATACTGGTTTAGAGCACAAATTGGGGATATAACTAATCTTGCCTTTGAGCAGCCTAGGGGTTTTAGCCATCTATCAGATATAATTTCTAGGACTTCGCTATTTACAGTTGAAGTACTTATTAGACACCATTTTATGTAGGATAGATTGACTTTATTCTTTTTATCAAAGTTTCTAGTAGAAAGAGGATCGGCCTGGTAATTAAAGGCGACAGATTTTAGGCCAAGATAGTCTGCTAATAGAATTCCGGCTTTGAATCTTGTTATAACGTTAGCATATAGACCAGCTACATTCATTAGTTCTGGAGGAGCCCAGATTAGAGTGTTGCCAGAATAGACTAAGAAAAGGACGCCTATAATTAAGCCTGTTGAGTATCTGCAATCAAAAGTGCTAAAAATGGATTCCTTCTGAGTGTTGCGGTTAATCTCTGATCTTTTGATTGATTTCATGGAGGAAGATATTAGAGGGGAACTCGATAAGATTTTTGTTAAATTTGACATTTGGTGCATGATAGTTTTATGGTGTAAAACGATGCCACGAAGCTGGCCAACAGGAGATTTTGTGTATTCGATATAGGCGATATCAGTGACATCTAAGGCAGGGGGATCAGATTTTCGTGGTATTTGGTAGTTTCCAAGATCATCAGTTTTGAGAAAGCCAACTCCCTTGGGCCATTTGATCTTTGTAGTTGTGTTGTTGTTTAATTTTTCAAAGGCCTTGCAAACATAGGTTGAGTAGAAACAAAAATGGGATTGTGTTTTGTTCATTATTTCGATCATTTCGGTGGTGGTTAGATCTATCATGGGTACAGCAACGGCGCCAGCTAAGAAGCAGCCAAATAAGGCGACCATGAATTCAATTAGTTCAGTGTTTCTGTAGATTAGACAGATGCGATCACCTTTGTAGAGGCCAGTTTTTTTGCGAACAAATTGAGCTACTTTTTCAGCTTTCTGGTATAGTTTTCCCCAAGTTATTGAAGTGTCCAATTTGCCCTTTTGGTCGAGAGTATTGATGGCCGGATCGGTTGAATAAGCAAAACCTCGTTGTCTGAGGATTGTTGGTAGGTTTGTAATTTTTTCCTTTGCGCCCAAGTTGATCAAGTCTCTTGGGTCCAAAGGTCTTTGTAGTTCTACATTTGGGATTTGAATTTGGTTTTGTTTTTGGATCAATTGGATTGGTTGAGGCGAGACCTGGATTGGTTGTGGGGATGACTGGTTTAAATTTGAGGAGCTTAGAGCTGGTATTGAAGTTGGACCGGAAGGAGAAGCAGAAGCAGAATTTTGGCCAGAGTTTAATAAGGAAGTTGAGTTTGAGAAGGAGGGCTGATTTGAAAAGCAGGGTTGGTTTGAGTTTATGTTGTTATAAAGGATTGTATTTTGGTTATTCAAAGGGCTGTTTTGAATTGTTGGTTGGGGCTGTATATTGGAGAATATAATTTGGTTATTGTTGTTATTATTGTTGTTATTAACGTTATTGTTGTTATTAATATTATTGTTGATGGCATTGCTGATGGTGTTGTTTGTGTGGTTGGGGCTAATTGAATTTGTATTATTTAGATGGTGACTATTTATAGAAGAATATCTTGAATGAAAAGGGAAGGGATAGGACTGGTCATCCAAAGGCAAGGAATGGAAATTGGAAGAGTTTCCTGATAATATGGAAGGACTGTAAATGTTTGAATTAAGAGAAACAGTTCTTATATGAGATGGTATGTTATTGAAATTATTGTTATTGTTATTGTTATTGTTATTGTTATTGTTATTGTTATTGTTATTATTATTATTATTAAGATTGGCATTCAAGCTAGTGGTGATGCTTTGGGAATTTGATAATGAACTGGGAATTGGCTGCTGAAATTGAGACAGCAACTCGAATTGAGACAATATTAGAGATCTCTTTTTGAAGTAGCCCTTTTCAGTGTAATCACCATCTTTATATTCGTTGATAAGCTGCTGTAGCTTCAAAGCGATTTCAGGAGAGACATCTGGAGGAATTGAGAAATCCATTGAGAAAAAACCGATAGAGCAAAAGGGGGATCAGCAGGGGGAACAGGAGGGCATATATACAGAAAAAGTGGGCACTGAGCAGGATGATTGAAGCTGGAGTAGGCTACTGGCTATCGGTTGGTTATCAGCTCTTTATCGGAAGTTGGTGAAGATCAGTAGCTGATTAGCAGTTGGTGAGAAGTGGTTTTAGACACATTGTGAGGTTGGCACTGGGGGAGCTGGGCATGTGCTGGAAACCAGTGCGACGGAAGACGCAGACAGACGCAAGAGAACATGTGTTGATGTAGGAGCCAGGGAACCGGTGCCAGAGGCGAGAGAAAGACCATAAAGAGAAAGGCCGCTTCTACCAGGACTCGTGGGCCGCACATTTACGAGTTGCTGAAAAGTGAAAACCCGAAATGCAAAGCCTCTTTCTTAGTCAGAATTATCGGGATGTACGGATAGGAAAAGGTTCGGCATTTGTCTATTATGAGAGTATAAAAATCCGAATCGATTTAGCAGTTGTTCTATCGGGACGCATCCAATCAGACTACGCCGTTGAAGCTGGATTTAGGTACTGATGCTATTTTTGATTGTGGACGACATGGAATGTAACGTATGGATCCAGGCTAGTGTATGTGGTATCACCGTCAACAAAGAGCGTTGCCAACGCAGGCTTTCCAATCCTGAAATAAACACATGTTATTCAGTTGATGCGGCATATTCGAACTCAAAGCGACAATGTTTACTGTCGCTGGGCCAGCGTTAGCCGGAACAGCTGGGCAGAAGCAGCACCACAACACCAACTAAACGGTCTCGAAGTCGGCGATAGCGTGGGTGTGTCAAACAGTGATTTGAGTAGCTCCAACGCGCCATTACTTCATGCGCTCATTTACCCGACTGTGCTTCACGGGTAAATGAAGCCACCTAAAACATGCACCGCACACCGCAGCTCACTGCATGCAAGCCCTGCCGGTTCGGATAGTGCAGGCTCTCGGCAGCCACAGCGGCTCCGGGCCAATCACAGGGCGGCAGGGTCTAAAAACGGGACCAGGGCAGAGGCTAATCAGGAACAGGATCAGTGGGTTTCAGCGGGTTTTAGTCTGCTTTCTTTGAAAAGACAAATGTTTCCCTTTTCAATAATCGCTAAACAGGATTCAAAGCTTTTCCAATCAGTATAAATATATCCAAATATCTTGTCATCGTCCACTTTCTCTTCCTCTTTTTCTTTTGTTTCTCTGTGATATTTATGCTTTTCCACAAAAAATTCGGTCTCTCTTAACTCATCCCTTTTCCTCGTCCTTCTGAGACTTTTGCAATCTTTCAATCTCTCAATTTCACCTTCTCGTGCTTTTTTTCTGTTTCAATAATTGCTTTTCTATTAAGACGGCTCACATCTTCCTGATTTAACTGCCCCCGAATTATATCTTCTACTCTATACTAAACTCTCCACAATCCATTTCCTATCAAAATAATGCCCAAGGCTGATAAACCCCCAAGAGCAACATTAGAGCAGAAAATCGAAATCCTAGATTTCCATCACAAATCAAATAAACCCCAGTCTGAAACCGTGGAAAATTATAAAAACCAGTACTCAATCTCAACTTCCTCCTTCAGCGAATGGCTAAAAAATGAACAAGAATTGAGAAAAAGATACAACGAAGCTGGTGCTCATGGAAGACAGGGCAAAAGAAAAGTCAGATACAAATATGACACCATCAATAAAGAAATGGACTTGTTTGTCTATGACAGAAGACTGAAAAACCTATCCTTGGGCGAACCCATATTAAGAGCCCACTGGTCTAAATTGGCTCATCAAATCGGTGTAGATGATCCCAAAAGATTAGACAGCTTCAGTCATGGTTGGTTAAGTCAGTTTAAAAAAAGACATGGCCTTGATAGAAAATCAATGTCCACATCCTCACCTTCTTTATCCATATCATCAAATTCAAATAATCAACAAAACAATCAACAGAACATACAACAAAACAACCAATCAAATAATAAGTTAACGAAAAACAATTCAACAAATAATAACACAAATAATAACAATAATAATAATAATAATAATAATAATAGTAATAATAACAGCAGTAATAATAATAGTAATAATAATAATAGTAATAATAATAATAGTAATAATAATAACAACAATAACAATAACAATACTAATACTATTAGTAATAACAATAATACTATTAATAACAGCAGTAACAATAAATTAAATGACAACCAAAATAGCTCAATTGCAAGCAATTCACCCAATAGATCTCTTAACACCTTGAACAACTTAAACACCAACCTTAACAACAGCCTCACCAATAGCCTCACCAATTCTATCAGCCTCAATGGTAACTCAGAGCTATCAATATACGAACCAAGATTGAAATCAACCGCAACTCACTCGCCCATTCAAAATCAGCCCCAAATCCTTCAACAGCAGCAGCAGCAGCAGCAACAACAACATTCCGAAACACCAATCAACTCAAACTTATCTCCACAAAATGGTGTTAATGGAAATCTTAACGTTAACCCCAACTCCGCTGTTGTTCACATCCAGCAGGACTCTTATCCTGCTCTAAATGACGAAATATCCGCAAGATTGTTACCAAATCCAAACTCCCACAATTCAAACAATAACTCTGCTAATGTTTCTACCTCCTATAACTCAATGCAACAGCATCCCAATGACAACAGATTCAACTCCTCCTTCAACAACATGTTCACCCGCCAGATTCAACAGCCTTCAAACGCATACTTGACAAATGACACTTCCCAAATACAACAGCAATTAGGCACAAATAGACCTTATGATCATCCACAACACCAACAGCAGCAACAACAACAGCAGCAGCAACAACAACTAAGACCATATTCAACTTCTCAATCCCAATACCAGTCTTATCAGCCTCAACAACAAAATCAGCTACAATTGCAGTCCTCTCAATTGCAGTCCTCCCAATTGCAATCCTCCCAATTGCAATCCTCCCAACTACAAGTTCAACAACCCCAACAACTACAACAGTTGTCAAATGGTAATGTGAACAACAGAATCAACGGCTCTTCTCTTAATGTAGACATACGTTCAAAAGATATCGATCGTTTTATAACAAGTTGGGCAACCATTTTCTTTGAACATAACAACGATGACTTTCCAAGATCAAAACAATTGTTTGAATCCTTTAAAAAGACTTTCAGGGATGAGATGTTAATAGTCGATAACAAAAACGGCTCCTTACATAGAGTTGACAAGTTTTTCATTGATTATCATTAAGCATCTACTATCATTTTCCAATACTCTCTTTTTTTGTTCTTGTTTTACTTCGTTTTAAATTTTTGTTAACTATTGAGTTCTTGCTGGTGTATTGTTTATTCATTATGTTTGTTTTCATTAAAATTATTAAATTCCATTTTTATCACTTTTTTCCACCCTCTCCTATATAAAATTACATAAGATTACGCTGCCAATACAACGGGAGATTTAGCTTTCTAATCCCCCTTCTTATCCAGATACTTTCCTTGTTTTTTCCAATCCGGTTTTTAGTACCCGTGTCCCGATAGCAAAGCTGTTCCATGCAGCAAAAAGAATTTGGAAATTTGAAGTCAAAAACTTCGTCAAAATTTAAAAAATTTCCCTTTTATATCAGGATTTTGCTCTAAAATAAACGTTTTCTTCCACAATTAATCCGAAAATCTTTGTAATTGGGACGCTACTTGTCGTGTTTCCACTTCCGATTCTTCTTCTCCTTCTTCTGAATCACTTTCATGAGGCCTACTAGAATTGTATTCTTCTTCTTCGCCATCACCATCATCTTCGTCGTCGTCGTCGTCGTCGTCGTCTTCGTCTTCTTCTTCTCCTTCTACAAAATCTGCATCGTTTTCATCATCATCACTATCATATTCTTGAATCATCTGCTGATTGATGGCTTCATTCAAATTTCCAGCTTGATTCTCATTATTGTTGTTATTTTTATTTCTTTGGTACGATGGTTTAGCCTTTAATTCATCTGCCATTGATTTATCAACAACTTGTTTATCTTTGATATATTTATCGATTTTACCAAATTCAGATTGATCAATCATACTAAACTCAATTTTTTCTTCATCTTTAATAATTAATGTAATATTAAACGTCAACCTTGTAATAGATGAATAACTTATTGATGTGATATCCTTTGAACTGAAAATCAATATTGGTTTTTTAAATCCAAATAGTATATAATCTTGTAAAAAATACAATGTCCCTTCTTTATTTTTCTTAAATGCTTCCACATAAAATAGTTTGGCATTTTTATAATCACTAATTCTAAATCCAGTTAAACACGCTTGCTGAATTATGAAATTTCTATAACTATCATTCTCCTTATCCTGATCATTAGTGCTAAAACTATCTGGATAACTAGTAGAAAGGTATTTTGTCATCAATTCTTTATTTATTGTTAATAAAATAGGATCGTTATTAAATTTGTTCAAGTAATTTTGTTTATAGAAAACTATTAAATAATCTAGATTTTTTTTCTCGGGCACAGGTAAAAAAGAACTGAAAAAAATGTTGTCGTTATTTAAATCATTCAAAATCAATTCGGTTTTCTGTAAGTTGGTCTTATTGAAATCAGTTGATATAGATAAAAATGGGGTTAAACTAGTAGGATTAACAGCAAATATTAAGTTCATTTTTTTTCTCAATGGAGATTGAAAGGATAACTGGGACAATTTGAGTATAATTAATGTAGGATCAATAAATGATAAATCATTATTTTGTTCAATTTCACTTAATTTTCTTTTTTTAGCCAATTTGTTGTTATCATTGATAAAACTAGCACTGGTATTATTATTATTATTATTATTATTACTAAAATTATTTAGATCATTATTAAGATTACTATCCATACAAAAATCGTACAAATCTTTAAATGTTTCAATTAATTCGGGATTTTCATCTTTAGTCAAATAATTTTTGTTAATATAATGTATCTCAAAATTCAAATTCAAATTCAAATTTAAATACATACTAATTGAGGTTCTTATTCTAGATTGAAGGTCAAAAGGTAAGTTATCAAGGAAAGACATATTATAATTAACAGATGGAGTATAGTATAAGTATAGTATAATAATTAGTTTTTTCTAGTTGTTATTCCAATTCTAGTTCTAATTCTAGTTCTAATTCTTTTTTCTTTTCTTTTATTCTTTCTCTCTACTCTTTTGTTTCTTCCATTTCGATTGATAACAACGCGAAAAAATAAAAACTTAGAACAAAGTCTAAATCATAAAGTTGTGCGGAATTACAAAGGGTATAGACATGAAAAGAATGAAAAGATGAAAAGATAAAAGGATAAAAAGATGAAAAGAATAAAAAAATAAAAAGAAATTAAAGAATAAAAAGAATAATGATAATCGTTATAACAGAGGTGTATATATAAGTAAATTATATATGTGGTGAATTAACTAAGTCGTAATTTAATTCATGACTTAATTGATGCTATTTAATAAGAATCCAATTTTCTTAAGATTTCAGCAGTGAATTCTTCGGTTGTGGAATTACCACCTATATCGTGGGTTCTAACTTTACCATCGCTAATAACTTTGTAAGTTGCTTTTGAGATTCTATCAGCATGTTCGTCCAAACCAATGTGTTTTAGCATCATTGTAGCAGATAGAATCATGGCAGTTGGATTAGCAATGTGTTTGCCCTTAAGACTCAAACCAACATGTCTGCAGCCTGGTTCAAAGACAGCATGCTCTCTGCCAAAATTAGCACCAGGAATCAAGCCTGGACCACCAACTAAACCTGCACCGATATTGGATAATATGGAACCGTACAAGTTTGGAGTGACCAAGACGTCGAATTGTTGTGGTTTTGAGACAGCTTGCATTGATGCGTTGTCGACAATCATGTCACTGACTTCAATGCCTTCATAGTCGTTAGCAACGTCCCTAACAGTTTGTCTGAAGAGACCATCGGCCAATTTCATAATGTTGGCTTTATGGATGGCAGTGATTTTTTTTCTGTTGTGCTTCTTAGCGTAGTCAAATGCAAATTTGGCGATTCTTTCACTTTTATATTTGGTGACGATTTTTAAACTCTCAACGACACCAGGAACAGATTGATGCTCTAAACCGGAATACTCAGCTTCAGTGTTTTCTCTGATAAGCACCATATCGATACCGTCAATTCTTGTTTTGATGCCTGGGATGTTTTTGATGTGGGAAAGGGAAGCATAAATGTCCAATTCCTTTCTTAAGGCGACATTAAGAGAACCATGACCAGCAATGGAGCTGGGAGTGAACCAGATTCCTTTCAAGCCAATTTTATTTTTCTTAAGAGAGGCGACAGCTTCTTTGACAGCCTGGTGGGAAGAGACATCGTCCAAGCCTGAGATACTTATGGTTTCCCAAGTGATAGGAACAGCTTCAGCTTTGAAGATCTCCTGGACAGATTTGGTGATTTCCTCACCGATACCATCACCAGGTAAGAGAGTGACAGTGTGGTTGGCGAGAGTAGCCATGGAACGAGCATTGGCGAGAAGGGAGGCAGCAGAAGATTTGAGGGCAAGCATTGTGGATGTAATTGGAGTAATTGGGCGCTGTTGAAGAGGATTCTGGTGGATTCTGGTGGATTCTTGAGGCTTTTGAGGAGGAAAGAGAAAGAGGACAATTTATAGTCGAGGAGGGCGGATTAGGTTTGGAAAGGCCGAAGAGGGCTCGGAAAAGCGAGTCGGAGAAGGTGCGCCGGCGGGAAAAACAGCATAGTGAGGTGTTTGAGGTGTTTATTCGGTAGAGCATGGGAGAGGAAGAGAGAAAGTAGAGACATAAAAAGTACATAAATATAGAGGTAGAAGTGGGTGAATGAAAAGCGTAACAGGCCAGGGATGGACAGCATCTCCTTCTGTGGTCATGAATACTATTGGGCTTTTGTGTTTCGTTGCCTTGATCCCATCTATGTACCTAAATAAGTGAATAAATAAATAGTGTGAATTTAGTGAAAATGAGAATGATAACAGTAATGGCAATGGCAATGGCAATGGTAATGGTAGTGATAGTGATAGTGATAGTAGTAGTATTGATAATCGCTATGGTGGAATCAGTTGCAAGTGTTGAGCAGCTAAACAAAATAATAAAAAACTATGGTCAAGATGACATGTACATCCAAAAAGATTAAAAATAAGTGCTAGTTACCATTGAATGAATAAATAAAAACAAATTTATAAAAGACCATTTCAATCATGTAATCATGTAATCATGTTTCATTTGATATTAATTGTATTTGTTTTATTCCATTTTTTTTTTATTTTTTTTTTAATTTTGTTTTGTTGTTTAATTTGAATGTGAATTTGAATGTGAGTGTGAATTTGAATGTGAACTTGAGGTCGATTTTGATTTTGCTTTTGAGTTAGAGTTTGAGTTTGATGCTTAATGTTGTTTTTTTATATATAAGGACTTTCTTCGACTAACATATTACGAGAAAATAAAAGACGTTTAGCTCTTTCGTCATCACCTTCATTTTGATTTTGATTTTGATTTTGATTTTGGTTTTGAGAAATGTCGCGATTTAAAGGTTGTTGTTGTGGCTGTTGTACTTGTTGCACTTGATCTTGTTTTCTATAAACTTTATTGTCAGTAATTTTTTTTGAAGTAATAGGGGTTCTAAACAAAGCGAGTTCATCTCTTTGTTTTGAAACAGTATTGTGAGGATTATCATACCATTGATCAATTTTTCTAGAGGCGCCATTTTCAGTTGCCAAAGGGATAAAGGCTCTATTTGGAGATTTGAAATAGACAATTTGGCCCTTTTGACCATCAGGGATTATCATTTTTCTAGGAAAACCTACTTGGTTGTCAGGTTCTAATGGGGATTGTTTAGGTAGGGTGTTGAGTACTTGATTTTTTGGAGCATTTGGTAATAGGATGTTATTTTGGATGATATTATTTTGGTTAATTTGGTTATTATTTTGGTTATTATTTTGGTTAATTTGGTTGTTATTATTTTGATTGTTATTATTTTGGTTGGGCAATTGGGATTGTTTAGATTGATCATCCTTTTGAGCCTCGATTGTGTGTTGGAATTTGAAGATGGTCCAGTCAAAGACGTAGTCATATCTGTATTCTTCTCTTATGAATAGTTCTCTGAACATTCTTCTTAGGAAGTTATAATCAGGTTTGTCTTCGAATCTTAAGTGTCTTGTGTATTCTAAATAGTGGGCAAATTCAGTTGGCAAACCTCTGGTTAGAGATTCGGAGGAGCAGGATAATTTTTTTTCCATTATTCTATCGTATTTTTGTCTTTTTGTTGCAGCTTTTAGACCTTGCCAAGGTAAAGAACCTCTGCAAAAGTAGATTAGAACGTAGGCTAAGGATTCCAAGTCATCTCTTCTTGACTGTTCGATACCTAGATGAGTGTTGACCGAGGCATATCTTGCAGTACCAGTCAAGTTTTTATTTTCTTTGTAGGGGATGTGGACTCTTGATCTTGGTTCTCTGTATTTTTTGGCGAGACCAAAGTCGATGACATAAACAACGGAGCCTCTTCTGCCTATGCCCATGAGGAAATTATCAGGTTTGATATCTCGATGGAGATAGCATTTGGCGTGGATGTATTCCAAACGGCTGATGAGCTGGTCAGCTAGAAGGAGAACGGTTTTGAAGGAGAATTTTCTGCCACAGTAGTTGAACAAGTCTTCCAAGGAGGGACCCAAGAGATCGATAACCATGGCATTATAATCACATTCGGTGCCCATCCATCTAACAAAGGGAATACCTACACCACCACCAAGAGTTCTGTATATTCTCGACTCGTAGTGAAGTTGAGGGTGTTTTGTAGCGATGTTTTCCAATTTGATGGCAACTTCTTCACCGGTGATGATGTTCACACCTAGATAAATATCACCAAAAGAACCAGAACCAATTTTACGGCCAATACGGTATTTTCTGCCAACGCGCAAGTCCATGTTAAATGTTAAGTAGTCACACTGCTGAAGGCAAATAGAGATGTTAACGATAGATGATAGACGATAGATAATAGAGATGTATACAATAGCAGCAGTAAGAATACGGACGCCAGTAGTAGATAGTCAATGTGATGGGTGTATTGATAAAGATATTGATAAGCTATTAGATAGACAGCCTGGATGGGAGGGCTAGAGAGATATGGAGCAGGGTTCAAGGAAGGAGATATGGGAGTAGGAGAGAGAGAACAGTGGTAAGCACCTGTGGAGGCTGTAGACGATGGAGAGAAAAGCCTGGGATGGTGGGAGAAAGAGAAAAGTGTTGGGGAGAAGCAGAAACAGAAGCAAAAGCTGAAGGAACAACAGCAGCACCATTTATAAAGCGGCAGAGTGGTGGAAACTGGGAAAATTTTACTCCAGCGCTGGTACAAAGCCAGGGGCAAACAGCTGCGCCAGAGTCCTGTTTCTGAAGGGGCAGTGTTTGTCTGTGCTGAGTCTGCGCTTACGTGGCTCACCAGAGGGTCTGTTTTTAAAAGGGAGATTTCACGTGCGCTGGGAAGAGTCAGCGTCGCCCCAGCAGCGCGTCAGAACCATTCTGATGAGCGTGTCAGGTGACCGCTGCGTGATGTTTAAGACCGTCTGTGCGGTGCTTTTTGTGCAAGCATCACGTGTGGCGGAGGAAAAGCGCAAGAGGAAAAAGACAGGCAAGAGGTAGTTTTATTCAACGTTAGTGGTGCCAAATCGTTATAAAAGCGGGTCCAGAGCCTTTCGTGGGCTATTTTTGCCTTTTGTATTATGTGCTTCTTCCTCCTGACTGTTTTTGTAGTTGAGAGCAGTTTCAGTTTCAGTTTCCGTTTCAGTTCCAGTCCACACCCAGTTTCCGTTGTGTTTGCCTCCAGTTCTGTCCGTTATCAGTTCCACTGCATCACTTCCAGTTCTGCTGCAGTTTTCAGTTGAGTTTTTTTTTTCAACAAACGAAAATTTTTTTATTTTTGAAGAGTAACAATAATTTCTGCTATTTTTCAACACTAAAATCCCAGAGATTTAAAATCAATCAATCAATTAACAAACTACTCAATCAATTTTAAATCGCAACAACCTGTTTTAATTTAACATTTCCTGCTTTTTTTTAACTTTCACACATCACAACTCGTTTATATTAGTATCCTAATTATATATATTCCACTTATAATCTAGTCGATACTTAATTAATAATCCACTTAAAATGACCCAATCAACTTCTTTTATTTCTTCCAACTCATTAAAGAGCAAACAAACAAATATTAATAATAATAACAATGATAATAATAATAATAATAATAATAACAACAACAACAACAACAATAATAATGAAAATGTCTCAAATACAAATCGCACTTCTCGTTACGACAGCTACAGACAATCTTTACTATCAAATAACGTAACTCCATTCACAACTTCTCAAATTAACCATAATAACCACAACCTTTTCAATCCTAATCCTAATCTTAACCACTCTCATAACAACTATCCTCATTTAAATCCTCATTATAACCCTCATATTCCTCATAATCCTTATTACAACACTAACACTAATACTAATACTAATACTAACACTAACAACAACAACACCAGTACAAATACTACTAACACTAATAATAACATCAATATTAATAGCAACACCGATACTGCTAATACTAGTCCAATCTACACAAATATCAACCCAAACAACAGCATAAACCCATACTACTACCATCCTATCGACCCAGCTTTTATGATGGGTTACAACTATTCTTATTCCATAAATAATGTAAATATCTCAAACAACCAATCTCCAATCTTAATACCTCCCACTTTAATACCTTCAAATCAGCAGCATCAACCTCAGCAATTTCAACAACCACAACCACAAATAAATAATAACAACAATAATAATAATAACACAAATAATAATAATAATAATACTAATAATAATAATAATACTAATACTAATACTAATAACAATCCTAATATCAACGCTAATATCAATGCTAACACCATTGCTAATTCAAATAATAACAATAACACCGATAATATACTGTACTATAATTCCAATCCTAATTTACAAAATCTACATAATATACCCAATTTCACAAATATCAATATTCCTCATATTCAAAACAACTCAAATAACTCAAATAACTCAAATAACTCATATAGATATAACAATCGAAAATTATCTAATAATATCAACAATACTAATCCTAATATCAATAATAATCAAATAAATAAAAAGAAAATCTTGTACTCAAATAATCATAAAAATATTCACTATACTAATGACAACATTAAAAATAACAACATAAAGCCATTAATATCCAATAACAATAACAATAATAATAATAACTTTGTTAATAACTTCAATTCTTCTATAGATTCTTTACCTAATAACCCTTCAACTCATAACAACAATATAACTCAAGATAACACTAAAAATACTACAATCATTGATCACAACCAAATTTCAGTAATTCCATCCTCGATAAACTCACCCTCGATAAACTCACCCTCGATAAACTCACCTTCAATACACTCATCCTCAATAAATTCACCCTCAATAAATTCATCCTCAATAAATTCACCCTCAATAAATTCACCCTCAATAAATTCAGATTTTATTGATTCAAATCTAATAACTTCACACTCACACTCAACTTCAACCTCAAACTCAAACTCAAACTCAAACTCTGGCTCGATTACAACTATCGAATCAAATTCAGAATCAATCACTGAATCGATTAACGAATCGCTCACTTCTCACTCTTCAGCTACTTCAATAGATTCTTCAATCAATAATAAATTAAACAGCTTGACTCAATCAAATGGTTTTATTACCAAAGACTCAAAAACTAATCAATCAACAAGTAACTACTCAGCAACTAATCAATCAACTAATAACCACTCAATTAACCATTTTAATGAAATTTTAATCAAATATCCTTTATTTTTCAATACAAACAAAACGGAATTTTCTTTATACAAAACAAAGACTAAAGTCTTGACTAAAAATAAGAAATTGAATAAACTAAACTCAAACGAGATCAAAAGTGAAGTGAAATTTGAAGTTGAAACTCAAATTGAAACTCAAATTGAAACTAATGTCAAAACTAAAACTGAAACTATTGATAATAAACTTAAAAGTACTGAAAATAAAATAATAAAGAAAGAGACTGAAGTTGAAAGTAAAATTGAGCCTAGAGTGATTGATTTCAATGAAATTGATTCCTATAATGAAAGTGATCTAAGTACTGAAAATAATGAAAAAAATGAAAAAAATGAAACTTCAGTAAAAATGACTTGGTCTGCTGTTGTGAAGAAATCTATTAAGAATGAGCCTAAAAATGAACATAAAAATGAGCCTAGAAATGAATCTAAAACGGGTAAAGAAGAAGCTTTAAACGAGGAAAATAATAGCAAAAAAGTTGTCGCTAACAATACTAGAAGAAGAAGCAAGTCCCCTAGAGGGTATAGTGATAACCATAGTACTTTTGATAATAGTAATTATGGATATAAAAACGGTATTTATGGCAATAATAATATACCAATTGAATCGATTGGATCGATTATACTAAGAATAATGCACCAAATTAACAAAGAGGAGATTTATTCAAAAAGAGGGAATATTCAACCACATGGATTGATCAATAGTGGGAACAACTGTTTCATTTCATCTATTATTCAGATTTTATTGTACTGTAAACCATTTTATAATATTATTAGGCTAATTGGTGATAAGAGTATATTTTATTTAGGAGGAAGTAATGGAAAGGGAAGTGATAGTAAGACGCCTATTATTAATAGTATAATTAATTTATTTGAGGAATTTAAGGACAGTAATGGGTATAATGATGATGAAGAAGATGATGATGAGGATGGAGAATTTGGAGAAGCGATTAGCGCCGAAAGCTTTTACCGAAGCATTTACAAGCATCCTAGATTCAACCATCTAGTTAAGGGGGAGCAAGAAGATGCCGAAGAGTTTATGACGTTTTTATTGGAGATTATTCATGAGGAGAGTATTGAGTCTGTTAAAGGATTGCAAAAGGAGGAGATTAATAAGTTGGTAGACAGTATCCGAGTGGATAAGAGTGAGCGAAAAGACGAGAAGAAAGTACGAGAGATCAATTTGATTCAAAACAAGGTTATTAATAGTGTGGAGGTTCTTACAGGAGAAAGATTTGAAAGCGATGCGGGCGTTAAGTTCAATAGAAAGAAAATTGAAGACGATAATAATGATAGTAATGAAGATGATAATGAAGACGAAGATGGATGGAATACTGTTAGTAAAAAGAAAATGAGAAATGGCAATAGAAATAAAGTTGAAGAAAATAAAAGAAACTATGAACCGTCTATAATTAGTCAAATATTCGAGGGCGAGTTTTGTTCTGTAATTGATTTGAATGATAATAAGAAGTCTATAAAGATTGATCCATTTCAACATATCCAATTGGATATTTCAGATGAACGAGTTGAAAGTATTGAAGATGGGTTCAAATTGCTAAGTGAACGAGAAGATATTAACTACCGAATTAAAGAGGTGAATAAGGATAATAGACAAGAAGAAGAAGTTGAGATTTCAACCAAGAAACAAACATTGATTAATAAGTTGCCACAGGTGTTGGTTGTTCAATTGAAGAGATTTTCGTACAGCAACAGCAAGGTTGGGGGAATAGAAAAGTCATGCAAGAGCATCACATTTGACAGCGAATTGAAGATACCAGAAGAATGCCTATCGAAGAATGGGCAATTGAGAAAAGACGGTAGTCAATACAGGTTATCGGGAGTTGTATATCATCATGGAAACAGTGCAAATGGAGGACATTATACAGCTGATGTGCTAAGAAGCGAGAGCAAGTGGATCCGAATTGACGACACATACATAAGTAAAGTGAAGAACGAGGAGGTTATCAACCGGTTCAGCCATAAGGACAACTTGAGAAGCGCGTATATATTGATGTACGAAAAAGTGTTGTAGCGAGATAGTGCTGCACATCTGTATTATTTATTGTATAGAATTGATTATTCAATCGTGTTTGTCAGTAGTTTAGTTCTTGAATGTATTTGTGATGAATGAATTTGAAATTGAGATTTGCTGCCCAATGTAAAAACAGCCGCTGGAAGCAAAAACAAATGCCGTTCCCAGGAATCGAACCTGGGTTTCTTCGGCCACAACGAAGTGTACTTACCACTATACTAGAACGGCGCGGAACACATCTGACCGGAGTTGGTTAGTGTCAGACCACGTGAAGCCTGTGCAGTTTGGCTGTGCCGTTGCTGGAGGTATCACATGTGCAATACACGCGCGCAACACGTGCAAGCGCGGATATGCGGACGGCGCGAGAAGACGGGCGTGACCAGATTGTTAGCGGATGGATGACCGCGTCACGCGTCTGGCGCTAGGCGGGGCGAGACAGGCCAGCTGAAAAAGGCAGGCGTCCGCCGCGACAGCAGGAGCTGCTCCGGCTCTTGCACGTGCTGGATGCAGCCGGGGCTCTTTTTCCGGTGCTGGCGGTGGCCGAAACAAGGAATTTGCCTTAGGAACACGTGCATCGATGCCCCAGGTTCGGAAGAACAGAGCGTCGGTATTCCAGTACTCTCCAATATTCCATTCTACTATCCCAATATTCTATTGCAATCTCCCAAACCACCACCACTGTCATGATAATCCCCATATCTCTCTTCTGTTTGCTTGCCCTGAGTTGTCTTTTTTCCTACACTCCTGCTTCTTTCCCAGGTGGTTGCTTTTCGAGCTCTTCTTCCTTTTTTTCTTCCCCTTTCCAGCTACTTTTTGGGTTTGAATCCATCTGCTATTTACCTTTTTCTAACGGCAATTTATATGAAAATTGAACATCAAATCCTGTTTTTTTTCAATCAATCATTTTCTCTCTTCAATCAACTTTATCCCCAGAATTTATTCCACTACTATCCATCTCTACTATTATCATTGTCACTCGGTATAACAACAATAATAATAGCAATACTGATTCCATATACACTCTGAGATATATATATCCATATATATATCAATTGTATATATATCTATTTGGATATTCTTCTTTTCATTTCAATTTAAAAGAAAACAAAAAAAAGCACATTTAAAAAAAGCCTCAAATCTTAATTCTATTATATTCTAAATTACGGTATTTATAAATTCTATTATAAAATTTTATAACAAAATTTTATATCACTTTCATTATTATTATTATCGTTACTATTACTGTTACTATTAGTATTAGTATTAGTATTACCATTACTATTGCGATCACTATTACTATTGGTAGTTTGGGTTTTTTCTTTTAAACCATATCTTAGTTTATATTTTATAAAATATATTTGGTAAAATATATTTCATTAAATATACCTCATTAAATGTATTATTTATTTTCATTTCCTTCTTTATCTTTATCTCTATCATTATCTATAACGCTTATACTTATCCCAATTTTATCATACCATATCATATCATAATTCTATACTCATCTTTATCCTTTCGTCTATTTACATAATAACGGTAACAATAATAATATTATAATAATAACAACAATAATAATAATAGAAAGCAATAATAACGATAAAAGTAAAATTAATAATAGAAAGCAATAATAACAATATAAATAATAACAACAATAACAATAATGTGGAATAATCATGGTTATAAATCATCCTCTAATAATGATAACATAACTCTCTTTCAATTTAATCCCTCTCTCAATCTAAACCAAAATCTAGACATCTCTTTCAACGACATCTTAAAAATCTGGAATGGTCTAATTAAATTTCAAAACTTCATCAACAATGGCCAACGACTAGAATACCTCTCCTGGAGAATCCTAAACAAAAACTTCATAAACCAAAAGAACAATAACGATAACAAAAAAAAAAAAAAATTCAAATTCAATCTAGATCAAAACGACTTCAACTCAATTCTCAAAATATCTGAAAAAAATTCTGACTTCCTTTACCAACCCTCTAAAGACAAAGACAAAGAAAGAGAAAAAGAAAGAGAAAAAGAAAAAGAAAAAGATAAATCAATCCCAAACCATCCCTCTCACCCCCAAAGACCAAAATTTAAACGTAACAACAGCTCCAAATCTTCTCTCAAATCAACCAAATCAACCAAATCTCTACAAAACTTATCAAGAAACTCCTCTCAAAACTCAATATCAATCTCACAACCAACTTCAAATCCAAACTCAAATCCAACTTCAAATTCAAACTCACAATCAAACTTATCAAACTTAAATCTACCCATCATAAACAACAAATCTTTCACTCTAACAAAATCAGAAGTTCACCACTTTTCAAAACTAATAAACAATCTCGATGACTCAAAAAAGGATCTTCCCTTCTCTTCTAAAAATCAACTAAAAAATCTGCAAAAGTTTCAACAAAAATATCAAAAATTTCAACAAAATAATAACGATAATAATGATAATAATGATAATAATAATAACGATAACAATAATAATAACAATAATAAAAATAATAAAAATATCCAAATTAACCAAAATCTAATTACTTCTTCCAAAAATGATTACATACAGCGTAGCGCCATCTTTGATATAATGAATTATCAACCTCAAAAGAATAAACTCAATAGAACTGTATCCTATGATGGCTTTTCAAATCAAAATTTCTATTCAAATGATAATAATGATAACAATAGAAACAACAGTAATAATAATAATAACAGTGTTAATAATAATAATAACGGTAATAATAATAACATCAACAATATCAACAATAATATAACCGCCAATATATCTCAAAATTTGGTCCAAAATTTATCTCAAAATTTAAACGTCAACACAAAGGATTCAATTATATACCTCTCAAAATTAAATAGAAGCAAAAGTCTTGCCAATGTCAAAACTTTCCAAAAAATCCCCTTGAATTACAACAAAATCAGCAACCCACCAAATATCAAATCTGGTGCTCTCAATTTTAAAAACCAGGTTGAAAATGAAATCAAAATCGTTAATCCATCAAACAAATCAAATGATGTCTTCAAATTTCAGGACTTGATCGAAGTAGATGAAGAAGAAGACGACGATGATGACGATGATGATGAAACTATAAGTCCTGGCACTATATTGGATTCAAGAATTAAATTCAAAAAGAAACATTCAAATTTAAATAACAATAATAACCAAATTCAAAATAACTTTCAAAAAAATTTCCAGAATAATCCCCAGAATAAAATTGCCGCTTTAAATACATCTTCAAAGATTAGTCAATATCCTAAAATTACAAATAATAAATCAGTTTTTAATAATAATAACAACAACAACAACAACAACTTGAAACTCTCGGTTAATACCTTTAAAAGACCCAATCCTCATGACAAATACAATCTCAACAACGAGCCAAATAAGGCAAAACTTACTAAAAATCTCAAGTTTAACAACGAAAAAGTCAGCATCTACATTGAAGATACAAATCCTCAAACAGCTAACAATCAAAAAAATGATAAAAAAATATTTTATCTTGAAAGCTCTCCATCTCCTGCTGATTCAGAATTAGCAAGTCCAATTCAAACTTCTTTGAAACTCATCTCAAACTTATCCCAAAATAATAAACAAATACATTCTCATTCTCCCTTGCAAAATGTATCAACTATTCAAAATTATAATCAAAATCAAAATCAAAAATTATCACATTTCCCTGATAAACTAAATAATATCAATCTATCTCCAAACACTAGAGGCAACAAATTAAACTTATTGTTCAATAACCATCCTACGTTAACAGATACTACCAACAACAAACATAATCAATATAACTCAATTTCAGAAGTCATTGACAGAAATGATCCAGCTAGAGAGTATAAAGAATATACAAAGGAAATCGATGATGATTCTTCTAACGATGAAGATGTTAAATTAACACCATATAATAATGTCATTAGTAATAATAACAAAAGTAATAACAATAGTAATATCAATACTAACAATAATGATAACAACAATGATAACAACAACAAAAACAACAATAATAATAATAATAATAATAATAACAAAAGAAATAGCACAGTCAGTGAAAAATCTGATTTTTCAAGCTCGCTTTTATCTCATAACACTAGAAACAATAAACTGCCCACTCTTAATTCAAAACAAGCAAATCTAAAGGCTCCTCAAGAATCATTATTCATGAACCAACAGAGATCTACACATGGAAATAGTACAGTTATTTATTCAGACGATTCATTTTCGGATGAAGATGACGATGACGATGATGATGAAGACGGTGTATGGTGCTCAGTATCTGGTAGTGATGAAGATGAAGATGATGATGATCAATCTGATAGTCTCAATAGGAACAACGCACCTAGATCAAGCTTCAATGAGGTATTTCAAAGAACAAATAGCACCTGTAGTACCAATCAAGAAACTAAGGTATCATTATTATCCCAAAAATTACTTCACAGAAACACAATTGACAACGGGTATTTTACCTCTAATAATAACTTGATTCGTAATCCTTATAATTTCAGAAGATCACAAGTTGATGACTCAGTTTACCAGACTTCAGGAAATAATCTTTCAAATGCTACATTATCTTCAAATGTTTCCAGCAATAGCGAAAATAATGGCAACAAACCCAGATTATTACATAGATCATCAACAAGCACGACATTGATCAATGGAGGTAACTATGGCACTGGGATGCAAATATTAGAGTTTTCTACAGTTCAACCTTCAACAAGTATTAATACTAAAATTACAACCGGAGTTTTAGATACTCCGTTTACAGATCCAGATCAATTAACAAAAAAATTAAAAAGATCTAAGTCATCATCATCAACATCATCTATTGGACAGCTATTTCGTCAAAGTTCTTTTAATAAATTGTTTCGTCTCAATTCATCTACTAATATTGCTGCAAGTGCCCAAAATATTCTTCTGAATTATAGTGGTGGTGGTAATAATTCAAATGATAGCAAAAATAATTCCAAAGATGAAAAGCAGGAACAAAACTTTTTTACTTCATTTGGATTGAAAAAAAGTGCATCTGCAGTAACAAACGAATTGCAAAAAAGAACAAAAACAGGTCAGGTTCCTGAAACAGTAAGAAATTTATTGCCAACTGCATACACATCTCATATGTTTCACCAACGACAAACTTCAGTAACATTATCAGCAATCGATGAAACAACTTCTCACAGTTCACAGGCTCCCGTTTTGGTTCCAGTTGCCGTTAATAATCTTAATAATAAACCCGAACAACTGAGTAAGAGTGAAGGACAAAATAAAAATGACAGTGATGACGATAATGAAGAGTTTTTCAATAGGGAAAAAATTGAAAATCGATATAGAAATGGAATTAACACAATAGCATTTAAAAAGCGGAGCATAATTGATGATCCTCGATTGCCAAGTAGTGTTAAGCAAACATTGATTATGGGCCTTGAAAAGGATAAAGCGAAAATTGATTTTCATTTAAAAACACTTGATAGTGAGGTTAATCTAAATCAAATATATCAAAAATGGGACTATGATAGCTACCGTGATAGAGTATGGTGATTATGATGATGAATTGTATTATAATTTTTTAATTCATTATAAATTTTCTAATTTATGTTTTCTTTTTATTTTTTTTAATTTTATTTGATTTTATTTTTTTCAACTACTGTTTTTTAACTATTGTTTTTTGACTAAAATTTTTGATTTCTTATTTCTTTTTAATAGTTCAAGAAAACAGAAAAAAAAAATATTGGGGGATTTATAAATTCATGCTGTAATATTCATTGCATTAGTATTTTAATTTTATTTTAATTTTAAATTTAGTTTCAATTTTAATTTTAATTTTAGTTTTAATTTTACATTACTCTTTTATTTTTATAAAATCGATAAATATCTATATAGTATAATATAAAAAATAAAATTATAGATCGTAATTTTTAAAAGTTTTAAATAACAAAGAATTTAACTGCTCTTCGGGCACTGTTTGTGCCTTTTGTATATAAATCGAAGCAGCTAAAGTTGTTATTAGATCATCGGTTTTGATCCAGATTTTGCCATTGATTCCAATTGCAATATCAAATCGACATCTATTACTTAGATTCGTTAATATCGAGTTATCTGAGTTGAAAAATAGATGTCTTGCATAATTCAAACTGGTATCAAATACATAACCATTGTCTAATAAACCAAAACCGTCAGATTTATTAGTCACTTCATTAAGACACTCAAGTTCAACATCAATGTGAACATTTGCCTTAGAGACTCTAGCATAGACTAAATCACCCACTTTGAAATTCAACCTATTTTTTCTGGAGGCATTTTCAATAGAATAAAAAGATAATAAACAGTATGGTTTGAAGTTAGACAAGGAAACTTTATAGGATTCTCCGATTGTACCAAGCACAACACCAATAACCAAATCGTTCAAGTTGGGGGTATAATTTTTTGAAGGTGAATCAACAAAGATTATCTTTTTTTTTTTTGATTTTTGCTGCACTCTTAAATATCCTGGGTTTACTGGTATCAAGGTATTAGAAGAGGTATCAGTACTTATTCCGGGGCCTAGCACTAACTCAGAATCATTGTCCTGAATATGATCTGGTAGCAGATCTCCAGGAATCACTATCTGAGCGTTTAAATCGAAAAGAGTATCAGACATGAATATGTTTGTTTTGTGATTGTGGGTGAGGTCCGAAAGTCCTTTTGAATCACTTCTTAATTTATTTTATCTGCTTTTTACTGAAATTCTTTTTTACATATTTGCTGGATGCAGGGTGTTGTTATGAATTGGGATAAGACAAATATGGTAATGCTATATTAGGAAATGAGCGCAAATGATTATTTGGGAACTCTGTCCATAATAGGCAAGATCCACGGGAGTTCTTTATGTTTGAAGCATTTTCTTGGAGACTTTTTGTGTAGTGGACCAAAGAAACATTTTTATTGTGGTTGATATTCTTTTCTGTTGAAGTTTTTTAATGGCACTTTAGAGTATACGGCTTTTTTGTGTTTCAAAATTTTTTTCTTCGAACTGGGTGGACTTGTGAAACTCCCAATTTTAATAAGCTGACATTTTGCTATACTTTGGTTTGACAAACTGCATATTAAATCTTCAACTGTGTTAGTATAATTAGTCTTTGACTTTGATAATATTTGATTAGACAACAATCTTTTAAAGAGGGGTATATGACAAATTAAACTAACACTGGTTTTAGAAGTTTTATTATCAGAATAATTAAACTCAGATGGGTTGAGAAATGATCGTAAGTGATTGATATCATAATACCTAAAGCAATTATCTTTCTGCTTGATTGACTTTGACAAAGAGAGTTTTTTTAATACACCTTCACGTTTAAGTGTATATTTAACATAAAAAAACACTTATAATCTGCATTTTTTTTCAACTCGATAAACCAAAACTGTCTAAACTGGGTGTGATAAAATGTTGCTAAAAATACAAAATGAAAAACCATTAAGCTCTCCTTTCAATAGTATTGTTAAATATCGATTACGATATTAACAATTTCTTATTATTGTAATTTGAAATAAGATGTCTTCTAACTCAATAGAATTAATGATACATATTAAAACCTATTGACTGGAAATAGTAGAGAAATAAGCATTGTTATCCGCACTTATATGCAGGGTCTCTTGTTTTCAAATGCTAATTTATTGGTATTATTGGCACACAAAGTTCAATCTCCTCAGAGTTCAAGATATTTTGTTATACAATGTGGTGACAATATAGAGACCTAGTTTTCAGCAAATGTATACCATTATTAAGACCTACCAACTAAAGATATGCCCTATCTCTAAGTTTATGATCAGTTAAGATAATATAATTAAATATTAACAAAAAATGAATAATCATTAAATAGTATCGTATATGACATTGATAATGGTTCAATTTATTTTCAAATATAAAAGAATACAGCATTGGTGCAAAAGCTTGTCAAATGTCTCAATAGTGTCTTACTTTTGCTGAAAATTAGGTCTTTATATTGTCACTGCATTGTAGAGTCAAATTGTTTTTAATGTTTAGCTTCTAAACTTCCATTTTGTCAAATAAAATTAAAAAAAAATCAAGGAATTTTCTAGTTATTAAACAATAGCTGTTGCTTGAGTGAATAGTTGCTTTCAAGATATTTAATAAAAATACAATTAATACAAAATTCTAATGGATAGTAGACGGTTCATCAATTATGATAAATTAAAATAAACCAAAAAATTCACTGATTTTTCAATCAATTGTTATTGTTACTTAAAATGACAATTTTAAATTTTCATTATTTTTACTCATCTGAATTATCACCAATAAAAATTAATCTCTGGGTGGCACGAATTTATGAATAAATCACATTTTTAATTACATATATTTGATTATTATAACTTTATTAATTGTTATTTGTAATTTTCATTATTTCATCAGGATTTTGCTTTGATTTTTCTATTTTTTCTAAAAGATTCATAAATAATAGATATACAAAGTCTTTATTACAAAATAATGAAAACCGCTACAAATTTAATAATTTCTCAATTAAAAATTATTTTTGAATTTTGAACCAGAATTTTGGATATTTCAGTATGATCATAACACAAACAATTAATAAATACCTAACAAAAATATATATAATCAAACAAATGAAATAATAGAAAAAAAATGGTAATAATGGCTTATTATGTTTGTATATTTATAAAATTTTCTACGTTGAAATCTATAACTATCTCTTAAAAGAAATAAAAATTGTAGAGTAAAGAAAAAAAAGAACAAAGGTCATTAATTAACAAGTTACTTGATGCGAAAACCAAGTTTAACAAAGAAAAAAAGTAATAATCCTAATTACTTTTGAAAATTACTAAAAATCGACTAAAAAGTCTTCAATTTTAAACCCAATATCATTAGATATTTCCTTGGCCAATTCATGATCAATATTGCTTCTGAATTTCAATTTTGAAGTATCCAAATCATTGATATTACCGTTAAGCACCACAATTAAATTTAATGATATTAAATTAAGAAAATTGGAATAAAAGTCTATATTTGCTACTTGATTGATTTCCTGGGTAGTGATGTATCCAATTGATTGGGTTTTAAAATCAAAATTTCCAAAGTATATTGAATTAAGAATGGAGAGCATTCTTTCTAGCGGAAAATTGCTTGGATTTAATAGTTTCAATAATTGATCTTTATCACTCACATCATTTTTTTTTCTTCTTTTATAAATTTTTCTTTTGGTTAAATCTTTAAATTTTGAGAAGATTAATAAATCATATTTTTCTGGATTAAATGAAGCAATATATGACGCACACAATATAAACTTGCCGAATGTTGATAGTTCAAGAAAGTTTTTGTCTTTATCATGATTTACAGTATTATTAGTATCATTATTATAAGTGTCAATATCAATATCAATATTTTTGTTTTCATTTTCATTTCCATTTTGAATTTTGTGTTCTAAGTTTTGCTTATTCATCTTGTTATAAGAAGAAACTAATGGTGGTGCAATCATATAATTATCATTGAATATGCTTCTTTTTTGAATAAAATTTTGAATAAAGTTCTTTTTATTGAATTTTTCCTCAATTTTATATCCTTTGATAAAAACTGGCCATATTTTCTTAATAATTGAAATTATTAATGATATTCTTGATCCAGTAAATGAATGGAAACTTTCCAATATAATCTTGATAAAATTTTCCCAGAATAGTTTATCAACCACCACATTTTGATTGTTGTCATTTTTGTTCTGAACAAAATCACTGACCAATTTATCACCGGTCTTTGAATTTGTTAATATCTGAAAAATTTCAACTTTATTATAATTCTTGAAATATATTGAAACATTTGAATTTACAATAATATCGTTTAATAAATTATTATTGATTTTTAAGTTAAAAGAGGTTATAAGGAAAATAAACTGGAATCTTGAAGATATTATTTTGGAAATATCAAAAATTTTAGTTAAGATTAATAGTAAATTTTTTGATGAGTCATTACTATCATTACTGCTCATCAATTTAATAAATTCTGTTATATTTTCAAAGATAATTATATGAGGCTTGTTAATATTTTTTGCATTTTTAATTCTTTTGTTGGAATTTTTGTAAATTTCACAAATTTTTTCTAATATTATAATAAACTGGTTTGCTGAATCACAATTTAGATTACTGAAATCAAAATCAAAATCTGAAATTTTTTGTTCATTCAAGTTGTTTTCAACTATCGTATTAATAATTTTCTTTATCGTTTTATTGAAGAAATTTTTTAAAGAGATGTGGTTGAGACAATTTATCCAAGTATATATCAAATTTTCAGTATTTCTTCCAAGGTTATTATTGTAATATTTGAGAAAACTGGAGAGGAGTGTTGTTTTCCCAGATTCCTTTCCAATTAGCAACAAATTCAGAGGAAACAAGTCAATATTTTCGGAAGCTATAAAGGTGTTGAGTAGTAGCAATTGGTTGGCACGACAAGGCGTTTGTTTATCGAGCTCCTGGAGCTGCAAACTGCCCAACATATTGTGTTTGTATAAAAGTGCAATGTGATTAACTGGATACAAATATAATGGAAAAAAAATGTCACCTTTTATTTGAGATACGGTGAAAAAAAGAATTAAAGTTTCCATTTCGTGATTGGATTTTTATTTCGCTTTTGGGTATTATCAATTAAAGATTATTTCAAATTAACAAATACAAAATACAATATACAAAAAAAAAAGGAAATCATAGAGTTAAAGGCCTAAGAATTGGAAGACTTCAAGTATATAAGATGATTAAACTTTTATTAAAGATTCATTTATTTTTTGTTAGATTTTAAATGATTTTTGATAAATTTAATTTAATTTAATTTAATTTCAAAAATATATTTAAATTTAACTGCTGGTCATAACTTGCCAAACACGAATAATATTATCAGTATAACCAGTGAATAAGTTTTGACCATCAGAAGACCAAGCTAAGGAGATACATTCTGCGTCTTTAGTTTTACCAGTAGAGGTGAATTCTGGTTTCAATTCACCCATTAATCTACGTTCTTCCAAGTTATAGATTTTAATTGAAGAAGATGTAGCAGCACATAACCAATATCTGTTTGGAGAAAAAGCTAAGGCATAGATTTCGTCACCGGAGTTTAAGGTATATAAGGTCTTTGGAACAGTCATATCCCATAAGATAATAGAACCATCTTTACCACCAGAAGCACATAAAGATCCATCTGGAGAGATGGTGATACAGGAGACGTAACCGGTGTGGCCAATGAAATCAGCTTTGGCAGAGTAGTCAGATAAATCCCAGGACTAGAGAAATAGAAGATAAAAAAAAAAATGTTAGTAAAATTGATTCCAAAAAGTTAAAACCTGTGATTGAAAAACAAACAAATAAATGTCTATTTCGGAAAATACAGATTGTTGATAATTTAATTGATAACTTGATTATATTTTTCTTTTCATTTTTTTTAATTTATTTTGTAATATGAAAAATAGCATCAGAGATCTTGGTGTATTATAGTTTCATTCAAAGTGTAAACCTTGTCTAAAGTAGCAAATATGTTTATACATCATTTGAACAAATTATCAATCAAAAAAACAACCCATAATGAAGTAATGAAATAAAAATTGAAAAATTAAACTTACTTTGACTAATTTATCCCAACCAGCAGAAACAATGGTGGAGGAAGATTCTTCTGGAGAGAATCTAACAGCAGAAACCCAGTCAGAGTGGCCTTGTAAAGTTTCTTTACATAAACCAATGGCATTCCAGATTTTAACGGTTTTATCTCTTGAGGCAGAAACGATTTGTCTTGAGTTTTTAGCAATGGAAACACTTAAAACATCACCAGTGTGACCTACAAATCTTCTGGTGCATTGACCGGTTTCAATATCCCATAAACGTAAAGTTCTATCCCATGAAGCAGATAAGGCGAATAAACCATCTGGAGAGATACAACAATCTTGAACAATGTGAGAATGACCTTTAAATGATCTTCTTGGGACACCGTAGGCTTGTTCATCTCTGGTTAATTTCCAGACAATCAAAGTCTTATCACGAGAAGCAGATAATAAGATATCTGGTTGAACTTGGGTAGTAGCTAAGGAAGTGACCCATCCATTGTGACCTAATTAGAAAAAAAAAAGTAAAAGAATTAGTTAGTATATCAATCTTAAAACCATCTCAATTGGTAACTAGTTTTTTATGATTGAAATTTAAAATTATTTCCTTATTGATTTTTATTTTTATTATTTTAATATTGAACATTTAAAATTTCTTAAATAAAGTCATTTTAATTAGTAATTCTCTCTGGACATTGATTAATTATTTTAAAAGATAAATACTGCCAAAGATCTGCAAATGATAATTAATGCAAATAAAAAATCAATTTTTGTAGAAACCTCATAATCATGTTGCATTAATTTTTGATTTGTTTATCGATATAATCAAATATTTTCCAAGTTCGTTTTAAAATATTTCAATGTCATTACTCAGTTTATTTTGTCATCTGCCAAAGATTTGATCTAATTTGTTAAAACTATTAATGGTTTTTCATCAATTATTTTATGAAAAAGTGATCCCTAATTTGTTTTGAATTTCAAATCACCCATGATATATTTCAGCAGTTTAATGTATGGTTTAGTTTTATAAATTTGACAATTTCAATAATTTTTATAATTTCAATAATTTCAATAATTTCAATAACTTCAATGGTGATGCCAACTAACTGGTCTGGAATAATTGATTTAAATCTTGCAATTTAACAGTAATACACACCTTCTAAGGTACCTCTTAAAACAAGAACTTCTTTGTCGGCCATTTTATAATATATTATAGAAATAAATTCTTAAAAGTCTCTTCTGTAACCCTTAGGGATATCTTGGATAGAATATAAATATAAGAAAAAATTTAACAGTAGACTGGGACAACGTTTTCCGTGCTGGGAGAATTGGCTGGAGGCAGGATTTAGCGCTGGACTTGGCTGGGCTGAAATTTTTCAGCCGCAGGTGACCGCTTTGACGCTGAAGCCGTTTTGGCGGTGCGATGACTGCTTTTTGGCGCACGCAGGGAAAAATCACGCGCAATCTGGCGTAATCATGTGTGTATAACCAGGGCTGTAATGTGAGAGAGCCCTGAGTGTATTCAGCATGTATATTCGAGTAAATAAAGGTTTTGTGCTGTGTTAGTGCATGAGAACGTCTTGACATGCATGGAAACGATAAAAACAATTATGACGCTTTAACAGCTCTTTAACAGCTTTTAAACACAACAACAATGTCCAACCAGTCTCGCAACGAGTTTCTTCAGGAAAGGCTAGACTCTTTGGCAAAGATAGACCAGAATCTTGTGTCTGTTATAGACAACCTATCCTCGCTATTGAATCACATCCACATCGGCAAAAAGAACTTGCTTATCAACAACAACAACCCTAACAGCAATCGACAAACAGAAGATGATGTCAACTCAGATATCAAGTGTTTTTTCCAAAACCTAGAAGAAAGCACAACCAAGTTGAGGAGAGAAATCAAATTGCACGACAACAGAATTGGTTACAACTTTAAAAAAGATAATATCGTTTCCATATTACCAATCAACCTCACCAAGAATGCGACATGGGTTGGCGATTGGAATTTCAAGAATCAGATTAATACTGTAGATATGTTGTTTAAAAATGATCCCAACTACGAGCAAATAGATGATAATAACAACGATATCAAAAAAGAAGATAATAATGATGACAGTAACAGCAATGAAAATAAAATTGAAATTAAAATTGAAAATGAAAATTTAAAAAAAGAAGAGAAAGAAAAGGAAAATAGAGATAAAAATAAGAATGAGGATGCAACCATTAATGGAAATCAGATTGGGAAGGAAAAAAGTAATGATATTAAAAAAGAAAATGACATTCAAATTGAAATTGGAATAAATGATTCAACACCAATTATCATTAACAATTCAACCCCAATCATAATCAATGATGATTTTCCAATACCTATTAAACTTAAAGACGAGTATCAAAATTCATCTTTCAATCAAATCACCCCTACATCTCAAATTGATTTAAAACAAGAAATTGAAAATACTGATCAAATCATGAATTTAGAATTTGACAATTACCTTGCAACTGATAATATTAGCAATAACAATAATAGTAATACCAATAATGAGAATAAAAATAACAAAAGTAGTTCTTCAAGCGATCTTGATATATCAATTTTAATCTAGTCACTTATTTTGAAACATTTACCACTTCATTCAACTATTATGCATATTCATTTTCCATATAATTTAAATCAATTTTTTTTTCTTTCTCTTATTCTTATCCACTCTTTTCTAACTTTTTACTTACTGTTTTTGTATCTTATTACCACTGACAATCTTATATTTATTTAATTATATAATTTTATCACTATATTACAATATCCCTATATTAATAGTGCTATCCACATACCTATACACTGAAAATAGCAAACAAACAAACAAACAAACAAACTAGATAAACAGTTGAAAAAAAAAATAGTTAAAAAAAACATATTATTTTTGTATAATACTTTATACCTCTTTCCTTTTCTTTTCCCTTTGAAAATGTCAGTCATCATTAGCAGCATCAAAAAACCTTTTCATCAAACTGCTTTTTTGAAAAATTTCATTCTCTTCGTCCTCTCTCAACATTTTATATGTCCTTTTCTTTGATATTTTGCCGGATATTACTTTTTTATCGGGCGAATCAAATATCTCAAAATTATCCGCTGTTTTTAATGGACTGAAATCTATTTCGGAATTAATAACTATATCCTTTGGTGTTTTTTCAATAAAACCATCGATATTAGAATTTGTATATTGATTCGTCACCCTATTGTTATTAGTCGGCGTTTCTTCAACTTGACTAAATGATTTTATATTATTCATTGAGTTAAACCTGAGATTACTTTTTCTAAGATCACTTTTTGCATTGAAAAAAATTGGTCTATTATTCTGACTAAACGTTTTTTCAATTTCTTTTTCAGATACTTTCCTTGCATTCTTTTTAATATCCACAAACTCTACTGTTCTTCTTTCCAATAATTTAGCGGCAGAAAATTGTCTCGTCAAACTTGGCTTTCTGATGCTGTTATTATTGTTGTTTTTGATATTACTACTGTTTTTGATATTACTACTGTTATTGTTCTCTAATTTTGTAGAAAATTCTCCAATTCCTGGAGCATTTGAAATGGCTGCAAATGATTTAGACTTGTGTCTTAATTTCACTCTGGCAATCTTTGGCAATGGCGGCCTTTCCAATATTTGAACCTCATTGTTATTTTCCGAAAACAGTTTTTGTTTTATCTGATTGGTTTTAATTTCGAGTTTTTTACTTTTAGTTTTGGATTCATTTTTAGAATTGCTTTTAATATCAACGTTTTGACCACCAAATAATTTTTTTTTGATGAATTTTATTAAATTTGGACATTTTTTGCAGAAAAATGGAAACAAAATAGTTTTATAAAAATTTCTAGAATTTAAAACATTTGATGTCAATTGTTCTTTAATTGTAAGATCATTTCTCAGCATCTTTATTGGTGAATTATTTGCCAATAAAGATAAAAATTTTCCATCTAGTGCTAAATCATAGATTATTAACCTATCTAAATATGCATTTAATAATATTTTATATGAACTAGTATCTCTTGGTTTATTTAATGTTATCATTTCTTCATTCATATTATTATATATTTGATCTTTGAAGTTGTTATTATGATTTTCTAATAAAATTGTTGAACCAGTAAGTGTTGGAACAACTTTTATATTTTTCTTTTTCTGTTTTCTTCTTATTCTAATTAATGGTTTCTTTATATTTTGTAGATTGGAAAATGAATTTGAGCTGTTATTTAACCGATTTAAATCTAGATTTGATGGTGATGATGATGATGATAGTGGTGAAAATGAACTATAATTTGAGTTTGCGTCTAATAAGATATTAACATCATTTACCTCCAAATATAAATACTCAATCAAAAGAATTATTTGAAGATGAGCTTCTCGAAGTTTCAAGAAAAACAAAAAAAATTGAGACAATAATAACTTTTGGTTATTTTCAGCCTCGACCAGATTTTGATTGATATTATTATCGATACTATCAAAATCATTATCAATAATAACACTACTCTTATAAGGGTAGCTAGATAAAATTTTTGTTTTGTAATTTTTCTCCATTTCGTCGATTAGGTTTTTGGAATTTATCAAACCATTCAAGTTTTTTGATACCAAATGCCTAATATCAAAATAATTCAAGTTTAAAATCAACAAATTCAATATAAATCTCAATGATGATTTTGAATCAATGGTAAAGTTTAATGAAGAATATTTTTCATTACTGTCTTTAATAGTGCTTTTTTTCAAAACCAACACTTCAATTCTTGGTAGAGTAGTTTTAATAAAATATAATAAAGGAATTTTAATTGAATACAAAGATTCAAAATATCTATTGAAAAGGAAACTTTGGGGTTGATTGTTAGCTGATACTGGCGGTTTTATTGTAAAATTCGATAAAAGACTTTTCGAGATTGTTTTTCTTTTCTTCAATAATGCTGGAGAAAGAGAAGTGGAAATTGAAGAACAATTAGATAAGCTATCTAGATTTGATTTATTATTTGAGTTCCATATTGAGCTAAAAAGTTTGAGATTTAAAATATTGCTCTTGCACCTTGTGTCATTTTCTAATATTTCACTGCAATCATCCAAAGAGCAAAACATATTTGTTCTGTAAATAAAAGATTCCTTCAATGTCATCAAACACCAAAATTTATTGTCAGCTTTAATATTACCTATCTGCTGAAGGTTGCTAGCAGGATTCAACGAAGCTAAAAAGGATAAATCTATAATAATCCCATACTTCTTCTGCTGAAATATCTCAAATTGAATCAAGTATATTGTGTTCGCTTTGATAACAACCCCATTGTGATCCTGTAAACTAAATATAAAACAATACTGGCTATTGCTACTGCTGCTGTCGCTATTGCTGTTTCGCTTTATGGGACTCGAAATAATAACTTCTTCTTGGAGCTGAATGTGGCAAGAAATATGGGATACAAACTGCAGAAATGACACCACCTGAAGAACAGTGACTTTGACTGTGTTGTCGCCAAACAACAAGGATAACGACCTTCTCTCACCCATCGTCTGCTTCTTCTACTGAATGTGCTGTCTCTGCTGAACAAAATTCCATCCCACTTCGAAAGCAGCACAAATCCCGTTATAAAGGCTGTTATATCCCGACGTCGCGGGTGTCCGATGCACTAATACCTCTCCTGTCGGGATAAGGGATTAAACCGCAGTTTTTTTGTATGGCTCTTTCTGTTGCCTTTGTTGGTGTTGGTGCAACTGCTTTTGAGTCATTTGGGCCAGATCCTGCAACTGCCGCTGAGAGATGGGTTTTGTATTGCCTGGGAAGTCCATTAAAAAGAGGAAAACTGCTAGAGGTGTTTTTATCTCTTCTAGAGAGACACAGGTTGATAAGCAAGGTCAGGTCGATGTTAATGCTGCAATTAACAAGAAGGTTGATGGTATTGACAAATCTAAAAAGAGAAAACTGGCGAAAGAAGACAGTAAAAGCAATGCTTTGACATTACTGAATCTCCCCATTGATATAATTCTTGAGATCTTCAGATGTTTGGATAGAAGGGATTATTACAATTTTCAAATGGTTGATAAGTCTTTTAATTGTATTATCAACCATCGCTTGAACAAGCAATTTTTGGTCCAAAGCATTATCAAACAGAATTTATTTGATCTAAATTCAGGAATCAAAGAACTTTCTTTTTTTTTACCTCCTATTTCCACCGATATTAATCTGATCAACCGAAGTTCTAGCAATGTACGTAATTTTAATAATAGTCCTTTCAGCAGTTTATTCACTGACCTGATGGATCATAGGATTGTCAGTAACCTTTTTGTTAATAACGCTCATGTTGGAAATATCAATAATAATAATAATAATTTTATCAGTCAGACCAACACTAACATCAATTCTACTGCTACTAACATTGATTTTCTTAATAATCGGACTGCTTCGGTTTATAATAGTCATAATAATAGTACTCATACTACCGATAATAATAATAATAAAAATTCAATGCTTGTTGAAGATGACTTTGTTTTGGATATTGACATATTAAATTATAAATTTGTTAACTATGAATCAGTTAGAAAGTTTGGTTTCAAATTAATTTTACCAAAAGATGAAATTGAAAAAGAAAGGAGGCAAAGATTTAAATTTTATAAAATTATGAAACATATTCAATTTTATAATTATTTAGCAATTTTGATTTGGTTCAAAAGAAAAGAAAATGATGAACTCAAAAATATAACTGTTCTGAATTACGATTATCTCCAGGATATTGATCTCCAAAAGGATAATAAGAAAAATAAAATAATCTTGGGACCAGTAAATGAAAATAATAATAAAGATTTTGATAGACGTGATATATTAATTCATTTAGATAATGATAAATATCCTCTTAATTTACTTAAAACTAAAATCGATTACTACAAAAGGATTCAAAAAAATAAAATCTATCAAAAGATTTATCAAGAGATTTATCGCAAATATAGGAATCGGAATTTCGGAGTTAAAGAATACATGCTAAAAATATTCATTCAATATTATATTGCTGAAAAGACATTTATAAGAAATATATTTAAAAAATATAAAGATTCAAAGAATTTTGAAAAAATGTTTTTCAATATGCAACTCGAAAACGAAAATTTTATTCAATTAAGAATATTTTTCAAAATTGCTAACAGATTCTTTTTCAATGAACTAAAAGATATCCCGTATTTTTGTAAAACAAACAATTACTATAACTACTATATACCTATCATTAGTTTCCCAAAAAGATTCACATTTACTAACAACACCATTCATGACAAAGAATCTTTATTGGATAAACTTAAATTGATTAACTATTTTTCAAATAACTATAATCTAAGATTCACAAAAGATGATGCAAATAAAATACTTTGTTTATTCATTGACAATTATGCAGATGATTTTGATTTATTTAAAAAAGATGAAACCTCTACTAATGACAATAATAATAATAATAATAATAATAATAATAATAGCGATAATAATGACAGTGATAGTAATACAGAGAATGATCAAGCCAATACTCTTGATGATATTTCTCGAAATAACAATCCATTTAATAATACCAATCCCCTTAAAAAAGAAAATCGTTATGAAAAAGTTTGTTTTGATTCAATTAAATCAGTATATGACATAACTGCTGTATTGATTATCAAGGAAATTTTGTATGCTAGCCGTGATTCTGAAAGGATAAAAAATTTTAAAGATGAAAATAGGCAGATTCCAAGTAGCATTGTGGACGGCAGTAATACGGGTATTAATGAAAATAGTAATAATGGTATGGAAGGGCTTGATAGTAATCACAATAACGGTAATCGTAACAATAGTTCAGTTATTGAACAATCGACAAATTACTTTGAAAGAAGAATGCCTACATTTCCAAGATTTAATAATAGAATACCATTAATAAGGAATCAACACATCAATAATCGATTTGAGATAGATCCATACTATAACACCGAGGATATTCTGGCAATAATCACAGATATTACGCAGTTTTTCAATCTTATTCGTAACAATTTGTCGTTAATGGAGGATAATTTAACAAGGATTCAAAACACATTTTCTAGAAGTTCATTCAAGCCATCATTGAAAGTCAAATCACCTAAACCATTAATTCGGTGTTTCGAGAAGAATAATTTAAAAATGGCTGAGTTAATACTTAGGTTTATGGACAGTGGAGTACACGTTAGTGAGAATGAGGAATTATGGGGATATATGTTTCAAAAACAAAATGTACGGCAATGGGAATTTTTAACAGAAAGAGGATTTGAACCTTCGATGAAGTTCATGGCATCATTTTCTGAGATCCCAGGATTAAATTGATAGGAAAGGTATTTAGCATATATTCAGAAAATTGATTAAATTATACAAATTATATTAAATTATACTAAATTATATTAAATTATATTAAATTAAGAAATAAGTATCAAGATTTTCAAATTACGATCAGGGATGACAATAAAGATAATTCTGGTTGGGATTCAGTTGGGGAACTGGTAACCAAGCTTTTTATCCAAGGACCCTGCATTTGGCTGCAGCTGGCGCAATTGCAAAATACTTTTTCAAAATTTCAGTAACACATTAACCATATAGGTTATAATCTAGAATTAAATTAAATACTATAATGGTATAATATGGTTTTTAGTAATTTTATATTTAGAAGATTTCATTAAAAATAACCAATGGTTTATCACTATATATAATCACCGATAGCATCTCAACAACCGCATTTTAGAAAATTTTTATTAAGAAACAGCATAACACGATGATGCAAAATTTATAATTGTTTTATAAATTTTCAATCAAAACAATTTAGATTATTTGAATACATAAATACTTGGAACTGTTTGTATTTGATAGTGATAATTGAAATTTGCATATAGACTGTGTAGTTTATCCTAAAGGATGCACAAAATATGCGATTTTTATGTTCAAACTACAAAACCAGTTGTTGTGAAATAGAGCAAATAAATGAAACAATAAAGTTGAATGCTTGATATTTATTTGAAATTAATCACATTAAGACGTATTCCTATATTGAAACTGCTTGGTTTAGGGATACATTAAACTAAAAGAGAAAGCAGGTTTTAAAACGTACTCGCATTAGATCGTTGATATAACAGAATAATGGGAACTGAAAGTATCGTAGCTGAAAGCAATCTAGATACCTGGTTTTGTTATATGGTTGCATACAACCCATTTGTAAATATACAATTGAGTTTTGGTTGGTGATCTTAACTGGCTATCAACATTGCCTGAGACATCAAAGTTTTCTGCAATCTTATTAAGATACAGCGGGCTTCTGTCATTATTTGCGCAATTGAACAGAGCTCAGCCATTCAAAGCCACAAAGCTCTCTCAGATCGAGTATTCCATGGGCTTATACCCACAAAAACGCTAGACCAATGAAAACAGCCCCCGCACACATGCCCACAGTACACACAACAACGCTTTCTGTGCCTCTTGTGATGATTTGGTACACAGAGCACAAAGCGTATCTCACGCCCACAATAGGGTCTCACAGCAGGTTTCCCAAAGCGGAAATATGCTTACCTAATGGCATCATGCAATACTGTGCACAAAAATGCACAGTTGCATGTTTTTGACCATGTGCAATACAAATTGCCGTTTTGAGCGGCACACGAGCGGCTGCTGCATTAGACCCAGCCCACGTGTGCGCAAGCCAGCGCTGTGGAACTACTCCAGCGCGCGCTGTGATTGGCTGCACAAGCCATGTGTAGCTTTCTGCTTATATACATGGCCCTCAACATGGAAGCTGTTTCTCTCAACCACCAACGATGTAGTGATTCTGGTCTTTTGATATATATATATCTCTTTTACCAAAATTCCATTTCTTCTCACTAGTTTTGAGCAATTGATTTGATTTGATTCAGATTAGACTGTCTGGCTTGCTATTGGCTTATGCTAAACATTACTACGTTCCACCTTTAATTTCAATAGTTGTTTCTTCATAAACCCCATTCTGAAAATGGCAAAGCAACTTCCCAAACCACCCTTTTTTTCTTCCACAATCATTCAGATGAATCCATCTCTATCGATCAGTAACAATGTCTCCAATAATGAGACCAATTTCATCTGTGAATCTTCACCTTCATCCACCACATCCACCACTACAACACCCACAAGATCTGGCTCTTCATTTAAAAGAAAATCAAATGAACTCGTCAGCCAAACAAACACCAAAAATACCATCAACAAAACTAGTAATACCAATAGCACAAATAAGAGAGCTAAAAAGGCAAAAACCCAACAAGAATTGGATGAAAAGAAAAAACAATTAAAGACTGCTCATTCTATGATTGAGAAAAAAAGGAGGAGCAAAATAAATAGAGAATTTGACTGCTTGAAACTATTAGTTCCCGCCTGTAGAATAAATTTAATAAATTCTTTGTCTTCAATTGCTTCAGCATCCAACTTCACTAATAACAATAATGGCAATAATTTTAATGGAAATGGCAGTAGTAACAACAATAAACCTGGTCAAATAGGTGATGGAATGCATAAATTATCAATATTACAGACAACTGTTGAGTATATTAATTATCTTCATGACACCATCTTATTGATGTATAGTGAAATTGCTATGTTTAGTAATAACTCAAATAACTTCAACTCTTTTAAAGAAAATGACATATCTTTTGCTAAACTCAAACTAAATATTGATAATTGCAGAGATCCAACTTTAAATTTTGATTTTAATGATTTAATCAAAATGTTGAAAATTATTCAATACAATTGCCTTGATTTAGAAAACTCTTCATCAAAATCATTAAATAATAATTTCAATAACAATGATATTCATAAATTATTATCATCTAATTTCTCATCCAAGCAAGTACATGATTTCAAATTATTTGTAGATATGGATAACATTAACAGCAATAACAACCACAATAATTACAACAATATGAATTACAACAACAATAACAATACTAATAACAGCAATAACTTTATGCAAACGAATTCTAATAACCATAACCATAACCATAACCATAATCATAATCATAATCATTGTAACAGTTATCAAAATAACGACACTATCAGCACTAACCAACTGAGAAACATTGAACAAACAAATAAATTCAATAATTTTAGTTTTCAAAATCATCACACTTCTTCTAATAATTCAATTAAAAATATTAATCAACTGTCTAATCCATTTTCCAATAAAACAGGCACAAATGCAAATAACAACACTACAACTAATAATATTACCAGTAATATTATTAATAATAGTAATCATGTCAATGAAAAATATGAAGAATTTTTCAACTATCATAATCTCAATAAATCAAAATACTCCAGAAAACTGAGTCTTTCAGCTGCAAAGTCCTCAAACTCAGTTAGCCTGCAACTACCAAGCCCCAAGATTACCCCAAAAATACAACCAAATAACCCTCTAAATAATTCTAATGAAACTCTTAACAGTAGCTCTTATGATTTATCAAATTTTTTAAGTAATAATCGGTCAAGTTCAATCGAAAGTAATGGTAATCCAACTTTTAATAAAATCAACTATTATCCCTATCAGGATTCAAATAAATCCTTCATTGAATTATCCCCGTTAATCACTACTGATCCATTTTCAAGGTTAGAAATGTTGAATAGTAAACGAACAACTAATATAAGTCCGCAGTTAATACCTGATAGCAATAAAATACTTCCAAATCCAAATTATTCCAGCGAAAATATTTACCAAAGTGAATATGAACTTGGATTTAAAGGATTAACACCTTTGTTAAACTCATTGGCCAGTGGCTCTTATCCTGAGATGTCCCCATCAACATTACCAAGAAACTCAATTGCAGAGAATAACAATACCAAAGAGACAGATTTTCAGTTGCCTCTACCAATGATAAGTATAAGTCCGAATAAAAACTCAAACCAAAACACAAATACATTTTCACTACCATTGAATGTACCATCAAAAAGCAAAAACAATAAATCATCAGTGACTAGTAATAGTAACAACGTGGAAATTAGTCCTAAAAGTGTCTCGAAAACCAGACCCAATTCAAGTCTTGATTCAACATCAGACTCTAACAACAACACAAAACTCAGTGAAAATCTCAACAATACTTTGAATCAAGCTGGCGAAGTGTTATTATCTTTGAGCAAAAATTGTTGCAGAAGAAATGACACATCAGAAAATCTGATTGAAAACACCATCCAAACAAAGCAAAACAACAAATCCAGATCAAGCATTGTTCATTTGCTTAACTAAAAATATAGTTTATAGAGCTATCCTATAATACACATTCTACTCATTCATCATCCCATGACTCGATAAAATGGGGTTTTTAGGCGAATGCCGGTCGATATTTCCGGAGACTACGCTTCGTTTGGACGGAAAAAAAATCTCCGGAAACAGATGATTAAAGATCTCATTTTATTAAAAGTTGGACACTGAAAAAAATAATTAAATTATAAATAAATTGCACGTGTAAAAACAAGAAATAAATATAGTAAAAGAGATAATAAATTAATCATCCACATTATGGTAAGAAGTCATACAAGCAAACACATTGAAGTAAAAAAAAAGATGGACAGATGAGCTTGAAAGATTCAATTGACACACATCATCTTATAAGTTGAATAGAGATGAGTACTCATCGATTAAAGGGATAGTTGTTACCTGTTTTATGGGTTGTCTTTGCAATAAAATCAAAACTCCTCAGACTCAAGTTCTTGTTGCTAATATTTACCTTGTAAGAACTGGAATGAATCAGCTTTGTTCTGATTGATTGGTTTTCTATGTCATTGTTATCAGCCATTCCGAATAGTGTAGTTGGCGTTTCAATATTAAGTGGAGAATTGTATGTTTCTATTTTTCTCAATTCGTCAAAACTTTCCATATTATTTTGAAGGTCAGAGCCCTTTTCTTTATTATGGTCGACAAAGGTCTGTGCAGTTGAATCAGTAAACACTGAAGAAGCTGAGTTATTGACATTAAAACAACCGACAGAACTTGGGTTTTCGTTTCTATTATGGATTGATGTGGCCCACATACTTGATAGGGGCAAACATATTGTGACAATTAAAATTGAAATATGGGGCAAAACAGATAACCCGAGATTATTACTATTAGGAGTTGCTAATGCGATAATTTGAAGAATAATGGGAATAACCATTGATTGACCTAACATGATTGTTAAAATATGGAAAATTGAAAATTGTTTCAAACCATTTTTTTTTCTTTCCATGACTTGATAAGCTAGTTTTAAAATTAAAATCAAACTCATTAAAGCAATAGAAACAGTGAATAAAGTGGTAGGCAAAGTTGTTTCCCATGACTCAGGGTTTATATGGCCTTTACCTTTAACATGGAGAGCTCGTTTAATAACGACATTTAAATAAAATGCAACGTCTGTCAAAGCAGTTAAGATTGAAAGGGCAAAAAACCCTTTTGCAACATTTTTGTATAATTTTTTTTGATGAAGAATATTTCCATGCAAATAAATGAGATACATTTGATATAAGAGAGTGCCTTGTATGATTGTTACTAAAATAATATTAATAGAGTTTGTTGCAATTGTCATGTTAATATCAGTAGCATTATAAATATAAACGCCAGAGAAAATGGTTGTAATACTAGCAGAACGTCCAAGAAGATAATGGTAATAAAGACATGTATGAACGATTAAAAACAATAATGCTAGTTGGTTGAGAATAAACATTGGGGAAGCCCTTTTTTTTTTATTCATTAATAATGCTAACAAAACCATGACAATAAATGCTGCACCAAATCTTACACCAAAGATTATTGCACTGGTAGAAACTTCAACAAGATAGCTGTCGAGATCTTTAAATTGAATAAAAACTTCACCATAATCTGGAGAAGTAAAATTTAGATAAATGTCTTCTGGAGATATATTAGACATGGAGATAAAACTTGATAGTAAGAAAGATGGCTGTGAGATTAGTTCAATTTATTTTATTGCTAGAATTAGATATTATAGGGTGAATGGTTGAAGAAAAAAAATGTAACAGGAAAAAACATAAATAAAACAAAGCAAAGGGAAGGGAAATGAAGTCAATTATATTCTGTTTCTTTTTTTGAATCATATCTGACGTTTTAGAATATCCAGTCAAAATCCTCGTTTATTATTATGTAGCACATTATGCTATTGTTCCAAAATATGGTTTTTGATTGAAAACTGATGTCTACTCGCACTTTCCTAATTGGGCCACTTCAATAGGAACCTCAAAAGTGGAAGATGTAAAAGGATGCATTTAGTTTGGAGTTGAAGGATAAAATATTTTTTGTTTCTTTTTAATGATTATTCAAAAACCAATTACAGTGCATAATTTTGTGAGATATCGTTTAGTTAGTTTTATTTGGAAAAAAAATGAAACAAACTGGAAATCAACACCATATACTTGTTATACCAAGTCATTTAGATTAAAATCAACACAAACAAAGATAAAAAAATGGGCTTTGAATTCTTTAATGATTTCAGACAGTCTTGAACAAGCAAAAGCATTTAATTAAATACATATATATATTAATACGTATATATTAATACATAGAGGTTTTAAAAGAAGCATGATCTTGGTGAACAATAGTTAAATTATGCCATATCATCAGCTGTACAGCACCTAACGAGAATTTTTATGGATAGAAGATTTCCCAATAAGTTTTGGAAACAAACACATCAGGAAATATTCCAAACTACCAAACCCAGCATATGTAACAGAAAAAACAGTCCAAAGCACTTGCCACTGCCCTCATCTGTGAAGAAGCAAAACCAATACAAAATGGAGACTGTGCTTCCACGGCAGAAAATGCTCTGAAAACAGTTCCCCGACGGAATTCGAACTAGCGACCTCTGAACCACCGTCGGTTTTTCTGACGAAGGTTTTGCGCGTGACTTTTCAAAGCTAAATATCGGTGATAACACTGATTGTTTTATTACGTTTACTTTAGATGCCACTTTGATCAGTACACAACAGACCAATCCTGGAAAAGGTGCCATTTTGATAGGATTTCTTCAATTGCAACTTGATTTTGTCTTGTTTATTCAGAAAGTTGGAAGCGAGACTGTGCTAGTTATTAGTTTTATTGGAAATACATTATTTTCATACAACACACTAAAGATAGGGGAAATATTCCAACAAGAGAGCAATAATGGGCAGTGACAAATTGGAAGATTGGGAACTAAAGAAATTCTGGGAAGTTTTTCGTGGTTTGAATCCTGTGAACAATAAATTATCCAACGATAAATGTGCCAATGTATTCAAAAACTCGCAGCTACCTAATGATAAATTGGCAAAGATTTGGGATTTATCAGATATTGATTCTGATGGATTTTTGGACTTTGAGGAATTTTGCATTGCCATGAAATTGATTTTTGAGTCAGTAAATGGGAATCTTGCATCTATTCCTGATGCTTTACCTACTTGGTTAGTTCCTGGGTCCAAGTCCCATTTGATCCAAGCTAACAAGGCATTGACTGGTCAACTACCAAACTCATCGGTGAGCTTGGATGATGATAACTATGATGAGGAGCTAAATTTATCCACCAATTTTGATTGGTATATTTCACCAAATGACAAATCGACCTATGAAAACATTTACAATAGTTCTTCAGATAAATTTGGTAGAATTAGTTTCAATTCATTAACCGATTTGTATAACGATTTACAAAATGTTCCGAAAACCGACATTGGTTATGCCTGGAATTTGGTCAATCCCAAGCAGTACGAAACCATTGATAAAGATCAATGCATGGTTTTTTTGCATATTTTAAATCAAAGATCCTCTGGTAAAAGAGTCCCAAGAACGGTGCCTGCATCATTAAGAGCAACTTTTTCCAAAGAAGTTCCCCAGTACAATTTAAATTCTTCACAAACTGAGGTTAAGAATTCTTCTTATTCCCAAGTCAAGGATAAATCATTTGGTGGAAATTATTTGAATAAAATGGGCATCAATAAAAAAAATTCATCATCCTCGTTATATGACGACAATGGAGGAATAGAGGATGACTATTCAACTATCCGTGATCCCCAATGGGAAGAAGCAAGACTAACCAAAAAATTAAAAGAAATAGAAGATAGGCTTGAAAGGGCTGAAAAGGAGAAAACAGAGAGAAAAGAAAGATCATCTAAGAATTCCGTTATAAGGTATGAATTGGAAGAATTATTGAAATATAAAGAATCAAGATTAAAACAACTCGAAGATGAAGCCAATGGTATTGGAAAAAGTTCTGGATTTGACAATGAACAATATGAGAGCATATCAAGTGATTTAAATATCATTGAGGAACAGGTTTCTGTATTAGAGGATTACTACAGGGGAAAAGAGTTTGAGCTAGAAGAATTAAAACAGCAGATATATGAAGTCTCTAATTCGGGCTTTTAAGTTGAATTATTTGAGTCGATTTAAATTGACTTGTTTAAATTTTTGTTTTTAAAGTTAGTTAATTTTTTTGTTTTTTTCAATTTTTTATTTTAAGTTTTTGTTTTTATTTTAATTTGGTTCTTCCTGTTTTTGTTGTTTTCTTTTTAATTTTCTATATATTTATTGTATAAAGTTCATTACTTCATTACTTGTTTGTCATCTTTTAAAATTTTTAATATTTTATAAGTTCATTTTTTTCCAGTTCATTTTTTTTTCTTTTTTATTTTTTTTTTTTTTTTTTATCTTCTATTAATTTCATGAATTAAAAATAGTAAGTTTTTCAGCAAATTTTTATAGGAAGAATATATATTATAAAAGTAGTATCAATATATCAATATATATATAAAGAGAAAATGGTAGTAAATCATAAAAGTAAAAAATGAAAACTAGAGATATAATGATGTAAGTTTGGTCGGGATGTTTTAAAATAGTAGTAATGAACAAACAAGAATAAAGAATAAAAACATAAAAAAATAAAACCAAGTAAGTAAGTCTATTAAATAATATAATCTTAGAATTTTATTTTTTTAGCTATTTTATTTTATTTTTTAATTTGAAGATGTAACTTAATTGTTAATTTACATTATCATTTTAATTTCTTTTTAATTTTTTTAATTTTTTTTCAATTTTTTTTTCAATTCTTTTTCAATTCTTTTTCAATTCTTTTTTAAACAACATTAAATCAAACTAAAAAATTCAAAAAAAAAAAGGTTTTGAGGAAAAAAAATCATGAATTGGATTATAAAATTATTGATGGGAATTTTTAAGGGGAGAATTCTTAGTATTTGTAATTGAGGTTATTAACTAAAAAATTGAAATAAATTGTAATTTATTGTAATTTATTGTAATTGTATTTTTATTTATTGAATAAAATTATTATTTCTTTTCAGTTGATTCAGGTTGTGGCTCAGGTTCTGGAGTTGGCAATTTGAAATCAGTTGGAGTGTAGTCTTTACCTTCGCCTACTTGTTCCCAAACAGAACTACCAACAGAGAAATTTCTGAAAGCTTGAGTCAATTCTAAAGGTTCATAAATGATTCTTTTTTTTTCTTCGTCGTATCTTACTTCAGTGTAACCAGTTGTTGGGAAATCTTTTTTCAATGGATGACCTTCAAAACCATAATCGGTTAGGATTCTTCTTAAATCTGGATGGTTTTCAAAAAAGATACCAAACAAATCGTAAGTCTCTCTTTCATACCAATTAGCACCTTCGAATAAGGGAACAATTGAAGGAACTGGCGATACTTCGGATGCATAGGTTTTAACTCTAATTCTTGAATTGAATTTGACCGATAACATGTTATAAATGACATCAAATCTGTTAACTCTTGAGGGATAGTCTGCTCCAGTGACATCAGCAACTAATGTAAATTGACAGGAAGTGTGGTTTTTCAAGTAAGTCATGACAGGAGTTAGTGAGTTTGGGCCAACATATATAACCAATTCATCTTTCCAAACTGAAAACTTTTGAACAAACTTGGGCAAGGAAGTCATAATATATTGGCCGAACTTGTGCAATTCCTGAGACTGATCTTTGTATTTATCGGCAGGATTTACTATTTCCTCGGCAATTTCCTTTGGGACTTCACGAGGCAAGGCAGATAGCAATGGCAACGAGTCAGTGGATTCTTCCAATTTATTTAAGGGTCTTAGCGAGTGAGAAAAGTATCTTTTGGATAATGGAGTAACGAGATTCCATGATTTGGAGGAAGAACTGAAAACGAGTCTTTGGACAGATCTGGGAACAATCATTTTAGACACTCTTTCGTAGTAGGAATATGGGCCTGGAAAATAGCTCGAAACAACAGTCGCTAACCAAAAAAACAGATACTGATCGATGTTTGAAACCACCTGAAATAGTTTGATGTTGATACTCTGCGATATAATCAAATTAATTCGCATTTCCATTGGTCAGCACAAATCAGCGTTGTGCTGTCAGGTGCCGCGGTGTTCCGTGTCACACCGGCAAACTATCCGTGGTGTAACAACCGCATGTGCGGAGCACACCGCTAGAGCCCTACACGGTTTACATACAACGGAATGCAGGGCTGTAGCGATTCGGCAAGTGCCGGTGCAAGCCGCGGGCCGGTTGGAGCGGTGGTTTTTGTGGTCGTGCGCGAGACGAACGCGGTGCAATCGCAGTGCCGATGCGAGGAGATAGTGACCAGATAGTGACTAGATAGGAAATGGTGCTCTGTTTCTTATCAACAAAGCAAGACTCCCCAATTGCCCACAATGGTATATAAGCAGCGTGGTTTCGTTGTCGAATATTCCTGTACTGCTATTCAATTGCCACACTGTTCAACTATCCATCGAACTTCTCGAGAACAACAAGCATCTGCACAATCTCATCGACTATGTCCTTAGCTGCCACTCCCCTAGACAATGCTCCATTTGGCGCTGTTATTCGCTTACCTGAAGGTGTTACCGATCCTTCAAAGTTGAGTCCAGACGACTTCAAGTTGTTGGAGAAGGCCTTGCATACCTACTTGGTTGTTGTTATTCCCAATCAGAAGGATCTATCTCCCAAATCCCAATTCGAATTGACCACCATGTTCGACGAAACATGCAATAAGACCAGTCAAAGCTATGGTCATGGCAAAACTTTTAGACATGAAGACTCGGTTTTGAAGAAAGATGGTACAACAGTCCCCAGCCAACCACAGGTTCAGGTCATTGGCAATGGCTATTGGTCTGACCACCATGGGTTGGACAATTTCAAATTGACCCAGCCATCTCAAAGAACTTTTCACCATAAAACTTTAACAGCCAATGAGTTGGAAAATAATCAGACAAGATTTTATAGATGGCATATTGATTCTGCTTTGTATGAACTATCTCCTCCAAAATGCACCACTTTATTGGGTATCCATGTTCCTAATTCTGATGAAAAGCAAAAGATTATTTACGAGGATACAAACGAGGTGTTGGAATTGACTAAAGGCGCAACTGCATTTTTGAGTGGTAAAACTGCATTTGATTCATTATCTCCTGAAGACAAAGAGTTGGCGTTAAATACAACTGTTGTATATGCTCCTCACCCATACATTTTTATTTCTCCCGCCAGGGCCACATCTGATGGTATCACCATGGTCAGTGAAAATAAAGAAAGATCCTTTGGTGATTTACCCCCATGGGAGGAATCAAAAGTGAAAAAATTGCCCATGGTATGGACCAATCCCACAACCGGCAAACAACACTTACAATTCCATGGCTGCTGTGCTTATAAATTGATCAACAACAAAACTGGTAAGGAGACCCCATTGGAAGAAACAAGAGATTTATTGCAAAGACTCTATAGACCAGCTATCTCTCCCGAAAACATATACTGTCACTCTTGGAAAGAAGGCGATTTGGTTATTTTCTATAACAGAGGTGTCTCCCACTCAGTAACTGGTGAATTTGCTGAAAAAGATAAGAGATTAATGCATCAATGCAATATTGCTTCCGGTGAAGACCCAGTCTGCGTTAAATAAGCAACGAAAAGTCACCAAGCCTTCCAATTTCCTGTGTTCTATCCAATCTGCCGATTTCTTATTTCCTATTCTTCTCTTATATTCTTATATATACACATTTATAATATAATTTAACGTAACATGGCGTGGCATGGAATACCAAATACCAACCCATTGCTCATTGTATCTGTACCAAACTAATTTTGTTCTTCTCTCGCTGGTTTTACTTCCCATTTCCATCCATTTCCATCCATTTCCAACGCTCACCCCAGATCTGGCTTCGCGTGCTATCGCCCACAACTTCGATAAAACTGGAAGAAAAGCCCCCATTGGCTCCTTTCTTCGTCGATTACTTCCATTCCTCAACCCATATCAATATCGAGAGATAATCCACTATCTCCAAAATATCTCAAAAATATCTCCCAAATATCTCCCATCCTAAGTCGATAATGGATTTCGATAAAACACATCTACTTGATTTCATCCATGATACCAATCGTACTATTTGTTCATTTTGTTCAATTATCAATATATAAACGAAATGGTATTTCTTATTTTTACTTTTTTAAATTCTTTTTTCTTTTTTACTCAACACTCTCTTATAAACACTTTATACTATTAATCATATGCCTCCATTAACTTCAGAGATTATTAACGGTAACATCGATAAAGCAGTTTCGTCAAAGGTTTATGACGATTTTATCGTTAAATTATTAAATGAATTAACTTCAAATCCAAACTTCGATCCAAACATCGAATTTGATCCCTCAAAGCACATCATTTTCAATTCTGAGACTGATTTTGACAAGTACAAAGTGACAACATTAAGCGATATTAGTATTGAACATGATGAAGCAATTTCCAACTGTGCGTTTACTCCAGCATTCCCACTATTCAGTGAGGAAGCCATTGATATTATGAGATATGAATTGTTCCAAGAAAAGGTCTTTAAACAATACGGCAGAGCTGCTAATTTAACAAGATTCAAAGGACTAGATGTTCAAATCGGTGGATATACTCATTTGACTCCCTTTACAGCAAAAGCATTGACTCATGAAAAGACCATGGAGGTCTTGAATAAATATGCAGGTCTAGAATTACAAGTCATGATGCCATTTGAATTGGGTAGTATCAATTTTGGTATAAAGCCTTATGAACGGGTTGAGGATGAGAAAAAGAACAAGGAAATTTATCTTGCTAAAAATGCCAAAGCATTTGATAAAGATGCAGATTTTGTCAGAGGATGGCACCATGATAGCAATAGCTTTAGTTTCATTCTAATGATGTCAGACACCAAAGATATGATTGGTGGTGAAACTGCTTTGAAAACTGGCAATGGTGAGATCCTTAAAATCGACAACTATGAAAAAGGTTGGGCCTCTTTAGTTCAGGCTCATTGCATCAACCACATTGCGTTGAAACCCTACTGTTCAGTTGAAAGAATCACCTCTGTCACCTCCTACAGGGCTAAAGACCTGTTGCATATGGATCCAACAGTTATCACGACCATCAAGCCCTCGATCTTCCCCAGAACCATTTACAACACATTTTATCCGGAGTGGATGGACTACCGATTGGACGTGATGGGAGAGAAGATTGCGTGGCTCAGAAGAAAGGTCGCACAAGATAGAGAGAACCACAGGGACTTCAATCAGATTGAGATGATCAACTACTTGGAGGACTTGACGACGTACATCAGAGGCAGCTGGAGGGAGTTCGAGGCTGTTGACGAAGGCCACATTGAGCAGCCTCCTCTTCGCCGGTACATCAGGAACTGGGCCCACAATGACCGAGACCTCAGCAGCGCCATCTACAATTTTGAGTACGAGAAGTGAACATTCTACATAAACATTCTACATAAACACTTTAATAAACACTAAACACTTAGACGTTTTAATACCCAACTGGCGCCCACCGCAATGGATCACGCAATCCCACGCACTCCCATGCATGTCACGCAACGTCCCGTAGCGCTGAGCTGCAAAATTCCGTTTTCAGATCAGCATCAAAAACATCTCAAAGTATTTGATATTACTCTTCTCATCTGCTCAACATTCGTCTTTTAGATCTTCCTTTTTGGTCGCAACTCTTCTTCACTTGTCTACTTATCTCCAGCTTTTCCTTTCTCTGCTTTTATTGCCTTCAATCTTGTCTCGTTGTTCCTTCAACAGGCTTTTTGGCTCAATTGTCTATCGTTGGTAGTTACCTCTAGCTTATTTGCCATTTTCTTTTCTTACCAAACAATCCATCAAGTATCCAGTTTTATTTTCACCATCAAAAATAACTTTTGATTTCTCAAACTTTTGATTCCTCAACTCAAACTTACTCTTTTCAAAAACGTTTACCTCCATAAGTGTCAGTGATATCAGATCAATATCTGAGAAGATGAAAAGGTTTTCAACTTCAAAAATTAGTCTTATACGAAAAGATACCACTCCTGAGTTTTCTGAACCAACCTTGGTCGCCAAAAATGACGACGACCAGGCATACCAAACTCCCTACGATGCTGCCAGAAAGAGACGTTCCTACATGATCCAATTGGAAATGCAGCAACAACAGCAGCAATTGTCTCTGGAATTAAACTCTTTAAATACTGCTAACATGAAAGTTCTCAGCCCAGATATCAGAAATTCTCCATATTTCAATGATTTCAACAACCAATCCAAGGGCTCCTTGGCTACTACCAATCCCAACAGCATAAACAATATAAATAACATTGATAACATCATTGTCAATAGCAACAACAACAGCATCAAAAACTACAGTAATATCCCAAATAATCCTACCAGTCTTGCCAATCTCACCAATCTTGCAAATCTCACCAATCCCAATAACTCGAATGTTACTGCTGACAACAATAGCAATTCCAACATTAATCGCATCAGCAGTATTAACGACATCGCCAACCTCGCCAGCTACAACATTAACAGCACCATCAATATTAACAACAATAACAATAGCATCACTAATAGTCCTCTCATAAATAGTCCCAGTTTAGTAGCATCCGGAAATGCCCTACTATCTATAAACAATAACAAAAGTAGCGTTTCTTTAGCTGCTTCCTATTCTGATGTTCCTGACTTCCAACTAGGTGAACTATCTGACGACTCCAAGGCCAAAATTAACCAGCTAATTCAAACAAACTACCACGTCAAGATTGTAGTTGTCGGCGATGGTGGTTGTGGCAAAACTTGTCTCTTAATCAGCTATGCTCAAGGCACTTTTCCCACCGTTTATGTTCCCACGGTTTTCGAAAACTATGTTACTCATGTTCAGTCTCCAATGACAAATGAGTCAATTGAATTGGCTCTATGGGACACTGCTGGTCAAGAAGAATACGACCGGTTAAGACCTCTATCATACCCTGATTCTGATGTTATCTTGATCTGCTACTCAGTTGATTCAATAGTTACTCTAACAAACGTCAGAGAAAGCTGGAATCCCGAAGTTAGACATTTCTGTCCAGGAATCCCAATCATTCTAGTAGGTTGCAAATTGGACTTGTATGACGACGACTCCTTCAAAAACTCAAAAAGATCCAAAATTGATTCATCTTTAATTAAAAAAATCTCAAAGGAAATCGGTGCAATTGCTCACATACAATGCTCTGCCAAAACCATGCATAACGTTAAAAAAGTCTTCAATGTGGCCTTACAAACTGCTTTAAATAACATCACTGATGGCGAATTTAATAAAATAATCCAAAACCAAAAAAGGAGCGCAATCAAAAAAATGATTTCAAAGCCATATATGAATACTGCCTCATACTTGAAAAACAATTTATCAGCTCACAGTCTTAACACGAACAGCACATCGAATATTGCTAATGTCCATAGAATCAATAATTTAAACTTGAATTCTTCAATGCTTAACCCAAATCAAAACTTTCATTCTGCCAACCAAGCACATCGGAAAAAAAACAGTGTTAGTATTTCAAACCATCAAATTAAAGAAGAATCAGAAGATCCCTTGGTTTATAACGTTTCCGAATATTATGCTGGACCCACAGAAAATAACCCTACTCCCCCACAAAAGTCTAAAAAGGATTCTTCTTGCTGCACAATCTTATAAGTCGTCTTTCTGGTAATTCTTTTCTTTTTTTTTCCTTTTTTAATTATTATTCTCCCCGTCGTTTTATAATATAATTTGTTGCTTATTACTACCATCAACCTGGTGTCAAATTTTATTTTTATTTGAAAACAATCTCTACTTGACCTTGTTTTTATTTTTATTAACTCTTTTTCACTTCATCTTAGCGATACTATTGTTGATTCACCACTTTTAGTTTTACTTTCATTGTTGAACATACCATCACTACATCTTATTTTAGTTTATTTTATTTTGAGTTAATTTAATTTATTTAATTTCATTTTTTCATCTCTTAATTCTTATTATTCTTATTCTTACTTTTACTTTTACTTTGATTTTTATTTTTTTGCTTTTTAGTCATTCTGTTTCAAGCATTCAATTTAATCCCGATTCAGCATTATATACCAATACTTATATTGTTTTTATTTCTATTTCTATTTCTATTTCTATTTCCTTGGTTCTCTTATACTTAGATACTTTCACTTTATTATCATCTCTAGTCCAAAAAAGCTTATTTTTTGGTATTCTATTTATTGACTATACCTCTATTTAATTATTTGTGCCCAATTTACAGACTGAATGTAACTTTTTATTTCTCATGTTGGGCAGAATGTTCAAACTTAGAAGAAATTAAAGTAACGTAAATTTACATTTATTGCAGTTAAAAAAAAGAAAAACAATATAAATTGCCAAAAAGACTTAAATAACAATTGTCATCTAATTGAAATTTCCATCCTGAAACTTATTCATAACATCTCTAAAAGAAGAACGAGAATCATGAGTTTTTTTAACGCTTCTTGAAGAGCCTCTTTCTTCACTTCTCTCTTTTTCTCCTGTTGATTTGTCACTGGCCGTTGGCTCAAATTTTTTCAATATATCCATCATATTTCTTGATGGCTTTCTACTATTGGAACTCATATCAACTGTTTTTAACTTTGGAAGCAAGTTAGTATCGTCTTTTTGATCCAAATTGTCATTTTGATTGTTACTATTATAAATTTTTTCTTGATTTTTTGAGCTCTCTCTACTGGAAGCCATCTCATTATTGCTACTATATTTCATTGGTTCTTCGTTCTTACATCCATCTTTCGTACAATTTTCCAACTGATCATTTTCAAGACCAAAAGACAATTCTGATCCAGTTAGGTTCGGCTTTATATTATCAAGATTGTAAAATCCTTTTCCAAAATCACATTCACTAAACTGACAAGATATATTGTTTTTGTTGTTGGAAGAAGCTAATAAATTATCATTATTCACAGATAAATCAACTTCTGAAAAATATCTATCTATCACTTGATTAATTGGTTTATATAGAGAAAGGCTTTGATTTGGCCTTATTTTAGCTATCTCAATCAACTCATGAATACCAAAATAGATTTCGGATGCTGAACTTTCAAGAAAACTTACTGGGTATGTTTTATCATGTTCAACGTAATAATTATTTTGAATAATTAAATGTGAAATCGCATTCTCAATTATAAATTCCTTTCCTTTGATCACCTTATGTGCCTCAATTACGATCTCTTTGATTGAGTTGGAGATTTTTGATATAATATCAAACAATGAAACCGGATTGCTGTTTTCTTCGCTAATGAGTTCTAAATATGTCTTAATACTTTCAATCAATACTTTTAAATGATCTATAGGTAATAATCCATCAGAATCTGTGTTTTTTTCTAAAAACCCTTTTGGAAAAGCGCAACCAGCTGAGTTTTTCATGCTCAAATGAGACAAAAAAATTATTTGTTTTTTTAATAAATTTATTTCTTGTTTATAACGACTAATAATAATTCTTCGATCATCTTTGGAACCAACCAATTCTGTTAATTTTTCAATTTCTTGATTTTTAGCTTCGAGTTCCTTTGATTTCATTTCCATTTCAGTTTGTAAATTTTTTATCTGTGATTTCAATGTATTTTTTTCAAGATTCCATTTTTTTGTTAACGTATTCAATTGATTTAGAGATGCCTTTAACTTACTTTTTTCATCGGCCAACTTTAGCTCTATCTCTGTGATTGAAGAATTTAGTGATACAGTTCTCTTTTCTAGCATCGATATAGACTTTTCGACAAGTTCACTTTCTATTTTAATAATATCATCTTTAATAATATCGCCTTTAATAATATCATCTTTATCGATGTTCCCGTTACTTTCGTTAGAACCAGAAAAATTTTCAGGTATGTTGGAAAGAAGATAGGGCCGAACTACTTGTGGAATTCCAATTTCAGAATTTTGATTTTCGTGAGTGAATTTAGGATCCAAAGTTATCAAATTTTCTTCGGGAAAAATTACCTCTTCAGCATTTATACGTTGTTTCTCAAAACTCTTTATGGTTTTTTTTGGCATTTTAAAAGTTTCATTTGGGTGTTTCTGAAATGAAACAGCTGGTTTCTTTGGTAATCTTTTTGATGATGGTTTTTTAGTCGATGGACCTTGCTCGTTGAGTGGATCAATTGTATGATAATTGAAGTTGTTATTATATATTGAATCATTAGAGAGCTCTTCAGCTAAACTAATATCTATTGGATTTTGCGTGAGTCTTGATGACTCAGTGGGTTCAAAACTTGTTGTACCAATTAAAGAAAATGTTCTTCTATGGGAAATTTTTGGATTTTCTCTAGGTATATTTTGAAATCCAGTAAAACTTTTGTTTATAAATTGTCTAGCGCCATTGGTGCTATAAAAACCAGTGTAATTATTTTGAATATTGTTATTATTATTATTATAATTATTGTTATTACGAATTGGGTTGGGAGTAACTTCATATAAGTTTTTATATTTGTTATCCTTACCATAATTTTCATCATCATCAAGAACATGATGATGATGATGATGTTGTTGTTGTTGTTGTTGTTGTTGTTGTTTTTTCTCCTTTTTTTTTCCTAATGGAACAATGACTTGTATTTTAGGAGTGAAATCAACAGATGGAGGACAAAATTGTCTTGTTTCAATTTCTAATAGAGCATCTAAAGTTAGTTCATTAAATCTGCGATGAGATAAGGCAGAAATTCTTGATATTGCATTTTTCCTTTCAATGGTTTGAGTTTTATCATAATACTTGATAGAAATTTTGTTATTATTATTATCTATGAAATAATCATGATATATATGATTGTTAAGATTTTCAAGGTCTTCAGGATCTTGAAGATGTTGAGGATTTTCAGGAATTTCCGGATTTTCAGATTCTTCATCATCTCGACTTATTTTATGGGCTATTTCTGGTAAATCAATTAGATCAATATCATTTGAATTGAAAAAAAAGTCATTTTCGAATTCGTTTCCAATTTGATTATAATTATGATTATTATTGTTATTATTATTATTATTATTATTATTATTATTATTATTATTATTATTATTATTATTGTTGTTGTTGTTGTTGTTGTTGTTGTTGTTGTTGTTGTTGTTGTTGTTGTTGTTGTTGTTGTTGTTGTTGTTGTTGTTGTTGTTGTTGTTGTTNTTGTTGTTGTTGTTGTTGTTGTTGTTGTTGTTGTTGTTGTTGTTGTTGTTGTTGTTGTTGTTGTTGTTGTTGTTGTTGTTGTTGTTGTTGTTGTTATTGTTGTTGTTATTGTTGTTGTTATTGTTATTGTTATTGTTATTATTGTTTAAATTATCTTGATTCTGGTTTTTATTTGAAGAGTCTCTTTGCAATCTAATTTGAGCTTCATTTACAACATCATCGGTCAATCTTGAAAGTTGACCTGTAGAAAGTGCATTTATTCTTTTATTCCTTCTTTCAAATCTTCTTTCTGTGGCAGAATCGATCCAACTTTCATTCATTGGATGATTGAAATAACAAATAAGAGCCTTTTGATGAATAGATAAATCAGGAATTGCTCTTAAAGTTGGTCTTTCAATTGGAATGTGCTGTTTTGAAAGGAAACCGGAAAAATCATTGAATTCTGGATCATTCTTTAATTCTGGCTCAAAAGTTGAATTTGAATTTGAGTTTAGGCTGACCAAAGAACCAACTTGTGATCCTTGGTTTGAATTTGAAAAATTATATGCAGTTGAATAGACTGTTGATATTGCATTGATGTAATTGTTTCGATTGTGATTACGATTTTGCAGTTGAGAGTGAAATGGTGCTTGAAATGAATTTTGAGGTTGGTTTTGGCTTCGATTTTGAATTTTTCTTCGACTTCTTCTTCTTCTTCGATTTCGAGCTTGATTTAAGCTTGGATATGGACTTCGGTTTGGATTTGGATTATTCTTCAAAGAAGACAACTGATTTTGAGATTGATTTTGGGGTAGAGAGTTATTTATATCAAAGACATGGTTTTTCGGATAAGTATAAGTTGTGGAAGTTTGAGTATTAGAAAGTGGATTTATTTGATCTGAGCCTGTACAAACTGTTTCTTGAATCTGGTTATCATCTCTTTCAAGAGTGGAATATCTCAATGTTCTTATCGTGTTTGAATTGTCAGATGAGGGCGAAGTAGGTGCACTATTTTGGTTATTTTTATTTGATTTGCTCTGTCTCTTTGATTTAGATTTGGCCCTTGATATGAAATTAAACATTTCAAAACAAACCAACTAGACACAATAGAGTTGTTAAGCAAAGAGAGCAGGAGAAGCTAGCAATGACCGCAACTGTAATGGTGGATAGCAAGACGCTTGAGTCCAAAGGTAGCAGAAAAAAGCAGAAAGCAAGGAAAGAACAAAAGCAAACATTTTCTCACAACAAACACTTCGAACTGTTTCCAAAGCCCAAAAAAAGCTCAAAATTGGGAAAACACAAACCAAAAAGAAAATAAACTCGCACCAGTGCTGTGGGCCGCAGCTGTCAAAAAACCTTATTTCGGCTTGTCCAAGCAACCGAAACTTATTTTCTTTTATTTTCTTTCATTTCCTTTTATTTCCTTTTATTCCTCGTCCTAACCAGCAACCAAAAGCAGCTGGAAAGCAATCCATGGGCTGTGGATCGACAGCTATAAGACAGCTCAAGGGCCCTTCTGTTGTTCCAAGGGCCAGGATGCAGTAGGACCAAGATGGATAGGTAGAGGCGACGACGCCATGATCCGATACATATACAGCTGTTTCGGCAGGAAGAAAGGGTACGTCAAAAGCAGCGTACTCCATTTTGCTCAGAACCACCACCAGTACCCAAACTATGAGATGGTTCTCCAGGATATTGATTCCAAGAATTTGGTGCAGTGGCACGAAGAAATTGTGTACGAGTTGTATGACAAAGAGGTGTTGCATTTTGACTGGTATATCGATATCAACAACAAAATTCGGGGTTATATTGGCCATGAGAACAGAGAACATGAGGAAACAAGTGTATATTTCATGTTTGAGATCAAAATTGCATTGGCCAATTTGTTAAAAGAGCATGGCTGCCAGGACACCTATAAAGCCTTTGAGAGAGCAAATCTCACCATCAAGAAACAATATTTGCCAAACCATTACATTCTCCCAGATCTTGCAATTGCACGAAACAACGACCCCAGGTTTGTTGTTGAAGTTGGCAACACCGTGGATTACGAAACAACTCTTCAAAAGCTTTTCACGCTCTTTAACTCAGCAAAGAACCTCATGTCCACCGGTATATTTGTTCAGCTTGATCCTGTTATCATCGAGCCCAGCTATTTCCAGGGCTTTGACATATATGTTGAGAGATGGGGGTACTACCACAACAAGTACAAGGACAGTTATCCCCAATTCATGCATCCCATAACTGGGGCCAAATCCCTCGTTACCAAAGAAACCAGCAAAACCAAAATTGTAATGCTCGAGCACTGCCTTTTGATGACTGGCTATCGAATTCCTGCTCACGACAACAACAAAACGCTCCGGTTCACTCTTGGATCGTTGCTTGGAGAGGTGCCAGACACCTTCAACGAGGACTGTGAGTCTGAGCTCAGCATCAACGACAGCATCAGCATTGACCTTGCTCCATTGGTGAAGAAGTTGGAGGAGTACGTCGACGCTGGTTTAATCAACCCAAACACCTTTCAGTTGGACAACGAGAAGAAGCCCAAGTGGTTTGACTGGGAGCCCCTAATGTAGGCCCTCGAACCAGTGTATAGCAAGCCATAATAAATATATTGTATACTGTCGAGCTCTGTTCTGTTCAGTAGACCTTTGTGTTAGTGGAGCTGGGCTAGAAAGAAAAAAAACCACGCATTTTTCAGCTGCCTTTTCTCGTCCTACATTTTCCTGCTATCCGATAGCATATCAGTTACTTTGTCAGCTATTGTATCAATTGTTCTATCAGACTGTGCTGCTTTATCGCCTGTTGTAATTGTGAGTAGTGTCTGGAAAAGATGAAGCCAGAAATAAGAGTCTCCATTCCCTTCTTGGTTCTATTGTTGTTGCTCTATTCTTTTTTATACTTTGCATCCATCCAAAAGCTGCATTGGCTAAGTTTCAACACCACCATCAGAAACAACAATATCAATGGGTTTTTCAAAAAACAAGGGCAGATCACTTTGTTGGACAAGAAATACTACGATCCAGCTCAAAATTCAAATCTCATAGTTAAGGCTATCAAAAAAAACCAGCTTCATGCCACTCAAATTGAAGTTGGTGCTGATAATGGTGATAACACAAGTGCTGGTGAAAAAGAATTTGTTGAATTCAGTCTCACTTTTGTTGAAGACATTATTACAACAAAGGATAAAAAGAAAATTGGTCAGTCTGTGTTCAAGTTCTCATCTGATATCGATATCAACGAAGCTGAGCTCATTTTGAACCAAAAAAATAAAAAAATCACACAGCTCGGTTACCAAAATATCAATCATCAAAACAAAATTAAAAATCAAAAAAATCACGAAACTGATTTAAGATCGATTGAAATCAAACCAATCAACATTAAAAAAGATTATCTATTTGCTGGGTTTTTAAACAACGACGAGCAAAACGAAAGCAAAAAATCACTCAAAGATGCTGTCCCTGACAATGCCATTGATGATGGTCATGACCATGGTTATAAAAATTACTTGTTCAACGATAAAGCCAATAATAACGACAATAAAAACAACTTACACAACAACGTTAACAAAAACAATAATAATAATAAAGATGAAGATTCAAACTTGAAAACAAACCAAGATAAATATGATATTTTTTACTCTTTCAATTACGAAACAGCGTTTGATAACGATATTGACCACAACCATATTGAAAATGATAAAAATATAAGATTCTTGAAAATTAAAGGGTTCGTTTATGAAACAAGATTTTTGAAAAAGATTAACGATAATAATAATGAAAACATTCTATTTAAAGAAGTTGAAAAAAAATTAAAAAACAAAAATTTATCAAATGTTGAAAAAAATGATATTTATCAATCCTATATCAAAAAATATCACAAAGTTTTAAAAGAATTCAGTTTTGATATTAAAGTAGATTTAAAGCTGTTTGATAATAATGATGATAAAAATAATAATAATAATAATAAAAATAATAAAAACAATAAAAATAGTAAAAATAATAATAATAATAACAATAATAATAATAATAATAACAGTCATAAACATAACGTTAAAGACAAAAATAGCGAACTAAATCTCTTGTCCAAGGATGATCGTGAAAAGATATTAAATAATAATCCAAATAATGACAACAGTAGCCCAACTTTTGGGAGATTTTTGAAATCTTTCAAACCTTTATTGGTTTTGATATTAGTTATATTATTATTATATTCGATCAATGTTATTGATCTCAAAAAAGACAATAGCACTGCTGCTATTTCAAATAGCACTAATAATACTATTACTATGACAAATGATATTAACAAATCTAATAGCGACAATCCGTATAACATTTTTAGTCCCGATGATCACAAACATGAAAATGAAAACTCCTTTGTTGATGAAAAGTTGTTTGAAGATAAAAATATTGAAAACAATGCAATCTTAAATAAAAGAGTCACTTCCAATCTTGGTTTTAAAAATGGAAATCACAATATTGATTTTGAAAAGATTCCAAATGGAATTCATATCGAAAAATCACAAAATGTCATTATAAGCAAGTTTCCAATTATTTTAATTAGTTATGATTTCAAATTTTCATTGTTCCCATTTATTAAAAACTCCAAGGTTAAATTAGATGACTTGGATGGTAAGGATGTCAGGGAAATTGTTTGAAATATATAAGAATTTATTGTTATTATTATTTATTATTATTTATTATTACTTATTTATCATTATTTATCTTCAGTTATTGCAAAGGCATTATTAAAATTCAATTCAATTCTTTTTATATTTTAAATTTTACAGCCTATATATTCATTTCTTAATTACTAGATTACATTTTATAATTTTTTTGCATTTAGGAAATACACAAAATATTGTATTATAATATTGATGTGATCTCAGTTTTGGAAAAAATTCAAGCCCTACAAGTCAAGTACATTATGTTAAAAATATTTGTATGAATATTTATGGATTATGGAAAACAAAATACACAATGTATTACACACAATTTATTGTCGAGCAATGAGGACATTTGAAAACAAGTTCTCTTCTCTTAAGAAAGCTAATGATAATGCTTTTCTTTATTTCTTGACTGATTTTTGAACCTTTCATCAAGTGTATGAAAGCATTGGAGGATTCGATATAATCAAAAACGTCGCGAATCTTAAATAAGGGGGAGTCTGTTTTTTGAATAGCTTCCAACACTAAATTGTTTAACTTTTCAGTTTTTTCCAATGAACTTTGTAAAGACTGTTCATTTGCCTTTTCTAAGTTTTCATCACACATATCGATCACATCCGGATCTTGATTCAGGACATGTTTACGGTTACCATCATCTAGACTAGCAATTTTGGTGTTAATATCAAAGGAGGTCAATTGACTCCCATGTTCAAAACCATGAGGAGTTGAAAGTCCAGCAAAATTTTTAGAAGGTGAATATATCAAATCTAAGGTAAGAGTAGAAGATCCGATATTTGCATCAAATTCACCAGAATCATTAGATTTGCTAGATTTTGAAACACCGAGAGGCTTTTCAGAAGCTTCATCATTATTGTCATTATTATCATCGGTAGTTGAGGTGGGGTTTCTTTCAGAATGATCAGCTCCATACACATCGGCATCATGGTAATAAATTGATCTGGGATAATCAGTAGAATGGACGTTATCGTCGTCATCAGATTTAGACCACCGAGTTATGTACAGATCTAGATCACAGTAATCAGGTTCGGGACGAACAGCTGCGTGGACGTTATTATCGGTCATAAAGAGCTTTATAAATTCGAAATTTAAAGAGGTTGGCGATCGGAAAATCGTGCTATTTTTAGCTCTGGCATTTATACCGAGATTAGAGTTTTTTAATTGATCCGAAACGTTTTTGTGCTTTCTTCTTAATCTAAAGAATGGCATTTTCGTGATGGTGGTAGTGAGATTGATGGTATTTGTATTTCTTAGTTTGGTTTTATTTGGTTTTATCGAATATCGTGCTGCGAGCCATTGCCATTAAATACAATAAGCGCCAGTCTAAGAAGATTCCAGCAGAAAAACCAGTTACTGCGATGAAACAATAAGCAAAGCACAAAGGCATCATGAGTGACCGGCATATTAATGTTGCTCAAAGGTGACAGAGATTAAACATTTCACTGCTAGCAAGTTCTCAAATGTAACAAAATTTAAAGTCTTTTAAAACAAATCTGCGTCTGTAAATAATTGAAACGATACTGATATTATATAACAATTTAAAGATATTCTGGATCTATGCACTGAAAATTGAAAACGCAATTGAAATCTGACTGAAGTCTTGAACAGTAGTTGTTCATACTACAGTGGCTGAATTTGCAGTTCTACAATTAATATATATTGATATTTGATTTACATTTTGCAAAAATGACATCACGTTTATGTACCGAATTTATCAATATTTTTGTTTATTTATTGATTCCACTTATAGTGGTTGTATCAATTAATGTTGAAATTTGTTAAATTATCTTACAAAATATTTTGTTAGATTACACTTTTGAAAACAATTATTTTACTAATTACTTGACGTATTTTGTAATTTCTTTTTATATCTATATAGTCTATATATTAAAGCGTTTTTATCTACCAAAAATGGGCAATTCAGTACAATGGGTTTAGTAAATCCACCAGAAGTATCATTTTCAGTACTTCTAGTGAACCGTTTTCTGCCTGTTGCCTATTTATTTTTTAACCGAGTGTAAAATAGGGCTGGTTGGCGGCACAAAACCACCAAGCTGGATGCCGAAGACATGCACAGCTTGTTTACTTTAACTGTTTTGTTCGTTTTGTTTGTTTTGTTCGCTTTGATTGCCTTGTTAGAAAATGGACAATAAGCCCAATTGCAAATTTTCTATACCTCAGCTGTGAGATGCTGTTTAATGCGTGAGATCACGCGTAGATACGTTTACACGCGCGGCTGTATACATGATCCGGTTTTAAAGTTTGTGTGGAAGAAAATGGACACTAAATTTTATTTACATGCGTTTGTAAAAACTGCTGCGGATGAATATCTATTATAGCAAGACATGTTTATATTTTTCTAAATTTATAGTGGTATAAACTGATCTTTTTATAAGGCAAAATAAAAGGCCAAGGTGGTAATTAGTAATTAGGAATTAATAATTAGAAAATTGAAATTGAAATAAGTCTAAAAGCACACACAAAAGCAAACTGTAAATATGGTAAATCAAGCAAGAAAAGCAAGAATCGAAAAAAGAAGAATAATAAAAACAAATAATATGGTACAGTTCTTTAATTTCAAATTGAGTATTGTTCTTTTATTTGAAGATTAAAGAAATTAAAAGCAACTAAAAGAAAACTAACGAAGTTTGATAAGAGCAAGACAAGACAAAACAAAACAAAACAAAACACAATAAAATAAAATAAAACAAATAAAATTCAAAGAAAAAAAATAAAATTTAGAAAACCTCCGGTGTCCAAAAACAATAGGAAAACAAAGCAACTTTAGTTGTTTCCTGTTAATTCATTTAATAGGTGTAAGTTCCATTAATGTATTGTGTTTTTAATGTAGTTGAAAGGTCAGATGAAACGGGATCATCAACGGTAACAAAATCAGTGATGGTGATGGTGCTGACAGTAATTAGGCCATCGTTGGTTTCAGTAGAAAGATCAGTTGTGATGGTGACATAAACTTTGGTGTAGACAGTGACTTCCTCAGAAGAATCGTCATCATCATTATCATAGTTAACGACATATGAAGTATTTGAGATATTGGAGTAAGCCAAAACTGTGTTATTTGTGAAAATTGAGTAGCCGGTTGCTGAGATGTCAGAATAGTTGGTAGAAATGGTTGGTTCGAGTATTAATGAAGCATTGTAGTTGTAAGTTGCATAATTGATTTCAGCTGAAGCCTCAGATTCATCAGATACGTCAACACATTGCCAGTAGTATTCGTTTTGTTCAATACAAGAACCTGAAGAACAACAAGTTGAACCGGTCCAGTTAATACCACCACATTGATAATATAATGGAACACAGGTTGAATCTGTAGTTGAATTACTTTGGCAAGTAGCTAGAGAAGTTAACGAAAGTAAACTTGATAGAAACAATGATTTTGCAAACAACATATTTATTGTCTATTATTGTTTATTATTTTATTTTATTATTGTATCGTATCGTATCGTATTGTATTGTATTGTATATTATATTATATTATATTATATTTTATTATTGTATATTATTTTTCTTTTCTTGTGTAGAAATAAATTATAATATTGATAATGGTATTAGAAATTAAATTCAAACAATTTATATTTTTTATGATTAAAAGAATGAAAATAGTTGGAAAATAGATAGCGAGTGAAATGTATATATCTGATTAACAGAAGGAGGAGAAAAAAAGGAACAAAAAAGAAAAAGAGTAAAATAAAAAAAAATGAAAAAGAAAAAAAAAGGGATTATAGTGGTATTTTTATATTTGATTTGAATATGCATGAATCGTAGTGGTTAGTCAATTGTGTAATGAATTAAATAAAATTGAATAGAATTGAATAGAATTAAATAAAATCTGGTATTAGGCAGACAAATCTAGTAAAAAGCAAACTATAAGCATATGGCTTAAAAGAGAGCTTTGAGATAACAAAAATGATGGTTAAGGAAGTTATTTCAGTCTGTTTTGGGGATTTGGATAACTTGATTGAATAAAGCATAAACGTTAAAAATTGCAGAAACTGTATAGTGTTAATCTGTAATCGATTCGTGATTTGATGAACCATGATATGTTTGTGGTTAGAGAAAGGTATGTCAAATAGCTTTAGAATAGTTTTAGGAAAGCTAAATTTTGAATTACATCGTAGATTGTTTAAACGGCAGCTTTTTCAAATATAGCAGCTGGAAAATATAAAAATATATAAAATAATAAAACATTATCGATAATATGTACTCTGGGAAGATGGCACTGAAAATCAAGATGAGTGGATGCCCAAAGGAATTTTCAATTTCAGCGGCTTCAAGAGATGTTCTAGCCTGAAAATCTTGCCATGTAGCAAGAAAATAATTCCAGATCATTCAGTGGCCAAGGCTTACATGAATTTCGCAACATTTTACAACTATTGAGTAAGCAAACAATAAAGCCACAAGGGACTGGAATAGGTGATATTTTGCTTAGTTATGTTGGAAATACGTAGCAGTGACAGAATATGCAAAACCCACGAACCTAAACGTAGTGGTGAGTCAAAACAGCCAGTACCAACGCAAAGATGAAAAAAGACACCAATGGAGTCATTGGAGTTGTTGAGGTTATACACCTCATGCAGTGTTTTGGTCTCGGTTGCACAGAACAATAGCCCGGGCAGCTCAAACACCGGAAGGAGGCCGCATCACACGTGACATGCATGCGCATGTGCGTCACACACGCGTACCAAGCCGGAACTGGTTATCGGACCGATCACCTAACTCCGACGAGCACGGCACTTCCGGCCCACGCCCGACACGCTGTCACCCGGAAGTGGCTTTTGCCGCAAGAGCATCTTCACGAAGCACTCGAGTGGTCGAATAAAGCAGCTTTCTCGTCTTGCCAACATCTCAGTGCTCGAACAGCTTCTTCTGCTCCAGCTTCTTCTGCTCCAACTTCTTCTGCTCCAGCTCCTTTTGTTCTGTCTTTGCCTCTGTCTCTACTGCTGTTTCTGCAACTCAATTCAAAGACCCCCCCCCCAACTTCCTCCATCTTACGATAACCTGATCACATTTTGCAGCCCTCCACCATTTTCTACAATACAACAGTTCTCTTCAGCTTGTTTGGAGATACCTCTTCTTCCCATACTGCTTCACACCTTTGAGCTCCCACTGTCCAGCGACTTATCACAAATCAACCTCCCTTCTCACTCCCAAGACTAGGTTCTGTTTGGCTCATCGCCTACCAACTTTTAATCTGCTTTTTTTTCGCTCGACTTATCTTCTTTTACTCATATTTGCATCCAAAGTTATTTTAGTGGTTTTTTTGCTGTCAAGGTAAAATTTTCTCACTTCGTTTCCAATAATTTTTAAATGCCTTATCTATCTCCAAATAATGATAATTCGAAGATCCCCCTATTGACCAAAAAATCAAATGGCAACAGCAGTCTTGGTAATACCCCTACCACTAACGTCAACAAGCTCAGCAAAAGCAAAAAACTATCCAACATCAAACAGCAACTCTCCCAGTCTGTTCTGTCTTCCAACGTTATTGCTTCTCATCCTGATAGTCGATTCAGCTCAGCCAATTCGAGCACCGATAATTTGATTTTAAATCCAAATTCAAACTCAACTTTCTTTATTCAAAATGATGAAAACGATATCATATCCTCTAATAACGAAAACATACCGTTTTCCAACAACAACGGCAACAGCAGCAACAACGGCAACAACAACAATAAGCTCTTGACTAATGATCCACTGCTATTCACTAAACCTCCCTTGATTCATCCTCAATCAAACAAATCCTTTAATTCCTACTCTTCTCCTTCCTCTCCGAAAACAACCTCCGCTAAACTTTCTAACCCAAATTCCATTTCAAATCTAAACTCCTCTGAAAAGAAATATCCCATTTACTCTAGAGCATCAAGTATCTCAGCTTCTTCGCCATTTTCCATTCAAAATTACAACTTCTACTCAAATTCAGAATTCGTCAATAACCACGCAAACAACTACAACAGCTTCAATAACTACAACATCTCTGATAATAACAACTTTCAAATCTTAAACTTTCCAACTGAAAGTACTCACGCTTATTCATACGCCCATCTTTCCCCAAACTCGTTAGCTTTAAGACTCAACATCCTCAAGCGATCTCTAGAAATCTTAATCGAAAGACCTGAACTATACGAATCAATAGATTCCCACTCCCAATGCCAGTCCCCAATCCTATCAAATGCGCCTTCTCCAACTTTCCAAAAGATATCCCTTCACAATATCAACAACCCCAACACTAACCCCAATATCTCCCTCGACGAGCCCATTGCCATCTTAGCAAGAAGAGATAGTAACACCAGCGACTATCTGAACTACAAAATCGATACAAATGCCTCAAGTGCAGCTTTATCTGCCTTATTTTACAATAATATGAACAACAACAACAACAACAACAATAATAATAATAATAATAGTAATAATAATAATAATAATAATAATAATATCCCTGACAATGACAATAACAACAACATTTTACTAAAAACAAAACCTTCAGCTTCAAGAAAATCCTCAAGAAAACCTTCCAGAAAATCTTCCAGAAATTCTCTAAAACAATCCCTACTAAGTGGCACTGAGAAATACCAAAATATCAATTACAAACTAAAGGAAATCATTCAATTGCTTGACTCATCCATCGACTCGCCACTATTAAATTCACTAAACACTTCTGAATCCGCCCTAAAATCTGATCTGGAACAAGAAATGGCTTTAAATTTGCATTACCTATCTCTTTCTAATCTTCCCAAATCGGAACGAAACTCCATCACAAAGGATGTCAACTCAATTTCAAAGTCCATCTCAAACTGCAAAATTGACCACCTTCACGAATTGCACAATATAATTGCAGAAAATAACCAATCTAGAGAAAAATCCTTGCAGGTAAAATTGTTATACGCATTAGCTACCCCGTTCATCGAATCTGTTAGTCTTGACAATTTCATGTCAGTTAATAGCAGCAGCAAAAACAACAACAACAACAATAACAACAGCAGCAATCCCAATAATAACGGATCTCAGCTGCCTTCTCGTGTGGTCAGATCCTCCTCAAGAAGATCCCTATTCCAAAGAAACACATCCGTACTATCTTTGCATTCAAATGTAGTAGCTCCCATAAAGAGCTTGGATGATAGCATGATGCAAAAGAAATCACTCGCTAGACCATTCCATTCATTATCCACTGGAAAAGTCTCTGCTCCTCAAGCTGTTTTCACTTGTAAGGTCGAATTTCCTTGGTCTTTAAAAGCCTCTAACGACTTGGCTTGCTTGATCTTTGGAATCTCCAAAAGCTCCATCAAAAATCTTAATTTACTAGATCTAATCGCTTCGAATTCAAGATCTTTTGTCACTGAAAAATTAAACAAAAATCTAAGTTCGGATAATGGTATAGGCAAACGTCGCAACAGTAAATCAAGTTTTTACTATAGCAATATTAACATTTTATTTGCAGGTGAAATTGTTGCCATTAAACGTCCCAATAATAACATTGCCTGGTGTTCTCTATGGGGTAAGAAAAAGGGCGATTTGATTATATTTATGTTTGATCAAATTCCATGCGATGCTGTAGACTTGATTATTGAACCCAAGTCATTAGACAATGACAATAACAGTACTAAATGGGAAATCAAAGCTTCTCATGAAGTCACAGGCTCTTTGTTGTCCAAAAATAATTTTTTTCAAGCTCCGCTAAATGATTTTTCAAAATCTTTACAAGACGAATTATTCAAACTTGAAAGAATGACCTTGAGTGAAGATAAGAAAAGAGATCCATACTCATATTTTTGTTTTTTAAGCAATCGAATTAATCAAATCAGATACTTTACTTTGAACTTGCACGATGCGATCCTACCTTGCGCTATTACCTCAGAAATCTTTGAAAAAGATGATGATTATAGTACTAGAGAGAGTCTAACAGATTATCAAATTAAATTGAAGATCCACACAATGCCTTATATCGCTGGTATCTTTGTGATTTCCTCAACAGACTATCGGATTCTTTCTTACAATAGATCGATTTCTAAAAATTTATTTGGAATTGGAAACTTATTAAACTCCTCCATTGATTCCATTATTCCCCATTTTACTGATCTCTTGGATTTTGCTATCAATAACGAGGAAATTTCCTCTACATATTTTTTCAATAATCGGCAATTGTTAAATAATAGCTCTGTTTTGCATCGAAATAAAAACTCACAAAGGAAAAAGTTAAAGTTGTCTCCGGGTTTGGTGTTACCAGAGCATTTTTTTAGAAGAGTCTATTCTAAATATTTAGTATTAAAGGACAAAAAGGAAAAAGGTTTGATTGATGTTGAAGATGAACATACATTTAATAAATTTATTGATGAAATAGAAACAATGTTTCTAAATTCAGTTGGAATTCCTGCAACTCATAGAGATAGAACGTCTTTAAATATTGATGTTCAAATGCGGGTTTCCTCCATTGAGACATATGTTTTGTGGATTACATATTCAAGAAATTTGCACCTACCTTCGCATTCTCACTCCAACAGTCTGGATTCCGAATCAAGTTTCAATTATCAGGATGAACATAGGAGAGCAGAAAAACTTAGAAATCTTCCTTCGCAATTGAATTTGCTTGCTGATCATCAAGGCGGATCTGGAAATAGTTTCAAATTGCTCTCATCAAGCAGCTCTTTAAAGTCTCTAAATTCTGATGAATCATCAAAGGATTCATTTCCTATCATAGGCAGCGCTCAATCATTGAATTTTTCTGAAAGAAAAACATCAGACAATAATGCTCAATCTACGGACATCAAACAAAATGGATTTGCCAGCAAAGACCCCAATGCAACAGGCGTATCAGAAAACGAGGATAGTTTGGAAGAATTCTCTTCAACCACAACAAACACAACTACTGATGATCTTGATATTGGTGGCAACAAGACACTCAGACATGTTGCTATGGACCATGGCTTGCTGTTTGCTGTTTTTAGCGAAGAAGAGATGAAAAAACTGGAAATGGAGAAGTTGGAGATGATGAAATTAAAGTCACCATCGTTTCCCAAACAGGTTGGGCTCAAGAGAAGAGTTAAGAAGTTTGATGATTATAAGATTATTAAATCGATGGGGGAAGGATCTTACGGAAAAGTCATTCTTGTTGAGAATAAGTTAGACCCAAACTATAAGATTGTTCTCAAGTGTATTTTCAAAAAAAGAATTCTCGTTGATACTTGGTGTCGCGACAGAAGACTTGGTACTGTCCCATCAGAAATTCAAATAATGGCGTTTTTGAATAATTTCAACAACCCTAACATCATGAGATTACTTGATTTCTTTGAGGATGATGATTATTATTATATTGAGACACCAATTCATGGGGACCCACCTGGGATTGATTTGTTTGATTTAATTGAGATTAAAAAGTCAATGACGGAGTTTGAGTGTCGATATATATTCAAGCAAGTTGCACTAGCTATTTTTCATTTACATGAAAATGGCATAGTTCACAGGGATATTAAGGATGAGAATATTATTATTGATAATCAGTCCTTTGTTAAATTGATTGATTTTGGATCAGCAGCATACATTAGAAATGGACCATTTGATGTTTTTGTTGGAACAATTGACTATGCAGCACCTGAAGTCTTAAATGGAAAAGCATATGAGGGAAAAGCACAAGATGTTTGGGCGTTAGGAATTTTATTATATACTTTGATCTACAAAGAGAATCCGTTTTATAATGTTGATGAAATCATGGAAGGAGAATTAAGAATTCCATATATTACAAGTAAAGGTTGCATTAATTTGATTAAAAAGATTCTTCAAAGAGATATTTCTAAAAGACCCGAAATGAAAGATATAGTTGAAGATCTGTGGTTACAATTTTAGTAGTGAAATGGAAAAGAAAAGATGAATTTTTTATTTTATTCTATATTATTTGTTTTTATGGTTTTGTTAATACTTAAAATTAACTTTTGAAAGAGAGATTTTGGGAAATTTATTATATTTTGTTTGATTATTATATTTTGTTTATTTTGTTTATTCTGTTTATTTTGATTGATTTTGATTAATTTTTACTAATTTCTTTTAATTTCTTACTTTTTTACTTTTTTTTATCTGGTTGAGAAAAAAATATTATTCCAAGTTGCATTAGAGAAATTAATTAAAGAAAAATACTGAAAGATATTCTATGAAGCTTTTTATTTTTTCAATTGTTTTTAATTCTAAAACTCTCTTTTAAAACTTTGAGTTTAAGGAAATAAAATCATAAATAACAAATCTTTTTCTTTGTTCGATGAGATTGCTTTATTTATTTAAATCGTCTGAATAGTACAATGAAGATTTAATCTTGTTTTATTTTTTTATTCATTTCTTTTATTCATTTCATTTCAAAATTTGTTTCAATTGAGCTATAACTATTTTCAATAGTGTCTTTACTATTATTTTACTATTATTTTATTATTATTATTCTATTATTATTTTATTATTATTATTTTATTACTTTTTTTTTATTATATTGTTTTTGTTTTTGTTTCATTTTATTATAAAATTCTTATTTAGGTTTTTCTTTTCTTTTCTCTTCTTTTCTTTTCTTTTCTTTTTTATATTAGTTTTTTAGTTACTATTTTTGTTTTTTATTTTTAGATTAATTTTTATTTTTATTCTTTTTGTTGGTTTAAATTGGGTTTTTTTCTTAATTATTGAAATCTAGTGATATATTATAAATAATAATGTGAATACACATATAAATATTAAGAGTTATAAAGGAAAAAAGAAAGCAAAAGACATCAAAAAAAGGGGAGTTTCATTTTACGTTATTTTATTTCAATGATTAATTAAAAAAAAATTCATGATATATCAATTATCAAATATCATTTATCATATATCAAAATATATACATCTATATCTACATCTACATATACAAATACAGTATGAATACACATCAATATATCTATAGGTAAGGTTTCTACTAAGCAGTTAGTAATTTAGTTTGCAGTTTGTAGTTTGTAATTGTTATAAATTTGGGGAAGAATTGATTAAACCAACTTCAATGAATCTTTGTTTTAATAAACCATCTTGCTCCAATTTTTTTAAAGTTTGTTCATTACCAAAATAAAGACCATTGAAAAAAATAGAAGGGACCCACTTTTGACCAATGATTTTAGTGAAAGCCTTTTCTAGGTTGATTGCTTGGTCTTTATTAGATATCTTGTCTAATTCGAGGATGAAGAATTTATCTGAGACTTTATATTTTTCCCATATTCTATAAGCATAATGGCAATCAGGGCACCAAGATTTAGAGATCATAAAGTACTTATTGTCGGCAATGAATTTGTTAGCAGCTTTTGTGTATTTTTCAGACATGTTTATTGTGGAATATTGTTATGAATAATGAAGAGAGTTAAGAGAGTTAAGAAAATTAAGGGAATGAGGATGAAGATAAAGATGAAGATGAGAATGAAGATGAGAATGAAAATTATATGTTTTAATTGAAGATGATTTGATGGAGCTCATCAGAAATATATTGAGAAAAAGCCAGTGATTCGGAACATGCATATGCGCATTAGAATGCATGAACCACACTTTTTCTTGCTTTGGGGCAAATTGATTCGTTGAGAGGAAAAGAAAATGGATGAGATAATTTTGAGGGAAGATTGTTGAATGAATGGATGAGACGTGTATTTTATTTATTAACGTATTTAAGTATGGAAGTATGGAAGTGGGTGATTGGGACTATAGATCATCGGATCTTCTTGTGCCTTTGACCAAGATCGGAATCATGCCTCCAGTGCTGATGGCAAAGTTTCGATGGTTTGAAGCAATTAGGAAAGCCTTTATTGTTCCAGAGTGGGTTGTGGTGCTTATAAAGACGTCCTTTTTGGAAGGGGCTAGATCAAAGTCTTTTTCAAACAAGTAGTTTAGGAAATTGTTGATTCTTAAGGATTGCTGGTACAAAGGTTCTCTCCAGTCGGATTTGTAGTAGACATCTTGTTCTTGGAAATTGTGTTCGATTTTGAAACCATGTTTGGCAAAACGGTTTAGGATTGTTGTCTTGTTTGATCTCTTATCACATAGATGTAGACCGATGGTTTCTCTCAAGTCCTCTTTAATTAGTGGGTTACAAGTTGAGTCATTTTTCAAGTCGACGATATTTTCCCAAGTACCAATAAGAGTTTGACAGGATCTTGTGAACGGAGAGGAGTAAAAAGCTTGAGGAGTTGGACAATTATGATTATTAATCTGATCTAGCCATGCTTTATTGTTTGATTTAGCTTGGGATTTTCCAATGGGAGTTAAAAAAGGATCAGGAGCCCAAGTTAAATTGCCATCGCCATCAAGTAAAGACCAATAGTTATCCCAGGCCTCTATACCATATTTATCGATAGCAAAATTGTGCCATCCCTGGCCATGTCTTGCACAAAAGATTAACTTATAGGTGACCAAGTTTGAGTGTGCTGGGTCGTTATTAAGGTTGTTGATCTCGTCGATAAGAGATTTCCAGGTGGGTTTTATGAGACCAAAGTTTTCCTTGATGTAGTCAAACTGTAAGTCGTCTGTGCTGTTGTCAGATTGCTTGAAAAAGCCCTGAACAATCTCAAAATCCCAAGGTCGTTTGAACTTGTTTGTGGAGGGGTCTCTTTCGTCCCTGAGCTTGTTGAGCTCGTCCAAATAGGTCTGTCGTTGCTCGTCATTGGCCTTGTAGGCATCGACGATGTCAGCCTGGCTGTACTGCAAGAAATTGTGATTGTTTTGGGAGATGAAATTAGGATCGTCGATGTTCTTGTTGAGCTCCTCGATGGAGCTCTTGTTGGTGCCAATGGTCATTGCAAGATGGTTCAGCAGAAAAAAAACAAGCAGCAAAAGCAACGCTGTACAAACAAGCGAAACAGAGAACAAGAAAGAAAGACGACGTAGATGTGTATTGTAAAGTATCATGGATCAACAATTACGACTCAACCCTGGCAGCCGGTGGCCTCTTCGCGACCCTTGGGTTGGGCTGGTCTTATATCGCTCTGAACCTGCGTCTGTGTGCGAAAACCATCACTGTGGGTGGCAACACAGACCCCTTGCTTCCAGACCCCGCACCCAACCCTATTGCGGACCCCTGTGGAACGGACAGCGCAGCAACAGCTGTCTGTGCTGCCTCTGGTGCCTCAGCTGCTTGTGCTGCCCGGTGTGGCGGTGCTGCTGGCGGTGCTGCTGCCACTGCTGCACAAGGGCCCCGCCTAAAAGGGCGAATTCCCCAGCTGAAACCGGTCTTACATAATCCTATTCAAATTTTTCTCCTGAGCTTATTTCACGCTGCATTCTGATCCTGCTCCAGCACTGCTTCTTCTTCCTGTCTCCTTTCTTATCGCAGCAGCAGCAGCAGCTACACCTCCAAACCACCCCCAGAATCGCCAGTTTGTCTGAGTCGTCCTTTCCCACTCTAACCCTTGTCCTATTCTGACCTCCTTCTGGTTCCACTTCCTTCCAGCAATCACTGCCTTTTCTCTACCAAGGGTGTTTTTACATTTTCAGCATGGAATTTCAACAGTCTCAATTAAACCAGCACGATCAGCTCCAACTCCAAGACAGCGATCAATCTCAGAATGATTCGATCAATGAAATATTATATCCTTTGGCTTTGTTAATGGATGAACTAAAAGTATGTGCCTTCACTTTCCCACATTCCGTATTTTCACCTCTTATCTGTTCTTTGTACTAACCCATTTTTTCCCTTTTTTTTTTTTCTGTTCTTCTTCTTCTTCTTTTTCTTGTTAGCATGATGATGTTCAAACTCGTGTCCTTGCAACCCAACGTTTAGATACCATTGCAATTGCTCTTGGTCCTGAAAGAGCTAGAAACGAACTAATCCCTTTTCTTCAAGATGTCGCCCAAGATGACGAAGAAGAAGTCTTTGCTGTTTTAGCTGAAAAACTAAACTCGAATTTCGTAAATTACTTGGGTGGCCCCAGCTACGCTACTATTTTACTACCAATCCTACAAATTTTGTGCTCAATGGAAGAGCCTATTGTTAGAGACAAGGCAATTAATTCATTAAACGACTTGGCCACAATCCTATCCCAAAACCAAATCAATAACGATTTCCTAAATCTAATCTCGCAACTATCTCAAGGCGATTGGTTTTCCTCAAGAGTAGCTTCCTGTGGCCTCTTCCGATCAGTTTTAATCAAAGTCGACTCAACCAAAAGAAAAAACCTTTTGTCCGCTTACTTGAAACTAATCCAAGATGATTCTCCAATGGTCAAAAGAGCTGCCGGTAACCATTTATCAAATTTAATAGACCTATTGTCTCAACTAGAAAGCTTGCATCAAAACAAAAACAAAAACACTCAAAATAACCTCGAAAATAGCAACATCAACAACCTAGAGGCCAACACTGCTGACGACACCGATAATCTCAAAATAGATGACAATAACCTAACTATCACCGATAAAAACGACACCCATCCTATATCTCTCCCTGACCCCCCAAATAACAATGATTGGGAATTGATCTTTCAAATGTTCAACTCCCTAACAAACGACGAACAAGACTCTGTCAAATTCTTGTCCGTCGACGTATTAATATCGATCCTCAACTACTTCAACCACCACAAAGAAGACTCTTCTCACAACCAAGACTTGCTAGAAATCTTCTTAAAACTATGCACCGATGAAAGCTGGAGAGTTCGTTACATGATTGCTGATAAATTCCAAAAAATTGCCCTCTATTACAGCTCCGACGACATCAAACTCAAATTGCTTCCTCAATTTATCTCTCTAATGCAAGACAACGAAGCAGAAGTTAGAAAAGCCATTTCAAAACAGCTAACTGACTTCTCAAAATTAATACCCTCAAAGGAAATCATAATAAATAGAATGATCTATCACGTCGTTGAATTAGCTAATGATAAAAATGAAGCCGTTAGAAGCTCCCTAGCAAGCGAAATAACAGGTTTAGCTCCCCTATTGGGCAAAACTCACACAACTAACTCACTTTTACCAATCTTCTTATCAATGCTAAAGGACGACTTTCCAGAAGTCAGATTGAACATCATATCAAAACTAACCGTTGTCAATGACGTTATTGGCATCAAATTACTATCAAACAGCTTGTTACCTGCAATCACTGAACTAGCTAAAGACAAACAATGGAGAGTTCGATTGGCCATCATCAAACACATCCCGCTATTGGCAAAACAACTAGGTATCACTTTTTTTAACAGAGAATTGGGCTCTTTATCATTGTCTTGGTTGTGGGACTCTGTTTATTCAATTCGTAATGCCGCTGTTAATAACCTAAAACAATTAACTGAAATCTTTGGCGCTGAATGGGCTAAAACTGAAGTTATTAAAAAAATCTTAAATAATGAAATCTTGGAAAGTTACAGATTGCAAAACCCAGAACTATTTGAAAACCAAGGCGAAGTCACCCAAAATCAACTTCATAACCAAGTAATTCAAAATAGAACGGATACAGGTGTCCTATTTGACGATACCTTTGATGAATTAAGTAGCTCGTTAATGAACAACTTTATCTACAGGATCACTTGTTTATTCACCTTGAAGAGTTTAACAATTGCTCTTGCTAATGACAAAGACTTAATCATAAATGATATCTTGCCTTTCATCTTGAAAAATGCTAAAGATGATGTTGCAAATATTAGATTTAACGTTGCAACAACTTTATTAACAATCACTCAAGTCTTATTAAACAAGTTTTCCGAAAACAATAGTGCTGACGACAATTTGGAAAATGTTAATAAAAATATCAACTCCTTCAGCATTCTTGAAAACAATAATATTAACAATAATACTAACAACATAAATGAAAACGATAAAAAAGAAGATCCAAGTAAACTAAAAGTTGATGACTCTCCTGAAGACATTGAAAAATACTTAAACATTATAAATACTCAAATTGTGAAAACTTTAACTCAACTAGCATCCGATAAAGATGAAGATGTTAGATTCTTTTCAAATAAAAGTCTCAATGCTGTTCAAACTATTTTAAGTGAATTCAACAAAAAAGATTCAAAGATACAAGAAAATACTGAAAGCCCAAAATAGCTAGCTAATCTTAAATCTTTCAAAAAAAACAATAAAAAATAACAATAAAATAACATTAAAGTGAAATAATTGGAAAAATTGGAAAAAATAAATTTATAAAAGCTCTTGGGATTTTTTTTAAAAATTTAAAATAAAGACAAATTCAATATTAGAAATTTACTAATCTAGAAAAAAAATTTTTGTTATATGCTATTTACATACTTATTTTATAGTCTAATTACCTAATCTTTTTTTTTATTATTCATTTTTGAATTTTATTTTCTGTGATTATTTTTTTTTATTTCACTTTTAATTTTTATATGCCATGTTACTGTTTTTCCTTATTTTATTTTCTTCTTTAATAATTTTAGTCAGTCTGAATACTCAATTTCATTTTCACAATCATTGTTTTTATTACTATTATTTATCACTTGAAAAGAAACAAGTCTTTAATTTATAATAAAATTAACTATTACCTTTCACTGATATCAAATAACTTCAAATCTCAAATCTCAAAATTCCAACCAGATCAAATGTAGATAATTAAGGTTTCAATGCATATTGACGCAATTACGCGTTGTCCCACATGACTGGTTTCTACTTTTTTGATCCAACACAAAATAGCAAATAAAAAGCAAACAATCAAAAAAAGCAAACAATCAAAAAAAGCAAACAACAATAAAACAATAATTGATCTAGCTGTGGTGGAACTATCGATATTTTGTTTATTTATATAATGGGTCTTAGTTCCGCATAAATTCATGATCTTGTAAAGCAATTTCCAGTTCAAAAGATAAAAGAATAAAAAAAGAAAATGGTGCTGGCGCTGGTTTTATTGACGATGTTAATTCTCATCTTATTAATTCACATAGATTTTTCATTGATCCAATACGCTATAAAGTCAAGTTTCATTAAATTCAATAAACTTGCAAATAAAATGAATGAGTTAGCGAAAATACAACCTAATGCGTATTTTAAAAATTTAAATGTTACTCCAACGGTCAAAGGAAGCTATTACGATGCATTGAAATTTAATAATTTTGAATTTGATGATTCTGATAGTAATGATGACGAATTTGATAATAGAATAATAGTTGAATCAGAGATTTATTTTTCAAAAATCAAATACCAAAGAGAATTTAATCAGGACGATTGGCTTTCTACCATATAAGTAGTTTGAATTATATGGAATTTTTATATTTGCTATTTTCTATATTGTTTTATAAATATGTTTTAGTTTAATATTTTTTAGTTTAATATTTTTCAAGCTCTGTATGAAACTGTTATCCAGATAAATTTGGAGTTTGTTCCAAAACTGTACTCAATCTAGATGTATTATATTTTTATTTTCTTGTGATCAAGAATCATTTTGGTTAATTTTAGATTTCTTATTTTTTAAGAAAACTTGTTTCAGATTTTTGGAATTTTCTACCGGGTTTAGAAGTTCTGCTGAAAGAAAATTTCTTAACCTATAATTTGATATTTTTAAAAGCTGTTGAGTTTGTTTTTTGTTTATATTAAATATCAAAGCAATTTCTTTTAACGAGATTATTAAATGTGCTGTTACCAAAAATCCAATTTTGTCATTCAAAGGATAGCCATTTAGCAGCATATTAACAAAAACATTGATTTTAGTGGTATGAGAATTCACTGTGGGCAGGTTTACTGAAGAAAGTTAAAGGTTGTTTAGTTTCTTTATCATGGTACATCACAATTAATCTTTAATATTATCAACTTACAATTTTCTTGTTATAATTTTCAGTGTTGTTGATATTTCAAAGATAAAGTCTATTTCCTATTTCGGAAAGGGATACAGATTTTATATATTTGTGCATTTTTTTGCATGAAACAACCTCTCTGAGGTTGATTTCCATAGTTTGTATTTACAAATGTAGTTGGAGATTTTTATTTTGCTATTTGCTTATTTTTGATGTTCTGAACAGTAAAAGTGCTAACGCATATGGTTTTTAAAAGTGTATGAAAAAAAGATTTTCCTTTAATTGAGTGAAAAGTACAATAGAGAATAATACTAGAACCAAAAATAATAAAAAAGCTGATGAACAAAACCTACATTTAGCATACCATTATTATTATAATAAAAATAATAAAAATAAAAATAATAAAAATAATAACAGAAATAGTTGCATCGGAATCAAAAAAAATTAAAACTTTGATATTATTGTGTATTTCCCTTTATAAGCGTCGAATAACTTGAGTAGAGAATAAAAACTCTAAAATAGTCATTTACGTTTATGAATTGAAATGAAAAAAATAATTATTATAATTCAAGTATACGCAATCCATGTATACCTAAAATTTAAATTTCTAATTATTTCTTGCCCAAAACAAAGAATAAAAAAATCAAGAAAACGTAGAAAGTTTATCCATTTTTATCACTATGAAAGTTTTAAAATCATAAGATGATAAAACTGTTAAGATCAGAAAATTATCAAATTCAATTTAAAGTTTTTATCTACGTTATAGAAAATCAAATAATTCTCAAAACCAGTATTATTTAGAATTTTCAGAATATTAGAAAATATTGGAAAATATTGGAAAATATTGAATAATAGTATGGAAGCACTTGAATTTGCATCACTGATAAAGAATAATAACAAAAAACTTGTAATGACAGAAGATTTGAGAATATATTAAATCCAACGAATTTACCAAATGGTTAAATTTTTATAGTAATCATAAATTTTGAATCAATTTCTACTAAAGTAAAAGAAAAAAGTGTAGTTATTTATCTGCAATATATGGCAACTAAAAGGCAATCCTGATATAAATAATACCACATCTTTTATTATTGTTGTGTTTATAATTGCAATCTAATTTGTATTCAGAATTAATGTTTATGCTATCATTATCAAATAAAATTTTAGAAATGCAAAGATTTTCAATAAAGTCATCATTCCAACAGTATCTAAAAATCTCCAAAGAATTTTTGTAAAAAGAAAATAAAGCTATCTTTTTGAATACAAGGAAGCCCAAAGTTTTAAGTTTTAATGGACATCGAGCATTGGTTTTCTTTATGAGCATAATTGAGATGTTTGATTTTTATTTTCAAATCAAAAAAATGAAACAAAATAAGAGAGCATTCATGGTTTAATCAAATTAGCTTTCAAAATTTTAGCTAATTCTTCTAGATAAAGTCAAAGGACAAGATCAATTAGAGAAAACAATGCGATCATCTTGATAAAGTTATTTCTTAATTTCCTGAAGAAAAATTGAAATTAAACAATTTCAAATGGAATGGGAAAAAAGGTAGAAAGACTTAACATGGTTTCAATAGCTCATTTCATTACTCAAAGGTTTATACCTGCTAATGGTAGTGGGGGTATTTTTAGTTTAAATTATCATAAAGATGAAATATTTTAACAAATATGCTTTTAGCATTTGTAAATTGGTTTTGAAGATCCTGTGGAAGAAAGAGATGGACCTAGAAATCAGGAAGCTGAAAAAACAATCGTTAAAACTTAATCAAAAACAAAAAGAAAATAAATACGATTTTGATTGAATCATAGCAGTTGTCAAATCAAAAGCCCGAAAGATAATTTTGATTATTTGTTCGCTAATCTGCCAGCAGCTATCAGATTTATTTAGAAACAGCTGAAATCATGAGACTGTTAGCGACATTTTGCATCAAACTGTTGCTTGATGTCTTGGTTCATATGGCCAAAATGTGTCTCAAAACAACTACTTCGCACAGGCAATATCCTCTTAACAACAACTAAAAGAATATTCGAAACATACCAAATATCTATGCAAAGTGGATTTGGTAATGACGCGACTTGAAATGAAACCAACCATTTAACTTTATTGAGAAACAAAGGTTTTGTTTCACAGCTGCTTGATGTAGGATATATAACAGTAAAACATGAATTTGGAATTACTTTAGACGAAAGGTTCTATTCCATCATGAAATACGTCGATGCATTGATGAAAGAACAGCCATTCCACACACAAGTGGCATCTGGAGCACCAGCTCTATCTTGTCCTATCCAACATTAGCCCATCGTTATCAAGCAAAGAATGAAAGCAGTTCTTTAATAATCAAAAAAGCATTCGAGAAAACCGAAGAAAAAACGCCTTTAGAAAAGCACCGGTTCGACTCCCGGAAAAGAGCTTTTCCAGCTATTTCCGAACTATTTCTTGTTGCTTGTGCTGTTTCTGCTTCCTCTTCCTCTTCCTCTTTTACTCCTGTTTCTGCTGTTTCTGCTTCTTCTGTTGCTGGTTTTGTGAGTGGTTTATTGTTCTGACGATGCACGTTCTTGTTAAGCTCTTGATAGCCTTTTATCTCGCTTCTCCCATCATATTCTATGTCATCCTTCCCTATTTCCACTCTCCCTCCAAAAGAACAAAACTCATGAACAGATACTCAAACATCAAGAGAAATATTGCCATTGTGGTGCTTGGGGATTTAGGCCATTCTCCTCGAATGTGCTACCATGCTCTATCCTTTGCCAAATTCAATTTCAATGTCGAGTTGTGTGGTTACGTACAGTCTAATTTGTCCTCTGATTTGGTTGACAACATCAACATAAATATCAATGATATACCTATTTACTCAAACAATGGCAACGATAGGAGCCAAAAAACGTTTCTTTTGTTTTCAATCAAAAAGGTGTTGTTTCAGATTTTCCATGTATTCAAATTATTGTTCAATTTTAAGAATTTCGATTACATTTTAATTCAAAATCCTCCCAATATTCCACTTTTTTTTATCATTTTACTATACATTAAAATCTTTTCAAGATCAACTGAATTGATAATTGATTGGCACAATTTGGGTTACTCCATTTTAGCTTTGAAATATGATAATGCTTTTGATAATCCGATAGTCAAATTTGCAAGATTTTACGAATTATTCTTTGGTCGATTCGCCGATTATCATTTAACTGTTACAAACAACTTGAAAAATTTTTTGATCAACTCTTTTAATTTTACTCCAAACAAGATTTTTGTTCTATACGATAGAGCTGATTCAAATAAATTTAAACCGGTCTCATCTAATGATGAAAGATTAAATATAATTAATAACAATTCCAATTTTGATCATATTTTCAAAAATCAACAAATAATTGACTCACATTTTGATTTTGAGAAAGATAAAATTATCATAACTTCAACTTCTTTTACTCCTGATGAAGATTTGAATTTGCTACTAAGTTCTCTTAAATTATATGATGTTTATTATCTAAATAATCAATCTAATCCAAAACATCCATATTTACCTAAATTATATCTTATAGTGACTGGGAAGGGCCCATTGAAATCCCAATTTCTAAATTCTATAAAGAATTTCAATTTTTCTTCAAATATTATTATAAAAAACTTTTGGCTCTCTTATGAAGATTATGCGACTATTCTATCATTATCTGATCTTGGAATTTCACTTCATACTTCGTCTTCAGGTCTTGATTTACCAATGAAAATTCTAGATATGTTTGGAACTGGTATTCCTGTAATTGCTTTGAATTTCAAATCTTTAAGTGAATTGATTAAAGATGGCGAAAACGGTTTTGCTGTTGATTTACAACCAATGAATATTTTTGATAAATTATTGGAACTTTTCACAGATGATCAAATCTATAATAAAATCAAAAAGGGCGCGATGCTTGAGAGCCAAAAATCATGGAATAAAAATTGGTCAAAGTCTTTATCTAAAATTATAAATTAATTAATTAATCAATTCATTTCTTTCTCCTCTACTTTTTTCTCCTTTTCTTCTTTTATACCATTTCTTCCCTTTTGAATACTTTGTACCAACTTCTTATTGACACTTTTACATAATCCTTTATACTTTTCTTCGATTCCTAATGGGCATAAATTGCATTTCTTGCCTCTTGATCCACAAATAGTTTGCCCAAATCCAACTAAATTGGGATTAAATTCAGTCCATAAGTTCTTGGGAAGCCAACTCTCTAATTGCTCTCTAGTTCCTTCTGGATTTTTGGATTTGACCCAATTCCATTGGTTTGCTAACCTATGAACATGTACATCAACTCCTATTCCATCTATGATCCCCCATGCACTTTGTAGTAACAAGTATCCCATCTTAGGCCCAATTCCTGGTAAACTTGTAATATCAGTAATGTTTTTAGGAATCTCACTACCAAATTTATCTCTCACAATTTCACAGGTTTTCTTAATAAATGATGCCTTTCTCTTATGAAAACCAACTTTAAATATCAATTCATCTAGCTTGCTTTCATCGAGATCAATCATTGATTCAATTGTTATTCCATCAGGTGAATTCTTTTCGTTAACAAGATACTTTGTTATGTTATTCATCGCATAGTAATTAATCTCGTCTTTAGTTTGCGCCGAAAGCATCAAGGAAATCATTGTTTGAAATCGATAGTTCTGAGGACTTAGCTTGTAATTGTATTCCTTAGATAATGTCACTGGTAGTATTGCACATCCAACAGTATCTACAGGAGCTGGGGTACGAGACCTTGACTCTTTTACTGCTTCATATATCTCATGAAAATTAGCAGGAATTGGCACTTTCTCGTTATCTTTGATCTTCTTTTTGGTCACCTTTTCAATTGTTTTAGTTTTAATGTTTTGAGGAATACGACTCTCTTCCTCTTCAATCTTGATGTCTAGTTTGGCTATTTTTCTTCTTTTTGTCGTTTTATGTTTGACTGCCATATCATCAATGGGGGGACTTTCAGGTTTTCCATCTGGGTCTTCTTTTTTGATGAAATATTGGCTTACTACTCTCTTCGACTGCAATCTCTGTGAACTTCTGACTGTCAACGCCATTGTCCCCAGGTTTGTTTTGCAGATCTTGCTCAAATTTGTCAAAAGAGACATTGGAAAATCTCTTCAAATGGTTGATTTGTAAAAAGATGCTGATGATTGGCTTTCAGCGGAACTGGAAAGTGAAGCAAATCTAAACTTCAATACTTCTTCACTTGCTGGGTTTTTTATCACAGAAAACATGTCGACAAGACCCAGATATGGCTTTTTATTAGCTGGTTTTGCTGAAATCACTCTGTTGTTGAAGAAATAGCCTTCTTTTGCTTTGCAAGGCTGTCTATTATTCAATAATCAGTGTTTTGTTTCAGGAAATCATTTCTCCAAATTATACGTAAATGAAGAGAAATCGGCAATCAGCAATAGTCTTAAACAGAAATTCCTCTACACCAAAGCCTGTATTTGTGGGTTATACTTGACAAAATCTTGGTTTTCAGATTTTGCAATTGTTTGTTCTTATGGGTACAAATGATATATATTATAAAATACGAAAGAAAATTGAAATTATAAATAATATAGTATAAGAATACGGTCATATAAATTTTTTAACAAAACAAGAAGAATTATATCAAAAAAAATCATAATTAAAAGATAAAACATAAAGGGTATTAAAAAAGATTGATGAAATTGTCATCATTGGTCGAATTGGGTCTGATTTGCAACAACCTTGAGAGTCTGAATAATAGTTTCAAAGCCTGGGGAAAATCACCCAACAACTTATTAAAGATAATTATCTTCATCATTGGTCCACATTTTCTCAACTGCTCATTGATTAGTTCTTGATCGTCTTCATCGACTTTTGCTACACTCTCTGTATCAGCAGCTCTAATGGGGTTGTGGTCGTTGAAGTTGCTGTACACATAATTACTGTTTTGATAGTGATTTCCATAGTGAGTGGTATCATCGTTGGTGGATAATTCTGGCAGATACTTTTGAAGGACCACATTGTTGATTAATTTGTATATTATATTGAAAATGAAATTGGCCTTGCGTTTTAATGTGAAGGAATTTTTAAGTCTCTTTTTGTTGATTTTAAAGGTCCTAAGATGCTCAATTATATCGTCTTCATCAATTTTTTGATAGTACTTTGAATAGTTGGGTAGATCTTCACCAGTCATGCATTTAATGAAAAGCAAGTTTAATTTATCAATAAATTCAAGATGATTGGACTGAACATTCAACTCGCTTTCATATTTGTCAAATATAGCTTCGATTAGAAGCATAAAATTGTACTCAAAAGTCTCAAATTGATAGCTTTTAGAGACAATAATTTTGTTTAGTTTATCATCCGTTAAAACCTTTGCATTTTCTTCACATTTTTCATCCTCTGTTCCAACATAATCTTCAAGAAGCAAATAAAATATCAAATGAAGATGTGAAAAAAAATATTTTTTAAATTCTTTATTACTGTTGATAAGATAGTCAAGTGTCGATAGTATCTCAAGTCTTACCAATAATGAGCTATTAAATGAAAAGTACTTTTCATCCTTAATATAATATATATTGTTAAAAATAACATTGATGAGTTTTTCAAATGCTTTGGAATTTGGTTCAAATTTAAAGCTTGAAAATTGTTTAAAGATTTCAAATGCCCTTAGTCTTAAAAATTCAAAATTTGAATTAAAACATCCCAATATTATGTTGCTTATAAAATTTTCATCAAAAATCTTATATTTTTCAAAGAAATCCTCATTTTTGCTAACAAAATTGTTTAAAATCAAGTCCAAAACTACCAATAAACTTTCTTTTCTTTTTGCAATTTCGATGGTTTCCATGTTGCAATAATTTTCCTTTTGGAATTTATTTAGCTTTTGGAATTTGTATTTGATAAATTTGACTGATTTTTCAAGAGAAGCAGAATCGATTTCGGTAAATGGCACAAAATTTGTATATAAAACTGAATATTTGACATTTAATCTTTCAAAGTACTCCAAAGGATTTGATTTTAATTTTTGAAAAAGAGAGTTTGTTGGAATACAGACTTTATAACAAAAATTTAACAATTCATAAAAACTTTGATCAGCTTTCTTTAAAAGTTTTAAATTTTTTTCGGATTTTACTATAATAAAGAGACTTTTTAAAATTGTGAAATTGATCATGAATTTAATCTTTGAAAGTTTTTTGGGGTTAATTTTTAATGATTTGAATAATATTAAATAGGTATCTAATATTTCTTCTAAATACTCATTGACAAAAGTCTGATAAAAGAAGGGATTTTTCAATTTAATTGTCGGCAAGTTAATTGAAATACAATTCAATAAAAGAGAAATATTATTTAAAATCATATGAGTTGATTTGACCCATAATTCATTATTTGTATTTTGCAACTCAATAAGTTTTTTCAAAAATTCAATATTTAAATCTAACCAAGGACTAAGAATTGAATCCATTTGAAAAGTTAGAAAGTATATTGGATTAATTGTTGATAAGATGATTTTGATAAAATAATATAATTCTTGATTAATCAAATGATTTGAGGAGATTAGATGAACATCATTTGTTGAATTTAGTATTAAGATTGCTAGCTCATAAAATTTGGGATAAAGAATTTGAATTGTTTGAATAATTTTAGTTTTTTCAAAAATTATTGTTAATAAAGTTGGAAAAGATATGTTGCTGTTATTATTATTATTATTATTATTATTATTGTTATTATTATGATTATGATTATGATTATGATTATAATTATTGTTTGTATCATTGTTGCTGGTGTTCTCATCATTGGTATTACTATGGATATGTTCTGCGTTATCGTGATTGTAATAGTAATAATTAACTTCATTGGAATCATTAGTATCAAAAAAAGGATTGTTATTATTGTTGTTATTATTATTACTACTACTACTGTTGCTGGTGCTAGCGCTGTTATTATTATTATTATTATTAACCTCATTGATTATAATTTGATTTAAACCAAACATGATGTTAGAAAAAGTGACTAGCACAAGATAGATTATACTGAAATTTCTTTTATTTTCTTTTGTGTTTAGAGTGTTAATATAACTTGAATTTGAGGAGGATAAAGATTTAATGGAGGATAAAGTTTCTTTAGTGAGAAATAGATAACCATAGCCAATATTATGAATATTGAAGGAATTATTGTTCAAGCTGATATAGTTATTATAGAGGTTTTGAAAGTCGATATTTTTTGAGTTTAAAATCATATAGATGAAGGCTAAGTATAAGTTATTATGAATTAAGTTAATATCGTTTGATTCAAAGGTTTTTTCACCATGATCCAAACAGAAACAATAGTATGAAACGATATTTGATATTCTTTGAATGATAAGCTCTTTTTGGGATGAGTCGAGATAAGGAGTGAAATTGGGGATTTTGTTTTGGTTTTGAAAATTGAATGGATTGTTTGTAATATTTTGGCTATTGCTATTACGAGTAACATGGGAGTTATCGTAGTCATTGAAATTATTTGAATTGACAACATTTTTGAAAATCTTGGTTGTGATATCGCTTTTAATGTACTCTATATCGTTGATATTAGTTCTGAAATATTTTTTAGATTTAGGATTCCAGTAATCTACAACATAGTTATAAAGTTCAAAAGATAGGTAAGTTTTGATTTTATGATCAGGGTATAAATAAGAGTTTTCCAAGATCTCAAGGCAGGAGACTAGATAGTTTTCATCGTACTTGTAATAAAAATATTGTAAAACGAGGTCATCATGGGCCTTTAACAAAGTGAGATCAGGTTGGTCAGTGAAACCAAAAAAATTGTTGAATAAAGTAACAGATAAACAGTCGTAGATTTCTTTTGCTCTGGAATTAGTTTCGACTTCAAGGTCAGGATTGCGAAGAACCCCAAATTTTGACATTTGAAAAATAGGTTATCGATTAGATGTGGGAAATATTTTAGTTACTCCTTTTGATACTTTTTTTGTTGGTATTATAGTTACTATGATAGCTATTTCTTGGGCAGTTATTTCGGGCAATAGTTTGCAAATGAAAATTGAAAGTGAGAGTGAAAGTGAGAGGAGGTTAAATCTGGGAACAAGCTATGAGTATATATATAGGATAGTATGTTTAAAGGTCATTCTAAAACTCAATAAAGACAAATATGGGAAAAAGAGATCTTTTTATAAGTAATAGTGCTTTAACATGAAATAAACTTGAAAATAGAATTAGCAGCTTAAAGTAATGAATTTTGGACACATTGGAAATATTGGAAATATTGGAAATATTAATTATTGTAATTATTTTAATTATTGTAGTTAATGTAATTATTGTAATTATTATTAAATCTTATGCATCTGAAAATATTAACAAAAATTAGTTAGCATAATCTTTAACTTAAAAAAACGAATTTAATTTCGAATTTTATATTTTTTACTAAAAGATTGATAAAAAAACAGGTGAAATGCTTTGAATATTTTGATAAGGGGGTAAAAAAAGTGCAAACAGCTAAAGAAACAAAAAAGGAATCTCATAGAAATCCCACAGAAGTCTCAAGCAAATCTCAAGCAAACCCCAAAGGAAGCTAAAAGAAGTTGAAAAAAAGCCAAAGGGATCCAAAAGAATATTTGGTATCGATGGGAAAATTCGTGAGTATTAAACAGTGGTCGTAATAACTATTCCATTTCCACCAAGGAATTTCCACTTCTCGCAGCAGATAACCAATCTGCTTGGGCAAAAAGGTCTACTTTCACTAGAATCGAAAGTAAGCTAAAAATAAGTTTGAGATTAGCTTTCGAATTCACTGAAAAAGATTCGAATTTAATGAGAAAAGGCAAAAGGATTTCAACTTTGAAGTAAAAGCAGCGAAGGAAAATTGAAAAAGCTGAAATATTTTGCTTTTACACAGAAGACAGTCAGCCAATCAGAAATCATTCCGCACAGCTGGATCGCATACAACTGCACAACGCACGCACACGCACAACTCACGTCATTCAGCATGTATGCATGCAGCACGTGATTGTGCTTTACGAGTTTCGAAAAAGGCAAGAGAATATCCGTGGGCTTCCGCAAATCCTGCATCATCCGCACGCTATTTCGCAACTTCCGCGCCGGATTGCAGAGCGTGTGGATTGTGTCCGTGGACGCGGATCGAACCTTAATAATTTTTTTGGTTCTGGTGAAAAATTTCAGAGGTTTCGCTGGGATTTTGCTGCTTTTGCTGTTTTTGGAGTTGTTTTTGGAGTGTTTCCTGCTTTTACTGTCTATTTTTTGCAATGTCTGACAAGGCCAGATACTACTTGGAAAAGTCGTTGCCTGAGATCAAGGATCTCCAGGAGAAGGGCCTCTTCACCAAAAACGAGATCAGAATGATCCTCCAAAAGAAAACCACTTTTGAATATTCAGTTGCTTCAAATCCTAAGGTCTTGCATTTCTTGCGATATATTGAATTTGAGAACAATCTCGAGAAGTTGCGTTTGAAAAGATATAAAAGACTATACAAGGTTGGCCTTATAAACACCCAAAAGAAATCCATAAGCGACTTTAGTGGCCAACGAAGGATAACTTTTTTGTACCAAAGGGCTACCCAGGCCTTTCCAAATGATTTCAACTTGTGGAAAAGTTACTTACTTTATTTGAAAAAAGTTGGCTCAATCAAATTGATTTACAAGACATACTCGAAACTATTGCAACTACATCCTACCAATATCGACACCTGGATCAGTGCTGCCAACTATGAATTCAATGTCAACTCAAACATAAAAAGTTCAAGAGCATTATTACAAAAGGGCTTGAGATTCAATCCTGATTCTTTGAAACTATATCTAACATATGCTAATTTGGAGTTGAATTACATTTCAAAATTGTTAGCCAGAAGAAACTTGCTAGGTTTAAAATCTGAAATTCAGCAAAAAAATGACGAAATTTTACAAAATGATAAGCTTCAAAGAAAAATAAAACACTCTCTAAACAATGATTTGATCGGAGATAAATCAAACAACGAAAACGAACTAAATAACGACTTCACTTCGATCAATTTGCCTGAAAATATAGAACTAGAAAACGAGCAAATTAATAAAGAATTGAATAATTTGCCTGATGTCGAAATAAACATGTTGGGTGATCCTGAAAATAACCCAGCTTTAAAAGGGGATATATCTTTAATTATATTCGATTCAGCCATATCTTCAATCTTAAAAGCTAAAAATATACAATCCTATGCAATTTCAAATCCAAATTTATTCAAGAAAAACGAATCGGAATTAATTTACTCGATTTCAAATAAATTCTTGAAATTATTCAAAAGTTTCCAGAATTTAAACAGAGCTTATCTTTCAAGTCATATAAATCAGTATCTTCTAAACAAATTTCCTAACGATATATACCCAATTCATTTAGACATAATCTCCTCCATTGATTTCTTGATCGATGTTAAGAAAATTAAATTTAAAGACATAATAGAAAATTTACAATTATCAGTTAATAAATTCATGGCGTATAAATCGAGGTTTATATCCAATAAAGATGATAAATCAAAACTAACTGATATGTTTGTTGATTACATACACCGAAACATTACTAATAACAAAAACTTTAATCTAAATCAACAAGATAAAAATATATTACAATTAATTATCAAAAAATGCCAAATTAATTATTGATCTTTCAACTATATATTATTAATGAATACTGATTAACCTCTATTTGTTTTCTATTTACACACACATATTTTTATATAAACATATAATACAAGTTTTCTAATTTTTTTTTTCATTTTCAACAATGTTTTTAATCCAATATGGCTCCAATCTATCATCTGGAACTGAAGAGGGACTTCCAACAACTGGATCTGTTCCATTCATAGTTTTTGGAAATGCAATCACATCCCTAATACTTTTGGTTCCAAGTAACATAGCACATAATCTATCAAATCCAATAGCTAGACCTGCATGAGGTGGACACCCATTTTCAAATGCTGAAATCAAATGACCAAATAGTTCTTGTGAATTTTTAATTTTTAATATCTTCTTAAAGATATAATCTTGTAAAATTGGATCATGGACTCTTCTTGAACCACCACCGACTTCGACACCGTTAATAACAATATCATAATGGTCACCTTTAACTTTTAATGGTTCAGTTTTCATTAATTCATAATCATCAAGGTTGACCATTGTAAATGGATGATGTGTTGATTGTAAGCTGTTAAAATCATAACTTGGATATTTATGTTTATTGATTAATACAGTTTCATCCAACTCAGTTGGAGAAAATAATGGAAAATCAACCAACCAAGTTGCAATGAAAACTTTGTTTAAATCTGGTTGTTCACTGACTTTATGATTATTATTAATGAGTTTTCTTTTCCAACAATTGGGATGATTTTCAATGACTAATTGACGAAATCTGCCCAATGGAGTAGGATTTTCATAAGTAAATTCGGCTCTCGTCGACCCAGCGATTGTATCACCGATTTCTAAATTCAAGAATTTAGATAAATTTTCCTTATCATTAAATTTTACTTGACCAGTTTTCTCAAATTTCAGCAATAAATTATCTACATCGGATTGCGTATTAATTTCAAAAATAAAGGGCTTTCTATATTTATAATTTGAATCAACATAAATTTGTTTTGATAATGTAAAGGGATCTTCATTTTCATTATTAGTTTCTAGTTGATCTTTTTTCAAGATACAAACTTCGAAAATTGGAAAATTTGAAGACTCGGTTTGTTGAACAAAACTAAATTGATTCAAGTTGATAAAATTTAATGAATATCTTAAATCTGGTTTATCAATACCATAACTACTTAAAGCTTTTTCGTAAGATAGTTTGGGAAAAGCAAAAGCATCAAGTTTTTTTTCATTTTCATTTTCATTTTCATTTTCATTTTCATTTTCATTTTTATTTTTATTTTCATTCTTGTTAACAAATTCATTCATTTCAGAATAATTGTCTAAATTTGGGATGTAAAGTTTATTGTCTAGATTTGATTTTTGGAATATTTCATTAATTAAATTTTGGATAATCAATTGAATATCGTTATGGTTAGCAAAACCCATTTCCAAATCGATTTGAGTGAATTCTGGTTGTCTATCAGCTCTTAAATCTTCATCTCTAAAACATTTAACGATTTGAAAATAGCGATGAAAGCCACTTGCCATTAATAATTGTTTGTATTGTTGAGGAGATTGAGGTAGAGCGTAGAATCTGTTCTTATTTCTTGTTGGAACTAAGAATTCCTTTGCGCCCTCTGGAGTTGATTTGAATAAAAATGGAGTTTCAATCTCTGTGAATTGATTCTCATCATTTGTTAAAAAATTTCTAACAATTTTAGCGATTTGACCTCTTTTTTTAATGAAATATTGATATCTCTCTGATCTTAATTGTAAGTAACGATATCCTGGTGGATAGTTGTTGGATGATTTTTTCAAATTGAGTAGTTGAGAGGGCAAAATGGTTGATTTATTTAGTACTTGAAAATCAGTTATCTTTAAATCCCATTTTTTTATATTATCAATATGGCTTTGATTATCTTTAACCTTAGCATTATCTTTATCAGTGTCCTTTATAGAGGATGTTTTTTGGGGTGATAGACGATTTTGAATATAGCCAGACACAGAAACTGGCTCTTCGATTTGAGCCGATTTAACAAGACTGAATAATTCATTGTTATCCGTAGTATTCATATCATCAAGATTTAAAACCAATTGAGAGATATCGCCATTAAAGTCTCTAAACATGACAAAAATTAGATTTTTAGAGATCTTTTTAGGTTTTTTATCGATCCAGCCATGTAAAGTGACTTTCTCTCGCTCATCAATAATTCTTTCGCAATTGAACGTAACAGATTGAATTGAATGGGTGGAAGATGGAAACTCAACTGGAAAAGCAGCAGAATTACGTAAAAAAAAGACATTGGGCTATAATGTTAGTCACATAGATCGAAAAGTGACAAAAAAGTGACTGGAAAAATGTGTTCATACATTTGGAGAGAATAGAGGCCTTTGAAGGGAAAGTGGAATTCAGTCTCCTGCTGTTCCACATTAGTCTCCATAGATAGGAGCTGATCTGCGTGTTTCTCGCCAGCATGGCCAACTTCAGCACAGACAGCATTGACAACAAGAGCAACTGGCTGAAAATAGAGCAAAGATTGAAAGGTGCTCAACTTACTGATTTGTTCTTCCTTTAATCTTTTGGAATTATATCGCTGCTTTTATTCATTTTTTATGAGGGAAATTCAGAAAACCCGGAAATAAAACTCCTCCCGCAGGAATCGAACCCGTGTTTTTTCAGTCCGGGCAGTAAAAGCAACAAAAGCAGCAAAAGCAGCAAAAGCAGCAAAAGCAGCAAAAGTAACACAATAACACATATTTGCTCGCTCTCTTTACAGCTTTCTTTTGTGTTTGGTTGCTAGACGACGCCTCGGATTCTCAATGTGAGACAACTGCTGTTTGTTAAGTAATCCCAACAAATGGTTCGAAAGATCAAGTTATCAAAGTATTCATAGTGTTCAAATTTATCAAAGTTTTCAATAATAGTTAAATAATATTTAAATAATATCTAAGTCATAAAATGAGACAATTTACAAAATTTCCTGAAAAGCCCTTAAAAATCCTGAAAAGTTCTTAAAAATTCTTAAAAATTCTTAAAACTCCTCTGAAAACTTTTCCACAACCAAATATGAACTTGTAAAAACTCAAAATTAAGAGGAAGCTCTTTAAGAGTAATTTGTAAAATTTCTAAGAATATTTGCCTTCCAAATTCTTTAAGATCTTCAAAACTCTATCATGATATCCATCTTCAATGTTTTCGTAATACTTAAACAAAATTTCCATAATTGATTCGTACCTTGTCTCTATCATATATTTCAACATTTTGAAGTTATCGCCATCACATATATTGTATCTATCTTGTTGTTCATTGTTTTCTTTAACCCCATTGCCTAAAATGTCTTGATGGGTTTGATTTACGGGATTATTTTGATTAAATCGAGCGTTCTGATTAAAATCATTAAACTGTCCAATTGGAATAGCCTGGCCAACCTGAGCAAATTGATTAGATAAAAAAAACATGGCTCCCAAATTCACCTCATCTTTGTTATCGTTTTCGTTTTCATTTTCATTTTTATATTGATGTTCTTTTTGGGTTTCATTTTTTTTTGATATACACAATATTGAATTAATCACTGTTAATGCTTCAAATCTAATTTTATTCCTAAAATTATTCACTTTGAAAAGTTCCCGAATTTCATTTCTATCGTTAATAATATTATAAATATTATCAACTATCAATCTAGCTTCTGCATTCCACATATTCCCATTACGATAACCCCTGTAATTTCCCATTAAAAATATTTCAATAATTATATCACAAATGAATTTATTGCTCTCATTGGTTTTTTCATTTGTAAAATCATAAAAAATGCTCTTTCTTAAAATGTCAATCAATAAATAATTTGTCATCTCGTTTGAAAATAAATCAGTGTATGAAATTTTTTTAAAAAAACTTTTGATTAAATAAAATTCAATTAAATTTTCAAATTCCTTTTTTTCATTAAAAAAAGAACAATCAATAGTATTATTTCCAAAATTATTCTTATTCCCATGAGTATTATTATTCACATAGTCATTAATCATTTTATTTAAATGGCCGTAGTTTCCATAGTTATTATTGAAATTATTCCCATAATTATCAGAAAAATTTCTACGAATACTATTTGAATAACAGTTATTCAATTGGTTATTATTAAATCCATTGTCATTAGGTGTATCAATTTCATAACTATCGTAGTAACTTAATAGCTGGAGTATAATTGAATTGATCATTTTAAGTATTGAGATCTTTTGTATAATTAATAATTCCATTAAATCAATGTACCGATTTCTATCAGCATCAAATTCTTTGATGTTACTTAAACCAACTTCATTATATTGAAGCTCATCATTTTCTATACGGATTAAATTTTCTTTAAAAAATCGTATAATAATTAAATTATATTTTTTTTTCAAAACTAGTGATTGCAACAACTTAATTCCACTATTTCTCTCAATATTAAAAATGTTGTAGTTGTTATAATTTTTGTTTTCCTCAATTAAATAATTTGAAAATAAAAACCTATAAATTGATGGTAAAACTATTTCTTCTAAATTCAATTCAATAGACTTGTTAAAATAATCATTATCTTCATCTTTTAAAAGCATTTCATTAAGAATTTCAAACATATATGCAATTGTTTTTCTGTCTAATAAATAAGTATTACAGTGATTTAATTTATTAATTTTTACAACTTTTTTTTTGCCAGACTTGTGAAAAAAATGGAAATAGTTATCAACATCTGTAAATTGATTATTATCTTCATTATCCTTCATTTCTTTTTCTTTTTCTTTTTCTTTTTCTTCTTCTTCTTCTTCATAATATTCAGAATTATAGTTATCGTTATTCTGGGGAGTATTAATATCGTTATCATAGTTATGAACAGTCTTAATGTTATTAATTATTCCAAAATTCCTGAAAAATTCGTTTAAATGATTGTGATTATTGTCAGCATTATACAAGTTTTTTGCTAGTGAATTAAACAAAAATTTGATTAACTCTGATGAGTTGTAAATTTTTAGGTGAAAATGAATACGGAAATCATCATCATCTCTATTATTTTTTAGGAAATTTCTTTTATTGATTTTATAAATATTTTTAAATCTATTATTTATGTTGTTAATTTTTGTGGAAAATTGGTCCAAGTCTTCGTTAATGTGATGGAAATAAACGTAATTTATATATTGATTTATGATTTTATTATTTTGATAAATTTTATAATTTTGATTAGCTAGAAATTTTTGGTTATTTAAAATATTGTTATTGAATAGGAGGAAATCTATTATAGGGTTATTTAGGTAGTCTTCGATTTTATTGGGGTTATAATTAAAATCTTTTATATGATTTAAAAAGTGGTAGAATTCATAGATATTTTTCAAAGTTAAGCTTCTGATTTCCAACCAATTTGTGTAGTAATAATAATCATTATTATTATTATTATTATTATTATTATTATTATTATTATTATTATTATTATTATTATCATAATTATCATTGTGATTATTATCATCGTGATTATTATCATTGGAATTACAAAATTCAGTAAATTTATTAGTTGAAATTAAAAATGAATTTTTAATATCTTTTTCATTCAATATGGTTAGGTGAATATCAAGCCATTTATAGATGATTTCCTTTTTAAATTTGCTGAAAATAAAGTCATTTTTCATATAATTAAAAGATAATAGTATTATTTTAATAAAGTGATGGAGATATTTAATATAAGAAGTATTAATAATGGATTTATTGAGAAGTGAAAATAAAAAATCAATTTCCTTTGCATAAAAAGCCAAAGATTGATTTAATTGGGCATCGTATTTAAGCTTGAAGAAACCACTGTAATCTAATTTTAGAGACTCTGTTATTGATGTTTCTTCAAGCCAGGGGAATTTTTTGTCAAATTTTGTTTGATGGATAATATAAAAATTACTAAAGTTCTTGAGAATATAGTTAAACAAAATTAGAAATAAATATAATCTATTCAATCTATTGAGTGAATTGTTTGTATAGTCTAAATCAGTAGAAGAATCGGAAAAATTTAGCGGATCCTGGTAATTTTGTGGTTGAAGCAAAAATAGTCTTAACGTTTCAAATAGGTTCATTTTAAATCTGATCAAATCAATCTGATTGGACCTAGGAACTCTTTGGTTTATCTCAAAATTCAAAGCTAAAAAATTGAAATTGATCAATAAATCAAAAAAGCGACGTTTGAAAGATAATCTCTGGAACACGCTGAGAGAAGACTCTCTATGAGAATCAGCCCCATAGGTTTTCATCCATTTTTTGAAGTAGTGAGAGAGTTTCAACTTGAGCTTGAGGGAGACTTTTGTATCAGATAAGATATCCAAACAAGCAAAGAGGAACTGGCTCTCATGTTGATAGTTTTTTTCTATACTGCGATGAGAAATTAGCTTTGCTTTCGCAGACCTAGGATCAATTGAAAGATTCAAGTGGTATAGCAACTCTTCCCGAACTTGTATTCTGAACATCTTGACAGCATTCCCAGCAAACCATGGGCGTAGCTCTCATCCAACAGAAAGCACAGCAGCTTCTGAAGAAACAGAACAGAACAAGCTGAAAAAGATGAGGAAGCTTCAACAAAACGCAGCAAAACCACGCTGAGAACACGCACACATCTGCGTGTTGAAGTGCGTGTCTTTTCGGAACGCGTGTAGAGCCCTGATAAGAGCCCTGGTGTTGTAGCCCTGGTAGGGCTCTGCTTTCTTTCTCTTCGATAAGCGACAAAACCCAGCATCAACAAAACACTTCAGCAGCAGAAGATGAAGCAGTTGAACGAGAATTTGGGGGAGATAGTGTGGCAGTTTTTGGATGTGGTCAAAACCTGCGACAACATAGTCTTTGAGGTTGTTTCGCAGCACGTGTTTGATTCAATTGGCGATGCTGGCGAAGGCACTCGTTCCCACAGCATCTTTGGGATTATCGCAGAAAACGATACAGCAATAGGGATATATCTCTCAAAACCAGTCTATTTGCTGATATTCAAACAGTCCCATGATAGATTCAACCAGTATTTAGCTGAGAAAAGGCTGCAGAGGGAAAACAGTGCTGCTGCTGGTTCTGTTCTTAGTGCTGGTCCATTGGGTGAATCTGTTCAAGACGAGTTGCTCTTGACTGATGATGTCTTCTATGCTACAATTGGCTTGATGCTAACCACCTATGAATACCATACATGTCTAAATGTTCACGAATTGATGCTCAAGAAATACATCAAGAAACATCTTAATGACAAGAACTATCTCAGCATCATCACTCTATTGGTTAAAGAGCTAAATTTACTAAGATTGCTACTTAATTCAAAACTTTCAAATATTAACAAATCTTCAAGCCTTTGGTTGTTTCTCAAAAAATTATACATTTTGCTCTATAATTTTGATTCAAACTACTTGAATTATCCATTTATAATCGAATTGATTCTACAATCTTGCCGAGTGCATCCATACAATTATTACGCTTGGTCCTTTACAAAATGGCTAATTAATTTCCTTTACTACAATAATGACCAGAAATTATTATCTTTATTTTATACAAAATTTAACAAATTCTCTCATTCCCATATTAATGATAACAGTTCTTGGTCAGTCTTGTATGATTTGATAATACCTCCCAAAAGTTCAGTCGTATTGTTCACAATAACTGAATATAACTCAATCTTAGCTTCCTATAATCTAAACTCAGACGTATTTTCGTTCCCTTTATTGCCTCAAAATTATAACTATCGCAATTCTTTGAATTTTCAACTATCATATCAAAGAATCTTTCATGAGCAAATAACTTGGTTAGAAACTTTTAATTTCAATACTTTTATTGTTTGGAATTTTATTAAAAATGTATTAATTAATTTTGAAAAAATTTACTTAAACCCACAACAACTAATTAAGGATAAAGATAAAATTGTTCATCTATTACAAATCCAACCTCAGTACCAAGTTAAATTCCCAAACAACAAAGAAATAATCCAAGCAACAAAGGATTTATCTGATTTCTGGTCAAAAATTAAAGATTCTCTAAAAACCTTTGAATCAAAAAATCAAATTGAAATAATCATTAAAAATGGTTACTCCACTAATTCAATTGATCCAAATACCCTGAACAATCCAAAGAAATATCAAAATTACATATATCAAGAAGATTTGAAAAAATTTTCCAATATTAAAAAAATTTTGATTTGGAAAGAAAAATTTCTAGAATAGCAAATTTCTTTTGCTCAAACCTCATTTTTCAATACTTCATTGATCATTATGCTCATTTTATTTGACCCCCACTCGATTCTTATTTTTTCTTTTTTATTACTAATAAATTCCGATTTTTCAACAACATTTTTCAAAAAGAAATCTAATCCTCTCAATAAAACCGCTTGCTCTTTTGTCTTTTCAATTCTTTCACTCAAAATTTTATCAGTAAACTTACTCGTTGATTTTTCATTATTATTATTATTATTATCATTATTATTATTATTATTATTTGAACCTCTTTTAGTTTTGCTTTTTTTACCAACTTGATTTAAAAATGTAATTAATAAAATTTCCATAAATATTTTAGTATCTGAGCTCGAAACGAGAAAATTAACGACTCTTAATATATTCAACGGCAAAAATCCCTCACCAATTAAATATCCATATAATCTACCTAAATTTAAAATTTTGCTCAATTTTTTTTCATCATCTTCAAAATCTCCATTATTCTTTGAGAGCAATTTTAATTTAAAACTGCCTTCACCATCAGAATCATCAGAATCACTATTATCATCATCATCACTATCATCTTCTCCATCCAATTCTTTTATAAAATCCCATAAACAAAATTGAAAAGTCTTTCTTAACGAGTGATTAGAACATAATTTTCCAGCAAGTACACCATAATATGGATTCCATGTATTTTCAATATAAGAACAATGTAATAAAATTCTTGGAATTTGCAACAGTTGATTTTTTTTAAGTCTTAGTTTGTCCAATTTTGTAAAAGCATCCATATAATCGTCTGCAGACATTATTGAAATAAATACAGCTCTTCTTATATCGGTATTCATTCTTTGCTGTTTAGCCAATTCAACCCAATTGGGTTCCAAGTTATCCAAAAAATCATCTTGAAATGCATTTTCGTTAATTTTAACTTTGGTTTGAGTCTTTTCAGTATCATTTATTATCTCTTGTTTAGATATTTTTTCTTTATGGCCAGTTTCTATACTATTGGAATTTTGAATATCGTTTCCTTTCCATGCTGAACCAACTAACCACCATTTACCCTTTTTATCTACATTAAGAATATCATCAAGGGACACATTTAATGGATCGTTATTTAAATTAGTTTTGATTCCATTTGCTATTAATTTTTTCAATTTTAATGTTGATTGTGATGATGTTTCGTTATTCTTATTATAATCTTTTAGTTTGTTATTTTTTAAATTCTGAATTGTTTCAATAAAAAATTTAGTTCTAGGAGTTAATTTGGTATCGTTTTTGTTGAGTTTTGTATTTATTAGGAGTATTATTTCTTTCAAAGCAGAAGGATCGTCAATTCTTAATTGAAAACCAGCATTTCTAATCAATCTAAGCAACAATTCAGTGTTGAACTCAACATTGGATTCAGAAAATTCATTGATCAATTGTTTAATGATATCATAAATGATTTTACAATTAATAACCTGAAAGGAATAACAAGAAACTAATAATGCCAATAAATTACTAGACTCTTTGGTTTTGGATTCTTTGCTCTTGTAAAATGTTTGATATTTTTCAACTAATTGCTGGATAAAATTTGCTAAAAATTCCACTCCCTGTAGTCTATAAATAGATAGTATAATTGCAGCATGAAGAGTAACAAAGCTATCTAGCAAATTCACCGATTGGTATAAAATACTTTCAATTATTATATTTGAAAAGATTTGGTTTACCAAAGCTCTAGGTGATTGAGAATATAACAAATTAATATCGTTTGCAATTGTCAATATATTCGGTTCAGATAATTTATTCATAAAACCTTTAATTGATCTTTGTAATTTTATCTCTTCTTCTGATTTATCGCTTGCAGCAGCTTCTAATCTTTTTCTTAATGCTGGGGGAATATATTTGTTGGTGGAAGGAGCGACGTATGGATTTTCTTTTGGTTTTGTAATTTCCTCAGCAATTTCATTCTCTAAATCATTCTCTGAATCATTATCATTATTGGCGGTGTGAGAAGTGGAAGTTTCACCTTCACTTTCATTTTCCGAATATTTATTCTCTAAATCATCTTCAGGACCATCAAGTTCTTTACTGAATCCTTTGTCCTCTTCTCCTTCCTCTTCATGCAATTCATCGGATATTGATCCAAAATCTAAATCTAAATCATCTAGTAAACCCCCTATGTCATCGAATTCGTCTGTTTTAGATAGCTTCATTTTCTTTAACCCTAGCTTTTTAGCATAATATTTCATATCTTCTTCATCTTGTTTCATCATTTCAATGTCATAATCAGATAAAAATCTTTTTTCTTTTTTGTCTTTATCTTTATCCTTTTTATCCTTTTTATCCTCTTTTTGCTTCTTATCCTTTTTATCTTTGTTGTTTTTCTTGTCCTTTAGAGCCTTTAGAGCATTCATAGTTTCAGATACTGAAAGTCCATTCAGTGATGTTTCAGTTTTTGACTTTTTAATCTGTTTGGGATTGAATTCTTCATTTTTTTTCATTTTTTTAGCTTTTAGAGCCATTAAAGCATTTATTGTTTCTTCTGCAGTCATACTTTGATTTTCTTCGTGTTGGTCTGAATCGAAATCATCATTGAAGTTCAAATCATTCAAATCATTCAAATCCCTATAATCATCAGAATTATTGAAATCATCTTCACTATTGTCATTTTCAGCAAAAGTGACTTTTTTTTTGGAACCATTAGTGGAACTAATTTTTCTTGATTTTATGATTTTATGTTTATTATTTCCTTGATTAGTTGTGATACGAGTTTGTTTTTTTGAAGTTCTTTCTCTTTTTCTTTTTTCTTTTCTTGATAAGTTATCAGTTTTTCTTTTGGGCTTCTTATTTCGAGAAGAAAATCTTTTGTCGCCTTTGTATTCACCATTTTCTTGTTTATCGTTGATTTGATCTAGTATAGTTCCTGGAAGAGCAATTCTACGTTTTTGAGAACTTTTGGCAAACATTTTAATTGATGTTATAAATTTAATGTAGAAAAATAGATAGGTTATATATTCGATAGGTCATAAACTGAATTTATGGAAAATCAAAAAAAAAAAAAAAATTGAGAAATATTTCACTGTGCATAATATGCATCAATATGCATATGATAGAAGTACCATAATAGCGGATGCAATAGCTTATTTGAAATAAATTACTTCACCATGATCAACAATAAAAAGAGCATCTTCTTCATCTGTCCATTTCTTCCAGCCGTCAGATAAATATTGTAGGTCATTTTCAGTTACACCAAGTTGTTTATCTTCCAAAAGCTTTTTCGCAAAACCAGAATTGACTACTCTATCAGCCCAAGTTAAACCCCACCATTTAATATCCTCTCTTTGGGTGAAAAACCAATTTCCTAAATTATAATTGAATTTTTTGGTATTGTTGACGTCAAAGCCTGCTTCTCTACACCATTTTTTTAGAAATTTTCCAGCATTGGGATTAAAGCCAGAATTGATATTTATTTTAAGGTAAAGTTCCTTCCATAGTTTTATAGCTTGATAGTTTTCAGGCATACAATAAAATGCTTCATAAATTGATTCTCTAATTGAGACAATGCCATTTTTCTTGCAAACTCTTTTCATGGCCTCAAGACCTTTAACCGGATCCTTTAAGTGCTGAATCACTTGATGAACATGCACGATGTCGAATTCATTATCGTCAAATTTATCCAAAAACAAAATATTATCGACCACAAACTCAATTGAATTTCCTTCATAAACACCCCATTTAATCAAATTACTCTTGGCCTCATTTAAAATGGATTCATTAATTTCCACACAAACGACCTTTCCTGTGGGGCCCACAGCTCTGACAAAATCAGCAGTGATTGAGCCGGGACCACATCCCACATCAAGAATCTTCAAGCCTGGTTTGAGATGAGGAAGCAAATGCGGAGCGGAGTTTTTGGCATTTCTCCAAGTGTAGGCCTTTTTAATGGCGTCGATGTAGTCGCCATGAATGTAATTTTGAACAATCTCCTTTGGCGTGCTCATATCGACGAAACAATTGCAATTGGCTATATATCACAAACAGACAGTTGTGATGCTGATGATTATAAGCAAGAAATCAAGACCCATCATGACTGAAATCGGGCAGTTGGAACACTTTGATACTTGATCATGAAAGTTCGCTGTGGGATGGCACTACGCCGCTCCTGCTCCGGAGCAAGAGCAGTTGCTGAATCGTCCCTCTTGGTGAGGGAGCACGGATGCAGCCAGATCCAGGACCGGGACAGGGGTTGCGCAGACAATAGAGCCCTATCGCTCCTGCAGCACAAGGTTCGGCGTAGGCGCTATGCACGGTAGGCTCGCAGGAGGAGTGCGGTATAGGGTTTGAGACACAGTCAGCTGACATTTTCTTGAACGGGAAATCTCCAGAATAAAATTCCAAACAATGGGGGTTGCTCGCTGAATTTGAATTTGCAGGAAAATGTGTATATTTTTTTATATACTGCTTCTGTTTCTTTTTGTAGGCGCTGAGCGCTGGCCAATTATATATTTACATAGCAATTGTTAGTATTTTCTGAAGAGTGTTTTCTCTCTAATTAAGAAGTTATTTTTCACGTCCAACGACAATTGGAATTGTGGGTTTTATTGATTTCGACACCTTTGCAATATTCCATATTCAATTTAGGAATTTTAAAAGCTGTTTTTTTGGTGCTTGCTTAGTGATTTAGGATCACCAAGCTAAAAAAGTGTTACATTTTTGGGTGTGTTTGTATATTCCTCAAGATAACTATTTTTAGTTATTTTAATAAATTTTTTATTTATATTTACTATTTTACTCTTTTAATATATTGCTCGTTTTTTGTCTTGTTTGATTTTGGGATTTTTTATGATTTTTTGTGGTTTTTTGCCTTGTGTTTATGTTTATTTTTTTATTTATTTGGTTAACACAAAAGGATTTGGAGGAAACTTCAGAAGAGGTTCAAAATGTGTTCAAGGGTCTTTTGTAAATTTGGGTAGAATGCTGCCTGGTTTGGTAGAGGATTATGATAGAGTCTTTGGGTTATCTCCTTTTAGTTGCTAGTACTAAATATCAAAGTATCAAAAAATAGCTACAAAAATGGTTACAAAAATCCAGCGCCTATTGATGATTGATAATTGTTTATGATAAAGTGGTATAGTGGTATTGATAGCATTGGGAATTATTTATCTTTGAAATTCTGCAGGATGAATTAAAGACGTGTCAAGATTATAAATCATCATAAGAGTAATGACAATAAATCAATAATACTTCCACTTTATTCAATTAAATTTGAAATAAGGACTGAATTATTTTCAAGTTGAATTTTTGTTTTGATTTTTTAAAAAAACTCGACTCAAACTGACTCAAACTGACTCAAACTGACTCAAACTGACTCAAACTGATTCAAACTGATTCAAATTGATTCAAATTGATTCAAATTGACTCAAATTTACTTTAAAGTATAAGAGTGTTTAACATTTAATCTACATTTCCAGAATGAAGGGATTGTTTTTTGTTTGTTTATTTTTGATTAAACGATTTCAAGTTCAAGTTCAAGTTCAAATTCAAATTCAAATTCAAATTCAGGTTGAATGGTAATAAATATTTTAAAAGCAAGCCATGAAAAGTGGTTGAAGAATATCAAATAAAGATAAAGAACAGATGATTTTGAAATTCAATATTCAAACATGATAATGGAATGTTAAAGGTTCAAAAGAAAAACAAAGAAAAACACACAAAAAAAAAGAGGATATCGAAAAGAAAACGAAAGTAAAAGCAAAATGAGTTGGGAAATTTAAAAGATTATTTTTTATTTTTCTTGAGATTGTTATTTTTTTGCATTAATAATATTTGTGGGATAGATTTTCAAAATAAAGATCTACAAAAGTTAGGAAAAAGGACTAAGAAGTGAGAATGGAAAAAGAGGGAAAGGGCCATAGACGATGTTGGAATTTTAGAAAAAAAAAAAGGATTGAGAAAAACGCATTATGAAAAAGAACTTGAAAAAGGACTTGGAAAAAAGACATTTTCCAGCCTCAATTCTCAAATTTATTCAATTTGCTTCGAATTTCTCTAGACTTGAATTAAATCGAATTGAACCAATTTTGATTTTGTTTGAGTTGAGCTATTTAATTCCAAAGGGAATAAAATGGTAACATAAAATACTAAGCAAGTTAACGTGGTAAATTAAGAGAAATTTGTTTTTATAAACGAAGCCAAAAATTGGAAAACTTGGAAAAATAATAATAAAAAAATAATAAAATAATAACAAAAAAAAACATAAGATTGCAATAAATATTAAATATGCAATAATACAGCTTTGAAACCCAATTGCCAATTGTCAATTGCCAATTGCCAGTTGAATATTTTTCTATTTTTTTTAATTTGAGTAAAATGAATCAGCCAAATCAAAAGAAGTAATCAAGCTGAGATATAATGAATGGGCAAGTGAGTGGAATCAATAAAATCCTCGGTTTCTGGAGATAATAGAGCAGAGGAACAGAATACAAAGCAGAATTGGAACCAGAAAAAAAGGAAAAAGAATTGGGAAAACTGATTGGGTGAAATTTAGTGAGATTGGGTTAGGTTATGGGTATGATATTGGATGCAGAAACCTTAAATAGACTTGGAAATTGATTTGCAGGTTGGAGATAAAATTGTGAACAACAATTGTGAATAATACTGGCAATTCGCATTTCACACAATTTCAGGGAAACCTAGACTACTCCAGCACCACAAGAACACAGGCATTGAGCTGAGGGCACCACAACCAAAGCAGAAAGAGTGGCACAAACTGGGGGGAGCAGCAAAGAGGCCAGACAGCACCGGCAGCACAAACAGCACCGACAGCACTGGAAGCAGCAGCAGCAGCAGCAGCACCGGAAGCAGCACCGGAAGAAGCAGCGTGTTTACGTTTTGCCCAAGTAGGAAATCTAAACGGTCCTCGGCCCAGAAGCAGCAGAGCGTGGTGCAGCTGCTGGAGCTGGGGAAGTTTCCAGAAGGCTCCACTATAAATACGTCCCGTTCCCTCATGGATAAACTGTGCTGCACTTGCTCTCCTCTGCCTCTGCCTCCTCTGCTGCCTCTGCTTCTCGCCATGTCCTATCGCTCCTTGTCTGATCCCACCCAGAAGAGATATCACAACCAGAAGAACCCAGCCAGCCTTTCCACTCGCAACAGCATCTCTCCTCCCACCTATCTTCCCTCTGGCAGACTCAACATCGCTTCCCACAACAGTCCCAACGACGTCGACTCCAACTCCAACAGCCTCTCTGGCTCGTCCTCCAGCATTCCTGTTGGCTACTCCAACCCCTACAACTATCCTCCAGCAAACCCACAGTACAACCCTTATGCCTTACCTGGGCCTTCCCAGCCATATCCATACCAGCATCCTCCAAATGCTCCAAATGCTCCTCCACACATGCCCCAATATCTCCAGGGCCCTCCTCCTCCTCCTCCTTCGCAATTGCCTGTGCCCATACCTCCTGCTGGCCAGTATCCCTATCCACTGTCCTCCAACACCTCCCTCATCTACCCCAACCAGTATCCTCTCCCTTACACACAGCAGCAGCAGCAACAGCCCCTACCACACATTCCCCAGCAACAGTATCAGTCACAACAGCAAGCTCTGCTTCCTCACCTACAATACCCAACCCCTCTACAGCATCTACAACCTCATGTCCAGCTAAAACCTCACCAGCCTATACTGACTCAACTAAACCCAGTCCCAAATCAAGACAAAATTGACATTTCTCCAGAGACTCCCCAGTCGCCCTCAAAAAATCAGTTTCATTCAAGTACAAACAAAAAATCAATCAAGTTCAATCCTGCCTACAAAAATACTGTTTTTATCAACAACAAACTACCTTCAATACCAAATGAAGAGTCAAATAAAAAAAATTCAAAGTCAAAAAATAGCAAGCTACCTGCTCACCAATTTCTTAATTTCAATCCTGATAACTATATACCTCCCAATAGAATGAGCTATTCTGATCAACACAAAACAAAATCCAACCAAAAAAATCAATCAAGCTCTACTCAACACCAAAACCAAAGCCAAAATTTACTAACTTTTAAAAATCCAAACATTTTAAAAGAAATTGACGAATGCCATAAACTCCAACACTCAAACTCAAAAATTAGAGATAATTTTGAAAAAAAGATATCAAAACTAAATAAAGAACACCTGAAAAAAATAAAACAATTAGAAGAAAAATATAAAAGCGTTCAAAAAGCTGGTGATAAAGATATAAATGATCTACAAAATCATTTAAATAAATTAGGTGGTCCCTACAAAAATATCAATGACATTGCCTAATTCATTCTAATTAAATTAAATTAAATTAAATCAAATCAATTTAGTCAATTTAATCAAATTTAATCTTCTTATCATAATATAATCATAATATAATCATAATAATCATAATCATAATATCATTACACAATCACAATCATTACATTTGCTATTGTTATCGTTATCGTTATCATTTCCATTTCAGTTTCCATTTCTATTGTCATAGGCATTCTCATTGTTTTGTTAATTTTCTATACAGTTGCTTCATAATTATCATGTTTTTTTCATTATTTTTATATCATATTTTTATCATTTTTTCTCATTTTTTTTATCTCTCTCTCTTTGTTTCCCGTTAATTTTTCTTTCTTTGTTTTTACTTCGGTTTTACTTCTTTTTTTGTTTTTCTTTCCACTAGTTTTCCCAAAAGTTTTCTCTTATTTTCGTGTATTTGTTCTATATATTTCTATTTCTTCATCAACTCGTTCTCTCTTGTCGAAAAAAATTATGTCCCGCATCATCATACATTAACATGCATCTTCTTTATAAATTCACTGTTCTGGTTCGTTACCCGTTTTGAAATTTCAATTTTTTTTTTAAACTTTGTAAATTTTTTTCATCGACTTTTATATTTATATTCATTTTTATATTCATTTTTATCATCATAATTGTATAATTACTTGCAAACATGGCTAAAAGAAGAGTATGTTCAATTCGTTTATATTTTATATCATAATTTATTCATACTTCACTTCATTTCAATTTCTGGTTGTTGTTTTTTTTCTCTTTCATTTTAACTAATATCTATTTCTACCTTCTCCTCAAAAGACAAAGAAAAGAACTCACATTGAACCAAATGAAGACGAATTGGCTAAAATTCCTCGCTCAATGGTCATAAGACTTGGTTTAGCCCATAGAAACCATTCATTGGCCCAGCTAGTCAAGGATTTTAGAAACATAATGCAGCCATACACTGCCATAAATCTTAGAGAAAGAAAAACAAATAAATTAAAAGATTTTATAGTAATGGCTGGTCCCTTGAACGTATCTCATTTGATGATTTTCACTCAATCTGAAAAAGGTACAACTTCTTTCAAAATAGCTAAAATGTCCCAAGGTCCAACATTAAATTTTACACTAACCAGCTATTCTCTATCAAAGGATATAAGAAAATTTTTAAGACACCCAAAATCTCTAGCTAAGGATTCAACAGATTTTTCAAATCCACCTCTATTGGTGCTCAACGGTTTCCCTAAACCTGCAATCGCCCAGCCTTATGAAAAGACTTTAATAACAACCTTTCAAAACATGTTTCCCCCAATTAACCCCCAACAAATAAAAGTATCCTCAATAAAAAGAGTTCTTATTTTAAGCAAAGACCCCAAAACTGATGAAATCGATTTACGTCATTATTCAATCGAAACAAAACCCGTTGAAATCTCTAAAAATGTTAAAAAACTAATCAATTCTAAAAATGTTCACACTAAAAAAATCCCAAACTTATCTAAAATAAATGATATTTCAGATTTTTTATTAGATCCAAATTCGAACTCAGGTTTTACAAGTGATTCCGAGTTATCTGAATTAGAAGAAGATTCAATTGTACAAATTAGAGATACATCGGCTATCAGTGCTTCTAACACAATAAAAAAACATGACGAAGTTAAAGATGAAGATGAAGATAATATCCCAATACCTGAAAAATCTGTTGAAAATGATAAAAATGAAAATGTCAATAATGACAGTGAACCCAATGTGAAAAAGAGAGCAGTCAAATTAATTGAGCTTGGTCCAAGAATGAAATTTAAATTAGTAAAAATTGAAGATGGTAATTGTACTGGAAAAGTTTTGTACCATTCTTTGTATTCGAAAACCAAAAATGAAGTTAAACAATTAGATAAAATTCATGCTACAAGAGAAAAGGAAAAACAAAAGAGAAAAAAGGAACAATTACAAAATGTTCAAGTTAAAAAAGCCAAAAAAGATGCTAAAAAACTACGTCATAAAGAAAACTTAAGTAGGAAAAAAAACAATAAATCTGAAAATGAATCCCTGGATCCATCAGATACAGAAATTAAAAATAAAAATGAAGATGATTCTGATGAGTTATTTTCAAGCTGAAAAAGTAAAATAAAATAAAATAAAGTAAAATAAAATAAATAAAAAAAAGAGATAAAATATATTCTTTTTTTTTCTCATTTTGGTTTTAGTTCGTCTTTTGTTTTCATATAGTTTTTAATATCAATTTAAATTTAATAAAAAAAGAAAAAAACAACCAAAAAAGAATGCATTTATAATGTATTTATAACTTTAAAAATAAGTTTATAGAAGACACAACGCAACAAAACACAACACAATACAACGTAATGATAATGATAGAGAAAAAGTAAAAATAAACATGAGCATAAAGAAAATGATAATGATTATAATAGTAAATATTGAGGATGATTATTTAAGAAATGTCATTTATTGTAAATTGAGGAGTCCAAATAAGCTTATTGATATTAGTTGTTTCAATAAAATCTCTTTTAATTGTTAATGAGAATAATTTATTTGGGTTTTGAGCCTTCAATAATTTTTTATATAATTTTTTATTTAGTTTTGAGATTTGTAAATCATTATAATAAGATATAGTAGATGGATCAATATTAAGAAATTTTAAAATTGATTCCCCATTTTTAAAAGATAGTTTAAGAATTCTTTTTGGGTGATAAATATTATCCAAATTTACTTGATCAGACAATAAGATTGAAAAGGATAATTTATCTAAATTCTTTAAAGCATCTTGAAATAGTAATTTAAAGTTCTTCTGATAATTGTCAAAGCCAATGATTCTTGCTATAAATCTAAAAGTATGATTAATAATATCTAAATTATCTTCCAAATCAATCAATGAACTAATTGAGGTTTCAGTGGGTTTAACTGATAAATTGTTTTTATAAAAATCATTTAATTTCGACAAGGAATTATAATCATTTGATAATTTATCAGGAGTTTTTGATGCACAATTGCCAATTGTTTGTAGATGAGTTTGAGAAGAAGAGTATATTGAGCTTGATTGGAATTCATTAATAAAATCAATATTAAAATTTGGGCTAGAGTCTGTACTAGAGCCTGAATCAAATTCAATTGCAATTGGATTATTAGGGCCCGAAAGGGCACGTTGGGTGTTATTAGAGCTTGAAGAAAAACCATTAGTTGAATTAAAATCATTCATTGTTGGATTTTGAGTTGGCTGAGACAATAATAAATTTTGCGAATCAAGATCTAAAGGTTTAGGGTTAAATAAAATGTTAGTGTTGAATCTGTTTGGAGAGCTCTTTTGTACAAATTGTGATACACCTGAAAATGTTTTTCTAAATTTTTTAAAATCATTGTTGCTAAATTCACTAGATCTTTCATATCTTTCATGCGTTTCATTATTACTAGCATCACGCTTCATTTTGGGAGTAATATTATTGGAGGTAGACTTCTTTGTAGAGCGTAATCTTGAATAAAGAAAAGAGTATTTTTTTAAATTATTATTGAGCCAATCATAAGTGCAATCATCACGAATTCTTTGAATTAAATTATCAATTGATTGAGTGAGTGGGTGAGAATTTGGAGAAGTGCTTTTCAGATTTAGAAAATTTATGAAATCATTCTCAATGATACTTAAATCAATTACTCTCGCTTCAACTGAACCAAAATAGGTTTTTGTTTGGAAATCGATTAATAGTAATATTCCTTCATATTTAAGATCAATATAGTTTGCATTTAAATATGTATCAATTGTGAGCTTTCTCTTTTTTTGATATTGTTCAATAAAACCAGCAACGAGATCCTTATCAGAGGAAAACAAAAATAGTTTTTCGGAATTTAGATTATTGATAATGTATTTATAATGGCCAATCAAATTTTCAACATCGATTTCTTGCTTTTGAGGTAGAATAGTGTTTCCATTAGGAGGTGTTAAGTCAGTAGCTAAAACGAGGGAAGGCCTGTTATCTTTCCAGCTGGGATCTCTGTATACAGCCAACAACAAGAAGGGAAGAGTTAAAACTGTGTCACGAAGTAGCTGGAGTTCGTTGGGCACAGGAATCCCACTAATTGAGAAAGGTTTGGAAGCAGATTCCATGAAGCACAAGCAGCAAAATCCTCATTACTGCGTTTTTTGGGTCAGTTTCGGACGCGAAACAAAAAACAGACCCTGAAAAAATTCTTGAAAAAAATAAAAAAAAAAATAAAAAAAAAAAATAAAAAAAAAATCACGCGTTGCGCGGACCGTCGGGATTTTCTTTCCGCTGCCCGGCCTCGAGCGTGAAAATCCCGACAAAATTTTTCTATGCTTTTCTCTCTGGAGGAAGCTGAAGTTGGTGAAACTGAGGAAGAAGCTGAGGAAGATCGGAAAGGAAACAGTAAGCAATGATATTATCACCAGCAGAGAGATCGTATTTGAGAGACTCTCTCTCTCTTGAAACACCCATACGACCCGACTCAAGGCTAGTGGGCCAGTTCAGACCAATTGAAGCAGTCTGCAATTTTTTGCCCAACTTCAATGGATCTTCCAGGGTGAGGTTAAGTGATGGTAATGAATGTATCACTAGTGTTAAATCCAGTGTTGTGATAATCAGCTCCAGTTCCAGAGACGATAGTGTTAATTTAATTGATTTCCTGTTCAACATACCCGGCTACAGAGATGATTCAAATTTGGTGTCTAATTTGACGTTAACGTTTAATAAAATATTTAATAACAATTTTGATTATAGCTCTTTGAAATTGAAAAATTTCAAAAATCACTTTTTCAAATTGAGTATTGACATCCTATTCATATCCAATTCAAGCGATATTAATGACAACTATGTTCCATTGACTTTAATTAGTTTTTCGTCATATCTAGCATTGAGATCCACAAGGTTGCCATTGTTGATCAATGATTTGGAAAAAGACGAGGAAGATCTCAATATTGATAAAATCAAAACCCAAAAAGAAGTGGAGCTACCCATGTTTAGTGACGATTGGTCAGATTCAACATACCTATTTCCCACCTCGCCATCTAGCTCGACTGCAAATGCAAATCAAAGGACCCCACCATTGATCTTCATATTGGCAGTCATTGACGATAACTTATTTGTGGATCCCACCATCGAGGAGCAGTATGTCAGCGACAATGGGTTGATAGTGCCTTGGTGCTCAGGGAACATTATAAATCCAATAGAGTCGACCAAACTCTCTCGAGACCCCAACTCAGACTCAACTTCCAGCAGCACAGTCGGTTTGAACTACAACCACCTCACCAAGGGCATCTCGCTCGTGAAGGAGGTTGCAGCCAAAGTGGCCTCTGCGTTGGACAATGTGGTGAACACTTCAGACGAAAACGAGTTCTTGAACTCCATATTCTAGGCTCCATTAGTATATTCAGCTCCTTGCCTTTACTTCTCGGCCTTTTCTGAAATGCTCCCCGAGCGGGAGTCGAGCCCAGAGCCGCGTCCCGCTCAAAAGACGTTCTTCTGCTGCTTCTGCTTCCTCGTTCACACCAAAAGCTGTCTCCCAACGATGAACACTCCCGTAACCATTGACAAACACAGGAAGATAGGTGTTCCAGACATCGACAACGACGACGAGAGAGTCATCTTGGTTTCTTCAGACTGCCATGAGTTCATCATCGCCAAAAAAGCTGCTTCCATTTCTCCTACCTTGAAGGCAATGTTGGACTCTTCCTTTCAAGAATCAAAATCAAATCAAATTCAATTGCCTGATATCGACTCTCAGCTAATGGATGTCATTGTGGAATACATGTACTACAATCTAAAATATAAAGATGATCCTTCCAAAGCTCCCAAATTCGATATTCCCATCGAAATGCTATTGGAAGTATTAGTCGCTGCCGATTATTTGAACATTTAATCACCAAAAGTGCCCATGATACTGATTAATTAATTAACTTACTTGTTTATTGATTGACAGTCGAGAAATTCTTTCTTTTCATTTACTCGCTTTAATTTAGCAACTATTGTGAAAAAAAATGAAAAAAAAAAAAAAAAACATAAAAATAACCTCTAAAAAAACTAAAAATTAACTATAATTAACAATAAAAAGCAATAAAAAATTTAAAAAATTTAAAAAAATAATTGTACAATTAAATCAAGTGGAGTGAGAAGAAAACAAAATAATATAGTTGATATCTATGAGAATAATGTACAATATTCAGATAAAAAAGAAAACAAAGCAAACAACTAACAATTGAAAACAATAAATAAATAGATAGATAAATAAATAAAAAATAAAAAAAAAAAAATACTCACTTGATTTTAATAGAAATAAAAGTTGTAAATAGCACAAACAATATAATCATGGAAAGGAACTAAACGAAAAATGAAAAAAGAAAAAAGTTGAAATTGAAATTGAAAATTAAACCAGTTAATTTGATACTCTTCTATGATTTGGTATTATCCTCCTTCTCCGATTATTTATTGTTTAAAAACCATCCTTTAATTAGTTTCTCTTTATTAATTTCCCTCAAATTTTATTGTTTCGATTTCTCTAATTTTATAGATCTCTTCATCACCAACTAAATTTTCAAACTTTTTTATTAGCTTGACTAGTTCATTAGATTTAAATTTATATTTCCTGAAATTTTTTTTAATATTTTTCAAAAAATCATAAATTTCTGTAGTATCTTTGATTTCTAATATGTTTTCCTCAAAAAATTTGAATATGCTTAAAAAAATCCGGAAAACTTCAATTTCTCCCTTGAGACATATTATTATATCCCAACATTTAAACAAAATATCAATTGGCAATATATCAATCAATAAAGTTAAAAACCAATTAATCATTATTGAATTCAACTCAATCTGTTTATTCACAATTAAATGTCGGTTTAAATTGGGCAAATACTTTGCAAATAAATTTCCAAATATCTCTAAATTAATTTGAATTTGTTTTAAATCCGGTTTGAAAAAATCAAAAACTAAAATATTTTCAATAATATTAATAAAAAACCAAAATGCATCTTCCTCTTTGGGAAAAATTAGTAGCACAATCGCTACAATCAAATTCATTCCCTGGCAATACCCAATATCGGGATATTTTCGATTAAATGCAACCAAAATATTTCTCAATTTAACGATACCAGGTCCCTTATCCCCATGGAAAAAAATATTGTATGGCATTGTTCTATGGATATCCAATTGTATTTGGGATTCAGACTTGATAATGCTTTCAATTTTACTATTTCTTGAAACATCTGACACTAAATCACTATTGATATCATTCATCAACAAATCATTATATTCGCCGGGGATAATAATTGATTTAGAACCTGAGCATTCTTCCCAAATTCTTTGTCTTAATTTCATTGGTATTCCATTGTAAATCAATTTTTTAAAGTCTTTATACAATTTAAAATAGTTGTTTTTCAAATTACTACCAAATAATCCCAAGAGATCATCATTAATAAAATCAGTACTATCTAAAATTTCGCTTGAAGGAGAATGGATTGGATTAACATTAAAAAGCTTAATTTCTAAATCCTCAGAAGACGAATCACAATCATCCATTTCATCAAATTCTTCATAAACTTTTCTAATTGGACTGAAAATATTTATGGAATCATAGTTTTTAATAGATTCATTATTTTTAACTTTATTATCTTTTCTATCCAAGTTAAAATTTGAATTTAAATTAAGATTCGAATTTGAATGTAAATGTAAACGTGTGCTTGGGCTTGAGTTTAGGTCTGAGTTTGAATTAGAATTAGTGTTGGAAGCAAAGTTACTTTTGGAGTTGATATTATTATTGTTATAAGCGATTGAAATTTTAGTGAAAAATTCATTCCATTTATACTGAGTTTTTTGTAATTTCTGATCATGTTCTTTAGCTATTGTAATTAAGTTTTTGGTAGTGAGATAAAGATTTTTTTCCTTTTCTTTATCGATTTTTTTATTTAATAAAGTATCAGTAATATGATTCAAAGAGCCGGTTAGCGTATTATTTGGAGAAAATGCAAACGACGAATTTGAAGTTGGATTATTTAAAAGGTGGTCGTAATCATAAAAACAACCATATTTATCGACTAATTTATTATGAAGATTACTGATTAAAGTTGGTGGTTTCTCATTATTGGGGATAATATTATCAAGTTCAACGGGTAATTTAGGAGTCTTTGATAAAGTCTGTAGGCTAGGTAGAAGATAATTTCTGTTCGATTCAGTACTGTTGGAGGTGATTAAGTTTGAATTTTGATTTGAATTAGGTATAGCAATTGAATGTCTACGAGTTATTATGTTTGAATCTTGATTAAAATTATTATCGTCAGTTTTTTGTAATTGGGGAAGTAAATTTGTTGTATTTGCACGAAGAAGGGTTTTGGGTGGAATTGAGTTGAAGTTTGAATTTGCATGAGACAACCAATTGGCAAAGTTTATAATAGAATTATTTTTAACTTTTGATATATTTTTTTCATTACCATTATCATTACCGTTATCATTATCATTATCATTATCATTGTCATTATCATTGTTATTGTTGTTTTTATTATTATTATTATGATTATTATGACCATTATTAATGCTTTCATTGTGATTATTATTTATATTTTTAAATTTTAAATTTTCAACTATATCATTAATTTTTTGATTGGAGTCTAAATTTTGAGAATTATAATAATAGATATGGGTTAAAGAAGATGAAGATAAGGGTCTGATTGGAGAAAGAAGTTGATTAAAGTCTATTGTACTGTTTGAGTTATTATAATTTGATTTGTTTGAATGTAATGAATTTAATGAGTTGATAGATTTGTTTGGGTTATGATAAGTAGTGGAGGTAATCCGATCAATTGAATTATTAGAATTATTAGAGTTATTCGATAGAGTTGAGGTGATTGATAATCTATTTTTTTTAATAAAATTATTGAATTTATTAAAGTTGAAATTTAGAAAAGAAGAGTTTCTTTTTGAGATTGAAGTGTTTGATATTTCCAGAGTTTTTATTGTTTCAGATGATTCTAGAAGATTTGGAGGGATTTGAGTATTGGGAGCTTTCAGAGATTTAAGGGCATTGGTAGTTATTGGGGTAATTTTTGGAGTAGTTTTTGAGTTAGATTTAGGAATAATATTATTATTGATTAATAATTCATTTGAAAAAGGGAAAGGAAAAGTGAAATGAGGTAGTGATGTTGATCTTTTATGAGATAATGAGATAATCAGAGAGTTTTGTATATTTGATATTGAGGTTGATAATGAAGTTGAGTTTTCAATTGAGTTGTTAATTGAATTGTTGAATGAAGTATTTCTTGAGGTATTTGTAGAAGTGTTTATTGAATTGTTAAATGAGTGGGGTATTGAAGTTGAGGTTGATAGGTAAATTGGAGTTTTGACAGAATTTGGAGTTGATAAAGTTAGACTGGTAGTTGGGGATGATTTAAAATTTGTATTTAAAGACAATGGGATAGATAATTTTTGGTTTAATTTTTGGTTAAATTTTTGATTAACGTTTTGGTTAAATAATTTTTTATTATTAAGTTTATTGATAAAATTTGGAGAGGGGTTGCTTCTTGATTTCTGATGAATAATTTTAAAGTTATTACAGTTGTTATTATTGTTATTGTTATTGTTATTATCATGACGGTTATTATTAGTATTATTGTTAAAGTTTTTATTTATATTTTTATTGCTTTTGTTATTGGTGTCGTAATAAGTATTCCTCAATACTCTTAAATTTTGTAAATAGTGTATATCAAGTTGATTTAATTTATCATTGATTTTATCAGAATGATTGTTGTGGTCATTGTTATTGGTTTTGATATCGATTAGGAAATTGATTTTTTTTTTGTTAAAAAAATTTGATAGTTTTAGTTCATTAGATTTAAAATTTAAATTGTTAATTAATTCTTCAATTAGCTGATCTTTTGAGACTATGACTTGAATTAGGTTCTGGTTAATTTTGTTTATTTCGTTGATATTTGATATGATATCATTAATGTAGTTGTTTATATTATCAAAACTGTTGGAAGTTAAGATGGTCACTGGCACCGAATCAATTGAAGAGATAGAAGGAGATGAGAAATGAGAATTATGAAAGGATTTGTTGTTGAATTTAATTTGGTTATTGTTGATGTTATTGGTATTGGTGTTTGTATTGGTGTTGGTGTTAGTGTTGATATTGTGTTTGATATTGCTTTTGGTATTGTTGTTGTTGTGATTATGGTTATTTTGGTTGTTTTGGTTGTTTTGATTGTTGTTTCTCAAGATGCTCTCGATCCTGTTGGAGTTGTCAATGGTGGGAGTGTATCTTTGCTTGGTAGATAATACAGACATGTTCTCTACAACAGATTCATGACAAGCAACAAAGAAGCAGAGGAAGCAAAGAAAGCAAAAGTGGAAAGATGAGCTAACGAATCACAGATCAATATACAAGCAGAATGGGACTTCGCTAGTGCTCGAGTAGCTGGAGAGGAAGGAGTAATGCTCAGATAAGGCTGTAGTGTTGTTCAGTATCGAGAGGATGCTCTTCTTTAACATAGACACTTCTCTAACACTGTTTTCTCTTCTTCAGCACTTCCTCCTCCATCTTTAACCCATTCAGACTCTTTTGACTTCGGGACCACTCATGTGCCCCTTTCAAGTGGGAGGTTTAGCATGATGTAGACACTGCACATGACCTTCATCACGCATTTCAGATCAGCTTCCCTGCACCATCGGCACTTCCTGTGCTGCGGGACGCCGTCAGAAGCCCAGCATTGCTCGTCTGCCATATTCGGGATGGAAATCATTGTCTGTGAAATATTATTCAATATGAAATAATATGAAATAATAATACTCAACCACTCAGTATTCCAGTATGCAGTCCAGCTATTCAGATACTGTTCAGATACTGTTCAGATGATATTCATGTATTTTCTGGCAGCCCTAGCACTGCTTCCTGTTGGAACACTGGTGCTATCGAAAGCAATGGCTCTTCTTTTGAGAGATTTATTAATTAATTTTATTTCTTCTGGCTCATTTAGGGCATTTTTAACTCTTTCCTATTCTGTTTGTTTAACTCCTTCTTGCTTTTTTACTCCTTTCAGTTTTTTTTCTTGTACCTGTACTTCTGCTTATTTCAATTGGTGTTTCTATTCCAGTTTCTGTTCCTATTTTTACAAGCACTTGGAATGAATTAAGTCGGGATTCTCCTGGTACTCGCCATATGTAACCCACATTCTTTTGAATGTACTTAGTCCTCCCAAGATGCTGCCTCCAATCCAGGTACTGTATTTTCTTTCAGGAGGAGCATATATTTTAATTTTGGTTCTCTTCATTGTGTTGTTCTTCAATTCAATCAACAATCGATCTCCAAAGCCCTTTATAAGTGTATTCCCACCACTCAAAACAATGTTTCTATATAGCTCATTTCTCAAATCTAAATCAATCTTGTTAATACTCTCAAGTATCATATCTTGTATAGGTAGATATTCAGATCCAATTAAATCTGGCTGGAATAGTATTTCGGGACTTCGAAATCTCTCTGTTCCTACTCGGATTATTTTCCCATCTGGCAATTTGAAACTTTCATATTTTTCCATGGCATTGCCAAAACTATCTTTATTAATACCAAGGTTATCATGAGCATCATGGATATTACTGTCATTCCCCGTATTGCTATCATTTGTGTTATCATTGCTGGCAGTATTGATATTTGCATTACTACTGCTATCAATCCGCTTGCCAATTATTTGCTGATTGATACCAGTATTTATATTAGTATTCCGGCCAAGAGCACTTATCCCCCTATTGCTCTTGCTTCTGACATCAATGCTACTGGTGCCACTATTTGAGTTCCTCATTGTCAACCAATCTCGTTCTTCTTGTCGAGGGTCTCTTGATATGTAACAACATTTCTCTTTGATGATTCGGACAATCTCCTTTTCTGCACTCGTTTGCAATATCACTCCATTTTTTCGTAATAGCAACTGCAATTGCTCCGTTATATCTCTTCCTGCCAAATCAATTCTCCTTATAGCATTTGGCAACGAGAATCCTTCATAAACTGGCACACTGTGACTGACTCCATCTCCACTATCCACCACCAAGCCCGTAGTCTTTCCCGACGAATATAACGACAACACTGCTTGGATACTAAAATATATTGCAGGCGAATTAAACGTCTCAAAGAACGTCTGTGCCATTCTCTCTCTGTTTTTCCTGGGATTTAATGGCGCCTCAGTTAGCAACACTGGATGGTCTTCTGCTGAGATTCGTAAATCGTTCAAGTAGATGGACTGCCATAGTAGCTCCATGTCGTCCCAATTATCAATTATTCCATGGCTGATGGGATATCTGATCTTCAACAACCCCCGGTTCTCCTGTGCTTTGTTGCCTATGAAGTTGTCGTCCTCAATGGCTCCTGCCATAACTCTGCTGTACTTGGGTCGCCCAACGATAGCTGGGAGATAGCTCTTGGGTCGTTCTTCGCCGGCAAACCCAGCCTTGATGGTTCCTGAACCATTATCAATCACCACTGGCTGGTTCAATAGTATGTTCAACGATTCAGCCTGCATCTCTCGCTCTTCTCGCTCTTCTCCCTCTCTTTCCTCAGCTCTACCCAACAATCTACTGAAAACACACTCAGAAGCTCATAAAAAGCCCTGCTTAAAGTTGAAATTTGTCAAACTTCCGTTGTTCAAATTCCGTACCGCGGATACCCCGGATTTCTACTTCTATATTACACTGATATTGGTGTTTTTAATTAAATGGCTCTTATATTTATACACTTTCAATGTTCAAGAGCTCTTTGATGTTGTACTCGAAACCCAACTGATCCAACTTCTCTTGCTTTTTGTCCAATCTCTTCAACTGCTCCCTCTTTAGCTTATTCCACTGGTTTAGTTTTCGTTTTTTCTCCGATTTGTTATTATAAATGCTTCTCCATGGCACAACTTCAAACTTCTTGTCGCTTCCTTTAAATAGCTCATCAACACTATGTATTTTGAACGATTTCAACAACTCGTCGTTTATCAAATTACATTTCAAAATATGGTTGAACACCAAGTAATTGTTCATCGTCTCGGCTGCAATCTTAGCCACTTCCAAATCTTCAAACTCAATAAACCCATAATGCTTTGATTTCCCAGTCTTCTTATTACGTGAAACTCTTAATTTTGTTATATCTCCAAATTGTGAAAAATATTTCAAAAGTTCCTTTTCGTAAAAACCATGGGGTAATCTGCCAATATAGATTACTCCCTTTTTACTCTTACTCTTAGTCTTGTCATCTTTGCTTTTATTAGTACTTGTAATCTTCTGTTTTTCGACTTTGTGTTTCTTTTGACCTTCAGCTTCTTCTAAATCCAATTTTGTTGGTTTCTTTGATTTCTCATCTTTCACCTCTAAATCGGAATCCGAGTCTGAGTCTGAGTCTGAAAATCCACCAAATGAATTATCCTCGTCGTCATCACTGCCTTCTGAATCCTTAATCTGATAGTCGCTATCGTCACTAGATTCACTTTCAGAATGACTTTTAGAGAATTTCAATTCATCTTTATTCTGAACTATTTCATCTTCACTCTCACTTTTCCTTTCTTTTTCAATCTGCTTTCCAATCTTCTTTTCAATCTTCTTTTGATTTTCGATTTTTTTAACTGGATTCTTCCTTTGTGATGATCCTTTATTAATTACTTTCCTAGCCGCTTTTCCCATTGCAAATACCAATACTCAATACTTGATTAAATCAATACAGAAAATGAAGAAAATATTTCCACCTCAAAATAAAACTAAAAAAAAAATTTCAAATGAAAATTAAAATTTCAAAAAAGGCGGTGCGTGTGTTCAGCCACTAATTACTGTATTTGTCAAAGATTTCATTTGCCACAATCAGTTTTTAAGACCCGTTTTTTGATTTTCGTTATTTCAATGAAATTAAATAAATTAAATACAATTAAATACAATTAAATACAATTAAATACAATTAAATTGAATTTGAATAACCTTTGAAGAATTCAAATAAAGCCAACCGGTTATTTTCGGTTATACATCACATCGTACTGCTAGCTAATCAATTATTAATAAACCCTGCTACAATGAATTCAATTGGAATTGAGGAATCAAGCGATTCGTCAGATGGATTTGATTCTGAAATGGAAGTATGTTTATCAAAAAGAAAGATACTTGAATGGGAATGAGAATATTTTCATTCTCATTCTCATTCACATTTGGTATTAATTTCGTGTTTGTATTTTTGAATATTGGATACTAATTGAATTTTTTATAATAATACCATCAATAGGATGTTTATATAACAGTCGAGGTGCCTTTAATCAGCGAATCTTTAATCACAACAAGTTTCGAGACGTTTCATCCTGGATCTCGTCCTGTTTTGAATCAATCACAAAATCATAATAGATCTTCATATTCAAAATATGTGAGCAGCCAGTCAGAAAATCTAAAGAAAAAAATACCAACTAAAAGAGACACTAGGAATCGAAAAAACAGTACCGATAAGAATAATGATTACAATGACAGCAATAATGACGATGAAGATGAAAATGATAATGAAATTGGGGATAATGAAATTGAGGATGAAATTGATAATGACAATGATATTGATAATGAAAAATTGAACTCTAAAACTTTACCACCAATAAATTCAATTTCAAACAATTTAGAATATCCATTCAACTTTATAAAGCCTACATCGGTATTACAAATTTCTGGATTAGAAACTGAGCACCCATTATTTAAGATTGACGATAACTTTTTTAGAGGCAGCTGGGAGAATTTAGTTGGAACTGAAGTGTTTGTAAATGATAATGGAGAAAATGTATTGCCTAATGGTGGAGTTAAAAGTCGAATCAAGTTGCAGTTTGGAAGTTTTAAGAAAAAAAAAAAAATTTATGGAAAAAGTGAACATAAAAATGGTGAAAGTAATAAGGATAAGAGTGTGAAGAGTGGTCATAGTAATCATAAGAAAAAGACTAATGATGATGATGATGAAGATTATGAAGAAGAGAATCAGAATGATGACAGAATTGACAAATCCGGGATAAATCATGAAAAGTCGGTAAAGTCATTAGCAAGAGTGAATTTGTATGAAAATGCATTGAATTTAGCAGAAAAGCTTGAAAAGGAAGATATGATACAACATAAGAAAGATAATAAGTAGCAAGAACAATAAGGATAATGATTTTAAAGTGTAAAATATCTACTAGTATTTTTTTTATTTATTTTACTTACTTATATATATAAATATATATGATTATATATAATTATATATAATTGTTATAAAAATTAATAATTAAAAATTAAAATTAGATAGTATGGAATCCAACATAAACATAAATAACGATAACGATAATGATAATAAAACTCAATAAACATAAAAACAGTAAATTAATAAAATGTAATGATTAGAAAAAAACATTAATTAAGAGGGGTAAGGGATTGTAAGATAATAGTCAAATAGTCAACCAATGAAAAAAATAAAATATTGTTTGTTTGTTTGCTTGTTTTATATTTAATGGCTAATACCTTCATTTAAGGCAGTCATTCTGACAATTTGCAGCTCATTATCAAACAAATCATCATCTTGGCCAGTTGGTAAAGGGGAGATTATAGGGTGAGTTGGATACATTGTTTGTTTTTTATTTTTTGGATTCGAAAAGTCGTCAGCTTCTTCGATAGTAGAACTTGAAGATGCACCAGGCATGAAGATGACTTTTGAGTTTGCAGATTTTGCCATGTTTTGCATGGCATCAAGGTATCTAATTTGCATAGCAGGTTTACTAGCCAAGATATCAGCAGCCTTTCTCATTAATTTGGCACTTTCAACTTCGGCTTTAGCAGCAATGATTTTACCTTCACCAATTCTCTTTGCTTCAGCAGCTAAAGACAAAGAATTGGAAACATTTTCGGGTAAGGATAAGTCCTTAATAAGGATGCTCTCAATGTGGACACCCCATTCTTTAGCAGTTTGAGAGATTAGATTTTCCATATCAATGGCAACCAATTCTCTCTTCTCAATGATCTCTTGCAAATTTTTACCACCGACAACTTGTCTTAAGGTTGTTTGAGCTCTTTCATTCAATGCAGAGTTTAAATTGGTAATGGCGAAAGCAGCTCTATGAGGTTGGTTGATATTGTAGTAAACGACAGAGGTTATCAAAACCGTGACATTGTCCTTTGTGATACATTTTTGAGATGGAACCTCGATATACTGGATTTTAACAGAAAGGGAGATCAAATCCTCACTGATGATATTAACTTTGGTTAAGCCAGGGTCGACAATTTTGTACAATTGACCGAATCTGGTGATCAAACCAACATTTCCTTGCTCAATTGACTTGTATGGATTAGAGCAACAACAACAGGGAACCAAACCACAGGCACCAAAAATCTCACCAGCGAATGTTAGAAACTTGCTATAGGTGGAAACAGGAGAAGAAGGCTCCCACTCATTGGCAAAGGACTGTTGGATGTCCTGGGTCTGTAAAACCTGACTGGAATCGGCATAGGTGTTAGGAGGTTTGACAAAGGAGTCCTGGTCGTTGATAATAGCGTTGTTTTGGGAAGATGAATTGGGGTCCATGGTGCAGTTGGTGATGAGGAAAAAAACTCAGAAGCACGAGGAGAGGAGGCCTTATATATCAGATCAGATCATATCGAATCGGGCTATGCAGGACGGAAAAACGTCAATACTGCGTCCGCACAACTGAAACATGCAGCCGGAACCTTCCGATCAAAGCCATTTTCATGGAACCAATAGCACGGAACAGGCGGAAAACTGTCACGGGGTCCAAAGAAGGAAATGGCATGTGCTCAAATCAGCTCAAGCACGTGGCTGCGACGCGAAACACGTTTGGGCTGAGTTTTCGTGATTTGTTCCGTCTCGGTATTAGATGGATGCGATGAACTGGCTGTGCTGCTTGTGCTGACTGTGATTCAACTGTTATGCCCACAATGGCCTCTTTGAAGATCTACAGACGCTCTGAAAATGCCACCATTCCCACCAGAGGCTCTCTTCACTCGGCTGGCTACGATCTCTACTCCTCGCAGGACACTGTTATTCCAGGCAGAGGACAAGCTCTAGTCTCCACCGACATTTCAATGGTTATTCCAATTGGCACCTATGGCAGAGTTGCTCCCAGATCTGGTCTAGCTGTCAAATATGGCATTTCCACTGGCGCTGGTGTTATTGATAGTGATTATCGAGGAGAAGTCAAAGTCATGTTGTTCAACCACAAAGACGAAGCTTTTACTATCAAGAAGGGCGATAGAATTGCCCAATTGATCTTGGAAAAGTATCTTGTAGCCGACATTGTGGAAATTGATCTCTCTCAATTGGATCAAACTCTGAGAGGCGAAGGTGGTTTTGGTTCTACTGGCGTTGGTTTGAAAAATTAAGCGCAATTGTACATCCATATTCTTATTCATACTCATAATCCTCTTCTTAACCAAGTTGGCTCCCATATTTTAACTACTTTACTCATCTATATATATTTACCATCTTTTAATTAGGTTTCAATGCATACATTTTAACAGGATACAACTCTCTTGGTAATCCTCTTTGTCTCTCTTCTGCAATCAATTTCAATCCGGCTTTCTTAAATATTTTCTTAAAACTTTTATCCGACCTTGTAACTGAACTGTCTAAATCATCAAAAGAATCATCAATTCCCTGTATGTTATTCTCTTTTACTATTATGGTCCCGCTATTATCTGATATAATTAATCTTGTTTTACAGTACTTGAGAAATTTAACTAGCTCATCATCGGGTAAATGTCCAAGACACCATTGACACCAAATTATCCAGTATTTTTTCTCATTTTTGACTTTAATCTTGGAAAAATCCTGCATTCCAATACAAAAGATCTCATCAACTTTCCCATTTTTAATCAACTCTTCATTTTCTATCTTCAATTGCTTTACAAATGATGTTATAGGCTCTAATAAATCACAGTAGTCACAAACTTTTGATAACAAATTTTTGGTAACTCTACCAATTCCTGCTCCTATTTCAATCCCATATTTAACTTCACTGGTCTCCATTCGGCTACCCACTTTTTTTAAAAAAATTCTCGACCCAATTATATCAACTTTTGGCACACATGTTTTTTCTCCAAATCCTCCAAGCACTCCATCAACTGTAGCTGGAACATTTGCCCAGTATTCTATAGCATCTTCATAGTTTATCAAACTGTCAGGCTTAACAGGTGTGTTATTATCTCCTGTTATTTCTTCTTCAATTTGTTTCTCTATTTGTTTAGCTGGCATTTTTAATATTTTATAATATAAATATCATCTTTTTGAAATAATATATCATCTTTATAAAACTGTTCCTGATTTGAAAAATCAGGAAAAATAGTTACCCGGAAGTATACTCTAACATCAATTATCATTTATAGATTATCCTAAGCATTCGTTGAATCAAGTTGAGCAATTGACCATTATAGATTATCCTTTACAGCTTATCATTTGTAACTTATAATAAATACTAATAAAAAATAATAATAAAAAATAATAATAAAAAATAATAATAATTAAAGACTAAATGCTGTTTTACTTAATTGATATTAAAAATTATTCAACTAGCATTAGTTATATATGTAGATATGAATGTGAATGTAAATATAAATGTAAATGTAAATGAAAAACTAAAAACTAAAAACTAAAAGCGAAAGATTAAAAAAAGAAAAAGGGAAAAGGATAAAGATTAAATTGTAACTGAAAGATCAAATTGATATTGAGTTTAAATTTGAAATCAATTATAATTTTAACTAATTTTATAGCCTATTCTACTCTATTCTATTCACATAAAATCATCAAAATCATCATAACCATCATCATCATATTTAGAATAAGGCTGAATCAGATCGTTATCCTTTTTAAAACCACCTCCAAGATTAATTTTTCCCTTGACTTTCTTTTTTCCACCACCAACTGAGGCTCCTCCAGTTTTGGCTAGTCTAGCTTGTCTTTCTGCCGCTGTCTTTTCTTTAACAATTACATTAAGTGTCGAAATCACTTTTCGAATGTTCTCAGAACTTAATTCTTTACTTAAATCCCTAATTAGCCCAATTGCTAATTGTGAGGAATAATTCAATGACGACTTCTTAGCTAATGGAGTCAATGTCGATGATAATTGTTTTCTCAACTTCTCATAATCTTGTTTGCTCTCGGGATCAAAAATTGGATGAACAGTTAATGGGGTGTCAACTGTAAGTTCCTGTTGTGGTTTAGAGCTAGAATTCTCAGAAGCCTCCTTTAAAGCTTTAGCTTTGGGATGCTCGTTAATGGCATCGTCGTCATAGTCGTCAGCGACTCCTAAGGTTCCAAACAAATCAGCAGCATTGTTGAGATCCGACTCCAACTGCTTCTCCTTTAATAGCTTCTTACGAGTAGCCTCATCTAAGGTGTCTACCTCCAACAACACTCTGTCATTGGAACTGGTCTTTTTCGAGCCCTTCTTGCCTTTGGCAACAACTGGAGCCTTTGGCTTGGGCTTTGTCCCTTTAATAGCTGGTTTCTTCTCTGTTTTGTCGTCTTCGTCATCGTCCCAGGCAAAGTCGTCCAACAAAGGCTCGTCCAAGTCGTCCTCCCAGCTGTTGATGATGGTAGTCTTGGTCTTTGCAGGTGTCACAGAAAAGTCGTCGTCGTCCCAATTCATTCTCGTTGGCGCTTCTTCTGCTCTGTCTCTGGTGGTTAAACAATGCTCTCCATCCCAGCTTTTATATACACCTTCCTATCTCGCTGAAATTTTTGCACCCTCCCGCTCCGTGCGTTTTTGAAACGGAGCCGCTTTACGCGTCTCACCTGAGCTGCTGGAGCTTCTCGTCTCTCAAGAAGCCTCTTTTCTGTTCTGCTGCCTCTGCTGCCTCAGCTTGATTTCTAGCACTACCAACGGACGCTTCTTTTTTCAATGACTCAGAGAGAATCTCAAGGCTTCTGGATGCAGCAGTTCCACGACTCTGCTACCAGCCAGCAGCTATCCAGCATGAACGATCTCATCCAAAACTCTCGAAAGGTTCTGGCTCAAGACATCGATGCTGCTTCTTTGGAAAACACTTTGGTTTCCAACATCGATGGCAATTTGGGGGCTACTCTAAGTCCCAGCTTGGGTTCTGCTCTATCTGGAAACCTTTCATCCAATTTGGCTTCGAATTTATCCAATAATCTATCGAGGTCCTTATCGTCTGGTTTATCTTCCAGCCTTGACAACATTGACACCAATCTACATTCAAATCTTGATACTAATCTAGACAACATCAACCAAAACATTTGCCATAATTTAGATCATGAACATCAAAATTTAATAACTTCAAACGAAAATACTAGCAGGAATACAAATGGAATTACAAGCAATGGAAATGGCAATCATAATGGAAATGGCAATAATAATGCCATTTCCAATACCAATTCTAATCCCAATTCAAACTCAAACAACCTCTCCAACTCTGTTTCCAATTTGGATTCTAATAAAAATAGCTTAAGTCAGAATCAGAATCAGAATCAAAACCATAACCAAAATCAAAATAATAATCAAAACAATAATAACCCGAATCAGGATCATAACCTATTGATACCACATCTAATTAAATCTCATTCAAATCGCGAAAAGATCTTTAATAGTAACAACACTAATAATAATAATAATAATAATAATAATAATAATAATAATAACACCAATAATAATAACAACAACAACTCTATAAATAATGTAAGAAGAAATAATACAAATAATACTTCCACAAATAAAATTGCTACTATTAATTCAAACGTAATTTCTAATCATAACCAGAATCATAATCACAATCATAATAATGATAATTCTAATACTCTTAGCAACACTATTAATAATACTATCAACAACACTCTTAATAACACTCTTAGCAACGCTCTCAATAACACCCTCAATGAATCAGTTGATCAAAACTCTCTAATTAAAACTGGAGAAAAAGCGAGATTTATCTGGTCAAAAGAACGTAGAAACTTGTTCGCTAAAAAATTTCTATCAATTATAGAAAAAATCCCTGATTATGACATCAACAATCTATATTTAAAAAAAACTGAGTATAACGAACTAGGCACTTTTGTCAATTCAAATACTCCCAATCAAATTCCTGTTACAAATTCTCAATTGAAAAATTTCAAAGACGAAATTAAAAGAAAGATCTTTAAATATATTTTAATTAAAAATATTAACAAAATATCAAAATACTCAAATATCCAATGGGACAACGATTTAAAAGTTCCAATTTTAACCAGCACTCAATGGTATGAAATCTCAAATGGCGATAAAAATATATTAAGATTAAAGGGCAAAGATCTAAATTATCTATATATATTGTCCAGTTTTTTCGAAAAAAAATTAATCGAAGAAAATGATGGAAAGGACTTAATCTCGACTGACTTTTTCAATAAAAAAAGAAAACAAAATAACCAGTCAATATTGAAAAAACCAAGAAAATTTAGGAGAAGCTCAGTTTCATTAAAATCTATAACGCTTGATGATGATTATGATAATAATCCGAGTCAACATCATATGATTGGTAACGGTAACGAAAATGATAATGATAACGAAGAGGAAGAGGAAAATGAAAACGAAAACGAAAACGAAAACGAAAACGAAAACGAAAATGAAGATACAGATGATCCTAATGACCATAATAACAATCCTAATCGTAATATCAACAATAACCTTACAGCAAGTAATGGTTCAAATAACACGCTTTCTAACAACAACAGCAACAATAATAATAATAATAATAATAATAATAACCCCTTTTTGTCCATTGATTTGCCTAATAACTATGAAACAAACTCATTTTCTAATAATACAACAATGCCAAACTCCTCGTCTACTCCAAAATCATTACTAAAACATCTTTCTATCACTCGTAATAATACTAATAGTAATATCAATAATACAAATGGAAGTTTGAAATCAATAAATAACAATACAATTGAGGAAATTTTTAAATACTTTGAGAATAAAAGCAAAAAACTTAGTATTGAGAAAATTTATTCAAAATTTAATGAATTAATTGAACTAAAATTAATCTCGGATAATATCATAATATATATCATCAACAATATTGATGAGTCCAAAATCATTAAACAATTTAACAACAAAATTGTATTGAACAACAGAACATTAAGTAAAATTATATTAAATTTTTATAATAAACATAAGAGCCAAAACGATAACAATCAAGACAGTCAGATAAAGAATAGCAATAACACTAAAGATAACAACGACAATATTATTGAAAATGAGAACATTTCATTGGATAATAATTATAACAATAATATCGGTATCGATAATGACAATGGTATTCAGTTTATTAGATCAGCAAACGACAGTGATAGAAATACTGGCTTGAAAAACATTGCCGGGATTGAGCGTAGCATGGATAGGAAAACCAAGAATACAAACCACAATAGCTATAATAATAATGCTATATTGTTTGCCAATGGAAATTTGGATGGCAGTGATACCAATAGCAACAGAACCAACGGTCTCGACGTGGATGTGGATGTGAACATGGATGAGGACAGTGTTGGCGTAGGTGTGAATGGTCGCTGAGATGGGCTGTAGTTTGTAATGGTTATAATGAATTAAGTGTTTTTTTCTTTGTTAAAATGGCTTTTTGTGCTTTATTATTTTGTATGTTTTCTGTTTAAGATAGATTTGGGTGTTGCCTAAAAGAGAAGCCCACAAACATGATCAGACGCAACACCATGTGCTGTCAACTGACACATACATATGTGTGCACTATCTATGCACATCCAGCATATATCTGCATATTAACCACGTGATAAATCACGCGATAGATTTTTCTGTAATTTTTGGAATTTGCTTTTTTGCAAGTTGAAAAATTTCCAAATTTTGTATTTTGCCGTTAAGCGTTGAGAAATCAGATTGATGCTTAGCACTTGAGAGAAGTTCTGTTTATCTGTTCTTTACTCACACTCAGCTATTCCTGTCCTTTCTGTCTAAAAATGAGCAACTGTATGTTAGTATCTTCTATTGCGATGTGTTTCCTCTTCTCTGCCTGTTCTCCTGCGTTCTAACATCTCATCTGTTTGCCCTTTTGGTTTCTTACTATCTTATAGTTCGTCTACTTGACTTAGCTAAACCCTTTTTACCAATCCTTCCTGAAGTGGAACAGCCAATTCAAAGGATATCCTTTGATGACAAGATTTTGTATTCTATTGGGCTAGCTCTCTTCTATATTGTTGCTCAATTACCCATATTCGGAGTCTTTCAATCTTCTCCTGATCCCTTTTTTCAATATAGACCAGTTTTTGCATCTGAATATGCCACTTTATTAGAGTTTGGTGTCTTACCAATATTAACTTCAGGTTTTATCTTTCAACTTGCTGCTGGTTTGAAGCTTATCAAAATCAATTTCAGTATAAGAAAAGATCGTGAATATTTTCAATCCTTACAAAAAATCTTTGCTATCTTGATAAGCGCAATTTATTCATTTTCTTTGGTTTTTATTTGCAACTATTATAATCCAATTGATTTTAATCAGGTTATAAATTCCAATTTGGATTACTCCATTGGTTCTTTTACTATTTCAACTTTATCAAACCAGTTTTTAATCTTTTTCCAGTTATTTGCTGCAAACATTTTCATCATTTTAATTACTGAATTATTAGATAAAGAATATGGTTTTATTTCTGGTTCGTTATTTTTCATTACAATTAATTACGCTCCAAATTTGGTTCAAGACATTATTGGTTTCAATTCTGTCAAGACCTCAAAAGGTTGGGAATCCTTTGGTTCTATTTTCCAATTATTAAAAATATTCAAAAATTATTTCTCTCATCTTTTTTCATCAACTAGCAATACTGATGACGTTACCGAACCAGCAGGTTTCTCATTATCAAGTGAATTGATTTACTTGTTTCAAAGATCAAGTCTAACCAATCTTTCTCAAATTTACCTTTTAATCATATCTTTTTTTGTGCTCTTTTATCTTCAATCAATCAAATATGAGATTCCAATCAAATCTACAAGAGTTAGATCAATGTCTCAAACTTATCCAATTAAATTTTTATATTGTGGTGCTTTGCCTGTTTTATTTACCTGGACTATTTATTACAATTTATCCATTATTAATTTTATCTTGAATAAATTTTTCACTGAAAACTCTTTTGGTCAATCTTTAGTCGTCTCTTTATCTCCATTTTTCAAAAAACTCTTATTCGGTCAATACACTTCTGATTTATCAATTTATGGTACAACTGGTATTTACAAAAGCTTTGGTAAGGCTTATTTAACCAGTGGCTTAGTCTCTTTTTTTCAACCACCAGTTTTCATTTCATCAATTTTATCTAACCCTTTACAATTTTTAAGTTTTATTTTTTTTTCTTTATTATCATCATCTTTTTTCGCCTTAACATGGTACAAGATTTCTGGATCATCACCAAAAGATGTTGCTAGCTTTTTCACTAAACAATCAATTTCCATTTTAGGTAAAAGAGAAGTTAACTTGGCTAAGCATTTGGATAAATTTATTCCTTATGCAAGTGCAATGGGCGCATTTGCCCTCTCTTCGGTTTCAATAATTTCTGAAATTTTGGGATCAAAGGGTAAAGTAACTGGGTTGATTGTTGCTCTTTCTGTTACTTTTGGATTTTTAGAAGAGTTTATGACTGAATTTCAACAATACGGTGGTAGTTCTCAACTTTATAATACTATGATGAGTGGTGGTAATTTACCAACAGTTCCAGGAATGTAAACTATTTGAAAACAATTATTAAATCATAAGATTATTATAAAATAATCATCATCAAAAAAAAAATAAAAAATAAAGACTGTTATTCAATGAAAATTAATCAATATTAAAAAATAAAATAAAATAAAATAAAATAAAATAAAATAAAGTGAAAAGTGAGTTTATGTTATGTTCATTTTTAGTTTGATTTCCTTTTTTTTTTATTTTCATTATTTTCATTATTTTCATTTTATTTCTCAAGATACTGTTATTAAAATTTTCAATTATATAAACTTTTTTACTTTTTCTCTTTTATAGCTTTTATTTTTATAAAAACTTTTGTTATTAATTACTAATCCTTAATTAAGATTAATCTGTATTAGACATTTTATACATTTGTTTAGAGTTTCATTCATTCATTCATTCAGTTATTTATCATTCATCTTTTGTACTAAATAAAGTAAAATAAAACTTTGATTTATTAATGAAAAGCTATTTATAAGAGAGAATTAAACAAGAATTGGTGAAAAAAAGAAATGCCTAGTATAAGAAACGATCTAAATAAGAGGAAAAAAAAGGTGGATTAGGAATTAAGAACCCATGAGAACATGAAAACATGGAATTATGAAAATATGAAAATATGAAAATATGAAAATATGAAAAGATAAAAAGATAAAAAGATAAAAAGATAAAAAGATGAAAAGATGAAAAGATAAAAATGATGAATTGAAATGATGCTGATTACGGAATATTTAAATTGTAATTATTATTATAATTGTTATAATTATTTGAGAATAAATTCACCTCTTGAAAATGATACTCCAATTCTTTTAGGATCAAGAAGTGAGGAAAACATGAATTGAGTTTTATTACTATTATACTTATAACCAAAGATGAAGGATTCAGTTGAATGGCAATATAGTATTGTATTCCAAACGATTTTTTTCGATTTTAAAGAGAATTTTCTTATGTATGATATTACACCAACGTAAATAATCTTGTCTTGATTTGTATTAGAATTTGCATTTGCATTTGCATTTTTATCTGCATTGGTGTTTTTATTTTGGTAATTGAAAGACTTTAAATGAATTCTCTTTGAGGCCTTTACGATTGAATCCTGTAATAATTTAGACAAATCAAGGTCGTCTTCATCATTTGAAACAAGTAAATTTTCCAAGATATAGGTCGAAGCAAAACGAGCCAAATCCATTTCAATGATGTCCTCGCCATTACCTGAGCACATTGTTGATATTTCGTAGTAAAACTCCTTCTTACGACTGCTGGATAATATTTCGTAAAGTGGTAGTTCCAAGGACGTGAGATTGAACAAGCTGGGGCCAATTAGACCAGCACAGCCAATTCTTTGGTCAGACTTGAAGAAGTTCCCGCCAGAGGAGACCCCATGAGAGAGACTGTTTTTGCTGTCGTTGATGAGTATGCCTATGGTGTCGTTGATGTTGTTGTTGACGTTGTTATCCTTGATTATGGGCTCGTTCTTCAAGAAACGATCCTCGTTCTGGCGATAGAAGTTGATGGAGTTGGAGGAGAGCAAGCTGATGTTGTTGCAGTAGCCATCATTCAACAAGTAGTCGTCGCTGTCGCTGGGTCTGTCCCTGTTGATGTTGAAGTAGTCAAAGTGGTTGTCAGCAAAGACACAGGGCTTGGTGATGCCAGCACAGAACTGGCCCACATCGATCTCCTTGAGAAGAAGGAAATTGAGGCAGCGAGTGATGGGGTACTTGAAGTTCTGGATGTTGCTCAAGGCGAAGGAGACGAACTTCTGGCTGGCGTGGTCCTTGAGCAAAACACAGGCGTCGTTCACAATTTTGCCGTTGTAGGACAACGAGGAGCCATAGGAAGCATTGGTTAGTTTCGAGGCCTCAACCAACTTGGAGGTGTTGGAAAGGGCCTTGGTGGTGGAGGAAAGGTCGCTGCTGATGAGGTCGCTCAAGCCCTGGGAGCAGGCCCTGGAGACCAACGCCTTGAAGTCTGGGAGATGGCGTTTCTGGTGGTTGCCAGCACCCACATGGACCAATACCAACAAATCCATTGCTAGAGCGAAGAGAGAGAAGAAGAAGCACTAGAGAAGAGACGAAAGAGTTGTATATCGAGTTCCGTTTTGGGCCGATGCCCCTATCAGTGCTCTTTCTTTTGCTTCTCTTTTTCTTGCTCGCTCTCCAGCTTCCCAGATTCTGATTCATCTGCCTGCAACAGCCCACAATGGAAAAACCAGCTTTGATAACCATTCCCTTGAAGGACTCAGGCTCCTTGGACTGGGCAACGCCTTTGCGAAGATACATCAGAGCCATTTATGGCAGCTTCAACGACCTCACTGAAGAGACCTCGTTGATCAGCAAGTTTAGAGACGATGCTGTGTGCTCACACTCTCCCAACCAGACCAGCTTGAACTGCTACTACAAATACTATGCTCAATTGGAATTGATGGACTTGCGATTTCCCATCAAGGAAAATGGCGTCAATGTCAAGTTTCTTTGGCACGATGCCTTTGATAAATCTTCGAAGATAACCCAACATTCTGTCGCCTTTGAAAAGGCCTCTATTTTGTTCAATATTGCCTCAATTTTATCTCAGATTGGCTACCACTCATACAAAGATGATAACAACGATCATTTTGATCAATCAAGTGATATCACCAATATGAAAAAGGCACTAGTTAATTTTCAAAGTGCTGCTGGGATCTTTCAGTTTATTTCAGAAAACTTTCTTCATGCTCCAAGCAACGACATAAATCAATCAACTGTCAAGTTTTTAATGAAGCTAATGTTGTCCCAGTCTCAGGAAATCTTTGTTATTAATCTCATACAATCCAACAACCAGAATTATTCATTATTAGCCAAATTAGTTAAATCGACTTCAAATTTCTACAAGACTTCATTTGATTTACTTGACTCGTTAGAAAATGAGCAAAACTGGTATTTTAATTATAAAAACTGGTCGAATATTTTAAACATAAAGTATCTTTATTACAAAGCAATCTCCAACTACTACATCTCTTTGCAATATAAAAATTCTTCTAAAATTGGGTTGTCAATCTCTCACTTAAGACTATCTATTGACTATTTAAATGACTGCTTAAAATTGCCACTAATGGTTTCAACAAATTCAGTCAAGCACAATACAGACTTTAAGGATTTTAAAGACAATTTTATCAAACCGAATATTAAGAAACATTCTGACGAGTTGTTAGAGTTGGAAAAAGATAATGAATTTGTTTATAATAATATCATTCCCAAAAGGGAGGAACTCTTTGATATCAAGTCGATTGATGCCGTTAAAATTATCACAATTGAGAGTCAATTGGAGAAATTTACCGAGCAAAATGAGAAACTCGATCCAAATATCAATAAGGATTTATTTGAAAAGATTATCCCAGTCAAAATTCACGAATTGAATAGTTTATATTCTGAAGAAAAAGCTAAAAAATTAAGGAATATTGACGAGGAAATCCAAATTTCAAATGAAGAAATGGATTCGTTATTAGAGTTTTTAAAACTACCTAAACAATTGGTTGAGCTCAAGTCATTTATTATAAATGAAAATCGAAGCAATAACAATAATAAAAACCAAGAATTTGAAGAGTTTTACCAATCAAAGGTTATTCCATTATCAATTGAGATTTCAAATAATTTTCCAATAAACCAGTTATCGATTAATAATATAAAGGAAAATCGAAGCGAGATTTTTAAAATGGTTAAAGACAGTGAAGAGTTGATTAAAAAAGAGGAAAAAGAGTTTAATTTAAACAAATTAAAGTACCCTAACGAATGGGGGAATTATCAACAGGAATCTTCATTAATCAATTCGCAATTCAATAAAGAGATTATTACAATCAAGAAATCATTAATTGAGTCAAGTAATTCTGACGAAGAATTATTCAAGATATATAACGAGATTGAGAATATTTATAAGATTTTTTCAAAAGGACCATTACAAAACAATGAGTTAAGAATTGTTTTCTCCAGCTGTAATAATAATAATAATAATAATAATAATAATAGTAGTAGTAGTAGTAGTAATAACAATAACAATAACAATAACACTGTATCGCTATTGGATTTAGATGATTCATCAAAGGATCAAGCGACTAAGATTATTAAAAACCTTGAAGATAGTTTAAGTATATTGAATAATTTGAGAAAACAAAAGAGTATATTTTATGAGCAGATGAAGGATGCTATTCATGAGGATGATATTTCAAATGTTTTGATATTGAATAAGAATTTGTCTGAGGAACAACTAAAGAATACTATTTTCATTCAAGAATTGGAGAAATTTGAACCACATGAGAATCGAATCGAGTTGACAATTCATAAACAGAGCACGATTTTGCCTATAATTTCCAAGAATTGGAATGAGTTGAATGGTAATAATTCATACATAAAAGAGATTCGAGAAAAGGTGAATAAGATGAAATTAGACAGTCAAATATTTGAGAAATTATTTAGACAATTTGAGGTAAATTTCAACAAATATAAAGGTAATTATCTCAAAGGAAATGAATTTTATTTGAACTTGGTTAAATATTTTAAAGTTGTTGAGGATAACATCAAAGAATTTGTCAAGGTCAGACATGATGAAAGTGTTAGAATAAGTAATAAGTTGAATCCAAGAAATGATAGCTATTGCGCGAGTGCAGATTATTTAGCAAATAGACTTCAAAGATTGGGTTTTGGAAATAACAACAACAATAGTAATAGTAATTCTGGAACAGAGTTATATTCAGCAACACCAAAAGTGCCAGAAAAGCCATTGAATCCATATCAACGACCCACAAGACCACCAGCTTCATCTATATCTCAAGGACCTGGTGGATTATATAGCGGGAATTTTGGAAATGCAGGATTCAATTCTACTCTAGGTGCAAGATCAAGCTCAAATTTAAACCAAGATTACAATAGAGCACCATCCTTACCCCCAAAGAGCCAAAGCCTGTTCAATAACTTGCCATCAGGCATATCGTCGTTATCGTATCCAAATGCACAAGCTCCAGTGGCACCAGGACACTACCCTGGGCCCCAACCTCCACCCAAGGTGCCACCACCAACATATGGCAGCCAACAACAAGAAAAGGAACAGCAAGATGGCATTGGCATCTACAACACTCCCTCGAGCTTTGATCCATCAATGTACTCAAGCTTCAGCAACTCGAGCCCCCAGAGCCAGAACAGCTCACGCCCAGGCCAGTACTCGAAGTACTACTGAGAAAATGTAGCTACATAGTGCAATAAACAGGCAGCATTTTGTGCTTCTTTCGCCTTTTGTGCAGCAAAGACAGCTGTCTGAACCTCTCCAGACCCACAGACCCACAGTATACAGCGTGCACAAACGCTCAAACAGTCGCTGTAATGGCATTTGGCGGAAGTGTTAGCGCTTTCTGTTCTTCAGCCTGGCGCTGCTCGGCTGAGCATGTCCGGTTCGATCCCTGTGGAAGGCATGTTGGACAGTCTGAGTAATCGGCTGTGCACGTGCTGACTGCAAGCCCGTGACGGGACCACTGGAGGGAAGCAATTCAGCACAGTGAGTCACACATAGGGAGGCCCACCGGGACGCATCTCGCCGGCTCAAAGTGCCATGTTGCGGAACCTGCTTCCACGACTTCTTTTTTTGCTGTTTATGCTGCCAAAGGCAAGAAGACTGGTGGCGATATCTGGATACTTTGCGTTGGTTATGATGGTTTTGTCGACTCTAGGGATGCAAATGACTACTGTTGAGGGGTATGGTGTGTATTACAATGATATGTGTATATGGTCAATGTTGGTGATTATCTGCCTATGTTGCTGCAACTCAGCTGGTAATTTGCATTAGTGAGCCATTGCTATGCTCGCTGGCTAGTAATTGGTCTAAACTCGGTTATGGATCAAAAGATCCAGCGTAATTGCATTTTTAGAAGCTCAATTTTGATTGAATTTGGTTTTGGTTTGTTTTTTTCCTCACAAAAATAAAGATGCTTTTATCATCCAAGCTTAATTTTTCAAAGACTCAGGGAATATTAATCCAGAATTCAAACCGACATTATCCAGAGATTAAAAGTGAGTAAATAGGAAAAAATTAAAAGAATTTCCTAATTTCTGAATTTAAGATAAAGAAATAAAAAGAATAAATCCTTTACGAGGGTTTGAAATTAAAAGAAACCCAGATATTATTCTCATTTATTTCAATGATATTAAGTCATACATTATTATGAAATAAATAGCTATCAACTTTTGACTCCTTTTTTCCTTTTCTATTTTATTGAAAATCAAACATTAACCCAAAATTAACAAAAGATTAATTAAAATTTTATAAATTTAACAAATTTAAAGTAAAGAATTTAAATTTTCTTTTATTTAACAACAGAATTACTTATTGACAGATTTTCTTCATAATATTTATGCTTTTTGAATTCTCAAATTTAAAAAATTTAAATTCAGTTAATTAATTAATTAATTAATTAATTAATTAATAAATTCATTTGTCAAGGTGTTCATTTTTTCTATCTTATGTGTCTTTTTTTTTTTATTTTATTTTATCTCATTTTTTTATTTAATATTTATTAATTACATTAAACACTCAGAATCAACTGCAACTATCGCTTTTTGAATTTGATCAAGATCAATAATAAGTCTTTCATTTTGTTCTATCCCATCTTACTATCTCATACCACATCATATTACTTGAATGTTTTAAATCTCATACGATTATCATATTCTATTTAATTTTCACTCTTTTTTTTTCATTTAAATTCTCATCCATCCTTCTTTTATCTAATAATTCCCTATGTGTATATTATTTCTCATCTTTTGCTGTACGGTATTTGTCTATATCCTCATATCTTTATAATCTCATATTTTATATCTCTCTACATCCCCATAATTCCATATCTCCTATCTTGTTACTTTAAATTATTTTACCCTCATATTTCCCTTATTGTTTAACTTGTAACTTTTAGCCTATAATAAAATAAAATTGGTCATCAAATCTTCTTCTTGGCCTCTAAATTTTACATCTCTAATTATATCATCAATCACTATATATTATCAATATCAACCATCCTAACCATCTTAATCATCAACCTATTATCATCCATACCAATTTGGGTTTATTTTTTTTTGTCTTTGCTCTTTTCTTCTCTCTTTTTTTTTATGGTTTTCTTCTTGCTTTTATTTTTTTTTTTTTAATTATTTTTTTTTGTTTCAGCGAGGCTTTTATATATTTTGGTTTTGCTCCTCTTGTTTGCTTCTTTGTTATCCACTAGTAATTTCAACGTTATGTTAAATAAAGATTTTCAAACTTCGTTTTTTACAAACTTTTTGACCTAGACCTTGATTATGATTATTTCTACCATTTCAAAATCCCTTTTACCAAAATTATAATTGCCTTGTCAAAATATACGGAATTGCGAATTTCTTGCTCTGATTCAATTTTCTCTGTCTTTGCTGATCGAACTCACATTCACCTCCATACTCATTTTCTCTTTTCACTTTTTTCCTCTACTTCACCTCTGTTCGGCTAATTAAGTAACTGCTTACAAATACGCACTTTGTGCATTTAACGCGTATATATGCTGTGTTGTGCATATTCAAATGTGTGCTTATGTGTGTTCTGCGTGAAAATGTGCACACACAATTTCAGTTCCAACAATATGGGTCTCAAAATTCTTGTCTCTGATTGGCCACCGCTCATTTTTGTTTAATATCTTTCATTTTGCCCCAATAAAACGTCGTTTTTTTTTTCATCGCCTTTTCTAAATAGTTTCAACTGTTCTTGTTTTCTCTCACTTGACACATTTTCTTGACATATTCGTTGGGATTTTTCTATTGTTTGTTTGCTTTTTCTGGTGCTGTTTGTTTTTTTTGTCCAATTCCCAAAATGCTTTTGATTATGCTGTTACCATTAAACCTTTTTCAAACGATACTACATGCTCATTTCAAAAACCTTGGTAGCATAATTACATCAATAATATCTGATGTCTTCAAATATCATCAAATGCTAGCCTCACATTTTAAATATTGGTAATTTATATATATTTTCTAGCTACTAACTTACCAGAAAAATTAAAATAAGTAAACAAAGACAAATTCCTCTTATCTACAATCTTATCATTCTTTATTGAAATAATTGTATCAATATTATTTTTTTTGTTTCAAAATTTATTTTTAATCTTTCTTCTTTTTCATTCAAATTTTTGGTATTTTGGTATTTTTATAATTTTGTAGTTTTTTTGTTTTTTTTACTTTTTTTTTTGGCTTTCTTTTGTATTGGGTTTTTTTTATTTTGTTCTTTCTTTTTCTATTTTGCTGATGTCGTTTTTATCTTTATATCTTCGATTTCAGTTTTAACTTTGTTTTGTAAAGTATCATCAATAATTATTTCTTAAAGTTTTTTCTCCATTTTGTCATATAGAAAACTTATCCTGATTTTATTTCCCTTTTGAATTACACAATTCAGCCATTTTAAATTCTTTTCCATTTTACATGCCTTTATTTTTAATCACAATTTATAAATTATGACTTACAACTCTTAACATGAAAAAAAAAAATCTAAAGCTAAATCTCCTTAAAAGCTGATAACCAATTAGCAAATAAATATTTATTAATTCAAATACAATCAAACAAACACAAAAAGTATATTTCTATATGAATTACATGAGAGATTGAACTATTATATCAAATAATTACATAATTTATGAATATCTGTTTGTTTTCTTATTAATATTACCAAGTCGATCAACTCTATTAGATAATAAAATTTTGAATGTTGATAGTGGTTCAAATTATTTGAACATTCATGATATAATAAAAGTTATTGACTTTGCTAATCAAATTATTATTATTAATGGGTTTTTGAAATTGATAATCAATATAATTATTTAGATTAATAAGCGAAATTTCAGTGAACACTATAACAAAGATAGCAATTTCACAATAGAACACTACATATATACTGTTATATTGTGATAAGAATATTAAACAGTTTTCCAAAATTTTCAGGATTTAAATATATTATTTTTTTTTGCTTGTTTTTTTTTTTTACTTTCATTTTCTTCGTTCCTTTTATAAGATCCATAAGTTACTAAATTCACTTTATTATTTCATTATTATCTTTTTCGAGTAAAAACCAAACACCCGAAATAAAGAAACAAAACTAACAAAAATGTAGAGGTATTATTGAAAATAATAAAATAAACTCCTTTTGCATTTATGCATAGTGTCTCAAACGTAAAAAGCATTTCCAACTTAATATCAAAGCTAAAACTAATCTAATTTCCAAGTTGACTGCAACTTAAACGAACAAATATAATATACTTTTTATTTATTTTATTCAGTTAATTACAAAATATTATCTCAACTTTAATGTTCATTCAATGAAATTAACAGCTATGATTAAAAAAGAAAACCAACATAAAAATGAGAACAAAAACACAATAATTTTCTGATTTTTTTATTTTCATTAATCTTTTATTAATATATTTTTTTCTTCTTCTTTATTTCTAATTTCATTTTAATTTCCAGTTTCATTTCTTTTCACTTCCCTTTCATCCTCTTCTCTTTTTTATTTTCTTCCTTTGAATTAAAAAGAATTTCAAGTGTCTTAATTATTATCAATTACCATGATAAAATAAATAATAAATAATAAATAATAAATAATAAATGATAAATGCAAATGGGATCATTTGTTTGTCATTACGAATTTCTTTTTGTTTGCTCATTTGCATCGATCTTTAATTCCAACTTATATCCCAAGCTGATAGATTTTTACTTGGTTCTCGTCAAAACGATTGGAATAATTGGAATGATTGGAACAATGGAAATAGTGGGAATAATTAAATGCAATAATTATAATTATTATACCAATTATCACAACCACCATGATACAAGTTTGATTGGTACTGTTATTCCAAATTCCATAAATAGGGCTGCTCGACTATTTCATTCAATTTCATATAAAATTTTAGGTGATTTGGCAATGTAATAATATTAATTTACAAATTATTGGGTATTCCTACTGGCCAGCATCATCAATTTTCTTTAAATTGATGATTTTGTTTTTTAATGTGAGACTGTCCTGTCAAAATTTGATAACTGAAACAAATTTATACCAAAGAATAATATGTCAAAAGATGATTGAAATTTGAAACTGTCAAATTTTTCTTTAGTATGGTTCATATATTCCTCTTTCTTCGTTTGCTATTATTGACAGTAAATATGTATTTTTTGCCTTTCTTTTCTTTTTTTTTTCTTTTCCATTTAGTTTTTTTTTTTCATCATCTTTTGAATATCTTTTTGAGCAAAACCATTCCAAAATTTCAAAAAATTCTGGAAAACTGGAAACGTAGTTACAAATTGAATCTCAATCTCGAAAACAGCTCTTTTGTTGGAAAAAGAAGTCAGATTCAAGATTGAAATGCTGGAAACTATTGAGTAAACTGTACACAAAACCTAACAAATATACAAATAGTTGAATTATTTGCAAATTAGACAATTTCATTTTTAATTTGGATTTGAACATCAATTTCAAAAGAAAAAGTCTTCTTTTTGACTCGTCTTCACTTATCTATTAACAAAACTATGGTAGAAGAGATTCTTAAAACTTAATCAAACTCTATTGCAGCCTGAATTTCTTACATTTGAAAATAAAAAGCAAATGGAAGTAAGGCAATATTTGAAAGAAACAGAAAAGAATAAAAAAAGAATAAAATGAATAATATAGATTCTGCCTCACACCACCAAGATGATCTCTTATTAAGCAGCATTACTTCAATGATGATGATTTGTGAATCACAAACCATGAAGTGTATCTGTATGTGTCGATGGTGGGATTTGGCTCATTTAATACTGGCTCAGCTTCAGGTTAAAGATTCTTCTCTTCGTTTCATCTGTAGCTGAACAGTTGGAGCTGGGAACTAGAGTGTTTTCTTTGATAAAATCCAATTAAAACCCAAACCAAATCAAAATCGAGATTTCTCTAATTTTTTGCCTTGTTTGCTAATTGCTGTTGCATAGAACCTGTTCTACTGTGAAATTAGTCTTTTATGGCACCATGTAACAGTGAAGTAATAACAAACCAGTAACTGAAGCACAGAAGTGTTGAAGCAACGAAACATTGGAGCATTGAAGTAGTGAAGTAGTGAAGCAGTGAAGCAGTGAAGCAGTGTGCTAAGTGGGTGGGTTCTATTTTGACTGGAGTCCCAATTAACTTAAATTTGGGGTTTTTTGAGAGGAAATTGTTGTGATAAGCTAAACTTTTTGCGCTAGAATCACTTTATGTATGTAATGTGGATTATTTCAAGTTTTAAAATTGTAGATTATTATCTAGCTAAAACCCATTAACCCACGATGATCGTGTTAATTTGCAAGTTTTATCCTTAACACAGTATCTGGGTGGGAATTTCTTGCTGCATTTGTTGCCAATGAAAACATCATACCAATCTTTTCGCATAGCATTTGCTTCTCTCTGGGCCAGACTGCTTTCAAGAGTTGACATAAAGTTGAGAATTCAGCAATGGCCATGAGAGCAGTGGGAGCAATGAGATGGTTTTCAATCAAACCAAAAATAAAAATATGCTCAGCGAACTTGTTACGAATGTTGAATGAATGCTTGGTGAGTATTTAGTGAATGCCAGCCAAAACCTGGTAAATAATGCAAGATATTAAATACTCCAGCTGGATTTCAGGTTACGATAGGCTGCAAAACTACGTTGATCAAAACAATTTTCTAATTACTCTTAATTATTCTTAATAACTAAGACCAGATGGCTCAATTGCTGAACCTCCCAGGTTTTTTTATGGAAGAAAACTGGTGGAAAATGTAATGATCTAACCCATTACAAATTGCAAAGGGGAATTTATGAAATCAAACAGAAAGTTTAATGGAGGTGATAGTTTTGCAAGTGTTTTGAATCTTAATTAGACAATTCCAAACTTCTTCAGTATCTTCTCATTCAACAACTTGGTTCTTCCAGCTTCTGGGATCTTGAGCTGGATCCTCAACTTGCTGCTAAATAATATAATAAACTTAGTGTTTGTTTACTGCATACTTCAGTTCTACTTTACGTTCGAAAACAGGTCTGTAATATCAGTTCTAAGATCAATTTGAGATCTTCCAAAGCCAAATGGGCTGTTTGGCCAATAGCACATCGTTCTTGTCAAGAATTGCATTTCATTGATATTTAGCAAATTGGTGCAATTTTTGAGTTGATTTTGAAATGTTTTAGGTTTGCAAACTAAGAAAGCATACTTGTGGAACTCTAAAGATGATTTGTTTCTTATTCTCTTTCATAAAACTTATGATAACATAAAAATTGAAATAATCTATTGTATAGTTTGGTTTTGCATTTCTTAAGCAGAAACTTATTTTTCCAGTTAAAATTTTTATTTTATTTATTTTAATTTAATTTTAATATTTTTTTTTTTCATTTTAGTAAATTTAATCTTTATTTTGCAAATTAGCCCTGAATTTTAACTGATATCTTCTAAATCTATTTATTATGGAAATGCTATAAATATGAGATATTTCCTTAATCTTCTGAATGGACAATTTAAACTCCAAATATATTTTGGCTGTCTTCAACTATTATTTCTCTTTATGCTTCTATTACTCTACTGAACCTAATTATCCCAAACCTATCAGACAAAAGCCCAGCAATAATACCAACCAATAATACCAATCAATAATACCAATCATTAATACCTGGAACTGCCTCTGCTTTCTTTCACTCCATATTCTATTTTATCAAGTCATTTACAACCATAATTGAATAATGAAGAAAATGGCCACTACACAAACAGCTATTTTACGAATCATTGAAAACAACATCAAAGAGATGGAACGAAACGCTGAAGAAATGTCAGGTATCTTGAACAACCTTAGAGGATGCATCGAGGATGATTCAGAGATGGCCCAGCTTATAATCTCGCAGTTGCAAGAGAAGTTCAGCTATGCAACTGATATCTACCAAAGATTTGTTGGTGTAACCAGAACGATTTTCGAAAGAACTCTTTCAATTGAAGTCAAACAGCATGTGTGGCTTCTTAATTCTAGAGGTGAACAAGTGCAAGACAAAATTGATGGTATATGGGATGAATTTGGAGAAATGACAGGTATTCCCATAGGAAGCAAGATCTGAACAAGTTTGCCAAACTACCACTACTTCACAATCAATCAAAAATATATTCAAGTTTTCCTATAATCATAGTCATAATAATCATAATAATTGTTATAGTCATCATAATAAGTGCTTATATTACTTTTATGTGCTTTTTTTTTAAACTCATCACCAGTTTTCTCTAATTTCAAGGCATTGTTTTTTTATTGATTTCTACTTTTTACTTTTTACTTTCTACTTTCTACTTTCTATTTTTTATTTCTATTTCTCCTTTATTATTCTCTTTTATCAGTCAATTTGTTTATTTTTGATTATATTTATCTATTCATTAAAATTTTGTATCATATTGTTCCTCAAAAAAAAGAAAACCCTAATTCTTAATTATTCAAAATTTGCTGGTAAATATTTGAGAATTTCACAGCATTCATTTTCATTTTCATTTTCATTCTCATTTTCATTATATTTATTTATTTACTCTTCATTTTCAATTATGAAACTTATAACTTCTAATACTGTTTAATCTTAGAATTTTATCTGTTTTTGTTTTTGTTTTTTAAAATTTTACTTTCTCCTTTTTTTTTTCCTTCCTCCTTCATTATTATTACTCTTATCTTTTCTAGTTTTTGTTGTTTTTTAGCTTCTAGTACATAGTATTATCTTGTGGTTTATTATAAATGTAATGGCTCTTATGAACCAAGAATATAAAAGATCAATTGTAGTATTGTAGTTTGTTTTTTTTGGTTTTTCTATTTACAAGATAATTGTATTTTTTTTTTTAAAACCTAATTATTTACATTAGATAATAAGAAAAGTTTACAATAATATCTTTGACTTCAACTATCAAAGTTTATATTAATCCTGTCAATAACCGATTACTGATTAAATTGAAGGAAATTTTAATTATGGGAGGAAAAAAATAAATGGCAATATGTACTTAAAGAAAAGAGAAAGGGGGAGGAGTCTAAAAAAAAATACAGTAGAGGGAGAGAGTATAGGTGGTGGAAATTACAAAGAAATGTATTGAAGAGTGTTTAATACTGATCGAATTTGATCAATTCAGATAAATTTAAAATAAATCTGGTAAATTCTAATTATGTAAATTTAGTTAGTAAGTTGTTAGTAAATTGGTGAGTTAATATTATTAATATTTACCAAAAAAAAATAATTTTTGGAATAATTGGTCTTAAACAAATTGATAAATTTCAACTTTAAAAAAAACAGTAGCGGAAAGATGATAGATAAAATAATTTTAACATTGAGAATTAGATAAAAAGGAGGAAAAACAATTGTGGTATTATTTATATTAGTTTGGAATTTCTAGATATTAAGTTAGATTGCAAGTAATTGTTAGAAAAATGAGCTATTAATTTTTTTTATTTAAATTGATCATTTTTTGTTGGTGATGATTGAAGGTAAAATTTTAATATTAAATTGAGTGGGTGATGTGAATGATATGATATGATCAAAAATAATAAAAGATTATGTTGAAAATGATTGCAATGTTAAAATTTTCACTCAAATAATTCCAAAGAAATAGGTGAAAATAAAGATTAAGATTTATTTTAAGCTAAGATCAGTTTCACCCGGTGAAAGAATAAAAAAATTTTATAAATGGTCGAAAATGAAAGTGAAAATGAAAATCTGGACTAAGAAATACGAGTAGAGAAAGACAAAAAAAACACCAAAAAAAAGGGTTAACTTTGTGATAAAATTGGAAATAGGCTGAATAAAGATTACAAAAAAACTTTTGTATTGTTTAACTCAAAAAAATTGCATTAAATTTTGAAATAAAAAAAAACCAACAGAATAGAATCTAGTTTCTTTTAGTTTGCTTGAATCCACCAATGAACCAGTACGGTCAGAGCTCAAATCAGGTAAGTTTTGAAAAAAATTGGAAAAGAAAACAAAAAATGTAAAAGTAAAAGTAAAAGTAAAAATACTGTGATGATTCAGGCCAATGAAAAGTTAATCAAATGATTGAATAATTTGAGACAACAGGATCGATTGTGATGATTTCAGAATGAATATGATGATTTCAGACTGAATGTGATTAGAAAATGCAATAATTGAAAAAAAGATAACGAAATAAAATAAAATAAACCACACATTGTCTCAAGAATGGTGAAAGAATTGAAACACATTGGACAAGTGTGAATCATCGATAATTGTGGCCAGCAGTTGCAGACCAAAGCCTGGAAGGAGTTTTAAAAGGCTTCTGGCAAAAAGCAAAAGCATCAAGCGGCTCCTTCCCTACAGCCAAAACTCAACACAGAAACAGCAGAAACAGCAGAAACAGCAGAGGAAACAGCTCGAGAATGTGGGCTTTTCGAGTTTCGAGTTTCGAGACGAAAAGACCGCTGGCCAATCAAAAACCGCAGAAACACGTGATACAGACACTGAGCGTCAGACATGAAGGTTACGCGTGTGAATGCATAATTGTCTGCGTAGATGTGCATGAGTGCGTGTTAGCTTTATCTTTTGAAGAGAATTTAGCATTGTGAATTTGAGTTTTTGGACTCTAATTTTTCAATTTTAAACCTCCAGATCAGAGAGATTAATGATAAAACATATTTTTACCTATTTCAAATAAAAAAAGTCGAAAAATCATGGTGTTTCTGCTATAACTCTGCTACAGTTCTGTAATAGTTCTGCTATAGTCTTTTAGATTTGGTAGCGTGAAGATTTAGCACTTTAGTGTGATAGTTCTTAAATTCAAATCGTTACTGATAAGTGAGAATGGGGACTAAGAAGGTGGAATTATGTTATTCAAGAAATAATAATGGTGGTCGTCTAATAAAATTAGTCCTTGATGATTGTATAGAAAGTGAATTGGTAAATTTAGGAATGAACTTCTATCCAACAGCAAATTATCTTTTTTTATTTCTGTATGTGTTTTTCATTTCTTTTTTTACTGTTATTTTTATTATTATTTTTTATTAATTTTTTGAGTGTTTTGGCACTGAATGATCAAAATTATTTAACGAGCTGAACAACTTGGTAACATAACTTTTTGGACAGCAATATTGCTTGTCCTTAGTTTTTCCTGTCATTATGGGTTGTATATTAAACATAGTTGTCAAGTTATGATAACTGTATCTCGTTGCTTCCACTCAAAAGAGCCTGTGGAGCCAGGATATTAACGATATTTGAATAAAAAAACGACTGTTTGTAGAGTTTAAACAGCACTTTTCAGACTATTGGCCAGTTATGTTCTATTATTTTTACCAATCGCATTATGCTTTTTTATTCTTATCTCACTTCCATTAAGTTTTCCATTTTCCACCACTGAATTTCCAAACTAACAAACAAAACCACTGGCAGCTCCATGCAGACAGAGGCACGCATGCTAAAACCTAAAAAGATAAGGTTTGGTGCTATGCAAAAAGTTTAACTTCAGGAACTTTCAACTTTCTTCTCGAGAAATTTGTTAATGGGTGAAAATTCTTTTTTCTCTTACCCAATGACCATATTGAAATTCAATTTCCAGTGTTTGAAGCAGATCGAGTGTGAAAAGATTTCTCAATTTGTTTTTGTTTTCGTAAAGAACAGCATCAGTTGATCTGTATTTCCACAGAATTCCCAGCTTTCAAAGAGGTCTTCAACCAAGCAAACACAAATGTAAGAGTCGTTCAATTGTTAATTTTAGCTTTTTTTGTTTTTTCGTTTTCTTGCTTTCCTCCATCCAGTTTCCTCTCTGGAATCCTTTCAAATGTTACTGATAACAACAGCCAGATTCTACATCTCCCCATCGTGCTAGCACAGGTAGAACCATAACATTTCTCCATTCACCAATCGTTCTTCAGAGATAACAAATACCTCTCACCAAAGCAGCTTCCTCCCTTCAAAAAAAAGGCTGGAAACAGCAGGTGAAACTCACTATGTAGGCTACCACTGCTCATCCCCTGTTGTTTATTGCCAGCAGCTGCGACCCCTGGCCTCTATCCTCTTCCTGCTCCAGCTCCAGCTCCAGCTGCCCAAACTTAAATTTCCATGCACCGCCGCACAGCACCGCCCTTGGTTTCTGCGAGCTTCCTCATTGATATATGTGGCGCACACACGTGCCTTTACAACGCAAAAATTTCGAACCACAAAAAGAAGAAGATATAATCAGAGCAAAGATAATCAAAAGGAAGAAGATAGTCACAGAAAAGACGATATAACCACACACAAGACGCCACCATGATTGCCTCGCTATTTCGTCCTACCACCTTCCACAACGCTGTGAGCTATGCTTCTGTCTTTCAGAAGAGCTTGCTTTCGTCACCCATCTCCTCCATCTTACTTCAGCCAGGCCTAACGAGAGGCTTCAAAGTTCGTACTTCCGTCAAGAAGCTATGCAAAGAGTGTTATGTATGTTGTCTCTTTAAATTTCTCCCGTTCTGTTTTTCATCTTGATCTTCCTCTTGATCATTTTGCATTTTTTCCACCTCCTACTAACCTTCAATTTCACATTCAATCTAGATTGCTAAGAGAAGAGGGCGAGTGTACGTCTACTGCAAATCAAATAAAAAGCACAAGCAAAGACAAGGCTAGATAATTATCCCCTTTTACTCTCAATTTGAACTGTTAAAACAAGCACTAAAAAACAAAAATCCAGTTTCTAATTATAGACACTATTCCTATTTATTGTAAATATTCTTTCTTTCTTTCTTTTATTCTATTTATACTGTCTAATTTTACATCTATAAGCTTTTAAACTTTTAACATTTTATCATAAATTTAAAAAAGTAAACAACAAAAAGAAAAAGAAAATAAAAAGATTTCCTTGTCAATTTTTACTCATCGTTATTGATCTTCCAAACTGACATACCAGTTCCTCCAATAACACAATATTCTTTATCCTCAAATTCACAGATGCTACTGCAACCTGTATCTGCAACTGTAGTGTATTCCTTGTCAATTAATACCATCTCATTTTTTTCTTGGTCAATTTCATATAATCTAACAATCTGATCAACACTTGTAACAATTAATCTTATTTTCAGGTCATCTTTCCTTTTTCCGCTCAACGAGATTGAAGTAATAGTCGATGATGCCCCATCTCTAATAAGTGTCTCAATTTCTATATTCTCCTCCCCAGTTTTAACATCAATCGAAAATCGACTTAATATCAATCCATTATCGTCTCCTCCTGTTATTATATAATATTCGTTACCGCTACCATATTCACAACTTTTATTTTCAACAACCATGCTCTTGATACTATTTTGGTGTAATTCCTTTCTCATTACCATTTTGCTCAATTTCTTAACCTCCAGTTCCCCTTCTTCTTTAGAAGTATTCTCACTATAATCCAAAATATTTAAATCTTTCTCACTGATTTCAAATTGGTATCTCTCATCTTTTAACAAATCTTCAGACACATCATATATAACCAAATGTCCATCCGTTGAGCTTATGCATAAATAAATCTTATTCAATTTATCATTAATAATAAACTTGCTATTCATGACACAGCATGTTTTATAAAAATCACTTATAATTAAATTAAATTGCTTCAATTTCAAATCATAATAAAAGACTCTAATAGACGAATCAGAATAAACTGTTGCAAATATAAATCCAACTAGGTTTTTATTATCAAAAATTAAAATTGTATCAAAATCCATAACTCTTAAATCGGGATTACTTGAAAATGGCTTCAGCTTATCATAACAATATATCAACGGTTTATCCACTATTTCCAAATCTTGAACTCTCCAAATAAAAAATTCTTCTCTAGCTGCTGAGGAACAAATAAATTCTTCATTAATAAACTTTACTTTTTGCAATCCCGAAACATGAATCCTTTCAAACCAAATATTCTTAATTGATCCGTTGCTAAAAAATCTACCCAATTTCAATGAGTTATCTTCAGAAACAGAAACAAGATGTTTATATAAAATTTCTTTACTGTTGCTATTAGAAAATTTATAACTTTTTTTTGAAATACTCAAATCTCTTATTTCTCTTCCATGTGTTCCCTCCAATAATACAGGTTCTTTAAATTTCAATTTATCTTCATAACCAAATGAACTTATAATAATAGAATTCGATTTAGTATACATAAATTTCCCTTTAATTTGGGTATCATCACTATCAATAAACAATTTCCAGCTACGGTGTGAACCACCACACATATTATTCCATATTTCATAATTTTTGGTTTCGTTGTATAAATAAAAATAATTAGATTTAAACCCATAAAGAATTAAATCATTACTTTTAATGTTTTCGTGATCTTTTGAAATTAGAGTATCAAATTTTAAATCACTTTTTCTCTCAAATGCCCCCTCAAGAAATCCACCTTTAGCAATTTTATTTTCTAAAAGAATCTCAATTTGAAATAGAGATTTTTCATTATCAATATTAAGGTTATTAAATCCATTAATTATTTTATTTATTTCATTGATTTCATTATTATAATTTAAATTTTCAGTGATTTTGGCTAAAAAATATATACCATCTTTAATAAAGATTCTTAGTAATAGAGTATCATTAAAGCATTTAACGATATTCAAATTTGAAATTGAATCGCCTTTTGAAATTTTTTTCCAAGCTTGCATCTGATGAGGATTTTTTGATAAATCATAAATTACAAGATTTGTGAATCTTGAACCAATAAATAGCCATTTTTTTTGAATGGAATATTCAATACAAGTGATAATAAATCTCTTTTCAGTTTGAGGCTTTGGTAAAAACCACATATTTTCAGGGTCATTAGAATAAGATAAATCTTTCAAGTTTAAAGTTCTAACAATAAGAGGGTTGTTTGGATTAGGGGATTCGAATAAAATATTTAAAATTTCCTTTTCCTTTTCCTTTTCATTATCATTATCATCATTATTGTCATTTGAAAATTTAAAAGTGTTTGTGATTTTAAAATATGGATAATCATTGACATCGGTTAAAATGTTTAGTAATTTCTTTTCTATTATATTTAAATCATTATCAAATTTCAAGATTAATTGATCAGCAGTTGTTGAAGTTAAGATTACTATATGGTTATTTTGAAACTGATGATTAATTATTGAAAATTGGTTATTAAGATTCGATTCCTTTTTTATTAATTCAAATTTTTGAAAATTATCTTTTATTAAGAATAAATTACCTAGAGATGTTGTTAATAACAAACCTTTATCGTTAAAATTAACAAAGTTTTTAATAACGTCGTTTTTGTTGAAGATTTCATAATTTAAACTGAGTTGATTTAAAGAGTATGAGAATTGTTTTGATTTAGAGTTTTTTGCAAATTTAGTTGAAATATCATGTAAGCATATTTTTCCATCATTACCTCCAGTGACAGATAGTAGTTGGTCTTGTTGGATATCGCAGCTCCAAATATGTTTGCCAATATGGGATTCAACATTCTGGGTGTAATTTAAGGAGAATTTATTTGAATTTGAGTCAGAACCAGGTTCGATATTAATATTCCAAATTTTCATTGTTAAATCTTCAGAAGCACTAAGAACTTGGGTATCATTATTGAAAAACGACAAGTACCAAATTCTAGCTGTATGGCCCCAGCCGGTTGCAAGATTTTCACCAGTGGTGAAATCCCATAATTTTATTGAACGATCATCAGAACATGATACCAATTTGTCGCCTTTTTGATTAAATTTGACACCAAAGATCGAACCTTCATGGCCAACCAAATTGTGTAAAATCTTACCAGAGTTTAAGTCCCAGAGTAGGATACCACTAAGCACAGTCCCTGCACAAACAATAGCAGAATCCTGAGTGACTTTTATAGAGCCAGAATAAAGCAAAGATTTTTCTGAGCAGGATTTTGTGAATTGTATTTTCAAGTCAATTGAATCGCTGAGGAATATGCTAACACCAATGACAATATTGTGAGCAGTCAAAATGTATATCAAGTTGTCTGTTTGATAATTGGAGCTGAATTGAATATCGATGATCAAATCGTCGCAGGATTTCTGGAAAGAAGTGAGGTCCCTCTGTGAATCGCCAGAGGTCAATTGATCAAGAGCTAAAACCGATAGGTTTCTTCCCCCGTAAAGAACCACAACATTGTCGTGTATCGATATGCCATGGATCTTATTCCTTGAGAAGATGCTGAAGGAGCTGAGCAACTCGCTCTTCTTGTAGTCAAAGACTCGAAGATAAGAGCCCACACCAGCCAACAACAACGACGAGCCAGTAACAAAGCCCAAACTGGTGACAGGTCCATCGTGGTTGATCTTCAGCAAAACAGCCATTGCAAAACTTGCTCCTTCTCAACTGCTCTTTCTGGCCCCAAAAACAGCACAGGAAGCACCGAAAAGTTTTCAGCCCGGAAGGCCCATTACCCTGCAGCAGGCGCCACTGGAATAAGCGCTGGAAGAAGAAGAAGAAGAAGCAGCAGCAGAAGCAGAAGCAGCACAGGCAGCACAGGCAGCATTCCCAACATTTCCAGAGGATGAATGGCCACGACTTGGACGAGGAGCTCCCCATTGCCAGAATGAACTTCAACGAGCGAGCCATCTCAGCCTCGAGCATAGTCGAGCACGACACTGACTTTGATCCAGTACACAACCTCTTGAGCAGCCACGACATTGTGCAAATGGACCAGGAGCCCCCAGAGGACGACGACGATGTGCAGAGCGACGACGCAGAGAATGGAGTGGGCAATGACCATGTCGAGGTGATTGCTGAGGATTTTGAAGAGAGTCCTCCAGACTCACTGGAGCAGGAGGGCTATTTGGTGGGATTGCGACGACTCGAGGCCCAGGGCTTGATAGACATAGGCAATTTGGCCTACTGGAAGGTGTCCTCCTTCAAGTTGGGCTGTGGAATAGCTCAGTTGCGAGAAGACAGTCCTGATACCTTTTGGCAGTCTGATGGCACTCAACCCCATTTCATTACCATCCACTTCTCCAAGAAGGTGGCCTTGAAGCAGATCTCAATCTACACTGACTTCAATTTGGACGAGAGCTACACCCCATCAAGCATAATGGTCCTCGCTGGCCATGGCTTGCACGACTTGAAAGAGGTGACGAGCATCACCATGAGAGAGCCCAAGGGCTGGAACCATATCAAGTTTGACGACCTAAGAGAAGATGGTTTGTTAAAATGTTTTTTTCTCAAGATACTAGTCGTTTCAAATCACCAGAATGGTAAAGACACTCATATCAGATCAGTCAAGACTTTCAGTTTGGCCAACAACGACAGCTTTGACATTGCAAAGTCTCCCACCTCATTCAAAAAGCGAGCAAGAAGACTCTTTGGAAACGAACAGGTTGCTAATCCTGAACCATTGACACTCCCATTTTCCAGCATAAAATTCATCAGTGAGTCCTCAATTAGATAGAGATCAAAACGAAAACAATCAAAACAATAACAAAAAATTGATAGAGTGAAAAACAAGAACCATGTCTGCTCCACATTATTTTATTGGCTTACTCCAATATCCTTCTTTTAAGATGTATCTTGAGTGCATCTCTGATTATTATCTTGATGTGGCATGGTCGTTTGTATAACTTATAAAACACATAGCTGATAATGACCCCATAAATTATCGAATTTCAAAACTTTTCGACCGTTTTAAACTTTTTCACTCATTTTGAACTGAAAAAAACAAACTCACACACTTTTTGCAATCAATAAATATAATCCTCGAAAATGACTGTAGATGTTGAGTACCAAAAAGTCCTAAAGAAACCAAAATTATCTTCTAACTACACAAAACTAATAAATCTATCATCCTCTATCAAACCTCATCCCTTGAACGTCAAACCATCAGGAAACAAATTTTTTCTTGAAATATCTCCAGATCAAAGATATAAACAGAAAATAACAGAAAAAAGAAAAAAACAACTTGGTTATCTTGTTTCATTTCCCGATGATCTAATTTTTAAGATTTTATCATATGTCAACTCGCCAAAGGATCTTTTAACTCTATCCCATGTTTCAAAGATCATTTACTGCTACTGTTCAAATGAAGAGCTATGGAAAAATATCTATCTAAAATATTACAACTCAGATGAATCATTTCAACAAAAATTCGAAAAAAATGGGTGGAAAGGTTCATGGAGGTCTTCTTTACTAAATTTCCCATCCGATACTCATAAAAGAGATCAAATAACCAAATTCTTAAAATGCGAATACAATTTATTGTGTTCAGATACCATTTTCAGACCATACCAATGTTCACAGATTAATTATCATCTGATATTTGAAAAGGTAATCGCAATTGAATCATTATTTCAAAACAAATCTTCAAGTGATGTTAACCGAAAAACCACAATTGACATTCCTTATAATCAAGTGTCAAGAATATCAGAAAACGAAATGACGTTGGAAAACTTTGCCAACAATTGGACAAATTACCCATTTATTTTAGTAAATCCTAATGACACTGATAGAAAAAGATGGCCACAATGGGAAATGACTGATTTATTAAAAAGATTTCCCAATGAAAGATTCAGACAAGAATCAGTCAAATGGCCATTGGATTTTTATTCTGATTATTATCGAAAAAATGAAGATGAAAGCCCACTTTATTTATTTGATTGTAACAGTGATGCAATGAAAACGATAACAAAAGAATACGAGGTTCCAGATTGCTTTAAATACGATTTGTTTCAATTATTTAATAAAGATGATATCAAATGTCGACCGGATTATAGATGGATAATAATTGGGTGTAAAAGAACAGGATCAACATTTCATAAAGATCCCAATTCAACATCAGCATGGAATACAGTAATTTCAGGCTGTAAATTATGGGTGATGTTACCACCAAATGTAATACCACCTGGAGTATCGGTTAGTGAGGACCAAAGTGAAGTGACATCGCCAATTTCGTTGGCAGAATGGGTTTTATCAGGATTTTTTAATGATATTTTGGGAATGAGTAATGTAAAGGAGAACAATTGTTTAGTTTGCATAACATTTCCAGGGGAATGTATATATGTTCCAGCAGGATGGTGGCATTGTGTTATAAATCTTAAAGATAGTATTGCGTTGACACAAAATTTTATACCAAAGAAGGGATTGGTAAATGTATTTGATTTCTTTAAGAATAAAAAAAAACAGATCAGCGGGTTTCATTTTAAGGACGTTAATAGGTCGATTAAAAGTGTGATTAAAAAGAATAAAAATCAAAATAATCGAAGAATTGAAATTTTTAGAGATTATTTAAAAAAATTTCAGGAAATAAAAGAAAAATATGGAATAGATGAAACCGAAGATTGTGGAGAGCAATATGGTAAGCATATTAAGAATCAAGATTGCGACAATGATAATGATAATGAAGGAATAATTCCAATTCCATTGCTTGAATTATTTGAAGAATTATTGATTCAGGATAACAATTCAAAATTGCTAAATGAAACAAAAGAGGAGTTGAGACAATTAGAGAAAGAGAGATATAATGAAGGAAATCTAAAGGTTAAGAGCAGTAAGCTATGGGATGAATTAATTCATGGTAGAATAGAAAATAAAGAAATACAAGAGAAAGACAATGATAATCAAGTGAGCAATGGATTTACATTTAATTTCGACGAAAGTGATGATGATGAGTAAATAAATATTCATTAGTTGAGAATTATTGATTGTATAAAATATTAAGAATTAGAATTTTATTAGAGGTTAAATTAAAAAATAAAATCAAAAACACTATTAAAAATAATAAAAGGCGAAAAAAGGAAAAAAAAAGGATGATGAAATTGAAAAACTGAAAAAGGTAAAAAAATGAGTAATTAAATTAAAATAAAATAAATTAAAGTAAAGTAAAGTAAAGTAAAATTGAAAAACAGATAAACAAAAAAAAAAAGGATAATTAGTTATTTAGTTAATTAAATTAGTATATTAAGATTATTATTGATTACAATTGTTGAGATTAATCAATTATTTTTTATCATCATCTTTCTTTCTTGAACCTTCTTTGAGAGCAATTAATTGTTTAGCTCTAAATGTTTCATAATGGACCACAGCAGTTGTTTCAATTAAATCTTGTAAATGAGTACGAGTTAAGAAATCCCTAAGATAGGTAAATTCACATTGTTGAATGTCTTCAACGTTAATAACACCCCATCTAGTTCTTCTACCTCTGAAGGCCCTTTCACCTATAGAGATTTCTTCTTCGGAGCCAACAATGGCAAAAGGGATTATTGATTTAATATTGTCATTTAAGTTTTTTTCCTGTTCATAAAGATCATCGGTATTGTATGGATAAAAATTAAAATTATGGTATTTAAATTCATCTTGTAAAACATGTTTAAAGTTTGCTCTTTCTTCTAAAGTCAAAGAGTCTGATTTTGCTATAATGGGCACAACATTTGCAATTTCAGTTAATCTTTTCAATACAGCTATGTCTAAAGGTTTCAAACCGATACCATTGGGAGCAATAAAGTAAAGAACACAGTGAACTCTAGTGTCTTTAATATGTTTTTCTCTTTGAGCAGTTAATTCTTTTCTTAAGTATTGAGAGTGTTGCTCTTTAATATATTTAACGATTGGTTCCCAACATCTATCATTGTTAACCTGATCACCGAAACCTGGAGTATCAATGACATTGATATTTAGTTTGACTTTTTCTTCCAAAAGAGTATGAGAGGTGACTTTGATCTCAGCAGTCTTTTCAATTGATTCAGTGGAGGATTTTCTGCCACTTGATTCAGTTAAATGAGAAGCAAACAAAGTGTTGATGAGAGTTGTTTTACCCAACCCAGAGTGGCCGACAACCATCACATTGAATTGGAAGCCACGTTTAAGAAGTCTTTGTTCAATTTGACTGGTAATTGTATCAAAACCAACGTAGGACTTTGGAGCGATAGGAGCATCAACTTCGGTGGACATGATTGATTAGGCACTGAATGAAAGAGAGCGAAGTGTTCTTTGTAAGTAGAAAAGAAGCAGTAGTAAAGAGAGACTTGGGACAAGCAGTGGCTTTGTGGTTTGTTGGAGCAGAAAGAACAGAAGAAGCAAAAGAAGCAGAAGAGGCAGAAGAGGCAGAAGAGGCAGAAGAAAGAGAAGAAAACGAAAGGAATGTTTTGGTTTTGAAACACCTGGCATTTAAACAGAGGGCTCTTCCACATTGGGAGAGAGGAAAGGCCCTGCCGCATCGGGAAGATCGCCGAAAGAGGAGAGGTCGATATAATAGTAATAGGAAGAATAAGGTGAAGAACAAGAGGTGTGGAGGCAATTGGGTGGCCATGCATGGAATCAAGAGAGAGAGGTTGTCCGAGGAGGCTAGGCGAAATAAGAAGCTCAGGGACAGGGCCAGGATTAGAAATTACAAGACGTTGAATGCGATGGTACTTGTTAGAAGAGATAAAAGGGACTATTCTGAGGATGCCTTTAGGTTGTCGACAAAGTTATTGGATCTCAATCCTGAGTACTACACGATTTGGAATTACAGACGAGAGATATTTTTGAATGGGTTGTTTCAGGACCCTGGTGATGCTGCGAAAGGTGAGACTGCTGTGAGCAATGATATGATACCAGCTATTCTTGAAAGAGAATTGAAGTTTCTAATTGTTTTGTTGAAAAGATTTCCCAAATGCTACTGGATTTGGAACCATCGAATGTGGTGTCTTGAGAACAATCCCAAACCCAAACTAAACAACGAACTAGCTATTGTGAACAAAATACTATCATTGGATTCGAGAAATTTTCATGGCTGGCATTATAGAAGATACATTATAGGTTTAATTGAGAGCTCCAATGGTTCCAAGAGTTCTACTAATTCTGGTATCAATGCCAGTGGTACTGAATTGTCATTATCTGAATTCAACTATACCACTGAGCTAATCAATTTAAATTTTTCCAATTTTTCTGCATTGCATAATAGATCAAAATTGATCATTAAAATCTTCAAAAAAACCAATCTTGATAATCAATATAAAGAAGCCGTATTAAAGACAAATCCGGAATTTGAAAATAAATTGGAATTTCTAACCAAGGAATTGGATTATTTTAAGAATGCTATTTACACTGATCCTGATGATCAATCGGTTTGGTTATATCTTAGATGGTTGTTATGTTCGAATGATTTATTAAATTTGAGTATGGATGACAATGATAATAACAATGACAATAATAATAGCAATAACAATAATAACAAGCTTAAAATCATAAAATTACTATTGCTCCAAATCAAAGATATAAATGAATTAAATGATTTGGAGAAAAGTGATGATATAAATTCTTTAGATAATAAATGGTGTCTTAAGATTATAATTGAAATTCAAATGACTCTATTCGATAAATTCATCGATTTGTTGAAAACAAATGACACTAATAATTCAGATTATTTAACTAGTTTAATAACAAATTTTAATCAAAATTTAACCACATTGATTCAAATTGATCCTTTACGATCGAATAGGTATCTTGATTTGCAGAGAATTTATAATAAAAGATTTGAAACCTTATAGGGTTATTCATAAATTGAATTTATTATCAACAAGAAGAATGGTTATATATAAATATATGTTTTTATATAATAGCAGTAATAATAATAATAATAATTATAATTATAATTATAATTAAATCCACTCGAAATCAATCAAATTTAATCAGATTTTATGTTTTTTGTTTTTCTCTAAAGCATCTTTTAAAAGATCATGTTTATTACGAATCACCATATTTCTTTCAAAAAATATAGGTTTATCTCTCTTGAGAATATAATTATCTGTATTTCTCAATTGACGCATTTCGTCTGCATCAAATCTCCCAGGATACAAAATTCTTTGATCTGTTTTACTTAAAAATTCTTGATTAGCAAACTTTCTTTGTTCCTCAATTTGAGGATTATTCTTTTTATCCAAACGTTTCCAGAAACTTCTAATTTCAAATGCACAATGGTGGCAAAGAAAATGATCTTTTTTAACTCTTCCACAGGATGGACAACAATTTAAATTTAATTTCAATTTTAAATGTTTACTCGAATCCAACTGTCTCTTTCTTCTACGACAATGCGACACTTTCTGTTTAGGAACTGCTTTAAGTATTCCCATTTCTAAAGGATTAAAGATTGGATTTGGGTCCTGGTTTTTCAAGTTCTCGATTAGTTCTTCCAATTTATTTTCACAATCACCAGTTTCAGCATTGTCTTTCTTGCTATTATTCGAGCCCGGTAGAGATATGGCGATTTGAATGGAGGGAAGTCTTGGTAACAAACCAGCTAATCTACCAAGATACAAAGACAACGAGTCACCAGTAACAGCTCCCATTCGATACACCATAGACGCCATTTTCAGTATCCTGTTCAGTATGCTGTTCAAATGTGGGCTTCTTCAGAGGGTTCTTCAAAGGAATCTGTTCTTCAAAAGCTTCTTTTTTGTTTTTAATTGGTCTTTTTTCTCGTTTTGAAAATTTCGCTGATTTTCAACCGGTTTTGGTTACCCGGGTATGACTCACGTGATGCTTGAAATATCCGAGGGAAAGAAACAAAAGGAGCAGAAAAAGCAGAAAAAGCAGAAGCAAAAGTTGCACAAAGAGAAAGTTGCTGGAATTTACTGTTTCTATATAAACTACCAAATAAACATGTAAAAAACTATGGAATGTACTCTGTTAAGATGGCCAACAACGCTATCACATCCACCACTTGCTGGTATTTCAACACCATCATCTTGTTGTCACTTAGCTTGGGCTTTTGGTTTTTGTGGAAATACCTTCTTTTAAGCTCTTCGTCATTGATCAACAAATGCTTCTTTAGTATCTTGGAAATCGGTTCTTTGTATGAATCAAGGATATCTTTAATTTCCTTTACAATAAATCGATTGTTCGGGCCCACAGTGATCAACACTGTCGATACCAATTGGAAAATTGGTATTGCAATCTCAAAGGGAAATATAAAGTTGTCATTACTATTGTTAAACAACGAGTATTCCAATAAATTCAAATTGTTATTCAAAATCTTCCCAAACGTTTCACCATTGCTGATATACTCAATTTCAATTCCAACTTCAAGATCAAACTTTAGTAATTGGATCTTTTTCAACTCTTTGAAAAAATTATCCTTGATTAATATATTGCATCCCTTTTTATTCCTTGAAATAGAAATTAAGAAAATGATTATTGTTTTAAATACTGTTAGTTCATATCTCACATAATTTAAAATTGACGTATCGTCTTCATCATCGTTACTGCTACCAATAATCTTATTCTCTTTATTCTCTTTATTGTCGTTAGAATTAGTGTCAAAATTACTACCATTAAACGTGTCATAACTGCTTACATCAATGCTTTTAAAATTTTTCAACCCATCAGAACTTAGTAATATTTTATCGATTTGAATTAACTTGGCTAACAATTTTAGAACAAATTTTTTTCTTAATATTAACTGCAAAATTAAATTGTTCTTCTCATTCTTTTCTCCCAAAAGATATAATGTTTGCAATAAAGTTAATGAAATGATCTTAATTAGTCCCCCATTCTCAGTAAAATCCTTGATTAAAATCTCAGTTAATTTATCGTTTGAAAACTTAGTACTATTCAATAATTCCAAACTTAATTTCTTATCTTCCAAAACCGACAACAAAAACTGATTGATTAATAAATATAAATTGCAACGAAGTTTACCTGATCCCTCAAAGTTCAATATACTATTAAGACATGTCTTAAATAGCGGAAACAATCTTTCACAAAACAATAAAACATTGGTATTATTGCTATCTCTATCACCACTATGGTTATCATTTTCCCTGTCATCATCATTATTATTGCTGATAAAATCCTTATAATGCAAATTGAATAGTAATAATGACAAGGATGTTAACTCTTCTGCATAAGTGATATTGTTCTCAACATAATAATTTATCTTTGGTATAATCAATTGATATAAAACTAAAATGAAATCACATCTATCAAATGCTTTTAGTTCATTTTTAATTAATATATTTTCAATGAGTTTAATCCAAGTTTTTAAACATCTAGATTGAATCTTTTGGACTTTAAAACAAGTATTGATATTTAAAATAAACTCTTTAACTCGCTTCATTTCCTCATAGATATCTTGATTTTCTTCTTTTCCAATTTGTTTTTGATCCACGTTCTTATCATCCTTTTTAATTATATCTGCACTTTCATTACTACTAGGAATGAGACTGTTAATATTATTATTACCATCATTTATCATTCTGAAAAAACTCTTCTTTTTTTCAGAAGCTTTAATCAATTGTTTTTCTGTAATTGAAGCCTTCAATCTTAATTCAAGCAATAAATTCAATGTCTTTATGTTAAAACAATCCTTTTTATCACTATGATTAGAGTCGTCTGACGAAAATTCAATCCATTCAATGATCGATTCTAAATTGATTTTCTTGAAATAATTTAAATTTTTAACAGCTTTTGATTCAGGTTTCAACTTGACATTGAATTCTGAAAAGTCAAAATATGAATTGATTTTAATAAAATCTTTTGAAAAGTCATTTTTCTTAATTAAGTAATTTAACAACTTGTTCAGTCTTTCATTATTATCCTCATTATTATTATCCTCATTCAACTCAATTATAATATACTCCATAATAAAACATTTCAACTTGAAAAAAAGAAAGAAACAATCACTACTAGAATCATCAAATGAAAATTTATTGTCAAAATTATTGAAATCATTATTAAAATAATTCCCAGAAAATTTTGTAGCTTTTAAAGTAGTCCTTAAATTTATACTAATTATTTTATCTTCAAAGTTATGATTTCTCAAAAATTTTAAAACTAAACCTGAAGTTAGTTCATTTTTAATCAATTTCAAAATAATTTCCATAATCATTGATAAAAATTTAATTGCGATATAATTAATTTCATTAGATGCATTGTTTTTATTCTCCACCATCTCCAAGAAATAATCAAACATTGAAAGAATATAGTTCAATAATGAACTTTCTCCAGAAATCATCGGAACATCATAAGAGGATAGTATAAATGGATTTTTTGAATGCGTGTTAAAATCAATCCCCAACAAATAATGAGATATAGTTTTTTCCTGTCCGATTGAAGAAAGATTAATATCAAGAAATCTCAAAATATCAAGCTTTAAATTTATTAATTGTTTGGAAGTTCCGCTAATATTATTCAATGATTCATGAAAAATGACATGTAAGTGTGATTCAAGTTGATTAATAAATGAATATCGAACTTTTGAATTGACATCAAATGTTTGAATAGCTGTTAACAACCGATTTCCTTGAACAAAAGAATTCTTGGTTTTGCCTGATATCTTGGAAGATACAGCTGTACATTCTCTTGAAACAGATAATTTTGATAAAATTTTGACTGATTCAGAGCTGATTTTAAGATGAGTTGATCCAATGTATAAAGATAGATTTATAATAATCGACAAGTTACTTATAATAGGCTCAATTATTGAAGTTATACCAAAAAGACCAATATTCTTAGGTAAATATGTTGAAAACCCAAATTTATTATTGAATCTAATGCATGGAAGAATAATATCAATAAATGTTCTTTCAAGCTCAATGATATTATTGATAATACTTAAAGAAGACGAAAGTGAAATGACATTCAAGTCCCCTTCTTCTTTAAGATTTATATCGTCAAATCTCTCTGAAATAATTCCGAATAACACATGATAAACTTTAGGTTGATAAAGATAGTTCATGACAGCTGAACATGGGTTTTCAAGCAAAAATTTGTTGAAATCAATTGAGAAGCTATTATCTTCAGGGTTCTTTCCCAAAATATCAATATTATCAACCCCGGACAACTGGCTAAATAAAATTAAATTGGGATCAAGAAATTTAAAACAATTAGATATGAAATTTAAAATTGAGATTTGCAACAATTTCTTATTTCCCACATCGACCGCTGAAGCGTTTAAATTCACAAATACTTCACTAAGTAAATACTCAACATATGGCCAAATTCCAGCTTTACGATACTTAGAACCTAAATTTTTGGGATAAGGCAAAGACAATTTCGATTGTGTAGAATAATTTGATGAAATTAATTGATTTAATAATTCCACAAACCCAAGTAAATCATTGAAATTTTTAAAACACCTGTCAAAAATCTCCTTGAATTTTAAACTATGATTCATTAAACCATTGTTATAGTCGACATTGTAAAGGTTATGCTCGAAAATCCAAGAATCAAGTAAATTCCATATTTTATAGGACACGTTTAAATCTTTTGAGATCAAGGATTTTAATGTTTGAAAAACAGAACCATAAAAATTGCATTCTTTTGATTTCAAAAAAGTAAAACAAATATTAATGATGTTAAAATTGGAATTTTTAGTCATTAATTTTTTAAAGTCATCGGATAAAGAAGCAATTTTAGAAAATAAAGAGAGATAAGCTGAAATCTCATAAACAGAGGTTTCAGAAAGCACTTTAGCAGGTGCATCGTTGGAGTTTCCATTTAGCAAAATACGTTGTTGTTGAAATTTCTGTTGCTGCTGTTGTTGTTGAAATTGATTTGAAAAATGTATTAATTGGTTATTGTAGTTTTTTAATATTTCAAAAATGCTTTTAATACTTAATTTATCAATATTGGTATTACGATTAACCTGTAGAGTAGTCATATCAGTTGAATTTGATTGAAACATCAAAAAACTAGGAGAGGTTGTTTGATTATTTTTATTTTTTTTCGATTCTGTAGAATTGTCCGATAGCATAGTTTTTAATAGTATGCCATCGTTTAAAATTTGAAAAAAATTTAGTGCAGTCTTTGAATCATTAATGAAAGAGGAAATCATCAAACAATAGCAAGATTTCATTAAAGTTGTATTCGATTTAACCAAGCCCCAATAAATAAAATCTAACATTGTATTGTCATTATTGGAATCATTCTCACCATTGTTATATTCAATATCAGTAATATTGTCATTGGATATGTTTTTAGAGTCAAATTCAATATCGATGTTTAGCTTGTTAAACCATTCGTCGGTTAAATTTGGATTCAATATATTAATATAATAGATTAACATATGCAACCTTTCTAAATCTGCAATTTCAGTAATTTCATCTAAATTTAAATCCATACTAATATTATTTTGAATGTTGCTATCAATTTGATTATTAATATTATTGTTGATAGAAATTAAACTTGTGGGTTGTAGATTATTACCAGAAGAATTTTCAATTTGATTTGAATTCAAATTTGATAAAAGAAAATCTTCTTCAAAATCAGAAATTTTATTTAATAAATTTGAAGAGTTTTTGATAAATAAAGTAACAACTTGAATCAATTGACAGGATAACAAAGTTTTAAAATTTTCATCGATTTTATAGTTGGCAATTTCAATTTGATAACGATTTAAATGATCAGAGCCAATAATATTGTTGTTTTGAATATCTTGATTATTAAATAAAGCATTGCTAATTGATTGTGGATTGTCATTTAAAAATTTATATGGAATTAAAATTGGTAAATGTTTTTGCAACAAATTTCTAAAATTTATAAAAGATTTGCTTTTAATTAAATTCGACAAATCAAACGAGGAATTATTTGATGAAGAGTAGATCAGAACATCAGCCATAATTGACATTAGAGTTTCGATTGAGGAAATCTTAATTGAATCTAAAATTAAATTTTGAATTGAATGGATTTGGTAGATTGAATTTTTTGAATTAAAATTTTTGTTTTTTTTGATTAATACTGAATAATTAAGAAGATAAGTTAAAAAAATAAACGAAACAGCCGAATAGTATGGATTAGATAGAGATGAATAAGTGGAAGAAGGTGATGAAGGCGAGGAAAATGAAGATTGTTGCTGATTTTTCTTTTGATCAAATTGGCTGTAATTTTTATATTCATTTTGAAAATGTGTATAAATTTGCTCAATTTGTGAGCTTGAATTTTTAGTGAATATAGTATTAAAATAAGCAATTATACCAGGAAAGTAAAAAATTATGAACAAATCATTATTTTGAGTCGATTTAAATAAAGTTTTATTTTTTAAGAAAGAATCAATAAATGAGAAATTTTTATTTTTTTTGTTATCATTTAAAATATTATTATCTTTTAAAAAAGAGTATAAGATTTGAGATAAGATTTGGTACTGATTAAACAACTGTTTTCTCTTGTAATTAATATTCAATAAAAAGGCATCATTATTAGTATTGGTTTTAATATTTTCGTTTGAATTTAGATTATTGGAAATGCTATTAAAATTAGGAATATTGTTTCCAGCGTTATTGTTGTTAAAGAGCAGACTACCACCATTATTGCTGGTGCTATTAATTGAGTTATTGTTGTTAATAGTACTGTTTAAATTATTACTATTGCTTAATAAACGGTTTTGGATAATTTGATCCTTTATATGATCCAAGTGAAACTCGATTTCTTTGAATGAATTTAAAACTTTGTCAATTGATAAATCAAAATCCGTAACTAGATAATTACTAGGATTGAAAACTAAATATGAATAAATCAACAACAAAAGCTCATTTCTTTTGAAATAGTATATAATTGCTAAATCTATTAAAGAAGTTCCTTTTGTCGAGTTAAATAAATCATTGATATTGTTATTTTGATTGTTGTTGTCATTATTTGTATTTTTATTATAGACATTTAAGGTGTTAAGCAAAATGTTTGCGGAGATAATCTCATCAAGATTCAAGAAATCAGATAATTGAATTGTCAACAATTGAAAAGAATTATTGAGTTTGTAATCTATTTTGTTGATTGAAATTTCACCATTTGAAATTTTATTTCTTGACTCAACGTTTTTTCTTTTGAATAAAATCAATTGATTGAAATCGTTTTTAAGATATTTAAGAAGATAATTAGCATTTGAAACATTTGTTTTGTTGATGTTTCGATCAATATTAAAAGTACCATTATTGTTGTTTTTGTTGGAGCTGTGTGTGTTAACCTGAAGAAGCTGGTACAATGTTCTGAAGTCGTTGAGATCCCAATGCAACTCCAAATCGTCTTGAGCCAAGCTCAGAGACACATTGGCCACTTTCAATAAAGTAGATGCCATGAACTAAGCTATAATCAACCAGAACCTAAGTGAACTCAAGCTGTCACTGATCTCCAAAGTCTCCAAAGTCTCCAAAGTCTTCAGAAACTTCTCAATCGCCTGTTTCTGTTTTTTTCACTTTGGTTAAAAGGGAAGAAAAACAAGGTTACCCGGGGCGTATATATAGCACGTGATTATAGTTTAACACCTATTATGTGGATATTCTGCTTGATTTTGATACCATTTCTGTGGCATATACTGAATTCAACATATGTATGCATGACAATTTCATTTTATAAACCCCTTTTTTTTGCATACCTTCAATTTTGCAAACCCTTACTTAAGCTTTAGTATGTGGATGCATGCAAGGTGAGTTCTCTTGGCTGCTTGTGTTTTGGTTTTTTTTCGCTTTTTAGCTTTATAGAGTGTTTACTGGACCCTTTACTTTTCAGCAATCGGATTATCTTAAAATAAAAATCCCATAGAAATTGTTGACTGATCAAACATAAACTAAAATTTCAAATGAGGTTTATCATATTGAAAATTTCAAATCTTCCAGAAATATTGGGTGTATAAAAACTATGAAATTTTGGTCATTAGCAACTCAAATGTCTAACTTATTAATGTTGAATTTGAGCTTTAATAACATTTCCAAAAAAGGAACTAAGTTTAGGATATAACAAAATGACCACAATTGAAAATTTACATCATTTGGAAGAATTAAATCTATGGTAGAATTCAAAAACCATCAAATATTCGATTTACCCCATATCAAGTATCACCTAGAGTTTACGAGCACCACTAAGTCGTAAAAACATAATCAAAACATAAACTCATCCTGCCGGTGTAATTGAAAAACCATTAATCTTGTTTAATTTTGCAATTTAATACATTTAATTTATTTAAAAGTATGTTTTATTGTCATTTTGCGATTATATTTCTGTTTTTGATCTCATTAATTCTCTATTTATTATTTCCATTTAGCATAGTTTTATAATGAGATCTGTAGTAGTGCTGTTATCTGGATAAAACATAGTCATTATTAAATTTGTTGAATAAAGATTAAGTGCAAAAGAAATAAAATTTACTTTTGCTTTTTTTAAATTTTATAAATGAATAATAATTATCAGCTATTTGATTCTAATAGTGTTTTTTTTATCTTATGATTATGATATCAATATTATATTTCCATTTTATTCTTCTTTCTCTATCATCTATTTATGAATTATAACAACTTCATTGCTATTAATTTAAATAGCTAGGGTCTTTCGTCTTGTAAACATAACAGTGGGAAGATCCTTATTTTACCCAACCACTCCTTCTAATGATCATATTCATGGTAAATACTAAAATCAATTTATATAATTGATGGATTTATAAGATAAAATATTAATAAAACCTCAAGAAATAAATAACAACAACATAAAAGTAAGAATAAACCCCCCCCCCCCCCCAAAAAAAAAAAAAAAAAAAAACAACTACTGACTAAGTATTTATTATCAATAGTCCTGTAATTATTATTGGGATAAAATTTATAATGTTCAAACTATGACAATACGTTCCCTACAGTTACTATTATCGTTACTATTATCATTATTATTATCATTAGTGATTTAATGGATAAAATTAACATCATTTTAGCATAATCTAAACAAATGGAACCGAGCTCCTTCACAACCCAATGTCGTCAATTGTAAAACCACCAGAAACAACAGTTGTGGCCAATGTGGGATTGAGTCTCGCTTCTCAAAGCTCTTCCAGTAAGTGAAATTAAACCTCCGCAAGCATGCCTTTTATGTTAGCCTCTTCTCTCAGAATAACGCCAACAACATTCAATTGGATATTTTTAGCACTGATTCAGCTTCAATAGCACACTAACTTGATGCAATATACCAGCACTTGGTTCTCTCTTGTCATTTGTTGCAAATACAGTCCAGAAACTACCAGTCCCGAAAATGTTAATAATTCAACAACTTTTACAATCACCAACATATTCTTGATGTGACATAGATGCTTGATTAAAATAAAATCAAGATGAACCCAAATTTTCACAGAGTATGCTGTTTATATTCTGTTTATATGCTCTTGATGTCCTTCAGAAGTCCAACTTTCTGTCGTGTTGTGTTTATAGCAAGAACGTAAAAGGCATCTTCACCACAGAAAACAAAACCCAATCAAAGTGCAGAACAGTGTAGCTTCTGGAAGAAAATTAATTGAATAGTTTTTCTAATAATCAGCTTGCACCTACTAACAACTATATTGAATTTCTAAGCTAAACAATTGCCCAGTTTAAATAATAAATATGTTCACTTAAAGTCGAAAATGAAACTGAATGCATTTTATTTCAAAACTGGCACCATCAAACAAAACAAAATGATCAACTTAACTACTTCTATTCCTGAATTTCAAGTGATGTTTCAACCAGCCTACTCTGCTTCTGACTTTTTTGAGCCATTCTATATATGTTCAAGAACCAATATAATCTGATTGAACAGATAGTATTTGTTCTAGCTCTATAATTTTTTCTATTTCCTTTGCTTTATAAATTGTATTTCTTTTCAAATAAATAAATTGTAAATTTTTTAATTTCGATATATTTTTAACATTGTAAATTTCATTCTTCAGCAAGTTTAATTCAACTAAACAGACCAAATTTGACAAATTCTGAATTTTATCAATCAAATTGCCACTAAGATTTAAATTAGTTAACTGAGTTAAACTCTTCAATCCATCAATTTTGGGAATTATATTTCTAGACAAGTCAAGATTTGTAAGATTAGCTAATCTATCCAAATTTTCAATTTTTCGGATTCTATTGTATGCTAAATTCAAAAATAATATATTAACCAATTTATCTAAATTTTATCTAAATTTTCAATTTTTTGAATTTTATTGAATGATAAATCTAAAGATGATAAATTAACCAATCTATCCAAATTTTCAATCTTCTGAATGTAATTATATTTTGAAGCACACGAGCCATCCAATGAAAACGCGGTCCATCCCAGTGGTGTATTAAAAGCCATTCAATGAATTTTTGGCTGGATGTTGGATGGTATCTTTACTCGGCTTTATATCAGAATAATTATCAAGGGATCAAAATTTTGAGAGACAGGTTTAAACTGGAAATATCATTGAAGATAATTTTAAAGAACAAATTGAAAAGCTTCAAGTTTATTTTAAAATTTATTTGGTGTTTGATAAAAAGGATAGTTTTGAAACATAGTATTGCTAAATAAGGTATCGAATTTTACTGTTTAATAACGGTATAATAGCACCGCTGTTTATTGAATTTTATTGATGCAATGCTTTATTTCTTTCGATTACTGAGAGCTAGGGGTGATTAAGATGAAAACGGTAGAAGAAAATTATATTAATAGAATAAAATAAAATAAGACAATAAAATAAAAGAAATAAAATAATAAAATTGAGAGACCTTAAAAAAACTTGATCGATAGTTAATCAATAAATTAATAAAGAATTAAAAAGCTTTTCAAAATGGGTAAATAATATAACAGGGGTGAGAGTAAAGATATAAAAAACAGCAATGAAAACAGACTAAAGTTTAGATGTTAAAAGATAAATGTTTTTAAACATCTTTTGATTCAACCTTTGAAGTACTTTTATTTTCTGGTTCATTAGTGCTGTTGCTACCGCTAAAGTATTCAACGTTACCAGGATTGTAGTAACCAGAAGTGGTACCAACGAATTCATCAACAGTTTCAGCCATTTCGTACAAGTCCATACCCATTTCTTCTGCTTCTTCCGAAGCTCTCATTTTCAATCCTGGGATTTTATCGATACCAAAACAAAGAATATAAGTGACACAGAAAGTGTAGGCGGTGATAGCACAAATACCGGCGATTTGATAACCCATTTGTTCCCAGTGGTGCCAGATCCAACCACCAGCGATTGAACTTGCGCCATCTAAAGCAGTGATATTTGGAGAAGCTAATAAACCACAGCCAACGATACTTCCGACCATACCACCAATACCATGTAAGTTAAATGAGTAGGTAACATCATCGATACGTAACCATTTGTTGACACCATAAGTCAAACGACAGGCAAGAGCAGTAACGATGGCAGTGATGGCAGCACCCCATGTGGTAACGAAACCACAACATGGAGTAATGGCGACTAAACCTGCAATGGCTCCATCACAAGCAGCCATAATAGACCATTTGCCAGTAATTAAGAAATCTGTGACGGTAAAGGTTAAACAAGCAAAAGCAGCAGCAAGTTGGGTATTGGCCATAATGTAACCTGTTCTTAAGTTTACAGAGATTAAAGTACCAGAATTGAAACATAACCAGGCCATCCAAATGAGAGAAACACCAACCATTGTGGTGACAGGAGAGTGAGGTTTCAAGTGTGGAATTTCCTTTGAGCCATCTTTCCATTCTTTTCTTCTACCTAAAAAGAAAGAATAAGACAAAGAGGCAACACCAGAGGCGATATGGACTGGACCACCACCGGCAAAATCCAATTCACCTAATTTGTATAGCCAACCGTTACCACTCCAGGCCCAGTAAGCTAATGGACAGTAAACGATAGTAGCCCAGAGGAAAGCTAGGACTAGAGAAGGCAATAGTCTACCTCTTTCAGCGATTGCACCCAAGAAAATTTGTACGGTTGCGATAGGAAAAAAACAAGAAAAAGTGAAGTAAATGATAGAAGGAATTGAGCCATCTTCAAAGAGAGGGCCTTCATCAACGTTTGATAAAGCACCCATTCTGAAATTTCCAATAAATTCATTTGTAGAAGTAGTTGAACAAGCTAAGGAATAACCCATAAGATACCACTGAATGGTGATTACTGATGTGACTAAATAAGTTTGAGTCAATAACTGGATGACTGACTTTCTTCTAATCATTCCACCATAGAATAAACCAATTGCTGGGGTAATTATAAAGACAGCAACTGTACATATCATAACATAGGCCATATCAGCAGCGACAAAGGTAGCAGTAGCCTCTTCTAAATTTTCGAGTGCTCTTTTTTGTCTGAGTAGCACTGCCGAAGCAAATGCACTATTTTGGTAAGTCATTTTGAAAGTGTGATATTACTATAAAGGATGATTAATGATTTACAGTATGTTTGAACAGATCACCGAAGAGCAATAGACAGGAAAATGAAAAAGCTGATACGAAATAAAAATAAAAAGAAGATGGAAAAAGAAAAATAAATGAAGAATCTGATCTTATATATATCAATTTTGAATATTACAAAAAATATTGAAAATCAGATATTATAATAGTGCTAGTGGTTTTAATAATTTTAGTTCTTTCAGCAAAAAATTAGAAATAACAATAACAAAAGGGTTCAATCAATGCCTGCATTCATTCATTCTAGATTGGTGTCAGATAAGCAAAGCCAGGCCTCAGAACCTGTGCTAACAGGACAAACGGTATAAATGCTGAGGGAAAGAAACGCAACGTAGGTTCCCATTGGTTGTCTGCGATTTGCAGCGCGTGCATGCTTGTTTAGCTTCAACGCAGTAGGGGCTTGGCATAGATAAGCTAAACAGTGATGGTAAGCTAGGTGCAGCGTAGGAGCCTATCAGCTGCGAGCATCCCATAGAAAGCTAATAGGATTTAGAATAAAAAAATAAAATAATATAAAGTTCAATACATCTCATATTCCAAGTAGTTAGGGTTTCAGTTCTTATCAGTCAAAGTGGTGTTCTTGCTAAAGAACTTTTACGACTTTGTTACTAAAAAGTGCTTGGAATTTTGGAAAAAAATTAAATAGAAAGCGAATAATCGCTTTAAAAAGCAACATTACATAATTTTATTAAATAGCCATCTGTCTAGCTGGAATACCAGCCAGAACAAATCCCGTTTTGAGCAGCTGTATTAGATAAGCAGTGTATGTGTGTCAGCAGACTGCACTCACATTGCTAAAGACATAATCTTGAATAGATAGGGGAATTGAGCAAATAAGACTTTTTGTTTCTTGGTATAAGCTCAGCTGTTATCTATCGAGCCGTTAAGTTTTGCCATCCAGCACCCACCATGGTAAATCAGGGCTGGGGAAAGGTGCAGTTAAAACGTTCCCGAATTTTTCACCTTATGTAAAAGGACAATTTGAAATCCACAGAATTATTGCTGAAAATTTAATTGAATATTATTTCACTATCAGCAGAAAAGCAGCGATAGCATATCCATTAAGGCAAAAGGTAAACAGAAAAGAGAAGGAATCAAAACAAGTGAGGGTTTTATGCTAAAATTGAGTTAAAAAAAATCAGATCCTTCTTTCTTTGAGTGAACAACTATGAAAAACTGTTTCCAGCTGGCAGCAAGCTCATTGAACTGCTCGATTGGGCAAAACCTTCCAACCCTGCCATCCGGTTGTTATTACCGCATCGAGACACTCTGACTGACGATCCCGTGACAGCCGCACCGGTCTGCGCACGTCGCAGACAGCCACTGCTTGGCCGGCGATAGGCAGGAGAAGCTAGAGAGGCAGACGTGACAGAACAAGGGTTGGCAGCAGAAGCAACGCTGTTGCTGGCAGCCGTGGCGACGGTGACGCAGCAGACGTAAAGGAGACAACAATAGGAACAATAGGAGCACAAAGCCCAGCAGACTCGGAGCAACAATGCAATGCTTGGAGGCACGTGCGGTCTGGGATTTTCCACTGCTTTATTCAACTACTTTAAGGTAAAAGATACCTATTGGTCGCTGATTCCTTTGCTACTATATCCATATTCTCATTCGTGCTTCCATTCATTCTCATACTTATACTTGGACCTGAACTGATAACAGCCGTATTCTGGCCCACTATGACAACTCCTTTGAATGTATCTCCCCTCGAATTGCACAACAACGACATCGATATTTCTCAACCCTTGGACGAAAATCAACCTCCTGATTTAATCTCGACCTATTTATCTCCAGTTTATTCCGCTCCTTCATTGAATTTAATACTCGATTATTACAGTCAATCGCAATCCACCTCGAACAATTTGGTCATCTGGAATCTCAAAAACCTTCTTGTTTTAAATTTTTTATTGATTTCCTATATATATTATCTTATAAAGGACAATTATCAAATAATCGGTATCAAAAAATCTCTTTTATTAAATTCAAATGCTAATCTATTCCATATAGCCTATTTTCTATTGCTAATCCTTTCAACGTTCTTGATTTTTCTTAAAAATTACAACAATTATTTTAAAAATAAGTCCAAAAAATTAGCTTTGAACAATGCTAGCGAATTGTTCATTAATATCAATTTGAATAATTTAATTTTGCTAAATGAAAAAACATTGTCCCATAAAAATTTATCTGATGAAGACCAATTACTATTGCAAAATTGCCAAAATGTTAAACTCTTTATCTACAGAAACGTTCCCATCGCTATCATCATCTTAAACCCTTATACTCAGGTCCCTGATTCTGACCAATTTATTGTCAAAATAATGGGTTTGAACGTTCGAAAAGTTTATAAAGACATTGGCTTGTACGATGATTTGATCTCCTGGGCAATTGAGAGATCTTTAACTTTAACCAATCTCTACAACAAGGATATCTTAAAAAATAAACATAGCGTCAACGAGATTAAATTGAAAAAGAATTTAATACTAAACATCAGTGTATACTCCTTTTGTAAAGTTATTAAGCAGTCCCTCTTGAAGAAAAAATTCAAATTAATCAAAAAAAATTACTTGCCAACTTTCTTGGGCTCTTTTTATAAAATTTCAAATGATAATTATCAACTATCAGTCAATCTCAATGAAATATCTTCAAGTTAATACAAGAATACAAGAATACAAGAATACAAAATAAGATAGTTTTATAATTTCTTGTAACATATAATAACCTGCACAATGTACTCTCTTTAATTCGCCTCGAATCCAAGGCTTTTCATTCAAACTGAATATATTCTCATTTATTTTCTCATTCAAGTTATTCTATAGAATTTTATAATTGTATTTATTCACTTATTTCCCTCCACTTTACCTATTACCTATTTTCATCGCTTTTAATGAACCTTTCTGCGTCACTCTATAGCATACCTGTAAACATCTCAATTCCTGATCAAACCTCTCCTTCAAAACATTTGGTTCATTGCAATAACTTTTGTATCTTCGCCAAATCACTTGAAATTGTTCTTATTGTTCTTCCAATACTCAAATACCCAAAGTGGACAGTTTTCCTACTCTTGTTCAATAACCAATCACTAAAATAACCAACCAATTGCTTTACCTATTTGGCTGCTTTTACTGTTTCCTATTAATCTCCTTTTTCATGTCAATGTGTCTTTCAATTTAGCTTTAGGTTGTTTTTCTTAAACACTTTTTCACTTTCCCACTTTTCAATCATCAAATCTCACTTCCTTTACCTTACAACCTATAACTTGTAACTTAATTATCACTGAATAGGACTAACGAGTACTAACGAGTATTAATAAGTATTGAAATTATGAGTAAATTTTAGGAAATATAATAGCCATTTACACTTTATTACTGTTTTCCCACTCAACTTCTTAATTTTCTCCATTTATTATTTGCTATTTTTACTATTTATGCTAATTTGTTTCAAATTTTAAACCAAAACAAAATTACTTTGTCATTCTAGTTAATATTTCACATTTTCTGCGTTTTTTCCTTTTTCAATATATTGAAATATATTGAAATGACATTTTCACACTCAATTTTATGAAAACACAATGAAAATATTATGAAAACACTATAAAAATAGCACTAAAAAACACAATGTTTTAAATATAACATATATAACAACCAGCTTCATCCTCTCTACACTCTACACTCTTCACTTTTTTTTTCTTTTTGATTCCATTGACAATTCATTCATATTCATATTTTAACTACAAAGATTAATCGTATTGTTCTCATAATCACATAACAATCTTTTCATGTCAAATTCAGAAAATAAAAATCATTATCTTTACTACCATCTAAAGAAATCACATTTAATCCTTGAAATTAATTCAACCCTAAATAGCTTGAAAAACTGTTTGAAAATTAATTTCTTTGAAGCTGAGTTATTAATTTACCAATTCAACTGGAACATTCACGATTTAATCCAAACTTTTCAAAAACTAGATTTAAATAATTTAAATAAAATCAATGAAAAATTGAATTTTTTCCAACACTATGGCATAATATCAATCGATACTGATGATACTACTACTACTACTACTACTAATAATAATAATAATAATAATAATAATAATAATACCAATAACGATAATGAAAATAAAAAAGGAAAATGCCTTATTTGTTTCGAGGAAAATAGAAATTTAATTGGATTAGATTGCAATCATAAATATTGCTACTCATGCTATTTAAAATATATCTTGGATCATTTTAATACCTACTACAATCCAATTTCTTCTTTAAGATGTGTCAATCCCAATTGTAAATTGAGAATCAATAAAGAAAGATTGATGGCCTTATTTAGTATCAATTCTAATATTAAAAACAAGAAAAAGATTGGTGATGGGAGAGATAATGAAAAAAAGAATCAGACTATTGAAACCACTAAGATTGTTGAGATTAGTGAAAGCACAGAAGGAGAAGAAGAAGATACATTTGATGGAATCGATTTAGCTGATTATAAATTGATCGAATATTATAATGAATTGCATGAAGCAAGTGATAAAAGAATATCTGGTGCAACTTATGTCACTAAAAATAATACTGACACTAAAAATAATGTTGATAACTATAATGATAATAACTATAATGATAGTAACAATAATGATAATGATAATGATAATGAATTGATGAAAGAACTTTTGAGGATTCTTGACAAATGGGATGATCTAATAATTCGTTATTATCTAACATTCAAAAGTGGAATCAATAAATCTATTAAATACTGTCCATATGGATGCGATAATCTAGTTAAATGTGTAAATTACCATGATAATCTTGAAAGAGATTTAAAACTCCAAGCAAACACCAATAATATCAATATCATTGATATTGCTAATAATGATAATAATAATAATAATAGTAAAACTGCTAATAAAAATCACAAAAAAAGGAAAATTTTAAAACCAATATATGTTAGCTGTGAAAGTAATCATATTTTTTGTTTTAAATGTGGTGAGAAGGATCATAGACCATCAAGTTGTTTTTCAACAGAGTATAAATCAGAAAAGAGAAGTAATAAATGGAAGTTCAGATTTACAAAAAGATGCCCCAATTGTTATATAGTAATAGAGAAAACTGGTGGTTGCTCACAAATGAAATGTCCAAGCTGTCAAGTCAAATTTGACTGGAAAGATTCAAAATATTTTGAGATACCAAGAAATGAAGAGAAGTTTTTCAGAGAATTGATGGTAAAAAAAGAAAAAACAGCTAGAGTTAATATAAAAGCTCTAACAAATGGCAATGGTGATAATAAAAATAAGAATGAATACGACAATCAGAGTTTTAACGACTCTGAAATCGATTTGGAGAAGAATTTAGAGGAAACTGAGCATAGTGAGATACAAAATGGAAATAGAAACAAATACCAAATAATAGCTACCAAGTTCCTTGATTGTATGTTGGAATTTGATTGGAATTTGATCATTTTGTGCTTTTTCTTCCCATTGCTAGTGATAATCTTTGGCTATTCAATCTTTGAAGAGGTTTTATGGTTGTTGATTCTTCTGATAACGTTTTTGATGACCATACTTTATATCAATCTTTTCAACAACTTCCATGAGTATTCCATAACCCACAACATTCAAAACTCGAAAGCCCATGGATACCATGCCAGACACGACTATATATTCAAGACATTCATGATAATTCTAATGGTTGCTGTGATCAGTATGGGATTCAGCAGACAAACCCTTTGGTTAGCAGTGTTCATGACTGTGTTGTTGGTGTTGTTTATTGTAGTTGCTGTTTACAAGGACATCAAAAGACGCCGCCACTTGATATAGGTAGATCCATACTGGTGTGCACTTTATTCCTACTCGTTTTTTTTTCATTCTCTATATAAAAATGTTTACAATCTATGGCTTTCTGAGGCAAAAACAGCAAAAACAGCAGAAGAGGCAACGGATTTATGATTTCCGTGCTTAGCTATCACGGACACATTTCCACCCAGCGAATATCAACTACGGACTAATCCGCGGACGACGCGTGCTTTATTTTATTTTATTTTATTTTTTGAGAAAGACGCGTTTTTCCATCTGCTGAAATTACTTTTCAATTTCTCTCTGTGGTTTTTTGATTCAACTCAGCTAGAGAAAGAAACACATCGTTATTGGTTCTTAGGTGTCTTTCAAAATGTCAATTGTTTCTTTGCTTGGTATAAATGTTCTTAACAATCCTGCTCGATTCACAGATCCATATGAATTCGAGATAACCTTTGAATGTCTAGAGCCCTTGTCGCAAGATTTGGAGTGGAAACTAACTTATGTTGGTTCATCGAGATCATTGGACCATGATCAAGAATTAGATTCTATATTAGTTGGCCCGGTTCCAGTGGGTATCAATAAATTTTTATTCACTGCTGATCCACCATCACCCGAGTTGATTCCAGCCAGTGAGTTGGTCTCAGTAACTGTCATTTTGTTGTCCTGTTCGTATCGTGATAGGGAGTTCGTGAGAGTCGGTTACTATGTTAATAATGAATATGATTCCGATGACTTACGCGAAAACCCTCCAAACAAAGTGCAAGTCGATAATGTCGTTAGAAATATACTAGCTGAAAAACCTAGAGTGACAAGGTTTAACATAGTTTGGGACAATGAAGATGAAAATCAAGAGGAATTTCCACCAGAATTAGAACAGCCTGAAGCTGACGATTTAATAGATGATGAAGACCAATATGGTGCTGATGAGCAAGAAGATGAAAATGAGGATAACGACGAAGAAGACGAAGACAACGAAGAAGAAGCCGAAGAAGAAGACGAAGATAACGAGGCGGATCGTGAAGCAGATGATGAAGATGATGAAGATGATGAGGACATTGATAATGAGGTTGACGAAACCGATAATATTATAAATCCAATAAAGGAGATTGATATACCGAAGGACGATATTAATATTAATATTAATATTAATAATGATACTACTAACAACAAAAAAAAGAATCATATCATAGAGGATGAAGATAATCACATAACTAAAAAAAGAAAGATAAATAAAAGTTCAAATAAAGATGAGATAAATACAGTTTCAACTCCTGTCGATTCAAACTCAATTACAAATGAACCTTTATTAATAAATACTGATGCAATATTGCCTAATTCAATAAAAGACTCAAACAATGATTCCAATAATAATAGTGAAAATCCAATTCAGGTAATGTGATGTTAAAATTTACTAATTTTTAATTTTTATTAATATTTATTACAGTTTGTTAAACAATTTTTATATAAAACTCTTGATTATATATCTATACAATTATAATATAATTTATTTTATTTATTTACATGTAATTAAACTATTTTCTCCAATTTTCTCCAATTTTCTTAGATTATTTTCTTAGATTATTTTCTTGGATTACTTTTTTTTTTCATCAATTAGCCATTTCCATACTATATCTTTTTGTTTGATATTTATTTTATTTCTTCTTGATAGTTGCATTTTCCTTAAAAAGTGTAAATTGTTTAATAATTTCCATTTAATTATGCTTGTTATTTTACTTTTTTTTAATTTATTTTTTTTAGTATTTAAATTTGTATCTGTATTTTTAATAATTTTTTCATTTAAGGTATTATTGCTATTATTATCAGTATTAATACTATTATTAATGTTGTTAATTTCATTTATTTTTTTTTCCTTTTCTATTAAAGTCTTTGAATCTATTGGGTTTGTTGTCGCTGTTGGTATATCTTTAAATGATTCTGATTCTTCTAATTCGTTAATGAAATCTCTCTCTGATTTACCCAACATCATTGTTAGTTTTTGAACAGTTCTTAATTTATTAAAACTTATGGCCACTATACCAATTGCAGATAAGATTGATATACCTACAACTGAACTGAAACCGTAAATTGAATCCTCTATGAAGTTTTTCAAATTCATTCCATAAAATGCAGGGATTGTAGTTGCAACAGTGAATCCTAAGGTGTAAATGGTTAGTTTCAATTCATATAACATTAGAGAGTTTCTATTGGCATCCAAAATGATGTTTACAATTTCTTCGGTTGATTTAATGTCAGATATCAAAGAGCCAGCTTGTTGGACAAATTCGTCACATTGTTTATAATAACTTTCAATTAACATTTCGATTTCAGTGAAATTTTCATTGCTATTAGCCATATTGGGATTATTATTATCAGATAGATACATTTTTTGTAAATCTTCATCATTTTCTAATAATTCGTCTAATACTTCTCTGATTAATAAAGATTTTTGATAGTATGCAGTTAAAGATTTAGAATTGATTAATAAATTCTTTAGTTTGATTCTATCGATTTGGTTTTCTAAATCCTTCAAGATTGAGGATGAAACTTTTAAATGATTGTTTAATTCAGTTTCTAAGGAAGACATGATATTTATTAGGATTGTTTCAAGGACTCTAAATTCATAATTTTGATGATAATTTTTGTTAACTTTAATTTTAATCTTGTTATTCTTATTAGTGGTGTTGTTTAGAGTAGAAATGAATGATAATTTGGAGGATTCCTTTAAACGATCTTCCAAATCATACATGAATAAACCTAATTTTGAGATTGAGGATTGATTTGTTGGAGATATATCAAAGATCATTACCTGGTTTTTTTGAATTATAGCCTTTATGTATAATAAATTTATAAGGATGCAGTTTTTTCTAATGACAATCGAGGGAACAATGTCTACAGCTGAGGTATCAATGTTTCTTAAATCTCTTGGGTATAAGTTATTGTTTTCTAAAAAGGACATTTTAGGAAATTTTTTTGAGATTGCAGTTATGTTGCCATTGATATCAAAAATAGTGCAACTAACGTAGTTATTGTTTTGGTCTGATGAGTTTGAATATAAAGGGTAATGCGAGAAATTTTTTGAATTTATTGGGTTATGAAGCAAGTAATTTTCATGGTTTATTGATTCTTTATTGTCAAGGTTATTATTAGCTGGGGGTGTTTTTTTATTACTGTTATTATTTATATCATTTGGAGGTAATAAAGGAATAGAAGTCGACGGTTTTGATAAATTTATTTTTTCATTATCAATATTTGAGTTGTTTGAATTATGCACTTTTGCTTTTTTTTTTTTTTTTTTAGAGATCAAAGAAAGAATTGAAGGCTCAATTATATTTTTTGTTATCTTAATTTCATTTTTGGTACTATTTGGGTTATTACTATTGATCTCGTTATCGCTGGTGGTATCATCAAGAGAACTGTTATTAGTATCATTTCGATTTGCATTTACTTTTTTGTGAGAAGAGTAGCTTATAAAGCGAGAATAGTGGATTAATTTTCGGTGGTTATCAATACAGTGGATATTATCGAAGAAGATTTTTTTCTTAAAATTTAAATCTAAAGAATAATTTGAAATTATTTTGATCTGAGGACGTAAAAGATTATGGATCATAAGCGTAAAAAAAAAAGTAGCCAGATTGTTTGGTAATACAGTTGTACGTTAATTCGTTCTGAGCACTATTTGGAACCAGTGACACGATATATCCTTCATAAAACTAACATTATTTGGAGAGAAACAAAACCAATCAATGAATGAAAATTGAATTTGCCCAACCCAAAATTAAAATTAAAATTTTTTAAAGTGCTACCAAATTTGAAACCACGCGGACACAGCGGCTTTCCCAAACAGGTCACCCGACGTAAAAACGCCGACGATCCAATACACGCTATGTAACGCACATACACGCACAACGCACACAACGCACTCTAACAGAAAACAGCAGATAACAACAGCTACACGCGTGCACAAAACCGCAGAATACCGCATGTGATTACAGGCCACGTGGAGGCTGGTCCTCCGCGACGATCCGCGCACCACGGACGGATTTCCGCTCAACTCCGCAGACCCAAAAGAGCCATTTCGTGTTTAATCATCGTTGGACAATTTCTTTATATCTTCCTCTCTTCTCTTTTATTTTTTTCTTTTCTGCTTCGTTCTCTGCTTTGTTTTCTCTCTGCTATCCAAGCAGCTGCTGTGTCGCTTCCTTTGTGTGCTTTCAATTCTTCTCTGCTGTCTCTGGCGCTGTCTTTATCGCCCACTTTGCTTGCCAATTCATCTCCCACTAATTCCAATTCATCTCCCACTAATTGGCCTGTTCTGAGCAATTACCTGAAACATCATCAACCTCTGCAGTTTTATGGATAAAACGACATCTGTTTTACTTCTCATCAATTGAAATCTACCTAAGAAGAGAAATACAAACCCTATTGATCTTATTTTCCATTCTCACGCCCTCCAATCCTATCGCACAAGAAAAAGAAATACACAGCCATTTTCGTCATCTCTACTTGCAGGTAAAAAAAAATTTAAAATAATATAAAAAACAAAGCAAATAAAAAACCAGTAAAAATTTAAAAAACAGCAGCTAATTACCTGGTTGCTTCTACCAAACAAGACTTTTGTTACAATTTATATAATCCAATTTACAAATTTACAAATCCCTTCACTTTTCAATCTGCCTACTTTCAAACTAAAAAACAAACAAAAACATTTAATACTCACTTGTTACATTTAGATACATTTTTATTTTGATAGTTTCTATTATTCAAAGAATATGAAATATAATCTCATCACAATAATATAAACTTATAAATTATATTATTTCCAGTTATATCAGCAATTATATTAATTATACAAATTATATTAATTATCTTATACTCATCTCAAAATGGATTCCAATAATCAAAATTCCTCAGCTCAAACCCCAACAACTCATCACTTCTCCTTACATACAAATCTATCTTCTTTTTTTAACTCCTCTTCTTCAACTAATTCAATAAAAGATAATAACCTAATCAATATCTCAAACTCGAACTCTAACTCTAACTCAAATTACAATGATTCTGATATTTCCAACAACAGCTCTTCTTTGAATCCTAAAAACGCTTCCAATTTACTTGATAATGACAACATAAATGAAAACTCAAGCAATAGCAACAACAATAACACCAATATAAATTCAAATGATAACGATGATCCCAATCAATCATTGCTTGCTCCTCCCAAGCCACCAAGAAGATCAAGATCCTTATCTATAGGCAAATTATTTTCTTTTGGTATCAACATGGGAAGTAAAAATAACAGTCAAAATAATCAAAGTAACCAAAGTAATCAAAATAATCAAAATAATCAAAATAATCAAAATCATAATAATCACAACAACCACAGTAACCACAACAACCCTTCTCATATAGGCGAATTAAACCCAAACCATTCCTCTTCCTTATCACTCATAAGCTCAGACTCTCAATCAACTTCTGCTTCGACTATCAACCAATATCAACAGCAGCAGTTCATAAATAATCAATTAAATCCTGATAGAAGATATTACAATAAACCTTATAATCCAAAATTGCCTTTAAATTACAATATTCATAATATAAACAATCTTAATATCAGTACCAATAACAACACCAATAACAACACCAATACCAACAACAACAACAACAGCGTTCGTCCAAATTCTCCATTATCCCATCATTCTTCTCCTTCAAATGCATCCCTGGACTCTCAATCTTCTTCTTCAACATCCCCAAAGTCCTATCCACCCGTAAATACCACAAACAATAGCAATTACAACTTTCTAAATAATACCAACAATGTAAATACAAGCTTTGATAATAATATAACCCCAGGTTATGAAAAGAGTTCTTTTGATTTCGAACCGATTCCTGAATCAAATGAATTCGATAACAATAATTTAAACCAAACTAATATCTCCATAAAAATTCAAAACATGAATGATGATAATGATGATGATGTTGATGATGATGATGATGATAATATCAATAATAACGATAACGAAAACGAGTTATTAAAATCATCAATCTACACTAAATCAATAAAGCAATCAAATAATAACAATATACCTCCTCCTAGGAAAATATCTAAATTCAAAAGAATTTTTAAGTTTGCTTCTAGCAGTAATTTAGAACTAAATAATATCTCTTCATCAAGAGATATAAACTCTGACAACAACAGCTATAATCTAAATAATCCGGCCGATGATCTTAAAAATTTAAATGATACAAATAATAAACTACGTTCTGACTCGGTTTCTCCTTCGAAAAGCCATTTTGGTTTCCATTCCAATAAATCTGATAAACTAAAACAACTTGAAAAAGACACTATAAAGGAAAAATATAAAGACAAGGAATCCCAAAATCAAAATCAATATCAACATGACTCAGAGTATGAAAAAGAAACTGATAAAAAAAATCAAATTGAGAATGATCTTGACAACGAAAAACTCAAAGACAGTCAAAGTGCTAATCATCATTTTCTTGGTCATCATCATGAAATTTCTACCCATTCAGATAAAACTCAATTCTCTTCCAGCTCTTTAAAAAACGTTGAAAATCCTTTCGATAGCGTACAGCAGGGCGCTATCGATAACGAAACCCCAAATAATGGCATGAAAAAAATTGACAATAATAAAAGTAATAATAACACTGAAAACAATGATGATAGCAATATTAATAACTATATCAATAAAACTGATCATGATGAAAATGTTAAAAATAATAACAATTTTATTAAGAATAATGATATTAATAACAGAAACATTGATAAACCTCTCAAGTTAAACACAATCACAAACTCACCTGCCTCTACTAATAACATTTTTGATGTTCTGCTGCAAAACATTCAATCTAAGGAGTCGTCCAAGTTGATTCAAAGATTAAGGCGAATCCGTTCCCCTTCATCTCCTGCTTCACCCCAATCTCTTGGTTTGAACCTTAGTCAACAATCACAATCAATTTCAAAGCCATCACAATCTTCTTCAAAATCAAGTAGCCGTTTTTTTCTGAAAAATAAAATCAGCCAATCAACAACAAACATTCATAATAACAGTAATCAAAAACACCATTTGAATTTGCTACAGTCTGTTCAAGCAGCTCATAATAATCAAATAGATGGCAATAATAAGCTTTCTAAAGAAAGTTCTCATGATTTAAGTGTGATATCCTCTAATCCCTATTTTGTTCATCAGGGATTGCCACCTCATTTACTTGATCAAAATAATGATTTAAATGATGAAGAGACTAACTCTATTGTTGAATCAATTTCAAAATCCAAGGACACTGCTAAGGGCCCGTTGGCTTTTGCATTGAAAATTTTATCAAGAGACGAAAAAGAAAAAGACAAAGAAAAGGATAAAGATAAAGAAAAAGAGAAAAACAAAGAAAAAGATAACGAAAAAGAGAAAGTGTCAAAATTTTCTCGAAAACCAAAAAAAAATTCTAAAAAATTTGAACATGAGAAAAAAGAACTCAAACAAGAGATAAGTGATGTTGAGCTTGAGCCTGAAATTATGAATGATATTGAACCCGAACACGATGATAATGACAATCATTTAAAACTTCCAAACGGTCATGAGACAGAAAATAAATCCAGGGTTTCGTCCAATTCTTCTATTTCGAGACTAAGAAGGGTTGCTTCTGCACCTCTAGGACTTAAGATTTTAGCAGGCGAATTACCTACTTCTTTAGAACCAGATACAGAACCTCATTGGCATCAAGTATTGTCCAACAGAGAACCTAATGTGGTAAAGACAAATGAGCACATTGGTGAACTTAAAGGCAGACCTAGAAACAAGTCTTTTGGTAGGATGTATTCTTCAAGCTCTACAAAGGTTTCAAGTCTTCAGGTTGCCCCACAATCATTTGAAAAAATCCGGATGCTAGGAAAAGGAGACGTTGGTAAAGTGTTTTTGGTTCGTGAAAAGAAAACAAACAAGCTTTATGCAATGAAGGTCTTGAATAAAAAAGAGATGATCGAGAGAAACAAAATAAAAAGGGTGTTAGCAGAACAAGAGATTTTGTCAACATCTAACCATCCTTTTATTGTCACTCTTTACCATTCTTTTCAATCAGAGGATTATCTTTATCTTTGTATGGAGTACTGTATGGGTGGTGAATTTTTTAGAGCATTGCAAACTAGAAAATCTAAGTGTATTCCCGAAAGCGATGCCAGATTTTATGCTGCTGAAGTTACAGCAGCTTTAGAATACTTGCATTTAATGGGATTTATCTACAGGGACTTAAAGCCAGAGAATATTCTTTTGCATCAATCTGGCCACATCATGTTATCTGATTTTGATTTATCTAAACAGACAAATTCCAACAAGAATCCTACAATTGCCAATGTCAATAACAATGGATTCAACAATGGCAATATTCCAGCGTTGGATACGAAAACATGTATTGATGGTTTTAGAACGAACTCATTTGTTGGCACTGAGGAATATATTGCTCCAGAAGTTATCCGGGGCCATGGACATACCTCTGCTGTTGATTGGTGGACGTTGGGTATTTTAATTTTTGAAATGCTTTATGGTACAACACCGTTTAAGGGAAGCAGTCGAAATAAGACATTTACTAATATACTCAAGCATGATGTTGTGTTTCCTGATTCTTCCACTTCTTCATCATCCATTCAGTTTAATGCTGATAATGGTTATAATCCCAACCAATCGTATCAAAACATCACCCCAGGTTGCAAAAGTATAATTAAAAAATTACTAATTAAAGATGAAAATAAACGGTTGGGATCCAAGTTGGGTGCCGCTGATGTTAAATCGCATGCTTTCTTCAAGAATACTAGATGGGCTCTTTTGAGAAACCAAAAGCCCCCAATGATACCTGTTCTATCAAAAAACCAGCCCAATTCTAAAACTAAGAAAGAAAGTGAAAGTGTTGATATTTCAAATGGGAAGATTATCAATAGAATGAACAGAAAATCATCAGAGAAACTAGATCCTTTTGAAGATTTTAGCTCAATGACATTATTGCATGGAGGATCAGAAGACCCTGAAGAAACAATGATATATGAACAAGGAGCAACTTATACAGGGGTTGCTTATACAGTTACATCGGCTAGTGGAGTTAATGACACCTCCCATGCATCTAAATCATCTCATAAAAGTTTCCTTAAGAGATAATCATAATTATATTGATAGCATATTTTTTTCAATTTATTTTAACTTTTTTATCAAGGATTGTTTTATTAAAAATTTATTTTTTGCTAGTCGTTAAGTTGTCATCATTTTGATATAATCATTTTACTTCACACCCAATTAAATATTCATACATTGAAGGAAAACTAAGAATTCACTTCCTTATATTTTTATTTTGTTTTATTTTATTGTTTTATTTTTAAGTTTTTAAAAATATAGTTATTCACACTCGTTGATTCTTTTTTTTCTTCTTTTGTTTATGCTTTTCCTACGTTTTTTTCAAGAAAATTGTGAAAAGGTAAAAAGTTAAAAATTGAAAACTTAGGATTTTTTCATTTTAAATGTCTTTTTAAACCGTTGAATTTTTATTTTCATTTATATATTTTTATAAGTATTTGAATTATTTTTTTTTTTTGTAATCATTATAGCTCTCATAACCATTTATTATGTTGTTTTCCAAAATAGTTTTATGTTGATTCATTTTATTTTATCCATATCAATAAATTATTGTTAAAAGTATATCCTAGGAAGAACAATTAAGAAAAATTAGGTGATTTTTAAAAAAGAATCTTTAATAAATTTATCTAATATCCAAACATTAACCAAGAAGAAAAATACAGAAGAATAGAATATATTTGGATAAAAGACATTTTTACCTAAAAATTCTAAATTATAAGCATTATATAACCAAATTGTTTGGGATGTAACCCAAAAAAACAAAATAGAAAGACTCTTGAGTAAATTTTTTTTCAACAAAAGTGATGAGTTTAATAGAAAGAATGGTAAAAAAATAATATACCAAATGAAATATTGGGAGGTTATGACTTTGTTATAAGTGACAAAGGTAAAAGTTTGTAGAAATAATGAGTTTAGGAAAAGATAATTTTTTGATATTAAATTGAGCTTAATATTGGCATTGTTAAAATAGTTCAAACAAAAGGGGATAATTATAATTGATAATAAAATTTGTGGTAGAAATGAAATTTTAGAGAATAAAAAGTTTTGGATGGTATTTGGATTGATAGAAATGTTGGAGTTGAGTTTAAAACTATCACTTAAAATGTAGGATTCAAAATATAGCATTATATTGTATAGGGAAAAATTATGACGATGGTCAATTCTTGTTAGATGATATAAATAAGTGTGGTAGAGAAATTGATGACCATAAAGATTATACATTAATAAGTTTAATGAAAAAAGGGATAATATAGTTGAAATGGCTAATTTCAAAGTTGATAATTTGATCAAATTGAATGGGAAAAAGAAGGAAAGAGTATTTTTCTGGTTATTAATTTCCAATTGGGAAAGATATATAATCGAGGTTGGTAAGTAAATAATTGGATAAATTTTGAAATGAATCGAAAACCCCAACAAAAGCCCAGAAACAATATACATTTTTTTAATCAAGAGATAATAAATAAAGGATAATACTAAGATTGATAGTACGCTTTCACATGAACCCCTTGTACTTATGGTTATAACCATTGGATTTAATAGCCAAACTGAAGTTAAGGCCAAAATCAAATTTTTACTTTTCGAGTCTAATTTTTTGCTGTTATTATTAGTAGCATTGTTAAGAACCAAGTGATTTAATATTTGATAAATCAAATAACCTGAGACCAAATCAGCCAATATGAATAAAAATTTGCCAAAAGAAAAAATTAGTAAATTGATCAATTCATTATCAAAATTGTTCAAAGAAGTTGGTAACAAAACCCAGCTCAACAATGGAGTGTACCTATAGGTTTCTCTTTCATATGGAGACAACCCATTAAAGACAAATCTTGAAGCATCAGTAAATACATAATAATCGATATCAGTATATTTGACTTCCATTGTTAAATCTTGAAATAATCCAAAGAGAAAAAATCCAATTCTTAAAAGTGTAGCAAGAATCATAAGATTCTTGAGACTGAACAAGGAGTCCCAGCTTTTCATCATCTTGAACCTTTGGAACCCACACCAACAGCAAAAAAGAAAGAAGATACAGAAAATAAAGATGAAGAAGATACAGAAAATACAGAAAATACAGAAGATATAGTCGGCATTTTAATCACTTCCGGCCTTTCTTTAACCGGTTTCGGTTGCCGCACAGCTCCGAACTAAGCCAACAGTCCCAATTGAGAAATACGGTAGATTTTTCTGAATATTCAATCAAAAATTGTTCATCAACACTGAAAAAATGTCTAATTTTCAAAATGATAAATCAATTATTATAGAAAGCATATATAATTTAGTGTAGAATATAAAAGAAAATGTTTTAAAGTTCTTTCAGGTAACAGGCGTAGAGCGTAAGAACCTAAAACGGTAGAAACAGAAGATCATAAGCATAAAAAAAACATTGTGAATTTGAATCTTTCTGGTTAATTAAATAGTGTAACTTAGGTTTCCTTCTAAAATATAAATGTTATCAATTACTCGGTTTCGGCCAATATTTGCTTTAATTAGTTAATCGAGTAAAAACAAAATTAATGAATAGATAACTAGCATTGATTATTGTAGATTACGAATGTCATAAGATTGTAGGTTAGGGTTATTATTAAGGATTTATCTATATGATTATTAAAAAAATACATTAAAACAAAACAAGATAATCAAAGCTATTTATATTAAATAAACCAATTAATGATTTATTTGTATTTGTGAAATTTCGGTTATAAAGCATAGTTTTGCATTTTGGATTTGCAAGACATAATTGTATCAGGTATTTAAGTTGTTCTAAAGAAAGGAAAATAGTTTAAAAGAATTAGTATTGACATGAACATGGACATTAAGATGAACATTGAGATAGGCATTGAGATGATAATTAACATGAACTTCAGTGCAATAGCAGAAGAGTTGCAGTTTGCGATTGTGTCGCAGTGTCCTGATTTCTGCGTCCCGATTGCTGCGTCCTGATTCTCGTTTGACATCCCAGGTCCACAAGTACAAATCCGTGTTCATATGCACTTCACTGCACTGTTGCACCACATACAGACACAGTAAAACATGCACGTCGGCTTTCGTGTCTGGTTCTCGCCAGGTCTGAGACCGCGAACATTCCAGCACACCGCTCTCTTGTCCGGACTTCAATCTCCTACAGCAACCCAAACATCACTCAAAATACCGTCCGCTTAAACAACACATCAAAACACCAAGATAAAAAATACAAAATACAAACTATAATGAGGCCAAATATAATACTAAAGTAGAATGGAATGGAATATAATATAAAATAATGTGGTATAATACAGTGTGGTATAATACAGTGTGGTATAGTTGAAATGGCAGAGATATTCAGACATCATGTGTTCTCTTGAATCTGTAATCTGGTTGAGAAGATGATTCTCTTCTTCGTTGGGTTGTTCTGTTTATTTGGTCTGTTGACGTTTCTATTAGTGTTGCTGTTGTTTGACTGAGTGAGATTTGTGAATTAGGTTGTGGATCTGGATGGAGATCGGTAGTGGTTGGTAGAGTGATTGCAATGTTATCAGTAGGGATATTTGATGATAAAATGGGTTCCCGACTTATATTATGTGGGACAGGAGGAGCCAATGGGATTTGGATTTGGTGATCAGTGAGATTGCCAGTGGGATGGTTAATAATATAATTGATAGAAAGGTGGTGACTGGTGGATGCATCATTTGTGGCAGGTTGTTGGTCAATGAGCTTTTGATCACTAGGATGGCTGACAACTTGTGGCTTGTTGAGCGGATAATAGGTTGTGGCAGAGTGTTGAACCATAGACAAAACATTAAAAACTTGAGCATTAGTGGATTGTTGTGAGTTGGGAGAGTAATGATGAATAGCAGGATGTGGTAGAGGAATAAGCTGATGGTCAAGAGTAGGCTGATAATCAGAAACAGGCTGCCGAGCATTGGGTTGCTGTATAACAGGCTGCTGGATAACAGGCTGCTGGTCAATGAGTTGAACATTGGTGGTTGGCTGTTGACTTTCAGGATAATGACTAGGGATAGATTGTTGGATATTGGTATTGATAACTGGTTGTTGATAGATACGGTACTCGTTAGAAAATTGAGGGCCAACAGCAGATTGTTGATCAGGCAAGTTAATTTCTTGAACAGAAATAAAGTGCTGATAATTGGGTGTAAAGGTATTTGATGAGTGAGACAACTGCTGTGCAGTTGTAATTATATCTTGGATATTGTTAGGTTGTTGTTGTTGTTGTTGATCGTTCTGTGGATGATGATGAATATTCCAGCCATATATTGGATTGATATAGAGTGGTTGATGATATTGGTGAACATGATCAACAGGAGGATGGGATGGTAATTGTGAATAATATTGGTTATGCTGATTGTAGTTGTAGGTGAAAAGTGAATTGTTTGTTTGATGAGGTTGGTACGGATTGACTGAATTAAAGTTTTGATTTTGATTTTGATTTTGGTTTTGATTTTCTTGGAAATGTTGTCGCTGGCTATCTCTTATTTCCGAATCTTTGTTTTTGGGCGACCAAAATGACAAGTCTATGATATCGATATATTTGCCATTTCTTCCACGATTGTGACAAGCAACTTTGACACCCATGCAGCGGTCGCTTCTATCGTTGATATTCTTTTTACTAAACAATTCGGCGACAAGACTTTGGTTTTTTCTTTGACATTTTAACCAGTGTGTGCGTAGGTTGCCCTTAGTTGGTGTCAAATGTTTACAAAATAGACAAGCAAATCGAATACAGTCTGGAGGCGGATAATGTAATGGACGGTTGCAGCTTTGATCCAATGGACAATGATAATGGACAGCAGCAGCAGAACATCTATTTATACTGAAATGAAACAATAGGTCTATGAGTGGTATATTAAATACTTTACATGTATTGGTGCTATGCTGTGGACATGCATAAAGTACTTCTCCAAAGCCTTTTGGAATTTCTGTTATTTTGTAGAAATAAGGCACTATTTGTTTGGCCATTATGTTGTTGGAAATTGATGCTTGTATTGGTGTTGGTGTTGGTGTTGGGGCTGACGCTTGCATTGATATTGGCATTGATGATTCTGATTCCGATTCTGACTGTGACTGTGATTGTGATTTTGTTCCTGTTCCTGTTGGTGTTTTATTGGTGTTTTTATTGGCGTTTCTGTTTCTGTTTTTGTTTCTGTTTTTGATTTTGATTTTGATTTTTTTTGCTCTCACTCTCTCTCACTTTTTTTGTTTCTGCTGGTACTAATCTCAATGTTTCTGTTATTGTTTAATACCTGCTTTCTTGATTTTGGATTGAAGCTGAAATAAACGATAGTGTGCTATCAAAACAGAAGAGAGAAAAACATTGTTTTATATTTATATAAACAAAGAAGAGGAGTCAAAAATATGAACCAAGTAAAAGATCGGAAACCTAGAAGGAATCGCATTGTAAATGAATATTTAATGAAAATTTTGATCCAAGCAAAACGTCAAGTTGGTGTTTTCAGTATGTCACCAATAACTGTTGAACAAGTTAAAATCAAAGTCCAAACTTTATTAGCAAGTTTATGTAGGCTGATCACGCATGCATACTGCATGTAATTTCATGTTTCATTTTACTTTTTCCTGATTTGGTTTTTAGGTATTCTTGTCTCGGTTTGTGCGAAACATTTTCACTAATCTGATGTTGGATATGGTAATTTGGGCAATAAAGGTATGATTATTTTTTTATTATTCACACACTTTCTCTGCAGAAAAAATCAGAAAAAATCAGAAAAAATTATTTATTTTTTCGATAACTGATTTTTATTAAAGCATATTCAATTGTGAAATTACCTTTTTTTTTATTATGTCGTACGTTTGATTAAATTCATTATAACAAGGTTTTTAAAATCTTTTTCGGGTTGATTTTGGTTTTTCGGATCAGAACCTTGGTTATAAATTAAAAAAATACAATCCATTTTTCAATAAAATATTAAAATGTGAATGTTTGTTCTTGGTACTTTCAGCAGAAAATTTTATCTAAGATGGCAAAAACAATTTTCTTTGATAGCAAAAAAAACTTTATTAATATAAATTAAATAACTCACGATTGCTTTCAAGATAGACGGTTATAATTAATTAATTAGTAATGTTATTGGTTTACATTACGATAAATTAAAATACATTAAATAAATTTAAACAAGAAAAAGGATTCTATAGATTCTGTCGTCTCAGTGATCAGAGTAAATAAAATACAAGCCGATATTTTTCAAAATATATAAATACATATCCTTATTTTAATCATTAAAAAATAAATAATAAATGAAAATTTTTTAAAATAATTTTTTGAAATACGGCTGGGTTTTCAAAGTTATATTTTTTATCTTTGTTTTTCTGGATAATTTGAAAATATAGTTTACAAATACACAAAAAGTTTTTTGTGTGTTAATTCTCATATCATTAATTAGGGCAAAAATACTTCAATAACAACAATTAAATAAAACTTAAAGCTCAAAAAATTGAAATTTTGGTTTTTATCATAATAATATTAGTTGAAAATACACAGCTGAAGTTTATCTTAAAGCGCACATTCCATCGATTTAAAGTCCTTAAAAAATTATATAAAAGCATTCTGTTATCTGATGTATATGAAAAAAAATTAAATTTGCATAATTTATTTGAATTATTCAATAAACAATCTTAAATTTCAATAGCTGTTATCGAAATTGTAAATTAGTTTTATATTATAACAACTGCTAATAAATGGTAGAATATAGAAAATAAAATCAAATCTAATAAAATACAGAGTATTTTAATTATCTATCAGCAAAACTAAATTACTACATACCTTTGAGATTGAAATAAAACAGTTAAATTGCTTTATATTCATATTTTATAATTCAATCATTTCATTAGACCTAATACATTATTACTCGGAATATATCATGTTGAACCAAAGAAGAAAAAGCTGCATTTTAAGATTTAGAGTTTTGATGTCTTCACAAAAACTAAAAGAGCGCAAACTCTGCAGATCTTTAAAAAAAAGCTGACTGCAGCTCTTACAGCATATCGCAGGGTGTATTACTAAATAGGGCAACTTAAGACAGCCTTTGGTATCTGAACTTGTTGATAAGTTGAAAAACACCAATACAAGCATCAATTTCCAACAACATAATGGCCAAACAAATAGTGCCTTATTTCTACAAAATAACAGAAATTCCAAAAGGCTTTGGAGAAGTACTTTATGCATGTCCACAGCATAGCACCAATACATGTAAAGTATTTAATATACCACTCATAGACCTATTGTTTCATTTCAGTATAAATAGATGTTCTGCTGCTGCTGTCCATTATCATTGTCCATTGGATCAAAGCTGCAACCGTCCATTACATTATCCGCCTCCAGACTGTATTCGATTTGCTTGTCTATTTTGTAAACATTTGACACCAACTAAGGGCAACCTACGCACACACTGGTTAAAATGTCAAAGAAAAAACCAAAGTCTTGTCGCCGAATTGTTTAGTAAAAAGAATATCAACGATAGAAGCGACCGCTGCATGGGTGTCAAAGTTGCTTGTCACAATCGTGGAAGAAATGGCAAATATATCGATATCATAGACTTGTCATTTTGGTCGCCCAAAAACAAAGATTCGGAAATAAGAGATAGCCAGCGACAACATTTCCAAGAAAATCAAAACCAAAATCAAAATCAAAATCAAAACTTTAATTCAGTCAATCCGTACCAACCTCATCAAACAAACAATTCACTTTTCACCTACAACTACAATCAGCATAACCAATATTATTCACAATTACCATCCCATCCTCCTGTTGATCATGTTCACCAATATCATCAACCACTCTATATCAATCCAATATATGGCTGGAATATTCATCATCATCCACAGAACGATCAACAACAACAACAACAACCTAACAATATCCAAGATATAATTACAACTGCACAGCAGTTGTCTCACTCATCAAATACCTTTACACCCAATTATCAGCACTTTATTTCTGTTCAAGAAATTAACTTGCCTGATCAACAATCTGCTGTTGGCCCTCAATTTTCTAACGAGTACCGTATCTATCAACAACCAGTTATCAATACCAATATCCAACAATCTATCCCTAGTCATTATCCTGAAAGTCAACAGCCAACCACCAATGTTCAACTCATTGACCAGCAGCCTGTTATCCAGCAGCCTGTTATACAGCAACCCAATGCTCGGCAGCCTGTTTCTGATTATCAGCCTACTCTTGACCATCAGCTTATTCCTCTACCACATCCTGCTATTCATCATTACTCTCCCAACTCACAACAATCCACTAATGCTCAAGTTTTTAATGTTTTGTCTATGGTTCAACACTCTGCCACAACCTATTATCCGCTCAACAAGCCACAAGTTGTCAGCCATCCTAGTGATCAAAAGCTCATTGACCAACAACCTGCCACAAATGATGCATCCACCAGTCACCACCTTTCTATCAATTATATTATTAACCATCCCACTGGCAATCTCACTGATCACCAAATCCAAATCCCATTGGCTCCTCCTGTCCCACATAATATAAGTCGGGAACCCATTTTATCATCAAATATCCCTACTGATAACATTGCAATCACTCTACCAACCACTACCGATCTCCATCCAGATCCACAACCTAATTCACAAATCTCACTCAGTCAAACAACAGCAACACTAATAGAAACGTCAACAGACCAAATAAACAGAACAACCCAACGAAGAAGAGAATCATCTTCTCAACCAGATTACAGATTCAAGAGAACACATGATGTCTGAATATCTCTGCCATTTCAACTATACCACACTGTATTATACCACACTGTATTATACCACATTATTTTATATTATATTCCATTCCATTCTACTTTAGTATTATATTTGGCCTCATTATAGTTTGTATTTTGTATTTTTTATCTTGGTGTTTTGATGTGTTGTTTAAGCGGACGGTATTTTGAGTGATGTTTGGGTTGCTGTAGGAGATTGAAGTCCGGACAAGAGAGCGGTGTGCTGGAATGTTCGCGGTCTCAGACCTGGCGAGAACCAGACACGAAAGCCGACGTGCATGTTTTACTGTGTCTGTATGTGGTGCAACAGTGCAGTGAAGTGCATATGAACACGGATTTGTACTTGTGGACCTGGGATGTCAAACGAGAATCAGGACGCAGCAATCGGGACGCAGAAATCAGGACACTGCGACACAATCGCAAACTGCAACTCTTCTGCTATTGCACTGAAGTTCATGTTAATTATCATCTCAATGCCTATCTCAATGTTCATCTTAATGTCCATGTTCATGTCAATACTAATGATTTGCTACTGCTTTGGTTTGTTTATTTGTGCACTGAAGCAAAAATTTTAGACACCACAAAACTGACTCAATTCTAAATTTAATACTATCGCACTTGCATCATCCAAACGAAAAGATTAAAGAACTATTAAGATCTTATTTATTATACAAAAATAAGATTTTTCACGATTGAAATTTCATGCAAGTGATTCAATAAATAGGATTGTCTAGTCACCTGATTTATTTCGTATCGGGAGCTTATTATCTTTATCCATTGTACTTTTAAAAAAAACAATTATTGAAACAATTAATATCAAATGTAAATAAACAAAATAGTAATCATAACTGTAAATGGTTAAACAATAAAACAATAAATTAAATAAAAAACTAGATTAATAAAATACTAAATAAAACAAATCAGGAGAAAAGAAATTAAAATTAAAAATTAAGAAAAAATATTTACAAAATTTTTATTATCTAAAAATAGTTTATCTTCTAAGCAACTTATTTGTCAAATAGTTTTTTCTTATCTTCATCCGACAACAATCCAATCACATCTGATAGACTATTAACAAACTCATCACGATTAACTCTTAACAAATTGAATAAAGAATTTTTCACATACTCTTCTTTGAGATTAGAAAGCTTCTTTTCAATTTCTTTACCATTAATTTCCAAGTAGTTGGCAACTTCTTGATCATTTTCATAATCTAATGTAGCAGGTAACCAACTTTTTAATATAGCTATTTGTTTTAATCTTGTAGAGTTTTGCAACTCCTTTGCAATTTGTTTGAGAATATATTCTTCATGTAATCTTCTTCTTGTACGTAAGTAAAAGAAGCGTCTGGAATTTTCCCACTGCAATTCTCTTCTAATTGTTCCTCTCTTAACCATATGAGGAGTTCTATCATGCAAATCTGCAAATTGAACAGCAATTTGTGAATAGACTGGAAGTAATGCTCTTTCTCTGGCTTTCAATTTGGCTTGGATTTCAACACGTTCTGATGGATTTAATGACTCGCTGCTTAACTGTTTCTTGAGATCTGCATATGTTTTGTCTAACCTCTCCATGGTTTTTATTAATTTATCTGATCTGTACTTGATACCAGTCATACCTTGAGGTTCTAAAACACCAGCTCTAGCCTCAACATCCGCATACATTTCCATCATATCAGAATTGATAGTAGGATCAACAACAACCCATGAACCACCTCTTAATTCTCCAGTAGGAGGAATATAAATAAATGCTGGCTGTTTGTATTTAACTAACGCATCAACAATAAATGAACCATATTTCAACACCTCATTGAACATATCACGTTGACCACCGGAGAAACCTCTCCAATTGGCTAAAATCATCATTGGTAATTCTTCACCGTTGTTGAAATCGTTAATGGCTTGAGCAGTTTTAAAAGCAGAATTAGGATACCACACTTGTCCTGCTTCTTGAATTAAGACCTCTGTAGATTCTGGATTAGCTGGATCAGCTGGAATCAAGTTTTCCACTGTTCTGGCCTCAACTGCAATGACACCAAATGGTATACCTCCTAATCTGGCTCTTCCAACGACAACACCTTTAGCCCAGCCAGATAATGTTTCAGTGAAAGAATCTCTGTCAAAAAGACCAGATAAGTACTCCCCATCTTCTTCAACTTTACCTTCAATTAGCCATCTAGCATCATAAACTTCATCTCTGACAGGAGCATATTCAACATCTCTGTTCCAGGAATCGCTTTCATTTTCTAAAATAGGAACAGGTGCTCCTCTTTGCGATGGAACATATGATAGCCATTCCATAATTTTCTCGACACCCTCAAGATCATCAGCAGCAGTCAAATGAGAAACACCATTTCTGTACATAATTTGAGTACCTCCCAATTGTAAATTAGAACTGTAAACTTGTTTTCCTAAAAGCTTGTTGATAGCTGGAGCACCTGTAAGGATAATTGGCTGCCCTTCAATTTGAATTGCTCTTTGACCAAGTCTAACAAGATAGGCACCAATACCAACGGATCTGCATGTCACTAAACTGATTGTAAAGATATCATTATAAGCTCTTGAAGTTGCGCCTGCAATCAAACCTGATCCTCTAAGCGCATCAACACCAACACTCTTGCTGTGAATAGATTTAATAACATGACGCTTTTCGCCTTTATAAGTGACTTCTTCAGTGATGATAGATGAATTATTAGATTTAGCAAATTCTTCCTTACCTTCGTCATCCAAATAAAGATAATCAAATCCTTTTTCTGGTTTGCCTTCTTCATTCCATGACACTTTGAACAATGCAATCAACTCATCAGCAAGACCGATTCTGGCACCAGAATTGGCAGAAAGATAAATTCTTGGTAATCCAGTTTTTCTAGCAAATTCGGTGATTTTATTGAATAATACGTCTTCTTCAGGACCAAAAGAACCGATTTTGAAAGTGATATCGTTTGCAACAACTAGCAATGAACGGCCTTCAGGATATTCTGGAGTTTTCACGTCCAATTTAAACCCAACCATACCAATAGAATTGGCACCAGGTTCACGTTCAATGAAATGAAGTTCTGATCCATCATAAATAATTTCTTTGTAAGCGAAAAAATCAAATGGAATCTTAGCATTAGGTACATGTTTCTTCCATTGTGTTAAAACTGCCTGCTTGAATAACTCTGGGAAATCGTAAACATATGTTGTTCCCATAAGATGAGCTTTATATCTTTTGGGTTGCAACCATTCCTTGCCTGAGTATGGTGTATCAATGGCTCTCAAATGCATTGGTCCAGGTTGGGATGCAATTGATTTAAAGATCCATTGTCCTTCAGTATTTTTAACTTCAGTATAAAGTTCTGACTTGACAACAAATCCAGAAACGTTGTTAATAAATGCTCTTAATGGGAATGTAATACCCGAGTTTGGATCTGTACAAGTTATACGAATTTCAGCAGCTGTGATTCTTAATCTCCATAACCTTCTACCGAATCTTTCCAAAAACCCACCAAAGGCAGCTTCAACATCCTTGGGAGTGACATTGAAGAAAGCTGAGAAATTAATAAAAATGTGATTAAGATCCGAGTTGCTTAAATCAATAACACTTAGACTATCGAGAATATCAGACATTAAACGGTTAGCTTCAGATGTTAAATATTCTGCTGTTGAGATACCATCACGAATTCTACCTGTTCTGATTATACCTCTAGTAAAGTATCTTTTATCAACAGTTGAGTTTTTTCCAACGGCTTCATAAATATGGATGTTTCTGTTGTTTGTAAAAACTGGTTTGATGTTGAAATTGGACAATCTATTCAATTCCAATTGGAAAGCAAGTGCCGGTTCAACATGACGAATAACTGTGTTTTCCTGATATTTGGGACCTGTAAAAGTATAGTATTTAGGATATGATCCATCTTCACTTTCTAAAACAAATGTGATACGACGAATAGAACTTGCAATTAAATCTTCTTTAAAATCTTCCAAATATTCCTTTATTCTATCAAGTATTTCAGTTTCATTAGAATAACCTGAAACACTTCCAACAAAAACATTACAAATATTACTCAAAACACCTAGAGTTTCTTTTTTGTTTTGTGATCTGTTTGGAACTGGGCCTGTAAAAATACTGAATGTTTCACGTTTTGGAATAGACTCTAATGCTTTAACAATGTTTTCATCAATATCTTCAATATGAACACAAGGAACCAACAAACCGATTCTGAGGGGTTGTGATGAGTTCTTATCAACGATAAATGATAAATCTGACACAGATACAGCTCTACCCATAGGGGCTGATGAGCCTTCTTCTTTGGTTTTAAAGCCAGGGTCGACCATTTGAAATTTCCAGGAAATAAATGGGATATCACCAGGATAATGATTAATTTCGTTTATAGAATAAGATCTGTAAGCTCTTCTGATGTAAACTTCAGCTGCAGCCAATGCAACATAAGCGTCTTTATGATTCAAAAACTGTGTTAAAACATCAAAGACAACGTATTTGGAATCAATAACATCTTTTAAGATTTCCATTTGAGGCTTTCTATGAGAAACACCAATTTCACCATAGTGTGTTTCAACCACAGATGATTTTAAAATGTGTTCTAATTGGTCTGATCTTTCTTTAAATGTTGGTAAAGAACATTGAATTAAGATTTCTCTGGCCTTTAAGGCAACTTTAGCTGTGCTTCTGGATTCTAATTCTACCAATTTTCTTAATGGTTCTTTTAAGAATGATGACAATTCTGAAGATTGCTGACATAATGATTGGTAATGATTTAAGATTTCCAAGACCAAGTTATTTTTGGCAACAACACCAGAGTGACTTAAAACAACTTCAACAACTTTGTTAATATCTTGATTATCTCTAATTGATAAGATGACTTCTTCAACATCCTTTCCGATAAACAATATTTCAGTTTCATAGTATTTATCCAATAGACATGAAATTATTTTCAATTCATGAGAAAGCAATCCATTATAAAACTTATCACAAATATCAATTAAGAGTTTAACGGATTCTTTATCTTCAGGGTTTGTATTTAAATATCTCATGAGTAATTTTTTAAGTAGTTTGGCAGGGAATTTATTAGAAAATTTACCCTTTTCAACAATATGATTAATTCTTTCTACAAAGGATTGTTCTAATCTTGAGCTGAAATTTGATATTTCTTTATCCCAAGCACTGAAAGGTAATTGAGGATCTCTCAATGCAGATAATAAATCTTTGAAGCAACTCTTCATAACAACTTGGTTATCGTAACCTTGAAGGATATTTTCCAAAACATTAAAAACAGTTTTAAATTTATCAAAGGATTTAACCTCAGCAATTTTAGCAGGGCCAAAAGATCTTAAGGTGCCTTCAAATGGTTTAGCATGAACAACTTTAGTTGGATCATCGAGCGCTAAAATGGCTAAAATATCCCCAGCGTTAACAATAGAACCAGGTTGTTTCAATAAGGAAACAATACCATCTTCCGAGGTAATCAAGGGCATGACCATTTTCATGACTTCAACTTCGGCATAAGGTGCACCTGATTTAAGGTGATCGCCATCTTCGACTAAGTATTTGACCAACTTACCAGGGGAAGGAGTTCTTAATTGGGTTGGATCATTTTCGACTTCTAAAAGACAAGTTTTTGAATCTACGGATAATCTTGTGCTTTCAACTTCGTCTTTATAATAAACAGTATGAGAGCTTCCACCAAGAGCTACTAATAAACCGCCATCACTCAAAGGTCTTGCAATGACATCAACTTGAGAGCCATTAATAAAGACTTTGTAGCTATCGTTTGAAGTCTTTGCACAGGTGAATTTATATTTCATGTTGTCATAAATAAAATCAATTATGAAAATCGTTTTTAGTAATTCCTTTGGAGGAACTTGGCCCTTTTCTAGCAAGGATACATAGCTGTTTTTATTGATTTCACTTTGCTGGAAAGCTTTTGTAATGGCTCCACAAATGACAGCGATTGTTGGATCTGGTCTTTCGGCGGTTAATTTTTTTGATATTAATTCATCCAACCAGCCAGTAGTAATGGTGTTGTCTTCGAAATCTGAGGTTTCTAGTAGTTTGATTAAATATTCGACAGTAGTTCTGAAATCACCTCTAATGGACAATTCTTTCAAAGCGACAATCATGTGTTTTCTTGAAGAGGCTCTATTTTCACCAAAGGCAAAAATATGGCCAAACTGAGAGTCAGAAAAGGAATGGATACCACCGTTGTTACCAACAGAAAAGTAACCCCAAACGTTTGAAGAAGATCTAAAGTTCAAGTCGTGCAAACTACCACCAGATGGTTTGAAACCTTCATTTGGATCTTCAGAAGTGATACGACAAGCAGTGACATGACCCTTTGCAGTTGGTTTTCTTTGAGATTTCAAGGACTCTGGGTTATCAAAAGAAAAGTCTATTGGGGTTTGAGTGTGAGGATCGGCACCATAAAATAGACGAATATCCTGGATTAATTCCAAGGGTATACCCATTGCTACTTGCAATTGGGCAGCTGGTAAGTTAACACCACTGACCATTTCTGTTGTTGGATGTTCGACTTGCAATCTTGGATTCAATTCGAGAAAATAGAATTTATCATCGATGTGGGAGTATAGATACTCAATTGTACCAGCAGAGACGTAGCCAACCAAGTTACCCAAACGAACAGCAGCTTGTTCCATTTTTTGGAAAGTTTTTGGTTTGACGATAGTTACGGGGGCTTCTTCGATGATTTTTTGGTGACGTCTTTGAACCGAGCAATCTCTGCCAAAGAGAGAGATTGTGTTTTTGTATTGATCAGATAGAATTTGGACTTCAATGTGTCTTGCGTTGCCGGCCAATTTCATTATAAAGATTGGAGAGCCTGGGATTTCGTGGGCAGCTTGTTCATAAAGGCTGACAAAATTGTCTTCAGATTCAGCTTTTCTGATACCTTTACCACCACCACCTTCTGAGGCCTTGATCATTACAGGGAAACCGATTTTCTTAGCTTTCTTTAAACCATCTTGAGGAGAGGTGCAGCAACATTTGATATAGATTTCATCGTCGACTGAGACGAGACCGTTTTTTTCATTGATGTGTACCTGGTCAATGCCAGTACCAGACCAAGGAATACAGGGAACTTTAGCATGTTGGGCTACGATAGTGGAGGAGATTTTGTCACCGAGAGATCTCATGGCAGTTCCTGGGGGGCCGATGAAGATGATTTTTTTAGGAGAAGCAGCTAATTTTTCAGGCAATAAAGGGTTTTCAGAGGCATGGCCCCAACCAGCCCAAACAGCATCGACATCAGATCTTTCAGCGATATCAAGAATTAGATCGACGTTTGCGTAGTTGTTATTGTTGGTTCCACCTGGAACTTCAACGACTTGATCGGCCATTCTAATGTATTCAGCGTTTGCAGACAAATCCTCAGGGGTGGCCATGACAACGAATTTTATGGTTTTGTCGTTGCCAAAGGTTTCATAGGACCATTTTCGAATGGATCTGATATTTTTGACAGCAGCGATACCATTGTTGGCGATTAAGACCTTTTGTATAATAGTGTGACCGTTGTTTTTTATGACAAATTCCTTGAGAGCTTGGTCAATGTTCAATAGGTCTATAGAGTTTGGGTTATTTTTGATGGTGAATATATTTTTCAAGCCAATAAAGTCTGGAGAGAGGCTTTGGTGTAAATTTTCGTATTTTTGATCCATTTTAGTGTTGGTAGTATCAATTGTGTTGGCGTGATTAATTGAGTTTGAGGTAGCAGAGGAATATTGAAGAATTGAGTTTTCAGTTGAAGTTATATTACAAGAGATGTCCCTGGATTTTATGTTTGTGTGTTGTATTTGATTCGTGTAATAATGATAATTGTTGCGAATTGAGTGGATGGAAAGAGATGAGGAAGATGGAGGAGATGGAGGAGAAGGAGAAGAAACAAAAGAAGCAGAGGTGGAAGTAGAATAGGAAGAGGAGGATGAGATTAGGGAATTCTTAAGAGAATAAAATAAAAGAAGATTGGAATGATGAGTGTTAATATAATTAAATAGAAGAGAAGAATTTAAATTAAAGGGATATTTAGAGTATTTAATAGAATTTAGATTCGTGTAACATTTTATTATCATTTAAATAGAAGAAGAGAGAGAAAAAGAAAGAAAAGTCAACGAAAATTGATGAGATTGTGAGCTGAAGTTAAATTTCAGACTTCAAGAGCGAAAAAAAGAGAAAGAAGAGATTTTTGAGAGCGAGAGCGGTGATTTGATTGGCAGACGAGGGCTGGAGTTGTTGGCCATCGGTTGAGAGCGGTGAGGTCAGAAAGAAAACTGGAGCGAAAGCACGGGAATCCACGACAAAAGACTCCCGCCGCGCTGGGCCGCAAGCAGATCGCGCTTTTGTTGGGAGAAATTTCAACAAAAAACCCAACAGCAGCTAGGTCGGAAGCAGGCGCACACCAATAGGAGACGGCGTGTCAGGTGCCAGTGGGAGCGGAGGGGAGCGCTTTTGTATGGGCGTGCACATATACGAGGGTATTGCATGTGACCGTGCAGCACAAGAGCAAATCGGGGTGATGATTTCACTGGACGTGCAGAAATGGGCTCACAGGACAATCGAGGGCCAGGCCCGGATTAGGAAATGAACAAGATGCGTTGATGTTTATTAACTACACAAAGCGTAGAATGAAAATACGATAAAGAAACACAAAGCCAAACCAGATGCTTGACAAACAAGCGATCAAAAAAATAAATTAGTAATAAGAAAAGGGCTACCGACTGGTTGTAATGAGCAAACACAGTTCAGTAATAGCGCCGAGACTAATCAGCAAGAATAAAAAGCAAGTTGGGAAAATTAGATAAACAAAGCTGCAACAATACCAGCGCCAATAAATGCACCAGTGGACACCATATTCAATGGAGCGCCAGCTACAGAGCTGGCTGAAGAGGCCCCAGTAGTGCTGTCTTCACCTGCAGCAGAGGAAGAAGCAACGATGGTTGAAGTGATAGTGCTTCTACTAGATGATGATCCAGACGAAAATTCAGATGACGATCCAGATGAAAATTCAGATGAAAATCCAGATGATGCTGAAACTGGAGAAGATGAAACCGAAGATGGAGCTGAAGAAGAAACTAAGGATGGAGCTGAAGAAGAAACTAAGGATGGAATTGAAGATAAAGATTCGGTTGATAATGTGGAAGGACTGTATGTGCTTTCAATAGTAGAAGTGAGCGTGTGATCAGAACTGACACCGGCAATTGTTGATGTGAAATCGGAAGTTAACTCGCTGATTTCAAATATTTCAACCGACGATTCGCTTTCTTCAGAGGGACTAACTTCGCAAACGGTGGTGGTCAAAGTAGCTTCATAATCTGTGATGGTAATATAAACTGTTTCTTCGGCTAAAACAATGCTAGAGAGAGCTGAGACGAGAAATAAGGATAAGAATTTCATTTTGATGCTATTAGATGGTAATTTGTTATGAACTGTTAAATACTAAACAATATTAAGTGAATGCAAGCTTTTTTAGTGAGTATCAAACGAGAGAAATGCTGAGGTGAATATAAAGAATAAAAATGAAAAGGAGAATTAAAAAAAAGAAGAAGAAAGAAGGAACTCTTCTCAACACTAGAGATACTGCCCGTTATATATCAAAAAGGAGCATCAAAAAGGAGCTTAAACGAACCCAAAGAAGCCCCATCGCCATTGCAGGTTAGCCTCTGATAACCCATGGAAAGAGCACTGCACTAGCAGCAAAAGAAGTTTTACTGTTCCAAGTGTGGAAACCTGGTTCTCACAACATCCCTCTTGCAACGCTCCTACCCCATTGGGCCTGCTCCTGCCTCTTCAGGCCCCGCCGAGTGGCAGCCCACTGTGCTGTCTATTAATACATCATCACCATCCCATCACCATCCCATCACTGGAGCGCTTCAGTAGAATTTCCCATCACCGCCAGATTCAGCTCCTCTCGCTTCCCTGCTCTTTTCTATTTATACGCTCTTCCTCCCGCTTAGACAGTTCTTTGACATCCTCTCCTATTACCTGTTCCCATTCGGCAATTCCCAGTTATGACATTGTCCCGCATTGCTTAATACGGAAGCCCCTCTAAGCCTATTTTGGCAGTTCTACACCTGTCTACACTCTTTATCTTTGGGCCTGCAGCTGTCTGTCCTGCGCTGCTGCGCTCACACTGCAGCCGTTAATTTGTGGTGCGTTGTGAAGCTTAATTTTTTCTCCATCGCGTAGATCCTTGTTCAGCCAATCATCGTTGTTTCACTGCAAGAACTGAGCCCATGCGAGTTGCGTTGACATCATGCAGCTGCTTTTCCAAATCTCCAAATTTCCAACCGCGTTTTCGTTGCTTGCTTTTGGTTTCTTATCATTTTATCTCCGCCCGACGAAATCCGGCTCCTGCTTGTGTGAATTAATTTCTGGCTCACTTTTTCCAATTTTTCCAATTTTTCCAATTTTTCCAATTTTTCTATTTTTCACTTCAACTCAGTTTCATTTATCTCTTATATTAATAATCTCTCTGATCTTTATCGATCTTTTCCACTCCTCATCCATCTTTATTGCCATCTTACCCATCATCTATACCCACCAAATACTCAAAATCCACAACTTATACCCACAATGCCAATCACCAGAGCCAGCTCAAAACAACAAAAACAACAACAATTTGAAATCGTAGAGGGCCCTGGTTTTATAGTCGAAAAAAGAAAGAGAAAAACACGATCTAATAACTCCTCCACAAACGAGTCTTCATCAAATGATTCCTCAAGATCTTCCATTAGATCACTAAGACCAATTAAAGTTCTTTCGTCTCCAATTACATCCTCATCCTCATCTTCATCTCCATCCAAACCAATCTCAAAACCACAATCACAATTAAAAAAAGAACCAAAACCAAAACCAAAACTGATTTCAAATACCAAGTCGCAAAAACCATCTAATGATTTACCCAACTTAAACGATTCAATGGATTCAAATCAGCCAAAATTATTACGAACATTAAGATCAAATAAAAATAAACCAACCATTTATAATCTCGATTCTGATTCTGATTCTGATCTCGGTTCTAGTTCGGCACTAAAAAAACTTCCAAATTCAATTCCAGATTCAAGTTCAAATCATCATTTAAAATTGGAGTCTAATGACAATCTTGATAAAAATTCAGATTTGGAAAATACTGATACAATCACTAAAAAAAGAAAATTAAATCCTCCAATTCCAACTCCAGCTTCGATTCCAACTTTAACTTCAACTTCAAAGATAAATTCAAATTATCATTCCAAATCTGATTCTGATTCTGATTCTGATTCTAATTCTAATTCTAATTCCAATTTTAATTCTAAGTTAATAACATTCTTTAATTCAAAATCAAAATCAAAATCAAAATCAAAATCAAAATCAAATTTTGATTCCGAATCCGAATCCGTTTCGTACTCTGATTACAAAGCTTCTAACGATTCCGAATCCTATTCCGATTCCGATTACGAGCCTTATTCAAATCCTTTTTTAAAAAAATATAAAATTAAAAAACCTATTGTAAAAACTCCTTTACCCAAAGATTTTGGCAACGGATCAAAAAAAGATAAAGCAACAATTGGTTTTCTTAACAGTTTAGATGATGAGAATGAAGATAAGGACAAAAATGAAAATGAAAATGAAAATGAAAATACGGAAAAGAAAGCCCTTGCTCGTAACTATCCTAGAAGACTTAAAAAACCAGATAGAAAATTAACCTATTATGAAAGAACAACCAAAAAATTGTACGAGCTTCACCCTGAATTAAAAAACGTCTTTAAAAAATTGGAAGATTTCAAAACAATTAAAAATGTCAAAGCAAATCAGCCCCCTGGTTTAAATATTCAATTGTTACCATTTCAATTAGAAGGTTTAAACTGGCTATTAAATCAAGAAAAGTCTCTATTTAATGGTGGAATCCTAGCCGATGAAATGGGTATGGGTAAAACAGTTCAAACCATTGCTCTATTATTATCCGATAAAACTAAAAAACCAAATTTGGTTGTTGCTCCAGCTGTAGCAATAATTCAATGGAAAAATGAAATTAATCAACATACTAACAACGCCTTAAAAATTGAATTATTTCATGGTGCTACAAGAAACAATAATGTGAATCATTTAAAGTCTTGTGATGTCATTCTAACAACTTATTCTGTTCTAGAATCTGTCTATAGAAAACAAGAAAAGGGTTTTAGAAGAAATCATTTTCTCGTCAAAGAAAAATCTCCTTTACACTCAATTCTTTTTTATAGAATCATTCTAGATGAAGCTCATAATATTAAAGATCGTAACTCAAATACCTCAAAATCAGCAAACGCTTTAATGGCCGAAAAAAGATGGTGTCTCTCAGGTACTCCTCTACAAAATAGAATTGGTGAAATGTATTCTTTGATTCGTTTTCTAAAAATCAATCCCTTTTCCAATTATTATTGTCTTTCTTGTGATTGCTCTTCAAAAACTTGGATTATGGTTGAAAAACATTGTGAAATTTGTGGTCACCATCCAATGAGACATCGTAATTATTTCAACCATTTCATGTTGCATAACGTTGTTAAATTTGGTATTCAAGGTGATGGTCTAAGAGATTTTAAATACATGCAATGCCTCTTAAAAAACATCATGTTAAGAAGAACTAAAATCGAAAGAGCAAGTGATTTAGGTTTACCTCCAAGAATCGTTGAAATTAGAAGAGATCTATTTAATGAAGAAGAAAAAGATCTTTATCGGTCGTTATACACTGATTCAAAAAGACAATTTAACTCATATGTTAATGAGGGTGTGGTCTTAAATAATTATGCCAACATCTTCACTTTAATCACAAGGATGAGGCAATTAGCTGATCATCCTGATTTGGTTCTAAGAAAAGTACCAAACTCGGCAACAACCAATAAATCAGATAATGACAAAGTTATCAAGGCTCTAAAGTTTCGATTTCAAAATTTGGTTTGTCAATTATGTGACGATCAAGCTGAAGATGCAATCGAATCAAAATGCCATCATAAATTTTGCAGATTATGTATCAAAGAATATATCGAAAGTTTTACTGGTGAAGAAAAGGATTTGCAATGCCCTGTGTGTCATATTGCTTTGGCTATTGATTTATCCCAATCTCCAATAGAGGTAGATGAAAATGTCTTAAAGAAATCTAACATTGTTAATAGAATCAATTTGGCTGATGAATGGAGATCTTCAACTAAAATCGAGGCTCTAGTTGAAGAATTGTATAATTTAAGAAATGATAGACAAACAATTAAATCAATTGTTTTTTCTCAGTTTACTAGTATGTTAGATTTAGTTGAGTGGAGATTGAAAAGAGCTGGTTTTGAAACTATCAAACTTCAAGGTTCAATGAGCCCAACTCAAAGAGATAGCTCTATTAAATACTTTATGGAAAACATTAATGTTGAGGTGTTCTTAGTATCCATCAAAGCTGGTGGTGTTGCACTTAATTTATGTGAGGCATCTCAAGTTTTCATATTGGATCCATGGTGGAACCCTTCAGTAGAATTTCAATCTGGTGATAGAGTTCACAGAATTGGTCAACATAGACCTGTAAAGATTACCAGATTTTGTATTCAAGATAGCATTGAATCAAAAATTATCGAATTACAAGAAAAGAAATCAAATATGATCAATGCCACAATTGATCAGGACGAAGGATCTACCAACAGATTAACGACAGAAGACCTTCAGTTTCTTTTTTCCTTTTAGATTTATTTTTTTATTTTTTTATTTTTTTATTAATTTTATTAGAATAGAATTGGTTGCTTTTATTTGAAACAATCCAAATTTAACACTTGCAAATCGATACCCATTGTTTTTGATAAATAGTTTTTTTAAATATTGCATAGTTTGTTATATGATTAGAAAATAAACAATTTTAATAACTGAAATAGGAAAAAAAATAAGATAAATAAAAAATAAAATAATGTTGTAAAAAATACATAATGATTCGAAAACAAAATGAAACAATGGACATTAAACAAAATTCAAAAAACAACAAAAAACAAAAAACAAAAAATAAAACAAACAAACAAACAAACAAAACAAACAAACAAACAAAACAAACAAACAAGAAGCAAAAAAAAATCTAATATTAATAATTACAGAAAATTGTTAACATCCAATAAACAAAAACAAAAAATGGTAGCAAGCAAATAGAAACTGAGTTAAATTGAATGAAATGAAATAATGAAAATAATGAAAATAATGAAAATAAAAAAATAAAAAAATAAAATAAAACAAAATAAAATAAAATAGTAAATATAAAATTACATTCTGGAATAAAATTCTTCATATCTTTTCTTTTCAAACTTGAAAAAATTCTTATCAAGCGAGTTATTACTAAACCAGGAGTTTTGGGTCGAGTCTTTTCTAAACTCAAATGTAGGAGAATAGTAGTAATTTGGTTGAATAGGAAGAACAAATTCAACTCCTGTTAACGTAATCACTTTTAATTTTAAATAGTAAGACATCATATTTTCAGTCGATTTATGGTTGAGAATACTGAATCTAGATACAACTTTTTTGAAACTTTCAATATCTGGAGTGAAAATATCATTAACATGGGTAATGAATTGATTCTTTTGAATGTTATAAAACTCTCCAGGAGAGCCTTCTAAAACATCGGAAACAAATATCCCTGAAGGCAATCCTGGATGATAATGCTTAGATGCAGAACTGGACAATGGAATTGGTATCTCAGAAACTGCAGGTGAAGCTCCATTTGAGAAATTGTTGGTAATTGATGCCTTTTCCTCATAATTTTCCCTAATAAGCTCTCGAACATTTGGATTTGCTAAATTAAAGCGGTTATTGTTGTTCATAATTTGTCTTATGGCCAAATGAGGCTTTTGTAAAATTAATCCGGACCAGATCAAAATATGGTTAGTATTTTGCATCTCTTGAGTTCTAACTCTGAACCTCAATTCACACTCTTTTCTAACCACAGTAAAATTAAGGATTTTGTTGTAATACATCAAGTCCAAATCAGCCAATCTATTGACCGGTATCTCGTTTATGGACAAAATAATATCGTTAGGTTGCAAAGTTGGAATATCCATCACATTAGTATTTGGGTTATTCACATGGCTAGATTGGACAATGATAGCATCGCCATCTGGCGGCAATGGGGAACCTGGGTTGGTGTTTAATGAAGTAGGATGATTCACTGATTGGAAATCTGAACATATTAATTTGGAAACTTCTAAAAACTGCAATTTATTTTGAGAAGTGCTTTGATTTTCAAAAAAATTATTAGCATCCTCAATGCTAATGTTTTCTTTATTTTGTTTCATTTCCAAATAACCAATTCTTTCGTCTGTCAAACCTCTAATTCTAGCTTTCAATACGGAAATTGTATTAAATTCACATTCCAAAATTCTTATTTTAGGCACTTTATTGAATTGTCTGAAATGCATAATGATCCCAATGATATGATATATATCTATGCCCATGTTATAAGATTCATTATATGCATTTTGTTGACGACCTAAAATGCTATTATAATTTTGACTAGTAGTCGATGCTTGATTAAGTTTGTTATCATTGAATACATTGAATTTGAACCATAACCCGATAATTTCATAAGTCTTTATGTCACACAACACACCCATATGGCATTTTGTTTGAATGTAGTTGTTTTCAACTTTAATAAGCTCAATATTGCAGCCTTTATAGTAAGGCGAGAAGGGATTGACGCCGATATTATTAGAAATAGTGACATCTTTTATTCTCGTTTCAATAATTTGTAGCTTGAAGTTGATATCATATCCAATAAACAATACGCTTAGATTCTTTTTAATAGTGTTTAAATTGGGTGATTTTCTGAAATTTGGAGTTGCAGATATGAAGTTTGATTCAAATGAAATAAGAGAAGGATCGTATTTTATAATTGTATAGTTTTGGAATGGATGTAAAAAAATTGCCTTTCCTGGTAAGGATAACGAATCATTGAATTCGACGCTGATATCACAAAAATCGTGAGGAACATAGTATCTTGAGACTAGTACCAAACCCTTGCTGTTGTCGATGATTAAACCGTAGCATTTTTTGATTGATTTTGGGAAAGAGTCGATTGCAAATGGAAATCTAATTTCAAGCTTTACAAAACTTTTGATAATGTTGAATACGTTGAAGTTTTGTTTATAGAAGTCCTTTAATAAGTTGAGTTCAAAGTTCATGTTATGAACGAGTTGTTTTTTGATTGGTAGTGATGGCAAGTAGTATTTTTCGTCCAAGTCTTGAAACAACCATAAACCAGATTTCATATCAAATTCATAAACTCTAAAGGATTTAAACCAATGTTTATCAATTGTTGTTATCTTGAAATACTGGCGATTCAAGTTTTTCAAGCATCTATAACTTATTGCGATTTTTTTATCGTCAGGGATTTTTTTGATGATTTCAATCATGTCTTCTAGAGTTAGAATATCGTTGTTGTCGACTGAATCAATAATACAATTTGAGATATCAATGTCAAGAAAGGAGCCATTTGATTTATGTAAATATACGCCCTTTACAGGGAGGTTAAAATGTCTTGCTACATTGTAGCTAATGTTATTGAATGTTTCGCCAGAAACGTCTAAAAATTTCAAGGGACTAACGTCGAATAGGTCTTGGACTTTTATTTCAAGTTTGATATTTTCGCCAGATCTTTCAACGACAATGGAGATTTTTTCGTTGATTGAATTATCAAGGATTTCGTCAATTTGGATTAGAGAGCAAATGTCGTAATTGTTGATGGATATTAGAATGTCGCCTTCTCTTATTTTATTGAAAGCAGGGCCAAAGGGCAAGATGACCTTTGCGACAAGTAGACCATTAATATCAGGAAATTTTTCTCTAGCAATACTTTCAATCGAGGACTGTAGGCCCAATTTTCTGCATTCATTAAAAGTTCTCAAGACCCACTGAACTTGTATTGTGCCTCGATCGATACTGATTTTGTTGTAAATTTTATCAATTCTGTAGGCTCTTGCGAGGTTATCAGCAGAGGATTTGCTTGATAGAGTGTTGTTTCTAACGATATTTGTTGTTTTAGTTGAATTTATGTTTGAGATTATTGTTAGAGTGGCTTGATTTTTTGTTGGTGTTGATGAGTTTGGATCGTCGTTTGAGATTGAGTTTGTGTTAAAGACAGTGATGGTTTTGAAGAGGGTGTTTTGGTTGAAATTTAGCTGAATTTTCTTGAAGATGTAATTGATTCTGTAAAGAGGTAAGAAGAAGTTTGTTGAGGTGGAAGTGTCGTTGTTGTTGATGAAGCTGCTTGTTTGTAGAGCTATAACGTTGCCATTGATGTCAAGAACAGGAGAGCCACTGGTTAAGAATCTCTGGTCAAGATCGTCTTTATTCAAGAGGTTGAAGGAGTTGTAGGTCAATCCCTGGATATATTCAGTGTTAAAGTCGTTGTAGGATAGTGGGCCATAAAATGGGGCGTTACAGTCTAATTTTGAGACAAAGCCACTTAAAACGTTGAGAGTGTTTTCGTTTTCTTCAAATTGGTTTAGATCATTGAGGTTGTTTAGGTTTTTCAAGTTGTTGTTGTTCAAGCAGAATATTTTAAACTCCAAGCCTAGTTTGATGGTGTTTGGATTTGAGACGAGATTTAGGCAGTTTGCTTTCAAGAACTTCAATTTCAAAGGATCATATTTTAGGAACATAAAGTCGTGAACAGGATCAATGTAAATTGGTTTGATGAGGATTTCTTCAAAGTTGTTGAAGACAGCAAAGATTTTTGTTGGGCCAATGCCTATGATTTTTTTACAGGTTAGGATCAAACCGATTTTTGTGTCGACAATGAAGCCTAGTGTTTTGAAGATTCCAGAGGACTCGATGTCGTAGTTGAACAACTTGTTGAATTTGAGGATGACGACAGATTCTGAGACAGAAGCGATGATGTTTTGCCAGAGCAAGTCCTTTTGGTAGGAGGAGTTTGGGGAGAAGAGGTTGAGAGATTGGGCGTGGGAGATTATATCGAGATCTGGTTTGGAGGAAGTTATGATCATGTTTCTGAAGTTGTCGATCATGGAGGTGGAGTAGCTGTGTTTGAAGATGGAGGAGTCCATATCGTTGGCAAGACTGATGGCTCTCTGACGATTGTTGGACATGTCGATGTTGGTGTTGATGTGTATATTGGGGTTGTTTTGGGGGGCATTTGAGGTGTTATTGTTGTTGCTGCTGCTGCTGTTGTTGTTGTTGTTGTTGTTGTTTGCGTGGTGGATGTTGTTGATTGTGATGACGTTGGGGCCAGAGGCAGTTTCTATAACAGTTGAAGCAGAGGCATCGTTGATGGTAGTGTTTCTGATTAGGTTCTGGGAGATTGCAAGTGGTTGGAAGGATTTTGTGGGATGAGGTTGGTTTGTGTTGAGAATCTGGGTTGAGTTGGAGTGGTTTAGGCTGGAGGTGTTGATGGTGTTGTGGCCTGGGCTCAATTGAACAGACATTGGGGAGGTTATGGAGGGATTGAAGAATTGGAAGGAGTCATATTTGGAGGCAGAGCTCAAGGAGAAGTTGTGGAGCAAAGGTATTGGCGAAGGAGCCAATATGTCGTTGTTAGAAGAGTGGTTTGTGTTGTTGGAGGAGGTGGGTATTGATGGGGGAGACTGTAGTTTGTATTCTTTGTTGGAGGAGTCTTTGTTGGAGGAGACGTTGGTATCGATCTGGAGCTCATTTTCGTTCTCATGTTCAGAGATTCTGGTGTTCAAAGCATTGTCGATCTGGTTCATCGAGCTTGATAAGGAGAGGTTCTTGTTGCTGTGGATCTTGTTGAGAGTGGTTATTCTATAGGGCAACTGATCTCTTTTGATGATACGAGGGTGTTTCTGCTTTGGAGTGTTGTATTTCTCTGGAGAGTGAGCATCAGTGGTAGTGGTAGTTGTATTTGTATTTGTATTTGTATTGGTAGTGGGAGCAGCAGTACCAGCAGTACCAGCAGTACCAGCATTGATATTGTCTGTGTTGGTTTGATTGGGATTTGGAACTGGAGAAGGAGAAGGAGAAGGAGTTTTGTTCTTGTTTCTCTTTAACCCAGATTTACTGTTTTTGCTGTTGTTTCTGCTGTTGTTTCTGCTGGCGTTACTGCTGTTAGTGCTGCTGCTGGATGACTTTCTTTTGAACATTTTCAATTCAATAGATGTGTCTGTGAAGTTGTGATTGTGATAGATTGCTGGAGATTCTGGTAATTTTTCTTTATAATATTCTGGCAATTTTTTATAAAGCTTATCGACGATTCAGCGAAAAATGTTTGGAAATGGTAGAAAATGGTAGAAAATGGCAAGCAATGGCAGGAAATGGCACTTAGTGGTGAAGGTTTGTCTGGTAATTCAACAACGATGGCTAGTTACAAAACAGCAGCACATTGAGATACTGGGAGAGCTTTGGCTGAAGCGAAGTGAAACCAATAAGGATGGCCAGTGGATTATGGCAAAGCAGTTCAAGGGCAAATAACAGCCTGCAATCGTGGACAATAGGCTTCAATCAGACTGGAATTGCATTCAATTGGCTGCTGGACTATGGATCAGAAGAACCACAGGAGATTTTCAATACAAAAGCTAGGTGTGAAACAAGACAGGTCTGATTGTTTTCTGGTAACTGCAACTCCAGTGCAACTTCTGTGCAAATCATGGCCAAATCATGGCCAAACTATGCTTAAAGGCTATCCCACCACCAGCTACTGCTAACTCAGTCAGCCAGAGCTGGACTTAAGGCGACAACGAGCACTGTTGAGACAATAATAGCTTGTTATCCAGAAAACAGGTGTTTGAATCTGGAATTACTGCCCTGAAGCAGAGTTTGAGCCAAACTGATCTGCTTTGCTCTTCATTCTTTGCTCTTCTCCATTCTTTGCTGGGGCCCAGGCAGAAGAGCTTTAAAGCTTAATGCTTCTTCTCCAGCTGTGCCTGGTTGTTACACTCTGCTATTGCCTCAGAGCCTTTGCTGCTGCTGCTGCTGCTGCTGCTCGAGAGTTTTCATGCTCCAGGCTTCCCACCTTCTCCAGGCTCTTGCCTCTTGCTCCCATCCCATGAAACTCCTCTGCTTCTTCAGCACCTCCAACGCTTCTTCAGCACTTCCTCAACAATTCCTTGACATTTCTTCGCCATTTCCATTTGCTGAGCTGTTTAAAGTTTGCTCTGAGCCTTTTCAATGCAAAAATGGCTGCTTTCTTTTGCAAAAGCCCAAAAGTTACAACCTACAAACACGACAAACCACAAACTTACTTCTCTTCTTCTCTCTTTGCTTTCTCATTTCGAAGCCCAATATATTCAGCTATTGAGGTTACACTGGTCTGTCCTGCTGGCTCTTGTCTGGTCTTCATCTGCTCCAACCTCCTCTATCCCATGCACAACCTCCTCTGAATCATGTCCAACACCTCCAATCTTCGCAACGTCAATTCCATATCTTTACATTTCCCTCAAAACCTCACCATCCCCAACAAATTTCTCCTTGTTAACCACCAAACAACAAAAAATTTGAACATCAAACCAGGAGACAAGCACTTCGCCATATGGTTGATCGTATCCTGCTACTTTCCCTTGATCGTGTCCTGTATAGGCCCATTGGCCAACATGATCTCCATAGCTGCTATCGTGGAAAACTGGAAGCTAGACAACAACACAAACTCTCTAGCAAAAGACCCCCATTGGGAATTGATAATAAATGCCATCTCCCTATCAACAGGCTTTTTGTCTGACTTGAGTCTCCTTTTAAATATCTCAAAAAGATTGAACTACCTCCTTGCCCAGTTCATCTCCATTATCGGCTGGTTCATCTCCTGCTGCCTACTACTATCCATAATTCTAATCACAAACTTCAACTATTTCCACAACAGCAACAGCAACTACTCTCCCTACCAGGGCTTCTGGTTTGCTGTCCTAACTGCCATACTCTATCTCTCCTGCTCAATTCTACTCTCCATAAACTTGTTTGGCTACTTCAAACAAAAATACTCTGACGACTTCAATCTAAATTCTTCTCAAAGAGGCATAATGCTACACGTCTTTTTGCTATCTATTTTTTTATCCCTTGGTGCTGCCATTTTCTCTTCAATTATAGAAGACCTAAATTATGGCTCTGCTCTATATTTCTGCGTCGTTTCTCTACTAACAATAGGCTTGGGCGACATCCTACCAACGACAACCTTATCCAGAATCCTAATACTAATCTACTCTCTAATTGGCTTTCTATTACTAGGTCTAATCATCTCGGCGGTTAGAGGCATCGTTCTAAGTACCTCCTCCCCTACCTTTTTCTGGAACAGACTCGAAAATTATAGAAAAAAAATATACTTAAAATATCTAAAAGAAACTGCAAAAAAAAACATAAAAATATCAGAACAAGACTCATTCAATAAAATCAAACAAATCAAAAAATCCTCAATCCTATACCAAAACTTCTTATCCTTACTTCTCTCCATCCTATTCTTTATCTTTTTTTGGTTCTTTGGCGCTTTAATCTTGAAATTCACTGAAAATTGGACCTACTTTGACGCAATCTACTTCTGCTTCCTATGTCTACTAACAATAGGTTATGGTGACTATGCCCCTTCTTCTTCACTTGGTATCCCCTTTTTCATCTGCTGGGCTTTAGCTGCGGTTCCCCTAATGACCATCTTGATATCAAACTTGGGTGATACCTTATACAGATTTTACATCGATTGGACTGACCAATTTGCTTCTTTCTTACTTGTCCCAAATTTCATTCGCATCTTTCAAAACAATTCAAACAACATTATCAATTACCATCAAAATATTTATAAAAATATTTATAAAAATAAAAATAACAACAACAACAATAATAATAATAATAATAATAATAATAATAATAACGATAGCGATACTAGTAACGAAATTAATAACAATAATAATGATATCATTGCTGAAAATTGCACAGACTATTTAAATCACTTATCCTTATTAAATCAATTTGCAATTCAAACTGACTTGGAAAATGAAATCGAATTCTCAAGTCCCATTCAAAACAATGATACTCTTGATATTCATAATACCAATTCTAACATCACTAATGAAAATGAATTCTTCAATATCCATCACAAAAACCAATCGCTAATATCAGCAATAAGAAAATCTTTCTCCTCTTTAAAATCAACAAATATAGTTCAAAACACCTCCATTTCAAATAATCAAAACAAAAAACCTCATCAAAACTTAGATAACCTTCTAAATACTCAAATTAACAATAACAAAAAAATATCTGCATTTCAAAACGATTCTCTTACCCCAATAATACCATTCTCAGAAACAATCCTAAATTTAGTTTCTCTATTAGATTCTGTAAAGGAAATACTAATTGATATCTCAAATAATCAAAAAAAGGAATACTCCTTTCAAGAATGGAAACAATTAATAAATTTAATTGATATCCCAGAAAATAACTCAAAAAATATTGATTCAAATTTGTTCTGGCTTTCTGAGAAATCACCATTAAAATATCCTTTAAATGAAAGTGGTTTCTTTCTTTATAAATATTTGGTTGCCATCGAATATAAATTAAACGAAATCCTAAAAAATGATATTCAAATAAGATCTGATCTAATTTATAAAAATATTCATCATCATCAAAATTTACCTTCATCTCATTCTCTCTAAACTTAAATATTCCTAATTTTTATTTTTATTTTCATTTTAATTTTCATTTTCATTCCCATGATTCCTTTAGCATATCTACATAAACTTATTCATTCGTTCATCAACTAATTTGCTTTATGTTATTTATTTCATTTATAATTTTATCATTTGTTTTTAATATATAAATACATATGTTATTGAGTTGTATTTACTTTTTGTTATAAGCTGGATTTCTTTTTATTTTGTGTTAATTTAAATTCCCTTTCTTTATATTTGATGAATTTGGATAAATTCGTTATAACTTCATCGGCTTTTTCTCTTATTTCAGGTTGTTCTTTTTTATTAATATACATTTTTGCAATTTTAGGTAGTTTTTTTTCTATTAATTTTAAATTGGATAAATAATTTGTTTCAACAAAACTGCTTGAATCATAATCAAATGATTCATCATTAAAGATATCGAAAATATCGTCAATGATTTGCAAAAATTCGGTAATATTAATAGGCATTTGGATGCTATCGAAATTGACTTTCAATAATAAGTTCATATAAAATTGTGTCACCACTAAATTAACTTCAATGTGGTTTGGAATTTTGGAAACATTTGATAAAAATTGAATATAATTATGAAAAAACTCATTTATTTCATTCATTTCGTCTGTATTCTTTTTATTTTTACTTTTATTTTTTTTATTTTTATTTTTATTTTTCTTATTTTTATTATTATTATTATTATTATTATTAGGATTGCTAGGATTGCTAATATTGTTAATATTATCAGTTTCATCAATTCCATAATTTCTTTCAATGAAATTATTTAAATTTGTAACTAAAAGTGAGATATTTTCCACTGTAATATACTTGTTATCATTTATTAAATCATGTTCAATATTTCTGAAAGTTGCACACAATATTATAAATAACTTATTTGTAAAAATCATAGAGCTTTGAGCTGAATCAGCTGTAATGTATTGAAAAATTAACTGCCATAAACGATCAACAACTAGTTTCCAATTGTTTAAAGTATCAAGAATGCTATCAGGGTTATCGATTGGGTATAAATGACGATCGTTTTCGATTAAATTGAATAACCAAGAAAAATTGATTAGTAGATCTAAAGTTTTGAATTGAAATATTTCATGGGGTAAATAATGATCTAATAGTAAAGGAGACAAACTATGAATTAAAGAATTTAGCAAATCAGAATCTAGTGAATTAATTGTTGGAGAGTTATTAGCAACAAACTCAATCAAAGCAGTTAAGATTTCCAAAGAGGTTTCAATTGATTGGAATAATAATGAATTTGTTAATTTTTGATTGGATAATAAAAGATAATCAGCTATATTAATCAAATTAAAATTTGGATTTATATTTAAATTTGAGATAAAGTCTAGATTATTTTGATTCATATCAATAATTTGAAGGTTATTATTATTAAAATCTGATAAAAAAGAAGAAGTGTCTGTATAAAGTTTCATCAAACTAATTTTGTCTTGATTGGATAGAGATATTTGTTCATTATCAATCTCAATGTTGAAATCCTCATCTTCTTTATTTTCATTATTGTTGTCAAAAGAATATTCGAAAAATTGTAGATTTAAACCTTGAGTATAAATGTTTACTAAATTTCTATAAATTGTAGAATTTTTGTTACTAATGTTATTGATATTATTTGGATCGTTGACATTATTTTGAAGGATAGTAACAGACAAATTTTTAAAAATGTTTAAGAAATCATAATTTTGAATTATGATATCAATAAATTGAGAAGATTGAGAACTGAAATCATAGATTAATTTCAAAATTGAGAAATACAAATCAATGGGTAAAACCGATTTAAAATTGTTGAATAGAGTAAATATAAAAGAAAGTAATATAGTGATTTTATCTGAGGAAAGAATGTCTTTAAGGATATCAATGGAATTTGAATTTAATAGGCTAATGATCAATTCAATCAAGACATGGGATAGATTAAAGATATTGTGGTTATTTTCCTTGTTATTTAGATCATTGTTATCTATTTGAATTTTAATTTGGGTATTGATTTGGTTAATGTTAAAATCGATTAATTTAAATAAATTTTTTCTCCATAGGCTAATAGCTATTTGATAACCGTTATAATGAATTAAATTTTTCAATAGATACAAAGAGTTTAAATTAATTTGAAATGTTTCAGGGTTGTTTTTGTTTTTGTTTTTGTTGTAGGTTGTAATTGTAGATAATAGGTCGTTGTCGCTATTTAAGATAATTGGGATTATTTTTTCCTTTAATAGAAAATTTCGAATAACATCCTGGTCTATTAGGGAGTTTAGTATTTGTAAAGCAGCTATTTTGTGATTGAGCACTTCAGGGATGGAGTTGTTATCTTGAATAGATAGTTTATTTAAAATCGGGGTGAAATTGATTTTTAAGTGATTAATTTGTTGATCATTTAAATGTTGCAACTGGATTTGATTTTGTTGAGCTGAAGGGTTTTTCTTTCTTAATGAGAGTCTTTCATTTCTCAAAGCAGCAAGTTTATTAATTTTCTTAGCCTTTGCCATTGTGTGTGTGAGATAATGATGATGATATATGAATATTTAATCAAAATCAAAATCAAAATCAAAAATAAAAATAAATCAAATTTTTTCAACTGAAAAATTTCACAGAAAAGCCGGAATTTTCTTTTCCAAAAAACCCGTCGCCAGGTTGACGGATTTTTATATTTTGGGAAATTGCAATTTTTCTTTAATTTTTTTTTTTTTTCTTATTTCATTGGTTGGTGAAACTTTGAGAGTATAATTTTTGTGATAATTTTTGATTTTATTTTTTGTGTGGAGGTTTAGAGTTGTATTTTTATAAACTGGATTGAACTTTGATTGAACTTTGATTGAATTTGAATTGAATTTGAATTGAATTTGAATTGAGTATGGGAAGGTTAAGGGCATCTGATGTGGCTACACTTTGTGCAGTGTTATTTGCTGGGGTATATGGAGGAACGAGGTTCTTTGAGCCTATGATCATTGATAAGTTGAGGGAGATGGATGCGTTGAGAGATGATATTCCAATACCAGTTTATGACAAAGATGGAAATCGAGTGATAGATTTAGGGCCTACAATTGTGCCAAAGAATGTTGATAATACTGATAATAATAAGACTAATAATACTGACGAGAAAAATATATAAAAAGATCAAAAAAAAAACAAAGGGAAAAATTAACTATAAAAGACACACGATTGTTTAGTAAAAAACAAAAATATATAAAACAAAATCCAATAGTAAGTCTTCAAGCAAAGACCATACAGAAAAAAGTTGGGTTGAACAGTAAATGAATAAAATAAAACAAAATAAAACAAAATAATTGGATTGGATTGCAATCAAATGAATAACATAATTTGTTCATAGATGAAATCTTCAAAATTGAATTGAGCTACACCATTTCCTCGTTTATCATAAGCTCTAAATAAGTTTGTGAATCTTAGCAACCAAATCAAACTTTCAATAAAATGACCAAATTTCATGTTTTTTTGAGGATCGATGGTACCACTTGGAGAGCCCCATGGATCGAAAGCATTTCCACCATATGGATTGAAGTCAACTTTAGCAAATCTATTGAATAAAAATTGAGATAAATTTGGAGATAAATTGAATTGGAATTTTTGTAAAGTGACTAGATACTCGTCATAAGTGATTGTACCACTTCTGTCGGCGTCCATTTCATGAAATGTCTTTCTCCAGTAAATTAGATATCTGTTTAAGAAGTAAAATTCTTTGAAATCTAAAGAGTTGGAATTGTCTTTATCGAATAATTTGACCATTAATCTAATTGTAGAAGGTTCGAACCTTGTCCCGTCATGATTAAATAAAGCATCGCTCAATTCCCTGGCACTCAAGTACCCAGATCTGTCTTTATCAACATACTGAAATATGCCAATCAACTGCTGATGCAATCTTTCGTTTTCTCCAGTACACTGAGGTGGTAGAGGAGTGTTTTGCAATGCTTCTGGAGCCTGTTGTTTGTAGATTGGAACATTGCCGGTGGGAGACGAGCCCAACTGGGGGTTCTGTTGTTGTTGCTGCTGGGCCCTTTGCTGTCTCAGACCGCTCTTGCGCTGGGATAATTGCTGCGGAGTGGTAAACTCCTGTAATCTGTTTCTAAAGCCAACCATGTCGTTGTGTCAAAAGTTTTGTTGTTAAAGACGATATAATGTAGTAGTGTTGGTGATGAGGGAACAAAATGGTCTGGGCTTGATCTGAGTTTGATCTGGGTTTGATCCGTATTTATACCACACGGGGGGAGGCGCTGCACGTGCCGCAATAGCCCTTCCTGAGCAGGATCCGGCTGCGCAATCCGGGGGAGGGGGCACTGCAAGGTCAGCACATAAAAAGCGCAGAATTGGCGCACAATTAGCGTCGATTATCTCTCGATTTCCTTTATCAGTAACAAGACCATGTTCGAACTGGAGCTTGACGAGCCACGCTAGATTATTGTTCACACAAACATGACGACTGGAGCACAGTTTTGAGTATCCACCAACAGGCCCTCGATTACAAGACTTGAGACCTAGTACAAGACCCGATGCAGAAGCCTGATTACAAAACCATCTCGACTGACTAGATCAGCTCAAAGACCCACTGTTGAACGATCTGCTATTTCCCCCACTGAGTCTTTTCGAGCTGCCAACACTGCTTCCTAGCCTCGAGCTCGACACACTGCTTCTGCCGCTGGTTCTGCCACTGGGCGACGCATTGCGATTGGAGTTGCCGGCTAGGCTGTCATTCCTCTTGGGTGTTGATGGAACACTAATGTTCTTGGTTGACGTTAGATTGCTATTGAGCGTCGACTTTGACGAAACAGACTTAAGATTCAAAGCGTTGTTATTGTTTCCAACGCTGCTTGCGCTCCCTTGGTTCACTGATGATGTAATGTTGGATAATTTGATACCTGGCCCTGATAAATTGCTTGTCGTTCCCTTGGGATACTCTATTGTTCGGCTAGTCAGGTTGATTATTGGAATATTAGACCCAACTGATAATCTGTTCAAGTCTGAGGTGATTCTATTCACCGTAGAATTTTGATTAGACCCTAGATTGGAATTATTTCGAAAATAGCTTATAGTACTATTTCCCATATTATTGTTGTAATTGTTCACATTGTTAAAAGTACTAGAGTAACTATTATTAAAACTGTTACTGTAATTATAATTATAATTATAATTATCATTACTATTACTATTACTGCTGTTATTATTAGTAGTAGTGTTATTGTTCATACTACTGCTATTATTACCGAGACTATTGCCATAATTACTAACACCAATTCCATTATCGTTAGAACTATTTGAACTAAATAAATTTTTTTTCTGAATTCTTTCTAATCGAATAGTCTCATGTATTTGCTGAACTTCTTTGAATTTATTTAATAATTCATTGGTTTTCAGTTTTTTCCCCAATAACATTGTTATATTACCACAAATATTACCACTATTACTATTAATACTATTATTATTACTATTACTATTACTATTACTATTACTATTACTGGAAACATTACTAGCAATATTATTACTATTGGTCCCATTATTGTTATTACTCAAATTCATCCCAAGATTACTTAAATTATTATTAGAATTGCTATTAGAACTATTATTGATCAAATTATTATTTAAATTATGATTCAAATTATTACTTAAATTTCCACCTAATAAATTATGGTTAATCGGTGCTGATATAGAATTTAATCGGTTTTTCAATATATTAAACGCATTAGATTGTGGTAGGATCATTAGTATTCCATAAAGACACTTGTAAAGATATGGATACTTCTCAGGCTCTAATAACTGTAACCGCAATTTAACAAAAACTGGACTCTCCAACAATTGAACTAAAACATCCAATTGAATCAATAATGTAACTGTAATCTCAAATCCAACAAATATATTCAATAAATTATATGCCAATTCATAATTCTGTGATAATAAACACAACAATAAACATGCTGGTGCATTATGACACCAACTTTTAAATAGTGTTGTGAAAAAAATCCAGTCTTCTTTATTATCAATGTTATAGAGTTTTTTTCTCAACGGTAATAATTCTGGTGCTGTTATTAAATTATTATTCAAAATTTGAATCATTATACTAATGAACCCCAAATTCTTATAACTTTCTTTTTGCTTTTCATAAAGACAATTGGAAAAACTTTTATAAATTCTTTCTGGATTAAGGTTAATACACAACTGTCGAATGATAAAATTTCCTCTTAATTCTAATAATTTTCGATCGCTTTTAAATAAATTAACTAAATCGTTCATCAAATTTTGGAAATAATTATCATCCGATTGCGTGGAAAATTGCGATATTAATTTAAGATCTTTGTTAATAACTTCTGATGACGAATCACATAATCCCTTTATTAATGTTTGGAATGTGTCATCACTATGTTTAAGAAACAATCTTGGAGATTTTTGATGAAGCATAATTAACCAATCTAATGTTGCTATTTTTGTAATTTTTTCCTCATGTAAAAACAATATAGCCAAAGTATTTATTACAGATGAATAATTGAATTTTGTTTCATTTGAATTTAAATTATTCATTGTATAGTTATTGATATCATTATTGATATCATTATTGATATCATTATTATTATTATTATTATTATTATTATTATTATTATTATTGTTATTATTATTATCATCTAGTGATAAAGTTGATGAAATCAAATCCATTAATTTTTTATTAAAAATCAACGATTTATCCTTTAATTGCCTATTTGAATTAATTGATAAAATTTTTAATAAAATTGATAATAAATCGGAAATTAATGGTAAGAAACTAATTGGAGATATATCCAATATATTTTCTAACCAATTAAGTACGACTAATTGGATTTCATCGTCTGATTCTAAATGAGTAATTAGAATTGCTATAATTTTAGGAAAATTCAAATCAACATCTTGACCAGGGATATAAGTACCAGTATCCGATAAATATTCGGAATTAGCATTCATATCATGGTCATTATAATATTCATCATAATCTTCGTCCGCATCATCAAAAAAATCATCTTCATCGTCTGATTCATTTCCGTCTTCAATATCGGTTTGAATTTCGTCATCATTTAATTTATTGGTGATTTTAATTTCATTATTGCTGTTGTTATTAATTTTATTATTTGTAGTGCTGCTACTGCTGCTGCTACTGTTATTATTGTTATCAATACTGATATCATTATTATCGTTTTTTTCATTGATATTTTTGTTGGCATCATTGATGGTATTATTGTTGGTATTGACTTTTGGAGTATCATTAGGATTTTCATTGGAATTTAGAATGATTGTGTCATCTATTTCATTTAAATTTGGTGAGGATTCTTTTAGTTGTTTATTGTCCAAAGTTAAGTTTGAATCAACACTTTGAATATTTTCATTAAATTTATTGTCGATAGGTAAATCACTGTTACTGTTGGTGTTATTAGGCTCAATTAAATGGTTTGATGATTTTTTAGAAAGAGAAGGATTTTTCAAATTATTCAAATTATTTAAATTACTTAGACTACTTAAATTGTTTATATTGTTGATATTATTTAAATTTTTCAAATTTTTATTATTGTTTTTATTGTTTTTTCTGTTTTTGATTGCCTCTTTTTGTTTTTTAAATTGGTTAAATTCGAGTTCTTTTTGTTTTTCTAATTTTAAGAATTTCAATTCTTTTTCTTTTGCTACCAATTTTTTGATTTGGATTATTCGTTTAATTTCTTGTAAAAAGTTGTCAAGACATCTAATTGTTTGATTTCTGACTGATTTTTGAGTATCATTTAAAAAGGTTAATAAGCCGCCAAGAAAAGCAGGTAAATAACTTATTAATTCCAAATTTGGAATGGAGTCTAGTAAAGAGATCCAGTCCACCAAAAAAGTTCTAGTGAATCCATTGGTGGTGTATAGTCTTTCCATTAATAAGGGGATAAACTTCGGTAAAGAAAATGCCAAATTTGACTGATTGTGATTTATTTGAACAATGCTGCCTGTTGAAATTGCAACAGTTGTTTGAATTAAGTCTGGTTCTTGGATTTGAGGATCAGTTTGTAAGACAGAGATATAGGTTGTTGCCCTCTCCGAGACAATGTCTTTGATCAAGCCATTGACTAAGCCAATACCATTTTTGACACTGTTTTCATTGTCAGCAGAGAGTCTGCAAAGAACATCAAAAATTTCATTGAAATAGATTAGAATTTCGCCCTTGGCAACTTTTGCAATATTATACAAACTTTCACAGGCATAGTATCTAACCTGAGCAATCTGATCACCAAAACATGCCAAAACTGGATGAATAATTAAATCCAAGTATTCAGCGATATGAGATGAGCCTAGGGCGATGGCGACTCCAGCAAGACCAATAACACCACCATTTCTGAAGTTTGGCTGGTGGATTGCACCAGTAAATTCCTTGTATAATTGGTCTATAATAGCATGGATTTTCTGAGTGCTTTCGGGGTTGTTTTGGTTGACTAGTTGTTTAACAGTTCTTTCGATCTCTAAAGCAGCAGCTTTTCGCTTATCATACAAACGATCAGATAGGGTTTTGGCAGTCAACTTATCCATTGCGACAGACTCGTGGACCACTGGAGAAAAGCAGACAGCAGAACAACTGGAGGAGTATTTAAGAGTTGTTTCTTGCAACTGAGGACCCTGCCAATAGCGAGCTTAGCACCAGCTGGATAGTTGTAGATGGTTGTGGATGGTTGTGGATTGGTGAAGAAAGCGTTTGATTTGGGAAAGAGCTCTTTAAATGAGGGCGATTTCGGCCGCAAAGTGCGAGCGGCGCAGATACCGCTCGAGGCCGGCGAGGAAGAAGAAGGAGAAGAAGGAAGAGGAAGAGAGGTATTGGAAGAAGTATTAGAGAATAAATCAGTGACTTACTACAAAAGACAACACCCAACGCTATATAGCCCAGCTCAACAAAGCACTCGAGCTGATCTCTTGCCTCCCTTTGAGTGTTGGTGCAACAATACTATTTATTGATTTGAGTGTATTTTCAGTGGAATAACAAAATTAAATAAGTAATATATGGTCCAAACTATATGTAGTGTTCAATTGCGTATTTTGTACATTTTTTTTGGTTGTTTTTTGGTTGTTTTTAGCTTTTTTTAGTTTTTTTTATTTAGCATATTTCAAAGCTTGTTCCTTGACTTTCTTTTCATAGGTTGGTCTGTCTTTCCCAAATGCTCTCCAAGCTGGTTCTTGGGCAGGAGAATCTGGGTTTGGACTGTCTAGTAATTCCTGAACCCCCAATGCGATTTGTTTCAAGGTGATAGCAGGTCTCCAGTCCTGTGCTTCATTTAAAATACTGAGACAAATGGTTCCTGAGGGATAAATGTTGGGATGATAAAATCCTCCAGGAAACTTGACCTTTGGAGGTCTTGATGGATAGTCATCAGGAAATGAAATCGTTAATGGATAAACTGCATTAGCCCATATAGTATTTGGTTTTCCTGGAATACCTGCTGTCCAATTTTGTAAATCTAATGAACCATCTGAATTCTTGTTGGGTTTTGCAAAAAAACCAAAAGGATGGTCTTTACGCCATTGTTTTCTAATTTTAAACAAAACAAAATAAAATAAAATAATATAAAATAAAGACCCAAAAAAAAAAAAATATAAACAGAAACCAAAATAATTAGTATAATTATAATCTATAAAATAAAAATAAAGGTTAATGATTAATTAATCAAATCACAAATTGACAAAAATGAAAGATGAAAAATAAAATAAAAAATAAAAAATCTTAAACCAATAAATTATAAATAAAAAATCCTGGATCATGAATTATAATTTATTAAGTAATCAAGTTAAACATACCTTTCTTCTTGTAGACGGTTTATACAAAGTGAACTCATTATTAATTGTCAGAATAATATGTGATGTGTGGTATATGAATCAATATTATAGAGTTCTATTTGTTGTTATTGGTTATTATTAGTTATTAGTTATTAATTATTAGTTATTATCAGATAATCAAAAGAAATGCACTGAAGTATTAAAGAAAGAATTCCTTCATAATTTAAAATTAGATTGGAATAAATAAAAACTACCAGAAAATGACAAATTTATATCACGTGGTGATATCCTGAGAAAATACATTTTCGCGTTTAATGAGATTACGAGCAAGAAGTACGTAAAGCGTGCATTTTCGAACACCCACCGGAAGTGCCGCACAGTATTTGGAGATATTTGGAGATAATTTTATACACCCACTACAATGGAACTATTGTTGATCTAAAAGGTAAAAGGAGCAAGCTAGATTTTGAGATTAAATTGGTAGCTTTTCACCGAATATTAGAATAAAAATAAAAATTTTAGCAAAGATTATATTGAAATTAAATTAAAATAAATTGAAATGTATAATCCTGGTAAGACACCGTTTAATGAAGACGATGATTTTTCTGATTTAGATGATCTTCTAGACGATTTTGCTGATGAAATTTTATCCAAACCTCCTGCAAATAATTTACCTATAAATAATACTAGTAATAATAATAATACTAGTAACAATTCGACTTCGAATACAAATATAAACTCAAATGTAAATACAAATGCAAATAATAGTATAAATTCAAATTTAAATAATCCAAGTCATAGTAACTTAAAGAATAATAACAACAATGCTTTTGGTTTTGATTTTAATAATGGCAATGTCGATGCAAACCTTGACAACTTGTTGCAAGATTTTGATTCTAATCCAGATATGAAAAAACAATTTGAATTGCTAATAAATCAATTTGCTAATGTTATGAATGTTGGCGATGATGATGATGACGATGACGATGATGATAAAACTACGAATACTTCTAATAATAATAAGCCAGGTAATAAAGTGAATGATAATATTCCAAGAACTCTAACTACTCCCACTACTCATACTGCTCCTTCTTCTTCTACAGCGAACAACAATGATACTCCAAACAAAGGAGAAAACAAAATCCCAAGCTATAAAAATAAGAACGATTTTAAGAATATAATAAATTCAACCATGTCGAGATTAAAAGAAAGCGGCAAAAAAGTAGATCAAGAGATCAAAGAGGAAAATGAAAATAATGACATGGGCGAACTCATTAACCAGTTAATGGGTCAATTGAATTTGGATCCTGGAAGTGCCTTAAATAACGATGCAGGTGGTGGAGATTTCGATATGAGCAAATTTTTGGTTGACATGTTAGATCAGCTTTCATCAAAAGAAATCTTATATGAGCCAATAAAGGATTTGTCGATCAAATATCCCAAATGGTTGTCGGAAAACTCGCAAAATATCGGTAAAGAAGAAAGCGAAAGATACAACCTGCAAAACACGCTAATCCAAGAGATTGTTGGTAAATTCGAATCGAAGACGTACGACGACAAGAACGCAGGCGATCGAGATTATATCAACGATCGATTGGAGAAAATGCAGCACAGTGGGATGCCACCAAACGAGTTGATGGGCGACTTGGAGAATATTATGGGGCCCCACCCATCCTCAGGCTCCTCTGGAAATCCATTGGGCGATTTGAACAACAACGACGATAACTGTGCACAGACCTGAAATCGGGAAGAGTGCAACAAATAATACAGGATACAGTGATACCGTACACAAAGCGCAATGTGTAGGCGTGATGGGTCGAAGTGTTCGCGTGCAAGAGCGTTCGGCTGGAGGGCGTTCGGTTAAGCTGTCCGGGAACGAACGTGTGCGGCAATGTGCATGAAAACGACTCCGTCGGCCGCACATCATGCCCTAACAACGACGGCTGTCATTCATTGTCGGCGATGGATTGCAGAGCCAGCAGAGCGGGAAGAGCAGCGTAATTGAATAAGTTGGTGGTTGAGTAATCAAGTAATCAAGTAGAACATTATAGAACAACTGGACTACGACACTACGAAGAGACTGAATAGACACTGAAGCACTGCAACACTAGCACTCGACCACTAGCACCACAAGTTCACAACGCTAGAATACTGCTGCCACCGGAATATTACTGCTACAAAGCAATTCCCACAACATTTATTATTAGCAACGCTGTTTTGCAATTAGAATTTAGTATTTATATCAATCTATCTCCTAGTAATTCCTTTGCTTTTATCTTTAGATCTCGCATTGTTTTTATTTTTAACCTCCAGGTTTTTTTCTTTTAATAACCAATTAAACAGCAGAATTATCCCAGAGCACTAGTTCAGACATAAGCTGCCAAAATAGCAAGAAGCAATCCCACAATGACTATCCCAACTCAATCCTCTCTCTCCCCAAGAGTCTCAAAATCAGACATGAAAATAAGAGAAAGATCCTCGTCCATTATCTCTTATGTCAAGCCAGACTCCGAAGACGAAATAGTTGACCAAAACTCCCTCCCAAACTTGAATGCAAATTGGGTACATGGCAAAGGTGCCTGGTGTATCCATATTGTTATAATCATTTTCCTTAAGATTTTCTACGATTTCATTCCTGGAATAACTAAAGAGCTAAGCTGGACATTAACCAATCTAACATATGTCGCTGGTTCCTACATAATGTTCCACACTTTTAAAGGCACTCCATTCGAATTCAATTCTGGTGCTTACGATAAACTCACAATGTGGGAACAAATTGATAACGGCGACCAATACACTCCTGCCAAAAAGTTTCTCTTTTTTGTGCCTTTTGCTTTATTTTTGATCAGTACCCATTATTCGAAATACAGCTTGACTTATTTTACTTTAAATGGAATATTGTGTTTAATTGGAATTGTTCCCAAATTGCCCTTTACCCATAGATTAAGGATCTCCATCCCGTTCATCACCCAATATTGAATCATAAGAATCTTTTCAACAATCTTTTCCACAGGACTGCTCGCCAAATCCCACCCAATAACTTTTGTACAATGGTAATATTACGCTGTTTTCTCGCGATTATGTGACAGTTTTCCATTCTTAGATTCGCACTTTCTATACTCATTTTCTTCCTCTTTCTTCTTTTTCTTTTTTTTCTTCTTTTTTTTTTCTTCTTCTCACACATACCACCACACACTCATTATGGTATTTTAATACACTATTGCTCCTTCCTCTGCGAAAACGTCGTCTTTGGCACCAAAAGCAACAGCTTTGGCTCCTTTCTTCAGGAGCCCCGTTCGCAGAAACGGGACATATCGCACAGAAGACTGCGATTCCGCACAAAAACCCTGTGGAAGAGCCGCAAATATCCCAAGCCGGAACAAATCCTTCCTGAATATCCAAAATTTGTTGTCGGGTCTAAAACGAAAATAAAAATAAAAATAAAATCGCAGTACTGAAATTGCCTATCAGATGTGGAAATTTCATTTTAAAGTGATATAAAAAAGGGTTTGTTCCTATTTTTCCAGTCTCTTATGATCTCTTAGGTTTATCTGCGTTCTGGGTTGTTTTTTTCTTGTTTCTCACTCAGCTCTCCTCCTTTTAACTCTACAATGAAACTCACAACATATTTAGTACTCTTCTTGAATCTAGCTTGTTCTTTATATTCGGCCATCGTTTTCCAGGACAATGGCCTTGATCCCCCAATCACTGATAAGGTGACGTTTTATATCAATAAAGGCGATAACTATTTGGGCAGATTGCATTTGGGTTTGTTTGGTACAGTAGTTCCCAAATCTGTCGAAAACTTCGTAGAGTTATCGAAAGGCACTTATGGCTTTGGTTACAACAACACCATTTTTCATAGAATCATAAAGGATTTCATGGTCCAAGCTGGGAATTTTGACTTGAATCAAAACAATAACGATGGTGGTTCCGGTGGCCATTCAATTTTCAATAATTATTCAACCTTTAATGATGAAAATTTTCAAATCAAATTCACAAAACCCGGTTATATAGCATATGCAAATTCTGGTAAAAATTCAAATGGTTCTCAATTTTTCATAACAACTGTTAAAACTGATTGGTTAAATGATCATCATGTCATCTTTGGAAAAGTCATTGGCTTGAAAAGCTTTAGAATCTTGGATAAAATTCAAAAAATTGAAACAAATTCAAATGATTTTCCTCTAACCACAATTAAAATCATTAACGTTACTCACAAAAATCTAAATCTATCACCAGATATCATCGAAGCTTATCAAAAATCAATCAACGATCTGTTGAATAGCTCAACTTATTCAATTACTTATTTATTTATACTATCATTGACTCTTATTGTTTTAATCTTTATTATGTTAAAATTTAAAAAAGCTTACTATGTCAAACAATTAAAAAGAGATTTATCAATGGATTTCGATTAATCCATTACAATAATTTATTACAGTAATTTAATACAATTTTTCATAAAAACACCCATCTTTATTCCAACTGCCGATTAATCCAGTTGACATCCATCCATCTCCTCCAACTCTTTCTCCCTCTTTTATTGCATTTTCTAATACCTCTTTATCCATTGGTCTACCGATACCAAATCCCCTTATACATAACTCTCCTGAATTATCTTCTGCTAAAAACTGGTCATTTAACAATTTATAATCTACTAATTTAGTCTCTATATTCTGCGATGGTATTCCTCTTCTTCTATAATTTATATCGTTAATTTTAACCTTATTATTTTTGCTCATTAGTCTATAATCAAATAAATTTGTTTGAAAAACTGTTCCCATTACTCCTTGTAAACTTCTCTCATTAATTATTCTTGAACCTAAAATGATATTCAAATTCAATGATTTATCACTTGAAATTAAATTGCAATTTTTAGTATTGGTTGTTGAAACATTATAAATCAATCTTAAGTTTTTAAAATTCGATAGCTCTGAATAATTTGTAAAAATTCTTTGACAAAATAGTTTATAACTTCTTTTAAATAAAATTTTTTTTTTAAAAATTGAAACAATCTTATTATTGTTATCAAAACTTGAATTATCATTAATATTAATTTTATTCATAAATATATTATTATACAAATAATACAAATAATTGGTTGAAATTACCATGATTGTTGGTTGTGTCTTTCCAATTAAGTCATAAATCTTTTCACCAATTGAAAACTTTTCTCTTTCAGATAAGTCATTATTATCACTATTAAACCCATCCAATGTTAATGTTAGTGACAAGGTTATTTTTTTTTTGCTCTTGTTTAATGGCTCGACAATTTTAATTGATGGAATACCAGTTAAAAGTGCAGAAAATAATTTAATATAATAATTATTTACGTTGGATTCCTCATTGAATATTATTAAATTATCATCAGTATTCCAAGAATTTTCAATGGGAATTGAATTCAACTGTGAAGAAATATTTGAGACCAAAGTAGTTAAAGAGTATGAATAAGTGTTGAAATTAACCGTTTCCATTATTGGAATAAATTTATCATAATAATTATTGTAAATATAATCATAGGTTGGATCACTAAATTGTTTATAATCAACATTGTCAACTTGGGTATTTGTTTTGTGTTCTTTTGAGTCATTATTATCGGCTTTAAAAAATTCATTCCAAGTTAAAATATTAATTTTATAAATATTTTGGCTTGAATATTTTTCAGATAAATCGTTTTTAGAATAATCTGTAACAACAATTAATTTAGTTGAATTAAATCTTAAAGCAAGGCTTAATTCATTTTCTTTTATAAATATGATGTGAATGTTCAAATAACGGTATTTAGATAAATTGTTTTTATTGTGGAAAAAATGAATGGTTAGGTTATTTAACAAGCATGCCATTGAAATTAAAAAATTCCGATATGAATAAACTGGTAGTGTTGATCCAACTCTTAATAAAGTATAATCCTCAGTAAAAGTTGTTTTTATTTTATCTGCATGTTGAGTTTGATTTTGATTATGATTATGATTTTGATTTTCCTCTTTATTGCCAGCTTGATTGTTTTTCTGTTTTTGTTCTTGCTCTAATAATTGAGTTTTATATTGGTTATATTTTTCAGCTAGAGATTCTATTGAGTCAAATTTAACAAATTCATTAAATCTTTTAAAAATAAATTTAAAAATCCCATTTAGTTCTTGAAATGAAAAGCTTTTGATTACATTGCATTTATTATCAAAAAATTTCAAATTTTGTGGATTACTATCCGCTGATTTTTGTTGCTTTCCTATAAATAGGCACCAAACATCTCTGATATTGCCATTTCTAACCTGATAGGAGTTGTATTTAATGGATAAACCAGTGACTAGAGGATAATTAAAAGGGATTATGTTTGACCTATGGATTGCAGTTTGATTGGGATATCTGGTTTGAGAAATGTTTGACTGGTTATTCAAGGCAATTTCAGCAATGTCAATTTGAGTTTCAAGATACTTTGAGTAAGCGTAGGAGACCACGATAATCAATAGCAAAAGAATAATCAAGTGTATTTCCTCCATTGTCAACAAGTCGATGAGATGGTGCCAAATAACGAATTATCAATTTCTAGTTACAAAAAGTTGAAAAGAAAACGACCCGAAATATTTGAAAAAGCAAAAGTTACCCTCTATATGCATGTTGAGCATGTTCATGCATGCGTGCATGAACTGTAATATCTATCCAGGATTGTGTTTATTAACTGTTAATTATTGTATAGCTATATATTGTATATATTGTATATGGGGGAATATTATTAATCACTGAGTAGAGTGTCTATGTTGTTTATTTGGTCTCTTTTGTTGGCATCAATTGAACTTAACTCGTCGTTGCTGCTTGTATCTAGTTCATTCAAAAACAAGTTGTATTTTGAATTCCAAATGGTTCTTGCACTTTCGTAGATGAATAGAAACTGGTTTTTGCTTTGAACCATAAGCATTCTTTGTTTTCTTAGTTTGCATATGATTTCTTTGATTACGTCGATATTGGTTTGATTATTGTCATTATTTTCATTGTTGTATTGATTATTATTTTCATTGTTATTTTCATTATTGTATTGATGATTGCTTAGGTAGTGTTCTAATAATTTTTCATTGTTTTTGGCTTGGTTAAATATTATAAAATCATTGCAAAAATTTAATAAGTAATCAAGAGTGATGAATGACCCAGTTCTACCAACACCGGCAGCACAGTGAACTATCATTGGGTTGTGGTTTGTATTTGAAAGATTTAAATCGTTTAAATCGTTTAAATAGTGGTGAGCATATTTTGATAGATTAATAATTGAGTTGTAATTATCTGGTTTATTAAAATCCTGCCATTTATCGTAATAAAAATGATGGACGATTTTTTTTTTATAAAGTTTTTGGTTTGTGTTGTTTTTTGTATTGAAAATTGGTTCGATTAGTATTTTTGAATGATAGAAATCGTTGTTGATGTAGCGTAGTTTGAGTAAAGTTAAATTTAGAGAGTATTTAAAGCCCTCCAAGTTTTCAAATTGGCTATCAGATTGCAAGCTTTCGAGTTGATTATCAGATTGGTTATCTGAATCGTTATTCAAGTGGTTATAGTTGATCGTGTTAAAGTTATTTAAAAAGATTTGAGGGTTATTTAAATCAGGCCAATATTTAAAAGATTTTTGTTTTTTCCTTTCTATTAGTGGGGTTAGCATTACTATTATTATTGGATCGTGAGTAAAGGGATTTGATTCGTTATAACACATTTGCCAAAAATGAGAAACAGTGTTTTTTAGGGGACCTTGAGTGGCTATATAGTGTTTATTGTAGTTTGATATGATTGCGGAATTTGTGTTATTGGAGAAGCTTAAGTTTATGTGAGAAGCGTTGATGTAGTCGTTGTAGTTGTTTATGACAGGTAATTTCACTCTGTTTTTATCAAAGGGTAGAGTATTGGCATATCTATTTCTTTTTGAATCAAAAGCCTTTGCAGCATTGTGTAGGGACCAAGGGGAGTTTAGACCATTTATGATGGCGTCGTGGATTCTTTCGTCTTCTTTTTGTTTAATTTTATCGAAGATGTCGATTAGTTGTGATTTAGTTTGGATCAAGTAAGGAGGGATTGGGATGTTAGTTTTAACAAGCTGATTATTATTGTCAGAATTGAAGATTGTTTTGATGTATTTTGAGCTTTTATCGAGATGAATGGGGGATTTTATTTTGTGTAGGGACAATCTTCTTTGAATATTTGATTTATTGTTAGTTTTATTAGATTTGTGAGTGAGTTTGTTTGTTGATTTATTGTTGGTTTTATTGTTGGTTTTATTATTGGTTTTATTATTTGGTTTATTCATATTATCGATATTGTTTATATTACTTATATTACTTATATTAATTATATTACTTATATTACTTATATCACTTATATTACTTATATCACGTATACCACTTTTATTACTTTTATTACTTTTATTACTTATATTACTTATATTATTGCTATTGTTAGTATTCAATAGAGATTTAATAGATTTTAGGAGGGTTATATTGTCCAAATCAATTGGATTGTTCTTTATATAGTTTATCATTGAATGGAAATGTTTAAACGCGAATGTGGGAGGATATTCAAGTGTAATTATAGAATATAAAAAAAGAGTATAAAAAATATAAAATTAGATAAACTAATACGATATAATAATAGATAAAGAAAGAGAACGAAGCAAAGTCAAACAAATAATTGACTTCCCGTTTGTTTTATGTGATTTATAGTTAAAAATTTGATGACCTGATCTAGGCTAGGTACTAATATTTCAAGTGAGAAATATGGAGGTGTTTTAAATGAAAAAAAAAAACGAAACAAAACGAAACGAAACTGTTTAAGAATGTAATTAAGTGAGATTGGCAATGGAATACAGCCAGAGAAGGGTGATTGTATTGAGTAGATATTGTGTACAGCGAAAAGCGTGGTTTGGGATACTGAGGAAAGGTGTTTATTGTGTTGATAAATGATCAAGTATAAAATAGTATAAAATAAAATAAAATAAAGGAAAAGTAAAAATGATTTAGGTATTTAAGGTTCTGAATAAGGTTTGAGAATGGTCCAAAAGATGATGTTTTTCTTTGTTTTTTTTCCGATTGTGCCCAGAAAAAAAAACACAGCGTGAGACTTAAATCGGGGTCGTAAACCAAAAACTTCAAACAACCTTCAGAGCCTCAAAGCAGCTTCAACCACCTCAATCATCTAGAATCTGTTGCTGCCTGGGCCGTAGCCTCCTTGATTGTAGCCTCCAGGACCTCCAGGACCACCTTGATGTTTGCCTGGACCCTGGTGCTTGCCAGAGCCGGGGTAGCCGCCTTGGTTTCCTTGATTGCCGTAGCCACCAGGACCACCAGTTCCTCCTTGGTTAGAACGTCCATGGCTGCCTTGGTTGCCGTAGCCCTGGTTGAACTTCTGTTGCTGCTCCTTGTACTTCTTCTGTTCCTGGCGATCCTCTAGCTTGTCTTCAGCCTTGTTGGCAAAGAAACTGCCAGCAATGGCACCTCCAATCTTGCCCAAGGTGCTTCCTCCACTCAATTGGCCACCGGCAAAACCACCAGCAGCGGCACCACCAACAGTAGCTAGAAGGCCTCTTTCACCTTCTTCACCCTCCTGACCTGGTTGAACCTGGTTGTGCTGGTTGGCGTTGGTCAGATCGGTCTGGCCATACTGGTCGGACTTGTGTTGGTTTGACTGACGGTGGGTGTCTTTGTTATCTGTTCCGTAAAAATCTCTGCTCGACATGGTGGTAGTTGTATATGTGCTAGTTGTATAGGTTCTAGTTGGATTGGTTCTGAGTGTCTCCATCTCGGGAGGATCTGGTGCTCTTTATATAGCCCATCGCCATCCCATCGTGAGCTCTATTCCATGCCCTCACCAGCAATTGCTCTCTTGTTTCCCTTCACTTGCTCTCATTAAGCGCTGAGCCCTCTGTGGGCCTGAGCTGAGCCTTCTGAACTGGACGCTGATTGGCCAGCATACGTCAGCTGCTTCTGCTCCACACTTGTGGTTTGCGCTTGGTTTCTTTTTATATTTCCAGCTCTTTCTCCAGCATTGCTCCCACCATCACAATTACATCAGTCCAGATCATGTCTGCTAGCAGTTTCTACGGCTCTGGGGGTCCCCCAGACTCCAGCTCCAACAGAGAGAACAACAGAGAGAACAACAACCAAAACTACAACCAAAACCAAAACCAAAACCAACCCCCAGCTGAGGGCGAGGAAGGCGAAAGGGGCTTTCTTGCCACTGTTGTCGGTGGTGCCGCTGGTGCCTATGGTGGAGGTAAGATATCAGGCAGCCACAGCACTCTAGGTAAAATAGGTGGTGCCATCGCTGGAAGTTTCTTTGCCAACAAGATCGAAGACAAATGGGAAGAATACTCTCAAAACAAAAACCAAAAGAAGCAAGACCAACAACAACAACACCACCATCAAGACCAATATGGTGGTGGTTATGGTGGTCCTCCCCAAGGTCCTCCAGGTGGTTATGGTGGTCCTGGTGGCTACGGAGGTTATGGTGGTCCTCCAGGTCCTCCAGGCTATAGTGGTTACTCTAACCAAGGTCCTGGTCGTTGGAATTAACTACCCCCTTTATATTTTTGCTCGATTGATATTTGTTTTTTTTCTTTCATATTATCTTACTAAATCCTATGGTTTTTTGGTTATTTGTTCTATTTTCTTATCGTTATGTGCTCACCACCATTTTTTTTACAATTTCTTCATTTATTGGAAATAAATTTTCAGTTGTTATCACTGTGATATACTATTGATAGACGTATATATATATATATATATAATTCCAATCAATTTATGTTCATCTCCACTTTTCACACACACTCGTCTTCACCCCTACCCACGTTTTTTTTCTCTCTTATATAGATCATGTAAATTAAATTATAAAACAAATAAAAAATTATAAAATTAAACAAATAAAATCAACAGAAAAGAAAACAAATAAAATAAAATTAACAAAAATAAAACAAAGAAAACAAAAAAAAAATATGCCAAAATGCAAAAAATGCAAAAAATTAAATTAAAATTAAATTAAAATTAAAGTAAAATTAAATTAAAAAATAAATCAATTCAATTCAATTCAAGAAAAAAAATTATCAATCAAGTATTAAAGAAATCAAAAAAAATACTTCATACCAATTATCCTCAACGCTGTTGTCGTCTTCTACTACGTGGCATGGCAAACCTTCGCGTTGATGGAAACACTACTGGTTTTGGAGCCATACCATTGTTTCCACTATTATTCATATTCATATCCATATCCATATTATTATTAGTAGTAGTATTAGTATTAATATTATTATTGTCTGAACTTCCTCCTCCAAATATAGAGGCTGGATCAACTGTACTTGAAACACCGAAATCAAACGATGGCTTATTACTAAGTGATGGCTTATGAAAAACCTGAAATTTTCCACTATCACCATTCATCATCATATTATTATTATTATTAGTAGTAGTAGTAGTAGCATTGTTGCTAGTGGCACTTTTAGTATTACTCATATTAAATGAAATTGGTGTTGAAACCAGTCTTTGATTATTCCCAAATGAAAATCCCTTATTTCCCAAAAAACCACTCATTTGATTATTAGTATTAGTATTAGTATTAGTATTAGTATTAGTATTAGTATTAGTATTAGTATTAGTATTAAATGAAAAACTAGTTTGCATTGAATTACCAACATTGGAATTTTGCGTGTTACTGCCAAAGTTGAATCCACTTCCCGATAGATTACTTGGTGTGCTCGTACTACTCATAGGATTATTTAAATTTGTCAAGCTACTTTTAGTTGATGGTTCAAATGAAAATGGTGTGCCAGTGCTTCCATTAGAATTGTTACTAATTGTATTATTTGCAGCTTTTGGTGCACCAAAGTCAAATGAAAAATTTGTTTTAGCTGTCTCAGTGTTTGCTTCTTCAGGCTTTGTATTAAATGAAAACCCAATATTTGGTTTATTATTTATTGAATTTATTGAATTTACTGAATTGCTAGGATTTGGAAAATTAAAATTAAATTTTGGTGCTGCTGTCGAATTTGGTGTCGCTTCATTTTTTTTGGCAGAGTCAAAACCTGCGCCCTTAAGATTGAAACTGAATGCTGGTTTTATATTTTCAGAAGAAATATCCATTTTCTCTGCACTAGAAGAAAATGTAAACTGCAGCTTATCTGCTGTATTAGTGGTGGTAGCAGTGGCTGTGGTATTGGTGTTGGTATTGGTATTAGTATTAGTATTAAAACTGCTTGGTTTTGAAAAGGAAAATGTGGGTTTATTTGAATTAGCCTTAGAATCCGTGGGGGCAAATGAAAATGATGGTTTTGCAGTATTATTTTTATTATTTTCTTCATCACTTTTTAATTTTTCATTTGTTTTATTATTAGAAATATCTGGTTGGCTAAATGAAAATGTGGTTTGAGGTTTATTGTCACTTGATAGAGCAAAATTAAATACAGAAGTTGTTGTTTTTGTTGAATTAGTTGAGTCAGAATCTTGTTTTTTATTAAAACTAAAAAAGTTATTGTTTGTTGTAGTATTGTTTGTGTTGGGAATATTAAAAGAAAAACTAGGTTTGACGGCTTCCTGTTCAGAATCATCAGCTTTTCTTTTATTCTTGTTTTCAGGAGGATTAAAAGAGAACAGTAGAGTTGATGGTTCATTATTTTTTGAAGAACTATTTGAATCAGTGGGATTTTTAGGAGCTGCAAAACTAAAAGCAGAAGTTGGTTTGATTTTTGGGGATGTTTGAGAGTTTGAATCAGTAGGTTTGGATATATTAAATGAAAAAGCATTGGTATTTGAAGATTCTTTTTTATCATCATTTTCCTTTTTATTATCATTGGTAGTAAATGAGAATGACGTTATTGGTTTAGAGGAGTCAGAATCGGGTTTTTTAAATGAAAGGAAAGGTTTAGTATTATCGGTAGATTTTGTAAAAGTTGAAAAAATGTTTTTAGGTTTATCATCAGATTTTTCACTTGAGCTATCATTTGGTTTATCTTCCGATTTATTATTTGTTTGCTGCTTTTGTTCATCTCCTGATTTTTCGTCAAATTTCCCTTTTGCTTCTGTTTTTGAGTCTTCTTTGAATGATGAACCAGCAAAATTAAATGCTGAAGTTGGAAATATTTTAGGTGTAGAAGAAGTCTTTAGTAAATTTTTAGTATTTTTTCCTTGTGTTTCATTATTATTTATCGATGCCTCTATCAATGAGTTGTCTTCGATAGTTTTATCGATTGAATTTTCATTTTCAGTTTCACCATCATTGAAAGTAGAATGATCATCTATATCATCAATATTAATTGATTTGATTTTTTTTCTTTTTAAATTGTCCAAACAGTGTAAAGAGCCATTAGTTGAGCTTATATTGGATATTAATTTTAGCTTTGAGGTTGTTGGAACAAAACTCAAATTGATCTTTTGATGTCTCTTTGATGGAGATAATTGTAATATAATTTTTTTTTCTTTAGGGGTATTGGAGGTTGAGGATATAGTTGACTTGTAAGGAGAAAGTAAACTTGATTTCTTTTTCATGGACTCAGAGTTATATGATATTAAATCAAAATCATCATAGTTGAAATCGTCAGTGAATACACCGAACTTTCGCTTTTTATTTGAATTCACACGATTATCAAGTTTTTGGCGAATTAGTTGATTTTCTTTAGCATCAGCTATTATTTCGACTGGATTCAACTTTCTTATTTTCAAGGAGGGATAAGTGTTTATGTACTTATCAACAGAACCCCCCTGGATGGTGTTATTAGAATTATCAACTTTTGATAGGCTATCGTCACTGAAAACTATAGGCAATTGTCTACCTGTGGAACGATAATAATTGGCCTTCCTTAATTGCTGATTGTGTCTGATTATCTTTAATCTTTCAATAGGCGATGGAAACAAATACATGTCGGCACTGATATGCTGAGCTCAAAACTAGGCAGATAGATGGATTATATGGTAGAAAGCAGAATAATAAAGACTATTCAATAAGAAGATCAGGTACTAGAAGTGAATTACAAATAGAAAGAGAAAAATAAACAGCACTGAAAAATATTTTTTTTCCTGAGTAAGTCATGTGCAGAAAGATCCGTATTTGTGGTTCTCAAAGCACATGCACAATACGCAATACGTACATATTATACGTAACTGCACGAATAATTGCATTAAGCCCACAGATGTGGATTAATGCATGCTTATACAAGTTTTCACGTATAGACACATTTGCATGCATTGATCATGTGACTTAGAGCTCCTCCAATCAGGCGAAAATGAAAACTAATATATTCACTTTTATTTTCTTGTCTCTATCCCCATCGATCATTTGGCATATATCGTCGTGCTACTCGTATCTATTCAACCTATATTTGCAAAATGCCTTCTCTTACTGCTCTTGCCGGCTGGGGTGCTTTTGGTGCTGGTGTTAGATTCTACCAGTTGGGTTTACTACAAAGAAATCAGGCTAAGGGCATAGTTGGTTACGCACTTTCTTCTGCTCTCTGGGTCGGAATTGGTTATACTGCCATTGGATTTTACGAAAATCAACAACAAGTGTCTAAAAAAAGAATTGCTAGTTTGCTAGAAAAAAGAGCCAAACGTGCTGCAGCTCAAGAAGCCGAAGCATAATTTGTAATGTAATTGATATTAATCTTTACCAATGCAACAATGAACATAAAAATTGAAAAAAAAAAATAAATTGCTATAATGAAATTTGTTATATGTTTATATATGAAATAGAGGGTTCATTCATATGCAATTCGATTAGGTTGCCTTTCTAATCACTGTCTTTTTAGTTTTAATATTCTCATTTCCAATTACCTTTTTATATTTAAAATATTTATGTTCATAATTATAATTATAACTGAGTTTAAATTTAATGATCTTTTCTTTTTTTTTTTAATTATCTTTTTTATTCAAAATATAATTTCCAAATTTATCCATTTTAAGATCTTCAACCCCTTCAATCAATTTTTTTATGATTTCTTCATTTTCTTCTTCCAACTGCTTGTTTTCTTTGTTGATTCTATCAAGTTCATCTTCACTGTCTAATTCGTCTTCATCATAATTTTCGTAATAATCGATTTCTGCATCTTCGAATTCACCTTCCAGTTCATAACCATCTTCATCATTTATATCGCTTTCTTCATTGTAATTTTCAATTTCATGATTTCTCATTTGATTAACTGCTTCTTCCAATTCTTTTTCAGTGCTATAGTTATTTTTGCTATAAGTTGATTTCTTTCTATTGTATTTATAATTTTTATTGTTTTTGTTATTCTTGTCGAATTTTTTCTTTTCTCTTTTATAACCTGACGCCATTACCTGAACATCCAAGTTACCTATTCTTTTGACATCTCTTTTAAATACAGGATATGAATATTTAAACCCATCTCCGTATCCATCAGTATCCAAAAAAACACAATTATTTTTTTGCTTCTTCTTCTTATTCTTATTATTATCATCGTTATTATCATTATCATCATCATCATCATCATTTTCTTCTTCTTCTTCATTATATTTATCATTTAAATATGGTTCATAATTGAATTTTCTTTTGAAAAATCGTTTTATACACTCAACATCTCTATTAAAATAATATTCATGATTAACATGATCGATTGAAATCGACTGTGGGAAATCAATAACAACGAAATCTTCATTGAATTTTCCCAAATCTTCTTCATTTCGAATCATTATATTGAATTCATTAAAATCGCAATGGATTAACCCGTAATTGGCCAATTTAACAATAAATTTCATTAGATCTGAATATAATTTTTTATAATTGAAATGTTCTTTCAATTGTTTCATTTGAAATCCATTTACCCACTCCATTAATATACAATGTCTGGAATAGTCATATGGTATTGGGACATTAAACTTGGAATCATATAAAATTTTGAGAAATTCATATTCTTTTTCAGCAGCTAATCTTGATAAATACATCCAATTTGTTGTCTTTCTATTTTTCAAATAGTCTCTGTTTTTTTTAACGGTTCTAAAACTAGTTCTCCCCAACCTGACAACTTTTAAAATCTTTTGCTGACCTGTTTTATCGCTAATTGAATAGATATCAGATTCCTTTCCAACTCCAATAATCGTTCCTAATGAGTAAATATTCTCACGATTAACCATGGATTTCAATGCAAGAAAATCGTATCCACTGAACGTCAACCTGTAACCATCGTATTTGGCGTTTCTCACTTTCCCTATCAACTTCAATTTCGCCAAATTGGAGATGCATCTATTGCAAAGCGATGAGCTGACTTTACTGATCTGGTAGATCAAATTTGTAGGAACAATCTCATGGTTTCGTGAACCCAACTCGACTGCCGTCAATGTTCTGAAATCGTCAGAGGAAAGATACCTCATATAATCCGGGCTCAACTTCATTCTGCCTTTAAAAACTTTCTCTCAACCTGTTATCTCTTATAACACAGATAATCAGTACATTAGACTTCTCTTTCTTCTCTTTCTTCTCTATGATTTCTCACCTGTAATTTTTTCCTCGGTGTCTGATAAACACGTGTCTTACCCTCGGATCCTTCTGAGCTGTCTTTTTGAATCAAAAAAGATTAGAGATTAAATAAAAGAGATTAAAGAGAATAAATAATTAAATCAAGAACACAATTGGAACACTGAAGTAGCACAATGATATCTGACAACGAACTCAACACTATTACTATCTTCTTTGGCGTGGCAACTGTTGTTTTGACGTTGATCTATCATGCAATCACCACCAATTTAACTGCCATCAAGTCCAAATAGCTTGATGAGAGCTCTTTCTTCAATTCTCTTTGAACCAGAACAGTGTTGGTTCAGATTCTAGCTTTTAGTTGCTTTGAAGTGGTTTTGGGGTTTTATTGTTATCTTCTCTCTGGTTTTATTGTTGGTCTGATGGAGTTTATTTGGCAAATTTCTGCGATTTGTTTTGTCTATTCAAAATCTAATCTATAATCTATAATCTATAAAAATCTAAAGATACTAAAATATAATATAATATAATATAATGCTTTATTGATAAAAACTAAACACCAGAAAAACTCTGAATAGCACTGAAAAAAAAATAAAAAAAAAAAAAATGCAGTCAAATGATTAAATTCCCAACTCTTCTTCACCTAGAAGAATTTTGGAATATTGAATAATATTGCTCAATTCCTCAGTGATATCTGTAAACGCTTTAGAAAATGCCATCCCATGAATTTCACTCCAATGAACATGTTCATACTCTTCCAATTTTTCATTTTGGAAATTTTTATCTGTTTCACTGTTTTCATTAGTCGAATCTGTTGAGTCAGTTTTTTCATTATTATCACTCATCTCATTTTTATTAAGATCGTCTGATGAGAAATTTTCCGATAATTCATTAAATATAGCGTCAAATAGTCTTTTTCTTAAACTAATTGAACTTGGTAAATAAATTGGAATCTCATCATTAGTCTTGAAACAACTCAGAATTATATGTAATATAAAAATAACTGACGCAACTGAATCTCTTCTAAGACTTAATAACTTCTTATTAGCCTCTGAATCCTCAGAACTAATTTTAACGTGAAAAAAGATTCCTGCCATTCTTGCTTCAATAATTTTTTCCAATATAAAATTGCATGAATTTATTAACTTGATATACACCTCCACTTCAAGATTTTTATTATCTTTACCATCAATCTCTCCATTGTAAAGATCAATTAAAAAATGATTATTTTGAACTTTAAACATTTTGATCAAATCTTTGATTGAATATAGTAATTGTAACATTCTGATTTCCCGGATATTAGCCAATTCAAAGGTAAGCTCAGTTGGATCGTCATAGTAATCTCGATAAAGATACCTGTCAGCAATCGATTGATAGCATTGAGACAAAAATAATAATAATGGCGCAAATGATTTTCGAACTTCATTTCTCGCGATAAATGGCCATAAAATCCAATTCATAGCTATTGATGTGATGACCGAAATAATGATGCAACTTCCTATTATCCAGCTTGTTTTCCAAATAGATCCAATTGAATTTTCAGAGTTGATGTAAATTTCTAATGAAACAATAGAAAATGTAATCATTCCAATGAAACCTGATCTTGAATGATCGAAAAGCAAAAATCTGAAAAGCATTGGAATTACAAATAAACTACCGATTAATAATATGATGTATGGTGATTTATATTCCAAATAATTGGAATGAATAACACAGGACACCCATGATAAAAATATTCCAAATACACAGATTATTACTCTTGAACAAATCTTATTTAAATTGGTAGGGATTATAGGATTGTAAAAAATATATACAAGAACTGGACACCACCAGCAATTGTAATTTTGATACCAAGATTCCGGATAAATCCATCCAGGCAAACATAAAAATGCCAAGACAAAAGAAATCTTAAATGCGTATTTGGCTTCTTTATTCACAAAATAATTGAAAAAAATAGCCAATTTATATTGAAATTTTGAAGAATAATTTGAAGTATCATGAAAATTAAAATCTTTATGATCCATAGCTCTAACGTTGTTTTTATAAAAAATTTCATCTGTATTTTCAATTTTTTCAAGTCTAGTATTGAATTTCTTTTGATCATTAAGGTTTTTATTATTTTGATTTTTAGAATGTTTTGAAAATTTTGAAGTGTTTAGATTGTAAATTCTTTCAAATGCATCATCAACATCATTTTTGGTTTGATAATAATTAAAAATTGACTCGATACCTTGGTCTTTATAGCATTGCTTTGATAATCTATTTAGAGCTCTTTTTATTGGGTAATTGATTAATAAGAAATTCCAACCAAATGTCAATTTTTTAGTTAGTTCAATTGCTTTTAGTAATGTTGAACAGAGTAATAAAATTGCTTTTGCAGCCTGTCTTTGATAACGTAAAAATAAAAAGCTACTACTAATTTTTGGATTTTGTAATAAATCTCTGCAAAAGTAGTCTGTTTTTGTAAATGATCTGTACGCATAATCCACTTTAGTAATATCTTTTTTCAAGTTTTTAATCAATTTATTAAAAGTTTCTATTAGTTGGTCTTTATCTTTATCAGGGACTTGTAAGTATTTGTTTGTGTTTGAATCTAGAGTGAATTTATTTAATAATTGTTGGGAATTGATGTCTAATTTACCGAATTTAATTAAAAGGATTTGAATGAATTCAACTATTTTGATCATACTTATTACTAAACGGATGGCAGGTTTTTTAAAGTAGTTTTGTACAACAGTTATATAAAATATTTCAGAACTTAATAGGTTAAAGTTATTTGAATTAAAATTAAGATTAAAATTTGAATTTGAATTTGAATTTGAATTTAAAACTAATTGTGGTTTATAATTTGTGAGTTTGGGAGTCGCCGAACCAGAAAAGATTGGAGAATTTATGTTTGAAGTTTGTAAACTTGATGCAGCATAAATGTTTTGAAATTCGTCGTGTTGTTTATTTAGTAAATCTGAGTTTGAAAAATCTTGGATTTTACCTTGAAATAAAATAGAATTGTAGGGCATGGCTCTTAATGGAGCAATGATATAATTAATACCATTTCTAATCGAGATTAGACTGTTTTGATCAAAGACGGATAATTTGATGATCTCGTTTGAAAAGGCTCTAAAATTTTCGGACAATTGTACAATTGACCAGTTCAAGTGGTTTATGATTATAGTGATATAATTGGTGTCTGTGTTTAGTGTGGAATTATCAATTTTGGCGGGAGTGTTGGAGATTGTATTCAAATCTGTATTTGATTTTAGTTGTAGTGTATCATTAAGATGGTAGAATGATGAGTTATGAGATTGGTTTATATTCGTTGGATTAGTAGAATTAATATGGGTATTAGAGTTATTGAATTGATTGATTTTAGATTGCAATTTTGAGTTAATTGAAAGAATTAAGATGTTTTTAATTGATTGCAAAGATGAGAGAATTGATAGTAGTAGACTATCGTGAAATAGATCAGGAAAAACAAGTATGTTGATGAGTAAGGATATTAGAATTCCCAAAAGATAGGGGATTGAAAAATTCCAGCAAATATTTGAATAGTTTATTGTAATTTTTGATGAAAAAACGTTGTCGGATAAAATAAAGAGGATTGTGATGCCTGAGGTGATTGAGAGGTAATAAAACCTGATGAATTTTGATCTTAGAAAGCTTAGTGAGTAAATTGATAGAAAGGAGAACATGAATAGAATTCCACCTGAATGCAGTGCGACGGTGTTGTTGGTATTTGCAATAAATAGAGATAAACATGAGATGGATAGACCGATGGAGGCACCAAGGAGCGAGAGGAAGGATATTTCCAATTGAGTTCCAAAGGAATGATAAGGGTGGTGGATTATCATTGCTAGGGGTAGGAAAGTTCTCTGAGGCCCTAGCCAGTTTCCTGAGGGGTGAATCAAGCAAATGGTCATTGAAATGAAATAGGCAATAAAGACTTTGAATATTTTAGTGAATAGATGGTATTTTTTGTAATTGAAATGGAGGTTGAAGTCGAGCCATTTGTTAGGCTTGATAGAGTTGGTAGGAGGATTGGAGTTTGTTGAGCAATTGATTGGATCGAGATCGTGGATTACGTTTAATAAGCGCTTATAAGATTTTTTTCTGCTTGAATAGATTGAATCAAAGAAACCATCTCTTAGTTCTTGAACATTGTGTGTGCTTAGAGGTTGGTAAACATCGGCGGCTAATTGGTTGAGTTTGACTTGGGAGAAGGAGTATCTGAAGGAGGATGGGTTAGTTTTGATGTTCAAGTTAGATTTAGATTTGAAGTTATTTGGTAGAATGTAGGAAATGTTGTGAGAGAGATCAGGGATTTTGAGATTAATATTGTTATTATTATTATTGGTGGTGGTGGTGGTGGTGATGGCGGGAATATTTGGGAACTGTTGTGGGGTTCTTTGTGATTGGGTTATAGTAAAATAGGAATCAGAGTTATTTGGGATTGAATTTGGAGAAACAGCAGGAAGATTGTTTGAAAGGTTTTTCTGCAATAGTTTTGAGAAGGAGGTTGTATTGGGTAGGTTATTCATTTTCAAGTGATGTAGTAATTATTTAATAAATATTTAATAAATATTATATAAATATTATATAAATATAGGTGGATGATAATTTTTTTATTTTTGAATAAAGATCAAACTATATATATATATATATATATGTGTGTGTGTGTGTGTATGAGTATAAGCATGGATATTTATAGGAAATGAGATAGATGAGATTAACGAGATTAAATAGATAGATATACGATTCAGAATGAAATGGAAATAGAAGGTATTGTGATTAAATGTTAAAAGAAATTGTTGGATAAAAAGGCATTAATTGAAACCAACAAAAGACGAGAAACAAGTTGGATCAAATTCAAATCAAATCAATAAGAAATAATTAGAAATAAATTCGAGATAATTAAGAAAAAAAAGAGAGCGATTTCTTGACCAAATGGCAGTGCATGTATATATATGCGTATATTTGTGAATCTGTGTACCTAGATGTGTGTGTATGCATTTAACGCTGTGTGGTTTGCGTCAACATGCCCCATCCGTATTAGTGGGTCTTGGAAGCAGTAATTTTAGGTGAATAAGTAGGAATTAAAGGAGGCAGTGGGCATCCAGCCCACAGGAAACAACCCAAATTGACAGAAGGAGAGGTGGAAAAGAGGAAGAAGAGGAGGGAGAGGAAAAAGAGGGAATTAACGATGGAATTGAAGATGGAATTGAAGATGAAAATGTTGAAGAAAACATGAGAAAAATGAGAGAATTTGAGTCAACGTTAGAGAAATTTCAAGAAAATTTGTAGGAAATAAAAAGTGTAAGAAGAGTGGATTAAATGAATATACAAGAAAAGTAGGAAAATGAGTTATTTTTTTGTATTTTTATTTTTCACGAGTTTGGGTAAAATAAATAAAAGAGAGATTAGGTGAACGAAAAGAGAAATAAGGTAAACGATTAGGTTTTATGTTGAAACTACGGTAAAAGACGAATTGTAAAGGGTTTAATAGCATGAGTAAATGGGATAATAAGTTGTAGTAATTTAGAAGTGTAATTGTGTATAAACAGAGCAATTTGACATGTTCTAATGGGATACAATAGAGTGTATTGGAGTGTATTGGAGTATAATGTAGTGGAATATACAATGATTATACCATGATTATACCATGATTATACCATGATTATACCATGATTATACAATGATTATACAATAGGGTTAATGTATTTAATTGATGAGTGTGTATAGGTATAGTAAAAAAAAAAAGTTGAATAGTAGTAGTGGGATTGGTATCATTAGGGGAAAGCTTGATTAAAAAGAAGTGAACTGATTAATTGTGCTATCGTATAATTTATGACATTTTAATAGAATAAATTGGCTGTGTTTTGTGGGTGGATAAGTTAATTGATAAGCACACAAATTAGTAATGTGAATTGTAAACTGAGTTTGTTACACTGAGTAGAAAGGGATTGCATTGTAAATGAATAAAAGAAAAATAGTTGTAAACACACAAACAGTACGGTTTAGGAAGGCGGGATGGATTGAAGAGCGTTTTCCCGATTGAGACTTAAGACCATTGTCATGCTTTTGTTACCCTATTTTATACGTTTGTGGTTATTTTTTGATTTTGTTTTTAACTCCGTTGATTCGGTTATGTAAGCAGCGGTTAATGAGCGAAGCAAGTGAGATGATTTTATTTTATCTCCATCAACCAGATTAGAAATGAGTGACAGTAGGTGGCCAATCAGAGACAATGCATTAGTAATTCGCATTAAACTTTAAAGTGAATAGAAATCAGAGTAAAAATAACCAAAAGAAAGGAAAGGAAAAAAAGGAAAAAAAAGGGAAAATAATAAACTTTGGCTAAGGAAGAAAAAGTTAAATAAGAAAAAAGTGTGTAGTGGTTTAGTTTCGAAAAGAGATAACATAATTCACTACCATTTGCCGTTTGTCATTTATCATCCACCATTCAACTATCACTTATGATTGTTTGCGATCATTTGTCATGATTTCGGAATCGAGTTGCTCAACTGCTAAGTGAGCGTCTCCTCTTTGAAAACAGTGAAACAGATCTAGAAATGAATACGTAAATAGAGACACATCAAGCTAGATGAAGTGGAATTGAATTTTGAATTTTGAAATTTTGAAAGTGGAAATTCCATCACATTTAAATTGAATACCATCCCAAACTTGGGATGGATTGGATTGGATTGAAATAAAACGAAATGAAGAGATTGATCAATTGACAGATTTTTCAGACTAAACAGTGGATAATTACTTGCAATGGTTGTGCGAGCATCGCTGAAACCTGGACGTGAAACTGGACGTGGAAAATAGCAGAAATTAGTGATCGATTAGGAGATAGCGCAGCAGCGCAGAGAGGGCTTTTTGTTCGCCGACCGGCTAAATGAGAGGATGCTGGAGCACTGGAAACAGCAGCAGCCATCGCTTTTGAGGAGCGCTGGATCAAATTCCGTTACCCATCTTATCGAGTTACGCGGCACAGCGTCCCATTCGGCTGGAAAACAGGTATTGTTGGCGCCATCGACAGTACGACCATCTTTGCTGGACCATCCCCAGAAGAGCGTGCCATCGCACACAGCAGTTCCGTGCTGCTTCTGATGCGTGCGCTGTTTCTGTCGCCCTCGGCGCGCGCCCTAGTGGATTCCTGCACTAAGTACGCCCGCCAATTGCCCTCTTAGGCCTTATGCGCGCAAAGACCGGCGCCGCTCTGGCCAATCAGCGCTGCGCTGACTCTGCTGACAGAGTGCCGTTGTCCGGATTGGGAGCGGTTGTGCAGCCCTGGGCATGTCATCGACGCTTGTGTCTGGAGTGTCTCACACTGAAAATTCACTCTCCATCCGTTTTGCTGACAGAAAAAAGCGACGCCAGAGCTGGAGAATCGCAATCAACAATCACAACCAACAATCGCTGATGGACAATTCACCTCTAGCAACTGCTAACAAGCAAAGCAGCTTCAATCCAATCGAAGCTTCCACTGAATAGCTCCAGCTGCTGCTTGTTTCTTGTTCGCTCCTCACAGCAACACACTAAAACTAATTCCCAACCAAGCACACTCTTTTACTAAAAATTGCAAAGGCTAGAATTCTTCGAAATACTTTTTGTAAATTGTAAATTGTAAATTGTAAATTGTATTTTGTAATGTGTAATGTGCATTATTTTTGTATTATTTTTGTATTAATTTTGTATTATTTTTAAATTTCAGATTTATTTTTTTTTTAAATTTTGCATTTGCATTCGCAGTTAATTATTATTATTAAACTTTTATTCCCATGTTTGTTCCCTTTCTCTCATACTTACATAAATATATATATTTATTTATATTTATATATAAGTATTCTTCACTATCCCTTTTTTTTCTGTCTTTTTCTGTCTTTTGATTTCTTCTTTTTCTTCTTTTTCTTCTTCTCTTCTGCTTTTATTTTCTCTTTATTTCACTCATACTTGTACTTACTCCAAGTCTTACACTTACGCTATTAGTCCACTTTTCTTTGTAACTCACAAAGTCATTCAACTTTCAACTCAAAAATTACAACCCTTTGTCTTTTTCTTTTATTATTTATATCCAACTTTCCTTACTTCTGCTTCATTTTCTAATTAATCTTAATTATACATCAACTATATATCTACCACTACTTACTTCATATCACTCATCTCTCCCTTGGATTTATATCAATTTACTCTGATCTACCGAATAATTAATTATACAATCGATTTAAAAAAAAAAGATGTCCTTGGTCGCTGTGAAAAATATCATCTCTTCTGTTATAAGTCAGCAAAAGCTCAAATCAAATCCTGATAACAAATCCTTGAATTACAACACCTATGATTCCTCCAACTATGGCTCAACCTCCTCCTGTGAAGACTATAACTACTTTGACAGATCTCAAACAATTGCCGACGAAGAGTCCTTAATCGCTAGTCCAACTCTTTCCACAAACACTCTAACCAACAATAATAACAATAACAACAACAACAACAACAAAATCTCGGCTCTTGTTAATAACAACAACGAACAGCAACTATTATTACCACAATCCAACCTCTCCATCGCTTCGGGCACCACAACCGCCAGCAATGACTCTAATAGCCAATCATCCTCTACCTTTGATCCAAGAGTAATGAGCGATATAATCATCGGTCTAAGTGATGGTTTAACTGTTCCCTTTGCTCTTACCGCCGGTTTGTCCTCTCTTGGTGACTCAAAACTAGTTATAACCGGCGGTTTTGCTGAACTAGTCTCTGGTGCTATTTCCATGGGTCTCGGTGGTTATTTGGCTGCAAAATCAGAATCACAATACTATCACAACGAAGTCTCAAAGGAAAAATCCCTCTTCTTCAAAAACCCTGAATCAATTGAATCAAATGTTGTCGACATACTCAAGGATATCGGAATATCAAACCAAAATATTCACTCCCTCTTTATCCACGACCTAGAGCAAAAACCAAACAAAATGATCGACTTTATTATTCGCTATGGTAAAGACCTAGAAGAACCCGCTGAAAATAGACAGTTCACCTCCGCTCTAACTATCGGTATAAGCTATTTTCTTGGGGGCTTCATACCTCTTATCCCTTATTTTTTCGTTTCAACCGTCAACATCGGTCTAATAATCAGCTGTATTGTCATGATGATCACCTTATTCCTCTTTGGCTATGTCAAAACTTGGGTTTCTCTTGGTAACGACACAAGCTTGGCCTATAAATCTTATGAGGGTATCCAAATGGTTCTTGTGGGTGGTTTTGCTGCCGCTTGTGCTTGGGGTTTTGTCAGATTGCTCGAATGATATTTATATCCATAAAATGATATTGATATTGATATTGATATTGATATTAATATTAATAATAAAAATGAAAAAAAGAATCAAAAAAGAATCAAAAATTATCACTCATTTACAAAAGATTGTCTTGCCCACTTCCTCACTTCCTTCCTGTTTAAGCTTTAATTCATTGTATTATACATTCCACTTTTAAACTATCACTCTATATTATCAAATTGATTTTGATCTCTATATTGATCCTGATGCTGTTCCCTTATTACTGAATATATTCTTCAATACTATTCCGCTCCTTTCCCTCTTTCTTATCAACTCCATTTCAATTTCCCCATTACTCTGCTTTTTCTAGAAAATGGCGGTTATTATTTATCAACTCCTTTTCAATCGCCCCCTTTTGGTTTCAGTATAACAATAACAGGTATAGTAAATGCGTTTGGTCCTTCATTTCTATTTTTATACTTATATATCTCCTCTTATGATAAATGTTTCCTTTTTTTACTCTTTTTTATCTCTTTTTTATCTCTCTTATACTCTATTATCAATACAAATAAATAATTACAATTACTCTATCCAATCACATTGCTAGAATCAATAATCACTCACCTTCTGCTTGTTTGAGAGTTATAACTGGAATCTTGCTACTTTCACTTTCCTTGGTATTCTCAGTACTTTTACCAGGTTCACGATCCTCTTCCACCTCTTTGGGCTCATCCACCTCTTTGGGCTCTTCTATTTTGGGTATTTCCTGCTTTGGCCCACTTGTTATTTTGTGTTCCTCATGTTCCTCATTTGGCCTGGATCTAGAACTTTCAGTCTCTCCAGGCTTCTTAGGCTTCTCAGGATTGCCATACCAGGCAATGCATTCTATCTTGTAACCTGTAAAACTCTTGATCTGCCTCTTTTTCTTCACCCATTTTCGCACAGGAATCTTGTTCTTCACATCCAACTTGAAATTGATCAAATTATTGGCGATCAACGTGTTGGAATTCAATAGACTTTTAGACACATTGCTGAGATTATAATTACTGTAATAACTACTGGGATTGGCAACCGGATTGCTGTTCCCAGCAGCGCTAACTCCAGCTCCGGCACCTGAAACACCACTGGAATTGTTCGCCATGTTGCTCAAACTCAAACTGCTGTTGTTGTTGTGGCTGTTGTACATGGACTCAGGCGCAGGAGACGACATCATCGATCGTTTTCCAGAGCTATTGATATTCAAGTTCAAGTTGGTTCGTCCTGCTCGCTGGCCTCCTCCCCGGCCTCTTCTTCGAAACACAGACAGACTGTTGTTGCCCTTGAGATTGAGATTGAGATTGAGATTGAGATTAAGACTGGTCTTGCCCTTCACTGGTGTATTAGTGCTGTTGCCAGAGATCGATAGTGGTGTTAGGTTTCCATCGTCTTTTACCGATGGTGCTAATGCAGGACTCGAAACAAGACTTGATTCACCATCGTTTGAATCATTGAACAGATCATGTGTGTTGTTGTTGTTGTTGTTGTTGTTGTTGTTGTTATTATTATTATTATTATTATTATTATTCGTGTTGCTGTTGCTTTGATAGGTTTTTGATGCCACAGGAGATGTTGAAATATTAGAATCAGAGTGGAGTGGTGTCCCAAAATTTGAATTCGAGTTTGAATTTGAATTTGAATTATACGTATTTAATCGGGTTCTTTTCTTTCTTGGTAGTGGAAGTGATAATAATTGTTCATTATGGTCCTCATTCTCATTCTCCTCATTATTAAGATTGGAATTATCTAGATTACTCATGTTCTCATCTTCATTGTCCATATCATTATCTTCGTCACTTTTACTATCAATGGTGTTATTAAATTTTTTCAACAAGTTAGACGATATCTTCAATTTGACAACATAATTCTGTGGTTTTCGGGAACTGTTCCTTGGTTTGGTTGTTTTACTGGCTTTAGCCCGATACGATCGTGGTTTCATTATGATATAATATAGTATAGTATAGTATAGTATAATATAGTATAATATAGTATAATACTGATTTTCGTTTTCCAATAAATTACATCAAGTCTAGCTTGACCCAAATCTAGTATAATTTATCTTGATCTAACTCAAATAATTTGATTTGATTGATTCAAATCAGAAATAAAAAAAATGAAAATTCTAAAAATAATTAAAGGAGAAAACACAGAAAAATGAAGAAAATAACACTTTTATATACCTCCTCTCCATAAAAGTTTTATCTAAACCATCTCTCCTTTGTTGTGTTAATTCCGCACATGACGGATCAACAGCTCGGAGATAAAATCCGTTGAAAATCCGTGTAAACTCGCGCAGATCCGTTACAAATCCGCAGAGACACACATTCAACCACGTGGCAGACCAAATGACTCGCGCGTGTGTCCTCCTTCTGAAGGGCTGTTCCGCGCTTATCCAGCTTATATCCGTGCTCTTCGCGGTAGCATTTCTTTTCCCCATGCCTGTTCATACTAAATACAGCACGGATGCATTTATCCGTGTCAAACGTCAGCTGACCTGACTCTCTTACATTATTTTCTTCAATAAGTTCCAATTCCACTTAAAGTAACTCTACATTTCTGGTTTAAAATCTCATTTTTACTTATTAAGAATTTAAAATACCATATTAATTTCCACATATCTGTCAACCTGCTCAGTTGTTCTGCTAGTTTCGTATCCCACTATCTTTCCAATCAATTTACTGTAAAGATTAACAAAATTAACAGCTCCAATAAAACATATTTTACAGCAGCCAAGTAACAACCATAAAACACCCACGAAACAACAATTTTCAAATACTAAAACTGTTTTTTTTTTGTTTCATCATAGTCTTTTTAAATTGCTTTGCCTTCACTATATATTTAATATCTGATATCATTATCACTAGTCTATTGATACATCACTTTTCTTTATTTCCAATTAATTTGAATAAAATCACCAATATTTATAATCTTTTTGAAAAATGCCTTTATGTGGAAGTGGTAAAAAACCTGGTATGTATTTATCAATATCAATATCAATATAAAACTCACCACAAGTATTCAAAAAATAAAAAAAAAAATTAACAATCTTCATCAATATTATAAATATACTCATAAACTAACTCTCTTCTATTTTTTTTCCCTTGCTTTCCCTTTGCATTAAGAACAACGTAAAATTGTTATCTTAGGTGATGGTGCTTGCGGTAAAACCTCGCTATTAAACGTCTTTACTAGAGGTTACTTTCCCCAAGTTTATGAACCAACCGTTTTTGAAAATTATGTTCATGATATATTCGTTGATGGTAAACCTGTTCAGCTATCCCTATGGGATACCGCAGGTCAAGAAGAATTCGACAGATTAAGATCATTAAGTTACAGCGATACTCACACCATCATGCTCTGCTTCTCTGTCGATTCTTATGACTCTTTGGAAAATGTTCAAACAAAATGGGTCGGCGAAATAACTGATCACTGTGAAGGTGTCTCCCTAGTTCTTGTTGCTCTTAAATGTGATTTGAGATCAAATGAGGATGATTTAAATACACCTTCAACTCCAACTAATAACATCAATGGCGATCAAAATACTATTCCAAATTCAAACCCAAATTCAAATAGTAATAACTCAAACAACAATAATGATCCAAAAAAGAAATTCATATCCTACGATGAAGGTTTAAACGTTGCTAAAAAGATCGGTGCTTTAAGTTACTTGGAATGTTCCGCTAAAAAAAATAGAGGTGTTAACGAAGCCTTCACTGAAGCTGCCAGATGTGCTCTTAATGCCAAACCCAAAGGTGCAGCTGAAGAACAATCCGATGACAAAAAAGGTTGTATTATTGTCTAATGTCAAAAGAAAAATAAAATTTATTTCAATTCAAAATTTCTTCATTATATTTATCATTTTCTTTTAATGTTAGTTTCCATCCTCAATTGATTTGCCCTGTTTTTTTGTTGGTCGTTTTTTTTTTTTCTTTTTTTTTCTCTTTTGATACAACTATTATCTACCTCTGCTTTTATCCTAGTTTATTTTAACTGTCTTAGTTTATCCTAATTTTATCTAAATTTTATTTTATTTTACACTATTTTACATCATTTTCTTTTGACTCTTTATAATCAAGTTACCCCTTCAGTTCTTTTATTTTAAATCTCAAAATTTAAACTCTGCCCTTTGACTTTAGTATATTTAATTATTAGTGCCAAAATAACAAGTTCAACAATCATCTCCACTATTAACCTAATTAAACCAACGTTTACGGATCCTGATTTTGACGAATTTACTGCTTTTACTTCTCAGCCAAACTAAAAAAAATTAAAGACGACCTCGGAGAGGATCGAACTCTCGATCTTGAGATTAACAGTCTCACGCCTTAACCAGCTTGGCCACGAAGTCTCTCCATGAGCACGTGCAAAATACTTACATGTTTGCGATCTTCAATTATTTTCCTCATTTTCAATAGCCACTTCCAAAACATAATAAAGAACAGTGGTCCTAAAATCAAGCATCTTTTAGGTACAAGAAAAGGATTCAAAATGTTGGTTAGTTTTTTAGAAAAGGCATGGGACCTTAACTCTTAAGATCCTAAACTTTTCTGTATCTGATTTGTGTAGGTTTTTCCCTGTAAGCTCAGGTTTCCCTAAACCTCGCTTAGAATTAAGGAGTTGGTTTCAGTTATTCTTAAACAACAGTTTATAGCTACTATTTAGGTCTACGAGCTCCATATGGCTGGCTCGCGGTCACAGAATATTAATAATTTTCCTCATTTTTGGAGTTTATTTTTGAAATTATCCTCAATAAAATCAATATGCCCACAAAAAATTTATTAACAATCGCTAAACAAGTAAACAAACGAGTAAATAAATAAATAAATAAAAACAATTAATTATTAGCTATTATCCGTTATACAATAACGCTTGCAACATTGCAATTTACTCTTGCTTAACCAACTTGCCAACCAATGCTGTCAAAGTGTCAAGTTTGGTTTCCAAATCATTAATCTTAGTCTTAACATCATCAAATGAATTATCAATATCTTTCTTGTTTTCATCATTACTAATATTCTCTTTAAAATTATAATTAACAGTTTGATTAAACTTAACCAAGTTCATAAAGAACTCAGGGTCTAAATTCTCTGCTTCTCTTTGAGCCCTTAATCCCTCATTGATAGCAATTGTATTTGCAACAATGCCTGAACTTGCAATCAATGACCCATCTTTATAGCTGTCTTCATAGCCATCTTCTAAATCCCATGGTGTATCAACCTCATTAGCATCATCAGCCAATCCTTTGAATCTGTTATATTGGACTCTTCTAGCTTCTTTAATCTCGTGCAACGCAATTGGTCCCAAAAATGGCCAATACACTATTAGCAAAAACCAGTAGTTAATTTTATCAAATAATAATGGAGGGCACCACCAATGAACTGGTAATGTTAGGCAGAAAAATTCAATGAGATTTATTGGAGGAATATACACATCTTCATCTGGTGATCGGGTATATCTTAGTGTCTTGTGTGCCATTAATGCCAAATACTCATCATTAGCTCTGGTGACAATATCTCTATAAGAACTATTATAAAGTGCTGCCAATATTTTTAATAATATGACATAAATCAAGAAGGAAAACAAGTAGTATAATAACCCAGAATATGGTGGATTTAATGATTCAAAGGGTTTGAAATCAACTCTTCCAATGGCTGTTAGTGACATTCGATATAAAAGCAATTTGACTGATTCAATGTGTCCATCAGCTGAATCTAACCCAATAAATCCCTGGAAGAATCCAATGTATATGACACTTAGCAACACAAAAAATAATAATGATTCCTTCATCATCTTTTGAATAACCACAATCATTACCCCAAAGAATTTATTTGAATCCAAAAATAAGAGCAACCTAATCCACATAAATGGTGCTGCTAGTGCCAAAAATTTGTATGAAACTTCTTGATATTCAAACTCTCTTTTGGAACCCTCTTTTTGTAAAATGGCAATAACTCTCAATACAAACGATGCTGTGATAATTCCATACATGGTATCATTGAACGCATTCCAAAATCCAATGTAGTTGTATCCAACATGGTATAATTTAATTGCTTCATCTAGAACAAAACTAGCTGTGAAAATATAAAACACTCCCTCTAAAAAGTTAATCTCAGGATTGGTATCATGAACGTTGATCACATAGGTATATAACGTCAAATAGATGATTGATATAACAACGTTGAATAAATTTTGGTATCTTGGAGCTTTAATTCTCTCTGGGTCGAAATGTGTTCTGAATGAAATCTTATCAAGGTCTTTATACATGAGATAGCAAGTTGGATGAATCGAGGATTGGACAATCCAACCTCTCCATAGATATTTAACACATCTTTGGAATCCTGCTGCACTTATAATATCAACTGAATGCATATCAACTGCTAATTCTAGTGCACTGGCAGGATTTGTATCCTTATCGTTAAGATTGATAACATAACGATGACACAAAACATTGATAAAAAGGAATTTTTCATCATTTTCAAAGTATTCAACAAATTTTTTAGCCAATAGTTCTGTGAATTGAGACTTTAAAACATAGTAATCTGAGTTATGTAAAGTCAACTCTGCCATTTGCTTGTACCATTTGCAAACATGAATTAAACAGAAAACTATAGAAGCTCTGAATTTTCTCGATGAAGTGTTGGGTTCCCCATTACCTTTACCACCACAGGCATTAAGTGAAACACCCATGATTTTGTTATTGGATAGCAACGTAGCAGGTTTGATCGATAAGTATTTGTCCTCAGGAATTAGCTTATCGATCAAGGTTTTCAAATTAAGACATATTCTCAAAATTTGTCTAGAATTTGGAGCATTTGTAAACAAATCAAGCACTTCTTCTGCCTCACTGTCATAAACCAACTGAAGCTCTGGGTCGATAGCAGGCACTGAGCAGAGAGCTGGAAGCGTTTGGTTTGAAGAGCCCGTAGATTCTTCGTTGTTGATGTGAACGTATAGCTGTGGGGAAGTCATATTGATTTTGATTTTGATTTCAATCCTAAGAAAAAGAAAAAAACCAAAGATGGTATCAAAGAAAAAAAAAAGAAAGGAGAGAAGCTTTCTTGAGGGATTGGGTGCTATATATATTCACAGATCATGCCATACATGAATATCGTATGAATTCCAATCTATGGTAAAAAAGAAGAGGTTGCATAAAACTAGAACCTGAAATTCAAACTGTTTTTTCAAGTTCAGGATCAATTGAAATTTGATTTGCACTCCAATTGGCCTACAGCATATCAATGGTAAGTTCTGTTTAAAGCAGTATCCCAAGCTCCAGAAATCTTAACCATCCACCATATCTCTCTAAACTCTGCAAATCTCCAGTTCTATCACCATCTTGGGCCGTATTCCAATAGGGCCAGACATTAATACCCAAACTCCACTTAAGGCTGCATCGCCCTGAGGAATGTGGATCAGCAACAGATAGCAGTGGAGGTATAAGTTATGGTTGTAAGAACAGCAAGAACAGCATTGGAACATTGCATAAATGAATATCTTCTGGCGATGAGCTGAGCTTTGAATCCCTTATCAGTTGAACCAAGGGAGGAGTCGATTCTTAGTCTGTTTTACAATCAAGATATGTTCGATGCAAAAGCTTGTGTGCAAGAGTCAATCTCAGGGAATCATTTACTAACTATGCTATCTCTATCTCTATCTTCGTATATATGTGTATATAACCAAGCCAAGTCAAAGACTATTCTTTATTGGCAACCAATTTCTCGACAAGAGCAGTCAAGCCATCGATTTTGCTTTTTAGTTCTTTTACATTGTCATCCTGTTTATTGCTGAATTTAGCAATGTTTTCAATTTGATCAGACATGGTGGTCATTTTCTTTTTAACATCTTCAAATGAGTTGTCAATTTCTATAATATCGTCGTTGTTATTAATATTTTTCTTGAAATTGTGATTTAATTTTTGATTAAATTGAACTAAATTCATGAAAAATTCAGGGTCCGCATTTTCACCTTCTCTTTGATTTCTCAATTCTTGGTTAATTGCTAAGGTGTTTGATATAATGCCTGAACTTGCAATCAATGACCCATCTTTATAGCTGTCTTCATAGCCATCTTCTAAATCCCATGGTGTATCAACCTCATTAGCATCATCAGCCAATCCTTTGAATCTGTTATATTGGACTCTTCTAGCTTCTTTAATTTCACTTATAGCTATTATAACTAAAAATGGTGAATACAAGACAGTTAAAATCCAATAATTTAATTTATCGAATACTAATGAAGGGCACCACCAATGAACTGGCAATGTTAGGCAGAAAAATTCAATAAGATTTAATGGAGGAATGTATAAATCTTCATCTGGGGATCTAATATACCTTAAAGTTTTATGAGCAGACAAAGCTAAATATTCATTGGTAGCATTTGCCACAATGAGAGCATACGAACTATTGTAAAGAGCACCAAGAATATTCAATAGGATAACCGAGATTAAAAACACAAACAAGTAATACAAGATACCTGAATATGGAGGAGCAAGTCTTTCGAAAGTACCGAAATCAGCACCACCAATAACAGTTGTAGCCATTTTATGTAATACCAATCGAGTCAAAGTGATTCTACCATCAGCAGAATCAAAGCCTAAAAAGCCCTGTAAAAAGCCAACAAAGATGATTAATAATAAGACAAAGAACAAAATTGATTCTTTCATCATTCGTTGAATAACAACAATCATTGCGCCAACAAATTTTTCTGCATCTAAATACAACAATAATCTTGTCCACATAAAGGGAGCAGCACAAGCCAAAATTTTATAGGATACTTCCTGATATAAATAAGCCTGTTTGGAACCAGTTTTTGATAATACAGCCATTATTCTCAAGACAAACGAGATAGAAACAATGGTATACATTGTGTCATTAAAGGCATTCCAAAAACCAAGATAATTGTAGCCAATATGATATAATTTAGTTATTTCATCTAATATGAAACCAGCCGTGAAAAGATAATAAACTGCTTCAAGAAAATTAATTTGTGGATCAATGTCGTGAATATTCAAAACAATGGAGAATAGTATTAAATAGAATAAAGAGAAGACAATTTCAAATAAATTTTGGTATTTTGGAGCTTTGATTCTTTCCGGAGAAAAATGGGCTCTAATTGAGATTTTATCAAGATCTTTATACATTACATAACAAGTTGGGTCATAAGATGATTGAACGATCCAACCTCTCCATAACCATTTAACACAACGTTGATAACCTGAAGAACTAATAAATAAAATTGAGTGCATATCAACGGCCAATTCTAAAGCATTTATAGGTTCAGAATCTTCACTGTTAAGATTAATAACATAACGATGACATAGCATATTAATGAAAAGATACTTCTCATCATTTTCAAAATGACCAATCATTTTTTTACCCAATAATTCTGTAAATTTTGCTTTCAAATTCAAAAATTCTGAATCATGTAAAGCAATTGAGGACATTTCCCTATACCATTTGCAAACAATTAAAAGACAAAAAATGATTGAAGCTCTATATTTTCTCGAAGTTGAATTTGATTCACCATCACCTTTTCCACCACATGATAACAAGGCTAATTGAATGATCTTTGAATTTGATAATAACGAATTAATATTTATAGATAAATAAGTTTCTTGAGAGATTAATTTGTCAATTAAACTTTTCAAATTTAAGCAAATTCTCAAAGTTTGTCTTGAGTTTGGAGCATCAGAATGACATTGCAACACTTGTAATTGTTCGTTATTAAGATCAAGCTGGTTTATCGTAGATAGGTTCTCTGGATCATTTTCAATTGTGCCAGTATTTGCAATCGATATTGGGGTGGTTGAAGAACTTGGTTCAGATGACTGTATATTGGATGGAGCAAGGATTGGTCTCATCTTAGCATTATTCAGAATAGACATTTTAATAAAATGCCAAAGAACAAAAACACTATTATTGTATTGTTGTATTTTAGTAAAAGAGCAAAGGAAATCAAAAAAGAAAAATGGCAGCTCTTTTGGACTAAATATATTTTTCAATCTACCTCATTAGAAAAAAAGAGAAGAAAAAAAACTATTTTTTGTAAAAATGCACCCATTTATCATGAAACTTAGCATTCAATTGGACAATAAAAGTTAAAATTCCTGATCGTCCTGTGGTTATGAAAAAAAATAACAAACTCAGAACTAAAAAAATACAAATTAAATGATCTTTTTTTTTTTGAATCATAATGGAAATTTCATTCAGTTGATTTTTTTGGTCAAAAATAAATATTTTTTTTCTGTTTTAGGGCCCCTCTGGGTGTGGGACATTTCCAAAGAAAACATGGCTTTGTGGAGAAAATCGCACACAAAACACAAAACGGATTCACGTCAAACGAAAGCAGTCATGTGAGACAACGCTTTTTTATTCGCGTATATGCGTAAATCTGCACGCATGGCACTTTTAGTGCATATTTGGTTTGAATCCTTTGTGGTGGATATTTCAAAGCTGTTATTTTGACTTTGAGTGTTTTTACAGAAATGTTTTATCACTTCACGTTCTGGAATTGAGCCTGAATATTGGCCAATGCTATGGCAAGACCAGAAATGAGAGTGCAATGCAAGCAGTATGACTAAGAATGAATGGGTTTGGGGTAGACGATGCTTTGTTATCGTTATAATAATGAAGTCTGAATTTAACATACAATGTTGTAAGCAAAATGATAATAAAATGAAACCAGATAAACCAGTGTATTTCTTACAGAGTTTACAATAGAAAGCAAAAACACTTTTTAATCAACTTCATAATCCTTCTACAAAGCTTGTTTAGTTTAATATGGTCAGGATAAGCACCGATTCAAGTAGATTGTGTTGATAAATCAAAGATGGTATCACCTCTGAACAGTATTATATTTCAACGAGATAATCCCAGATTAAACAATCGATTTGATATTTATGTATTATTCATTGAATATAATAGAGCCAAGTTCATATTGACCCATTGATATTATTGAAGGTGCAGCATCTGCATAGGATATATTCCTCAGAACAACACTTAATTGAACACGAAATTATATCCATTGATATGTTTTCCAGTATGCTTCCACTCGATTATAAGATATATAGATATGCTGAGTACTGTTCCCATTTTTCATTCATTCATCTGTCTTTAAATCAACAAATTACCAATAGACATTGTGGTTATTCAGTTTATCAGATAACAATTCAACAAAAATTTTAGCATTATTATCACTATTCAAAGATACAATATTGACTAATCTGTACCATATCAATAGTCAATCATTTTTAAAGATTTATTTCAATTATTTGCATTTATTTACGTCTAAATTATTAAGGTTTTGCGGAATTTTGAGATTGTTTTTCACAGATTTAGAAGCTATGAATAGATTTTATATTCTAAATCAACTATTAGAGAACTCAAACAAAATAGAGCATTTTTAGTTTTTTGTTGATGGTGTCTCTGGATTTAATAACACAGAATTCCATGATACCGATAAGACTGATGCATTTGGAAAGATGTAATTAAGCAATGCAAACATTTAAAGGATATTACAGTCTGCTTTGGATATCCAAACTGGAATAACTTGCCAAAAAGATATTTAAAATCTAAGACTGAATCTTATGATTTACATAAAATTTATCATATGTATTCTGGAGATTTAAAAGATCAACTTTATAAAAACATAATTGAGGTGGATTTGGACCATCAATCCTATCTTCTTAAATTTAATATAAACATAAACAATTTTAATTTAAAGAATACAGAAACTTCATCTAAAGATATATTGATGATTGATAATCATCAGACAGCTGTATTTGGAATGTTTGATAAATTCCTTAATCGAAAGAAATTAACAGTATCAAGCATGAAAATGATGGAGGTATCAAATTCAAATAAATTAGTTTATTTGAAATATTTGGCGTGTTAACAGGATTGTAAATTTAGATACATTGCTCATTAAGTTGTAAAATAGTAGTGTCTTTATTTCTTCAGCTTCCTATTATTGTTGATATAATAAATAGCTGATTTGTGGGTTCAAATAGCTCAACTGAGCACTTTTTAATAATAAAAATTTTAAATTACAGTGGTTTATTGAAATGTTTGAAGTGTTTGAAATATTTGAAATTGTAGCAGTTTCGTAACCATAGACGTATATACGGCTTATCCGAGAATACGCAATTTTGTAATGTTTGTTAAATCATGTGCAATAAGTACTTATATGTATTGATAAGTATATTATGCATATATACACGTCTAAATACATTATAATGCACGGTTTTGCTTTCTCAACTCAAATCATTTCTGTTTTATTCTTTGGTGGAGATTATATTTCTTACCAAAATTGTTCAAAATGGTTCCAGATACTCCAGATACTCAGGATGCTCAAAAAATCCAGCTTAATAAAGTTGTTTTGGATGATAACATTGACAGCACCAGTACTATCGGTAGTGTTGGTGCTCAAACCATTGATAATAATAAGGATTCTGACCATTTAGAGGAAACTACCGGTTTAGATAATATCGAAATTGCTGAAACTAAAACACTTGAACAACTATCCCTTCAAAATAACTTGATCAACAAACTAGTGGAAGAGAAACTAGTTGACTTGACATCCAATTTCCTCAACTTGCAAAACTCACAATTCAATTCTCAGGTTCACTTACCCAAGACCGGTTTTAATTTCTACAGTTTTACTCAAGGTCTACTTTTGGGTCAACTTAGTGTGATAATTGTTTTGCTATTATTTATAAAATTCTTTATTTTTTCAGATTCAATTCCCAAAAAGAATTCAAGCCAGGTTAATGAAAGATCATCGATAAATTTTTTATCATTAACTAATAAAAGAAAACAACAGCAGACAAATGAACAGAACTCAAATACTTTGTCTTTAAAAATTGCTTCGATTTTAGAAAAAACTTATTATGATGTCAATTCTCATCCAACCGAATCACTTGACTGGTTTAATGTTCTAGTTGCTCAAATAATCTCTCAATTTCGGGATGAGGCTTTATTGTCAAACAATTTAATCAACTCTTTTGATGAAATCTTATCCGATAAGAGCTCTAGCAACGCTCTTCCTGATTGGTTAGACAAGATTAAAATAACTGAAATTGATATTGGTGATGATTATCCGATATTTTCAAATTGTAGAATATTAGAAAAACCAAATAAAAACCTAGAAGCAAAAATTGATGTTGATTTATCCGATACTTTAACTTTAGGTATTGAAACCAAGTTATTAGTTAACAAACCAAAATTTATGAGTGCTGTCTTGCCAATTGCGTTGTCAGTTTCAATTGTAAGATTCAGTGGTTGTTTATCTGTTTCCCTAATCTCTACCTCAGATGATGAATTCTTGAAGTTATATAACCAAAGAAAATCCGAAAAGGATAAGAAGGACAAAACAGAATTCACAGGAGGTGCTGCTTTAATGTTTTTTTTCTCTCAAGATTATAGATTAGAGTTTCAAATTAAATCCTTAATTGGTTCGAGGAGCAAATTAGAAAATGTTCCTAAAATCGGCTATTTGATTGAGGAAAAATTGAGAGGATGGTTCATTGAAAGATGTGTTGAACCAAGATTCCAATTGATTCCTTTACCCAGTTTGTGGCCCAGCAAACAAAATGTAAGGGTTCCTGCAAATTCTTCAACTCCTACAAACACTAACAATCCAACTTGATCAAAATACACACTTTTTAATGGTTATATGTATTTGTATATATGTACTGTATAATAATAGAACAGAAAATCAAAAGAAAAACATTTTAATGAAATAATAAACAAAATTGCAGTAAATAAAATATAAAATATATATATATATCAGAAACAGTGTTGGAAAATACTATAAAAAATGATTTTTTTTGTTAAGAAAAAAAACAAAATAATATGGGTACTAGTTTGGTTGATAAGATTGTTGAGAAATTTAATTGAAAAGCTTGTTGAGAAATTTAATTAAAAATCCTTTTGAACATTAACTCAAAAATAGATGATAAATAATGGCAGTTATTAAAGAAACAATCAAGAAAATGGAAAAAAAATAGAACAAAAGAAAACAAAAATATATCAAAAATATATCAAAAAAAAAATTTAAAATCAAGAATTTGAAAATCCAAATTAAAGAAAAAAAAAAATTAGTGACATATAAAAAAATCATTATAATCAGAACTAAACAAATTTTACAAGAATGAACATAATGAAAACATGAATTGTATATTCATTATTGAAATTTCTCTGAACTCAATTTACTACTTGAAGGATAAGTGTTGACTTTAGTTGACCTTGTAAAAACAGAATCCTCATTTGATGATTTATTGAAATTCTCACCAATATCTTGACCTTTTTGATTTGTTTGATCTGATTTTGGTTGGCTATCCTGGTTTAAAGTATGATCATTCTTATCGGGCAGATTTTCCTGATTTTCTTGGTTCTCTTTAATTTGATTTATATCATCTGATTTAGGAGAACCAGTGGAGCCAGTGGAACCAGTGGAATCCATGACTTGCTGTTGTTGTTGTTGCTGCTGCTGCTGCTGTTGTTGTTGTTGTTGTTGTTGTTGTTGTCTTTGCCTTTCTTCTTCAATTCTTCGTTTCTCAGCTTCTGCCTTTTCTGCTTTCATTCTATTGAGATCATCTTCGGTTATTAAATGATGTCTATGATTTTTACCTTTGTAATAAGTTTTCAAAAATTTTATATCATCTTTTGTAAGACCTTTTGTATTTCTCGACAATTTTTTAGATAATTTATGCATTGAAAGAGGATCAGATTCAAAATCAGTGTCGTCTGTTAGTTCAAGGACTCTATTATCATCATCTGAATCTGATTCTTCATCTGAATCAGTATCTATGGAGGCGTGACAATGACAGTGATCAATGTTATTTAACCATTCACTTTCAAAAACTTCTTTCAAGGTAATTCTTGTTTCAGGATTTAAATCCAACATTCTACCTATTAATTCCCTTGAAGCATGTGGCAAAAGACGTAGTAATTTATATGGGCCTCTTGTCTTTGATTTGGGAATAATAACATTTCCATTCTCATCTCTAATAGCTGGATCAAAATTATCAGGCATTGTAGCAAAATTTTTGAAAGAGCTATCAGTTAATCGGGGACATTTCCATGGGAATCGTTTTAAGATCATACAACAATAAATAATTGCAACAGACCAGATATCACTTGGAGTTGGATTATAATATCTTTGGGTTAAAACTTCTGGGGCCAAATAAGGATCAGAACCGACAATTCCTTTACATTTTACAATATCATCCTCAAAGGGGTATCTGAATACTATTGCAGAACCAAAATCGATTAATTTCAATATACCATATTTATTGACAACACAATTATCGAGTTTCAAATCTCTATGAGCCAAACCCATTGAATGTAAATATTTAACGCCTTCAAGAATTTGTTTGAAATAACAAAAGATTTCGTGTTTACCCATTAATCCACTCATGACGATTGTAAAAAAATCAAAGGGGCAATATTCCATAACAATCAAGATTTTAATTTTTGATTCTTTTAATAGATCAAAAGTTTCAATGACATTTTCATGATGTAAAGTTGAACCAATCATAAACTCGCTTGTAATTTTTTTGTTATAATCATTAATAGATTCTCTTTGATTTTTTGGTCTAAATAGTTTAACAGCAAATAGTTTTCCGTCAGAAGGTCTTTCGACAACAGAAACTGAACCGCCTGCACCTTCACCTAGTAACTTACCAGGAATACCATATTTATCAATTAATTCTGAGGCAGATTCGCCATCGAATAATAATTTTGATTCATCGATTTGAGTTGAAGCAGAAGAATCGTTTGGAGATTGACTTGATCTAGAGGATTCGTAGCCGGAGATGTCTCTCGAGGGAGTTTCAACTTGAGTAGGAGTTGCTAGAAATTGAGATGAAGGTTTTTTCTGGTTTTGAATTTGAGAATGAAGTTGAGAAAAGATATTCTGATTCTGGTTTTGATTCTGGTTTTGGTTTTGGTTATTGTTTTGTGTATTGTTATTGTTGATGTTGAGGAAAGAGTCTTTATTGTGAAGATTTTGAGAGGCGTGAGGATGTTTTAATGATTGAGCTGGAGACTTTGGTGGTTTAGAAGATTTTTTAAAGAATCTTTTTAAGGTGTGATGTTTTTGTGAAGCTCTGGAGTGAATTTCCTCGTGCTTTTTAAGTAATTTTGATTCTATATGTTTGTTGAAAGTTTTTGTATCATTATAGACTTTGTTATTGAAAGTTTTTGCATCGCTATAAACTTTGTTGTGGAAAGCAGATAGATTGTGGTTGTGAATATGAGTGTGATTTGAGTTTAGTTTTGAAGAAGGTTTGAATAATAAATTTGAAGATCTTTTTGAGTTTAGTTGGTTTGAGATTGATTGGGTTAATAGTTGAGGTTGGTTTGGTTGTTTGTTTTGGTAAATTTGGTTATGATTTAAAAAGGTTGAGTTTGGGGAGAGGGTATTGATTATGAGGTTGTCGTTAGTTTTTGTTTGATTTATTTGATTATTGTTGCTATTTGGTTTAATGATTGGAGAATTGAGGATTGAGGAGTTATTATTATTATTATTGTTATTGTTATTGTTATTGTTATTGTTATGGTTATTATTGATATTACTGATGTTGTTATTTGAACCTAGAATTTTTAAATTATTTAAGGGGGATTGAAGAGAGGTGACACTTGATCTTGAAGTTTTAGGAGTAAGATTGACTGAGTTTGTAAATGAGTTTGAGTTTTGATAAGGAGAATCATTATTATTATTATTATTATTATTATTATTATTATTATTATTATTATTATTATTATTATTATTATTATTATTATTATTATTATTATTATTATTAGTATTATTATTATTATTATTATTAGTATTATTATTATTATTATTATTAGTATTATTATTATTATTATTATTAGTATTAGTATTTGAACAGAAAAATGATTTCTTTTTTGTAGATTGGATTGAATGTTGACTTGAGGTACTAATTTTCGGAGATAGAATGTTATTATTAATAGTATTAGTGTTGTTGATATTATTAGTAGATTGATTGATTGAATTTAAGGAAGTGTTCGAGTTTGATCTCTTTTCACTTGAGGAAAATAATCTGAATTTGTGTTTTTTAGATTTTTTGAATAGATTTAATTTTTTTGTAGTAGAGTTACTAGTAGTAGAGTTACTAGTACTAGTGTTATCTTTTGAGATTGTTGAGTTATTTTGTTGGGAAGAGTTTTGATCAATTAGCTGAGAGGTGTTTAAATCTCTTTGATCTTTTGAATCAAAATTAAAAGAAGTCTTTTTTTGAAAGAATTGGTTTAAATTGGTGCTACTATTAGCATTTGACTTGGGCGAAATAGTTGAAGTTGTTGAGTATTCGCTCATTATTGATTGAACGCCGGTGGAAAGAGATGGATTCATCAAAACCGAGTTTACGTTCAAGTAGGTTTGGTTGGCGTTGCTGGCGATGTTGGTATTAGCAGCAGTAGTAGCAGCATTTGGACCGGCAGAGGTATTGTTGGGAATATTGGAGGCCATTGCTGATGAAGTGTTGGTGAAGTGTTGGTGAAGTGTTGGTGAAGTGTTGGTGAAGTGCTGATGAATTAGTCGAGCAACAGTGGTGGATTGCGAAAGCTGGAAGGAGAAGCTCAAAGTGGATAAACTGGATAATATGGATAATATGAATAACAAGAGTCAGAGAAGAAAGAACAGAGGGACAATTGAAGAGTGAAACAGAGAGGTTTGCACTATGGAGCAGCACTGGAGGGATGAATAAAAGAAGATGGAAGAAAATAAAAGACGAGGTTGGTGATGGCAGTTGAGTGTGGAAAGAGTGGAGATAAAGCACCAATTAAACAAGAGATAAATGTCCAAGCGGGAGTGGAAAACGCTGGGAAGAAGCAGCAGAAAGAGAAGGCAAACAGGCAGCAGAGACAGCAAAAGAGAGCTCGACTCAGCTTCTTGTCGTCAGTGTGGTGGAGGAAAGAGCTGTGTCTGTTGTTTGTGGGAGCTGGAGACTTCAGAGAACAGAGCAGTTGTGTTAACGAATAAAGGCGAAGAGCAACCGCAGCCTTCCGCGGACGCTCCACAGTCATCCGGCACACGGCCGGAGCGCGGCACCATTTTTCCGTTCGAAAGCGGCAGACTCGGCGGAACTGCCACATCCGTTCCGTTGCGAGATGCCGCGTGATGCTGTATGCAGGATGCAGCTGTGTGCAAGCATACGCCGTGGTGCAATGGTATGCATTTGTCTGCGGTCCATCATCCAGCAGCACGAAGCGAAACGTTATTAATTAAATAGACAATTATTTAAAACCACTCCGAAAAGTGCACACTATTGGTTTAAAAAAATAGTAATAAAAACAATACACAAGTAAAAAAAATTACTGATAAACTACTTGTTTCCAGTTTTGCTTTCACTACTGCTTGGTGAAGTGTTCACCAACTGAGTTTGGCTGCTTTTGTTCAAGTATCCCTTAATGGTCGAACTAGAGCTAGAGCTCAGCCCAGTTGAAACTGACGATTTGCTGTGCTGACTGGAATCGCTATGGTTCTCATCGTTCAACAAACTTTGCTGCGACCGGCTTTTAGCTCTCCTGGACTTTCGGTTTTTCTTGCTTCTGCTACTTTCGCTGCTGCTGCCCAGGTTTCTGTTTCGGTGGTGATGGTGGTGATGGTGCTTATGGTACTTTAAGCTGTGCTGGTACTCATCGCCGTACTCAGTTTCACTCAAATCTTCAATAATAGTTTTATTAATACCCTTGACATTAACAATACTCTCAATATATCCACCGGTAACAAATGATTGCGACAGCTCGTTATCCTCATTGAAATTAGCATTCAAACTATTCATCAATTTAGAGATATCCAATGTATCATTGTTGTTATTGTAGTTGTTTTCATTATAAGCACTACTATTATGGTTATCCTTATTATCACTGTTATCGTTATTATAGTTAATGGCTTTAATTAATAAAGGCGTTTTTTCATTATGAATCTCCCTATTTTGGTCAGTACCGTTGATGAGAATCTTTGTATCTTTGTTTTGGTTTTGATTTTTATTTTTATTTTTATTTTCATTTTCATTTTCATTTTCATTTTCATTTTTCTTGGAATTATTTGAGAATAGTTTTTTCGACTTATCAACTGCATCTTGCTCACTAAAATGAATACCGCCATAGTCTTTATTAGAAAGATTATGAGTATCATTAATTTTTTTCAATTCTTCTGGGGATTTAATCTCTGCTTGAATGCTATTTTTGTTGTTACTTTTGTTATTAATATTATTGTTGTTATTTTGAATGATACTATCAACAGAAAGATTTTGATTTCGGTTTTTGTTAGAAGTGTTTAAAGCGCTGTTTAATTTGGCTAGTGCCAGGTTATTGAGGAGCTGTTTTTGATTTTTAATTGAAATGAATTTCTTGCTAGTTTGTAGTGGATTGCTAGCCAAATTGCTTGGTTTAATTATTGGTGATTTCAAATGAATATTAGCGTTAGTGTTAGTGTTAGAGCTGGGGTTAACGCTGGGGTTATTTACATTGTTAATGTCGCTGATATTGATAGTGATAATACTATCTTTATTATCTTTAATGCTAGATTTGTTGTGATCAATATGATCATTTAGAATTGAAATTAAATCTTTCAAGTCTTTAGTTTCGATATTATCAATATTTTCATTATCATTGTTTTCAAGATTTTCATTATTATTATTATTATTATTATTATTATTATTACTATTACTATTACTATTACTATTACTATTACTATTACTATTATGAATGCTGTTGATGCTATTAGAATCTGCATCATTATCAGCTTTTAATAGTAACAAATTTTTATCGAAATTGAATCTGCCTTCGTCAAAGGAGTTTCTTGTTGAGGTTGTGTATAGTGAATGGTAGTACTGAGTTAGATGGCGTCTTGATAAGGGACCGGGCTGTGCTCTTTTGATGGCTTTGTGAATATCGATAAAGACGTCGCTTTCATCAACGATTTCCTCACCAATTAGTTCTTCAATGACGTCTTCGAGTGTTAATATACCAATGGCACCAGTGGTTTCACCGGGACTTTCACTAACGACAACCATGTGGGACTTTCCCTCTTGAAAGTAGTTTAAGATCTTGAGACAGGAAGTGCCAGGAGGCGTTTCAGGTAGAGTGGCCAATGGAAAGGCAGAGACAGGGAGAGCATCCTCTGGATCGTAGGATATGAGCACACGAACTAGGAGCATTCCAATGAAGTTGGATGGTTCGTTTGGGAGATAGATGGGGATTCTGGAAAAGCCTTTGTTGAAGATTTCCTCAACGGTTTTCTGGTCTAGAATTTGATCAGCAGGAACGGTGTAGACGTTTTCGATGGGGGTCATGATTGATTCAACAGGTTTTTCCTTTAGATCTAGAACTGAGGAGATTATGGTAACTTCGTCGTCATTGAGTCGTTCAACACCCATGGTTCGATGCAAAGTGACGAGAGATTTCAAGCCAGCTTTCTTGTAAATAACACCATGGTCTTCACCGAGAACTCTGTCGAGAAGGAGAGCAGTTGGGTAGGCTATTGGGTAGAGAAGGTACATTAGACCCAAGACAAATGGAGTAAAAGCAGCACCGATTTGAAGACCATATCTGACGCAAACCGACTGTGGGATGACTTCACCAAAGATAACAATCAAGACAGTGGAGCTGATGACAGCAGCTAAACCACCACCGAGACATCTGTCGAGAACAACAGGTAGGGTTTCATTTGTAATGACATTTGAGAGAAGCAAGGTCACTAAAACCCAGTGCTTGCCCTTTCCGATGAGGTTAAGGACTCTGGTAGCGTTTTTCCTTTCAGAGATATCACCGGATTCTGAGATGACCTTGAGGTAGACCTCATCCTGGCCCATGAGGGCTAAGGTTAGACCAGCAAAGATACCACCTAGAAAGACGAGAAAAATGGAGATCATAGCATTTGTGTAGAATCTTTCGGGGACAACTGTGACTGTTTCCTGTTCAAGAAACTCATTGTAATGTAGATCATTGTTTTTATTTGTAAGCTCATGGATAATTGCAATGGGTAGGGCAGTTGTAAGTTTCGGTATGATTGAAATTAAGATTGATAATCTTGATAAGTTCGAGTTAATATTAATTGATTTTGAAGATAAGGAAGAGCATTTTTTGATTGTCATTATTTGAAAATGGGGTTAATGTTAGGTATTAATTATTACTATTATTATTATTTTTTATATTTCTTTTTTTTTTTAAATTTTATTTTTTGATAGAATTATACAAACAAAGAGAAAACCAAGAAAAAACAAGAACGAAAGAGAGGAAAAAAATATAGGCAGACAAAAAAAGTAGTGAGCAAAGTTGGATAGATGAGTATAGCAAGGGAACAGAAACCGGGAGGAAAAACCAAGGCTATTTATACTAGGAGAAATGCGTTGTGTTAGAAGACGTAATTTGGTAAAGAGAGAGAGAGAAGCGAGTGAGGAAAGTGAAGAAAGTTTGGGGTGAACAGAATAATGTTGGGGCCTAAGTGACAGCGAGTTAGTAGAAAGAACGATTGAAGAGTGGACTCAAATGAATGATAGATATTCTGGAGAGGATTAGTGTGGAAATAATCAGACTAACACAGCAATTAGAAGGTAAAACGTCCAAGATAAGTGTCTTTGATGGAAAAAGGCAAAAAAGCAAACAAGTCGAAATAAAAGGTGGATGATTGGGGGCAATTTGGAGGTGAGGTGGGTTGTATTGTGAGAGATTGACGAGAAGAAGGAGTGGATTGAAACAGGTCTGAAATTGCAGTTGTAGTGAGTGCGAAAAGTTGTCTTTGCTTGATGGAGACAGTGATGGTGATCAGTGCGTTGTGAGAGCGTCTTCACTGATTGTGTCACTTTTGAGTGCTCCCAGTCATAGATCGCTGATGCATGCAGAACACACAGCACGAGCTTTCTTTTTCCACAGGAAGCAGAAGCCTTTGCTGCTGTTTCTCCTTCTGCTGCTTTTTCTGCTGCTTCTGCTGCTGCTTCTGCTGCTGCTTCTTCTTCCTCAGGGCCCAGCCAAGACCGAAATGGCGTCCCAACCCAAAGAGCCCCTGTCGCAGCGGGCAGTGAACCTATAAAACACCGGCAGGCGCGTCCTCTGCTGCTGCAGTTCCCCCTGCGCTTGCAACACGGTCTTCCCGATGCTCGGCCCGGCTGCGAGGACGCAGAACGGAATAGCCACAGGCCAATCAGAGCAGCGCAGCAGCAAGAGAGAAGCCGGCTGAAGGAAGTGGAGGGCGAATGAACGCCAGCAGTAGAAGCAGTAGAAGCAGCACAGGAACTGGCCAGCGAATGGGAGGCGGCTCAGGGCCCAGCAATGCGCGTTGCAAGTGCACAACAAAGAGCATATGTCGGTGTGGGATACAGAGTGGGATATATGTAGAAGGCGAGATGAGATGAGATGAGATAGGGCACGATAAGATAAGACATACAACAAAATATATACTGAACAGACCATCTACCATCCATGGTCAAACAACATGCTCACAGACTCACCGTTGTGGATTCTTCGAATGGCCTCAGCAAAGATCCTGCTCACATCCAACACCTCGCACAGATCAGGCCCTAGTCTTTTCCAGTGGTCTTCTTGGGGAACACTATTCGTGACAATGATTTTATCAATCGCCGACTTCTTGATTCTGTTGATAGCATCTCCCGAAAAAATCCCATGGGTCACAATAGCTATAACGTATTTCGCACCTTGATCCTTCAACAACTTGGATGCTCTCGTGATAGTGTATGACGTATCCACCAAGTCATCTAGTATTATGCAAACCTTGTCCTTAACATCACCCACTAACATTGTGGTGGCCACTAAAACTGGTTGACTTTGGGTCAATTGATTATTCATGTTGTTGGAAAATGTATAAGAATTGAGTAAGGGAGTACTTGGGGGAATTCTAGGCGACTGAGAGATCCCACCGATTCCATTCATCAATGGTGTACTGCTGGCTGAGATTTGGGCATTATTGCTCATATTAATATTACTACCTCCGCTATTAATTCCGCTGATAGCATTATTAATACTATTAATATTACCACTATTAATACTATTATTATTATTATTACCAGCGCTATTGTTATTAACATTAGCATTAGAATTAGAATTAGAATTAGAACCAGCATTGGCATTGGCACTGGCATTGGCATTACTATTAACACTGATATTAACTAAAGTTCTTCTTTCTTTATGAATCAATGCAAAATTCATTCCCAACGCATCGGCAATTGCTGTAGTTCTCTTTGCTCCACCAGCATCAGGAGAAATCAAAACACAGTCTTGATAATTTGGAATAGTAGAAATAATATATTTAGACAACAATGGCTTGGAATACAAATTATCGACAGGCACATCGAAAAACCCTTGGAATTGAGGATCGTGTAAATCCATGGTTATAATGTGATCTGCTCCTGCGACTGTCAACAAATCCGCTATCAACGTCCCTGCTTGTGCAACCCATTCTTTATACCCTGTATTGTTTTCTTTATATGATAACGTTGATGAAAAAATTGAGCTGGGATTGGTTGGAAGAACCATGGTTTTATTATTATAACTATTAAAATATCCTCCAACACTATTATTATTATTATTATTATTATTATTATTACTATTACCATTATTATTATTATTATTATTACCGTTACTATTACTATTACTAGTCTTGAATGAAGTCAATGCGGGGGCTCCTAAATGGAAAATAGGTGGTGATGGCAACTCATTCACATTCCCATTGGATAAAAACTTCAAGTTCTTGTTTTCAATTGAGGGCTCTCTAAGCATTGAATAGTTATTTGAGCTCAACGAACTTGAAAATTCATTGCCCATTCCAATTATCCCAAATCTAGAACTGCTAAATGGTCGAGGTGTTCCAGGCACACTCTCAAACGTATATTCACTCTTGGGCTTTGAAGTTAATGGAGCTCCTGTCTTGGTATATGGCACATCTGGCTGTCTGGAGTAGGGAAACAATGGCAAAACTGCCGTAACTCTCTTTGCACTAGCCGTTTTACACGCACTTATCATGATCAACAACTCAATGAAATTATCATTAACATGTCCACTCCCACTTTGAACAATATACACATCCTTCTCGCGCACAGAATCCTTTATTGTAACTGATGTTTCGCCATTTTTAAATTTATTTAATTCAACTTTTCCGGGCGTTAATGATAAATTTGCACAAATCTTGTCCACTAATAAAGGATGAGATGAGCCAGAAAACACAATAAGATCTCTCATTTGTCTTCCTTGGTTCTAATATATCTTGTCCTCTTGCTATTGAAAGTTACTGCAAGCAGCAAATATATCTTTTCAACTAATCTGACACAATCAACTTCAAGTAGTTATTTCAATAAAGATCTCAATAACTTATTAACAAACCTTAAGTAAGATATTCAGAAAAAAAAAAAAAATTACCATCCCGCCACACGTGCCCGGTTTCACCTCGAGTGAAACAATGCTCAACGATCATTGGCTAGTTCAAAAACGCAGCAAAACAACGATTCAGAGAGTTGAAACATGTAAAAAAACCCATTTTCGTTTACTTGAATGCAAAGATTAAAGCTATTTACACTCAACTATATAACATTTCTTTAGTATAAAGAACAAACAAAAAACGAGTATCAGTCTCATATAGCATATCAAATCATAAAAACACGATAAGACTTCGTGGCCAAGCTGGTTAAGGCGTGAGACTGTTAATCTCAAGATCGAGAGTTCGATCCTCTCCGAGGTCGTGTATCTTTTTGTCGACAAAGCTCTGCAAAATAGCACATTCTTGTTATATTTTTTTGTATATTCTCCCTTGGTATTGTTTGATCTCGACTCTACAGGCCTTTGTTGTGTCCTACGTTGCGGCTGAGGACTCTGCTGTTTGGGCTCCATCTTGTGATTTCTGGTGGTCTAGAGCTGTTTTGTATTTACCATTCGGTTGCTCTTCAGTCTATGATGCTGAACTCTACTCTAGACTCTGCTCTTGAGTCACTGCTGTGAGTCTGCTCTTGTGAGTTCTTTTAAGAGCCTGATTCCACGCTCCATCCCTGCTTTTCTTCCACTCGCAGTCCTTGGACAAAAAAAACGAAATGTATTGTCTAGCAATTTCGATTCGACTATTCTCTTTCTGTCAAACCGGTATTTACTCTTTGCCGTTTTGGGAAAAGTACAAACAACGAATCTTTTCCCTGCTGGTTTTTTTTCGTTTTTTTTTCACAAATCTCATATCTCTCTCTATTTTCATAAATTTTAATCTAATTTATGCCAATTTATACCAATTTATACTCTTTTGCTCACCTTTTCTTCAAGGTTATACACTAATACCCTTTTGTTCAAATCTTATTTGACTGCAAAGTGCCTAAGGGAAATTTAAAGAATTCTACTGAAACCTAAACAACTGTAAAAAAGATCCATATCAATCTAATGAATTCAATCATTTGAAATGAACTATTACTACTTATAACATACTAAAATACCAGGTTACTGAATTACTGAATTACTGAATTACTAAAATACTAAAATACTAAAGTACTAAAATACTAAAAAACTAAAACACTAAATTACTACTAGGAATCATTTCAATTTAATATTTAAAGATCGTTATTGTTTTTCCTTAGTTTTTTTTTTGTTTCATTTTTTTCATCGATAATCAAAATCTTTTATCAATTATTGTTCAAAGGAATTGGTATTAAATATCCTTTATTTTCCTTTATTTATATCTTCAGCCTCATCATCATTATCATTATCACTGTTATAATCATTATCACCACCATCACCACTTTCATATCGTAATTCAATAATGTCTAGCTACGATCTAAAAGACTACCTTAATGATGCTTTAGAGAGATTATACTCCCCTGAACCTTCCTCAATTCATGATGGTTTGCAAAGATTAGATGCTTTATTAGGCCAACTATGTCTTGCAAAATCTTCATCTTCACCTACATCTGCTTCATCATCCTCTTCGTCATCTTTGTCTTCCACCTTAAACTCAACTACAAAAATACACTCCAATTCAACATACAATACAAATAATAAAAGTAATATAAGTAACATGTTGAATAATCAATCACATAAACTATGGAGAGTCCCCACTATCGACGACCCAATTTTTGGTAAATTTATCAAGCTACAAGACACTTTTGAATATAACGTCGCTTCTGCTATAATATCCTGTTTATTCAGAATGAACTTGAATAACAATCTTATATCAATGAAAAACGACTATCCTCAAGAATTTATAATTTTGGCTCATAAAGTCCTTCAAGGTGTACTATTATTACACCCTAATTCAAGAAACTTGTTTAATCGAGAGTGCAATATGAAACTATTACTATCATATCTAAATTATTCCCCTAAAAATAAATATCAACCTTTAGTTATAACAACTGCTATTCAAACTCTAGTATGCTCTTTAGTTCGAAGTATTAAGAATTTAAGAAATTTTGAAAAATTCGATGGTATTAAAATTATCTGCAATTTGTTTGTCAAAAAATCAACCAATAAAGAAATCAAAGTCAAAATATTAGAATTCTTGTTTTTTTACCTAATTCCCGAAACTTCCTTTAATATAGAAAAATCTTTTGAAATGAATTTAAATGAAAGCTATATCCTCAACCAGTCAAAAGTCCTCTACAAAGATGGTCTAATTAGAAGAACAATGGAAGAAAAAGCTGGAATATTAAAACAATATATAAGAAATGTCGATGCGATAGTTCATGAATTGATATCAAGTAAACCTTTTGGAAATATGGAAATTGAATGGTAATTCAATATTAATTCATCGCAAGTTTAGTATTAAATAATAGCTATTCTTGTTCATTCTTATTTATTCTTATTTATTCTTTTTCATTCTTTCACTATCATTTCTATCTTTATTTTTCAGTTTTTCTTATATTTTAACCTATATATCTATTTTTTTTTTTTTTTTTAATTTTGGTTTGTTTTTTCTTTTTTTTCTTTTGGATTTGATTTGTTTGTTGGTTAAACTGCTTTATTTGTTTACTTTGTTTTTTATTTTCGTTTTCGTTTTTGTTTTCGTTTTATTGTTTTTTATTTTATTTCAATTCTTTTTGTTCATCCTTCTCTGCATTTTTATCATTCATTTTTATCATACTTTTTTATTAATTATTATTAATAAACATTTCATTTTGCAAATTTCTATCTTTACTTGAAAACAAAAAAAAAAAATATTTTTTATTTTCTTATTTTTTCACTTATATATACATTGAAAATTAATAAAACTCACTATTCCGAAAAGTCCAAATACAATTGGTTTGATTTTTATTTTCTTTATAAAAGTAGCATGACTTTCAACCAGTTTACGATTTTCCTGATTTTTAATTAAACTTATTTATATTAGTTAAAGTTGATTGATTCATTTATTATCAATGATTGTTCATTATTCAATCAAGAATTTGTTGATGAGGTCTCAGTGCTGAATATCCAGCGTGGTGGATCAATGCATAAAGTGCATATAGACGAATTTTACGTCATGACGCATTATTGTGCATTTATCCCGCAGTTACTTTTTATCTTTGAATTAGAACAATTGGGACAAATTTATATTGTTCTGCTCTGACATCCATTATATACTGATGCAATGGCCTTGGATAGGTTGTGGGCTTGCCAAACCTGGAGAATCAGGTTGTCCTTATTCCCTTTTTCCTGAGGACGTTTTTTCAGGTCTTTTACCTGGAACATCGCAGGATCAAATGAACTTCTATTCGATTCACTGTACTATCCTACTGCCAGCGTCCTTTGCCATTGACCAATTGATGGTTTTCTGTATAAATTCGTTTTCTAGCCATGTTTTCCAACTTATTGTGCTCAGTTTTGACGGGAAATCCTCATAATAAGCCGCCAGTACGACTAGTGAGGTCGTTGGCTGGATATTCCACCTTCAAATGAGCCATTTTATGTCGTTCACCATATTCCACTCACAACAGTTCCCTATTGTCATATTTGTCCTGCTCTGTTCCCATTGGCCTGATTCCAGCTCATGTCCCCTAATTGATGCTAAAACACACTCAGATTACCACAATAACCTCTTCTAACAGGCGACACCCAGCAGCACGCTCTTTTGCTCGACAATTCTGGCTCATTTACCTGTTATGGTGGGGCGAATTTGGGGTCTTTTCTTTCGTTCGGACTAGCTTGGATTCTGGTTCTGAAGGTAATAGCCATTATCACACTATCACTTCAATCTGTTTGAAACACACTCCCCAATAACCCATTCACAAATTAGCACACTATTTGCAAAATCATGATCACATTCGTCTTCTCAAACTAGTTTATCCATTCTAATATCAGCCTGTAATATACTGTTCATATAACTCACTGTTTTCTGATGAACTGTTCTGTTCCCATTTACTTGTTTCTACAAAATACATGGAAAACAAAAAGATTTAAAAAAGAATTCCTTTATCAATTACCTGTATTTATTCATTTAAAATTTTGCTTTTCTTCTTCTCTGCCTTTTTTTTTAATTTAATTAATACTATCACTTTTTTTTCCCCTTCCTTTTTGTCTTCTCCACTTAATAATATCACTTTTACCTTTTCAATTTGTATCCACAATGTTCAAACAATCATTTACAAAGGCTTCAAAGTCAATTAGACAGTTCTCTACAACCAGTACAGTGAAATCTTACGCTGACACTATTCCAAATTTAAAAATCAATAAAGATACTAAAGTAATCTTCCAAGGCTTTACAGGAAAACAAGCAACTTTCCACGCTAAACAAGCTTTAGAATATGGCACTCAAATAGTCGGTGGAACTAATCCAAAAAAAGCTGGTCAAACACATTTGGACAAACCTGTTTTTGCAACTGTAAGAGAAGCCAAAGAAGCCACTGGATGCAATGCTAGTGGAATCTTTGTTCCTCCATCAATCGCAGCAAAGGCTGTTGAAGAAGCAATTGAGGCCGAATTGGATTTGGCTGTTTGTATTTCAGAGGGAATTCCACAACACGATATGTTAAGAATCTCTCAAATCTTGAAAACCCAATCAAAAACAAGATTGGTTGGTCCAAATTGCCCAGGTATTATAGCCTCTGAACAATGCAAAATCGGTATCATGCCATCTTCAATCCACAAAAGAGGTAAAGTTGGTATTATTTCAAAATCTGGTACTTTAACCTATGAAGCTGTTGATCAAACCACAAAAGTTGGTTTAGGTCAAACGTTGGTCATTGGAATGGGTGGTGATCCATTCCCAGGTACTAACTTCATCGATGCCTTGACTTTATTCCTCAATGACCCAGAGACTGAGGGTATTATTTTAATCGGTGAAATCGGTGGTACTGCTGAGGAAGACGCTTCCGAATTCTTGAAACAATACAATTTAACTAGAAAAGTTCCCAAGCCAGTTGTTTCCTTCATCGCTGGTGTTTCTGCTCCTCCAGGTAGAAGAATGGGCCATGCTGGTGCAATTGTTGCTGGTGGTAAAGGTGATGCTAAATCAAAGATTGCTGCTTTGAAGAGTGCTGGTGTCGTTGTTGAACCATCTCCTGCTGGTTTGGGTATCGCTTTGTTGAAAGAATTCAAAAGTAAAGGATTATTGTAGAATTTTTCATTACTTTAACGAGAATCTATAACGTCATTATATACATTTTTCCCACCATTTTTATTATTTATATAGTTTTCTAAACATCTTCTGCTAAAAACAAAAATTCAATTAATCTTTAAAATAGTCCAATCAACCTGTATCAATTTTTTAGTCTCACAATGCAAAAAAAAACAAAAAAAGTAAACAAACAAACAAACAAAAAAAAAAATGAATAAATGAATAAATGAAAAGAATAAACAAATAAATAAATAAAACATACGCAAATATCTTTCAAACCATTTAGAATAAGAAAAATTCAAATTAACAAAGTCATTTTAAAATGATTAGTTCAATTTATCCTATAGCACGCAATTTTGATAATCTTGCTTCTCTTCCCCCTTGGGGAATGTCACCAAATCTATCAAAGGGATATATAATCTTTTCTGCCCTTCCAATAACTAATCCAGTTGACACAGGACCATATGTATTGCTATCAATCGAACGAATATTGTCACCTTCTAACCACAAATGATTTTTTGGTATAGTACATCTATTTCTTAAATATGGATATCTTGTTCTGATTACATCCCCCTGAACTCCCTTAACTCGTTTAATCACAATTTTGCTGGGATTTGTAGGAGACCTTATGAGCAACACATCATCCACTTTGATATTGTTTAGATCATTCAAAGATAACTTATTCACAAAAATCCAGTCCTTTCTGGTAAGAAATGGATTTAACGCAGGCTGCATTGAAGAACCACTCACACTGGATACAGAATAAAAATATTTATCTATCACCAATACAACAGGTATCCAGGAAATAAATATACCAGCACCTTTGATCGAGGATTTCAAATAAGGATTTCGAAGAAACATTTAGGGTGGTATAGCACTACTGTCCTAGTTCTCATTACAAACTTGTGAGATACACGCTAAAAGACCCAAAGCTTTTCTCCATAAACCGAAAAAATCCTCAACGGTTTGGCACGTTCAAAAACGGCAGTATCCGCTCTGGAAGTTATAAGATCAGGACATTATGACTAATCAATAACACTTTTATCTTTGGTTGTTTGGGCTTTTTCAGAAAATTATAACACTTCTGGGTCTCACTTGTTCTGAAAAAACAACTACTAACATATACATACAAACAAAAAAACAAAGAAACAGAATGGGTACTAATCTGGTTTCAAAAACCTCAGGCCAAAGTGTTGTTCCTTACAGTAAAAATCATGAAGCCGAATTGAAAAAACTAAAAAGTGAAAATATCAAGTTGATCTCTGAACCGGTCGAGATCACATTAGAAGATGGGAAAACTAGAGCAACTTGTTATCCAATTGATCATAAAGCTGAAGTTTCTCTATCTTTATTTGAATTTTTGAGTGATTTATTTGCTGAAGAAATTGAAAAAGGCAACACATATCCATACTTTTTTCCATTAAGCAAAGAAGAATTTGAAAACTATTGGTTTGGTTCATTTTGTAACGTTATGTTATTAGGGACCTATGATGAAACCAAATTGCTAATTAAAGACACTAATATTAAGGACAAGCTGTTTTGGAAAGACATTCTTTTAGGATCACATTACATAAGGCCAAACTACGCTGGTCATTGTTCTCATATTTGCAATGCTGGGTTTTTAGTCAATCCCAGTTTTAGAGGCTCTAGTTACAAAGTCGGCAAAAACCTAGGTGTTGTTTATCTTAAATGGGCACCATTACTAGGCTACACTTATTCAGTTTTCAATCTAGTGTTTGAAAACAATCCTGCTAGTTTTAAAATTTGGGACTCGTTAGGATTTGATAGAATTGGATATATCAAAGGAGCAGGAAGATTAAATGGAAGTGAGGATTCTGTAGGAGCAATTATGTTTGGAAAAGATTTGACTGTTTAGTAGGTACATACAAATACTAAATTTTTTCAATAAACCGATGACAAGATGTAATAAATCTGTCTTTGAAGGTCCCAAATTTGAAATGATTTGTTGTTGTATTGTAAAATCAGCATATGACGTTTTGGTCTGATTGAATATCCGAGTTTAGTTAAGAAAGCACACACACGCGCATTGCATGACATTACGTCTAGCTGAGTTTTACCGGCTTTTGAAATATTATTTTTTGTATAGTGTTACCCTTACTTTACGTTCGTTTATTACCGAACACTTCCTTTGTTTTAACGATTATCCCGGACGAGAGCGAAAATTAACTTTTGTTGGTGCCTAAAAGTTAAAGACTTTGAGTTTGTCTGCTGATCTTATTGATTTTGCTTACAAAACACTGAATTTTGAGTAAAAGTTGATTATTATACTGGAGTTAGAATAAACTTCATTTTAAATTGTCATTTCAATAGTTTTTTAAAGCAAAGCTACAAGTTCGAACCCTTCAAAGTGATTTATCGTATTTTTGTTTTCTAAGTTTATTTTACATTTTTAACTATAAAAAAATATTTTGTTTTGTATTATTCTCACTTTTTGACTAAATTTATATTTTATTAGCTAACAGAATAACTTTTGAATTGGAATTGAAATTAATGGGTTTATAATTTTAATAATATAGAAAATATTGGACAATTAGATCTAAATACGTGTCAGTTTGGTTAACTGTTCAAAGCGAATTTGTCTAGCAGTAGTTTGAACAAACACTAATCAAGAGGTGCTGAATTTTTTTTTTTTTTTTTTTTCAAAAACTAAGTTTAATAATCATATTATGAGAAATTTATATTTTATAAATAATTATTATGTTTTAACAGATTTTTTTTACGAGTTTGGTAGAGTGAAAAAATTTTCAAGAAAAAATCACATAATTGATTTTTGCCAAATTAGGAAATTAGAAAATTTAGATGGGGAGAGCTTTCGAGAGAAAGTTTGCAAGCAATTAGCTGACCTGTATAAAGTTTTCCTTCAAGTTTATGCTTTTAATATTAATTTTAATATAATCAGAAAAAAAAACATCATAAAAATAGCATAAAAGCAGCTCAATATTTAAAAAAAACAATGATATTATAATATTTATCCAAAGTATAACATGTAATTGTGTTTAAACCAATTACTATCTTGTTCACTTGAAGATTATTGAATATATAAAGCACTTTTAGTATTAATATAATCTGATAACTACTTTATTAACTATTTAATTGTTTATTTATTTGATCATTTAATTCTTAATAGTTAAGATAAAATTTGTGGTCATTTACAAATTATTTTTCATAATTGATCTCAAAATTATCATAATACGGGTTTTAAAAATTTCATAGTAATTTCCAGTGAATTAAAAGTTATTATTCTACTAGATTTTAAAAAAAAATAGTTTTATAAATGTTTTATATTTTGATTTTTTGTTTTCTTTGAAAATCACATTGGAATAATTGATAATTGAAAATTATTTTCAAAAATTGATTATTAATCCAATATTGTTTTTTGTAGTACATTGCTTTTTTTATTGTTTAAAATTTAAAGATTTCAACTGCTTTTAATATTATTGGTAAAAAACTTAATTCACAAAAATTGGCTGAATTATTTTGAAGCACCAGAGATTTTATATATTAAGATTTAAATCAATCAAAAATTCACAATCACGATGATAAATTTAAAATCCTTTTTTCTGTAGATTCAGACAGAAAAATGGTTTTTAAACAATCAAATCTAGAAAATTATTAAATCATTGTAATTAGATTGTTGGTTAATTTTTTATTCTTGATAACTAATTATTTTAAAGATTTGAACAAATTATAGAATATTATATGCATATAAAGCAAACTACGAAAATAAACAGTTTAAAAAACTCTATGAACTAAATAGAAGCTAAATTTATAATTATGTTTTCTAATAAAAATTACCAATAATTACTAAAAAACATCTTGATGAAAAAAATATTCAATTCAAATATGATGATTATGGTTAGATTGGAAATTCTCAATCCCAATCTATATTTGCATTTTTTTATATTGGTTTTTGACTGATTTTCGCTATTTTGGCTATCAATTTTGCCACCTGAAAATTGAAATATAATCGTACTGGTTTAGTTGCTTTAGGAGCATTCAATTCACTCTACTTATTTGTTCTTATCGAGCAGGTGGAAAATTCCCTAGTCTCAATTGAAACTTCACTACATAGAATCGCATGTGCAGATTTTCAACCGCGCTTGTGTGCACAATAGGCATACAGCCGCATTTGATATGCATATACGAACCGTTTCCGTTTTTTGTTCCACGCTTCAAGTTTCAAGCGAACATTGGGTCATAAACAGCTGGATAGTTCTTTGGGCTCTTCCAGACTTCAATCTCAATGACCGGGTCCTTTCTGAGTGCATTCGTTGAACGAGGTTTTCTCAAGAAGATCAAATTTATCTTGAATATCAATAAAACGCAACATTATGAGAGTTTCAGCAGATAGCATCGTGATGGTTTCCAAGATAGTTTTTGCGGCCGAAAGATTTGACACATCCAAGGGTTCCATCTAAAGGATTCTCACTTCGGCCCAAAACACTAATTTTTTATTTCCTTATTTTGTTCACTATTCTTTAATTTATATTTGGAAAAGGTTTTACAGGTTTGAAATTCTATAGATATTGCTAATCTCACAGTTGTAGTTTTGTATTTTATAGGATTAGCTCTAAGAAATTATTGAAAATAGTGTTGTTAATAAATACCAAATTCGTATATTTTTCAAAACATGAGCTTTAAAAACAATTATTTTAAGAAATAATACCATACTAATCCAATTTTTTTGCACTTGATTCAGTAATTATTTTTGTATCTTCAAAATTTTTGTAAAACCAAAAACTTTAAATAATAATTGCATTTAAATTATAATTTTATTCGATTTTTTAAAAAAGCCTAGATATTTACTTTTTATTTGTTAATATCTCTACAAGTATCTAACCGTGAAATATCAATGAAAACAAACATCTATTGGAAAACTCCAAATTTTTCGGCTGTAACTATTAAAGTATTAGAATGACTTCTTCAATAATAAACTTTTCGATTTAATATTTTTCCAGCTCGACTTGTTGATAATAGAATGTAATTTTATATATATATGATACTATTAGCTATCAAACGTTTCTTGTTTTACTTCAACTCTTAGAGTTTGCTTTTGATAAGCAATTTTTACTGTTTATTTTTTGATTGTTGTTTATATTTTAATGTTTGTTTATTTTTTGATATTTTACTGACTTTTTTTGATGGTTTACCTAAGAGTTCGTTTGTTCTTCTCTTTATTGGTTGTCTGCAGTGGAAATCCTTGTTATATTTAGTATCATACTTAAGGGTTTGTTTGGTTTTTTTATTTTTCTCTGAATTGCTTTTTTTATTACAACCAAAATTATTACCAAGATTTTTACCAACATTATTACCAAGATCTTTACCAAAATTATCAAGATTATTATCAAAATAATCAAAATCATCAAAATTATTATTGAAATTATCAAGATCTTTACTAACATTATCATCAAAAATTTTATTAAGATAATTACCAAGATCACCCATGTTATCACTAAGATTATTATCATTATCATTATCATTATTGCGAGTCTCAAAACATTCAGGAATAAATAAATCATCAAACTCGTTAAACGGTCCAAAATCATAATTTGTAAAATCAAATGGTTCATTTTCTGATTTAATCTTTTCTTTTAGAAGAAGATCGTTAAAATAAATCTCTTTTTTTAAACAAATATCTTTAGGACAGATAGTTTTATTATCATGATTATATTCACTAATACCATTATCTATTACCTTTGATGATTTTTCATTTTTACGTGAATTTTGACAAGAACTGTTTATATTTATATTTAATAAATACAAATATAAATTAAATAAATATACGTCATCGGGTTTGGGATTTTTTAGGGTTTCAAGGATTCCACTTAAAACCATTTCAACAAGATATGAATTCATTATAAAAAGCAATTATAGCAAAAATTAAATCTAATGAGCTTAAATAATTATATCTGTTAATAACTTTCAATTGAATCAACAAACTAAAGCAGCAGCAATCGATTTAGTAATAATGCAAATTATATTAATTAAGCTATTGAAAAATAAATTTGATTAAAATGCAGACAAGAAATTGCCTTTCTTAAATATCGATTATTTCAGAAAAATTGGTTTAATATTTTTCTCTTTAGTTTGCAAAACTATTTTTTAATTTACAACAAAATTTACTCATTTTTTTGAAAAAAACTTTGTTGTAAAAGTTAATTAGTAAGAAATCAATTGAAAAATAGATAATAACAGATTTAGCTGTTTAAATGGCTTAGTTGATCAAACTGTTTAACAATTTAATGGTATATTTTTAATTGATTTATCAAACAAAAGTTTTTGAAAAAGATTTGTTATATTATTTGATTGAAATTAATACAATAACAGATTATTTATTCTTTTCTGTAGAAGCAAATATAATGGTTAGCTTGATGGATTATCAAACTTCTAAAGGTAAGACATAATCAAATAATAATTTATTTAATTTGGAAATATTAAAAAACAACGTTGTAGAAAGTATTTTTAATTAGTCTCAGTTAAGGTGACAATATAGAGTACAAACTCAAAACTCAATGAAATTCATTAAAAATACTTTGGAACTGAAATAAATTAATTATATTTGTAGTTTAACAAGAAGATTTTTCCATAAGTTGGCTAATTCAACCTCTAATTGTAATCTTTGATTGATATTTATTACAAAATCCCATTTTATCCCACTTAATTTTAAAGAATATTCTCATAAACTACGATAATTTAGTATCAGTTAAGTTTCTGTTACAATTTGGTCAACATATTATAATTGAAAAAAACTGTAAACTAATTCATTCGAGCCTAATTGGGCTAATAAAAACCCAAAAAATTTTTAATTCTTCAAAAAGAATTACAAATATAAACAGATAATAAGTTTGATGTCTAAAGACTATAAGTCCCAAACCCCATTTACCTTATTTCATTTTAATACATTTTATTTTATTTTATCTCAACTTCAGTTATGAATAATCCACCTCAGTCCAACTTAATTGGGCTCGCTAACCATTAAAAATAGGATTTAATTATTTAACAGGTAGTACTCGTAAATTCAATCAGCAAGAAAGCTAGATTTTATACACTCAATCCCAATACTTTCTGGGTTAGTAAAGAAAACAAGCGATTCTGTGGAAGATGATTTATTCAGGGTGAAATGTATTATGTGAGCTGTATTGTTTTTGAGGATTCAATATTCACAAGATTTATTGCAGCTTCAAAAAAAGCAAGGAAAAAAAGATAAACACAAATCAAAAGAGAAGTCAAATAAACAAATGGTTGTTTTCGACACCAATTACCAATATTTTCTTTTATAAGAAACTTATTGCCCCCAAGTATAAATCATTGCAAAACTAAGAGAGCAAAAATGGTAGACCGTAAATAGAGTCATATCAATTCTTATTGTTCCAAATTTATATTTAATATAGACAATCCAGTTCTGTTCTATTCCAGTTCTATTGATTGATGTAATAGTGGTTCCCAGTATATATCGTTGCATTCTTCATGCACCAATGCATGAAGCACCATATTAATGAATCCTTAACAAAAACTGCAAAAGTCAATAATGCATGCATCGATTTTTGCTATAAAGAAGAAATGCAAATGGAGCTGTAATTATTTTCAGTTTTTGCATAATAATTTGGAAGTAATTATGAATAGAATTATTTAAAAATAATGCTTATTATAATGATATCTATAATCAAAAGCAACGAAAATTCTGTCAAAACTATGAGGTAATTAACACAGATTAAACTTAATCTCTTCTTGTTGATCTTTGTCAATAATTGGTTGGTATTGTTGATTTCTCATCTATATCATCTGTCAATTATTAACGAGTTAAAATTTATAGTATATATAATCAAATCGATAAGTTTTAGTACTTAACTATCTTTTTCTATCAGGAATTTTGATTTTTATACTTTCTTTTATACTTTTTTTTTATACTTTAACATTTTACTAGCCTTATCTCTGAAAGTTCAACTCCAAACAATTAAAAACTTGACTCACTTGTATTTTTGAGAAATACTTGAAGGAAACACATTGAGGTATAATTGTATTTTATTTATGATATTTTTATTTTTTTCGATTTTAGATATTAAAATTTATACGGTTTTGATTTTTGAACAAAAGGAGTTAAATGTATACATTAAATAGTGTTTTTTTTTGAAATTCTTAAAAAGATTGAAATTGCTGTGATTATAGATCTATTGAAATATTTATTGTTTCTGAAAAATTCGTGACATAAAAATTGAAAAGGTTCATTGAACGTTTGAATATCAGATTATAAATCAATAAATACTCAAAATGAATAATGCTATCAACTGCCATTGCAAATATACATCTCTGTTGTTGCTGGAAGGAGCTGTTCAAAATATTTTTCTTCAAATAACCTCGATAACATTGTTAAATAATCATGATAATATTACAATTTTCAAAGCTTTGAAAGTCACAATGGAAGAGTGCTCTATTCCAAACAGAAACAAAAAGGAACATAATAGGGACAAAGCAAAGGACCAGTAGTTGGTTGGTGAAATCCGACCCAATTCCAAAATTCCTGGAGGTATTTCCGAAGTGCTGCATCTTGTGCAGAAACAAGCAGCCAATCACCAGCCACAAGTCTCGTTTCGGTTAGCGGTTCTGATTCCACACTGCTGGCCTTGCGCAATTATACATCACAATGCGGCGCTAAAAAGACATCTGACGGGTAACCCACACCTCTCTAAGGTAGCTGGAAGATAGTTGAAAGTGCAACTCGATCAGTTATCGAATCATCTGAAAACCATTCATTTCTCCTCTGTGGACGCCAGGATGTCTCAAAAAGAGCAATTGTTAGATACAGCTGCTGATGTAGTGATGACTGAAGCTGAACCTCTGTTCTCTGAAACTCCCTTGGACCAACTGCATATAGGATCCAAAAAGAGGAAGTTGAAGTCTGATGAAATTTCAAGCGACAATGATCAAAATAACAATGTGTTGAGCAAGATTTTTAATGTCAATGAACAGGCGATTATAGTGCCTTCTGTTTCACCAAAGCTATCGTACACACCTTTGAAAACAGGGTTTTGCTACGACGTTAGGATGCGATATCATGCCAAACTATTCACTTCTTACTACGAATATATTGATCCACATCCTGAGGATCCAAGAAGAATATATCGTATATATAAAATATTGGTGGAAAATGGATTGATCAATGATCCTTCTTTATCTGGTAACTCAGATGATTTTGGCGAGTTGATGGTCAAGATTCCTGTAAGAGAGGCTACAGCTGAAGAAATTTTATTGGTTCATTCTTCAGATCTTTTCAAATTTCTTGAATCGACACAGAAAATGTCCAAAAAGGACTTATTGAAAGAAACAGAAAAAGGAGACTCGATTTATTTTAATCATGATTCCTTCACATGTGCCAAACTATCTTGTGGTGGAGTTATCGAGGCATGCAAAGCAGTGGTTGAAGGAAAAGTCAAAAATGCCTTTGCAATCGTAAGACCCCCTGGGCACCACGCCGAACCCAACTCGCCAGGTGGATTTTGTCTTTTTTCTAATGTTGGTGTAGCAGCCAAAAATATATTGAGAAATTATCCTGAATCAGTGAGGAAAATTGCAATTGTTGACTGGGATGTTCATCATGGTAATGGCACTCAAAAATGTTTTTATGACAACCCAAATGTTTTATACATTTCGATTCATAGGTATGAATCTGGCAAGTACTATCCCGGAACAAAAGCTGGAGATTACGATCAGTGTGGTGAAGGATTAGGTGAAGGGTTCAATGTTAACATACCTTGGCCAATCACTGGAATGAAAGATGCCGATTATATCTATGCATTCAACAAGGTGGTGCTACCGATTTTGTTTGAATTCAATCCTGATTTAATTATAATATCGTCTGGTTTTGATGCAGCTGATGGTGATTTAATTGGTCAGTGCCATGTCTCTCCTGGATGTTATGGACATATGACAGATTTTTTGAAAACGTTAGCCAAGGGAAATCTCTGTGTTGCCCTTGAAGGCGGCTATAATTTAAACAGTATAAGTATCAGTGCGTTAGCAGTAACAAAGGCTTTGATTGGCGAGCCTCCTGATCTTTTGCAAAGTACAATTCCATGTGTGGAAGCAATCGAAACTATTTATAAAGTTCTGAAACAACAATCAAAATATTGGAAGTGCATGAGAGCTGGGTTTGGCTTGATTAATGATATCACGAAATTGGTACCAAAAATCAATTCGCATCATGCTCGTAATAACAATAATAATACTTTAAACAAACGAGAAAAGGATAAAGATAAAAACAATGAACACAAAAATAACAAATCAAAACAGAATAATTTCCAAGAATCAATTTATTCCAATTTACAAGATGCAGTTAGAACACATCAAGCTAATGAATTACATGAAAAGTATGGATTAATTAATTTGCCGATATTATTTAATGATTTAGGCGAAAATAAGACTGTCTCAAGCTCAACAACATATCATGTTTTATCCAATACCCAATTTGATGACCAAATTCTCTCTACTGTTGATATATATAAAGAAGAGACTATTGTTATGGTAGTCCATGATCCAGCAGAAGTGTGGGGATACATTGAGCCCAAATTTGGAAATATTGAATTATCATCATCTGTGATTGTTAATCCATTGAATAAATTATATAATTGGATTGTGACAGAGAAAAAATATGGACTAATTGACGTTTGTATACCAACATCAACTATTTTTTTACAATCAAGTAATGGTTTAAATAATACCAACAAAAATGAACAATATAGTAATGTATTGTATTCTCAAGAGCTAATGTTATATATCTGGGACAATTATTTGAAATTTTTCAAAAACTTGAAAAACCTAGTGTTTTTTGGAATTGGAGAATCGTATGCTGGTATTGTGCATTTGTTAGGACACAGATTAGTAGTAAATACATCATTTAATAACGATGTTAAACCTAATAACTATAGAAAGAGTACCAAAAGCAAAATTCCCAATGGATTAATTGATACAGGGAAAATTGAAAGATGCTGTGCGGTCAACTTTTTAGACTCGACTAACAATATACGAACAATAATACCGATTTTGGACGAAACATTGGTTGATTGGTTTTACAGAAATTCGCTAATTTTCACGTCAAATAAGCATCCAGTATTTGATGGTGATAACGATTCAAATGGCAATGGGCATCACCATTTTGGAACAGGCCACAGTAATAGAAAGCTTCGGAAAAAATTTGGTAGAGTGATTAAAAGTGAGCACAGTGATAACATAACTGATGTGTTTAATGAGAACTGTGAGGAAGCTATTGATTTTGCGTTGGAGACAATAGAAGATTACTATAGCAGCGAAGATGGTTCTGGTTATACCTCTTCATCCAGTGGATTCAAGGATAATTAAAGATTATTTGAGGTTTGGCTCAACTATTTTTTTTGTTGAATTTGTTATTTCCCTAGGATTTTCTTTATTTTTTTTTTAGTTTGTTTTAATTTGTCCCAAGTTTGGTCTGGTTATATTTCTGTATAGACTGTATAAATAAGTTGTTCATAAGTCGAAAAAGACAATTTTTTGCATCTCTGTGGGGCAGAATCACCATCCGACTCATATCCGACTCAACCGACTGACGTTCTCTACGACGTTCCGTATGTTGTAGCTCCGTATTTCGTAGTCACACACGGTCTGAACTTACGGCTGCACTCCAGCCCCGATTTGGAGACTAAAAGAAACTGACAGTTGTGTATATCATCTCTCATCTCTCATCTTTCTGACAGAACCGATAAAACACCACCAGCACCAGAATCCAATCTTCCAGCTGTTTGAAATGGCTCCTGCTCCCAAAACTGCCTACCCTCCAGGGACACAACTAACAGTGGGCTCCCACAAAATCTCCATACTTCAGTATATTTCTGAAGGTGGGTTTGCTCATGTCTACACTTGCAATATTGTTTCTCCTAAACCTCCACTCGGCTCGAAGAATGAAGTTGTTTGTTTGAAGAGAGTTGCTGTTCCAAACAAGATGTTATTAAACATTCTTAGAGCTGAAGTTGAAGCCATGAAAAGATTGAAAGGAAAACCTCACATTGTTTCTTATATCGACTCACATGCTTCGAGGATATCTTCTGATGGTTCTCAAGGCTATGAAGTTTTGCTTTTGATGGAATATTGTTCCAAACATGGGTTGATTGACTTTATGAACACAAGATTAACAACGAGATTGTCGGAAGCAGAAGTCTTGAGAATAATGTACGAAATCACCCTTGGTGTTTTGCAAATGCATTTTTTGGATCCTCCTTTGGTTCATCGTGATATCAAAATTGAAAACGTATTGATCAATGATAAAGATGAATACCAACTATGCGATTTTGGATCAGCCTGTGGGATATTACGACCTCCTCAAAATCCTGAAGAATTCAAAATGCTACAATCGGATATTTTACAACACACCACTGCTCAATATCGTTCGCCTGAAATGATCGATTTAACCAAGGGATTTCCTATAGATGAAAAAGCAGATATTTGGGCATTAGGTGTTTTCTTGTATAAACTATGTTATTACACTACGCCTTTCGAATCCGGTGGGGAAATGGCACTTTTACAAGGCACTTTTGCTTTTCCTCATCATCCTCAGTATTCTGTGAGATTGAAAAATATGATAACAATCTTACTTAATGTAAATCCAAATCTTCGTCCCAATATCTATCAGGTTTTGAAAGAACTTTCTTTAATGAGAGGAATGAACATCCCAATTGAAGTCCAAAATCAATATGCAGAAAAAAAAAGAGTTGAAAAAGCAGAAAAGTTACAATCCCAATCTCAGTCTCAATCTCAACAACAGAAACAGCAACAGCAACAGCAACCAAAAATTCAACCTTTCTTGCCTGTAAGACCACAAAATATGTCTCAAAACCAAATTGATCAATTTTCTCAAACAAATACACACATTCCAATACAGAACAACACAATTTCTCAAATGAACCCAATTAATTCTGCTGTTAATGCTCAAAATAACGTCCAGCAAAAATTAAATGTCTACCATTCATCTGTATCACCACGCCCTCTACAAAATCAAAATCAACAACAGCAGATACTCTTTTCTCCAAGTGTAAATTCCAAGTCATCCACCTCATTGCAAAATACACTAGCAAATAGCAATATAATGTTTCAAAATAAATCGAATCCCGAAGTTTCCTCGAAAAGTTTTTCTAGACCAGAAGATCCCTTTGCGAATATTAGCAGCATTGAAAAGTTGAAACGGTTATCAATATCATCGAAAGCTATCTCAGAACAAAAACCATTGGAAAAGAAAGATGTGGATATGAATGTGAAGTCACATTCTCGTCCTGCTTCTTCTCAATTCGAACTGGGTTTTTCTGTAAACGATACCGAAATTGATGATGACATTAGATCTATCAGGAATAAACTAATTCGAATTCAAAAATTGAAAGCTCAAAATTCAAGAAATGAAAGTGTACCATACCATAAAGACAATTTCAATATATTTGATGATGATGTTGCGGATAATGATAATTACGATGGTGGAATTTCAGAAAATTCACTAGATATAGACGATAAATTTCCTTCAATTGAAAAACTTGACAATCAATTTCCGAATAATTTTGATAGTGGTTATGATGCACCAAAATTTGGGAATGGAAATGTCAATAAATTAAAAAATAGGTATGTTAGTATTGAAACTCAAACCGATGATTTTTTGTTTAACACGAAATCAAATAATTCAGCAGAAAATGTTTTGAAAAACATCAAAACGGAAAAATCTGATCACAAGCCATATCTCCAGAACTCCTCTGAAAATGATGAAACTAAAATGGTTTTACCTAAAAAACTTCAAAAGATTTTAACCGGGTTTTCCAATGATTCAAGTGAAGGCAGTTTGGAAGTCTCGCAATTTGAAAATGGGATCCCAACCGAACAAAATATACTGATAAGTAGAACTAAATCAATAGAGAACCCGAACAACAAATTTGAGACACAAATATCGAGAAAGGTTTCTCCAGTTCAAAAAGTCTTTTCAAACAATGGGTCCACTGATAATAAAAGCAAATCAATAACTCCTAGTAACCAATTGAAAATGGCCCCAGTTATCAAAGAAGCGTCTGAAAAAGGAGACTTGGTTCCTTCAGAAACATCATCTATACAGCAAAGACTTAAAATGTTGCTATCTAGCAGTAGTGAAGAGGCCACTTATAAAACAGCCAATGGATATGGAAAATACACAGATGAAGTGCCAACAAAAGAGAAACCCTCGAAAGAAAACATTCAAAAGCCAGAAGTTCCATTGAAATCAGATTCTTTGTCTAGTATAGCCACTTCAGGCAGCCTTCCCAAAACCAAAATCAAAAAGATTCCACCACCAACGCCTAAAAAACCTGCTCATTTGAAAAGCAAGTTCAAAGTTGTGAGTCCCAAGCATATTTTCAGTCCCACAGGTGAAAATCCATCGATTGATGGAGAGTTTGATAAGTTTAACCGTAAATTTCCTAAAGCCATTGAAAAGTAGTCAATGTTTGTTTTTAATTTTTCTTTATTTCTATGTTATTTATTTCGTTTTCCTGTTATTTTCTTATTATCTTCTTGTCATCTTTCTGTTATTTTCCCAAAAGTTTTCAATCGTTTTTAAAAGTTTTTGTAATTTTTTGATTTTTTAAATGGATGACTTTCAATGGAGTTTCTGATCCACTCAAGCAATATTTCCCTGTGTAATCAGGACACAAATGCATTTTGCAAGGTGGCCCGTGCTATTTCCCCCGCATAAACCGAACATCCACCATGTTCCTTCATCAATTTTATCTATTATCTGGCACATCTCAGAACTAATCGCTTTTAGTGCTCAACATCAACAGACAATAAAGGAATAGAGTGAAAAGTTGACTGGAATATGGATTTTATTTACGATTACAGTGATTCCACTGCCAATGACGTCCACAAGAGCTCTGGTATTCCTCTACCTGCTGCCCCATTGACTTTACCCCTAAATCTCCCTGAAGAAATTACAAAGAAATTGCCTGGGCTATCAATTCTATCAAATTTGCAAAAGAACTATGCCAAAAGTACTGAAAATATCAATGATTCAACCGACAATTTGAATTTGCTGAAGGAAAACGACTTGGCTGAAAAATACGCCAGATTGTCGCTAGAGTTGTTGGCAAGTGGTAAGAATAGAGGTGTTTCAAGTTTCTCACCAAGTTTAGAAACTGATTCAACAATTACAAAATCTAATGAACAGAATCAAGTTAACGACGTTTCAATAAACGATTTTGTAAATAGCACATCTTCAAATGCTGCAATTGCAAATAATAACAGAGGTGCCAATATCAGCAGCAACATTCTTTCTACAAAGCTATCCAAAATCTTGTCTTCGTCGTTAACAACATCTTACAATACACCACTTGATTTGAAAATTAAGAAATCGTTGAAAATTCTTGAAGCCAATAACTATTTTAATGTGTGCTCTGATGATGAATATAATAGTTACAATACTCTAGTTCAGCCCGGTTTCCTTGGGTCAATTACAAGAAAAAATTTACAAAGTAAAGTTGAAAACGAACTTTTGAAACAACACTCCAAAATTCTTGTGAAATTTCAACCATTGATAGATGTTTTAGAACACTTGAAGAGCAATATTGAAAACTTGAATGTTCAAAAAGATAATTTGGTTAACGACTTGAATAATTTGACAAAGTTCAATGAAGAAAATCTATCAAATGACAAATTTAATATCAACCAGATAAAAGCACTACAACATGAAAAAAACTTGATATTAATAAAAAAACACATATTGATGTCATTTAAAAATGAATTTCAAATCAATGAATATGAAGAATACGTTATAAAGAATACCAATTTGACTAATAGTGATAATGATGATGAAACCCTAAAGGAGTTTTTTAAAGTCTATAACAAGATCAAAAAAATCTACCAGAATTGTTATTTGCTATTATCAATGAATAATCCTACCATAGGTATAAATATTATGAACAAAATGAAAGGTTTGATTGATAATGCATTGAATAAGATATTTTATTTTGTTGAATATAACTTGAATAATTTTCAAAATATTAACAAAAGAAATTTCAAAATCTTAAAAGAATCAATTAAAATTGTCTTGAATTCCTCGTTTTTGATGGCTAATAGAGTTGAAGATATTGACAAAGATTCTGCAGAAGAATCTTTTTCTGTTTCAAAATTTGTCGAAAATAACGTATATGTTAACAATCTTATCAATAAAATTATTGAAGTTAGAGCAAAACAAAATTTAAAAGATTTTCTTGATCAATTGGGCACCTCATTGCTCCGAGATGATAATCAAAGCATGATATCTGTCAAATCAAAAGACTCCGCAAGACCAATATTAATGTCTGCTCATGATCCAATTAGGTACATTGGTGACATCTTGGCATATATCCACTCTTTGATTGTAAATGAAAAAGAAATTATAGATACCTTGCTTGATAATAATGAAGATTTTTTTGATTTTAGAAATGGTGAAGGTGCTGGCTCCAAGACGGATTTTGATTTTGATTTTGATTTTACTGTGCTCAGTGAAAAGGACAAGAATTTAAATGCTAACCAGTTTTCAGATTTAAAAGAATATTTATTGATCAAGACTTTGAATGTTCTTGCAAAACCATTAAATTTGCGTGTTAGTAGATTTATTATGGTGGAAAACAAATTGAATACAATTCAAAACATTTTCAACGTTCTTGATCTGTATGATTTAATGTTTTTGAAGCAATTTGATGTTGAGTTGATGAAAAGAGCCCAATTGAAAAATGAGCTATTAATCAGTATCAAAACTTTGGAAAAGTTTCTTCATAAAAGAGCATTTGCGATTCTTGAAGATTCATTAAACGAAATTTCCTCGTTAATAGAACAAAATATTGAAAGCCATGATTTACAGTCTCCAGAATGGCTAATTAATTATGTCAACGATATTCAAAAAGTGTTTTATTCATTTCATCCAAGTTCTAATTCGGAATTGAACAATTTTCTATTCTTATCAGATCAACAGATGGACGATTTCTTAAAGCTTGTTATTGACAGACCATTATCTTTAGTGTATAAGCAAGCAGATCTCAGTAGCTTTGATGAAGAAGCCGAAAAGTCCAAAAAGATTTTTGAAATTAATAGTATTGATTTTATTTTGTCTAAAATTTTAACCATATCATTCATTAAGAATGAAAAAATCAATGAACTTAATATTAAATTGGACAGTGAGACCCAATTTTTAATTTATGTTCAGTTTGATATTCTAATAGAATCTTGTGGATTGAGCTTAGTTTTCAAAATGCTTAATAGTATTTACCCCTATGATAAGCTTATTGAAGAGTATGCAATAACTATAGCACATAATCCTGAAGAATTTTTAAAAATAATGGACAAGTATATATCACTAAAAAGCAAACCAGAGTTTTCTATTGAATCTATAAACACAATCAATAAAAAAATAGAGCTTTTTTTGCCCTCTGCTCTTACAGATACACAGTCTTCAGCTCTAATCAATGTTTCTTCACCTATGATTTCTAATCAGATAATCGAAGAATCGTCGCTAAAATTCGTTGACTTTTACAAAATTTTCTTTATACTTGTTGTTAGATTCTATGACAATACAGTTGAGCATTTAGATTCTATTGCAGAAGACGAATATGATTCAGGAATGATTGAAAAGCTGTTGCTTAAGTGGAATGAAATTGAGGTTGCCACATTATTAGGAGTCGATGAACTTTACATTAAAAAGCTACAAATGGAACAAAGTCTTAATTGAATGTAGTAAACATTTCTGTTAAAGTAATCTTTTAAAGTCTATAAACTGAGAAAATTTTTGAAAAGATACATGTTCTTCAAAAACAGAAAAAAATAATAATCAATGTGATAAAAATGATAAAAATGGTAGAAATGATAAAAATGATAAAAATGATAGAAATGATAGAAAGATAGAAAGATAGAAATAATAAAAATAATAAAAATAATAAACAAAAAGCAATAAAATGTAAAATTATACATATAGTAAAGTGAAAATAGAAGGATTAAATAAAATAATTTTATATTGAAAACAATTTAAACACTGTATTGCTGATTTTATAATAATAACAATAAAAACACCAATCCTAGGTGCTAAAAATTAAAGATGCGAATTAAAAGAAATGAAGCTGTTTTATGTTTTTAATAATAATTTTTCAACATGTCTTTCAACTAGGAAAGCTATTATTAACAACCTAATAATCAAAATATATTATAAAATTACAATATTAAGGCAAAAGTACAATAAGGAAAATAGAAATCAATAAAATAGAGTGGGTGAGTATAAGCAATGAGGGTGATTATGAGGGTGATTATACGTGTTATTTTTCATTATCATGGTTTATCATAAATGGAAAGGGGAAGGTAATGTGAGAGGATTTTGTTGTTGAGTTTGCTGATTGAGTGAATGGCGCTGATTGTGCTGAAAGTACAGTTGAGTTGAATGATTGAAAAGATTCAGCAGGTAATGAGGAGCCAGATTTGGAAGCTGAGAGATTCCTCGGCCGATAATACGGCTGGTCAGATTGAGAAGAAGAAGAAGAAGATCCATTGAACTCATCTTCTACCAATTTTGACAAATAAGGGTCATTATTGTAGTTTATGGTTGTGCGATGCACCAGCTGGTGATTGTTTTCTTCTTCAACCACATTAAAGCCCTGTTTATCGTTATCATTGAAATTCCAGCTCAACGAAGAAACACCAATTACGATTAATAGAACACCAAAAAAGATGAAAAAAATGTCAATGTTATCTAGTTTTTCCAACTGGTCAAAATAAATCAAGCCATTTAAGATATTGACCACGTTGAAAACGCAAAACGTTAGTGGGTAAACAATTGTTGTAGAGGTGATTTTTAAACCAAGATTTAAATAGTAAAGTTGGGCGACAGCAAAACAGAACCATATTACTACAATCACCCAAGAATCGAGGTTTTTCAAATCATCTGGTTTATGGGAAACAATTGCGTTGACCAAGATCTCGACAGCAGATTTTGCTAATAAAAGTGCATGAGCAGATAGTAAACCTGATATTAAGCCAAATAGTATTCCCTGGATGAATAATAGTTTTTCATATAAGGGGTAATCAAAGGATTTAAACCTTTTGAAAAATATTTTCAGATTTCTTGTTAAATATTCTTTTAAGTTGGAAATTGAGGGTAATGAAATATTGCTAAAAGTCAGTGAAAAGAAAAAGGAAGAATCTGCTGAATTTGTTAAATTTGATTGATTGGAAATGGAACTTGAATTTACAGGAATCAAGCAGTATCTTTTTAATCTTTGGGAAGTGTGAGGTAGTAAAGAAGTAGTCTCATTTGGAGAGGAAATTGGAAGAGAGGTGTTGTTGCTGGTTTTATTTGTATTATAGGCTTGATTATGAATTTGGTTAACGAGGTCAGGGTTTTTTTTGATATCTTCAAACAAATTTTTATATTTTTTAATATAGATATTTGCAACGTATGTATATAGCAACATCACTATGGCTATTATGAAACTTGAAAGTAGCCAGTGCAAAAACTGGATTCTCTTGAATAGATTAATCAAGTCAATCAAACTTCTTTGAGGTTGAGGTAGAGAGCCAAAATATGCTATTAAAAAAGCACCAATACTAACCAATATTGTTCCAAGTAGGGTCTTCTTTGTAAAGTTTTCTTTCAAAATAACAGAGGCAAGTATTGAATTAAATACCAAACCAGTTGCTTGTAAAGGACTTAGGATGATTAAAGGGAGTGTTGAGATTTGAATGCTTGAACCAAATACATTTGCAATGATAAAGAGAAGGAACCCAGTTCTCCATAGTATTTTGATATGGCTTCGATTTGAATTTGAAGTAGGATCAGAATTAAGTTCTTTTAGAATATGCGATTTTCGTTGCAATGTTATCCCCAACGATTGTGTTGCATTTGAAACGATTCCAACAATTATGCCAACAAATACTGTGAAAGCAGAACCCATTACTGCTTATGTTCTTTGACGAGAGTATGAAGATGAAAAGAAATTCAAAAATGTGAAAAATATGATAAAGAAGCTGAAATGAGATGGTTCTTCAGTTGTATGTTTAGCCTTCAGTTGTTCTTAGTATGGTTATAAAATAGAAATCAAAAGATAGAATTAAAAAAAGTAGCACCAGAAACTCTTAGTGAAAAAAAAGAGAGAAAACTATTAGAATATCTTGATCAGCTAAGAGAGTGCTCTATAAGAAGTATACGAGTTAAAAAACAAAATGACAGCCTTGAAAGATGGAGAATTCAGGTCAAAGGAAAAGCAATGGTGAGTAGATACTGCAATTATCACAGTTGGAACAGATTCAATCAGAGGACAAGCAAAGTGGTTTATATCTAAGAAGAAAGAAGCTGGAGGTGAACAACAGAAAGATAAGATATAAGATATAAAATACAATATACAAAATACAAATAAAAGGAACATCTCAAAGTGCAAGGAAAAAAGATGGAGAGAAAGCACGAAACGGGAAGGTGTTGGGGCCTGTCTTAGGTGGATTGCTATATTGGGACAGAGATACTGAACTGAGCAGGTCGGAAATTGAGTGCACGTGGTAGCTCAACAGAACAAGCTGTGCCTCTGCAGAGCGGTGCAGGTGTGGCTGTGGATAAATACGTGCAAGTGTAAGCAGCTTCCTGCGTATCTCAGTCGAATTGGGGATGGCTGGATAAATCCAGAATTAAGGTTGATGTTGTGCGTCTGCCAAGATATTAAGTTATTAATTTACTGTTTAGATTAATTTTGAACAAGAAAAATAAAAAATCAATTAGAAAATGTTCAACTGTATAGGAGGTTTATCTGTGTAAAGTACAAGGCCAGAATGAAATTTAGTGTCTACTGCTTTTCAGCAGGACCCTTTGGAGCAGCACCAGCACCAGCACCAGCAGCACCAGCAGCTTTTTTAGACATTGTCTTTCCGAAAAAGAATAATGCTATAGGGTGTAATAGATTGTTCACCACTATCCATGCACAAAGAATACCAATATTTCTACCCATATTGCCTTTCCAAGTGTTCAAGAATAACACTCTTGTTAATTCAGCAGAGTTGTATATTGGAAAAGCATATCCGTATTTGAAGAATCCTGGCAAAAGGTCAAGTGGAGCAAAAGTGGGAGAGATGTTACTTATAACCCAAAATAGCATCCAAAATCCAATAAGAGGTGGAAAAACTGGAATGATGAATAATGCCATGTTTTCGTTAGCCCCACCAACTGCCGCCATTGTTAAGTAGTTGAACATCCAATAAATAACAAACCCCGACTTTCCAAAGGTCTTTGTAAATGATACTTGGAAACACGCTGTGACAGTAGAATAAGTTAATGATAGCACAAAAAATGAGATTTGAGAAGAAATCATTCTGTAAAGAATATAATGTTTGATTTTGACGTATTTGACAAATATTTGATGAGTTGTTGCAAAAAAATTAAATTGGAAAAATGTTATAATAATCAAAAAAATTAGCCCTACTTGTAATGGAGCCATTAAAACTGGATCCGTAAGAGGGATATTGTCGATAAATTGTGGAATTGGAATATTGGATATTAAATCAGGATTATTGGAGATTAAATTCACCCTTTGTGTCTCATTCAAGTAGTTATTAATAATTGGTGAATAAACATTTAAGTAGATTTGAGATGACAAATAGCTTGCATATTTATTCATATTGGGTGTAACATATCCATTCATTGAAAGTGGGTCTCTACCGGTTTCGTATATTATTTGGATTAAAGCATTTGAAGCATTGTTTGGACTGAAAGTTTCATATTGAGTGCTATCTGGATTTGCAAATGCCTGATAGATTTGATATGTGGCATCTTGTGAAATGTAAACTGTAGCCCAGTATCGTTTTCTGTGAATCAATGAATCAACCTTCTGTCTAAGTGTTTGATCTTCATCTAACGGATATTTAGACAAAAATTCCTCATAACTGTAATATTTCCAGCCTGCTAAGTCGTTAATAGATTCATTATCTTGTGTCACAGAAGTGGCGGTATCTGTCAATAATGGTTCGATGACGAGGTTATCCACCAGTCTTGATTGTTCTTCAGTAACTATTAAAACATCTAAATTCTTATAACGAAGATTTCTTTGATACATTGAACCCCAATATATTGAAAAAACTGCCAACATAAATGCAGACATTATCACCCAATTAGTTATGAAATTCTTTAATACTAAAAGCCAAGGCTTAGTATTTGTTTTATCGAAAATACCAATTTTTTTGTTAATATTCGACTTTATAGTTTGTATTCTGTTCAATGTTCTAGTCCTTGTTGAGCTTCTTGATAAACTTCCACTTTCAATATCATTTCTAGGTCTTGATAATGATCGGACTATTGCGTTACCACCGACCATATTAGTTTCATATGCTTGTTCTTGATATCTCTCAATTGATCTTAAACCACCATCATCAGAACTATCATCTTTATCGCCACGTCCAATATTGTTGTTAGGATAAAAATTGGGGTTGTTATTGTCGAGAGTGCTCTGGATCTGAGAGGTCGTAGAAGATGGGTCAGTAGAGATAGTCTTCTGCAGGGGAATATTGGAATTCATTGGGCTCAAAGTGTTTAGTACTGTGCTGAATTAGCAAGCGTTTTCTAATGCTGTGAATCTTGGATAGAAAAATCGAAAGAATGCTGAAAAATCCAGAGACTAACAGTTTAGGGTATTAAGAAGATTAAAGTAGAACTTGTAAAGCACAATAATAATAAACCAAAAGAAAAGCACTCTAAAAGAATTGTGAGATGGGATTTTTGGCTAAATTGAACATCGCAAAGAAAAAGCACAAGTATATATATGAGCAATGAATTTCCAATGGGGTACTTAAGTCCGCTGCTGACAAATATAACCGCCGCCCTGCAGAGGTGGATTTTGGGACCTGGAACGGAACACGGAACGGGTGTCACTTATGTGCTGGTGGACAAGAAAAATACCTTTTTCCAAATCGAGCTTAATTGAAAAATAATTGAAACATCAGTCACGTGGTCCATATAATTGAATGGGAAATTGATTCGATTTGCTTTACGAAAACAGTATTGGTGCAAAACAATTGGCAAAATTTTATATATAGCTGACAATAATAAAAATTGATATTTACGACGTTAATCATGTTGCGAAGCAGCCGGATCTCTAGATTCGGTTTCTACCTATCCCTCGGCATTTATTCTCGGTCTGCTCCCGTCACGCTTTGGGATGAAACCCAGTCCCCTATAAAAGGGGCTGGAGTTCTCTTCTACGTTCTTTTTTTCTATATACTTCTTTACCTTAATATATAATCATAGATTTGCTACAACAAAATAGAACAAAACATCAGTAAAAAGAGATTAAAAATAGTGAACCGTTACCCGTCTTGCCAGAGATTACTAAGTTCCCTCAACAATCGATTGCATTCCCCTTTAGTACCACAACATTTTTTCCTGTGCACAAGGGGGGTATTTTTCTTGTCCATCACTAAACGTAGGTTGGCGTAACATACCCGCGTCTACACGCGTCTGAATATGTGGGTGTACGCGGATGAAATGTGGCCACCACCTGTGTGGGTTTGGGCATGGAAACAGAAAGAAAAATCGATCGGATGAACATCCAACCTCTGACCCAGGAGATGGTATATAAGCTCTAGTGTCTTCTCGTTGTTTTGCTATTTTGTTATCGTCAAGTGCATTAATTTTTTTATCTCCAATTCAATTTACAATGAGTTTTAATTCGAATTTCTTTGGCAATGACCCCTTTTTCAGTGGTAGCAACAATGGCTTTTTTGGAAATGACCCCTTTGCTCTGATGAACGAGCAAATCAATAGAATGAACCAACAGTTTAATGCCATGAACCAACAGTTCAATACCATGAATCAGCAAATGAATCAGCAAATGAATCAGCAAATGAGGAACATGGTTAGCGGACCAAACAATTATCCAAATTTAATTGAACAAAGGAATATCAATACTGATATTAATACCGTCTATGATCCCAGTTCCTCTCCCAGCTCGAATAGAAGTTTGACTCACAGCAACAACAATAACAATAATAATAATAATAACAATAATAGTAACAGTGTTAGTAACTTCAATTATAACAGTCATAGCATGAATTTTTCTGGTACAAAAATTGTAGATAATCCAACCAATGTCGAGGTTTCAATATTAATCCCAAATTGTCAAAAGGATAATATTAACCTATACTTGAATGAAAGCTCGAACACTTTGACGGTTTCGGGAATGCAAGAGCAAATTGTTAGATCTCAATTTGGTTACTCCTCCTCCTCCTCATCATTTTCAAAATCTTTTTCTTTGAATACCAATGCCTCATTAGATTCAAATTCAATTGATTTCAATTATGACACTCAAAACGGCTTATTGAACTTGGTTATTCAAAAACGGTTACCATCAATTAGAAATAATTATCATAATAATAGTAATGACACAATCAGTCCAAGAAACGTTGATTTAATTGAAAATGCTAATGAAAACAACAGAATCGAGGAAATTCAAGATGATGAGAATAGTAATAGCAGCAGCATCCACAACTATGACAATAATAATAGGAATAATAATAGAAATAATAACAATAACAACAACAACAACAACAACAATAATAACAATTTTACAAATTTTAAATACAATAATAGTGGTAAGTATCAATTATAACTAAAGTAATTGGTAATATTGAATCGAGGTCTGGTAAATGTTTTTAAGGGTTTATTTTTATTTTTATTTTTCATTTTTTTTTTTTTTTTGGTTTTACTATTCACTTTTTTTAATGAATTTTACGTCTCAAGAGTTTTTTTCACACTTCTAATCCAACTCAATTCTTTCTATAAAAACAACTTGTTTTTTCGTGAGTTATAATTAGTATTTTAACACTAATTTAAAACTGCTAAACTTTTTTTTTTTTATTTATTTCAATCATCAAATAGCTAAGTAGTGAAGTAGTTAATAAACTTTAAATAATACTTTATCAAAATTATATAAAAATAAATAAAAATAAAAATAAAAATAAATAAATAAATAAATAAATAAATAAATAAATAAATAAATAAATAAATAAAAATAAAATATTCCAAATTATTTATGTAAAAATAAATGGTTTATACTGGTGTATTATTGGTTTGGTTGTTCAAAAAACGACCAAATAAAAAATTGTAAATTGGATCATCGTTACTTTTACCAGTGGCTTGTTTTTCCTCAATCTCATCTAATGATTGTTTGCTCTCCAATTTATGATCTCTTAGGAAAATGGAAAAGACTATCATTGGAATACAAAATACAAGACCAACTGTGCACAATATCTTTTGGATATATCTATAGGTTTGAACCAACATTCTTCTTTCAGATGTTTCCCAAGTGTAAGTTAAAATAAATGTAAATGGCGAACCATAGGCTATACTTCTGAATTCAGCATCGTAATCTGAAAACTTTTTGGAAATTTGTTTTGGTAATAGTTGAGTCCAAATGGCTCCTGAAATTGCTGACCCAATAGCTGATCCAACGTTATACGAAGCCAAATAAACAGATGTGACAACAGCCATATGTTTGTGATTAGTACAACTTTGGAGGGAAGCTTGAACAACATAAGTGAAAAATGATGAACCAAAACCTAAGAGACATTGAGCTCCAATTATACCTGAATGACTAACTCTAGATCCACCTCTATACTGAATCAATAAACCAAAAGCAATGAAAAAAGTCGCAATACCAAAAATAATAAAGCCCTTGGTTCTTCTAATTCTTGAAACCAACAAACCGACAAAGAACCCAGATATAACTGAAGTAAAAGAATACAACGAAGAGATTCTTGTTGCAGCCTTAACAGACTCATTGACAGCAACAACCAAAACAGTATAAAGATAATCACCTTGCATGTACCAAGTAAAGTTAACAAGAACTGCAATTGGAAAAGCAGACCAAACACCTCTATCTCTCATCAAGTGGCCAGGAATCAATGGGAATTTGGAATATTTTGTTTCCCAAATGATGAAAAATGGTAATAAACACCAACCAAGCACTTCAGGGACAATAATTTTAGCCTTTTGCCATTGAGTGTTTTCACCTCCTGCTAATGTGAAAGGAACCAAGATTAAACCAAGAACTAGAGTGATTAAAATCAAACCTAGAATATCCAATTCCCAAAAGATGATTTCAACAATGTAATCCTTCCAAGACAAAGATTGATAATATGTTTTAAAATTTTTATATTTATCGAGTTTTCCTGATTTCTTGGCCAAGTAGTTCATATGGTATAAGCAAAATAATAAGGGCAAACAAGACAATGGGAAAATAAAGGTCCACATTGCGATTCCCCAACTCCAATCGTCACCAATGGCAGCAGTAACATCACCACCAATCCAGGTATTGATTATAAATGGATAAGCAGGAATCCATGTCAATAATAGTCTCCAGTTCAAGTTCGACAAATCACTAATCAAGATTTCAATCATAAGCATAATACCAGTCATACCTAATTTATAGAAAACAGACCCAGCAGCGTATCTTTGGATATCATAAGCTTGAGATTGAATCAAAGTACCCACTGAATAGAAAATCGCTGAGACAATAAGTATTTCTGTTCTACCAAAGATATCAGATAGCCTCGCAAAGCAAATTTGACCAGCAGCAGCAATCACCGAGTTAATACAATTAATCGTTGAGATCAAAGCATGGCTGGAGTATGAAGAGGTTGCATAAGCAGTCAATACACCTCTGATTGTTGAATCTAATCCATAGGCATAAGCAACAAGGAAAATCGCAAAAAAAATTATAAATCTGCTTACAACTCCATTGTATTGCTCACTTATGATTTCAATTTTTTCGACACCAATGATTTTATCTTGTAATCTTTTATTTTTAGTGATAACATCTTCATTGATGCTTATAGTGTTGTTAGGTTCATTATTTTCAAAATTGGAAGAAGCGTTTTTCATTGAATTATGATCAAGGGATGGATCAGTATTATCTTCAGGTTTTTCCATTTTTTTGGTAACAAAATTAATGATAGAAAAAAAATAAAGAAAAAAAAAAATACTCTAAATAAAAATTAAACAAAAAACTAGAGGTCCAAATATGAAGAATTATTGAATCTTTTATATCTCATAACCAGTGCTGCAATACTGAATCGATTAATACTGGCAAATAAAATAAAAGAGAATGGAATTAATTTTTAAAAACTTGTTGAAAAAAAAAACTTATTGAAAATTCAATAAAAATCTTAGAATAGGCTAAATTTTAATTTTAAATTTTAATTCAAAGCCAAATCTAAAGCATGGCTAGTGATTGATTCAAGTGGATTTCTTGAGAAATTAAAAAACAAATAGCAAATTGTGAAACTAAAATGCAAAATTGTCAGGGATAAGCATTTTTGAATGTATGAAAAGCCTTGGAAGGGTAGGACATACATTGCTATGATAAATTGTTGTCTGATAATTATTATTATTAACGAAGCACAATCAGCAAAGTGACAGTGAAAAGCATAACAGTTAATTCTGTCAAATGCTTCCAAGTGTTTTTGACTGATGGAATCGATAAAAAGAGCAGCGGAGCCCAAAAGAGAAACAAAAAACTTCACCCCAGCCGAAGACACCAAACGGTTTTTCGTGGCGTCGGCGAATCGGCAAATCGGCGAATAAGAGATTCAAGCCGCTCCGAGGAGGGTAACATGAGCTAGACCCTGTAAGCAAACTGTGATGAGTCAGGAGTTATGTATCCATATCACGTGATTATGACGTGTGTGTATGTGCGTATCTGCCGAGCCGCATACATATGCGTAACTTGCTATTCTGGTCACATGCCTCTACACGTGCTTGTTTTTCTAAGTTTTCCTGTTCTTCCCCAGTTTTTGGGCCTTCTTCACATGAACAAAGAAATGAGGGACGCGAACAAAAATGTGGAGCAAGAGTGGTCGAGCTTTGACATTTGATTGTCGAGTGTTTCTATATAAGAGCAATTGATGGAAGCATAAAAGCATTCCCATCTATTGTACTACACTACTAGTATATCAACCGAGAATATACATACGAGGACTCCACATTTTGCAATGGATAGATTATCACAAATCGCAAGCCACTTACTGCCAACCTCCAATACTGTTGTCGATTTGAAATCGAAAAACCCTGGTGATGTTGTGATTGTCAGTGCATATAGGACTGCTATAACCAAGGGAGGCAGGGGTTCGTTCAAGTCTTTAAAATCCGAGGATATATTGTATTATTTGTTGAAGAAATTTAACGATTTGAAGATCGTTAGCCCAAAATTAGTCGAAGAAATTACTGTTGGAAATGTGCTAAATAAAGGTGCTGGAGCCAATGAACATCGAGCTGCTTGTCTTGCAGCTGGGTTTCCCAAAGAGGTTCCTGTGTTGGCATTGAATAGACAGTGTTCATCAGGTTTAATGGCTGTTAATGACATTGCAAACAAGATCATTGCCAATCAGATTGATATTGGATTAGCATGTGGTGTTGAGTCAATGTCGACATTTTTTGGACCAAGTGCAGTGTATCAATTGTCTGATACTTTATCTAAAGACAAAGAAGCAACTAAATGTTTAATTCCAATGGGTATAACCAATGAAAATGTGGCTGAAAAATTTGGTATTTCAAGGAAAGAACAAGACAAGTTTAGTGCTGCATCTTATCAAAAGGCTGAAAAGGCATTAAAGAATAATCTTTTCAAGAATGAGATTTTGTCATTAGAAATTGAGCTTGAAGAGGAGAATGATAATGATGATGATGATGATGATGAGGATGACGAAAATGATAATGCTGAGAAAAAAGTAACAAACAAAATAAAACACAAGTTGGTTGTAGATAGAGATGAAGGACCCAGAATGAATGTCACTCCTGAATCGTTATCTAAAATCCGACCTGCATTTAAAAAGAATGGTGTTACACATGCTGGTAATGCATCTCAAGTATCGGATGGCGCTGCACTTGTGTTGCTTATGAAAAGAAGTGTAGCTGAATCATTGGATTTAAAGCCAATTGGAAAATACATTGGGTGTGTATCTGTTGGTGTTGCACCTGAGATAATGGGCGTTGGTCCTGCTTATGCCATTCCCAAAGTATTAACAAAGTTTAAATTGAGTGCTGATGACATCAAGATATTTGAAATCAACGAGGCATTTGCTGCGCAATGTCTATATAGCATACACACATGCAATATACCCATGGAAAAGGTCAATCCAAGAGGAGGTGCAATTGCGTTGGGACATCCCTTGGGTGCAACAGGTGCAAGACAGGTATCCACACTATTGAACCAGCTACAAGATGGTGAAATTGGGTTAACAAGTATGTGTGTTGGAAGTGGTATGGGTGCAGCTGCTTTATTTGCTAAGGAAGGTTAATTATATCATATCTATATATATCTATATATAGATATACGTTTATTTATACCTATATGTGTATTTAAATATATTCAAGTTGGGCACAATTTCTAAACAGGTTTTGAAAGTGACTTGAAAGTGGTTTGAAGGTGATTTGAAATTGATTTGAAATCGGTCTGGATGTGGGATGTAAGATGTAAAATCATATGAAAATCATATGAAAATACTGAGAAAAAGCGAGAAAACTCTAATGAAAAAGCTTTCAACCTAAATTACAAAGAGATAGTACACATTACGTCGTGAACTCTGGTTAATAACATTTTTTTACTGTTTATATACTCTCAGTGGTGACTTGTTTTCTTCTATTTATCATTCAGTAATGAAGGTGCACTAATTATTACAGTTACTCTCGGTATTATAGTTGTCGTATTAATAATAGATCATAACCACTGCTCTCACAGCTACTATTGTTGATGAGAAACAGATTTACCAAAGGCGAAGCCTTCCTATTCCCCAGCATTTTTTTAAGGAAATAACAGTCATGACTAAAAAGCTTTAATCTAAATTTTAAACTATTATCAGAATGATTTAACATGATCAAACATTATTTTAAGATTATTTTAAGGCACTCACTCCATTTTTTGGAAAAATTTTAATTTGTAACTTGAATTTCTGTTTTCATTCTCAAATGCTGTGTATTTCATCTTCTCGTATTTTGATTTTGCACATTTGTGATTTTGATTTCACTTCATTTCATTTTATTTAATTTTGTATTTTTTTTCAGCTCTACCTCTTTCGATGGTGTTGCTTCTGGTTCTCACGACAAGGACCTCAGATAGAGGTGTTTTGTCACAATACACCAGCAGCCTAGCTGCCTATATAGCAAGCAAACGATAAAAAGAAGTCCATTAGCTTTTGCAGAGCACGAGTTAGCAGCGGTGGAGCATGTCAATATTCTTTTTAAATCAAAGTTAAACCCACAATTGATGATTCGAATCCTGATCTAACAGCGGTAGGAGAAGTGATTAGGTCCGGATAGAGAAGGCGCGGCTGCACTCCGAAGCCGCGCAAGCATAGGCCAAGGGCAGATGCGCGCGGTCGGAAGTCATTTTTGCGCGCGAAGGAGGTTTTTTAGGCTTTTTTAGGCTTTCCTGGACCCAGATCACACAAAACCGGGATTTTACATCTCTGCCCCAGAATTTTTGCATTTGATTCAGGCCTTAAAGAAAGGTCAATAAGCAGTGAAGAGCTGTTGCAAAAGGAAGAAATTTCACAGAGATGATCTCATTGGCGCTGCGAACTGACATGATTGGGTCTTCATGTCACTCCTCCAGTGTCTGCGTAGGATAACATTATATTTTGCTGATTTTATTCGCTTGGGCTGTTGTGCAATTGCAGCTTTTAATGTTTTGCTTCGTAAACTCTTTTTTTGCTTCTTTCCATTACCATCCTATTGTGATTGCTGACTTTCTTTGACTTCATTGATTCCTACAGATGATAATCATTCATTTTCCGTAGTTTACATTACTGACTTCTCTAATTTTTCTCTTTTTTTTTCTCTCTTTTTTTTTGCCATTTGACCTTTACCAACAAAATAGTATAGAAAATTTAGCATGCATTTTTAATATAAATATTTAGGATATTCCAGCTATTTCTTGATTTGCCTTTGTATTTCTTTCTCTTTTCTTCTCTTTTCTTTTCTCTTCTTTGATTTACACATTTGATTCTCATTGACTGTTTTATTTGCAATAATTGCTTTATTGGTTTCACCAACTGCAAGATCAAATTTTCATTCAACCACAATCACAAGTCGCATTTCCTAACAAAAACTACATCTCATATTTTTCTCTTATTCATCCCAAATAACTCAGATCCACCCAAATAACAACTACATTTCAAAAAATACTACATATCGCTATAACATAATATACTATATCTAAAATAAACAATAAAAAAAACCCATTGATCAATTTCCCCACAAAAATGATTATTTCAAAAATCTTATTTTCACTTTTAACTCTATTAACTTTTTCAGTTGCCAATGTGCTTCCATTATCATATTCTTATCAACTGCAATTACTTGACCAAAAAAATTCAAATGCAAATTCAAAATATTTCAATTTACTAAACTATTTCAACAACGATTACAACTCCATCAAAATCAGCCAAATCCCAATCAAGTCTCAAAAATTCATCCCAAACCAAATCTCAAGAGACGACCGGGAATCCTGGATTCAAGAACAGAAAACTGTTTCTTTCAGAAACATTTTAAACAACATTGGTGGTTCTTTAACTAATATCTCCAATCCGGAAAATAATGGTGTTTCTGTTGGTGCTGTTATTGCTTCTCCCTCAAAGGTTCATCCTGACTACTTTTACCAATGGACAAGAGACGCCGCAATCACAATGCTAACCATCTGTGACTATCTCCAAGATGACAACTTTCAGAACATCTCTCTTATTGATCTAATGGAATCATACATCGACAACAACTACTACCTACAAAGACTATCCAATCCTTCAGGTGATTTTGATGATTTATCAGGTCTCGGTGAAGCAAAATTCCACGTTAATAACACTGCTTTCATGGAACATTGGGGCAGACCACAGAGAGATGGTCCAGCTTTAAGAGCCATCACCACTATCAAATATATCGATCTCTTGAACAAATTCAATAATGGTGAAATTAAAACTGACGACAAAATATTCAACAGCACTGCTGACATTTACAATTTGATCATAAAACCAGATTTGGAATATGTTGCCAAGTATTGGAATAAAAAAAGCTTTGATTTATGGGAAGAAATCGACAGCTTCCATTTTTTTACCTCAATGGTTCAACTAAGATCATTATACTCCGGTGCTCAATTAGCTCTAAAATTCAACGACAACCAGTTTTACTACTATTTAATGGAAAATGCAAGATCATTAAATGACTTTGTTGTTTTCAAATCCGGATACAAACAACCATCATTGGACCATCTAGTCGAAACTCCTTCATTATACTTGTCAAATCATAGAAGTGGTTTAGATTCTGCCATCATTATTGCTTCAATTTTGACTCATGATTTCGATCTCGATGTTAACCACTTGATTCCATTCGACATCAACGACCCATTGATCCTTGGTACCTTGTATGCTTTGATCTCTGATATGAAGTATCGTTATGCCATCAATCATAACCTGATCAGCTTAAATCTCGGTGTTGGAATCGGTAGATATCCAGAAGATATTTATGATGGTACAGGATTTGCAGAGGGCAACCCATGGTTCTTATCCACCTCATATGCTGCAGAGCTATTTTATAAGATTGTTTACTCCTTTTTTAATAACGCAGAGGACCTAAGAATCAACCCAGCCAATTTCAAATTCTACAAAGAAAACATTATTAATTTTAATCAAGAATCAATTGAAAACGACATTATTTTACCATTCAAATCAAGTGCTTTTAATGCAACAGTCTCCAATTTGCTTTCCTACGCAGATTCATTTTTGGACGTCGTTCATTCCCATGTTTCTGATGAAGGTTCAATTAGCGAACAGTTTGATAGATACAGTGGATATATGAAAGGTGCTTCTGATTTGACATGGAGCTATGGATCTCTTTGGAATGCATTTAGATGGAGAGAAAAAGTTTTAGTTTTATTTTAATTCATCCAAACCTACAACTACAGTTACATTTCAAGCTTATAAATTTTTTTTTTTATTTTAAAGTGATTTTAGACTTCATTTTTTTTTTTTGTTTTTAACGTTATTTCAATTACAGTTGTGCCTTTTCAGTGTTTGTGCTTTTTTAATGTTTAAGCAATTCTTGTTTTTTTATTTTTTTTATTTTTTCTTCTTATCTTTATATTACTAACTATGTCTTTTTTTTATTCTCATTCTTCTCCTCTTTGTTTGTTTCTATTTTATTTGTTTTATTGAGCTTAATCATTGTTTTTTCTTTTTCCTTTTTCCTTTTTCCTTTTCCCTTGGTTACTTTTGTCTCCTTTTATATGATTTATCATTATTTTCAAAGGTAAGTCTATTTTTCTTGTGTGTTTTTAAATTATTTTCTCTCTTTCCTCTTTTATTCATTTACTGATTGATTTTTTTTTATGAGATTTCCATGATTTTTTTAGCGGTTTTCATGATATAAATATGAAAACCTAATGATCAAAATTTCCAAGTTGTGTTGTTTCCATCTGAGCATTCGTTCCAGTGTTTTTTTCTCTGAAGGTATATTTTTGTTTTTATATAGTATCTATTACATAAATCACATATACATCACCTCCACATCACACATTGTGGACTTCAGCCACATCATGGTTCAAATCAGGCAAAAATAGCCTAGCCGCTGTGTCACATGCGCAGCCACTTTAGAAACGGGCTTCTTGAGCGTTTCTCCTGAAAATCCCAAGTTGCGTCCAAAAACAAACAGAGATTTCCAAACACAAGTCTGGTAAAGCTTCTGAAATCAGAGCTCAAATGGATTATCACAAGACAGCGAGGATTGACCATGAAATTCACGAGTTAAGGCAGAGTCGATCAAAGGAGATATCTTATTTCCACTAAGTCTCTCCAAATCTGCTGAGATTGCTGCATTTTTTCCTGAGTTGTGAGAAATCAAACCATGTTGATATTCACCTTCAGAAGCTGATTATCATCTCATCATCAGACATTTTGTTCCGGTCAAGACGAGATGCACGTGTACATGGGTTTGATTGGCCCATAAACACGCATGCCTCTGCACAATCTACGAAATTGCACGCCAGAGAACAGGGCAGATGCAAGCCAGGGCTGCGGAAATTTTAATTGCGTCCAAAGTTAAGGTTTGGGCTGCATTTGATGAGTTGATCCGCGCTGTGATTGGTCTCTTCGTCTCTTTGAAGACTCGTAAAGAAATCTAACAATATGCACTGATTTATCCCAATATGTTTCTGAAAGATGGTTTAGATCTGGTTATCATTTGGATCATGAAGCTGATTTCATTTTGTTTTTTTTTCTTGTTGTTTTGCCTTTTTCTCGCTTGTTAATAGCTGCTGCTTTTTCCTCTAGCCAACCCTTTTTTGCACTGGATGAAACCAAACCTGTTTATTGTTTCTACGTTCAAGTGACCGCATTATCAAACCTGAGTACCCTTTTTCCAAAGAACTGGTATTTATACTGCACTTTTATTTATATTTATATTGGTATTTATATTTATATTGGTATTTATAGTCATTTTTGCGTTTATTATTTTCATAACTATACCGAGACTAGAGTTAATATTTCTAACCATAACTTCACTCATATGCTCCTCGTTCACATATTTGCAAAATGGCTTTAAAATCTCCAAATAGATCCTTCAAAATTCGTCCAGATATAAGCCAGGATCATAGTCCTAATACTCCTACAAATAATAATAATATAAATCAGATACCTCGACTCCGAAGTGAAAGAAACTCTTTCACAAATGATTCTAATATTTCAAATTTACATAACCAACCATCATTTATTTCCAACTTTAACGTAAATAATAGCTCAACAATGATAAATACTCTCGATTCAATTTCAACACTTAATACTTCAATCACTCATAACGTTCAGAACATGCAAAACAACCAACGATTAACTAATCAAAATCAAAATCAAAATCAAAATCACAACCACAATCAAAACTCAGATGACAGAAGTAATGGTTTGAGCCAATCAAACCAAATCAACAATAATTTACTATTACGAGAATTCGAAAGGTTTTCAATGGATTCTACAAGCACCTCATCCACTTTATACCATCAAGTATCCTATGAATTACATCAAATATCCTCTCCACCACTAGATAAAGAACCCGGTCATAAATTAATGACAACTCTAAAAGCGTATCAAATACTATTCATAATATACGGTGGAATGGTGGGAACAGGTTTAATCGTCTCTTCAGGAAACTATTTGCAAAAGTCTGGCCCTTTATCTTTACTATTAGCTTACATCTTAACTGCGATAATAGTTTACTCAGTCTGTGCTGCTATCTCAGAAATGGCTGCATACCTCCCTTTACCATTCTTTGGTTCTTATCCTTCAAGATATGTCGATCCAGCTTTAGGTTTTGCGACAGGCTACTCTTTCTTATTCAGATTCCTAATTGGTTGCCCAAGGCAAATAACTGCCTGTGCTTTAGTGTTTCAATATTGGCTTCCTCCAGAAAAGGTTAATCCAGGAGTTTGGGTTTTGATTTTTTTCATTTCGGTAGCTTTGATCAACTATTTTAACATTAAAAATTTTTCTTTAATCGAAATCTACTTGTCTCTGTTTAAAATAATAACTTTGCTAGGTCTAATATTCCTTTTAATTATTATCATGCTAGGTGGTGGTCCAGAAAACGATGGTGTGATTGGCTTTCGCTACTGGAAAGACCCTGGCCCTTTTGCTTCATATAGTGTCGATATAGATGGTGCCACTGGAGCGTTTGCTTCCTGGATTTTATCTTTAGCAGGTTCAATCTATTCCTACATGAGCATTGAGAACTTTTGTATTATTGCTTCCGAAATTGTTAACCCACGAAAAACCATTCCAAAATCTTTCAAAATGATTTTCTGGTCTGTGACATTCCTTTATTTATCTCTAATTCTCTTGTTGGGTATGTGTGTGCCTTATAATGACCCTTTGTTGATTGAAGCTGTATCTTCTTCAGCATCAACCGCAACTGCTTCTCCCTTTGTTGTAGCAATCAAAAATGCTGGAATTAAAGTGCTAGATCATGTCATAAATGCTTGCATTATTATTTTTGCGTTTTCATCTGCTAACACAAATGTTTATTTTGGAACAAGAACCCTTTATGGTTTGTCAATCTCGGGTATTGCCCATAAAATCTTTTCAAAGACTACAAAACATGGCGTTCCAATTTACGCTTTGCTATTGGTTGTATTGTTTAATTTAATAAGTTTTATGAATATTTCAAACAAGGCTAAAGAATACTTTCAATATTTTGTCGACTTGAGCTCAATGTTTGCTCTTTTATGCTGGATATCCTTTTTGATTGCCCACATAAGGTTTATCAAAGCATTCAAAGCTCAGGGACTTGATAGGAAAACAGATTTAAAATATAGAGCTCCTTTTGCTCCTTACTCCTCCTGGTTTGCTTTGATAACCTGTTTAATATTAGCACTTGTCAAAAACATGAACATCTTCTTGAATATTCCTAACCAGGGATTTGATTATCAATCATTTATCAGCAGCTACATTTCAATCCCTATTTACATAATTTGCTACTTTAGCTACAAATTGTACTATAAAACTAAAATAATTGCCCCAGCTGATGTGGACCTATTTTCATATAAAGATTATGTTGATGCCGATGAAGAAGCCTTTTTTAGAGAAAAAAACGAGAGAGATCAACATTTGATACCCGGAACATGGAAATATAGGTGGAGAAAATTTATGGAATTGATTGAATAGTTTCTTAAATTATTTGAAATTATTTGAAATTATTTTTTCATTGTACCCAATTTGGTTGCTTTTATCTCTTTATTGTTTGTTTTTATTGCTTTAATCTATTGATTACTCAAATACCTTTTGTGTATTTTCTTCTATATTCTTTGTTTTTGATGAATTTATAAATATTGTTTTATTTTTTTTAAAATGATTATTAAACCAATTGGTGACAAAATCATCACAGAAAGCAATATCAAGGAAATATCAATATAGGAAAAATGTTTGTTAACGATAACAATTTTTTCATTATGATAAAAGTTTATTCACAAAAATCTCTTTGGAATTTGAAAAAAAATTATTTTTTTAATATAAAAGATATTCATTTTGTGTTGTATTGGACCCGAAACTAAAAACAATACTGTGTTCTTTTATAATAAATCTCTAATTCCCTTTTCAAGATTATTTTTATGGTTCAATTTCCCATTCACTTCCAATTTCACTTAAAAAGAATCATAAACAACAATCGAAATTGCTTTTAGAAAATACTATTTACCAAATTGATAAGATCAAAATCAGTCAATATACAGAACATAGTTATTTTTGAAAATATTGTACATCACTCAGTTCAATTGTGATTTATAATAATTTCTTCTAGTAAATGTCATTTCTATCAATTTGTTTGTACTAAGAGGTTTTTGCTATTGTTACAAAACAAATAAAAGGTTTCTACTAAGGGGTCTGATTTACACAGCTAATAGGAGCTATATTAGTTTTTTCAAATAAATAGTCACTCAGCTTTATTAATAAATATGCTCACTATCAAATGAAACTGAAACTAAATTTTTTGTTTTTCAAAAATGACATTAGCAAAAATGATAATATTATTGATCTAAGTATCCTCCAGTATTAAAGAGAAACAGCCTCGTTTATCTCTGACAATTTTGAATCTTTTTTTTTGTGATTTTTTTTCACAATAAGGATTAACACCAATTAACTGTTGTAGTGCTTCGAGTTTGATCATTTCTTTTTCACCAATATAATTATCTTTCAACTTAAGAACTTTTAAATTTTTTAGTTTTGATATATTATTGACTTCGGAAATTCTATTATTCAGCAAGTTTAATGTCGTTAAATGAACCAATTTTGATAAATTTTTAATTTCATTGATCGAATTCCAACTAAGATTTAATTTTTTCAACGCAATTAATTTTGATAATCCATCAATTCTTCTAATATTATTCAGAGATAAATTAAGATATGTAAAGAAAACTAATCTATTCAATTTTTCAATTTTTGTGATTCCACAAACTGATAAATTTAAAGATCTTAAATTTACTGGATTATCTAGATATTAAATCTTCCAAATGTGGCAATTATATGATAAATCCAAATATTCTAACTCAGTTAATTTATCTAGATTCTCTATTTTTGTAATGTTATCGTTTGATAGTATTAATTTTTTTAGATTTTTTAACCTGTCTAAATTTTCAATTTTCTCGATATTTAGATTATGAGATAAATCCAAACATACTAAGTTGATCAACATGTCTAGGTTCTTAATTTTCAGGATGTTGGTATTTGATAGTATTACTGTTTTTAAATTTATTAGCATATCCAAGTTTTCAATGTTCCAAAGTACATTATTATATGATAAATTTAAATATTTTAGATTGATCAATGTGTCCAAATTTTCTATTTTCTTGATGTTTGCTTTTAGTATTAGTTTTTTTAGATTTTTTAACTTATCTAAGTTTTCTATTTTTTTAATATTTGAATTATGTGATAAATTTAAATATGTTAGATTGATCAATGCATCAAAATTTTCTATTTTTTGGATGGTTATGTTTGACAATGTTAATTTTTTTAGATTAGTTAATTTATCCTAATTTTCAATTGGAACTGCTTGATTATCACGAATACTCAAAATATCTCTAAATGCAACACTTATGTCTTTTAAACTAAAATGTTTTACAATGGATTTACTAAATTTAATAAAATAAGAGGAAAAAACCAAATGGAATTCAATAAAGTACTCAAAAAATTGATGATTTAAATCATACAAATGTATATGATCAATTTTATGTAAATCATGAGATATAGTAAGAGGTTTTTTTTAAGACTTTTGGCAATTTATTCCAATCCAGAGTTCCATAGCCAGTTGTTATATCTTTTAAATGTTTTGAATTACTTAAAATCACCTTTCCGATTGTATCAATCTTATCAATACTCTCTAATTATGTATTTTTAAATGGAGCAACAGCATTAACAAAAAGCTGAAAATGTTCTATTTTGATTGAATTGTCTGATAGTTGATTTAGAGTATCAAACTCATCTATATTCTCTAAACATGTAAAGAAAAACCTCAAAATTCTGCAAAACTTTAATATTTCAGAGTTAAATAGATGTAAATATTTGAAATGGATCTTCAAAAATGACTGTTTATTAATATCATACAGACCAGTCAATATTATATCTTTAAATAGTGATGATAATGCGGAAAATTTGATCGAATTATTATCCGATAAACTAAATAGCCACAATTGATCCATTTGTAAATAAGTAAATATCATATTAAACAACTCAAAAGAAATCATATTAAGTGGTTTACGGGATGATATCGCTTGTGCTTTATTTGAATCATTATGATACTTCCCCCAAAAAAGCTGGTATGCATTCATTGTTTGGAATTAATAAACTTGTTATTTTGATGAAGGTAGACATGAATAAGCAAAGAATGCTCAGCATAATTATATATCTTCAGCAATCAAATGGTGTATTTTAAGACATATAGATGGATTCATGTCGAAAATGCGTTTCTTCTTTTTGTCTGCGTTAATATGCGTTAATATGCAGGGACTTTCTTGGCCTCCGAATTCTGTTTCGGAGTCCACTTTCCGATAGCGCCGGGCCTTATGTATACAATCTGGTTTGTGTCTACGCCCGGGCTTAACTATTGAAATGTTGATGCCAAATCAGATCACAAATATTAATACAGAATTGCAAATAAAACAAAGCATTAGTTTAATCATCGGTAGTTGTCCATTTGAAATTGCAATTCAATCATAGCTCTTGTGACAACCTCTTCGTTCAGAATAACACCAATTGAATAGTTCAATTGGACATTATAAGTATTAAAGCAGCTCTAACGGTGTACCATCTTGATCAAACATATTATCGATTAGCTCTCTTTACCATCGTTGCAATTTTATATCGAATCTTACTATCAATTTCCTTATTTAATTAACATATTTTCTCTGAGAGATTTTGAATTTTAAGTGGACCTTTAGAGAAAGCAACAATTCTATCCGATAAAAATATAAAAACTGCTGGTGGTAACTTTTGCTTGCAAATGCATTATCTATCTTCTTTAATATACCACAATTTGGAATTTGGTTAACAAAACAAACTATTTAATTACACTATCAAACTGATTCTTTTATCAAATGATGATGATGTATGAATAAGAGCAAGATGATATAACAGGAATAGTTTATCTTGTTGGGGGTCATAGAGAAATTTTATAAAGGAAATTAACTAGCAATTAAGGGATCTCAAGTAATAAGATTTGATTTAATTATATTCTTTCTGCTGCCCATCATCATCTCATTTACGATGGATAAATTTATCGAGCAAGCTAACCAGCTCACTAAATCAGTCATGGAAATTAAAGATCAACTGCAATTATTTAAATTGAACAGCCAAATTAATTTTGACAAACTTAAACAGAAGATAAACTCAGTTCATATATCATGTACTAATTCTTCACAATACATAAAGTCTATGCTAAGCAAAAAACCAGAGAGTATGTGAGTGAATATAGATATATTTAATAATCCCATAAAAACCCTATCCTTTTGATTTGTTTCCCTCAATTCAAAAAAAAGAGAGAAAAATAATAATAAAAAAAGGAATAAATAACAATAAGGGGAATTGATAATAACGCTAAAAACGTCAGCTATGGATATACCAATTGAATAGTTCTACTTCCAACAACTGACTGTCCTCTCGGTAGTATCAAGTTGAATAATAATGATAATGCAGAAAGTTTAATTGAATTATTATCTGATAAACTGAATAGAAACAATTTATCAATTGGTAATCAATTGAATATCATGTTTGGCAATTCAAGAAGAATCATACTACCAAGGTGATTACAAAATGACATCGGGAACATTTTAGCTGAATCACCAAGAAACTCTCTGTAACACAGTTAATTGGTAGTGATTTTGCAAAGTTCATTAATGGACTTGTTGATTTGATGGTGGAGGAAGACATGAATAGAAGAAGAATGCTCGACGTCTTTATATATCTTGTATTCGTAAATGTCATACAGTCCTATAAACTGGATTTAGGGACAAGCCAAAAACCACTTCACTCTGATGGTGTCTCTGGGTATAGTTCCTTAAATTGCAAAACAGGCACTAGGTAGTGCATCCCATTCTACCCAGCTTTGAGATTTTCATATTTTTTAAATTATAATATTTTAAAATTCTCAAAAGTTTGACCATGTAAATCATTGGAGTAAACATGAATAATTTCGTTTGGAGTATGAAAATCAAGACAAATCATCCTTATTCCTGTTGAAATGTGGCATTTGATTGAATTCACTAGTTTCCACTGGTGTATTCGAGATGGAATATTGGAAAAAACTAGCACAATTATTGATGCCCTTCATGAACCACCAATAATCAACATCCAAAGTTAATTCTAATATCCTTTATATAATTTGAGTTGTTTCAACCTTGAAATCCAAGGTTGGTATCTCCAGCCATCAGCGCTTTTTCTTTGGCAAAATTAGCTGCCAACTCATGCTGAATTTTCATCTGGAAAATTCAAATCTTTGCTATTTGTTTTAAACACTGAATTTGAATTTTTGATTTTGGTTTTTGAGTCCTGATTTCTACTTTCCGAAAGTTTGTTTAATCGGTATGGTTGAAACAAAAACCAACCACAGAGCTATTTTGCTGTGATTATCAAACATCAATTAACCAATTAATCCATAAAGTTATTTTTTTTCACCATAATGGCTACAGATCCTTGGGCAAGAAGGTATGTGTCTCGACTTCAATTTATTGTGCCAGTTTCCCTCTTTAATTGAATAAGCTCTAACGAATAACTTCACTTTTTTTCCTCCATTACAATTATGAACAGAGAAGCATGGAGATACCAAGGTGCTTTTGCTAATAGATATAAAGGTGCTCTTCCTGGTTTCGGCACAGCATGTGTATTATTCGTAGCTTATTGTGCTTACGAAAAGATATTTTTGAAGAAGGATCATCATGATGAACATCATTAAATTTCCAGTTATTAAGGCTGGTTTTTTTATTTGTCCTGAGCAACGTTAACACTGATTATATTCTGCAAAAAAATTTTCTTCTTATAAATACTGTTTCACGACTAAAAAAAATATAAAATTATATGAATTGAAACTATTTAAATAAAAGATACAAGATCTAGTAAATCGTTTTCACCAGCTAAATTTTTCATTTGGAGTTTCTTGAAAATTTTTCTAATTCAAAACAAATGGTATGGAATGATTAGATTAATTATTTTATACTGTTGGAAGTTCGATAAAACGTAGAAATCGAAATAAGAACCCATGTTTTACATAAAAAAATCACTCATCTCCAAGGATTTTTGGTTTTTAGACTTTTTATTTTGAATTATGTCTATGAGAGAATGTTTTTGTTTCTTTCTCTTTTTTTTAGTCAATGATTTTGAATCCAGGTGAATATTTTTGTCAGTGAAAGGAGCATTTTTCGAATTTTCATCAATGTTTTTGTTTGAGTTTGAATTATTGTAAACTCTAGGATCTTTTGAAGTGTTCTTGGATTTTAAAGGATTTTCTTTTATAAAATTTGTTTTTTTTTGTGAAGTTGGAGTTAGTAGGGGGATTAGAAGTTCATGATTACATAGAGTACATTTATAGGATAGGACTCTTTTTCTTGGTTTCCATTTTCCAATAATTTGATTTGACTGGACTTTTACATTTGATTCCGGTTGCTTAGTTTGTTTAGTTTGTTTAGTTTGTTTATTTTGACGGATTCTATTTTTGATTTTGGGATTTGCTTTGTCAAATTTGACTCGAATTGTGACATTCACCCCAGGTAAGTAGATATTATTGCAATTTGCACAGAATCGTAAATGTTTTGCATTTTGGCTATCTTTAAATTGTAGTTGATCTGGGAGATTGATCTTATTTGTATCGCAATAATCATAAAAATTCTGAATGTAACTGTTTGATAGAGCAGCGTTAAAACAAATAGAATGAGAAGATGAGTATAAATAGTCAACAGAATGGTTCTTCTCTAATTTCTTTTCAGAACTCATTGAAATAAGTTTATTGAATATGAGTGTTTTCTAGAAATGTGAGATGGTAGCTATATTTTTGTAGAGTTGTGGGAGATGCCCAAGGTGATAATTTCAAAGAATAAACAAAAATCAGATTTTCCATCCAGTTCATTTAAGCACTGCAGGACTCTGCAGCGAAGTACATTTCGCCTTCAAACACCAGTGGATTGAAAGAGCTGAAGAATGCTAACAAATGGGTGCAATGAGTTGCAAGTCTACCTCTAGAAACAATATGATTCTGGATCTCATATCTAATAAAGTGCAAAGAATCATATGAGAGATCAACTGAATCATCATATTAACTCGTTCAGAAGCTTTTGGATTGTGATTATCTCACAGCAAACATTAAAACCATATAACCAATGGCTGGCGAGAAAACGATAATTCTTGGGGCTGGTTTTTGGAGATCCAAATCCAAAGTCAAGCTTCAATTCAAGAAATTAATTGAGTATCAAAACAAACAGAGCGACCAAAAATATATCGATCATTAATATTACAATTCATTATGCAGAATAGTGGGCTGTATTGCAACTGTGAGGGAATACTAGACAAAATTTCTGAACAGACTAAAGCCAGAAGAACTGAAAAAGCTAAGAGCTAAGGAAAGAAAAAACGCCTGCCATGCAAAATGGCATTTCCAGCAAGAGTTGTTGCCAAAAACAAAGGCCATGGCTGTCCATAGCGAAGACCAGCAAGTGACTTCCTTCCATGAACTAGCAAATATAATGTCGACCACACAAACGTGAAACCAGCACCATTGGTCACATCTCCATCCTGGATTATAAAGCCTGCAAGAGCAAACGCAGAACCATAGAAAATAGAACTGAAAGTTCCAACAGGTATCATGAGTTTGGTAGTAGCTTTATTCTCTTTTACTCTGTGAGAAAGAATCTTTCTGTTAATGAACGGCGTTAAGAATATGGACACAGACGAAAACCATGCTGGGTAGGGAGTGGCAGTGTACTGGTAAGCCCTTTGGAAGAGAGGGTTTTGGAAGCTAGAGGTAGCGACAGCTGTGACTGTCTCTTCTAGAGAAGAAGAACTTGGAGCAGCATCTTTCGCCATCTTTCGAATGTTTTGTCTGGATTGTGATAACTGAAGCAACACTCTCATCAGAGCCATGCTCAAAGTTGCTTATGAAAGGACCACAGATCTTGGGGCCTCTCCTTTCGGAAGCCATCAAGCGTAACACAAGGTACCCGCTTTGATTGGCTATTATCTGCCTTGTTTTTGTGTGTACAGTTGTGGCGAATTTGAGCCGGAATGGGAGCAGGCTTACGTTCTATCCCGCCAAATCTGCACTGCTCTGCGATGCTGGGGAGAAAGGAGTCGAACAAAGATTTGCCTTCTTGAATAAGAAATACCATCACCGGGGGTTATGCACAGTGGCATCGCTACTCATGAGCGCCTTGTCCAATCACATCGAGGGAGGTGGCTGATTCACAGCCATCGAAATATATATATTGGCTTGTTCTTCTCAGCTGTTGAGAAAGAGTTAGAAATGAAATAGCCCATAATCCACGCACTCTCAATTTATAAGGCGATTACTTCAATTGCTTGAATACACCTGATATTATATTTTTGTCAAGCCAAACACTATTAAGAACAACTAGCACATACCGCCGTCACAATGGGTAGAGAAAAACAACACGTTAATGTCGTCGTTATTGGACATGTTGATTCTGGCAAATCAACCACCACCGGCCATTTAATTTACAAATGTGGAGGGATTGACAAGCGCACGATTGAACACTATGAGAAAGAAGCTGCTGAATTAGACAAAAGCTCGTTCAAGTATGCATCGGTGCTAGATAAGTTAAAGGCCCAGAGAGAGAGGAATCACCATTGATATTACATTACGGAAATTCGAGACTCCAAAATACCATGTTACTATTATGGATGCACCAGGACATTGAGATTTCATTAAGAACATGATCACAGGTGAACACTGGCTGATTGTGCTATTTTAGTTGTTTCAGCTGTCGCTGGTGAATCTGAAGCTGGTGAATCTGAAGCTGGTATATCTACAGACGGTCAAACCAGAGAACACGCTTTACTAGCATAGACCATGGGTGTTAAACAATTAATAGTTGCGGTGAACAAGGTGGATAGTGCTTACTGGAGTGAAAAAAGATTCTATCAAGTTATCAAAGAGACTTACGATTTTGTCAAGAAAGTTGGTTACAATCCTAAATCTGTAGCTTTTCTTCCAATATCTGGTTGGAATGGTGACAACATGCTTGAGTCTTCCTCAAACTCTTCATGGCATGAAGGTTGGGCTGTGGGGATTGGAAATGGTGTACTTCGTGGTAAGACGTTGGTACAAGCTATTGACTCGATTCAATTGCCAAAAAGACCAAAAAATAAACCATTACATTTACCATTGCAAGACGTCTACACGATCGGTGGTATTGGAACTGTGCCAGTTGGTAGAGTTGAAACTGGTGTGATAAAGCCTGGTCAAGTTGTTACATTTGCTCCTCTCGATATCACCGGTGAAGGCAAGTCAGTTGAAATGCATCACGAATCATTATCCGAGGGCCTTCCTGCTCACAATCTTGGCTTTAATGTTAAAAACGTCTCTGTCAAAGATATCACAAGAGGCTACGTGTGTGGTGATGTCAAAAATGACCCACCGAAAAGTTGTGCTTCCTTTGATGCTCAAGTTATATTGCTTAATCATCTTGGTCAAATTGGCATTGGCTACACTCCAGTGTTTGATTGCCACACTACTCATATTGCCTGCAGATTTGCTGAATTAAAAAAGAAAATTGATAGAAGAACTGGTAAAGCAGCCAAAATAAATCCAAAATTCCTCAGAAATAATGAAAGTGTTATTGTTAAATTAGTTCCAATCAAACCAATGTGTGTTGAGAGCTTCAACGAGTATCCACCATTAGGCCGATTTACTATCAGAGATATGAAACAAACTGTTGCTGCTGGTGTTATTAAAAGTGTTGAAAAGATTAAATAATACGTTTGAGTAAAACATATATATCGCTAATTCTTCTAATTCATGAATATAATAAAGTGTTGGAATCACTTTGTGAATTGTGGCGGTGTTCTCGATTTGGCAAGATTTTCACACTCGCTAAATACTATCCACACTTCATACCCAAACGGAATCCAATTCAGTAATTGGCATGGTGTTAATTACTGTGCCACATCACATTTAAAACATGCGTTTATCACGTGTAACACGTGTATTTTACTGGGGTTTATCACCTTCATACTGTTTATCTTCAGCTGATCTACCGAAGGATACCACCATCAATAACCTCTTCTCTATCGTTGCCTTTGGAGTGCTACATTCTAAGATACTCACTTACCACCAATAAATTGCTTTTAATTCTTATTTATTTTTCAAATTTACTTTTCAAATTTTGACTTTTCTCTTGTTGTTTTCTCGAGTATGGATAGTATGTTTTTTTCTTCGTGTTTTCTCACTCATACTCAGATATTTCCATCTCCTTTTCCTATCTCTGAGTGAAAATATTACCATTTAACTTCTTTCATTAAATGGCCTGCTTAAGTTTATTACTATTTAGGCACTTTGAAACTAACATTTTGTTCTTCCACTTTTTTGTCATTACTTTTGGGTATTTTTGCTTTAGATTATGAAGTACACATTAAACCAAATGGCAACAGCATTGTCAGCACTAATTCTCTTGCGAATCCTTCAAGTTTCACTGAATCTTATTCAGTGTTAAGATCAAATATAATACCTCCAATTTGTGATGATCATAGCACTGAGTATGAACACTTCACTTCCACTCAGCAAAATGATTTGGCTAATTTTGCATCAATTACCGAATCTCATTCCCATATTCCAGTAACCAACAACAATTATAACAATATGAATTTGATGAGCATCAATTCCATGAATAATATCAATGCTATGAATAATATCAATGCTATGAATAATATCAATGCCATGAATAATATCAATAATATCAATAATATGAACTCCCTTTCTAGTAGCAAAAAAGAGAAACGAAGGAACGCAATTTTAAACCGTTTAAATAAATTGAATGAAGATTTAAATTTAAATAAAGAGGTCATTTATCATCGAAATTATCAGATTTTGCAAAACGATATTTCTGATTTGCATAATAATACCAATCCAACTTTGATTTCAAATTACAAAAATCTAAAAGAAATTCGAGATTATGAACTAATCAGATTGAAATTATTTGAAAATTATCAGATTGAAAAAATCTTTAAAAATTTTAAAACTGAAATTAACCAAATTAATAATGATTATAACAAGTACATTTTAATTTTAAAAGAAAAATTATACGAAAAATTAACCAATGATATAAGTAACTTGAAAAATGAAAAGATTTATAAAGATTTTTCAAATAAATCTCACTATTCAAGTAATCTTAATCTTGATAACGACTTGATTGCTTTCAAAAATTCCAATCATTACAGAACAAAATATAGAGTAAATAAAAAAGCCGACAAATCTGACTCAAAAAATCGTGGCAATAAATCTTCAAATGAGGAAGATAAAGACGATATTGACAATTTCAACAGCTTTAATATATCAAATATTGAAAAAGACCACTACTACCCTATGATAAGAAGATCCACTCGTCGTACAAGAAATAGCAATAATAATGGCCACAGTCATATGAACAATATCAATTCAAGCAACATCAACTCTAATAACCAGCACAATGATAACAGTTACAATTTCGGCTATAATAACAATTATAATTCTCCATTTCATAACGGATATGACAGTACTACGAATGAAGATTCTAATCTCAGTGGTAATGAAAGTGGGCATAATACAACATCTAGAAAAAGAAGGAGACTTTTTTTTGGAAATGGAAACAATAGTTCAAAAGATAATAACCTTGATGGAAGCAGTAATGGATATTTTAATAGTGGAAACAACTCTTCAAGAGGAAGCAATAATAACAACAACAACAATAACAATAACAATAACAACATTAATAGCAACAGTAACGGAAAATTTTATTCAAACCAGATATCCCCTGATGACGATTTATTCAGTGATACTGTCTTGTCAGAAATATTGTTTGGTAAAGATTTTGCTAACCTGCTGAATAATAATGGGAATCCCAATCATAACAACAATGGTAATAATAACAATCATAATGCCAGCTCCAATAGTAAAAATAATCATGGATCTAGTAATAGCAAGAACTCTAATAGCAAAAAAAGTGAAATGAAAAAACCAAGCGATGGATTAACATCTCTAACGCAAGAAGAGTTGAATGAAGATTTAAGTATTCTTCGATCTGCAATGGCTTCAAATGATAATAACAACGCTAATAATACTGTGAACAACAGCAATAATCTTGCTAATGGAAACACGTCTAGTTTTTCCAACCTCTCTAATTTTTCAAATATCCCTAACATTTCCAACATGGTGGGGTTTTATAATAATAGCAGTGGCAATCAAACCAACAATTACAATCTTAGTAATAATTCCAGATAGAGAAGGTGAATCAAATAATACAATGCAATATATTCGATGAAGCATTTATCCAACGAAGATAAGACACCTCTTCCCACTCAAATCCAGTATAGTAGTGGTGTAGTTTGAAGTTGTATATATATTTGGCCCAGAGCGGTGGGAAGGGGGGGGGCGACTCCCTTCTTGGGGGTCTATGGTTCCGTTCTTAGTAAGCCGCCAGACCTCCTAACGCAAGGGTCCTTGGAGGACCGCTGTTACTTTCGCTGGTTATGTGGCGACTTATTTTCGTAGAGAGTAGCTAGAAAAATTCACTGGAAATTTAGGGAGAGATCAACAAAGTGTTTGAAATAGATAAATTATCATCTTAGGTTGCCTTCCAGAATAAAATCGTTCAGTTGCGCAATTAATTAAATAAACCATTTTACATTTATTTCAATTTGTTGTTTTTGGCATATATCAGTTTTTATTTTTATCGGTTATAGTTAAAAATGAGTTTTCGTGGTTTCAACAATCCAAATAGAAACCCCAACAAGAGAGGAAACAATCAAGGGTCAAATGAAAACAATAACGTTAGAACATTATCAGATTTAAATAGTGGGGATGACTTTGCTGATGACGATAAAGATACTAATTTTTTCACTGGAGGAGAAAAGTCAGGGCTACAAGTTCAAGACAATTCCAACAGAGACAGCAGAAATGAACAAATTCGAAATATATTAGAAAAGTTAACTCAAAGAGCCAGAGAGGATAGTAATAAAGAAGATGTTGAAACAGGATTATCCAATTTAAGTGGCAATAATAAGTTTAGTGGTAGAGGATTTAGATTAGGTACGGAAAATATTGATAGTGAAATAATTCCAGATCCCAACCAAAGAGAAGAAAGTGAAGTTAAAAGCGAGGAGGAAGAAGAGGAAGAGGAGGAAGACATTTATAATGCCAATTTAATTATCTGGAAAGATGGATTTACAATTGATGAGACGTTTTACTCGTTTGAAAATGAAGAGAATCAAGATCATATTGCCAAATTGTCAATCGGGTTTGTTCCGGCCAAACTATTTCCGGATTTGAAATATAATCAAAAGATTAACATTGAGCTAATTAAAAGGGAAGATGAAAAATATGATGCATATAAACTGAAGATGTATTTGGAAAAAATAAACGAGAAAAAGGAAGAATCTAAAAAAGGAAGCAATACCAAGAAGACTCCGAAATTTTATGGTACAGGACATCGATTGGGTTCAGTCATTCCCAATATAAATCATGGTGAGGTTAGTCAAGATGTTGAAGAAAGTAGTCGAAGTGATAATAGTAATAAGAATGTTGCTACACAGGAGACAAAAAAAGAGCAGGAAAAAGGAAAAGGAAAGGAAAAAGAAAAAGAAAAAAGTGAAGGAGATACAACGGTTATGATCAGATTTGCAGACCGAAGAAATTTGAAGGTAAGAGTTTTCAAACATCAATCAATTGATCAGATTTTTAAATTTGTCGATGAGAAGATATATGAGAATAATAGTTATGGCAATAATCACGAAGGTCAAGAGTTTGAAAATAGCAACGATATATTCAGAGAATGGTTTTTATGCTTTACTTATCCACTAAAAGAGATTGAGTATGATCCCAAAGTAACAATTGAGGAGGCAGGATTAGCGAATTCAGTTGTGATTCAAAGATGGAAAAAGTAAGACTAAGTACACTTTATTGATGTGCTATATTAATTGACATGTTACATTATTTGATGAATATGACAATTGCGTATACAGATAATTAATACTCGAGGTTCCTTTAATGGCCACATGACGGCTGGCCAAGTAGTAAGCAGCATTAATATAAGAGACATGAAAGAAACAGTTATTAATGAGAAACATAAAACTAGATAAATGAAAACAAAACACCAAAATAATATAAACTAACAGATATGTAAAGAAAGTAATAAGAAAAAAAACACAAAACTAGATAAGGATCATTATAATAGATGATTTCATTACAGTGAATTTAAAGACCAATTGTGATTCCCAGCAATACAGACGTAACACCACAACCATCAACAGAGCATCTGAAGCATTTCAAGATTTAACCACCGAAACCATACAATGTTCTTCCTTGTCTTTTCAATGCATAGACCACATCTAAAGAAGTAACAGTCTTTCTCTTAGCATGTTCAGTATAGGTGACAGCGTCTCTGATGACGTTCTCCAAAAACGATTTAAGAACATTTCTCACTTCTTCGTAAATCAAAGCTGAGATACGTTTGACACCACCTCTTCTGGCTAATCTTCTGATAGCAGGCTTGGTGATACCTTGAATGTTGTCTCTGAGAATCTTTCGATGACGTTTGGCACCACCTTTTCCAAGACCCTTTCCTCCTTTTCCACGACCAGACATTGTTATTTGCAAAACCACGAATGTTCTATTCTACAGCTTTCTTTGAACACTCTTCGTTGAACACTCACCACAGCAGAACAGGCATATTTAAGTCTCTTGAAACACACGCCCGGCGGCAACGGCTTCCCGTGCCACGATCTACACCCAGTGCGGCACATCTCAGCCCGGGTCCAGATGTTTACCCAGGGGCGGACATCGCAGCACAGGCTCTAAGCGCCGACAAAAAAAGGTATATAAAGCTGTAGAGCTTGCCTCCCACCGAGAGAAGAGTCTTTTGAACCAACCAACTTCGTCACATCTACTGCAATGGCTCGTACTAAACAAACCGCAAGAAAATCTACTGGTGGTAAGGCCCCAAGAAAACAATTAGCCTCCAAGGCTGCTAGAAAATCTGCTCCATCTACCGGTGGTGTCAAGAAACCCCACAGATATAAGCCAGGTACCGTTGCTTTAAGAGAAATCAGAAGATTCCAAAAATCCACTGAATTGTTGATCAGAAAATTGCCTTTCCAAAGATTAGTCAGAGAAATTGCTCAGGATTTCAAGACTGACTTGAGATTCCAAAGTTCTGCTATTGGTGCTCTCCAAGAATCCGTTGAAGCCTACTTGGTCTCCTTGTTTGAAGACACCAACTTATGCGCTATCCACGCCAAAAGAGTTACCATCCAAAAGAAAGATATTCAATTAGCTAGAAGATTGAGAGGTGAACGTTCTTAGATTTGTTTAATTATTTGAGCAATTTGCTTTTTTTTTTCTGCCGGATTCATTTGGGTTTTAATGATAATTGTTTTACACTAGTTTTTTATATATCTTATATGTCTTAATTTATTTTATATCCTTACGTTATTCTAATTTATTTGTATATTACTTTTCACTCTTGGATGTAAGTTGCTCCTTTTTTTCGCTGTGCCTCTCTCAATTGGTTCCATTTGTGTTGCATCCCACTCTTCTCTTTAGTGTTCTTTTTAGGCTGCAAAAGTAAGACTGTTGTGAACCATCGTTTTGTATAGCAAAAAGACATATTTCTTCATCAGATTGTCTCAAAATATTGTCTAGAATTTGCTTTCATACGCAATAAGTTTATTTACTGAGCAGTGAAAGGGTTTCATTACCCAAATCAACATATCCACATATCCAAATATCCAAATATCTCCTTATTTTCAAGGTTTCATATCACAAGACCCATTTCCTTTCTTGCTGTTATCTTTCGCTCCAGCGATTATTCCTCTAGAATACATCTAAATAAATTCAATATTTATACCAGCTTTTTCAAAAAAAAAAAAATAATAATAAAATTCACAATATCATATTTCAAGCGAATTTTATTGAAAATTTTCATCATCCAAAGTACAAGTTATTGATTAAATTAATTTCCAAAACCTATTGAATCCACTAGATCAAAAATGCTTAATAAACCAAAAGATGTCGGTTTTATTGATCACAGTCCAATTCTGAGTGCAAAAATAAAACAGTTGAATAATTATATACTACCCGATAATAATATCCACACTGCTCAAGACACCATAGCGAATTTTGATAATAACCAGAATAGATATTCAATATTTCACCAAAAGGAAAAACAACCTGATATAAATCCCAAATACAACCCCAATCTAATAACCCTAAATGATGACTTTACTAAATTAAGCTTACATGACGATCTCATCCCAAATGCTAATCTTGAAAATACACCTGAGAGTATCACTAAACATGACAGTTTTTACAACACTACACCCAAACTTTTGGACAATAACCATCGTCTTGATACTAATACTAATACTAATACTAATGCTGTCGTTAACAGTCAACTTGATCACAATCAACTTGATCACAATGATTTTTCTCATCAAAATGTCGAAAAAGACGATTATCTGGATTATATTAACTACAAAAAGAACTTTCAATACCAACTCAATAACAAAAAACGAAAAAATATAATTTACTTGAAAAAAACAATTCAATTATATGAAAATGAAAAGGCTAAAAAGTTGAGGAAAAAATTGAACCCTGATTTATCCATAGATGATAATACCAATACTAATTTCAAAATCTTTCTCACTCCAAAAATAATATTGCAGCCGCCAGAAAATTTTTCTCCTGTTATTGGCAAAATTTACAGATCATCATTTCCACGGATCGAAAACTTTGATTTTTTGAAAAAATTAAATCTCAAATCAATCTTGGTTTTAATCCCAGAGATATATCCAATGGAAAATCTAGTCTTTCTAAATAATCAAAACATCAATTTTTTTCAAATTGGTATGCCTGGAAACAAAGAACCTTTTGTCAATATTGAACAAGATATTATAACCAAGGCCTTGGAGATTGCTATCAATCCAGATAACCACCCTTTGTTGATCCATTGTAATAGAGGAAAACATAGAACTGGTTGCTTGGTTGGTTGCATAAGGAGACTACAAAAATGGAGCCTCACAATGATCTTTGACGAGTATAGAAGATTTGCTGCTCCAAAAGTGAGACCTCTCGACCAGCAGTTTATCGAGTTATACAATGAGAATAAAATCGTTTTGATTGCAAAACAAAACAACTGGTTGCCTTTGGCTTGGTGATGCTATCCACTGCCACAATCTCCAATCGCATTAATTTAAATTCTTTTGTCATTACTCATATTTTTTATGTACAGTATGTATTAACAACTGATATTTACAATTGGTATTTACAGTGCAATTAACATCACTATTCGGCCCTCAACAGGCTCAAGCTTGACTATCTTGTCTGCTATCACTTTATCACCAACCACCAAATGATGCTGCTTGTTTAGTGATAGCAATTCCACATCCACTCCCAACTGCTGGCAGTATCCAACCGAGTAATCAGGAAACTGTGAATTATTGAGAACCACGCACTCAAATGACCACCCCAAGTCTGGCTGCTCTTTGTATTGCTTTTTGATATAGTACAACGTCCAATATTTCTTGACCTTGTAGTCAATGAGACACATCAACCGCTCGTTCTTGTTGTGAACTTTGCTATAATATAGTTCCTTCAACTCGCTTGACGAATATTTCTTCAAGTATCCCTTCATCTTCAATAAACTGGGATCAAATCGCTTGTACTTCTCCTGGTATTGGTATCCGTAGAAGAAGTCCAAAAACTTATCATTTAAATAAAGTATTATCTGCCAGCTATTGATCAAAGTCTCAATGGACTCGAATGGCGTGGATAGTTTGACATATCCTTTTATCAACCCCAACTTTTCGTGCACATAATCATCTTTGTTCTTGCAAACATCGGTTATTACTCTTTCTTTATTCAAATAATTGACCCCACACAAAAACGGCACGTCTGCAACATTACCATTTATATCTTTACAAAGAGTAAAATGCTCATAACTTGTGGCAAAGTATCGAGGATGAATGCTGTGGGATGTAACCACTTCTCTACCATCTTCTGACAGACTAGGCACTTTTTCAGATACTTTAGTCCACTTATCTGTGGTTCGATGAATGAATGCTTTTAAATTTTTGGAATATGTTAAGTTTTTAAAATTTTTCAAGTTTTCCGAATCCTTTATATCTGGTGTTTCTTTTAACTGATTTGAATCTTTCTGATAGTGTCCACTAAAAAACTTATACAAACGATTTAAAGCTTCATTATTGTATGTCTCCTCCACACCAGTGTTGCCAAAACCAATCAATGATTGACCATGGATTAACATAGGGATTTTGTTGTCTGCTGCAAACCTTGCTACAAAGTCATCAATCATCAACCGCAACTCCTTTAAAAAAATATCAACTTTATTTGCTGTATAGTTGTTTGGTGCCATTGTCACTGACTCACCATTTAATTTTAGCTCGGGCAAATTATTTTCAATTTCAGATTCTAAGGAGTTTCCATTTTGGGTTCTTTCCTCATGTTTTGTCAAAACTACCTGGTAGATTTGATATATCAAATCCCTTTCTTGTCGGGTCAACTCATCAATTTCCATTTCTTCTTCAAAATTATCGTTTGTACTATTCAAAAGCCCAAATTTATTCAAAAGACTGAATCTTTCGTTGATTACTTCATCTAATTCTTTCATTCTTAACACTCTTATATCACTATGTGCAATGTTTTCAAGTTTTATCTCTACTTCATTTTCCAACCTAAATGGATCTTCAATCTCGTTTTTGTAGTTATATGTCAATGTCAAAACCTGGGTAATGTTTTGGCCTCTCCAATCAAACAATAAATCAAAATTCGAGTTTGAATCTGGGTCCTCATTAACATTTAAATATTTGCTTGAGTAGTCTACCTCCCTATGCGACTTGCACTTTAAGCAGTGTTGATATATAATGTTCTTTGGCAAATAATGGAAAAACTCATTTCCTATCTCAAAATTGAGTGAGCAGTTTTGGGTGATTTTCTCAAAGAGGTAAGAGTTTGGTGCAATGAAGCTTCCAATATCAGGAATATAAAACTTCAATTTCCAGTTCCTTGAGTCAACCATCTCTAAGGAAACCCCCATATCAGAACAATAAGATGGCAAACCTAATGAATCGTGTATAAACTTGCTCGGCAAGCCAAATATTTTAGTTGGAATTTCTGTTTCATTTGATCGAAGATGATGAAAAAAATCGAAATTTCCCACATTAGCACCTTTTGCGCTACTGTATTTGTTGGGATCAAGTTTTTCATTTTTTTTCGATCGTAATCTCTGAGAAACAGAATAATTAAAATAATTTTGCTCACAAAGTGCCTTTATGTGGGCGTCAATTTGCAATCGAGAAACAGCAGGAGCCTCTCGAGCTGGCGTTTCAATTATCAAACTGTTTGACAAAAAAATATCACTATTCTTGTCATAAACACCGAATAGCTTTAAAAAGTAGTGTACAGTCTTAGGACTGGTTCGAATCGAATTGAATTTTTTCAAGTAATCTTCATTGATAGTTGGATCTGATGATAATAACGCATCAGTAAAGTAGTCAGAATCTGTTATATTCTCCAGAACTTTGATATTGAAACCGAAGTTGGAAGATTGATAGTCTCTAGTTAAAGGATTGTAAAATAAACCATGAGCTTTGCTCAAATAATTCAAATTCTGCGTTGAAATCAAACGAGACTTTTCGTACACTAGCAATGGTCCCACAATTTTTTTTACATACTTTCCCAATTCATAATGTGGATACATGACATAGTACTTCATCAAAGTTATAATGCTAGTAAGATATTGTAACTCCTCATCTGATATGAAAACACTATTTATGACTGAGTTCATATCTACCTGGTAGTCTTCCTGTCCCTTTTCATTAATAGCCCAGATACATTCAAGGTATTTAACTAAAAAAAGATCAACATAATGTTGTACATTTTTTATATTTTTATCATCATCCAAAATTTGCATAGCGTGCTTTATCCAAATTACATTTTTTGATGTATTTAAATAGTAGTTGTAGTTTATCAATCCGTTGGATTGAACAATCGAGTTACTTGATTGATTATTAGCTTTTGTAGATGGTAAATATAACGGAGAGCTTAAGTGCAAAAACCGCACAGGATTATTAATAACTGATAAGTGGAGTGCATAGAATAGTATAGCATTTAGGATAGGAATATCAAAGAAGTTATAAGAATATAGTATAAAACTTGAGTTACTATTATTTTTAAAAAATGGCAAATTTACCATGAAATAAGCCAAGTTCAATGTATTAATTGAGCTTTCATTGGACAAGCTATCAAATGCCGATTTGACCTGTAAATCTATATCGTTCATCATCTTCGAAGCTAACAAGTTGAATTCAACAAGAAACATTATCAAAAAGTTTAAAAGATTTTCTCTAAACGTGAAAGCCTTTTCAATGTTATCAATTTCGCTGATTATATCGTATAATTTATGCTGGTCGAAAAATGAGTTAATTTGAAAACTAATTTGGTTTGGCCTGATGTCAACGACTTTTTTATCAATTGTTAGTACTGGAATAGTATTTTTGAGAAATAAATTCTGACTCTTATTAAAATTGCCTTTAGCGCCACTATCACTAACACCTGTCAAGTCATTAAACAATGTTTTTTGTTCATTGATCACCAACCCGAAATTTAATACATTTGGATAACGACTTCCTAGCGCTAAAAAGTGGCTGTTGTCAACAAACTGTACCAATGAACCAAATCCAGGCTTTTCATCCATTCTACTAAATGTGTTCAATTTTCGAGTGGTTGTTTCCAAGTTTTGATCAAAATAGCATTCTGAAATTATGTTATTGAATAGTTTTGAGAGTAGGGTTTTGTATGCTTCTCTGGTTTCTTTGTTAAATTTGCTATTACTGTGACCCTTGTGCTTGCCATTAAATTCTTTTTGAAATTGAGATAGTCTCTCAGCATTTTTCTGAATGAACATTTGATACTTGTTAATCTTGAACTCCTTACCACTGGATACATTTCTTTTGAGCGTCCCACTCAAAAGGTACAAATAATCATCATAATCAAAAGGATTGAACTCAGTGAAAGATGAGTTATTAGTTATTTTATTATTTTTCGAAAGCATGGAAATTAGCGATTTATATGCATTCTTGCCAGCAATTTTTCCAATAATGTGATTAGTTTGATAGTCGCTGCCAATGTATTTAAACAAATTTAGATCCTGTAATTTTGTCCAGTTTTCACTGGTGTTTTTAATTTTATTTCTAGGTTTGATGGTCTGTATTCCATTCTGAATGTCTTCTTTTTCAGTTTCCTCTTTTAATTCTGCCGTTGTGTTTCCAATACCTGTTATCAAACGTTCTGTTTTATTTGAAGATACAGACTCAGTTTTATTCCCAGTTCGATTATCGGTTGGAATAACTTGATTGTTTATCATTTCTTCAGTGCTTGCACTCAGAAATGACTGGTCGAGCTGTAATTTCACCTCACTCTTTTGCATTTCACTTTGAGTGGAAGTTCCATTTTGTGCTGATTCTTGTTTTATCCTATCGATTTTGTCACAATTTATTTTTTTCTCATTCGGATTATTCAATTCAAGATTATTCTCAAGATTTTTGCAATCTGGTGTTTTTCCTTTAATAAAAATGGAAGATGAAATAAATCTTGAGGTGTATGGTAAAAACAACTTCCGGCTGTGATTGTTTAGTAATGACCCTAAAGGATAATGAATATAGCTGATATTCACCTTAATCATTTAACTATATTACAGATTTACTCATTGATTTCTGTTGATATTCGACAAGATATTGCTGATGAAAATAATCCTGATTGGAAAAAATTTGAATGGCTGGAGATTAAAGAAGAAGCCGACCCGTGGAGCTGGCGACGGCTGTTTTTTGTGTTTGGAAGCAAAGTATATAAATACAGTTTGGAGTTGTCGACGCTGCTTCTTTCTTATCTTTCTTCTGGTGCTTCTTTTCTTACCCTTCTTCTGCTGTTTATTGAAACTGACAACAGGTGAAGACACTGGGAATATTGACGCTGATCAATTCAACACAACCAACAACTGGATATCAAACAACAACAATGGCGCCAAAAATTGCAATCATCTTTTACACATTATACGGACACAGGTAGATTTTACTGCTTCGGTTGTGCTAAACAACTCATTAAGCATTGGAGAAAAAAAATTAGACACTAACTATATTTCGAACTCTTTGAATCTATTGTAGCGAAATTATGGCAAAAGCTGTTCTTGACGGGATTGTTAAAGCTGGCGGTTGCGCTGATATCTATCAAATCCCAGAAACACTATCAGACCAAGTATTGAAAATGATGAAAGCTAAGCCAAAATCTGATGTGCCAATTCTCAACGATGTTAGCATATTGAAAAAGTATGATGGGTTTTTATTTGGAATTCCAACAAGATATGGAAATTTTCCTGCTCAATGGAAAACTTTTTGGGATAGAACTGGAGGGCTCTGGAAAAATGGAGAGTTATTTGGTAAATTTGCTGGGGTTTTTGTTTCAACAGGCACGCCTGGCGGTGGTCAAGAAGTTACTGTATTGAATGCTTTGTCAACGTTGTGCCACCATGGAATAATTTTTGTGCCTTTAGGATACAAGAACACTTTTCCATTAGTCACAAACTTGAATGAAGTCCATGGAGGCTCTCCCTGGGGCGCTGGAACGTTCGCAGGTCCTGATGGCTCAAGAAAACCTACAAATTTGGAATTAGAAATGGCGTCAATTCAAGGAGAGTCATTTTATAATCTTCTTGCGGGTCGTTTTCTTAACAATGATAGTTGATTGCTTAGTTATTTGTTTTTTTTCAGAAAAGTATGCAAAGAGTGGTTGTTCGAGATATTATCGAGAAAAATTTGTTGAGCAAAAAACCAAAGAAGTGAACAATTATGTTGGATAAAAAAAATAAATATATATGTAATAATGAATAAATATAATGAATAAATTTCATTGTTTTTCGCCCTTCTTGATTTATAAATATATTATTTCTGGCAAAAAAAAAATGTTAAACTAATTCAAATGGTAATTTTAATATTTTCTATGCAATAGTAACTCGCCTTCCAAAATTTCTGGCTCAGGCTGACCTAATAAACCGGCTTCTCTTAGTAAGGATCTTGTTGTTTGTCTCACTAGCTGATCATGGAGAAATTCTTCCTCGTCACCAAAGTTGTTTACATAAGTATTTGAACTTAACGATTCGAATCCAGATCCAGATCCAGATCCAGATCCGGTTTCATTCTCATTCTCATTTTCATTTTCATTATCATTTTCAGTTTTATTGTCTATTTTAGATTTATGATCTGTTAGTCTGCCAATGTCGATGTTAATTATAGAGGGCGGGTTGGTATTATTATCATTGATGTCAAAACTGGTGTTATTATCGTTATTATTGTTATCAATATTGCCATCAATATTGCCAATCTGATTATTATCATTATTTACTGAACCATAGTTGGAATGATAATGGTGTATTGATTTGTTGATATTCTTGTGATAGTTTTGATAGTGGTTGCTTTTCAAACCTTTATATTCTGGACTTTGAATAATGTTATCCACGCAAACATATTGCAAAGTGTTCATTATTAAAGGAAACAAGAAGATGACGAGAAAAATTTGGAAATTTGGAAATCTGTCAAATTTATTCAAGATGAAATCACTAATTTGAGCGAAAATCGGTAAAGAGTATAATAATGAATAGACTATGATCTTTGTTAAAAACAAGCCCAAAATATAGATAAACAATTGTTTAAGATAGTTGATAAATTTTGGCGGATAGCCATACTGGCCGGAATCTATACCTTTGATTTTCAAGTAATTTTTTGATACTTTGTATATTATGTAGAGAAAAAACCATAGTATGGGGACACCGATGGTAGTGTCAAACAAGACGTTGATGAAATACCAGTTACATTGATCGTCATTTTCGTCGTTATCATTATTTTTTGATTCTATTATGAAAGCTAAATTCAAGAGTTTTGATAAAAAATAGCTGAATAATAGATTCATAAAATGAACACCGATTGAACCAAAGACTTGTTTTGATACATCAAAAAACCAGATTTTCCAGGGTCTTCGATTAGGGAACTCTTTATATCTTTTATAAATTAGAGTGGATAGGGATAGAAGACCTAGTAAAGTTTGAATTAATATTGAAAACGAACCAAATAGTTCACACTGGCCGGTTTCATCGTCAAGAGGCGATTCGTTATTTTGGGTATTTTGACCATTAGTATTTGCATTTGGGAATTTGAAAGAGAAAAAAAATGGAGTGAAAAAAAATGAGTTTAGATTTATATCGATGTTCGTCATAATTGATGGAAAATTTGAGTGTTTTTTTTAAAAAAAAAAATAGGATAAAGGACCGAAATGAAGTAAATTAGCTGGATTGAAATTGGGAAAGAGAAGAGTGGTTTGGTAATGAGTATCAATCCAGTATTTACTAATTTTAAAACCAGTTAAAATAATTCAAATTAGATTGAAAGTAACCGTTATAGTGGTATAAATGCGATATGTCGAAGAAGGGAGTGTTTGTGAATCTGTGATTGTTTAATTTGGTAATTTGCAAAGCAGCAAATTGGAACAAAAGTACCCAAAAGCCAAAAAAAAAGCAATGACACCAAAAGCAGTTAGTGGATGATAGAGCAGCAAATAAATGATTAAATGGTTGAGGTATGGAAGTAAAGGAAAATGATATAAGAAAAAGCAGCAAGTGAGCGAGATTGTTGACCAATATAAAACCAATTTATCTGAAGCAGAATAAACTAGACTTGAACTAAAATAGAGCTGAATTAAAATAGACTTGAATTAAATTAGACAACAAAGTAGTCGAATGAAGCTATAACGACGATCCAAAGAGGATATTAGGTTATAGTGTATTATGGAATAAGAACAGTGTGTCTCAGGCCCACGATATCCAGAAGAAACAAAACGCTGCGTCCTCTGCTTCTTCTGCTTCCCCCGGGTCTCCTGTTTCTGCGTCTACTTCTGCTCTTGCTTCGTCGGAAGGGCTCTCTTCTGCTGTTTCTGGTGCTTTCTGCTGTTTCTGGTGCCTGTGCTTCCTCTTCCTCTGCTGCTTTCTTATCGCTTTCTGAGTCCAGCTCAACATCTGTCCTCCGCTGCTCCGTCCGTCCGCGTATATCCGCACACATCCGTGTTCACGTGTGTCTCCACGAGGCCACAAACACCGTCCGCAGCGTTTCCGCGTGCCGTCCGTGGCCGGCCGTGCTCAGAAGTCAGAGTGGAATCATTACGACTCAACAATTTCCAACTGCCTCAGCACCCAAAAAGTTAATATCTAAGTTCCTTACGCAGTTACATATATTCTTCTATTTCCCAGTCCCTTTTTGTTATCTCTTCACCTCGTTGTTTTTGGCCTGAGTTTCAAGATTGTTTGCTCTTATTCCCTATCCCTTTTCTGTGCTGTTTTAGGGGCTTTCCAATTCTTTCTCCAGCTCTCTCTTCCTTCATTCAATTTGCTTCTGAAAATGTCAAAGTTTAAATCACTAATAAAATACTCTGCTTTTGTGATAGGTGTTCCCTTATCCGTCTATTCATACAATTTAAATTCAAAATACGACAACTTTCCAATATATATCTTGCCCAATGATATGCTAATCCAGTCAGTTATATCAGACTACAAAAAAAAGAAATCTCTAAGTGACAAATACATTGCCTATTGCGACACCTTTATAAGTGAGGAAATCAACCTATCCTCTAATCTAATTGATTTATTCAAAAATGAGAAAACCTTGAACGACCACATTTTATTGAAGTTTTTCAACACAAATTTATTCAAAGCCGAAGTCAGTTTGATTGGCAATTCTAAAAACTTGAAAAAACCTATAGACCTAGCAAATACCCCTCCTCGCTCAAATATCGTTTATAACGATCCCTACAACGAAACTGAAAACAATATTGCAAACATTCTTAAACTCATCAAATCTTCTTCCAACTCAAATCTATTGCAATGGGAAATATATCCTCCCTCTTTAGTCTCTTTCTTTGAAAAAATCGCCAAATATGGCTACCCCTGGAGATTGATGAACGGTGGTTACCATGAAGTATACATACACTTTATACCCAACAAAAATACCAACAATGAAAATGGAAAATTCAAAATTTATTTCACTTGTGCTCATGAATATAACAAGTTCAATCACGATGGCAAAATATTACCCAAATTCACAATGTGGTTGCATCGTTTTTACGCCAAACTTTTACTAGACCAAGCTGTTCGTGATATTAAAAACGAATTTACCAGTTTTGATGTCTCTACCAAAAACTTCAAAAACTTAAATCTACCCAATAACAATAACTCCACTGACAATATTAATAACAATTTATGAATCTTCTAATCGTTCCTCAATCACTCATTAAGCTCTTCAGCTTAATCTTAGTTTTACTATATATTCTTTTCTCCGTTTTTTAATTTTTTGTCTATTCATTTTTTTTTTTGTTTTCTTTTATACAATATTCACTCAACACTCCTCTTTTTCAAATTCAATAATTTACCTATACTCTTTGCTTACCGCATTGCACCACCAAACATCACATAAAAGCGCGTTAATCTACAACTTAATTTCACTCACTAAACTTAAAATATTATGCTATTGAAAAAAAAAGATAAATAAAAAGATAAATGTGATATAAAAATAACAATAATTACTTCAAAATAATATAAATCAAACAAACCAAAGTCCATTGAACTCAAATCAGCGACTCATCAGCGACTGATTTCAATCGAAGCTGGCCAACCAAACATGTTCGTCCGAGACCTCACTCGACCCTGTTTAATTGATAGCAGAACAGTGAGGAGTAGGAATTTCAACGCATGGAGCATATGTGGCCCCGGTGGTGGTGTACGACGTGTACTGCGACGACAACGAGGTCGAGGTGGCACGAAGACATGGTGTGCATGGAACTGTGTAGGTGGATCTGTTCACAATCTTGGTGACTAATGGAACAGGTCTCTTGCCGATCTTGGTGAACCCGTAGATTGGAATTTGCTTGTTGTCCTGGTCAAACACAACACCCCATTTCTGGATGTTTTTCACTGGCTTGCTGACAACTTCAGCCAACTTGTCGCCCACCTGGCTGCATCCTTCGCCCCAGAACTCACCGGCATAATCAAGAGCTAATGTGGTGTGAGTAGCTTGGGCACACTGTGTGCATGGAACATATTCAGTGATGGTCTTGGTGCCACTTTTGTAGCGGGTAGTAGCAATAGGAACTTTGATGTTGTTGGTGATGGTGAATCCGAATACTGGCGTGGCCTTGATGATGTTGAACGTGTTTTGGTTGTAGACGTATCCCCAGCAGTCTCTGATAAGGCCTGTGGCAGGTATGTATCCAGCTGGAGGACTGTAGCCCAAGATGGCTTTGAAGTCAAGATTCAATTTCAAAATGCTCAAGATGGAGCTGAGTTGCACTGGACAGGTTCCGGTGGAACAACTCACAAAGTTACCACCACATCCAAATAAAGTGTACACCAAGTTGTCAACCACACCAAGAACTCCGTCAACAAGATTGCCAACAGTGTTGGTGACACCCCCAACGACATTGCAAAGACCAAGGAGACATGCTTCGGCATCAGCATTGGCATCAGCATTGGCATCAGCATTGGCCATGGCATCCCTCTTGACCAAGTCCAATGGGCTCCCGTAAACAGAGACAGCAAGAAGGGCTGACGAAGCAACAGCAGCAACTCTCGAAAAACGCATGATTGTATGTGATTGTCAGCAGCACCTTTGGTTCCAAACTCGACGAGACAAGTGTAGCAGTGATAGATTCAGGTTGTGTGGTTTTGTTGGCAGTGGTTAGAACTGGATAGTGAGTAGCAGACAGCAAACAACACAATGAACAATGGATGGTGGAATAGAATGGTTGTGAAATATTGTTGGGCAATTGAGCAGGATTCTCATCTCTTATATGCGAATCTATCCAGTTGTAAATGGGTTTGCATGCAATTGTTAAACAGCACGAATCTTGATCGATCAGAAACAAATCTCGATCAGAAACAAATCCCAATCAGACACAAATATCAATCAGGTACTGTTCAGCTTTGCTTTGACCTTGGTTATTGCATCTTTGTATCTTGTCTGCAAACCTGCTGTTGGAATTAGAACTGGCTATTTGCTTCTTTGTTTTGTTGATATTCTTTGATACTCAATACTCAATACTCAATAGTTTATACTCAATAGCGCTCTATGGTGCTCTTTGATACTTCTTGACACTGTTTGATATTGTCAGTGGCTCGCATTGTTGCATTTCAGCACCAGTTTAAGCCCTTTTGTTCCACTAACTTGCTTATTGTGTCGATTCTATCGCCTGTGCTTGGTCCCTGTGCTTGGTCCCTGTGCTGGGGTCTCTGTAGTCAAGTCTCTGTGTTTGCCAATTTCATTTCATTTCTTTCTATTTTATTCTATTCAATTCTACTCTACTCTATTCTACTCTAATCTAATCTATTTCATCCAACTTGCTTTCATTTCTCTAGAAGACCCATCGGGCATAGGGGGTTGTAACTGCGTCTGTATGATGCGAACAGTGCCAATAATGGCTACAGTGCTGATTGGTATTGGTTGGTGTTGGCAAATGTTAATTGTCAAAGCTGGCTGATATGTACTGGGAGTGATTATTTCAAATAACAGAGCTGAATACGTCAAAAGTGATCGTCGACCAGAGCCGCCAATTACATCTCACTATTACAGTATCACTATTACAGTATCGCTGTGTGCTATTCAGTAGGTCGTAAAGAAGACCACTTTTCAAGTAGATAAATGTGTTTTGAGTAGCATGCTGAGTTGGTTCTGGAATAAGGGATTGGGTTTTTGGAGTCTATTACATAATTTGGCAAGATTGTTGCAACAAACAACCAACATTCCTGCTTGATGATTTAATATCCACCAACTTCTGCTTCCATTATATCCTCTGTGTCTACTGTGTCTACTGTATTCACTGTATTTATTGTATTTTCTGTATTCATTGTATTCACTGTATTTTTTGGATTTATCGTAATTATCGTAATTATTGTAGTTGTTGTCGTTATTGTTGTTATTGTAGTTATTATATTTAAGTGATTTCAGTATTGAATCATGTCTGGTGTAGCAAGCTATCAAACAACAGATTACCATCAGTGTCAATTGCTAATAATAACCATAATGCCAATGATTGCAACACTAAACAACAACGCTAACTCGATAGCTAGTGGTATGCATCTATACATAACGCATTGATAATTGATACCAACAAATATCATGGGATTTAATAATAATAATAATAATAATAATAATAATAATAATAATAATAATAATAATAATAATAATAATAATAATAATAATAATAATAATAATAATAATA